TTTTTTTTTTTTTTTTTTGAAATGTCGTGATTGTTTCAGTTATTTTTATGCAATCAATCAATATCCATATCATTGGACGATAGATGGCCATATTTTTAGATCAACCAGTGTACGCATCATCGCTGAAGATCTGTCAATGTCGGGTCTATTTTTACCCTGGATGTCTGTCTCTCGTGGCAATATGCCCGATTGGGTGCGAGAAACAAGAGCATAATAACAATGGTATAGTATTTTGAATTGAGTTGAAGATGGCGGATAATGTTTTGCAGAAGTGCAGTGTTAATGTAGTGTAGGTCTGAAATTAAGATGATACCCACACTGCGTCTATCCTATTTGCTAGGAGCGCACAAAGTACCCTATGATGCAATACGCCCCAATCCCCACACTGTCGCCAGAACAAGCCAAGAACATGTGCTAAATTCCCCTGCTGGTTAAGATGGCTCATCTCTCAGTATCAATACAGGATAGATGAATGCTGGAAAAAGCGTGGGATTTGCATACTGCGTATACTGCCATGGCTGCTAACTACATGCCCAAATGCCAACCGAGGCCCGAAATTAAGATGCAACAGGTAATAATAGGAGTAATAATATACCGTTTCTATCTAGACATCAATGATCCTTAATAAACCCCCAAAAGAAGACCGGGGTTTCCCACTTTTCTCTTCTCTACTAATTTCTTTTTTTTTTTCTTCCCTGGCCAAACAAAATATAAATCCGACTGGCTAAAGGAGCAAAGCTGCGGCCAATTTTCACAGATGAAGTCTCATTGCGAGTGTGTGAGACGTGCACAATCAAATCGAAATGAAAAATAATGAAGGAAAAGTGATTGGGGCGCCAAGTGGAGAGTAATGGAAAAGAATAAGGAAAGTCACAAAAAGGAAAGAGAATGAGAAAAAGAAAACATCGCTATGGCTCTTCGGGTTCCTCGGAGAATAGACCTATTCGCAACCGGTGTGACTGTGAGCCGAGTTAGCATGTCCCAACGAATACCAGCGGCAGGGATAAACATACGAAAGGAAGCTTAGGAATAACCACTCCCAGTGTAGCAAGGAAATTGATGGTGAAGTATGTCAAGTCGTAGTTGGTGTAATGTGTGCTGAGAAGGAAAAGGCAGATAGGAACGCAGAGCAGGAACTTCTTGGTCGGGGTGTATTGATCCCCATTGTCAATCTGTTCCCACATGTTGAGGTTATCGTAGGCACCAGCGTTGAATTCGAATGGGATGCCCCGCACCCAGTGGAACATAAGGAAAGAGCCGAACATGTAGCTGATGTTGGTGAGGGTCCATGATGTCTCCTGTGAAACACCGGGGATGATATCGTAGAGGATCTTGAGGGCAACAATCAAAACGAAATGGATTGTCCAAGCACCTATAACCACCACAAAGGTCAGCATTCTACTCCACCAGTATCCAGATATCTATCTCCCTATCTCCCACACACAACTCACCCTTAGCGTGGACCCAGTTCGCATTCAAATTGGGCAAGGCGGCCTGATCACTGGTGCGCTCAATGGACTCCGGGGGTTCCTGGTAGATGAGACTGCTGGACCTCCTCCTTCTTCCGGCCTTGGATTGGGACATGGCAGAGTTCGAGCGCAACCGATTCGGCCCAGTGTCAACCTCCGGGGGGAAGGAGATGGCACGGGGAATCAATAGGGAAGACACTTTGGCGGTATTGTCGGGAGAGAGGAATGGGAAATTGTAGCGACAACGGGAGAGGCTGGTCTACGAAGGAGACCAAGAAAAAAAGGACGAAGGGGGAAAAATGGAAAAAAGGATTGGATTGCGGTGGTGAGGAGAGACACGGAAGGCCTTAATATTAAATCTGAGGAGAAACCCAAGCAGAGGTGCTTCTGGAGAAAGACAAAAGGTTCCGACCGTGAGATCTGAGGATCGGCAAGTTTGGGTCACGGGAGCCCGCAGAAGGGGAAGCAGAAAATCAACGTAAATCAGACAGATGGGCGAATAGGGGGGAGGGATGCGATTATATTTAATTTATTAAAAGAACCAAACGAACGACGAGGAAAATTCAAAGAAGCAGAAGAACAAGTTGGGGCAATAAATGATTTGCAGCTGAGAGGCGGAAATATGAGAAGGAAGAGGCGGAAAGGAAAAAGGGTGGGAGAAGAAGAGAAGGACGATGGGAATAGCGACACGGGAAAAAGCCTTCGCACGTGGCCAGAAAAAAAAAAGAAGAGAGATACGAAGAGAGGATACCACTAAGGATTATAATTAGGGACTACGACCATCTAGAATAAATAATAATTAGATGGAGATAGATAGTATCTAGCAGAGATCGAGGAATCTTCTGTCTCCCTTTGACGCTATCACCAAAGCACACTAGGAGATTAACCAGAGGGCGAGACTCAACGCCATTGCAAGTCGCCAATATTTCCGTCGCGGCCTGCATATATTGGGTCATATCGTTTAGTATTATTGTCAACAGTTTTATTTGACACAACCGATTCTATTAATATCATCTTCCGTTCGTTGCTTTCTTTTTGCCTTCTTTTTGGTCCGTCGCAACAAATAGTATCGTTTCTGGTCTGTTTCGCTCCCCGTAAATTTTTGACAGGCGGAGGAAAGAAGAATCGCGCCCACAACGTCTTCGCTTCTAGTCCAGCCATCGCCAGTTTGACCCCCCTACGCTCCTTACCTCCTATTTCCCCCTTATTCCTCATTAAGCATGCCTGGATCATCGGGCGATGATAATGATTCCCGGACCGCCTCCGTTGGTGGGCAACGAACACGTGGGAATGGCTCGACCGAACCGTCGCGACAGAACTCTCAAGATCCGATCTCGAACGCGAATAACAAGAAGCGCAGACGAGGGAAGACAGGTGATCGCGAAACCCGTGACTTTGTTCCGCAGGGTGGTTCTTTCAGCGCAAATCCCCTCCAGGTAGATCCGGATAGCACATCTAGCTCCGGCTCGGACTCATCAAGTGACAAGGAAGAGTCTGACAACTCGGATGATGGAAGCGCAGATCCTTCAAAAGATAACCCTCATGCTGGGTCCACTGCACCCGCGATCAATTGGAATAAAGGCAGGAAAAGTGCCGTCAGAACAACCCTGGGCGGGCGGGCGAACAAGGCGGCTGAGAGCAAACCGGTCTCCCAATTTGATGCGGTAAATGGAAAATACTGGCGCAGTGGCAGTGCGTCTGCTTCGTCTGACGCTGAGGAAGCCAAAAATAGAGATGAAGATATGGAAGAAGGGGAAGTGGATGAAAGCTCCGCTGGGTCGGATCAGATGCATGACTCTGGTGACTCGGATGACTCCGAGTCCCTGGGATCAGAGGCTGATGATTCAATAATGCTGAACATTGGTTCCCGCAGTCAGGGCAATAGCCCGAGCAAGAATCAGAATGGTCAGGCTTCCTTGGACAATGATGGCTCTGACCCCGAGGCTCGTCCGGCCAGCCTTCTGAATGGCAGCGCCTCCCATGCGCAGAATGGAATTATAGAGACTCCGGTGCAGACCAAGGAGGGCGCTCTTCAGAGTTTCTCTAAAAGATACCCTACAGCTCCAACAGCCCTCGCTGATCTAGAACGCAAAGACATGGAAGTCCAAGCCAGATTCATGTTCTATGATCGTGATATTAACGACATTGATCTCCAGCTACCAGTAGCCTGCACAGAATGCTTGCGAGAAGGCCACCTCGCTGAGGTGTGTCCTTCGAGAGAGGTACGTTTTCTATATTATGATCATGGGCTCTGTAGTGTCATAGCGATGTCTTGGGGTTAGTTCATATAAGTTGGCAGCTGACAAATTTCAGTGTGTACACTGTGGTGCCTGGAATCAACATCAGAGTAGCTTCTGTCCTTCCTGGAGAAGATGTCAAAAATGCCGGGAGCGTGGCCACGATGAGGCACGATGTACCTCACCTCTAAAAGGTTCCGCTTCCGAGACGCCTTGCGATCTATGTGGATCGCCTGAACACTTGGAGCTCCAGTGCGACAACATGTGGAAGATTCCCCGACCGGTCCCATCTTCAGGGTCCGTTTTTGTTTCCATATCATGCTCGCATTGCGCAAGCAACCGCCATATTATGGGTGATTGCCCATCCCTCCCCCGTCCAATACTATCATCTTCATGGACGCTAAAAGGGCTGGATGAAAGCCTGGTCACTAACACCAACTCGGTGGTTGGTGCCCGTAGAGGAGGTGCTCCCATGACGAGAGGACAACGTGGGAACGGTGGAATGAAAATCAGGGGCCGAGCAGACCAGCGCTCACCATCGCCGGACAGCGATGACATGATGTCCAGACCAGGACAGCGGCCACCCATTGGTCGAAACAATTCAAATCGTCCTAACATCCGGATTGGAAGTGGAATTGGAAAGAATAAAAATCTGGGCCCTGGAGGACCAGACTACGATTCCCGGCGAGACTACCGAGACCGGCAGGACTATTATGGGAATCACTCCCGCCAACGGTCAATGTCTCCCAACACACGCCCCGGCCGGGGACGTGGCAGGGATAGCTGGCAGCCGGCCCCCCGCTCTCCCCCACGAGGCCGTGGAAGGCCAGCCCCTCGTAACACCAGAGGCGGTGATCGTGGTGGTCGTGGAGGCGGGCGTGGGAACAAACGAGGTGGAAACGGGGATGCCTACCGGCCGATGCCAAGTTCCGGAAAGAAGGCCTGGGACAAATACAGGCTCTAATGATGCAAAGAGCAGAAACGCCAAAGCTAAGAGACTAATGATGTTGTAGGTTGATTGTATATTGCTTATGTGCTTTCAGCAGACGCATTGTAGATGGCTCGATCTATGTCAGATTCACCATGACGACTCTGATCGCCTATTGGAACGAATGTGTGGTGTCACTTGAAAGAGTAGTGCCTGCAGAATACCTGCGGGCCTGAAGTCAGATTCAACCGGCAAAAGCAGCCTGGATAGGTATAGATCCACGAAGCCATTGATTGGTTCGGTTGCTGTACAAAAAATGATATGTGTACATGTTATCATCGACAACGTCTTATAATGAATTATCTCACTTTCAGGGACTTCCTGAAGATGCAATTTCCAAATCGGTCTGATATACTGCCACGGGGTATCATGCGTTTCAATAGAGCAGGAGGTTTATCCTTGCTGTTCACTGGTAGGGGGTTTAACTTCGTCTCGATGTCCCACGAAACCTTCATCGAGGATTTTGATTAGATCGTCTAGACGCTCGATGCAAATGTCTGTATGTGCATGGTCCTTCAGGTGACCATTGCGGTCATTCAAGAGCAATACGGTAGCAGCACCGGCCATGTGGCCAGCCGTGATGTCATCCAAGCTGTCACCAACCTATTGGCCATTAGTACTGATGGTTTTGGCCAGAAGGTATAGGTTCTCACCATGATGAGGCTGTCGCCACGATTGTCGAGACCCCATTCGCTTGCGATATGCAAGATACCAGCTGGGTCTGGCTTGGGAAGCAGATTAGGAGTTTCTCGGGTGACAATAGGAAGAAATTCATGAGTGGGGATATATTTTTCAAGCAGATGCAAGACGGGTGCTCTGCAACCTGGTGGATTAGTCACTGTAGCCATGATTAATCTGAATGAAGACATACTCGATATTCCGCGTACAGAGGGCTCTCTTCAGCCCACGGCCGTGAAGGTAATCCATCAGGTCGACGAGTCCTGGCTGGGGCTCCTGAGTGAGCATTGCCTCTCGCTCGACAGCTTTGATCTTTTCGACAGCAGCCAGACGTTCCTCGGGAGTTGCGAGACGTTGGATATGGTGTAGAATATCGACATTCTTGTCGATCCCGATTGCATTTCTGGGTTGTTAGCTGAGATAGTTTCAATTGTTTAGAGGGTTATATACCGCATCTTAACAAACATGTGATGTTGTGGCAAGCTGTATATGTTGTATGAATATCTTAAATTGTATATCAAGAAGAATATAAGGATTGTAGATAATCTCACCATAAAGTCCCATCAACATCAAACACAATTCCCTTCAACGGCGGGGCACTGGATGACTCTCTCCGTGCTGGATCGAGGGGTGCGAATCTCCGCTGACGGAGGGCGTATCTTTGGATAGATGACATGATATGAGAGGATTTAAGTATTCTAACGATGGGTTTTGACATGTATATGGGACGGAGAGATGGTTGTTGATGGAAGAAGAGATGAAGTTGAAGCTGAAGTGGGGATGGATAAAGCTTCACTGAAACTGAAAGCGGGGATGCCTAGCAGTGTTTTCATCGGCAAGAATCGATCTTATATATTATATATCTAGTGATTCGATATTCTTTTAGAGAATAAGACATTCAAAGTCTGAATTCCTTTTATTCAATATGAAAACCAGGGCTGTTCCTTCCTCTGTGCCGCTGCCTGCTTTCTTCGCTCGAACAAACAGCCTGCGATGAAATGAACTCTTCGTCTCTTCTTCCATCGTGCGTGGATTCCATCCTTTTGATATCTTCAATCAGCTTCTTTCTCTTATCATATCAAGTCCTTCCTTCAGTTGTTACACTACTTATCAATCCATCTCAGTTCTCATGGTATCATGACAACAAAGACCCCCGACCACTTCCCGCCCAATCATGAACCCATCACCATCAGCTTTCGCAAGACTGCATCTCTAGTCGGTGCTTTGGCATCGTTGAAAGCGCTGCATGCCGTCGTCTTCGTCTTCAAAGTGAAGCCTGAGAGCGTCCAACACGCCATCAGCCGAAAGGAGCATCGCATCGTGGACATTTCTCTCTCTGCCATCCCAGACAGTCTCTATCGACTGAAGAATGAAATCGACTTTGCTGCTTCCACGGAGGGTGCTCATGCCCCGAATAACACGCCCAGTGAGTGTGGTTGTATGGATATCAAGGCGACAACCACGGAGGAAGATAAGCCCTCGTCGTGCTTTCACAGCCCCATCATGCAGGTCTCGTCGAGTATCTCGCCTGCGATCCGGATGTCGCAGTGTATTCTGACGCCTTCTGCTGATCGACCGATGGAATCCATCCCTGCCAATACTACCGGTCATGCTATCGACCCGGTGCAGATTGCCAGTGAATCCGTATATTCGCCAGTGGTGAGACGGAGTGAGACAGAGGGAGTGATACAGTCTGAATCGTCTGGCTTACCAGAAAATACACCGATTATCCCCTCGCAGTATGTGCAGATTGTGCCATATAGCCAGAGTCGACGGTCCTCGCTTGATTTCACCGAACTTCAGCTGTCGAATGATTCTCGAGCACGAATGAAGGATTTGCACTCAATTCGATCCGTGGAAAGCTATCCGGGCAAGTTTCCTGTCAGCGATGGCCTGGAATTTAGTTCGTTGGCATCTGCGCAGCATCGACTGCGAGGAAGAGGGACAACGTCTGTGAGGCCTTTCTCGGATATGTAGATGGGTTTGTGCTGGATGTTCACTCTGTTTTCATCATTAATGGGATTACTGGATAGTATAGAAGGCATGGTCAACAAAGCCAATACACTGCATTCGTTTGATAGACTACTGTTCTTGAAGAATAGGATGATTAGGATATCCCATGGCCTTGACGATGATCTGCGCACTTTCCAGCACTTTCTGCTTGCCATTTCCTCTCACATCAGTGCCCACAAAGCCGCCATGAGCATCCTCAAACTCGGTATGTTTGATTGCCTTCCAGATCCCATGTATTTGATCCGCAGAGAGGGGGATCTACATCATCAGTATCCTATATACCACCAAGGACAGGGACAGAAGAGAACCCACCATATTCGGATACGACCACATAAACGTAAACGACACCGTCCCCGGCACCCGATCAACATGATAAACACCACTCGGCACAACCGCAATCGAATCCGCCACAAGCAACTTCCCCCCTCCCAACCCCCTCCACCAAAGCACCGCACTCCCCGGGAAATGTCCCCCGGTCTTAATCACCACCATACCGGGCTCATCATACAGCGGGACCATCTCTCTCCCCTCCCAAAACACCAGCCTCAACTCGCTCTTATCCCGCCTCATCACCCACTCCGCGTCTTCGCCAGCCAAGTACACGGGACAGGCAAAGGTATCCGCCCAGTGCAGGGCGGCGCCGAAATAGTGCGGGTGCGAGATGACGATGGCGTGGATGCCGCCGAGCGAGTTGATGTGCGTGATGCTCTCTTCGTCGAGGTAGGTGAGGCAGTCCCAGAGGAGGTTTTTGCCCGAGGGCGTGCGGCAGAGGAGGGCGCGGTGGCCGATGGCGAAGCGCGGGACGGTGTGGATGGTTATGAGGGCGTTGGGGTGGTTTTTGTCCGGGAGGAATTCGTTGTGGTGCGTTTTTTTGGAGTGGAGGGTGGTGAGGGTTGTCCAGGATTGTCTGTTAGTTAGTAGTCAGTATTTGTATTGTGTTGAGATGGAGAGATGGAGATGGAGATGGAGGACCCTGATGCGGGAATGTATTGGCGTGGATCATCGCAGATTTTACACGAAGAGAGGTTATCAGTTGTCGAGTGCTGGACTCCGCACGTCGTGCAGATGAGAAGGTCAAGGGAATTCATTTTGTTTTGTATAGTCACCTAGTTAGCTGGGAAGGTGGTATATTGAAGCTGTTCTGGTGCTGTACAGGACGCTGACATCATGTATACTCCCCGCCTACGTCAGAACTCTATATACTGTATTCAACCAATGCTTTTGATTATGAGCTGGGAATCGGTGTACATGTATCACACAGCCAAAAAAAAATGGGGCACAGGCAGGTCCTCATCGCTAATCACCCGCCAGACGCTGAAAATGTGCAAGAAGGAGAATCACTATGTGGACAAAGAAGGCGATGACATGATATCAGATATTAGACGAGAAGAAAAAAAAGGTTACAACTTCCACCCAGTCCATCCTAATGACAAGAAATAAATTGAAGAAAAAAAAAACGAAGAGAAAGGGGTTTCACATGCAAAGACGCTGGATCAAATAAATGAACTAACAGGGTAAATGTTCAACTGCACAGGTTCATAAGTTTCGTAAAGATAATTTTTGGGGGAGAATAATTGTAACATCCGGATTAATCAATGTCATCATCGATCTGGTCCGGACTTCCACGGTATCGACTTCTCTTTGGATTGCCAGGGCTGCTATACTGACTGCCAGAGTTCAGCGGTCGAGGCCCTGTCGGTTTCCGTGGTGGCGGCGTGTTGCGCGGGGATTTCATGATCGAGCTCTGCTACGAGGAAGTTAGCTTCAAGTATTGCATCAATTTGGACTTGGATATACGTACCCTTGAAGCAACACGCGAGGCGTAGGAGCGTTCCTCGTCGTCATTGACCTTGGGTGGTCTCTCGGGAATTAATGGTCCATCATCCCGGATCTTGGGCGGCCTTGGTGGTCCCGTGTGTCTTGAGCTTGCTTCCGAGTAGCCTGCATCGGATATTGGAGACAGACGGCCAGGACCACTGTGTCGGTTCTGGTTGGTGTTGACCGCCGACAAGCTGGGATTCGACCCCCACTGCTCTGGAGGAGCTTGGTAGACTTGAGCCTGTGTTTCAAGCTGAGACTGGTATCGGCCTGTGGGACCCTGGCGTGGCTGAGGGTGTTGCATATCGATACTGTCCCGGTGGGCTCGGTACTTGGGAGCTTCGGACATCTGCGACGGAACCAAAGGAGACGGGGGACGGTTTTCCTGCTGTTGTTGATCGTCCAGTGTGAATGTGGAGCGGATTTTATCATCACCCTGGGGATCGTAGTAATCGTTCTTGTAGGGCTGACCAAGGTCAGACCCTGAGCGAGACACGTCAAACGATGCACGCTCCTTCCGTCCTGGCTGGATGCTGTTGCGAATATTGTCACCCATAGAAGAGGCTGTGGTCTTGGACCAGCGGGAGATCTTGGGGAAGAAGGAAGAGCTGCTCGACTTGTGTTTGCGTTGCTTTTCGTTCGTCTTGGGAGGAGTCGACTCGCTGCTGAGTGCACCGCTGGCCACTGGCCCACGCGGCGACGTCGAGACAGGAGCAGATCCTCCCCTTTCGCTTCGAGCCTTGGAATTCTCACGAGACGCCATGTTTTGACCCGGAAAATCTCGGTCGTCAAGCTCAGCCTCTTCATCGGCCTCGTGGACGGTGCTCACGCGGTGCTCGGAATCTCTGCGCAGTTGATTGCCTGCGGCAGGTCGAGAAGAGTTGGAGAGGTATCCAGAGTGATCCGGAGATGAAGTGCCGGCATGACCTTCGGGCTCATATCCCTCAGTATCGACACTCGGGGCACGAGTGCCTCCACTGCCACGGTAAAACATGTCGTCCTGTCCAGCCCGTAACATTTCAACTTCTTCCAGGAGCTGTTCCAACATGTCTTCGATCTTGGTCAGGTCATTTCCGGATTTGAGGTTCAGACCCTTCAATGCACGCTTGAACACATTCTTCCGTTTCGAGCGCATATCGTCAGCATCATCTGCAGAATTTTGGCGAGGTGGTCTTGGGCCGCTGGGGGGCTGGGGACGTGGACCACCGAGAGCCTTGTATGTTCGCTCATGCTGTCTTTCATTGGATTCCATGAGCATTCCATCCTGCTGAGAAATGAACTTCTTCATCTCCTCGAAAGAGTTGCGCATCTCCGCAGCACTTCGCACCAGGGACACCAGGATTTCCGTGTCCCGTGCGTTTCGTTGAGCGTCACGGACAGTGAGCTGTAATCAATCAGCGAAGATCCAGAAAATGAAAGAAACAGAAAAACTCACATGATCCATCAGCGCAATGATATCCTTGGACTGGATCCTGTCGATGCCTTTGCCCGTGGCACTATCATACAAGGGGGAACCAACTCCATGAGAATAACCACTCAGGTTCCGCTGATGAGAAGGCGTGAAAGAATCGTCTGCTCCAGGGCTATCGAAGAGACCCATACCACCAGCGTCCATGCCACCGAGACCCTTGCTGCCTGGCCTGGGAGAACCGATACTCGGAGAAACCGGGTTGGGCGCCGACACATAGCCCTCATCCTTGACTCCTGGCGGTGTGCCAAACATCTGGCCATGGTCAAAGTAGTTATCTGGGGCATAGGGATCCGCGGGGTAGTAGTCTTGGTTATAGCCCGGTTGCTCACCAGATTCCATTCCTAGGCCTCCACTGTCACCTGCAGCAGCGTTGTCGTAGAAAGGCGAGTGACCAGTCTTGGGGGGCGTCGAGTTATAACCCCAGTGGTCTCTGTTGTCGTGGGAAACGCCACCAGCGGGACCCTGGATAATCGACGGGTTGGTGTTGATCTCGGACTCAGAGTCCAGGTCATGGTCAACATCTGGCATGGGGCTTTCCAAATCACGCATGTCAGCAGGGAAAATATTGGCCGGATCAAATTGGTCTTCGATCGACTGTGTGACACTCTGGGGAGGGGAAGTGGCACCCATCCTCTTGGGGAAGGATGTCTCATCGGGACTGGAAGCATCCTGACGCTGCTTCAAAGGACTGCCTTGGCGAGAGCTCTGAGAGGGTTCCGGGCAATCCATCGACTTGTTACTGCGAGTCTCGAGCTGCTCTGGAAGGTTATGGTGGGACCGGTTCGCATTCTGTGCGGACTTGGTGTCGACAATCGAAGGATCTAGCAGCGAGGCGACTGCCGATTCAACGGTCGATGGGTGGACAAACTGAGGGTTGACACCGGTACCTTGGCCGACCTGCTTCCCTTGGTTGGCCTTTTCCAAGTAATCGATCTCGCTATCTTCGGGGTAGTTCATCCGCTTGGCGTCAAGGGTGGTGTTGCTTCCTGCCGTCGAATGCTGATAGCCGTAATCGTCATCAGCCTCGGAGTCTTGCGCCCAGTTTTCTCGAGACGGCCTGGGCGATTCTTCGTATCCGAGTTCGTGGCCAACTTCTTTTTGCAGTCTCAGTATCTCAATCTGACTTTCTATACTGATCCCTCCTGCCCTCGTCGACCTGGCAAGGTTCGTACTCGGCGCAGAAGAGAGCGAGGATATGGAGAATCGTGGTTCCAGTTCTTTCTCACCTTCAGAGTATGCATGTTTATCATGCGGAGCCGACGAATGCTGAGCACGGACCTCGGTCAAATCGCTCGCTACACTTTGGATTGGGCTAAGAGTCCTCCGCTTGGTGTTTTCACTAAGATTGTCGTCATGATCGTCATATGCGTCAAGGAGGTTGGCAGCGGCCGCAGCTGCAATGGCTCCAGCAGCGGCTTCTCCCATGGGTGAACGGCTTCCCTCACGCAAGTCACGATCGGAAGCACTATGGATAGAGAGGTTGTGCTGCGACATGTTGCTGTGACGCAGCCCTAATTCATACCGCGTGTCTAGAGGGGTGCGGTTTGGAGTGCGAGATGTGGGGGAGGTAACCTGCAGAGGCGATTCACGAGGTACATCCTGGTACCTAAAGTTCTGATGAGGGGTAGCTGTCTCGGTTCTTTGCGAGAGCAGGGAGTCTCTGGTAAGTTCCGTTTCAACCGCACTGCGCAGTGGCATGGGTGCTACGTTGTGTCTTTGGAACACGAGCTCCGTCTCGTTGATGCTCGGAGCACGGCTCCTCGACTCACTTCCCCGTCTGCTCTCTGTTTCACCCATACTAGACTTTGACTCATGGCGTTGAAGAGCGGCAGCGGTCAGGGCCGTTCCCACGATTCCAGCCTTTTCAGCATCACGCAGCCCTCTGCTCCTCTGCCGTCGTAATTTATCGGTCTCAGTCAGGTCTGGTCGGTTGGCCCATTTGACATAGCCCATGTCGGAGATTTCACTGCCCTTGCTTGACTTGCGTTCTTTTTTGCTCGGTGCAGGTGCGGGTGCGGGTGTGGGTGCAGGTTCACCAGCGAGCACAAGGCCCTCGTCCTGGCTATCCTTGTTGAGGACCACCTTTGGCTTCCGGACGTCAGGTGCGCTTGCATGCTTAGAAAGCCGTCGTCCGAGTTCGTCTCGAGACGGGGTACTCGCCGGCGAGTAAGCTTCTTTGAGCTCACGCTCGAATTTGGATGTGTTGAAGCTGACCTTTTGGTCTTTTTTCAGCTCTTTCAGCTCAGGGAGGATTAATCTGCGGATGGCGTCTTCGACGGTTTCGAGAAGTTTAGGGTTGTTGATGGATGATCTGTTGGAGGTTCCTGAGCGGAAGGACTGTTGGTCGCCTGACCGGCGGCGAGAAGACACCGCGGAGGCACTAAGCAAGCTCGACTCTGGGCTAGCCATGATGTCGTCGTCGATATGCCCTTGGAAACGTCGTCTAGGGGATTTGAGATCTTGTTCAAGGATATCCTGATCGCTGCGGCCCATTTCCCTTTCTGCCCGTCTGCGTCTACTGGCAGAGGTGTTACGGGGCTCGTTGCTCAGCTTCTCAGCGACTCGGTGTGCAATCCGCTCGTGGCTAAGACTGCGACTTCTTTGTCGGGTTGGGGTTTTAAGTAGGTCTTTTGAATGGTGGCTGGGTTCTCTTGACAGACTTGAACTGCGCTTTCGTCGTGGACCAGAAGATGATGGAGGGGCATCCAGCATGCTATCCGCTGGCATAGAAGAAATATCCGAGGTTGGTTGGATCAACCTGGTGTCGCGAGAGAGGCTGGAGAGCTCACTGCTCTGATCGCCGCGGTTCACAAACTCAATCTCAAAGGGAGGTTGGCGGGAGGAGTGATGGTTGTTATTATCATCGGTAGCAGAGTTGGAAGAACTAATACTCTGATCATCCCCACTGGGTTCCGCCAGCTGCCTCTGTTTTGATGGGGGAGAGCTGAGTGAGATGCGACGGGAGTAGACAGGTTTCCGCTGGCCACCACCTTCTGTGATTTGGATATGATGATCTTTTTGGTCCTTGAGCTTGCGGGCCGTGGACGGGGTGACTCTGACCCGGACACTGGGACGAGAGACGAGAGAGCCGGAGCCCTTCCCTCCTTCGAAGTACTCGATCAGGAGGGAGGTTTGTGAGTGTTGCGAGTGGGACAGCTTGGAGTCGTCCCCGCGCTCGCGCTCGCGCTCACGATGCCTCCGCCGGGAGGTGGGGATAGTAACGGGACTGCCGTCGTCTGGGATTGAGTACGACGTTTTGTCTGTGCGGCGAGAGACGTCAGTTGCCAGATCAGTTCCTGTTACGCTGCCGCCAGTAGTAGTGTCGACAATGGATTCAGTGGGGGCGGGCAAGATCGGTCTGCGGGTGTCGACACCCATCATGGATAGGAAGAGGTCTTCAGCCAGCCAATATCATACTCTGTCGGAATCGTGAAGGGAAAGAAGAGAGGAGGAGACAAGGGATGGGAGATGGAGACTGGGGTGGTGTGTGCTGACAGACAGGAAGATTGTCACTATCGTAGAATAACGATGACGGGGGAACGGTGGGGGGGAAGAGGAAGTGGAGAGTGAATACAACAGGTGAAGCGTACCAGCGCAAGGGCAAGAAGAGCAAAAAAACAATCAAAGGGAAGAATAATAATTCCCCTGTATCTCTGGATATGAAGAAGAAAAGGAAGAGGAAAAGAAAAGAAAAGAAGAATCAGAGATTGAATGCAAGTTTCGCAAAGCTTCAGCCGCTAATCCCTCACTTGATGGGCAGCAAAGAAGAGCTTGACCGATAAGCCAACAACAATCGGTGTGAGTCGAGGATATCACAGGCAGAGACTCCACCGGGACGGAAGAGGACAGCCGAAAGAGGAAAGAAATAAAATAAATCCAGGTTCGGATTCAAATCCCAGTCTCTTTTTTTTTTGTTTTTGGGATGGGAAGAAATGAAAGTGTGGGAGAAAAAGAGAAGGCTGGTCGAGGGTATAAAGAGACGCTGGCCAGCTGGCGGAGAAAAGAACGAGACGGATTTTTAGCGGCGAACAACAAACGCCGGTCGGAGCAGGAGATTCAGTCAGAATAGTTGCAAGTATTGAGAGTAATATAAAATAGGGAGAATATAATATTATAGAAGAAGAATGTAGAATATCCCCCACTTCCACCAGACGATGCTATCCCAATGCAAGGTGGCTGGGCGCTGTACACTTCATCTTGACTGTCACCTTCCATTCCCTCTCTTGTTCGTGGCCTTGTGTTTGTATCTGTCTGTATACCTATTCTGTATAATAGTGTCTATAAGGTACTTGTATTTCATCCGGTAACAATATCAATTATTCTCTGCCTGTAAGGAGATCGGAAGATTCTACAGACACCAATAAAACCCTGTGGGTGTGACTGTGACGGAAAGTGACCTGTACCCTCCTGTACCACAGCCAGACAGTCTGAATACCTCGCAAAAGAAACCATCCTCATCGGTCTCGTCTCAGTCTCAGAAATCAAGGAAGTTATCCAACTGCCATGCCATGCCATGTAGACTCCTGTCTGAGATCTGAAGCTCACCTGAAACCCGTATACAACAAACACATCTCACCCATCCCAATCACACCCAGCCAGGAGAGCAGGTCAGCATCACCAGAGCCTAACAATTCTCCATCTGGCAACGGATGCGACCCTCACGATGCATGGAAGCGTACCTGATCGAGTCATAGACCGGCGGTGATTGGTGTAAGGCTGTGGTGCTGCCAACTCATCACATCCATCATCACACACCCTTTTTTCCCCGCGCGAGTCGGGGGGAGGATTGAGAATTGCGATGGTTGGATTGGCTTGGGGTATTATTGCAAGTGCCGAGAGTGCCGGAGAGTCACAGAAGTAGTTCTCATTTTTGAAGACTAAGAACTAGTTGTGATTATACTCTGGGCTAAACTCAACAGACGGGAGAAGTGCATCCCAGCCACCTGCTCCTTGCCGCATCTTGCTTTCTCGATGCATCGATGCATCGATCAGATTCTTCTAATAACAGTGAAAGACGAGTTGATATAAGTAGTTGACTATATAGAGTGACGATAATATTAGCTCAGGCGAACCACGGAAGCACAGACTCATCCATGGAACGGCATATTACTCCATATTAACACCTACCAGGCACTCATCAGGCAACTCACAACGGTGTAGTCTACAGCTTCATATCATTTATGTGCAGGTACTAGTCCACGTACCTTACAGATCTATAGCTTTACTGCATTCCTAGCTTGATTAGATCTGACAGATTACCTATCATCCTGACGTTCTAAATATACTCAAAGCTAGGCTTTCATCTCAGCCCTCGCAGCTATCCCTGTCTACAGGCTCAAGACTGTCAATAGTTACAATATCATAAAGACTAAACAATCCTATATCCACAGGCTAAACTCCGAATACCAAAAAGATATAAATAATGCCATCTCATGTCAAACAAGTCGCTTTTTGTGCTTTGCTTTTGATTACCACCCTCAGATTAGTCGTCGTTGCGTCGCTTGAACTTCAGTCCCTTATTATTGCCGGGCTGGCTGCCGTAGTTCCGTCGTCCTTGTGGCTGCTTCTTGTCCCGGCTGAGACTTGCTCCCAGCTGGATGTCAATGCGTGGTGGTGCGGAGAATCCGAATCCCTTGGCCACCTTGACCAGGTCCAGTTTGTTCACGTCGAACACGGAACGCAGGGAATGCGAGGCGTACGCTTGAATGTAGGAGCGATATCCTTCTTTGGCGGACTGTGCAATTGTCAGTATACGATTTATTTTCAATGATAGATAATACATACCTTGTTGAGATAGTAGTTCTGGCCAATAAGCTTCTCCAGCTGAGACTGCACGTTGACAATCTTCGAGGCGGGAAACTCAAACTCGACGACAGGAACACGTGCCTCCTTCAGGTGTTTCAGGAAGCCAACCTCCGACGGTTGCAGGAACATCAGACTGCGTCCCTTTCCGTTGGCACCACGAGCGGTTCGACCGACACGGTGGATGTAGTCACGCGGGTCATCCGGAGGGTCAAACTGGATAATCCAGTCCACAGCAGGAATCTAGTCCATGTTAGACTCATCTCATGTAGAATGCAGAATAATCAGAACTTACATCCAAACCTCTGGCAGCAACGTCAGTACAGATCAAAGTTCCCTGTGATGCGTTGCAGAACTCGAAGAAAGTGTTGGTTCGCTTCTGCTGCTTTTGCTTGCCGTGCAGCTCAAGCACGGGCAGATCAATGTAGTTGAGGAGCTCCGCGTGGTACTTGACACAGTTGCAGCTGGAGAAGAAAACAATAATCTTCTTCTTAAGGTTGCGCTTCAAGAAGGAGAAAAGAAGCAAGAAACGCTTGTCAGCCTCACAGAGAACGTATCCCTGCTCCAATCCCTCCACCGTACTGTGCTCCTTTCGGTGGTCCACGTTGATGTAGAGCGGGCCGGGTCGCAGCGATATCCGGGCCAGATCCTCGACCTTGGTGGTCTGGGTGGCAGAGAACAACATAGTCTGTCTCTCCTCGGCGGGGAGGATCTTAATAATCTGGCGCATCTCATCTTCGAAACCGACTTCCAGAATACGATCAGCCTCGTCGATGACCAGAGTCTTCATGTTCTTGAACACGAATCCGGGGGTGTTCTGGAGGTGGTCGAGCAAACGTCCGGGGGTAGCAATCAGCAGGTTAACACCCTTGGTGAGCTTCTCTGCCTCAGCGCGTCGGTTTGCGCCTCCAATGACGATACCGTATGTCTGCGAGTGGTGAGCCATGAGCTCTCGGGCGACACCGAAGATCTGCAGGGCCAACTCTCGGGTGGGCGAGACGACGAGAACACCAGTACCTATCCAGCGTTAGTAAAACGACGACTCACATAGCCAATGGATGACGGCTCACCATTTCTGGGCTTGAATCGCAAAGCACTCAGCATCTCAACAGCGGGAATCAAAAACGACAGCGTCTTTCCAGAACCAGTCTTCGCAGCGCCCAGAACATCCCGTCCAGCCAGCGAGGGAGGAATTGTTCGCTGCTGAATCTCAGTCATGGTCTCGAAACCCATATCCTGAATAGCCTTCATCGTCTTGTCGGACAGATTCAATTCCGTAAACTTTTGCGGCTCGGTGCCCATCTGTGGTAGAGTAACAGCATCCGCCGAAGGAAGGTCGGCAACATTATCCTTGTCGTCTCCATCCTCGGCCTCGGATTGCTCTTCATTGTCGTCCTCCTCACCCTTCTCCTCAACAGCCTCTACCTCCTCCTCGCTCTCCTCATCACCAGAAGAATGGTTCACTTTGCGCTTCTTCGAGGCTTCCTTCTTGGATTTTCCACTCGACTTGGCAGCCTTCTTCGCGACGGGGGACTCGGTGACGGTTGGCTTCGGGGTATCATCGTTTTCTGCTCGCGCACCGGCGCCGTGTCTTCTCTTTCTCTTCTTCGAGATGTCCTTGGCAGTGTCCACTGGGATTGGCATTTTGACGACCTTTTTTTACAGACAATAAAAAAAGGTGTGTGATGCGTTGGTCAGTGTTTGAAAAATTATCCGCGATAACTTCTTTTTTTTCTTTTTCTTTTTTTTTTCTTCGGTCGGTGAAAGTTCTGGCAACCTCCGCGTCACGTGGTGATATGCTGATAAGCTATTTTAAAGCCTGATAAATAAGGCAGAAATATAGATATTAACCTTAGGCACCAGGTACCGATCGAGGCATCTAACTTTCAGGCATCTATGTAGGCATTAAGATAAGGCACAAGACATCCATTCATCCGTGTCCATACGCAGAAGTCGGTACGAATATCGGTTATCCATGGTGCCTGGAGATACTTTTGATGGCTATTACTGTAGACTATGATAGATTAGTTTGAGACAGGAAGACAGGCTGCAGAAACGCTACTGTCCTGTCGCCTTGCTGCGTCGCTTATAAAGTGCAGCATCCTTAAGTTTAATATAGTTAAATATTGTTAGAAAATGTGTTATTGTCATTTAAATTAGACAGATATCGAGTCGAGAATTCAAGACAGCCAAGATTCAAAGTAACAATTCCAATGAATCCAGACCACAGTAACCCCCAAATACCAATAGGCTATTGTACCTGGCAGTCCCTGTCAGCACTAAGAGCTGTGCAGCCCCTTAGTTAGATAAGATGGTCTTATTTATGAGCACATCACAAGACTGCAGTAAAAAAGCGGTGGATGAACAGCAGACCGTTACTGTAGTCTGGACATAGTATGTAGTAGTAGCCGCCCATGTCTTACATGACAGCCAGACAGACTCATCTAGATCGAAATCATGCACCCCAGAGCGGCGACAGAATAGATGGGTTCAGGAATATTCCTGAAACAAAGCCAGCCATGGACGAGAGATGACAGGAAATATGTATGGGAAATTTGATATAAACACTCGAAACGAAGTGGCCAAAAGGCGTTGTTAGTGAACTGTGGTTCTGCCCAGGGTTCAGGGCTCGCATTTTAAGTTGCCAAAAATAGGTTTTTTTTGGGTTTCCCTTGGTACGGCTATGATACATCGGATACGGACTCGGGAGTTACGGAAATTTACAGTTACGGAAATTTACACTCAAGAATAAAAATAAGGCAAAATAAAAGAAAAGGCCAAGGCTGAAGTCAGTTCAGGATCGAATCCTGGAGAATCATATCTAAGACTTTCACGTCAAATCAGTAAGAGCACGAGATTGACCATGTTGGAGTGGGCTGTCGACGTCATGACGCGCATTCCGGCCATGACGATCCCGCCTCAGTATGTTGATCAGGGATGGGAGGAACTGGTGTCTGGAGTCAGACTCTGGAGAGAAGAGCAAATAATTTTATTGAATGAGAGATGATGATTGGCTGGATTAATAAAAACAGGAATAGCTCCAGAGCGAGACGAGGGTGACGCAGACAGAGCGGCTGATGGGAGGATTTGGATGTTCAGCGCGGGTGGTTCTCCAAGAAAGAGCCGGGAGGCTGTGCAGTGACAGGCGGGAAGCAGTTGGATAGGATCATCTCATTTCTGAGGCGTCTTACTGTCGATCGATCTTATATAAGTAGGCATTGTCCTTTGAGCCTTTAAGTATTCAGTAGTAAGGACAGAGTAGGAGAATTTATGTCGAGATAAAGCCATGACATTGAGATCGCTAACTCGTACTCGTATGCATATTAATAGTATGATACGTAATTGATGCAAAACGGCCATCAATCACGTATGCAGGCAGAATAATTCCACGATGCTCTGGTGTCACCCACAGAGACGGACCAGAAGTGGGCGGTTTGTCTTACAGATTCATTCCCCAGAGCAAGTAATGATGGGCGATTCGACGATCCTTTGTAAGATTCCAGCCTCTACATTTACCACCCACAGTCTACCTCCATGTACACTGTACAATAATATGCATCCTGTAGGTACTAAGTAAAGCTGGTCTTAAGTATCCAATAATCTAATACAGTATTCAATACGATCCGCCGAGGCAAACCACTCACGCACGGCAAAGAACCAAGTCACAAAGCCTAAGGATGAGAGCCACTATGCCCCCTGAAGTGACGCGCGTGCACAGATGGAACTTTTCTCTATTGTGAACTTTTTGCCGTAGAGCACGGGCAGATCGTCCATGGGGAAAAAAGCCTGACTGACCACCGCCTTTTTTTTTTCTTGGAGCTGAGTCTGAGCTGAGGGGGGGCGATTATTTTTATGCTTAATTGACCATTGTCCCTAATATTATTACCTATATTTTTATCGACTGTCACCTGTGTGCCTCTGTCTTTGATGCATTCAGAACAATAAAAATAAAATACACACGGTACGACAGCTGTAACGGCGAATTCGGGCGGTGTCTCTGATTGGCCATAAATTAGCGCCCTCGTGCTGAGTCATCATTCCTGCGGTCTCTCTTGCAACCCCGTTTGGGATCTTTTTGGTCGAAGAAGAACCAAACAAGCCGGAAGAAAGAGAGTCTGAGAGTGAGAAAAGAGAAAAAGACGGGCCTCCAGAGTCTGTCAACTTCTTCTTCTTCTTTTTCTTCTTCTTTTCTGTCATTTCATCCAAATCGATCGGATCAACACAGACTCCAACAGACACAGCCAAGATAGGCCGACTAGGGAGACAAAGACCCCGTCCCATCCCCTAGTGCCTCTCCCTCCATCCTTCTTCTTCTTCTTCTTCTTCCTCCTCCTCCCTCCACACTCCGTCTGGCTATACTGCGTGTCGCCGTCCCGCTCGCTTTTCCTCGTCCGGCTTAACTGTACGGCCGTCCTTCTTTTGACTCTCCTTCCATTCTTCCTCGATCTTTTTTTATCACTTTTTTATCTTTCTTCTTTTTTCATTTGCCTTTTTTTCCCATCTTTTTTATATTCGTCACTCTTTATCTCCGACCGATCTTTTATCGTTCCATTCCTTCGTTTTTGATCTCGTCGCAATAAAATCGCTCTGGTAATCGATTTGCCCTTCCAATGACGCCGTGATCCCATCAATTCCCAATCACGGATTACTGCCTTTTTTTTCCCGCATCTTTTGGGCCCTTTTCCGGCTCGTCCTTCGTTTCAGACTCGATCCATATAACCATCTCGAAATACAACCTCAACGTCCCATTCCCACCCCCTGGGATACTTTCCGCATCCGGCCGCTACCAATTCGGGTACTCTGGAGTACCACCTTCCATCTAACGGCCTTCCTTTCTCCCTCCCCTCCCCCTCTCTTATCTCAACCACTACAACTTCCTTCTCTCGAACCCTCGAGGTAGACACTAGTGATCATCAGTCAACATGCGGTTATTATCACTCCTCGCATGTCTGTACGTCGGGTTTCTCGCACCGTTGGTGTCGGCCGTCAACCTGATCGAATCCAAATCCCTCAACCTCTGCCAGGACAGTTCCAACTTCACTGCAACATACTTCAGTGTCACCTTCACCGCCAATAACAGGTCGCTTGCCTTCAGTTTCGATGGTGTCGCCGCGATTACTGGTAAGGTGACTGCCGATATCACCCTTACTGCCTATGGTTATGAAGCGTTCAAGAAGACCATCAACCCTTGTGACATGCCCGAATTGAAGGGTCTCTGTCCCATGACTGCGGGCTCTATCGACGTCCCGATCGCCAACATGGAGCTTTCTGAAGATGTCGTTTCTCAAATTCCCAGTAAGCTTCCCTCCTAACTGAGCGAAGCGATCAATCTCAACTAACCACTGTAATCAGGTATCGCGTACACCGTTCCGGACCTCGACGCCAATGTTCGTGTCTATATTAACAAGACAGATACTGGCGAGAGTATATCTTGCCTCGAAGCGCCTTTATCCAACGGCAAGACGGTTTATCAGAAGGGTGTGGGTTGGACAACGGCCATCATCTCTGGATTGGGTCTCACGGCATCCGCCATCACTTCCGGTCTGGGGCACTCAAACACCGCCGCTCACGTCGCAGCCAATGCTCTCTCGCTCTTCAGCTTCATGCAATCGCAGGCAATTTTCGGTATGGTCTCGGTTCACATGCCCCCTATCGTCGAAGCATGGACACAGAACTTCCAGTGGAGTATGGGTATCATTCATGTCGGATTCCTGCAAACCATCTGCACTTGGTACCAACGGTCGACCGGAGGAACTCCTTCGACCACCCTTTCAGATCTCTCCACCTCCTCGGTCGAAGTGCTCAAGCGCAAGAAGCGATCTTTGGATTCTGCTGTTCCAGAGGTCGCTAGAAGGGCTTCGGGTTACCTGATGAAGCGGGCCAACACACAATCCGAAACGGCAACCTCTGACACCACCACCGTTCGCGGTATCACTCGTGTTGGATTCGAGGCCAAGATTGAAGAGACCAACATCTTCCTGACTGGATTGATTTTTTTCGTCATCTTTGTCGCCATCGTTTTGATTATCGTCGGCCTCTTCAAGGTCATTTGTGAGGCCCTTGCCAAATCCGGAAAAATGAAGAGCGACAAATTCCAGGACTTCAGAAATGGATGGAGAGTCGTCTCGCGAGGAATTCTGTTCCGATTGACTCTGATCGGTTTCCCTCAAATGTGTATTCTTTGCTTGTGGGAGCTGACTCGTCGTGATTCCGCCGCCGAAGTCGTTTTGGCCGTCATCATGATCCTGTCGATTGTTGGCGCATTGGGTTGGGCAGCGGTCAAGGTCATCCTCTTGGCCAAGCGATCAGTCACCATGCACAAGAACCCGGCGTACATCCTCTACTCGGATCCCACGTGTCTGAACAAGTGGGGCTTCTTGTATGTGCAGTACCGCGCTACAGCTTACTACTTTGTCGTCCCGGTTCTCGCCTACATTCTCATCAAGGGCATGTTTATCGGCCTCAGTCAGCCGGCCCCTGTCGTCCAGACCGTGGCTTTGGTTATCATTGAAGCCGCCATGCTGGTTGGCGTCAGTGTCCTCCGCCCTTGGATGGACAAGAAGACCAACATCTACAACATTACCATCGCTGCCATCAACTTCCTCAACTCCATCTTCCTTCTGATGTTCTCCAACGTCTTCAACCAGCCTGGCCTTGTGACTGGTGTTATGGGTGTCGTTTTCTTTGTCTACAACGCTGTGTTTGCGCTGGTTCTTCTGATCCTGGTCTTGATTGCTTCGATTTACGCTATCGTTTCCAAGAACCCTGACACTCGCTACCAGCCGATGAGAGATGACCGTGGCTCTTTCATCAAGTCGCAGAGCCAGCTGACCACCGAGTTGGACGCCTTAGGAGCTACTGCTCGCGGCGGTGACATGAAATCTTCGCCGTACAAGTCGAGCCCCTTTGAAGATGATGATGCATCTTTTTCCAGCGGCAACGGAGCCAGCGTGAGCCGTCAAAACCTCGAGGTCTCGCACGAGGGCAGTTCTCCCCATTCTCGCGCGCCTGTCTCTCCCGTGGATCCTTCGGTGCCGCTGTTCCCCAGTGACACCTCGGCCCAGCGGGGACCTCCTAGTTATGACAGCAACGGCCTCATTGGGCGGTCACCGTCACCAGTCCCCCGGGGCTATAATGCCTCTCCTTTCAGTGGAGCTTCAGCATACAGAGGACAGAACAACGCAAGTCCCTGGCAACGAGGAGCCGGCTACGACCACTAAAGGATTACCATGATTTCTGCTTTTTCTTTCTTTTTCTTTTTTTAGCTTCACCCGAGATGAAGATATGGCTCAGCGCAGGATATGATACCCCTGGTGTCTTCCATTGCTCATTGATTTAAACCCCTTTTCACCGAATTCATCCTCGGTGTCTTTGGTCTGTTTATCCTGTCCAATTTTGCCATTCTTCTTAAGTATAGTGTGATATACTGAAAAATTCTTTTCTTTTCTTGCTATCATTCTGTCCTTGTCAGGATCATTTTCCTTGTTATTACCGTCGGCGTTCTGATGCATTGGTTTTGGAGATCGGTCTTGGGTTTGATATTTGTGAACTATTTTCTCCGGCAGGGATATAATTAATCTCTGGTCCAATGTCCTTGCGGTGTACTATCTGTGATTTCATGTATGAAAGAAGTCATAATGTCATGGCCAACGTTATAGACGTGAGGCATTTCGAAACACTTGCTTTTTTGTCTTCTGGACCAGCCGATCGATTGGGTGGACTTCTATAGAGTTGATTTTCTCCAGTACCTAAACCATCTTATATTACATGCTTGGCCATGTCACTTTGTTTCTATTCAACTAAATTTATGAAATCCTGTATCTGATGTTCTAGACTTTGCTTATTAGATATATCATCAATCAGATCTTATCGATCATAAGTTTGAATCCAAATATTTTTAGCAATCCAAATACGGAATACTGAGGACAGAAATGTATGCATTGCATGGCCGTTCGATGGACGGAACAAACAGCGTGATAATCTAAATTTACATAAACCCATTAGGTTAGGTGACTGTCCGTTTATATTTTGCTTGTTCTTGTTCGTCAAGTTTTTCCTCAAAAAGATTGAACACATCACGCCGGGACCGTTAGAAAAAAAAATAAAAAAGTAAAAAACCCTCATCTAAGAAGGGAAAAAAAGACAAAAGTGCTAGAAATGAGACTGGAAACAGATCAAAAGGAAAAATGGTTTACAAAATCATCGACCCTCGCCGAGACCAGGGGGAGGACCTGCCATGCCCGGAGGCATACCCCCAGGTGGTGGCGGTAGAGAGAATCCTTCTTGGCCCGGCATACCACCAGGGGCCGGGCTGGGGCTGAATCCTGCGGGACCTCCAGGGGGCGGGATAGGAGGGAAGCCGGCAGAGCCTGGTGGGGGGATGGGGAAGTTAGGGAAGCCACCTGGGGGAGGAGGGAAGGCTTGGCCGCCTGGGGGCATGTTGGGGAGAGGAGGAAGGCCACCCGGAGGGGGTGCGCCTGAGCCGGCAGGGAAAGGAGGGAAGGGAAGGCCGCGAGCACCGGGGGCTGTGTGGAGAGGGTTAGTTTGCTATATGTTGATGGGCAGCAGTTGGGAACGTACGAGGCATGCCGGGTGCGCCTGGTGCGCCTGGCGGAGGGATACCAAATGGAGGAGGCGGAAGTTGACCTGGTCGACCTGGAAAAAGAATTAGCATTGATTTTTTGGTTTATATTGGGCTCGAGACATACCAGGGAACGCGAATGGCGGAGGAGGATAAGCACCCGGCGGCACCATAGCAGGGTTAGGAACGGCCTGGCCCTCTGCAGCGTACGAAGACGTGATCGAATCAATGACCGATTGTGCCTTTTCCTGACCGATTTCTATACCATCATGTCAGCGATTTGCCCATCGTGGATATATTCCAGGGAAAAAAAGGGCCGCCATACGTTGGTAATATTCCACCACGTTCCTCAAGTGATTTCTTCCCGAGTTATGCGCCTTGCGCACACTCATCGAGTCGTGCGTGAGATAGACATCACAGTAGTCACCTGCAGAGCATTAGCAGACTGCAGTTGGAGACATTGTCGAGGAGGAATCGCGAGCAGCAAAGCGGAAAAGCATGATGGGGGAGCGGGATCCTACAGAAGAGTGCACGGAAAGTTAGCTTGACGTTCAACAAGTCTTCGGAAAAGGTGTACTTATATTTAGGCATTTTGAAAGCTTCCAGATAGCAAGTCCTTTCTTTAAATGTCCCAGAGATGGATTCTAGACTCGGTAGCGCTCAAAAGGCGCGTGGCGCGTGGAAGCTGCTGCTGCTTGCGCTGGGAACCGGGTCGTCGTGACGGAGGCAAAGAATGCAGGAATTGGCTTCTCGTAATTCTGCAGCGGTGCGATGAGTCGTAGGAATCTCAGATTGTTCCGAGGCGATGCGATCGGAATTGGACGTCGGTCTTTGTTGGAGAAACTCGATGGCGGAGGTTGCCATATAAAGGCGGTGTGTAGTGGCAGAATACGTCTACTTCTGATTCAATATCGTTCTCATCAGATTATATTTATTGGTTTTTATTTTATGGGGATTTACTGGGTGATAAGTATATTCTCTGGTGGTGGATTGTGTTCAAATATGATTGATCTGATGTTGCTGGATATCTTGCTTTCATGTCAGGTTTACAGAAGATATATCACGGAAGAAAAATGCATACTAATATTCTATGGACTATATAAGATGGAATTGCTTCTTTCCAGTTTCCTCGTCATGCTTCGTCATCGATCAGCTGGCTCAAACCACTCGTCCCAAATGTGCCTCACAATCCATCCAAGCCAGTGCGGAAGAATCACATAGTCGTGTTCTGGTGGAACAGGAGGACGTAGAAACATTTCTTCAAATCCAATGAGCAGAGAGCCTCTATTGACCTCTGGCTAGCCGTTCTGGCTTCTTGTAACAATAACTTCTTGTTCGCGCACGGCAGCAACACCACGGTTCTGCTGGGCAGCTTCGGGAATCCATTCTCAAATATGACTCTTCTTGGTGGCCAGTCAACAGAAATAATGATAACCACCGTCATCTGCCCTCCCGAATTACCTATCCACAAGTCTGCTATGCACCGCAGATGTGCCGTAGTTTCCGAGTCGCCGCATTCCACGACCACCGTTGGCCATTGGTTCGACCTTCCTGGGGGGACGTTGGTCGGCTTGAAGGATGCATCGGGTTCGTTGGAAATGCTTGCATGGGTCACTCTACCGGCTCCTACACATTTCAGCTGTGCTTCCAGGCCCACAATAACCGTGTCTGCGTCGATTACCCTGGCGAGTTCTCGATGGCCCATCTCATGAGGGGTTGCGCGGAAGTTTGAGAATCAGGTGTCTGAGCTCTTCGTCGTAACAGATCTTGTGTCCCTTTGGACCAAGCAGGCGAGGGTTATCGCGTGATTCGCCAACCACATTGGGAGGGACGTTTGTGAATACCACGTAGGCCGGGGGGTGGGGCTTCTGAAGTTGAATATCGACGAATCGGTGGATTGCAGAGGCGCTGTGGCCAGTGGCCGTTGGTGTGTTTGGGGGGAGGTTATCGATGTTTGGGCGCGTTTCTGGTGAGAGACACTGGATTTTGTTGAAAGGCAATCCGTATAAGTGAAATGGATTACTGTGAGATGATGCAATGCTTTGGATGAAAAAAGAATGGGTTAGATACAAAATAGCAATACTATACAACTTGGAATAGACAACGATAGGCAAGCAGTCCTGAGTAACAATCTTGTATCCGAGATCAATCAAGTTGTTGGATGCAACTGACATGCACCAATCCTTATGTCCAATAATCCTTGACCCAAGTATGACCACTGAGTCCGAACCTAATGCATTCTTGGTATATGAGGGCCATCACTGGGCATGCAAATGTATGCCCTTGGTCCATAATCCCTGGAGAGTAGCCAGTAAAAGGATTGTTCATGTGTATGGCACTGCCAATTGGAACGTGATTCTCTGGTACCGGCTCGATAAGCAGCATAGTGCCTGCACCATCCACAATGCTTTCAAAAGTTTCATTAACAACGCTCACATTGTCGTGCCTCGTTCTCCTTCCGAAGCCTTTCCAATTCCTTTTCGGCCTTTTCAAGTTCTACGTGGCTTCGGCGCGCTGATGATCTGTCGTGGACGACCTCACAACTTCGTAGTCCACACTCAGTGTGTGGAGAAACAATTGTACATGCCATAAAATTAGAGACCAATGTACGAAGAAGACAAATCGCGCTTGCTGCCTCTCGCCGCTCGTGTCCCAGAGACCTTCTTGCATGAAGAGCCGAAATATACCGGAGTTTGACACATTCCCCTATAACCCACCAGCCTGGGCGAACTTGGTCTGGGGCATCAGGTGTTTCTTGTCCTCGTTCACTGCTGCCCATAGGTAGCCGAACCTGATATCAGCCCGGGTGACGTACTTTTGTACGGAACTCGCAAGTGTATCAGATATACATGTGCGCTGTAAAAACGGTCCAGGACGGGTGTAAAGCTCAACGTTGACGATGATTAAGCGTAAAGAGCCATGGATTAGGACGGAAATGACTATTGTATAGAAATCAGCTAAAGAGCCAGTCTGTCTGGCTAAACCTGGCTAATAAAGAAGCCTGCAGATGGCAAAGAAGGGGCTCCATGGGAGTCAAAAAGTTCCTGGAATATGTGAAGAAGAGCAAGATGGAAGGAAGCAATGTATGGCATTTTATATTCGAGGAAATCTGACGGAGGTGAATGGCTATTTGGCCATAGTGACCAGATGGAGTGAATAGATGGGATGAATAGTGCCTATAATGTGAGTCTTTATTGAATTGGTGCATCATGGGCAAGAGGGTTTCTAACCCTGTGGTCGTATGTACGGGTATCGAATGGATAATTGTAGTCCATATGCTCGTTCGATCATTGAACAAGTTATGGATAGAGCAGACAGTACATTTGCTCTAGTCGAAGCAAAGCTGATATCACAAAAGGGGTAGCTGTCCAGTATGGAATAATCGTTTTGGGCTCTGCAAGCAGGTCCAGATTGTGTAAAAGATTCGCAATTATTTCTCATAGAGAATAAATATCACGAGTCCAGTTTATGATGGAATCTCGACTTGGATTCAAGCGGTCTGACTGAAAACAGTCTCCCTGTCCATGTTGGCCTGATCAAACAATTTCAGTCAGGATCTGACGGAATAGTCAATTATGATTTCGACATGACCTGTCTGTTCTTCATCAGTACGACGGGTGTTCAACAGATCAACAATTATTGAAACGCATTGACCTGTAGCATTAATGATAGTCGAGCTCGTGCGCTGGCATCTGCAGGAGTCTCAAGCAAAGGAGGAGAGATGCAGACGCTTTGAAGACATTATGTCATGAGCATGCAGGCTGGATGACGTGATCCAGTCGACTGTCACATTCTGTTATAAATATTAAGTAATATTAGATAATGGCATGGAGGAATGCAGATTCTAGTCCTTTCTTCCCCACAGTCTGGATGCAGGAGATGAGGAGAGAAATGCCTCAGACAGTTATTCCATGTAACATGGAAACCGGTTATTCAAATTATTCAGAGACAGCATTCGTATTACTTCTGAGAGCCAAAGAGGCATAGACAACCGAGGATCAGATGTGGTGAATGCGGGGTACCGTGACTTTTTCAGCCTGTCTGAATAATGGAAGGCAAAGTAAAACTGCATGGGGAAGAAAATCCGGGGAAACACCTGACAGCCTGAGGCAGACATTTCTTGGCCGGGTAACCGGCTCGGTAAACGTGGCCAATCAGCGCCCAGCAGTGGAGCTGAAAATTTTTCCCTCCTCGTCATTTTTGCTGGATTTTTCTGAATTTTCCATTTGTTTTTTCCGGTTCAGCCTGGGATGCAGTTGGTCTGGGGAAGCCGCATTCGGTTTAGCGCTGCCCATCCCAATTCAGCGGTCCCCAACCGGTGACTCAAGCGGTCAGGGGGGGGGATTTCTCATCTGCGACGTCTCAGGAGGAGGAGTGAGGCTTTGAGTGAGGTGTTTGTTGTTTAGACTGTTTCCGGACTAGAATGGACTAGGGAGAGGGTAATGATGAGCTGACAGCGGAGGATGATGAGTTGTGGTGTGATGATGCTGTCTCGGGGTGAGAGATTTTTTTCGGATGATCTCCCTTCAAGGTACCTGGCGTCCTGGCCGGATGTCCGGATCGACATTTGTTACAGGCTTGGCTGATAATAATAGGTTTGGGATAGAATTGTATCGAAGGATATTAAATGAATAGGGGGGGATTATAGAGAAGATATTCTTTATAATACTGTATAATTATGTGCTATAATATATTATTCTAGTTATTCTTCTGTCTATAATAGTATTATATTATGTGACTGTACAATGTAGACGTATAGATCTCACAACCGTGTTGTCACTGTAAGATCGATGATGCAATCGTACTGCAGCGGAAATTTCTCAGACTGACTCAGTCTCTGCCTTGCCAATGTTTGCCATGCCAATAAGCTAATATTCGCCATGTTCATCGTGATCTCCTCCTTTCTGTTCCTGCTCCTACTCCTTGTAGTCCTACATACTATTCCCATCCCATACTTCATTCATTGCCAACTATTCTGCTTGGCCGCATCCCAATCGAGCCTGTAATGGCATCCAGCAAAGCCACGACCCCAACCCGTGACCGCCAAGGCAGTTTCTATTACCCCCAGGAAACCCACTCACCTGCCCTTTTCAGCCCTCTTCCCCCCCTGATTGGCTGACTCACCGTTTCTGTTACGTGTTGCCGCCCAGTGGATATTGACGCTGTGCATGTCAGATGATCTGGCCCGTTTAAAGCAGCATGCATTCTCAGCCAATCAGAACTGTATGTCTGTCCATTCCTCCCCCGCCGCCCTACCAGATCCAAGGAAACGCCGTGACGCGCGACAAAAACCAGTCAGAAAATGGAAAAAAGCGAAAAAAAACCACGCGCTCCACCGCCCCACCGCGCTAGCCCCGTTGAGCCCCCCGTGTGACGGTGTGACCCTGGCGAATGGGGCAGGCGCGCAGTGCATTCCGTGGGAACGCATCGCCTGCCCCATTTCTGCAGCTCCACCGGCGGTGCCTGGACAATGAGGCCAAATGGTGCAATCCGACTATATAAAACTCTTTTCCCCGCTGTCTTGTTTGGCTCATTCTAGGGCTCCATCGTGAAAAGGAATTAAAACTCTTCAACTCCTCTGTTCTCTTCTCTGCGGTTTGCAGTCATCGTGCTGTTGCATTGCTTCGGTCTTTTGTCCTCTCTTTAATACTCAAGACTGTCATATATCACATAATCGCCATAATGCCCTCAAATTACCGCGTCGTTGAACCGCATCCATCGGTTCCCCGTACTTCCCGTCCGGCTATCCATACTGCTCGCGGTGGTGCCGGCAATGTCATCAACTTGAAGAACACCAAGACCACAAATTCGCAAACCGCCACCGGTCCTCCGTCTTTGACTCGTCTGGATTCGCGCACTCCCTCCACCTTCACCTCCGGCCGTGGCGGTGCCGGCAATGTCCACAGCAGCAGTGAGCGCGCCATCTTCAGCTTCGACGAGGAACTCGAACGTGATCTCCGCCGTGCTGCCCCCGTTTACCATGTCGGCCGTGGAGGTGCTGGAAACATGATCTATAGCGACAATGGCAGCACTCTCAGCCGCAAGTTCTCGTCCAGCAGCTCCGCCACCGTCAGCAGTGCTGGCTCAGCAAGTGACCGGGCTCGTGATAAGGCCCGTCGTGGCTTGGAAAAGGGCTGGGAGAAGCTGAGAGGCATGGCCTAAAGTGCTTGGGAACACATTGCATGATATCACGATTCTTACGACAACCAACAACAAAAGTTTTTGCTTTCAATTCACCACCTCAACAACTTCGAAATCTCACAATTCAACCCCCTTCGACACCTTCAACCTCAATCCGATTTTTAATCACCATTTGCATTCGTCTATGGGTCGAGAGATGACAGCGATAGACAACGGAAGATGAAGTTTGCTTTCCACCGTTTTGAATCATCTGCTTGTCGACTTGATACCCCCTTTTGCCTATGGCTTTTCATTCAACTGATTTATTTGATTCCCCGAGATTATTCAAACACTCTCCAATCTGGTTTCTTTTCTTTTTTTCTGCGTGCAACATTGTCGAAGTTAAACCGACTCTTGTTTTACTTTTACTTTCTTTTTTTTCCTTTTCTTTTCTTTTTTATCTTCAGGGTGGCAGGTTCTATTGGATTTGTCTTGCATTGCCTTGACTCATGTATGTAATCTTCATCGGATTTGGCCACGATGCCTGTGATTCGTCCTCGGCACCGTCAACCACATTTATTCACCGTTCCTTCGCCACTGGCTACTACTACTTTCTAGTTTCCAGCTGATACCCAACTCTGATCAATATCAACCTTAGCAAATCTGGTATTTGCCCTGTTGCATCATCACATCATCTTCCTTGCCACTGCCACCACGAGGCGCAGTAGTCTGTAGCTGCTAGTTCACCGTATGACCTGGCTGATTTTTTCTTTAATATCTTTTAACTAGTAATTGTTTGTTTTTGCTTTTTGACGATCATGTACTATATAAAAATTTTCACCCTCATGTTTTCTTTTTTTTTCTGAATAGTCTTGGCCCTTGAGTCATTCGTCATCTCCGTCATCAGCTCAGCTACCCTTGGCTATGGTGTCATCTTCCGGATGAACCGACAGACACGATCATTGTTTATGTTTAAACTAGTAAGTAGTACGTGGGTACATACCCAACTCTGGAACCTGAGTGTAATTGTTACACCGAGAAATTGACGTGACTTGGTTGTTGGATTGCGATGGGGCTGGTACGTGCTGTGCTAGGAGGTAAGGTATTTGTTGTAGAACATTGGTTTGCGTGTGCAGAAAACTGTACATTGTTCCTAACTTGGTTGTTCATGCCTACTGTGTTTATGTATGGTGATATAGGTATCCCTTGAGTGCTGTATATTGACTACAAGAGTAGGTAGGAGATGACTCGTTGAGTCATCATGTCAGTTGGATCAGATCAGTGGGTCTAACAGACTTGAAGTGGGTGAATCGTTGGTGATATCATGGAGACAGTGTATTTTGGAATGTTTAATTACATCAATCATATGCTATCATCTTCTCTCTCTGCTAACTCTACTCATTCTGTACAGTGAGTATAAAGCACACACCAAATAAAAGAAAAAAACTACAACCCATTGCACATCGCATCGCATGTGCTGTCCTGTAACTGCCACCAGACATGACACAATATTCGATCCAGATGACAAAGGTTGCGTGACGTTAAAGTTGTAGGTAAGGGTAAGGATGGGGTAAGGCGAGGGAAGAAAATATCAAGATAGTTCTCAAGGGGTATCAAAAGCCGCTGCTTATCATTCCGTGACCGGGACAGTTGTTCGCTTTGTCATCGCTCCACGATGCGAGTTCAGCGCTTGACTCGTCCGCAGTAGAGAGAGGATTCAATTCGATTCAGAGGAGACGCTTTCTCCAGAAGCAGCTTAAGCAAATTTTCGGTGGATGATCTCGGGATCCTCGTGCCATTCGTCTGCACTAACCCACATCTGCTCGTTGTTAGCATGATCCGACAAAAGTCAATTGTTTGGCGTACCTTTCTAAATGTGCTCAGTCCGGCAAGGATACCACCACCAATCCAGGTCGTGTACTTTCGCTCTGCAGGGGCAGAAATCCGAATCTTCATGTCCTCCACGGCCAATCGCTTGATTTCGCGCATCAGTCGATCCGGGAAGTTCTTGCACAGTGTCGAACCGCCAGACAGAACAATGTTGAGATATAACGATTTCCGCAGATCCAGATCTGTGCGGGTGATGGCGTCCTGGACGATTTGGTGCACACCGGGGTATTCGAGACCGATGAGTTCGGGGTCAAACAGGATCTCAGGCGCTCGGTAGCGTTCTTGTCCAACCTATTCCGAATTAGTACAGTATGACCAACCCAGTGAACGAAACATACCTTGATCTTGTGTCCATCAGGCAAAGCGTAATCTACCGACTTCGCCTCGGATTTGTGATAGCTGTTCATCCAGTCCTTCTCCTCCCGCTTCGGGTCCAACGAGACGTAGCAGACCTTTTCCTTGATCATGCGCACCACCTCCTTTTCAGCACTGGTGTGCAGAACATGTCCATTCTTCCGCAACAGCAGCTGCAACTGTTCTGTCACATCCCGACCGGCGACATCAATCCTCCGTATGCTGTTGGGTATCGCAAATCCTTCAAACACAGGCACTGCGTGGGAGACACCATCTCCTGAATCCAAGACCACACCGGTCGTCCGGCCAGACGCGTACAGCGATAGCACCGCCTGGATCGAAGTGTACAGAGCAGGCACGTTAAAAGTCTCGAACATGATCTGGGCCGCGGCATCGCGGTTCTTGCGGGGGTTCAACGGCGGTTCGGTGAGCAGCACGGGGTGCTCCTCGGGCAGCGTTTTCAACTCGTTCTCGTAGACATAGTGCCAGATCTTTTCCATATCATCCCAGTCCGTGACGATGCCATGTTCGAGCGGGTATCGGATCTTCAGCAGCCCGCGCAATTCCTGCGCTCGCTGCCCGATAAACACGTCCCCTTCCAGACCGCCGGCCATGACCCGCGGGTGTTTTGGCCGACCAACAAACGATGGGAAGTAACATGACGGGATTTCCTCCCCTGCGAAACCAGCGCGAATTGTGCCGCTGCCATTGTCGATGACAATGGGAGCATTGTGGAGCGTAGCCTCAGCCATTGCGAGGGTGGTGGTGGATGGGCGTTAACTAAGGGACGTGGAGGACGGAGTTCGTGGCACGGAGAGGGGACAGAGGCGCGATTGTGTGAGAAGGCCCCACGGCCTGGATTATCGGTGACACGTTAAGACCAACGGAGGTGCAATGAATTATCAACAATCTGGACGCAGCATGGATCGTGAGCGTCGTAGAAAGAAACGATAGAGAGCACGGAATGGTTGGGTTCTAGAGGGGGAATTTCCAGTCCGCAACTTCGCGTCCGCCGGAGTCTCGAAAGGCGCTTTCCGTGCCGTCAACAAGGAGCTTGGGCCACTTAGAGATTCTACAATTATTTACAGTAGAAGTAGAAAGAGACAGTAGATGATTTACTTCTTTATATCTGCTGACTAGCACATATTCCAGTGCCAGTCTGACGGTCAAAATTAATCTATATACCTGATGGACAGTCATAATTGGTGTGACCAAGTCAATCGCCCATTCTGAATTGTCTCAAAGTGTCCACGATATCGTTTGTAGTCTGATGGAATTGAAGAGCCCAAGACTAATCCAAAAATCCCATCTCATCGGACAGCACTTGATCAAGGGTCCGCTGGTGTTTCTGACTGGCACCACGAACGGGCGGCCAGGTCAACATACGAGAACGCAGGGCTTCTGCTTTGCCGACTGCATTGGCAACATCCCTTGAAGATAGTCAGTAGGCAGATACTAAATTACAAGAAAGAAACGTACTTGGAATTGCTGGCTACAACGTATCCTTGCTTTTGCAATTCACGAGCCAGTTCTTCCTGATGGTTATCCTTGAGAGAAGCATTGGGAACAACCACAAGAGGGATACCTAGACGCATTGCCTCTAGAATACTTCCCGACCCTAGTCATTCAAATGTCAGCCTCATGATGGAATAGAACCTGGATTGGATATCCCTACCTGCATGGCTAATGATCACCCCTCCACTTCGGCCCTCGGATGGATTCGCCTGTGCCAGACGCATCTCCCGCCCTAAACCTGCCTGATTAAAGTCGAACCCCTCGATTTCAATTCCATGAAGGCTAGGGTCTCCCGCGGGGTGGCTGCCGAGGAAGTTCTCAAAGATAGTCTGCCCATCTTTGCCATACTGAACAAGCAGATGAGTGTAGCCAAACTGCTGAAGAGATTTCAAAAACACCTCATCCAAAACGGACAGTAGCAGTAAATCAAATGACGCAGTGGCTCCCACCGTCACAAAGCACAGCTTCATAACTTGGCTGGCAGTCTGGGATGCCATGTTGGCTCAGCGTCTAGGCTTCGAGAACCGTTTTCTGGCGAGGAAGCTGACCGAAACCGTGTCCAGTCCGGAGAAGCATATTAACCTCTCTTGAGCAAGACAACGAGTTCACGACGACTGATGGCGGAGGATCGCAACGGATGACAATGCCAATGGCTGCGAAAGGCCGATGCGGCGGGAAAAGGGCCTTGGCCCGATGCGGTTTAGCGTTGGCGTGCCGGACGGTCAGCCAACTTCAATCCGCAGAAAACATCAAAAGTTGTCCGATCAAGCAGAAATCCACCCCGACGCGGAGCACCACTCGCAATGGCCTCGACAGCTAGGTATCTGGGCCGCTCGGCTCGCCTCATGGCCCGGAGAGGCCCAGTTTCAATCCCTTCGCGATGCTTCTCCGCCACTCCGTTCAACTTCGTGTCGGAAGATCCCCCGTTGCCTCCTCTCCCAAGGGACCCTCGTCCGGACGAGCTCCCCCCCGCCCCGGAATACTCGCCAGATCTTCTGAGCAAGGAGGAACGGTCGATGTACGATTTGATGGCTCCCGAGGAACGGGCACAGTTCGATGCCCAGAACCAGCAGATGGTTAAGGATTTCAACGATCCCAAAAAGCGATCAGCGGCATTCGCGGAGCTTGAGAAGAGCGTGAACCAGATCGACAAGCAAATACCCATGAGTTTCCAATCAAAAGATAAGCCGGGTCACTTCTGGGGTGATGAGGAAGACGATGAGTTCGCTATAGTCGAGGATGCGGACGAAGAGTTCAACGACGATGAAATCACGTCCATGGCCCACGCGGAGGTTGAGCAGCACCGCGAGATCAGAGAATACGCCCGAATTGCCGCTTGGGATATGCCTTTGCTGAGCAGTAAGATACACAATGCTTGATAGCTAGTAGACACGGCATTGCTAACTTGCCCACTATAGAGCTCGCGCAGCCCTTCACCCTCCCTCCCCAATCCCACATCCTTCGTTTCCGCTACACCACATACTTGGGTGAACAGCATCCCGCAGAGAACAAGGTCGTTGTCGAGCTCGCCTCCAAGGATCTGACCCCGACGCACCTCTCCGAACAGCAGCGCCAGACTTTCCTCAAACTCCTTGGACCCCGTTACAACCCGGACACCGACATTGCCCGGATCTCCTGCGAGAAGTTCAACACCCGTGCCCAGAACAAACGGTACCTCGGTGATCTCATTGAAAGCCTGGTCAAGGAGGCCAAGGAAGGAGACGCGTTCACCGACATCCCTCTCGACCTCCGCCACCACAAGCCCAAGCCCAAGCTCAGGTTCCCCAGCGAATGGGCCATGACCCCTGAGCGAAAGAAGCAGCTGGATGCCCGGAGAAGAGAGAGAGAGTCCCTCCAGCAGGAAAGAGCCGCCATTGTCGATGGCAACGCCGTCGTAGCACAGGCGGTCAAGAGTCTGCCTTCGCTGAACCCTGCGTTGAACGCGCGGGCAACCGAGGAGCGAGAGCGCGTTGCTGTCAAGGTGGCTGGCAAGGGACAGAAGAAGAGATTACGGTGAGGGGTGATGGACATCATGGATACAGTGTAACTTTTTTACTTTTTCTTTTTACGGATGTTTTGAACTGTTCTAAAACGTCAGGGGCGGGCGCAACTCCAGAAGGTCATGTAGACTTCTTATTTATCCCAATGTATTATACTCCTTCATTTCTGTCATGTTGGATAATCAAAGATTACTTTCAACGTCAGTGTCTACACTAGATATACTGTCATGTCTGATACCGAAGAGAACGATTATTGAAATTCAAAACTCCATTGTTCGATCGTACTATCTGTTTGTCTTTTTTTTTTTTATGTTTTTGTCTATAGAGTATAGAAACTCGCCCTCGATATAGTACATCTGACAAAAAAAATGAAAAGAAAAAAAGGTAAAGAATAAACCACATCCATAATAGTAACAGAGAGAAACAGGCATATGAGTAGAATAGAATGCACTGCTATAGTATCCTAGCCCATCATCATTCACACCATACTTTTGCTATTTTTCTTCTTTTTTCTTTTTCTGTTTTTGTGTTTTTCCGATTTGATATCGAAACCATGAGATTGTAAAACATTCCAAATGAAGAGAAAAGATCGAAAACCATCTGGGCATAGACAACGTTATTTCCATCATGAGTATTTCATTCATTCCAAACCACCAACAGAGGGAGACCGGTAAGGTATATTTAAACTATTGAGGACTCATTAAAGCCAATGGAGTTTTGATATGGGAAAATCGTGAGATAAAAGAAGACAGAAAACTGGTCGGTTCGTCGGTCATATGTCGTCTGCTGTGGAGTTGGTAGTCCTATAAAAAGGAATAAAGGGAACGCATAGTTTCAGTCGAATTCAAATAAATAAAATCAAAGGAAACAGTATGCCGTTTTATTTATTTCCCACGTCCCATGGGCGTGCAGAAAAGGTCGTCATCGGAGGATCCGGGGGACCTCTGTCGATGGACTGTTCTCTTGGTTCCAATGGCGGCGGGAATCGACTTCATGTCCTTGTCTTTAACACGATTGTTGAGAACACGGGGGCTCGACTCGGAGGACATGGAAGTATGAGAATGGAGCGATGGAGAAGCAACGCGCGTGGGAGGGTCAGAGGACATGGCACTTCCAAGGGTAATAGGGCTCGCCAGGTTGCTGCCCTTGGAGATGGCTGACGCGCCGCTGGAGAAGCCGGTGGCATTGCTGTGCAGGTTCTTGAAAGAGACCGATTCCATCGGCTCGTGGTGGCCAGCATCGGGGGTCATACTCTGAGAGCGCGGCTGATACAATCGACGTGACTTCTGGAACTTCCTGGTACGATTCTGGTGGTCCCTCGGTTCAAGAGGGATGTTCTGCTGATACTCGGGGCTTCCAGTCATCGAAGCTGGCATGAGTGACTGAAGGCTGCGAACAAACTCCTCGCGCTGGATTCTGTCTGCCTCTTCGACGACGCTGGTCTTGTCATTGGTATTGGGGTAATTCATCTCGCCAGCAGCTCCAGCCATGGGGTCCAGAAAGGACTTTTCCTGAATAGGATCAAAAGACAAGAGATCAATCTTTTTGGTGGTCGGGTTAGAGGTGTGCTTCGGTCCATGCTTCTGCGAGGCCGGGCCCTTGGGCGAATTGGTAGCGTTATACGCAGGTCGAGCATGTCCAGTGATCGTGGCCGAGGGCTGCAGAGCAGGAGGGATGTAAGGAGTCGTCTTCACCTGCTGCTTGGTGTTTTTCTCAGCATCAAAGTTCTCAGCCGAGCTATTGAGTCCCAAACGAGACGGATACTGAATGGACTTGAGAGCGCCACGGTCCGCAGCTTCATCCTTCCAGTGTGGACCACTGGCGACCTGGGAGCGAGCACCTCCATTAGGCAGAAGACTGGGGATGCTGTACTTTTCACGGTACCAGCGAGGAATGTCACGAAGACCAAGTTTCTCCAGCATGGCTGGGTCGGTGGGCATCTCGTGCTTATAAAGACAGCCTGTAAGTTTGGTATCAGTTGGACTTGCCCTAAGTCATGAACACGAAGCACTTACCTTGCTGCTGGTAGTCACACTCGCCGTGGCGGATCCAGTAAGAACAATACTCTTTCTTCACATTGTAATGCATACCCTGGGTATTATGAGATGCGCTGATTCTGGTGTTTCCATATCAAGTGGAAAACTAACCTGTCTGGCGCCTCCAGAGCCACTTGCACTAGGGACGACCCAGCCATGAGTCTGACCGTTGTTCGCCATATTTCCCCAGTTCTGGGAGAAGCTCTGCTGAAGCAAGGCATGAAGAGCCAGGCGCTGACTCGCTGGAAGATTTTCATCAGAAACAAATCTCAAAAGAGTGGACTGCAGATCGTCTCGACCGCGATAGCCGGTTGGAGAAGCGCGCGGGGAAAGGCCGTCCACGATGTAGGATTGGGATCTGGGGCTCACGGTTCCCAAGCTGGTCATTCCCTGGGTGTCGCTGGCTGAGAGAACGCGAGGAACACCGCGAAGAGAAACATGAGCTGGGAGATCGTCCACGGCAATCAGAGGAGTGAGGCTGCCATTAGGACGGGTACAGAAGAACTGAGGACGAAGAGGCGAAGCCATGGCGACTTGACCAGGAGGAACCATCAAGTCTTGACTTCACTTTTTCTGTGAGATATTGGATCTGTTGCTTTGATATTGAAAAATAAAAGAAGGACAGAGGGGGTAGAGATGGGTACTAAGCATACAAGGCTGGGAAGGATAAGTGAGAAGGTGATGAGAAAGAAGAGATGAAGAGAAGGAGAGAATCACAGAGAAGGATAAGAAGATGAGAGGATGAGAGGGAGAGAGAAATTAATTTCCAGTGTTGGTGAATAGACGACTTGGTCAGAGTGTGGTGTGCATGAAAGAAAAAACAGTCGACATTCACTGCGCTGGGAGTGGGGTCTTGCAGGGAGAGGAGGACAAGCAGAGGCAAATGATATCAAGATGAAATAAGTAAAATACAAGAGACGAATGAGAAGAAAAAAAATAGAAAAAAAGAGGAAATTAAACGGAGAGGAAGAGGTAGAAATGCGGAAATGAAGCCCAAGAGTGAGAGGAAGATGAAGAAGAGATCAATCAACTCTGCCAGCGACACAGAGAATAAAAACGAACAGGAAAAAGAAAGGAAAGAGAAGAGAGTAGGAAAAAAAAAAGAAAACATCCATCAAATGCTCTCTCCGTCTTTTTCTTTGCATCCCAAAAACAAAAACGAGCCCTCTGTTTGCCAGATGCCCTTCAGGGCCCTCTCAGTGCGACTCTGGCCTGCGGATGGCTGCAGCAAACAACCCTCCAACGGCGGTTGCTTTCCAACAGAACTACCGCGTTGTTTTCTTTCTGGAACGTGGATTCCGTCGATAGCTCTGATTCTTTTCTTTTTCGTTTTGATCGTGATCATGATGGGGCTATTGTGGCTGGTCTCGGTTTGCGAGGATGATACTATTCAGCATGAACCCTACTGATTATTGACGACTAGGAGGATACTATCTGAGCCATCTCCCACGCCAGGTGATATCCTTATTATTCAGAATGAGACCTATCTTCAAGCATGCAAGCTAACAATATTCAATATCCTAGTGTTTAGATGTCGATCCTCAAGTCACGTTGACAAGATGCCATGTATCTATCCCAACACGCAAAAGCCAGCTTCGGTTCGGGATAACGCCCTGATCTTAGCAGAACGTCGCTCGTCAATCAAATGAGATTCCACCCCCAACAGCAAGTATCTGGTTGATTCGTTTGTCTGTTACCTTGAACGTGGCCCTCCCTTCGCTGTCACCCCCGCTTGGTGAAATCGCATAATGGATAAATGCCTACGCTGAGCAAAACAGTGATTGTGATCTTCACGTTGCTTTTTTGAAATTATTCTAAATATGTGTAAAAAGCGGTCCGTTCTAATCACGGCAAGAAGATAGCTAATTACATGTCGTGTCGAGAGAACACATCAGAAAAGAAACTCCCCCAGCCAGGAAATGAATTCAACACCAAAAATTATAATGCTTCGTTCGCTTGTTAGGAAACCAAACAAGTCCCACCTGGACTAAAACCTAACGATTTTGGCCAGATGGTGAGGGTCTAGAAGAGTATCCTCCTAGGTATGCACCACGTCGAGATTGCTGTGAAGTACGTCCAGACCGTGGCACGAGCGGAAAGAGGGTAGTCCCAGTTGTTCGGGGGCCAGTCAGGTCGACTATTGGTGACCCTGAGGAAGCAACAGCACTGGTGCTAGGAATGGGAAGGGCACCGGACATGGCGTGATTGGGTATACCACTGCTTGAACTAGCAACAGGACTACTGCCAGCTACGGCAGCCCTAGAAGCTAGCTTTCGCTTGCGCTGGGCGATACTGCCCTTTACTCCAGTCAGATATCTTTTGGCTTCCTTGACCACGTCGGGCGATTCATTGCTTTGCTTCAAAGCCTCCAGCATCCGAACCACTTGCGTCTCAGATCTGAGATGCGGACAGGTACGGGAGAATCCGAAATGTGCAATCCCGCAGAGCCCGCAATGTTCGACGCCAGCTATTTTCAAGCGACAGTACCCCAGGGGATGATTCATGTTGCAGGCCACACAGGGTGGTGAATCTATGTGGCCGTCCAAACCCGAACCGTTGGACACAACAGGGCCCAAATCAGGCTCGACGCGCTTGAACGACGTAACCTCTCTCTTCTTGGGGAGCCGCTCGGGTTCATCAAGTTCCATCTCAGGGTCGCTATCGCTGCTTGATTCTGCAGCCGCTTCGTCACTTTTGAATTCCACGTCACTGTCGGCCTGGCGTTGAGGTTTCGCAGGTGATATATCAACAGCATGGCTGTAGTCGACAGTAGTCCGCTTTCTTTTACCACGTCCAAGAGTTTCCTGCTTCTTCCTCGCTTCCTCAATTGCGGCCTGCTCACGCTCTTGAAGAATCTTCTCCCAGACAGTATCGCTGGGAGTGCCCTCTTCCTCTTCCGCATCTGGCAATTGACCATCCAGATTCTGATTGTCATTCGCCCATACCCGAGCAAAGCTGAACTGATTTTCTGGCTTGTTCTTGTCATCGGAATTTGTTGCTTGCTCTACCTGACTTCGGTCAAGAAGCTTGTCCACCGACTCAGAATCGTAGTGGACATCTCCAGAGTCATCATCATCAAACAATGCTTGAGCTCCATGGCGCAGGATTGATTCGAGATCTCGCCCATCATCTTCCTCCGCATCCATACGATCAATGAGCACATGATCAAGGACCATCTTCTTTTTGCCAATCTGCATGATTTTTTCCTCTGCACTGCCGCGGGTCATAAGTTGGAACACAAGAACCTTGTTCTTCTGTCCAATGCGGTGGGCGCGGGATAATGCCTGCATATCTTGGTGTGGGTTGAAGTCTGGATCCATGATGATGACCGTATCGGCAGTAGCCAAGTTGATTCCAACACCACCTGATCTGGTTGACAGAAGAAATGCAAAATAAGGAGAGCCCTCTGCATTGTACTCCTCTATCCGCTTTTGCTTCTCTAATGAGGACATATTTCCGTCAAGGCGACGATGTAGGATTCCCATCCCGTCAAGGAAATCCTCCATTATGTCCAAATTGTCGATGAACTGACTGAAAATCAAAACTCGGTGACCGCGCTGCTGAAGCTTTGGTAGCATCAATTGAAGCAATTGAAGTTTCCCAGCTGCCTCAAGTAGATGCCGGTGCGACTCCGCAGCATCAGATGTACGCTCTTCGATCTCTCTGCTGTAGATAAAAGGGTGGCATAGACATTTGCGTAGCTGCATCAAGATGTTATTAAGATTATGCCGTTCTACTGATTTTCCGTTGTCCTTGTCACCAGATCTCTGGAAGATAGCCTTGATGAGCAGCGGGTTCTTGGCCAGAATTGATTTGTACAGCTTCTTCTGTACCACAGACATGGACACCGGAACAATGATCTGCACCATTGGAGGGAGGAAAGTGAGAACCTGAGCTTTGGTACGGCGCAAAAAGAATGGCCGAATCATATCATGTAGTTCCGGGATGTTCTCTTTGGTTAATTCGCCGTATTCAGCCTCTAGATTTTCGGCATTCTTTGTTCGATCGCAAAACTGGAGGAGATTGAAGAGTTCTCGAACATTGTTTTGTAGCGGTGTACCCGTGAGAAGAAGTTTGAAAGGGAACTTGATCTTCGAGAGCGATTCATAGAGCTGACTTTTGTCGTTCTTCAAACGTTGTCCTTCGTCGACAACAAGACCAGCCCAAGGAATTTTGGAAAGGACCTTCCGAGACGAATCGTCAGACATTGCTTCATAGGATGTGATGACCACATGACACCTGAGGCTAGGGTCATCCCCGGTGAACATTTCATAATCCTGGGCCAGCTTTCGAGAGGCAGAGGTTCCATAATACGTGACAACTCGGATTGACGGGACCCATGTCTTGATTTCCTTTCGCCAATTTGGACAGGTTGAGTTGGGCACGACGACAAGAAAGGGCCAGCATTTATGGTACTGAATCAATGCTGCAAACAGACCGATAACTTGGATGGTTTTGCCAAGGCCCATTTCGTCTGCAAGAATAGCATTCTGCTGTTTGAACCATCTGTAGTAAAGCCAGTTTAAGCCATCCTTCTGGTATTCCATGATCTGCCCGCCAGTCACAATATCAGGTTGTGTATCTCGGACTACCTTTGTCTTGAAGTTCTGTTTCCGGACATGGGAAAGATGCTTTTTGAGAGTGTCTTGGTTTGGTGTATGGACATAATCACGCCAAACCCAGTCCTTATAGGCTGCCTTGAAATCGTTCCATCGTTCTATGTTGCTTGGATCTGGGGGCGAATCCCATACAGCCTCCTCATAAGACAGACCTTTAAATTTGACAAACATTTTCTTTACCTTGTCCACTCGCGCAATATCAGTTTCACGCGCGCGCTTATGTGAACTATTTGAATCTTTTGAATCCGAGTACTCAACGTCAAATACAATGTCCACACGCAAATAGTCTTCGGGAATTGCCTCCTCGGAAGTCATGTTTGGCTTGAAGTTCTTGTTTGACCTGAAAAAGGCCCTTCGCATCGCAGAAGGGGCGACCCCCCAAACCCAGCTCCCATGCATCCATGCCGTATGAAAATAGGATTTTTCTTTCCACCTGATGAGATATTCCTTGTTGTTTTCCTTTAGCTCGTCGGCGTGGCTAGAGCCAAGTTTCTCAGGGTTAACAGGACGCCATGCAACCATGGAACCAATTTCTGCAGGGGCTGAGGAGCAATCATGACACTGCCAGTTAAGCGAGTATTCATCGAATCTTTGCGAAGAGACGTCTTCAGATTCATTGTCGAACATTGGGGGTAAATGTTCGAGATGGAATCCTCTGTTGCAAGCATTGCATCTGAAGAGAAGATTATTAATATTGTTTACTTGGGCCATGTCTACAGAGGTGATGGGATCTTTCCCATCGTTGTCTTGACGAAGCTGCTGCTCTTGGCGTGGTGTCAACCTTTCTCTGAGAGGTTTAGCCATTGGGCCTTTGCCATTGCATCCGGCACAGCAGCCCTGATGGGGACATAGGCGGTCCTTTGTCTGGGCAACCCCAATGCAACGACGGCATTGAAGAATGAATTGGTCATCTGATATTTTGGTAACAAGATGATCTCGGGCTCCCCGCGGTCCTAGACAAGCCTGGTGATAAGAAGACGTGCAACCTTGACAGAAAACCAACGGGCCTTTGGCTGAGTCGTCCCCATTGATATCACAAACATCACAAGCAGCTCGATGCCGGAGTCTGAATGGGTCGTTTGAAGGAATTTTGTGGAATATTTCTTTTGCCCCATAGAATTTGGTTTCTTTGGCCGACCCTTCATGTTCCGAAATTTCATCTTCAAGCCTTTCGCGGAGGTTCTTCCTGGCAGTTCTTCTACTCCGAGTCGAAAATCGAGTGCCTTTAGTCCCAGCATATTCACTGTCTGTGTCGTCAGAGGCTTTTGATGAGCGCTTTTGTTTGACGCCCCTCCTCAACCGGCGTCTTCTCGAAGTCGCATTGGACGACGCAATGACATCGTCGCTGGAGAGAGACCTCTCCGAGCGCACAATATCATCATCACTGCTCAATCCTCCGAAAAAATCTGTGAACTGATGTTGACCCCGAGTAGAACGCCGAGACCTCCTCATTCCGCGGGACCGAGAGCTAGAGACAGACTCCTCTTCGGTAGCGGGGGAGGAAGGTCGAGCCGAAGATTCTGCGATGTAACTGTAAGATTGTCTGTGGCGAAGTCTGCGACCTCCTGTATATTCCAAGTCCATGTCATCATTGCCCGACTCCCGAAAGTGTTGTAAAGCGTTCAAACCGTTGTTGAGACTCTGAAGGCGTGACGACGAAACCTGGAAGTGAAGTGAAGTGACAAGATATCAGTATATGAGTAGCAAGTGACACAAAGCCAAGTTCAAATGTGAGGGCATACTGTTTCAACCTCACCACTCCGCAACTCTATCTTATATAAAAATCTATCCGCATCCGATATTTCACTGATGACACGACGGACATCAAAATGCCCAGGGATGAACTCATATTCCTCATAGCTGGCGATACCGGGGACTTCGACCGAGGCCATATATAATTTGGATTGGGCCTGGGCTTGAGGAGGAGGGGTAACAGCTGGTTGAGATGTAGGCTGAGGCTCGCCGTTGGGTTCTGCAGTCGCCGTAGTTTTCGCTGGCCCGGTGTATCCCGTGAATTGGGCCAAAAGATCAGTTACCAAGTCATCTCCATTAGACATAATTTGGTCTCGGTCCATCGTTGTTAATTAGTTCGAAATGAGAGTACACCTAGTTGGACAAGGAACGCGCGACAGAACAAGGAAGGGGAATCTCTGATATTAAAGTTAAAGAAGAAAGGAGACAAAGGAAAGACAGGAAAGAATCAGGTAAAGGGGAGAATCAGGGTGAAAGAAGCCATCGCCTTTCTGGATACCTGATCCTCCGATAGATTGACAGATCCCATTCACTTTTGTCTCTCTCTCCCCCTGGGCAACACTCCCAAAAACGTAATATTGCGGCGATCCAGACGCGGTGCTGCACGCGAAGAAAGCCGGAGAAATGTTGATGCCGCGCCTTATCTTATCGGCGATCTGGACAGAGGGAAAAAACCTCATCGTGATTGAATTGTGGTGATGAAAGGTTGCTGAAAGATTATGCATCTCTAGGATCAATAGTATTATATTCGAACAGACAGCATCTTCCTGACTGTACCATCCGGCTACTGCAATGCCTTTGCGTGCCCCCTTCAGTCCTTTGTGGACATATCTTCGGCCATCTAAAGCTTCATCTACGCACCTGATCACCGCGCGATATGCTTCCCTCAACTCGGCCATCAGTCGTGGTATTCGCAAATCCAATGCAAGAGACGGTGACAACTCTTATTCGAAACCGCGAGAATCTTCTTATGATGACCGTCGTCAACGGGATTCAAGACCTAACAGGCCCCAAAACAATCCAAAAAAATACGGCGAGTCATGGCGGAGAGAACGCGAATTCGACGAGGATGAGTTTATCAGAACAGGCAACTTCCGTGGATTGCCTCGGGAGCACCAAACCTCTCGGATATCGAACTTCCAGGGCAAAGAAAGGCCGTCGAGATATCAGTCCGAGCCTCGAGAGTATCAAAATGACCGGAAACCGAGCTATCAGAGCAGGGAAACGAGATACCAGTCTGAGCCTCGCAAAGGTCATGCTCTGCCCCCGGAAGATGTCGAATATCGGACAAAGCGTAACGCTGGTCGAGCTGAAACACCAAGACACCATCGCTTCACGGACACAATCCCAGAGCGGGTGAAGGACAACGTTCGGGTTCCTGACTCGATCCCATACACCACGCCCGCTTCGGAGTTCATTTATGGAACTAGTGCTGTTGAGGCGGCGATGCGTTGCAGCAGACGTCAGCTATACAAACTGTATATATACCAGGGTGCCGGGGAGGAGCTCAGTGCTGCAAAGGTTGCACTTCGCAAACTTGCGCTGTCCAAGAACATCAAAGTGAAAATGGCATTTGCGGGCTGGGACCGACTACTGGACAAAATGAGTGCTGGACGACCACACAACGGTTGTATTCTCGAGGCATCTCCTTTACCTCAGCTGCCAGTCAGAAGTTTCCATACGGTCTCATCTCTCGATGAATCCGATTTCCGGGTGGAATTGGCTCCTCAGTCACGGGAAGAGGCAGTAGTGAATGGTATGAATGATCGTGTCTCGATCAACAGCCTGCATGCTCAGGAGCGGAAGAGATACCCAGTCACTCTACTGCTCGATGGAATTGTCGATACTGGCAACATGGGTGCGATCATTCGCTCCGCATACTATCTTGGGATCGACGCCATTGTCTTCGCTGGCCGAAACTCAGCGCCTCTATCCCCAGTGACAATCAAAGCCTCCGCGGGTGCTGCGGAGAACATGACTCTCCTCCAGGTCAACAATGAAACTACATTCATTCAACAGTCCAAGGCCAACGGGTGGCGATTTTACGCAGCCGATGCCCCCGGTCCTGGCTCGAAATATATCGACCCCTTGTCGAACGGCGATAGTAATATCACGAATCCTGGCGATATCAACTACAACCTCCTGACTCAGGCACCCAGTGTCATCATGATGGGAAGCGAAAGTTCTGGTCTGAGCTCACACATCAAAGCGCTGGCTGATTCGATCGTCAGCATCCCGGGAGCCAGACTCAGTCCCACCTTGGGTGTTGCATCTGACCCAGCCCGAGTTGACAGTCTCAATGTGAGTGTTGCCGCAGCTTTGCTCATGGAGATGTTCCTACGGGTTCCGCTTGCTGTGTCTGAAATGCCGCAGAGCGAACGCGTCTGGTGAGAGGAAAGACTGGCTGGTGGTGAACGAGCTGTAATATAACACATTTACTTGTACAGTAGTTGCATATAATATGGGCATTTCAGATTTTGGGCAATAACAAGTGACGCTCTCCATTTCAAGCAAGTAGGACTATTGTAACCAGGTGCTTCAACCGGCTGTTATACTATTCCAAGGCACACCGAACCTGATGAACCAATAAGTTAAAATGGCCCGTTGTCTAAGATATAATATACCATCAGCGACTGGTTATAGAGAATAAATTAATGCTAGCAAGTTCATTTTGTTAAAATTGTAGCGACGCCATTTCATTGCTTTTGTATACACTCCTTGACATGCCACTCAGTTGACAGTATATTGTGTTACATGAAATAAAGAAGACTGCGAGTAATAACATCTATCTGCCAACGCCAGACCAACAACAAGAATACAAGGACCAAAACACACCCTTTCAGGGTCGAATGAATACCCACCCAAGCAAACTACACAGAACGGTCATAAGGACAAATCCAGTCAATCAGACAGAAGTCATCCGATATTAGAGATATCATTTCTTTCGGCTCTTTGATTTGGGCGCGGGGTTGGAGGAGACACTGCCTGCCCGTGATGTCGACGTGGAATTGGCTTTGCTGCCACCCTTCACAGCTTTGACCTGCTTGTTCTATTGGGTTTGATGTTAGAACCTGTATTCGCTCCAAAAATAAGATAGGGGATGTGCGACTTACCACTGCGCCATTCTTGTTCTTCTTCTTGGCCGGCGCCCCAGAATCATCATTCTCGACATCCTCCTCGTCACGGTCACGACCGCGGCCCTTTCCAGGCTCCCCATTCGTTTTACTGTCTCCGGTCTCGAACTCCTTCGCGACCGTGTTCAGCAGCGTGGTGCACCGACGGCCAATTTCAACTGGAGTTCGACTGAGGAAGAACCAGTCGAAGCGGAAGAGGGGAGACTCGCGGATCTCATCGCGGATCCTTTCATACAGGCCCTCGCCATCAACACCATACCTGTCGAGCATCACCAATAGGAATCGGTCTTCCTCTTCTGTGTATACCTTCTTGTTTGTCGTAGACACTGTGTAGTTGATTTTAAGTTGTTGGAGAGGAACACGGTACATCTCCATCTTCTTACGGAGCATTTTGCGTTGATGGTTCATCTTCCGCAACTTCTCCTCACCCTGTTCGATGACACGGATGTATTTAGGGTAATCTTGAATTTCCGTGTATCGTTTCCAAAAAATGTCAGCATACTCTTCGACTTCGTCAGGCTCTTTGCTATCCACTTCCGTGGAAATGCCTTTGTAGTCAGTGCGTCCGAACTTGGCTGATCCATTGACGAATTGCTGGAAATCCCGACGGTTCCATGTGGAAAATCCCTCTTCGGACATCTTTGCCTTTTCAGCCTGTTCATCTTCCGTCAAAGGCACCGCATTGTCGATTTCCTGTTGCTCCAAGTCGCGCTCAGCTTCGCGTTCACTAAGCTCTTCTTCGGGGCCATCTGGAAGAACGGCCTTGTAGCCAATCTCCTTATGGAAATAAGCGGTCTCTTTCTCCTGGAGTTCTTGAAGACCTGGTGGGAAAAATTGCCAGTCGTGGATAGCGATCTGCTTAGGTGCACGGGGAACCTTAGGCTTGGGGTCTGCTGTTCTTCCACCAGTGGCCAAAGCCTGACGATAGTACTTGTCGATAGAATAGAACTGCTCCTTTCGTTCACGCTTCGCCGGGTTGATCCAGTTGACACCAATGTCTTTCTTGGGTGCGGTGAAGTCCTGGCCATTCCACTCGTAGGCGCTTTCAGAGGTGAATTTCTGGAGATCATCGATACCCAGCTTCTCGTATTTCTTGTTCAATTCTGCGGTTCTTTCCTCACCCTTGCGCAGAATGGCGTCGATGTCATCTTCTGACATCTTGTCACTTGGCATAGTTGCGGTTGATCCATCGCTGAAAACCTTGGCAGCACCGTGCTGAATCATACCAAGTAGCTCATCCTTGGACGCAGCGTTCTTTGTTTGTTGCTGAGCGCGACCTTGTTGAATGACCAGCTGATCCAATCGTAGCTTTTGAGCTGCGCGTTCCAAAACCTTTTCTTCAATGGCGCTCTCGGTGACGAACCTGAAAACCACCACTTGCTTTGTCTGACCAATACGATGAGCACGGTCCATGGCCTGGAGGTCAGCCTGGGGGTTCCAATCACTGTCGTAGAGCACGACAATATCTGCAGATGTCAAGTTGATACCAAGACCTCCTGCTCTCGTGGTGAGAAGGAAGACAAACTTGTCAGAGTCTGGCTTGTTATAATCATCGATAGCGGCAATACGATCCTCATGGGCTGTTGTGCCATCGATACGGCAGTAGTTGTAGTCCCTGAATACACAGTAATCCTCCAGAATGTCAAGAACACGGCTCATTTGGGAGAAGATAAGCACCCGGCTTCCCTGTGCCTTCATACGCTTCAGAATCTTGTCGAGAATCGCCATCTTTCCGGCATTGTCGACAAGATGCTCATCAGTGGTATACGGAGGACCAGGTTCAGCGCCTTCGAAAAGATAAGGGTGATTGCAACATTTGCGGAGCTGCATAACAATGTTCAAAAGACGAGTCTTTGACTCTCGTTTTCCAGCGGCCCCATTGACCGCATCAATGTCTTTTTCCAGGATTTTCTGATACCATTTCACCTGCATCTGTGACATCGGTACATAAAGATTGACTTCCTTTTTGGGAAGCAAACTTTTTTCAACATCACTCTTGACACGACGAAGCAGGAAAGGCCGTAATACACGATGCAACTGCTGCACAACGGTGTCCTGATCGGAGTCCTGGCCAGAGAACCACTGGTCGAAAGCCTCTGAGTCGCCGAAGACATCGGGTAGAAGGAAGTTCAGAAGGGCCCAAAGCTCGTGGAGGTTGTTCTGCAGCGGGGTACCGGTGATCAGCAACCGATTTCGTGAGTTGAAAACACGAATGATTTGAGCAAGGGACGATTCCTCGTTTTTAATGCGATGAGCTTCGTCGATTATAATATATTCCCAGGCAAACTTTTTGAGATGAGATTTTTCCCGCAGCACCATTTCGTAACTGGTAATGCAAACATCGAAGTCCTCATCGAGCAGCCGTTCGTTGATCAGTTGATGGCGCTCATCCTTGTTTCCTTGGAGGACAAGGACATTGACTTCTGGGGTCCACTTTTCGAATTCCCGCTTCCAGTTATCGAGGGTGGACTTAGGAACAGCGACGAGGTGGGGTCCAGTTATGTCGCAGACGTGCCGCAGGTATCCAAGGAAAGAGATGGTCTGTAGAGTCTTACCCAGACCCATCTCATCTGCCAGGATACCCGAAATACCATTCTCATGGAGCGAGACAAGCCAGTTAAGTCCTGCAATTTGATAATCACGCATTTCACCCTTGACAAATGGTGGGGTATCGCGGAAAACAGTATTGGTTTCGCCACCACTCTTCTCATCGTCCAGGAGTTCTGCATCTTCCTCTTGTTCTGTCCTGCGACGTCTTTCACCACCGGCGCCACCTGAACGGGCAGAGCCCTTCTTCTTGGCTCTCGCTTCCTCAGCATTTTGCCGGTCGATTTCGGCCATTATCTCTTTGATCTGGGGATTAGGGTTCGTTTCAATGAAATGCCGGAATAAATCAGTCAGACCAAGAAGGTAACGAAATCTCCGGATCGAATCATCTTCCTATGGTTGCGATTGATTGTAAGCTATTAATCCCAGCGAATTTAAATTGAACTCGTCCTATCTTACCTTTGACTCATCCAAACGGCCATGCTTTTTGCCCAGGATACTTTTTCTCAAATGGAAAGCTTCCGTCCTTCGCTTGCGGCCATCAAATGGTGAAGCGTCGCCTGCAACGCTGCTTGCCGTTGTGTTAGGATTCGTATCGGAATCCTAATATTAAAAGTTAGTTTTTATTGCTGAGCCCCGCAGTCGATCAAGCTTCAACATAGGTGTTTATGCGCGCAACCAGAGTCACCTACCGTCATTTGAGCGTCGGCACTGTCCACGGGCACTGATGTGACAGGTTCTTCATGTGCATCGGTCATGGGAGTATCCGCCTGAGACGGAGTGTCGGAGTGAGGCGCCATATCCGTCCTCAGCGCTCCAAGCGCAAGTATTTGTGTTGTTATACAAAAGACCGAACACGACCCGACAGGGTTCCACTAGAACCAAACGCGGAGAAGAAGGGAGAATAGAGGAAGGTGTAAAAGAAGAAAAGACCCCCCACGGCTTAGATTAGGCTTAAAAGATGAGGCGTTCCGTATCGTGAGGAACGGGGGCTGGAATTGAATTGCGAAGAGGTGCAATTCAAACGACGTTGAACGAAGAACCGCAGGTCTGGCTGCTCGTCGCGCCGGGAAGGCAAATGGAATTTCGACGGAGGAAGCGCGGCCACGGCACGCGCTGATTGGGTGGGAAGCGCGAGGGCGAGTCTGAGTCAGAAGTGAGTCAGCAAGGAGCGGAAGAGGAGTTTCCCCGCGGTGGGTCACGTTACCGGGCCAAAGGTGCACTGGTGCAGAAAGAAAGAAAGATCATCTGCACCAAAGCAAGCATCATCCAGCAGCATCACCACGCTTTGTTCCTCTACCCCTCAACATCTCCCCCTTTTCCTCTGGGGTTTTTGCTTTTTTGTCGGGCTACTCGGCCTTTGCGTCTTTCTGCTGTATTATTTGGTTATCATTTCTTTATTCCTTTTCGTCTTTATTTTAACTCCTGTTTCAACGAAGCACGGTTCACCTCCCCTCCCTCCGAGTGACTCCAACGAGGCTTTTGTCATTTTACTTCGACAAGAGCTGCTTTTCTTGCAGCGCCACAACCATGGACTCCATGAGATCGCTGAACACTTCTCTACCTAGCTCTACCCCTCGCCCGCAGCCACCTGAACAGCTTTTACAACAGTTTAAGGCCGCCGCCCTGTCTGTGACCAACCTCTACAAGAATGCTGTGTGTGAACAGGCCCAAGCCAAGCAAGCGGGCTACCAAGAAGCCATTGAGGATCTACTTCAGTTTCTGGACAAAGAGGACCTGGGATTAGGCGACGGAGAGGGCTGGAAGGTTCGGCAATGGGCAACCCAAAGGAGCGATGGAACAGGTGCTCCTGGCAGCGATGATGATGAGCGCGGGGATGTTGACAAGCGGGCTCGAAGTGCTACTCCGGTTACTACACGCAAAGAGCAACCTGAACCGGAAGCCATCCGTCAACCGACCAAGCAGGCATCGCCGCCCAAGGAAGAGCCAGTCGCCCCCCAGCAGCAGCAGCCCTCGCCGCCCCCGCAACCTCAAGCCAACGACACCAACGCTTTTGACAGACCGGCAGTTTTCACCTTCAGCGCAGCACCATCATTCCCGCAGTTCCAGGAACAAGATGTTGACATGCACCCCTCCGATGCTTCGACAGTGTCCTCTCAGGATGGTGCCCCTGTCAGTGTATCAGTTCTGCCCCGAAACTCCCGACAACAAAACCGCAACAACAACCTGTCACGACCGACTCCACGACCCTCCACACGAGAACCGTCCGTAGGGCTGGGCTCGAAGAGAAAGCTCACCGTTCCTGACTTTTTCGACTTATCAGGACTAGGGAATCGGGATATGTTTGGGGGTGGTAAACGCGGCCGCTTTACCTAGAGAATAATTTGATGTCGACGATGGGACGAATCTTATATTCTTATGGTCACGCAGCGGTTTATTGGCATTTTTTTTTGAATTCTGTTTCCCAGGTGCATTCGAGGGAGTATCGCATATGGTTTCTGGTTTATTTGTTTTCTGCTTCTATTTTTCTGTTCTCTTATCCTTCTTTATCTCTTCGTTTTCTCCCCCATTATTATTCATGTATTTCCCTTTGTTATAACCATCAAACATATAGAGGACATCAGATAAGGTGATACCCGGTGTGGCTGTTTATTTTATATTTACTTGGAGCGTATAAATCATATCAAACTAACTCGGTACAAATCATTCCCTCGCTTTTTATTCCAACATGGTAACATTCCAAATACTGTACAACTTCGTGAAACGAAGTCCCTGTCCAGGGATCAATTGAATGCTCTCCACAGTCCCATTCCAACCAACGTCGCGGAGATGGTTGCGATGCCCAGCTGTCGCGAGCCCATCTTGTATTTCGTTGCGCTCTGCATGATTGTCTTCTCTTGCATCCGTAAATTCTTCATGCCCGTGTAGTAGCTGTACACGCCCAGGCCAATGAATGCGGCAGATCCTAAGCAGAGACATATTAGAGCCAGGAATGCATGGATAATCAGGAATCAACTACCTGTCACTCTGCAAGAAGTACAGTCATCATAGGAATCTTCTGCTAGTGAACGTTTGGCATCTTTCGATTGGAGCTCCCAGGCCTTGCTCTCATTGGGGGAAGCCATTTGATTATCTCCTGGATATTTTGATGAATATAGTCTGAGATTGGGTATCGAGAGAGAAATACCCAAGAAGAGCCCCTGAGAATCAATAATAATAATACTAAGAGATGATGTAGGTAGCTTCTTGGGCTTCATCCCAACCCATGATGGAAATCCGCGCCAAGGCGGGAATCGGCGGCAGAACAGGGTGCTAATCGAGCGTCAACGCCATACATAGCAGCTGAGCTCTTTTCCCCGAAGAACAACAGCCAAGCAGGCAGGAAGATCGGCACCATGAGCGGCGAGATTGATGCCCTCTACATATATGATGAATTCAAGTGCGCCCATCCTACAGGGTCTCAATATATCATTGGAATAATGCTAATTCGCGCGGATCTTCAGCAACCCTCTTGTAGAGCATGTCTATCGCTCCCGTCCGCCCTCCGCGGCGTCCATCTTGCCCCTCTACAACGCCCATCCAGCCCCGCGCCCTTCACTCCTCTATCTCCCCAGCGCTTCGCCACCGGTAACGGTGTACTCTATCGTCCAGTCAAATTTGCTCTTTCTTGCTGTGTCAGAGGTTGATACGGAACCGCTTCTCGTGCTGGAATTCTTACACCGGGTCGTCGATGTGCTCGAGGACTTTGTCGGAGCGCCGTTGCTCTCATCCAAACTGCAGGCGAACTACGATGTAGTCGCACAACTGCTCCATGAGATGTGCGATGCAGGCATCGTATGTAATACTGAGCCTAATGCGCTGCAAGAGGCCGTGGAGATGCCCGGGTGGATGGACAAGTTGCTAGGAGGTGTAGGGTTACCTGGGACGTCCTCACCCACCATGGGGCCTCCGAATCCGTTGAAACAAGGACTATCATCTGCTAGTATAGCCCAGGGCCCTGCGATTCCTTGGAGGAAGGCTGGAGTAAGGCATACTTCCAACGAACTATACGTCGATATCATCGAATCCTTGTCCGTCACAATCGCACCGTCAGGACGGTTGCTGTCCGCTTTGGTATCAGGGACTATTGCTTTCACGGCTAAGATCTCTGGTGTACCCGATTTGCTTCTCTCCCTCGTTACTCCTGGTGGCCAGCAAGCCATCGCTCGAAAGATTGAGTTGCCTGTGTTTCACCCTTGCGTCCGACTTGCTAGGTGGAGGGAACGACCGGGAGAACTGAGCTTCGTACCTCCAGATGGTCGTTTTATCCTTGCAGGATATGAGGTCGATCTTCTTCCTATTGACCCCGATCTCGACGAGTCGCCCACTCATATGGAGAAGGTGTTTCTCCCTGCCATTGTGGACATGCGAAAGTCCCTGGGGACGACGGGCTCTGACTTTGAGGTCCGATTAACTCTCAACACCAACTTCCCCGGCTTCCCGCCCCCTGCCCGACCGGGGGTTGGGCGGAACGCTTCTGGCACATCGACTCCTTCGTTCCTCGGCGGAGGAAGCGGAAATTCCTCGTCGCCAGTTTTGGAAGAAGTCGTAGTCACAGTGCCTATTCCCCAATCGGTTCGAAATATCACCGACATGAAAGCCAGCCGAGGCGAGGCCCTTTTCTCGCCTGGAAACGACTTTCTCGAGTGGCGAGTGCCAACAAAAGACGCTGGAACTGTCTCTGGGACCGCAACCCTCCGCTGTACCGTCGTTGGATACCCCAGCGTAGACGACGATTTTGACGACGGCGCCGAGGATGCGGACGCCAACGCTAATCTGCTACAAGGTTACTACGACGATAACGCATCCTACCAACCATCCGACATGGCCAACCCCGGCCCCTCAAAACGCAAAACCAAGAAGAAGGTCAAGAAAGTCAAGAAGGTCCCCAAGTCTAGCGCCTCAGCTGATCCCGACCGACCACGCTCATCCCCTGATGCCTCCAAACCACAAAGTCCTGCTCCGCCCCAATCTCAACCCCAGCCCACATCGGAGCCGTCCGAATCCTTCTCCATCTTCCACACACCTGCCAAGAAAACCAAATCACAGCTCAATGCGAGCCTTATGCCTAACTCTGCATCTGTTTCATTTTCCGTGCGAGGGTGGCTGCCCTCGGGTATCAAGGTCGATAGTCTGAACATCGATCCGAGACGGAGTCGGGGTCTTGGAGAGGGCGTAAAACCGTTCAAGGGTGTCAAGTATCTGTGTCTGAGTCGGAGGGGAGTGGAGAGAAGATGTTGACATCATTGACGTTATCTTCTCCGACATTTGGATGATAATAATAACTACGATGTATATGGTCGTCTGTCCTGATTACTGACCGGACATGATACGAATAATGAAGAAAACAACTCTTTCTATATAACCAACACCGAATAAAAAATTGCTTGTCGACGAGAAAAAACAATAGTTACTTGATTTTCGTCTCCTAGCTACCAATTTTAAATATCAAAAGCAATCCAAAAACAAACCTAGGCTTCCTTCGCTTCCAAATTCACAGCAGATCAATCAATATAGCATTCTTGGGGGCATATAAAAAAGAGATTCAAAAAGTATATTTTCAGTAATCCACGAGCTCGAATTCGCCGATTATTATTTATTAAAGACTGATTTGACACAGATCACAGCTTCGCAGATCGGCGTTCGAGAAATTGCATGACGAAATAGGCCACTATTATGCGCAAAAAAGCGGTATTAATTATAAGATCCATCGAAAGTGAAATGATAGTTTGTAAAAAGGGGGTGATAAGAAGGGTATCCAAGAAGTAAAATCATCAAAAACAAAAACATCAAAGGGTAAATCATTGACAGCGGATTAATCGTCAGTAAAGAGGCGGGAGTATTTGCTTCATGTGGTCTTGGGCGGGACATCCGTTCGTGAACTGGGTTCATCTTGCTGGTCTGACGAGGGGTACGGACAGTAAGAAGACTGAAGTAGAAACGACGGTGGTGGTAGGGGTAGAGTATAATGTTGATTGAAGGAAAGAAACGAAAAAGTGGGTGTTTTTTTGCAAGGCAGAGTCAAAAAAATAAGTCACTTACCAGCAGCAACCACGGCAGCCCTGCCGGCGCCAGCCTTCGCAGTTCCTCCACCAAGGGTCAGAATGGTACGCAACCAGCCAAAGGTAAGCTTGTTTCCGTCCCGGTCGAAGTCGGGCACAAGAGTGCTAGCAGCCTTGAACTTGTTCAGCTTGCCGGCATAAGGAGGGTATCTGATAGCAAGGAAAGATTCAACCCAGCTTGGGCTTGTCGTGATCGGGCGACGGTGCACGAATGTCTCAAAACTGGCTCTTCCTCTGTAGGCACCGTAGCCACTTTCACCAACACCACCAAATGGAAGAGTAGGAATGTGCAAAGCAGCATCGTTAACCGAAGCGCCACCGGAACGAGTGGTTGCAAGAACTAAATTTGGGAAGGTTTCAGTCAGTTTCACTTGAATGAAACAAGGAAATAGCAGTGTAGCTTACTTTTATCGGTGTCAGCCTTGGAGCCGAATGGGTAGACACCCAAAGGTGTGCTCTGAATTCCATTGGCGATTCTGACAGCTTCTTCGGCATCGTTCACGGGGAGAATAGGAATCAGGGGACCAAAGCTCTCCTGCACCAACATCGAGTCATCAACATCATCGACTTGAACTAATGTGGGCTCGATGAAAAGCTCCTTTTCATCCATGGTACCTCCAAGTAGAATCTTGCCCTTGGAGTTATCAATCATGCCCTTGAGCTTGTGGAAAGAAGCCACATTGACAATGCGAGAGTAGTCCGGAGATGACTTGGCACCTTCCGGGTAGAACTCCTTGTAGGCCTTCTTGAACTCCTCAATGACGGCGGGCAGAACCTGTCGGTCCACCAGCAAGTAGTTCTGCGATGTGCAGATCTGACCCGCGTTCATCAATTTACCCCACAACAACCGACGTGCAACCAATCTGGGGTTGGCAGTCTTAGTGATGATGGCTGGGTTAATTCCACCCAGTTCCAACACGACCGGGGTGAGGTGAGGAGCCGCGGCTTTGGCGATGATACGTCCGACGGTGGCACCACCAGTGAAGAAGATCTTATCCCATCGCTCTGCAAGCAAAGCCTGTGTCTCGGGGACACCTCCCTGGATGACAGTATAACACGAGGGGTCGAGGGAAGCCTCGACGAGCTGCTGGATGACGACGGCGCTATTGGGGGCGTTTTCACTAGGCTTGATAGCGACTGTATTGCCACCGGCGATGGCACCAATGACGGGGCCAAGGGTCAACTGGAAAGGATAGTTGAATGCGCTGTTTGAAACCCCACCATTAGCAACACAATCAATCATGCGAGTAGATTGCGGGGACTCGAATCAACATACCCGATAACCAAAACACGTCCCAGGGGATCCTTTCTGATTTTAGGGCTCATAAACTTAAAAGTGAGATCGATATCTTCAGCCTTCTCATCCTTGGCCCATTTATGCAAGTTTCGGGACACAAAGACGATGTCGTTCTTCAACCAGCCACACTCGGCGATCTCGGTCTCGAAGAGGGGCTTTCCCAAGTCGAGGTGCAGGGCGTGGGCGATTTTATCTTCATTGTCCTTGATTCTAGTAGAAAACAATGTTAACAACACATGCGCCAAATGATTGTGGGCTCTGGGGGAGGAGAGCTTACGCCCAGTAGAGCTTGCGGAGCTGGACCAGTCGGAACTCGACGTCGCGTGTGCGGTGCTCTTCAAAGGTCTTCTGGAGGGTGGAGGATCGCTGCTGGATCTCCTCGATCGGAGTAAATTGAATGCTTGGAATGTCGGTGGCTCCCATTTTGAAGTTTAATCAGGAGGTCAAGACCGTGAAGGGAAAGAGGGATGATGCAGGAATCCGTCGAGATCGGCGCGTGAAGCTGTTCAAGCACCGTACGTCATGCAAGGAATGGCCAGCGTTAATAAACGGTTCGATTGGCAATAGAAACAGCAAAATTAGAAATATATAATTATAACTGTAGAATAACAGACAGTATAACAGTAGAAAATAAATTAAAGACAAAAGACGAGACCCGGCCAATATAACCAACTGCACCCCGAGTGGAGCTGAAGCACATGCGCCGCTCTCGGTCTCGCTCTGCCTCTCCTTTTCCTCTCCAAAAGTGATCTTCTTCTTCCCCTCATCTCGCAACTTTTGAACCGCGGCACAATCCACCATCGTTACACAGTATCACCATTGCATCATTCACTGGGGTCTCTTGCGCTCGTCCTATTAGGCCCTCGCGGACGAACCAGATCCAACGTTGATCCTGGTTGTCGTCTCATCTCCAGCCCTCTCTGGACACTGTTCAGCTCTGCCAAAATCAAATGATCTGCAGTCCAAATCTTTATTTAATCCTCGAAAATAGACCCCTTTAATTTGTCAGCTCCATCGATCGACGGGTCTTCTCGCAAATGATGCTCCATTCGTCCTTTTCGTCCGGATCTTGCGATGGGCCCGTCGGAGAGTTATATTTAACCGATCAAAAGGTGCTCCCAGCCCTTCTAATTAGTATGGCATTATGGCATCCATTATGGAGTACTTAAAATTGCTCATAACTCAGAAAAATAAAATTCGAAATATACAATATACATTGCTGTTGATATCACTAATGCCAGGTGTTTTCTTTTCCATCAAGGAAAAGGGAATGAAGCTATCCAAAACATCATAAAAGGAAACAAATCAAAAACTCCAAAGACCCTCATTTCGACTTCACTACTATCCAACTCAAGCCTACGGCTTGAACTGGTCTTCCGTCACACCCTTGCCCATGGCTGCGGTACTGCTAACACCTCCTGAGACCATCTTCAGGAGGTTATCCACGTAGTTGGCACCACTCCATTTCTGGTGTGTCACCACGTCGACGCCTTCCGCCATTTCCGGCTCTTGAACCAATTCGCCGTACGCCCGCATGCCCTGCTTTGCATACGCCTTGGCAAACTTGTCTGAGATGAGCGCCGTTGTGTGCAGACCGGCCAGGGTGATGAACTGCCAGCAGTAGCCCAGGGCACCCAGTCGCTTGATGTAGGTCTCCTGCTCATCGCGAGGCATGGCCTTCTTCCAGTTGAAAGATGGCGACAAGTTATAAGCCAACCTAAAGAATGTCTGGTTAGCACTGACTCATTACCACGTGAAGGACAGGAAACAACTCACTTTTGCTCAGGCCACACGGCGTGGACACCGTCGGCAAACTCCTTGGCTTGGTTGTAGTCAGGAAGCTTGCTCTCCATCCAAATCAAATCAGCAAATGGCGCATAGGCAACGGCACGGTTAACGGCACACTGGGTACCACCCTGGTAACGGTAGTAGCCCTCGCGGGTACGGGCAGCGTCCCAGTCCCAGTAGATGTCAATGCCGGTGATGCCCTTGGCAATGGCTCGGGATTCGCTGTTGCTCTTGCCCTTGGAGGCCTTCAGGTAGTCATCGATGAGGGCCTTCTTGTTGACGTGCACGCCCTTGTTGATGGCGTCAATGACAGCATCGCTAAAGAGCTTCAAGCCAGCTTGAGCGGTCCACTGGTCTTCAATGGCTTGGAGCTCAGCTCCGTTCTTGCCAGAACGCTCAGCGGCGACCATCAGGTCATTAAGGGGCTGAATGCCAGGGTTAGTGGAGCCAACAATGAAGGCATGGTCGCGGTGGTCAATGGTAGAGGTGATGAGGGTAGCGGCTTCAGAGTCGGTTCGGGCAATGGCCAGGAGATCAGTGCCTTGGTGCAGTTAGTTACTGTCAACACCATTTCTTTCTGAATCGACTCACCCATGATGTCAGCCTGAGCACGGATGGCAACCAGTCGGTTGATGTGCTCGCTGATAGGGACCAGAACCTTTCCGGCCATGTGGCCACACTTCTTAGTACCAGGGGCCTGGTCCTCAATGTGAATACCAGCTGCACCACGCTCGATGAACAGCTTGGTCAGTTTCATGACAGCTGTCAGACCACCGTGACCGGTGTCTGCGTCGGCAACGATAGGTCGCAGGTAGTCAACGTTGGCGACATTTCCACGCTGCGCCTTGGGGGTTGTGACGCGCTCCTCACGCTGTTTCCGGTCGTGGAACAGCTGGGCCATGAAAAGCTGGTTGACCTTGTTGGGCACGGTGTTCTGGAAACTCTTGTTAGCATCCAAGCCAACTATAGCCGAGGTAGGTATATGTATTGCGGACTCACCATAGGGTAATCCGCAAGATCAGGGGAAGGCTCATCGGTCGAGGAGGCCGTAGAAGAACTCTGCCAGCCAGAGACATAGACGGTGTCAAGGTATTTGGCCATCTGGGTGATCATTGTGGGTTCGAGGCAGCCATAGGTGAAGCTAGGAACTTTGTTCTATACAAGATAAATGTGAGTGGTGTTTTCTCTCTTCGTCTGTGATCTGAGCTGACATACCTTGAAGTTGTTCTCCACAATACCCCAGAGCTTCTTGCTCTGTACATTGGAAGGGTAGTCAATCGTCAAGTTTCCACGCTTGGCCACGATCTGCTCAGCGGTATAAGGGCGCTTGGTGTATCTCCATCTCGAATCTTGCCACCAGGCGTTGACAGCCTTGACATCATCCAAGAACTGCTTGTCTTCTTCTTCAAAGAAACCCATTGTGACAATGAAGAATCAAGAATTGAATTCAATTCGAATAATATACAACAGTAGGAGGGATACGTGAAATGTATATCTATACACCACAAGATGAAATGAATAAGAAAGAGAAGGATACAGGAGAGGAGAGGAGAGAAAGAAAAAAACAATTCAAGGAATGAAAAGAAAAAAAAAGGTTTCAATCACAAGCCAACAACCAGGGTACTTATTACCTTTTCGCAAGCCGCCATCGCCATAGCAAATGCGTCAGAAGGTATGACTCTTGGTCGGTAAACGTTCGGCTCAGCGGGACAAGATTGAACAAGGGCCACCAAGATGCCCCGAACAGCAGCTCTGATCCGCGGGGGTTTGTGTCTGGTTGCTGCACTTTTCGGGTACCACAACTTTACCTTGTCCCATACAGAGACCGTTTGGAGTTCACAGGCGGTTCGGAAGAGAGGATCGAGACTCGAGATGATCCTCGGTCTAATGGGCAGGCGGATCCTACCCGCACCTCCTTGCCACAGATATAGTAGTTAGTACCTAGTACTTGATGGTAATCTGTTTGAATTATCTGGACAGTCTAGAGATATCCATTCAATTCTTTTGAAATCAATATCTATCTTCCTTTCCAACCCATCAAGCAAAAAGAAAGAAAAAACGAAAAGAAAGTAAAGTTGAAGCTGTGGAAACAGATGACGTCGACATGTGCTTCAACGGGTGTGACAATACGTGACAATACACCAGGTCTGTCCGAAACCAGTAATCCTCACTTTCATGTGCTGTCATATGCCATAAATCCCATGTCTACATTCGAATGACAATGCAGATTTGAATCCTTTGTCATTCCCAAGAGTAATATAGGTATGCATGATATCGCTTCTCTTCTAATTAACATTCACCCCTTCTCCCAAGAAAATGGGTTGAAACTCAGAGTCGGTTGAACGTACTTCCATCAAGTCTGCATGGATGTCAAGACCCTTTATCCATCCCCACATTCAGTATTTTACGCCTTCTGTTACAGATTGATTCAATATGAACTCATCTGATGAAGCTGAATGTATATAGACTCAATGGCACATGCAAGAGACATATTAAGTAGATATATAAAAAACTTGTCACAAGATCATCCGTATTGAGTAGTCCCACTGAAGATACTGCAGTATATCATATTGCATAGCATCACAAGTGACTTGCACATGCAATCTAACCCAGTACAAATAATACTTCCATCTATCAACTGGAATTCCTTGGATATAACCTAATGTAACAAAGTAATACTATCTTACCTAACCATCGTCAACCTCGGCAGTTCACCAGCCAATCACAAGCTACCCCGTCACCTTACTCTGATCGTCTTTCTTCTCATCTTACTACGGATACCATTAGATCAGACAGATACCTTGGCTATCCCACTACTAATTCTATTAGTTATTGTATTATTCCTGCTTTCTGGTATTATTGCATGCTTGTATTCCTGTATCCATGGCTGTAGTGAGGTACCTTAGTTGACTGTATTCGCAGACGAGAACGCGCTCGGGAAATTAAGGAGCCTGATATTCGTTCAACCCGTATTATTGTCGATGTCTCGATAATCATCGTCAGTATCTTCGATGCTCGTCGTCAGCTTTTCTCCTACATGTTCTGCCCGTAATCATGTCTGCCTGGGGTGTGTATGGGTCTATATCACCGATATTCGGATGTTGGCCGAAATGGGGGGTAAGGTGGTTGATGAAGGCGATGATAGGTCGGGTCGGGAATGAATGCATATTTGGCGCTAGACAAGTCATCTTGAATAGGAATCGGGACTCTTATGACTTCTGCTTTCTGGAGGTTGTATTTGATGTATTTTTTGCTATCTATATATCCCCTGAGGTATGTAGGTAGTGGGAGTGGGCTATCAAATTTCCATGTACCATTTTAGACAGTATGTGTTGATTTTCACTCTTCTTTCAGTATATCAAAGTGATGTCAATATTCAAGAACAAATTTCAAAAAAGACTAAATATCAAACCTGTCAGCTCCATGTGCTTTTCTCCACCATTTTTAACCAAATCCATCTCAAGTAAAACATGCTTCAAATGCTATCATTCAGAATTTCTCAACTCGTTTAAATCCAATTCACATATTCCAATGAAGTGCTGCCTCTACAGATCAAGGATTGCATCGCGTTTGGCATCCTGCGCTGCAATTGCATTGCTGTATGTCTCGTACGGGGTAATGGCTCCAAGGGCACGTCTCATGTGTGCATTGAGAATCTCCAGGCCATACACATAGCTGGCATTAACCCAGCCGAACCTGCAGTCAAAGTTAGCAAAGAGAACTGACACCCATAGATTGATATCTTACCCTTCTCGAGCAACACCCTTGAAGTCAACACCTTGGTTGCCGTATTCTGCGTCAACGCGGTGAGGATCAATCGGCCGTGTAACGTCATACTTCTCGACCACGACTCCGTTGAAGTCCACAAAGGCTTTGGTGATCATATACAGCCACTTGTACGCCAAGCGTTCAGCCTCTTCCTGATAACCGTAGCGCAGGAATCCGGTCCAGGCGAGCATCTGCTGAGGCGCCCATCCATACGGGAAATCCCACTGTCGGTTGGGCCTATCCAACCCAATAGCTCCTCGGGACTCCTCCGTTCCGGACACGAGGCCGCCATAGGCTTCGAATCGAGGGAGCGCCCTCTTTACCATCTCAGCAGCTTGTTGTGGAGTAGCAAGTCCTGCCCACATCGCCCAGAAGGTGGTTGCACTTTCATATGTCGAGCGCTGCTTCTTGGCCATGTTGTAGTCGAAATACATTCCTCTTTCCTCATCCCACATGTGTGTGTCCATTCTCATCTTCCTTCTTCTAGCCCGACGGTCCCATACGGACGATGACTCAAATTGGACATCCTTGGTTGTCGCCGTTCGGAACTCAGGAGGAATATCTAGCCTATCTTTGAAGAAGGTGCGAATGATCCTAGCAATATCCACCTCATACTTGTACAGAAGCGAGTTGAGATCAACCGTGGCGAGGTCTGCACAGATTTTCTCGAGACGGTAGCTTGTATCGTGGCCAGATTCTCGGACGGATCTATCGTGTGCAAAATAGTCGTCAAGCTCTGGCTCTACCACTCTTCTATCGTTATAGGCGTCGACAAACTCCTTGAACGACATGCCATGCTTTTCGGCATACGGGTTTAGAATGTGAGTGAAGTGACTTGGTTCAGTCTCTGGAGGCACACCCATTCCTTCTGGGCAGTATCTCGAAAAGCCAGTCCCTTGGTCAAACCGTGGAGCTGCGGTCCACACGCTATAGTACTCCTTGATGGCTGCGAGAGTCGCGTTTCGGAGGAATTCCAAAGAGTCCGGCTCATTCTTGATTCGGTCATATACACGCAAAGCCATATCGGTCAAAAATGGCGGCTGAGAGCGTGTTAGGTAGTAGGACCGGTTGGCATTCAGGATCTTCCCGTAATGCTTGATGCAGAAGCAAAAGTTGATCACCATGGCCTTGGCTAGGTCAACCCGGTTGCTGACAATCAAGCCCAGGGATTCCATGTAGCTATCCCATCCGTAAAGCTCGTTAAACCGACCTCCGGGAACGACAAATGGCACACCGATAAGTTCGGTTTTCATCGTGGTCTCATTGAGCTTCTTTTGCATCGCCAAAGCCAGAAGACCTGGCTTGCCGTTAAGATTTTTCACATACTCTGGAGTAATCTCAGCGTCTAGCCATTGCACATCCAAGCGAAGCTTGGGCTGTGATTTGGCAATTTCGGTGTAGTACTCGAACTGTTCAGGGGCACCCCTCGGAACGTAGATACGAGGTCGTGGGTCATCAGTCCAATCCTTGGGGTCTTTGCCCGCAACCTCGATATTAGAAGCATCAATCCTTCTGGTCAGGGCATCCCAAAATGAGAGCTTGATGAGACGGGAGAGACGTGAAACAGGATTTTCACTCAGACGAGCTTCGTCCAGAATGACATGCTTCCGGCCGTAGTCTTTCGCAACGGTAAGTTCCTGTAGGAGATTGGAGAGCATGTATGTGCCTCGTACATCGAACTTGTTGTGACCCGATGACGCTGCGGTTCCGACGGAAAGTGTCTAGTTCTTATCAGCGTCCATCCGAAACGACTTGTCCCTAGGCAATGAACCCTCGACGCACCTTTGGTCCCACATCCTCAATTGTAATCTGATGGTTTCTATCAGTGTCCTCCCTCTCCAGCAAGCTATGAAGTGTCGCATCGACATCGATAAGGAACTTTCGGGGTTGGGCCGGAACCTCATCTGTTGGCCATGTGCGTCAGTCATCATGCCCCTCATAGAATCACCTGTTTTCTGAAATACGTACCATGACTGCCCCTTCTCAGAGGAATCTTTCCTAGGTAGTCCTTGATATCATCCTGGTTAAATGTATTGAGGCTCTATCGTACGAGAAGCTTAGCTGGTTGTGCCTTATCTCAAACCACCCACTTTGGGTACATACCGTTGAAAAGGCACGTCTGCGGCGGTTGATCCGCGAGGCCGAGTCCTCCTCCCCATAGTAGATCTCCGGGATGGAAAAGGGGTCGATAGAGCCCGTCCGTTTGTGCTGGGCGTTTGACGAGCTCATCGTCTAATCGACAGTCGGTGAGTGAGGGGGATCGATCGTGGGCGAATACGACGAAACGGCTAAATTCAGCGGGCTAGATCGAGGGCCTCTGGCTAAATGCAGAGATAAGACTGTTTTTTTGGTGGGAGGTACCAGCTGGGATTATCTCAGATTTTAATCGCAACTCGAGGGGTCGAGCACTGGAAGGTTTTAAGTAGAAGCAAAAAAGAGGTGAGTGCACAAAGAAAGATGGCGCACCACGCGAATTATCTATTGGCCACACTCCCGTGCGGTTACCACAGATGCAAAAGGAATTCCGCGGTGTGACCACCCGCGAAGACTATTGAATTTTGTTTGTAAAAGAATGAGTAAATATAGATTGGACGATTAGAGCATGTAAGAATAAATTTGTGCAGCATTGAAAATATTGGCGAGGGACTGGCAGAAGAATAGCTGTTCCGGATTCGAGATATGACGGCATAGAGAGCTTATGATGTCGCCGCTCCACCCGGCGATGGCCCATTGCCGCCATCCGATGCTTGTTTTACGATCAGTTTTTTGTCAGACGCGGGATGGCTGGCAGTGGCTTGTGTGATCATGAGATACTATTTTAATTTATTTAAACAGGGGGTTTCAAAAAGTATTCACATTGTTTAGTACTGCAAATCCCACGATTTCGATATATTCATGCCAAATGCCGACCTAATACCACCACGGTGATACAATGAATATGAAGGTTATTTTGTGTCATATCGCCTGACCTTTACCAGCTGTCGAATGGATGTCTGATCAGAATGTCCAGCATCATGTCCAGGACTAGGCCCATCATCCTCGACGAGGCGTTCGTTGGGAATTAAAATTGACCGATCGAGTTGATATGGCAGGCCGCGATGACGACCCCGAATCATCATAGCGCAGATGACTATCTTACTGAAGATGGAAAACTGTCCACTCAAGGAGGTCGTGACGGTGGGATATCCCAGACTTAAACCCACGTTGGCGCTGTACCTGTGTAAGAAAGATAGGCTGTTAATCTAAAGATCGGGGGATACGTACTATGCTGACACCACTTCAAAGAAAATCGAAAAGACGGCGAATCCCTGCCATGAAGAGTCAGTCTTGTTCGTAACTCAAATTCGACGAAGAAAACAAACCGGTTCTGAAGGGTCCATGATCCGGCTTTGCTCAGCAACACAGATACAGAATATCCCAAGAAAAATATACCACAAGTCGAAGCCCAGTTGATTCCGCATATGCGTCACAACATAGGACGTGCCATTGTTTTCGTCCGTGTCGTTGTCGACTGAATATATCCCCAGTGCGTTTTCTTCATAAGTGTTGGAAGCTCGAACACTAATGGCAATGGGAAAGATGGAAATGTACATCATGACCAAGAGACTAATCTGAACAGCGGGGTTCACATCAGCAAGATTGAACGACGATGTCCCTGTATGCCGTGATGATGCTGCCTGGAAAATTGCCGCAACTATGCGTCGTCCAATAGAGAGATCATTCACGGCAGGGTTTTCAAGATCAAGAACCACAATCAAGAGCACATCGACAAAGTTCAGCACGAAAAGGATCCCAAAAAGAACCCAGGTGGGCCGACTGCGGAAAAGTAGCATATAACAGCGACGAGGATATTCCAGGAGAAATTTGAGTGGCTCTTTGAGTGATGATTCTTTTGGAACGGACTTGTATATGATCCAGATGATGAGGCGTAGAAAGCAAGGGTACAAGGTGTGTCCAGCATAGGCGAGAAAGCTCATGATTAACATGGGAAAAGTGGCATCATGGAATGAGACCATCGAATCAGGCGTGAGGGTGAAGCCCAGATTATCCACCATTGTCTGCGCAGAATAAATGCCCCTAGACGCCAAAAAATGTTATTATGAACCTCATCGGTCACCGGGATAGACTCACCACCAGACATGGCTCTGTCCACATTCCTCAAGATAAGAGCGATACTTGGGGTTGGAATTTTGTATCCAAGGAACCAGGCATATCACTCCTAGCAGATGAAGACCAAAGAAATAACCTATCCCCATCAGCTTGAGGGGACATTCCGTGAAGACAGAAAACGTACCAATGACGATCTTTAACAGCAGTTTGAGACTTCGATACTCTATCCCACCTATCCTTTCCCGGTCTTCAGCAGTCAAGTTATGGAACTGTGAATTCCTGCCGAGAGTCGCTTGTGAGGACAGTCCTGGCAATTCTGAATTCCGGGAGAGTGAGACAGCAGGCCGAAGAGCTGGTCCTTGAATATGACTGCGAGTGGGACCAAGCACAAACATGGATGAAGCAACACGTCTCAGAGATACACTTCTCGAGATGCTAGGCCTGTCTTTCAATCGTGGTCCACCCGAACTCGCAGTTGTTGTCTCGCGGCTAATGGTCTTTTCGATTTCTGCTCCTGACGAAGTAAAGTTAATGTCAATTTCATCGAAGATTTCCTGGTGATGCTTACCATCTTCGCATCTTCCTTGGACTTCAACTATCGGATACCCTAATAGCTCATCAGTATCATACTTTTGGTTCGATTAATATCGCTGGAAAGCTACCTCTGTCACGTTCCCTGGGTGGTGGTATATAGAGAGCCTTAGATTCATCCACAAAGGAGATATGCCGGTCATTATTTGATCTGTCAATCTCGATACTGTCTTCGACTGGGGTTTTTGTGTGATTTTCTCCAGACACAGTCCTTCTGCGGATTAGCAAGGTTCATCAAATATTCGAATGGTAGATGGATGCACATACTGATCATTGTCTGATATGGCATTTTCTGGTATATCGTGGCTCCTTCGACCTGAGCGCCTCTCTTCTGTATGGGCTGGATCGCTTTCGGTTCTGTTTGCTTCAACTTCCCCATTCTCCTTATCTCTCACCTCGGACGCCTGTGGATGCGGTCGAAGGAGTGTAGGAGCTGTTCATTATCAGCAAAGCCCAAAGCATCAAAAAAGCCAAACAAACCGATCTCTTTTAGTCTCTTCTTAAACCAGTAGAGCCGTACAACCACCACGACGATATTGACAAAGGTAAGGTTAGCCACGAGCGGAACGAAGTATATAAACAGTTGTTGATATAATTTCAATTGCTTCACATCGACACTGTCCAAGACAACCTGTTCAATAACCTTCTACATTAAGATGATCAATCAAGGAAGAACCCACGTGTTGAGCCCTGTCACAGTGGAAGTGCTAACTCCGAAGAAATAAGCATCGGCTGCACTCAAATTCCCGTACGGATAGAGGATAACCAGGCCCAGGATCCCCAAGAAGATAATATAAGCATCTGGTACCATAGGTTAGAAAAGAAAAGCCTCAAATGCTGCTCCGGGATTGGTGGCTTACAATGCAAGGTTATGAAAGTCACTGGTGGCTTCCACATGGTTTGTTATGTAGATCCTTTTTCTTTGTGCAGCGGAATCGATAATGCCAGGGAAAAGAACATAAAATAGATAAAAATAAAATGAGCTGATAGATGAAAAAATTCAGTGGATTTTTCACACTTCACTACTCTCATCAATTGTCTTGACGAGCTCATCCTGAACTTGTTGTATGTGATGATAAATCAATTTCGACTTGGATGAGGGATTTGAAAGGACCAATGCGGAAGAAGGTGATGAGAACCCCACGCGAGCATCAAAATAACCAGATGCATCATTTCCACATGAGCAATGCATGTGTCAAGGATTTATCTTTTAGGAGCTTGGATCTTGCCTTCTTCTATCAATCAGAAGGCAACCTTTAGATCTTCGCATTCAGCCACCACCTGTACTACCACACGTGGTCGTCTGAGGACGATCCTGAGCACGATGAAACAGTAAACTCCTGAGATTTTCATGCAGATACGAGATCACCTGTGTAAGATGTCCGTGAGCAGTGCTAGGCTTTAAACTTTCAAAAGACAGCCGCTTATTGTCGCTCACAGCACGTCATACCATGACCCAAAGTGCATTCACATACTGGATTTGCTTTAAGATTGACAAACATAATCTCCCAGTCGCAGTCCGTGTAGTCATACACCATGGCAAATGAAGAGACAATGGAAAGCTTAGGTTAGTATGTATCGACGATAAGATGGACAAAAAAGCAAAAGCCAAGCTCCAGATTGTTCGTATAATTATAGTCACAGAAAGCATGCTGCAGCACATCCTTGCAGATGTGATAACAACTTAAATAGCAGCAAAACTATACCCTATTTGGCCATTTTCAGTGGAATCAATCGTATTGCCTATCGCTTACAGCTTGGAACCAACGACACTTCCACCATCTAATGTGATTGTCGCTCCATTCACATACGAGCCAGCTCGGCTGCTCAGGAACAAGCAAGAACCTGCGACATCCTCGGGAGTACCAATACGACCCAATGGAATACCCGCCTCGATACTCTTTCTGTGAGCCTCGAGAGTGGCAGCCATCATCTTACTTTCGAACGGGCCACAAGCCAGCGAATTCGAGCTAGAAAACACGAAGGTTAGCCAAGACCATGGAAACTAGCTGGTAAGAGGCACACGAACGTTATATTTCTTCTTCCAAGGTGGTTTGCAAGCACTCGACTAAGGTGGTGCAAGCCAGCCTTGCTAGCGCTGTAAGCAAATGTCTCCAGGGCCGGGACTCTCAGTCCATCAACGCTTCCGATGTTGATAATACGGGAGGGATCGTTTGGTGTAGCTGCCTTCTCCAAGAGTGGCGTGACAAGTCTGGTGAGGTCAAAGACCCGATGGAGGTTGAGTGTGAGGACTCGGGTCCAGGCAGAGGATGGGTATTGATCGTAGGGGGCGCCCCAGTTCGAGCCGGAGTTATTGACAAGGACGTGAAGTTCTGAAAGCAGCAAATTAACTCGAGACCTCTTTCAATGGGCATCTCAACACCACTTACTGCCTTCTCTCTTTGCAAGCTCCTCCGCCAACTTCTGGCATTCTTCTTCCTTGTAGAAATTGGCTGGGATGGCATGCGCTTTGCCCTTGCCAAGCGCATTAAGTTCTTTTACCGCTTGGTCGCACGCCTTTGCATCTCGAGACGAAATATAAACAGTGGCGCCGTTCGATACAAATCCTTCGGAGATCATGCGACCGATGCCTTTGGCTCCGCCGGTGACCAGCACCACTTTGCCCTACAGAGGCCATTAAGTTAGCGGAGCGGATCCGGCTGGAGACCTGGACTTTCAACCTACCTTGACATCAAAAAGCGACTGTGAGTCCATGATATCACTATTATTATTTCAGGAAAAGATAAAGAACAAATCCACAAAAAAAATAAAGCAGGATCAGTCAAGTGGATGTAAATGAACCATGTTGGAGAGGAGCCACCAGCAACTCCTCATATACCTTCGATGATGGCATACCCGACTCCCCGAGATTACGCAGTGAGGGAAACGTGCCGAGGCATGCGGGAGTCGGAGTACTATATAGTCCGACGGGTGACGCCATTCCTGTTTGGGATGTAATTAGGGCATGTCAGAGAGGGTTTTGCGGGGCAGCTCTTCTGCTAATCCCACCTGTTCTGATCGTCTGTTGTTGTCCCGAAGTGAACAGGTATTTACTCACTGGTGTTTATAAACCTTTTGGTCTGTTGCATTTATCTTGGACTCTACTTCCTTAACCTGCATCGTTTGAATTTTACAGTTGTTGATTATCTTTTCCCCGTGCAAAATGGAAGAATTGCTGGCCAAACACCGAAAAGAACAGAAAGATGTCCAAGCGCGAATTACGCAGAAGAAAAAGTCTGCCACCAAGAAGACCCGCAAAGGCGTGAATGATGAGTGCGAAACTCTTCAACGGGAGCTTACTGAGCGGCATCAAGCAGAGATTGCGGCCCTGAATGGCGAGCATGCCCAACCAGTCGATGGCTTCGAGGACCTTAGTCTCAATGAATCGGGAGAAGGCGACGGAGCTACAGGTGAAAAAGATACAAATGAGGATCTGGAAAAAGCGGACAAAACCCCCGATACGAATAATTCTTCAACACCGGAACCGGCCCCTGCCGCACGAGGTAAGAAACCGAATCGACAGAAGGCCCGTCTTGCACGTCGCGCGGCCGAACAAGCGGCCCAAGCAGATATTGCCGCCGAGGAGGCTTCAAAACAAACAAACCATCGTGGAAACGAACAGGATGTTATGAACGGTGTTTTCAAGCAGTTCGATCTGAGCGAAATTGAGATCAACCCAGATGGACACTGTCTCTACTCAGCCATTGCCAATCAGTTGGATGAGTCAGGGATCGGTTTGACGCCTGATCCTAAGAGGATTGCCCTGCAATCTACCACACAATCTCGCGTGGATACCGTTACCTCGCCGAAACATGATGGATATCGGGCGGTCCGAGCAGTGGCGGCAGATTTTATCGTTGAGCACAAGGACGATTTTGAGGCGTTTATGGAAGAACCATTTGATCAATATACTCGGAAAATCAAGCTTACGGCAGAATGGGGAGGCCAATTGGAACTACTTGCGATTTCGAGAGCATACGGTGTCAACTTCAACGTCATCCAAGGAGATGGTAGAATCGAAAAGATTGAGGCTGGTGACATCGAGGAATTCGAAGAAGAAGAGAGGCAAAAGAGGGTGTTTTGGCTGGCATACTACAGACATACCTACGGGCTTGGGGAACATTACAATGCCCTTGTGAAGAAACCTTAATAAATCTCAAAGATATACAGAGATTGTCTTTCAGAAGATAATTCCAATGGATTTTCCAGCGAGTGACGATATTACGATCTAATTGCGTCGACGCCACACCGACACGCGATCTTGGATCACTCCCTGTTCATCTTTCCCATTTGCATGCGTCCGAGCCGGCTGAAAATGTGCGACTCGCTCAAGACCGCGCTCACTTGATTCTCTGAGAGGATTGTTTTTGGCGAAGCCCTGGGAGTCATAGGGAATATCTTCGCCCGGGTGGCTCAGATGTTCCATGTATGCCTCCGAGGATAATCCGTATGGCGGGCCCGGCTTCAAGGGATCTTTGTGCCTTGGAAATTCGAGGCAGATCAGATTGCCAACAGGCGAGGAGGTGAGAAGCTGAGTGTGTCGGAGAGCCCACATTGGACGCATCGATGGACTCAATGCGCAAAGGAACTGCAATTAAATACCAACAAAAGTCAGCCAGGATATTTCGTGGGAAACCATGCATTTAAGAAGATAGACCAAAAGAGCGACAACAATGGGTTGAATTACCGAATAATCATAAATCAAATCAAATTGATTGAACGATAGGTTCAATTTCTCCAACCAGTCATTCTGGAAGAAATCACCCTGCACAAAGATAATTTCTCCCTGACCAACCTCTGGATCTCGAACAGGATATCTGTGCCCATTAATCGCCTGCTCCGACTTGCAAGCCTCCACTCCGGCAGCACTATATTCAAGACCATAGGCATCATAGCCAAAGCTGGCCAGAAGGAGAACATCAAATCCTCTTCCACAGCCTGGCACCAGGGCCTTTTTTCTATACGTCTTGTCCTGTGCATGGACAAGTGGACCCCCGATCGTCGATCGTTGTTGGATTAAGGTATCCTCGAGGGCTGGGTTGGGAGAACCCTTATCCCAGGGAAGAGTGTCATTGTCCCAGAGCTCAGCCCAGCCTTTGAGGTACTGGTCGCCTTTGTACTTGGCCAGGGTATCGGGGCCGATGGTTTCGTACAGAGGGCTACCGGCTAACAACATCTTAAGAATAAGCACGTGGAATACAGATTAAAGTAAATCGATCGATCGAATACGATTGCAATTTGATTGCGTGATTTGAATACTCTATGGCTAATTTATATTTTCTGCGTGGAAACATGAAGATGCGGTCAGGGGGATCGTGTACAACTCATCGTACGTCTAAAGGGCAGATCCGTGTACTCTGAGTAGAGCCACGTAACCCGGCGGTACACAACTTTGTTTGCGTCAGCCTTGAATGCATTCGACAAGCAATTCGTATTTACTACACCGCGTCTAGCCTACGACAGATCTGAAGCTGAGATCCCCGCTGTTCTTAAGCTTGGAAAAGCCCCGAGTTTCCCCACGTTGTTATTGAATCTCTCCATAATTGCTTATATTGGCTCTTTTGCCCGTAGTACATAACTAGATGTGCTGTTTTACTAATAAACCCACATGTCTGCATTCTACATATATTATACTAGATAAGTTAGTCCTATTATATTTCTTCCATATACTTGTCTCCTAATCCAAATAGAATGGTTTGATACTGTAACTAATAACTATATCCAAGTACCCACCGTGAAATGCTTGACCTCGGTAGGCTCGGTTCGAGATTGCAGAGCGGAAAAGACCGCCCCCAGCATTGCCGACACCTCCAACCAACGGATACCGGCACGTTGGAGGGCGCTAGAAGAGGTTTCATCTGGCTGTTTGGATGGGCGATCGTCGCAGGCATGTCAGAGATTGCGAATCAAGCATCATTAATTACTACCAGTGTGATATATCTTCGACTGGCAATGATGAGGGCAATGAGTCAAGGTACCTGGTAGTGTTGCTGATGGCGAATCTTCGGGGCGAGGATTGCGATGGACAAGGACCATTAATAATGACGATAGACTGGATGTCTGGAAAAATATCCATGAGTGAATCTGATGCCATCCGACTATTGGTTAGTGTTGAAAAATAGAAGGAGCAAGTGGGGAGTGACTCCATATCCATGCCTGCCTGAAAGATAACGTTCACTTGGTGTTCCCCTTCTCTTCTTTCTTTCTTTCTTTCTTTCTCTTCAGTTTCTCTCATATTCAAATTGTATCTTACCAGCGTATGGGACTTATTATCGTCTCTTTATCTTCACTACTTATTAACCGCGCTGCAAGACTTGGATATATCAGTCTTACCGGCTATCTTTCGACGGCTCACATCATTACTGATCTCCAAGCCCTGTCTCTTGTCGCTTTCGATCCCAATGTCACAGAAAGAGATTATTGACACCATTAATCACTAATCATATTCTATCCACCTCCAGAGGCGGTATCCATCTTACCGTGAAGCAAGTGTATACAAAAATGTCCTCGTCCGATGTGGAGAAGGCGAGGCCATCCTATCCTATCCCAGCTGCAACCAATGAGTCAGTCGTGCCTCACAGAGAAGACTCGGACACAGACATTGACTTACATTCCTTGTCCCCGGACAGGAGTCCACCAAATGTGTATGAAGAGAAAGACCAGCACGGGCCCGTCACCTCTCACTACCCCGATGACTATGAGGCGGCGATAACCGTGCCGAGATCAAAGCGTAGAGGGCTTTTTGGTCAATTTACTCTGCTGGCAGAAGTTGAAAACCCCAAGGCCTATGCTCGAAACCGAAAATGGTTCATCACCTTCATTGTCGCGGTCGCAGGTTCCACGGCGCCAATGGGGAGCTCAATCGTTTTCCGTAAGTTGACGCCGTTTGGCTCAATATTCAATTAGTTCGGCCTGTTGACAACCGATTAGCGTCTCTGTCTCAAATATCCAAGGAAATGCATACAACGACTACAATCGCTAATCTAAATATCTCCTTGTACATGCTTAGTATGTCCATTTTTCCATTGTGGTGGTCATCGTTCAGTGAGAGGCTGGGTCGACGGACAATATATCTCATCTCCTTCAGCCTTTTTGTCGTTTTCAACGTCCTCTCTGCCGTTTCTCATTCCATCGCGATGTTGATTGTGATGCGGATGTTGAGTGGCGGTGCATCTGCATCGGTTCAGGCAGTCGGTGCTGGAACCATCGCAGATATATGGGACACCAAAGAAAGAGGTCGTGCCATGGGTATCTTCTACATGGGTCCGATGTGTGGTCCTTTGATAGCCCCCATCGTCGGCGGTGCTTTGGCCCAGCGCTGGGGTTGGAGAAGCACCATGTGGTTCCTCACCTGTTTCGGCGCAATGACCGTTCTGTTCATCTTCCTCGCGCTCCCTGAAACGCTATCGAAACCGAAAACTTCTGTTGCAGAGACGGGTGACGACCAATCTGAGCCAATCGGACGTCGGTTGAGTCGAGTCTCTTCCCGGCAAGTTGTCCAATTCACTACGAGATGGCTCAAGGTCCTGAAGATGGTTTTCTTGGACCCCCTGAAGATCGTGTTGTATCTGAAATATCCTGCGGTTCTCTTGACCGTCTATTATGCGAGTATCACTTTCGGTTCTCTCTATGTGTTGAATGTAAGCGTTGAACATACCTTTGGGCAGAGCCCTTATAACTTTTCCACCATCATTGTTGGATTGCTCTACATCCCCAACTCGCTAGGCTATGTCGTGGCCAGTGGTTTTGGGGGCAAATGGATGGATAACATCATGCAACGGGAGGCCAAAAAGGCGAATCGATACGATGCAAATGGCAATTTGATATATCGACCCGAAGATCGTATGCGCGAAAATGCTTGGCTGGGAGCTGTTCTTTATCCTGCAGGGCTGATCTGGTATGGCTGGACGGCCGACAAAGGAGTCTTTTGGCTTGTTCCGATGATTGCCAACTTCTTTTTTGGCATAGGCTCTATGCTCATCTTCAGCATGGCGACTACGATGTTGACGGAATTCATGCCGAAGAAGTCTTCTGCAGGGGTTGCACTTAACAACTTTATGCGAAACATCTTGGCCTGTGTTGGCTCTTTGGTGACAGCTCCGCTCATTGATGCCATAGGCAACGGCTGGCTTCTTACTATTGTTGGTCTGCTTGGCTTTGCGAGCAGCTCAGTCCTCTTTGTCATGAAGGTCTATGGCCCTCGATGGAGACAGAAGATGGATAGAGAGTTGTCATGACGGATTTGCTTTTTGGATTATATTCCGGTGTCATGGTCTGCGCGGACCTTTAATATCTCGGGTTTATGCGGATTAGTAGGTCTATTTTTACCCATCATGGTCACACAGCGCTCAATCCTGGCGAGGTACTGCGATGGACTGTAATGAATCTTGTGATGAGTCTTTTCTTGATGTGGCATGTTGTTAGTATTCTGTCTTTGACGAGCATACTGTATCTTAGGCCCTTTTGCATACTGTCATTGTTTCTGGGGTTGGAAGAGGTCTGGATGAAAGAGAAGATCCAAGATTATGCTTGAAGATACCCAAGGCCAAAAAGTGAAGTTATTTTTAGCGATAATCGAGATCGATCTGACGATGCCAGATGTGTTTGGTATGCAGCGTAAGAGTGGTACTGGGACGGTGCCTAATGAGCAGCAGCCCGTAAGATGAAGATTTGATACCCAAGCCTGACACTGACAGCTCTGATGGCTGTTTCCTGGGTTTATTCTGAAGATAAAGTCTGTTTTAATGGCCACGGTGGCTGACAAGTGTCTTTGATGAAACAAAGAAAGGATCCAGAAAGGCGACAGATATGGGGGAATCCAGCTGTCTCGCTACTACATAGTGCTATAGTAGATGTACAATCCACCACCAACAAACATGTGGGGCATCAGGCCTTGACAGACGATCATTTTCTGAATGCTGCCGTCTGACTGGACAGAGGACGGTCAGATATTCTGCTGATTTCCTTTTGCTTCTGGATGGAGGGAATATGATGGATTCCCGCCATAAACGCATTGACGGTCAGCGTGGGATGATTTGATTATGGACGGCATTATTTTGGGCATTATTAGAGGGAGACTAAAACTGAGGCCACGAATGATATAGGATCACCGGATCAGCGTGGATATGATGGCAAATAAACCATAGGCATGTTTGATACATGGGCGGAACACTGCATTAGGTTGTGCGATGGTTATAGGATTTGCAGTAGTAGTATGTAGTAACGGATTGCAACGGATGAAGATCCATGGAAGAGAAAGAATGGAATTCCCCTCATTCGGGCCGCTGCAGTGGCATCCATGGTTTTGATCCAGGGGTGCGTTTATCCACAGTCTGTTGGTTGTATGTATAGTATTTTTGTTGTTATGCGGTCGAGTCTTCCCATTGATCATGGTGATGATCAATCATAACCCCAGAATTGGAAAGAGGGGGAGAGAATTCCCTGATATCCATCCATGAAGCCATTCAGAGCCATTGAGTGTATACCATTGGTTGCATCTTAGAACCTACATTAGACCATGGTGGACGCGTGTTGTAGTGGTAAATAACAGGATGTATGCATTGTCGACGAGTTGCCATTTCTCGATATGCCCGATCAGGCTGGATGGGAATATCAAACCGCGATTTATCGCCATGATTTGTCTCTGTTGACTGACTCTAATTATCTTAAAGCTGCTCTCGTCCAGTTGTTGTTCACCACATTTGCTGTCGGTATCTGTCAAAAATACCAATACGTATCCATACCAGCCATTCTTACCGCTAGTCCCACCGTGGATGCCCCGCCAGCCAATCAGCGCCTGCCAGAACAGCAGCGCATTGAAGCTCGCCTCACCCGGTTTGGCTTCTCTTTCTCTTGTCTTCTCTTCGCTTTCTCTCCCTCTCGCTCAGGTCGCACGCGGTCCGTCCTGCAATCCGACCTGTTCTCCTGCATCAGTATTTTTCCATTCCATCTTCAATTCACCATTCGGATTCAGTATGCAAGACCAGGACGTTGTTTTCCCCTCTTCTCTGATGGAAGGAAGGGGGGAGCAGCACTGATCCAATTGGAATTTCTCTCGAAACCCAGTGATCTACTCACTAGCTGCTGAATTGTTCGGTCTTGAGAAAAAGAGAGGACCCAGTCGATTCTGTGGAGACCTGTTTTTTTCTTGCCTCTTGCTTTTTGCTTCATTTTTCTCTGGGGCATATTGACACAGGTACGGGGAATATGACGATGTATTGAGGATCAGAAACTGGGTCCCTGCATCCCATTTGCCGCCGTTGTCTTGTGTGTTTCGGTGTTGTTGGGCAGAAATTTCTCGTCATGCATTATTATTATTATTTTTTTATTTTTTTTTTTTTACTCTCCGGTCTCGTCGCTGCATTCGAACGCCTCCCTGGTGCTGTGCTTTGCTTTGCTCTATCTCTTGCTCATCTCATCTCTCTACCACTAATTGATTCAGCCTTCGCTTCTGGTTGGCATTGATCGATCGCATGGATCTTCTCTTTTGTCTCCTGATACGTTGCTCACTGTTGTATTCGCTCTCCAACTAACAAATCAACTAATCAATGCAGGCCAGGCAAAAAAACAAAACAAAACACCAAAATTACTGCGCAGTGGCACCACCCCCACCATCATCCCAGCCCCATATTGGTTCTTCCCAAAGTCCTAGATTGCACTGCTTCACTATCTCGTCCAACCCGGTCCCCGGTCTCCGCTGCCCACTGCACTTCCTGCAGAGGGGAAAACCGTGCTGCTTTTCTGCCGGCCCTAGTCATGCCTCTAGGGCTTCTCTCGACATGTCTATCATCCACCAGGCCCGTGAGACGTGGCCCAATGATAGCAGATGCCGTTGGGCAGGTTCATCAATGACGTCCCGGGCCCCGAAGAAAAGCTTACTGTTGCTCAACCTTTGGTCCCATCGACCTGGGTGGCGGACGAACGACGATACGTTGCCTCGCTTTGTTTGGCGGGGGAGAAACGGGGGGATCTCATGCTTCGATTTCTTCTCCATGTCCATATTTCGGTCCTCTAATACATCAATCGTTGCTCTCGTCTTTTTCCTAGTTTCGCTCTTTCCAAATAATCCCTCGTCTATTGTCGCCTTCGTTTGGCATCCTTTTTCTCCCAAACCTCTTTCTACCCTATCAGCCCTGCCTAGATCCTGATAGGCACATGTCATATTTCTCTCATTGATCTATCTATATTTGATTCATTGCCCTCCCTTTCAGCATTGTTGAGGCCCTCTTATAGTTTAATGATACGTCATTAACCGAGGCCATGGGTAAAGGAGGGAAGAAGAAGAACAATAAGAATAAGAACAATAACACCGCCAATCGAGCCCCGGTAAACAATAACGCAGCTGCTGCCCCTGCTGAGCCTGAGCCCGTCCCCGAAGCGGCGGTTGAGTCCGCAGAAAATGGAGCTACCACAGTATGCACAACTTCCCAAGTTTGAATATCAGACATTCGAGCGTCAATACCAGACCTTCGACCGTCATACCTTGCAATCTTCGTTTTATCCTGTCAATGATTCCTCTTCTTCCGATCTGACGCCCGATAATAAGGATCAGGACAACAACCCCGCCGAACCTGCCCCTCCCGCTGAAGATGCCCCAGTAGATGAAGGATCAAGTAGCCCCCCCGCCGAGGCCGGAGGTGAGTAAAACCTACAACTTCTTTTCCTAACTCCTCTGGAGGGATGTGGAAGACTCAATTCTCTTCCTCTCCCAAGAGGGGAGAGCGGGGATCTATCTTTTTTGGGTGTGTCGACAATGATCCTTACTCAACCCCGTCGCAGATGAAGCTCCGCCTGCTCCTGACGCCGACGCCGCTGAACCCGCCGGTGACCCTCCCGCGGAATCAAACGAGGGAGATGCTCCGCCCGCCGTAGAGGGCGAAGACCCTCCCGCTGAAGAACAACCCGCTGAGGAGCCCCCCGCCGAAGATCCTCCTACTGAAGAACCTGCCCCGGCAGAACCTGCAGAGGAAGCCCTAGCAGAGCCCGCAGAAGAAGCACCGGCAGAAGAAGCACCGGCTGAAGAAGCTCCCGCTGCAGATGCGCCGGCTGAAGAAGCACCGGTAGAAGAAGCACCGGCTGAAGAAGCTCCCGCTGCAGATGCGCCGGCTGAAGAACCTGCTCCAGCTGAGCCTGCAGAGGAGGCTCCCGCTGAGGAGCAACCTGCAGAGGAACCCCCTGCCGAAGAACCTCCCGCCGAAGAACCTGCTGCTGAAGAAGCTCCAGCAGAAGAACCCCCAGTAGAAGATCCTGCTCCGCCAGAGGAGCCCGCCGGAGAAGTCCCCGCCGGAGAACCCGCTGCTGAAGAAGCTCCCGCCGAGGAAGCTACCGAAGAACCTGCTGCTGAGGAGGTCCCAGCCGAAGAAGCTCCTGCTGAAGACCCTCCAGCTGAGGAACCTGCTTCCGAAGATCCTCCCGCTGAAGAACCTGTCGCTGAGGAGGCTCCAGCCGAGGAACCCGCTGCCGATGAGGTCCCAGCCGAAGAGGCTCCCGCTGAAGATCCTCCCGCCGAAGAACCTGTCACCGATGAACCTGCTGCTGCAGAGGAAGCTTCCGCTGAGGAAGCCGCTACAGCGGAAGAAACCCCGGCAGAAGATCCTCCTGCAGATGAGCCCGCTGCAGCAGAAGCTGAAGAGGCCCCTGCTGAGGAAGTTCCGGCTGAAGAACCTGCTGCAGATGTCACAGAAGAAGCTCCTCCTACCGACGAGCCCGCCGCCGCAGAACCCGAACCCGAACCAGTAGCCGAAGAAAATCCAGCCCCAGAAGAAGCTCCAGAAGAGGCAGAAGCACCAACTGAAGAGACTCCTGTTGAGGAGACACCCGCGGCTGCAGAGGCTACAGAGGAAGCGCCTGCCGAAGAGCCCGCTGCGGAAGAAGCGCCTGAAGCACAGGCTGAAGACCTACCGGCAGAAGAGCCAGCTCCTGAAGCTGTAGCTGAAGAGGCTCCGGCTGATGAACCGGCTGCGGAACCGGTTGTAGAAGAGGTAGCAGATGAAACCCCCGCTGAAGAAGCTGTCCCAGATGAAGAGCCAGCTCCTGTGGAGGATGCCCCGGCCGAGGAACCTGCCCCCGAAGAACCCGCCGCTGAAGAGCCCGCTCCTATCGATGAACCTGCTGCGGATGAAGCCCCTGCTGAAGAACCGGCTCCTGCGGATGAAGCCCCTGCTGAAGAACCGGCTCCTGTGGAGGAAGCTCCTGCTGAAGAACCTGCCCCTGTCGAAGAACCTGTCACTGAAGAAGCGCCTGCTGTTGAAGAGCCAGAGGCTCCTGTTGAAGAGGCTGCCCCAGCTGAAGAGCCAGCTCCTGTGGAGGATGCCCCGGTTGAGGAACCTGCTCCTGAAGAGCCTGCTGCTGAAGAACCCGCTCCGGTCGAAGAACCCGTCGCTGAAGAAGCTCCTGCCGAGGAACCTGCTGTAGAAGAGGCAGCAGAGGAAGCCCCCGCTGACGAACCCGCCGCTGAAGAACCTGCTCCCGTCGAAGAGCCTGTCGCTGAAGAAGCACCTGCTGAGGAGCCTTCTGCTGATCGAGATATTGATCTTGCTGAGGCTGCTCTTGCTGCCGGTACCGGTGCCGTTGCCGGTGGAGCCATCGCCGCTGCACATAAACCACGCAGAAAGAAGAGACGGTCCCCCAGTCAAGAACGTGATGAGCGAGAGCGACGCCATTCGAAGAGCTCCTCTGATGGTCAGCGATCGCAGCCCCAATCTCAGAAGAGCGATCGTGGCATTTCCAGTCGATGGAGTAGGTCGATTGAAGAAGCCAAACGACAACGCGACGAGAAGATGCGACAGGAGGAAAAACGACTCAAACAAAAGGCTCGAGCCCTGGAGAAGGAACGGATGGCCGTAGAGCAGGAGAGGGAGCGGATGCGGGCCAAACGAATCGAGCGCGCTGAGAGGGAGAAAGAGGCCATGGAGACCAAATCAAGACATCGCACATCCGAGCACTCGGGAAGTGGTGAACGTGAGCGTGAACGCGAACGGGATCGTGGCGACCGTGGTGATCGTGATCGTGAGCGCGAGCGACGAGCCTCGAAACACGCCGCAGCATCGGGATCCAAACCCCGTGCCTACCTCCAGTACATGCGGCCTAGCGAGGAAAGCAACGGGCCCCTTCCCAAGGTCAAATCGTCAGCCAATCCTCGACGAGCTTCCACCAGCCATCGCCATTCCTCCGATCGTCATTCCAACGAGGATAGCAAAAGATCCACGGAGCGATCGAGCGGGTCTCATCACAACGAGGAGGAAGACATCGCTCGGCGCGAGCGCAGAGCCCGGAGAAGGGCTGCCGCAGAAGAGGAAGAACGAAGAGAGCTTAGAGAAAGAGAAAGAGAAAAGGAGAGAGAGAAGGAGAAAGCCGAGCATCGCTCCCGTCATCGCCATAGTGGTAATGGAGAGGCGCGTCACCGTCGACACCGACGGGATGTATCAGTACCGCGTGAGTCGAAATTGAAGGGATTCTTCAGAGCAATTGCCGCTCATTGATCTCTCTTCTCCCTCCTTACTCGACTATTTTTACGAACTTTTTTTTTTTTTTTTTTTTTTCATGCTGTGTGGCTTTCTGTTTTGTTTTTGGATTTATGATTTCTATGGTCTGTCCGGTCACGAAGTGATGGCAGCAACTGTATACGATATAGCGTGCATGACAGCGAGCGAAAGGGTAGGAATTGTGACTTTTTATGAATAATTGTTGGTGGCCTTGTTTTATACGTTGCTGGCATTTACTTCATCTTTGCATCATTCTATACTTATCTTCTTTTTTTGCATTTACTTTGCGCTTTTCTTGTACTAACAGGATTTGTTGAATACATCCAATTTGTCTAATGGATACGCATTTATGATTCTTCTGGTTGAACTTCTTATGTCCCGACTGAGGTGGCATGGTTTTGGCGAAGACAGCTTATTACACCACTGGAACCGCCATTCCATCGCCTCTGGGATCACTACCAGCACTATATACCAGTTTTCCTTCATCATAATGGCATCGAATTACTTGTCCTCGGCCAAACATGCCTCTCTTCCATCCGGTCAAAACTTCAACCTGGTGGCCAAGTCGCCTGAGACCCTCAATGGCTTGGTCACTTACTCCCTCTTCCACATACACATTCCGGTCCACACGCTTCCCTAACTCAGGGGAGCCAGCAGCGATACAGATTCGTGGAGCATCCAACGCCGCTTGAGGGTGGTACTTGAATGCCAGCATGTTCAGCAAAACCTGAACATGACCCTGCGGTTGCATGAAGCCTCCCATGACACCGTACACCGAATGCAGAGAGCCATCAGAGATGTTTGTGATCATCGCGGGGATAATAGTGTGGTAGGGACGTTTACGTGGTGCCAGAACGTTTGGATGGCCAGGGCTGAGGGAAAAGTTGGCGCCTCTGTTCTGCAAGGTAAAACCACATCCCTTAGGGATGATACAAGTACCAAATCCGCCATAGTTGCTGTTGATAAAGGAAATTCCATTTCCTTCCTTGTCGGTCACGCCAAAATACACCGTGTCGCAGTGATTGTGGGCCGGGCTTCCATGGTCGAGAATGTCAGATGCCTTGTCTGGGTTGAACAACTTGGCTCGCTCCGCGAGATAAGCTCGTGAAATGAGCTCTTGGGATGGGACCTTCTCAACATCCGGGTCCGTAACCCACCAAGAAGCATCTGCAAAGGCAATGCGAAGACTTTCAATCACTGCATGGAGGTACTCGGTCGAATTGTGCTGATCCTCGGTAAACTTTGGGATCTTGCCCAAACGTTCAAGTTCTTCGAGAATTCCCAGCGCCATCAAAGCCACGATACCTTGACCATTCGGGGGATGTTCCCAAATCTCTACTCCTTGGTTTTCCTCGTCATCCGTGCCCGGAGTTTGATTCTCAACTATGTTTTGGCCCGTGAACTTGAGAGAGATAGGGTCCACTTCCTGGCTTCCGGTCTTTGCATGAGACTTGAGATCATCAAGACTCAAATACCCACCGAGATCGCGAACAACCTTCACCAATTCCTCCGCGACCCGACCTTCATAGAAACCCTTTTTACCTTCGGCTGCCAGCGCTCTGAAAGTCTGCGCCAAGGTTGGGTTCTTCATGATCTCGCCAGGCAACGGGCTTCTCGCTCCATCTGTGGCCTTGAAGTCTTTTTTGAGCATCTCTTTAAAGTTAGGTGATGCATTGCGAATCATATCTTCACTTTCATGCCACTAAAGATTATTTGTTAATGGTGTCCAATGATATCTTCGGGAGAATCCAGTGAATGGTTCAACTTACGAAGAATGATGATAGCTCAGATACGGGAAATCCTTCCTCACCAAGCTCGATGGCCGGAAGCAAGATCTGCTCGAGAGAAAGATTGCCGCTGCCAAATTTCTCGACTGTGTCAACCCATCCTGCGGCTGCGCCTGGTGTTGTCACTGAAAGAACACTCGACATGGGAATTCCTCCTGCATCGTTAGGCCCGACTTTCAAGTCCTTTCTGATTTTATCAAGCGTTGCATCGGCAGGATAACGACCCGATCCATTAAGGGAGTGGATTTTCTTTGTCTTGGCGTCGTAGAAAAGACAGAACATGTCACCTCCAATACCTGTCGAAGAGGGCTCGGTGATATTCAACGCAGCAGCTGTTTCCGCGTTAGTTGTCAGTTCAACCAGCCTAACTGAGGACATCATAGGATGACTTGCCTACAGCCACAGCAGCGTCCTGTATAGGATATATCGGTTAGTATGGGATCACTCCAATAGAGGGGTTTGGACATACAGCAGCATTTCCTCCTTCCTTCAGAATTCTCTGGCCTGCAGCGGCTGCCAGAGGCTGGGTACAGGTAACGATTCCATTGGTGCTGTGTACGGTACTCCTCCTGCTCGAGAAAGGGACGAAGTCCGGGTTCAGCTTGGAATAAACGGCTTTTGAATTAAGTGGCATTTTGACCTTATGAGGGGAATTGCTCGTGAAGATATGGAAGTATTCGCCTCTATTCAAGGGCAATTGCTAGAGGAATTGAGGAGAAAAGGAAAATAATCGGAAATTAAAGAAGTAGACGGTTTAAATAGTACCAACGAAGCGAGGGTCTTCAGCGATACGATCTGAAGACTAATGGCAGTTCCCTTACCCCGCTATTTTGCCTCGGGGAGTCGAGTTGGAGAACGTCCCGGCTTATCTCGGCGGGGTTGTTATTGTTGCTGTTGTTGTGAGAAGGCGCACAGCACCCTGGAAGAGAGAATCCGATCAAGGATGTCCATCACAATGAAACTCCCTTCAAGCCTCTCGGGACTCAAGAGCAGTGAGTCTCTCCGTGGGAAAGACGCAGTTGGAGACAGACAGGAGACCTTCCTGTTTGGGACTGAGGGGTAACTTACGATGACATGATGATACGGTATTCAATACGCGTGACTTCCGGTTGTCATTCCGATAAGATAGCAACTGGAGCTCCCCACCACAACACACTCTCTGCTGTCGTCTCAAGAAGAGAAGGCACAAGGAAGTTCAAGGGAAAACATATAAAAGAAAGGCTTTCCGGTTACTCTGGAGTTTTCCCCCAGCATCGCGATCGTCGAGACCAACGCTGTACTGGTTCCGTGGAAGCAGGAGTATCAATCATAGCCACGTCACTACAGCTATCTCATTTACATCTCTTTCACATTCCATGGATCAGCTGGCCTGATATCAAATTCATCTTGTGTCTCATCGATGCTTGACTTTTTGGTCTAACTTTCCCAGTCTTCTGGATCCCACGGATCTCTTCCCCGCTTCATCTGATGGAAGCAGGATGGTAGTGTTTGTCGACTTTGACAATGATGCGTTCGACGAGCATCGCCTTCCTCAGGGCCCCGACTCCCTATTCCACTCCTATACCGAGCCGGGAAAACCTTCATTATCGAGGCTGACGGTTGTGGGCTCGGATCTACCTTCTCACCCTATGGAGACCTCGTCGGACGATCACCCCTCCGCCGATCTGACATGCGATAGTACCCCTCATACCCCTCCGGAACAGGAACAAACACCCAACCGAAATGCCTTTTCAGCTGCCTTGAGCTGCTATCCGTATGGAACACCGATGAACCAGCTCATTCTAGAGTTTGGCTCTGCGTCGTGCTAACACCAAGACCCCCAGGATCGTCACGGAGATCGCCCGACGTGTGGATCTAAATACCCTCCATGCCCTTTCCCGAACGTGCCGTCAGTTTCATGCGAACCTGACTCCATGCCGCCAGCAGCTGGTGAAACAGACCCTGCGCTGTGAGAATGAGTATATCGAGACGCTATCGGATATGCTGTCTAGCGGGGCGGCTATCCCCGATAGCGTCAAGTCCGTGATCCGACTCTTGAGCAAGGGTGCTGTGGAGTCCGGAAGACTTACCAGCGGTAAGGTTGGTAAATGTGCTCGGGATATGGTTGCAGAATGTCGGAGGTGCTCTAGGGTCGTATGCAGGGTATAGATAGACCCACTCCATGGACCACGAGGTGATCTGGGACTAAAAAATGCATTGATTTAGAACTGCACGATTAAACCTCCGACGACAGCCATGTTCAAGAACCGCGTCCGTCGTCTCTGCACCACCTGCTGTACGGCACCATTAGAACGTCATTTAACTTCCTCTGCCGTTCCCTCTGCCTCCAGCTTTACCACGTCTGCATTTATGCGTACTCCGTGCTCGTGCGACGATGCAGTCTGGCTTTGTCACCCGTGCGGACAGATGATCCGTAACAGCGACACCACTTATCGTCGAGTATGGACATGGCGCACTCGCTACAGCACGTACCTGGGTGGTCTAGGGACGGGGATCGGTGAAGGTTGTCAGGGGGTTAAATGCGGTCGGGGTGAAGACTGCCTAGCAGCTCAAGAAATCGAACTAGAGGTGGAATGTGGCTCCGATGGAGTGTCTACGAATTTCCACGATCTACACGGTTCCCATAACCACGGCGACGAGCAGCCTGGATACTTTAGACAGGAAATTGTCGGAATCGGGGGAGTCGTGAAACAAAAAGCGAAGAAGCGCATTACGGTTGGTGCCTGTGTGGTCGAGCATGAAGATGAGCGCGAAACGGGCAAGTACCTTACTCGGGAAGAGGAGAGACAGCAGCGCAGTTGGTGCGGATGGTGCTGGAGGGTTATTCCAGCCAAAAGTGACATTCATGAGATATAGTATACGTTAGGTTATGACTGATGAGCTGTAGATATGCATAAGTATATAGCAATTGAGTTTGGTATATCAGCACATGGATAATAAGACAGAACTAAATATAAAAAATGACATCAGGTTTATCAATTCTAGTCTAAGACAGATGAAGTAAATCCAAAGCATAAAACACCATACCCGAATGCATATCCACCAGATATAAAAAGATAAAGGTATGAAAAAAATCCTATCAGATAAGAAATAAAGCAGGAAGAAACGCCACTCGGTCAAAATTTCAATAAACGTAGTATAAAACTGTAGTATAAAGATATCTAAGTATAACAAGACAGGCAGATCAGAAGAGTAAAAAGGTAATGCGTATATATACAGGCGCTTTATAAAAACCCAAAGATCATATATGAATGGGTATATGCTAAACGAAGGACGAACAAAAGAGAGACGTTTGGCTGCTAATCAGAAAAATAAACAGACAATGGTATAAAGCGTAGATCAGAACAATTCATAAAGACATGGCTTGACAAAGGAAAAGGACAAAGGAAATTCAACACAAGGAAATATAAAAGGCAAAAGAAACAAACAAAGGGAAGAAGTAATTTCCTTCCCATGGGTATATGTGTATGTAGGAAATTTTTTGAATCGTTATTTCTCCGGCTCATGAATTCCGGTTGGAATGGCGATTTGATAAAAACTCCGGTGCGACCAGATCAGATGCTCTTTTTTTTCTTCTTTTTAATGGTTTTTTTGAGTGGAATTGTTCACAGAGTCCAGGCCTTCCAGCCCATGGGAGCTTGGAATTGCTCAATGGACGGGAGGGTCTGGTCATCGTATGACTGGTGATCGGCAGGAGCCCAGTTGGGAGAAGGGTAGTGGATAGGTTGCTGTATTCTGAGTCAGCTGTTGGTTCATGATGGCGAATATTATTCAGAGGCAACTTACAGGATGGTGGAGAAGGTCTTCCTGGAGAGGGATTGAAACCAAGTTTGCGTCAGGTCCCCAACAGCGCAGATTGGCGTGAGTTGGGAGTGGCGAAGAGGTCAAGTCATTGTCCAGGATGTTCTCGGGGTAGTGCTCAATGGTAGTCGCTGGGGTGGAGGAGACGGAAGACCGGGGGTAGGAGGCGAGAGAGAAGGTAGCGCCATCGGAGGACGGAGAGGGGCAAGCCTCCGGGGACGAGTAGAAGTGGTTCTCTTCTGTGGAATCCTGGATGTGGTGTTGGAAGATAGGAGTACGGGGCTGCAGAGGCATGTCCATTCCGTTCCACATGTAGCAGTCGTTGGCGAGATCAGGGTGGATGCCAGGAGCGACGATGGATCCGATAGACATGGTGTTTTGTTGTGTTGTAGGCAGGTAGGAAGGAGCAGGGCTGACAGGAGCGTATTTGGTGATATGATGGGGTTCAGAGACCATGTGGTGGTGGTGTTGCTGTTCCCATTGAACGGTGTTGTCCATCTGTGCCTCGAGAACGCTGGAAGCTGTTAGCTTTGTGTTTGGGGTGTATTAGGGGAAGGATAGAACATACTGTCGCTCCATGTGACGAGCCAGAAGGTCAGGACGGTGGAAAGCTTTCTTGCAGCCACGGTTGGTGCAGCGGAAGAGGGCCTCGGGGTTGTGGTTCAACTCATGGCGTCTGAGGAATAGATTGTTAGATAGGTTGGAGGAGACGGATAGACAAGAGGCATTACCTTCTGTGCTCAGCTCTGGTAAAGACCTTGTTGCAACCGGGGAATTCACAAGCATGGACACGCTTGCCCTTCTTGGCCTTGCTGATGCGATGAGTGGTGGGAGTGTAGGTGATGGGCAGAGGGATCTCCGCAGTGGTGGTTGAGCCGCTTCGACGCATGGTGGAGGAAGAGGATGAGATGGATGAAGAAGGTTTTGTAGATGTTGTTGGATTAGAAGAGATGTTGTTGTTGCTGATGACAGACAGAAGATGAATTGGCGAGTGGGGGGATAATATAGTTTCTGTTCCTGAAGCCGATCGTCTGGGCATCTCTGAGGAAATAAGCCTGATGGAGGGGAGAAGTGGGCTGTGATGTAATAATAGTATACGGCAGAAAAAAAAATAAAATTAAAAAAACAGGAAGAAGTTAGAGGAAAATGCCTCGCATATGCAAGTCAAGGGACAGGAAGGCTTAGAAGGGCCCAGGGGGAGGCGCAGAGATGAAGATTAGAAGAGATGAGAGAAGAAGAGAAAAAGCGACGATCTGAAACGGAGGGCGATGAGGAAGAAGAACTGGGGAGGCGAAGAGGAAGGATATAGAGCCTCCGGAGGATATGCGAGGTACCGAGTCAGCCAATCGACACTAGAAAGAGCCATAATATCGAAAAGAAGGAGATTGTAGTAAGCGACAGGATGATCCCGACAGCCAGTCTGCAGGGTGATCATCATCAATCCTACAGGGCTATGTCGGAGGAGAAATTGAAGAACAGCAGCCCGAAGAGGAAAAGGTACGGCCAAGGCAGACTAGGATTTGTTGTATGGGGAGGCACTAGGAGAGGAGGAGTGGGTTTTTTTCTGGATTGCGGCTGAGGCGCACTGGCAATGGGCCAAATAATGACATTCCATGATTCCAACGGTTCCAGTTGGGTTGGAAGCACAGATAATTGTCATTGGCGTCTGGAGACGATCCCGTCAGCTCTAACGATTCTATTTCGAGAGGCAGGATTGGAATCCTGTGTGTTGGTTGGGAGGGCGCTGTGATTGGTTGCATTTATTTTATACCTGTTTATTATTTTATGTACAGTATTCTCATGTGTATATTAACTTTGTAGCTATTTCCCTTTTCAGTACATGCTGGAACCTTGGTTCACTGTGTCCTGCCGCAGAGCCTACTGACACAAATAAAAAGAGAGAAAAGAAAGAGAAAAAAAAAATAATAAAAAGTAAAAAAAGAAAAAGAAAAGAAAAAGAACTGACCCACCGTCCAGGGCTCACTGGTGGATTAAAAATGGGCCCCTAGCTTAGCGCGGCTCCTTGACACCTGGTCATAGGGCCGTCTCGAGATAGGGTTGCGCCAGACCCGGTGGAAATGCGGCTAAAATCAGGCGGACTAGCCCTAGTCGGTGATTAGCGTGGTTAGGCACTGCCAGGATGGAGCCACTTCAGAGTTCCCCCCCTCAATTCCGTTCCGGCTGGTTAGTTATGTCGATTATGGATTTTATTCCTTTTTCATTATTATTATTTTTTTTTTTTCAAAAAACCATTTAATATTTTGCTCGGCTCCACTGACAAATGAAAAGCATTTCTAGCGGAATTAATTCAAATCAAAGCCTCCAACGGTGCCCTGCCAAGCAATCTTTACCTCTGGTCAGTGTCCACTCCACCCCCGACTAGTTTGTACAACATCGCAGAGCTTTCTCGATTGATTTGAATTCTCGACTTTGGCCAGACTAACTGTGTTCGGTATATCTTATCGAATCTGACTCTGGCTGTGCAATATGATTATATTAATGATTATGAATTAATATAGACTGCATGTATGTAGCATTCTGAAACAGCTATACATACTGCATACTGTACACACTTTGGACATACTCTGTAGGTGTGTAGAGAATAACACATGATACATCTGCATATCCAGCCCTGTGGGGCAGCTGTCTGGATGGATGGCGGCTCTGCCACCCGGGAGCTGGAATGGGTGCTCTAGCTTGTTTCATCGCGATGATCTAAGCAGTAGAGTCTGACAGACATGAATATAATAAATATATAGATATATTAATATGAATATATTATTATATGCACATTCCAGTACAGCAGCAGAAAATGTTATGAACATGTTACTTTTATTTTACTACTGGAAAGTGTACTGTAGACTGCGATGTAGACTAAGACTAGTAGACTCTCGGATCTCTCCCCATGGCGGGTAACTTGAGATTAACCACCGCCAACCAATGACAAGCTTTTCCGAGCCCGAACGAGCAACAAAAATAGTGGTCCAGTAGGAACGAGATTATTGGATGACAAATTGCGAACTTAATCTGTGTCTGGTTTGGTAGTCGAGTGCGAGATAAACAAACGGTGTGTGTAATGAGTAGAGGGAAATCAATATTGGAGTGTAAAATGCACGGAGTAGAAGGCGTCAACGGTTTCTGCCTTGAAGATAAACTACTGGGATGCTATTCCTGCTGCTAATAGTGTGGTTGTCTGAATACTGGGAACAACTCAAAGACCATTCGGGAAAGCGCCCAACGGGCAGGCACTGGTTCAGGACCAGTCACGTGAAAAGGGTCGACCCAAGCACGACCGGGATTTGAATCCTGGTGGACCGTATTGATACGGTATTTAGACAAATATACAGTAACCAACAGACAATCAAGATGTTATTGTCATTGGCTTCAGAATAAAAAATCATAATCAAAAAGGTTGAATCATGTATATCCTCGTGATGGACTGATGATTCTAATAATATAATATGGCATGCAGGAGGGCTGTATCAGATTCTGCAGTTTAACCTTTTGGCATTCAGCCCTGACACTGCCTCAGCGGTCAGGCAGGTTACACACATCTCAATCATAATCATGATTCCAGATCCCCTCGTGTGTGGAGAATGGGATTGATTCATTGATTGCCATTGAACATTCAACTTCTCCTTTATTGTAAAACTAAACGGACAATACCCGATAGTTGGAATTGTGATGAAAATCCAATCCAATCCTGAATCCTTTCCAATGAACCCCCTGAGTATGCTATTCTTGTAGAGTTGGCTGTATCCCAAACATGCAGAGTAAGCACTATCGTGTAGTCTTTTATTCTATTCATCCTGATCGAATTGGCTTTTCTATCTATCCACTTGCTCTTTGTCTGTAGATATCAATGCTCGATGCTTAACCATTTAACATATGACTCTAAAAAATGAGAAAGAAAACCGGGGAAGACGATCCGAATATCGGTAGGAATAGATCCCGTCCAAGCTTCCAGACAGTCACCCGGAGCCTCAACCTCTTTTAATGCAATTAATGAAATCAATATTCAGTCCACATAATAGAAGGTGGTCTAAGTCTTGTTCCGTCCGTAGTCCTGCTTTAGTTCTGCTTTAGTTGTTTAGTGTGGTCTCTCCCTCGGGCCCGAATCCCTTGCCTGGTTTGTCTGACAGTTGACCATCATCAAGCATAAAGTATGCGCAGTACCAAGCCAAGTGTCAGACTGCATGGCAACAGGGAAGACAAGAATAGAAGCATCAACCTTTACATTCCCCAAGTCCTGAGCATGCATGGCAAATCATGCATGGAAACTGCTGAAACACGAACTGGTCGAACCGGTTTGAAACGGGTGAATTCTTTTTGTGTTTTGACTGCGCCCCGATGGAGATGAGGGGGAATCTGCCTTGTTGGTGCCTCAGGCGGCGAACTTCGTTTAATTTTCTGTCATTCCGTTATTTGTCAATTTAGCACTGCTAAGGACTATGGAAGTAGACTTGTCAATCTGTCAATCATCATCACTTTTTTTCGACTAAGACTAGGGTTGATCCAGTGCGGATGGCGGAATCCTACGGGCGGACGATTCCGTCCATAGTCTCCTATTCAATCGACTATCATAAGATGGAATCACAAGCAAAGAGTACACACTCCCAATGCAGTTGGAGCGCTGAGCGGGCTGGCCCGATATAATAACCGCATGTGCAGACGACAGAGTGACAGAGTGTACATCCAGACCGAGTCACCGGAAAAACTCCCACGCCTCCGTTGGAGTCAGGGAAACATCCCGGACTGTGGAGTAGTGGTGGAGTGGCAGGATTGCGAAAAAGCAAATATCCAAATCCAGAACCAGACAGAAAAAAAGGGGGAGAGGACGGAGGATAATTCCATCCGTGATTAGTATTCAAATCATTCAACTCAAATTTGAATTTGAGTATTTGACATTTGAGACAGATCAAAGTTGGATTCATGATTCATCTCCTGGTCAGTGCTGATGCTCAATTCGTCCCGTCGTGGACTCCAGCCCATCAGCCAATCAGAGCACAGCCTGTTGTGACTAAACCAAAACACGGGCGGTGAAGCTATCCAGACATCAGCCTCAATAATGGAGTCTCGATGGAGTCTAATGGAATCCTCGTGGGAATATCCAAACACACGGATTCTGCCTCGAACATCAGTGATCAGGAGATTAGGGATTTTCTGAAACGAGTGGATATCTCCATCGTCCCGTGGCGGAGTAACTCTTCAGATCACTCCTTTTGCTCTCTCTACAGTCTACTCTGTATATCTAAGACGATTCCCATTGCGGATACCATCACGAGCTGCCTTCAGACTCTCAATAGCCAGCCACTGACACCAGCCCAGCCCTCTACCACATCCCAGTCCCATGAATCCTAACTAGCTGAGAGTCATTTGCCCTCATCCAATAAAACATTCATCCCAACATCCCAAAAGATATATATAACTGTTTCAGATCGAATCTCCCAGTCGATCCCGTTGTCTTTCTACCAATCACCGGCACTCCTTTCTGTTGGTTTCGACAGAGTACATACCCAGATAGGCAAGCTAGGCAATGAGTACGTATACACCACACTCTGTATGCATGTACAATGAGGTCATCTGTCACCGGACATATTATCTACTCCGTACACATCCAGCTCGCCGCATTAACCCCGAGAAAGGCCGATGGAGATATCGGACATGGGAATATCATCGGTCCGAATGGAGGCTGCATTCATGGATGATCCCTGTTTGCGTTATTGTTTGCTATAGTCGGGGTAATTTGATGCCGATGCGATGTGTCATTTACAGGCTATATCAAGCAATATTATAGCCGGCCTTGCTTATGTGAGTTGAAGGCTGAATGAACAGGAACTCAATCGTTGATATAGCCACATTGGGGCCGTTTAGCTTAATTAAAGTAGATGGCATAAGGCTTTACTTTTGTTCTCTGATGTGAGATTATAGGTGAGGAGAACTTCATTTATATTCTATATCCAGAATGGCAGTGATGGCTTTATATAGAAATATAATATCGAAGAGTGTACTACTTGAACCGAGAAGGTATTATTCCAAAGCATTGACTCGAAGCCTTGTTTGTTGTTCAACTGAGATGGTTGCTTGTTGGGTTGCCTCGAAGGAGTATTGCCTGTCGATAGCCTTCATGGATAGATAGGCATGTCAAGATGGCTGCTATGGACCTATACTTATCAGGTATGTTGCCTCATCAGCCCATGAAGCAAGCAGAAAAGCAATATTTATCGATATATTAGACTGATGTATGACGTTCAGCCCGAGTACTTTGCTTGACAGAGGCAAACATAGCACTCCATTGGATATGGTACTGGGTATAAGGATTAAAACATCATTATATATGCTTTATGGTATTCCTCGATATATCATGAGCATACCATGCATCTGATACTGAAAATCTCCAAGTCACTGGTATATGCTTCAGTATTATTACCCACTAATCTCATGCATGATCAAAAGGATATAGATATAGTCCTGTTCAACAGATCAATCCTCTGTCAATTTTATACTCCAAGGGGGTTGGTATACTGAAATCTTCATGAGGTAGTTACCAACTCCAATATTCGACTTTACGGAAGCCTTCCTTTATGATAAACCAGACAGAAACATAGATGGCTTTTTATATGATGCTGATATGGCTACTAACTATATATCTAGGTGCACTCCTCTCACTAGCTCTTCATATCCCCAGAAAATATAAACCCAAAATGTCGGGATGGTAATAGCCATCTCGGTATATCTGCCTGAATGTATCGCACAAAGAATGCCAGCAGAAGAAAGCTTCCATACAAGCCAGTCAATGACTCGACATACACATTATATGATGTATATTCAGACAATACTACCTCTTAACCTCGCCGGAAGCTTCTATCTATCACCTGCAGCCTTTATTTATCCAATGGCTGATAAACCTAGGTAGACGCTCTGTATTAAAATATAGCTATATATTAACTCCTACCCACCCTGACTGTCCTATTCTTGTGTCCAGCTGTTCAAGGCAGATATCTGAATCTGCCTACCTACACCCCACTTACATCCAATCTTGTAAAGCAAAAGCCATCACAAGTGACGTCAAGAGAAACCATCTGTCCCTAAGTCAAGACCAATTCCATCAACAGCCAGACTAACTGTTTTGTCAAACATGCACCAACCAAGCCACTTAGACCTGATGGACACCAGCATCCATAGAGATCTTTCGTCTGACTTTTGTCAGCAGGCGCAGATGACAAAGAGAAGGCATATATACAAGTCCACAGAAAAGACACCGTACGACCAGCCCTATGTCCACAGATCGGTCATGACAATTCTAGAAAGGGATGGGATCTTCCAAGCCAGAACGAGAAGAGGGACTACCGTGAGAAATGGAAGATTGCGCCATGCGTTCCTTTTTCTTTTTCTCGATGCCAGTGAGAGACAAAACACGAATCCATCTCTCTCTCAACTCTCCCTCCTCCAAGAAAGTAACGATGAACAAGACCTGCTAGTCATACAAATGCCTCTATCTCTATACTTTCACTGTCTTACATTGCTTGGGGATTATATTCCTCGATTACCCAAACAACTGACACGCGCTACCTAGGTCCACCAGCTAACAGAATCGAGTTTCAGGTTGAGTCGATTTGATGGACTATGAATCGAAGAGAAGCGTAATTGTACAGAACTAGCCAAGGTGATGATGGCTATACAGCCATGTGTAAGTATAGAGCATTTCAGACTACACTGTCTGTCTATTATGTCACATAGAAGAGTGTAGATGACAGCACATGTTCAGCATATTCACCTTAACCATGAGATCGAGAATTCAGACATGGAGTGACTATGGATCAACTTGTACTCTTCCACAGAACCAATTAATGCACGAGACTGACGGGACTGTAGTCAGAAGAGAAGATGGATCATAGAGACAGACAATGGGATGGATGGCATGATGGCTCTATAGGCTTCGCATAAGCCGACAGCGACAGAAGCTATAGGGTTGATGAATGGACGAGCATGACTGATCGTTGAGAGGTTATCAATACACCATATCTCGAGTACCCCATAAGGTATAGCATTAATGTATATAACTAGGTGTTCATATGTAGAGCAGAAGTATCTGCCACTTCATATTAACTACAGACCAGCATCTCCCTACTTACAACTCCCATCCGAAAACACATACAAGATTAGGGAGACAGGCACCGCAACCAACAGACCGTAGTCAGATAAACACGTCACACGAAAAGAAATGTAATGAAAGGGGGACCCAGCTCAAAAGGAGTAAAAATAAGGGTAAGTAAGATAAATCAAAAGATTCTGTTCACAGAAGAAAGCATCAATACACTGCCAACATCAAAACGCCTTTTCAAAATACAAGTTCACTGACAGACCTCCCGGGTCCAACTGACCCTCCCAGAAACCGTACAAGCCATATTGACGACATCCATGACGGGGTATTCCAGGTTGATCTCCGGCGGACCTCGAGGGTTGTTTACCCCTCCGCAATGTAACCCTGGAGAGAAGCCTACCTGGTAGGCTTCCAGGAACCACGCTCATTCAGTCGTCATAGTTGCCCAGGTCGTAGGCGAAACAAAGAAAATCAAAAGGTATAAAGCACCATAGCTTCCAGAAAACCCGGCTATTGCAGGCAGAGGTTGAGTGCACCCGGGAGGTGACAGAGAACTTGTCTGCTTAATATGCCTTCCAGATATCATAGCGCCGCTAAAAAACCCGTGCAAGAAAAAAAGAGCTCTCATAAAGCAATAAAAAACTGGACTAGCGAAGGTGGAATAAATTCGAATATGACATATACCAATCGTTGTGGATGACGGAGGAAAAGATACATCGGACAGCCGTTATCATCGCCCGGTGGTTCGAACGACATTCGACAGTTGGTCGGACGAGATTATCTTCGATCGGGATTGGTCACCTATTATCGCGTCAGTCGGCTATCGCTTTCATTCACGTATTTGACCAATTCCTTACCTGCAGGATTCGACGCGAGAAGTCTTGGTCGTCATCAATACTGCCATTGCTTTGGCGTCGTTGGGCCATAAAGTCACCGTCAAATCGCGAGTCAGATGCCGAGTTGGTGGTCATTGGCTTGCCGAAGTTGTCAATGGCTGCGTTTCGGCGGTACTGGTCCTCAACAGACTTGCGCTTCTTGAAGCGGTAGAGAAAGAATGCAGCTCCAGCAAGGGCGAAGAATCCAACTGTTCCGACGACGACACCCGCTGCAATGGCTGCAGTGTTTGGTTTGCTTGAACCTTTGCTTGCATCTGCGCTGGTTTGACTGGCAGCAGTGACGACTACTGTCTGTCCGGATTGTGTAATAGCCGCGCTTTGGTCGGTCGATGTGGGGTTGCCATCAGTGGTCGAAGTTGAGCTTGATGAATATGTCGAGACATCTGATTTGAGACCTGTGAGGAAAACGGCATATGCTTCCTTACCACCACCTGCAGTATCATGTCGTTAGCAAGAGTCACGCATGAGCGAGGTTAGGGATTGGAACATACATTTGCTTTGGGGCCAACCATCACACGAGACGTCACAGTCGTCGTCCTTGGTCTTTGATGACGATGGCGGGATTGAGTTTCCACACAGACAATTCGATCCCTTCCACAGAGCATATACAGCGTAATCTTTACCCTTGCATTTCTCTTGGCAATAACCTGTACTTTGATATGTGTAAGGCCCTTGATCTTCCAAGCCGTCCGAACTTGTGAAACAACCCTCTGACGTGTCGGCGATGGCGGCTGGGGCATTGGATAGGAATAGCAAGGCTGTGAGCGCCAAAGCCGAGCGCATTGTGAAAGACTTCATGTTGTGTCTAGACGATTGTCGACGGTAGTAATATAGTTGAGTACCTGCCCCAGGCACTGATTGGATTGATGGAAATATAAGGGACGACCCGCGTAACCCTTGTAAACTTCCGTGTTTGTTATAAACCCCTTTGTTGAGTCTCTCTCTCCGAGAGGATGACTCCGCAAGCGTATCGACGGGATCCTATTGACGTGTTCGACGAGGTATAGCGATGGTTGATGGATGAGAGAGGATAGGATGGTGATGTAGTGCAAGAAACGGCTCGTCTGGAGTCGACGGGGTTCCTGGGAGGGAACAACAGACTTTTAGGACCGGGTGTTTCACACTCCCCTAATCTACCGGGAGATTGAAATGAGCGACCTCGACGAGCGGAGCAATCGACCAAACACTATGCACCCCAAAAATTCGGAAGCCTCCTGTCGTTGAAAGACAGCGAACCGGTTTGGAGAGAAGAATCCAAGGTTAAGGGGACGAATTGTCGAGAGGCTGAAGGGTGTGAGGAGATAGGAGGGTCGTGTGTCGGGTCCTTTTTTCTTAAGGGTGATAATCAAACAATGGCAAGTCGAAGGAGGAAGATTAATGAAAGAGCCACAGGAGCCAAACCCGCCCGAAAGAATGAACGAGAGTGTGTCTTTGAGGGACTGGAGGGAAGGGCCTGGAGGAGAGAAGAAACCGAAGCGACTATGCAAAGGGAGGGCAAGGAGAGTTTGTCGTACTGGGGGTGAGGTGGATGTGTGTAAGAAACGAAAAATAATAAAAATAAAATAAAATAAAAAAGGACGGGTGGTGACAAGAAATTGCCTAGCAAAAAAAGATGTTGAGAGAATGACTGAGTGAGTAGGAAATGAGCGAGAGTGACGATGGAGGAGAGTGACGGTATTGCAGAAGAAGGGGGGGGGGAAGAGTCAGTAACAAACAGTAAGAACCTAAGTGTATGGGGGTGCAGAACGAAGGACGAAAGAGGTCGGGTCCCGAACGGCTCCTGACCCTGGGTTGAGCAAGAACGGTAAGTTTACATCCCGCTTACTGTATTTTTGCCGGGACCAGCCAGGGGGCTGCATTTCGTTACATAAGCCACCTCCCGTGCGTGAGGTCCCAGGGGTACGGCGATCCATTCCCCTTTGCAGACACACGGGCTGCTGGAATGGAGTCGTTGTTGGCATGCGCTAAACTGCATGCGGCAATGCTGTCGTCTGGTGCGACTCTCTGTGGCGGCGCTGTATTAATGAAAAGAGGGGATGATGTACATCGCAGGTCTGGTACGCTCCATACACACTTACCAGAGAACGGGTGACGTGGATAATACAGGGGATTACGATTGTAGAAAAAAAAAAAAAGAAGAAGAAGAAAGGAGATAAACAGAGCATGCCAGCATGTGTAGCCACCACATGGGAGATGAAGGGAGAGAGATCCGATGATATTGTTGCATGCCTTTTGTAGATTAAGCTGGATCTCTCTATACAAATAGTGGGTGTGCATCATCATGTGTGCCTCTCTACGACTCGAGCTCTAAGGGGGTTTCAAAGCACCAATGATGGGCGGAGAGGAGGAAAACCGGCGGATATTATTGCCATTATGTATGTATGCCATTGAACAATAATCGCTTCCTTGCTCCGCTGTTCTGTTTCTGTACATAGCGCTCTTAAGTCTTAAAAGGTGTGAAGAAATCCTACCACATAGCTTAACTAATATTTGCTAGTACGCTGACGAGGCCTTGTCTTCGAACGGCGTGGCTGTGCGGTTATCTCTTCTTTTCCCGCCGAGGTTCCGCAAGCGAGTCGACTTTCACAGCCTAAAAAATAAAATCCTTGAAGAGGGCCATTTCTTTTGATCCTGCGTAGCCGCTGGCCAATTACCGGGAATTTTCCGGAGGATGGACCACTTTCCTTCCCGTCTTTGGTCAGGCGTCAAATTAACGCTGAATTGTTCAGATTGTATGGCCACCGTTCAATGTCCTCTGGCATGAGGTGAGTTCTGAGTTAAGGATTGACCATCCTATCTGTGTAATATGTGTCTGTCTATTCTTGCTACCTGGTAGCTAGATCCCGGTCATTATGATGATATTTACGCTGTTATCCCATTTTTTCCATGGGTTCAGACGGCCACTCCCGGGCTGGTGGAGCTGAAGCCCTCCTGCAGGGCCAGGTTATTTTACGGATCTCCATACCCCGTAAAAAAAATCATGCAGGCTTCCTTCTGCCTGGCAGACCCACCCAGACCCTGGACCACTGGGAGCTCGCCCTGGCCAGTGGTACGTAACCTTAAGGTACGGTGCCTGATGAGGTAATCACATACATACGCCCAGGCACTTTGCAGCATATCCCTGTTTATACTCGATAATGCAGACGAGAAGACGGATAAAATCAAGAGTTATCAAATAATCAAAATCAGCTTCGTATGTGTAATTGTGTCTAGATGATAACTTTAAGATCATGCTTAAAATGCGCTGACTAAAGACGGGAAATCATGCCTCCTCCCAAACATCCGCAATCTCGCTTCTTGCCGGAGAAATCATGTGCAATTATCATCGAGATTGGAATGACTGTATCTGACCCTCTTGAAACATATTAATTCCACCTGCAATGCTGAAGCCACGGAAATATATGCATAGTTCATGTTGCTACGGAGTATACAAAGTACTCGTGAAGACTACGGATGTATGTACATACGGAGTGTCCGTTGTACTGTATGTATAGAGTACGGACTATGGACTTCCAATTGCCACACATCCGTAGACTCATCGGTGTATGTATGCATGTTGCAATGGCATACATACATGATACATCCCTTACAAATTGCAATTTGATTAACATAACATTGACTGACATTATTCCATTGCTGAGCAGCCGAACAGCACATGAAAAGACGAATTTCATGCCAATTGACAAATCGTCCCCCGTCCGGAGTACTCCGTGGGTAAAAAATCAAGCATTCCGCCTTTCTTACAAGGAGAAGATCAATCATTCTGGAAGAGCTGTTTACACTTTGTTGCTTTTTGGAATAAACTCAGCCACAGGTGCAAGGGATGGAATAGATGGTCAGAAAGGCAAATGGCAATAAATAACAAATAATACCCAACTGAACAACTCATCCTCGAATGTCTCTGTGCTTTCGTTGCCCTATAAGCCGATCCCCAAATAATGATGCAAACAGATGGGAAAGAATCTCCATATCCATATTTCCATGTCTGACTCAACTTACTCAATGAGTTGCAACTCCATACTCCATCTGGTATTGATAGTCAGCAGCATAGTAGTAGCAGGTAAATAGATCCTCCACCCAACCAAAAAAAGAACCATCCTCTCCACAAATGTGAACTGTTTTTATCATCTTTGGTTTTTCAATGGACAGGGTCCAATGCTTTTTTCTTTCCCTTGTTTTCTGTGTTTGATGGCCCTCGATCTATCGAATTCGCGGTCAAGGGAAACAAAACACCCTTCGGCCCGGTCTAGAACCTGTCACCACCCAGTCCGACGCACGTCTTTCTCTTTTTCTGTCCTCATTTTTCAGCTGCATACCCATTCAGTACAAGTGTTTTCATGTTTAATATAATCACAGCCAAGCAGACGTTCTAGATCTTTTCCTCCGAACGTTTGCTCAATGTGCTTCCGAATTTCCGTACACAGAGAGACCCGGGAATCAAGTCGATCGTGCCGTTGATTCCGATCATGATTTATCTAGTAAACTTATTTCCTCGTGTAACTACGGGAGAACTGCTCGGGAAATAGTCGGGGCTATCAGCCTCATGTTTCATTGGGCTGATTTGAGTTTCGTCTGGCAATTTACCAGTCATGTCAGTTCTCGTGGTTTTGCATATTAAGGTCATTTCATGGGCCGTGGTTCTAATCCAGCCAGCGTTAGTCAATACGGCAAGGTTAATCATTATTACTGAAAGTGACTTGATATTGACCGGAAACCGAATTCCATCTTCCAAGCAGTAGGTATCAGCTATATGTAAACGATTGGCCGCTGTGTTCATCGGTGTTTTCTGTATTCAATTCTTACTACGTAGCTAGTCGAAACTGAAATTCTTATACATGATATTCAAACATGTGCGCCTCTATGCAAGCAACTTTTCAATATATTGCACTATCTTCAATAAATGCATCATGTCCCCTTTTCGCTTTGGCTTCCTTTCGTATATAACTTTTCGTAGAATAACCTTTTCTATCGAGCAACGGAAACCAAAAACGGCGAGTTGAATCGCGTATCTATCCAGATTACAGTCTTCATGGCTTGGGGATATGTATCGACTTGCTGACCATTAGGCAACCGTGTAGAACAAACATCAGTACCACAGGGTGGAACTCGAAAGACGTACCCTGGGCAACAAGACCCAGCGGTAAGTCGTCGAGAATCCAGCCCTGCGACACCCAGTAGGCCATGAAGGACGCAATGGACAGCGTTGTCGGGATAGGTGTGCCTTCAAAGTACTTCGACTTGCCGGTATTGTCCTTGGGCAGAATGGCCACAGTCACGTTAAATCGAGCTAACCGTGTCAGGCCACAGAGAACGAAGAAAGTCAGGAACAAGTGATCCACGGGTGTGCGGATTCCGAGGGCGAACGCTGCGGCAGCGGGCGCAAGTCCAAATGAGATCTGAAGAAGAAACGGTCAATGCCACCCTGATTTACAGCCCGAAAAGAGATCCGCTTACCAAGTCCGCTAGCGAATCAAGTTCTTGGCCCATGAGAGACGACTTCTTCCTCCATCTGGCGATCTTCCCATCCATAAAATCGAAGAACATGCCAAAAGGCATGAATGCAAGAGCGGCCCAGATTGCACCAAGTTCAGATGGTTCTCCTAGACAGTATCGCATCGATGAGAAGACAGACATGACTGTTCGCGGAGCGGTCAGCGGCAATTCGCATAAACACGGAAATCAAGGTATCGGCTTGCCTCCACAAAATCCTATATTACAATGTACGGTCAGCAAGCATTTCAAAAAAGCGTTCCTTAAGAGCATCGAACACTTACCATTGAGCTCAGTAACCAAATCCGCGAGGTGCAAGGCCCTGTTTCGAATATTCAGTAAGATGCTTGTTTTAAGCGTCCGACGGCAAAAATCAAACTGACCTGATCATGCTAAAGTGACCTGTTTCTGCGGAAAGAAGCGATTTCTGCTTTTCCTGGCCTGTTGCAATCAATAAGCCTCCTTCCGTAGAGCACCAGGGAGCTCCAAGCTTACCACCATCGCTCGTAGACGGGCTACCGCTGTTCGGAGAATTGCTCGCCATGGTTGATGTCCTGCGAGACATGCTTAGACGAATGTCAGATAACGAGAAATGCTGCAAAGGCTTGCTGCAAATCACACCAGTTGCGACGTTTAAGAGAAGGGTTGCGAGGAAACAGTGATGAAATAATGGAGTTGGATGGCCGCTCGGTAGAGAATCTTGGGTCGAAGGAAGTGTTGACAGACGCACAGAGGCCTACGGTTCGGCGAGTGCAGACTAGACGTCATTATTCGAGGCGGTGATTGGCTACGCCACATCCAAGCCACAATGGAATAAAGTTGCTCCCGTCCGCTGCATATCGAAAATCATACGAATACGAGATGAAGGGACTACTGAAGATTCAGGTCTAATGGTTGAATGTGGCTGGCTGAATACGGTGATGAAGAGGGTCAAATAGTCAGTTTTCCCAAAAGAAGCAGTGCGTATCATGAGCTGGAAACCCGGCACGACACGATGCGAAAAGTTAGGTCGAAAGGCTCTGGCAGGATTTCTTATTGTCATAAGACATCGATTCAATGGCTGGATATATTCTACAGCCCCTGTTAAGAGAAGCAGCAATTTTTCCTAGGATGCACAAGATTGTCGAAAAAAGAAGGTTCCTGCAAAGCTCCCGATTTCCCCAAACGCCATAATAAGACAGTACTAGGCAAGACAGAGACTGTCTAGCGACGGAAGCCTCCACCACCACGAGGGGCTCCACGGCCACCACCTCTCGAGAAGCCACCACCACCGCGGGGACCTCCACGGCCACCGCCTCTGGAGAAGCCTCCGGCACCACCACGGAAACCTCCGCCTCTGGGACCTCCGCGTCCTCTGGGAGCGCCTCCACGACCACCACGGGCACCGCCTCTTCCAGCACCGCCAGCGCGCTTAACCTTAGGACCTGTTTATCATGTGTTAATAACTGCCATAACAGGGACCATGCAGTTGGAAATGTCGTCTTACCAGGTGGGCCCTTGGGCTTGGGGAGGAACCTAGATCGCCGAGTCAGTAATGTTTTTGGTATTTGGATAATGGATGTCACATACTTCTCCAAGGGAAGCAGCTTGTCGCCACCGATGAACACCTTGTCACCAGGCTTGAAAGAGGTTGCGACAATGCCTTCCTGAGGCTTGACGGTGAAGTACACCTGGTTGATGGGACCGAGAACCTCATCGATCTTGCCAATAGGAGTCTGTCGTAATTGTTAGCCCCAAAGGGCATATCCCATATGAATTCCTTTCATTTATTGTCGTACCTTGTTCTCTAGGTAGATAGGAGCGTTGAAGTAGGGAATCTTGGGGTTGATCGATTCGCAAACCATCTCTCCCTCACAGGCGTGCATGAAAGAACCCATCTCTGCCAAAGCATTAGTCACCTATCACCCCATTGAATATAAAACAAGTTTATATATACCTAGGACCTGTGCTGGTGGACCGAATGACGGCTGGAAACCTCCGCGACCTGTCCGACGAAAATTTCGTTAGCCCGTAACCTCACCTCCAAAGCTTCACATTGTCTCTGCTCACCACCACGGCCACCAAAGCTTCCACCACGATTGGCGCCTGTGGCGAAGCCACCACGGCCTCCTCCTCGAAAAGACATGCTGACTGAGTTGTTTGGGATCGAACGGTATGATACGGAGTCCGGAGAAGTTTTCGACGGTGGGAAGCTTGAAACGGTAAAGTGTCGCTAGCCGCCAGGGCAGTTTGATGTCACGTGGCTCACCGCTTTCGTCCCTCACTGACTCACGGTAGAATTGCAGGAGGATTCTCAAGGCGCCGCGCAGAGTCATCGCAACCCCTCCTTCCTGGTCAACTTCCTTCCGATCGCTTCATAGACGCCGCGGGATACAGCCATGGCTTCCGAAGGCTCTAAGGATTTGCCTATCCGGCCCTCTGCGGAGGCTCAAGACACTCAACCTGCTTCTGCCCAAGCCCCGCCAAACGCTGCCAAAGCCGCTGCATCGAGTGCCGATTCGCTCCCCGACTTCATTATCGAGCGCAACAACCTTTTCGAAGAGCTATGGCAACAATATCTCGAGGAAACCAAGAACAAGCCCCACCCCGAAATCAATGTTACCCTCGATATTGGTAACGGCAGTCCCTCCACCATCACTGCCAAAGCCTGGGAGACCACCCCCGCTTTGCTTCTTCGGGACGTGCCTAAGGAAGTCAGCGCCAATGTTGTCCTCGCGAGAGTTGGAAAGGAGCTCTGGGACTTAAGCCGTCCTTTGGAAGGCGACTGCACGGTCTCCTTTGTCCCATTCGACAACCCAGAGGGTAGGGAGGTTTTCTGGCACTCCAGTGCGCACTGCCTTGGTGAAGCTTGCGAGTGCGAATATGGATGTCTCCTTTCTCATGGACCGCCCACTCCCCAAGGTTTCTTCTACGACATGGCAATGCCCGATAAGTATGTCACTGGATATTAAATGGACAATGCTCAATCTGTTTCAAATACTAACATTGAGATTAGCCGTGTCGTCAAAGAAACCGATTGGAAGGCCCTCGACACCAAAGCGTCCCGGATATTTAAGGAGAAGCAGAGTTTCGATCGGTTGGAGGTCACGAAGGAGAACCTCAGAAAGATGTTTTCCTACAGCAAATACAAGCTGCACTACATTGATAAGCTGGTGACTGGAGAGAAGAGTACCGTGTACAGATGCGGTACTTTGGTAGACCTGTGCAGAGGTCCCCACATTCAGAACACTGGAAAGGTCAAGACCTTCAAGATTATGCAGGTACGGACGGAATGATCTCACCTCTAGAAGATCTCGCGCACTAATATTTCTAAGAACTCTTCCGCATATTTCCTCGGCGACCAGAGCAACGACTCTTTGCAACGTATTCGTGGAGTTGCATTCCCCGACAAGAAGCAGATGTCAGAACACCTGAAGTTCTTGGAGGAGGCAGAGAAGCGCAACCACTTGAGGATTGGAAAGGAGCAAGAGCTGTTCTTCTTTGATGAGGTTTCCCCTGGATGTCCTTTCCTCCTCCCCAATGGAACCAAGATTTTCAATGCTCTCCAGTCCCTTCTGCGAACAGAATACCGCAAGCGTGGCTACCAAGAGGTTCAGACCCCCAACATGTACGATGTGGGCATCTGGAAGACCTCTGGTCACTGGGCTCACTACGGAGATGATATGTTCAAGCTCGATGTCGAGAAGAGAGAGTGGGCTCTCAAGCCCATGAACTGCCCCGGACATTTCGTACTCTTCGGTCACCGGGAGAGGAGTTACCGTGAACTTCCTTTGAGACTTGCGGACTTCGGTGTCTTGCACAGAAACGAAGCGTCGGGCGCCCTGAGCGGTCTGACTCGTGTGCGAAAGTTCCAGCAAGATGACACCCACATCTTCTGTACCCAGGACCAGGTAAGTTGCTAAGTGGCGTCCCGTTTAAATTGGTATTCAGCTAATATGTTGCAGATCATTTCGGAGATTGAAGGTCTGTTTGACTTCTTGAAGTCCATCTACGGTCTTTTTGGCTTCACCTTTAAGTTGAAGCTCTCTACACGCCCTGAGAATTACCTTGGTGAACTAGCAACCTGGGACTACGCCGAGGAACAGCTCAAGGCTGCCATGACCAAGTTCATGGGCAATGACTGGACCATTGACGAGGGTGACGGTGCGTTCTACGGACCGAAGATTGACATCACCATTGCCGATGCCCTCAAGAGAGAGTTCCAGTGTGCCACCATCCAACTCGACTACCAGGCGCCCATCAACTTCAAGCTCGAGTACATGACAAACGAGAAGAGTCAGGCTCCTGCCATGAAGGAGGGTGATGCCAAGTCCAATGAGCCGAGCCCTGGCCACGCCCGTCCCGTTGTCATTCACCGCGCTATCATTGGTAGCTTCGAGCGATTCCTGGGTATTTTGATTGAGCACTTTGGTGGCAAGTGGCCATTCTGGATCAGCCCTCGTCAGATCCTGATTGTGCCTGTCATGCCTGCTGTGAACGACTACGTCGAGGAGCTTCAGCAGATTCTGCGTGGTGACAAGATGAATGTTGACATTGACATTAGCGGTAACACTATGCAGAAGAAGATCCGTACTGGACAATTGGCGCAGTACAACTTCATTTTCGGTGAGTTTCTCTCTCTCCCTCTATTTTCTGGGGGTTTCTAACATTTTTCAACAGTTGTTGGTGCTTCGGAGAAGGAATCTCGCTCCGTTAACATCCGTAACCGAGACGACCCGGCCACGCAGAAACAGGGCATCATGATTCCCCTTGAGGAGGCACGCACCAAGCTGCGGGCTCTGAGAAAGGAGCGGAAACTGGTGAACTCGCTTTAAAGCGGTTGTTATTGTCTCTAGAAAAGATATAAGCGCCGCTATTTTACGGCGTCCACGATTTTCAAAGTATATGAGTGATGCGGTCATTGATGTAGAATTTCGACACGATAAAAGTAGAAGAAAGAGGGACAGGGGAATGGGAGATCCGGGTTTATTTAGCCAAGAAAGAATTCATTGACTTTGTTATGCCAACGATATACACATTCCATCTATCGGCGGTTGGTAAAAATAATTCCTTATTCCGTGATTTCTTTGTGTCTCGTCCAGCCATACAAAACAAGATGTGACCATTTAATATATTATTCCTCCAGGACATCTCCGTGGAATACGAAGACAATTTCCATCTCAGCTGTCTAGAATCTGCCATGTTCCACAAGCCGACTGGAATGTGTTTCATCTTCAATGTCAATAGTATCTCCAAGTATCTCCACCTGTGCCCCTCTTCAGCCTCGAGCAACAAAGACTCGACTCCTTTATGTTGAGATACTCGCCCATCGCTGGCTCGCACGTTGTCTGTTGACCATTTTTCTGTCTGTCTATTTATTTTTATCACTCTGCCTATATAAGTCCACTTTCCCTGGACTCAGAATAATCTCCCTGGTTTCACTGCGGCGGAGCAACGCTCCATACATAATCACAAGTGACGGCTCCTCTCCTACTGCACGTCCCGCCGAATAATAATCAAACCCATCACATCCCCCCAATTATTTAGCCTTCTGGTCACGCAGCTTCGCGTCAATCGAAGGGAAAAAAGTCCTCTTTTCTTTTTCTCGCTCGCAGCTGCTCAATCCTGCCCCTCGTTTTCCCCTGAGAATCAGGCCAGCCTCTGCTCGTTGCTCAACCAGTCAAGACTGCTTCTCACCCGCGGAGACTGCGGGGCTGTTAACATCGTCCTTCCACTTGAGCTCAAGGCCGCCTTCTTTCTCTCTTTCTTTCCTCCTTTTCCTTCTCACACACTCGTTGTTCTTCTTTCTCCCATCCACCTGCCATCGAATCTTTAATCTATCCCAAGAGAGACGAGTTAATTTCACACCTCTCCTCTCGGTGAGCCCGATCCCCACTTCTTTTCCCTAGCCGCATCGTGTGCAAGACCACACTCGACGTGCTATCTCTCCCTCGATCTTTTAGCCGCACATAGATTGGTTCATCAAACTGATTCTCTGAAGCCATGTCTGATTTACAGAGTCGCAAGATCTTCAAGGTCTTCAACCAAGATTTTGTTGTGGACGAGCGGTACAATGTGACCAAGGAGTTGGGTCAGGGCGCATACGGTATTGTCTGGTGAGTACTTGTCTCTTTCTATCCTATCCTGTCGTGGGCGCTTTACTTCTAGAGCACTGCGCACTTTTTGCGTAAAACAGGACGTCAAAAAAACGACTTGAATGCCTCCATTCCACCAAGATCAATGCTGACAGATCTACTCTATAGTGCCGCCACCAACACCCAGACCGGCGAAGGTGTCGCTGTCAAGAAGGTTACCAATGTGTTCAGCAAAAAGATTCTCGCCAAGCGAGCCTTGAGAGAAATTAAGCTTCTTCAGCATTTCCGAGGCCACCGCAACGTATGCGCATCTCTCTTATCGACTATAAGGCTGGTAGGGCTGACCCGGGCACGCAGATCACTTGTCTTTATGATATGGATATTCCACGACCGGATAACTTCAATGAGACATATCTGTATGAAGGTGAGGCTCCATGTGTGCGATTGCAATACTTGTGTGTGTGATTTTGCTGACGTGCTTGGTTAGAATTGATGGAGTGTGACTTGGCCGCTATCATTCGTTCCGGACAGCCATTGACCGATGCGCATTTCCAATCTTTCATTTACCAAATCCTCTGTGGATTGAAGTATATCCACTCCGCAAATGTCTTGCACCGTGACTTGAAGCCCGGAAACTTGCTGGTTAATGCCGACTGTGAACTTAAGATTTGTGACTTTGGTTTGGCGCGTGGTTTTTCGATCGACCCTGAAGAAAATGCGGGTTACATGACTGAATACGTTGCCACAAGATGGTACCGTGCTCCGGAAATTATGTTGAGCTTCCAGAGCTACACCAAAGCCAGTAAGTTTTGCTGCTTGTTGTTGGGTTAGATCTTCCAGCTGATCGTTCTATAGTCGACGTGTGGTCTGTCGGCTGCATTCTCGCCGAACTGCTCGGCGGTCGTCCCTTCTTCAAGGGACGTGACTACGTCGACCAGCTCAACCAGATTTTGCACTACCTGGGTACACCCAACGAGGAGACTTTGGGCCGAATTGGCTCCCCGCGCGCCCAGGAGTACGTGCGCAACCTGCCCTTCATGCCCAAGATTCCATTCCAGCGCCTGTTCCCCAACGCCAACCCTGACGCCCTTGATCTTCTTGACCGTATGCTGTCCTTTGACCCTACCTCCCGTATTTCGGTCGAGGAGGCACTGGAGCACCCGTACTTGCACATCTGGCACGATGCCTCGGATGAGCCGAGCTGCCCGTCGACATTCGACTTCCACTTCGAGATCGTCGATGATGTGCAGGAGATGCGCAGGATGATCTATGATGAAGTGGTGCGCTTCCGTGCGGTCGTCCGCCAGCAGTCACAGGCGCAGGCCGCCCAACAGCAGCAAATGGCCCAGCAGACCAATGTCCCGATCCCCGACCACCAGCAAGGAGTCTGGAAGCACGAAGAGCCTAAGCCACAGGAGGCACACTCTAACGGTGGCCATCAAAACGATCTGGAATCGTCGCTCCAGCGAGGAATGGATGTGCAATGATTTCTTCCTAATGAATTGAATGCATGTTTATCTTTTTTTTTTTTTCCCCAAAGCCCTTTGCTGTTCTGGAATCGCGGGCGTTTCCCGAAATGCCAATTATAAATGATGACAATCAAAAAAGAGACAAAGATATCCGCGAAGAACGTGACCTTCCAGCCCGACATTGTTACTTTCCTCTCATTGTTAAATTGGTTTATATGTTCTATGGCAAATTCTAAATTTTGTTTTATTCCCCCGGTTTTTATAAAGAGAAGACTTGATTTTTTCCATGTATGTTATGTATGTACCCATCCACTGCTGTTTTCATTAGAGCCGGGGACGCAGCACGCATGCTTTGCGTGAAGAAGCAAGACATTCTGGCCTGCATTGGACTTGAGCGCTGGTTTATTTTTATCTGGTTTGGTTCCACTATGAATGCATGGATTGATTGATCGAAGATGTGATGCGTCTGGGAAGTGGGATGGAAGGAGAAGTCAGATTCTAAATCTTTACAGTAAATATGTACTTACAGTGGCACATGAGACCTGTTAACTGTTATACATGATTACTCGAATCGAAGACGAGTCTGTTATAGATTGGATATATGTCAAATCATGAATCATAAGATCGTACACTGTGGATATATGCCCATAGAAAAAAAGAAGAAAGAAAAAGCAGGAAAAGGCCCGTTTATGAGATAAAAAAAACCCCAGAATAAAAAATAAAAAGAAAAGAATTGATAGGAAATCGACAACACCAGCAATGCAACAGACAATCAAATCAATAGTAGTATCCCTTCCACCAAACAGACATACAAGAGGCAACCACCAAGTCTAGCATTTTAATCCCTTCGTCCTCGACGATGAGTTTACCCAGTTTGGCACTCTTTCCGCGCATTCCTCCCCCTGCTGGCTCTCGGGCCAATGTGAAGTCGAGTCGGTCTTCGTCGAATTCGGCCCCGCTGCTAGTACTCGTCGTTGATGGTTTCCGGGTAAGACCAGGGGGGGTTTGGTTGTTGTTGTTACCGGAGGAGTTGGAGTTGTTACTGGCGCCAGAGTGGGCACGAGGGCGGGTGTAGGCCTGCGGGTTGAGGAAGAGGGCGAGGGAATTTCGTTTGGAAGGTTTGGTGGTAGTCACGCCGTCTGGTCCGGTGACTTCTTTATATGTTGGAGTTTGGCTGAGGGTGAAGGGAGAGATGTGAGAGGGCCCGGGTTGGTGGTGAAGGTGACCGGCTTGGAAGGGTGTGTTGAACCGGATTTCCGCAACGGTCACGGCTGGGTTGGTGCTTGCTCCTGATGAATCATGCGAGCCGATGGCGTCTGTGGGCATGTGAATCATATGCTTGCATTTCAGGCTGCGACCATTGACGCTGGTTGAGAACGTGCAGGTTCCGTTCCACGGAGAACTGAAGGTGTAATAGCCGCTTTTCAGCTTCGAAAGGCCATGGCCACTAGCAGTGGTGTCGATGGAGGGCCGGGGAATGTCCATCGAGCCTCGCCCTTCCTCGTGCTGTGGTCTTGAAACACACAGCTTGCGGTTGAACTTTCGAGGTTTGGACGGATCACTGGGAGGCTGCGGATCTGCCTTTGGAGGGATTTTCAAACCGGAAAGCGAGGTGGGGTTGCGTCCGTCCAGTGGAAGATTCAACCCCAGACTTTCCAGAGAAAGCGGTTCGTCTTGCGCAAGAAACCTGTTATATCCGGGCGTGTTGATTTCAATATCGATCGGACCACCGTCCAAACGGGGAGTTGACATTGTCGCAACATTCCACTGAATCCCATGTGTGGGATCACGGCGAATAAGGGTGATATGAAAACCAGGTTTCTCTGGCGATCTGTGATCGCGCGGTGGTCTCCGGGACGGGGATTGCCCCGGACTTCTAGATGGTGACCCTCGACGAGAATGAGATGGAGACTCATGAGCTGAGTGTGGCCTCAGCTGCGGAGGCCTAGAATCCAAACTGTTCCGTCCTTCATACCTCTCTTTCCAGTTCTCCAAACCCTTTCCATTAATATACCCGGATAGGGCACTCCATCGATGGGGTTTCTTGCCCGGATGAGCGCTCTGCAGGTATTCCGAGGAAGCCTCATCTCTGGGGACGGGGGGAAGCGGTCGTCGCGGCATAGGACTCCTTGCCGTCCTATCGTCGCCGGAAACTCCGTGAGGATTCACATTCTCCCCAGGAAGCTGAAATGTAGGATGCGGACGCTCTTGCGGTTGCAGCTGTGAAGGTGTTTTGGACTGCGGCGGAGAATTTACCTGCTGCTGCGACAAGGCCGGAAGAGGGGGAGAAGCAGGGAGGGGCTGGCTCGTATTTCCACCTCCACCACCACCGACGGGCTTACGTCGCACATTATTCAAATGCGCGAGTTCAGGCTGCACTTCGTGTCCTTCTTCCTTACGTAACTTGGCTTCTTCTTCTCGTTCGTGCGCAAATTCCTCTAGCAGGATTTCGTCATCCGGACTCGCAACATGCAAGTAGTAGAGGGAGGAATTGATAGCCTCAGCTGACACGCTAGCTTTCGTAGGCGGTTTAAGAGGAGACAGGAAGACGTCTAATGTATAGAAGAGAAACGTGGTCAGCAAACGTGGCACTCAACTCCATACTCCCATGGTTCCTTCAACCCCCCCGAAAAAAGCCCATGGAAACGTGAAGCGGGGCAGATTCGATTGTCACAACAATCGCACACGTACCTTTGCTCCCTGGCACTCTCACAATGTACAACACCAACGGATCCAACTTCTTCTGGGTGGGATTCCGCGGATACGCTGGAGGATTCGAGGCGATCTGGGTGATGGACGACAAAGAGCGGGCTTCAACAGGACCATGGTTTTGGTTCGGCGGTGCGGAGGACGAGGCCGCAAAATCCCCGTCCACCGCAGCGTCGACCTTGGCCATGGATGTGTGGGGAGAATATCTCCCAGAGAGGTTGGTAGTATAGAGAAGGCTGAGAGGGGGATGCGATGAAGAAAGGGAGGACGAAAGGGGCAGTTGATTGTTGTTGGGAGAGAAATCCAGGCGTACTCGTATTTGGAGTAAACAATAGTAGTGATACCCGACGGCGGAGAGCTCGGATCGAACTGGCGGAGAAAAAGAAGAGAGAGAGAGAGAGGAAAAGAAGAGAAGATCCGCCAAGAGAGCTGAGAGAGGGATTTTCAGCCAAAGTTCAATAGCTCAGCCTGGTTTGGGGAATTTCGATGATCGGGAATATAAACTACTCCTCAGGGTCGATAGATTGACGGAGGCAAAGAGGCAAAAAAGAAAAGGAGTTGCCTGCCATGCCATGACGAACGGCTGAGTGGTCCAATTACGCATAACTTCTCGGGCACCAAAGAACGACGATAATGAGGCTGAAATATGTCTTTCAGATTGGTATCTTTAAACAAAATAGCTACAAGTCCAGTGTGTTGTTGTTGCTGTTGCCCAGTGCTGAATCTGCAAGCGAGGAAGTAAAAAAAAGAAAGGAAAAGAAAAGATGTATAAAAATAGAAAAAAGACAGACAGGCATGACTACCATATTATCCTCAAAAGTGCTCGAAAATGCCAACATAAAAAGCAGCTAGGCGCAGGGGAAAAAAGACAAGACAAAACTCCAAGCTCCAAAGCTCCTAACCTATACGCAGTAGTCTCTGTACTTTCCCAATATCCCATGTACGGAATGGACTATATGATGATTGAATAAACGCTTAGACGACTGTCTCCGATCGCTCACCTTCTGCGATGACCGGGACGCTGAGACCACGCTCTGGACTCTGCAGAACAAGTTGTTCGTGGCGTCTGGCCCGCAAGAAGTCACTGATGGCGCGGATCAGGATAAACCAGCCGACAATCATCAATATATATGAGATCCATTCGCTCGTGCTTATGGAAGACACCGCACTGCCTCCGCCTCCATCTCCGGCGGTTCCATCGGCAACCGCATTCGGGTCAAAGCTGTGGCTATTGGGATCCGGGGGCGCGACATATTGATCGGAGCCACCTTCGTCGGAGCCCTTGGATTCACTGCCGCCCTTCATATAAAAGCCGTATTGTACCAGGGTAAGACCGAGACCAGCTCTGCTTCCGTTCTTGGCGGCGTGGGTGGTGTGAAGGAGGTAGGTGAGAAGGAATCCAACCAGTTGGAAGGACATGGAGATCATAGCGTTCCAGACAAAAGAAAAGACGGATCCGACCGGTAATCCATCGACAAAGACTTCATCGGTTGATAGACCAGGGGCCAAAATGGTGGTCTCCCAGTAGGGCGGAGTGGCATCTGCGGCAGCTTCCTCGTAGGACTATATATAGATCATCAGCAAGCATTTCAAAACAATGTTTAGAAAAAACATATACGCACCGGAGGCAAATCCTCATTCTTCTCACCCCGTTCTGGCTTCGCAGCCAAGTTGGCGAACACCCCGTCATTTGAGCTTATCACACGACCAGGCCCCCCCGCGCTCGAAGGGCCAAACGACGGCAGGATCGTTGGTCTCCTCTGAATAGCAGAATTACGCTGTTCCCCTTGTTGTGCATTGCTTGCCTGCGACGAGGCACCTCCAGCAGCGGCATTACTGCTGTTGTCGGCCAGTGATCGGGTTTCCGGGTTGGCCCGCATTAAGCGCTGCCTATCATCGGGCTCATCATCGGCCTCGGAGTCACTTCCATCGCCAAATGCATCCGCTAGTGTCTGATCCGCATCGTTCCTGTGAGATTCATCGTTTTGGTGGGGGAGAAGGCGTCTAGCCGAGGGAGAGGAGGAGCGAGAGTGAGAGCGAAACGAGGGAGGTGGAGAGGTAGGAGTGAGGTTGGATCGTAAAGGGATCGACGAGTGGGAATGTGCTTCATCATCTTCGTCGTGGGCGTTCACCTAAAGAGCAGTCACATCAGTAAAGGCCCCCATTCTGGAAATCGCACGAGGGGGTTCTCTTTACCCTTTGATAACGCTGCGAGCTCATGACGAGCCGAGCTAAGGCAGAGAGACACGAGGGAGGGGGGAAGAGCCGGATAGGGCGAGCAGGGCGAAAAAACAATCAAATTTGACAAATATTCTAGGTAAAAGGAAAGTAGATAAAGAGAGAACGGTATAGAGACAAAGAGAATAATGGAAAAGGCGATGGCCAGGGTGCGGATGGAATGAATGGACTGGAAGGATCCGACCCAAGTTGCGTGGAAGAAGAGTGGATGACGAGTGGGTGGCTGATGCCTGACGGCCTGAGGCTCATGTGGTGGCCGACATTTTTTGCCTTCAAAATAGTTTCATATGATGTTTTTCTTGGTCATCAATCCAGATCATACCAAAAGACGCGGATAATTAATATCTTCTACCACTCTTCCTTATTTTCCTTTGCCCCACGAAGAATACCACGCCTGTTATTTCGCCTCGACCAATTCAAACCCAACCTATTCGCCATCGCCATCATGTCCAAACAAGTAAATTCCGGAGCCTCCACCCCCCCAAACAACAACATTCTAACATTATTCCCCAGGCTGTTCAAAATCGCATCACTCACATCCTGACCCACTGGCCTAAGGACTTGGTCCGCCCTGCCTCCGTCTCCGTTCAATCATACCTGCACGCCCGCCTAGCCGCAGAAGACCCTACAAAGCAACCGCAGCAGCCGCAACAGCAACAACAGCCGGCGCAAAACGTTCACATATCCGAGTCCTCCCTGAAAGCCCTGTCATCGCTACTGGAGGATCGCTACGCTAGACGGTATCCGTTGACACCCAAACTGCGTCGCCCGGCGAGTAACCCAGACCATTACGATAATGTTGTTCGGGAGTTTGAGGAGGCCCCTAACCGCGATTGGTTCGGACGATTGGGCAAGAGAGTCAAGGGTATTTTCAGAATGACATAAAATATTGAGGGGTTTGATTTATGGGAGTTATTGATGTTTTGGTGTACAATAATACTTGTTGTCATGCTGGGTCGTGTTGTACTACTACTAAATTTATCCGGCTCGTTTTAGAGTACGAATGTATATAATGCTGTTTTTATTTTCTGCCAATGGGAATCCCATGTTGCCTGGCAGGTCTAGAATGTAATCCAATAACCCATATACTTATATAATAGATGTCGTGTGCAACAGTGATATAGTCAACATAGCCGAAAACAAACTCAGAGAAAAGTACGCTCATCACAAAACACTAAAATGCAAAATCAAAGCTCAACAATTGATAGCTCTTCACAGCATGGGCTTCAAGTCGTCTGCAACCTTGAAAGGAGCCTCGGTCTTAGCCCTCACCTCATCAACAGTGACACCCTCGGCAACCTCGACCAAGGTCAGGCCATTAGTGAAGTCGACATCGAACACGCAGAGGTCGGTGATAATGCGGCTCACACAGGTCTTTCCGGTCAAGGGGAACTCGCACTGCTTGACAATCTTGGGGTTGCCCTTCTTGTCTGTGTGCTCCATTGTCACAACCACCTTGGTCTCCGACGGGTTGGAGACGAGATCCATGGCACCACCGAAGCCCTTGATCTTACCAGGAAGCATCCCTAAGATAGTTAGTATTTAGAATCATTGGAATAATTGGGACACAAAAACTTACAGTTGGCCAAATCACCCCTGGCGCTCACCTGCATGGCTCCCAGGATGGTCAGGTCAATGCGACCAGATCGGATCATGCCAAAGGACTCATCACTGCCAAAGCAAGAAGCACCGGGCAGCAGGGTAACCGTCTCCTTGCCTGCGTTGATGAGATCGGGGTCCTCCAGTCCCTTCTTAGGGTAAGGGCCCAGTCCCAAAATACCGTTCTCCGACTGGAGCTGGACTTCTACCGATGGGTCCACAAAGCTGGGAGCCAGCATAGGCATTCCAATACCCAAGTTTGCATACATGCCGTTCTTGAACTCCTTAGCTGCGCGACGCACGATGCGCTCGCGCTTGTTGGCGGTGTCACCCTTACCCAAGGCAGCGGCGTCAGAGCCCTCCTCCTTGGCGAAGGTGTACTTCTCAATCTTCTTCTCCGCGGTGCTTTGAATAACACGCTTGACGTAGATACCAGGCAGATGGACGGCAGCAGGGTCAATCTCTCCGACCTCGACAATGTTCTCGGCCTCGACGATGGTCATCTTAGCGTTACGGCCCATCGCGCCGTTGAAGTTGGCCGCCGCATAGCGGAACTGGCAGTTACCAAGCTTGTCGGCCTTGTAGGCCTTGACAAAGGCGTAGTCACCTTTGATAGCCTCCTCCATCACGTAGCTCTTGTTGTCAAACACCTTGACATCGCGGGGCTCGCCATACACCGCGACAGTTCCATCCTCATTGTGTCTCAGAGGCAGCTCACCCGTCTGCACCACTGTTCCAAAAGCAGCGGGGGTGTAGAATGCCGGGATACCTGCACCACCGGAGCGGCATCGCTCTGCCAGGGTACCCTGAGGAGTCAACTCGAGCTCAATCTCGCCGGTCAGGTACATGCGCTCAAAGGTCTTGTTCTCGCCGACATAACTAGCAATCATCTTCTTGATCTGCTTAGACTGCAGCAGGAGACCCAGTCCCGATCCATCAACACCGGCATTGTTGCTAGCAACAGTCAAACCCGTGATTGAAGGGTTTGCCCGCACAGCATTGATCAAGCTGTCTGGGACACCCGAGAGACCAAATCCACCAGCCAAAAGTGTCGAGTTGGACTTCATATCCTTGACTGCGACTTCAGCGGAGGGGAAGACCTTGTTGATTTCATTGCGGCGAACGGTGCTCGAGAAAGCACGTGCGAGAAAGCGTTGGTGCTGAAAAGAGAGGATAGTCAATATTTGCTGCATGATAAAAAATACATAATTTTCAAATACCTTTTTGGGATCAGTGGAGAATTGCCTGGCAAACCGCAGGCAGGTTGCCACTTGCGAAGTCATGATGGTTGTGATCGCTGAGTGGAGAGCTATATACTGGCAGCTAAGAGGGCTGTAACAGACGTGGGATTCGTCTGTTAGGTCTCAAGGACAACAAATACCAACCCGTATGGGAAATTAATATCTCAGTGTACAACTTTCAAAGAATCATCAATCGAGGAAACAGGAACGTTAAATAGTATGGCAGGAAGGGAGAACTGCCTATATATCGGATCGTTGATCGGAGAGTGACAGACGGGCGGCAGGAGTCAAGGCGGAACTTCTGCCGTCGATATCCGTACCCCGGAAAATCCCCGCAGTCACATACACGACCTGATCGAGAATACCCGGCCGTTTCGTCCCGCCGTGCTGTCAAGGCTATAATGAAGCATAATTCTTAAAAAACATGCCATTTACTAGACATTTCTAAGCATTCAAATGCCTCGTTTATGTCTATTTCTCTGAATCAAGCGTACGTGAACCCGACATTCCAGCAGCTGCCGATGTCCACAGCCGACGGCAGCTGTTCGGTTCCGGTTCCGCGGGCCGCTCGGATCAATGGCTGACTAAATTCTGACTGATCATGAACATGCAGACATACATACATGACGGTCATGACTGGTGACGATGGTATCTTCTGTTATGTACAGGAAAAGAAACATGACAATCCCGCTAGCATGCAAGAAAAACGAAGAGTAAAACAAGTCATAAACAGCGGAAGAGAAGAAAAGAGAACATCAAAGTTATGTGCGCAATCATCAATCACATCCAATGGTAGAGAACATGGAGGAGAGAGGGATGTTAATACCCCAACCTTTGGTCAAGAAAGAAGAAGACCTTATACAGAAGATGGATTTCCGTGACTGACATCTGTCACATCATCTGCCGACTTGCGTTTCAGTGGATTTGCCGTTGAAGTCACCGTCGGCGAGCTTTTCGCGGAGCCTACCATGCCACGTCGTGCAAGTTAGTTTCATTGCTTGATGGCCATCCTGCAGCTAGATCACTGCCTCCGGTCTCGGCGCTCTTCTTCTTGGTCGGGTTGAGATTGTCTCCCGTACCTGGTTCGCCATGTTTGTCGGCCCATGCTTCATCATACGAGGGTGGATGTTCCATATCCACGTCCTCTGCCGTTGCTGTTGTTGTCGTTGGCGTAGTTGTTGCAGCAGTGACTCCTTCCATGGGGGTGGCCGGATCCGTGTTTGGACGAGGAGGAGGGTCCGGTGGGGCATCGTAGATCTCCCGGCAGACAGGGTTCACCAGGCGGTCCTTCATTCCAGCGTTGACATATACCAGGAAATATGGTGTAGGAGGGTTCGGGCGATTTTTGTTCTCAAAAATCTCATCGAGGTCATGTACTTCAGTCACTTCATTATCGTTATACTTGCGCCAAACATTCTTGTTGAAGTCAAAAATGTAGATGTAGTAGTGACCAAACTCAACCGATCCATGGTGGACAAAAACGGCATACAAGCGGTAAGGAAGATGCTTGTAGTCGACGAATTGACTAGAGATCATTGTCTGTGTGTCTTTGATGTTTTTATCGATGACTGAAAAGTGTTAGTGTGCTGAACTGTATCAGGGAGATGGAAACCTACAAGCCAATTCTGATTTCGATATCTGCGAAAGCTTGTCGAGCTCAGAAATAAGCTGTGGGTCAATATCAAAAGCATCCTGCGCTGCCTCGGGATCTTCTTTCATAGCGTTCAGATCCTCGAGTACGTCTTTGGCGCTGCCGAATACATTTTCCATATCAAGGCCATCGGTCTCCTGCGGAAGCAAATGAATTAGCACACAAACGGAGTCGCTCCTTCAATCTGACACATACCTTCTTGCGCAGCAACTCGGCTCGCCGGTCTTCGAGCTCTTTCAGCGAGTTTTTCCATTCCCAGCACTTTCGTCGTCGGTTCATAATCTCGGGCTGCTGAGTGTCCATGTACCTATCAAGATAGATGGTTTCCAATAACTCAAGATGGTGGGTCGACTTAAAGGAGCTCTTCTTCACCGGATCGAACTGCACGCGCTGAACTTGGATCTGCAAAATTGGGGGAAGCTTGCTAATAGAGCCGAACTGCTCAGCCACTGAGTTTTCAACATTGACTTTCTGGACGTCGAAGGCACCGTCGATCGCTGTGTAGATGTCGCGAGACCCGGTGGCCACATCAACTTTGATATCACACCACCACTCTTCCTTGGACCGTACGCCTTTGTCAGCGGAGATGTAGGACTTGGAGCGGCCGTAGAACAAGCTGTACAAAAAATGTCAGTCTGCATTATCACCATCAACTTAATTATCGCTTACTCTTTAATTTGATCAATCTGTTCTCCATCTGACCCAAGCCCAATGGGTTTAATCGCGCATTGGCTCTGGAAAAGAACATTGTTGATAACTTCCGTAACATCCTGCTGGGCCCCGATCTCCACCTCCTCGATAAGCTGTTTTTGTCGATCGACTGACGGAGAAGGTCTCGGAGGCACTGGTGGAGGTTGGTTAGGTGGTAATAATGGTCCCATTGGCTCTGGCTGCTTGGAAGGAGAGATGTTATTGTCAGCTTCAGATGGTACGTTCTCGCTTGGATCTGTCATGACAGCGTCAGATGGTGGAGGCTCGTTTTCTTTATCGTCGGCGTGATGAACGGATGCCTCATTCTTTGCACCATCAGAGACGAGTGTCGATTCGCTATCCACATCACTTGCTGTTGAATGTTTGGGCCTTTCGGTTTCTGCAGTCATTGTGCTATCACTCCGGTTCCTAGCCTCTTCGCCTGTAATGATAGGCTGAGGCGGCCCGAGTGGTCCCATAACCGGCATACCGTTTATCTCGCCGAGATCCGAAGGTCTGTTTGCTGATATCGTCGATCGACGACGAATGGCTGCTTCATTAGATGGGCTAATCAGAGTCAATCGCGCCAGCTCTTGTCCAGGTATGACATATGGGCGCGGAGAAGCGATCATATCCCTAAAAAGGTTTCGCAGCTCACTGAGGACTGAAGACATAATTGTGTCAGTTATTGAAATGATTTGCCTGATATAAGAGTACCTACATTTCTGAGACCTCTCAACCTCATTTTTCAGTACTTTGCGAGACCCCACCTTCTTTTTTTCCAAGCTATCGTCGTTGATTTCCATCTTGAAGTCGTCAAAATTCAAGACCATATCACGGAATGGGCGCACTGAAAAATAAAATTGAAGCAAGCTGTTGAGATAACAGGTGTTACCGATATTCTGCAGCCCAACAGGCCACTCGGATAATTCACGGTCAGATTCTGGAACAGATCCTGTAACCAAACTGCTTAGTAGCGGACTGTTTTTCTCCTTTGCAATTATGCTAAGGGCCTGATTGTATAGATCGGCTTGCCCTGGAGCTTCATCCACACAGATTGTGTATGCTGCCATGATAGCTGCTTCATCTACGGTGCGATCAGGGATTTGAAGAAGACGGTAGGCGTCACCAATGTCCATCTCCCCAGCACCCATCTCGCCGGTATTGAGAAAGTGTTTTAAACCGTCTGATTTCCGAGAATTCGAAATAAGTTCAACGGCACGCCGCGCAAGGTCTTTGCTCGATGGATTATCATCGATCTAATCCAAATTTGTCAGTTTCAAATGTGTAAATGTGAGGACACCGAACGCGCGTACCTTAGCAGTATACATGGTGATAATGAAATCATCCGGTGTTTTTTCATCAACACCAAGAAACGCCTGGGCCTGTTCAACGGTAGTTACCCCTAATTTCATAAGTCAACTACATGTTCCAAGCAGAATGACTTCACCAACAATGAGCGAAGAACTTACTATCCTCGGCCGCAGATTTGATGCGCTCACTGCGCCTACTGTCCCCTATTCTCCATAACTGCTGGCGAGGTTCGACATCCAAATTGGTGGAGCTCAGAAAAGCGTAGAACTTTCCAACGATGGTGTCCTCAGTAAGACTGATATCGTTTTGGTTGAGGCCGAAGTACTTGTATGCATCGATAACATCCTGATCAGTGTACTTTCCCTCCGCATAGGCTACCTGGACAGCTTGGTCTATGATTATTGCATCGTCACCCCCTCTGAGGCCACCGATTGACTTGAGACAGTTCAAGTATAGGGGGGTTCTTCCCGGATCGACCGAGACCTGCCGATTGAAAGCTTCGACGATTAAGTGAGAGGACATGTCCTCAACAACCCCTAAATCCTCGTAGTGCCTAGAATTCCCAATAAGATTATGCTTTTTAAAATTTATAGGGAAGGGCAAACAAACGGTGCGTTTGGCATCTGGAATTCATGGGACCGAAGCGATCTTGGGTCTGGAACTTTATTAGCACGAAGTCGGCGATCATCATTGGCAGATACTCACAATCCAAAGCTTCCAGGACATGAAGGAGGTCATTATATGCTGGATTACCAGGAGCGTCTGTCTGGTGAAGCCTTCTCTCCGACAATGGCCGCTGATCTACTAGTATTGCCAATTCATGTATGACATCATCGAGAAAGATCTTTGATTGATCTTGATAGGGGATCGCTGTCCATGGGTTGGGTCGAGGGGGGTCCCAAAAGCCCTCATCCTGATCGCAAGTGTTAGATATATAGCCGTATGAGCAATAAAACTTGATGACGCACATTGAAAGTAAACCCGAGAAACTCGAGTAGGTCTTGACAAGGCTTTCCTTCAACGCCAAAACATGACATGAACCTTTTGTTGATCGCCGATATCGACTTGCTCTGCTGGCTGTTGTTTAGGGCGTTACTGAGATAGGCGCGCAAGTTGAGCAGCACGTTTATGGGGAGCGGCGGGGCGAGTCCTTCTAGCCGCTCAGGATGCGTGGCAATGGCTTCATTTGCGCGGATGTTCAATAACTCGGGATCCGTCAAAAGGTGCACCGCATCATGAGAAAGAACAGGCGAGACCACCCGTAGCGACACCGTCGCAGGACAAGTGAGATACGAGCATCCGTAGTGGAACGTCTCCGCAACCTGCCCTTTGGACGTCACTTCCTCGGCCGATGAACCGCCTATTTGTCTTCCCGATTTGTAGACAAAATGATGAACGTGATCTGGAGATTTTTGAATCTGCTGTCCGATTGCTCCGGTATGGTTTACGACAACTTGCAGATGATACCGGCACTTAGAACACACTGCCGATACTTTGGAGGTCCCCGAAGTGCTCCACTGCTCTGGTTTGGGCAGCAAGCTCTGGTTCTTTTTGGTAATATAGCGATGGCGACACGAATCCGGAGAAATAAAATTCTGGGGTACCTGGTATCGATCAGGGTATACCGGAGGGACTTCGGAGAGAAGGTTGCGGCCTGTACCTGGAGGGTAGGCAGGGTCGTAGTCTTGGATATCTTGCACAAGACGCGGGGCAGTCTTGCCTGGTAGGTAGACAGAAATATTAGCAAAGGTAACACTTTCGGAGTTGTAGTAGGTATGCTCCTGCTATGAAGCTACATACCAGACCTCTGTAACGAAGACATTGGTGTGCGCTATGCTTAGCTCACGGTTGCCAGAGGATCAGGCCAAAGGATCCAGGAAAAAACCAATAGCGAGCTCCCATGAGTCGCTAAGAAGAGTATCTAATAAAAATTAGACCATCTGATGGATATATCCAGCAGCGTGGAAAGGCAAGTAGGCAGGCTAGATAGAACGGCGGGGAGCCACCACACTTGAACAAGCGGGCGGCAATTTATTGAAGGTCACAACGACAATAAACGGCGGTAGAAATCCCAGGAGAAAAATAGTTTACCGTAATTTCTAGAAGATAGAAACCAAGTTATATATGATTTCTTTGAAAGAAAAAGGTAATATCTGTGTTAAAGGCTGGCTCTGCACCTATCCACCTGTGATGGAGCTCCATGATGAAGCCGGGGAAGGCGGTAAATGTCGGCAGAAACCCATCCAAAATCACATCCTCATCGGCCATAACTCGTCCACTGCAAGTAGCAGACCATCCCTACCTCAACAGTCACCATGGCCGCGCACACTGAAGACCACACCTACCACGCCAAAGATGCGCTGCAGGGAGCATTGAAGACGGCCATGCTTACTGGTGGAGTCGGTCTCTGCGCATCGGCCGTCCAGAACACCCTGACCAAGAGAAACGTCGGACCTCTGGGTGTGTTCATTAAGAGCGGCGGCACAATCGGTCTCTTCGGTATGTGGACATCGTGCAACTGGGTTTCAAGGAATTGAATTGGAGCTAATGTTTCTGTTCCAGCCGCCATGGGTGGTACCTACGAGTTTGTGAAGACCGCATCGGCCAACCTGCGTGAGAAGGAGGATCCGTACAACGTCGCACTGGGCGGTTTCGTTTCTGGTTCCCTTTTGGGATTGAGAGGTTCGTGGCTTGGAATTGAGTCCATTTTGATATTTTGAAGATTTGTTTCTGATAACCAAATAGCACGATCATTCCCCGCCGTTTTGGGATACGGTGCCGCCCTGGCAACTGCCATGGGTGCCTTTGAATTCACCGGTGGATCGCTGTGGGGATACAAGAAGGAGACCGTTGAGGATGAATTTGAACGCCGTACGAAGTTGAGGACAGCATACAGGACTCCTGCTGAGCAGACCTTTTCCGAATTGGGCGAGGGACGAGGTACGTTGCTTGCGATATCACCGTCAAGTTACCAGTCATACGGCGATGCTAATGGGATAATCCAGGAATCGTTGCCCCTGGCTATGCAGAGAGACGAGCGGAGAGAATCAAGGAGGCATACGGCGTCGAAGTTCCTACATCGCAGGCTCCTGCATCATGAAAATGAGTTATTTCCAAGTTTGCTCATCAAGTCTGCCACTTTTCCGTCTCTTTGTGTAAATTATCTCTACATACCAATGCGCCCGCTAGCACGCCTGACACAAATGTTGAAGTCTTTTTCTTTTCACTTATCCCTTGATCATGTTGGCGAATTGGCTTGCTGAGTGTTCCGTACACCATAACGTAGACCGATACAGTGAGGCTAGGATTATACGCTTGGCGTTCAGTTCGCCGAGTCGGTCGAGATATCAAGTAGTATCTACTACGAACTGGTACAAGAGCTACTATTAAAAGTAGTCTGAAGGCTGACCGAGGGGTTCGTGGAGGGGCAGTGATGACAGATACTTGAGCACGCCCGACTTAATTAAGCGCAGATATAATTAGAAGATAAGGGGTATGATTACTCTTTTAAAATATGATCAATTGCATTTTATATACTCGGTCCTATCGACAGTTATTGTATTCCAAGGCGATGGGGGCAGAAAACGCGTGCGATGTAGAAGCCGGCCACGGACCAATCAGGAGGAGAGGTTATCAAATCACCACCCGTGGCACCAGCAGCAGTTCATCAGGAGAATTAAAACCTCCTTTACGGGGATTTCCATCAAAAATGTATGTGATACCAGGGGAGTGGACGATCTAACCCATCTAAAATAAGATTTACGCAAGGACGGAGGAAGTGTACAAAGTACGTAGAAAAAGTAAGACAGGAGATGTCGACTAACTACACATCGTGAGATAGTCTACATCGATTGATCAAATGCAGGGGCATTGGATTATTCCAGTTAGACAGAGGTCAATGCAACCACAATATCTATCTCTAGTATCTATCAGACTAGAGAAATGAATTGATATGGATTATGATGATTACCTACTGATTAGCAGTAGTGTGCTATGTATGTATGGTGATGAGTGATGATTTGCGTGATCCTCCTCCATGGTACGGTGGTAGCCGTTCATCCTCGGATCCCATCTCCAGTCACTATTTTCCAGCCATCGCGGCCCTGTTCAATTTCCCAGCCAGTAGTCATTGGACGGCATATCTTCATTGAATCATAAATGAACATTCCGATGCAAGACACTGTAATCAGAGAATTGAAGAAAGAAAAAAACTTCCCGTCAAGTGGGGGGAGACAAATCCGTGTAAACGCAGCGGATATCCCGATCGACCGTCACAGATGATGAACAGTGCATGACGTCAAAATGCGGATCCAGGAGAGTTTCTTGGGATTTTCTGCGAGGTTCGAACTTCGAAGAGCTCGAAAGGCATCAAACAAGTCAATGGGAGTGATTTAATTTTAATATTAAGGAGAGATGATCGGAAAAAGGAAAGCTGGAGACTATCCACAGACTACCTGTGATGGAATTGTCTCCTTTTTCCTCTCCCCTAAATTACTGCAAGACCGGTTGAAGATCCATATATCATGCCAGGGCAAATCAGATCGAGGTACAGAATTCCATAATTAAATCGCCACTCCGACAGTCCGTACAAACTAAAGTACTAATTAAACTGGAGCCCAAAAAAGGGGGGCAAAAACAGTTCCATGATTTTCATATCGAATCCATCGAAGCCATGAAGAAGGAATTTCGCCTGCACTAACTGCGACCAACTGCTATCTAACTGGGCCCGGCGGGCCATAGCCACATCAGCGTTGAGATTCGACCAGCCACGATCACGATGTTCTTGTTTTTTTTTTTTTTTTTCCCTGAAGAGCTGGCTGACACTCCTGAACAGGCAGCGGGATTCTTTTTTTTTTTTTTTTTTTCTTTTCGTCAGAGAAAAAGGGGACATCCCAATGTAGATATCAGATGAAGCCGTAATGAGCCCAACTAGTCCAGTACGTCAGTTTGTAAGACCCAACCTGCTTCTCCTCTCTTCTCCCCAACTTTGGGAGAAATCATCATCATAACCTTCGTGTCTCCGGGGATCCCGTTCCAATCCTCTTGAATCTCATCGTCCCTAATATTCAGCTTCCTTTTCTCCTCGTCATACCGTCGCATTTCTGTTGCGGTTGGTCCGGCGTAGACGTCATCCGGAACCGTCGTGGGCAGCCAACACCCCCTCCTCCGGCCTGTCCAAGATCAGATCTGGAGATTTATCTCGCCCTCGTCTTCATCAACCTATCCGTATTATTTTTATGATTATTATTCCCTCCTATTTCCTTCTACTATCCAACTACTCCTCGATAGTTCCCCTGTTAGACCCGGTGGGGCGCCAATATAACCACCATCTGAGCGGATCGTCTCTCTTAAACCATCGCGCGCCTCTCATTTTCTTCCTCCCCGCAAACAGTTCGCTCCAGACCCTTTTTTTCTTGCATCTTCCAACCCCCCGTTCGCCTGGTAACCATTCCGGGTTGACGAGCCTTGGTGGTTCTGTTCATTTTACTATTATTATTGTTTGAATCTTATATTACTATCCTCCTCCCTCCCTGCTTTCATTCTACTTCCCTCCGATCTCCGCCTTCTCTTTTCTTTCTCCTGGATACTTGACCGACACGCTATCTTCCCACGCTTACCCCCCTCCTCTTCCTTCTCTACCTCTTCTTTCCCCCCCTATAACCATGGCGATGGCCGCGCGGCCACCAACGCCTTTACAGGACGGATACGGCCCGATTCCGCATCCCGGTGGTTCAATCCTTATGGGCAGCAGAGATTCCTATGTTCGTTCAGGATCTAGGCCGAACTCCTTTGTCGCCAGCAACTCCGGTTACAACGTGGCACACGGGGCCCTCATTGACCCCATGCCCAACCCCCACAACGGTCGATTTCACGAGGACTTTGATGCCGCCAGCCAGCGTGGCTCCGTTGTTCTTGACGGTCCGTCCGGGTCGACTATGCAACGCTCCGTTTCGCAAATGTCGACTCAGTCTCGTTCCGCTGCGCCCTCCCGATCGGGTACTCTGAAAAAGAAATCGTCGCTCAGTAAACGAGGCAGTATGCGCCGCAGTGGCAGTCGGAGAAGTCTTCGCGCTGGAAGTGTCAGGAGTCTCAGCTTGGGCGATAAGGAGAAGTATGGAGTCGAGGGCGCAGACGATCCAAACAGCGCTTTTCACATTCCCATCCCGACTGATGGCAGTCCGACCGATGTTTTGGCAAATCGCTTTCAGGGTATGTTACTTGCGGTCTTGCGAAAGGAGGTTTTGAGGCCTTAACTGACTCTGAATTAGCGTGGCGCCGGACGTTGAAGGATCTCATCCTCTTCTTCAAGGAAGTCCAAAAATCCTACGAAACCCGATCGAAGCTATTCCTCTCCGCCTCCAATGTGATCAACAACACGGTCGCCCCTCCCACGTTTCTCAAATCCGGTGGGATTTCAGATGCGACCGAGGTTTTGCGGGACTTTCACCGACAAGGATACATGGAAGCCAACAAGGCTGCCGAGGTGGAAAACGAAGTTGTCAACCAGCTCATGGGTCTGCGCAATGATCTGCAAAAGAAGACCAAGGAGATCAAAAACCTTGCTGGCGATTTTCGAAACTCTGTGGATAAAGAGATGGAAGGCACTCGCAAGAGCGTTCGCAACCTGCACGAAGCCTTGGGCCTGATTGACACCGACCCGTCCGCAACTTCAGGTAAAGGCGATCCCTTCATCGTCCGTCTCGGTGTGGATAAGCAGATCGAAAAGCAAATCGAGGAGGAAAATTATTTGCATAGGGTATGTTGTTCTCGCGCAGTATCACTCTATCCCGACTAACAATCTCCAGGCATTTTTGAACTTGGAGCACTCCGGTCGCGAACTCGAATCCATTGTTGTGAGCGAAATCCAAAAAGCCTACAACGCCTATGCCAGTATCCTCAAACGTGAAGCCGAGCAAGCATACGATACGGTGGAGAAACTCCGAGCGGGGCCCATCACAATGCCGCAAGATCACGAATGGAACTCGTTCATCGCCAATACCGACGAACTGGTTGACCCGCGAGTTCCCCTCCGCAACGTGGAGAATATCACCTACCCAGGCAGGGATCATCCTGCTGCAGCTGAAGTCAGATCCGGCATGTTGGAACGCAAGAGCAAATATCTCAAGAGCTACACCCCCGGCTGGTACGTCTTTCTCCTTCCCTGTCCCTCTTAATATTTACGTTGGGGTCGTGAATGATTAACCTAATCGGCTTCAGGTATGTTCTCTCGCCGACTCATCTCCACGAGTTCAAGTCCGCCGATCGAGTGGCATGGCAAACGCCAATGATGTCATTGTACCTCCCCGAACAAAAGCTGGGTTCACACTCGCAACCAGACTCGACATCGCATAAGTTCATGCTCAAGGGACGCCAGACTGGAACGATGCATCGAGGACACTCGTGGGTGTTCCGCGCCGAGTCTCACGACACAATGACCTCGTGGTACGAGGACATTGAAAGCTTGATATCGAAAACGGGCGAAGCACGAAATGCTTTCGTTAGACGACATGTCCGGACTGTGAGCGGTACCAGCTACCAAACGGGTTCTGCCAGCAGTGACGGAGTCATGGATGAGGATGAAGCTGACCGAACGCCATACTCGGCAGGCTCCACCATCATGAATCACGAGCGACCAACATCCGAACCTCGTCAACCTGGTGGGCGTTTCCCAAGTGACGTACAAATTGATCGACACCTTGACGATGCGCCTTTGTCCCCATCCAGCGGTGACAGCTCTGGAGAAAAGGACCTTTTGGGGGCCGTGGGGTCGGGGTCACTTCCTGATGGCGTGCCCTTCAAAGACGGAAACCACTCAGATCACGATATAGATGCAGGTCAGAGCAGGGCCATAGATGGTGCTCAGAATGGTCAAGTTGAGAGATATGACAGCTATTACGGTGGCTGGATGGGATCGTCTGCCCAGCAGCAGCAGCAAGCTCAACAATACAACCCTTCCAACGATGGAAAACGAATCTCCCAATCCGAACGGGGCGCAGCCTCGCATCCTAATATTCTCCTCGCTGGTGTCAAATACAACGGTTCCCGCGATTCCTCAGTGGTAGCTTCACGAAATCGACGAGGCAGCGCATCCACCGCGCCCACAACCACAAACGGAACAGATCACACAAACCACACCGTTCCAACGTCAATCGACGAAGCGCAAGACGCGCCTGCCGCTGTTCTGGCCGGCTCCTACCGTCAGCAACCTTCCGACGCGTTGAAAGAAGAACAACACTTTGCCGGTTTCGACGGTCCTCCGGTCATGGCATCATCATCAATGACCACCCCGAGAAGCCTTGCATCGAACGATGAGGGTCTAAGACGTCCTACGCCCGGACAGCCAAAGGGTAGCGTTTCGACTCTCGAATTGAAAATCCCCGGTCATTATCCCCCGACCAATGTGGCCGCATGAGTCAAGCGATTTGGCTGAATAACCCATTGGAATGGATGACACCGGCCATCAATTTTCTTCTTTTCTACCACCCTTTTTTTTTTCCCCACTTCTCTGGCTACTGCTACCACCTCTTCTGGATATCTACCTACATATCCAGCTTTTTTTCACTTCTTGTACATTATTTTCATCACCCCCTTTTTTTTTTTTTTTTTCCTTTCTTCTTTTCTTGCCCAGTGACTGGAGTTTTGTATTGGATTTCTCTTTTTTCACGTTTTCCTTTTGTTGATTTCATTTGTTTGCATCTCCTTTGTTATTTCATTTGCCTAATTTCCTTTGTCTCTTTTCTTTTGTCACTTTCACGATCAGATTTCTCAAGGTCCGGTTGGGTTGGGATGGGTTAGGTTGGCTGGCTGGGGTGGTTGGGTTTTAACACTGGGATATACGGATATCAGGGGTCGTTGATTTTTTCAAACTCATACACCACACTAACAATCTGTGTGTGTTCACGGCGTTTACGAATTTATAAAGTTAAGGATTCTTTTTTGTTGGTTACGATTTTGGATCGGAGTACGAAGTACTCGTACGTACTCTTTATATATAAAAGATGAAAAAAATGAAGCAATCTATCTGATCAATTTGTCTGGTTTACTAAGATTATACGTAGACTTGAGTGGTGAGGATGTTCATAAATACAAGTAAACATGCAGTACAATTTCTCTAGAGGTGACAAGTCAAGAGCGAAGACGATATCATAACCCTCCACAGAGCCAGCCATCAGGTATCATCAATCAATATCTGTTACACAGGCCCAGTTGTATGGGAAACAAAAATAAACCAGATCATCCATCAACTCTCGAACACCTCCCATAAGTTCCCCGAGTAGATAGTTATGACAAGCCGGAAAAACAAAACAAGGGGGATATTTCGATAGAGAACAAACACACACAGAGACTAAAAGCAGAACGTGACAAGACAAGAAAAGAACAATTTGACGTTTCCAGAGTAATACATCGTGTAAACTTTTCGGACTAACCGGTCCTCCTGGTGAAAAGTGTACGGTTATATTACATGATCTGGTCCTGCGTGATTCCAGTCGGCTCGGCACCGTCCATAACATCATCTGGACCCGGTCCAGCGGTCATGTACTTGACAAAGGTGATGCCAAGGGGACGGCCACCGTACTGGTAGCCAGTGAACTTGGCTAGTAGAGGGTTAGATAGAAGTCCAAACAGAGAGAAGCAAGGAGGTCATACCAATAGCAGTTTCAGCGGTCTCGCCACTATCGAACTGAACAACACCGGTTCCACGAGAGCGGCCATTGGGCTCGTACTGAATCTCAGCACGGTCGACCTTGCCGATGGTGGAGAACAAGTCCACGAGATCTTCGTTGCAGGTGGACCACGGCAACTAAGTAGATGTCAGTTCACATTGCCGGTTTTTTCTCCGTTCGAACAAAACTTACGTTGCGCACGTAAATGACAGGGCTCTTCTCTCCTCCGGAGGTTGCAAAGTCAGTAAAGGGGTTCGGGGGCACTGAAGCCGCACCACCACCCTCGAAGCTAGGTGGTGCTCCACCATAGCCACCACCGAATCCACCACGACCTCCAAAGCCACCGCCAAAGCCGCCACGGCCTCCGAAACCACCGCGACCACCACCGAATCCACCACGGCCACCGAATCCGCCACCAAAGCCACCACGGCCTCCGAAGCCTGCGCCAGGACCGGCAAAGCGATCCTCGCGGACCTCGAGGGGTCGTCCCTGCCAGTCGTAGCCGTTGAACTGCTGAATGGCATTGCGGGCGTCGTCGGGGGACTCAAAAGCGACAATTCCGGAGCCCTTTGGGCGACCAGTCGGGTCGGTGTGCACATCTGCACGAATGACGGCACCTTGCTGAGCTGTGCGCGAAACTGTGTCAATCTCCAAACAAATCTTTCCAACATAATGTGGTGGGAATGGGGGATTTAGATGCGTGCTTGGAAGATTAAATCGATTCCAGCCGTCCTGTACTTACCAGCTTGGCGGAAAAGATCCTTCAGGTCTTGCCAGCCAACATTGAAAGGAAGCTATAAAATGGGTGGTCAATATTTCCGCTTTATTAAGCATTACCTTGAACGGTCATCACTGGGGAATGGGGGGGAACAAACGTTGGACACGTAGAGTTGTCTACCTCCAGCGCCGGGGGGAGGACCGCCGTAGCCGCCTCCAAAACCACCGCCTCTACCAGCACCCCCGAAATCTCCACGAGGGGGGCCACCAGTGAAACGTGGCTCTGGTTCACGGTCCTAAAGATCACGCAAGATCAGCTTCTTTATCCAAATTCCAGCCAGGGCGAGCAAAGAAATACCTCGCGGACATAGACGAGTCGTCCCATCAGGTTCTGATTGCTGAGAGTGTTGACAGCGTTTTGCGCTTGGTCCCTCGTTGCGTATTCCACAATCCTATTCGGAATCCGTTAGTGACCCGTAGGTGAGAAAAAGAGAACCCAGAGAGTACTCACCCGCATCCCTACAATATCCGGACAGCCAGGCCCAGCCCGTCAACCCAACAGTCCATCAAAAATAACAACCAAAAGCAAAAAAAGAAAACCAGCCACACTACGCATTGGCGCCCACCTTCGACATTCCATTAGGAAGAAGTAAGACATCGGCGAAGATAACCTCTCCAGCTGTAAGAATGACGACGCAACCATCCACCAAGTCAGCCACTGATTCCAAATTCCAAGCAACTCTCACACAACCGCCGACACGATATGACCCTGCTCACCCTGTCTCATAAAATCTTTAAGATGATGCCACTTGACATCGTAGGATAGGTTCCCAACATAGACCCGACGGTCCTGTTGGGAAGAGTCGCGCACTGATTGCATCATATGTTCTTTGGCGACAGCGCGATCCTCAAACGATCTGGGAGGTGCGAAACCACTGCGTCCACCGTAAGCCGAGCCTGGATGTCCTCCGGATCCACCTGGTGCAGCACTCATAGGAGAGCGAGAACGACGTTCACTGCGGCGATAATCGTCACGACTGCGAGAGCGGCTGCGCGGCGAATAGGAACGACGGCTACGTCGAGGACTGCGAGAGCGACGACGTGGGGAACGAGACCTTTCGCGCTGGGCGTAGTCAGTATCGTCGAAGGGGGCGGACGACATGGGCGGAAAATTGATGAGAAAGAACCGGGGGAAAAGGGTAAAAAAAAGGGGGGGGGAGGGCGCAAAAAATAAGGCGGATCAAAGATGCCAATTGAGAAGATATACAACAAAAGGGAACAAAGGGAAAGGAAAATCGAGGACCCCGCAATGAGAATGGTTCCAAAAGACAAAAACCGGCTGCCCAGAGCGGTTCCCAGAAGAGCGCGCGAGGAAGGCAAGTCAGGTGACACGGCCGGTGGTGAAACCCAAAAGGGCGGGGACCCGGGGAGAAGAGAACAGATGGACCAAGCGAGAATGGGGTATAAAAAGTGGGAGGAGGGGGGATTTAGCAGGGCAATTAAACAGACTGGATCAAAAATGAAGCAGACAGTCTGGGTGGATGGTTTAAGTGATGATATACTCGGTATCAGGCAATCCGGAGTGGAGGCCAGATAGATGGCTTGGGGACGGAAGCGCCCAGCCATTTGGAAGGGATGGGATCATGCAGGGCAGATGAATAATAAGGAGGGGATAGAACAGATGAAATAGAGGGTAAAATAATATAAAAAAATAAAATAATACGAATGGCAGAGATGGATAGCACTTACTTGGTATGGTCGATAGACGTCGGCTAGAGATGGAAGAGTAAGCCACGAGTCTTTTTGGGTAAGAAGGGAGAAAGCAGATAAAAAGAGAAAGAAATACAAGAGGAGGGGAAGAGAATAAGGATGGATGGGGAGGGGAAAGAAGAGAAGAAGAAGAGGAAGAAGAAGAAGAGAGAGAGAAGATGGCGGGGGAAGAAGAACGATAGAAAGACGAGAAACAAGAAAGACAAAAAGACAAGAGGGGGTGGTTTGATTGGGTTTCCCGTCGAATCCGAGTAGTACTACAAAAGGAAAAATGCAAGGTACTGGGTTAAGTAAGGCAGGCCAGGATTAACGTGTAGATAATAAGTAAGAGTAAGTAAGTAGTAGTAGTAACCTTGGAGACAGAAAGTGGGTAGAAGTAAGAGGGAAAAGGCAGTGGTAATAAAAGAAAAACACCAAAAAAGCAGCAGGATAGAGCAAGATCACGCACCCATGATGAATCGTCAGTCGGATTGGATGGAATTGAGGGGAAAGTCTGTATTCCCTTTCTACTTTTCTTGATTTCCCGTTCAAGAGGGGGGGGAGAAAAAGAAAAAGAAATAAAAAAAAAAGAAAGTATCTCGACTGTCAAATGGGAAAAGGAGGAGGAAGAAGAGGAGGGGAAAAGGAAGAAAACGGGCAGTTCGGGTTGGCCGTGAGAGTCAAGATAATAGCAGGGATTAATTAGTTATTGTTTGTTTGTTGGAGTTCGGTGAGGGAATTATTTGGGGGCAAATGATCCTGTGATGGTTGAGAAAGAGGAGAAAAAAAGGAGTCAGTCAGTCAGAATAAATAATAATAAAAAAAGAGATGGGAAATGAAGCAATGAGACACGCCAGAAGAAGAGGAAAAGAAAAGAGAAGAACAAGGCGAGGAAGAGGAGAAGGAAGGAAGAGATTGGATGGCGAATGGTGATATTTGACTGCAGATATGCAAGAGCAGAGCGACAAGGTGAATGGGCAGAGGGGAAATTGGACGGCTGATCCTGATAGAGGGCCCACCGGGGAGATGCGATGGATGTCTTTACCTGAAGCAATTCAATCGATATTCTATTGAATACAGACGCTCTGGCCCAATGATTCACGATCAACCATCGATGACAGGAACTGTTGATGCTGTAAAACTCAAACAGAGCTCGGGGATATCCCGGGTGCCTCAGGCAGACACTCACTGTATTCTGATTGGCTGCCGATTTGAGGTTATTCACAGGCATTATTACATCAGATCAACACAGCCAGATTCATTCATTCTCAATATACATGGTAGTGATAGAGTACATGAATAGAAAATACAAATAGGTATACACATATAATCTCAAGATGTTCCCATTAAACCTCAAAACCCGGTAGGCAAAAGAGGAAGGTTCACATCAGAGTTGACATATTCAAGAGACTGGACTGTTGGTACAAAGCAGATGATTCAGTCCAAATCCCCCACAAATTTAAACACCAAGCCATAAACACACTCTCCGGTATCTGTCATGGTGATCTTGCACCGCACCACCTCGTACTGGTCCGATTCATGGTATCGGAGCACCCCCTCATTCTCCTCAGACGTAACCTCCAATGCCCACCCCTCCACAGTGGCATCGGCAGGCCCATCAATCAGAGCCTTATACTTCCCCTTCCAGATCTTGACGATGCCTCCTGTGGTCGTGGCCCGTCTCAGCACTGGTGTCTCGGGAAGAGACAGCTTCTGGACAAGGAACTCTGGGCTTGTCAGATTGCCATAGACAAAGTACCACACTGGGTACTGATTCTGTTTTGGCAGGAATACGTGACTGGCATCATCCACTCGGTTCTGTGGAAGTGTCGGGTCACAGAAGCCCAGAGTTGGAGCAAAACAGCAGCCCGAAAGGCTCTTGTCTGCTGTATTGATTCGAATAAAGGTGGGCACAAATGCCTCACCCTTCAAGGCCCAGGCGATGGTGGCCTTGATCTTGCCGTTGATGAGACAGAAGCAGGCATCTCCAGTTGCTCCACTTCCCTCTCTCACAGCTGGAAGCTCCAGCATCTTCCCCAATGTCTGGACCTTCTGCGGACTGTCCAAAGGTCCCTCAAGCTTGACCATATATGTGGCCTTGGGATCTCCTACTGTCTGAGGTCCAGCAGGGCTGTTCTGGCGGTTGAAGAGGCCCGCCCCGATAGCGTATTCATACGCCTCTCGGTCGTATCCTTGGGCCTCCTTTTCGTCTCGGACCATCTGCCAGTGTGTATCCGAGACAGTCTTGTGTGAGATGGCCCCCCGGTGCCTCTCAAGCACAGACCTAGCTTCTGTGCGGGAGTAGTTAAACAGGTTCTGAAATCGGGTGACCTGCTCATCAAAGTTGTCTCCTAAGTCGTTTTGGGCCACGATGGCCATGTTTTCGAGTTCGTCAAGGAGATCCATGTCGTGACGTGATTTGATGTAGGGCTAGAGAACTTTGAAAGGGATATGTAAAGCGAAAAGAAGATGCGTAGAAGAGAGTATGAGGATTGAGAGAATGGTTGGTTGTAGTGAAGAAGAGAAGGGAAGAAAGGAGGAAAGGAGGAAAGGAAGAAGGGAAATCAAATGGGGGATTATACCTAGGCAAAAACTACAAGGTCTCTGAAATGACAACACCATGATCAATACTCTGCATACTCATACACTCATAAAATTCTGCCTATCTAAATATGTAAATTTAGGTACCCCTTCCCCCACTCTGCTTAGATGATTTGCCTAATGCAATGTATTTTCACCTCGAACCCTATCCGACGACATCATAGTGATGTGCAGTGATCGTGGCTCGTTGCTCTGGAGAAGTTAGGCATCAAGTTGCCAAAATGAGACTACGCTTGGAAGCACAGATAGTTGATCCCAGCGACATATCGGTCAGGGCACATAAAATCCACAATCTCGTCCTGGTCAGCATTGTCGATATAGTCGAAGGAATGGCGGAGTCCATGTAATGGAACCACTCTTGCAGAAGTCATTGACCTGGTCTCGTCTCGAAAGTGGCACGCATCGGGCCGTAGCAGGCTCCCAGAAGATTATCGCCTTGGCCATGGATCGAAGTTGCTGGAGGGAATAACCCTCAGTTGCAAATGACATGTGGATATGGAAGCTGCATGAAGTATCGTGGCGGAAATCAAAACGCTCATTCATGACAGCCCAGAAGTGATTGGCCATCGGCCATGATCACTGGCGACACAATCTCTATTGGGTCTTCCAAAGTCAGTAAATGAAAATGCATCAAGACTCAGACCGACTTACAAAACCCATCTGGGATATGTGCCTTTGAGAGTGATGCGTCGAGCATCACGGTCCGGTCCACTTAGTATAGTCTGGGTCAGTTTTCTTGCTCTGGTAGATGTAGCAGCTCTTGTCGGGGAATAAGTTCAAAGAACATTGTGAATGTTTGTATGGAAGAGAATATGGTTTACAGGAGTGGATGATGGAAGAAGAAACAGAAGAGAGAAGAGACAGACTGATCGTTTTATAATTGTTTTGTTGTCGAATCGTTCTTTCCCGGCTTGTAGACAATGGTGATTCTTGCAGTATAGGAAGGTACGCTGACATGTGAAGGAAAGAGCGAGTATACATCTCGAATATAGACCTTCATGGTCTACTAAATAACAGACTTCCAGGTTAGATAGACACAGTAAATGAAACATCCCAGGATCTATACTTGAATATCCATATCTATATCCTGGGACTGTCATTAAATATATCACTAGAGATATTCACCTTACTTACAATCCATCTTGTAGACATATAGACAAGGTAGATATCATAATACAATAGAGCACGCATCAGTTACAGACAATTGACTCTATGAAGTTGTATGGAGGCATTTTCGGCTCAGCTCAGACCACCGCTTATCCCCATCGACTCCCGCCCCGAAAAAATAAAAGCATCGCATCTCTTCATTCCATCCGCAATCCACCACCTCCATCATCACCATGGCTCAACCAATTCTCCTCTCCCGCTGTCCTACAGCGACAGCTTCATCTCGCAGACTCCTCCCATCATTCACCCGCCAATCCGGCCTCTCCTTCCAGTGCCGCAATCTTCATCACAACCACCAACAACAACCCATCCGCCAACCCAGAAGAACAACACCACCTACAACACAATCTCGCCTCCCAAGAACCTCATACCCCCTCAACCCTCGCCTGTACCACTCCCAACACCACCCCGACCCCCCAGCCCACGAGTACTCCAACTCGCAAACCACCATCCTCGAAGCAGCCCTCACCCACGTCCCGACTCACGGCTTCACCTCCGAATCCCTCACCCTGGGCGCCCGCGATGCCGGCTTCCTCGACGTCTCCGTCCAGCTCTTCCCCCGAGTTGAATTCGACCTCGTTCTCTTCTGGCTAGCTAGTCGACGAGGCCTGTTGCGCGGAAAGGTCGAGAATGGCTTCTTTGAGTCTCAGCAGGGATTGTCTGTGGAGGAAAAGACAAAGGCGCTGATTATGGAGCGGTTGCGCATGAATGCCAGTATTAAGCATCAGTGGCAGGATGTATGTTTCCTACCTACCTTTATTTCCAGATTTCCCGATGAGAATACGTGACTGACTAACTGATTGAAGGCTCTGGCTGTCATGTCCCTCGCTTCAAACATCCCTCTCGCTCTTTCCGAATTGCACGCTTTATCTTCTGATATCCTCACTCTTGCGGGTGACGCCTCCGTCGATGCATCCTGGTATACAAAACGTCTCTCCGTATCTGCCATCTACGCCAGCGCCGAAGTCGTCATGACCAATGACTCAAGTCCGGATCTCTCCGCTACCGAGGCCTTTGTGGATCGTCGCATTGAAGATAGCAAGACTATCGGTGATAAGATCGGTGGTGTCAAGCAGTGTCTCGGTTTCATGGGTTCGACTGCTGTTGGCTTGGGGAGAAGTTGGGGATTGAAGATCTAAAGATATCATGTCTCTGTTGAATGAGAATGTTTTCCTTGTATTCTATTTGTCTATGTATATTACATGATTGTTTTCAATACTCTTCCTATCGTACATTAAACAGAAGCCATGTTTCATCTAAATACAAGCGCATATATACTCCTCACCGATTCCCTCGTTGCCGACTGCCCATATCCTGCACTCGCAACACGATCCGATGCATCCAGCCCTCCGGCCCAAGCAACTCCCGCATGGCTTTTCTGTTCGGCGCCATATCCCACCACGGCTCACGGGTAGAAGGCCGGTTCTCTTGACGTGCCCGTTGACGATACCTCGTTAGATCACGCTCCCGCTGACGCACAATCCCATTCAGCAACCCAACCGTCTTCTGATCGGGCTGTACGCCCGTCACCTCCATCTCCTGCAGGAGAGATACAACACCCGGGATATCGTTGCAGCCACGCCAGTAAAAGTAGATCAGTTCGTTGTATAGGCCTGTCGACGTGCCCAGCACTGCGGAGGTCCTGCCATGCGACTTGATGGTTGAGCGGAACTGGCCGATTAAGGGAGAATTGGGGAAATGCGAGTTGAGGAGACGAAATGCGACGAGGAGGACTTTCGGGTAGAGTGCTGTCACGACGGGTTCAACGGGAATAGAGGTAGGGATTTCCAAAGCATCGGATTGTTCTGGTTGGGTCTCGTTGGTCTCGACGGCCTCGCTGGTCACGTTGGGTTCGCTGGTTTGGCTAATCTCGCTGGTCTCGTTGACCTCACTGGTCGCGCTGGTTTCCTTGTTTTCTTGCTGGATATCTTCGAATTGTCCCTCGGCTTCAACACTGGACTGCGCCGGAGTAGGCACTTCCAGCTCCTTCTGAAGATCCTTGAAGTTGAGATGGTGAGCGAGAGGGCTTTTTCCCAGATACTGCATGAGGGAAAATATCCGCTCTTTGCAGATACCCCAGACCTCAGTGTCACCCTTTCCTTGTTCGATTGCAACACGCAGAGTGGTTTCGATCTTTGCCGATTCCCGCTGCACAATTGACCCTATAATCCTCTCCAGAGGGATTTGAGTATCATCGCTCAGCTCGTAGATATCAATATCACCATCCTGGAATCGCCGGAGCTTCTCGTGGATCTCCGACGTTTCACCTTCCGATGCTGCTGAAATACCGTCCGACTTTGCCTGTGACTTCTTTCTCTTCGATGCCTTTAGTTTTATATCGTTGAGCACGGAGTCGAAGATCGCTGAGAGCTGTAACATTTCATTCCGGTCACTGTCGCTCATTGGTTTCTTCGGCTCCTTGTTCGCCTCTGCCCCTGTCTCTGTTGTGGATGTGTCCTTTCGAGAAAGTCCCACTTGTCCCAGCAATTCGCCAAATGCCATCCTTTCTCCTTGTGTCATTGTAAGCGACTTCAGCGGTTGTCGTATCTGTGTAGTGGGTTTCTTCTCTGGCGCCGAAATTGCACCGGCACGTCTCTGCAGATAGCTTCTTCGCGGCTTCGGAGCATCGTTCACGGTCTGAGAGGGCGGATCGGACGTCGTAGGGGCAGAGTTCGAATCTTGGGACGATTCACCGTTGTCATTTTGTGTTGCTTCGTCTGAGGGAGTATTCGTGGAATACGTTGACCGTAGATGAGCTGTGTTTTGAAACGTATACCATAACGGTGCTGTGAGTGTGCGAGTCTGATATAAAAATGGGACGAGGGAGTTATGCGCTGTGAGCACTAGCCTAGTGCGAGGAATTCGCGCAGCCATTTTGAACTGTCAGAATCACTGAAAGCGACTCGTGGCTGATCTTGAAGTTTGCGGAATTTGAGTAAAAGCAAATGACATCAACAGCAGTTGTGGTCTATCAAGTTTGCCAATTAGAGGATATTATTGTCCTGTAGGATGTCTGCAGAAAACAAATCCCTTCAAAAATAAATTCCAAAATTCCAACAAACAAAAGCACTTTTTTTGTATGTCAGTTTTCATTCATGCAAATCTTCTTCATCTCCGCAAAACAGCGGCTTCATTATCTCACGTGACAGCGCGATGCCATTACACGCGACGGGGAATTGCAGTGCACGATCAGCGCAGTTCCCAACCAGGACCAAAATCAGCCCACGGTGCCGTTCAACTTCTTTTCGGAGGCTAATATTGACCTCTTGAATTTTCCCTGGGTCTTGTTTTTCCCCGTTTTCAACAATGGGCAGCGAGCTCTCCGACTTTGAAAAGCAGCGGTTGGCCAACATCGCGGAACGCGATGCGCTGCTTAAAAAGCTCACTCAAGAGGCGCAGTCCTCCGGCCTGTTCCCCCCGAAGCTAGCAAAGGCCTCATCCGGCGATACCGGGAAAGCGAAGAAGAAACCTCCCCCCAAGAAGATTAAGAAAGAAGAGGAAGCTCCCTTGCCGCGCCGCACGTCTTCGCGGTTGAGGGGCATTGCGGCGGAAAGCGAGGTCGCGAAGCGCAAAGCGGATGATGAGTATGAAGTTGCGATGGAGGCAGCGCGGGCGAAGCGGGTTCGCAAGTCGGATGCTTTTACTTTCAACGAAATGATCGTTTCGGGGCAGAAACTTAGCGGGGATGCCTTGATTGGCGTGGATGTGGTCACCAAGGGTGTCGCGAAGCCGTACGAGCGAACCTTTGGGGATGCTGAGATCAAGAAGACATCGGATAAGGATTTGAAGGCTCTGAGGGAGGAAATGAGCGGGTTGCAGCTGTGGGAGCCTTGGGAGCCTAACCGTGCGGATTTCCCGAGTGTATATTGGATTGAGATCATGTGTTGACATGTCAAATATAGGAATCAAGCTCACCCCGGAACGAGTCTATACCATGACCTTTCACCCTTCCGAAACCAAGCCGTTGATCTTTGCCGGAGATAAAATGGGGCACCTGGGTGTTCTTGATGCCTCTCAAGAGAAACCGATATCGACGAAGACCGAAGACGACGACGAAGAGGACGACGACCCAGACCCTGTCCTCACCACCTTGAAACCACACACCCGCACAATTAGCTCAATGATGATCCACCCATCGAAGCCCACCCACCTCTACACAGCCAGTTACGACAGCTCCATCCGGGAGATGGATCTAGAAAAGACAACATCAGTAGAGAAATACGCCCCCGAATCCACATCCGAAGACGTCCCCATCTCCGGCATCGACATGGCCCTAGACGACCCCAACTGTCTGTACTGGACAACCCTGGACGGAGCATTTGGCCGCTACGACACCCGCACCCCACGGGGCGACAGCACGGTGGAGAACTGGCAGCTCTCCGATAAGAAAATCGGTGGCTTCTCCCTGTACCCTGCACACCCGCACTACTTCGCCACGGCCAGCTTAGACCGCACTATGAAACTGTGGGATCTCAGAAAGTTGTCGCATGACGAACCGGTCCCCATCGGCGAGCATCAGAGTCGTCTCTCGGTCTCTCATGCGGCCTTTAACAGCGCCGGCCAGATTGCCACTTCCTCCTACGACGATACCCTGAAAATATACGACTTGGGCGCAAAGGGAATCTCCTCCTGGAAGCCAGGCCATACCGTCTCCGATGACCAGATGAAACCAGACACGGTCGTAAGACATAACTGCCAGACCGGACGCTGGGTTACCATGTATGTCCTGTCCCATTCCCACTCCCCTCCTCATGCCAAACCCCTATACTAACACGATATCCAGCCTCCGCCCCCAATGGCAAGCAAACCCGCAATCCCCCATCCAACGGTTCTGCGTAGGCAACATGAACCGCTTCGTCGACATCTACAGCAGCGCCGGCGACCAACTCGCCCAACTCGGAGGCGACGGCATCACCGCCGTCCCCGCCGTGTCTGTTTTCCACCGAAGCAAGAACTGGGTTGCGGGTGGGACGGCCAGTGGGAAGATTTGTTTGTGGATGTGATTGTGATTTGTTTTTGAAAGAAAAGATAAATTGTTCGTGTTTATTATTCCCCCTCTGTCGGTATGTGTGTCTGTCTCTGTATTTGTTTTTATCATAAGGGGTCTTGTGGCCGTAGTGTGTAATTGTAGGTTGTCAAACCGATACCTTATTTTATTGGATTTCTTTCCCTTTTATGTTTCAATCTGGGCATGTCAGCTGTCAGCTGTCAGCCATGCACATGCATGGATCAAATCGGGGCTTTGATGACATCCACGGATGGAATTGATCGGATCCTTTTCTCCGGAGATGCACGTCAGATTTTTGGTATTGGCTAGTAGAAAATCTCCGAACTATATATCGAGGATACGCATATTGGCAGATCTCACATCATAGGGCAATACTCATTTCATCTATGCAAGAAGAAGACTATTTACACAACAAAAAAGAAAACAATCGAAGCCGTTTTTGCACTCCCAAGAGACTTTTCTAATGGGAACAGCCAAGGAAGAAATGAAAAGCCATATAGAAATGCCTGGGCATCCAGCACTCTCTCTTCCATCCAAAACAGCAATAAGAGCAGGGTATCAACACCATGACAAATGCTTTCCAAAAAGAATAGGAGAAAAAGAGCGTTAAATCATGAGCACATAGAGGGGGGAATGTACATCAGAACATACAGGAATTTGTCCGTACAAAACCTGTCTTGTTATACAAAACTGTTCCAGTCACCACCCGCGAGTTTATTGTCATAGAAAACACATCAGCCTCCATCACCCTTGCTGTAAATAAAAAAGAAAAGAGAAATATTTAGAAGAGGCAAAAGGCAACCAAGAATCCAAAAATACCAAAAAAGGAAAAGAAAAGTAAAAAAAGATGAACAGAAATTTATGTCATGTATCGGGCATCACCATAATAAAGATGCCATCTGGAATATCCAAACGGTTGTGGTCCAATTGGTCCCAGAGTTAATATCGTCAAGGTTCGTTCCGTAATTCCTCGCGCGAATGCTGATGATCACGGTCTTTGGCTTTGCGCCTCGATGCTCCGAATGTATCGAATAATCGGTACTTGCTCGAGCTCTCTCTAGTAATGCTTGATCTGCGGTTGCTTTTCGAGTTATCGGAATATTCAAGGGAGTATGTCGAAGAGTTTTTGGAGCTACCGGTGCTGTCTCGTGTATCAGACCACCGGGGTATGGAGAAGGGTACCCGGTTCTGTTCCCAGTTCGCCGATGAGGAGCTTGGGGGAGTATCTTCGTCGCCGTCAGCGCCGCAGTCGGTGGACCGGCGGGGGAAAGACGGCCTCGAAGCAAAGTAACCGATGGAATTCCGATGGTTCGCCGTGACAGACGCTGACCCTGCGGTGACTGTCTCGGTAGCTGCCGGGGTTCCAGGTTTACTGGGGGTCTCATCATAAAAGGTTGCGGACCGCTCCATCGAATCCACCAATTCCTCCCACTTGATCTCGAGATTTCCATTTGGCCGCTCAGCTTGTTCAGCCCTGGTCAGGCATTCTTTGGTCCGCTGGTGGAGACGAAGCGCTACATCATGGAATTTCAGAAGCACTCGATCGACATCTTCCAGCTCAGACAGCCTTTCTGGCGCAACCTCGAGCCATATTCTGATCAGGTTTGCGAAACTTCTTGCAAGGTCGAGCAAGAAAGGAAGACTCGGGAATCCTTCGCGTGAGGTAGGAGGCAATCGGTTGAGAATTTGAATCGGCGTGGCATACGATGGCGTGACAATCGGTGTTGGCCGATCTGCGGGAATCGCACAGATTGAATCAACAAACTGTTTGAACTCGATACGGTTTCCAACCAGAAACTTATTCATCGGTTCCATCCAAGGCTCTTTACTGCCGAAAGTTGTCATGTTGGCCAATCCTTGCAAGGCCTTAGCTATCAAGGTCAAGGTACGCTGGGCACGAGGACGGGGATGATCTATTTTTTTCCGTTAGATAACTATACAGCAAGAGAGAAGGGGGGGGGGGTTACCTTTCAGCAATCCAAAGAGCTTCGGGTTGAGGATGGCTGGACAGAAGAACCGCAGGAACAGGAAACCAGAAACACTGCTGTATGTCACAGACCGGAGGAAATCACCATAACGATCATCCGCACAGGCTCTAATGTGTCGGAATATAAGTCGCAGCTCAGCCGGACATCGAGATGCGGAATTGGCGATGGATTTCCAAACATCCGTAGTACGGTTGATTAGGGTTCTCCAGTTACGCTCGAGATCATCCGGGCGCTGCACTCGAGACGGGTCGACCTCACACTCCGGATCATCCACGTCAATATCCCGTAACCGGTCTCCAATTGTCTCCTCGAGGTATTCCTTTCCAAGCCGGCGCATGTGCAAGTCAAGAGCCTTGGTCAGAAGGGAATTCCCTCTAAAAAGCAGATTGGCCTCCACAGTGGCAGTCCGCCCTAAGTCTCTCACAAGAACCTCCCTATCTTGCCCAGTTTCTCTGGCATCGTTCGAATGTATCCGTGTGGTATACCTAAGCCTGTTGACCGTCGATTCCTTGTGGACCCCGTCTATTTCATCTTCGACCAACGCCGAAATCCATTCGACTGCCTGGCCCGAGACTTGATAGATGTTGAGAAGGGTTTCGGACAGCTGATTCAGTTCTGACGACATAATGTGGGCCATTTGTATAGTGAGGCCGTTCGTAAAGGAATGAAGGAGCTCGGACATTGGCTTGTATTCATCGGACATCAAGACGACAGTCTCATCCATCCTTGCCCTCATCAGCATCTCGCCTACTGATTGATCTCTGTCGTCCACAATAGGCCACCATTTCTCAGTTTCCACGCCCGGTTGCAGATCATCCAATCGCAGATCGACACGTCCGTGTATGGTATCGGTAGAGGATAGCTCAACATCGTTCAACACGCTCGTAGGGTTGGCATCTCGGTTCAAGGCGTACGACCCATGAGCAATAAGCGTCCAGTCCTTCTGAGATGGATTGAGTGTCTTGACAAATATTGAAACCTGTGATAGAACTGGCGGTAGGTCGCTGAACGTGAAATCTTCCCGCCAAAAGGGATTCGCGGTGCGGTATTTAACGGCAGTCTTGGCTCGAACTTCTCCGTCTAGAACGACTTCCGTATAATAGTCACTCACGGCGGAGGTCGGCGAAGTATGACTATGAGATCTAGATGGCTTTCTGCTTCTGGGAGTTTCATCTTCTTTATTGCGGAATAGCTTTGCTTCCGTCACCCTCACTGTAAGTATTCGTTCAATTCTGAACATGTCTGCTGTAGGTGTAGTGGTTGTATTCTCCGGTACTCGCAATTTTTTCGGGTCGTGTTCAATCGATGACGCAGGACCGTACAGTTCCGGAATAGTGAAAGCACGCAAAAGCACGAACCATACCTCAAAAAGAACTCGACTTTCTAGGGCGAGATATATCGGGCGTGATAGGGCTTCAGAGATCGAATGTGCTGCGTACTGTGGATATATAACAATGCAAAATTCATCCTCCAAAACGGACGAGTTGAGCTGCTGCACGGCACAGCGGGATAACTGGGATAATTGGACACAAGTGACGAGGGTGGTGTCTGGGTCGGTGTAGAGATTGAAATGGCCATTCTCCTGCAGTGTGCAGCTCACCTTCTGCCAGGAGGAGGAAAGCGCCCTCTGTTGTCGGTACGTCGATATACGACGGCCAGACGAGGGCCGTGCTCCGGACGCGCTTGGTTTGTCCCACATGAGCATTTTCCCAACCTTGATGATAGTAGCATCCTTCTGTACGGTACTTTCGGAATTTCGCCGACGTTCGGCGAGGCGGCGATCCCCAATGGCCACGGTCTGGGGCTTGGTCATTTTATTTTGTACCCCCTTGGGTCGGATCGGTTGCCAGCAGAGGAGAGCAGCAAGCCACGAATCAAAAGTCTCACTAACATGGGGCCTCAATTGGATGCCAAGGCCCGAGGTAAATGTAGAAACGCTTAGGTATGTGGTCTGCAGCTCCTGGTCAAACAGAGTTCGAACCCGGCAACCACGCAGGTCAGGAATCAGAGTCTTGGCCAGCGCAGGTTCCCCTTTAGCCTGATATATCAAACTTCCCGTGGCCACGTTGATGGCGCAGTATCCCGAAGTCCAAGACGTTGAAGAGGCGGTCCGAAATGAAAGGATCCCATGCATCCGCCCGCAAGTCGTTTTCATCAATTGTAGGATCTTGGACGAATCGGCATTCGTGAGAGGGGATGGCAGTGAGGCCTGACTGGCTGCCAACCCGGTCGCCAGGCCAGATATGCTCGGGGGTTGTTTGCTTAAGCGGTGTCGGGCGATTGTTTGACTGAAATAGGTGGGCGATTGAATGGATGGGAATCCGATCGAGCTGAGGGAATCTTCGGGGACCTTGGGTTGAGGACTGGTGGTGTTGATGGAGCCTAAACGGTTTCGAGATCTGGAGAAGAGGGAATTCGGAGATATTTCGCTTCGCTGTTCGTCAAAGTTTGTAGTCTGTGATCGCGCCCGTTGACTCTTCAACTCCACTTGGGCCTCATCTTCATCCCCTGCAGAATAGTAAGGGTGAACGTCGCGGCGGCGATCACTCTCGGTGGTTCTTGTCGAAACAGGAGCGCGAGGGGAGGGAGCTCCACTTCCAGAACGATGCTCCGCTTCGGATGACAAGGGAGAATGGTTGCCAGTATCGGAGGTGGAATCCGGCGTGACCGTGCGGATGCCCGTGTCCCTAAAATTGTCAGGATATACCATCCCATGACGGTCCTTGGACGACGATTTCTTGCTGGCTCGTCGCTCTACTGGACGACTATAGAACCCCTGGTGGGCGCTCGAGTTCCGCTTGTTGAAGCCATTTGAATTTTCCGACTCCATCTTTCGTTGCTTTTCTTTTTCTTTTTCTTTCTTTCGTCCCCCCGGTTATGCACGTTAATCCGACAGCGGCGACACTCGAACGGGCTCACTGCAGAACGGAGGTAAAAAAACGCAAACACATACACACACAGCCCAGTCGCCCTTTTTCTTTTTTTTTTTATGAATATTATTATTATTTCGGTTTCTGAATGTTACCTTGCAGCACGTTGGCATCTAACGTATGCTGCGCAACCGTCCTCGAAACAATTGAAAGCCTCTGTCATCCAGTGGTTCGCTAGCTGAACGCATGGAGTCCGGGAAGAGGGAGGAAAGTATAGTCGCACATTCGGTCGAGGCCGGGCGCGATTGGAGACACAGCCGATGAGTGAACGAGACGCGCAACCCAACGTTGTTTCACTTCCGTTCAGGGGTGGATGTGCGTGTGCGTGAGAGAGAGAGAGAGAGAGAGAGAGAGAGAAGAGGAAGGGAATGAGGGGGGTGGGAGCACGGCGGTGGGAAGAAGGCAACTTTAGCAAGCGTGGTGAGTGTCCAGTCCTCCAACAACCAGTCGACCGTTACGATGTCGGTGCTAGAAAACCATTGTCAGTTTTGAAGAAACCCCCAAGAAGGAGGAAGAAAATCAAAAGAGGGAAGAAGAGCGCAAAGGCGTGATATCATTGAGGTAGAGGGAGGTTGGCGAGTGAAGGCGTTGGTGAAGTGTGGATAGGATGGGGGGAAAGAAGCGCACCTTCATCAGTTAACCTTGTTTTCTGTATTATTATTATAAAGGTCTTCTTCTCTTTTTTCCCTTTTTTTCTTTTTTTTTCTTTTTTTCAATTATGTTAAATAATATCAAATGTAATAATAATCATGGTATCTGAGTATGCAGTTTTTCTCTTTTCTTCCTTATTATTGTTTTTCTTTTTTTTTCCCTCTCCAGGTGGTGCAGATCCCACTTCCAGGATGTATGTTTCGTACGACCGCAAAGGACGGGGATGGAGTGGAATGGGGGGGGTAAAAGAAGGACTGGAAGTAAGCGAGAAGGGTGGGAGGCGGTGTTTGTCGCGGGAAGAGGGGGGAACAGCCACAGAGAAAAGAAGAAGAAAAGGATGGAGAGGATTCTGGAAGAAGGCTAGAAACAATAGAAGACAGAAAGAAAAGAAAAGAAAGCCAGAAAAGAAAGAAAAGAAAGAAAGGAAGAAAAGAGGTAGTGATGATGATGGTGATGGAGTCGTATTATTACTGGAACTGAAAGGTTGGGCGTTTCTCTTTCTTTTTTTTCGGGATCTCTTCAGGTCCACCGCCAATAAGAGGAATATCGGACCAAAAGTGCGGGTGAAAAAGAGGTACTTTTGGAACTGGATGGTACCTTTGGTGATTGGCTTTCTTTTTCATCATCTATTATATTATTGCCTGGTAATGAATCATCATGTCGACATAGTATAGTAGCTTTGTTTGAGCCGTGATAATGCTCAGCCCCGCCTGATCAGTTTCATGTATTTTACCTATCAAGTATCAATAATCAACCCTGTCTCTATCTGGAGTAGCATCATCTATTGAGCCTCTAAGTCTGAGCCTCTGAGCCTCTGGGGACTACTTCTTAGCTATGATCACTGCTTACGTGGCATTCATATCAATTGCTCCCAACAATTCATCCTATATATTCATTCTACCGTCTACTACGGTGAACACTCGGTCTCGGGGGCTAATCGGGGGCTAATCATAACGCCATCTGGAATTGTCTGCAGCTCTAAGCAAAGAACTAAGTAAATCCTGTACAGTAGTGGCCCCAGCTGTGGGTTCATGCTCATTTTCTTATTCCTATCCTAGCTACCGATTATTTAATGGAATAATAAGCAATTACCCAGTCCTTGGGTTCTTGGGCTCTTGAAGATGATATATCAATTGACTCTGGTTATAGGCCATTGACCAGTCATTTTCATCCATCGAAAATGTCAAGCAAATCGTCAATGTTGGACCTCGCCAAATGACGATAATAAAGTCTCCAACCGAGTTCATCTGACCATGCCATAATAATAATAGCAGTAAACTTCAGATGATGGGCAACACTTATTCCCTAGTAACTTTTGCCACGGACCAAAGGAAAGCCGACAATCAACCGAGCATGATAGCACAACAGTACGATCAGCCACAGCAACCATGGCTTGCTGTTGACTAGGTGCGCATGTAATCTTCTGGAAGGAAGCGGAGGCTGTTTCAGCTTTTTCTGCCCAATATATATCGACGTCTCCTCTTCTCAGCTGCTCCCGTTTCTGTGCAATATAAACGGGGTCTTTTTTTCAGCTGTGAATCAGGTCGCAAAGATCACTGGATCCACCCCGCACGAACCAGAGAGGCCAATCCGTGCTGGCCCCACAGCCAATCAGCGCCCGTCCTCGCTGCCCATCCCACTTTCGCTGACTCGTGTCGTCAATGATCACTGCTGGGTTTATGTAATCGTCACTCACCGGGTATATGATATTCCATTTATATCACGTGAGTGGTCACATGCATGATATCCCGCCAAGAAAGGAAAGCGGCGGCCTCAGTCATCCACGATTGCTGTCCGCCTGCATCATAGCTTGCCTTATCACGAGGGCAAGTTGGCAGCCCCGGTCATCAGGCACGCAGATGCCATCAAACGACCTCCCTTAGCACCCGTCCTCATCAGATCTTCCTGAAGGAATGATTCTGTGTTAAATGCTCTCTTATATATCCGAGTTCTGTCCTCTCAAGCGTCTTGCGCGCCTCGACTTCAGAAGACAATACATCATACTCTGGATGGCCCTCAACTGACCCTTAGAAACTGCCCCGACTTGTGGGTTGCTACCATGCGTTGAACTGCGGACAGCTTTATATCGGCTTTTCCTTTTTCTTAGACTAACTCAAGATGATGACATCAAATATCTTATCCCGCTTCCTCCCTCCTACTGCTTCTCGATCGGTATACGAGGCCATTCGACAACATGATGCCAACTCGGATTCATCAGATGTGGAGGAACGGGCCGGCTTGACATTTGACGAGGATGATCATAGGGATCGCTTTAGTGATGGGGAGCTGGAGGAAGCTCTGGCTGATGCTAGGGAGAGTGGCTTGACGAGTCCGGGTACCGCCTTCTTGTCCCAAGGGCGTCAACGCCGCGCTTCGGGAGAGGGTTATGGCAAGGCGGGCTCCCGACATCGCAAGGCTAGTCGTCCTAGATGGATGCAGTCGACTTCTCCAGGATACGAGGCCGAAGATGTGGACGACGATGTGCCTGCTTCCCTTTTGGTCGAGGGACATCAGGATGACGACGACTTCAAGACCCGACTTCCCCCTCCTCCTGGTCTTCACCGCCACCCCGATCCAGAGCCTCCTGTTGCCGGCCCTTCATCACGGGGAGACCGAGCCCGTTGGGAGACGGCCAGAGAGCAACAGCCCCTGCATAATACTGGTAATGCCAATCTTCGAAGACATCCACCGGTGCAAAGATGGTCGGTCAAGCAGCCCAATCTGGCTTCAATCCACCCAAAGGATAAAGCGATGTGGAGATGGGCAAATGTTGAAAACCTGGATAACTTCTTGAAAGATGTTTATACGTACTATTTGGGGAGGGGAATGTGGTCTATGCTGCTGAACCGGGCGTTGTACTCCTTGTATGTGCTCTCGGTCTGCTGGTCACTAATTTGAAATACAGCTGACAGTTGGGCTTGGTAGAACCATTGCCTTTGTTGTGGGATTTACCACCTTTCTTACAAACTGCGTCGACTACCACCGTGTCCCAGGGAGCAAGACAATGGACGATATACTTATTCCGCGATGCACTTCAAAAATGTCTACATCCTCGACCTTACTCCTCTGGCTGCTCACTTTCTTCTGGATTTGGAAGGTATTGCAATTCCTGCTAGACATCAGAAGGCTCAAGCATATGCATGACTTTTATTTGTACCTGCTGGGTGTCTCCGATGCCGAGATACAGACTATTTCATGGCAGGAGATTGTAAGTCGACTCATGACGCTCAGGGATGCAAACCCTGCCACCGCCGCTGCGGTCTCTGCCAAGCATCGTCAATTCATAGGCAGTCAGTCGAAGCAGCGCATGGATGCTCACGATATTGCCAACCGGCTTATGCGCAAGGAAAACTATTTGATTGCGCTGGTGAACAAAGACATACTAGATCTAACCTTACCCGTACCATTCCTTAAGAACCGCCAGTTCTTCTCAAACACACTAGCTTGGAATCTCCAACTCTGCATTATGGACTATGTTTTTAACGAGGAAGGCCAAGTCCGAACCTTGTTCCTCAAGGACACTCATCGCCGGGCCTTGAGTGAGGGCTTGCGCCGACGATTCATGATTGCGGGCATCATGAACATTTTTGTAGCGCCCTTTCTTGTCGTCTTTAGTCTGATGCTTTATTTTTTCCGTTATTTTAACGAGTTTAAGAAAAACCCGTCCCAGATTGGGTCCCGCCAATACACCCCCTTGGGAGATTGGAAATTTCGCGAGTTCAACGAGCTCCGTCATTTGTTCGAGAAACGGATTCACATGTCGTACCCGTTTGCCAGTCGCTATCTGGATCAATTCCCCAATGACAAAATGGCTCAAGCGGCGCAGTTCGTGGCATTCATTTCAGGTGCCCTGGCCTCGGTGCTAGCTCTTGGTTCCCTTATTGACCCGGAGCTGTTCTTGGGATTTGAAATCACGCCTGATCGAACGGTTCTCTTTTACCTGGGTGTGTTTGGGTCCGTTTATGCCGTTGCTCGGGGCATGGTGCCTGAAGAGACGGATGTTTTTGATCCCGAGTACGCTTTGCTTGAGGTGATTAATTTCACACACTACTTTCCCGGTCATTGGAAGGGACGGCTGCATAGCGACGAGGTTCGGAAAGAATTCGCCACGATTTATCAGATGAAGATTATGATATTCCTAGAAGAGATGCTGAGCTTGATCTTCACGCCGTTTATTCTGTGGTTCAGCCTGCCCAAGTGCAGTGACCGTATCATCGATTTCTTCCGGGAGTTTACCGTCCATGTTGACGGGATGGGATATCTCTGCTCTTTCGCTGTCTTTGATTTCAAGAAGGGCGCGAATGTGATATCGCAAGGTGATGCCGGTCGACGAGATCCCGCGAGGCAGGACCTGCGGGCGGACTACTTTTCTACCAAAGATGGCAAGATGCTGGCGTCGTACTATGGGTTCTTGGATAATTACGGTACGAACCAACGAATGCCGCCTGGCAGACGGCCGTTTCACCCTCCACCGAACTTCCCAACGCTTGGGTCTCCCTCGGGCGTTGAAATAGGCGGAATCGGCGACAGGCTTGACCAGACACAGGCACGGCCATTTGGACCGGGAGTAGGTGCCTCCATGGCTCAGCAGTCTGCTTTGGGGCCTCCCCGATTCAACATTATGGGGTTGGGTGAACAACCGTCCCCCGCACCCTCCATGCTTCTTGATCCGCATCACCAGCCTTCGGCATCTGGCTTCCGCTCCGTGAACCGCGGAACTCCCTATTCGCGGTACCGACCGGCACGTCCACCACTCGGCGTATCAGACCCGATTGAAGATGACGATGAGTCGCACTCGAGGGATGTCCGCAGTCCCCCAACCGGACAACCATCACAAGCCGCCGGAGGGTCGAGCGGTGGAGTAGGCAACAGCGATAGCAACCTAGGCGACTCATGGAGGGTCAACATGATGGACCATTTAGAAGAGGACGAAGACCACAACGGCGAGAGAGGTGAGAATGTGGAAGCGATTGCCGGAGGCGCTGGAGTCTTGGGACTTATCCAACAGTTCCAGAAAGCAAGTAATACCGGTAGAGGACGAACAACAGTTGGTATATAGGCTGATATCGTATCAAATGCAAATCATCAAATCACGCCTTTCTGTCTGTCTAGGTTGTTAATTTGGAAATTTTGAGTTTGCAAGAAAAACAAGGTTTATCGAATTGACGGTGAGCTCCGAATAAATCGATGGTGGCACGAAGCCACGTATATTCCACCGAGATGCATGCGTGCATGTATGAACAGATCTGGATAGTCACGAGATACACCACCCTCGACCAAAATTCTTGACAATGTAGTTTTATTCCACCATGCCATATGTAGTGGAGAATTACAGCGCCTGAGTAACTACTCGGTATTGTATAGAGCTCGTTGTATCTGGCCAGCCCTACCAAGCCGGCCTAATATCCAACACAACATAGACAAGATATCAGAGTGTCACTGATACACAAGACAAACCTGTTTCGTCACACCGATGGATACACTTGAGAAGATCCCTTACTGGGACGCAGATGCGTTCATTGATTAGAAGTATACATACATGAATAAGAAATTCAATATTCAAAGCCATATAAACTAAATCTAATCCCTAGTCTTTCTTCACCTACTATTTATCAATATCAAAGATGGGGCTCACTTTGATACCATCGTTATTGCTGATTTCTTTGGTTGTTTGGGTATATACTTCTTCTCTATTCCATTCCTATCCAATCTCATTTGCTTTATTTTATGTATTTCTGACAAGCTAGACAGATAGCTGGATATATCATCTATCAAATATATTTCCACCCTCTATCCAAATACCCCGGGCCGTTTGTGTCCAAGTTGACGAGTTTCAATAGAGCCTATCATGCCTGGAAAGGGGATATTCATTTACATTTGTGGGTTTTGCATGAGAAATATGGTACTTCTTTTTTCTTTTTATCGCCCTTGTTGATTCTTGAAAATTGCTGATCAAAATGGTGGTGTATAGGACCGATTGTGCGTCTTTCGCCGAATATGTTGATTTTTAATACCCTCGAATCTGCGAATGGTAAGTTTGCTCCTTGTATACGTGAGCTTCGGTTAATAGGTTAGATATCTACTTGAAAGGTGCGAATGTCGGCAAAGGTGAGGAGTATAATCGTCTCAACAGAAAAGCAACGAACATCATGACGCTGGTCGATGATAAAGAATACCACACCCGACGCAGACAGCTGTATCCTGCGTTCTCGGACAAGGCTCTTCGGGGATATGAGCATCGGATTCTGGGCCATGTGAGGCAGTTCTGTACGCTGCTTTATCCTAGACATTTGGGTCAGAATGAAGATAAAGAAAAGGGAGAATGGGGCCCTGCGATGAAAATGTCCGACTGGTGCAGTTACTTGACCTTTGACATTATGGCTGATATTATATTTGGGGCGAAGCATGACCTGCTGAATGATGATACTCATCGGTCGATTATCGGTGATATTGAAGAGTCCAACGTGCGGACTACGGTGCTCATGCAGATCCCATGGTTGTACCTTGGGAGAATGGACAGGAAGCTGTTTCCCGAGTCGATCAAGAGTCGGATTCGATATTTGAAGCTGGTTGATAAGATGGTTTCGAATCATGTTCAAGGCAAAATGGAGCAGAAGGAGGGAACTATCTTTTCGCTTCTTTCGCAGGGGGAGCAGAAGCTTCGTGATGCGGATCTTCATTCTGAAGCGACACATTTGACGATTGCTGGTATGGTTGATATGTTCATCATATGAGTGTATACGATGCTGATATTCAGGGTACGATACCACTGCCACTGCATTATGTGCCGTCGTCTTCTATCTCAGCATCTCCCCCCACGCATACAACCGACTCGCAGCAGAAATCCGCAGTCAATTCAACCACGCAGATGAAATCCGACTTGGTTCTCGACTGTCTAGCTGTGAATACCTCCGAGCCTGTGTAGACGAAGCACTGCGAATGTCACCATCCGTCGCCACCTGTCTAGCACGCGTTGTCCGTCCCGGTGGCCAAACGATCGACGGCCATTTCATCCCTGCAGGCTGCGGAGTTGGAACAGGCATCTATCCCCTCCAGCACAACGCGAAGTACTTCCCTCGACCACACGACTTTCTTCCTGAGCGCTTTTTGCCCGACTCGGACATGTTCTCCCCGGAGCAAGTCCGCGTAACTCAAGCGGCGTATAATGCCTTTTCACGAGGGCCGAGGACCTGCATTGGGAAACCAATCGCATATGCAGAGCTGATGGTGACGATCGCCTCTTTGATCCTGATGTATGATTTCAAGACTGCGGATGGTGCTGATGGGGAATTGGGGGGTGGGAATTTACTCGGCGAGGCCGGGAGGACGAATCCACGCGAGTTTCAGTTGTTTGATCGAGTTTCCTGTGGGAAGGAGGGGCCAGTGCTTCGATTTCGACCGAGATCGATAGTTTAAGTGATGTGGGGTGCACTGGTGGAGTGCTTTTTATTGATAAATTTTGTGTGTTGTTGAAGGTTGATGTGGCTTTTGTATAGAAAAAGAAGATGCTCTAAAGCACGGCGCTAGTCCGATTCGGGGAGGTTACGTATTCTGAGACAAGAATCAAAAACCACGGCATAAATCAATTCAGATGATCTAATCCAATATCTTCTATCAAGACATCTTTATCAGAAGAAATATAACAGTCTAGCTGATATCGCACCCCACTCAGCTCAAATCCAGTGAGTGTTGGTGTTGAGCATCATCTTCTGTCTGCGCCACGGCACGGCAAATCTGTGTCTGCAGTGGGGCAGCGGCTGGTCTTTTTGCCTCGTTTCCCTTCTTTCTTTTCTATTCTTTTTATTATTATGGCGATTAAATGATGTTTAGAACTCCATCAGGGATAATATCCCAATCTCAGCCGACATCCGATCTCTATACAGGATGCAAATTCGGCTTCATCTCCTCTCCCTGGTTCTGCCCTCTCTCCTGACCCAAACAACCACCTCAGCTGAGCCCAAGAATCTCATCCATTGGAACCGAATCGCCCCGCACCGCCTCAGCCATTGATCGATAGGATGGCTTCGCCCAGCACTGCTAAGCATTAATGCTGAAAAGGCTTAGCTGGCTTCGTAGCGCATCGCGATGAGGCCGTGGTAGCCGAATCCTAGGACGGGTATAAATATCTCCTGTTTGCCCCTCTTTTGCTATTCTCTCCCTGCCATCATCTTCTATCCTCTCTCTCTATCTTCTTCTTATTCCAAGACTTTCTTTCATCACAATGGGTTGGTTCAGCGGTATGTCTTGTCTTCTCTCTTTCTATACCACCCTCTGCTTGACACTGTCTAACTGTCTATCTAGACGACTCCGAGCATGCTCAGGCTCACGAGCAGCTCACCCAGCGCCCCCACGAGGCCAAGTTCTCCCACGAGCTCATCGGTGGTGCCGCTGCCTACGAGGCCATGAAGGCCTACGAGGAGCACGAGGCCCGCAACGGTACCCCATCCCTCCTTGTCGTTCTCTGCCCGCCATACAGTAATAAATACTGATATACTTCTCCTACAGGCAAGGTCGACGAGCACGCCAAGGCCAAGGAGGTCGTCGCCGGACTCATCGGTGCCTTTGTCGACCGTGAGGTTGAGACCAAGGGCCTTGACTTCATTGACCGTCAGAAGGCCAAGCACCACGCTCAGCAGGAGGCCGAGCGCGGTATGGCCCAGAGTGGACGCTGGTAGACGGTGTCTGTATATATATAAAGGAATTATGATGAATGATTATAAGATTCAACTTAGTGGTTTTCCCCCGTAGATGTATTTGATTGAGATGTGGCTCTTGTATGTTGTCTATATGGTTGACATTGCCATTGCATATATATACTTTCAACTATATTGAAGTTACATGATTTACATCTTTCCTTGCAATGCTGGTTTATCTAATGTGCCCTTCTTGGTAAGACACATTTCGTACAATTGTCGAATATTGGCTTCTCGGGCTATATCTTTATTGCATAATGTCAACAAAGTTCAACTATAACCATTGGTTTAAAGTTACCCATGCCACATTCTTCTCTTCAACACATCAAAAGAAAGAATCTATAAAAACATAGATTCTTAAATCAACTCATGCAGTCTAGATAGTATGTGATGTCGATCTGAAGAACTGGGCCCGTTTAGTCGCATTTGCATGGCGGTCCAGCCCGAAAAGCAGCAGTTCCACCTGTCAAATTACCCGTCTTGGGGTCTATAACCATGTGGCACTGTAGCTGGAATTGGCACGCTACTCTTAATCGTGAGTCCTAGCACTTGAGCACGCAATTTTTCTTGTTGATGAGGATTTCTCAACGGGGAAATGCGATGAAATAATATAAATATCGACCTTGGTCGTTGACCGTCTTTTGGGGTTGACAAGTTGTATGTGCACCATGGCCGAACAATCGTCCATCTCGACATCGTCGCCTGACAATGTGCAGGTTCAGCAAAAGCGAACATGGTATCACACTACCCTTTTCAATGCCTGTATCATCGGTGGTGTGGGCTTCATGGCCCCGGGTTTGTGGAATGCTATGAACTCTTTGGGCGCTGGTGGTGCCGAGTCGCCCTTTTTGATTAATGCTGCCAATGCTCTGGTTTTTGGTCTAAGTATGTGATCTGAAAATTACTTGATTTGCATGCGCTGACTGCAGCAATAGTGGGCTTCTTGTGTCTCTTTGGTGGTCCGATTGCGAACCGAATCGGATTGAATTGGACTCTGTTGTTGGGAGCGGTCGGATATCCAATTTACTCGTATGTGAATTCTGCGCAGAGAATGTCAAACCATGTCTAACTGATCGGTGGTATAGGGCTGCATTGTACACGAACAATCGCTATGTAAGGACCCGTCGATCCATGCATCGCTGGAATATACTAATTCGATCCAGGGCAATGTTTGGTTCGTGCTTGTTGGGGCAGTAGCCTGTGGATTGTCGTAAGTTCAGCCTCGAATAAGAAAGGACAGCAGTCTCACATATCTAGCGCCGGCCTTTTCTGGGCTTCCGAGGGTGCTGTGGCCCTGGGCTACCCAGAGCCGTCCAAAAGAGGCAGATATATGAAGTGAGTCGCATTCGAGCCTTGTCGAGTTGGATACCCTAATTAACCTTGAACAGTATCTGGCTTTGGTTCCGTACAGGCGGTCCCTTGATGGGAGGAGCTATTGTCCTAGGACTAAACCAGTGAGTATCTCTAGAGATGCAATTCCTTGGTGGTTAGCTTACCGGTGTATAGTTCTGCTGAAGCAAAGAAAAAGGGCAAGGTCGACTCGGGTATGTCTCCCCTAGTGCTCATCTTGAGATCAGCTAACATCTTATAAGAAACCTATCTCATCTTTGTCGCACTTCAATGTCTTTCTGTTCCTATGGCAATCTTTCTCTCGCCTCCTGAAAAGGTCCAGCGGAGTGACAATAGCAAAGTGAGGGTCGTTTTGCAAGATTCATGGCGTGCAGAGATGCGAGAGCTTTGGAGACTGTCTTGTCGGAAGGAGGTGAGTTTCTTTTGGTTAACCCCTGTATAGATATGCATACTCACCTAGTTAGGTCCTCTTGCTGCTCCCAGTGTTCTGGGCAGCGTACTTCAACCAATACAGTACAAGTATGCTTGAATCCCCCATGCTACACTGAGGATTGCTGACTTGCGAAGATTTCGAAACATATTACTTCGGTGTTCGAGCTCGTGCTCTGATTGGATTCGTCAGTAAGTTGATTCATGAATCAGGTATTCAATTGTTGAAACTGACCATCATCAAGGCAATTTTGCAAACCTCTTTTCCTCTGGGATTATCAGCCGATTCCTGGATTATCGTGGCATATCAATCAAGAACCGAATCAACTACAGGTGCGACCTTTTGGCCCCAGTATCAATTGGTGTATCAAAGCATACTGATCAATCTTGCAGCCTTTACTACGTGATTGCCCTTCATATCGTCGCATGGGTGTACGGCTGGGTGGTCCAGGAGAAGTACACTGCAAACCCACCGACATACGACTGGTCAGACAAAGGCTTCACCGAAGGTCTGTTTGTCATTCTGCTTTGGCGTATGTATCTCCCGGTCCTGGGGGTTTTTCATCGCTAATCCACACGGTTGCAGAATTCTCCCAGCAGGCATTGCAGAACTGGCTTTATTACCTTGTTTCTACCATGACTGACAATATCTCCGAGCTATGTATGAGGCCTCAAATCTCTCTCGAATTTCAGTCTGCTGACATTGTCTAGCTCGGTTATCTGGTATCCTCCGTGGACAGGAGAGTTTCTCCCAGGCCGTCTCATTCGGCATCAACACTCGGGATTGGTATGGTGGGAGAGTCCCTCTCGCTGTTAACACGATCCTTTTAGGTATGTCAGATAATTTGTCCCTCGGGGAAAGGAATTAACCTAGCTAGGTCTTGCGGTGTTCCCTACCTGGCTGGTCGCCAGGAACCACACTCCCATTGAGCACGACAAGCACGCCGCTGCCCAGTCTGAATATCGGGATGAAGAACAGGGTGCTGTGCAGAGCACTGCTGATCAGAAGACAGTTGTAGTGAGCGAGACAAGGGCAGATAAACAGTAGAAAGTTAGGGGTTTGTTGGGACTGGGGATTGCCTTTGGGTTCGAACGCACTATTGGCCGATGAGTGTTTTGCAATGAAAAATATATTTAAAAAATTGATATAAAACTGAAATAAAAAGCAAGAAGCTCACCCAGCCAGCCTTCTAAGGAAGACTGGAATTCCAGGGCTACGAAACCCCCCGAGGAGGGTTTGCGACGAATTCCAGCAAGGAGGTAGTCCAGATAAATAGGACCAGAGCTCAGCTGGGATTCGACCAGGACCTCGTGGGAACTCCAAGTGGGCAAGCCCCTGCGCTTTTGGCAAGAAAAGGCAGCTGCTTGACCACTCGGCCAGTCACCCTGGGTTGGTTGGGGGGGATTCCTGGAAGTGAATGATATGAGATGTTGGGCAACAGACTGTATACTATATGGCCGATGAAATGGATTCCCCGTTCATGGTTGACGGTTTTCCTGGAATATGTAGGAATATAATATCAAATATACCACTGATAGACAGTTCGTTAACTTGAATCCAGTATTGCTTCAGCTATAAGAACGTTGATTCTATCCAGCAAGTCTTTCAATGTCGACAGAAACCCTTATACAGCACTAACCCCGTTCAGGTCTAGCGCGGTTTAAGGATCCACTTAAAGGGCAGCTAGTGGGTAAGTAAAAATAACCTGGTAAAATTACATACACAGCAATTGCCCCTGACTGAGCTGACTTTAATTCAGACAAAGAAAAGCATCGGTTTTATTAGAATGTGAGAGTTTTAATCTGTTTAATTATCATATATTTGCTCTCCATAAGCAGTTCCACGTATGTAATACAGTTGATCTGTTTGGATGGATATGATTCATTATTCAGGGTCCAAGTCTCCGTCTCCAGCGCTGATCCCTGATTGCTGATCCGGGGCTGCTATTGACTTCCGTCCAAACAGGGAAACCTTTTCAATTCGATTCTCTCTCAGAAACTGCCAAAGTCCAAAGTTCAAAGATGAGAATCAAAAACGCCCAGTCTGCATGTCTTGGATTCTCCAAGCAACCCCCACTGTCTGAGAAGGCTGAGAAAAACTCATCACAAAGAAGGCGCTTGGGGGCTCTTGGCTGTATTACATACTAATTAAGCACTTCAGCCTTCCAGAGGTCAGTTCGACTTCTGCCAACCTTTTTTTTTCTCCTCCCGGACCCTCCCGTTAGTGAGTGAAATATTTCGATCGACTGTCTTTCACAATAACGATGCTTTAATTTTGAATTGTTTCTTCCTAGTTCAGTCCATTCTTTGAGCTCCACCGAGGCTATATGTCTGTCGCGTGATAAATCAATCACTCCATTTCGGTGCCTCCTTTTGCCGTGCCATCCTCTCGAGAACGAGAGAACCACCCATCATGTTTCGTGCTCGTCGATATCGAATCATCCTCATCTTTACGACTGTCTTCATTCTGGCCGTCTTTTATTTCACTCGATCTCGCGACTTGGCCGTGTCCTCAAACACCCCGCCCATTGTTGACCGTCCCGAACCGTTCCCTCACAATCCCCCAGCTGCTGGCAGCAAGGAGAACATTACCCCTCCCTCTCATGACACTCCGGTGAACCCTCCCCCTGCGGATCAACAATCGGGTAGCCCGAAAAACCGACCTGGAAATGAACAAGCGCCCGTTCATGACCCGGCTGCCAGCCAGAAACCCACAATACCGGCAAGCGACCAAGTGAAGGAGGGTACGAAGGGGGGCTCTCTTGAGAAAACACCCAGTGAAATTGATGCGGAGTCCGGTTCAGGGGGCCAGGCAGTTCTTCCCGGAGCGGAGGAGCAGTCTCACTGGGAAAAACTTCCGGAGCAGTTTCCGCTAGCACCAGCGGACATTATCAAGCTCCCGACTGGTAATGCCAAAACTCTGCCGAAACTGCAAGCGAAGATCAAGGATGAGTCGTCAGGGGATAAACTGCAACGATTACAGAAACTGGCTAGCATCAAGCAATCCTTCGAGCATGCGTGGGGTGCATATAAGGCGTCTGCCATGGGCCATGACGAGCTCAACCCCACTCAAGGTGGATATCGGGATCCGTTTAATGGATGGGGCGCAACACTTGTTGATGGCCTGGATACCCTCTGGATCATGGAACTGAAAGAGGAGTTCTCCATGGCGGTAGATCAGGTCAAAAAGATTGATTTTACTACCAGTATAAGAAAGGACATTCCTGTCTTTGAAACGGTCATTCGTTACCTAGGTGGTTTGCTCGGAGCATACGATATTTCGGGCCACAAGTACGACGTGCTTTTGGACAAGGCTGTTGAGCTGGCCGATATCCTCATTGGGGTTTTCGATACACCCAACCGGATGCCAATGCTTTATTATAAATGGGCACCACAATATGTGTCTCAACCTCACACTGCGGATAAAATAGCTATTTTAGCAGAGATTGGCTCTCTTTCTTTGGAATTCACCCGTCTGGCACAGTTGACTAGACAGGACAAATACTACGATGCTATCGCACGAATTACCAACGAGCTCGAGAAGTTCCAAACCGAAACAATCATTCCTGGTCTATGGCCTCTCGAGGTTGATGCTTCTGGCTGCGATCAGCATCAACCTCGGGCCAGTTCCGAAGTTAGACGTGGCGGTGTCCCCAGTGCTTCAAAGCCTGCTTATAGTGCAACACCCTCCCCGGCGAATGCGGATAGCTATAGAAGCTTTCTGCAGCGACGGGGAAGAGGTGGTGGTCTCAGTGAAGATGCTCAACCCGCCAATTACGATAATTTGGCAGAAGAGGGCACGGGTGCTAATACGTCTCCAGATGGTGAAAACTGCAATGGGGGCCTTAAAAAATTACGTTCAAAGGCTCCAAAGTTTGGGATGGGGGCACTTGCAGATTCGACATATGAATATCTGCCCAAAGAGTATATGCTTTTGGGTGGTCTCAACGAACAATACCGTACCATGTACGAGAATTCCATGGACGCGGCACGAAAGCATCTACTCTTTCGGCCAATGATCCAGGACGACCGTGACATTCGATTTTTGTCCAATGTTCGCCCACTGGCACTCAATTCTGCGCCAGACGCCTACACGATGCGCTATGATTATGAAGGATCCCACCTTGTTTGCTTTGCCGGCGGCATGTTCGCTGTTGGTGCTAAAATATTCGGGATTGAGGGCGACCTAGACATTGCCTCTAAGCTCACTGATGGCTGTGTGTGGGCGTATGAATCTACGACCACAGGAATCATGCCTGAGAGTTTTACTTTGATGCCTTGTAAAAACGGCGAGCCATGCACATGGAATGAGACCGAGTACAGGCGAGCCTTGGATCCCTATGAAAACGACCGATTTGCTGGGGCGGAGAGACTTGCTGAGATGAAAATCGGGTCCTCGAAAACGCAGAACAGGGAGGTTGACGCTGTGCCTTCACCAGAATCTAGCTTCCTTGCAAACAACCGTCAAGTTTCCACCATCCATAAGCGTGATCCAGGGTCTGGGTGGCATGTTATAGCAACACCTTCACCTTCGCCTGCGCCTGCGCCAGGAGCCAATGGAAATGACATAACAGATCGGAGTACAAACCTACCCGTGAAGCCATCGTCACTTTCTCATGAGGACTTTGTCAATGCGCGGATTCGGGATCAGCGACTTCCACCAGGAATGGTTTCTATCACGCAACGGAAGTATCTCCTCCGGCCTGAGGCCATCGAGTCCGTTTTCATCATGTTCCGCCTTACGGGTGATGATTACTGGCGGCAAAAAGGTTGGAAGATGTTTGAAGCCGTCTCCAAATACACCCAGACGGAGTTGGCCCATTCCTCAATTGACGACGTCACGAGCGAAACCCCACGACTCCTGGCTAAGATGGAATCATTCTGGCTCGCAGAGACGTTGAAATACTTCTATCTTCTCTTCAGTGATCCCAGCGTGGTGAATCTGGATGAATACGTTCTGTAAGTTGGTCACCAGGTTAATCCCATACGACGGAGCTAACAACAACATAGAAACACTGAGGCTCATCCATTCAGGCGCCCTGGATATTGAGATTGGATGGCTTCTATATTGCCTTTCGGTTGTATATTTATGAAACGTCGCCTTATCTTTGAGTTTATGTAAGAAAATATGATACCAAAGCCCCAGTACGGGCGTTGCTTTTCCATTACTTGCACAGGCCATTAGTAGATATACATGACAGCCGTTTTGATCATCCTCGTAGTTGCTAGCAAAAATCCAGACGCAACAAACAATAACAACATGCTCCGTATACCAAATGCGCGAAATTCCAGACTCCACGGCGGTAGAAATGCTGCATTTTATCATGCGTTCCAAACAATTGAATTGTACCGCGGAATGAATGGTGGATACAGCATTGCGAGTTCCCCCGCCGCTGCCCGCCTTGGTTTGAGTTGGCCACCTCCATTTCATCATCGTCCGGTTTTCTCCCCTCGTCAACCCACACTCTCCTCCCCACGGAGCCCACAGCCCCAGGGAAGAAAGCAAACTTAAACACCAGGCGGGCACGAGGACGGGATGAGTGCAGAGACACGACAGACCCGACGACGACGACGATCGAGCTGTGGGAAATGGACGCTGAGGTCTCCTTGGATAATGAACAACAGTTCTGGGATGGTAAGTTTGCACCCCTGCAACGCCGTGCTGCGCGGCCGTTAAGTTTTTATTTGCTTTTAATTATATGATATGCTTCTTTTCGCTATCTTGTTCTGTCATGGATTATCTTGTTTACTGACTGTTATGTGTAGAACTACAGGAAATTGTTTCCACGCCATGCGGTTCCGAAGATCTCATCGATAACACGTTACGAGCATATTTAGGTCTAACAACCAAATATAAAGGTCCGGTTCAATTATCTTCTATTGTTGCTTTGGAATTGTCGATATATTCTACAAGAATGGAGTGGTTCTTTTAAATCTTCACCGACACGTGGACTGACGCGGAGACGGACAAATAGATGAATACCTCAACTCCGAGTACGACATCTCGCGCTGCTCGTACAAACTCATTTCGTCGAGTATCTTCGCCGCTCATGGAGACTATGTTCGAAGACAGATCATATACGGCTTATTGCAGGTGCGGCGATCCTGTCCTACCCTGCGCTTTGGGTATTTCCTGGAACTCACATGGTAACACTACGTAATAGGAAGATGATACGAATACCCTTCACATGATTACGTCCTTTCTCTTCTTCGACGGCCGGCAGAATGAAAATACATTTCAGATGATGAACGAGGAGGGTGCTTTTCCGCGTCTGGTGGAGCTCCTCCAGGCTGAGGGGAATGATGATTATGGGGCTGGTCTTCATCGACTCCTCATGGATTTGCTGTATGAGATGTCGAGGATTCAGAGGGTAAAAATGGAGGATCTTGGTTGGTTTTCCTCCGAGTGTTGTCGAATTCAAGGGTTTCATAATTGACGTGGGATGCAGTTTTCGTCGACGACGATTTCATCAAGAGCCTCTTTGGAATCATTGAGGACCTCTCCTATGATGCTAACGATCCATATCACTACCCTGTTATTCGTGTGTTGGTGAGTAGTTCCTGGTTTTTGGCAGCAGGACTGTGCTTACGAGTGGATAGCTGGTCTTAAACGAGCAATTCATGATCTCGGCGCATGACCCTGTCGACGAACGATCTCCTTCGAATCGCCTTACCAATAAGGTCATCAAGGTGCTTTCGATGCATGGTAACCTTTATAAGACTTTTGGAGAGAACATCATTCTCCTTATCAACAGAGAAGGTGATACCTCCTGCTTTAAAAGAACATTTGTGATTGCATCGCTAACAAAAACTAGCCGAAACATCGCTTCAACTCCTCACTCTTAAGCTTCTATATCTCATATTCACAACTCCTCCAACTTACGAATATTTCTATACTAATGACCTTCATGTCCTGGTTGACATTCTGATTCGAAATCTTTTGGACTTGCCCGAGGAGGCATCCGCCCTGCGCCATACCTATCTTCGCGTACTTTACCCACTACTCGCTCACACGCAGTTAAAATATCCCCCACACTATAAGCAAGATGAACTCAGGAGAATGCTCAGTGCTCTGGTTCGGGGGCAGTTATCTGGTGGGGAGGCGGACTATGACAAAATCTTACATTTCGAAGAGGTCGACGAGACAACGAGGAGGCTCGTCGTCCGCTGTGCAGCAGTCGACTGGATGCGAGAGGTGGAGTCGGACACAGCGGAAGAGTCGCCAAAGCGAAGTGTTTCGCCTTCCAATCCAGAAACCGACGATGTGCAGCCTGACCCTGGTGCTAGCGAGCCGCTCGGAATAACAAAAACAATATCCCATACAAGCACTATCGCCAGCTCACCTGAGGCCATGTCACCAACCAGATTTGATGAACCAGATACCCCCCGACATCGCAAGCTAAGCCAGGTTCAGCGGCTTGGTATGCACTTGGAGCCTGCTTCTTCGTCGTCCTTGAGCGTGCAGGAAGTAGCAACCCAGCATGAGAAGCCAGGAGTCATCACACCTAGTCGCAAAGACAGCGGTGAACCAAATCTTTCTGCCAGCTCAAACATGTCAACGAAGCCAAAAGTCAAGCCCGAGCCTCCCAAGGCGAGGCGATGGCGCGGGAGACGGGTTTTTGGCGAGGAAAACGGCGATAAGATCCCCGAGGAGGCAGAACCAAGCTCGAGTCCGAACACTAGCTCAGACCGAAGGAATTCTGCGAGTACATCTCTAGCCCCCCCTCCGATCCCGGGTCATTCCCGCCGATCTGCCTCAAATCCTCCGCCAGCTGTACCCCCTCCTCGACGTTCAACGCATCCAACCGTACAAACCCATAATCTCTCAGGGAATACCTCCCCAGCCAGCCCTGCAGTAACCCCTCAGAGTAAAAACGGGCAAAAACCAGAACCCCCAAAGAAACGACGCTGGGGGCGTGTGAAGCACGCACAAACCACTCCAGCAGAGAAAACTTCCAATACACCGGTTGACAGTGTGCCACCGGAATCATTCGAATCAGATAACCATGACAATCTGAGGGTTAGTGTGGAGGAGGCCGTACAGAACGTATCCATCGAAGAATAAGAAATAGATTGGGAAGCATCATTTTGCATTTAATTAGACAGATACCTGGCTTTGTTGTATTAATATTGGTATACGTGCATAGCATATCTGGAAGAGTGGTTTAATTGAATTAAGTTGTCTGTTTATGTGCCGTGGAGGGCCAGTTACCCTAGAGACACGCAGGTGTAAATATAATTAGGTACCTGCGTTATATCACATCACTCCTTCCATCCCAGTACTGTCTCTTCTCTGTCTGAGGCAGCTATTTCATATCATGGATATCACTTTGGATGTATCAGAAGAAGAGGAAATAGACCTCTTCATAAGAAATCGAGACAAGGGGAGACTGCTGCGTGCAGAGAAGGCTGAGCAGCAATCAGAGTTCTGGGGATTTGCAGAGGATGCCACCTCCGGCTCTCAACTTCTCGCAGCTGCTGGCACACAAACACTAGACGATCTAGTTGGCGACAAATCATGTATTTACGAGAATAGAGCCTTTCCCATGAGACGGCTCGAGGTCTACAGCCGACAGTTGGGTCAAGAACTCGACTACCAAGCTAGGCAGCTTGCTCCAAAAAGTAAGTAATATGCCTCTCGTCGTCTCCTTTAGCCACAAGATGATAACAGAAATTGGCAGTACAGTTCAGTGACTCTCCGAGCAGAAAGGTTGACAGTTTCTTTATTCCTAATCAAGAATATGGATATGAGTCTTTATCAGAAATGGATGGCGAGAGCCAGCCAACCGACAGAGCCATTAATCCCCCTTCGTCAGATATCCGTTGCACTAGCCCCGTCACCTCTACCCGAGAAGACAGGAACGAATTGAAGGTTTACCAAGCGCGACTTAGGACAGTTATCGAAAAGCTGAAGGCGATGAAAAACCCTCTCTCGTACAAATGGAGAGGGGTTTTTCTGCTATTTTCAACCGAGCAATGGGTGGACGCAGTTTCTCGGATTACTTTTGATGAGTTCAAGGTCTTGTTAGGAAGCGACAAACCACCGAAGTTTAATGATTTGGTGAGCCTTGGTGACAATTACATGGAACATCCCGGTGTGTATCTATCGTTGGTTTCCCGCAAGGACACGATTATTGAGAACCATGTGTATGTTGGGTCAGCCACCAGTTGCCGCGGTATAGCTCACAGATTCAATCAGCATACAAATGCCGTTTATAGCCAGTCTCAAGCGTAGGTCAGACACGTACCCTTCGAAAATACTGTACTGACTCCTTTATGATGGTAGGAAACTAGGCTCGTTACATCATGGTCTACTGAGCGATCCTAATATCCCCAAAGAAAGGAGATTTGCTGTTGTGGCTGCCACGAAATTTCCCTTCGAGCAAGACAAGAGCAAGATTCTCGGTATGCGATATACCTGTGTAGTCGCAGAGGGGATCTATACGCACTGGCTTTCGGCAATTGCAGAACATTTCGAGGCAGGGCAATACGACTTTCTTCCCGTCTGCCCATGGGAAAAGTCCGAAATTCAGTATGGAGGAGTCTGCCGTTGGTCACCATTCCGACTGCCGATCCCTGGCAAAGAGTCCATGAGGTCAAAAGAAGAGAAAAGGCTGGTGCGAAGATCTTATGATCGTCAACGAAGGAAGTCACAGACAGTCAAAGAAAAGGCATACGTCAGGAATTACAACAAGGCCTATCAGTCTATCAACGTTGAAAACAGGAAAAGATGGCAAAAGCAATATCGGATCAGGGTCAAGCAAAGGGCAGAAGCGAACGCAGCGCAACCCGAGAACGTGGAAGCAAACAGCCGGGTCTACCGATGCTCATACTGTGGGAAAGATGGCCATCACATTGGTGGATGCAACAGCCCAGGTGCGAAGAAGTTTATAGTGCGCCCCAGGTGCTCTCATTGCCGTCAACCTGGTCATAAAATCACCACTTGCCCTAGAAAACACAGCTCTGGTTTATGATAGTGCAACGAAAGAAACGTCTGGTTGCTAGTGGATATTAGATATGTAGACAATATTTCCCTCTAACTATACCTATCTATGATCCATTTTGTATGGGGGAAACAATAGTCGGGTGCTTTTTTCTGTGAAGTAGACATTTTGTGTACCAATTTCATGGGTTATATATTCTTAATCCAAGATAAGTAAGCAACCTATATGGTCGACTGGCCCAGTGGTTAAGGCACCCGCGTCAGTATACCTTTCAGCGCTATATTAGCCATAATAGATTATTAACAACCTCTTAGTTTACAGATTCACTCCTGAAATCGCGGGGGATCGCAGGTTCGATCCCTGCGTCGACCATTATCTTTTTCTTTTTATTACCTCATGTCTCTTAGAGATAATATGGAGGGAGGAGTCCCTTTTGTATTCATGATTCTCTTTTCTTTTCTTTGCATCCTTTTTATGTTTTAGCTGGATGTTGATTAGATCGATGGCTTTGATGGTGGTGGTGGATATATCGATAGTGGGTGACTGAGTAGCTACGCCTACCCATCTCCAAGACTAACTACTTACTACTTTGTACTATTGCCTGGTTTTACACTCGAGCAAATATGGTCAATGTAAAAAAAAAGAATGAAAAGCATACGACGCATGTATGGTATGTATTTTCTGTTTCTACTTTTGCCGAGGGAGGAAGAAGAAAGAGGACAAGCAAAAAAATAAAAAGACAAAAAAAGAACAGAAATGGCCCGAGCCGCGGATCGAACGCGGGACCTCTCGCACATATGCTTGGGTTGCTAGAACTCGTTGAGCTCTCCCTAAGCGAGAATCATACCACTAGACCACCCGGGCTTTCTTGTGTGATTGGCGATGCTTTTAGTGGTATATGACGTAGTTATATCTGAGGATCTATTGTCGACTTGGTGATGTTGACTTGGTCGGAGTCAAGAGAAGAACTTTTTCCCTTGTCTGCTTGAGGTATTCATTATAGCTAACAATTGAATTATTTCCCCCCCCCCCACCTCTTTGTTCTATTAGGTCTTATTTGAATGGTCTTTTTTATTCGCTTGGTTGTATATATTGTTGGGTTCGTCTGATGGCCGATTCTGGTGACGGACTGCTGGATATATATCCGTTCCCTAACACACGAACTAGTGTTGTAGGCAAGTATATCATCAACACCCATCGTAAAAGCATAAACTACAGACACTGGCCCCAAAAGCGAGCTTCTACGTAGTCACACAATCACGGGGAAATATGGCTAATTGGACTAGCATACATGCATACAAATGGACCAAGACTGAAGGACCTACAGAACGGTTCACATAAACTAGTACTATACATAAAAAAAAGGCGCACCAATTATGAATTGCTGCGGAAGGAAATACTATTATCTAGGGTAACTATACCAAAGACAACACACGAAGAACATGATGATATGAACAAGCACACAGCTTAACGGCCGGGCAAAAAGCATGTACACGAATTTGGCAAAACGCAGCTCAACCCACGCCGCCACCGAAAATCACACCACGAGTTTACAGCAAGATCATACCGAAACCAGCAGCGAAGGCGGTAACAACGTACGCACCGAGCTGCCAGTAGCCAACGCTGACGTGGACGGGAGCGATCATGTTACCGGCACCCTCGGAGCCAGAGGCAGAGGCACCAGCGCTGCCAGAAGCAGCAACGGAGGCGGTGGGCGAGGAGGTGACGGTACCGGTGCCAGAGGAGCCGGCTTCGTTGAGCAGGGCGCTGCAGCTGCCGCTGGGGGAGCTGGAGGACTTGGTGGCAGCGGCGCCGTTGAAGTCACAAGCAGACTTGTTCTTGTTCTGCTTCTTGTAGTAGAGGTCCATGACGTAGGACAGCTGTTGCTCGGGGCTGCAGACACTGTAGGCACCGTATTCACCGCTGGTAGCGTTGGTGTTGATACCACCGCAGACGTCATATCCGCAGACAGTGCCCAGCAGCTCACCGAGCTTGTCACCGGAGGTGCTGGACTTGAGAGAGCAGCTCAGGCTGTCTTCCATGCAAGAGCAAAGCTCCTGGTTAGGGGAAGGAGGCAAGGGAGTAGCAGCGGCGGCCCAGTCGCTGTTGACAGAGGGGCAAGACTGAAGGGCAGTGTTGGTGGGCTTGTACTTGCTCTTCTCAACACCGGTAGGGGAGACCTTGGCAATCTGCTTGGAGAGGTTGTTGAAGTCGTCCAGAGTGCTAACCTTGTCACCATCAACAGAGACGAGACCTACAGACGTTAGATCAAAAGCAACAAGAGGAAGAAATTGACATACCGTAGTTGTTGTCCTCCTGGAAGTACATGTAGACAATACCACCAGACCAGATGTCGGCCATCTTGTCACCGAAGAGAGTCTCGGTCTCAGTGAACTTACGGGGCTGAACAGCGTTGCAACCGTACTCAGCAAAGAAGACAGGGACGGAGTAGTCACGGAACTCATCGGTACGGCTCTTGTATCCAGACTTCTCGTAGTTGGAGTCACCGCACCAGGAGTAGACGTTGTATCCCCAGAAGTCAATGTTCTCCTCAGTAGAGTGGCAGTTGAAGTAGTCGGCCATGTTCTCACGGATAGAAGAGTCATCACTGGTGGCATATCCGACACCCATGGGGCGGTAGTCCTTGGCCTTGATGTACTGCTTCATGTCACGAACAGCAGCCTTGACGAATGCGCTAGCACTGGTGGTGTTCTTGCTGTTGGAAACCTCGTTTCCGGCAAAGAAACCAATGACGTTTTTGTACTGAGAAAGCTCGTCAACAACACTGACGTAGCGGTTGTACAGGTCGGCATCCCAAGTAGGCTCGTTGCGGTTGATGGATTCACCGGGAGAGGACAGATCCGCAATAACGTAGATACCAGCGTCGCTGAGGTCCTTCATGCAAGAGCTGTGGTCCGACTTGGGGTCGATGGCGTAAACACGGATGGTGTTGGTGCCCAGCTTCTGAAGGTAAGGGACATCACGGGAACAGGCCTTGGAGTCGGCCAGAGGGTCCTTGAAGCTGTCGGAGGAAGACTTGGAGCCCGAGTATTCCTGTTGGTAGGCAACACCACGAATGTAACTAGAGCCAACAGTCAGTATGGTACTGATGTAAGTGATGCACGGATACATACAATTGGGTGTCGTTGCCGCTGTAGAAGAATTTGGAGCCCTGGAAAGGAGCAATGTCAACAACGAATGCTCGAAACAGACGCCCATGATAGACACAACGTCTGTATCTCGAGAGGATACCGTACCTTGATGACAATGGGGTCCACATCGGCCAGCACACTGCTGGCAAAGAGCGTTGCGCCCGCGACAATGTTGGAAAGCTTCATGGTGAAATTCTAAACAATCGTATATAATAAATGGAGGCTTGGCGAGATAATCAGGGACCAGACCAGGGTTCTGATTCTATCGGCCAAGATAGAGAAATCGGGATACAGAACCCAGGGGGCAATAAAAATGTGGATTTCGCGAGGAAAGAAGGACTGAAAAGCAAAAAATTATTACGATAAATGAATGACGTGAAGTTTGAATTGACCAAATGAGTGTCTAGGGAGAGTTGGGAGATAAGAAAAAAAAACAGAGGAAAAGGAAAACAGAAGGACAGAGAGCGAGAATCCAGCGATTGATGTATGTCTATATGAAAACGCACGAGGGCTTTCCTTGGGCCTGCGGTTTACTTCAGGCAGTCAGGGACTCAGGGTCCCGTCCCCAGGCACAGCGAGACTACAGCCCGCCCTGGGACCAGCGGAGCCTGGGGCGGGATACTCCCTGAGGGATCATCGTCCTTTTCTTTTGAACCGACGTTGATCACTGGTGATTTTCATCTTTCGATGTTGTCATTTGCTCGTCGCTCATCGCAGGACTTTCCCTCATGGGCCGCATTGATATCACAGAACAACACAACGCGCAATCCTGTTCCACATCTCATACAACTGCAGGGGCTGGAGCCGTCGAGGCAGGAAGCTTAACTCTTCGATATCCCCTGGAGATGCGACGATATATATAGAGAACGGGAACTCAGCCTCCAGAGTTGAGATGCCCATCGATTGTCCCACTGTCGCACGTTTGCACGTTGATCACAACTTGAAAGTGGCTTTTCTGATTGCTCAAGCTTTTCTCGAGCCTGAAACAAGCACAAATGTACTCCGTAATTTCTAGTTTTTGTCCATGTCAGCAGTGACTACTATGTATAAATCCAAAGTGTTTTGGATCTATCTCAAGATTGCCATTGTTGATTCATTGATGCAGATTCATCCTGCTGAAGAAGCAGTGGCTGGTGGCAGCATATCGATAAGGATGGGGCCTCAAGATTACTACCCCAGAGCAGAGCCATCCATGGAGAATTCGGTGCCTGAACCAACAGAATTGACGATCTAGCAGGCAATGTTAACAACCTGGGACTGGAAGCCTTCAAGCATACACATGCACGAGTGCATATCTATCACAAGATGCCTTGTCGAGAACATGCAGATCACGAAATCCTTTGGTTTGCTCTGAAAGCCGAATAATGTCCATCGCCCAGCGTTGAGCATGAGGAGGGGAAGGCGGATCAAGGGTTTCTGAGCGTACCTGAGACCGTCAGTTGAAGATCTTTCCTACCTCGTCGGTGGAACACGGCTCAATATGATGAAACTTCTGGGTCTGACAAGAACTCACACATAAGGATAGGCTCATGATTGGCACCTGGAATTCAGTAGTCTTGCCAATCCGAACACAGCCGCTGACACCATAAAGAGTTCATTAGGAAACAAGGCCATGATAGTAGTTGATATGGGTAGACGCGATTTGCGTCCTTACGGGGCAGCCAGAAAAGAAAAGTCGACTTCCATCGGTCGGCGGGCGGAAAAGCACACATCCAGTCCATCTCCTATTCCGCTGTCAGTTCTGGCAGTCCAAATGAAGCCCTCCTTCTCAGCGGGCCAGCCGCCCCTTTTTTGCGATCTTTTTTTGTCCTGTTGGTTTTCCAATGAACTTGCAGGAAATCAACGTCTCCGCCCATGAAGGCTGGAACCTCGTTCCATTCAACCACTGGCCGTCATGGACTCGCCACCCTCCTGAATGGCCCTTGTTTGATGGAGCGGTCCGATTGGTTCCTAATCACATCAATGGATCCGCCCCACCCTGGCAGAATTGATAATTGGACAGCTGGGGCAGCCACATCCAGGTTATCTTTAAATGAAACTTACCGCCAGCGGTACTTTATATAATTTCTTTTTTTGTACAGCAGCAGTATGGTATGAATCCTCAACGGTCAGGCATGGTGTTACTCTAATGTACTCGTTGAAATTATTGGCTAGATTTTTTTTCTTCAATATGTAGGTGTGGATAAAGATACATGTCAAGAATCAGATTCTGACGGGGCATCTGTAAGGGGAGATAATCGTGGTCCAATAATGAGGTTTCCGGATTCATCTTTTCGGTAGGAGAATAGGAAAAAGCACTCTGTATGTACTGCGTACGGGGCATGTATTATGCACGACGCACTGTGCTCATGCTGTGGCTCAGTCACTCAGATAAACTTTGGAACCACCAGCCATCGTTCCTGCCCAGCCACAGCAAAAGCAAGACAAAAATGGAAAATGTAAAGGTGGCGGAAAGTCGAAAGTACGTACCTACTCTATGTAAGGTACTGTATGGTGTATGGAGATGTTCCACCATGAATAACCATATCGCCAGCCTTCTCGGATCATTTAGCAGGGGGTGGAAAATAAGACTTTTATTTTTGGAATATTTCATTGTGATATTATCAACCACCATTTGACTATTATTTCACTATTAATATAGAGATAAATTGGAATTAGGAATAGGAGCATCCCTGACAGAGTACTATGTAACTAATACAATCTCAATTATGACACCAGCAATGGTTAATCATAGGTACCGCTATTCAAATGGTGGCAGTGACCGAACATCATCGACTATCAGTAGCATCCCACATTCAAAATGGTTATCAGTGCTTAAGTGCTTACTGTACTGCCTGGTCACCGCCTGAAACCAGCCATGCAGCCAATGCAGTGTGCTTACAGCGGAAGGTCTAAACCCTTCCATCAGGATTCGATGCTAGTAAAGAAAATGGCGGAGCCCTTCCCATGTCGCGTACGGTGTAATAATAACACACGAAGCCAGATTAACATGATCAGAAGTGGCAAGGTCGAGGCTTTTGGATGGAAAGAAGGAACACAAAAAAGAACATCGAGTGGTCCACTTTACTCTGGGTAAATATGAAATCTGGGTCTAACAGTGGGGGTCCCCTGTCTTCGATAAATCGATGGCCTGATATGGAGGGACTAAAAATGCACCGGTGTCTGAGACAGTTTGCGCCGTTGCAGTCTTCGAGACTGAGGGTGATACGTGTACTGTACGTGTGCAGTGCCTCGGGCATGAGATATTGCGCAGTCTTCTTGAAAACAGTAATACAGAAATACTGGATAGGGTTTTGGTCCACGGTGTTTGGATGCTTGTTTCAAAGGCACATCCATTGCAATTATCGTAGCAATACTGAGTCGACGGAGTGATCTGTGCCTTGGGAGATGCCAGGCAAGAAATTCACCGCTCGGAGGACGTACATTATCTGTACATAGGTACGTACTGAGGTGGAGAGCAAGGTTCTGCAAATGCATTTGGTAATTCAAACCGCACCGAATTCAGTATTTTTGAAGCATTGCTCTGTAAGTATTCTGATGTGGCGAGATGCCCTCAGATCGACTTCAAAGACACCAGAAACAACACAAATCTGCGAATTAAGCCAATGGAAAAAAGGAATGGGACAGACTTGTTTCTACAATCCCGATGGAGTGTGAACTCAATGCCTTATTTGCTGATGCCCTGTCCCATGGATCGACTGGTAGCTCTGTAAATCAGCTCCTTGAACAGAAAGTCCTGGGTATTACATTGTGGTTCCGTCTCAATCTACAAAGTGTCGACCCGTGGATAGCGACCGAGACCACTCATTGACAATAATAAACATATAAATGAGCGGCGTACCAATGACTGCTTAGCAACGCATGCGGGAATCGCCACTGAGAGACATCCAGAATTACTGGATATCATAGAAGATCATTGAGGCGACTGAGAATCATTATCATTCATGAGGAATGGGAAAGCGTCATCCCTGCATACCGGCTGGGAGTATTACACACAAAATATGTAACGATATTACAGACCACGTAAATATCATCGCCAAAGACTGGATTCTGTGGGCCGGGTTTCAGGGGCCGTCAGCCATACCCATGGAATCCGGGGGCCGGTACTCCCGGTGATTCGTTGCCTTCAAGTCTATCCCATCCAAAATTAGAGGTTATTCAACGTTGATTATTGAATCGATTGAGCTGCAAAGAAATAGAGAAGCCAAAGAAGGTGTGTTGCATATTCAGACCGATAACACAGCCATATCTTCCATCACTGCCAGCATCTGTTGGATTATAGACATAATGGGAATACCGAGGGGGGTGTGGGTTGCAACATCGGTTAAGCCACTTTGGCTATAAGCCAATAATATTGCCCTATTCTGGGAAACCCGCACCAACCCCCAATAAGGGGGCAATGTGCTGAGGCGTCGTGGTAATAACATCGTAACAGGCGTGTATCTTTTGATGTATGCGGTCGTACCGGTAATGACGCTTTGATGGAAACGGAGGTTTTGGCCTGTGCGATAGGCCAGCAGGTCTCTATTATTTTATTATTTTATTTTTTTTTTTCATACCTACTGCTGTACGGAGTAGGTGCTTACCAACTGCAGTTGCGGTTGTAAATTAACCAATCCAGATCCCAAAATAACCACAGTCCCCGTAGTGCCAACATTTTCCCTGCTTTGGTGGACAATAATCGATTATTCCCTACCACTTCCTCGCCCTCCCCTTCCTACCTCCATCTCGGATTGACCTTTTTTTCTTTTCCCTTTTTTCTCTTGTTGCTGCTTTGTTTCTTGCTCCCCCCATTTCGCTCTTTTAATATTGTTGCGCAGACTTCGACGAATATCGACCTAGACTCCCCTTCCTTCTTCTTCCTTGCACTCTTTTGAGGAAAGAAGGATTGTCGGAGGGACACACGCAGTTGCATTGGTGCCGAGCCGCAGTTGGCCCTGCAACGGTCGGGTGTTTTCTTTCTTTTCACCATCCACTCGTTATCATCATCGAAAGATCCGTCACGGATCTCGAAATCGCTCACACGCAAAGTTTTCATCGCCAGGACTTTGTTCGATTAACAGTCTGGGACTGGTGCGTTTCAAGGGAAAGGATATTGCCGGATCAATCCAACACGCGTTCCTCGCCGATTCGCGATATATCGTTTGCAACGACCCGTTTACCTCCAACTGTGTGATACCTACCTATGTGGTGATACTGGGGAATCGTTCAAGTTTTACATATAATCCTTGCATGGGACCTTTTTGATGTGAGTGGTGGCATATATTCAGCCTGGTACCAGTAGGGCTTTTCGATGGCAGGGGCTAACTCGATCATCTTTATAGTCTGTTCAAAGTTGCGTGAACTCGATTTTGCGCCATGTCAGGTTACCCTGAGGGCCATTACGACGATGGCTACGGCCACGGTGGCCACGGCGACCATGGCGATTCCTATTACCAGGATGAGCATGGCCAGGCATATTACGACCCTAATGACTATGGCGATGGCTACTATGATAGACCGTATGGATTTTCATCTCCCCGCAATATTTTGATTGGCGATTGTAATTGACCTTTGGCAGTGGCTATTATAATGCGGACCCCAACCAGGCTTACCACCAGGACGCTGGATACTACGATGCCGGCCACCAAGACGACTACTACGGTGATCAGTACTACGATCAGGGCAACGGACAGCAGGGTTATGGAGCTGGTGGCAGACGTCGTGGCCATGATTCCGAGGATGAATCGGAAACATTCAGTGATTTTACCATGAGGTCTGAAACAGCTCGTGCCGCAGATATGGACTACTATGGCCGCGGGGATGAGCGCTACAACAGTTACGCCGACAGCCAATATGGTGGACGTGGATATGGCGGCTACCGACCCCCGTCATCTCAGATTTCGTACGGTGCCAATCGGTCTTCCGGAGCATCGACACCAGTCTACGGGATGGATTATGGAAACGCATTACCCCCTGGCCAGCGATCCCGTGAGCCGTACCCCGCATGGGCGTCTGATGGCCAGATCCCAGTCTCCAAGGAGGAGATCGAAGACATATTCATCGACCTGGTGAACAAATTCGGTTTCCAGCGTGATAGCATGCGTAACATGTACGACCATTTGATGACAATGCTCGATTCGCGTGCGTCCCGCATGACACCCAACCAGGCGCTCTTGTCACTGCACGCCGATTACATCGGTGGTGACAACGCAAACTACCGCCGGTGGTACTTCGCAGCCCATCTTGACTTGGATGATGCAGTGGGTTTTTCAAACATGAAGCTTGGAAAAGCGGACCGCAAGACCCGAAAAGCTCGCAAAGCTGCTCAGAAGAAGGCAAAGGAAAACCCAGAAAATGTGGATGAGACGCTCTCGGCTTTGGAGGGTGACAACAGCCTGGAGGCCGCCGAGTACCGCTGGAAGACTCGGATGAACCGGATGTCCCAGCACGACAGAGTGCGTCAAATCGCCCTGTACTTGCTGTGCTGGGGTGAAGCGAATCAAGTCCGGTTCCTCCCTGAATGTATTTGTTTCATCTTCAAATGTGCCGATGACTACTTCGGCTCTCAGGAGTGCCAAAACAGAGTCGAGCCAGTCGAAGAACTTACCTACCTGAATGATGTTATTACGCCCTTGTACCAGTACTGCCGTGATCAAGGGTACGAAATCATGGATGGGAAGTATGTTCGTCGTGAGCGTGACCACAACCAGATCATCGGATATGACGATATGAATCAGCTCTTCTGGTACCCAGAGGGTATTGAGCGTATCGGGTTCGAGGATAAGACTCGTCTGGTTGATGTGCCGCCAGCAGAGAGATGGACTAAGCTCAAGGATGTCGTTTGGAAGAAGGCCTTCTTCAAGACCTACAAGGAGACCCGGTCTTGGTTCCACATGATTACCAACTTCAACCGTATCTGGGTCATCCACTTGGCTACTTTCTGGTTCTTCACTGCGTACAACGCCCCGACTCTCTACACCCACAACTACCAGCAACAGGTTAACAACAAGCCACCTGGATCTAAATACTGGTCTGCAGTTGGTTTTGGTGGTGCTCTTGCTTCTTTCATTCAGCTTGCGGCTACCTTTTTCGAATGGCTGTACGTTCCTCGTAGATGGGCTGGTGCGCAGCACCTTACCAAAAGGTTCTTTTTCCTGTTGTTCATGTTCATCATCAATTTGGCCCCTGGTGTCGTGGTTTTCGGATTCTCGAAGACAATCAAGAACGAGACGATCATGCTGGTTATTGGTATCGTCCACTTCTTCATCGCGCTTGCAACGTTCATCTTCTTCTCCATCATGCCACTTGGCGCCCTGTTTGGTAGCTACATGAAGAAGCATGGACGTCAGTACGTTGCCAGCCAAACATTTACAGCGAGTTTCCCTCGTCTCAACGGAAATGATATGTGGATGTCCTATGGTCTCTGGGTGTGTGTTTTCGGAGCCAAATTGGCTGAGTCTTACTTCTTCTTGACTCTGTCTTTCAAGGATCCCATCCGAATTCTTTCACCGATGCAACTCAACAAATGTGCTGGTATCAAGTATCTCGACACCAAACTGTGTTACAAGCAGCCCCAGATTCTTCTTGGTCTGATGTTCTTCATGGACTTGACGTTGTTCTTCTTGGACAGTTATCTGTGGTACATTATTTGCAACACAATCTTCTCCGTGGCACGTTCATTTTACCTTGGTGTCTCTATCTGGTCTCCGTGGCGGAACATCTTCTCTCGCCTTCCCAAGCGTATTTACTCGAAGGTTCTCGCTACCACCGATATGGAAATCAAGTACAAGCCCAAGGTTCTCATCTCTCAGGTCTGGAACGCCATTATCATTTCCATGTACCGGGAGCACTTGTTGGCCATTGACCACGTCCAGAAGCTGTTGTATCACCAAGTCCCATCGGAGCAGGAAGGAAAGCGTACTTTGCGTGCTCCCACTTTCTTTGTTTCCCAGGAGGACCAGTCTTTCAAGACCGAATTCTTCCCGGCTGGAAGTGAGGCTGAACGTCGTATTTCCTTCTTCGCCCAGTCTCTGTCTACTCCCATGCCCGAACCACTGCCCGTCGACAACATGCCCACCTTCAGTGTTCTTGTTCCCCACTACGGAGAAAAGATTCTGTTGTCTTTGCGTGAAATTATTCGGGAGGACGAGCCTTACTCTCGTGTGACTCTGCTGGAATACCTCAAGCAGCTGCACCCTCACGAGTGGGACTGTTTTGTTAAGGACACTAAGATTCTCGCCGATGAAACTTCCCAGTTCAATGGAGACTACGAAAAGAACGAAAAGGACGCCGCGAAGAGCAAGATTGACGATCTTCCTTTCTACTGCATTGGTTTCAAATCGGCTGCCCCCGAATACACCCTTCGTACCCGTATTTGGGCCTCTCTGCGATCTCAGACCCTTTACAGAACAATTTCCGGTTTCATGAACTACAGTCGTGCGATTAAGCTGCTTTACCGAGTTGAGAACCCCGAAGTCGTGCAAATGTTTGGCGGAAACTCCGAGAAGCTTGAACGGGAACTTGAGAGAATGGCTCGTCGCAAGTTCAGGATCTGTGTTTCCATGCAGCGTTACGCCAAGTTCAACAAGGAAGAACGTGAGAACACCGAATTCCTTCTCCGTGCCTACCCCGACTTGCAAATTGCCTATTTGGATGAAGAACCCCCTACCGAGGAGGGCGAGGAGCCTCGTCTGTACTCTGCTTTGATTGATGGACACTGCGAGCTGCTTGAAAACCAAATGAGAAAGCCCAAGTTCAGGATCCAGTTGTCCGGCAACCCCATCCTCGGAGACGGCAAGTCTGATAACCAAAACCACGCTGTCATCTTCTACCGCGGTGAATACATCCAGCTTATCGACGCCAACCAAGACAACTATCTCGAAGAGTGCCTGAAGATCCGTAGCGTGCTTGCTGAGTTCGAAGAACTGACAACTGACAACGTCTCTCCGTATACTCCTGGTATCCCATCTGCAAGCGCAGCACCTGTCGCAATTCTTGGAGCCCGTGAATACATTTTCTCTGAGAATGTTGGTGTGCTTGGTGACGTCGCTGCTGGAAAAGAACAGACCTTCGGTACCCTATTCGCTCGAACCCTTGCTCAGATCGGTGGAAAGCTGCACTATGGACACCCTGATTTCTTGAACGCTATCTTCATGACTACGCGCGGTGGTGTTTCCAAGGCACAGAAGGGATTGCACCTGAACGAGGACATCTACGCTGGTATGAATGCTATGCTTCGTGGTGGTCGTATCAAGCACTGTGAATACTTCCAGTGTGGTAAGGGTCGTGATCTTGGATTTGGCTCCATTCTGAACTTCACAACCAAGATCGGAACTGGTATGGGTGAGCAGATGCTGTCACGAGAATACTACTACCTCGGTACTCAACTGCCTCTCGATCGATTCTTGTCTTTCTACTACGCGCACCCTGGTTTCCACATTAACAACATGTTTATCATGTTGTCTGTGCAAATGTTCATGATCGTCCTGATCAACTTGGGAGCCCTGAAGCACGAGACCATTACCTGCAACTACAACAAGAACCTGCCAATCACCGACCCCCTCCGACCCACTCATTGCGCCAACCTCGTCCCCATCCTTGACTGGGTTAACCGTTGCGTTATCTCCATCTTCATCGTCTTCTTCATTTCGTTCGTGCCTTTGGCCGTACAGGAATTGACGGAGCGAGGACTTTGGCGTATGGCCATGCGTCTCGCTAAGCATTTCGGGTCTTTCTCCTTCATGTTCGAAGTGTTTGTCTGTCAGATTTATGCCAATGCCGTGCACCAGAACCTTTCGTTTGGTGGCGCCCGCTATATCGGTACTGGACGTGGTTTCGCAACGGCTCGTATCCCATTCGGAGTCTTGTACTCGCGATTCGCAGGTCCTTCGATTTACTCTGGTGCCCGGTTGTTGCTCATGCTTCTCTTCTCGACATCCACTGTATGGACTGCTGCCTTGATTTGGTTCTGGGTATCGCTTCTCGCGCTGTGCATCTCGCCGTTCCTTTTCAACCCCCATCAATTTGCTTGGAATGACTTCTTCATCGACTACCGTGACTACATTCGCTGGCTTTCGCGCGGTAACTCTCGATCGCATGCATCTTCATGGATCGCATTCTGCCGGTTGTCTCGTACACGTATCACAGGTTACAAGCGCAAGCTCCTTGGTGTTCCCTCGGAGAAGGGATCTGGTGATGTACCGAGAGCACGGATTACAAACATCTTCTTTAGCGAAATCGTCGCGCCACTTGTCCTGGTCGGCGTTACCTTGATTCCTTACCTTTACATCAACTCCAGAACCGGTGCGCAAAAAGATAGTCCCAGTAAGCAGTACGATGCAATTGCACGTATCGCTATTGTGGCCTTTGGCCCTATCGCCGTCAACGCCGGTGTTTCCGCTGTCTTCTTCGGTTTGGCTTGCTGTATGGGTCCAATCTTCAGCATGTGCTGCAAGAAATTTGGTGCCGTCCTTGCCGCTATTGCTCATGCGATCGCCGTCATCATCATGCTTATCATTTTCGAAGTCATGTTCTTCCTGGAGCACTGGAATTGGGCCAGGTGTGTCCTGGGCATGATCTCGGCAGCTGCCATTCAACGATTCGTCTACAAGCTCATCATCTCTCTCACCTTAACCCGTGAGTTCAAGCATGATCAGTCCAACATCGCCTGGTGGACGGGTAAATGGTACAGTATGGGCTGGCACTCGCTTTCTCAACCTGGTCGTGAGTTCCTGTGTAAGATCACCGAGCTCGGCTACTTCGCCACCGATTTCATTATGGGCCACCTTCTGCTGTTTGCCATGTTGCCAGCACTTTGCATCCCATACGTTGATAAGTTCCACTCCGTTATCCTTTTCTGGCTCCGACCTAGGTAAGATACCCTTTGATTTGATTCATGATGATCTGTTCTAATGTTTTACTAGTCGCCAAATTCGCCCACCTATCTACTCCCTGAAGCAGTCCAAACTCAGAAAGAGACGGGTTGTTCGCTTCGCGATTCTCTACTTTGCGATGTTCATTTTGTTCCTTGTTCTTATCATTGCGCCTCTCGTCGCGCGCACGTCCATGGCCTCTCAGCTTACCAAAATGCAGAGCAGCTTCCCGCTGGACCTATTGCAACCTCTTGACAAAGACCACAACGATACCATCAACGAGTACACTGGTAACAACCTGCCTGTCGGAAAATCGGCAATCTCTGGAGCGTCGCCCAGTGCCTCGTCCTAGGTGCTGCTGGCCTTTATGTTTCTGATTTTTTGTTTTGCCTTTTTTTCTCCTTTTCTCAAGAGTAAGCATTATTTGCATTTGCAGGATGGAATCATGGAAATGAGTTGTACAAAGTGATCAGGGCTCTCAAGACAAGCCGCTGGTGCGTCTCTTTTTGTTACCTTTGAGTTTGGTGCGTACTGTTCTACTGTCGCCGATATTAATGAATTCAATCTTTGTGTGTGAGCTGTTTTCTGTATTCTCGAGGCGTCTGCGCTTTTCTGTCCTTCACATGTCATCATTAGACTTTCAAATATCTGCCTACATTCATGGTGTTTTCCTTTATTTCTTTAACTCGCGATCCTTTCTCTTAAATTTCCCTTCTTTTGATTGTGCCTTCTCTTGTCTACTATAAAGGCTAAAATTACAATGAAACATTGACACTCTCCATACCTTGACGATGTAGAGCCCGCTCGGCTGTCCTCCCAAGACGTAGTACTAATTTGGTTCTAAATTCTTCTGGTAAACCGAGTATACTGCCTAGTTCCATGTCAGCTAGACCCCCACACCTTGCTTTTAGCTCCTATGTAAACATCTGGCAGTTAAATTATTAGGGGCAACTTGTTTGCTGGGTTGTCTCTGCGGCTGCCCTGTCAGGGACAATCAAGGCAGAACACCACGTGACCGTTCCTCGACGATCCCCGATCCTGCAGTTCCGGCCGCGACGCTCAACTTGTCTTGACTATCGACGCCCTTTTTTCTCGTACAGACTCTATCATTCTTATTGTGCTTTTGATTTCAAGCAATCTCATTTCCGATCGCCGTTGATCTCTTTTGCGCCACGAGCGCTGCCTCCATATCCCGTCATGGATGTCCAGGAGACACAGCGCCTCCTTTCGGAGTACCTCCATGAATTGGCCAACCTATTCCACCGCGTCCCCGGGTCGGCAATTTTTCTACGTTATGTGAAATCTAGTTATCAGAATGATCCTATTCGCTCGGCTGTTGAGCTCTTCCTTTTTCTTTTCGCCGTGCGCTATTTGCTCGCTCCTAAATATTCAACCAAACCGGGTGTGGTCCAACTCTCGGATGACGAGATTGATGACCTGGTAGATGAGTGGACACCAGAGCCCCTCGTGGCGAAGCCGACTGCTTTGGAAGCAATGGAGGTTGATAAGCGGCCGGTCATTGTTGGGTAATTCTTCACATTCGATGTAATCCTATTATCTTGTGCTAACCTCTCGGCGACTCACAGCCCCGTCGGTCCCAAGTCCAAGCTGTCTAACGGCCGGACAGTTATGAATCTCGGCTCCTTCAATTTCTACAACTTCAATACCAACGAATCACTCAAGGAGAAGGCGATTCAGACCCTCCGCAACTATGGTGTCGGTCCCTGTGGCCCCCGAGGCTTTTACGGCACCCAGGACGTCCACATGAAAACAGAGGCTGATGTCGCCTCCCATCTCGGTACTGCGGATTGCATCATCTATGCGCAGGCATTTTCGACTATTTCTAGTGTGATTCCGGCATTTTCGAAGCGTGGTGACATTATTGTTGCGGACAAGGGCGTCAGCTTTGCCATTCGCAAGGGTATCCAGATCTCTCGCAGCATTGTGCGGTGGTACGAACATAATGATATGGAAGATTTGGAGAGAGTCCTGGCCAGGGTCACCAAGGAGCAGGCGCGGAAGCCTCTTACTCGACGATTTATCATCACTGAGAGTCTGTTTGAATCCTACGGTGACATGCTGGATCTGCCTAAAGTCGTAAGTTAAAACCCCTTTTCTGTCCATTTGCCAGAAAAATTTGTTAACTGCTTGGGGTAGATCGAATTGAAGCTCAAGTACAAGTTCCGACTTATTCTCGATGAAACATGGTCTTTTGGTGTCCTTGGACGGACTGGTCGTGGTCTGACGGAGCACCAGCACGTGGATGCGGCGGAGGTTGACATGATTGTTGGATCGCTGGCCGGTCCACTGATTGCCGGAGGGGGTTTCTGTGCTGGATCAGAGGAAATTGTTCACCACCAGCGTATTTCCGCCGCTGCATACACTTTCTCTGCGGCACTTCCGGCCCTGCTCTCGACCACGGCCAGTGAGACGATCAATATCCTCCAAAATAGCCCCGAAACCGTATCACAGCTGAGAGAGCATACCAAGTCAATGAGGGCACAGCTTGATCCCCGGAGTGATTGGGTGTATTGCTCTAGTGCTCCCGAGAACCCCACCATGATACTTGTCATCAAGCCCGAGGTGGTGGCCGCGAAGAGGCTTTCCGTTGATGACCAGCAGTTCTTGCTACAGGATGTAGTAGATGAGGTATGTAGTTTCCGTCCTTTTATCCCTTGCTTGCTTCCTAGGTACGGAACACTGAAGGACCCTGGCTAACTCCTTTTTCTTGCTATAGTGCCTCGCGAATGGTGTTCTCATCACCCGTCTCAAGCACCTTGAGGATAACTACGAACCCAAGCACATTGTACCCCCGGCCTTGAAGGTGTGCATCACCACCGGTCTCACGAAGAAAGAAATCGAGAAAGCAGGAACGACGATTCGACATGCCATCACCAAAGTTTTGAGCAAAAAGAAGTGATCTTATTCTTTCCCCATTCTCATCCTTGAAAACCCCGTCTCCATGAACCTTCATGTCATCATGACCCCTTCTCTTGCTCCCTTGCCCTATATCTTCATGACTCCACCGATCACCTTGCATCGTTTATACAAACCCTAAATGCGCTGTATCACTGTATTTTGTATAGCATAAAGTCTTTCCAGATGGAGGGCAGGATAGTCTTGAGGACCGTTCCTTGCCAATCCACATGCAGCCAGCCTCAGTCTGATGCTAAGTCTGAAGCTGCACGGAAGTGACACTTTCCCTTCGTCCGCCTAATATTTTCTTGTTTCCCTGTTGACCCCTGTTATATTTGGCTGTTAATTCAGGCAGTGGGCATTATTAGACCGTACATTGTTGTTTTAATACAAAAATATTGCTATTTTTCTTGCACTGCTTTTTTTTTTGGCTCTTTTTGGTAATGTCGGGATGAGAGCGACCTGGGCTGTAATTCTTGCAATCGACAATACTAACAAATGATTTGACCCTTCTTTTCCAATCTTTGTCCAGTGGTTTGAACTATCCAGGTAATTGATATCGATAAGAAAGGGAGGGAGGGGTGGTTCGCCCCTTGGTGATATAATGAGGAGAGCCCTGGTTGTTAACAATGGGACATTTGCTAATTGTAACAGGTCTCAAGCCAGTGCTTTTCACGTGCAGCCTGCATTAACCGTTGGTTTCAATAAGCTTGCAGGGCTGAAATGAGATGCATTCTTGAAGCATGAGATCCAGGTTTCCCGGCAGGAAGGACCTGCATTCCCCAGGGCCCTAGAACCCTAGACTCCTGAAAGCTTAGTACTAGGGACATTCCAGGACGAGTGGGATCGAACCATTTTTCGAAGGGCAAAATGCCCTGTTTCGACAGCGTTGCCATGCCTTTCCTCATTGTCCATTTTCGCTGGTCGAGACTTCATCCTGTGGGTGTCCCTGAAACCACAAATCCCACTCTAGCATGAGAAATGCTCGCCAGGTACGATTTACATTGGGATCTGGTCTGCTGTCTTCCTCTGGAATCCTACATCATTCACTCGATCGCTCATTCATTCGATCGCTTATACACTCGATCGGTCCTCCATCTCACCTCACCGGGCTGTTTCTCCTCTTGCTAGCTGTTTCTTCGTTGATATCCTCTCTTCAAGGTTGAGCACACTTGCGTTTCGCTTCTTTTCTTTAGTTACCGTTGATGGATCGTGACGAGGTCGATCAAAACTCAATTAGCAATGAAGTACATGGTCCGTGTTGTTGCTACACTGCTACTTGCATGCAACGTCTGTGCGCTCCATTGTAAGTGATCCCTGGGGAAATGAGCCAAATAGAAGTCCGCCGTGTCCTGATAGCATATTCCTAACCGATATCTAGATGGACGTCGTCATCACAAAGTGCGTGGAGAACTGCCGGTCGAGGCAGAAGTCGTCGTCTGGGTGGACGAGGCAGGGCAGACAATCGGCATTGAAAACCACGCCCCAACTGCTACCATACCACCGGCTGTACGTATATACAGGAAGAAAAACAAAATTTGGGTTGTGGATGGCACTGACGTTGAGCCCCGAAACAGCAAGCTACAGACCTACCACCTATCTTGATAGTCCCTGATCCAGACTCCTTACTCGTTCCCGAAATTCCCACTGAGGATGACCCCCCAGAACCGGAGAATGTAACACCAAACAGAAAGTTTGGCATTTCGTACTCGCCATACAATGATGACCGGACCTGCAAGTCACAGGAACGAGTTGACAAAGACATGGAAGCCGTGTCTGAGCATGAGTATGTCAGGATCTACGGCATAGACTGCAATCAGACGGAGACCGTCCTGGCAGCAGCAAAAAAGCAAAACATGCAAGTCTTTGCAGGTATTTTCAACCTGGAAGGCTTTCCTGATAGTCTGGAAACTATTATGGACGCCGCAGCCGGGGACTGGTCACCCTTTCACACCATTGCAATCGGCAATGAACTCGTCAATGGGAAACATAACTCTGCGGAAGAAGTGGTTCAAGCCGTCCACACCGCACGTGGCAGATTACGAGATGCAGGCTACGAAGGACCCGTGGTGACGGTGGACACCTTCTCGGTGATGCTGAAGCATCCAGAGCTGTGCCATGCATCGGATTACTGTGCGGCCAATTGCCATGCTTTCTTCGATGCTAACCAGACCCCGGAGAAGGCGGGTGCCTACGCGCGGAAACAAGCGAAGCAAGTCTCTGATGCGGCTGGGGGGAAGAAGACGCTCATCACTGAATCAGGCTGGCCTCATGGCGGTCAACCCAACGGAGCAGCTATTCCATCCAAGGAGAACCAGCAAAAGGCCATCTCCAGCTTACGGGAAACTTTTGGTGACAATGGAGATCTTGTCCTTTTTACCGCCTTTGACGATGGATGGAAAGAGGATAACCAATGGACGTTTGGTGCGGAGAAGTTCTGGGGAATCCAAAACCCTTGATCGTGGTGGGAATTCGGTATCGATCAAATATCACCAGGTCGTATTCTTTTTACTTGGTCTGGTAGATCTTTGCCGTCGAATGATGTATCTTCCGTTCTTTCTGTTAATCTATGAGCAAAAACAACTTCTATGTATCTACAGCAGAATACGTCAGTACATGACCCCGACATGAATGCAAATGAATGACTGAGAATCCTCTACTATCCTTTATTTTTTTAATTGAATCCAAGCTCGGACTACATAGCTGCCTCAGTCATTGTTTCAATATCATTTCTTGGAGTTACACAGAATTCGAGCTCGGCGTGCATGGTGATCCCAGCAATGCGGATCACCTGGCGGTGTTGCCATGCCAACCGCGTTTTCTCTTCAACACCTGCAATCGATTCGACCTCACCAACACCAAAGAAGAAGCCTGGCAGCTGACCTTTCGACCCTGGACGTGCTGATGGGTTTGTTGTGACAGTAGCTCGGGTGCAAAATTTTTTTCATTCTTATCTTTGTTTTTTTCCTTCCCCCCTCTGCACATGGAAGAAGAGCTCGACAAACAATCACAACTATACTAACCAAACAGCAACGTTCAACCTTAGCCACGGCTATCGCAGGAGAAAAAAATGGCACGCCTCAACTCAGCGAAACCGAGAAACCTCGGCGAACCTCGCGAGGGAATCAAATCCCGTGGCAAGAAGACAGATCGTGAATCCACGGCTCTGGGTGAAGTCCGCGATAGCCCACCACCATCACCAGCGCCGAGAAAGAAGATGACCGGCAGTGGGGGGAAATGGACAATGGCAGGAGAGACACAGACGAAGAGTGGCACTTCTAGACTCCTGAACAGACCCTTGTTTGGCAAAAGTCGACCACAAAAGATTGGGACGGGGTTTTCTGGTGGAGGGGATTTCGACATCTTCTCCGACAGCGATTTCATGACTGAAAGGGAAGGCGAGGAATATGATTCTTCGATTGGGCCTTCTCGTGATGAAAAGACCAAGAAACGAATTCCATTGAAGCTGGCACATGTAAACTCTCTACTGCTTCCATTGTCGTCACCGCAGACGCAGCAGCGAAACCGACGAAACCGAAAACCGGAGATAGACGATTATGACAAGGAAAATGACCCCATTGAAGTGGCGGGTGATGATGAAGATGGCGACCGTGGATCTGGTCTGTCAAGGAATTCCTCCAACGCGTCCACACGACAGTCGCCGGCAAGGAGGAATGTCCAGCAGACACCTGGGAGGAACATGAATGGCCGTCAGTTCTTGGGCTATCGCCAGCCGAAGAGAGAGAAGGATGACGAAGATTCTGAAGATAATGGCTTTGATTCACTGGATGATTTCATTGTCAGCGATAATGAAGAGCCAAGCTCCTATGAGACATCTCAGGATGAGACAGACGACGAGAAGGTCCAGGAAACACCTCCCCCTCCGCCGCCCAAGACACGGAAGAGGTTGGTGCGAGGAAGACGACCGGATCCAGAAACAGAATTGAAGAAGGCATTGGAGAATCCTTTGCAAAAGGAAGAATTGCGTCTGGAACCATCTCTCCCTGCTGCCATCACAATGTCATCTTCAAAGCCTCAGCCAAAACCCAAACAAAGGTTTCAGAATGGCCTCAACGTCGCTGAAAAGATGAATCATCTCAATCTGGAGAACAATGACGCTTCTTCTCAGATAGAGAAAGACTTGTATGAGTATGTTCAATGTCCATAATCGGCTTTCTCTCTCTGCCTCTGCATCTATCTATCTTGGGCTTCTTATATATGATACTAACATCTTCACCAGTGTGGTGGCAGAACTTGATTCTCCAAGCTCAGAATCTGAATCTGTACAGATCCTGGAAACACCACCAACAAGCCCAACCAAGAACCGACTTCAGTCGCCAACCAAACAGAAAGCCCTGATACCACCAACCCCGTACCGCGAAAGCGTTGACGCCTTTTGGAGCCAGGAAGCTACCAACGACTGGGTTGATCAACACTCACCACGCAAGAAGTTGGAGGATCTGCTGCAAGAATTCGAAGAGTCAGACAACGACGACAGGCAACAGCCTGACATTATGCCCAGAGCGCGACCAGTCAAGAAAGAGCCCAAGACTCCCAGCAAGACTGCCCTCAAAAAAGCGGAGATGGAGCAGAAGAAGGCAGCCCTGGCGCTCAAAAAGTCCTTCGACAGCAGGAAAGCCTCGTTCGCGGAAGACTTCCTCAAGGTCCTAGATGACGCTGTCTCTGGTGGTCAGGTCCAAAAGCAAGCGAAAGATACTGGCGGTGTTCGAATCACTTGGAGCAAGACGCTCCAAACGACTGCCGGAAGGGCAAGCTGGAAGCGCGAGAGAATAAGGACTTCTGGCAATGGATCAGACACCAAAGTGTCCAAGGAGCACGCCATCATCGAACTGGCGGAAAGAATCATTGACAATGAAGACCGTCTCATCAACACCGTTGCACACGAGTACTGTCACCTGGCCAACTACATGATCTCCAATGTCCACAACAACCCCCACGGAGCCAGCTTCAAGCAATGGGGTCGCAAATGCATGGAGGCGATGAAGGATCACCCTGTCTACGGCGGACGGATCGAAGTGACAACCAAACACAACTACCAGATCGACTACAAATACCTGTGGTGCTGTGTTGATTGCGGCCAGAACTACGGACGACACTCGAAGAGCATCGACCCGAAGACAGCCCGATGCGGCCGGTGCAAAGGTTCTCTCCAGCAGATCAAGCCCAAGCCTAGAAATGTCTCACCCAGGAAGAATCAGCCAGCCCAGAGTGCATCGGCTTCCGAGAAACGATCAATTGAGGATGTCGCGAAAGTGTTTGGCGAAGTCAGTTTGAACACTTAAGAAGTCACGAAGCGTCCGTTATCAAGACCCTAACGTTTTCCATTTTGTTTCTATTATTCCTTTCTGGACACTCTCTATCCCACGGGATTGACTCCCTTTGCTTATGGCAAGCAGAGCAGGTTTTTGTACGATTTTGTGATACTACCTACATACAGCATTCCCTTTTTGTTTTAACGAACCACCCGAACAGTTGTCATTCGGTATGATTGGGCTTCTGTTGTTTTGTAGCGGGCATACTATGGTTTCTTTCTTTTCCCTCTTTTAATATCCTTTTTGGTGTACATGAGCGTTCTTTTTTTGGTCCTGGTGTTTGACGAAGCATCTACGAAGCTATACTGAACAAAGGATGTGTGATGCCGTATATAAAGCCATTTGCCGAATACTCAGGCGGGAGATATCTGCTATTGCATTAGCAGTTAATCTGAATATAAATGTGTTCTTTTTATTTGTTGAAGCTATCTATTCTATCTATTTCGTAATAGTCATGGCTGTTCCTTTTGATTTCCCGTTGTATTGTTGGCTGCATGTCTTATACATGTGTTGCTCCCATCGTGCATTCATTCCTTTGTTTTCTTCATCTCAACATTGTCGTGTAGATTCCATCCATCTATTCCAGATCTTGATTCCATTCCCAGAAATTGTTGTACCCTTTGTGTCCTGTCCTGCGATGTCTCAAAGCAGACTATATTCCTTTCCTGTTTTTATCCTCTCCTCTTCACAGTCGGCCATTAAACAAAGAGGCCCCAATCCTTAACCTCCAGATTTTCCACCATTTTTGCAATTGCCTCAGTGGCTAGTTCTTCTTCTCTTGACAAGCCCCGCGGGTCACCCTTTGCGTCAAACTCATCCCGAGGAACATTAAAGAACACCACCAAATCCGTCTCCTGCTCCTCCAGACGCGCCAGCAGATAGTGACAACTCAACTTGGACGTCTGCGACCCAGCCACACTCGACCCAGCGGCCGTCTCATCCACCGAAACCGGCACCCGGCTCTCACCACCACCACCACCACCACCTCTCCGCTGCCCCTTAGGCGTCGTGAACGACACCACACCCTTGTAAGCGTCTACATCGCGACCCGCACTGCGGAATCGCGGCAACGACACCGCCTCCGGCGCGGTGACTACCTCCAGTGTATCGCCTTCGTCGCGGAGGTCGTTGAGATGGTACAGAGCGGCAGCCTTGTCGATTGTTTCTTGGGTGGCGGGGGCGCCGCCGCGCGGGGTGGTGGGGTGGTGAATGTCGTATGCTGAGAGGGCTTCTTCTGCGGGGACGCGCTGGTTGATTTCGATGATCATGTTCGAGAGGGTTGTGGGGGAGAGGTAGAGTTCTTGGTGGTCGGGGACTTCGCGAAGATCACTAGGTATTTTTGTTGGTGATGCGATTTTTTTTGGGATGGAGGGGTGAAGAGGGGTATAACTGGATTTATTTACCTTGCATCGATCCAGCCCTGGGGAATGATACCTCCGATGGCACCGCCGTAGAATTCTCGAGTAGGGAATGAGGAAGTCATATTGTTTGTTTTGTAGGAGTAGTGATCAATCGTTATGTTGTTGTTGTCGTTGTTAAGAGGGGATGGGTATGATGAAATTTGATCGGAACGATATGACCAGACAGAGAGTAGATGTTGTTGATGCTCGGTTTTGATTTCTGGCCGGGTGGAATCCAGGCTATTTATCTCTTTCTCTCAGCCTGTCCGTCTGTTCTCTCGACCAGCTCGTCGTGGTGTTGATGCTCGACAGAACTGCTGCTGACTGCGGCGGGTTGTCTTCCGCCGCCCAATGGGACTGCAATGACGTCCGCCTGCGATCGATGGCTGCAAGACTGCACGTTCTGATTGGCCAGTCTACACTGCCATGAATAGGTATACATACTACTTAAGAAAGTGAGTGAAATCGAGGCTGAAAATGACTGCTATTGACTGTTTACGGCCGCTACTTTAATCCCATCACGTGTTTTGCTCTATATTCTGCACCCGCCAAGCATCTTTCAGTCACCTTAGAGACTGAGTCCCTCTCTTATATTGGATCTGATCTCCTAGATGGCAGCGAGTAGCAGCACTAGACTAATCCTATTCTCTGCAATGATACTCAGGCTAGGTTTCAGTATTTCCGCAGCCTTTGATAGCTCCCCCTAGACTTCAAGGCTAAGACACTGAAAGGTCTTGCAGTAATTGAATGAAGGTACGCACATATTTACTCAGACTGCTCCGAGGATCGCTTAATCTTAACATACGACCAACAGATATTGCATACATTCGAAAGTGGACTACGTGAAGTATTAAACAAGGCTGATAGGTTGGGGACTATTGTGCACCATCAAGTCGATACTGCTCGTGCATGAGGAAGATATTGGGACGCCCAAAAGACTGAGGCCGTCAAGCTCAAAGCCCATACGCGGATGGATGACCACCCATAAAACGTGCGCAGCGCCCGATCTCGCGCATCTTTCGACCAGCTCACTCACCAAAGCCGTACTCCCCCCAACCTGCTCGTCCTCCACCATTGAAGCCGGGACGTTATGGACACCAACGCGCTTTTCGATCTCTTCCACGAGGTGCAGGGCCAGCTTTGGGTTGACAAGGTGAACGAGACGCACAGAATAGGCCGTCTCTGCCAATGGGTGTCGACTTTTCATCCCAACAAGCTTCCTTGTCAACTTGACGGTACCTTTCACCATGGCGCATTCAATGCTGGTATGAAGATGGTTTTCAGTGACAGCACCGCCTGGATGGTTCGTTTTCCTCGTGTGGGTAGGGTCTGTGACAACTATACCGATGAGAAAGTTGCCATGGAGGTGATGGCCCTTAGAATCATCCACGATAGGACTAGCATTCCCGTCCCGAGAGTCCAGGCGTGGGGTCCCGCTGCCAGCAACCCACTTGGCCTAGGCCCATTCATCATGATGGACTTTATTAATGGTGTGAGCCTTAGTGACCTTCTCCAGGATCCTAACTCCAAGCGCCCTAGTAGAGTCGTGAGGGAGGACATCAGTGATAGTGATATTGAAGTTATCTATAGACAGTTGGCGAATTTTCTGCTTCAGCTTTTCAAGCTTGATTTTGACCGGATCGGCAGTCTGGTGTCACCACAGGCTGAAGCCCAAAGCCCTGAGCTGCCACGACCGCTAACATTCAAGGCACATAGCATCCTGCAAGATGGAGGAGTTGACACTTTCGGTACGCCTTGCTTCTGTCCTTTTCCCTTCTCATTCATAATGCTCTAGAGGGTCGAGTGCATTAATTAAGCAAATGATGCCTAGGTGACCAAGCCCAGGGGTTCGCGACGACGACCGAGTATTTTCAATATGTCGTCGGACAGGACTGGGAGCAGCTCGTTCATCAGCCAAACTCGACTGTTGGTCCATATGATGCCAAAAACAAATATATGGCGTTCAAGGTCCTAAAAAGCCTAATACCTGACTTAGTCCACACGAAGTATGACTCTTGCAAATTCAAGCTGATTTGTGATGACCTTGGCTTGGCCAATCTGATAGTCCGTGGCAAGGAAGACCTCACTGTTATTGGGGTAGTGGACCTTGAATGGTCATACATTGGACCTGCCCAGCTATTTGGCTCGGCACCCTGGTGGCTTCTCCAAGACAGGCCCGTTAACAGCACTTGGGACTATAATGGCGACGACGAGCCACCCAAGATTGCCGCCCGGTACTTCAAATACCTGGAGATTTTCATGCGTATCTTGGAGGAGGAAGAGGCAAAAATGCCAGAGTACAAAGATGGGGAGCTCTCTAGCCTTGTAAAGTGGTCGCAAGCCTCTGGGGCCATGTGGCTACACATGCTCCTCTCATCTGGCTTTAATGACCATCACAGCTTTCCTTTTACCCAGCTGCACCATCATTTAGGCGTTGCTGAGTGGGCAAGGCGTGAGGAGGAATTTGAGAACACCAAAGAGCTTGAGGCATTCGCAGCGTGGAAGGTAAACGAGTTAGATAAGTATGATGAAGTCTTGGAGAAGATGGAGGAGAAAAAAGCGCTCGTGGACAGTGGGGATATAACAAAGGAGGAATTCATTGCCAATGCTCTAATAGAGCTAAGCCATGTCTCCTGTTCCTCGCCATTATGATCAATGATGAGATGGAGATAACTAATAGTAGAATATTCTACAAGTTAGCTGTCTGGCTAGGCTTGCAAGCTGCAAAGTTGAGAGAGGCTACAAGGATGGGATGAAGGGAAATTGCATGCTGGCTGCTAGTGTGGCTACTGTCAGGGTTGCGGCTCGAAGCTTGCTGCATATCACTTTGTCAACCTTGCCACTTTATATATGTGGTGAGTGCTTGCAACACACAATGTTGACTTTTATGCTTGATACTATCAATAGCCAATATACCAGCTACTCTGTATTATATGACGTCTCTAATCCCACAGAGCTAAACAGTACCATCGGCTCTAGTGATATTACTGCTGTAGATTACGATTTAATTCACTTGCACAGCTCCCTGGCTCCAAAAGTAAGATCTTCAGTCACAATATATGCGAGATATGACAAAATTTATTTAATTTATTTTAGATCACCTTTACCACATCAAGGGTCGACTGGCTTGCCTTTTAGAAAAAGAGGACTGCCATTTGCATCCACATTATTCTCGTAGTCGTCGGCAGGATAAATGCAATGATACTGGTAATAGTGAAGAGATAGGAAGGGCTCAGCCGCAATTTGCGACGCAAAAAGAAAGGAGGGAGAAGGGAAGAAGTGTTAGAACAGTGAGAGGTTGGTTCTTATAGTCCTAGGTCCGCAGCAGGCAGTGATTACAGTGCACAGTATCTGGGCACCATTCCTGAAGCAGCAAAGCTAACCAGAAGCAGGAATTCACAGGTGCTCAATTTACAACTGAAATGAAGTTATTCAGATAGCAAAGAATCCTTGTTTGGATAAGCAATTTGTTGTCCCATCACATATCTAAAAGCTCCTCGATATATTCATCCAACGCGATCATCTTGAACCGATTCCCCCATTTCGTTCGAAACTCTTTCTTCCGATACGCATAGCTAGTCACCTGCGTGAAGCTCACAAGTTCAACATTCCATCCGCGCTGCAAAGCCCGTTCCACCATTTTCATGAATCCTCCCGAGTACTCAGCTTCCGCTGCGTCTCCCGTGGCTAGGACAATCGTTGCCGGTTCGTCCGTATCCAGTAGGCTTTCCAGAATCTTCAGGTGTAGAATTTCGTCCACACCCTGTTCAACCCATCGCTCTGCAGGCATATCGTTCATTTCAGAACTGCTGACAGAAAGCTCATGAGATTCACCCTTTGCGGACTTGCGGAACTTCAATTGACGACGGGTCAACTGTTTCACTTTTTGAACTCGATCCAGAATGTTCGTCTCATAGCCGAGCTGCTCGCCTTCGTTAATTGCCGCAAACCGGTCCGATCCAACCAAGACTCTCTTGGCGGTTGGTCGACCCCTTTCCAGGATCAAAGAGAAGTTTTGGAACGACAGAGGCAAACGGCGGATCCGAGTCTTGATAGGTATGTTCCGTGACACTTTCACCGAGTCGTGAAACCCAACCATAATCTGTTTCAGTTAGCTAAAACCAAATTCTATATGTGTAGATAGATATCCAGCAACAAACTTACGTTAGACATGTCAACAAAAACATGAACAGGTCGAGCTGAGGGTTTCTTGGTCTTTCCATTCACAGGCCGTCCAGCTTGCGACACGGCCTCTGCGTAGTCTGGGAAGCTTTTCAGCAGCTTAGTTAAGAGGCCAACTCTTCGATCGTTTGCCGATTTATATGCGATAGGTTGAACGCGAATCGGACCATTGCTCGGCAGGTTCTTGACGGTTTCCGGAGAAAAGCAATCCTCCAATTCGTCAAAAGAAGAGGGCGGGGTATCATATGGCTCGTGCTTATCAGAAGCGGCTACTTGGGATGGGACCAAGGGCAGAACTCCGCGCTTCCTTGAATAGGGAGGGTCGAAAACATTGCTGAGGTTCTCGTCGGATTCCACCTCCGCATTACTCTCCGATGAGCTCGTATCGTATGATTTGTGGTTAGGTTGGTCGACAGCGCCAAGCCCAGCTTTTGCTTTATCTTGAAGGCTTCGGGACTTGGATTTGCCCGATACAGGGATTGGCCTCGGAGGGGTTCTCGAAGGCGTCTCAGTATCCGTGACTTTAGTGGAAGGCCGTTTCAGGATCTTCACGGTTGTAGATGGTTTAAAAGACTGTTGGGTGGGAGTGGCATCGGGTTCCTGGTGAGAAGGTTCCACTTTGGGGGCCTTTGCACCGCCCAGAGTAGTGGTACCTTGACCCAGAAGATCCCAAAGAGAGCCGAAATCTCCAAGTCTGGGTGAGGTATTGCTTAAGGTGTTCGCATTGTGTGCCTGAGCACCGAGTTCGTTGGTTACATTTTTGGCTGTCTCTCCAGGAGACGATGAAACAGTTTGAGGTTCAGTGTGGCGAGAAGGGATGGACAAGTCACCGCTCCCATAAGTGGGCGAGCGGAGCAGGTTAATCACCGGAGTGAAATCCCAGTTGGAAGAGGATGCAACCGACGATGGCATTGATGATTTCAGCGTAAAATAACTGGATGTTTAGTGGGTTTTTGGGTACAAAATGTAGGCAGTAGTTGTAAACGTTTCCAGCGGCAAAGCGGGGTAGAAGATCAGAACAAATAAAGAATAATTTATCAAAAGACGATGACTATAACTGATAGCGAGAATAGCAAGCATGTAACGAAGACACGAAACAGATCAACATGGTTGTCGACGAGACCCGACAAGAGGATGGAAGTCCTAGACTCATTGAGGGGGTGTTGTTGTTGGCCTGCGTGTAAGGTAGAAATAGCAACCAGCGAAGAAGCATTCATGACTCGACGCGTGGCGGTGAACAGCTGGCTCTTTTCTGCTTCTCCACACCGCCTCCTGTTATCAGCGGAGTTTTCCACTACGCCTAATACGGTATAGTGCGTTCGGGAGCCGGCATAATTAATAGTCCGAGAAAATATGTCACGTCAAGCCGCTAACTATATTAGGCTAGTTTATACTTATCTAATCTATGACTCGGATGCAACGTCATCGTCGCAATTCGCTTGCTTTTTGCGCTTCAAACAAACATTGAACCAGCCAGAATTCCTTGATGGCGTTCCAGAACCCTGATTCCCTGTTATTTTTGGAAAGCGTCACCGGGTGTAATAGTGACGTGCATAAGGCGTTCATTTGCTGGCTCGACGTTCCATGGATTCTAGCCAATAATGGCTCAGAATCTGGGGTAGATGATTCAAATCCAAGGTCCAGATTGACTCTATCTCGTGATGTCCATTGAATATGGCGTAGGGATTCTCCATTGAGGTAATTAGTTACGTCATGGAGAAGGATTCAGCGTAACAAGGTTGAAGATGCTGTCGAGAGAAAAGCCATATAAACCTCCTTGTAGCGCAGTTCAATCGTTCTTCATCCATCAACAATCATTCTGAATTCTCTATTCAAACACATCCACTCAAAAGACTCAAACAGTTCATAAAAACCAATCCATTCAATATGTCTGACCAAGGACGCAAGGATTTCACCACAAGTATGTGACCTCGCACATGCTCATCCTCAATTGAAACGCCATGCTAACATATCAATTAGAGGCCAAGGAGGAGATCACTCCTGACTCTACCAAGTCCACCCAGGACAAGATCTCCGAGACTGCTACTGACGCCAAAGAGCGTGTCACTCGTGGATTGCAGCCTGACGATAGCAAGTCTTCCACCCAGGAGGCCTTCGATCGCGCACAGCGTGCCAAGGACAACAACAATGGCGGAGCCTCTGAGTCACTGTAAGTCTGATATAGCGATGATGGTGAATTTGCTCATGTGCTAATCTAATACTTCGTTATAGCTTTGACAAGGCCAAGAACGCAGTCGGCCTTGGTGACCACTAGATTGATTAATGCTGGAAAGGATTCATTGAGCATGGCCTAGTGTGCGATCATGATTCATGACGAGTTCAACGATACCAGTTCATAGGTCGTCCTGTATCTTTATTATTATTATGGATGTTAATGTACTTAATGAATGAAATATCAAACATCATATTCAGATGCATTGTGACTTCCCGTCTCATTTCTTGCCACCTAGATTTTCATGCATCGTATCTCGTTCCTCGGTAAGCTCGACGAGTTCACGTTCTAGCTTTTTGTATTGCGTTTTCGCCTCCGGTACATCCTTGGGTAAGTCGTGAAGCAATTTGATTCTAGTCTCAAGTGTCTTGACCAATTCCCTGAGTTTGATCACGCCCTCTTCATCCACAACCAGTTCCTCGATCGTTGGTCCTTTGGGTTTATTTCTCTCAAGAGACGCAATCCTGTCCTGGTATTCTCTAACCTTTGCGCTTAGCAGCTTTGTACTGCGAGTCCATTCTGCTGTCAGCGCCGGAAGATTGGGAGACATCTCATATGCTTTATCGGTTCTGAGCTCTTCGAGTTGTTGCTGTAGCGTCGCCAATTCTGTCTCCAAATATTTCCGTAGCATATCCACTTTAAAAACCTGCTCCTGAGCATCAAATTCATCCCTGGTCAATTCAATGATAGACTGGCCTAGATCTCTGTTCTCCGTGCCCAACGTTCCCAGTATAGCCGTTGTTTCCGCTAAGTCGTTGAGATCCCGTCTCCCATTTTCGTCCAGACAAAGTTCCATTTCATCTAGGATTTCCTTCTTTTGTTGTTCTTCTTTCTCTTCTCTGGCTTTAAATCCTTGCACTGCTTCCTCGCGCGCGCGATGTAACAATGCTGCCTCTTCGTCGGCTGCGTCGTTGGCAGCAGCCAAAGCCAGTAGAGTTCTCAGGGTATCTTCGTTTCGCTCGAATTGAGGAACAGGCTTTGGAGCATATTGACGACTCAGCCAGGAGTTCACGTAGGCCCAGTCCTTGGCCTGGATCGCTTGTTGTCGTGCCTTTGCGGGGGAGAGAAGTGGGCTGTCCATGATAACGAGTGGAGATGTTGGGTTTCTTCTTGAGATGGCGAGTGGAGGACTGGGAGTCAATTGCCAAATCAATACGGAGTATAGATAAATAAGAATAAATGTAAATTATCAACTCCTTGTCTAAGTTTAAAATGAAAGAAGCTTGATTGTTGATCAGCAACAAAAATAGCCGGGGTCGTGTTATTCCGGCATCCCGTGTTCTTCTCCACGGGGAGCTTTTGTTGAAGCGACCACCTTTCGCGCCATCAAGATAGATAACATCAACAACCCAAACCCGCCATGGCGAGCTATTTCCCGCCGCCTGGGATGATTCCTAGTCATGCCTCAATGAGAACACCGTCCCCAGCTGCCTCTCCGCTTTCCCCGCCCATCCAGCGATCAAATGCCTTATCCAACCGATTAACAAGTGTGCTTTCGGCCTCCTATGCGGATTCCGACATTCGAGATGCGCTGGAAACCCTCAGCCTCAGAGGAATTCAAAATACAGCGGAGACACGGAGACAATTACGGCTAGACGTGCAGAAGGAGGTTGTCGACTGCAATGCTGAAATTGTGCGTGATTTTGGCAAGGTTGCGGAGGTGAGTTGGTGTTGCACCCGGTGGATACAGAAGGCATTGACTGACGATTACTTTCGATAGCAATTGAAACGGATCGGAAGTGTGATATCGACGTTGAATCAAACATGCGATGAAATGCGGAAGCACATCCACCTTGCCAAACAAGACACCACGCCCGTCCTCGAGGAAGCATCTGTGTTGATGAACCAGAAGAAAGAATCGGAGACGAAGCAGCAACTTCTCGATGCATTCACGCAACATTTCATAGTGTCAGAGGAAGACCTGCTGGTTTTGACCTCGGCCGCCGAGCCTATCAACGAGCATTTCTTCGACGTGCTTGCTCGGGTGAAACAAATACACCACGATTGCGAAGTCCTGTTGGGAGGGGAAAACCAAAGGTTGGGATTGGAGGTTATGGAGAAGAGCACTAGAAGTCTCAACTCTGCTTACCAGAAGCTCTACAAATGGATCCAAAAGGAATTCCAGTCCTTGAATCTTGAAGATCCCCGCATTAGCAGTTCCATCAGACGAGCGCTGCGTATACTGGCCGAGCGACCAAGCTTGTTCCACAGCTGCTTGGATTTCTTCGCTGAAGCGCGTGATTATGTTCTCTCTGATGCCTTTCACTATGCTCTTACCGATGCGGTTTCTGGGGCGGGAGGAGATCAGAACGTCAAGCCAATCGAATTCTCTGCTCATGATCCCTTGCGTTATATTGGAGATATGCTTGCATGGGTTCATTCTACGGCAGTTTCGGAGCGGGAAGCCCTGGAGGCTTTGTTCGTGGCGGACGGCGAGGAACTTGCCAAGGGCATCCAGGCCGGGCTGAGTAGTGAGCCTTGGGCTCGGATTGATGAAGACGAGGCGGTTGCTTTCGATGGACACAAAGCCCTCAGCGATCTTGTCAACCGTGATCTTACTGGAGTCTCTCGATCGTTACGCCAGAGGGTTGAATTGGTCATCCAAGGCCATGAGGACCCGGTTACTTGTTACAACGTCGTCAACTTACTTGCCTTCTATCGTACCACTTTTACCAAGCTGGTGGGAAACAAGTCCAATCTGGCTGAGCTTATCCAGACATTGGAGAAGTTTACATTCATCCACTTTGAGACCCTCATGCGTGACCAGGTCAACAGTCTCTCCACCGACCATTCCGCTTTGGTTCCATCGGAGGACCTGTCAGCTCCACAATTCCTGCTGGATGAATTAGAAGAATTGAATTCCCTCATGAAGACTTACGAGGCCTCCTATGGGGCAGAAGATTTGGAGTCAATGAATGGCGAGAACAAGTTTACGCCAGTCCTCCGTTCAGCCTTCGACCCATTCCTAGAGCTCGCAAAGTCTTCAGCGAAGGATCTCAAGGATCAAACCGCGCGCACCATCTACCAGACGAACATCCTTCTTACTGCTCGCTCAGCAGTACAGGCATTCTCATTCGCTAGCGTAACGCATTCGAGTCCTCTCTCGACAGAACTCTCTACAATGCGGGTGGACCTCCTCGAGATCCAACACCACTATCTACTGGACACCTCAGGTCTCCAGGTGCTTCTGAAAGAACTGGAGCCATTCTCCGATGAAAAGCAGCACCAGAAACATCCCAACATCGCCGAGATAGCCAACCTCCCAGCCTTCCAGCCCGAAGCCCTCATCGCAACCAGCCAACAACTCGACGACTTCCTCCCATCCGCCCTAATGGATGCTACGGACAATCTGAAGCGCGTGCAAAGCGCAACCTTCGTCAAGAGCGTCACGGAGGAGGCGGTCGAGGCGTTCTGTCGAGACTTTGAGTTCGTGGAGGGCATGATTATCGGCGCGGATGAAGCTAGAGGAAAGATTGATATTACGCAGGGTGATGGTGATGCCAGTGTTGATGGCGAGGATGCAGATCAGGGAGACAGGGATTGGAGTCTGAGGGTGCTTTTCCCGCGAACTACGGGTGAGATTCGTGTGTTGTTGAGTTAGACTCTTATTTTGTCTGATTTTATTTCATCTGTATATATTATGCATAAACTTTGGTCCTAGCTGTTTCTTGATAATTAGACATTTATTTGTCTTTTCTATTATTATACCAGCTTTTTTCATCTTCCCGTGCAGTATTCAATCATTCATCCAGGTTGAGCAAATTAAGCCCGTCGGATCATAATTCCATACGGGTCTCGATCCCGCTCACTAACAGTAACAGCACTCTCAACATCCTTGAAAGCTTCCTCCAACCCCTGAACAACACCAGCCCCTCCCTCCTTGGCACTCTCCTCCAATGCTCTCAAACCCTCGCCTCGCTCAGCCTCCCATTCCTTCTTCAACGTCTCCTCCAATCGCTCCCGCATGACAGCATGCAGGTAGCCACGTTCGGTGTTGGTGTGGGCCAGGGCCACGACCGCCGAACCGCGTTCAATGGTTGCCAACGCTTCATGGTGACTCAGCTCACCCGTGAAACAAAGATCAGGGATATTACCCCCCTTGAGAAGGACACTGGAACCCGAACCGGGGCAGACGCCCACAGTGCGGATCTTCATGGTGTCGATCGAGGCGGATTGCGGGATTGCGATGGGGATTCCGCCGGGATGGCCGACACCCCGGGCAAGGTTGTCGATGATGGTGGTGAGGGGCTGCGGGGTGGAGAAGGTGACGAGACGGCCCATTCCTGCAGATTCGAGGCCCTCTGGGACGGGGGATGGGGAGGGGTGGATTGTAGTCCTGGTGTGGGCGGGGACGGGTGCAGAAGAGGGCACAGAAGGCTGCGGCTGGGGGTATGTTGGGGAGGAGTATTTTTGAGAAGAGGATTTCTCGATAGGAGAAGGACCGGCTGAGTTGGGGGATGGGGCGATGGCTCCGGTGACAATGTCGCAGAGCCAGTCTGCCATTCCACCAGGGGTGGCATCTACAGCTGTATGCGGCGAGTAGACACTGATGCCTTCTTGCGCCAGTCTAAGAAGGGACTGTTGCTGGGGGTCTTGGAGAGTGAGAGACTTTAGGCCCCGGAAAATAATTGGATCTGGGTAGTATGTTAGTCTCCAATTGATAGAGAGATCTTGATATAGGTAGCTGCATACGGTAGGCCACGACGACCGAATCTTTACGCTGAATAGCTTCATCGGCGACGGCTTTGGTGAGGTCGATAGCCAACAGGACGGAATTTTTCTGTCTCTGTGCAGGGTTGAAGGGTGCTTCGAGGAGCACTTTGCGAAAGCTGTGAGCATTCTGAACAACAAACAAGTGACAGGGAGCTTACAGCCGGTGTTATCCCAGCTCTTATCTGCCAATGACTCGGGATAACTATATGCATGTTAGAAATTATATCAGCAGTGATAGTACGGGCAACGAACATACAGCTTTTTCATGGAGCTCACCACTGCCCGTGTAAAGGGCGACGAGGAAGCGGGGAATGATGCAGACATTGCGGAGTATCGACGCAGAGAGGCACGAAAGAGGGACATAGAAGTATAGGTATAGTTCAGAAGGGCGAAATCATCCGAGAACAAGACCAAGCCAGGATATCTTCTTCTCTTCTGGTAATAAGACCCGAACGACACGATGAAACTGGCTGAAGATAGATCGATGCATGACATAAAACAGCCCCCTGCGCCACAGCGACCCGCACCAGCCACATCTGGTGATCCGACCAAACGAAAACCCGAGCAATTGTCAGCCACCGTTGCTTGCCCCGTACAGCAGCAGAACTGAGTGGATGAATAATTCCGTCATCGGCCAAACTGCGAACAATCAAATCAATCCGTCCCACCTCCACTAGATTGTTTTTTTTATCTATCTTTCCCACCTGAAACGAACCCTATCCTTAAATCCCTAGCCCTTTCTACTTAAACCACCGCGCTTGATGTTCTCCCGCGCCACTTCGCTGAGCAGAAGCTGCCGTTATCTTCTCCGCACCTCCGTCCCCGTTCATCAGAAATCGTCCTTTTCGCTCTCCGCGCGCTCCTTTGCGGCTGTTAACGCTGCTATGGCTGACACTTCTGGTATCACGGCGGATTCGCTGAAGCACAAGTTGACTGAGCAACTGCAGGCTCAGTTTGTTGAGATTGAAGATTTGTCTGGTATGAGAAAGATGCTTTCCCTCCCCCCGAGGTTAACGGTTACTTCCACGTAACCGAAATTTGTTATGATTTTCGGGCTCGTTCTATTCGGTATATTCAGTCAGGTCATTGCTAATATTGAGAATAGGTGGTTGTGGACAGGCTTATCAGGCGGTTATCGTTTCGCCGCAATTCGAGAGCAAGAACATGCTCGCCCGACACCGGCTGGTCAACTCGGTCCTCAAGGCCGAGATTGCTGCGATCCACGCTTGGACACCCAAATGCTACACCCCTGCACAGTGGCAGGCACTGCATCAGTGAGGATGAAAATGGAGACAGGACCAGGAATTCGATGATATCCCATCTAGGTTCATGCTGTCTTTAGCATGGAGGCAGGCGTTATTGGAGGATTAATGATGTACATTGTATTGGATGCCTAGCCGTGACTGTGTCTCGCTGGTGGAATATGGATGAGAAAAATAATAAATTCTATATCGCCAGACTGATGGCTCTACTTTACATGATTGTATTTAGATTATAAATTTAACCCAATACCTTTTCAGCGGCGGAAACTGTTTTATATTAACAAAAATGAACCAGGACGATTGACAGAGAATGTGTCGAACGTACCATTGAGGCCGGCGTTGTCAGGCTCCACGAAAGCCTCCTTGACCTTGCCGTTCTCGACAACCAGCGCATAGCGCTTGCTTCGGTGGTTGCCAAAGATCGTGGTGCTGTCGAAGGTGACATCGAGAGCCTCGGAGAACTTGCCAGTAGGGTCACCCAAGAAGCGAATCTATGGTTATGTTAGTGTTGGACAATAGTCAATTAAGGATATCACGTACGCCGCTGTTGCCCGAAGGGTCAAGAGAAGTAGCCCAAGCCTTGGTCCTATATTCAAAATAAGCTTATGAATACAATGTACAGCGTTTATAGCTGAGAAAACTTACACAAAGGGGTCATTGACGGAGACGACAAAGACCTGACCAGCTTCCTTGAGCTTGGGGTGCTTGATGTAGCCGGGAACGTGAGAGCTGGAGCAAGCAGGGCCTATAATCCCACAGTTCAGCAATCTATACCAGCAAGTACCCTTATTGTTTCAAGTTTTATGCACACGCGACCACGTAGTCGGAAAAAATCCATCAGGGAACAAGCCCGCGCTTGGCTGGACAAAAGAGCGGAGGACACGTACTGAATGCAGCGGGAACACCAATGATGACACCCTTGCCCTTAAGCTCCTTGGCGAGATTGACCTTGTTGCCGGGGGAGTTTTCGACGAGGACATCGAGATCGGGGATGGCGTCTCCCTTCTGAACGAAAGCCGGAGCAGTCTGGTGGAACAGCGCCCTCTGGGACATGGCGCGAGGAACGCTGGTTGCGAAACGGCGAGCGGCGAACATGGTTGAGGTTGATGGAATGAGATGGAGGTTAATTGGAATTAGAAGGATGATAAAAGTGGTGAGATGGAGATGGAGGGAAGAATTGAAGAGAGAGAATAAGTAGGATGGTCAGAGGGCCCGAGAGGCGGAATAGAGCTGGCTGGTCGGGGTTATTATTTCGTCATCGCAACTCGGCTGTCTGCGAACGTGTAGAGATGATGAATTAATTTAACAGATGTTGCAATAATAGATTAGTATAAATACAGATACAATTATCGAATTATCAAAAGTACAAAATATAGACTAGAATATTAAATCTAGGTTTTTAATCCATAGGGCTGGTGGCTGTTTCTGGGCATATATCTTCAGTCGTCAATAATATCTTCATGCAAGGAATCCACTTCATAAGACCAGTCTGATTTTAAATATAGTACAAGACCAGATATAGCAGTATTCCGAATTGACTATAGCCAACACTGAGACAGAATATTGATGCTATTGATGTGTGGATGGTCTGTGTTATAGATGGTCACAGACAGGATCTTCATTTATTGACATGGTTGGATATAAAAAGCAAAAACAGACAAAGAAAAGAAAAAAAAAAAAGGGTCCCCGAAAGTTTAAACCATTATAAAATCAGAAGAGAATGATCTGTGATTTATCTTCATATCAAGCTATCTTGAACTGAAGCTTGAACACCGAACATGCAGGATAACGGTCAATTCCCCTCGTTGTGGATCTGCGATATTTTGCGCTGTAATGGCATCACATTTGCCTGCACGGCGCACGGAGTCAAACGGTCCCAGTACAGCTCTGCTCTCGAACAGCTTTTCTGCTCTTTTGTAGCTCTCTAATTCCACTCCAATATGCATATAGATGCATCCAACTGTACCGTAGATGCACTCTGTCTTTCCCCTCTCGACAGTCCATCCGCTGTTCTTCTTCCCCCTCCATTTCGGCGCACTGACATTTCTCGGCCAGCCTTCCGCTGACTGTTTTTTTTTTTTTCTGTTCCTTCTTTCTTACTCTCCTCTTTATTCCTTTTGTCTGATTTATTTAATCCACTATATCATCGAGTCTCTGAACTGATATCTGAATTCTCCTTGCGTATATGTATTTAAAAATAAATTTGTCCCCTGGGTTATTTTTATTTGTAGAAACTGTGGCTAGTGACACTCTGGGTCGATCCGCGGAAGAATAATTCAACGCCTCCAACAACTCACCAAGAGTCCCACTACACTCGACTCTCTCTGCTCTTCTCGACTTTACCGACCATCCATCCTCGACTGGTTGTCGTCTTTTCTTTCTTCTCCGCTTCTTCTTTTTTATCCCCCTTCTCGGAGCCTCTTTCTCTCCGTTCCTTTTCATCCTTTCCCTCTCTCCCGTTGGTAAAGATCGAAGCTCTTGTTCTCCCGTCCCTGCGACCCTGCTGCTTGTTCGATCGGTCGCGACCCATCTAGCCCACGATGGAGGGTGGCCAGACCACAACCAATACCGCCCCCGCTGGTAACTCCAGCGATTTTGTGAGTGCTGCCTTGGATGTTGATGGTTTTCAGCATAATTTTTTTGCTGGCCAGTTTATTTCGCATCATGATTAAATGCTGACGAGTTTGTCTTGCAGGTGCGAAAACTTTACAAGTGAGTCCTTTTGCTTTTCTATCGGGCATTTTCCCTCGCCCGAGCTGTTTCGCATCGCGCTCGCCTCTTGCTTTGCTCGCTTTGAAGACTCTTTTTTTCTGACAAGATGCTCTACAAGGATGCTGGAGGATCCCTCGTACTCCGAAATCGTTCGGTGGGGAGACGACGGTGACAGTTTCGTGGTTTTGGAGGTAATGCGCTCCCCTCCCCCCGTGTCTTCCGCCGAAAATCTTTGATTTGCCCGTCGCAGTAGACTGACCAGTGCAATGCTCTTTGACAGTGCGAAAAATTTACGAAATCCATTCTTCCGAAACACTTCAAGCATAGTAATTTCGCCAGTTTCGTACGCCAGCTTAATAAATACGACTTCCACAAAGTCCGACAGAACAACGAGGAGAATGGCTCATGTCCTTACGGTCCGAATGTAGGCTGCCACCCTTACGCCATCATCGCATTTGAACTAGCTCTAACTGGGACTTTATCTAGGCGTGGGAGTTTAAACACCCCGAGTTTAGGGCTAACAGCAAGGAATCGCTGGACAACATCCGACGAAAGGCACCAGCACCGCGCAAACAAACCCAGAGCCATGACGACTCGGTCCCAACCCAACAAATAGACCTTTTGAACCAGCAAATTGTAGCGCAACAACAGCAGATCCAGCATCTTTCGGACCGCTACGCGCAGTTGACGGTGGACCACCAGCTCATGTTGCAGGAGGTTATGAGGGTGCAGAAGACAGTCTTGAACCATGAAAATGTCATCCACCAGGTTATGAACCACCTTCTTTCCGCGGACGCCCGGCAGAAGCGGGATAGCAAATCGGCAGCATCTTTCTCAGCCCAAGGGCAAGGTGGCTCTACCATGAGTCCTTCCCAGGTTGCTTCTATAGAAGACGAGCCGTCGTCTCCCCTGCAACAGGCCTCGAAGCTGTTGAATGATATGAATGCCGAGATCCAGCTTAACATCACCGGTGTGGAATCGATGGCTGAGCCGCCAAAGCCGACTACGGTGGTTTCGACTCCCACTATGGACGTTGGCCCGCGCAACGGCGTGGTTCGCCCGCCTACAGCGGCAGGCGCCGCAGCGCCAACTCTGGTCTACCCGAAAATGAACGGCGAGATTGAGCCGGTAGTTTACCCGGTCGGCGCTACAAACGGTATCGACCCCATGTACAGTGACCATGTCAATAATGTGCCTTATCCCATGCCACCAAAACAAGAACTCGAGGATCCTCGTCGGCAGTTTCCAGAAAACCGGAAGAAGAGTACTAATGTCGACCCTGGTTGGATGCGCAGCCCACAAATTTTGCTTGTGGAGGATGATGCAACCTGTCGGCAAATCGGTGGAAAATTTCTTTACTCGTTCTCTTGTGTTATTGATACTGCGGTACGTCTCACTGTCTTCTGCCCCACTGTGGAAACAATACTGATAATGTACTAGTTCGATGGACTTGAAGCAGTCAACAAAATTCAAGATGGCTCCAAGTATGATCTTATTCTAATGGACATCATTATGCCTAACCTCGATGGTGTCTCTGCTTGCCATCTCATCCGCCAATTCGATCGGACGCCCATAATTGCAATGACTTCTAACATTAGAAGTGACGATATCCAGCTCTACTTCCAGCATGGTATGTCTTTTTTTCTTTTCGTACTGTCACAGCTGATTTGCTGACTCTACTCAGGCATGGATGATGTACTTCCGAAACCCTTTACACGGAAAAGTCTACTCGACATGCTCGAGAAGCACTTGGTTCACCTCAAGGCTATTCCACCCGGCATGGATGCTCCGCAATCGGCAGCGGCGGTTACGATGGCTGCTCAGAACTCGGCAACACATTCAGTCAAGGAGGACAGCTCTCCAGGTCAATCGCCAGCTGGGTCTATGAGCAACTGGCAATCACCGGGCCAGTTCCATGGAATGGCCACCGTTCACCCGAATCTCCAGCAAGTTCCAGGCCAATATGTGCCTGCGACTCCAGCACCTGCCGCATATGCAGTCGATCAAAATGGAGTCCAATACCCAGCACCTCCGGTAGCGATCACCGCGGCGGCAGCAGCAGCAGCAGCCGCAGCTCGTCCTCCTCATCGACGGCAAATCTCAGACATGTCCAGTGCAGCAGATACCCCCAATATGACAAAGCGACCGCGCATGTACGCGCAACCCCAGCCGATGGTGAATCCGGTACAAGCTACACGAACGGGCTAAGTCTGGCCCAAACCCTCCTTAATCGACTATGAGCCATTTCCCTCAAACTCCCACACTCTCTTACCATCCTCACCAACCACCTTAGCACCGTCATAGTCCCTTGTCTTACGAATTCCACAAACATAATGAGAGCTCAATCGTACAGTATATTTTATTACCCGGAAATCTGTCATTTATCAGTTTTGTTCCATAAATCATGGCGTTGACGGCTAGTTCCTTTTTCAGACTTTGCAAATACACTCTTGCAGCAGAATCTTCCCACGTCGTTTGTATAGTGTTCTTTGGGAAGGTTGGGGTTTTGAAATCGGGGCATCTGGATCACTTTTCTTTCTATCTATTTTTTTCTTTTGTTTTATCCTTTTGACCAAACATGGGACTGGGGCTCGAAAGTCATTTTCATCCCTCGTATTCTGCATTGAAAGCTGGTTTCTTCATTTCCTCTTCTTTCCTTTGTTTTCCTAATTCAACTCCGGACCATGCAAAATGCTCATCTTTAATTCTTGTGTTTTTCTTTTCGACTTTCTACTTTTTTTTTCATACCAGTGACAATTCTGGAAATTGGAAACAAGCTGGTTCCATTTAATGTGGATATTTCAAGCATAGCTTTCTTGTTCGGATCAAAAAAAGATAGAACCTGACATTTGAACCTGCAGTTCATGTCGTGAGAATAGCCTAGTTCGATATTAAATGCCCCGACACGGTGGAGAGGTTCCCCAATATCGGTAGCCCATGCTCCGTAGTTCGCCTCTATAAAACGTAAACCCGTACCACTCGATCAACCATCGCAATCCAAGCCGCATCATCGACATTCTCCACGTTTAACAGGGGAGGTTCTAGACCGTCGGTGCCTGAACAGGGGGGAGGGCACGAGTCTACGCGGGTCCAGGCCTTTTGCTGCTGGTTCTGGACTTTTTGGGGCTGATGAGCTGTGGCTGCTATTTTAGGTCACGTGTGGTGATGACTAAGAAGGGGGACAAACAGAGCAAACATGCCCGCGGCGGAGGTGGGATGGTTCCCCTATGACTCCGAATGCTTGGCGGAGTTTTTGTGCCTTTCCTGGAAAAAGAAAGAAGAATCACAGGCTGTGTTGGGAACGGTGTTGTCGGCTGTTCTGTTTTTTTTTTTTTTATTTTTCCCCGTCGGTATTTCGAATCGCGCATTCATCTTGGGTGAAATTTGTCCTAGGACGCGAAAAGCTTCTTATTTGAAGGGAGGGGTGGAAAAAAAAAACTAAGTCACCATAATGTGAGTGCCAAACTGTGCGCGAGGATCGTCCCAGTTTGATAAGTCTAATTTTCTCTTCGTTTAGCAATGGGTCCGAAGCAAAAAGGCGGAGGTGGGAAGCAGAGGGGAAATGCAGCGGAGGAGGTAGAGGAGACTCTGCAGGCAGTTGTATGTCTTTGCATCCACACTCAAGGAAGCATCTCGCGATGCGGGGTTGGATTTGGAGAGGTGGAATACGAATGCTAATCTTTCCTGCCCTTTACTAGGTCCTTGCAGACACCTTCGAGACGAGATTCGAGCCCTTTACCCTCGACAGACCTAGGGTATGTATCCATACAGGGACTTGAGGAGCCTTGATGTTGACTTCCAATAATAGTGTCTATTGCCCCTTGCGAACACCCCGTTGATCGAATATACCCTGGAATTCCTCGCCAATGCAGGTGTCGAAGAGGTGTTTTTGTATGGAGGGGCTCATTCAGACAAACTGGAGAAATACATCAAGTACGTCGTCTTTTGATATGCGGAAATTTCGTGCAGGCCATTATTGGGACTGGCGAGCTGACTTTGGAATAATAAGTGCGTCGAAATGGAGAGCGCCGTCATCGCCCTTTAAACAACTGAATTTCCTTAAGTCTACGTCTACCTCTGTGGGAGATGTTATGCGGGACCTCGATGGAAAGCATCTCATCACTGGCGACTTCATTGTTGTCAGCGGTGATGTTATTAGTAACCTGCCTATTGAAGGCGCATTGGCCAGACACCGTGCTCGCCGCGAGTCCGACAAGAATGCGATCATGACCATGATCCTGAGAGAAGCCGGCCGGAACCACCGCACAAAGTCGTCGTCCGTCTCGCCCGTGTTCGTCGTCGACCCAACCAAGGACCGTTGTTTGCATTACGAAGAAATCGATCATCACAGCACAGAGCACTCGCCACGCTTGAACATTGACACCGAGATCATGCTATCCCACTCCGAACTTGATATTCGACAAGACTTGATCGACTGCAACATTGATATCTGTACCCCCGATGTGCTGAGTTTGTGGTCCGACAGCTTCGACTACCAGACTCCCCGGAAGCAGTTCTTGTATGGTGTGCTTAAGGATTATGAGCTGAATGGAAAGACAATCCACACCCACGTCATCAAGGAAAACTATGCTGCAAGAGTACGAAACCTGAAGGCATACGATGCTATTAGCAAGGATATTCTCGCGAGATGGACATACCCCTTATGCCCAGACACCAACTTGCTTCCCGGCCACACTTATGACCTCCGGAAGGGTAACCTGTACCAAGAACAAGGCGTGACTCTGGCTCGATCCTGTGTCGTTGGCCGTCGGACAGTCATCGGTCAAGGTACAAGCATCGGTGATAAGAGCACAGTGAAAAACACAGTCCTTGGACGGAACTGCAAGATCGGCAAGAACGTCACCCTGGATGGTGCTTATATCTGGGATGGGGTTGTTATTGGTGATGGAACGAACGTCCAACAAGCTATTATCGCCCACAAGGCTGTTGTTGGAAAGAACTGCACGGTCAAATCTGGAGCTCTTCTCTCATACGATGTGAAGATCGCCGACGGAGTGACCGTTGGTGAAGGAAGACGCGTAACCAAAGCCCCGAAGGAAGATGGAACTGAGGTCGCAGATGACCCTGGAGTGGTTGGTGAAGGAGGCGAGGGCTACGAGTACATCCGCGACGAAGATGAGGATGATGAAGATGATAATGCAAGCAATGCCTCGTCGGGATTGGGTATGTCTCCACCATTTGATGGTTTACATGCAAATTTGGCTAATGTCTTCTCTATAGTTTACAATATGGGCCAGCTTTCTCTTTCTACAGATTCCATCTCTACCCTATCCTCCGAGGTATCAGATTTCGGCGGATCTCGAGCAAGCTATGACTCCGACTCTGATGAGGAGGGCGGAAACGAGAACTTCGTCCAAGATGCTGCTGCCAGCGTCTACGACAGTTTGCGGGACGGCGTTACTTCGGATGTTGTACAACTGGAGCTGGTCAGTTTGCGAATGACGGCCAATGCCTCAGACCATGAAGTGCGGCGAGCCGTTGTGTCGGCCTTTATGAAGTGGGCCCAGCAACTGATAGACGGCGGCAAGGGAGCTGGTGAGGCAGTCCGGGAAATCTTTGGCAAGTACCGTGAGATTGTCGACCGGTCTATCTTCGATCGGGACAGCGCTGCGAAGCCAGACCAAGTCGACCTGTTGGTTCTTCTTCAGCAGGATCTCGCCCAGCGCAACAAGGGTGACATGGTTCTCCTGTTCACCGCAAAGGAGCTGTATGATCTGGAGATCGTGGACGAGGAAGCATACGAGCAGTGGTGGGACGATGAGCGATCCAGCAACAGCGAAGAGATGAAGAAGGTGCGGGCTCAAACCCAGCAGTTTGTGGATTGGCTTGCAAATGCCGAGGAAGAGGAAAGCAGCGAGGAAGAAGATGACGATGACGACGATGACGAAGAAGAAGAAGAAGAAAGCGAGGAGGAATGAATTAAATAGAATAGAAAAATGCGTTATGTTTGAATGAAAGATCAAAAAAGTTATTACCAAAATCTCCCTGGCAGATGGATGCCTTCAAGGCTGCGATTGATGATGTAGGGATCGACAGTACAGATAAAAATAATATGGGGTTGGATGTGATTCATAGCAATAGCAGGTGATAGTTGCCTGGAAAGAAACAGTATTTTACCAGCCTTTGTAATAATGAGAGGTCAGGTCATCTGCGTCTGTCACACCCTTGACTCTTGATTTCTTCATCCTCGAACCTTTCAACGTCTTCATCTTTTCTTCTTCCATCTTGGGCTTGAAGTCTTTTGGTTTGACTGGCTGACATCATCTCTCTTCTACTGGCCCTGTGCCTCTTGGGTAGTAACTAGGGCGTGTTGTTCTCCAGCCCAGCCAACGAATCAATCGAGCCTGAAGCCACGGTCGCTCCTAGACCTGAGGCTCTGTTCGATCAAAAGACCTCACCACGGAAGAACGACCAAGGGCTGGATAAGCAATCCGTATACTTGAACTGGGTGGCCACTGCTGTTCTCTCTTTTTCCCTTTTTTCCCCACATCGGCCTACCCGCGCCATCCAGCGGAGTTCTGGCGAGGCGAAAAAGAAAGTCCCTCTTACCCCCTTTACTCGTGCAAGTTGGTCCAAGCAGAGAGAGTCGTCCATCCTTCGCTGTGCGTATATTCTCCTTTCTTTCTTTCTTTGTTATAAACTCCTTTTTTGTTGACAATTCAGGTTACCGTGCAGACCTACGCCCATTCAAGGTGTACGATCACTACCCCCACCGCCGTGCCGCCCTGGCCGCTCTTTGAAAGTTCCCACGCCACCCCTCTCCAAACCCAGAACCTCTCGATAAGCTACGTGACGATCGGCTGAGCTACATACGTAGTAGGGGGTGTTTCCCACTGCTTCTCTTTTTCTTTCCCCGCTGTGGCTCCTCCAAACGTGAGGTTGGAACAAAAAAGACCATCCTTTGGTAGGCTGTGACGTTGTGTTGCCCGGGAAAAAAGAAAGGTCTCGACGTTCGATCTCGAGACCTTGCTTTTTTTCGAGTCAGCACTTCCCCGGCTTGCCATACAGTCACATCTGTTCACCACGCCTCCTCTAACGAGGAAGAGAAAGGCGGCCGAGGCGGCGATTTCAGACAACGAGAGTGTAACGAGTACAGAAGCCGCCCCCACCAAGGCTTCCGTCGACGGTTCGCGAAGGAAGGACAACGCCACCAACAGGAAGAACACCGCCTCGAGCAAGCCTGCCCATAAGAAAGATAAGCCGACATCTGAGAGTTATTCTGTTTCGGTTAAGGAGTCCGATCTTGCGACGCCAGCGACTACCAGCATGTCTTCGGATGATGATCTCATGAGCGATGCCTCGAGTGCCGACTTTTTGGATACTCAAGAAAGCGAGGATGATAGCTTAGACGGTATGTGCTTGTTTGATGACTTCTCGATAGCGATAGGCCGGTCACTGACTTTTCTACTGGATAGATTTCGGCGATGATCTCGGCGACGGGTTTTCCCAGGATAAAGACCTCATCGGAAACACAAGGAAGCCCTACGAGGTGGAATTTCAAGTACTGAGCCCGGAGGATATTGAACGGGAGCAGAACGCACAGGTGGTGGAGGTCGCCGCGATTCTGGGCCTGCCGCCGGAATCATGCGCCATCCTTTTGCGATACGGGCGGTGGAACCGGGAAAAGTTGATAGAGTCCTACATGGATCACCCAGAGAAAACACTGGAGGCAGCAGGTCTTGGGACGAATTTCGAAGGCACGGCAAAGACTGAGGTGATACCAGGGTTTATGTGTGACATCTGCTGTGAGGATGGTGATGATCTTCAGACGTATGCTATGCGGTGTGGACACAGATTTTGCGTAGACTGCTATCGGCATTATCTTTCACAGAAGATTCGGGAGGAAGGTGAAGCAGCACGGATTCAATGCCCAGGGGAAAAGTGTCATCTTATCGTGGATTCCAAGTCTCTGGGCTTGCTTGTCACAGATGCCCTCAAAGATCGGTAAGTTTCCTAGCTACAGCGATTCTACTTTTCCTAGGCATTAGCTAACCTTTGTGAGCAGATACCAAGTACTCCTGACAAGGACATATGTCGATGACAAGGATAATCTGAAATGGTGCCCGGCCCCCAATTGCGAGTACGCGATCGATTGCCCTGTCAAGAAACGCGATATTGATCGCATAGTGCCCACGGTGCAGTGTGCATGCAAACACTACTTCTGTTTTGGCTGTACTCTGAACGACCACCAGCCGGCACCGTGTACGCTGGTCAAGATGTGGCTGAAGAAATGTGAAGATGACTCAGAGACCGCGAACTGGATTTCGGCTCACACAAAGGAATGCCCAAAGTGTCAGTCGACAATTGAGAAGAACGGAGGATGCAACCATATGACATGTCGCAAATGCAAGCATGAATTTTGTTGGATGTGCATGGGTCTCTGGTCTGAGCATGGCACCAGCTGGTATAACTGCAATCGATACGAAGAGAAATCGGGCTCCGAAGCCCGCACCTCTCAAGCTAAATCCCGGCAGTCGTTGGAGCGGTACCTGCATTATTACAACCGATACGCCAATCACGAACAATCGGCGAAGCTAGACAAAGACCTGTACCTGAAGACCGAAAAGAAGATGACGAGTCTCCAGTCCCAGTCTGGCCTGTCATGGATCGAGGTACAATTCTTGGATACGGCGTCACAGGCTCTCCAGCAATGTCGACAAACCCTGAAGTGGACGTATGCGTTTGCATATTACCTTGCCCGGAACAACCTGACGATGATCTTCGAGGATAACCAAAAGGACCTGGAGATGGCAGTGGAGAACCTGAGTGAAATGTTCGAGAAGCCTGTACCGGAACTTGCCAAACACAAGGTCGACATCCTCGACAAGACAGCTTACTGTAACAAGCGTCGGGTGATTCTACTGAGCGATACTGCAGAAAATTTGAAACAAGGTAAGGTTTCCATGAGTAAGGGTGTTTTTGATTGGAACTAATGAATGGGATTTCAGGGGAATGGTCTTTCAACGTGGAATGGTAAACTCGACAGTACATTCAACGTGGCCTCGACAGCATTAGGGGGCCGAACGCCTTTCGAACAGTCAACATAAGCGAACCTAAGAACCTTGACGACGTGAATGACCATTGCACGATCTGCCTGATGCATTTTGTAATCCACTAAGAGACACCAGCTCAGGGGCTGGATAGTGGATTTATTGTATTTTCTACAGGCGTTGTTGTTTTTATCCTTTTCCACTGCCTGTCATTTTAAAGTGATGTGATGCTGGCATTTTGTTCTGTTATAGTCCGTGGCGCAGGTTGGTTTTTACAGCTCTTACATATGAGATATCATTAACTTGTACCTGAAGTCTTCTTGAGTAGAGAAACGAGAGACTTCTCGTATTTGGTTGCCGACTCCATCTACCAGGGGACGAAGCGATCCAGAGTCTGGCGGCTTGGACGTGTCCACTTTTACTTAAGATTAATAACAAATTATGAGGATCAGATAAGAAGTCGGGCGGTTAGTCTCGTTTCGGCTAAGCTGAAGCCGTGAAGCTAAAGAGATCAATGCAGGATATTCCGTATGCTTTCAATACAGATAAGATGATAAGATGGGATAGGCCGATCAGATATGGGTATGGCATTCTAATTTGGATTTCCAGCAGAGCAGAATTTCCAAGAAGACCATTTTGGATCTTTTTTTTCTCCAGATATCTTGTACGCTAACTGGCTTTTGTTGAGGCGATCCGGAGTTACGCCCATGTATTGTTGTTGGAGCGTTGATTCCTCCGCAATTCGGCGGATCCATCATCTCTGCAGAACGGCCACTTGGATAGATGGCTATCTAGAGGATGGAGTGACAAGAGTTTCTTGTCTTTCCATTGAGTCAACTGATATGACGATTGATATTTATTTGTCGACCGAATATCTGCCACTGCAGAAGTGATTGTCGCTCTTGCAGAATCGTATTATATACCGTATTATATACAAACTCCGTCATCGGACGGGAGCCTCGGCCTTGGGCTTGCATAAGCACTGAAGCAGGAAAAAGCCGAGTTGGAAGAAGCGATTAAAAAAAAGAAAGAAGAAAAAAAGTCCGCGGAAAAGACAGAGGAAATTAGATAAAATATACAAGTCATATTGCTGATCTGAACCGAAAATCTCCATCGAGTTGGCAGAAACAAGCAGCGGCAGAAAGTGTGGTAACAATTTTTGTGGCTGTCTCGTGTCCATCAGAGTCCGCGGCAGAGAGCAAACACTAGTCGCCTAGGACTAGTGAACGACTACAACTTCAAAAAAAGAATTCCCCAACCTGGGCCATCACCACAAATTATTCTTCCTCTTCTTCTCTCCTCCTCCTCTCCGCAATTGGATATCCTCCCTTCATCTTCCTACGAGAGCCATCTCCTCCTCTCTTCTTCTCTCCCTTCTCCTCTCTCCTCTCTTTCTTCTCTTCCTCACCCTTCTCCCCCTCCCGCTCTCTCGGACAGCTGGTCTTCATATTCGGCTTCCTCTCCGCCCTCCGATTTTTTATACCCCCCGTCCTATAAAACCGATACCCTTTTATTTTTTATACGGCTCCAGCTCCGGCTAGAGCTCCCACAGCTCCATGGCGGTTCAAGAACAAGTAGAAGTCGCGGATGAGTTCGAGTATGTTGTTCTAGGCTTCGGCTTTCTTCTATACACACTTTTATGAGCTTCGACGGTATCTCCTCCAAATTCTTTACCTGCTGCGGAAAAAGAGGAAAGTGAGGAAGGATGAAAGCCGGTCGATTGTCTTGGTTTCTATAAATTGTTCTTTTGTCAGGGCAAAATAGCTTGCGACACGAAGCTAACATGTCATTTTTTCGTTCTTACAGCTATGAGGCCCTTCCCTCTAACTATGGCCTCGGCCGGAATATGTTGGCTGGTGCTTTTGCAGGGATAGCGGTATGATTGTGGACTGGAATCAATTGAGGTTGGAGGACTATTGTGCTGACTGGTGGGAAGGAACACGCTGTTATGTATCCGGTCGATTTGCTTAAGGTATGTTGTTTCTCCGGTGCAGTTTTTTTTTACGGGAAAATATCGGACGCGGTCTAACTGAATCTCCTTGGATAGACTCGCATGCAAGTTTTACATCCCTCGACTGGAGGACTCTACACAGGCTTGACCAACGCGGTCTCCACCATCTACCGGATCGAAGGCTGGAGGACACTATGGAAGGGTGTTTCGAGTGTGATTGTCGGTGCGGGTAAGATGACAATGGAATATCGCGGATAATCTGGGATGAGGAGACTGATGGATGCGACAGGTCCCGCTCACGCCGTGTACTTTGGCACATATGAGGTTGTCAAGGAATTCGCAGGTGGTAACGTCGATGATGGACACCACCCTCTTGCTGCTGGTGAGTCGCTGTCTTGCAATGAGTTTGGACATGAGAGACGGGGGATAACATGCTGACTGGACTCTAGCCACCAGTGGAGCGGCCGCGACCATTGCTAGCGACGCATTAATGAACCCATTCGATGGTGAGTATACTCCGCAAAGCACAGGATCGACCATGCAGACTTGCTAACAGTATGGAAATAGTTATCAAGCAACGTATGCAGGTTCACGGCTCCATCCACAAGAACATTCTCCAGTGCGCCAAATCCGTCTACGGCGCTGAGGGCTTCCGGGCTTTCTACGTCTCATATCCCACAACGCTTTGCATGACTGTTCCGTTTACCGCTACCCAGTTCGTCGCGTACGAGTCGATCTCGAAGGTGATGAACCCCTCGCATGACTACGATCCTTTCACCCACTGCATTGCTGGTGGTCTTGCCGGTGCTTTCGCAGCTGGTCTCACCACGCCTCTTGATGTTGTCAAGACCCTTCTCCAGACCCGAGGACTGGCACAGAACGAGGAGATCCGTTCCGCCAAGGGTCTATTCAACGCAGCGGCCATCATCAAGCGCCAGTTCGGCTGGAGTGGTTTCCTCCGTGGCGCTCGCCCTCGTATCATTTCCACAATGCCCAGCACTGCGATCTGCTGGTGAGTTTTCTGATTTGCTGCTCTGAGTTCGATCTCAATGCTAACACCTATTCTCAGGACATCCTACGAGATGGCCAAGGCGTACTTCAAGGGCCAGGTGGACAGCTAAAATGGTCCATTTATCGCCATACATGACTCGCTGCATATTCAAAGCCACTTACCTTCGGCCTCAAATGAAGCTTTCTCACCAGCGATAAAAAAACGAAAAATAAAATTCAAGATACAGCAAAAAACAAAAACAAAAACAACAAAATTCGAATGGCAACATTCCCTTGCACTTGCGTAACGGATTAATAGGAAAAGGAAGGGCAAGGCGAACCCAAAAAGAGGGGGGGGCGACTTTGCGGCTGTATATTCACCAGCTTTGTGACAGCGCGCTGTCTTCCTTCTTGACCTTCTTCTCTCCCGATCCATCTCTCTTCTCTATCTGTCTGTCTCATTCGGTGTGTGCGACAATTCCGAGACACCCGGGAGAAGCCCGAATGAGTGCCACTCGGGGGAGAGGGGCCTCGGCTCCTCTTCCTCGGTACCTATATTTCTTCAGTTCTGGCAAATGTGTATATTTCTTTGGAAGGGTGCTACAATGTTTTAGAATTTCCTGACAGAAGAGATGGAAGGGATCATGACCGACCGTGAGCTTTTCTGACTCTTTTTCTTTTTTTCATTTTGGATCGGGGCTCGATGTATTCCTATATCGTACCGGCGTTGGATCGCAAGGAGACTTCTTCGGAGGCTGATGTTTTATTTCCGTTTTCTATTTCTTCACTTGTTTTCTTGTGCTCCATTTTTTTTATTATTTCCTTATCTTGGGAGGGCTGGTAGCTCTCTGATGTCTTTTTTCTTTTCTCTCCCCGCGAACATGTATTCATAGATGCAACGAATTGGTGCCAGCCAACACGATCAGGCTGGAACGGGACGGTTGACGCAGGAAAATCACTGACGATGATATTCGAGTCTCAATTTGTCGAAATAATACCAGAAATTTAGACGATTTTATATAATCCCTACTCTGAAAATATGTTGCATCTCCAATGTCGCCCTGGTGGTTCATCCCAAGACACTGATCCGTAGTTGACAGAAGAGCGGCGGCCAACGACGTCACGCGAGGACAAAAATCAGAGCCCCTCTCGTTCCCTCGACTCTTTTCCTCTCCGACAGTCAACTGCTGGTCAGCTTCGACAACTTCATCCCCCGCATCTCAATCACCATTGCTCTTCTCTTTGCTCCTTTCAATTCCCCTTGTCGAATCGCATGGCTGGTGCGGGCGGGCCTGCACCTCCCTCTGAATGATGCGCTCAAATGCAGCGTCTTCGATGCAGAAGACGTACGACGAGTGCTATCTTATGTGTTCCACGGCCGTGTACTTTGAAGGCCAGGTCAGTAGTCAATTCCCATCAGATTCAGTTTAATTGGCTTTTTTCGTTGTTGTTGAGCTCTTCGCAAGGGAAAAAAAGACCGCCACTGAATCATAGACTAACGGGCGGTGTATAGAACAACGAAGAAGAAGCATTAAGATCCTGGCGCTCTGCCCTTGAGGCGATATATTATCACAATGCCCACCGAATACCCTCGAAATACGTCCCGAAATCAGAAACCGAGAAAGCTCTCCAAGAGTCGCTTCGTCAGTTGGAGATCCAATGCCGAGAGCGGGTCGATCTCCTCGGAGCTCTCCGCGAAAGCAGAAAAGAAGCAAAGGAGAAGAATAATCGAACTTCCCCAGATGGTGGCAAGCCAGGAGTACTATCTAAAGGGAAAGCAGTTTCCAGGTCCCCCGGTACTCCAAGTACCCCGGGCTGGATTGGAGAGGGCACGATTCCCGCGGTCGGCTACACAGATCTATCCAAACCGCCAACATTCCCGGGACGGCCACCACCTGTGAGCAAACCCAGCACGGATTCCCTTTCGAACGAGGATGGGAATGGAATTGGATTTGGGGCTGCACCTGCGACAAGCTCGCCAGCCTTCCGAGTCCAGTCCAATTCCTCAGGTAAAACCAAGTCCCGCAATTCGAGTCCTGAAAGACGGAAACCGATGCCCACCACTCTACGCAGTTCGGATCCCAAAAAGCAGGCCAAGAAAAAGAAGAAGGATAGCCCAAATTCAAAGCGCAAGGAAATGCGCCCGGCTGCATCTCAAGCGGCCGGTTTGGCTTGGGGAAGTATTTATCGGTCTCCTTCATATTCGGAAAAGACACCGAGCGATGCGGCGCTGGTATCGTCCCGAATCACTGCTTCGAGTGACCCGGGATTCCGTAAAGAGCAACCTGCTTCCGGGGATGAGTTGCTGATGAGGAGAAAGGGTCGAGGAGAGGCTGCGGATGATCGTGTACCGAGAAATTTGCGAAAACCGCGTGGCTCTGATGCTGCACGACATCTTCCTACGAAAGCATCAGCACCAGCGACTACTACTCACTCTCCAGCTGGTCCTCGCCCGCAAGTGGGAAATCGCCACAAGTCTTCCTCTTTCTCTACGTCCCAACCAAAGGATGCTATTCAGCCAACCTCCTCCCCTAAACCGTCCGTCAAACCCAAGCCTGTCGCGTTGAGGTCATCAAACCCATCACGGCCTGTTTCAGGTTCTGTTTCTAATGGAGTTGGATCTCCTATCAAACCACCTCGGTCCGGTTGGCCAGCAGACTCATCGAACAAGCCGCCAAATGAGTCTAAATCCCAATCGAAAGTCACACCTTCTATTGGAAAACCTTCTTATGTTTCCAACTCATCGGGGAGCGGCGATGATGGACTCAATCGCTCTATGGACCGGATGTCCGTCTCACATGGGGGACCCCGACGAAAGCCAGTAGCTAAACCTAGAGTCACGCCCCCTTCGAGTGATCAGGAATCACCGGGTCCTAAATCTACCGATGATGAAACGGACAACGAGGAGGAGGATGAAGATGATGCCATTATGGACATCATGAACAAGCTTCCAAAGGGAGTGGATACCGCTGCGGCACGGCAAATTCTCAACGACATCGTTGTCCGAGGTGACGAAGTCCATTGGGATGATATAGCAGGTCTGGAGGGGGCGAAAAAAGCACTCAAAGAAGCGGTGGTGTACCCATTCCTTCGTCCGGACTTATTCTCAGGTCTCCGGGAACCTGCGCGGGGAATGCTTCTTTTTGGGCCCCCGGGAACCGGAAAGACAATGCTTGCGAGAGCGGTGGCTACGGAATCCAAGTCGACTTTCTTTTCTGTCTCTGCATCTACGCTAACGTCAAAGTGGCACGGTGAGAGTGAGAAGCTTGTTCGTGCACTATTCGGACTAGCCAAAGCACTGGCTCCGTCCATCATTTTTGTCGATGAAATAGACTCTTTACTATCATCACGATCGTCAGGTTCAGAGAATGAGGCATCACGACGATCAAAGACAGAATTCCTGATTCAGTGGTCTGATCTTCAACGAGCAGCAGCTGGCCGCGAGCAGCCCAGCAAAGAGAAAAAGATGGGAGACGCAAGTAGAGTCCTTGTATTGGCAGCTACTAACATGCCCTGGGATATTGACGAAGCAGCGCGACGACGATTCGTCCGCAGACAATACATCCCCCTTCCCGAACACCATGTTCGAGAGCAACAGCTACGAAAATTACTCAGTCACCAGGTCCACGAGCTGAGTGATGCAGACATTGAAGCATTAGTCGAAGTAACAGAGGGTATGTCTGAAACAAGAAATCCATCTTTACACCCTGAACACTAATACCAATATTAAAAACAGGCTTCTCCGGCTCCGACATTACCGCTCTAGCCAAAGATGCCGCCATGGGCCCCCTCCGCAACCTAGGCGAAGCCCTCCTCCACACCCCTATGGATCAAATCCGACCCATCGAATTCAAAGACTTCAACGCCAGTCTCTCCTCCATCCGACCCAGTGTAAGTCAGGAAGGATTACGCGAGTACGAGCAGTGGGCGAAGAATTTCGGGGAACGCGGTGGATGATGAAATACTTGCATATGCGCAAAACGAAGTTTACGTTGGCTCCGAGTCGAATTATGTGGCGAACTTGGGTTTGATATGGAGATATGGATGTCTTTTCTTGGGGGGTTGTTTTTCTTTCTTGAGCTTCGCTGGGGGGTGTTTCTGGGTTGGGTTTGGATTGGGCTTGGATGGGGGTACGTTTATACTACTATATCGGGATGATTGAACTCTTATCTGTCTGCCTATGATTCCATTGCCTGGCCTGTTTTGTTTTGCATTGTGGATGGGGAAATTTTAGGATGGTATTTCTGGGATGAATTGAGTATGAAACTATGAGTAACTACCCTTCTGCGTTCTTAGTATCTAGTATTGAAATACTTTGTGGATGATATTATTTATTCACAAATGAATTGAATGGATTGATTATTTCACTTTATTACACCCTTCTATTAAAACATTTAATTTTAATTGTACTGTAGTTACTTGGAAAGAAAATGTCTATAACTGATTATCTCATTGCATTTCAGAAAACAAAAGGATATAAGTTGGTAGTACGTATGATATAAGAGACAAAGTACAGCAAAAGAAGAACCTGTAAGAGGGGGAATGCAACCAAGCAAGACAAGGAAAAAAAGGAAATATAACAAATGGAAAAAGAAAAGAGAAAATAATGACACGAGAAAAGAAAAGTAAAAAGGAGGTTTAAGTTGGAGGAAGATGTTTGAAAATACCAGATTCCCTTTTGCTTCACGATGCACTAGAGCAAGCAAATGAACAAGACAAAGAAAAACAACCCAGCCGACTTAAAAGAGACTAATGAGAAGAAATAAAGCAAAGACAAAGACATTGGTATCCGAATCCGATCCCACAAAACAATCAAATCAGTGGCTTTTGAAAAAAGAAAACAGAATGAATGATATCGGTTTTCCCCATCCAGCAGCCATCCATATATGCATCAGACCTTACAGATCAATCAGGCTACCACCATGCTGCTGTGGCTGCTGTTGGTATGCCTGCTGACCACCCCATGGGTTGCTGGCGGGCTGAGCGAACCCTGTCTGCTGCGGAACAAACTGCTGTTGGCCATAGAAGGGATTGTTGCCTGTGTGTGTGGCTCTTAACCGGTCTAGACCCTGACCAGCAGAGTTGACAAAGGTGCCCGGTGCGGTATGTTGTGCGGGAATACGCAGGTCACCGACGTTACCAAACGTATCCTGTCCCTCTCCGGTGGCAAGAAGAGCGTTGAGACGGTTGTGATGGGGGTTGTTCATCTGGGGAGGTGTGCTCTTCGGCGGTGCAGGTGCCGATGGAGACGCTGTTTGTGGGGCCTGGTAGTTGGCAATCGGGTTATAAGAGGGGAATTGGTTTGTAGCACGCTCTTCCGCAAGCGTGTTGAGAGATGGGGGGCCAGTGGTTGGCTGTGGTGCGGGCTGGAATTGGGTGCGAGCGGCAAACGGGTTGTTTGATCCAGTGGGCATGGGTTTCAGAGCATCGGGCTGCTGGCCGTTTGAAGCCCAAGGGTTGTTACTGCCGGCCGAGGGGTAGCTCTCCTGCTGCTGCTGCATCTGCGGGAACTGTTGCTGTTGCTGCTGCGGTTGCTGGGAGAAAACATCCAATCCATATGGATTGTTCGTGCTAAAACCAGTAGGCTGGGGCTGAAGGGCGGATTGTGGTTGCAAGAAGTTGTTCTGGGGCTGGCCGTAGGGGTTTTGGTCAAAGGCACTTGGCTGTTGTCCGAAACCATTGTATCCATTGGACATGCCAGTAGGCTGGCCTTGGAAGCCGGTGGGTTGCGCGTATTGGTTGTTCAAATAGCCGGTTGACAAGGGCTGCTGGGGATTGATCGGGTTTCCAAACCAGTCAACGGCGTTCTGCTGCTGGTATCCCTGGTTGTAACCGGTGGCTTGTGCTGGAGCGGGCTGCACAGGGGTATCATCGAAAAGCGACTTCGCGTTGCTCTCTTCCAACTCGCGCTTGCGCAGCTCCTCCTCTTCCTTGCTCAGCTTAATCGCCTTGGCCAAATCTTCGTCGTCTTCTGCCCCCATAGCCTCCTTGGCTCGTCGCTTTCGCTCTTCCTCCGCTTCATACTTGCTCGCTTCAATGGCCAATCGGTATTCGGTATCGTCTTCCTCAGGGTTCCGTCGACGTCGCTCTGCTCGACGCTGTGGTGGAGGTTCGTTTCCGTAGCTCTGATATTCATCGAGCCCGCTCACGCGGGATTTCCAAAGCTTCCGATCGGATCGCTCACTTCGCAATCGATCCTCATCCATGATAAGGGAGGTAAGCTCCTTCGCGGCAACACGAACTGCGCGATTATCAGTATGGCTATTCCCAGCGCAGGTGTCAATGCCACTGACCATTTTGACCCACATCTCTCGAATCCTCATCGACATATTGGAACTCCCGCAAGGTCTTGATAATGTAGACATTCTTCCTCGCCCATGTGACTACCAACTCGGAACCTTCGTGGAGACAATAATCTAAGACCTTCAACGACTTGAGCACATGGCGCCAGTTCTTGCCCTTATCATTCAGTCGCTTATCCAGCATGTCCATAATCTCGTAGAAATCGGTCGGACTGCAGCGAAGACGCGAATTAGATTCGTTTGAAATATATCCGAGGACAAACCGGGGAGAGCCTACCTGCTGAACGTCATAGAAGCGATCTCGGCCATGTCGGTACCCGTCGGGCCCCAGGGGTCATTACTTGTAGCTGTATAAGATCGCAATTAGCATTCTGAAGGAAACTCTCAAAATGTAACCAAACAAACAAAGAAGTTAAGATCCAAGTATCGCAAAAGGTGGCATGATACCCCTCCGCCCAGAAGACAGTGGTGGCAACCATACTATCCCCTCGAAAACAAAGGACCTTCAAAAAGATAAGAATTGGAGATCCTCAGAAACGTACCATTTCGAACCTTGACCTGCACCGACGAATACCCCTTTGTAACGTTCTTCACACTTCGCACGACTTTAGACATATTGGGCAGTAGTGTAGTAGTTGTATTTGTAGTAGTAAGAGTGGGCTCTTTTTTCTTTTTTTTAAAAAAAAAAAATCGCAATTAAATAAAGCAAATTCCCCCGCGTGGGAATTATGTCAGGTATTTTTTTTTAAATTGCGCAAATGAATCAAAAGACAGTGTGAGAAGGAAAGGTAGCCGGCCTTTTCTCCTTATCGCGCTTTTTAGGCTGCGTTCGGGGGGGAAATCAATCACTTCAATGCGGTGGTTGCCTCAGAAAGAAAACGGGGTGGTCGGAAAGGGAGGCAAAATCAATGACGGTTTGGGAGGGAAGGGAGAGAGGACCGTCAAGGAAGAAGAGAGGTCGGAAAGGAAGATGGACCGATTTAGAAAAAGGGATGAAGATGGTGGAGGCGAAGATGAGAGAGAGAGAGGAAGAAAGAGGAAGAGGAAGAGAGGGGGAGTTAGAGTTGGAGGAGAAAAGAGAGAGAGAGAAAGTGACGAACTCGGGCTGTTCTGGCGTATGACGACGATCCTGCAAAGCACAGTCCCACCGCGGCTTTTCAGGGTCTTAGCAGAAGATGAAGAAGACGAAGGAGAGAAGATGAGGATATTATCGCCAGATTGACAGATGGCCAGAAGACGAAATCACCGGGGAATTGGTGTTGTTTCTTTGTACACCTGCCGCGTATCCGGCCGTTGACTTCAGGTATGTATGTCGAGAGATGATACCATTCAATGGTAGCAGGAATAGTTACAATTGAACTGACGGACAGATACAGCAATGACTTTCATCGATTTAGACGGCCAGAAAAGGAGAATACTAGATCGAAATGTCTCCCGATTCAGAAACTAGACAGACGCCCATGTGGAGGAGAGCCAGAAATAGAAGACGTGCCTTTTTGCCTACACAGAAATACCGCAGCACCACGGCCCAACCATTCTTGCATTCTTCTCGATGATGCTACATTAACTCTTGATCCCGAATCTGAATAACTTAAAAGGACATCTGGCTCATTATTGATGCCATGCCATCATTATCTTCTGTCAACGTTACTCCGTATCGGCCGTTCTCCATAGTGGCTGTGATCGAGTCCACTTCTCCATTCCATCCACCCTTGAGACATCCCCAAGATGGTTAAAGAATAATCTCTTCCCAGCTGAGAACACTAGCTAAATCAGGCATCCAGAAAAATCCTCCCGTTCAACCTTTTTTTGAACCAACCATCCCCTCAACCCGACCTGAATTGACTCGATCCTCCAGCTGTCGTGGCGCCTGTGGCAAAGCGGCCGCGTACGACTCTTACTTGGCGTCGAATCACAATAGGCGCTTCTGTTTCCTTCTGCCTTCTTTGCTCTAGACTCGATGATATGTTTCTTCTTCAGAAGGCGGCGTTCCCCACGGTTTATATAGATCATATCGATGTGATTGATTAAATGTGCTTCCCCGACCTTGACAGTTGCCAAGTTCTCACGGACGACCACGAGGCCCACTACGTCATCGCAGGGTCCAGTGTAGACGATCATCACCACTACTGCACATTGCTATATCATCATTTTAAAACCATTGTATTCAAAAAATGCCATAGCTTCATGACCGTTGTTTCAAACAGTCTAGATAGTCCCATGCAACTTTTTCCATCATTGGTCCGTCTATATTTCATTGCCATCATTCATCCACGTAAAATCCATATCATTTTAATAAGAAAAAAAAATCAATCAGTTACCCTCCTTCTCCAAACTCAGGTACTTCGCCTCCGCTCCCTTGATGCACTGGACGTTGGCCCCCAGCTTGTTCAGCGTCTCCACGTATTCGTCGTACGGGTCCGAGTCGAACACAATACCTCCTCCGGCTTGCAAGTAGGCTACTCCGTCCTTGACCATCATGGTTCGGAGGGCAATGCATGTGTCCATCGCTCCTGGCAGTTCTGTCGCACCGTCCGCGCTGGCAATGTTGAACCCAAAGTATCCAACTGCACCGGCGTACACTCCGCGCTTCTCACCCTCAAGCTCAGCAATCAGCGACATCGCGCGCACCTTGGGTGCTCCGGACACAGTGCCAGCCGGGAAAATCGACCGGAACGCATCGAACCGAGTCTTCTCGGGGCGAAGAATACCAGACACCTGAGACACCAGATGCTGGACGTGCGAGAACTTCTCTACGACCATCAATCGGTCGACTTGAGTGGTGATGGGGTCACACACCCGGTTGACGTCGTTACGTGCCAGGTCAACCAACATGACATGCTCCGCTCGGTCCTTCAGACTACTCCGCAGCTCGTTCGCCAGCGCCTCATCCTCCTCGGGCGACTTACCGCGCTTGACGGTTCCCGCAATGGGGTGGGTGATGATACGACCCTTCTCCTCCTTGGCCAACAGCTCTGGACTGGCACCGACCAACTGGAAGTCCTCACAGTCGATATAGAAGAGGTACGGGGACGGGTTAACGGTACGCAGGTGACGGAAGAGGTTGAAAGGGTGTAGAGAGGTAGGACGCGACAGACGCTGCGATGGCACAGTCTGGAAAATGTCACCCTTGGAGATATGCTCCTTGAGTCGTGTCACGTGGCGCTCGTAACCTTCCCGGCCAATGTTGGATGTGTATTCCTGGTTCGGCACAATCGGGCCCTGGGGAGGCAAGGGGACGCCGGGCCGAAGAAGTTTGTCGATAGCGCTCTGGATAGTTTCCTGACCCTTACGGTATTCGGCTTCCAATTCAGAATCGGTGCTCGGGATGGGGATGTATGTGATAACCTTGACCACCTGGTAGAAATGGTCAAACGCGATGATAGTATTGAACAGCATGAACAACGCTTCAGGGATTTGAAGCACATCCTTCATCGGCCGTGCCGTCTTGGGCTCAAAGTATCGAACACAGTCGTACCCCACGTACCCGATAGCCCCGCCAGTGAGGGGTGGCAGCGTCAACCCAGGAACAGTCGCAACACGGAACTGGGCAAGTTCCTTCTCCAGGATAGGAAGAGGGTCGCATTCAGGGCCATGGCCGGGGCCAGTTTTGAGGATTTTGTGGGGATCTTAAAAACCGACATGAAATTAGTTCACCATTGCTCTCCTCCCAAGTACGGAATAGTAGAAGAAGCCCATTGCTTCCAGGATTTAGCGCGCACCTGCTCCCACGAAACTGTATCTCCCAATTGTCTCCGTTGTCGCAGCACTCTCGTAAAGGAACGATAATTTCGATCTACCAGTTCAGCCGCAATCAGCCCCTCTTTCCCATATATCGATTGTCTTGTTGACTAGACTTACTTTTCCGAAATCTTCAGATACGCGACTGTAGGAGTCAAGAGATCTGCCGGGATCGAAGCAGTAAGCGGAAGTAGATTCGGGGCGTATTTCGTGTTTCTCGATCGGGAGACCACATCGCTGGCGGTCTCGAGAGACGGCACAATCGAGGCCTGAGTCATTGGCAGTATTAGCATGTGGTTTCTTCACTGCAGGACCATCCATGTTCATAAAGACAGATAGGAACAATCCACAGAATATTACTTACTGACGACGCCATTGTCACAACTGGGTGTGTTTTGTGAAGTAGGAAAAAAGAAAGCTATTGCGGGGAGTTTGAGAGGAAATGCGGAAGCCCGAGAAATCTGGCGGAGAAAGAAAATCGGAGAGCGGGTACGAAAGAGTATGCAACTAAGAGATCTAAGGGACAAGTACATGTATCCCAAGGACTACGCATCACGCATCACGCATCACACCCTAGACTGATCAGAAGCATGGATGATCATCATTTGTACTACCTGCAGCAACCTGAACAGGAAACACACACAGTCTGTACATATGAAGCACTGCAAATGCCAGCGACGGCGAGCGTCAATGCCGATGATGCCCAGATGTGGCTTAGCGTGTCAGTTGCTGCTATCGATACCGTCTTTTGGCGCGGCCAATTCGCCTTTTTTTTTTTGCTGTTCGTCGTCGTGTTCACTGCCATCGCCACTGCTGGGTTCTGGATTCCTAGACTATCATTTTTATCACTTGCTTTCTGTCACTGTTTGGGCACCAAAGCACAGCACTTGTCTTGCTGTACCCTCTGGTAATTCAGCGTTGATCGCCTGCGTCACTCGATATGCAGTAGCCCGATCCGACTCAGACACCCTCCACGATTTACCAGAAATAAAAGCTATCATAAACGTCGAACGAATTCAATTCTTTTCTGCCCCAGAAAGCGTGCAGCCGGTCTGAACTGCGCTGCTCTGGTCGCCGGTTTTTCTACACCCATCGAAACAGGAAACTACAGTACATACATACATATACGAAGGAAAAAAAGTGCTAGTCTGACATGGAGTCTGCACATCCCACCACCCATTCCGATCGACACTCCCCGAACTTTGCGGATTCTGCCATAGATATGGAGCTGTCGGACAAGGGGTCCATATCCCACATTCCGGACGTGGACATCAGGCCGCTGCCAGACCGTCTCACGAGACTGGCTCACTTGGCAACTCAAGAAAACACCCGCTTTTCAGAAGACGACTCGAATACTCTCCATCGCTGTCTCGATACCATCGAATCCCTACTCGACCCACGTGCCGCGTTAACACAGGAAATATCGAAATGCCGCCCTCAAAGCGTCCACTCGGGAACCGCAACGACTGTAACTTGTCGTCCAGCTGCTGGTGACCGCGCTGAGCCCGCCAACGAAGCCGGCCATCCCTATTTCACAGATATTCTCGAACAAGTAACTGCACTCAATGTCGAACTGACCGAGCGGCGCAATGAATCATTCCGCATCTATGATTTGTTCGGTATCAAGTGCCGGGCGTTGTCCAGCAGGATATCTGAGCTGGAGTCCGAGATCCACGAGCTGTAAGCATCCACTTTATCCAAAGCCCGCTGAAGCCGACAGATAACTAATATCCGTTATTCCCCACAGACAAGCCGATATCCTGGAAAACTCGATCGAACGTGAAGGACTTCGAGGCACGATTCACGGACTTGAGGGTTGGGTTGACGGATGGCAACAAGAGTATGAGTTGGCTAAGTCGATTAAAGCCTCCCAGCGCAATGGAAAGCGGTGGAAGTGCAAATCCCAAGTGCTGGAGGATAACGAGAGCGAGCTACTTCTCGACGGCATAGCTGGGTGGATGCGTGGTTGGAAGGATGTCGATGAAGGTTTTCGTATTCGGGAGCAGGAACGCCAACGGAGAAGAGATGAGAGGCAGAAACAGCGTTTCGATGCAGGCGACCAGGAAATGGTCTCTCAACATCAAGAGAGCATCAATCATGGTGAAGGCACTGTTGCATTGAATCGTTCGACAATGCAAGTCGACTCCCCATTAACGAACACCTGGCAACGCCATTGCCGTTGATTCAACAGACCGGGCGTAGGGATTCGGCGTGAATCCGATGTGACGATCGAGATGATTATGATATTCTGATATTCAGTGAAAGGGTGACCATGTTACCGATTAATGAAATAAACCAATCCACCGCTCCCCGCGTTATTTGCCGAAACCGCCAACCTTAGACCCGTACTCCGTAGAAACCCGCGCCCGTTTGATATCTTCTAAGCCAAGCATTTATCGAAGTAGATTTGAAAAAGTAGACAGGAAATAGTAGGGAATAAGCGGCGTTCTCCCCGTGGTACTGAGAACGGCTTTTTTGTTCGGCGCAACGCAGGGATGTGAAAACTGCCAAAGCCGACTGTTAATTAGATGATGGTGCATTGTAAAAGGCAGGTGCTTTTTTTTTTTTACACAAGTATCGAAGCTTGTGTGCAGAAGCGAGCTTCTGTATCCAGTCGTCTTCATCGGCGACATTTGCACCTTGAAATAGATTATTTTGATGTGAAAGCAAAGTTGGTTAGGTTTATCATTGCGTTACGGGAGATAAACAATGCTCAGCGCTGTAGATTAACGATTGCCATCTATTCCGATAGTCAGTATGCGATCTCAGTTTAGATATGGTAGATGAAACAAACCTGTTTGTCAAAGCCAATAGCGAGCTTTTTACCATCGGTGTCCCATGAGAGGGAACGATATGGCACTGCTTCCGATGTCCCATTCTGTCCATTGACGGCCCGGTCAGGACCTTCTTCGCTTTTCGCCTCTTCGGATCCTGGCATTTTCCAGGTGGCCATGGGCGTACCTCCCCTTTCTGCATTCCAGATGAAAAGCCTATCTTTAGTTGCAGCGGCAAGAGCGTATCCATCGGGAGAGAAGCCCCCGGCAAGGGCAGGCAGGGACGGACCAAGGAACAAACGATGGATGCATTCGAAGCGCTTTGACTCCAAGTCAATGTGCCATATCTTGACCGTATCATCTGTAGAAGCAGAAGCCAGGACTATCTGAGAGCTTTGTTGCTGAGGCTCGGGTGTTGGCGACTGGGCGCGAAGCTCTATGGCTGTGATATCGCCTTGGTGCGCATCCTCCAGGTGCATGTCATGGGTTGGAATCCAGAAGGCAGATGATGCAGAAGCTGCAGCCACCACCACAGAAGAATTCCCGGATTTGGCAGAGCGAATAAACGTCCAAGCGGTATCGGTCCCACCGGAGGAGAATGTTTTGGAGATGTGGATACTCGAGTCGACTTCGCATTGGTAAACCGATCCATCTCCACATGCATAGGCTTGGTTTCTTCCTGACCAAGTGAGATCATAGATTGAACCGTCGATCACCTGCGGAGAAGGGAATTCGTCCGGACGTAATGAGCTATCCCAAAGAGCCAGCTCAGAAATTTTACTATCAGACGCGACCACAACCAGGTGAGAGCTGTTTTCAGCCCAATGCAATCCAGTAATCATTCGAGGGACTTCGGGCAAAAGGTCGACAGCATATCCATGCACATCATACATGGTAATGGATCCTCTCATGTCATTGTAGGTGGCTACAGCCAACTTCTGGCCCGTGGGATCCCAGGCAACCGTCGATACGCATGCGTCATCTCCCTTGCTTTCGACTAGCTTCTCCTGCACCGGTGCCGAGGAGGAGGACAGCTTCCACAGACTGCAGAACGTATCACCGGCAGCAACGACGACTGTCGGGTCCCGGGGGCGCCACAGGGTCCGCGTCACGTGATCATCACCAGCCACATCCAGAATGGCGGTGTTGGGACTAAGGTCGGCAGCCTTGGTGGGGGTGATCTGGACACCAACGCTGTGGCCGGTCGTCAGCGTAAAGGTCGGCGGCGCGGCGGGTTCCTGATCCTGGGATTCCGGCCGTACGCCCATGCTCACATCTCCATCACCGTCCACGTCTTGCGGGGATTGCGATCTGGTGTCGTTATTATTTGCCACGCCGTTAGAATCGACGTCCATCGCAGCATCGTCTCCATTAGTTTCTGCGCGATCGCCTTTGCGAGGCCTTTTGATGTTGGGAGCGGGTTCGGAGTGACCGTTGATCACTTTGCTCGTAGGCGAAACAGGCGCTTGGTCTGCGCCAACAGGTGCGTCCGGGCCACCTTGACCTTTCAGCGCCTCTGAATCCAGTGGTGCCGGCCCAAAGAAGAAATCTGACGGTGATATCGGTGTAGGATTTCCTTCCTGTAAATATGTTAGGAATTCCCGACCTGTAGATTAAGCAAAAATTTAAATAATAATATGTAAGGCAGGAAGGGGGAAAAAAAAAAAAAAAACACGTGCCTTGTCGAGAGAATGCTCCAGGTCGTGATATTGTAACCCTTTCTGGACCAGGGATACTAGCGCGTGAGATTTAATGTATGGAGCAAAGGGCAAACTCTGCGGATCATGATACCAAGCGCGCTGCAGCATGAGCGCGGCCTCGCCATGGCCTGTAAAAGCAAGTTAGAGAATGATCCGATGGTCACGCCACTGTCGCATTGAAGACTGAAGACTGAAGACAAGGAGGATGCGACGAGAATTTTAAACCCACCTGATTCTTGAAGGTACCTGTGAGTCAAGTTAGCGGACGCGCAGAGGACGAAGAGGGGAAGGAAGGGGGGGAAATGGGCTGCATGAGAATGGGAAGCAAGACGTACCTCCATATTAAGTAGTTGACATGATGTGAAGTGAGATCGGGGTGTGCCATTGTTACATGTGCGACAGCTAGTCAAGGTAGGGTGCAGAAACCAGTAGCATGAGCAGCTTCGCGGGTAGAAACGGTGAGGGGATCCAGAAGACGTCGACGGTTGAAGGGGGGAGTCGGAGGTTGAATTGGATTGAGAAAGGGAAAATTAAAGGGAAAAAAGAAGCAGTCGGAGAGAAGATGGGATCGACGGATACGAAGAAGAGAAGAGAAGAGAAGAAGGTCAGGGAGAAAAGATGAGGCTCTTTAGGGATGTTGAATTTTTTGCAGGAAGCGCGAAGAAAAGAACCGGGGAAAGACGCAGCCAAGGAGAGAACAGAAGGAGAGGATCGAAAGAGAAGATAGAATGACGAGTGGAGGAGAGGAAGAAGAGAAGAAAGGATGAAGCCAAGGGAGAATTCAAGTGTGGAGAAGAGCTGGATGGGACTAAGATTGGAGAAGGAAAGATCAAAGAAGAGGATTGTGGAACATCCTGGGGGGAAGAGAGAGAACAGGAGGGGATAAAATTGAAGATGAGATGGAGAGACCAGATCGAAGAGAAGATAGAATGGAGGATAGGAAGAGAATGGAGAATTGAAGATCCCAAGAGGATGAATTGGAATGAATGAAGACAGTTTCAGATGTGGCGTGCAAGTTTGGCGCAGAAACATTTAGCGTGCAGGTCGAATCCACCCTGACATGATCGCCATCTGGATAGGATTAGATGAGGTGAGTTGAAGTTGAGTTGGGTTGAAGGTGTCTGGATGAAGATGGTTGATGATGATGAATTGATCTATTCTTTATCACGATTGAATATTAAAGCATCTCTATCTCTAGTCTATGACTATTCTAGTAGTCTCATACTGTACAGCTCAACAGAGCGTATAGCATCAAATCAGCATTAATTGAAAGGATAAGGATAGACAGTCTTGTTCTTGTTGTATTCTTATTTTTATTTTAATTTATTCTACTCATTATAATATTCTTTCTATCATGTCTATTCAAGATAAACTGTCAATCCCCAGATATTCTCCACGATCAGGACTTTTTCCGCCCTATAAGGAGCCAGCATGAAGCCTACTACTGTATGGTGATATCCTTACTGTGACTACCTTTTCTATTTTGTATTACTCTATAATATATACGACAATAATAACTTCTCTTCATCTTCATAACTGTCCTATATCTGTTATCTATCTTACTATCTTATATCGCATGTCACTTCAATGCATGTAGACTATCCAGGATCGTCGGTCGAGTACAGATGAACCATGTCCATATTGCTTCTGTACATAGAAATGAAAATCATCATAGGAATATACTATAATCATAATAATAGCCTACTAATATAGCGATAATATAATCATCACATCATCTGATGTTGTATCATATCCCTACATGCTAACCGCCGATCGATCAAAAACATCGTCTGTCCGACTTTCATTTCTTTCCTTCTTCTCCTCTCCAACTCCCTCCATCTTGGGCTCTCCTCACCAGCCCGCGGTCTGCGTCTCTTTCAGCAGCCGCAAATCCTCTCTTTCGGCTATCCTCTTTTTCCTTTCAATCTCTCCAACATGGCTCTCCGTGTCAATATTCCTCCGGCAACTCGTGTCTGCCTCATCACCCTCCTGACCCTCTCCTTGCTGTACAATATCGCCCGATGGCGCCAAATTGACACCACCGCGGGAAAACTCACCACCACCCCCATCGTCCCCTATCTGACTCTGGTCCCGTCACAATTTCTCTTCTATCCGTGGACCCTCCTCACGGCTACCTTCGTCGAACAGAACATCTTCACCGTTCTCCTGAATGCCGCCACTCTTTTCTACGGTGGAAAGTACCTCGAGCGTGCCTGGGGTTCCCGCGAGTTTGGCAAATTCATCCTCACCATCGCCATCATCCCCAATGTGGTCATTGTGCCCTTTTACATCATATGGGCTGCGGCCGGGGGTAACTCCCTGAGAGGGTACGCTTGGTTCCCCCACGATGAATGCACCACTTCCTGCGCTTTCCCTGCTGACCCTCCGCTTCCAAGTCTAACCCAAATCTGCGGTGGTATCTCGATCCAAGCTTCCTTTCTCGTCGCTTTCAAGCAACTCGTTCCTGAGCACACCGTTGCCATCTTCAAGGGTCTGGTCAAGATGCGCGTCAAACATTTCCCCGCCCTTTTCTTACTCCTCAACACAATCAGCGGGGTGGTTTTCGGAACAGACACCGCTGCGATTCTCGCCTGGTTCGGTCTCATCACAAGTTGGACATATCTGCGGTTCTTCAAGCGCCAGCCCGATCTCACTGGCACTTCGACCAATGGTCTCGGCATCAAGGGTGATGCTAGTGAAACCTTCGCATTCGCATGTCTTTTCCCGGACGTCATGCAGCCCCCTATCGCCTTTGTCTCCGATCAGATCTACATTCTGCTAGTGAGCTTGAAAATCTGCACGCCATTCTCGGAGGAGGATATTGCGTCTGGAAATCAACAAGTCTTGGCCCGAGGAGAGGCCGGTCTGCCTAGCCTCCTGAACAGCAGAGCCGGCCTGAGAGGGTCGTCAGGCAAGCGAGAAGAAGCAGAGCGGAGACGAGCCCTGGCACTCAAGGCCTTGGATCAAAGACTCCAAGCTGCGGCTGCCGGAAGAGCACAGTCTCAACCACCGGCAGCAAACCGGCAATCCCCAAGTCCACCTCAAACTGCTGCTCCAACAGTAGCAGGGGGGCAGAGCATGCTCGGGGAGACCAGCTATACACCCGATCACTCTTGATTTGGGTGGTTTTTTTGATTGCATGGACGGTTGAAATTACAGAAAAGAAGCAACTCGGAATGTTCGATCGATTCCAACCCTAGTTCGTCTTCAGTCTCAGTTAAGTTTGTTGTGGTATACCAATCTCTTCTTATTGTCATGCATAATGCGCATTCGATCGCATAGTTTTTGTCACGAACTGAATTACTTGTGATACCAATGGGTTTTCTTTCTCGGATTAGTTGCTGTATAGAAACATTTCAGTAAAATAAAATAGTTCCCAGAAATACATAATGAAAAAAAAAAAAAAAAGAAAAGAAAATGCTATGCTACAAATTGGTCATGCCGAGATTGCTTTTCGTCCCGATGAAAGGCAAGACAGTAGGTATGTACCCGTATCAAAAACACCACCTCAAGGCATCTTAACTCGACTTCAACTTCTCAACCTCACCCCTCGCCTCTTGCAACATCCGCTCTTGATCCTTCCTCGCCTGTCGGATTCCAGCAACCCGCGCTCGGTCCTGCTCGGACTTCACACGCATCTGCTCCAACTTCTTCAACTCCTCCGTCTCCTCCGCCGCAGCAGCCACCTCCTGCGCTCCCGTCATAATCTTCACCTTATTCCAAATATCCTTATACTCGAGGTTCTTCAAGTCCACGACGGCCGTTTTCTCCGCCGCCCCCGCCACAGGCGCATGGGTGTCCTTGATCGCCGCCGCATGGTTCAACGCAGCCGCCTTGCTCGCTTCCTCGGCGAAGTAGATCGTCAACGCGGCGGGTCCGTCTTGCTCGTCTGTCTGCTTCACGCTCATCGGCACACCGGGGTTGTGGTACTTGAGGCGCGGGAGGCAGTTGCGCCAGAAATGTCGTGCGCCTTGGTGGCCGCCGTAGATTTTGCGGGCGTATGTGAGGTGTAGCCGGGTGATGGCTGGGAATTCTTTCGTGGCGGTTGGGGGGGAGGGGAAGATTGCGGCGCCGAGGCCGACGCGGACGTCGAGGAGCTGGTTTGTGTTAGCTTTTTGGTGGGCTCAATTTCATGGTGTATTGGTTTTGGTTTTGGTGGTGATGGTGGTGACAATAGTTATGGTGGTAGTGAAATGGGGATGAATTACCCTCTGTAAGAAAAGAAAAATGTTAGCAATCACAATGCATATAAAAACATCATCCATAAACCCAATCAATCATATCTCATAGACTAAACATACAGTCCTCATCTTCCGCATCCGCTTAAAAAGGTTCACCATGATTGCGGGTTATTAAAAGACAGACAAGACACAGGGACTAGCCCTAGCAATGGCGGTATCAACTGAAAAAGAAAAAGAGAGAAAAATTCTCAAATCATATAAACCCAGCAATCAATGGGTGGTAAGCAATGCACCGGCAGACGTGAATGGAATTGGCTCGGAGCTCTCTCGTCGATTCTTGGGCAATATCAATGTCGGCGGAAAGAAATGGTCCCGGGATTATGCATCACGTGATTGATTGTCAGATGGCTGTATGTAGACATATTCATTGTTCAATTCTTAGGATTCTTAGTCTTTTTGAGGGTTCTTTGTTACTTTATTTTATTCTATTCTGGATCTGTGGAGATTGTATCTATTCAATATCACATATGGGGAATTGGCCCACCATGCCCAGTTAGCCTCCATGAACGACGTGAGATCAATGACATTCTTTGAATAGATGGAAATCAAGCTATTTAGGTAAATATAGCAGTGTCCATTAGTAATTGTGTATATATATATGCAATAGATAAATGTTCACTTTGGTGGGTTTGCTCTTCAAGGCTTCCTGTCTGCTGGAGGTTATACATATCCGGAGACCAGAGTAGAGAAGTTTTAAACATGTAATAATTTCTAAACGAAATAAAAACATCTTATATATTCCATGTACATCAAACTTTTCTAGAACCAAAATTTAATTGAGATATATGTCTTTAGCGTGAAATATCGTGATGTGCGTTTTGAGTCTTTAGCCATGAAGAATCACGAAAAAAGTTATGTGATATCAAACCAAGAATGAAAAAGGCCACGCTATGAACATGTCAACTACCCTCTTCGATTTACTCTGCAATGTTGGCAAAGTAGAAGGTAGGCTGGCCAGGGACGGCATTATCAGCCGAGAGTCCCTCTCTCTTCTCGCCGGTACCCATAACCTCGCCGGTCTTACCACCCTCGTCAACCTTGACCACTTCGATCTCCTTGCATCCTGTTGTGCGCTTCAAGTTGTTAATCATCTCACCGAGGACGACAAACTCATCAAAGGGAAGCTTGCGTTCGAAGACAGTCTCGGGGGCCTCCTTGCTCTGGACCAAACGCTTCTTCAAGGTTTGCACGAATGGCATGGCCTTCTTCATTTCGCCTAGCTTACCAACCTTGGCGTTCAAATCCTTGTCGTTGATAGAAATGCTGACGGCATCGAAAGCTTCCCGGACAAGGTCGATGTACTTCTCTTGCCACACAGGGTACTTCTTAGCAGCGTAGATAGTGAGCTTCTTCGGCTTGCGGGGGTCGAAGTTCGAGGTCTTGCCCTTGGAGAGCTTCTTGGCGTACGCAGCCTCGGAGGAGGTTATGTTGGAGGAGGTGCCGCGGACGTAGTTCGACGCAGCCGAGAGCTCAGCAGATGGCTCAGGAACCTCGGGGAAGCGAGCGAAGTGGATACTCTCAGACTATGGGGAACACAAAACGTTAGAACCGAAACTTGACCAACAGGCGTGTGGTGAACTAACCTTCTTGAGGACCTCGAGCCAGATGTATTCGGCCCAGTGAGGAGCAATGGGGGCAAGCATAAGAGCCTGGAGCTCAACGTAGCGGAGAACCATATCACGGTGCATTCCAACACCTGCTCCTGTAGCTGCCTCACGGTAGACGTCTCGTGCACTGGTGAAGTCGTAAAGACCGGTCTTCAGCGCAAGCTTGAAGTCGGTGCTAAAAGAAAGGGAAAGTTAGCAATCGCTTGACAAAATTATGTAGGAAATTTTATCTTACTCTTGGTAGTGTTTCCTGGTTTCGTAGACCAGGCTGTTCAGTTCGTTGTCAAACAGCTTGTCCCAGAATGTGTCGGCAGCACCAGTGCGCAAGCTGCTGTCCTTAACAGTCTCCTCAATCCACTCCTTGAGAGTGAAAAGTCTCAGAATGTTACTGTTAGCAACAGTTTCCTCGAAGTTGGCATCTTCGATTCCGTCACCAGCATCAGCAAAGGCGATACGAGTGGCATCAGCACCGAACTTCTCGACTGCGTCCTTCAGCGTCAGGAAGTTACCGGTACTCTTGCTCATCTTATCACCGTTCAGAAGCAAGTGTCCGTTGGCACGAACACCTCGGGGCCAGTACTCTGCGGGGAAAAGAGCAACGTGGATGTAAAGGAAGAAAGTCAAGTGGTTCTGGATAAGGTCCTTTCCAGAAACTCGGACGTCCAAGGGGTACCAGTACTCGAATTCTCGGCGCAAAGCTTGCAGGGCATCCTTGCTAATTCCAGTCTTAGAGACAAGCTCGTCACTGATCTCACGTCGGGTGAAGACGTAATCCCAGACTTCGTCGGTCATCTGTTCCGCCGTGATGTTGAGAGAGCCAGTCTGCTTTCCATAGCGATCACCGTGCAGCAAGTGTGCAATGGTGTAGTAGGCCATGTAGACGGTACTGTCACTCAAACTCTCAACAAGGAATTGGGGATCCCAAGGCAGCTTGGAGCCCAGACCATATGTTCTAGCACAAGCCCATCTGTTGAGCCAGTCGAGGTTCTTCTCGAAGCCGTTCTTGGTCTCAGAGGTGTATGTGTTGAGAGTGTTGACAACGTGGCCCAAGGTATCCTTTTGCCACTTGGCGTCGTTCTCACCATAGTTCAGGAACCACTGACCCAGGTATGCGACAACACAGTCATCTCCACTTCGGCTGACAACCTTGCCCATGGGGTCGGCAAAGGGGAAAGCATCTCCACTCTCATAGAGAGACTTGCGGATCTTGTCCTTGACAGCGCTCACTGGCTGGCCCTTGTATTCACCAACAATCAGGGTACCCTTGTAGAAACCAGCGGAGTAGGCCAATTCCTTAGCCTGGGCAAGCTGGTTGACATCCTTGGGGGAGTTGATCTTAAGCTGCTTAACAAGAGTAGGAGCAATGAGGTTTCCATATTCTGGGGTCTCGATGAGGGGGAAGATTTCCAGCTCAGCCCACTCCTTCTTGATGCCGTAGTATTCGGACTTCTTCGCGAGGTCCATCAGGGTGGCATAGTCGTCAGGGCTGTCAGAGGGCACCGATGTGACAACACCAGTACCCTTGCTAGCGGAGACACCCTCCATGGGCAAGATTCTCACACCCTCAGTGTGGAAAGAAAGGGGTGCGTTGACCAGGGTGCCGACAAAGTCAGATCCCGGTGCCTCAGCAACGAGCGGCAGCTCACTCTGGGACTTGGGAAAGGATTCATTGCTAAAGAAGTGTCCCTGGAAAGCCATGTTCCAGGCGGCTCTCTTTGTAACAACATAGTACTCCTTGTCCTTGGCCTTGAAGAGACCGTACTCGATCTTCGGGCCGACAAAGCAGCAAGTCTGACCGTACATGGTCTCCGGACGCAGGGTGGCGGGAACGAAGTAGACCTTGGCGTCATCTTCGATCTTACCCTTGACCAATTCAGCCAGCTTGGGAGACCATTCCTTCACTTGCAGCTTCATGGCGGTATATTCCTGTGGGCCGATACCCTCACCCTCAGTTCGGTCGTGGTCCATGCAGGGCTGGCCGTCCTTGGGCGAGTAGATCGTGTATCGGCTACCGTACATGATCTTGCCCAGCTCGTGAAGGCGGTTCATTTGCCAGCGCACAAAGGCATCGTAGTAAGGGTTGGCATCAGTGGTGACGAACTGTCGGCGCCAGTCAACTCTGGCACCCATGCTGTCGAGGTCACGGATGGCCAGAGGGGGGAAATGCTGAAGCCAATGGGACGCATCGGCAAACTTGTGGATCTCCTCAATAGGCACGCCAATAGCCAACATGATCTGGAACTGGTACTTCATCTTGACGGTCTTGGCAGCGGCCTTACTCTTCTTTCCAGAGAACTTCTCCTGCTCGGCCTTGGTCTCCTGTGTGGGAGCGGCAGCCGGGACGGGAGCCTCTTCGCTCTCCTCCTGGTAGCCCTCAAAGTTCTGTCCAAACTTCTTGACTTCGTCGGCGAGCTTGTCCGCACATGCCTTGATGGGCATACCTGTGCAGTGGAATCCGAGAGGGAAAAGGGCCCTCTTACCCTCCATGCGGGCAACACCGGTCATGAACTCGACCTTACTGGCAGTGAAACTGTGACCAGCATGCAGAGTACCGTTCATGTAGGGGTAGGCCATGGTTCCGAAGAACTTGGGGTGCTTTTCACGAAGCTCCGCGCCGGACATGGTACCGGCGGGGATCTCGGAGAGAGAGGGAGCGTCGACCTCGAAGACCTTGTTGTCCTTCCATTGTGCCTGGTATTTCTTCTCGATCGCGATGAGGGTATCTCTCTTCTCAGTCTGTTATAGAAACCAATGGTTAGCCCTGGATCACCGTCATCGGGGTCAAATGGAGGGGGAGGGGCAGGCGGTGGAACATTTTCGAGCTTGAGAGTGTTTTTGGAGCCCGTATCGACTCCGGCAACAGATGCAGCGGCGGCTGCCATGGCTCTCTATGAACAGTTTGCTGGGTTGCAAAACAGAAATGGAGAACCCGGAGGCGTTGTTGGAGAGGAGGATCTATATTATCCACCGCGGGGTTTGGCTTTATCAAAGTTCTCAAAAGTGGTAAAGTATTTGTGAGTCAAAACGGTGTATGTAACGACAGCGGCGCTAGTGTAATTTACCATGCACGTGCCATCTAAATTCCCAACTACATAGAGGCATCAGAGGTCGTGGATCACGAACGACATTTCGATTCTAGAAGATATACGCTCAAATTAACGTTCTATTTCTCCATTTCATCTGATAAGTTCAGAGGTCAGTCGGCATGACACCTAGAAACACTACCATACGATCATGAAGAGGCCGACTGCTTCAAAGCACCAAGCATCCTATGATTGAGCGCCAAAATCAGATTAGTCCAATGCTACTAATATACGATTCATCGGAATAGAATCATGTATTAAGAATTTACGAGATTCTTACCTTCTCAATCCCTCCTGCAGAACTTCCTTTTCGTGCGAGTAAACAAATCTGAACCAACCCGGGGTTTTCGCATGCTCTTCGCCCGGATGTAGAAATACGCCTGCATTAAGCAGCTTTTGAGCGAGAGCAAACTCGCGCTCGTGAGGTGGAATATTATTGCTCGTGAGGTACGGTGATAGGTCTAAATAAATGAAGAAACCCGCATTTCTATGAGGTGGTCAGCATTGTAAATCCTGGGTTTCATATGGGTCATAGTGGTATGACTTGCGCTCCTTGAACGTAACGAATGCCCTCTCGATCAAATGTTGCGGTTGTTAGCCTATAAGCAGATGCAAGGCTCTGCTGAGACTTTGTCGTAAATTCTGAGAGGAATTGTTGGTCTTCCAGAATTGTGGTACCGATTGTGACTGCAGCAGTCGACACACTGTGCAATCTCCTGCAATAAAGATGGTGATTAGTATTGCCCATCAACAAAAGTTGGAGGGAAATAGGTAGGCCTCACAATATTGCTTGACAAGCTTGACGAAGTTCTGTGTTTTGAGAAACCAAGAAACCGAGATGAAGGCCACCAGAGGCAAAATCCTTCACATTTCTAACGTCAGTCTCCCGATAAACCTTGGGTGTCGTGTGCCACCGGAGAAGGAAGATAACTTGCCTTGCTGAACCCGTATAATAGATGTACGAGATTAGGGTCAATTAATGCAGGTATGTCCAGAGATAAAATCGAGGTGAAAGGAACTGCCTCTGGATTTCCAGAGTCAAAGATACACGATGCATAGATCTCATCGCTAATGACATGAAGCTGATGTTTGTTGCAGAATCTCAGGATTTCCTTCAAGGTCTCTGCTGGGTAACAACGACCTGTGCCATATCAGCGACTGCGATATACACAGTAGATCAATACGAGAACTGCTTACCTACGGGGTTATGTGGATTGACAACCAACACAGCCCGGATTTTTATGCCCCGTTTCTCAGCAGCTTCGAGCGCCATCTCATACCTGGTGATAATTCCAGGAGAGAATGCTTCTTCAGGATCATTATCGGTATATATCATCTGCACGCCAGCTTCAACACCATAGTCAAGCTCAAACCGGCCATATACAGGCCTACTGGCCAATATCCCATCGCCCGGTTCTGCCAATGTGAAGCCAAGCATACCCCCTAAGGCAGTGGCGCTGCTGGCAGTAAATACATGATCTTTATTGATTGAAACTTTTGGAACAAGTATCCTATTCAGATGGGCTGCTAATGCGACCGGGAGACGAGCTGCAGCTGTTGGACTGGGACGATAACCGACAGAGTCTTCCATGAAAACGACCTGGAAGGAATTGTCAAGCCACTTCATGGTGGTAATCAGACAAGAAACTAACCTTGTTGTTTATATAATTCGCAATTTCGGCTCTCATTGGCCTCTGCTCAGCAATCAGAGTTGGGTTTCAGTATACATGTCGTGGAAGACATACATGCTCTGCCATGCCAAAGGAGATAACCCCGTTGGGATTTGTCTCCTTGTCGTATGTATGTGGAGTAGCATATCTCCAGGGAATGTTTAACTGCTCAGCACTTTTTGCACCACGAGAGGAAAGCATTTCGGATACTGCGCTGTGACAGGTACTGTATTGGAGCCGACACGGATAGGGAGTGTCTGGTGGTGGTCAATGAAACTAACACAGCCAAAGTGACAACAGTGGTGTAGATAGAGAGGATAAACAACTAATAAAAGGCGAAGAACTGGAATTATGGACAGGAAATTGTGGGATGTTGATCTCCTGCAAAGACAAGATGGCACTTCCCCACCTGATAAATAATGTGCTCAAGTGCCTTTTGCTGTCATTGTTAGCGACCCGTACGAGTCATCCAAAGTTAAGCCAATAATATCAGTTTTACGGAAGCAGAGTTCTTCTGAAATTATGTATACATTTTTGAAAGATTAAATATTGTCAAAAGTATGTCCTTCGGGATAGGAGAGTTTCCAATGCTTGTACAATGAATGCATCAAAATCGTCAATACAAACACCAGCCGCTATGCTAGGTATTATACACATCTAACCAATTCACTTTAAGAATAATGTAAGACAGAAACGGAATATTATCGTGGCCGCAGGGTCTTTGCACAGCCAGGGTATATAGACGTGAACATCGTTTATATCTTCGATGCTTGGATCCGTCTATTATGCCCAGCGTTTTGCCGTCCTCGTGGTCCCCTCTTGCGATTGTCTGAGGCCTGTTTTTGTGCAATGAATTCCCAACATTCGATCGGGAATCGCGAACCGACATGTTTCCCGTTGGGACTGAAGACTTCGACCTGTGGCAAGGACCTTGGGGGCTCAGTTTTGTCAGATCTCGAATCGGATCGGATCTGGGCAGTGAGTTCAACCCAGCCACATCCCTCAATTAAGATGTCTGCTGACATCACTTTGTATGGCAGTGGAGGTATTTTCACACCTCGATCCTCCACGGCCTTTGCAATTGCGGTTGGGAGGTGGGATCGCGTCACGTCCCACTTCAAGTCAAAGGTACCCGCGGATGATATTACACCGCCAGTGCCTTCTTTCATGATAGTCTTTCCTCGGTATGCACGTTTCTCAACCTGCATTTCAATCGCCTTCTCGGTCTTTGTAATGTGAGATTCAAGGGGGAGGAAAGAGGCGGCCATCACTACAAGGTCAGGGTCTGTCGGTGTAATTCTAAGAAGCCCTCCTCCAAGGAGTAGGGATTGACCTGGTTTAATCGTGAAGCGCTCAGGTGTTCCTCGCTTTGTCATGATCAAGTCACGTTTGTATTCGTCACGCACATAGTCTTCCAACTGGCCACGATCAAGTCCCGGGAGATCGATCATTTCACCCTTTCCACGACCAAACGGAATGCGAATTGGGGATACTGTAGTGCCAGGCAGTGATGACACCACTGGAAGAACAGGATATAGATCTTCCCGGGGAGCAGGTGGTAGAAGGCTATCAGGATCAAGAATGGGTGTAGCGTGTTGGTTGACTCGAGATTCTTCCTGGCGTCGTTCAATCAATTCGGCCATTTTTTCAAGATTCTTCGAGTCCTTCGGAAAGCAGGCCTCGATGAAACTGCTCTTTCCGACATTGGCTTTACCAACTACCCAGACTCCCCCACCGTGCTCTCTGATTTCTTCCTTCACTTTCTTTGTCCACCAGCCGCGGTGAGCGCTAACCATATGCACGTTTCCCATGCGATTGTCTTCCACAGATCTACCCAGGGTCTCACGGAGCACAGAACGCATATATTCCATTTTCGAGTCCACTTGGTCCTTTGTTGCAGCTAAGAGATCGGAGCGAGTGATAACGAATGTGATAGTAGGCAGTTTCCTTCCTCCTCGGTATTTCTCAGTGCTGGATCTTCGGTTGTGTGAACGTTGTTCTTGGATGGAAAGAGCTTTGTAAATCCCGGGAACAAGGGACATCGGAAAGTCCGCCGCATCAAGGACATGATATATACGGTTATTCGTATGCGGAGACTCATCAAGGAATTCTCGAATGGAATGGATTGTGGGCGACGGTGCGGACACGGCTTTGTTGTGGTGCATCAGGTCGTGGCATCTGTCACAAATGTGTACAGAAAAGGTGGATTTTTCAATATAGTTGCTTGCAGTAGCAGCTGTGTTTTCGAGCAAAGCACCATCTGCATGTTCCATTAGCACAATATTTCCATAGAGTATTGATAATCACCCTACATACGTTGTGGCTTAGGAGCACCAACTTTCTCCTCAGAGGCCTTGTTGAGCTGCCGAATGGCGGCTGTAACGCGTTCTCCTTCATATTTTGTATCTTTCGCCTCATCTGGACTTCCATTATCACTCTCAGCAGCCTCAGTCGTCTTTTGCGTCCCGGAGAGAAGCTTCCGCGTCTGCTTCCTGGGTTTGCCGTAGTATCCTGGTTCGTTCGGCTCGACAGTCTGTGAATATGCACCACATCCCGGACAGCAGATAGGAAGATTATCGAGTAGTTTTTCAGACGAGTCCGCACTCTTTTGAGTTGTTGATGATAGGCCGCGACGCTGGTTCTGGCTTGCTGGGCGGCCTGCGCTGCGGGCGGGAAATACCTCCGGCGGCGAAAAAAGTGACTGCGACGATAACGTCCTTGGAATGCGTTGTGTTCGGAATAAAAGCTGTGGTGAGGGGCGTTTTAATTTAAGTCCCCTCGAAATCATGCACCTGAGACAAGGCGACATGATGGGATAGCTTTGCAGGCTTTCGCGAAAGTTGTATGAAGCTCTTTCGGAGTTTGATAAAAGTGATAATGGATTAGCATTGGTGGTCTGTCCGGATAGCCGTAAAAAGTTAAAGTGGCGAAACATGTGAGAATTAAGACAGCTAACCCTGAAAATATGCGATTTTAGACGAAAATATTATTTGGAGCTTATAAAGACTGAGGAAAAGAATATATATTCCGAATTGAGTAGATACACGATACACCAAGTTAACCAACGCTCTTTAAAAACACTCGTAAACATTGTAACGCCATTGACCACAGAAAACAAGAGCGCAATATCATCCTACTGGGATTAAGCTCTAGCTTTGCCCTTGCCTTCAGGCTCTTCTGCTTGGTCGTCGTTTTCTTCATCGGAGTCGCTCATGAATTCGTCGTCGTCATCGAAGCCAATGTACTTCCTGGGTGCTGGCTCAGAAGGCCCTGGTGCATCTTCCATCTTGTTTTCATCTTCGCTTTCTCCATCAGAGCTAGATGATGCTTCCCGCTCACTGCCTTCACTGGCACTCGTACTCGATCCGCCCAAGACTGTGTCGCGAAGGTTGTCCGTCCAAGCACCCTCCTTCATCGCCAGCAGCACCGCCTCTCTGGCTTTCTCGTTCATTTCCTCCTTATCATCCATCCATTGACCGTCGATCTTGTGTTTCCCGCCGCCGTTTTTCAACTCCTCCTGCCTTTTTTCCGATGCATCGACAACAGACTGCCATCTGCGTCGGCGTTCCTCCTTCTCCTTTTTGTCCATCTCCGGCTTGACCGCAAGATATTCGGCGAGGGCCTTGGCTTCATTGACAGTACGGATACGACGACCATCAAGATTTCGGCTGGAACCATTGTCATCGCCCTGGTTGCGCTTGCGCTTACTGGACATGCGACCACCAGCGGCACGGAGCTGAGAACCGAAACCTCCTTTTCCTCCGCACAGGGGCACGGTAAGACGAAGCGGTAAGAGGCTGGATGTCGTAGAAGAGTCGCCATCGCGAACGGTGAGGAGAGAAAGTACACGCTCAGCGGAGGGGATCAGTTGTTTGTTGTTAGTGGTAGTCAATACAAGCGACTGCAACGGCGTTGAAGATGGCAGATAAGAGGTAACCTTTTCGGTGAGATCTGAGATGGTCGACGTAGTCGGAAGAGAAAAGGAAAGAGTCGAAGGAAGACCAAGTCCTGGGAAGGACGAAAGAAGAACATTCACATTCTGCGATGCCATTTTGGAACGATTATTCTCCGATTAATATGTAGAGTGGAGCCCCGCAGTCCAGCTGAACAATATTTCTATGAATTCCACGTTGGTGATGGTGGAGGAGAATAGTTGCGCTATATTGAAGTCTCGACGCAAAGGAGGCGGCGATGATGCGGAGATGTGATAAGATCCCGTGACTCAAGTGAGGTGTTGCTGACTGAAACATCAGGCATAAAGAAAATAGTCATGTGACACCTGACGTATCAGGTCTAGCGCACCGATTAGGGCCCTAACCCTGGAATAATCGCCCAAACGGGAAGCATCGCACTTTTTACTCGTCGCCCGCTCCACTCCTTCACTTCCCATCATATAAACCATTTCTCTCGCTCGGCGTTGTTAGAGCGATTCCCCGAATAGCGCCAGGAACTCGCAACAATGTATGTATACCTTTTGGATCTCTATTGGAGACCGATCAATTCCTATTCAGCAGAGTACTGACATGCATTCAGGCTTATCCCCAAGGACGACCGCAAGAAGATCCACGAGTACCTCTTCCGCGGTATGTGACCGGCCGCCCCAGCTGCATGGACGCATAACCATGCCTGACTTGTCCTTCGAGAACAATTATCGCTGACTGTATATAATAGAGGGTGTGCTCGTGGCCAAGAAGGACTACAACCTTCCCAAGCACGGCGAGATTGACACCAAGAACCTCTACGTGATCAAGGCCTGCCAGTCGCTCAACTCCCGCGGCTACATCAAGACCCAGTTCTCGTGGCAGTACTACTACTACACCCTCACCCCCGAGGTATGTCGAATATAAAGAGTTCTACGGATTAGAAATCAGCGATGCTAATTGCTCGAAGGGTCTTGACTACCTCCGTGAATGGCTCCACCTCCCCGCTGAGGTTGTCCCTGCCACTCACATCAAGCAGCAGCGCTCCCACGCTCCCCCTCGCGGCATGATGGGTGGTGAGGAGCGTGAGCGTCGTCCCCGTGCTCCCCGTGAGGGCGGTTACAGACGTCGCGAGGAGGGTAAGGAGGGCGGTGCCCCCGGCGAGTTCGCCCCCAGCTTCCGTGGTGGCTTCGGCCGTGGCCGTCCCGCTCCCCCTTCTTAAGGGAAGGTTGTCGTCTCGGTCTTCCAAGGGGTTTGATTGATGCTGCAAGTATGGTCTGAGTAGGGCCCTGAAAAGTCGTCTGAAAAGGATTATACCTCTGCGCATCATAAAATTAAAAAAAAAGGTCGGCTCCTTATTTGGGAAAATGAGGATTATGTTGCCGCTGTTTCCCTGTTACGATTAGCTAGGTTCAATGGCAAGATCATCATGACTCAAATTTTTGTGAATTCTTCGTAAACACGTAAATATCATTGGTTTGAACTATCCAGATTGCCCTCATGTTCATTTGCCCTAAGTGCTACCTATGCTTTCTAACTCTTACGGAGCGAATCTTTTCCTATCATATCGAATTACCGCTTGCAGCATGACCGATGTTCCTCTAGCACAATCATCCGCAGAGCAGAACTCTTCTGGGTGATGACTGAGACCATCCTTGCAGGGCACGAAAATCATACTTGTTGGAACCCGCTTGGAGGTAAAGACACTGTCATGTCCAGCGCCGCTCATAATGGTCCGCACGAGGGATTTGGGCTCTGTCACGCCGGCATCAGCGACAACGGCCTCTGCAGACTGCTGTACACAGTTGATACAGTCTTCATGGAATTTGACCGCGGGAGAATCGAAGTCCATGACCCATTCGACACGGCATGGCTTTCCGATGCCTTTACCTTCCTCCGCGGCGATGTTATCGAATTCTTTTCTCAGCTCGGCTTCAACAACCTCCACCAAATTGGTCTCCGGGCCACGAATGTCAAGACTGAAGCTAACTTGTCCCGGTACAGTGTTCACACTACCGGGCTTCGCCTCGACAATGCCAACGCTGGCTAGACAACCGTGAGAAGATGCAATTTCCCGTGCACGTACCATCATGCGAGCGAAAGCGTATAGAGCGTCTGCGCGATGTTCGAAGGCAGTGGTTCCTGTATGAGTATCTCTGCCGATTACATTGAGACGATACCAACGGTATGCTTGGACGGCAGTAACGACACCAATATGCTGGCCTGCGGACACGAGATGGGGACCCTGCTCAATGTGGAGCTCGAAGTGTGCTGCCATGGGAGACGCTTTGTAGGAGCATGGCACGGTTCCTAAATAATCGATCTTTTCGAGCGCTGATTTCATCGATTCCGGTGCAGAGGCTGCGGTTGGGAGGGAAGCAACAGTAGGTACCTCCTTGAGATCATGGGCTCGAGCAAGAGAGATGCACTCGGCCCATACACCGGAGGAGACCATACTTATGGGGAAGCGAGCACCCTCTTCACTGTGAAGAATGAGCAGCCAGATACCATTTGAGAAGTGGCATGGCAACTTACTTTGTCCAGTTCACGACCCCTACACCACCTTCTGTTTCGAGCCCCATTTCGTCTATAACTTTCAAGGTCTCGATACCTGATAGGACGCCCAGGATGCCATCGTATCTACCACCTGTAGGCTGAGTATCCAGATGACTACCGATGAATGTTGCAGGTACGTCCTTCCGTCGACCTGGTCGGACTGCGAAGAGATTTCCCATCTCATCGATGGTAACATTGCACTTCAATGCCTTTGTCGTCTCAATGAACCAGTCTCGCACGGCCTTGTCGTCCTGTGATAAGGCGAGGCGTTGCATGCCCGTATCTGTTGAATCACTGTCATGGGTTAGTCTAGTAGTTCATGATCTACTGAAGTTCAAATGGCCAAATAGAACTCTTCCAGAAGACTTGATCAACACAGCAGCCATACTACTTACTTTCCCCATCTTATCCCAGGGCCCCATTGACAACTGTGATGCAAGTCTTTGGCCAGTCGATCTCTATTGGCTCGCAGGGCCGAAACCTCCGCTTCGGATAGTTCTGTCGATAACATGGCTTGTTTGGGGAAAATTGAGAAGGCTCGACGTTGCAGCGATGTTCTCTTCACAGTGTGAAATGTTGACAACTTGAGTGACCTAGCTACAGGTGCAACTTTAAATAAAGACAGGACAGACACCATCGTGCTTTCTTGTCTGTACAGCACGGACAGACAATTATTTATGTAGAACTAGGTTGTTGGAGACCTCTTGGAGTCACTCCAAAAGAGGCAGTTCTCGGGAGTAGATAGGCGTCCAAGCGGGGTTTGTTCTCCTCTATCAACACTGCCAGAAGCTCTCAATGGAGAAAGACACTCAGGATATAAACAGCCGAGCGGTTCATTCCATCAGTTGCGGGGATAACTGCATGCGGCAGGTGATCGTAAAGCATCCGATTCGATAGGCTGTTGGTTATCTCCAACTCGCTTGGGAAGATAGGTACAGCGGACTTTAGTCCGAGATGGAGATACAGAGATGAATCGACATTGATCCAAATCAAATGGAGTTGAACATTTATAGATTCAGTGTTGCTCTTGAACTGAAGCTGCTAATGTAAGGAAAGGAAGAAGTCACTACTGCCGTCGAGTCTGTGAGGTGGTGGTCGTGGTCGTGACGTGAGCTTCCCGACACGGGGTTTGGCTTACAAGAAACACGCACCACTGCTGACCATCAGACCATTGCAGGGCTTATCTGGCAGTAAAAAGAACAAAAAAAAAAGACGAGATAAATGCTGCCATCGAGAAAGCACCACCGGCGAAAACAAAAACAATAAAACGATCGACAACTGTGTCGATGGTGGGTTTCCAAAGATTGAGGAGAGGAGTATTCTGGGCAAGCCACGGCCATCTCTGGTAAAAGGCAAGAAATGGGTTCTGAGCTAGCTTGTCCCACTCCTCACGGGCTCTTCCGTTGACTGTTATTTAACCCCTTCGAAATGCCGTGCCGTCCCGCGTTCGATTCCCCTCATCTCCGGTCGTCCTTTTTTTTTTCTTCGCCCTTCGAGACCCCGCATTGACGCATTCCAACCCGCCAACTTCAATCGTTCCTGTTGCTGTAGTTATATCTTCGATCGCGACTATCATCAATACGTTTGAGATATAATCCAACAATTTCCAGCATGTCTTCTGCCGCGTGTATTTTCTGCAAGATCATCAAGGGTAAATCGTCACTCTCTCCCATTATTGTCTACTACTTGTTGTTTCTCCAACTGTGTGACGAAACAGCTCTTATAGCTAGCTATGGGCTTCCTATCAGTGAATGCCATCGCTAACCATCTCGGTCATAACAGGTGATATCCCCTCTTTCAAGCTCTTCGAGAGCGAGAAGGTCTTTGCCTTCCTTGATATCCAGCCTCTTAGCCGTGGCCATGCGGTGAGTCCTCATGCTCCTTTTGTTTTCATCCCCGCACGAGACTTGTTCTCGATCCAGGGCACTTTTCTTTCACTATACATCAATATTAAAGCCCAAATCTATATATCCCATCATTGGAATTTACTTCCTCTTATAAATAATATCATATCGCTAACAAAAGCGACAATTTGTCGCCAGTAACAGCTCGTGATCCCCAAGTTCCACGGTGCAAAGCTTACGGATATCCCGGATGAGGATCTCACTGAAATCCTGGTATGTGATAGTTGAAAGAAGAAAAACTCATCTTTGCAATCCTGGGATCGGTCCGCTTTAAATATCCATGCCAAACGGTGGCGATCTACAGAGGACCTTGGGGATGCTGCACCATTGAGCTGTCTCTCCGCTCGTGTCAACGACGTGGATATATAGCTAACAGCTACACTCGCCATAACAGCCGGTGGCAAAGAAGGTTGCCAAGATCTCCGGTGCAGAGGACTTCAACATTCTGCAGAACAACGGCCGCATCGCTCATCAGGTCGTCGACCATGTAAGTTCCGGTCTTCTTTTTCGGACATGATTACAATGTGACTAATACTTGCTGCTCAGGTTCACTTCCACATGGTATGTTGGAAAATTTCGAGTGGTATGAAGAATACTTACCTTACATCTCTTAACAGATCCCCAAGCCTAACGAGACGGAGGGTCTTGGTATCGGCTGGCCAACTCAGGCCACGGACATGGACAAGCTCAAGGCCCTGCACGAGGAGCTCAAGTCTAAGATGTAAATTGTTTTCCACCGATCAAGTCCATCTCTCTATGATAAACTGCATTTTGAAGTGCACAAATGAATATATTTGTTTGTCAACTACCAGCGAAATCAATCATTTTCCAAGTATCGCAGCAACATGGATAGTACCCATGTATGCAACTCTACAACATCGAGTTCTATCCCGAGTCTTCCATCAATTCGGTGTCGGCCCAGCCACAAGTACCGCTAATTCATTTCGAAGCACACGTTGATGGTCAGCAAAAAGATCTCGCAGATGAGGAACTAGATTTTCCTGCATCTGCGCATAGTTCTGGTCATCTCGATGCCAAAGTCCAGCCAACTCCGCTGCAGCCTGGTTGGAGCTCTCTGTGTCATCCTCACTGAATACATAGTGGCTGTTTACTCTGTGAATAGAGCTGCTTCCAAAACCCATTTCAGATAAAACGTTTTTTGCAGTGTGGAGCAAGTGTCCTTGGTGACTGATCTCGGGGTTCTGTGCGCTTAGAGGGACGCAGACGGAATTTATCAGTCTCAGGCATTCATTGTCCGGTGCGCCTTGGACAATTACAATCCTTGAATAAGGGAAAGACACGTCCACCACACGGGTAAGCTCTCGCAGTGATTTCCCAAGGTCGCTCACATGGTCCAGAGTAAACATTGCAAATGCGGAATCAAAGCTTCTATCTTTGAATGGCAGACTTTCGCATAGCACATCATGTCTTTCATGAACCTTTGGTGAGAGAAGCCGGAACGCTGGAATTCAATGTCAGCAAGCTACAGAGAGAGAGAGAGAGTTTTCAACTCACATCCGAATCCACCGCCCACTTCCAACATCTTTTGGCTGTACCTCAGAGCGTTATTAACCGCATTTCGTCTTTCCCCGACAGTTAATCGGTCCTGAAGCAAGCTCCAGGTTTCGTCATGGCGCGGTCGTGACCCGGGATATAATATCGGGAGAGGATATGGGCCAAGTAATGGATGAAGATTTGTCTTTCTTGCCACTATGAAATAATGAACTTCTGTTGGGTTGTACTCCGGGTCTTTGGGAGTGAACTTGAAGGCCTGGTCTGCTTCAATGGTGAACCCTGCGAGTTGAAGAAGAGCCTCCCATCCACTCTCAGACAGGAAAGTCTGTTTGCATGTCTTCGTCATCCATGTCGTTCTCACCCCTCGCACGCAATTCCAGATAGGGTCATAGACGCCCAGATCCGGAGGCAAGCTAGTGCTTGGTGTCGCTCCCAGCACTAGAACACCTCCTTCGCGCAACCACTCGGCAAATCGAAAGACCACTGAATAGGTATCACTCGGAGAGATTTGGTAAAGCGAATACGCCGCAAAGACAGCATCCAACGTGTGTGGCGGGGTGTAAGTCCTCATATCGGCCTTTTCAAAAGTGCCGCGCACCTGACTCCGGGCAATCTTCACCATCTCCTCCGCGACATCGATTCCATGCACCTCGTGGCCGTTGTTGGCAAGCATTTCCGCGACGGGTTTCCCAGTCCCACATCCAACATCTAGTATCCGACTGCCGGGTTTCAACATTTTCATCGCACGGTTGACGATGCCATGGAGGTAAGGGTTGTCTGCGTATGCATCTTCGTAGCGTTTTCCGAGATAATTGAACAGTTTCACTGCATCGACTTCCATGATGAATATGGAACTGGACTGAAGAGGGTAGAAGGCGTCCGTATAGAATTGATGAGTGGACGAAATTGCAAGAAAGATGATATGGAGAGAAGAAATTCGTGACAGCTCCTTTGGCTTGATTGCGAATTGGGCGGGGAAATCAGGCTCCCCTTATATAAAGTACCCTTTGAACACATGATTCATTGTTGCATGGGAAACCTGCAGTAGCAGCATACGGGATTACAGGATGGTCGATATTCGCCGTGGGGTGTACGGTGTACATACATTCTTGTTGGCTGTTGGCGATGTAAGACGATGTCCAGTACAACAAACAGAGCACCCGCAAAAGCGACTATTCATTTCCGCTTATATTTAGTAAACTATAACCAAATGTGTGTAACAGAGGCTGAAATGGTGATTCAATGGTTTATCCCAATGGAGAGAGAAGATGCTTTCAGTTGGCGTTATTGATCGTTTGTACAGGTAAACGAACGATATGCAACAGGCAATACCCCTGTCGAAGAGATGATGTAAATAGAGGTATTCCATGTAGATCCCCGTTCATGCGGAGCAAAGCAGTTACAAAGAAGTACTTTTGTAGCACCATGGACAAGTCTAGGCTGTGGTGATTCCATTGTATTTTTTAACCTGAATATTTACTGTATGGTCTTGAGTGAGTCTAGACGGTCTTTTATATACTTCTAGAATTCCTTGAAATGGTGTTTCGATTACTTGCTGGGCTCTGCCTAGATAAGAACTTGACGTGGCATGATATTGCTTTTTTTTTTTCCCGTATCAAAAAGCAACAAGGCTCCAGTGGATTCTGGAACTGGGATCTCGCGGTGTGGACTCAAATGTTCCTCAAATACAACCTTCCAGTTGGTAGCCTGGTAAGGTACCTATCAAACGTCACTGCGATGGCTGGACCCTTGCATTACACCAGACGGCACTGCTCAAAATACATTCTCTGGCACGTTGGAAACATCATATTGATGCACCGTATGATCATGGTGACGGCCCTTGCAGATTGAACAGGGTTTTACAGAATGTAGAAAGTCATAATGCATTTGGTACCTTGTGGGTACTTAAGGCTGTCATGGATGAAAAGTAAATTGAGAGCTGGACTGAGGTCACGACATGCTTTTTTTTTGGAAGAGTGCCGCTTGTGAAACAATGGATCTCTTTCAGATAAGAGTCTATAGCGACTGCTTCGATAGAGAAGATATTAGTGCCTGTATATTTCCGACGCCATTTTCCAGTTAAAATTTGGAAGCCCAGGAATTGGTTTGGTGAGTAGAGACCTGACATGAATGATGAACAAGGAAATAAATGAAATGGAAATTTTGTCCAATATTATACAGCCAAATATGTTCTTTTATGCAAAATCTAACAGTCTAGTAAAATGCCCGAGATGCGTCAGTCGCCTTACCCGTGGGCTTGTCTCATTAGGCAGTCGATTTCTTTTCAGAGTTAGGGTAGAATTCAATCTTCCCATCTCCTTGGATGATGTTCAGTCGGTCGTAGAAAGATCTCGAGCGGACATACGGGTCCAGCTCCCAGTATTGTGCCCTCAAACGCTCGACCAGTTTGTTTCTTTCTTCCGTTGCCGTAGCGATGGCTTCCTTGTTGTTCTTGGAGTTGGCCGAAATCCATGAAATTGTAGCAGCCTGCATTTCTTTGGCGAGTTCTTGCCTTTCGGCAAGCAGTCTATCGCGCGTGGCTGTGTCTTCCATCAACTTATCCTCACCAGGTTGAGGCTCCACATATTTATATTCCCAGTCTTCTTCACCATCAAGTTCCTTCATTATGCGGTTGCGCGGAATGAACTTCTCGAGGTCCTGGGCATTCTTGGTGAAGTGGACCTTTGCGGCGACTACTGGATCAAGCCAGCCTTTGATGATACTCCAGATTCCTGTGGGGCCGGGTTAGATGGAGCATAAAGAGCCTACACAAAGAGCAATACGAACCTGAGAAAATCCAGGGAGCTTTGTGAACGAGAACGGCACCCAATGACTCGGGGTAATTAGCCTCGAAGCACTTGATCATGAATTTCACCGGTGTGTAGTCCTAGGACAGATTAGCATCTGGTATACCCCTTGGCAGTGGAGAAAACATTGACTTACCATGTTTGCCAAAGAGAAGTTGGTCATGTCAAAAACGATTGTCTGTTCCCGTTAGATCTCTTCTTGGCCATCAACTTGATTCGACACTTACGGCAGTTTCAATCGGAGGAGCCAGCAGCATTCGGGCGGATTCAATGATATACACTGTGTATCGCTCCATAACCTCCACACTTTGGTCGGATGCTTTGTGAGCGCGCACTCTGACATTGCAAATTGGGCGGCCAGCCTTGTCGACACCGTGAAGGAAACTCTTGCCCATACGCATTTGGTTCAAGAACTCCTCACCCGCCTTCTTTTCCGCAGGATCAGAGCTTTGCGACTGCTTCAGAGCGAGGTGTTCGCCATTCATCATGATATCTTCGTCTACCTTCGCATCAACCTTTCTCCACCGCATGGTAGAGATCATCATGATCAGCGCCTTTTTGATATCCCACTTTCGTGCTCGCAAGAATCGCAGAAGCAAAGAATCGGGGTGGTCATGTTTAACCATGCTCCAAAAGCTCTGTCGGATTTCCTCGGGCGAAATGTCAGCAATGGCCTGCTGGAATTCCTTGGCCTGGCCATACTTGTCGTCACCATCAGTTATATCGCTGAGATTCAGAGACGAAGCACCGGACTTTGATTTCTTGCCCTGCGATGAACTTTGTGAAGATGTCTCGCCATCAAGCTTGACACCAAAAACCTTCAACGTCAAGACCCAAAGCTCTCGCAGCTTAGCTTCCTGCTCTGGCGTGAGCTGGGTCACGGTCCCGGGGGCTGCTTCAATAGGCATCGTTTGGAGAGTGTCGATCACTTCGAGATATGGTTCTTGCAAGTACTGTGTATCTTGAGGGCTCGATACGGCGGGAGATTCTTGACTGGAATTGAAGTATTTATCTCGCACCCACGTTCCTCCACCGATAACGACCAATGTGGCTGTGATTGCCCAGAACGATGATGCGGCCTTGGGTTTCCTCAACGATGATGAGGAAGTGGAGAAAGGTCGACTAAACGGATGGGTCCGATTTAAAAGACCCTGGCTCTGATACGGAGAGAATAAGGGTCTTGCACTTCCCACTTGATGCAGCGATCTGGCCGAAGAAGAGAAAAGACGGCGGCGTAAGAATAGGCAAGCAGGCATGTGCTCAGGTGCTGCGGTGCTGTTCCAAGGAAACCGGAGGTGAGGAATGGGAGAAAAAGCAAAAGGATTAATAACCCCCTCTCGTCGAGTTTGGAATCGTGACGATCCAATAATATCAAGCAACAGGCGAATGAGGGACCCCCCTTTGAAACAGTAGAAATGAAATTCGCAAGCGATGCGGGGAAGAAATGAGAGACGTGGAAACGCTTGGAGCTTGGGGGAGTTTCTGGTTCTTTGCAGTGTATGGACTTCCGCCACCAGCCGACGGACTAGGCATAGTAATTAAGCCTGGTTTCAATGCATTATTCCAGGGTTACGCTTGCGGTGCAGTAGCAGTTGATGCTATAGCATGGTGTGTTATAGACAGTAGCAATGTTAATTCCCAGACTGATGGAAGAAAATAAGAAAGTAGATCACTGATTGATTCTCAGATCATCATCACGCGTCCAATTGACTGTTTGTTGCTGCCCCGCCGACCGACTCTCCTCCCACTCACTCTCTTCCCTCTCTTCAACGCCTGATCGAACCTCAACGTCAAGCCCCAGCGCATTCGCAATGATGGACGCCTCCAATGCCCCTCTATCGTCCTCTCGTCCTCAGCCGTCTTCTAGGCCCACGACTCCCCTACGACCCAGTTCTCGATCCTCTTTCCGCGAAGCGCACGGTTACGGGAACAGCATCAGCAATGCCGGCTACACTCAGCCTGCGATCAATGCTCTCGAGCCTCAGTTTGCAGAACTCGCAGATTCGATGGCAGATCTTGAGGCAAACTTTATGCACTTGCAGTTGATGCATGAGAGTTTGACGCGGTTTAGTGAGAGCTTTGCTAGTTTTCTGTATGGAATGAACATGAATGCGTTTTGTGTGGACTTTCCAGAGGTATGGGCGTTGATCTTGGTTGCTTCAGTCATTGAGAAATACTGATTCAGATATGCAGGCTCCTATCACTGAATCATTCCGAAGAGCAAAGCAAGCCGAGGCAGAGAAATGTATATCTAGCACCCTTCGAAATACCAATAGGAATGGTCAGATACTAATTAATTACCCAGTAGCTGAAGCCGAAGCCGAAGCTGATCAAATGCGACCGACCCATGATGGTGAAACTACATTTATGTGAGTGATGAGTTGCTTTTCAGTTAGCCATTGATCTAGCTTTAGAGCGTGCTAACCACAACTCGAATGCAGGACCACGGATACATCGTTTGTCGAAAACCCTCCGACGGTATCTAAACCGACATCCAAGTATTCTGTTCCCCGAGGAGGCGCTCGCGGGTCTACTCGCGGATCGACTCGCGGTACGACTCGTGGCACAACTGGAAGCCGTTATTCTACCAGAGGACGAGCTCGTCCAAGCGCATTACCCAGAGGCAGAGGAATTCGATGAACGCATGCGACGCATACATGAAACCTATGCTAGTTTGGAGACGTCGGGTATAACAAGGGTGGTTCTACAGTTGCTTGCAGAGAGCCTGCACCCTTCACTTCTGGATCAACAGTAGGGACCGTCAGACAGATGCTGTGGGAACTTATTTGGGTCACGGCTCTGTGAATTAACGGGCTCTAGGGACAATGCCAATCGAGGATTCCGTTAATGGAACAATGGCTGGCTGCGTGGGCAACACCGTTCGCAGACATTGGGTTACGCCCTGCCCTTGATCCAGCAAAACCTGGCCTTGTCAAAGCATCATTTCATTGTCCTCTAAAGGGGCATTGATATCATGTTGCATTATTTCTTATTGATAAACTTATGAATGGATGTGTACACGGACATGACGATCTAGTCTGCAGCTCGCTCTAGACTAGCAACACAATGAATAGAATAAATTCTAAAAAGAAATAAATAAAAACCAACAACAATAGGATAGAGTCAACAACCATGTTTCAACCAACAATAAGTAAATCAAACCGAGTCTCCAAATCTCCAACTCGCCTGTTGCGGATCAAACGCACTCCCGGTTTCTTATCGCCTCCGAGCCGCGGTCGATCCTTGAAAAGACTCTCTTTGAACCCATCGCGAGTGACGACAGCAGCTCCTCTTGCAAAACCACGCAGACAGGATCTACATTGCCTGCGATTGCAATCTAGTCTCCGATCGATTGGAACGGCCTTCTTTCGCGACACGGCGATCTGCCTCCGCGTTGAGGATAGCGTTCGGTCCGGGACCGACACCGAAACACCTGCGGAGAAAGGCTGGCAACATCGATCGGCTTTGCGACTTGGACGGCTTCACTGCAATCGCCCATTCACCAGATCTCGCTGCTTCTTGTGCACTGCCATTGGCTGCCGTTATTGGGCGGCTGGATCGATAGACACTTGGAGAATAATGCTGGTGTGTTACGGCCAGGGTCATTAATGGTGTTTCAATCCATGGATTCCCGGTCCAGCATCGTCGCTCGCTGTTGAACCTAGTACATACTGCTATCGCTTCTCTCCACGCTATAGAGCTAGAAGTCTTCATCTCTCGCCTCTCTTCTATCACTTCTCTTTACAATTTCTTCTTTTCCTTTTCGGGCTTGATACTTTGAAGCTTCTACCGCCTTTTACCGCACATACCTATATCATTCCACAATGGCAAGCATCGATTCCGTTACCCTCCTCTCTGAGGCTGAGTATGGTTGTGGTATGCGAGAGTCAAAGAGCCCCAATTGCATCTCCATGTCTCAATGCTGACCAGTATCCAGAGCATCTTGCCACTATACTGTCACAAGATGAGAACACTGCTGGCCAGTTCAAGAGCTCTTTTATTAAAACACACCATAAACTAGCTCCGCAAACAACTCCTTCAAGTGGTACATCTCAACAGAAACCTGGTCTCCATTACTCCAGTCTCCTCAAGCCCAAATACACATGCTTGACTTGTTCGGAGGCGTGTGTAAATGGAGATCGAAAAACACATACGCAGAAAACCGGCCATCGATTCTGTAAGGAGAGGAATGATGAGGGAGTTTTTAGATTGCTAATTTTCTGTTAGATATGGAATCGAGGGGCCGTGCAGTCTTTTGTCAAGGTTGTGGTGACTTTGTTTACGATCATGGTCTGGAGCGCCTGCGATCGTCGGCGCCAGACAGTATGCTTACAGGTTTGTACTCAATTCTACTCTAAATATTCGTTTCATGCTCTAATGTACAGCAGCCCCCAACAAACGTCGTTTTAGCGAAAGCTCCTCCGACGAGCTCTATGTCAGAAGCAATGCCAACAAGCGACCCTGTGCCAAGCAAGGCGTTAGAGGCTTGTTCAACCTCGGGCAGACTTGTTATTTGAATGTCGTCCTTCAGACGCTACTACATGATCCCATTTTGAATACTTACTTTCTTGGAAACGGTCATCAATCCCACGATTGCACCGTTCGTGATTGCATAGGTTGCGCCGTCGCAGAAGCGTTTTCTGATTTTAACAGCAGCGATAAGGCCGAGGGTTTTGCTGCACTAAGCTTACTGCTAGCATCATGGCGGGCAAGTCCTGTAAGTGACTAAATTGCTCTTAAAGTTAGGGGCCCTGAGAGATGCTGACTTGCTCTCAGACCTTGGCAGGATACCAACAGCAAGATGCGCACGAATACTACCAATTTCTCGTCGACAAGCTCCATTCCAGCACCGACGGGCATCAAGAGAACCATGAGAAGGGCTGCTCTTGTTTCTTTCACAAAACCTTCTATGGAAAGCTGCGGAGTAGCGTGACCTGCGACAAATGCGGCAACGTGACACGAACAGAAGATCCTATGGTGGATCTGAGTCTTGACGTTCAAGCGAAAAAGCGAGCGATGGGTGGTGGCACCGGTCTCTCATCGGCACCAACTCTGAATGGGTGCTTAGAGAGCTACACATCCCCAGAGAGACTTATGGCAGATGTATATAACTGCAGTGGGTGTGGTGGAACTCCTCAGAAAGCGACGAAACAGCTGCGAATCAAGAAATTGCCGGCAATTCTATGTATGCAACTGAAGGTATGTCTCCCTCTTTGTTTATCTTGTATTTGGCTTTCATAAACTAACCTAATCTGCTGCAGCGTTTTGAGCACACATTTTCGGTCTCCGAAAAGGTCGAAGGAAAGATCGATTTCCCCCTGTCGATCAATATGCTTCCATACACTACCAACCCGCACACTCAACGAATCGACAAGTCCAGATTCATGTATGACCTGTCGTCTGCTGTGGTGCATAAAGGAAAACTGGACGCGGGACATTACTACGTCTATTGCCGTCAGGGTGACCAGGTTCGTAGCGTCATCTATCTCCCCATCTCCCCTACCAGCAAGGCAGACCAACTAACAATAGCGCAGTGGATGCTTTTCAACGACGACCAGGTAACAGCAGTAACAGAGGCCGAGGTTCTCAGTGCCGACGCCTACCTTTTGTTTTACAACCTACGATCCTTGGCTTCTCCGCGGTAATCCACGGGGAAGAGGAATACTGCTTACGATGGATTGTTCTTGGACGGTGAGTTTTTTATTTTCTTCGCATACAAGTATCGGGAACGGGGGGAGTCATTGGGAAGGAGTTCTTCTTTTGTTTGTTGGTTAGGTTGGTTTGTGTATCTGCTTTTGGGGGGTTGGGCATCTAGATTGGTCGTGGATGTGATGCAGTAGTTAGACTACTGTGGGGTTGTTTTGATAGATTTAATGTCAATATTATATTTGGTATACAGAATACGGAGTCGGTAGGTTAAGGCTTTATTAAGGGTGCACCTCCAGGTCATCGACAAATGCCAAAGGCCATAGGTCAAAAGAACATGAGACACGTACACATGTGCGTTGTATGTCCATTACGATTCAGGCATTCTGTTGGACTGGGATAGGTCCGACTTTGATAGACCAAGCTACGTCGTGTCTGGACCACAAACTGTCTGCATGACAGAGTAGTCCAGACACAATCAGGCAGACAGTATCTTAGGATAAAAGAAGCAGATGAGGACGGTAAGAGATGCATTCATGACATTACGACCGGTCTCCGTTGCCCGTCGAACCGATTCGCCGCAGGTATTACATTACACCAAGGTAGTAGTAATGCAACAGCGCTCTTCGCTCCCATATGTAGTCTTGTCTCTTTTATGCCCAGTAGTCCATGTCGAATGCATCTCGCGAGAATCCAGGAATGGTTGATTAAAAAAAGAAATTGTCCTCATTCAATTCAGTAAGATGAATTGGGGAAGAATAATAAAAAGGAAAAAAAAAAGGTCGACACCCCTTGGTTTATTCGTCCACGCCGGTATCTGCAAAGGTTCCATTTTAATTTCTTTTTTTTTTTTCCTTCCCCATTCACTTAGGTTTTTTGTCTGCCCATCGGAATTCAAGCAATTGGCTTTCCTTTTTATTTTCCTCCCATGGTTGCTACCAAGCGCCGAGCACGTAACGGAATCGTGAACACGAATGGATCGAGAAAAAGAAGTAAACGGATTTAACGGTACTGTTAGAGGGTAATCGCGGTTAGTTGTTGTTCGTCCTTGTCCTCGTTTTCCTCCATCCCGGTATATTTCCAGATCGTAGGCCATGTCAAAACCAACCTTAGCGAAACCGATGTCCGTAGACTTCTCACGGAAGCACTGACGGCAGATGTTCATCTGTAAAAAGAAAAGTCCCCATCAGTTATCATGTCCCCAAGTTGCAAATCTTCAAAAGTGGATGTTGATATTTCCCATACCCCGTACTTGCGGATAAGACCGGCGCGGTGCGAGCAAACACGGCTATTATTTGGTCGTAATTAGCAAATCTGATCTCGTTCCAACGACTCCTTATCCTGGATTTTCTATCGCATACCAACTGCGGGATCCCTTGCCGTACCTATAGACGGAAAACACATTAGCTTCAATTTTCTTCCACCCATCTTCAAGACAATAATTCCGGGATATGGGAGTTCTTACTTGCGGGGCCGGCTGTACCACACGGACTCGTGAGTCATCTTGAATATGAGGGCGAAGGAGAACCTGGGTTGACGGTGTTGTCGCGGACGGTTGGTGTCGCTGGGCGTTGGAGAGGACGAAAAGGTTAGGGTTGAAAATGCGTTGTGTGCTCCCAGACCCGATATGCGGGCTTCGGGGCAGCCTCTCGCTTGAGGCGACGCTAAGCCTGTTTGGGAACCAGTTGCTATCGGGTGGTCATGTGAGATTGCGCTTGTCGGTTTTGGGACTAGCTGCCCGCTTTTTCTGGAGATGGCCGGGACGACGATTTTCCGATCTACTCAATCCACCTGCTCTGGGACATGGGTATTGAACGACGCCAATGCGAATGAGTCGATAATTATCTATAACACGAAATGCTGATCATCCATGATACGACCGTTCAATCAGATTCGTACTGAAATCTATGGGGAACCGCATCTACACCAGTGGACTTGAGACTTGACCGCACTCGCAAGGTCCTCACTGCAGACAATCATCTCCATGCTTTGAATTCACAATGATTACTGTTGAAAATCCAGCAAAGCATAGTTAATACTATCTATAAAGCACAGCTAAAAGATCTCAGATCATGATCTTACCAGACGTCGAATCAGACATCGGAACTGCATCAAATCCATCAAGAAAGACCCACATAAAATCGCCCGCGATAAGCTTCATGCAAGCTGAAATGGGAAAGAGCTAGCCTAGTACGAATGACTTGCTAACTTGCCAATGAAAGTTGCATTTTCTCATGGGCTGTTCTCCTCCCTTTTGATCGATATTGGCACATGGATAAAGCCGTTTGCTCACAAGTTTTCGGGGTTTGATCATGTCCCGCTGGCGATTCTACGGTGATGTGATTCTCGACCATGCTGGCTATTCTATACCACAAAGTTTATTCCAGCCGTAGTCCTGATAAATGAATGAGGGATATTACAGTTGGTTTACTTGAAGAAAGACACATGGAAGATCACCAGATCCCTGTATCCGTCCTCGTCCGGGCTAACTATCGGCAGTCAGATATTGCAAATGTGACAAAGGGACTCGATAGGGCTACTAGCACATACATATGCATAGTCCATTAACAATAGTCAGTCCTACCTAGGTACCTCCGTAATGTATAAATTGGCCAAGAACGTAACTCCGAGTCACAGCTCCGAAATCCATACATACATACAGGCAAAATGGACAACTACCGAACAGAAATCGCCGGTATCCGAATTATGTACGAGGGCGCGTACATTACAAGGGCGATACATAAAAACAGCTGTAGAAAAGGTTCCGTAACTTCCGACTGAGAGTCTGTTGAGGAATTTAATTATGATCACCATCTAACTCAATCCATAGTGAATAAACCGTTCTAGGCAGAAGAGTAAGATGGAGATTAAAGTCTACAATAATTAAATACAAATCCGAACATCCGAGAGGAAGCGTAATGGTGGCGGGGAAAAAAAGAAAAAAGAAAAAAAGAATGGACGAACGGTGGATTGAACACCGGACTTCTCGCATGCAAAGCGAGCACTCTACCACTGAGTTACACGCCCAGTTGTGATATACTCCCCACCAACTTTTAGTCTCATATCTTCAGCAGCACTAACTCAGCAAAACTCATTCGCACATCAAATCCAGCCCACACGGGACCACCCGTTCGCTAAATTCATACAGCGTTGATCCTGATCTAGGTAACTATCGTATGTGCCGGATTTCCGAATTCTTGTTACTGACATGAGTAATCATCTACATTCTACTCCATGTAGAACCCGATATTCCGAAATTCCGCTTTGATGATCTATTGAGGCATGGCATGGTCTAATTGATAAAAGATCAGATGGTGGATGCATTATTAGGACAGGTGCACAAACTTGCCAGTGCATTGCATGACTCAGGCTATCCGTACATTTCGTGTGGCTGTGGAATCCATCGAGGATGATAGGCTGGTTTTTTATATGGATTATCAATCATTATCAAACTGCACTATGTACCTTGCACGGGCTATAGTATTGCCCGATTATCGAAGAATTCAGCAGGATATCGGAAATTGGTCCCACCAGTCCATAATGTATGGTTTGATCTGGTGGAACAGTCGGAAAGGAAAGCATTACTCATAGAACCGAGAAAACTCTGTAGAGGCGACTATCTCGAATTATGATGGATCGGCAAGGATAAGAATTCGATGTGCACTGTCATGTTGGCATGTTCCCAATGACAAGATGGATTTTCAACAGCGATCGATGGTGATGATGATTTCAAGTCCTCCATACCAATGTGTAGTAGTTATGCGGGGTGTAGTACGAAATGTACAATGTACAAAATGTCAGATCACCATGCAGATATGATTAATAATGACGCTCGAATTCGCAATTAAAGTTGGCCTATTACCCATAATGAGTCATGATGGATAGATAGCATGGGCTTTGCTGGAAAGAAACCCGAGCAAGTAAGCTGCGTGGAAAGAGGGTGCGTGGATATACAGAGCTGTTGTTTGTATAGGAAGACGGAAGAGCGCGGATGGGAAAAGTGTGCCGGCACCAATCATGGCTGCCAAGGTAGGATCGTCGGTCGGGTTGTCAGATGGTCAGTCATCCATCAGTATCCATGATCCATCGGCCATAAATCCATGAATCCACCCGGCCTACGGACTGGGTAGACAGACAGGGCTGGAAGATGCAACGTGCGAGGGTCCGATAGTGGGGTTGGTCTAGTCGAGGATATTGATGGCGGCCAGCCACAGGGCGATTAATTCAATATCGATTCACTATTGAATGTTAACACTGATCGTGTTGTGCTACTGCAGTAGTGCTGTTATCTTCCAAGATCATAAGATTCACGTCATTTGTCCAGCTGGCCAGTGCTTACACCACCTAGGTAGCCACGATATCATCACTTACACGAACTGCCATGCAATTAACACGGGCAAGAGTCGGTATTAATAGCGTTGCATTATTTTCAGACCACCTCGATCATGTGTACATCGGATTGCATGAGGGGATGGTCAAAATAGAGAATGATCTTCATGAAGAAGAGGGGGTATGTACTACTGGTATACAGCAAAGTCGACTCCGCATCCCGCTTTTATGTACGCGGTAGAGCTGTTCTTGATGATTGATTGGTATGTAGTGATGATCTTGAGCTTATCATGCCTTTTTTGTACCCCCCTCCTCACTATTGAGCCAGTATACCTGGAGAGTACGAGGTGGTGTACAGCGGTGTGCCGTCCATGCAAGGGTAAGCTTGGACTTCGCTTAGTCGAACCTACCTACAGAGTCAGGTATGAGGGTTGGGAAGCAACAAAGACTCATAAGGCGGACGGAGGATTTCCCAGAGCTGGAAACGGACTTTCGCGCTCTCCATTGGCCGAGACAGGGATTAGCAGGGCCAGCGCCAAAATCCGAGGTGCTCAGTTTGTTGTTGTAGCCTGTGATTCCACTCGACACATATATATGGCCTATGCTGGAACAGGAAACTGACTGGTTCTCCTTTGGTCCTTTTTCCTCCCCAACTAAGGATGCCTAGAGCTGTTGGAAATGCATGCCAGGTACAGGGATAACGTCATAAGCAGGCTGCCATCAACACTCTCTCACTCACACACTCAGCAGACACGTAAGGATTTTATGATTCTTGATTCATGCAACACAAAAATCAAAAACAAGCCTATTCTCTAAGACACGGAGTGAGTCGTAGAAATAAAGTATCCAGAACCGGTTCTGGCTGGTAAGTGGCCAGACTAGCGGTCGCTGTTTAGACACGATGAAGTCACCCGCTTGGGCCAGTAGGAGGGACTTACTCGTTCTGGATTGCAGAGTTTCCCGGCACATCCGATTTCCGAGTGCCAAGACGTCTTTTTTTTTTTTTTTTTTTAATAAATCTGTACTTTTGATTTTATACTTCCCCTCTTTTATTTAGCCTTACAGTCGTAGATCATAGTAAACACTTCTTTATATCAGTGAGAGCAACAAAGACAGCAAAATAAAATAATACCAAAATGTATTCGATATAGAATATAGAATAAAGAATAAAGAATGGAAAATAGAAGATGATTAAAAATGACATAACAGAGCCTAGGTCTGGCTGACGGACTTACAGTTCGGCCCACGGAATCCAAGGCTGAAAAACACGGCCGATCCTGGAAGCTCCTCGTTTTTTGTTTCCACGGCCCTGTCGGCTTCTTATCCCCGCCTGCCACCGAATGACCAAGAGCAAAGAGAAAAAAAAAAAAAAAAAGGGAATAAAAAACCAGGCAGGTTGTAATGATTAAAAGACTTTCCGGCGCCCAAGGCTCGGTTGCTTTTTTCTCTTTCTTTCTGTTTCCTTTCTGATCTCATCCTTTTGTCTTTCCTCTTCACCTGCTCTCTAGCTAGCTCGGCTGCTTTCTTCATACTTCCTCCTCTCTATACTCCAGTTGACGACGTCAGCTCCTCCCAAAAGCTGGCGGCAGGGAAGCGGAAGCCTACATAGCTTGCACAACATTCGCTAGAGCTGTACCAGTTTTCTCAGCTCTAGCTCTACATACGCTTAGTTTTAATCATAATCGCAATCACTTCGGAGTAAGCTTTCCAAAAAAAAAGCTCTTTTGCCCATGTGGCATAAAAGTTCTCAGGCCGCGCTGGCGGCATCCCTTTTCGTGTCGCTCGCAAATGCTCTCCCTCATGGAGATGAGAGCATGGACATGGATATGGGCATGGGCGGAGATATGAATATGGACATGGGCACCGCGACTAGCCATGCGCAACCATCCGCGTCAAGCCCAGTTGTCGAAAACTCCCCCATGAGTTATTTCGCGTATGGAAAACACTCGGGTACCATCATAGCACACATTGGCCTCATGGTCCTGGCCTGGTGTTTTGTCCTCCCCATAGGTAAGAACCAACATGGTAGTCATTGAAGTCTTCCCAGCTGATCCCTCCCAGCGGTCATGCTCAGTGTTGCGCGTTCGCGATTCGCGTTGCCGTCACAATTCGTTTTCTTGATTTTCAACGCCTTTGGATTGCTCGTCGGTATCATCTATAACGGTCAGACCCCAGATCTCTATGAGAACAACGCGCACCACAAAATTGGCTGGATTGCAACCTGGGTGGTTGGTGCGCAAGTCTTCCTGGGCTTGATCTTTGCCTATGCTGGGAGAGGGGAAACCAATGCAACTTCGTATGAACGAGCCGCATTCCTCCCTTTGTCGACCGATGAGACGATCGACAACCTGAACACCTACCCGACTGGCCCTCGCCATGACTACCGTTGGTCTGGTGACAGCGGCCAGGGAACCGAAAGAAACTCGTCTTCCCTCCACAGCCCTGGATCGCCTTCTTGCGAATCGTCGGAGGACTACGATGGCTTTGAGAAGCCCGAGGAGCAGATTGATCCAGAGCCCTCCAAGCCTCGGGGCTGGTTGCACAACAATTTCTTTGGACGCTTTCTGGCCAGTCGTGTGCCGGGCTTGGTTTCGAGTCGAGTCCTCCGTGGTTTCAACTTTGTGTACTTGGTCATTGACCGCATCATTTTGCCATTTGGCTTCGTTGCCCTTGTCACGGGCGGTGTGACTTATGGTGGCATCATGGTGAGGCTTTCTTATTAGCAAAAGAGGATGGAAGACCATTTACTAACGTGCATGTCTTTGTAGAGATCCAGAGAAATTTTCAACGGACTTGCGCACTTCATTAAAGGAGGAATCTTCATCTGGTACGGTTTTCTGACACTCGGACGATGGATGGGATGCTGGGCAGACCTTGGCTGGGCCTGGAACTTGAAGCCCTCTAGCGCCATTGTCGGCAAGTGGAAGGCCAATGTGCCCACTGGCGAATTCACCGAGTCATTTGTGATCTTCCTTTACGGAATCACCAACGTCTTCCTTGAGCATCTCTCTGGTGCAGGTGGCGCGTGGTCCGCCACGGATTTGGAGCACGTGTCTATCACCATCATGTTCTTCGGTGGTGGCCTGGTAAGATACAATCTGGGGTTGTCTTTGAAACTCTGCTAACTTTTCTTGTACTAGTGCGGAATGCTTTTCGAATCGAAGCGCATCAAGAGTTGGTTAAACAGCACCGTCTTGCAGTATCCTACTCGCGGCACACACGGATCTTCGGATGTCGCCTGGCAGATCCCCGACACTCAGGATGTATCGCTTAACCCGATGCCTGCGCTGGTGATCCTTCTCCTCGGCATGATGATGGGATCGCATCACCAAACCAGCATGGTCTCAACCATGGTACACAAGCAATGGGGTAACCTCTTGGTTGGGTTTGCGCTTGCTCGGGGCATGACCTATGTCCTGATGTTCCTCAAGCCCCCAACCTCCTACTTGCCCGCACGCCCACCCACAGAGATCGTTGCTTCTTTCTGCTTGATCGCTGGTGGCATGATATTCATGCTTAGTGTTAGTATATCCATTGGAGAAAGAACAAGAATTGTTGGCTGACTTGTCCCAGACACGCAATGTGGTCCAAGCGATGGAGTTCTACGAACTAGACGCAATGTTTGCCTTTACCGTGGGCATGGGTCTCACCGCCTTCGTTATGGCGTGGGAAATCCTGACCATTGCCCTCAAGGCCTGGGCGGTGAAGCGAGAGGCACCCCCACGATTGGCGCCATTTCAGTTCCCTGCTTAAGCATTCAACTCGACTTCATCTCCCCTCGACAGCACCGCAACGATACCATTGCATGGAATGAACGAAGAAAATACGAGAAAAACAAAAAAACAAACGATGTGCCCGACCATATGATTTTGCCAGCTTACAGTTTTATACCCCCTATACTATTTGATTTCTTCGGCCGGCGTCTCACGCGAAGCCGGCATAATACCATGGATGATACCTCAGCCGGGTGTTGATTACACCATTATATTCATGATGATTTTCATGAAACGATATTTCACGGATTAAGGACATATTAATGAGGTGGTAATATGAGGATGACCTGGCAGATCTTGTGATACTTGAACTTATTCATGGATATTTTCTAAAAAATATATTGCATTCAAGCATGAACTGTGTTCCTAATACTGAGTAACTATGTGACGACGAAAAAGCTTCCATCAACTACCTCTCTTGTACGTTTAAACTTGAAGCGAGTAGTAAGCCAACGCTGAGCCTGTAACGCTGGAAAACCTCCAGTAAGAGACTAGGAATGTTTGGGCGTGGAATGAACATTGAATAGCCTCAGACAAAACAGAACGCCTGCTAGGTGTGAGCCTGCCGTGACCAACGCCTCCGAACTAGTCGGGGACTAGCCCCTCGAATCTCAGCGCTCGTGTTGCGATTCTTCGTAGCGATCTGATGCCTAGGGAAATCCCGAAGTTGGGATCTTGTCCCTGGAGGATGTGTGGACCAAAAAGTACACGGCGGGGCAAAGTGACTTGCTGCTGTGTACCCTGCGGCGGCTCTGGAAAAATAGTCTATCTTCCATTAGTTCTGATAATAATGGTAATGTGATGAGTTGAAAGTGACCTCTGATTGAATGCGAATCGGCAAGCCCTGCGCATCTAGTCCATATAGTTCAAGCCAGCCCCTAACCGCGTTTGATGCGCCAACTTTCGCCCACTAAGACAGCGCGGACTTTCCCATTGCCTCCTACAAGCCATAAATTCGTGGCGTGTAGCAGACGAGTCCAACTCTCGCTCCACCCACTCTCTATAACAAATCTTGGAAGATTGTCGTCATCTGCGCGCAGAAAAAAATCGGGATCCTTGCGGGAGTTATTGTATCGCCCGCCAACAAATTCCATGGCTATAGAAATCAGTATATAGTGGCAAGTGAGGGAAAAGAGACCGACTAGTGCCAGCTCCAGGCCAGAGGAGCTCAGCTTCCTCGGGAGAAAGGGGAGTTGTTGGGCAGGTAGCAGTAGAGAGTTCAAAGATATTCATTGATATCTATATTGATCACATGACACGATCCCGCAAAGTTTGATAGTATAGCATTCCTGTCAATATGATATCAGCAATAATAATCTGCTCTGCGCGCTATTTATGTGCAGGCCATCCTATCTTATAGTGAAATCTGACTTTGGTGAGCCTCAGTGCACACAAAAAGAGCCACAGTCTATGTACTCCAGTAGTTTGTGTATCTAGCCCCTATAGGCTATACCAGTGCTTTCAGTAATTTTAATATTCACTGCAGGCAATATGTAATGCCGTGCTTTAACCTCTTTGGTATAGCATCAAATTTTATATAGGCTAATGCTTGATCAGTTCCACACGGAGATAAAAGCTTAACGCCGTTGCCGGGAAAGCTTAACGGCACCATTTTGCCGACCGGCAGATTCCTATCCTCAATTCCCTTCTGCGGCTGCAAGATTCAGCATGCATATCTAGGGAATTGGTAGTCTGGCTAGGCTCATTGGCAATAAATCAACCTTGTCTACCCGGGACATTTTTCGTGTCTTCTAGTCTGATGAACAGCGAATCCTGTAACATATGTAGTCAGTTCTGCAACGTCTGTCATATGCTGGCGGTGCTGCACATTAATAATCCTGAGCAAGGAGGGGCAGAAAGTGGGGAGGGGAATTATGCAATAGTAGACTACGTGGGTAGCCACGGCGATTAATTCAGTCTATTATTTAAGAGGGGCATGTTTCCGGGATTAAGACTCCAGATTGCCTCTTAAATCACTTTTTTTTTATCCTTGCTTTCTTTCTTGAACACCATAAAATATCCTTCAAGATGGCCTCTAACCCCCCTGGACCATGCTGCACCACTGGCTTCAAGCACGAGGGTACTCCCGTCGGCGAATTGAAGTCTGCTGGAGGTGGTAAGTTGCTTAGCATCCGGTCAAGCATGGGATCATTGATCAAGGTGTACTAATTTTCGCCCAGTTGACACCTACGTTGTCTACCCCAAGAACAACAAGACTCCTGAGAAGGCTGTCGTTATCCTGACCGACATCTTCGGTATCTTCGTCAACTCCCAGCTCATCGCCGACGAATTTGCCGAGAATGGATACTTGGTCGTCATCCCCGACCTCTTCAAGGGTGACGCCCTCACTCACAGCGCCGTCGAAGCTGGAAAGGTCGACCTCCCTGCTTGGCTTGGAAACCACCAGACCTCTCACGTCGACCCCATTGTCGAATCGACTCTCAAGTACGTCAAGGAGGAGCTTGGTGCTAAGAAGGTTGCTGGTGTCGGATACTGCTTCGGTGCCAAGGTGAGTTCGGTTCCTTAATGGAGCTTCGCAATGGGAAAAATTGGTGAGGCCCATTCTAACCATGGTCTTTTCAATTGTAGTATGTCACCCGCTACCTGAAGGGTGGAAACTTCGACGTCGGCTACCTCGCTCATCCCTCGTTTGTCACCCACGAGGAACTTGGTGCCATCACCGGTCCTCTGTCCATCGCTGCTTCCGGTAAGTTGACTTTTTGCATCGCTCACGATATTGAAGAATGGGATCTGACATCAATTGTCAATAGAAATCGACAATATCTTCACCACTCAGCTCCGCCACGAGTCCGAGGCTACCTTGATCAAGGCTGGCCAGCCCTGGCAGATCAACCTCTACGGTGGCGTCACCCACGGATTCGCCGTCCGTACCGACTTGAGCAACAAGTCTTTCAAGTTTGCTAAGGAGCAGGCCTTCGCCCAGGCTGTGAACTGGTTCAACCAGTACCTGTAAATCATGCAGTGTTGATTCCTCCATAAGTAATGAACTATAGCATATTCATGAATAAAAATGAGAAATGAATCCCTTTCTGATGGAGATTTTGATATTCCCGTAGAAACTTTGGACCCTGGAATAGAAAAATTGCAAGCCTAAACAAAAAAAAGCCCGGTGATAAGGCTTATCTGGTCACGTGAGACCGGGGATCCGCGCCGCAAAAGCAACACGGGCCCACCTGGAGAACAGGTAGCGTCAAGGCGTAAGACGATTCAACGAAAGGTGCCGGATATTCGCATCTTAATAAAACTTGTTGCATCTGCTGGTGGCTATCCAGTTTGTATTTCCATTCTTTCTATTGTCATTGCGGTTGGCATTTAATCTTAGGGATTGTTGTTCTCCTTGTGGTTCGTTCCTGTTTCAACCCATTGTCCGCATCCATCCCTGGGATCGACCAGTGGTACCAGGACTTGCGATTTACCAGACATGGACTGACAGACTTGTTGATACAGTTCACTTTGATTCTGTCTATATAATTCTGTTTCTTAATTCTTTCCTCGACTCTGGGGTAGCGCGCATCCCGTCAACGACTACGGCTTTTCTCTCTCCTTTGCATCTTACGGCATATCCATCTTAATCAGCGTTGCATATCGACACATTTCAGCAATTTCCATTCATCTTCACCATATCTACTCTTTTAAACACTTCTAAACGAGTTGTGATCACGCATAGACGCCATGGCTACGCCAGCCGCCTTGCCACCGTTACCCTTCAACCCTGCCAGGGTCCGCACATATGTTCTCCGACTGCCACTCTTTACCCGCCTAGTTCTTTTGGCCATAATTGCATTCTGGTTGCTTGAATTACAGACGATCTGGAGTGTGGTGCAATGGGGCGCACTGATACCGAATGAGATTGGGCTTGGTACTAGTACGTCTCCTTGTTTACGAAGCCTCGTTCGTGGAGTGCGTGGGGAGCATTGCTAATATGGGGGAACAGTGTACCGGCTCAACACCTATCCTTTTATCCACGCGGGATTCTTCCATGCTCTTTTGAACACAATGGCGCTTACGCCGTTGCTGGAGCGATTTGAGGCAGAGCACGGCACATTGACCGCTGTTGCTCTGTTTATTGGACGTATGTATTATCATTCGATTTGGAGTTACAGCTAATTGGAGAGATGGTCTGGGCTTGAGGGCATGCTAACTTATTTATAGCTCTCTCCACACTCCCCGCGGGTATCTATATTCTGGTTGAGAAGTTCATTCTGCATAACAATACCTCTGTTGTTGGCGCAAGGTTAGAATATGCACTACCCCAAGAAAACTTGAAGATGCTCTAACATTATTGCAGTGTTTGGGTCTTTCTCCTCTTGGGCTCTGAAGCCATTAGAACATTCAAGTCTAACCCGTATTTCACGTATGCTTGATCCATACACCAAGAAATAGTCGAGTCTTTCGTTGCTAACTTTTCTCTCTAGCATTGGGACCATCAAAATCCCCACTTGGACCTCTCCTCTGCTCGCCAATGTCTTTGTTTCGATTCTTGTGCCAAACACCAGCTTCCTTGGGCACCTCTGCGCTATCCTCGTGGGATACTTGCGTGAGTTTTTCTCCTTTGGTCATCTCCATCGCTTGATGCTGACTCTTTCTTTTAGTTGGACTCGGATACCTTAAGGTGTTTGTCCCCCCTGAGAAGATCCTGAGATGGATCGAAGGAAAGTTGAATCTTCTGGGACGACTGCCACACTATGTATCTGTGGATCAAAAGACGTATGGTCGCTATGGTGTCCTGCCTACAACAACTGCGGGGGCCGACCGACCAACACCGTTGAGCTATCTGGGAACCTCGCAACGTCTGGGTCCGTGAAGATATTCGGCAGAGGATCATTACAATTCTTGTGTATATTTAGCTTAGGCATTATGACGCCTTCTTTTGTAACAACTCTTTTTTGAAGGGTTGAGTAGAAGAAGATATGGGCCCATGAAGTGAGTGTTTGAATATCATGTTGTGCAAGTGGTCTCTAGCGGCCGACGTAAATATGCGGGCGTAGTTCTGTAGGGAGCTTTCCCCAGTTCCGAAGATCATCAACGGTTTGTATACCGCAGCATGGGAAGAATTTCCCGAATGTCTCTAATTCAATGGCGTTAAAACGTGAGTTTTATTCTTGATTTACATTTAATCTCTATGGTGCTGTCAGACGACTTTCCCTTTGGCGACATACACCGATCGTCCTCAGTGACGGCATCAAACAAACAGCTGTTGACAACAGGAAAATGACAGCTGCAATCCGCAAATTGCGGAATAATCCTCATCTTCTCTTCGTGCGACTCCCATACTTCCTTTCGTTCGCCTGCATCGTCGTCGGGGTCATCTGGCTTCTCCTCCTTCCCCTGAACGACTACTCCCGCCGAACCTACATCTCGGAGAACGCGCTCTTGCCGGGTCAGGTCCACGCATACTTCTCGGGCAGTGAACAGCACATCTTCCGTGGATACAAGAAGGAAATCGAGACCCTATTGAATAATGGAAGCGAAGGAGAAGGAGAAAATGGGGAATTAGCACCAGCGTATGTCGGAGCCTACATCGCTTACACCGTGGGAAGGAAAGACGGATCTTGCTAAACTCGTCTTTTGTAATAGGGTTTCTGATAAAGTACGGTCGATTCTGCGAGCTGCTGGTTTGAAGGTTGCAACGCAGAATTATGAATACACATCTGCGGGCATCACGCATCAAGGGCAGAATTCCTATGCGATTATCCATGCGCCGCGCGGGGATGCCACCGAGGCCATTGTGTTGGTTGCGGCTTGGAGGACTGCGGATGGCGAGTTGAATACCAATGGTGTCACTCTTGCGTTGACACTGGCGAGATATTTCAAACGTGGGTATTCTATCTTCTGAGAGAGATGGGAGGATAAGTTGCTGATCGGTGTTGTATTGCCTTCTAGGATGGTCCTTGTGGTCGAAGGATATCATATTCTTGATCACCCCTGACAGTAAATCTGGGACGCAGGCGTGGATTGATGCGTACCATGACATGCATCCCTCTTCGGTTCAGCCTCTCCCATTGAAGAGCGGAGCACTACAGGGAGCTCTGGTGGTGGAATATCCGTTCGACCATCGGTTTGAATCGCTGCATATTGTTTATGACGGCGTCAATGGCCAATTGCCCAACCTTGACCTCTTCAACACCGCGGTTTCTATCGCGGGTGGTCAGATGGGAATCGGGGCTAGTTTGCAGGAGATGTGGGACCATGATGACAGCTACGAAATGCGGTTGCAAACTATCCTCCGAGGGATGGTCAAGCAAGGCTTTGGATACGCCACTGGCGCCCATAGCAGCTTCATGCCATACCATATCGATGCCATTACCTTGCAAACGAAAGGAAATGGTTGGCAAGACGAGATGGCGCTGGGCCGCACTGTAGAGAGTCTCTGCCGCAGTCTGAATAACCTGCTGGAACACTTGCACCAAAGTTTCTTCTTTTATCTACTAATGCAGTCCAACCGATTCGTCAGTATCGGGACTTATCTGCCCAGTGCAATGTTGATCGCAGTCAACTTTACCATCATGGCAATTGCCTTGTGGATGCGGACAGGCTACTACACTGGTGTACATCCGAGCTCATCCTCTGCGAACGCAAATGTTCCCAAGGATAAGAAGGAAGCTGAGCAAAAGAAGAACGAACCAGCAGAAAAGAGCTCAAACGGAAAAGTTGAAGCAAGCGGTCTTTTGGAGCGACAATTGGCACTTCCACTTACCGTCGTTGTTGGACTGCACCTATTGGGCCTTGTTCCTCTCTTCATTTTCAACAATCTTTTCCACCAGGTCAGTATTTACCATCTTATGGCTCACCAAACACAACTAACAGGCAACAGTACTTTACCACTGCAACCTACGCGTTCGTCGTGGCCGACATCGTTCTCCCCCTGGTCCTCGCAGCCCTGTTAACCAAAGGCGTCGTGTCCACTCCAACCCCCCAGCAATACCTCCTAATCAAATCCTTCTCTCTCCTCCTACTCGGCCTTTTCCTCTCCACCCTCGCAACCCTCAACTTCTCGCTCTCCTTCATGATCGGTTTGCTCTGCGCACCGCTCAGCTTTGTCAACCGCATCGACCGCCAAACCAGCGCACCTCTCCGTTACGCCTTATCAATTAGCGGACTCTTGATCTTGAACGTCCTCTCGCCCCCAGTGGTCGCCCTTGGGACCTGTTGGTACTTTGGCGTGCCCGTGGAGACGATTCTGACGGAGGCAGCGTTCGGTTGGGATGTCTGGGGCATGTGGACGCAGGTAGTGGTGTGGTGTGTTTGGTGGCCCGCTTGGGTTATCGGGTGTGCCCTTCTGGGATCTTCGATATTTTGATATTTATTGGTTGAAATTGGATAGTCCGCTGATAGGATTACCATGGCCGGTTTATAGATTCCGGTATTCAACACTCCTATAGCATTATATGATAAGCCTAAGCCTTGTTTCTATCATTCAACTAGATTAGCGCCGGCTATTATCACTTAGATATAATATACTATGTTGCATGAAAAAATCACCAAAAATCTTCATACGTCTTCCTAATTATGGTCATGATTCTAATACAGGATTGTACATACATGCAAGTAGTACCCTTGGTAAAAGAAGATAATAGATCATCTATCCTATCTATGCAGCCCACACATCCTTTCCAACACCCTCGATCCAGTGACCCAGCTGGTTGACACCAGCGTCCCAGTCTCTGAGTCTGTTCCGCATACCCTCGATCTGCTTCATGTCCAACACCTTGGGCTGCACCCAGTTAATTTCAGCCACTTGGGCGACCTGGTCGATCTTGCCTTTGAGCAGACCCAAAGACAACGCCTTCATGATCAGGTGCTCAATCTCCTCGGGCTTGACCTTGGTCTCAGACGAGATGGAGGCGAAGGTCAGGTTGCGGTCGTGCGGGGGGCGGCAGAAGACCATCTCTGTGAGGGCGGAGAGTGAGATTTTCTGGTAGAGGAAGATACGGTGCTGCTCCAGCAGCTGGTTCTTGGAGATGTTGCCGGCCAGGACGTCGTAGGCGGCCAAGTCGCCACGGTTGAAAGCGAACAAGAGGTCGCGCAACCAGGTGTGTGGGGTCTCGGTGAGCGAGTCCAGGATCGGGTGCAACAGCAGTTCACCAAAGTTGTAAATGGAGTCCGACACTAACGCAGCCACACTCAAGTTATATGCGCGGGAAGCACGCTCGGGCTCTGGCAGATCCTCCAAGTCGATGCAGGCGAGGTAAAGGAGGGCGTTTTTGTAGAATGCAGCGAACTCTTCTTTTGCCTGTGCAGTGTCAGCTTATTGCACCGTAGGTAATTTGGGAAATGTCATCACTGACGTGGTAGTAGTCGGCATTGACTTTGTAGAACGAAGCGTGAACGACGTTCTCGACAGAATCGAACGACTCCAAAACCTTCTGGCAGACCTCCAGGTCCTTCTGTGCTCCATCCAGATCCTGTAGCCTTTGCTTTACGTTGGCAACGTCCGCAAGGGCGTAGGCGTAAGCTTCTTGTGTTTCGGACTTGTTGACTTTGTTTGCCAGAGATGTGAGGAAAGATAGGCGCTCTTGGTCATCTACGACGAAAGACTAGTTAGCTTCTTTAAGTCCGATCATGACTTCATGCTTCACGAGACATCACTCACCTGCGCATTCCGAAGAAGCCATCAAACCCAACGAGACAAACTTAAGCTGGTTGATTCTGTCGGCAAAGCTAAGGACAAAGGTCTTGAAGATGGGTAACCGCTGCGGCGCACTCTCTGGTAGGCGGAAGAATTCAATCAAAGCGTCGGTAAGCTGGTGCCATAGCTTGCGCTCCCAGTAGTCTTCGAAGCTGAGGAAGAGGGCCTGGCATTGTTCGGGAGCTTGCTGAAGCTGGTCGGCGAGGAAATCGGAGATCTTTTGGCTCTCCATCGCGGAGAGTGGGAAGGGTGTTACGAGGGGTTGAATCAGAAGAGAGGATTAATGGAGAAGCTTCGGAACCGTCCGAGCAGATAAGAGCGAGCTGCAGGTTATGAAAGAGTGACCAACGGAGGGTCTGGATGGAAGGGAGATGGACTTGAATGACTGAATGGTTGATGATGTTGGCGATGATGATGGACGGCTGGCGGTGGTGGATTGAACGGAGCTCAGGCGGTGTCTCTGCGCCGCCGTACTTGCTCCTTTTCTCTCCGAGTAATCCATGCTGAGCATTCTGCAGAAATAATTAATATCATCGTGATAGTCTTCAAGGAATTCACTATCTTTTTTTATCATTCGTAATTGAATTGTATGCTATTTATGGTGTCTCGCCTCGAAGACTGCATACTACTGAACTATAAGGCACCGCCTTGGCCGGTTATGTCACAGAATATACATTGACTTCCTGAGCATCACACGCACGCCATGGAGCTTCAAACTAAAATCCAACTAGGTCTTACGTCCTCTGAATAGTCTCCAAGACCAGGCTAACTCACTGCCTTCGATTCAATGCCTGTAGCCAACCAGAACTTGGGCCAACGAAAGTATCCGATATCTCTCCGAGTTGGGGCTGACGGCCAGTCGAAGCATTTGAGTTGATTTGCCCAATGCTACCTATCGCAAACTTATAAATATCAGCTCATTTCCTCTCTTCCATTCTGTGTTTTCCTCTCTCCAGAGATTCCTTGGATTTTCATAACATTCTCTTTATCTTCCACAACGCCCTGAATCCATACAACACCTCCAAAGCCTTGATACGTTGCCTAGAACCATGGCAGACTTCACCGAAAAGAACCGACAATACTTCAAGTAAGGGCACCTCCAAATTGGTGGTAATGAGAGTTCATCGCTCACTGACAATACAGTAAACTGGCCGGCTCCTATAAGGATGACTTTGGAAAGGCTCTGAAAGCATTGGCTGAGCAAATCCAAGAACGTCGACTATGGATCAGCAAAAAATGGACAGACACCGACGCTGGAAAGGGGGAGGAAGTTAAAATGATGGAATATGCTTGTGGCCCTGGTGCTGTCTCTATGGTATGTGGCTTCACTCCCAGGTCGTATAACACGTAACTAATATACATGGAAAGGCATTAGTGCCGTTTGTGACCAAGGTCGTTGGCCTGGATGTGTCGGACAACATGGTCGATGAGTTTAACAAGAATGCCCGGGAAGCTGGCTTGTCTGACAAAATGACTGCTCGCAAAGGAGATCTCCTGGCAGAAACTGTGCCAGATGAGATTTCCGGTCCTGACTTCGAGGATTTTGACGTCGTGGCCGTCAGCATGGCACTTCACCATTTTGCCGAGCCTGACGTAGCGCTGAAACGTCTTGGAGACCGATTGAAGCAAGGTGGCACTTGTTTGATCGTTGACCTTGTCCCGGAGGGAAAGATGTTCCACGAGATGCACCCAGACATGTCTGAAGCTGCCGCAACAGTAAAAAAGCATGGCTTTACCATGGAAGATATGAAGGAGTTGTTTGAAGGTGCTGGCTTGGGAATGAATTTCGACTATAAGGTTATTGAGAAGCCATTCGAGTTCACCAAGAACGGAACGACCTTTAGGAAGACGATTTTTGTGGCCAGAGCACAGCGTCCTTAGATTGCTGCATGTTAGTGCCTAGACAGACTTGACTTTGAGGATAGTAGAGTTCCTAATGCCAGTTGAATGAAAACAGCATAGCATGCAATTTCCTGTAAATGAAATCCCGTAGAGGTACAGAGTAGACGATCATTGACTTGAATGAAGAACTGATTAGTTGCCTTCCATATCTGCCTGTGTTGACTTGCTTCTCTCATAACATTGGAAGACAAATAATCTGCAGTAAGCCGGTAATGAAGTACAATTTGAACACAGTACTTGAAGGCCATTATATGATAAACATAGACAATCGTCTCCTCAGATATTGAAAAGACGAAGAAGGCAAAGTTGATCAATGCAAATTGGAAGGTCGATGGATGTGCAGCGACGGATTTGATGATTGGCCTAAACTCGACGTCCAATCAGATGCGCCGAATAGTCAGACGCGAATCCGTATGAATTTGACATGGAGACGCAACGGCCTTGTGGAAGGAGCTGTAGTATTCGTAGAGCATTACAGCATAAATAAAATAGTCAAATAACCACCACCGCATCAAAAATAAGAACGATCCAAAGCGTGCGGCTGAAAAAGTGACAACATAAGGCCGGTGTGTGCTGTCCGAATCGGGACTAGCGCAGCAAGTCCCGTGCTGCAGTTCCATTCGGATTCTGGAGAGCGACTTCGAAACCGCCCAGCATCAAGCACAAGACCTGCTGAGCTTTCGGGTTTCCCCCACATCTTTAACTGCCTTTCGCAACACCGATCCGGACGCAATTCGGCGGTCTCGTTTGTCTCACGAGCTGAAAGGAGACCATGCAGAAGAGCCGGGCCATCAATTCCGCCCTGGGGTCAAGGGCGTTCGTCCCCGCCCCCAAGGTTCAATTCCAGGTGCAACGCCGCTCTCTTCAGGATGTTGCGATCACTAGAACCGGAAAGCCGATTCTGAAGGTCCAGGGTGGACGGTAAGAGCCCAATTGGATTGGGGGGTGTGTGCTGTCGAACGATTGCTAACTGGCCGCTTTAATCCAGGTCGTCTCTTGGAGGTACAAAGCTCTTCCCATCCAATTCGCATCTTATGCAGCTCGTTTAACATGAATTATAGGTCATACTGCAACCGTTTTCGGTGCCACTGGCTTCCTGGGCCGATACATTGTCAACAAGCTTGGTGGGTAATAACGCGGCCAGAAGGAAGGCACCCGAAGCTGACAGCGATATAGCCTCGCAGGGATGCACAGTCGTTGTCCCCTACCGTGAGGAGATGGCCAAGAGACATCTCAAGCCTACAGGTGACCTTGGAAGAGTCAACTTTCTGGTATGAATGACCCCACATTTGCTGTTTATAGAGGGCATTGTCAACCCACTAACTCCTGTCTTCAGGAATATGACCTGCGAAACACCCAGTCGATCGAGGAAAGTGTCCGTCACTCCGATGTCGTCTACAATCTTGTTGGCCGTCAATATCCCACAAAGTTAGTTCGCAGAGGAATAAGACGATCGTCCCGAGGTGCCATGCTAATCATTGTGCAGGAACTTCTCCTACACGGACGTCCATGTCGACGGTACGGAGCGCATTGCTGAGGCCGTCGCCAAGTACGACGTTGACCGATTCATCCACGTCTCTTCGTACAACGCCAACAGAAATTCCCCCTCCGAGTACTTCTCGACTAAGGTCCGTTTCTTTATATGTGCCCTACAATTGTTGGATGAAAATGCTGAATCGTGACACAGGGATGGGGAGAGGAAGTTGTTCGCTCTATCTACCCCGAGACTACCATTGTCCGACCTGCTCCTATGTTTGGTTTCGAGGACAACCTCCTTCACAAGCTTGCCGGTGTTACAAACCTCCTGACCTCCAACCACATGCAGGAGCGCTTCTGGCCCGTCCACGTAAGTGATGCACAGATCTGTCTCGGAATTGATACTGATCCTGAAATAGGCTATCGACGTTGGTGCTGCTCTCGAGCGTATGCTGCACGATGACACCACTGCTGGACAGACTTTTGAGCTCTACGGCCCTAAGAACTACTCGACTGCTGAGATTGCCGAGCTTGTTGACCGCGAAATTGTCAAGCACCGCCGTCACATCAACGTTCCCAAGGTTGCGTTGAAGCCCTTGGCCTACTATCTCAACAAGTTCCTCTGGTGGGACATCATGTCCGCGGATGAGGTCGAGCGTGAATTCATCGACCAGGAGATCGACCGTAGCGCCAAGACCTTCAAGGACCTTGGAATTGAGCCGACTGACCTGAGCACCCTCACCTTCCACTACCTGGTAAGTAGCTGCTACCTTTACAAGTCTGGCACTAGTGCTGATGATTCCACAGAAAGGATACCGTAGCGCCTCCTACTACGACCTCCCTCCTGCCACGGAGCGTGAGCAGCGGGAGGAAAAGAAGTACTTGCACGTTCTCGACGACCAGTAGTTGTCTGTGTTTTTTTAAATGTGTACATAAGTTTACTAGACCCAATCAATTTCCTTGCGTTGTCATTCGTACAGCATCTGGTGAAATGACGTAGTCATAGCTTGAAGAGCCGAGGTGGAGCCAGGCCAATGCCAGCAAGAGCAATGATCGCTATTCTACTATCTGCCAAATCTGCGATAACAATCAACGGCATTGGTTATATTGGGCCAAAAGTATTCGATATATAGAGGTTCATTCCGTACGCAATTCGCAATACTGCATGCGGCCCGCTGCGGAGCTTTCCTTCAGGTACAACCAACTCCGCCTCAACTTCGACTCGAACCCCTCTCAAAGATCCATACAACAAGAAAAACCCAAAACAATGGCTGCCTCTTCACCTTCTTACAACTTCTCTTCTTCACCAGCAACACCCATACTCCTCCTAAAAACCAAATCCAGCCCACACGATGGATACGAAGAGTTCTTCTCCGCCCGCGGTTACAACCCCACCTTCATCCCAGTCCTCGAACACCATTTCAACGAGGCGAACCTGCAAACCGTAAAACAGCTCTTTCAATCGGGCGATTTAAACGAAGGCCCGGGCCGGAAATATGGTGGATTGATATTTACCAGCCAGAGGGCTGTAGAGGGGTTTGCAAACTTGCTTAACTCGGAGATTGGCGGTATGCAACAACACATCGAGTATAAGCATACAAAAACTAACGATAAATGAATAACAGTCCCAATCGCCTCGGAAGCATCAAAATCCCTAATCCTCTACACCGTCGGTCCCGCAACTTCTCGCTCCCTAACAACCCTCCAACAAACGCACCTCCCCCATGCAACCATCCACGGCTCTGACACCGGCAACGGCGAGAACCTCGCCCGCTTCATCCTCTCCCATTACAACGGCATACACAACAGCAGCAGCCCACAAACAGCGAAACCGCCCCTCCTCTTCCTCGTCGGCGAACAACGGCGCGATATCATCCCCAAAATGCTTACGGCGGAGACACTCCCGCCCGCTGAGCGGATAGGCGTCGACGAGCGGATTGTGTATGAGACGGGTGTGATGGGGTCGTTTGAGGGGGATTTTGAGGCTGCTGTGGCTGCTGGAGGGGATTATTTGGGCGTTGACGAGGGGAGGGTGATGTGGGTTGTTGTGTTTTCGCCGACGGGGTGTGATGCTATGCTTAGGGTGCTTGGGTTGCTTGGTGGTGGGAAGGTGTTGGGAGGGGAGGGGAGGAGGGTGTTTGTTGCTACTATTGGGCCAACGACGAGGGATCATCTTCGCGGGAAGTATGGGTTTGAGCCTGATGTTTGTGCGGAGAAGCCTAGTCAGGAAGGTGTGGGGAGGGGCATTGAGGAGTTTATGGAGACGTGGAGGAAAGGGAAGGGTGGGCAGTAATTGATTTCATATAGTACTGTAAACTAGAGTTGCTAGATATACTGATGTGATGCTGTTACGAGAATGCAAATTATATAGTGAGTCATACGACTGCGAAATATATACAAGTCAGAAGATGCAGACTGAGCCAACACCAATGCTCTCAAATCGAAAGAAATGATATTCAGAATCAATAGACAGACTAGCTGGAACGCCAATATATTCTTGAAATGAAATATGAACGACAAAAGTGTAAGATTTGTTTTATCTTTTCTTCAAAAACAATAAGTGGACGGCTTAAAAAGCAGATAGGAGAGGTTGGAGTTGGATTGTCCAATATCCAGACACAAAACCACCCTAGGCCAAAATGCGTAGTTATGTATGTACTTTCTCTCTCTCTCCATCCCTTCTTGGGTATCTCTTGAGATGTTGGTGTGGTGTGTGGTTGTGCTAGAGCCAACTCGAGGACATCGCTCGTTCCCATCTTCACTTTGGTCTTCTGGCGCTATCTACCGCTCAAAATGGTATGATTATTCTTGGTATGTATTCATGTACTCCATGCTACGCCTCTACCGCATGATCTCCTCGTAGATCAGAACTGCAGGAAACGTTAGCTAGATCCATAATGCAGGTGATCCAGATACATACTCTTCAACTGCTCCTTGCTAAGCGCATCCTTATTCTTGTCGAAATCAAAGAATCCTTCGGGAATGGGAGGTGCTGTGGGCTCGTCTTCAGGGTCATGGTAGGGTTCGAGGTAAGGGTGACGCAGGGCATCTTCGACAGAGATACGCTTCGCGGGGTTAAATGCGAGCAGCCTCTCCAGGAGGTCTAGTGCTAGGTCGTTGCTCTTGGGGAAGAGGGCCTTGAAGGGAATCTTCTTCTTGAAGGGAAGCGAGCGAATGTACTCCCGAGCTCGTCGGGACTTGATACCATAGTAGTCCTCCATTGTCGGTGTTCCGAGAACGTCCAGAATAAGCGTCAACTGATGGTGGTCTGTTATAGGTTAGTCAACCCTGTAGAATTATACGGATTAGGCCCAGTCCAACTTACAGTCCTTTCCGGGGAAGAGCGGCTTTCCACTCAGCATCTCAGCCAATATGCAGCCGACACTCCATACATCAATGGCCTTGGTGTATTCCTTGAATGTCAACATAATTTCCGGTGCACGATACCAACGAGTGGCAACGTATTCAGTCATGAACCCAGAGTTGTCATCAGTCGAAGCAGCCGAACGGGCCAGACCGAAGTCGCAGACCTTCAGGTCACAGTTTGCGTTCAGCAGCAAGTTCGATGGCTTCAAGTCACGGTGGAGGACATTTGCGGAGTGCATCGCTTTCAAGGCACGCAGTGTCTGGTAAATAAAATATTGGCAGTGGTCGTCGGAAAGGTCTTGTGTGCGGATAACCCGGTGCATGTCGGTTTCCATCAGTTCCTGAAAGCTGATTAACTCCCTATCAACAGTTTGTTTCACAGAAAGAAATACCTGGATGAGATACACTTCGTTGAAGCTCTCATAGTTGCGGGGTCTCTGGATATCCAAAATGGAAATGATGTTCTCGTGGTTGAAATATCGCAGAAGCTTCATCTCACGCAGAGTTCGCAGACAGAACATGGAGTGATCGAATGGTGTGATCTTCTTGATAGCGACTTTTTGGCCGGAAGGCTTGTGAATGGCGGAGCTGGGGTTGTTCAGTCCTGGGCGCTATTTTCAACTGTAGCATGAAACTTACCAGACGACACCGTAGGCACCCTCTCCAATGACATCTTGGATTTCATATTGGTCGGAAACATTGAAGGAGATCTTTCTCGACCCTCCTTGAGGGGGCAGCTGCTGCACCATGTTGTCTGGTCTTCACTCGGAGTTAGCACCAATATCTAAACTATATTTGCAATTGACAGCTGGCATGAAATCAAGCTCATAGTCGCATCATCCAGGAAAAACCACATAAACCCCAATGCGAAATTGTCTGGTTGCCTGGATGTGCGCATGGACCAGACGGGCTATCCGACAAGCTACCCAACCCCTTCAGAGCACAGACAGTGGAAAATTGTGCTTACGTTTTCTTTCACCCTGTTATTCTCTTGAAAAGAGTCGTATCTCCTTGCAACAAACTTGTATGTCTTGTGGTGCGCTGAAGACGGCAGCAGATCGATCACTGAAGCGGGGTAGGATAGAGTACGATCGCTGTCGACAGCCGAGAAGAGTGACAAAGGACCGTAGATAAGGGTCGTACACCGGAGCGAGACTGGAACTTTTGACACTGCAATAAATCGCTGGAGTGGTGTAGTCTGTGGAGGAAGACCCTGGGACGAGGAGGTACTGGGGAGATGAGGACACAAATGTGAAGCGGGGACACAAGCGCTTGTTGATCCAGCGCCTACTCCAGTGAATGAGGTAATTTGGCGTCCTAGAGGAGAAGCGCCTGGCCAATGGTCAACAAATGAACATGTCTGATTTCAAGATGCTTGACGACATCATATGAAAAAGCAACAAGGATTTAGGGGATTGGGCTAGTCATGGGCATATTGAATGGGCAGTAGCAGGCACATGCATACCTGATCTGGAGGCGCCTGAAGCTTTTAAGTTTCTTCTACCTTGTATTCTCAATACTGAGCAGTCAGCTTCCAGTATTCGTCAAACACACTCTTTTTTTCTTGACGAAGATGAATAAGGAGTAGATTGAGAGATTGTGTGGGAGGAAGAGAGAGAACGATAGTTAGACCACTGCGGTCGGGGCTGCTGCTCACTCGTGCTGCTGCGGAGGGGCTGGAGAAGCGACTAGCAGCGACGGAACGGCAAGAAAAGGTGGGGTGGGGCAGTGATGGGGATGGTGATGACGGATGAAGGTGATGAAGAGGATGAGGAGTATGAGGATAAATGAAAAGGGGATATCTTGGTACCGTGTGGGCTGAGATGGGTCAAAACCAGAACCGTGGGATCAGAACCAAAGAGTTCCTGTTTAAGGGGAAGAAGAAGAAAGAAAGTGAGGAAAGACAGTCACTTGGAGAGAATAAATGGGTGTATCAGGCTGTCGGGGATCGACCGGAATCGTGGATCAGGACCGTGGGACTAGGTTATCGATATAGACTGGCTTTTCACAAATCACCAAACTGTCATGAGCCGATCAGGGGTAAAAGAAGACGAGGAGAAGAAGAAGGAGAACAATGGAGATAAACAGCAATAGTCGCGATGGACGAGGTTCATCGAGTGGTTCAGCGGTTGGGAGAGAACCTTGGATCGCAAGAGGGGCAATAATCCTCAGGTAGTCATTTAATAGTCTGGCGCAACTAATCAGAATCCATCGACATTTCTCCCTGTTTGGTGAAGATGAAGAGATAGAAGTGGATAGAAGTGGTGGTGATGCTTTATTCGTTATTATCCCATGAGGATACACTACCTATTCTATTCAATAAATGACCACCACAATGATTCAGAACGAAATAAAACTACAGTTTACGTTATCTCAACCCCCCAGATTCAATCATCATACTACCTTACTACAGAAATCAAAAAGAAAAGACAATTTAGGATTCAGCCAGTGACAGTCTAGACGGGGCAGTTCTCCCACTACTGTCTCGACCAGTGTTTCAATCCACCATCTCCAGTCTCCATCCACGGGCCTCAACCGACTCTGGACTCTCAACTCTCAAGCCAGAAAAAATTCTCCACCACAGACCAATGATGCTCGCCAACATAGCGCCGGCTTTCATTGCAGGGGTTCTTTTCTGGTGATAGTCTAGATAGTCTGGATAGTTTGGAGTGATGGCTGTGTGCTGCAGTGTGATGTCAAAAGTTTACAACCATCACATATGGCTCGAGCGCACCACTCACAATGCCATGTCTGCTTCGGGATATTTTGTCTTAATCAAGCGCTGTCAATCTTTTGAAACTCCTTCGCTCCCCCTACATCTGGTGGAGAAATATGCAGGTACCTACGTGACTGCTAAACGTGCATGGATGGATTCCAACATGCCTAAGACCCCACTATCATAAGGGGAAAGAAAAGGTACGGCAGGTTGCAGACATAACCATTGGAATTTCAAATGAATCTTTGATATAATGTACCAAAAGGTGTTTAAAAAAGCTATCATTACTGAACAACCTGTAAGCGTGTTCAAGCTCGTCAGTCCGGTTGACTTCGCTGATGACCCATGTTTCAATGATCATAATGAGACAAAAGAAACGGAAAGGGGCGATATCAAACCTTTTCCCGCAGCGATCCCATCCATTGCACCAGACTCGCGCTCTGGTCGGTCCGGTCATCCACCAGCATGGTCTGTGCCCACAGCCGAAGACCTGGCTCACCGTCTTCTTTGACCACATACAGGTGTGGCACCACAATGCTGCCAGCACCCTTAGCCCGGTGATCTCGGCTCTTCTCCACCACCGCTCTAACCCGCTGGTTGAAATCATTGTCGAGCTCGGGAAGGTTCTGCTTGCCCACACGGAGCTGCGTCTTATCGGGCAGTCCGAAGACATCGACGAGGAGCTGTGGAACGGCATCCCGTCCGACCCAAAGGAATTGAGTCTGTCCGTCATCAATGAGATACAGGCCGTAAGGAACAATTCGCTCGGATGACAGGTTGATGGCCGGAGGGAGAATAATCTCGCCTGTCTGTTCGTCTGGCAGACCCGCCGTGTCGGGCATGTCGTGCAGCGAGTACATCTTGGGGTAAATGTATTGCATGAGAAGAGGAAGAGGGAGAGTCGACAACAAGCAGAGTGCTGCAGAGCGCATGTCGGTCGGGATTTGGGCGGATTTGCGGAGACCAAGCTATATCATAAGTCAGTACACTTCAGTCAAAATTTACAGGAACAGGGGGCAGCCATACGTTCTTGATCATCGCCAGGAAGAGAACAGGCAATCCTCTCAAGTTGGCAGGGAACTGGAGACCACCACCGCTCACACTTCCACCTGCAAGTTCCTTTCGGTATGTTGACAGCAGCTCCACAGCCTTGGCCTGCAACGCCTCACGGGCAGGTTCCAAACCACTTCCAAGAGCCCGCTCAACGGCCTTGTGACTGAAGTAGGTAGCAATAGCCTGCTGATCCGCAGATGCATACACATCAGCCAAGTTTTGAGTAGTGGGAAGCGCCAAGGTCAAAACACGGATCCTTCTCTCGCCGTTGCAAGTGGTGTGGAGGACGGCTGACTGCATGCAGACAACAGGTTTTGTGACAGTCTCGTCAATAGCAACTTCAACGACATATGCTTGGTCACGAGGGAAAGCCGGGAAGGCACACAGGTCGGAGCTACGGTTGAAGAAGTTTCCGTAGAATGTGCTCATGCGCAGACCAGTTGTGGCACGGACACGGAGAACAGCCTCCAGACCAATTTCTGAGGACAAGTAGTCAGAGAATTCACGCGCGAATTTGATTGCGTCCTCGCCCCGAGCGGCGTTCCATCCGGGGTAGAAGTAGGTCTGTCCACCAGTATATCTCGGCAGGTTACTCAACGAGGCCACATCCTGGTACTGGGATGAGAACAAGAACATGTCCACGGATACCTGGGCCTTCGAGCACTCCACAGCAAAGCTCTTGTAGAAGCTGTTTCCGGTCTGCAGAAGGCTGCTCTCTTTGCTTGTACCCAAAACCTTCTTGTCCTCTCTCATAGTCAGAGCACCATGTCCGACATTAGGCAAAGAAGAGCTAAGAACAGTCATCTTTCCACCCACGGGAGCAATCAACTTGTAACCAGCCCGCAGAGCAGATCCCATGGCGCAGGCATTGTTCTGGGTGTTCTGGAACATCTCTTGCAGTTTGTCGAGGAAAGACTCAACATTTTCTCGGCATTCACTGAGAGTTACCAAAAGATCGCCGGGGATAGGAAGGAAAGGTTCATCGAGGTCGCTAACAACAAGCATTCTTGGGTCCGAGTTCTCCGAGCCATCTCGTGGAATGCTGAAGTAGTGCAAGCTTGAGTCAACGGCGATGAAGCCCAAGCGCGTACGTCGGTCTGCATTCGGAATTCTGTCAAGACTCTCCTTGATGCATCGTGCGCTCGTGGCCAAGAGGCCGTTGGTGACGGACGCATAGCTGACGTCGATCAAGAAGAGGTAGACGAGTGGCTGAGGAGGGCGAACCATGTATTCCTGGGGAGCGACAAATTCAACGACGGAGTGGTTGAGATCGGAGCGCAGTGATCTGTCCGCCGGCTTCTGCAAAGTAGTATCCCAATCAAAGGCCTGGGGTACGTCGTTTGTCAAGTTGCACATGTTACAGCGCCAGCGGTGGCCATGGTCGAGGAAGGTCACAAAAGGATTGATGTAGGATCGGCACCGTCTGCATCGCGAGATGACTTGGTCTGGAATAACTGGAATGGGGTCTTCCGCATCGTGCAGGGCCGCATATGGTTGAATGACGAGAGCAAAGGGCAATTTGGACTTCTTCAGGAGAGAATGCGTCGTGGGAACGGCGTTCAGGGTGGATCGGACGTATTTGGAAGGGCAATTGGCATAGGGGGACGGATAAACGCTAGTCTGATAAAGATGTCAGCAACTCCCATACGGGAAATTTATAGAGCATGGCACATACACCGGGTGGCAGAACGATCGGAGGAGGGGGGTAGTCCAATTCCGCAACGTTGAAAGGTTGAGTGAGGAGGTCCGTCGGGTAGAGCTGGTTAAGAGGGACAGGTCTCGGAACTTGGGCAGCCTGCGGCGCCATCTGCTGCGGATCGGCCATGCCCATGGCGCCGAATTGCTGGGTCATCTGCGCAGCACCCGGGGCAGCTGGAGGAGCGTATCCAGACACCGGTGCCTGCATCTGCTGGGTTGGGTCGACTCCATACATAGGCTGCTGGTACGCCGCGGGTTGAGCTTGGGGCTGGACGGGGTAGGCTCCGTAGCTGCCACCGGCCAGTGGCTGACCTCCCAGAGCAGCATTGGCACCAGAGCCGAAGTCGAAAGCCTCGCCAGCATAAGCTCGCTTCTTCCTACCTCCAGCCTGGCCTTGGGGAGCTCCGGGCTGTGGAGCGGGAGAACCGTAGGCGGGTTGATCGTACCCTTCTTGGGGAGGGTATCCCCCTTGTGGTGCTGCCATGAAGGAGGTATATGTGCGTTCTCGAGTGGAAGGTTGTGGTTAATTATGTTCCGTCAAGGAAATCAGCGATAGGTTCGGAATATAGGAATGTGCGCAAATCGTTAAAAGTTCACTATGCCGTCGGTCAATACCCAACTCGAACAGGGGAGGGGAAGGTCTTGGTGGGAGTCTGCATACTGACAACAAAACCAGAGTGCTGGATAAACAGAAAACTTGGGGGTAAGGAGAAATATCACACGAAGAAACCGCACACCGGGTCGGTCAACGTGTTCTGGTGGAGGTTAGGGGGAGCTGCAGAGCACGGAAGGCCATTCGAAATGATGGCGATGATGATTGTTGGTGTACGGTGGCCTTTGCGGCTGCTCTCCCCTTCGGGCCAATCAGAGCCCCGCAGGCCTTGAGACAGGCGAGGCCCAACTTATCGGACTTGGATAAAGGTTTATAACTTGGGGAATGTTGTAATTATAGTTTGGATATTAATGAGGGCATGGAATAATACATGAATGTAATTGATATGACGTCGAGCGTTTTGTTGTTGACAGTAAGCGTTTGTTCGTATGGTATCACGAGTATACTCCAACATATCGAGGCACTGTTTGTAGGAAAATCCCTCGTGCAAAGCAACCACCAGTAACAAGATACAAATGAACACAATATTGCTAGATATTATCCTGGATCAGGCTAGCTCGCATTGATAGTTTTGTAAAATGAAAAAGAATCTAAATGTGTGGGAAGTTAGATCCGTCACTACGGCTTCGCTGCACAGTATGTTTGTATAGGTTCGAGAAATCCTCAAACAGCCACAGACTGTTCCTTGCCTCTATCAGGGCATTTTATAAATTGAAATATTGGTAGAGGTCGAGAAAGCAAATGTGTCATAATGACCTGTAGTTCTAACGTTTCAAAAATTGCTGTTTCACAGCAGACAAATTCCCAGTGTCCCTACTCGATCAGAGATATAAAACCAGTCAGGTCTTGAAGATGTTGATGAACCAATATCCATAAGTGCTAGATGTCTGGATCTCATTGTAGATGGGAATAGCTGAACTGTTACTGTGTATATCTGCTGTTCTGGTATGGAGGGTAACCTTTGCAGAGTGAAAGGCTGTGTTGGCTAAAATTTCGCAAAACGACCATAAATACTTTCTGGAGCTCAAGATAGACAGTTATCAGCCTCATCAACTTGATAATGACCACTCAGAAACGATCGTGGAATGCGTCGAGGACGAACGTGTGGGAAGACGGGGGGTTGCCGTGCCAACGTCGCTTTTCGCTGCGTGTCGCACCACAAACGATGCATCCCTGTCTTTCAACAGACACCGCCAGAATCTCACCTTCATCCACCCAGCATCACCGGCGGCGTTCGACTCTCGCCTGTTCCTCTTCGTTTTTTTGCGCTGTTGGGGGCTTCTTTCTGTTTTGTTTTGCATTTCGACTCGTACGAGCGGAGAATTGAGGGCTTGATTGCATTTGCATTGTTTCCAGCGCACTGTCCAGCTGATCATTTGGTTGTTTGACCTCTTGCTTCATTGATTTCGAGTATTATGCTGCAGCCATAGGTTTCGAAGTTTCTTTGAGCGATATATTCAAAACGATATCTACTTCGAAGTTTGAACGGATCGGCGTTTGTTGATACTGGCTATCACACAGCAGAACAAAAAGAAAGCTTCGACACTAAAAGAAAAGGAACTTGAGAAGGAACATAAAATGAGTGTCAGAGTCGTTGGACGTGTCAGGCCTCTGCTGAAGGCAGAGCGAGAGGTGGATGTGATTCTTCGCACAGGCTCGCAGGGGCAGTCAGCACCGAGCAAAGGCGACAAGAAAAGCTCCAACGAAAATGCCGCTCTGGCAGCATTGAGGGATAGAGACACAATAGTCCGGATTCCAAACCCCAAGAATGAAAGCGAAGAGTACTCTTTCCAGTTCAATGCGGTTTACGACTCAAATGCCTCTCAGCAGGATCTCTTCGATGCCGAAGGTACGTGCGCTTTAGGAGATTGGCTTCTCAATGGCTGACATTCATCTGGCTGGTAGTTGCTCCCACGGTCAAACATCTCTTCAACGGCTTCGACGTCACATTGTTTGCATATGGTGTAACAGGGACGGGAAAAACACACACTATGCGGGGTGGTAAAAGCCTTGCGGAGAGAGGAGTGATTCCCCGTCTCCTGAGTAGCATCTATAGAAGAAGTCGCAAGATGGAAAAGGATAGCGCAGGGGAGACGTCAGTCAATGTTTCGTTAAGCTATTACGAAATCTACAACGACAAGGTCTACGATCTATTCGAGCCCCCAGAGAAAAGAACGTTCACAGGATTGCCTCTTCGCGACAATGGAGGCAAGACAGTTGTCGTAGGCTTGACAGAACGGCCGTGTACTACCTTGAAGGAATTCGAAACGTTGTATGACCAGGCCAACACGAACCGGTCAACTTCTGCTACGAAGGTAAGCATCTCTTCTGCCTTGCTATATATTATTTGGGCGATGCTAATCTTTACAGTTGAATGCTCATTCGTCGCGATCCCATGCAATTCTTTGTGTGAAGGTGACAGTCACTTCCGGTGAGAAAACAAGAGTCAGCACGGCGTCTGCCATCGACTTGGCGGGCTCAGAAGACAACCGTCGGACGGAAAATGATAAAGAACGCATGGTTGAATCTGCCAGCATCAACAAGAGCCTTTTCGTTTTGGCCCAATGCGTCGAAGCGATCAGCAAAAAGCATCACAGAATACCATATCGAGAGTCAAAGATGACAAGAATTCTCTCCTTGGGGCAGAATAACGGATTGACAGTCATGATTCTCAACCTTGCACCTGTGAAGTCCTACCACTTGGACACCATTAGCTCGCTCAATTTCGCGAATCGCACCAAGAAAATCGAAGTCCGTGAGGTTGAAAACGAACCAATGTTCAAGGGTCCTCCGAGGCCGGCGATGCGGCCATCGCTAGCTGCTCAGCGCCAGCCTTTGCGACCATTGACAGCTTCCATGAACTTGAATCTGGCAGCCCCAGCTACTAAAGATGACAAAGATTCGAAGCCCACCGATGGGAAGCCAATCAAGGCATTCCATGTCTACTCGGATAAGCCCCAGCCGAGGCCCTCTGCGCAGTTCAAGAAGCCTGAGATTCCAAAACGATCCTCACTAGGCTCCGATGCTCATGCTTTGCCCCCGTCTCGTCTTTCAAAGCCTGTTCGCCCTTCACAGGTACCATTGCAAGCCCCAAAGCCCCAGGATGAGATCTATGCAGCCAAGATTGAAGAGATGGTGGAGAAGAAGGTTGAGGAAATTCTGGCTGTCAGGGCCGTCAGTGAACAGTCGAGACAAACACAAGTTCGTGAACTTAATGAACAAATGCAGAGACGGCTGCAACTTCTTGAGCAGCGCATTGAGGGCTCCGAAGATGCGAGAGCCGAAGGATTGTCGTATTTGCTTATGGCCAAGCAACATCAGGGGCGGGGCGAAGATGGTTCCGCATTGAGGATGTACCAGTTGGCTTTGCCATTCTTTCCAAACAATGAGAAGTTGGCTATGAAGATATCCGTTCTGCAGGAACGCCTTCAGCACAAACCTCGAGGCGCCACCTCAGCCAGCCCTAAGTCACCATCTGCGAAAAGAGAATTCGGGAGCATTTTGTCCCTCAAAAAGCAGCCTGAGAGGCCTCGATCCAAGCGTCAGGCAGATGACACTGATGCCGACTATGAAGAACACCAAGAAGCGCTTGAGAACTTCAGTGAAGAAGAATTCCAGGGCTCTCATTCTAGACGCACGAAGCGCGTGAGGACCAAGACCCCGATTGAGGCTGATGAATCTGATGACCTGGATTGCGATGAACCGGCCCCATCCCCACGGACGATCCATCTGCTCTCGATCATCAACTCCCGTGATGTTAGCCAGATCAAGTTGCTCAAGGGTGTGGGTGTCAAGAAGGCAGAGGCTCTCGTGGACTGCCTTTGTGAAATGGATCAAAACGCGGGCAGCGAAGATGGAGAGCATGTACAGGTGAACAGCCTCGTTGAGTTGAGCAAATTAAAAGGTGTTGGCACAAGGACGGTTGAAACCATGAGAAAAGGAGTTTTGGCATAGAGCAAAAAACCTTTATGCATCACATTTTTTGGTCTCCTTGAGAGCGTTTTTCATCATGGCATCTTGCTGCTGCGAGTGTTTTCTCTGTGATTGGCTTTTTTTTAGTGACATTCTTCGTCCTCTTTTGCCCAAAAGCATTGGCGATAAGTCACTACTTTACATTGCGTTGCATTGTTCGATTCCCTTCATCATTCAGCGACGGTGTTTTTGGCGTTTATTATCTTGACCTTCCTTTTGGATCTCCATGATTGTCACTGTTAGAGTTATATGATTTCCAGCTATTTTCGATTACTATTATGCAATTACTACTATTCTATCATTAAATTTCTTATGTCCATTGTCCTTCCCATACTTGGGACACCGCTCCCTGACTTAACCAAGTCCAAAATTTGCCAGTAAATCTTTTCAGTATCGTTGGTCAATATTTCACGTAAGAATCAATCCCAACAATGTGCAACCTGCAATGATTTAAGCCACACATTTGGTGGAGTCTCCATGCAAGGAGCTATGCACTGTGATCTGTCAACTCAAAATTTGTAGCCCCACAGGCTCGAGCCTATCCATGCTTTGGATATGCATGTTGTACTCCATGGTTACAAATACCGACAGACGGAGCGTTATATCTTCTTGGTTAACCCAAAGCCGCCAACGTACCCTCGTGCAAAAGCAAAAAACGCTGCGCCAGTAAACATGACCACCGCACAGAACACCTGCATTTTCCAATACGATGAATGCAGAACGTCAGGGATAAGGGCACCTGCAATGGGGGGCCCTGTCAGAGCCCCTAAGGAGGCTACAGCGAAAAATGTCCCACTCCGGACCCCTATTTCGCGTAGGTCTGAGATCTGGGCAACTAGAGCGGGGGCCAGGGAGACGGCTGCACCAGAGACGAGTCCGTATAAGGCACTGAATGCGATCGCGGTGCCATCACTGCGAGATGGAAGCCAGAGAGCGATTACTAGAATGGCAGATAGGGCGGTGGCGAATATCATCATGTTAAAGCGGCCGAATATATCTGCTAGGGCTGCTAGGATGATGCGGCCGAAGATACTGAAAAAATCAACCCATGAGAAAAAAAAGTAGACGAGTGGGGAAGGGGTGGTGTGATTCTTTACCTTGTTGCGTTCATAATCGAAATCAGATACGATGCTAAATCATGAGACATGCCATACCTCTCAGCCTGAGTGATGATGAATGTGTAGGGCAAGAAGATACCCCAGACGAAGAAGAAAGCCCCGGCCGTGATGAGTGCGAAGCGGACTTCTTTAAGTGGACGTATGTAACCCAGAATATTGAATGGTTTTGGGCTATGCGTCAACCTTGACTGCATGGTAAGATTCGAGATGACCAACAAAAAGAGAATCAAGAATGCGCAAATTCTCATTGTCCATCCAAAGCCAACCCGGGGAATGAGACGATTTACCATGATCGGGAGGAATACACCCCCAAGGCTAGAGCCGCTGGCTATAATGCCCAAGGCTAGAGCTCGACGACGGTGAAACCATGTGCTTGCACAGTTGATTGAGACGTGGTAGAGAACACTTGTTCCGAGGGGACTGCAAATGCCCTGGGCAAGAATGAACTGATAGTACTCCGATGAGATAGAGGCCATCATGAGCCCAAAGACGTGCAAGAGGGTACCTGCTAACAGAATCCACCGAGGACCAAAGTTGTCAAAAAGTGTTCCAACAAGGGGGCCCTAGTTTAAAACAAAGATTAGCGGTGCTACTCCTGTTGGAATTGTTATACACCCACCCCAAAAAACATCATAAATGTCTCCAACGAGGTGATCCATGTTACTGTACTGGTAGAATAGCTTTTCAGTTGATGGGTCTCGTAGTAAGCCTGAAAAACACCAATACCTGGTCAAGAATGAGCATATCTTCCGGAAGTTCATTTGGAGCTCGACTTACAATTGATCCAGCCAAAGCTTACGAGATTGGCACAGAAACCGCCAGCCACAGTCAGCCATGCTTGATGGCCACCGTCAGGTGGGGTATTTTCATGCTTCTCTGGTTTATTGCTGTGCCCAGCAATTGATTTCTCTGGATTGCCATCTATACGGTCGTCCCCACACTTCTCTGTTGTTTCCGAGAGAGAATGATCTTCCGAAAGTTGATCCTTATCAGGCTTGAAGTTCGGATTGAGACTGAGAGCTGGAGTTGTATCGGTTGACAGCCAATGGTGTGGATCTAGGATGTCCCTGGACGCGTCGGAATCTCCATCTTGGATAGCCATTTCGTGCTATTAGGCTCCAAAAACAATGTTAATTGCAGCCAGCCCGGTCTCGTGGGGTCCTTGAACCTGATATACATTAGCATCTCAGAGCAAAAGGGGGAATAGGAAAAGTCATGAAACCAAAGAATCGACACACATGGACGAGCATTGTCCATCACTCCACAAATGGTCAGAGGCCTGTTGAGCCTTCCATCCTTGATAGTAGCACAGCAGAATGGATGCATTATCGCCAATGCCAATAGTGATGGACTAACGCCGGCTTTCCTATTCTTCATTATAATTGCTTTTTTTTGTTTGATTCCGGCAAATGATGACCGGATCATGAACTATTGTCCCCGCCAACTCCATCAAGTCCATCCAATCGTAATTACTGGCAGAGCATCGGTAAGAACTGGTTCTAAGGCTTTGACTGACCGTCTTTTTGTGATAACCATAACCCAAGTTTTTCTAAGCTTTCCAGGGTTGTTCTTGTCGGTAAGACTAGAGTAGTTATGCAGTCATGGCGCACGACAGCTGCAATCTAAATGCACTATTGCGATAGTCAATCTGGCCCTTGCGTGGGGACTGACCACGGGGGACAGGCAAAGTTGTGGTGTACGGAAAGAATCTCAACAAATGCAGTTATTATGCTTTTTTTTCAAGAGATTCATCACGACATGTGATGGATTCCAAAAGTCTAGCTTCCCATGTGCGTATACTGGCAATCCGGAGTAGAGACTACCAGAGACAAATCCGAACTTCTCCATCATGAATTTATGAAAAGGGGGATTGGTAGAGGGTATAATTTGGAATCTTTGTCTTTCCAGCAGCAATCATCTCGACAATTCAGCCATTTAAGGATTTCATTTCCGTGTCTTCTCTGGTGCTTGTCATTAATCCGACCTTGCTTCTGTGAAGAAGCAGAACGCCCTAGTTTCGTGATATTTCATCCAAAGCATCCGGTATTTCGGTTGTTTAGTATCGTGAGAACATTCGTATGCGTCGGGCTTATGGGTTAAGCGTCGCTAACTAGCAGGCTGCTGGCTCTCTCTGTCACCCAGATCATTCCTGGCTAATGTTTTATCAGCAAAGGTTCGAAAAAAGCAATTGCAATCAGCTAGCATCATTAGCTCGAGGCAGATATTAGACACGACCTTTTAATAGGCTACACTGTGACCTGTCGCTGTCCCATGCAGTAAGCAAGCATTCCACCACACCCGGATCTGGTGACAGAACCAGAAGAACACAAGTCGTGAAACACAGAGTAAACTGCTCTTCCATTTTTCATGTGCCATCAGCCAACGATGCTTCAGTTTAAAGGTGCGAATAAGTGCTTCGTTTAAATAGAGTGCCTTACTTAGTAAAACAGCATGGATAACACGTTGCTGTGTTTTAGTGAGACATGAGAAAAGATTGAAGATGAAAGTGAAATCAGGTTTGTTGGAAGATGGAGGGGAGAGAAGGACTGCAGACACCCTTACCTTTTTGGATGGCCTCTGAGTTTCCCAATTCGCTGACCCAGATCCCAACGCCAATGATTTTATTTCAGTACTAGTCAGATACGAAAGATTCTAGGAAATTATAGCAGTCCACATTAATGAACGAAGATGCCTGCACTATTTTAAGAGGTTATTGTAGTGATAGATTGAGTTAGAGTTACTAGGAACGAGTTGCATAATGGCTCAATATGTCAAGGAAAATAGGAAGGAACAAAAAGAAAAATCAATGTATAGAGTCGTCACACAGTCGAAGAAAAGCTGGTTTATAATAATACATTGAAGGTGCATGATGAGGAAATCCCAAAAAATTCGCCTAATCACTGTCCATGGATACAAGACAGTCGTTTAACCCAGAATTGTGAGCCTAGTTTGTCTGGCCTACTTTCTCAATAATCACTTTTCCTTCCTTCGTCAGTTTTGCAACATTTTGGGTGACTCCCTTGACTTCGTTCGTGATGTCCTCGGCCGAGCGGGTAGGCACAGGCCCAGCATTGGTGGCTGCTTCAACGGATTTCTTGAAAGCTTCCTCATCCTTGTCACCAATAGACTCGGTAGGACCAACAGTCAGTCCGCGAGGCGAGTCTGCGATTTCATTCACCTCACGCGCGGACATGATATCGTTGATGCGAGGTCCACGGGATTGCATTAGGATGGTGGCGGGTCCGTCGAATTGAAGGAAGAGCTAATCAAAATAATATCAGTATAAACCGTGAGAGAAGGAGTAAACCATCGAATCACATACTCTGTCTCCCCAGATAGTCCTCCGAGACCAGGTCCGGACCGTGTGGACAATCCTCATCGCTGTCTTCCATGCGTCGGAATCTGACACGTCCCGGATGAACTTTGCGTTCTGGAAGATGCCAGGCAGACTGCTGAGGCCTGGAACCTGGAACTTCAAGTTTGTGGACTTGAAGCGGTAGGGGCGCGGGGGGTTGGAAGTTATGGTGTAGGCCACAATGTTGCTGTTTTACATATTTTAGTATTTCAAAGACTGATGGTCACAATTGGAGTTGAACATACCTGGGGTGAACGATATACTGTTCTCCGGCCTTCAACTCAACGGAGTACAATTGACCGCTGCCGACGAGTGCCAGCAATCCTCTTCCGGTGACCTCGGAGCTACCCCAGTGTGCCAAACTCTTCGTGGGTTAGTTGAGTGTAATTGTAGATACCGCGGAGGCTAAACTGACAAGGCTTGTGTTTATTGTTGGCTTAACAGCGAGAGAACGACCTGTCCAGGCGAGCAAAGCTCGCCTTTGAGCAACCATCCAATCCACGGAGCCATTGAGATGGACAACGGCAAAGGATGTGACGGGAGACCGGACGGAGACCAGGGCAGTCACCGGAGTTGCCGAAGACACCTATCAGGATATCAATTATCATTCCGACCACAAAGACGACCATGTGCGCAGACCTTCTGGTAGAGAAATGGTATACCAACGACGGCTCTTCGGAAAGGTTCGAGAACGCTCAACGATGACACGACCTGAGATGAAAATGGGTGGTTAATTGGAATGAGCGTGAGAGGCATAATGATATAGTTATTATTGTCGCATACATTGTCCGCCTTTCCGCTCAATCCCACCAATGTTCCTCGCCGAGTATAGAGGTTCTGCGAAGCGGAGAGCTGAACCGATAGTAAAGAGTAGGGAGCACCGATAACGTCGAATCGCGCGTCTTCATTCCTTGCCCGTTTAGCTTAACAGTATATGAACTATCACTGGGGAGAGACATACCGGGAGATTCAGCGGAGCTAGGTGTGTTGGCAATGGGGAGATGGCTCCCATTCACCGTGGCTGGCTCTTCCGAAGGCGTAGCGCGAATCTGGACGCATCTCGTCTGCCATCCGCAGCGCAACGGCGCTTGTCGCGTCCGTGGGAGGACTCGAGTCCAGGATAGAGTCCGGACACCTTTTCGGAGGGCTTGACTCATTATCGTGTATGAAGCAGTCTGCTGCCAGCAATGCAGACGAAGGGGGGATCCGGGAGGTTTCGTTACGTCAAAATTCGGGAATCTTGAAGACAAACCGGGCAAACAGCATCTAATTTCCTTTTCGGGTATAGTGTTCAGGTGATGCTTGGCACTATCTACATAGATCTTGACATCATTCATAACCATCTTTCTAATTATCATTTTTAGATGCTTATAATTGATATAATTGATGGTTCATATCTCGAATGTTCAGATCTACTCTATAGTTGGGGTTGACATGAGATGTCCGAGTTAATAAGAGACCACGATCACTCAGATATCCAAATCTTGATCAGAAAAGCGAGCAAGAATCTAAACATCTTCCGTAGCTTTAGATCCCCTTTGCAAATAGGCCTGAATAGCGCCAACCTTTGCATTTCCACTGTGGAGGTATCGGAACAGCCTTGTCAAAGCACGCAAAGCTTCAAGCCAATCTTCCTTCAAACACAGATTGTAACCCTGTGTGAAATTCAACTCGAAAACATCCTTTTCAGAGCATCCCTTTGAATGTACTCTGGAAATAACATCGGTAGTAAAATACCCACGAGCAATATGGATTTGACACCCATGAAACCCAATAACAAAGACTTCCTGATCCTGGAAACCTGTGCTGCTACTTTGGACACTGATATTCTTGACCAGCTGCCCTATCATTACGCCGAGGGTTTCCGCCAGAAATTCGCCCCAGGTCTGCCCCTCGAACCACTAATGGCTATTAGAGAATGACGATGGAGAGAAAGAAGGAAGAGCATACCCCAGTGAAAGATATTATAGGTAGGCTTTCAGTCCGTGGACCAACAGTGACTGCGCCTTGTGGTCTAGCTGCGTATTTCTGACCACCGATCACATATTTAAACGTAGCCTTTCCTAAGCCGTAGCTTTGGGGCTGTTAATCTTGCGTTTAACTAATGGTGCCAGTACTCACTGGATTTCAAGGTGTTGAGTCTTGATGCCCTCAAGGTTCAAGTACGTAGTCATCATCAGCGCCCTTAACATGTAGGTCTGAGTTTCTATAAAGCGACCGAAACGCTGATTCTCAGACACTTTCCAGCTTTTTCTAGGTAAGGTAATTGTCTCGCGCTCTCTCAAGGCACTTGCAAGGCCCGTTTCAGTGGACTCATGCCCTTCATTCGCTTTCCAATACCCAAATTCGGCGCAGTAGGATGGGAGGTCGTCGAAAAGATTGCTAAATTTGGGCATATCGCCAGGCCAATTGGAAACAGAATCTTCGCCTGCAGTACTTGCATGCTGGAATATCCAAGGAATTGATGCCTCCACATCCTTGTCTGAGAATGTATTAGTCATTAAACGGGATGGATTCGATCGGGAATCCAGGCAATTGATCTTACATACCTTCACGCTCAATATCCACGGGCCGAGGGATTAACTCATCGAGTCCAACGATTCTAGAGAGGATAGTCGCTGACATGATGCCGAAGAGTTTATCGAGGCCAAGGATGATCACACTCCAGCTAATATGAGAACATCAGTGGTGTGATGATCACCAGAGTTCAATAGCTGCTGTTCATGGGGATAGGTATTGTCTCCATGTCGAGCTTGAGCTACACTGCTGCCTGTTCAACCCATCGCCCTTGATTGCAGCAGGGGGGCTGACTAAACAAGCCAAAGAATACCTATATGGGATATTTTGGAGAATGAGTGACTTTTGCAATGTTAAAAGCATCCAGAAGCCTATTGTTGCTCCATGAAAACTCCATCAAGATCCCAAGCATCACTCGGTACATCTGGTTGGTGGTAGTTGGTAATCAACTTAAATGTTGGAAAATAGCATAAGAAACATCATTTTTTAGAAAATATAGACAAAGCTATACCATATTTATTGAATATCACCAGCTAAATGAAGCTGTTGTCGTGCCGGCAATGTTGATTCCGATATCTGATGTGGGGAAGACCTAATCCGGCCGATCGCGTGCGAAACACTCACACTGACGTTCCTGTTTCTCCGAACCCGGCGGTCCCCATCGACACGACCAGACAGCTCACTCAAGCTGCTCAATCTACTTTCTATCCAGCTCTCACACCGACAATGATCCATTATTAGGCTCTAAGAAGCCACGGCATACCATCTGGTCGCTGAAAACACACACTATACAGGCCGGCATGCTGCCCCGAGCAGCTCGATCGCCTTGCTGGCGTACCTCCGGGCGGTACATACATCTTCTGCCTGCTGTTCCGCGCTCGACACCATTGAAGACAGCATACTTTGGAAGTCGATTCAGGGCATTCACATCCAGTCCGAGTCCGTACAGGAGACAGGTTACCGGAGATCCTACCTCGGAGCGAAAGACGACGAATCCTAATGCCCCGCCAGTAGCTCGGCCCGCGAATGCGAACGTGACCCCGAATCCCAAAGACACCCAAAATGCAACGGCTGCGAAGAAGAAGGATTTGCTGAGCGAGACGACGGTGGGGAATAAGGAGCAGAGGAAGGCGGACTGGGCCATTATGAGGGAGATGGCAAAGTACCTCTGGCCAAAGGTGAGGGCTTGATCACTAGGAATCCGGAAGCTGGGAAAAGCTGTTCGGTGGTTAACTTGGCAATAGGATGACTGGGGTACTAAGCTTCGTGTTGGAACTGCATTGTCGCTGTTAATTGGCGCAAAGGTGAGTAGTATTGCAACGGTCGGTTTCACCGCAATTGAATGCTCACGATGAATCCAGGTTTTGAACGTCGAAGTTCCATTCTACTTCAAGAGCATTGTTGACTCGATGAATATCGACTTTGCCACTGTCGGCGGCACAGCGTATACAGTGGCCGGGTCAATGATTATAGCTTGTAAGGGAGATTTGCTAGCTTTTGGAAGCTTTGTCTAACAACGATCTCCAGACGGTGCTACTAGAATCGGCGCTACACTCTTCCAGGAGCTTCGAAACGCTGTATTTGCCAGTGTGGCCCAGAAGGCGATTCGCAAAGTGGCACGGAACGTATTTGAGCACCTGTTAAGGCTAGACCTTAACTTCCACCTTACTCGCCAGACTGGTGGCTTGACAAGAGCGATTGACCGTGGAACAAAGGGTATCAGCTTCTTGCTGACATCTATGGTGTTCCATGTGGTCCCTACCGCGTTGGAGATTTCCCTCGTGTGCGGTATACTGGTATGGTTCTGCAGTGCGACTTCACAAGTCAGTGACTTGCTGACATTGAATATAGACGTACCAGTATGGTGCGCAGTTTGCTGCGATTACAACAGCGACAATGCTTGCATATACTGCGTTTACTATCACGACTACTGCTTGGAGAACAAAATTCCGGAAGCAGGCCAACGCGGCGGATAACCGCGGAGCAACGGTAGCCGTGGACTCGCTTATCAACTACGAAGCTGTCAAATACTTCAACAATGAGCGATTTGAGGTTGCACGCTATGACAGGGCCTTGAAGTCGTACGAAGATGCGTCCATCAAGGTTACAACGTCTCTGGCCTTCCTTAACTCTGGCCAGAACATGATCTTCTCGAGTGCATTGGCCGCCATGATGTACCTTGCGGCCAACGGAGTGGCCAGCGGATCACTGACGGTTGGTGACTTGGTCATGGTCAACCAATTGGTCTTCCAATTGTCTGTGCCGCTGAACTTCCTTGGTTCCGTGTACCGTGAGCTGCGCCAGTCACTGCTTGACATGGAAACACTGTTTAACCTCCAAAAGGTCAATGTGACGATCAAGGAACGAGCGAATGCCAAAGCACTTGAGCTCAAGCAGGGAGGAGAGATCCGGTTCGACAATGTCACGTTCGGCTATCATCCCGAGAGGCCCATCCTTAAGAACGCTAGCTTTACGATTCCTGCTGGTCAGAAGTTTGCTATCGTTGGACCGAGTGGCTGCGGCAAATCCACAATCTTGCGGTTGTTGTTCCGATTCTATGACGCCCAAGAGGGCCGAATCCTGATCGATGGTCAAGATGTGCGCGACGTGACACTGGAAAGTCTCCGCAAATCTATTGGAGTGGTTCCTCAAGACACACCGTTGTTCAACGATACGATTGCTCACAATATCCGTTATGGAAGGATTGACGCAAGTGATGAGGAGGTGCGAAAGGCTGCCCAGCGGGCTCATATCCACGAATTGGTCGAGAAACTGCCCGACGGATACCAGACAGCTGTGGGTGAGAGGGGAATGATGATCTCTGGCGGTGAAAAGCAGCGAATGGCGATTTCTCGATTGCTTGTGAAGGACCCACCACTTTTGTTCTTTGATGAAGCGGTAAGAGCTGGTTTAGATGATTTGTATTGTAGGGACAGCCATGCTAACTTGATCAACGACAGACCTCGGCCCTTGATACCTACACTGAGCAGGCATTGTTGCAAAACATCAACAGCATTCTGAAGGAGAAGGCTCGCACCAGCGTTTTTGTTGCGCATCGATTGCGCACGATCTTTGACAGCGATCAGATCCTCGTGCTGAAGGATGGGCAAGTGGCAGAGAAGGGCTCACACCGAGACCTTCTGGACCAGAACGGCATTTACGCTGAGCTGTGGAATGGTAAGAAGCACACAATGCAAGAGGCGATTAAAGAAAGCTAACTGACTTTTCCCCTTTAGCCCAGGAAACGTCGCTAACTCACGATCTGGAATATGAGCGGAGCGCCGAAGAAGAGGCTCAGGATGCGACAGAGCCCAAGCAAAAATAGATAAGAGATTGGAGGGTTTCATTCATTTTCTTTTCTAAATTGGTAGATACTTACGTGGATATACTTCTTATACCTAGATGGTCAGACAATTACATATAACGAATTTTTTGGGTAGTAAAGTGACTATGGCGTCAGACTGTATATGTGAAACCCCTCTAGATTGAGCGATGAGGAGTTCGATGAGGGGATTGAGGGATAGCATTCCGACCGGAGGGTTCGGCAAATTCAAAATCGCCTAGCGCGTAGATAAACCGCGCAAGTTAACTGAATGACACCTGGAGGCTGCCAAGGGGCAACATTCTCCTGGATGGTCTTTTCATCTGTCCATACTAACCACCCCGTAACTACTATCTGGATATCTGGATGCTTATATCCTGCCAGTCCCTGGATTCTGGATGGCGGACGGACCAACCAGGATGGAATGCAGGCAAGATCCCGGCTGCCCTCGTGGTTGGGAAACCGTTCTGGCCGGGCTAGACTGTTCTAGGGGCCCTAGGGGGACAGCGAGTGGCCCTAGGGCCGCCTACTAGCCGCCAACTGGCCGCTAACCCTCGGCAGCCCCTGGCTAAAACACGCACTACTGCGGCGCTAGTGCACGCCCCGCCCTCGTTCCTGCCCTGGGTGACCATTCGTTCCTTCCCAGTTTCCCCTCCCAACAACGTACTGTTCCTTCCCCACAACTGCTGGTCGTGCGTTTTCCCTCCTCTTCCACTCTCTTTCCTCTCTTTCTCTCCTAATTTATCAATCAATCCCGTCATCCTCTTCACCTTCCTTCCCCTTCTTTGTTCTTTCTTTGCTTCTTCTTCTCTTCCAGTCTTTCTTTCATACTTTATTGTGGTAGTTTATCTCGACTAGTGTGCAATAGCGCTGCCCCCAAATCCCAATAAACCCTCACGTTCTTTATCCAACTTCCAGATCTACCACTGATTATCGCGCTCCTTTACTACCTATCCTTTGACGACGTCCCTGTATACCAATTATTCCACCCCTAAACAGATTTATTCAATCCTATCCTATCCTTCTCTTATCTTCTACTCTTCCCTCTGGTTATATTCTATTCTCTCAACCGAAACTTCCGGTTCACCGTTTGATATTGAAGATCGCCACCATAGATCTCACATATTGTCTTGGATATAATTGAACTGTATGGACGAACTTTCAACCTCGTGGTGCCAATTTTTGGCAATGTTTAAGACCCTGGGCTAATCTGAAACCTAGACGTGCTCAATTGATCCAACGCGCTGCCCGACACCAATCGTTTACCGCGGTGTATCACGTCTGCTTCAAAATCCTACTCCGACATTTTTTGTGACACCTATACCTAGCCATCAAGGCGCATAATCCACTCTTTAAAAAAGACCGAGTTCCAGAAGGAAACGACGGCCATAAGCAACGATTGAATGCGATAGAAGCGAACAAAAACAAAGTGCTACCTTGAAAGAACAAACACAATGGGTCTCATCGAAAAGTTGCAAGCAAGTATGTCTCGCCATTTATATCACAATCATTCAATCCTTGTTCAGCAGACTAATAAAGAAACAGAAATCGAGCTCTACCGGCTGGAGCAGCGCTACGCTCGTCGCAAGCATCGCAGTACATTCCACGCGGGCGTGCAGTACGTCGATGGTGAATACGTTTACACAAATGGATCGCATTCGCCAACAGGAACTGTCTCCAAAAATTCAACCGGCAGCTACTGGAAGACACCCACCTGGAGTGTATCAACCGACTCGCGATGGCGGTGACCAATGAAATACCTTCGATTCGACCTTCTACCTTTCTACTTTTCACAAACCGTGTCCTTCACATAATGTCTCATGTGAAGGACTTGACGATGTTTCCAATCACTATGCCATGTGCTTGTTTATCTTTTTCGTTTCATGGATCAAGACTGTGAGCGGAAAAGTTGATGTTTTCTTTTCATTCGAGTCCATATCTTTCGTCCGACACGCTTGTCATTTGATCCGGATCCAAGGCAATTTAAACCAGACGAGCCCTTGTTGTCACGGCCGATTCGCCCTGTTGACTCGAAAATTCGGCCATGTTTCATATTGATTGCGACAAATTGCTTCATCTCCGATGAAGACGATTCGAAACGTGCCTCATGCCAATTGCCCGCCATCTGTCCGATCAATACCTTTTCCCATTTACACTTCTATTTCTTCTTTCCTGTGGGAATATTTTTGGAGTTACCCGTGATTACCATTTATTGTGTGACGTATGTTGTTCAATTGCGCTTTGTCTTCTAGCATGCATGCTCTTGTCATCCTTGGCAGCGTTTAGGAAGTGGTTTTGTTCTGCTTGTGCTTTATTATCAATCGGCATTATAGCCCTAGCAAGTCTATGACTTTTGCTAACTGTGTACATTGTACATGAATAGAACATCTTGAATATCGAAAATTACGACGATAACCATAAACTAATCAACTAGAAATGTAGCAGTGAGACACCTTGATATGCACTATTTATTGATGTAAGGAATGGGGATATCAATCATTGCGATACAGAAAACTTCTAAACATGTGCAACAACTTATCCTGCCCAAATATTCCATGAGACAAACATAAAAAAGCCTGTCAACTTGAAACCACCATATACATGCTATAAACAGATAATAGACACCTACCCACGTTGATCATTAATTCTGTATGTATATTCAATCCATTCTTGAACACGCATTTCTCACCCAAGCCCAAGCTCAATCAATCAGCGTTTGGACTTCCTACTTCCAATACCCAATCGACCGAGATTCGAAAGACTGGACTTGTGTCTCTGCGCACCGCCTAATATAGACCCGCCCTTCTGGTTCCCGGTCTCCGGGGTATGGCGGCCCCCAGACCCACTGGGCCCTGGGCTTCCGCGAGGAGTATCCGGGTATGTTCTCTCTTTCCCGCGTGCCTGGTCGGCTGTGGCGGCGGCGGAGAGGGCAGCGGAGAGGGAGGGGTTGTGGAGACTCGTGGAAGTGCTGGTGCTGCCTTGTTGAAGTTGTCGTTGGGATGTGGTCTGGGCTCGTCTTGCTCTTTCTTGGACGAATTTGAATTTGTCTAGGAGTTCTACCCAGCGGATGGAGTTCTCATCACGTGTTTTCAGTCGGCCTGTTGAGCGCTCGTAGCTGGCGGATGGTCCTGCGCTGGATTTGAGAATATTTTGTTAGCTTTTTTTGGGAATTATATATGGAAGATTTGGGCTATAGGACTTACGGCCGTGGTCCGGTCTGCAGAAGACCAATGTTGCTAACGCTATTCAGGCGGTTCTTCAGCGCGGCGAAAGCTGAGCTTTGAGGGAGGAGCATGAGAACACCGTAGAGGCATTTGTAGAGGTATGGGTATCTCTCTGGCTCGAGAAGTTGAAGGCGAAGATCTTCTACAGGTCAGCGAATGATTAAATATGGCGGGGAGAACCCAATACTGACAGGTAAAGACAGGGGATTCTAGTAGCTGAACCAGTTTATCGATTTGGATCAGCATGTTAACAGTCATTTCGAGTTCGGCACTAATAGATAACGTCAGTAGAAGTCACATAATGGATAGTTCTACGCCTACAAAACTTGCAAAAGATTATAAGCCTGTTCATAAGCTTGCGCGAGCAGGCATAGGGAAAATGTAGAAACGGCATTATGACACCACGACCTGAATAGAGTCACGAAGAACATTTGACCTTCCTACAACAAGATCGATTAGTTTCACATTCACGTACAAGATGGACTGTCTCATTACCCTGGAGTCAAGATTTCTGAGTCTTTTTCTAAGCTCCGAAAGCTCTGGCGCAGTTATAAGGTTATTGTTCAAATTCTGGACCATGATACTAGCAAACTCAATATCCTGACTCGGAATTAGTAACTTGTCTTCTAAATCAGACACGGTACTTGCCTCTTCTTTTTCAAGACACTCGGCTAGATTTCGATAGATACGTTCTGGGCTCAGATTCATGCAAAGCTGTCGGATGATAAGGTTTCCACGGACCTCAAGAAGATGTCTGTCCGTGGAAAACAGCCGAAGTAGATCGACCATAAAACCGAAAAAATGCTTGTCTTCGCTGCTTCTTGAAATCTGAGATATGAGCTGAAGATCTTTGGTCACAACCGCCTCGGCAGGGTCTGATAGCGTCTTGAGAAGAGCACCAAAAGACCCATCATTGAATGTGAGGATCTTTCGAGGAGCTTTTCGATGAAGCATAATCAGCCAAGAGAAAGCAGCCACCCTCGTAACTTCATTATCATTCAGGAAATGCAGAGTAAGCGATTCCACAGCTGCAGAGTAATCAAGACCCACAGATGGTATGGGTGTGGATATGATGCTGCTTCGAGGTGTCTGGTCATTTGAGAGCTCTTGTGAACTTTGCTTTTGGGGATCGCTCCCTGATGCATCAGGAGGTTTTGTATTAGGTGTAGAGGATCTCCTCTCGAAGCTCTCTTTGCTAGGAGTAGCAGGTGGCAATTTCGAGGTTGTAGTTTGCCTTTCTTCCGTTTCCGGCAAGGAAACAATGTACTCCAGCAAAGACGTATTGACTCGGTTTGCGGCCTGCCGTACTTGATCTGAGGTACTGGACATTGCAGGGAGAACTCGAGTAAGAAGTGGCGGAACGAATGGAAGAATATCCTCAGGACTTATTTCAAAGAAGCTGTCAATCCACCGCAGCGCTGTCAATTGTATCTCTTCATCTGAAGCTGAAATGAGCACTGAATCATGAAATCATATATTATTTTGTATGAAAAATACTCACCATAAGAGGTTTGAACAAAGGCCACAAGGATTTCTAAAATTTTGGGGTAGTCAATATGGACATCTTGGCCGGGAATCCAGTCTCCGTCGACGTGTAACCCATCTTCGACAACGACAGACTCGGAATCTGAGTCTTCTATGGCATTCTCGTTATCATTCTTTTCAGCCTCGAGAGCGATAGGCGGATCGATAGTTGTGCTAACGCTGTCGCTTGTCACTGATTGTCTGTTATTGCTTTCCTGCCCCTTCCGGCTATCTTCGATTCCTTTCCTGAGGCGTGCAATCCTCTTGATCTCAGATAGAAACCTATCTAGAAGGACTTGAGTAGCCACGTTCACCTCTTTTTCCGAGTCGCCAAGGAATTTGATCAGCCCCCCAAGGAACTCTGGCAAGTAGCTAACAAGCTCTAGATCCGGGATCGTATCAAGCAGTGTCAGCCATGACACAAGAAAAGTACGGGTAAATGCACTGATCACATTTATCCGTTCCTTAAGTAGCGGGATGAACTTTGCAAGCGAGAAGGCAGTGGGAAGCTCCGCATCCTCAAATCCATCTGGATCCGAGGCTTCCTTTTCAGAAATCTGTAGGGTCGAAACATAGGAAGCAGCGGACTCGGCTACAATATCCTTCACAAGCCGATTGACAAGCTCAGCGCCGTTTTTCACGGAGCCTTCCGAGTCAGATGCTAACTGGACCATATGTCAGTGTGATGTGCTTTCAAAATTGACACCCATGGAGAGCACCAACCTTGCTCAATGCATCGAAAGTTTCATTGAAAAAAGGCAATATTTCTGCTTTGGCGATCTTGGCAATGTTGTACATGCTTTCGCATGCGTAATACCTGACTCGCGCATCCTGGTCCGAGAAGCAAGCAAGCACCGGGGGCACAATTTCTTTGAGATAAGGCGCAACACCCTCCTAGAAAATCCCTGTCTCAGTATATACCGTATATGAATATGTCCTGGTTGTCTCACGTATCCTGGTTGAGTCACGGATCCCAGCGCTATTGAAGCGGCCGCCAGCCCGATCAAACCACCGTTTCTAGCATGAGGTTGGTGTACGGCGTACGCATAGTCATGACATAGTTGGTCGACGATATTTCGGATCTTCTCGTATTCATCTTTTAGAGCAGCATCACGGACGATTTTCTCGAGCCTAAAAACACCCTTTTAATTAGCACACTGATCGTCATCCTAGCAAGGATAACTTGACCGTACTCCAAGGCTCCTTGTTTCCTCCGATCGTAAAGCTTGTCATTTAGCAAGCGCTGGACAGAGTAATCCATAGCTCAGATCAACACGAACAGCAATGATGCACGAGCTTTAATCGTAGGCTAAGCAAGGCTCATGGTGGAGAGGGGGTTTCTGTTGAGCTGGGCGGTGAATCAGTATCTCGAGTCGAGCCTGCAGCTAGTTGTAGCTATTCCCAGATCATCAATTTCAAACGACGGCAGCCTTGTTGCGATCACAAAAACCTGTTCAGCTGATTAACAACCCTTCCAGCCTCCTTTTGTCGAGATAAACAATGTGGGGGGGCACTCACTGCAAGATGCGTTGGCAACGTGGATGGTGTCTTAGTGGACGCGATGTGACGTAGTGTCAGCGGTCTCGAGTATGATTACGGGATACCGTATCTACTATCTACGTTACATCTGGACTCGACCTAGTCAATCAACTCAACAACATCTGGGGAAAAAAAAAAGGGACTGTCATGTTGATGCATTATTATTCTATTGTCATCTCTAAGACTGTAACAAAACGTGATATCCTATGCTATATATATCATCAAAGAACATGGATCAAGACGAAGATAAACTCCCAAGTCGACCGAGACATTGATAAAAAATGGCCACCAATAATACTCCCAGTATAGATAACGCCATTAATGACTTATGTATTGAAAAACTGCAGAGACATCTCTTTCTCCTGTCTCTTGGCGTATCAGCAAGTCTTGAATCTTGCCTAGCTGGCCCTTCTCGCCGTCGTTCACAAAATGATTCCAAGAGCTTGTATCACCATACAATAAAGCTGGTGCTTTGATAAATTGCGTTCCATCCGGTCTGCATCTCTTGCATTTGAAAGTGTCATGGGTATCACTTCTTGTTTCTGGCTTGAACTGGAAAAGTTCACGGAGCGATTCCTGGGAAAAGTGCCGTTCAACATCTTCTGCGGAATCGACGACACATGAAGAAAGCGATTGTTTATGCGATTGTCGCTGGAAAATCTTCTCTTCAATCGAGCCTGTCGCGATAAAGCGATAGACAAAACATTCTTTCTTCTGCCCATCACGCCATACTCGCGCCAAAGCTTGCTGGTCAGCAGCGGGGTTCCAATCTGGGTCAAACAGCACGAGGCGATTTGCACCGATCAAGTTCAAGCCACAGCCACCAGCTTTGCTGCTTAGAAGAAAGATGAACTCCTCTCCGTCGGGGTTATTGAACTTTTCGACTAATTTTTGACGTTTGTTCACGTTCATAGTACCATCCAGTCGTAGCGAACCGTACCCCCGTGTTCTGCAAAGTTTTTCAAAGAGGTCCAATGTCTGAGTGTAGTTACTGATGAGGACAATTTTGTCATTGGTATCCTGACGTATGCGGGCCAGCATACGATCGAGAACCATCATCTTGCCTGAATACCAAGATTTGATCTCTCGGTCACGACCTCTAGCCTCAGGTGGCACATAGTCATCGGGGAAGGTATATTCACACCCTGGGAGGTCTTTAGCGAGATCGAGAAGATCCGGATGATTGCAGAGCTTTTTCAGAATTCCAATCGCTTTCAAGGGCTGGCTTCCTTTGCCTCTTAGCAAACTCCTGATTTCTGGGCTCTGAATGAAATGTTTGTATAAGCCGAGCTGGAACGGTGATAAGTTGCAGAATACAACATGTTCGTACTTGACGGTCAAGTACTTAGATAGGATGTCATTCGTCCGACGGATGATGAATTTGTTGACAATACCGGAAAGTTCAAGTAGTCGTTCATCACCTTTCTTTCGGTCCTCTTCTGTGCCCGCCGCATCGCGCCCCTTGAGAATTGGCAATTCGAATCTTTTCCGAAATTCATTCTGCGACCCTAGCAGGTTTGGGTTCGCGAAATTAAGGAGAGCAAAATACTCTGACAGGTCATTCTGAATGGGAGTTCCGGACAAAATGACCCGTCGGCTCACATTAAGACTGTCCAATGCAGTCCATGTCAAGCTGTCTTTATTTTTCAGGCGATGTCCTTCATCGCACAATAGCAGCCCTATTGGACTGTCTTTCAATGTTTCAACGTACATACGAAGCGTCTCATAGGAAACAATCAACACGGGCCTCACAACAGAGCGTCCAGAAGCCATTGACCATTGTTTCATCTGAGTAGTGAGTTCCGTCTTCGACGCCTTACCATCCACTGCGAACGGAGTTATGGTGTCCTTCCCCAGCCATTTCCCTGTACTGGTCAGCTGAGACGAATAATATACTACGTGTACGACTTACCGAGCTCATTCGCCCAATTTCCAACTAAACTTGATGGACAGGCGATAATACACTTCTGGATGGTTGATTTCCCCGCCTCTGGGGATTGTTTAAGTAAGGTCCACATCAGGGCAATGCATTGAAGCTGTAGGAGTCAGTAGTGACTTGAAGATGACACAAATTGACCATACTGTCTTGCCCAATCCCATTCCATCTGCCATGATACAGCCATTTGCATTTTTATCAATCAGGCCGGTTGTGCAACGATAAAGAAACTGCAAAGTTGATATTGTCAGTACAATATTCCGGTAAATGGATGAGTGAATAATGCTTGCCTTTACACCTTCAACTTGATGTGGCCGCAAAATCTTTGCCACCTTTGGATCTATGACAACGGGAACTTTAGGACGAGAATCAACTTCCTTTTTAAGCCCGAGAATATCTGCTAAGCTCTTATGCACAAGCGGTTCATCTAATTTCGAACTTGCTTCATCGGGCTGGCCTTCTTGCGCCTTGGGTGGTTCGGGTGCTTCATCGACATCATCAACAGTTGGGTCATATAACACGATGGCAAACTCCCCGCTAGGATCATGCAATGGTTTCACCACAAATGAGGCACCTCGCCTCATTCCCAAAGTCGGCGCCGGCCTCGCGGCATCGTAGGTGTCTGCCGATTTATTGATCAATGGAATTGTAAACCTTTGCCTGAATGCGGTATCTTTGTCTTTTGGTTTGAAAACAGGGAATTTGTTGGCGTCTCGGGTTGCAAGCGCGAGGCGCTCCTCGTTCGTCCATGGCTTTTCACCTTGGTCCTCCGTACTTCCATCCGCGTTGGCATAATTCACCTTCCTCCTTTTTCTCGACGGTTTTTCTGAGGTTCGAGTTGGGGTGGCTGTTCCAGGGCATTTGAAAGGCTTCGCGAGACGGTCGCCGGATTTGAGGGATGTACTGCTTGGAGGGTACTTTGATGACGGCGTGCCTGCACCACCTTCCGTTGAAGCTGGCCGAGGTCGATACCTGGAGACGTCAATGAGTATTTTCTCAAGCAGAATGTGCCGCCTCACTTCTTACATTGATCCAAAATTTCAAAACTATGACACGAGCCAGCCTTCAAAAGCGTTCTTCGATGGTTCAGGCCGATGCTGTAGTCATCGGCTGAGGCTCTGCCTGCTATCATCGCACGCGTTGCCACATCACTTGGCGCGTCTTGCCCCAAACACCAAAGTTCCGCGAAATCACGTGGGTGGGTATACAGCAGGCAGGTACTAACCCTAAGCCTCGGCCCAACGGCTGCCCCGCGATCCAGATAAGGAAAGTTGTACCCCCGCCGAGGAGAATGAGTCGCTGATGAGATACTCAACACCCTAGTCATACTGGTCTGGCACCATTCGATCAAATGGCATCCGATTTCTGGGCTGGCTACCTTAGCGGGGCTATTGGTATTATCATTGGAAACCCTTTAGATGTCGTCAAAGTTCAATTACAGGCAGGCCACACCCAAGAGGTAATTGCCACGTCTACAAGATCAAGTTTCAACCGATTCGAGAGGACCAGCTCTCTTGTACGAGGTTTGCAGATATCAGTCGATGTATAATCTCAAGATCAAGCTACTAACGTCGATCTTAGGGGCGGCGGCTCCTATATCTGGATATGGAGCCCTTAACGCTATTCTCTTTGTCGCCTATAATCGGTCATTGATGCTTCTCGATGGCTCAGTGGTTGATCCCACAAACCCCCAGGGTGTTTCATTATCTAAAATTTGGCTTGCCGGTGCTGCAGGCGGACTGGCTAGTTGGACTATATCATCTCCGACAGAGTTCATCAAATGTCGAACGCAACTTGATACTCGCCAAGGCGTCTCATCTTGGGCTGTGGCAAAGGACATTGTCCGAAACAAGGGCTGGAGGGGTCTCTACTTTGGAGGAGCGATTACTAGTGCCAGAGATGCTATTGGCTATGGATTTTAGTATGCAATCTGCTTCCCCGGATCTTCACTCGCCGTTATTTACACATCTACAGCTTTTGGTCTTACGAGTATTCCAAACGACTTATGGCCTCCGAAAATGATGAAGCACATCAATCTGCGATGAAGGTTCTTCTTTGCGGAGGCATTGCTGGAGTCGCTACTTGGGCATCAGTCTTCCCATTAGATGTGATCAAAACAAGACTGCAGGCCCAGACAATTGGAACACCTGAAGCCCAGCAGCTTCTGCTGTCACAGAGCATTAGGCAGCCCTTGAGTTCCTTTCGGCTTGCGAGACAAGCATACCGAAACGAAGGGTTGTCGGTTTTCTATCGCGGCCTAGGAGTCTGTAGCATCAGAGCATTCATAGTAAATGCTGTGCAGGTATGTTTATCAAAAACTCAATGATTCAATGCCACAATTGCTCATTATACCACAGTGGGCAACCTATGAGTGGCTTATGAAAGCTCTTAACAGCCCCCAAAAACCAGTATATGCCCAAACATGAGATGCCTAAGAATCACAGGACAGATCATACATAAAACTCGGTGTAAATATATATTTCATTTATTTCAGCCATACATCTTTGAAGTTTGTAGTCTGTATTGAAGCTAGTAAATAAATTTCGCCTAAGAAGAAAATGCCGGAATCCGGATAAAGCGGGACTCTGACAAAACAGCGCTCCGAGAAACGGCTGTTTTTGTCATCAGCGCAAACCGGAGACAGCATGCTCGGTGTCCACTTTTTGGCGACTTTCGGCACATGTGGTTTCACGTGCGGCTCTTCCACCTCAGCAAGCTGCTGATTGGGCGATGAGCTTTTTTCGAGCGCAACCAATAGAATCGCCGATGAAACAACGTCGACAGCAAGGCACATGCTGCTAGAAAAAAATTTTTTCGTCGAAGCCCTTGATTCAAAAGATTGTTGTTCATGAAGCATCCTGTTTTTCAAAGAGTGTGTTCATGATCCATCATGTTGTTGCTCGTAGATGCCAATCGATGGTGAATGGGCCATTCTAGACCTAATCCTCCATGTCGACGACCGACTCTTGTTGCCGTACGCCATTATCAGTTCCCAAGCCAACGGCGGCCTCAGCCAGCTTTTGTGAGTGCGGTTCCTCTCGCAACAACCGGAGTCTATAATAGAACAAGCGGTGCATTAGCCACGATCCTAGTTGAAAATGTTATGCGCAAGATGCCAACCCACCTTCGTTTGTGGTTTTTACCCTTGGTATGGGCGACCAGGTTGTATTCGCTTTCAAACCATTTTGAGCATTCAACACAATAGTGTTTTCCTAGACCAGGAAGGTCCTCTGCGTCTTTGGTGGCTTTGTATTGCGCAAGGTGCTTGGGAGAGTCGATGTCTTCTCGGACTTGATCGTAACCTCTGTATAGAAAAATTTTTTTTGTTAGAGCGGATTCAATTAAGGCATTCCAATGCGATCATGGGCATGGATGTCAATAGCAATGGAAGTGTATGTACCTCGTCATGCGCTTAGTCTTGACTCTTCGCAAAGCACCCATTTTGGACGTCTATCAATATCAAAGGCAACCCGATGTTCTTTCCCGATGAGTATCGACTATCGCAAAAATTATCACCGATAAACGGAATGATGCTAAAGCTTTAGGCGGTGCAATAGCGGGTCAAGGACGTGAAATTTCCGCCTTTGTGCGCGCGAGGAGATCTCTTGAAACACCTCACTCATTATTGGTGTGCGTCCGATGTGGGCTTGGCGCCGGCCCGCGGGACTACCATCGGTAGGCCTCGGTTCTGACTCGGTTTCGTCGCGGGTTCATTACCAGCGGTACAGCGTTCTTCCTGGCGTGCGGTAATTTATGACGTTTTCATTCATCCGGCATGTTGCTCCGTGAGCTCAGGAGAAGCAGCACCATCCAGTTACGTCTCAGATGAAATAATGCTTACCTGTTCTAATTGCGGTAGCCACAGTAACACGCTCACGTACATTTGCGCAAACTCTGCGTTTGAATTACTAAAGCTAATTGTGAAAATACTTGGAAATATGAGGTTCAAAGAAAACTACATGCTAAATATATGCCGCATGAAGTACTTACTTAGTACCTACAGTCCATGCCAGTAACCAGGCATTATTATGTGGTCAAAGCCCAACGGTAATCACCACTCCTGCGATTGGCTTATGTGTCTCACATGCACCGGACCCATGCGCAGTCTTGTGGCCAAAATTACCGCGTAATGTATAACTGTTTACGATCTGAACCACATGGGGTCACCGTTGTAAAAAGCAAAGAGACCATTGACATCGATGCTTTTTCGAATCAATAACAGGATTATGGGTCTCAATCCGGTTAGGTTTGCAGGCCATTTGGAACTTCCGATGAACATCAGGCATTCGTACGGAAGTGTAGGGGGAAAGGGAGTGGATTACCCAGCCATCTACCTTCCTTGTATCCGGTCGCATGCCTGGAGCAAACTTACCGAAAACGTATGGGTCCCGTACTGTCATGAGCGATTACGGGTCCTCTTCTCCGGTTCCCCAGTGCAGGAATCGCTGTTGGTAAACCAGAATCTTTCCCACTCAAAAACACCAAGCTTCCTTTTTATCTGCTCCATTTCCTCCTCTCCTTCCTTTCTTTCTTCCTTTCCTCTCTCACTCTCCACTCCATTCTTGCTGCTTCTATTACCTGAAGCTGGCTGCTATTGCTTGGATTGGCTCTCCTTGAATGTGTCGCAGCCTTGTCCACATCGCATAGAGAGCTTTCATCATGATCTCCACAAGGCTCGCGCGCGTCGGTGCGATGGTAAGTCATCTCTACCTCATCCTCTGTCCAAAATGGCAGAGGATGCATCAATGCAGCTTCATGCATTGGATAGCCGCCCTATGGTAAATGATTGAAAGCTAACCAAATCGTTCTACAGGCACCTAAGTCCCGACTTGTATGCCTACGACCCTTGAGCTACCATTCTTGGACTACAGAGGAAACTTTGTTCAGAACTTGGGATGGACTATGGAGTGCAAAATAGCTAACCAGTTGTATAGCTGTTCGGGGCTCGGGGCTATGCCACCGTCGGCGAATCTCCCCTCGACAAGAAGGTCGAGATGACCAACTGTGAAACTGTATGTGATGATCATGAGATCCTCGGATTGCCTCGGCATTGTAACACTGGCTAATTCTGCTTTAACAGGGTCACTACATCAACTACAAGTATGATCAACCCATTGGTCTTGCGATGATTTGGCTTTGGCAATTCATGCAATTGCTTGGCCTGATAAACAGGGTTGCTAACATGTTTTCAACTTTCTAGGAAGATGTCCCAGAACTTGGACATTGTCCGTCAGCGTCTGATGCGCCCTCTCACCTACGCCGAGAAGGTTCTGTACTCTCACCTTGACGACCCCCACGGCCAGGAGCTCGAGCGTGGCAAGTCCTACCTCAAGCTGCGTCCCGACCGTGTTGCTTGCCAGGATGCCACCGCCCAGATGGCTATCCTGCAGTTCATGTCGGCCGGTATGCCGTCCGTCGCTACTCCTACCACCGTCCACTGCGACCACTTGATTGAGGCCCAGGTTGGTGGTGACAAGGATCTTGCTCGTGCCAACGACATCAACAAGGAAGTTTACGACTTCCTTGCTTCTGCTACTGCCAAGTACAACATTGGTTTCTGGAAGCCCGGTTCCGGTATCATTCACCAGATCGTTCTGGAGAACTACGCTTTCCCCGGTGCTCTGATGATCGGTACTGACTCTCACACCCCCAACGCTGGTGGTCTCGCCTCGGCCGCTATCGGTGTCGGTGGTGCTGATGCCGTTGATGTCATGGCTGGCCTTCCTTGGGAACTGAAGGCCCCCAAGGTCATTGGTGTCAAGCTTACTGGCCAGATGTCTGGCTGGACTACTCCTAAGGGTGAGCATACAATTATCAACCATTTTCTGTTTGCATTTTTAACCCGTATTTTTAGATATCATCCTTAAGGTTGCTGGTCTCCTCACTGTCAAGGGTGGTACTGGTGCCATCATTGAGTACCACGGACCTGGTGTTGACTCTTTGTCTTGCACTGGTATGGGAACCATCTGTAACATGGGTGCTGAGATCGGTGCCACCACCTCCATGTTCCCCTTCAACGACCGCATGTACGACTACCTGAAGGCTACCAAGCGTCAGCACATCGGAAACTTCTCCAGAGAGTACGCCAAGGACCTCCGCGAGGACCAGGGTGCTGAGTACGACCAGCTGATCGAGATCAACCTCTCCGAGCTGGAGCCTCACGTTAACGGTCCCTTCACTCCCGACTTGGCTACTCCCATTTCCAAGTTCAAGGAGGCTGTCAAGACCAACAAGTGGCCTGAGGAGCTCAAGGTCGGTCTGATCGGTTCTTGCACCAACTCCTCGTATGAGGATATGTCCCGTGCTGCCTCCATCGCTCGTGACGCCCTTGACCACGGTGTCAAGTCCAAGTCTCTCTTCACCGTTACCCCCGGTTCTGAGCAGATTCGCGCCACCATTGAGCGTGACGGTCAGCTCCAGACCCTCGAGGAGTTCGGTGGTGTCATCCTCGCCAACGCCTGCGGTCCTTGCATTGGACAGTGGGACCGTAAGGATGTGAAGAAGGGCGAGCCCAACTCCATCATCTCTTCCTACAACCGTAACTTCACTGGCCGTAACGATGCCAACCCCGCCACCCACGCCTTCGTTGCCTCTCCCGACCTTACCGTCGCCATGTGCGTTGCCGGTACCCTCAACTTTAACCCTCTCACCGACACCCTCAAGGACAAGGACGGCAATGACTTCATGCTCAAGGCCCCCTCCGGTGATGGTCTCCCTAGCCGGGGCTACGACGCCGGCCGTGACACCTACCAGGCTCCTCCCGCTGACCGTGAGTCCGTCAGCGTCGCTGTTTCCCCCAGCAGTGAGCGTCTGCAGGTTCTTGGTGGATTCAAGGCTTGGGATGGCAAGGATGCCACTGGTATCCCCATCCTGATCAAGTGCCAGGGTAAGACCACCACTGACCACATCTCCATGGCTGGTCCCTGGTTGAAGTACCGTGGCCACCTTGACAACATCTCCAACAACATGTTGATTGGTGCTGTCAACGCCGAGAACGGCGAGGCCAACAGCGTCAAGAACGCCTTCACTGGCAAGTACGACGCTGTCCCTGCCACTGCCCGTGACTACAAGGCCCGTGGCATCCAGTGGGTTGTCATCGGTGACTGGAACTACGGTGAGGGTTCTTCTCGTGAGCACGCTGCTCTCGAGCCCCGTCACCTTGGTGGCCTTGCCATCATCACCCGCAGCTTTGCCCGTATCGTATGTTAACCCTTCACGAAGACCCTCCTGGCCAGCAGTGAAACTAACCTTTTTCTCTCCAGCACGAAACCAACTTGAAGAAGCAGGGTATGCTTCCTCTGACCTTCACTGACCCCGCCGACTACGACAAGATCAAGCCCGAGGACACCGTCGACCTGCTCTGCACTGAGATCGCCGTCGGCAAGCCCATGACCCTCCGTGTCCACCCCAAGGACGGCAGTGCCTCGTTCGACGTCTCGCTCAGCCACACCTTCAACGAGTCTCAGATCGAGTGGTTCGTTGACGGATCTGCCCTCAACACCATGGCCCGCAAGGCTGCTCAATAAACAAATAACGACCCCAAGCAATGATACCACTTGCTAAGTCGGCCTGTGGCTCGAGGCGCCCCTTGAACACCGGTTGGTGAGAGCTTATTTGTAAAATATGTTTCATCACTATTTCTATCACTTGATAGGAAGATACGGCCTTCATGGTCTATCCGATGTGGAAGAGCGGCATCTGGGGAGGATGGTGCCTGCTAATAGTGTTTTATGATGGGAAAGGCGGAGTCAAGCTCTGAAAAATTCTTTACGATGTTTTGTTTTTTGTCACCTGAGAACTCATTTCCTTTATTCCCCTTTCCGAGTTTGGGTGGGCTCTATGAATATAGTCGTTGTTTTACTCTATCATCAATCTTTGTATGTTAGGACTTCGCGCATACCACATTTCCTTCTGTTTCAAATCTCTCTACCATACGTAGTTCCTCATCCGTCCCAGTACTTTGGTCCGATGCTATCAGTAAAACTTGGATTCATTCACTGTTCATGTTGTACGCAATCAGGCGTGGCACCATGCTCTATCACCAGACCTGCTGACTCAACATGTGCTCTGCCGAGGCCCGAATCCCTCTGCCCCGCCTCGGAAGAGTCCGTACAATGATCTGACTGGGTTATGGAGGTCGATGGGTCAGAATATCGAAGATCACGTATCGTGCTTGATATATCCAGCTGCTGATTCATACTGTCGTGATCGAATCGTGTCTAGTTCATTTGTAAGCAGCGTGAGTCTCTATGCATCATAGACCGCATGAAATTCAATTGACTGAGACCTCAACGTCCATCCGATACACAATTTGCCATTTCTAGAAATCGATCATTTCTAGGCCATTTATCCATCCATCGAGATGGCTCAACTCGTTCCACTCCCAGATGTGGAAAGACTCAGTGCTTCCGTGGTGAGGATATTAGGTGCAAATCCTGGAAAGGTAGGCCCAGTTCGACAGCTCTGTCTGTGCACTAGGACTAACAACGTTCTGCATGATGCACGGCATACAGTTTACATTACAAGGTGAGTTTCTTTTAAATCAAAATAAGGCACGTTTAGCTCATCGCCCTGCAGGAACAAATACATACCTTGTTGGTCGAGGAAAACAGCGAATCCTCATTGACACGGCCCAAGGAGAGCCTGCATGGGCATCCCGGCTCAAGACACTCTTGACGGAGGAAAATGCAACAGTACATAAAGCGCTCATCACGCACTGGCACCACGACCACGTCAATGGCATTCCAGATCTTTTGAAAATCTGCCCCCAGGCAACTATTTATAAACACCACCCGGAGGATGGGCAAACGGATATCCAAGATGGGGAGGTGTTTAGTGTTGAGGGGGCTACTTTGAAAGCGTTCCATACTCCTGGACACACTGAGGATCATATGGCGTTTGTCTTTGAGGAAGAAGATTCCATGTTTACGGGTGATAGTAGGCGCTTCCCCCCTCCCTTGTTTTGTGTCTTTTTGACTTATTCGTGTTTAGATGTCCTGGGCCATGGTTCTGCCGTTTTCGAAGATTTGAAGGTTTATCTTTCCAGTTTACAAAGGATGTACAGCCGAGTTTCAGGTCGTGGATACCCAGGTCATGGTGCCGTTCTTGAGAATGCAACAGCGAAGATCTCCGAATACATCAAGCATCGCCAGCAGCGTGAAGATGAAGTGATCCGGGTTCTTCGCTATGGGAAACTTGATGTCGAAGAGAATGAAAAATCCCCTGAACGAAAGCGGGCCTGGACGCCTCTTGAACTGGTAAAGGTGATATATCGCAATGTACCAGAGAGTCTGCATCTGCCTGCGTCGCACGGAGTGTCACAGGTGTTGATGAAGCTGGAGGACGATGGTAAGACGATACACGACACAGCATCTGGAGGATGGTACCTGGCAGGAGAGAAATCGGCATTGTGAATCGATTTCCATGTTTCATCATTTGTACCTTGTCCTGAATCCATAGAGTGTGAATACTTTTATCCCTCAACGATCATCTACTCAGAGTACCACCCAAGTGGATCTAAATATATCCTTCAGGGCTAGATCATTCGATACGAAGAGAAAAGCCATTCTGCCCTCTGCTCCCCTTGATTCGTATCCATTTTGCCTGTAAGTTTGCATTTACCCCTCCTTGGGCCTTGGGGATACGCCACCTGCAATGTGGACGTACGGTCAGATGCGCGATGATTACGCCGGTGATCGGCCATGAAGGGTGTAAGGATAGATAGAATACTCCAGGCCAGTCTGAACTATCTCGCAATCAATATAAATACCATTCTTTTTCGCCTCCTTTTTCCCCAGTCTCAGTGTTGGCATCATCGATTAGCTTTGCCTCCCCTCTGGGCTGTGACTGGCTGGGACCTCCAATCCAGTCGGACTGACTTCATCGCCCAGTCCAACTCCTCAACTGATCTCCATTCCTGGTGACCTTTTTTCTATTTTGCCCCCTCTTTTATTAATTTGCGTTTCTCTCTTTTTGTCAAATTAATCCATCAACCCTCTCTCTCTCTCTCTCTCTCTCTCTCTCTCTCTCTCTCTCTCTCTCTCTCTATATCCTGGACAGTCGATGTGTTTGCTATTAAAGAGCAGCCAGGCCCACTTGTTCTGCTCTTCTTCTACCCGACCAGCCGCCGTTCCAGGTTTCGCCGGTCTTTCGTCGCCCAGACTTGTTGGCCCGCTCGCTGGGCTCTGAGGTCACTGTTCCCCGCCGTGTGTTTCTTCTCCCACTTCAGCTTCACCGACGACACCGTCAGCTCGTTCTGGAGGGCTGCCCTCTGTCTTTTTTTTTCGACTCTTTTGTTTTGAGTACGACTGCTGTCTGTCCGATTGTCGATCTTGTGTTTATTGTTTCAATCGGGATCTGTTGACGTTGGTTTTGTTTCTTTTTCTTTATTCTCATTCCACAGAGCGACTCTTTTTGGGCAGCGCTTTTTTTTCACCCTGCCTCTAGCGATTTTAATTCTCTTACCGTCCGATTAATTCCAACTTTTTTCGCTTCTATCTTCACGATGCCTTCTCTCGAACCCCCCCCTCAAAACGAGGCGAGATTGCTCCTCGTCTCGAACCGATTGCCGATCACCATCAAGCGCTCCGAAGACGGCAAATATGACTTTTCCATGTCGTCGGGTGGTTTGGTTAGTGGCCTGAGTGGCCTGTCGAAATCTACGACTTTCCAATGGTATGGCTGGCCCGGGTTGGAAGTTCCGGAGGAGGAGATCCCCGAGGTCAAGCAACGGTTGAAGGATGAATATGGGGCTGTTCCAGTGTTTATCGACGATGAACTTGCGGATCGACATTACAATGGGTTCTCCAGTTAGTTCGCGCCAAATTTCATTCTACCCGAACAAAATGACGAGATCGTATGCTAACAAAGCTTTTTTTTTTTTTTTTTTCCTTTTGGTTAGACTCTATTCTTTGGCCGCTTTTCCATTACCACCCCGGTGAAATTACGTTCGACGAGTCCGCTTGGGATGCGTACAAGGAAGCAAATCGCCTTTTCGCCAAGGCTGTTGCGAAAGAAGTTAAGGATGGAGATCTTATCTGGGTTCACGACTATCATTTGATGCTGCTTCCCGAAATGCTGCGAGAGGAGATCGGAGACAGCAAGGAGAATGTCAAGATCGGCTTCTTCCTCCACACTCCGTTCCCCAGTAGCGAGATCTACAGAATTCTGCCGGTCCGTAATGAACTGTTACTGGGTGTTCTTCACTGCGATCTCATCGGTTTCCATACTTATGACTACACACGACATTTCCTGAGCGCTTGCTCACGATTGCTGTAAGTGGAATCATTGCTGGGCTTTTAGGGACATTGAAACTCACTCTATTGCTAGGGGGCTCGCAACAACTCCTAATGGTATCGAATTTCAAGGAAAGATTATTGCCTGCGGCGCTTTTCCGATCGGTATTGACCCAGAGAAATTCCAAGAGGGCCTTAAGAAGGAAAAGGTCCAAAAGCGGATAGCAACGCTCGAGCAGAAATTCCAGGGCGTGAAGCTCATGGTCGGCGTTGATCGTCTTGATTATATAAAAGGTGTACCTCAGAAGCTGCATGCACTGGAGGTCTTCCTTAGTGACCATCCAGAATGGGTTGGAAAGGTTGTTCTTGTCCAGGTCGCTGTTCCCAGTAGACAGGATGTCGAGGAATATCAGAATCTGAGGGCAGTGGTGAACGAGTTAGTTGGCAGGATCAATGGGAAATTCGGTGAGTATTCCCTCTCCCAGCGGCACAATACTCTGCGTTTCTAATAGCACTAGGCACTGTCGAATTCATGCCCATTCATTTCCTCCACAAGTCCGTCAACTTCGATGAGCTCATTGCTCTATATGCAGTGTCAGATGCCTGCATTGTGTCGTCTACCCGAGATGGTATGAACCTGGTAGCATACGAGTATATTGCAACACAGCAAAAGCGTCACGGTTCTTTGGTGCTTTCAGAATTTGCCGGGGCAGCCCAGAGTCTCAACGGTAGTATAATCATCAACCCTTGGAACACAGAGGAGCTTGCTGGTGCCTACCAGGAAGCTGTAACGATGAGCGACGAGCAGAGAGCTCTTAACTTTTCCAAGCTGGATAAATACGTTTCGAAGTATACAAGGTATGAGAAAGGAACACCCGTCTGAGATTTCGGTGAAGAATAGAACATTAACCCATTTCAAGTGCCTTCTGGGGTCAGTCTTTCGTGACCGAGTTGACAAGGATATCTGTGACTTCGGCGGAGAAGTTTCAGACCAGAAAAGCTGCCTTGGCCGCGAGCTCTCATGTTGGAGAGCATGTGAATGGTAGTGAGATTCCAGGCGATCATCAGTTGACACACTCATGAGTCTGACTGAATCTTATATCAGAAACGACAAATGGAAACGTGTGAATGATTGGTTTAGATGTCTTATCTTGTCTTGATGAACACTGGGTGTAGCGAAACGAGTCTTTTGTTTGGTTTTATTTGATTTGATTGCATTGGTTATGTTTCCTGTCCACTCATACGAATGCCATGGAGATAACCATCCTGTTTCTATTCATATGCGGTGGGATTAAAAACTGGCATGATGAGGTGTGAGGTGTCCGGGTACTGTACATTAGGCATTTCGGCTAGATGCTTTTATTTGTTGGATCTCTCATCTCCTATACAGTCTCAAGTCCTTCCAGATAGGGGGTTTTACATTAATTCAACATATTTTGACCATGCTGTATCCGTCTATCGTGATGTTTGGTGGAAGAAGTGGTGTCAAACAGTGCAAACATCTTCTCTGAGAAATTCTCGGGCCAAACCATCCGCCGATGCTGGATCGACGTGAAGAACACATCGAGAACACCTCTCTTCTCCTCCTTGCCAGAACTCCATTGCGTGGGCTCGTTATTGCCGAGTGAGTATTGTCTTTGGGATTATCTGCCAATTGCACCGACGGCCTAGTCACATTGAGAAGTCGTGCCAACCCCGGGATCTTGCAAAACAACCACCTCTCCGACACCCGGCCGCATCAGCCAACATTTTCAGAACAGAACACCAGCTTTTCACTGAGTTGGAAGAAGTACATCGATATCCGACGTGATACGCAGACTAAATTGATAAATTCCCACTATCCGAAATGGCACCAAACCATCTCCTACGGGCAGTCATGCCCCTACGATCTTCCATGACCGGATCAACCACGACCAGCTCCTCCATGACCTTCCTGCGTCCCACACAATCAAGCCTCCTCACCAGCTCTATCTCCACCAGACGAGCATCATCTACTACAACCCAGCAACAACAACAACCAGACCAACCCCAACAACAATCCCCCATACCCTCCGCGGCCAAGCCCCCATCCCTCCGCGCCTACCCCTACACCATCAAAACCGGCACCGTCGTCTCCGTCGGCCGGATGGACCGTACCGTGCGCGTCGCCCACAACCACAACACCTGGGACTCGTACCTGCGCAAGAACTACCCCAAAACCACGACCTACCTGGTGTCGGACCCGCGCAACTCGCTCCGCCAGGGCGACGTGATTGAGTTTTCGTCGGGGTTCCCCAAGAGCCGCAACGTGCGCCACGTCGTGGAGCGGATTATTGCGCCGTTTGGGTCAGAGATTGCGGAGCGGCCGGCTGTCTTGTCGCGTGAGGAGAGGGATGCGCTGAAGACGGAGAAGAGAGCGGCTAAGTGGGAGAGAAGAGAGGCGAGGAGGTTAGAGAATGGTGGTCAGGGTGAGGGTGCTAAGGAGCATGTTGGTCGCATTCGACAGTTGATTTTGGAGAGAGTTGGTGGCCAGGCTTAGACTTGGGTGTAGACAAAACTTCAAGGCGGGGTGATTATTGTTGTTAGCTTTTGTCTTTTTTCTCTCTTGTTTCTTCATGTATGTTTTGAACTCTAGGATCAAGTGTACTATATCATATCATATCATATTATATTTCATCGTGTTGCCTTGAGGATTAGGCTGGTTACAGAATAGACGGGCGTTCATCTAATTGCTTCACATATATATATATATATATAATGGGTGCACCGATAATGGGCATAGCTACTATAAATCCATGTCTTCTAGGAATATACCGCACAAAAAGGTATCTTGATTAATTCAACACAAAAATAGAAAGAAAAAAAGCCCAGAGGTAAATATGTACGAGAAAAGACACAAGATATAATAAACCCAAGGGGCCAATTCGTCCATGCGACGGCCCAGCAGCCCATTCCCGGATGAGGACAAATATTTGCCAGAAGAAAGATGGAAATGGAAAGAAAAAAGAGAAAGAAAACAAAAGTACACTGTGTATAAGTGAACCCGCCCTTGCCCTCCATATTTCCACCCTAAATGAGATTTGTACTGGTATCACAGAACGGAAACCAACTCCATGCTGAGAAAAATGGACAACAACCGCAACAGCCATGTCCAAGGCGATCTATTTGAGAAAAGGAAATTTGTTCGCTCAGGTGCCTTTTTTTTGGTCGAAGTTGACTATCCAAAGTCGACTGTCGTGGATTCGTGATCCCTCTCCCTGGACGCGGTGAGCTTCTAAGGGCATAAACGACGTCGTCTAATAGCCCTCCCATACTATATTGGGGGAATGTGCCGAAACTGGCATTGGATAGAATGGATCAAGATGCAAAAACCCGGACATTGTAGTCAACGCTGCCTGTGGCGATGACACATCTGATAGACACTTTGCTTGGAGCCTTGGGATCGTCTCTAACGCCGTTGGACGGCGATGCCCCGTTGGCACCATTCTCCCCACTTGCACCTCCATCTTTGATCAATGAAGGGGCCCATCGCAGACTACTGACGAAGTGACCATGGACATCTGAGATGGTCCGGACACACTTGCATTCCTGGGTAAGATCCCAGCAGCGAAGCGTTTTATCGTCTGAAACCGACAGGAGGTATTTCCCGCCTGGATGGAAGGCGAGTCCGCGCACCCAATTATCATGTCCCACCAACGTTTTGATCAGTGTACCTCGAGAGTCCCACAATCGAATTGTCTTGTCACGAGAACCTGTGGCAACGAACTCCGCCGACGAGGAGGCCGGTGGGGGCTTCTTCAAACCAGCAAAAGATGCGAGGTGTTGATAGCTCGTGGAAGGCGCAAATGCAACGCATTCAATAACATGCTCGTGACCGAGGAAGGTGGCTTTTGTTTCCCCCGAGGATACATCCCAGAGTCGAGGGATTTGATCGTTTCCTGCAGAAAAGAGAAAGCGTCCATCAATGGTAGGCACGACATCACGAACCCAGTCTACATGACCCTGCAGTGTTTTCACACAGTAGCCTGTAGTCACATCCCATATCCGTAGTGTTCTATCTCGAGAAGCAGAAACTAGTAGATTCCCCGATATGGGAGAGCCAGCTGCACCGGACGGAATGAATCTCACAGCGGAGACACTGTGGTCATGGCCTGGTAGTGTTCGGATATTCTTATATTCATCAGATGGATCCCACAACTTGATTGTAAGGTCAGATGAGCACGAGGCCAGCAGCGTACCGCCCCGAGGACCGCCGTAGTCGACATCGAGTACTGCTTTGGTGTGACCCTTGACTGTCCTTTCCAATTCACCCAGTTCCCAGTCCCAGATCTTAATCGTTGTATCTTCCGAGCCTGAAGCGAGAGAGGAGAAGACCGGGTGGAAGGCGACACAGTTGACTGGTAGACGGTGGGATTCTAAAGTGTGACGGGGAGGAGCTCGAGGCAGCCAGGACGTAGGGTCTTGATTTCGCCGCGAAAGGGAAGTCGGTGTTGCAGAGTCTAATTCAGACTGAAGAGCGGCGCATTTGGACTCCAGGTCCATAATCTGCAGAAACGGTCATTAGTCCCCATTCGAATATATGTCCGTGTTGATAGATAAACCCACCTTCTTCTGCAGCCGGACGACACTCGTCCATTTCTTTTCCAAGAGCCCCTCGTACTTTTTAATCGTAGCATCGTCAAGTGTGATCGAATCCCCAAGTTCCTCTCGCAGAGATTCTGAACTGTGAGACAGATTCACGGAGGCAAGGTAGGCAATGATGGACTTGTGCCTGGATCGTTGGGAAAAGCCATAGTGTCAGCGATGATCTATCGACCAATTCCAGCCCGCCTTTCCCATCGCCTGGCTCCCATGGAGAAATAACCTACAGCTCCTCGGCCTGCCGCGCCGTGAGTAGTTGGCTCATGATCACGGCAGTTTCGTGCGCAATCTCTCCAAACAGTCGGCCCCAACGAACCTCCGCATATACGGGAGGTTGAAACAAGAAAATCGGAGATTCAATCGAGCAATCACCCACGGACAGAAAGATATATGCGTCTCGACTCTCTCGTTATTGGTAATTGGTCCAGGGGGGGAATCGTGGTGGATGGAAATGTTTCCAGGCCGGGCGGTGAGCCAGCGGGCGTTTGAGAGCGAGAGACACGACAACACGGGAGGGGCTGTTTTGCGACAAGAGGAGGGGGGTCAGGGCGTTAAGAATAGGCGATGAGCAGAGAGCAAGATGTCATGAAGATCGTATCTATCGTAAAAACGAGCTCGTAGCGGCGCTGAGGATGCGGAAGACAGTCAGCAGATCATGGGAAGGGGGAAAAAGTCGTGGTTGTTGATCAACCGCGGGGGTTTTTGGGCATATTGAATATTCCCGCGCTGAATGCCAAGGCCGCCTTTGCTTTTTGGGTCGCGAAGTCACCACAGCGACTTGACGGTAAACACAACCTCTCTCTTTCCTTGATCGCATGCCCAACGACACCCCCGGAGCATTGCCCTCATCAGTTCGGTCGATTGAGTGAGAGGCTTTTTATCGTCTGTAACGGGTTCGCCTTTCACGATTTAATAAATCGAAATTATCCCGACTTGTCTGGGGAGACGCGGCCGTCAAACAATATTTCTGTCCGACCGTGCACCAGATCTGCACCAAAGCTCCTCTGCATTTGCATTCAAACTGGGGAGTACTGATTATTCAAGTTTTAAAGGTATTCAGCAATCTCCTGGGATTCAAAAGATTGAACAGGCCGGTCGACTTGCATAATGGACGGGCTGCGTGCTAATATTTATATTCTTTAGCGAACGCATCGCCCTCGAAACAGCACTCTTTTTCTTCCATCTATCACCATGGCTGAGGGAGATGATGATTTTTCTTCCTTGCCCTTGCCAGACCGATTCTCGCACAAGGTGAGCCATCATTTGCGGCTAGTTTCATTTGTCGAGCGCAGAAGAGTTCTGATCCCATTGCGTTTTAACTAGAACTGGAAAGTGAGAAAGGAAGGCTACGAGGATGCCAGCAAGCAATTCGAAAAGTCGCCTGACGAATCAGACCCAGTATTCGCGCCATTCATACAAGACCCCGGCTTATGGAAAGGGGCCGTCTCAGACTCAAATGTTGCCGCCCAAGTAGAGGGTCTTGGGTCTTATTGTTCTTTCTTAAAATTTGGAGGCGTACAGGCATGCACAAGGTTTGTCTTCTTTTACTTTCATTGCCGAACCTCATTGTAGCTAACATGTGTTGTTTCTTCAAGGACACGGGGCGTCACAGTTTTTCCAATCGTTGAAAAAGGTCTACCGTCCGCCAGGCCTGCTGCGAAAACGAGCGCCCTCGAAGCCCTCCTGTTATGTGTGGAATTAGATAAAGCAGACCCCGTGATCGAAGAAATACTGCCAGGTCTCTCACACAAAGTACCCAAAGTGATCGCCGCGACACTGGTTGGACTGAAGACTATTTATCATAATTTTGGTTGCAAAATTGTAGATCCAAAGCCGGTCCTCAAGGGCCTGCCTAAAGTTTTCGCACACGCCGATAAGAACGTTCGCGCCGAAGCACAGAACCTCACGGTCGAGCTTTACCGATGGTTAAAAGAAGCGATCAAGCCGCTTTTCTGGGGCGACCTCAAACCAGTTCAACAACAGGATTTGGAAAAATTATTCGAAAATGTCAAACAAGAGCCAGCACCGAAACAAGAGAGATTTACAAGGGCACAACAAGATGCCATGGCCGCCGCTAGCGCTGCTCCCGATAGCGGTGATGCTGAAGGTGATGGCGGGGAAGAATATGGAGAGGAAGAAGGAGAGGAAGTTGATGCCTTTGATCTCGCAGAACCTGTGGATGTATTTGCCAAGATTCCCAAGGACTTTAATGAACAACTGGCGTCATCAAAGTGGAAAGACAGGAAGGAGGCCCTGGACGCACTTTTCACGGCGTTGAATGTCCCCAGAATCAAAGATGGCCCCTTCGATGATATCGTGAGAGGGTTGGCCAAGTCCATGAAAGATGCGAATATTGCGGTCGTGACCGTCGCAGCTAACTGTGTCGACCTGCTTGCAAAGGGTCTCCGCAGTAGCTTTGGCAAGTATAGGTCGGTGATCATGTCGCCTATGTTAGAGCGACTCAAGGAAAAGAAGCAAAGTGTGGCGGATGCTTTGGGCCAGGCCCTCGATTCGGCTTTTTCTTCTACCAATCTGTCAGAATGTTTGGAAGAAGTTCTCGAATTTCTTAAACATAAGAACCCGCAAGTCAAGCAGGAGACATTGAAGTTCCTGATTCGTTGCCTTCGAACTACAAGAGATGTTCCGGCCAAACCAGAAGTGAAGTCGATCGCTGAGGTGGCCACGAAACTTCTTACCGACTCCAGTGAGGTCAACCGTGCAGGAGGTGCTGAAGTACTTGGAACGTTGATGAAGATCATGGGTGAACGCGCAATGAACCCATACCTGGATGGTTTGGATGAGATTAGGAAGACAAAGATCAAGGAATTCTTTGAAACCGCTGAAGTCAAGGCAAAGGATCGCCCTAAGCCTATTGTCGCACCACCAAAGGCGGCCCCGGCAGCTGGCAAGAAGGTCGTTGGCGGGAAGAAGCCGGTGGTGAAAAAGGCGGCTCCTGCTGCTGCACCTCCTCCCGAAGAGCCTGCCCCGGCCCCGGCCAAGCCTACTGTGAAATCAAAGTTGGGCGGCCTTGCAAAGCCTGGCGGCCTTCCTACACCAGGATCAGGTCTCAAGCTCCAGAAAAAGCTTGCTGGCCCAGGAAGTGTGGCATCCCCACAGCGACGAGTTGCCTCGCCTCCTTCGGAAGAGCAACCACCACCGGCTGCTCCCAAGTTTGGTCTTGGAAGAGGACTTGCAGGTCGCCCGATAGCCAAACCATCCCCACCCCCAGAGCCTACACCCGCCCCGGTAGCACCTCAACTGAGCGGATTGGCTGCCATTGAACGAGCCGAACTTGATGAATTGCGCATTGAGAGGGAGCGGTTTACTAAACTGGTTGAAGATCTGAAATCCGAAAGGACAAGACTCAACTCACAAGTTACAGAACTCCAAGACCAAAACGCGCAACTAATCGAAGACCACACAAGAGACGTCCTAAGTATCAAAGCCAAGGAAACACAATTGGTTCGGGCACGCAGCGACGCAGAGGCCGCAGAGCAGAGCGTTCAAAAGCAGCAGAGGGAGATCGAACGGCTTAAGCGTGAACTAGCACGAGCACTTCGAGCTAGCGCAATGAGCCCTCCTAATGCTTTCTCTGATAATATGAACATGCCTATTCCGGAGCATGGCTCAGGCTACCATGAAACTGGTAACAATGGCCAAAGTGCAGCATCCCGAGCCGGTCTTCATATGGGATCACGGTTCGAAAGTGCACGACCACGGAGTTACGTTTCGGCCAGTCCAAGTGAAGAGAAAGAAAACAACGGCGGTCTGGAGTCTCCGGGCATGAGCAGCAGAGAGGGAGGCCTAGGCCGACGCAAGCTCAGCCCTACATTCGGAACCTCCTACTCTGCTTTGGGAAGCCCAACACGATCATCGAGGATAGGCTCGGGCAGTGTATCTGGGGAGGAGCAACCTGCAAGAAGCACTGAACCAGCGGAGAACTGGAAGAGAGCTGCGGAGGTCACAAGCCAGTTGAAGGCACGAATTGAACAGATGAAGGTTTGTATTCCTCGCTTCGGCATCCCTATAACTAGAGTCAGTGCTAACTTGAAATTTGAACAGGCAAGACAAGGAATTTCATCACGACCACCACCTGGCCAACGCTAATGACGAATGAATTGCATGCATTCCCTTATTTCTCGCTTTTCACTACACCATATTAATTCTCTCCAACACATGTACGGCTTGATGATGCGTGTTTGTTTATTTTGGGTTGGGCTGGCTCGCTCTTGGTTCTATAGGACCCCCCAAGGTTTTTAGCATATATCTGGGTTCCTCGCTCTCATACCTTTTTTCGTTTTTGATGTATAGAATTCTATGCTATGCTTTTTTCTATGGGATTGTATTCTATGAACATGATTTATTGATCAATGAAGGAAGGGTTCAGTCGTTGAAAAATCCATTGAGTTTGCGTGATAAGAATCGGTCACTTCTCAGATATGGTCCAACTGTACAGAGTATTTCATAGTATATGATTTATCTTGTGCTTTTTTTTCTTATGACAGATCCTATGTAGACAGACGCAGACGGCTGGATGGGTTTGCAGAGAAAAGCTGTCGTGCCAAATGGGATACGAAGGCATCGAGCCCACAGGGTTTGGCAGCGAAATCTTCAGCAGAACAGTGGACAGTTGCCTATTACAAGGTCAAGCGTACCAGAATGAAAAACTTCTACAATTACTGGGAAACGAATCTACGCTATACAAAGTACAAGAAGCAGACTTCACATGAATGCTAAAGTGTCAATGACAAGCTTTTTGAGTATGTTTGAAATGCATTCATGGGTATCTGCGACGTGTACATAAAGATAAAAGACAGGAGAAATGAGCCATCAAGATGGATTGGAATTTTAGGATAGAGTGCCAAAGAACTCCACCCATCTAAGCTAGAATGCCGTCAATAAGTCAATAGGAGCCTTGAAACACCTTCCCTTTTTTATGAGACCACTTTTATTAACATTGTCCCTTTTCAGGTGACAACAATATCGTCAAGTTCGTTGAAAGAAAACCCCGTCCATTAAGAATCTAAGCTAGACTAGCTTAGACCTTGATGGAGGCCTCAACAGCCTTGCGCTTCTTCTCCTGGCGGGCGTTGGCCTTGGCGCCCATGATACCACCACCCCAGTGGCGGCGGGTCTCCTCGTACTTGTCGGTGTAACCCTCCTTGATGGCAGAGAGGAGCTTGGTGAACTCAGCCTTGTCCTCAGAGCGGACCTCAGTGAGAGCGAGAACAGCGGAGGTCTAGTAGATGAGAATTAGTAACTGCAGTTCAAGTATCCAGCAAAAGTTGTATCTTACCTTCTTGTGGACAACGGTACCGAGACGAGCCTTGCCCTTCACAATGGCGTAGGGGATACCCATCTTGCGGCAGAGAGCGGGAAGGAAGACAACCAGCTCAACGGGGTCAACGTCATGGGCGATGAGGACAAGAGAAGCCTTCTTGTTCTCAACGAGACCGACAACGTGGTTGAGACCGTACTTGACGTGGTAGGGCTTCTTGCTGACGTCCTCCTTCTTCTTACCCTCGGAGACGGCGGTGGCCTCGGCGTGGAGACGCTCCTTCTTCTCGGCCTTGGTCTCAGGGCGGTACTTGTTGAGGAGCTTGAAGGTCTGGGCAGCGGTGTTGCGGTCCAGGGTGTTCTGGAACTGGGCGATGGAAGGGGGGACCTTGAGACGGAGGTTCAAGATCTTCTTCTGGCGCTGAAGACGGACGTACTCGGGCCACTTGACGAAGCGGGAGAGGTCACGCTTGGGCTGGATGTCCTGGCCGATACCGAAGTTGCGGGAGCGCTTCTCGATGAGAGGGTTCTATCAAATCAATTAGCATATCCACTTTTGAAAATCAAGAGCGCTTTCTGGACAAACATACCTTGGGACCCTTCTTACCAGCACCAGCCTTGCCCTGGGGGTAGGGCATGGCGGCGGTCTTCTTTCCGGACTTGGGGGGCTGTCATTGAGACAAGAAGATCAGCATTACGTCCACCATGTGCTGCATCTTCTTGGAAACTCTAAAAGAGCGTACAGTCGAGTCTTTCGACTACAACTGTAGCTCCAGCCAAATCATCACTGTCGCACGCATCCCAGAAGGATTTGTGCGTGCAGTGGAATATGCTTCGAAACTTGCGAATGAAGCGGACGAATTGTCTCACGGCATGTCGCAGAGGAAATCGAAGACTCTTCTAAAAAGAGGCAATATGAACTGGATGTTAAATGCTTACCACCATTGTTGTCGACTGAGGTCCGCTGTTGATGGGTGACGGGATTGACGATAGAAAGAAAGAAGAAATGAAGCTGAAATTCGCTGGTCGAAAAGAAAAGCCGCCGTCGCTTCGTGGGCCGCGCTAGTGCGGAAAAACAAGCGAGCCGGCCTCCGTTTGGTGGGCTACACGTGACATAGGGCTAGCCCTTGCAGCCAATCACCGTATCGGGTATTCTTCAGGAAGATCTTTAATGCAGACAGTAATATCGTTATAGTTCCATTCATCACATTTATTCTTATTATTATATTCATTATATAGACTGAATTTGTGTTATAACCATGATCGACAAGAAAATCTCATTGGAAATTCCACAAATCCACTCCAGACTTTAAACCCGGACGCCCGTAGACATCGTACACTCATTGACTTATGCGGGATACCGCTCATAGCATGAAGATAAATGGCAAAGAAGCAGCGGCAGCAACAGCGATAAATCATCGCCATCCAGGTAGGCCAGGAATACCGCCCCGTCCAATGCCAGAGCTCGCTGCTTGCACAGCTCTCTTCTTACCCAACGACCCTTCTTGACTCCGCACCCCAGCGACAATCTTCTCGATATTCGTCTCTGTTACGACACCACCAACGATCATCTCACTCAGCACCGCGTGCATTGATTCGTAACCAAAAATCAAGTCTAGTTCACAGACGTTCTCGAATATGCGGTCCAGCGCTTCGACGAACACCTGGATCAGGTCGATGAGAGCGAGCGGGGACTCGGTGGATGTTGAGATCATGATAAAGGACAAGGTAGCATACGTCCGGTAGGTGATTTGTGTCGGGGCATCGGGTGCTCCATTGGGATCCTTGGAGCTGGCGCCTCGTGATAGTAGTGGGGGCAGAGGGAGGAAGTTACAGGCGCTGGGTGGGCGTTGAGAGACCAGATCGTAGATTTGTGAAATGAGTGATTGCTTTGTTTGAGTGTCCTGTTGGCATCAGAAAGTATGCGTTAGTAAACCTCCTCTTTGATATTCATACAGTTCCTCGGGGGTCCGGTTTGACTGCAGACTCACAATCTGTGTATAGAACTTGGTAAGGCGCGGCTGCCCGTTGTTGTTGAACACGAGAACAGCGTTGATCATCTTGCACGCGACCTTGACGTAACCCCCCCAAAGAAACGAATAGTGAGATAGGATAAAATATCAAATGAATGCAAGTTCGAAGTAAAGATAGAACGTCGTTAACCCGGTGGAGCAGCTCATCGAGACTGACGGCATCCCGGCCGCTCTCTTATCGGCCTTGATTCCGCGGGGCTTAGGCTCGGCAGGACTTCCCATTCGAGCTCAGCCTTTTTGCGCTCGGCAGACCTTCTCAGCCGGGATATTTCCGGAGAAGCTTCGAATGCCATCGCGATCTGGATCGACAAAGCAACGCTTCTTCTTATTCCGTTTTCCAATTGATATTGCCAACAATTCGCCATGATGAAGAATAAATTATACACTTGCACCACATGTCTACGCCGAACATCCCCATACCTCCTCCCCTCGCGACGAACAATCTCCTCCAAGACCGTCGTCACCCCCGAACCAAAACCAAAACCCAGCAATCCAAATAAACTCCAACTCAGCGATCTCACACCCTCCGAAATTTCCTATTACTGGGATACCCAAGTCCCCAATGAAACTCAACTATCCTACGCTGACAAATTCTTCCTCCCATCTCGCCATTCCCCGATCAAAATATGGTCTGCTAGCAAGTTTCGCACGGCGCCGATGTCGTTGGACCCGGAGGTAGCCTTCCTTGGTCGATCTAATGTTGGGAAGAGCTCCGTGTTGAATGCGATCATGGGAAAGGAGGTGTGCTGGACGTCCTCCAAACCCGGACGAACGAGGGAGATGAATGCGTTTGGGATTGGGGGGACTAAAGGCGGCGAGTCCAAGATTGTGCTGCTTGATATGCCGGGATACGGGAAAGCGAGTAGGGCCGAATGGGGTGTTGAGATTATGAAATATCTCCAGGGCAGAAAACAGTGAGTATCTGCCGATCTTCTGGAAAGGCAATAGCCGGAAATGGACCAGCTCAAGCTAACATAAGGGCATATTTAGACTCCGACGCGCATTTCTCCTAATAGACAGTCTACACGGCATGAAACAGCAAGACCGAGACCTCCTCTCACTATTCCGAAGATACGCTATCCCCCACCAAATCATTTTATCCAAGGTCGACAAGGTACTAGGCAAGAAAAAGAAACAAGTAAAGACCGGTGCATCAGCAGCCAACGTCGCCGCGCTGAGAAGTCTACTACAAGAGCTGAAACCAATCGTGCAACCCATCGACGGTCGAATCGAAGGCCCCGGTGCTCTGGGTGAAATTCTCACATGTAGCGCTGCAACACCAACTGGGCCAGGCCAGGCACTGGGGGTTAGTGCCTTGCGCTGGGCTATTCTGTCGGCTGCTGGGTTCGATGCGAATGTGGAAGTGAAGGATCATCAAATTCCTGGGGCTTCTATTGCGGATCCACCAAAGCAAGCATCATGATGAGTATCTAGAGCGATGAGATGCTATGCATTACGCAGATATCAACTACTGCTGTCGGAAACTGGGATGCTCTATGAAATAGACCACAAAGCGTGGTTACATGACTAGCAAGTCCCTGGACTCTCACCTCCTGTCTATGATATGATCCCGTTTCTCGCTGATCGACAGCAAATGAGAAACTTCTACCATGCCCCGATTTGGCTCAGGCGGTGACTTCCACGCGCCAGAATCGCGATGAATGCTGCCTTTTATATTCACGACCGAGCCATCGTGATACCCCAGCAGTCAGGCCCAGGGGAAGCCTGTCTACGTCTAGGTGTACAAAGATATAGTACTCTTGATCTTTAGAGCTCAGGATGACACCAACAATTTTATTCGCTTTTGCCTTGTACATCATGCAACACCAAGGATGAATCACATAATTCTATTTGCGCCCAAATATTAAACCAGAAACCAAGAGCAGTCACAAAATTGTCATCATAAGTCCTTGCACAACGGCTAGTGATTTGATTCCGGAATATAAATATCAAGATAGGCATGATGGACATGGAACAGAAAAGCGGGGAAATATAACATAAGAGGCAAAGTAAATAAAACACTTGGTAGGGTAAATACTACCGATTTTGAGAATAAAACGCCTGTCAGGTCATAATGCTGTATGACAAATGATGCCAGCCACGCTATGCAAAGCCTCTTAAGAAAAAAGATTAAATGAAACAAACAAGGACGGTGAGTATGGGTATCGTGGATGATTCGTGGGTCGAAAGTTGCAGGGCAAAGAAGTCGAAAAGAATAGGTGGGAAAGAGAAAGAAAAAACAAAAAAGAACTTGCCCGCAGCTGTGGCATCGAGAGAGCTATGCTGCGAGCATAGCTCCATGTTAAAGAAGCACTCAAGGCGATCTCTTGAGAGCTGGAAATCAAGCATCGGATATATCGTAATCTTCGTCAGCATTTTCTGCTGAATCTGTTTCCTGGCCTCGTCGGTTGACCACCATGCGCTTCCCCAGCTCATTTTCTGGTACACCATCGCGAGGAGCGCCGAAATCGAGAACCTAAATGCCTGTTAGCAATAGCACAAATATGGAACCGAAGAGAGGTAGCTCACTTCAATATAAGTCAGGCTGTCGCGCTGAACTGCAGCGACACATCTCCTGTCGTTGAACTTGACTTGCCAAACACCACTGAGGTCTGTGAGCAGATCTCGGACGCATTCTCCGGTTCGCACATCCCAGATCTTCAAAGTTCGATCAGACCCGGATAGCACTTTCTGGGCATCATGTTGGAAACATGTGATCGCACCGGTGTGGGCGCTCAGCATGCTTTTACATTGGCCAGTCTCTGGATCCCAAATTCTGAGTGTGCAGTCTGCAGCTGCTGACACCAGGCGGTCGAATTTCAGATCAAGCAAACCTACAAGAGAAGTATGCCCCTCGAGGTTATACAAGATGGACCCAGTTTCCAGAGACCATACTTTGACCATATTGTCCATGGACCCACTGATACAACGGTTTCGCTTATGATCAAGAACCACACTGTAGACCTTCATATTATGGCTTTGGAGCCTGTGTAGAGTCTCCCCAGTGGAGATTTTCCAGACTCTCACGCTACAGTCATAGCTTCCGCTCACCAGGGTATCACCGTGTGCAGCAATTGCGCGAACAGAGTGCGAATGGCCCGCAAGAACACGGACAAAGTACGGGCAGTCCGTATCGTCAACGTGTGGGCCGCTCTGGTAGTAAACGGGGTCACCGGGTCTGGGAAGCTTCCACACTCGGAGGCTCGAATCACGAGAGCCAGTGATGATCAATGGCTCTTTCGGCATCATCTCAACAGTGCCATCAGCAGCTTTCACTTCTGACGGCAAAACGATCTGCAGACATCGCACGGTAGAAGTATGACCATGGAAAACCTGTGTGCATCTCGCTCTTTCAATGTCCCAAACCCGAACAGATCTATCAGTCGACCCAGAAACCAGGGTGTTGCCATAATACTCAAGGGCCCAGACGCCCCCATCGTGACCAGCTAGTGTTGCGCGCTGGGCACCTGTCTTCGTGTCATACACGTTGATCTTCGTATCATCGCTTCCGGTCAAAATCTTGTCCGTGTCAAACTGAAGGCAGGTGACTACATGACGATCATGGGCACAGAAAGCAATATGTTTTGGCTTAACGGCAGGATCCATCCAGCTTTTATGGATTGAATGATGACGTTGATAAAGAGACTTGTAGAGATGGAGACCTTGAAGGGACGGCAAGCCAATGTCGGGGTATGGTACAGCCGCCGCCGCAGCATTGGCAGCGGCGTACGGCCCTTCTGTTGCTGCAACGTCTCTCCTCCAGTCAGAAGATTCTGAAGTCTCAGTTCCACTGGATGAAATTTTCCTTTTCGCAAGTTTACGGCTTGAAGCACGAGTGGTGGCTTTTCTTTTTGGTCGCCGATTCAATGATAACGTTCTATCACTCGGCCCCGCGGACGACGATGGCAGGGTAGACAGTTCCAAGTCGAGCTTGGAGGAATGGGATGAGCCCAAGTCTCTCTCCCAATCCTCCATTCCGTTAGGAAACTGCCAACCCCAGCCTTCCCTTATGGCACGCTCCATCTCGCCTTCTGGCAAGACATAACCATCCCTGTCGAAGAGTTCTTTCCAGGTCTTCTCATCCGAATTGACTATATGTCTCCATTTTTTAGAAACCTGCGCGGCACGGCACATAGTTTGGACGTCGAAATATTTGACGATGTTGAGACTAAGTTCAAGCGGAAGCAGGGCCAAAAAGTCACATTTCAGAGCTGGGTTCACGACATCTGCAACAAAGTGTAGAGTTGGTTTCGGACACCGCCTGAGAAATTGGTACATGAGATAGGTCTTTATACTCTCTGGCACAGAGTCGAAAAAGTCTAAAACGTCTGGAATGTCCATCAGGGATGATGATCGAGTGTCATTGCCCCCAGGTAGGTTGCTAGGTTTTGAAGCATTTGGTGCACTGGTCTCTCTGTTTCCTATGCGCAAGGGCCGTGAAAACCTGGGCATATTGTTATCCAAGCTTGAGTCTGTGTCAATACCTGGATCTTCGTTCGAGTCAAAGGAGTCGGCATTCAAGGCATTCATCGCAGCCACGGGGGACAAGCTAGGACTTGGCAAGCACATATCTTGGGCCGCAATATTGTCGATTGCTGTTAATTGCGATGATGCCTGAGTTGGAATCTGCTGTGAAACATCCTCGGATACATCGCAAATTGTCTCTTCACTTGATCCATTTTCATCGCCGACTTCTGCTTCAGTGATTTGAGGTGTTTGTTTTCCTGAGTTGATACTGGCACGACGGTCAAGCAAGTGTGATTTCTCAGAGCTTGATGGTCTGCTGTTTGATACCTCCTTTCCCAACGATGATTTTGAGCGAGAGGCTTTCGGTGCTTCCTGAGATTCGACTTCCGAGGACAAAGGTGAGCGGAGAGTTTCCCTACGTGGAATAGCCGCACTGTGAATTCTCCGCCTAGGAACTGCACTTTCTCCCGAATAGAAGCTATTGCTTTCTGTCTCTGGGGTAGCTAAACCGGCTGCAGCCTGGTTTGTAGACGCAAGCCCGCTTGGTCGAATCGAACGGACGGTCGGTTCTGACGGAACTCTGGAAGGACGTGCTCGATGTAAGCCCTGGTGATTTTCCGGTATGGAGACTGGGGAAACTGGTCGACGTTTGGAGCTTGAGGGGTGACTCGATGGCTGGTTTGATAGCCGACGAGGTGCAAACCGTCGGGGCAACTGGGTGTCGTCTGAGGTAGTATAAGAGGCAACAGATCGGATCAAACCGTTCGAAGTCCTTAACGCGTCGTTTTTCTCATCCAACTAGATTGATGACTATGTTAGCCTCAGGATAAATACAGTCCCCTAGATAACAAAAAAACATACCTCGGTGATAGCGCTTGCTGTGTCTTCGGGTTCGTTAAATACGACGGACTTTCCTCCCAACTCAAACTTAATGTTCCTCAGCGATGCCGGGGTCGGGGAGGACGCCAAAGGATATTGTTTGGGGTCGAGGTCTCTAGTTGCGCGCGGTGGCTTGATAACCAAGGGAGGGAAGGTGGTGGTGGTAGTGGTAGTAGTGGTCACCACGGTAGTTCGAGTAGCAGGGGCAAAAGAAAATTGACCGAGAGAGCTACTGGACTGCCCATGCTCCAGACCATCATTATTACTGTCCGGATCGGCCATATCGTGTTGCCGGGTCTGGGGATAACGGGGGGTTGGAGATAGTTGAGACGGTTGCTCGAGAGTAGAAGACGCGTCTCCACCTGGGGTAGTGGATTGCGAGTCGAAAGTATTGGTAATCTCGACGGCGAACGGGGCGTCTGAGGTCATAACGGAATATTCCTTGTAAACCAGAACGAAAGTATGTTGCTCCTAGCAAAGAATGGCGAGACTCGAGTTAAGGAAGCGGGCCGGAGGAAATGGGGGCACTAGCAAGCACAACGACCCGTTCAGCACGGTACGCTTGCAAGACCATCTGACTGCCCAAAAATGTAGGGGAACAAGAAACGTCCGGCTAGAACATGGCGAGAAATGGGGTATGAATAACACAGGGTATAGGGAAGGTGGTCGGGGGAAGAGCAAACAAGGTCGAAGGGGAAGGGGAAGAGAGGAGAGAGAGAAAAAGAGAAGCGGCCGTGGCGTGCTGACACAAGGGAGTTGGGCGGCGGGCGAAGAGTGAATCGAGGGAGAGAGCTTTGGGGGTGACGACGGGTGGTTGGCAGCGATAAGATGGAAAAAATGAGAGGGCGAAAAAGAAAATAACTATCTGATGCAACAGGTGACTAATAAGTAAGGATAATAAGAAAGGGAATAAAAATACGAGCAGAAATATCAGAGAAAAAGAAAAGAAGGAAAAAAATACACAAAAAGTGGCAGGATTTGAGGCAAGGCGTGCTGTTTCTTCTGGATTTGCCGTCTGCAACACGGAGTAACACGATTACATCGATACCGTATCTTCACTGCATCGACCTAGGTACAATAACTTCATCAGTCGACTGCAATATAGCTACTAATAGTATCGTCTGTCTGTCTGTCTGTCTCTATCTCTCTATCTATCACTGTGATCTATCATCATCATCTCATTTCTCGCATCAAGGTATTGCCACCTAGTCCACGTGACAAGGTGGGGTGTGGTATTGTGTATTTCACTCTGCAGGCACTTTTGTTCCGAAGCCCTCCACTGGCCCAATATCTCCTGATCCCTGTATGCTGTCTGTGGCCTTTGGAAAAGGACCTCGCTTGACGTATCATATAACATATCCCCCTTCCCTGTCGCCAGTCTAATAGCCCACTCGTGCTGTATGATGTTCAGGACTGCGGGGAAAAAAGGCCCAGATAACGGACACTCCGGAGTCCCTCCGGTACGTGGGTATGGCCACCGGATCGTAATTCCAGCTACCATGGATCTCGGTCTATCAGTTTCAAATCGAAGTCGGGGTGGAAGATTCCATTTGTTGTCTTGCTCTGAAAAGTTTGTCCCTTTCCTGCCCTACTGCCCAAGATTCTCTGCCTTGTGGGTTGTTTTAATAACTGCCTTCTAGCCGATCTGATAGCCGTCTCGAACTATATTTAATCCATCCGAGTCTGGCAATGAGCGGGCTTTTTTAACCATGGGCTCCAGGTTACAGACTGAACCAAGGGACTGGAGGCATATGTGTTAAATTTTTGCTCATGGTTGAGATTTAAAACACAAAGGAAATATATTGATTGCTCGTATAGATACATATATCACAACTCAGTCCTAAGCCACCTTGCCGAGAGCAGCTACACCGATCGCATCATGAATCTCTTGCTCCGCACCATTCTCGAGGGGAAGAAGAGGGGGGCGAACCGTTGCATGTGTGAGAATCCCGCGAGCAACCAGAGCGTGTTTGAGAGCGACAGTCCCCTCCATGTGAGATCCACGGTGATAAACGCTCTTCGTGACGGGTAGAAGCTGGTCATGAATCTCCCTTGCTCTCTTATAGTCCTTGGCCTTACCAGCCTTGATGAGCTCGATCAAAGGCTCGGGTGCGATATTACCGTATCCAACAAGAAATCCATCGACATCAAAGGAGGTGTGCAGGAGATACTCATCATGGCAAGAGAGAATCTGGAGGTCTGGTTGTTGGGCGCGGATGACGGGGATTTCTGTGTCCCAGCGGCGCATGTTGCGAACACCGTTTTTCATGGCAAAACAACCGGGTTGGGCGGCAATATCGAGCATCGTCTGCAGACTGTAGGTGGCCTTTGTGTTGTCGGGGTACTGGAAGAGGATCAAGGGAAGACCGGAGACTTCATAGACGCGTCTGTACCGATCCTGGGGGGCCCCTGGCTGGTATCCAAAGCGCAGCCAGCCGTGGGAAGGATATAGCAATCCAGCAGAGGCACCGGCTTCCTTTGCACGCTTTGCTTCGAGGGCAGCCACTTCAGTGCCTTCACTGGTGATACCGGCAATGATGGGGATTTTGTTGTCAACGGACTTGACAAAGGCCTTGATGACCGAGACCTGTTCCTCGGTGGTGAGAAAGGTTCCCTCACCAGCATGACCGAGAACAACAAGGCCCTTGACACCGTCGATGCTCCCTAACCAAGAACCGATGCGTTGAATGGCATCGTAGTCCACTGCACCATCGAGAGTGAATGGAGTGACTGGGGCTGGGGTCAAACCGTGCATATCAAAGCCGACCATGTTGAAATATTGGAGACGATGGTTTTAGATAAATTGAAATGGAGACTGAGTGTAATTGAGATAACTGTTTGATTTTGATGATGAGAAGACATTAACTGCAACTGTGGTCATTTATATACTTCAATTCTCTCTATCTAGATAATCACTGCTTCATAGCATCTTCGGATTCATGGATTCCCGGAAATGAGTGGGGCAGATAGCATTTATTCTGTCATCATCGGATTTCTTCATTTTCATCCCAGTATTTTCCATAGTATCTACTAGAATGGAGATGAATAGACTAATTAACAGTCCAACAACCTGTAGGTCGATCAATGATTTTATCTCGATTCTCCTAGTATATACCAGTAGAGTCTGAGTGCAATAGTAAAACATCGACGTGATGAATGGAGAGAGATAAATAAGCGAACCGCTATATCTCCATTCTCCACTTCCCCGCGCCCCCAGTTTTGACTATGAATATATGAATCCGCGTTTTCCGGCTCTCATGCCTGCAATGCATCTTCCCAGGCTATCCAGAGTCCACTATGACATCAAGTCCCCTGCTTGATCAGGTAAATTCAACTACACCAGCATCGGATTCACAGATTGCCACCTCAGCTACCCCCAAACGCCCATTCACTGCTGTCTCCAGCAGCGCGGAAGCAGAAAATCGTCGCAAAGACCCCAAAGTCACCAGGGCGTGTGATAATTGCAAAACGAAGAAAATCCGATGTAACGGAACCTTGCCCTGCAGTAACTGCACCAAGAGGAGGATCGCTTGCACGTATGATGCCAAATATGGCCGGGGACGTCATCCTCCAACTCCACCACCATCAGATAGGAGGATCATAAGAGAGCCGAGTGTTGCTGTCCAGAACCAACATTCCCGGGTATTGAATGAGGCTAATATCGATGGACATCATTCCGTGGAGATTCCTTCGCGAGCCTCGCCTGATGTGGAATTGGAAGGCCAATATGTCGATCCAACGTCTGGAGTGAACTTTTTGCATCGAGCATGGGAAAAGATCTTCACCAAGAAAGGGGGAATAGCATCGTATGGATCGAACGAGATTTACAGAAACCAGCTTTTGACATCAGCTGGAGATCGGCCGTTCTATTTCGACAATAATGCGTTATTGTCCGATTTCATCCCGGACGCAACAGTCGCCAGGTCATTACTGGCCTTTTATTTTGATACTTGTGTGGTCACGTATCGCATGTTCCATCGTCAGACTACGGAGAAGTGGATGGAGGTGTTTCTGAAAGACAGGGAGCAACAGCATCCCATTGCACACTCACTCGGCCATGCCAAATGTGCCATCTTACTGACCATCCTGGCCGTTGCAACGCTTCGATCAGAAAAGACCAGTGGAGTGACATCTGCTGAAAATGAAGACATCGCCCTGCGTCGAAGCGACCAGCTGTTTTGTACCGCCATGAACCTGACAGATACAGAGATGGGCTTCCCACGACTGGAATCAGCCCAGGCACGTCTCATCCAGCTGCTCTATCTTCTCCAGACTTCGCGCATGAACAAGGGCTGGTATACGTCTGGGATTACGTTTCACATTGCCCTGTCCCTGGGAATGCACAGACGACGGGATAATACCCTCAACGTACCGTTTCGAGGCCGTCGGCCGGATTATATTACTTCTGAATGCTGTAAACGTACCTTCTGGGTCGCTTATACAATCGACAAATACCTCAGTGTAGTCTTTGGTCGACCGCGATTCTATCAAGATGAAGATATCGACCAGGACTTTCCGGATAGCGTTAATGATGAGTACATGACACCACAGGGACCGTCAGTATCGGAGGACCCAGGAGATTGCCTGGTTGATTCTCTAATATTCCACGCGAAGTACATATATCCGGACATCCAAAAACAGTGAGTAGCTAACAAATTGATAGAATTGCTCGAATCATCGGAAAGACCTCTCGTGACGTATACTCTGTCAGCAACATGTCCAACCATGACCGAGCAATGGCTACCCAGCAGTTCACCCGTGAGCTACATACATGGCGAGTGAGTCTTCCTCCGCACTTGGGAACCGTGAAGCCATCAACACTGATGCCATGTTTCCGGCGTCAAGCCATCGCGCTACAACTGGCCTATTCCCATGCCATCATCCACGCCAACCGGCCATCCCTTCTTGGCGATGAAAACGCAGATAGCGTCGCCGAATGCATTGCCGCAGCCAAGGCGAGTCTGGAATTGGTCGACAAAATGGCCAGCGACAGCACCCTGTTCTATTCTTTCTGGTGGACTCCTTATGTGACATTCTGTGCGTTGGTAGTTGTCTATGTTTGGCAAATACAGCAGAGTAGACGCCATGCTCGTGGGAATGAGGTCGATGACTCCTCGTCCGTGAAGCTCTTTGATCTAGCGGAGAGATGCCAGTCTCATTTAATGCGAGTAACGACCGGACCTTCACCAAGTCGACGATACAACATCATCCTTGAGGAACTAAGATTAGAAGCCCAGAATCGCCAAGTAGTCGGAGAAAATCCTATTGATCCGTGCCAATGGGCTGTACGACCTATTGAAAACAGCACCGATCCAGACGTCCGGTGCTTCAATAATCTGGACATGGCTGGATCTTTGGGACAGGAATACAGTCTCTCTCAAGACGAGAACCTCATGCCGAATATGCTCGACACATGGCAAATCACAGATTGGCTGACGCTGGACTCATCGGTGAGTGCTGCAATAGATTGAAACCGTTATATAAACTGACCGTCTAGGCATTCTTTCTTCTACCCGATACTAATTCCGTCTCGCCTCCATGGCTACCTACGATGATGTAATTTATCTCGCTTTGTTAATGTAAAAGAACTCTGATTCAAAAAAGTGGCGTTGCGTGCCGATCGAATACTGGCATTTCCGTGAAATCCGGGGGGAGGGAATCCGGGGATTGCAGCAGGCAAGAATCCGGGGTACCTAAGCGTGTACTAGTAACACCTAGATAATGACATATGTGGACCTCAGCGGGAATAAAACATATAAGATAAGTACTTTACGGCCTGTCTCAAAGACTACTCCAGGGCGTCTTGCAATCATCGCCATCAATTCCGCTGCCAAAATGACCTCCCAAGCGCACCCGAACGCTAACATTATCAGCGACAAAGAGATTACTCTGATGCATCTTGAGAATCAACCATGTCGGGGAATATCTGCTGATGATGCAGAGTTTTTGGCAAATTTCTCGGAGGATAGCAAGAAGAAGGTTCTTAGGAAAGTGAGTGGATTGTTTTGGTTACTGGAGGAGGGAGGAATGCTAACAGGATGTGTTTAGGTTGATGTCCGTTACTCTATCTCGATGCGTTAATAAAGATCATACTGACTGAGTAGCTACGACTCGTTCCAATGTTTGTTCTTTTGTACTTGGTAGCATATATTGACAAGACCAACATTGGTAGGTTCGTTTCGACATATACTATATAGGCCTTAACTCACCAAGACAGGAAATGCCAAAATCGAAGGTCTCCTCCCGAGTCTACACATGGACGGAATTCAGTATAACATTGCACTGACCATTTTCTTGATTCCTTATGTTCTGGCTGGTCAGAATAATCCCCGTCCTTCATAATAAGACACGGCTAACTGTGCAATCGCAGAGGTTCCTAGCAATATCATCTTGAATCGCCTCAAGAGGCCATCTATTTACCTGGGATCGCTGATCTTCCTCTGGGGCATCATCATGACATGCACGGGCTTCGTTCAAAACTTTGCTGGTCTGGTTGTGATTCGTTTTTTATTGGGACTGTTTGAGTATATCTTCACGGTTCTTCGGTGCGAGCTGTCGCTGACGGTAACATCTTAGGGCTGGATTTCTTCCGGGTGCTGTTTTGGTTATATCGAAATGGTATCTACCGAATGAAACACAGACACGTATTGCGATCCTCTATACTTCTGCTGCCTCTGGTGGTGCTTTTTCGGGTCTTTTGGCTTTCGGTATAGCCAAAATGGATGGTGTTGGTGGATATGATGGCTGGCGTTGGGTTGGTGGAGGATAATATCTGCTTATCTTTTATTAGCTGACCGTCATAATAGATTTTCATCATCGAAGGCCTTGCAACGATTCTCATGGCTGTCGCTTGTTACCTGCTTCTCCTTGACTCTCCGTCTCTCTCTCCTGGATGGCTCACCTCCGATGAGATTCGCTTTCTTGAAGTGCGCCAGATAGCCAATTCCGGACAGGATGGTCATCAAAGTAGCTTCGACAAGCGAGCCTTGATTAGTGCTCTCACGGACTGGAAGATTTACCTCCTCATCTTTGCGACCTGGTCAAATGCCGTCCCCAACTACGCGCTCAAATTCACCATGCCTGATATCATAACTACTATGGGCTTCTCATCAGCCAAAGCCCAGCTTCTGACTATCCCCCCTTACGCCGTCGGCGCTTTCTCCGCGTACTTTTTCTCCGTCTTCGCTGATCGTTACACCTGGCGAATGCCCTTCATCCTAATCCCACAACTGTGCCTCATTGTCGCCTTCGCAATCCTATTCTCCAAAGCCGCCAGTATCAAGGATAACATCGCGCTGTGTTATTTCGGTGTCTGCCTTGCCTGCTTCGGAATGTATCCCATTCTCCCCGGCGTCAACGCATGGAACGTCTCCAATATCCTCAATCCGCAGAAACGAGCTATCGCAATTGGCTATTTGATCTGCATGGGAAATGCGGGTGGGATAATCGGCAGCTTCATATATCGTGCGGAAGAAAAGCCTCGATATCCCAGTGGCTATGGTACCTCTTTTGCGTTTGCGGCTGCGGGGATCGTGGCTGTTCTTGCTCTGGAGTTCCTCCTGTGGAAGGGAAATAAAAAGAACGAGAATATAAGCGAGGCTGAAGCTTTGGAGGAGTATACTGAGGAAGAGTTGAGGAGGATGGGTGAGAAGAGTCCTCTTTTCAAGTATATTTTGTAGCACTAGGCTTGCATCTTCTAAAGTAACGAAATATCAGTCTTTGCCGTGTTCAATAATAAATGATGAACTATTTTGATACCAAATTAAGATGTAACCATTCGAATTTGTAGGAGAATCATGGCAATGTCGTTTGTATGCAGTGTTGTTGCCTGAGCTCAACCCAATAGGAAACACCTCCAACCCCGTGACCGTCCACTTGCCCTTCGTCTTCGTCCTCTTGTGTTGATTCAAATTAACACACCATCTCAAATACGAAAACATCACCATCGTTTCAACTTCAACGAACACTTCAGCACTCCAATAAAATACCCACGGATGTATATCCCCCCCATAATAGTGCACATCCAACGAAACAAGCCTTATCGAGTATCCCCGCCTCGATACCAATACCAACATGGTTCGAATCAAATTCACAGGACCACCGACATCTACGGTGCAGATACAGCCAGCTCCAGCTGTCAAGGGCATCGTCTCTAATTCCCCACTTTTTGTTCGTCAAAAGACACGAGCTGAAGTCAAAGAGGTTACTCAATTGGTTCAGCTGGAGAAAGTGTCTCAAAAGCAGCAGCAAAGCTTGGAGATGGTACAGATTATGCTACATGTGTCAGTAAGTGTCTCTCACTTCCTATGCTGGCTTAAAGTTATGTCTAACGTAATGTTCGATAGTTCGGGACTCTGTTCTATCTTCGGTTTGTTGACTCCCATAACAGCTCTTGAGAGAATAGACCTGATAAGTATTCTTAGGGAGTTTCTGCCACTACCATGCTTTGACGATAGAGATTTGAAGCAAGCTCAACGGGACCAGAAATGCTCATACCAGGAGTTTGTCAACGGTAAAGCAGGCCCCGGCAAATTTCGAGATAGTACGGATCTTGGGTTTGGAAAAGGGAAAAAGGGTCAGCCTCTGAAAGTCATCGTTCGAAATTCCGACCCCAAGGCGGATATGATTCTCAACCTCTTGGTGAGACTCTTGGTATTTCTACTTGACTTGGCTAACGTGGGACTAGGAGAATGGGATCTTCGACGCTCTCAGCAAAAACGTACTAGAGGCGGTCCAATTGACAATTCTAGTCGATAAGGACACGCCAGATCATGTCGTGGAGTCATATACATTCTCCTTTAGGTATATCAAAGGAACTGGTGATATGGGGAGCCGACTGGAGAGCCTATCGCTAGACCCTGTAGGGTGTGTAGCTGACATGAAGACTACTCAAACAGCTCGAATGGGCTTAGAGATGATAGTTAGGCGCTTGATCACACTCAGTGCTTTCCTTCCAACTTTACCAAGTATGGGATCTCTACACTTAGATCCAATGGCATACTAACATATGTCCAGATAAGCGAAATCTAGGGATTCATTTGTTTTATACCGACGATTGTCCTCCTGAGTACGAGCCTCCTGGTTTCGCCGTGGCACCCAGTGATACGATTAGGTATCCGTACAATGAGAACTGGAGAAAGGAATCTCAATCATGTGGCATAATGGAAAGTGGATTTCATACGTACGCTTTTGCTTCCAATATTGGTGAGTTCTAGCTAATAAATAGAAACAGTGTTGGACTCCAGGTAACCTCTTTAAAATGGACCGGACCGGACCCAGAAGGCTCGGAGGCGCCTCCCAAGATACCTCTCCAGATTGAGTATAACGATGAAGTACAACGAACGGCAGATATTGGAAGTTCAGATAAGGGATCCAGTATATTGAATGGCCTAGGAAGTCGAAATGGTATGATTTTTTCAAACCGGGCCATTGGATTCCCAGTTTAAAGGTTAACAATGGTTCTTGAAATAGGAAGCTTCCTCGAGGCAACACAGGACATTACTGAGAGACAGAAACTGCAAATGATGATTCCTGTAAAAATTTCCACAAAGGTAGAATTGATGAATAAGCTAACTAGAAAAGACGCAGGGGACATCTTCGTATCCGGAAAGCGATATCGTTCCTACACAACCTCTTAAACCTTTTACAGGCGATAACGAGAAAACGGCCCCAGGATTTAGTCCAAGAACAATTCTATCTCAAAATAAAACTTATGAGATAAACGAATATGTACGTTTACGAAAACCAGGATTTGCTGGAAATGCTGGGGATCAAGATAGAATCATCAAATGTCAGTGTGGTTGGGATGGCGAAGAACCAGAGATGGTAAGCTATCTTTTCAAACCAGAGACTGTATACTAAGCTATCAGATTGAGTGTGCTTTCTGCCACACACATCAGCACATGATTTGCTATGGATTCCAAGGCTCTGATGACTCCCGACTTCCTCATGTCCATGCTTGCTATCAGTGCTTACTTGAACCTAACGAGTCGCACTTGCTGAGTGAAATGAATACTCTGGTACTTCTGAGACGAGCTCTCAAAATTATATTGGACGAGGGATTCCCAGAAAAGACGTCCTTATTCACGCAGAAGCTTCGTAAGAAGGCCCATTACGTCCGGTTTGGTTTCTTCTAATGATATGCAGATTGCAATGGACAAACTGTCATCCAAATAACCGACCTGCTTAGGAAGTACAACTTCCTCCAGCCAACTTCTGGGTATAAAAGCAAGGGTTTCTTACAAAAAGGACTTCCAAAATATAGTATCCCTCGCTCAGAGAGGATTCGTCGGAGATTGGAACAAGAGATACTCGATCCAATGACCAAAATCGGGCACCACGTAAGTTATACTGCAACTATGGGATACATGACGAGACTGAAGGATCTATAGTATGTCAAACAAGGTGCAGAGGGGTCTTCAAATGGTTTAGGAGCTGCTCCCAACCAAGAATTCGACTTGGTTGACAAGACGTATTCTCAAGTCGGAGACAGGTCCGTGGATGGGCGTGACCATAACGAACAGGAGACGCAAAATACCGATGATAAGCAAGTAGTATCACCAGAAAGAGGCCTTAGTTGCAAAAGAAAACAATCGCAGAATCATGGGAGCGACAAACCCGTCAGTTTGGAAAACACACAGATATCATTTCAAAACACAACTAACACAGAGGCCCAACAGGATAAGCCGTTACAAGAAACGAATCCGAATGACTCCATGGCCTCATCTCAAGATACATCATCGACAAACGTTGAAATGGCCAATGGTGGCCTTCGACGCAGTAGCCGGAAAAGGCGCAAAATCAGCAACTACTTAAGGCTCATTGATGTTGGGGCCATGACTAGTGGTGATGAGAATGTATGACATGACTCGCTGTGATGACCACTAAATGAGGTGCTGACTTTGACGGTGTGAAACTAGTCTTGATGTTGGTCTTTTTCGATGGTGTTATATCCGTGTTGGAGTTCTGTATTTTTTAAAGCTGGTGAGGGAAAACGGCGTGGAGAGAAAAGGTTGACTTGTGATTTTCAAGGGTACTATGTGCGTATGTTAATGATTTGATGTATGGTTCTGTTTATGAATATTGTTCTGCTCGAGTGGTTAATAAAATGGGACTGTTATGTTTATTGGTTTGCTATATCAACCGGCAGAGTCAAATGCTACTAGTGGGTATGGACCATGTATGCGGTATCAATCGACTATGTTTATCTCTTTATCTCTGTTAAAATCTCTGGACTACGAAAGCTCTGCAATCATAAAAAAGGAATGCCATCAACAAGACTCTTCCTATCACTGTAGAAATTGGCTTATCCACATGTTCTGTCATCTTCACATGAAGTCCTCGGTAAATGCGAGTACGGTTCGGCGAATATGACAGGAGAAAGCTACGCAGGCCGTCCGGCACTTGACATAAAAACCGAGGCAGAGCTCAAAACAACGATACTATAACACAGCCTGCGACGAGACTTGGAGAAAGTAGAAAACAAAACATGAAAATGGAAAGAGGGATGGGATCAACGGCGACGATTAACGGTTCATGTCCGAAGCTGACGGCCAGGAGCAAGCTCAGCCGCAGCCCCAGCCTCAGTCGTTGAGGTCTCATTCTCATCTAAGACTCATTCTCGTCGGGGGAGGAAAAGGAAACCGGTGTCTAGGATTAGACGGGGATCGACCATCCAGGATCCAGCATCAAGATCAAGTGAACGGGGCGCGTATCCCGATGCGATGAGAGCGGGTTGTTGTATGTAGATGGGATTCGTTGAATGTTGTGTGCTTGATGTAGTGTTTGTTGTTGGCGGCTAAATGAAACACAACCCAACAAGCACCATCCCGGGAATCCACCAGTCCCCCACAGGCATCGGCTGTAAATCACTTCTCACAAAGGTAGCTGCTCAAGAGGCAAGCTATGCGATGAAACAATATCTAAATTATGGTTAAAATGTAGATTTGTCTGTGAGTAACCGTTGAAAGGTGATAATCGGGGTATACTATACGACAGAGAACTAAATCCATCTTGCTTCAGCGCGGCATTGCTGGTCCACATATTACTTTAATCTTAAAAGCTGGATTGGACCCGATGCGGCCGAGAATGCTAAGGCCTTTTTTTATGGATGAAAAATTGGACAAAAAAAGTCTTCAGTGCCAGTGTGTTGAGCTTGGTGCATCGATCACACCTAGTCTTGCAGAACAGGTCGACAGCAGTCGAGGCTCATGCGACTCCAAAGTGCATGGAGTAGTCTTAGCCGCAGGTTAGGCATAATGACCTGCCTGTTTCGGCCGGATGACTATCACCAAATTCGATGAAGTGGTTTTTTGGCCGTACGAAATCAGAATCATCATCCGTATCGCCTCTCGGGGGTCCCATAAGATTATGCCGATCTGTACCCACGAAAGCACGCACTGGGAAGCCTTAGCGACCTGGTTAATATATATTAATATAAGGGCGATTCCATCGAGATCTTACTGCTATCGTCATTTCGATTGTGTCTTCTGGAAGGAATGGAAAATAATAATTATGTTCTCATTTCGGATCATGGTGGCATGACGATACCCCTGACGATAGGGGATAGAGCAGGAAACCCTTCTTGATCCAGAGGCAGAAGCGATACTAACAGCAGAGACCAATGCCGCAAGAAGACTAATGTATGCCCGGACGGTTTCAGAATCTGTATCTATGGATGCAAGTCGAAAGAGGGATCGTGCTGGTTGTCGTGCTGGCATCGGAAGCCCCAGCAGGATGATCGACGGTCGCGTAGCTGCATAACAGTTTAGTCAGGGTTTTTTTTCGGAAGCAGATTGTGCCGCGACTGCGATCGGATTTGGAATCCAAAGGTCGCTAGTATTAATTAATTACGGGCGCGTAGGCGCGTGGGAGCGGGCCAGACGAGGGTGCTTGTCAGCTCGACGACGGAGATTGTCTTGAATTCATAATTCCTAAATGAACTGTGGTTGACAAATGCAGAGTCGGCATTGGAGTGCGAGATGGAGTGGCGAGTAATGCTTCCATCGCCCTTTAAGTTGGATTAAGAAAAATAAGGGATGGATTGCATGTCGATCTTGAAGACTGAAGGTGAAAGGGTCAAAAAAATGGGTCGTGAATACAAAGGTTCAGATATCCTGGAACTCCACCGAGTCAAACAACTGGTGTTTTAACACTGCTTTTTCGGACGTTTGTTTCATCATCGACTTTTTACAGTCAGTGCACTGCTTGGTCCTTTCTATACTCGAGGGCAGTGCAATTGGTTCATATATAGAAGAGCTTGATGAAACACCGAGTCTGTCCTGTCTTGGATGATCTCCTATTTTTGTCATGGACAATTGCCGAAAGGGCTCTGGACCCCGCATGTCGTGGTTACAGAATGTTGACATGGCGGATGAGATCATGCGACATACGAGCTGTCTAGATTATCCATGATAGCTCCAATGATGCGATGTACAGATCCAGGACGTAGCAAGGCAGTGTCGTATCATAGTGATAGCTGATAAGGCAATCAATCTAATCATATCGCATTCGGATCTCAGGTCCGTGAAGGACAATACGTAGTCTTCTGTCGTGAGACGAGATAGAAAGGGTGATGAAGCTATCCAGCCTCACGTTTGCGTTGCCAACTTGCGAGGCAGAGGACGACTCCAATTCTCCAAATAATGACCTGTCAATTGACCATTCACATGCGACACGGATCTTCCGCCAACAACAATAGTCAATGAGTTAATAATGACCCTGTCTCAGGTTGTCCCGACCAGCCGGTTCATCACGCCTTGCCGTTTCTAGGGAATATTCAAGGCGACTATCTCCAGCCTTCCATGGAAAGGCATCAATAGAGATGATGGACTATCGACGACGATCAAGTATATCTCGCAGAAACGTGCACAGAATCGCTGCTCTGAAAATCATATGGGGAAAACTTTAAGCGTGACTATTTGCTGCAAGCCTGTTAGAAACTTTGATTGGCATCCAAGCGCCACAACCTGGAGGATTTGAATGGCGGAGATGGGAGAGACTGGGGAAGAGGAGAATGCCACTTATCAGACTATCGAAATTCGATACTCAGACTGTAGACTGTAGACGGGAGGGCGGGGCACTCCTGAAGCCAAGAAGAGGATGCGAAGATGACGCCAACAATGACATCCAGCGATGATCAGCAAAGGGATCCATCGAGCCCATTCTGACTTGCTTATGAGAAGTCAGAAAGACGGGCTGAGCGGAACTGCGCCCAGAAAGCAGGGCGAAGTTCCATAGTTCCTGACAAGTCTAAATTGGTCTAAATTGGGGGATCGATCGAGTTGGAAGTCGTCGACTAAGTCGAGGGTAGTCGAGTGGAGGTGATTGTACGGAGTTGAGCGGAAGAAGCAAAGAATTGTTTCCAAATACTGAAAGAAACGGATTATTTTAGCAACAAAGCGATTATCTTCTGGGCTGGAATCTTCTAGCCATCGAGCCTCGTGTAACTTGCACCGCATCATGTCGTGCAGCATACACTATTGTGACCTGGAATGAATTAAACAGCAATAAAAAGAAAAGAACGGAAAGGGGAAAAAGCAACTCTCCCCTGAACAATGCATATGCACACACTCTCTCTGGCTGGATGATGATGCTTCTCTGCCGCTTCTGGTCAACAAATCTTTCCCACTACTACCTACTAGCACGATCTCTGGGTCCACGCCACTCGTGCCTGTCGATTATTGCTACTATTGTACAGTAGGCTTCCTCCTAGTTGGCTTTTGAGTCTGTCGAAATGTTAACCTTTTTGAGTTTTTGCAAACCCAGCCCATGTTCATCATCATCGTCGTCGCCGTGTCCGTTTCTCTCCGCCGCGTCGGAGATTGGCTGTGCTTGTGCGGCCGCATCTCATCCCGTGGGAAAACATACGCATTGCACAGTGACACATTACATACTGGAACTACTCATTGGATGTCATTCCTTCGGCCTGGGTTCTTGGGACTCATTTCCACCGTCGTCCATAGTGTGCTGGCCCATGCGGGATTTAGTCTGCTGGGGCCTACGGGTGGAGGTGGTCAAAAAAGATGAGATTTTCAATTTCAGCCCCTTAAGCATCCTCGTCCTCCCTCCACCCAGCTGGTACTACTAATAGACTAACCCCGATCGTGTGTCCAATTAATATCCAGTCTTGCACGGCCTGTTCCTCATCTCCAAGAAGTCTGATCCTTGCCTGTTGGTTCGCTGTGCCGTCATTAAAGAGCGCTATACGAACACCCGCAGCGACGTCGAAACATTCGGTATTTTCCCCATCCTTCACTCAGTCCTGCACCTGTCATCCTTCTCTCTCTCATGCTGGCCCAATTACTTATATACTATACCCCGCCCAGTGATCCCGCTTTCCCATCACACGTCAACTCGTCAACCCGTCCATAACCACCTGTTCTTTACCCTGGTACGCGGTGGAGGCGTGGAAATGACGATTTGCTCGGAACCGAACCAGTAATCGCCGTTTGTTTCTTTACCGGATTCACCCATCAGACTGTGGAGACCATTGCCTGCGTATTTGAAAAACATCCTGGCCTCAATTCTTATCAAGAGACGTGGCGGATTGAACAATTCGCTCCACCCTACACCGACTTTCTCTCGAAACAATTCCAACCAGAATTATATAGTTAGGAGGAAGCCATGGCGTGGGAGTCTACCATGACACGAGAGCAACAGCCCCTGTCCATCCCACTGAGATCTTCGAGCGCAAATGCTCCGACAGCAGAGATGCTGTCGCCGAATAGCAAGAAGAGTGACAAGAACTCGAAAGCGCAGAAGATCTTGGGAACTACTGACATTCCCATCCAACATAATCGCAACAACTCCCGAGAAGACAAGAAGCGCGGGAGACGACCGAGCTTTATGAGAGCCCCCGAAATCAAATCGAACAAGGGTGGCAGTTTCGTGCCTTTCCCCACGGCCACACCAGATGCAGGGCTATCTTCCCCTCACCTTCGCGTACGAGCATCCTCACCTCTTCTGGGACATGAATACCATTCGCATGACAATTCACCGCCGCCACTTCCCAAGTCATCGAAGAACATTCACCACTCCGGTTCTTCGTCGACTCTCTACTCATACTTCAGCCGTCGGGATTCTACCAACGACTCGAACACGAACGGCAATGGGTCGACCAAGGACCTCGGCCGGGCAAGCAGCAGTCACTCTCAACAGTCGAACACCGATCCAAGAATAAGCATGAAGCCATCCAAGGGCGGGATGAAGGAGTCTAAGCGGAAAATGCGTCCACCCAGGATTGACCTTTCGTTGTTGTTCCCCAAGCCCAAACCCGCTGCCGCTCCCCTTTTATCCCCGCAACGCATGATGAGCTCTCCTTCTCCAGTCTCAGTCGTCTCCGAACTCCCCACGGCCGTGAAAAAGCCTGATGATACCCAAGCCGGAATCAAAACGACAGCGACAAACACCCTCTCCGACACTCTCGTCCCTCCTCCAAGCCATGCCAAACAGCACAAAAATAGAGCTTCTTCGGTATTTTCCGAAGTCAAGTTCCGCGATTGGCTCGATCCCTCGCTTGAAAGGTCAGTGAGGACGAGCGAAATGGACCTGGCTTTAGATAAATATGCCGACACCCAGCAAACCCCCAAACCCTCCAATGCAAGCATCAGGAGTCGAGACCAACTGCACTCAAGCCATTCGAACAAATCTGCAGATAGGACAGCCGGCAGAATGTCGTCCAATCGCTCCGAAGGGGGCTGGAGTAAGGAGACTTACTTATCTCCCAAGACTCGCCCTCGTCAGATGTCCAACCGCAGCTCGAATGCGCCAGATTGGCAATCCGACCGATGTGAAAACCGTCCGTCTGAAAAGGGCTCGATGTCGAAGAAGAGTAGCAAGAGCACGCTGAGGAACACCGATCTCAACATTTCCAGTGTTCTTTGCCTTTCTTCATCAGAGAGTGAAGACGACGATGATTACCTGACCAAGGAACGAGTCGCTGCGGATCACTCCTCCAGAGACAGTGTCACTACCTACGGTGAATTCGAGCCCGAGATTTGCACGGCCTCTGCGGCACAAGCCACAAGAGGACCGCCATTGAAGCGAGTCGATGCAGCCCTTGCGGCCGTCGATCAAAGGTCAAGGTCGACGAAGAGAAATACCGTCCGACGAATGCCTTCAAAAGCTTCGACCGAGAAATCGTCCTACACAGGTCCGCGAAGCCGGTCGCGTCGATCGAGTGGGATACCCACGATCTCTGAGCCTGAGGCACCACAACAAGATGATTGGTTCTTTCCCCCACCACCTTCCCCATCGACAAGGGAGATTAATCGGAGGAGCCGAATCATCACAGTGACCAGACAAGAAGAACATCTTCTGGAAGCGATGAGATTGAGAAAAGGGAAGATTACCCCAAGCCTCTACCAAGAGGCGCGCTATAATGGCAACAGTCGAGGTGTTGATCCCGAGCAAGCGTCCATGCTTTCAGCGCCATCGAGGGATTCTTTCTATGGCGGTGACACCTCTTTCCTGCGTCTTAGCCCCGGGTTTCCACCTTACCTACAACGGGCAGACCAAGGTGCAAACCTTGACAACTCTGCTTCCCAAGGCGCTGCTTCTGATGCCGACCAGAAAACCATCAACTCGAACGCATCTAATAGAGTCAGTCTGGCTTACTCCGAAAGCCTCCCATCTCCCGCGACCAGCGGGGCGTCTCCTCTGACACCGACCCTTCCCATCCATCGTTTCTCTCCTCTACCTTCGCAAAAGCCTCCTCCACGTCATCCACCTCCTGCTGTCCCGCATGAGCAACGACGACACTCGCGGCGACGCACAGATAGCAGCGAGGCTATCGTTCTAGGCGAAGCCGAAGATACCAAGGAAAAGGAAGAATTTCCTATCTGGGCCTTTGGTAACTGGAATGATAGAACCAACTTGACAGCTGTGCATTAAGCGTATTGCTTGTTCCTTTTCCGTACTCTTCTCACCCTACATTCCTCGATCACGAGATATTTTCCTATCTGTTCTAATAACCCAACTACATACACTCCTCGTGTGGAGACGACCGTGGCACACCTTGCCGTTTTCTTTATACTCCTTGCTTTTTTCATGTGACTTGACGCTTCCCACTCTTTTATCATACATGCATATGTACACGCCACACACGCTCTCTATTTTTATTTTCCTGTTCAAGATTCTCTCGACCACGCAAGGAATGGCTTTATAACCTTTTTCATTATAATGTAATCGACTCCCCACTGAATGATGCCTGGGAAATGGAAAATAAATCTACATAGAATAATCATCAATGTGAAGATACACAATCTGGATATTATTTTTTCATTTTCTCTCTTTTCACGGATAATATCTTTCATCTTAGCCAACTCTTGCAAATATAGCTTTTGATTACCGAGGACGATATTTGCTTGCTCTAGTAGAGAAGAACAAGATGTCGTAATTATTTTCATCGTATTTTTCATGAATCTTAGGAGCAATCGCGATCCAAGTTAGAAGGAGGCAGAAATGCCGCCAGACTTGGATAGCCGGGAATCCCCCTCAGCCCAGAGACCTCTTGAAACTGCGATTGAAGGGGGATAACCGAAAAACGTCCAGATATGGTCTCTTTTGCCAAATAAGCTAAGCTGCAAGCCTTCTAGGCTGGCAACAATATAGCAAGAAAGAGAACATCGCCGTGACGCTGTACCCATCCTGCCTTTACATCACACTTCGACTGTATATAGACCTCTTGTGGGCCCGTTTTTAGTGGCCGCGATGGCAGCCAATCGGATAATTCGAGTTGATAGCCGGATTAGGTTGGCTTTACAATTCGCGATTTGGAATATCTTCAGCTGAAGCCATCGATTGTCTGGTGTCTACTATTACATGGGACGTTAATTGATAATGCTGTCCTCAGATTGATATTTGAGGGAGTATGGTGTACATAAGAACTTACAGTCACCGACAGCCATGTCAGTTTCATTAGTCCCAGTATGGAAAAGCGATGCTGATCATCTACGTATGTACATCTGGAAGAGCCACTTTTCCACGTAAATTATCTCATCAGCATCGCACTAACATAACTATTAAATTCTGCCCGGTCATTCTGGGAGTCACCGTGGCTTGCCAGCCTGCCACAACAGACGATCGTCCCTGATAGACGCGATAGACACGATTCCCATGTCTTCCTGACGTCAAGTTGGTGGGAATGGTCTTCCCTTGCGTGGTTGGGTGCCCAGATTTGCCCCCTTAAATAAGGACTGGACTAGACCCCGTGATCCACACCGCCCGTCGCCTCTCTTGCCTTTCCATTCCATGTTTCCTTAAGCTCTGAATAACCTACCCCAGATCTCCCGATCTCACGTTCATCCACACAGTGGCGGCCTTTTCTGTCGCTTCGTCCTATCCACGCTGATATTTATTGCATTTCGTCTCGTTCCAACTTAGTATATCCCTCGTCGATTTCTTCTCTGGATTCTCCGTGGCCCCGGTTTGCTGGCGGACCTAGGGCCTAGTGGCGAAGATCCTCGGAACGCACACGCGCCCATCCTACGAAACAGCTTGCACCAAGTCGTCGAGCACATTTTTTCATCATCAAGCAGAATTTCACACCTTGCCTATATAAAACCGTGTTTCCTTCTTCAATATCTATTTTAAATCGAAAGAGAAGGGGAATCTGATACCGCATCTCGTCAACATGGGGGAACGCGCACGTCAGCCCTCATGGCTGGCCGTTGTTCTGAAACAATCTTCCTGGATTTTGGTATGACCTTGGGATGGACACCTGAGGGGTATCTTGGAATTCATGGCTAATTGTATCTTCTGAACACAGTTGGCGGTGCAGTATAGCGCGTTTGTCTTGGTAGGTCGTTCAACTTCATGGACAATGTCTCTTGCGTCGCTAACCCCTCGCCTTGACATAGTTATCGCATTATTCCAGAGTTATGCCGCCAGCGGGTGGAAAACGATACCTCACATCGACCGCCGTTTTCCTCAATGAGGTCATTAAACTTGCCATTTCCCTGACCATGGCACTATACGAGGTCTCCAAGGCCGCGCCCCCATCGATGCCTGCCACCTCCCTCTTCTTCTCCCTTACTAGCGTCGTATTTTCAGGCGACAGCTGGAAGCTGGCAATTCCCGCCTGTCTATACACACTCGCCAACTCCTTACAATATGTCGCGCTTTCCAACCTACAGGCTGCGACCTTTCAGGTTACATACCAGCTGAAGCTCGTACCCACGGCCATATTTGGCTTGGTGTTGTTGAGGAGGGCCACTCCATTGCGCAAATGGGGCTTGCTCTTGCTGCTCCTTGTGGGCGTGAGTCTCGTACAAATGCCAAATAGTAGCACTGACGAGATCGCGCTCGAGGAAGAGACTGCGCACCTGGCATTCCCCCGGTCTCTGGAGGAATGGAAAGCTGCTAGAGGGGGTTCGGCGGGGTTGCACAAGCGTTCCGCAACGTATGAAGGCATTGAAGAGGACATTCAGACCGCCTTTCCGCGCATGAACTCAACGATCGGTCTGTTGGCCACTGTCGGTGCCTGTGCTGCATCTGCCCTTGCCGGTGTATACTTCGAGAAGGTGATTAGGGATAGTTCTGCTTCAGCATCACTTTGGATCCGCAACGTGCAGTTGGCATTCTACTCCATATTCCCTAGTCTCTTCATTGGTGTCATTTTCCTGGATGGCGAGAATATCTCCGCCAATGGCTTCTTCGGGGGTTACAGCTGGGCTGTTTGGTCGACTGTTGTCGTGCAGGCCTTTGGTGGAATTCTCGCATCTTTTTGCATGATGTACACCCACCAAGCTGTTAAGAATCTTTCCACAGCTACCAGTATCCTCCTCAGTACCGTGGGGAGTGTGTGGCTTTTTGAGTTTGAAGTTACTGGCAGAGTATGTTGTTAACATCCCATTATTCTTAATGAGTACTGACTAAGTTTGCAGTTCTTCCTCGGTTCTCTTGCAGTACTTGTGGCTACCTACCTGCAAGGAGACTCAGGCCTGGGTATTATCCAAAGGAAGTCCTCGAGCGCGCGTCCACCACCTATTCGTGTCGACAGCTATGACAACGAAATTAAGGGCGATGCTGGCTCACCCGAATCACCTTCTCCAAATGAGATTTCTATCAAACTTCCTGGTACACCTTTCCTCGACGCTGGTGTGTCAACATCCCGTCCTACTTCCCCCGGGCACGCGCGAGTGAGCTCAGCTCGTACTACCAGTGGCGGGTATTTTGATAAACACCCGCGAGATGAGTGAATGTGACGACCCAATACGAATTTTGCAATGTCCGCATGGATAATAAATATGGTGCCGGGGATCTTGTGAGAAGTAAATAACTATGGATAGAACCGAAACAATTGGTGTCAACCCTGCGAGCATTTTCTTGTATTTTCCCTTTCTGATTCTCTTTCTTGGTGATATTATTTTCTGGTCGGGCTGCTGAGTGCTGTTCTCCTTATACCTTTGACATGGCAGTATGTTCGGTTTCGTTGTGTATGAGTATATATGGAGAAAAATGCATGAGACAAATGTCTTCCTTTCTACTAAACTCGTTGCTATTGGCTTTAAACCCTGGTGAGGATGTCCTATTCTGGATGGACACGTGCTCAGGCCGTTCCAGTTCTTCGACATCCTCATCTAGCACACCCGTTCCTCCCTATGCAGCAGCTCAAGACGATTATCTCTTTAACCCATCACCGAATTTCTCTCCCAAACCAGTTGTTCAACAGTGCTACTGATTAGAGCATCATGCGTCGAAGAGGCCACCAGCCCTTCCTCGAACCCCGACACAACGCTTTCTGCCCAAAAAAGAGCGATACCCAGCTCCCCAAGTCCACCCCATCCAATAGAGCCGGTGCAATCGATCAAAAGCTCATCGAAGGAGCCCAGATATCGCCCTTCTTCAGCCAATTCCGTAGAACCGAGCCCGAAAATCATATATCTGAGCCGGAATCGATCACTCATGCCCAGCGTGATGATGATATGCAGCTAGATGCGTTCGGTGAGGTTTTGCACCACTTGTTTTGGTCTGTCATTTTGACAATTCAAGGTGGCTAATGAAACTATCTACACAGATCTTGAGTTACTTGCCCAGTCGAATGGGGCAGCGAGGTACCGTCAAGAACAGCCTGCTGTATCTGATGCTGGGCATCACTTGGGTTCGCATCGGATGGGATCTTTGGATGGGAGCCCCCCGAGACAGGTTTCTCATTTCTTCAATGGTAAGACAATGTCTGTTAACTATTCCATATGGTTACCGGCCTGGTTCCCTGAAATTAATGAAGTAAAAGGAAATACCCATCTTACTACACCCCTGCGAGGCCTAGGGTCGAGCTCTTCAGAGTTCGAGTTAGGGACCCCTTCGAGTCCATTGACTAGATTCGAAACTGGGAGAGCAGCGGCACTTCGGAGTCGGGATATTGAAGCCCAGTCTTTGCAGCCTGATAGCCACCACCCTTCATATCCCAATACTGGAGCATTTGGAAATGGCACACAAGCTCAGAAGACACCCTTTGATAATATCCCATTATCTATTCGAGGTATTGTTCTTGTCTCCGTGCATGAGCTTCCGGACAATTTTCGGTCGATTTTTCATTTTCCCGTGTTCAATGCTATTCAGTCCAAGTGCTTCCAACCGGTCTATAAGAGTAATGACAATATCGTCCTCGCGTCTCCGACTGGGAGTGGGAAAACAGTTATTATGGAGCTAGCAATCTGCCGTCTACTAGGTGATTTGAAAGATGAAAGTTTCAAAGTTGTCTACCAGGCACCGACCAAGTCCCTCTGTTCAGAACGATTTAGGGACTGGAACAGGAAGTTCCAATCATTGGGTTTACAGTGTGCTGAGCTGACTGGTGATACTGACTATTCATCCTTGAGAAATGTTCAGAATAGTCAGATTATCATAACCACCCCGGAGAAATGGGACAGCATGACGCGGAAGTGGAAGGACCACGCGAGATTGATGCAATTGGTAAAATTATTCCTCATCGATGAAGTCCACATTCTCAAGGAAACGCGCGGTGCGACTTTAGAGGCTGTGGTATCTCGAATGAAGACTATCGGATCGAACGTGCGTTTCGTTGCATTGAGCGCCACAGTGCCAAACTCTGAAGATATTGCAACTTGGCTGGGTAAGGATGCAACGAACCACCATGTGCCGGCACATCGCGAACATTTTGGAGAAGAGTTTCGTCCGGTTAAACTTCAGAAGTTTGTATATGGATATCAATCGAACGGTAACGATTTTGCTTTTGATAAGATGTGCAACTCTAAGTATTATCTCCGCCTATCATACTATCATACTACCTATAATTGAGACTCGAGGCTGACAATGGTTTCTAGGCTTTCCGATGTGATTGGTTCACATTCATTTAGAAAGCCAATCATGATATTCTGCTGCACGAGAAACTCATCTGTTGCTACTGCCAAAGAGCTGGCTCGGTTGTGGTCGATGTCTAACCCCCCAGCAAGGCTATGGAAAGGGCCCAGCAAAAGTATGGAGGTTCATAACATGGATCTGAAAAGTAAGGCCCTATACGATCAGCACCTTCAGAAATAATCAGATGACTGATTTGGTATAGCAACCATATCTGCAGGAGTAGCATTTCATCACGCTGGTCTTGATCCTTCGGACCGCCATACTGTTGAAACGGGCTTCTTACAGGGACAAGTCAGCATAATATGCTGTACTTCGACACTAGCAGTTGGAGTGAACCTCCCATGCCATCTAGTCATTATCAAGAATACCGTTGGATGGCAAGATGGCGGCTGCAAGGAATACTCCGATCTTGAAATGATGCAAATGCTTGGTCGTGCGGGCCGGCCTCAATTCGACGACAGCGCTACTGCAGTGATCCTGACGCGAAAGGAACGAGTCAACCATTACGAAAAGCTGGTATCCGGATCAGAGAGTCTCGAGAGCTGCTTACATCTAAACCTGATCGATCATCTGAATGCCGAAATCGGGCTGGGAAATGTCACAAATGTCGAATCTGCTATCAGATGGCTTGCTGGTACATTTTTGTTTGTGAGATTAAGGCGTAACCCGATACATTATAAGCTGAAAGAAGGCGCAAATCACGATGACGAGGATGAATTACTTCGACAGATCTGTGAAAAAGACATCAAACTCCTCCAGGAAAGTGGGCTAGTTTCTTCCGAACGGCTCAAATCGACTGAATTCGGTGACGCCATGGCTCGATATTATGTGCGATATGAGACGATGAAGATTTTACTTGCATTGAAGCCCCAGGCGACAATGTCACAGATTGTAAGGAAAGATTAAGTTGTGGGCTTAAAAAGTGACTAATAACTTGCAGCTCTCTGGGATTGTCCAAGCAGAAGAATTTCGGGATATTCGCCTCAAGGCCGGCGAGAAGTCGTTATACAAAGAAATCAATCGGGCTAACAGCATCCGGTTTCCAGTCAAAGTGGATATAGCACTCCCAGCCCATAAAATTTCACTTCTAATACAATCTGAACTGGGCGCGGTGGATTTTCCAGACGGCGAGCAGTTCCAGAAACACAAGTTCACTTTTCAACAGGACAAGAACTTTATTTTCGCCCACGTAAATCGACTTATTCGCTGTATTATAGACTGTCAGATTTATCTCGAAGATTCGATTGCCGTCAGAAACGCCCTGGAGCTTGCGAGAAGCTTTGGGGCTAAAGTCTGGGATAGTTCTCCCCTACAGATGAAGCAGATTGATCAGATTGGGGTCGTTGCTGTCCGCAAACTAGTAGCTGCAGGAATCACCAGCATTGAAGCCCTGGAACTCACGGAAGCACACCAGATCGATATGGCTTTGAGTAAAAACCCACCTTTTGGTGTCAAGCTCTTGTCTCGGGTTGCAGATTTCCCTAAGCTTCGAGTGTCTGTCAAGATAACAGGAAAGGTATGAAGCCTGGCTCTAATTACCTGGCTCTAATTACCTGGCTCTAATTACCTGGTGGACTCTGCTGACTGTTAGCAGGATATCAAACCACCCCACCCCGTGAAGATTCGATTCAAAGCTGAAGTTGGCTTTATGAATGAAAAAATCCCGACCTCCTTTCAAAGACGTACTGTCTATGTGTGCTTCTTAGCGGAGACATCGGATGGTCGTACGGTTGATTTCCGGCGAATAAGGTGATATAAATCGCTTTGTACTTTGTATCGCGGCGCTGACATTGTAAAGTGCGAGGAAGATTCAAAGCAGTCATGAAATAGTGCTTAGTGCAGAACTGAAAAGACCAGATCAACACATTACATGCTACGCAATGTGCGATGATATTGGTATGCCGCTGATATCCTAAACAGAAAGGGTTTTATATTGACCATTCATAAGCCGGAACTTTAAGATCCGCAGAGATCAAACCTGATCTACCCTTCTCCTTGTTTCCGACTCGCTCAAAGACCGAAGAAGAATCGATAGAAAGACCCAAGATGAATACTTCGTGTCCGCGTAGCAACGATATATCCCGGAACCAGATGAATTCGCAAAGGGTTGATGTATTCGATGGTGATGATTTATTTGATGAATTCCTGGGCAAAGGTATGTTTCTTTCTTTCTTCGGTCAAGTCAAACCGCTCATTGAGTGAATTGTAGACCAGGGAACCGATTGGGTTGTTATCAACGAGAAGTCGCCCGTTACGGCCCAGCATAAATCGAGGGATAAACCTAAAGGAGAGAGTAATAAGTTAGAGATGATGCAGGAGGATTATGAGCTTGAAGAAGAACCAACTCGACTCCCAAATGGTAGATGGGCATGTAACCATAAGTGCAAGGATAAGACAGCGTAAACGGCTTTTCCTTGTTCTTCTTTGGCAGGAACTGACTGGGGACAGATGCAAGCACTTTTGCTGTCGCGATGGCCTGGAAAAGCCACCCAAAGCCAGCAAGAAATCAGCTGGTGGCAACCAAAAAAGAAACGAGTTCAACCAACTAACTCTTTCAGCAAGTATCACCAAGAAGGATGCTGCACCGCCTGAAAAAGAGGAGAAACTCGATCGAAGAGACAAAGCAAGTGGCCGCAAACCGTCTACTCAAACGCAAAAGCCAACACTGGAAGCAAAGTTAGCTGGCCAGGGTACGATGATATCAACGCCTCAGGTTTCAAATGCGGCATCTTTGATGCAGCCGACTCTCACTGACACTGTTGAGAGATCTCCCAGTCGTCTTAGTATTTTTGACGAGGATTCTTCAAGTGACTACGGGGATGACAGTTTCACTAACTTGCCTTCGCCATCGGTGTTGCTGTTTGAAGGCGCCAGCAACACCATAAGACCATCATACCAAAAAGAGGAAAACCCCAATGAAGTATCCAAGGTCGACAAAAGCACATCCGAGTCAAACGGAAATTGGATCGATGTCGAGGAGCCACGGCATCCGGTTCAAGCTCCATTCCCTGGCTCTGGACAAAACAAGAAATATGTCATCGACCTTGACATTACGAACCCAGTAGATATAAAAGAGTGGTTTCCATCATCCGAGACTGTGGATCCATTTTTCGAACCACAAAGAGACCAGACTAACAGCCAAGTTCTAGAGTTTGATGAGAATTCACTGCTACTTGCAGGCGTGGGTCTCGAAGATTCTCGGGGGACAAAGCGAAAGCTGAGCATCATAGACGAAAACAATGAATCTCGTCCTGGAAAAGACGAAAAGAGAGTGAAACAGAATGAACCCCACTCTTTGAGCCTAGGGCAAACTGGCGTTCTTGCAGAGTCCAGAGAAGTCAACAAGAATGGCTTTGTGAGACTCGAAACAGAAACACAACGTGCGTCAGCTCCAAAGGGCTGGGATGATATCGATCCGGGGTTGCTGGATGAATTCAAGGATATTGTTAATTTCTTTTAAGTACAGACAGAGATTGATATGCCACCATATCAGCGGGGGAAGATCTGATGAGATATGGATTCGTTGTTGATTTGTTTCTTTCTGTTTGAGGGTTGATTTGAGATTGATATGGACTCGAGACTGCATTTTAAAGAGTCAAGTATAATAGACGATAGCTGCTTTATAGACTACTATATCAAGCTGAATTCTTCTTCTCAGTCTCCATCCAGTATCGATTAGTTCCATTCTGTCAGGCTTTAAGGCCATCCATTGGCAGTGAATGCAGTGAATGAAGGTAAACTTCCTCTGCTCCAGTCCTGACGCGTCTTCGTATTCTTCCTCTTCTTCTCCCACTTTCTTCTCTTCCCAACTCTTCTTTGTCTTTCTCTTCCACATCAACATCTCATCTCTACAAAGACACAGAAGCAGTGAGTATAAATACTCTGCCTCCCTGCAATATCTTCTCACGCAGTCTCTTTCCATCTAGACTTCCACCCTCTAACGATCGATCTTGGATATCTGACAACCCATAACATGAGGATCGATTGCTGAGAGAAATTATAGCTAGGTATGTGCAGCTTTTCTTTCTCCTTTCCCTTATATCTAGCTGCAGCCTTTCTATTTACTCTATTATATCAAGAGAGATGTGCTTGTTTGTCTTGGGGGTATCCTGTTTACTCCCTCTTTCTCTTGGGTGTCCTTGTCCTTCTGCAAGCAAACCTCTCATATAAACAAACACCAGGATATCTTCATTATCATCTTAACTGGAGACAAAAGCTAATGATAATTTGATAATAGAAAATCTCTCAGCCTAAGAATATCCAAAATGGGCAAGTTAAACTACTCAGCAGTAAGTTCACCCATATCAGACCAGTGCGATCGATCCCCCTCACAAGACATGGACTGACTGTTTTCCAACCTCACAGAGAAAGATTGAAGGGACCAAAGCTGGTCAGGTGGTGTCTAAAGATCTGGTATGAAAGTCTCATTGTCTGTGTTTCGTCTGCTTTGTGAGCTAATCAACTGTCTGCAGAAAAAAAGAATCACCCCTGGCACCGGCTCCAAAGCTGCGGCACGAGACCCCACGCTGGAAATCGATCTCACTGCGAAGGGATTGACCGATGATGGTTTTTCTCAGTTCATCGATGATCTGATCGACTGTATCAAATACAGAGATGCGGAGCACCCAGAGGGCGCAGCTAAGCTCGCCGAGTTCCATCTCCAGGGTAATCAACTGTCCGTCCAGTCTTTGCCGAAGCTGGCAGAAGTAATTGCTCTCAGCGCTGGGGAGCTACGAGAGCTTGATCTGTCCAAGAACAGCATTGAGATTACAACCCCTGAACAGAAGTTGATATGGCAGCAGTTTCTGGAGTCGTTTGGTAATTGCTACATGCTGAAGAAACTGGATCTTGGGAGCAATCCGCTTGGTTCGGGGGGCATGGAGATCTTTGCTCGGGTTTATATCCAGAGTGATCTCGATTTCGTTGAGGACGATGCTAGTGCCATTATCGTATCGAAGTCCGACAGTGATGATAGTGGCGATGTCGACGATGTGGCCGCCAGCCCTAGTGCTGGAAAGGAGAATAAGATTCCACAGAAGGATCGGGCCAAGAGGTCGCCTAGTAAGACTAAATCCTCTCGACAGAACGGTAATTCGCTGCCCATATTCAACTTCGAATGTCCTGCTAACAAGATGACATCCCTAGGTCGCTCTCACGCTCCTCCAGCAGCTGGAAAGACCACCCCCACGCAGGCCGACCTGAAGCGGTTTGCTTGCACCCGGGGGTTGCTTTCTGTCCCATTCCTAATCTTATCGGACACATCACCCACAGCCGGCTGCGCTATTCATTTTGCAAGCATTCTCCCCATGCATCGAACTCGGGAACAACTCTTGTCCTTCCTGCCTGGGGGCAAGGCGCTCGCCCTGCCTGAGACAGTGAGTCGTTGCAAAGGTATCATCTGGCTGCCAAATGATGGTCTTGGACAACTGGGTCACAAGCTGCTTGACATGGTCGAGACGATGCGCGAACAGACGTCTGGCACAGACTCCGACGAGGAGGAGCTCGATGAAGAAGAGCAACTTTCAACCGGCTTTGGACAGTTGAGAACGATCGATAGTAGCAATGGCAATGGAAAGCTTGATATTACCGCACAGCGCAAGCTGCAAGCGAAGATGAATGTCGAATACTCAAGACTTTGCAAGCGGGTTCGCATGGAAGCGCTCAAGGTGGAATGGGTGCATAGCGCTGAAATCTGGAGCACTGCCTTGAGAATGATGGTCGTTGCTCGATCCCTCTTGTTGGACGATAAAGATCGTGCCGTGGAAGTACCAGAGGAAGAAGAAGAAAAAGAAGAAATGGTGCCAGAAGTCGAGCATATCGAGGAAGTGGGCGTCGAAAACGACTTCCCAGAATATGAGTACAGCCTATACGAGGTCGTGGAGCCTACAATAATTGGTCCCTTCCAGCCAGGCGCCGAAACGTTTGAGGAGAACTTCCCTGCATTGCAGGTGGTCAGCGAGGGTCACAAAGAAACCCCAATCTATCCAACAAAGGAAGAAAAGCGCATGTCGTCACCCCAGCAGCACACGCCACGCTCTGGAAAGGGACACCAGCGTGCAGTTTCTACTCTGCCTGCCCCCCAGAAGTACAACTGGCGCTTTAGGTTTCCTCTTGAATGCTGGCGCAGAATCATCGCCGACGCTGTTGGAGCAGAGGGCATTTTGGACGTCCAGCAACAGCTCCGTATCATCAGATACGCCGCGGATTGGGATTCCGTTGCCTACGAGCTGACGATAAAAGGAGCTGAGGAGTACCAGCAGATTTGGAAATTCCTTGAAACAGTTGGTTGCTTCACATACAGCCCTTTGTCATGAGAGCCTGCAGAGTTTCAGTATCGACTGATTTAGCATACTCTTTCATTTCAACTGCATCAGTGTGAAGGAAATATGGGGTGGTATCACTATTAAAAATAAAAAATGAAGGGAAAAAAAAAAAAGGATGAAAAAGAAACAAAAGAGATAAAAATGGTGAAATATGGTGTGTGTATGTTGGTTGCATGTGTGCATCAAGATCCTCGAGACTTGAATGTTTCCAAATCTGAATGTACCTAAATTTTTGAGTCTATCGCATGATTCTCAAGCATCTCTGAACTGTTGTGATAGGAAAATACAGCAGATAATCATCATCAAATGCCCTGGTAGATGTAGCTATTCAAAGTCTCCCCTGTCGCCTCCTTTTGATTGCCCGAGCGCACGTGAGTCCCTCGTTATCGCCAAATCCCCCGCATTTCTTCTTGCGATCGTAAGAAACTCTCGCTGGACCACGGATTATTAGGGGGATTGAGCCATTCAATCAAAATCACTCAATTTATCTGCTGATATACATCCCACCTTCATTCATATTGAACCCTTCCGATCAACAAAGTCGTTGAACGTGGACAATTTTACTGCTAACATTTGAATTCCCCGCTATTGCCTCGATATAACCTCTTTTCACAATGAATATGATGCGAGCCAAAAGACAAAATACCCTGCCGCAGGATGACAGCTCCACAGCTCCTTCGACCTTCAATGACGGGCTTCCTCTGCCCAAATTGTTTGTATTTGATATCGATTATACCCTCTGGCCTTTCTGGGTTGATACGCATGTCAGCGCCCCGGTAAAGGCTCGGGATAACAATTCTCGATGTGTGGATAGGTGAGTTGACTTGGTCTTATTGATTGCCTTGGATAGTCTACTTTCCGGAAATAAGGTGTCTTTGTTCTGTATTTACTAACTGTGGGCTGCGATAGATGGGGTGAATCCTTCGCTTTCTACCCGGCCGTCTCCTCAATCATCCACTCATGCAAGACTCGGTCAATCCCTCTCGCTATCGCCTCTCGCACACACGCGCCGGATCTCGCTCGCGACATGCTCAAAGCCCTCCACATCATCCCGACCTTCTCGGACAACCCGGCGAACAAAACACGCTCATCGCGTGCGCTCGAGTATTTTGACTACGTCCAGATCTTCCCCGCCAATAAGACTCAACATTTTGCTCGGATCAACCAAGCCAGCGGTATTGAATATGAAGACATGCTCTTCTTCGATGACGAGGCGCGAAACCGGAATGTTGAGACGGAGCTGAATGTTACTTTCTGTTTGGTTCGAGATGGTATGACGAGGGAGGAGGTTGACCGGGGAGTTTGGGCCTGGCGAAAGAGAAATGGGATTAGAGCCGGTGGGCCTAAGAGGTCTGATACTCAGGAAAGCTTGAGCTGATTAGATGTCGTCTGCTATGGATGATACGAATTTTTTTTAAGAGAGGGAATTGGCGTATGGGTTTGAATGATTAATTGCATATTAGACTTGGATATGAGATACCCGGGGGGATGAGATACAATTTCCGTATGTCTGGAATAGAGAAGACACTGCCAATATATCCATATACTATTTTATCTAAAGTATTCCATTTGCCATGCACATGTAGTTGATCATCTGCAACACCAGGCGGAGTGGAGTGTCGGAGCTATACCAACTCACAGCTTCCCCGAGCTTTTCCAATCCTAACCCATCCACCTCCCACCACCACGGTTACAAAACCCCCCAACCCAAGGGAGAGAGAAAACAAAAAAAACCTCTCAAACATCCCCTACATCCATCAACCATGGATCCCCAACAGAGTCAATCCCGACAACACCTCAAACCACACCCTCACCACCCACAACAACGCGCCTCATCCTCAGCAGCATCCTCCGGCTCCGCGCCCTCAATCCCCCGACCCCCTCTCTCAGTCCACCCTACAGTAACAATAGCAGACGCCGTCGTATTCCAAGGCACACACCCCATCTCCATCGGCGCCGGCACCATCATTCACCCCCGCGCCCGGTTCTACTCCTTCGACGGCCCCATCTACATCGGCGATGGCAGCATCATCAGCGAAAAGAGCGTAATAGGAATCGCCCCCACCGCTCCTCCACCGTCCTCTACACATGGTAGAGAAGGAATCCCCATCCGGATCTCGAATGCCGTCGTCGTGGGACCGCAAGCCTCCGTCTTCCCCGGCGCGCACATCCACTCCTCCACAGTCGTCGAATCGCTCGCGATCATCCACAAACGCGCATCGCTGGGCTCGCACTCCAAAGTCTGTGCCGCGTGTGAAGTGCCCCCGAATGCTGTCGTGCGGGAATGGTCGGTCGTCTGGGGCTCTGGGACTGGGTTCGGACAGAGGAGGAAACGGGCCAAGGGAAAGATGAGTTCCGCTGTAGCTGTGGCTCAGGGGATTCAGGGTCTTGAGGGGAAGGTCATTGAAGATGCGCGGTTGATTGTTTTGCATAAGGAGAGGGAAGCGCTTTCTAGAATGATTGGATCTTCGGCTGGGGCTGGGGCGAGGAGGAGGTGAGGAGCTTTTTTCCATTCAGGATCGATCGCTCTGCCTGCAGCAAACAAGCTGTACGGGGGAAAGGTCTCAGGGATACAACCTAGAACCGATAGAGGGAAGGATGCATTGCACTGAGCCAAGTGGGTGTTTGAAGTTGCTTCTTGGTGCAAGAGTCTACGATGCTATGATACTATTCTGTCTTGAGCTTTTATCGTTCATATACCCAAATTATAGAAACCAGTCGATTTATCAGTTGCTTCTCTCACTAGTATCGGTAGATCAAACAAAAGTAACAATAGCACTTGTGTATTGGAAAAATTTTGCCAGTAGTCGAACAGCTTTTGCTTCATCTATTGACGACATACTAACGGAGAATTAAAAAAAAATCAAAAACCCTTTACAACCATGCTTTTCCCCTTATTAAAATAAAATGCAACGCAGGGATACATAAGCAGACAAAGGAAATAAATGGAATTTTCACACAGGCTGCCCTCTCACGAGGGATTAAAATGGCGTAAGATCATTGCTTCAGACTGAAATGCACGACACTCAAACGAAAAAAAAGTACAGAGGAAAGTATAAAAGAACTTTGTAGAAATCAAAATGGAAAAAAGAAACACATGTCAAAAATTATCCGGTACAGTAGACACGACAATAGAAATGACCTTTTTAAGCTCCTCTGGTCTGACCACCGCCTCTCATTCTCTTTCCACCACTTCCTCCTCCTTCGCCGCCAGCCTCACCTCCATCCTCTCTTGCACGCTTGTTGCCCTGAGGAATGAACTGGCGAGCCTGGACATTCATCCCGCCTCGGCTTGGGCTAGACTGTCCCTGGCCCTGAGGCAAGTTTGAAGTCTGAACATTCTGGTGTCCACCTCGGCCATGGCCTCCCCGTCCGCCACGGCCCCGGGGAAGCCCGGAACCGCGCTGAGCCTGGCCCTGAGGCTGCTGCTGCTGTTGTTGCTGTTCAGTTGACTGGGGACCGAATGGATTCTGCTGGTTACCACCACGACCGCCCGCTCGACCGCCACCTCGTGCGACAGGAAGACCCGACTGAAGTGCTTTCAGAACACCCGTTCCTGCACCAGCCGGTGGCTTGTTGGGCAATGGCGCAGCTTGTTGCTTGTTCTGGCTCTGCCCAAATGGATTTGCTGCTGGTGGAGCTGCTGCCAGCGCACCGGGTTGTTGTTGTGCCTGCTGCGGCTGCTGTGGTTGTCCTTGCGCAGCTTGCTGGGCTTGACCTTCAGCCGGGACAGTGCCAGGGGACGGAGCTGGTGCTGCAGTCCCTTGTTGGTTTGCTGCAGGGGCCGGTGCTGGCGATGGGGCTGCAGGAGATGGTTGCGCCGTTGCTGGGGTAGAAACAGGAGCAGGAGTAGGAGCAGGAGCAGCAACAGGGGGAGTAACCTTGGCAGGTGAGGCTGCTTGCGCAGCAGGTGCTACCTGGGGTTTGGCTCCCTGTACTTGAGCAGCCGCAGGTGGAGGTCTTGCAACCTTGGCCACCTCCCATACTTCGACAACGGGCTTCTGAGGGGTTTCGCTTGCTGCCTTCTGGACGACTTCGATCTTCGCATGCGCAGTTCTGAATCGTGTATCAAGCATGCTCAGTCTGGCCAAAGACTTCTTATCCGATAGCTCAACGGCAGACTTGATTTTCTCTTCCAACCCTTCCTCGTGGGCCTTCTTAAGCGCTTCTCGCTCTGCGTTGAACTTTTGCTCCAGCGAAGAGATGGCCTCTTCGTTCGCTCCTGTAGATGCTTGGGCTTCTTGCTTAGTCTTCTCCTTCTCCTTAGCAACCATAGCGCGAATGTTGTTCCGAACAATATTTTTAATAGTTTCGTTCTTCGCCACCAGCTCCTTGGCCTGGGCATCAGTCAACTGCGGTAGTCCACCTTCAGCCTTCGCGGGGGTTGTAGGAGTCTGGTCAGGCTTCGAGCCAGGGGTTCCAGGCTCCTGTGGAGCGACTGGTTGGTTGGCTGCCAATCTCTCCACCTCTTGGCGGTGGGCAGCTCTAGCTTCTGCCATCTTGCTGTTGAAGGTCTCCTTCAGTTTCTCCACGCGCTCCTTGAGCTTCGCTTCATGCTCGGCATCTCTACCGGCAAGTGCAGCCTCCTTCTCAGCGAGAGCAGCTTCAAGGCGCTGTATCTTCTCCTCCAGTGCCTTCACCTTCTCGTCGTCACTTGCAACCGGCAGCTGAACGTTCGATGTAGGGAACTGTGCTGCAGGTGTGGCGTTAACAGCGGGTGCCTCCTCAGCTGTAGGAGCGGGAGCAGGAGCAGGGATAGGAGTAGGAGCAGCAGGCGCAGGCGCAGGGGCGGCTGGTTCGGCTGGTGCAGCCGGTTTCTCTGCCATTCTCGCCTTCAATTCCTCCAACTCGGCCTTTGTCGTTTTCAGCTCCTCTTGAATTACTTCTTTCTCCTGGACAGCGGTGTTCAATTCGCCCTGTTTGGCATTGATGCGGCCACTTAGCTCCTTGGACCGAGCCTTGAACTGTTCCGTAAGCTTGGAGCGCAAATCCTTGAGCCTTTCTTCCGCGTGCTCAAGCTTCTCTGGGAATGATGCAACTTCAGTCTGCAAAGTGTCGCGAGCAGAAATGGCTTCATCCCGTTCCTTTTCCAATGTCGAAAGGCTCTCTTTCAATGCTTCCATTTCGGCAGGGTCCACACGATCGTATTTCTGCAGAATGTTCTGAGTACGTTGTTGCCATCGGTCGCGGTCTGCTTGTAGAAGTTTCATCTCCCCATCCTTCGTTTCCACAACATTTTCAAGTTCCCTAATTCGAGTTTCGAGGGGTTCCATTTGCTGCACGAGTTCATCCACACGGGCGGACTTCTCCCCAAGGGAAGTCTCGGCTTGTTTGACTTGGTTTCGAAGTGTAACGCTACTCTCACGGAAAAGGTTGAGTTCATTGAGTGTCTCCATGAGCTTGTTGTGGCTCAAGGCGCTATGGTCGCTATCAGCAGCAGCACGGCGTTGCTGCTCCAATTTGAGCCTCGTCTCATCAAGCTGGGATTGAGTGTAGTCAACCTGCTGGCGAAGACGCTTGCTCTCCTGAGTGGAAAGATGGTACTGCACATCAACGATTTCCTTCTCGCGCCGCAAGAATTTAATGACTTCTTGAAGACCTTCCAGGTTTGGTGCAGACGCTTCTTCGCCTTCTTCCTCATCAGGAATGTTTGCGCGGTCACGTTGCAAGGTGGATATCTGGTTGGTGATGTTCTCAAGTTGTGAGTGCAGCAAGGAGTTCTGGTGGAGGACCTCCTCGCGGCGCTTTTGTAATTCAGAAAGCTCGCCCTCATATCTGTTCTTGAGTTCCTTCCAACTTTCTTCCTTCTGAGAGAGATCGTTCTTGTAAGTCTCGGCTTGCGTTCTCATTTCGACAATGTCCAGTTTCAATTGGTTGGCTTCTGAGCGAACCACTTGGAGGTTTTTCGCGGCCTCGGCGTGTTTGAGCAATTCGCTTTCATAATTCTGCTGAGCATGTTGAGAAATCTCTGCTTGAGCCTTGAGATCCTCCTGATGGAATTGGGTGGCAGCAATGTGGCGTTCATTGTCATCCTTCAGCCTAGTAATTTCGGCTTCATAGGTAGATTTCTGCTCATCCAGGCGACGGGATGCCTCGCCTTGTTCATCACGAAGCTTCGACAGTTCACTGTTCGTGGTGGAAAGCTCAGAGGAAATTTCTTCGATACGCTTCTCGAGATCCTCGATCTTCTTGTCCTTCTCTTGAACAAGACCCTCCGTGTCCTCGCGGTACTGTTCATGGGTATCAGTGACAGACTGCAGGCGTTCCTCCGTGTCCTGGCTGATGGCCTTGTAGTCCTCAACCCGTTCCTTAGCATGCTCAAGCTCGCCCTTGGCTAACTCCAGGTCACGCTTCAACTCAGAGACTTGAATGCCCAGTTCTTGTTCCCGGGTTAGGCCGTTTTCTTGTGCGCCTTCTCCTGGGACATCTGGTTCCTCGGTGGGGGCAGCAGAAACACTTGGCTTTGTCTGCAGCACTTGGAGACGCTCCTCCGCACTCTTGAGCTCGACAGTGATTTCGTCCACTCTAGATTGCAGGTGATCTCTTGTCGTCTTGGTCGCAATTAGCTCTTCGCGAACCGATCCCAAGCTAGTCACCAAGTCGTCGATCCGTTTTTGACTTTGCTCATGTTCGTACTCTCTGCGTAATCCTGCTTTCTTTGACTCTTCAACCTCGTCGTTAAGCTTCCGCTTGGTTGATTGCAACTCAGACTCGAGAGATTCAACGCTGTGCTGGAGACGACGGCGACTTTCAGAATCAGTGTGCTCGCGTTCGTTCAAAATGGTTTGCAAATTGGCGTTGAGAGAATCAAGTCGACTGCGCTCGTTTCTCAGCGTCTCAGTGTCTTCGATGAGTCTCTTCTCGATGTTCTTCCAAAGATCCTTCTCCGCCTTCAGGTTCGCATTCTCCCTTTGAAGGCTGTCCACGAGACCCTTTGCTTCAACGAGATCTTCGGCAGCTTGCTGGGTCTTGACGTCCTGTCGGTTGGCATTTTCCAAAATAGTAGCATAGCGTTTTTGGAGTTCTGCATTTTCACTCTTAAGCATGGCGAAGTTGCTTTGGAGAAGTTCAGCTCGCTGGGTAGCGGCACCCAGCTGGCTGCTCGAGCGACTGATTTCGCTGAACAATTCACTGTTCTTCCTTGAAAGCTCATTGACCTGCTGCTTGAGGGCACCATGGTCTGTGGCAGACTCTTCGCGGAAACTATCGAAATGAGACTGCACCTTGCGCAATAGCTCAGCGTAATCGGTAGCATCCTTTGCTTGCTCCTCAGCGGCGCCCGGGGGCACTGCACCGAGAGGTAGGGACTGGGAGAAAACAGATGCATCACCAACAGTCTGGCGTCTGCGAGTGAGCATGCTTCGGAAGGTGTCACGTTCCTTCACGTAGCTCTTGGTCTGGGCCACAAGGTTAGAGATCTCATCCCGGTAGGTCTGCACCCGAATCCTCAGCTCCTTCAATTCCTCCTGCTCTTGTTGTCGAACTGCATCTTGTGCACGGGCCTCTTCGCCCTCCATCTTGTCCCCGAGTTCCCTCAACATACGGCGAAGAGTGACGTTTTGCTCTTGCAGCTCACGGAGATCTTTGAATGTTGTCAGATTCCTGCTGATGAAACGTCCTGTCGGGCTAAGATCCGTAGATGAATCATCGATTTCATCACGAGCAACCTTTTCAAGTTCGTCCCTGTCGTAACTACCTTCACCTTCCCTCAGAAGGGCAGTCTCCAAAACCAACACCTTGACCTGGGCACTGAGGTCTCTGAGCTGTTGACGCAAAATATCACCTTCACGAGCCAATCCTTCGACCTGACCTTGCCATTTCCTCGATTCCTTAGTCGCGTCATCTCGTTCCTTTCCGGCCGTCTCCAAGATGTTAGACATCTCGACAACAGCATTCTCGAGGCGGGCATGATCAGCGCGCAACTCATCGATTTCTGGTTTACTGGACTCAAGATCTTGAACCATTTCATCCAAGGTGGTCCTGAGCTCTTGGCTAGTCTTCTGTTCAGTGGCGAGTAGGGTTCGCATCTTGTCGTATTCCGTGTACATTTGGGTGAGTGTAAGGCCACCCTTAGCCCGCGAAGTTCTCGGCGAGAAAGTTCCAACAGGCGTTCCAGAGCGTACAGGGGTGGTAGGACCACCGTTCAAACCACGAGGAGCTGGGCTCATTGATCTTCTGCCAACGGTACCCTCTGATTCGAGTTGGCTAATAGTAAGTTCAAGCTCGGCGACACGGCGTTCGGCAGCTTCCTTGTCAGAATGTTCGGTCTCAATCTCGACACGAAGTCGGGAGATCTCCTCTGCCGCATCGTCCCTCGCCTTCTCCAAGGCCAATTGACATTCTTGCACCCGGTGTTTAGCTGTTTCGGCCGAGTTTCCTTGCAATTCGGCAAGTCGGTTTGCACTATCTAGTTCAATTCTAAAGGACTCGGCTGTTTGAATAGCGTCTTCCTTGACCTGGTGAATGGTTGAAAGAGATTCTTCGTAGCGCTGCTCGACTTCGTCCAGGCGACTCTTGAGAGCATTCTCGCTACGCCTCAAAGAGTCGACATTCGCACTTGCTTCCTCGTTTTGACGCTGGAGCTCGCTGATCCGCGCACTTTTCTCCTTGCGGAACTTGAGGTATTCGGCAGACTTTGTTTTCAGCTCCGTCTCAAACCACTCGTTGTTCTTCTTTGTCAAATCCAATTCCTGTTGCAGGCTTTGTTCACGGAAACGGGAGCTAGCAGATGACGAGTTTGCAGCCTGGAGGTTCTGCTCCGCGGTGGAAAGCTCCCGTCTCAATTCAATCGTCTTCTTGTGCTGGGCGGAAAGCTCTTCCGCGAGCTTGTCGTACGCACCAGTCTTAGACTCGAGCAGAGCGAGGGTGTCCCGGTTCGAAGCTTCCAATGATGATATGCGAGACTTCAAAGTGCTCACTTCCGATTCGTTCGACGTCGATGAAGATTTGAGCGTGGCGATCTCTGATTCCAGGGAAGAGCGAGCATTTTCTACAATGCGTTAGAAACAACCTACAATATTAGACAAGCAATCACAAATACCTGACTCATGTAACTTCTTTCTCGAATCCTCAACCTCTGCATGTCCCTTCTCGACCGAGCTTTTCAAGACCTTGATCTTCGAGTCGCTACTGCGGACAGCATTCTCAAGCTCTACCTCCACACGAAGCTTGTCAGACTTGAGTTCATCATAGTCTCGAGCTTTCCTGGTGATGCATTCCAACAGCTGATTGACCAGTTCAACTGTAGGAGCTTGAGTAAGCGTAGTGAGGGTCGATTCGGCAATCGAATAATGTGTAGCGAGGTAAGGCAATTCGATTGTGGCGGCAGCCATGATTGATATAGAACAACCGAGGCAAAAGGCTACTCAGCCTGCCAATCCTAACAATTGAAGGTGTTGCGCGGCAATCGTGGTAAGGGCAAAAGGTGCGGATAGGTAGCTAGCTGGTTGAACGAGTCGTCGCGCGTGACAAGCACTACTTTTTTGAGTGCACCCGACGCTTAAATGGGAGGTTTATGCCATGTCGAGGCCAAAACAAACATGTACAAAAAGTAAAAAACGAAAGGGCGAGTGAAAAGACCGAGCCCCCGTCGGCGATGAATGAGCGATGATTGACTTCAAGGGCGCGAGTTTCACTTGGGTTGCTGCGTTGCTGCTCCCAACACGGTTAGCGGCCGCGGTGCTGTCATGTGACGTGTCTGCCTTGGATCGCAGGCGTCCACAGTTTGCCTCTAAGACGATGATGATTTCACCATTTCCAGTCCTTCTCAAGCACTCGACGACTACCTTCTTTGTCCTTAGGCTGTGCCTCTAGTGAGCAGTGGCCGAATATTGACCCTGCAGTCTCGCCTTACCATTTAAATGATATATTGTGATTGGGCTTAGAGCTCTTTCCGGCTCGACCGAGGCAAGGCCTCTTGTCCTTTCTGTTCTCTACGCCCACGCCACGTTATCTCTCTTCTACCCAGTGCAGGCCTAGCCTTCGGCTCAAAACTCGCAACCATGTCGTACCTTCAGCAGCAGCTCAAGAACTTCAGTGCCAGCGTTGTCGACTCTGCGCATCGCATGCCCCAGCAAAGGCGCTTCGTGAACAACAATTCCGCAGGCAGTTCCCAAGCACCGTCCTCAGTACCCACCCCAACACCCGCAATCGATCCGAAGAAGCAACGACGCGATGCAGAGATCGTCTACTCCCAGCCGGCCAATACTGGCACGGGTAAAGATATCATGACCCAGGTCCTTTTCGCAATCGAGCACATGAAAAACAAAGGCGTTCCACTTAAATTCTCTGACATTGTTTCGTACCTGTCTCTGCAGCACCGTGCGAATGATCAGGGATATGTTCAGGCTCTACAAAGCATTCTCAAAGTACACGAAAAGGTTCAGTTTGACCCCAGCGGGGCAAATGGTGAAGGCACATTTGCTTTCCGACCGCCGCACAACATCCGCTCTGCAGAGCAGCTCCTCCAAAAGCTACAGTCGCAGCCAAATGCCGCGGGAATGAGTGTCCGTGAACTTCGCGAGGGGTGGCCGAATGTCGAGGAGACAATCAATAAGCTGGAGAAGGAAGGAAAGCTCCTTGTTACACGGAACAAGAAGGACGACCATGCCAAGATGGTCTGGGCCAATGACCCTTCGCTGATAGAGCACTTTGACGAGGAATTCCGTCTGATCTGGGAGAAGATCAAGATTCCCGAGGCCCAGGTGGTAAAAGAGGAGTTAGAAAAGGCTGGCATCACTCCTACGAACAAAAACAAGGTCGTCAAAGCACGACCAAAATTCGAGCAGAAGAAGGTCAAGAAGCCTCGCCGCAGTGGCAAGACGACCAACACTCACATGATGGGCATTTTGCGAGACTACTCCCACCTCAAGCGTTGATTTGGCTCCGATGTTGAACGCAAAATGCTGTCATCATTAGTGCCTCGTCTTGGAGGTTGACATGGTTGCTGAAGCTGGATTCTGAGACTTGCCAGTGTCCTTATTATTCATTTAAATGGTTTGCCCCTGCATTTCAATGGCGTTTTGAACACGGATCATGAACTGGAACTATCATTTACCGGTCATTTTGCATTTTATGCTGCTAATTTTCTCAGTCCTGCTTTTGCTACCTTTGTAAAAAAATATATAACCAAGACAGATACCCGAATGAATTAAATGATATAGTCAAAAAACGAAAATAGCATAAGTAGACGCCAGTTGACTTTACATCCTACGAATTCCCCAATAATCTTGAATAAGTCTAGATTTTCGAAACCCAAGATGCGATAAATAGTACCAGACCTTTTCCTGTAAATATACAAATGTCCCAGGAAGAGAAATATGAAAGATGAAGAAAAAGTCACGTCACACAATCGTGATCATGGAAGATATAGAAGAAAGAACCAATTGATCAAAAAAAGGAAAAGAAAAACGTCAACAGCTCAGCTCAGTGCTTCCCATTGGTGACTGCGACACCCTCTGTTTTTTCACGGTACGCAACAAGATCTTCAATGGTGCATACCTTGAGACCCCATTTCTTTCCAAACTTCAGGCATCCATCACGTCTCATCATTCCGTTACTCCCACGGATCTCCGCAACACCATCGACGGTCTCGCCGTCTTCCACCAACTCCGCAATCACACCTGCCGGAGACTTGCCAGCCAAGCGACAGAAGTCAACTGCTGCCTCTGTGTGTCCTGTTCTCTCAAGCACACCACCAGCCTTTGCCTGCAAAGGAATGATGTGGCCCGGTCTCCGGAAGTCATCAACTTGGGCAGTTGGAGAGGCGAGTGTTCGGCATGCGAGCGAGCGATCCTGTGCTGAGATACCAGTTGTAACGGATGGGTCGCTCGAGTCGATGGAAACTGTGTAGGCAGTTCCCTTGGGATCGGCGTTCGCGGCCACCATTTGAGGCAAGCTCAGGCGGCTGGCGATTTCGGGCGTAATAGGGGCGCAAATGAGGCCACTATTTCAAGAGAACAGTACATATTAGCATCCAGAGCAAGCAATATAATCCCACCCGTAAGCCAATTTCATGTAATTGCGCCTCAAAACTTGCGCGAAAGGAAATGGATTCACCAACCTCGTATAGCGGACCAAGAAGGCCATCTGGGCATCTGTGATGGATTCGGCAGCGATGATGAGATCGCCCTCATTTTCACGATCTTGCGAGTCAAGGACAATGATAAATTCGCCATTCTCTGTGTTGAATTGGTGTCATTAGCATCGTGGATAACGTGGCGGAGCTGGGGGGCCGCAATGGCGGGGTTATGTAGAAGTGCACAATGTGAATAGATCAAGGTAAACCAAAACAGGAGGACTCACTGAATGCTTCAATTGTGTCTTCGATCGAGTCGAATTTGAGAACAGGCTCGGGAGAAGAAGGCATCTTGGGCAAGTAGAGATACTCTGAGACGGTTCTGTTTGAGAACTGAAAGTTGAAGCGGGGCAGAGAGGAAGATGTCGTTACGGGGTAGACTGCGTGGATGGAGGTCGACTACAGGTAGACAAAGATAAAACAAGATCCTCGTTATATGACAAGCTTGTAGTATTGATAGTGTATTGTTGCAAAGACGTAAGGCTGTTTTCAGCTTGATGCGCAATAATGGTGCGGAGGTTCGGAGAAGAGCGGCAGGTCGGGGATTCGGGATAGAAGGAAATGCGTGCCGTGTCTAGCAAGGAAAAAGAACGATTCAATTCAATTGACAGAAGTGGGAATTGCGAAGCTCAAATAGATGCCAGAAGAACGCGAAGGAAGGCAAGAAAGTCAGCTCACTAATCCTTTTGTCAGAACAGCCCCAGGCCCCAGAACCGCCGGTTGACTCAAACGGAGGCATCTCGGTACCCGCGTCGAGTAACCCGTATGCCGTAATTCTATCGCAGGACCAAAACCCCACGTCAGTTGATGATATACATATTTCTCAGATGGATCATGCATGAGGATAATTAATTTGGATCTACATACCCCTGGGGGCATGATGGCTGTCGTCGATATGACAGGCTGGGTGGGATGGTCGGCAGTGCGACAGCCCATCTCATCTAATGGGAACCGAATACAGTGGGATGGAACCCGTAACACGATTGGAATCCCACAGCAGAAACACGGGATCCGAAGCGGTTTAAAATTAATTATCGTTATCTAGAGTGCTGCAGGCGATCGTCACGAAAGATCTCTCGCTGTGTGTCGAATGTCGCTTGTCATCCTGCAAATGCTTAGTATGCTCGGCTGAATAGCTTCAAATCCAGCATCGTTTCACGTCTTGCAGATCATTTAGATTCAGCATAGCTTGGCGGTTTAGCATGGGATTCATACTAATTGCACCCCACTCTATATCACGGCCCCTGGAAGTGGGTGAGATTTAGCAATCTGCATCCTGCAACAGCTTATCATTGCTTACGGGCTGTCAGGCTGTCGGGCTGTAACTCGGGCTGTTTCGCCTTCTGTTTCTCCTGCTATCTTTGTATCTTACAGATTATTCTTTTGGTCCAAAGCCGTGGCAGTGTTTTTTGTTTGAAGAAATAATCTTATAATTCTTTTCTGTAGTAGATAACTGTCAATCGCAGTGTCGAATATGTAGTATCTCAGATATCACGTAGATGTGCCGGAATTTCTCTATGTCGAGCTGGTGATAAGCCAGTCTATGCAAATATTCGTCACAATCCAAACCACCTATTATGTCTATAAACCTCACACGCTTTTGAAAGCCAAGAAACCAACTCCTAGAACCCAAAAAAGATATGTCGGTGGGCCGGCGACAAAAGGCCCATAAGACTGTCGGAAACACAGTTCAAGATCACGATAATCCAAATCCTCTTGTCCATCGTACTTCATCCGCCTGTCTTTCGAGCACTCTTCGCATCATATCGGTATATTCGCGTTCCTTTCGCCGCTCTTCTCGCTTCCGCTGCCGCATCTCTTCGCATGCATCACTGTCAAGCTCTCCGTCAATGGACATGTCATCTTCTTCAACTTCATCCGCTGGTCGGGTATGCCCTGAGAACTTCAAACGACCTATGCGCTCACCGGTCCATATGAGCAGCTCATTCCCGGTGAGATTTCCGCCAGTGGGAAGGACTTTCCGAGCAACCTCGCTGTTTTCCTGTGAGCGAGACAAGCTACGCCATAACCCGGTTGAGCCATAATCATCATTTGACTGTGAATTTCGATTGCTCCCAGTATCCGTTTCATGGGTATTGATGTTCCAGCGACGAACTTCTGTTCGTCCATCCCGTTCAACCCATTTGATGTTACCCTCGGCATCGGAATATACGAGGCGGGTTCCATGCGATCCAACCGACAGCAACTTGGAACTAGCAGCGCTTTGACGATTTTTATAAGCGCTATATAGACTGGATGACGAATCCGACGGGCTCTTTTTACAGCCATAGGCAGGTGAAGTGAGACTGTAAACCTCCAACGAGCCTCTGCCATTGTATTCACCACAAGCCGCGACGGAGTGCGAATCCGACCACGTAGACTCGGAGAATACGGGGAATCGTGGAGCAGGGACAGGCGCAAGGCCACATAGTCGGCTGCCTGCATGCACTGTATTTTGTAACCGGGGGAAGTATCGGCGGTCGTAGCACAGGATACTTGGGAAACGGCCAGCAAGAAGAATCGTGTTCACATGTGGAGCTGGAGGATGTAGAAGAGCTAGAGGGCCAGGCTGGAACAAAGGGGCGTAGTTAGCACCTTTCTCTGAGGGTTCTGGGCTTCTTATGCGTTGAGGAGGGAGGCCATTGGGTTGAAGTTGTAGGATGGGCGAGTCGGGGTGAGTAAAAAGCCGTGAGTCAGAAGCGAATGGCGAGGCGGCTGCCTTCTCACAGCGAAGGCTAATAGCTTCCTCTTCCTCTGACACTGATAGTCTGGAGTCGTATATATGTAGACTTAGTGTTGTCGCTAGTGTTAAAGGCACTGAATAGTCTGTTTCCTGAGACAAGGCAAAAACGGACCAAGGATAACGCTGTTGTGAAACAACCCTGAGCGTTTCCAAGTCAACCTCATTCAAAGCATTTCCAACGGCCAGGAAAGCTCGTTGGCGAAGCGAGTCCACGCTCACACATTCCCCCAGGTTGATGAAATCTAACGCTGCTTTGGAGGTGGAATTTTCCCTCCTCCGAGACAGATCCGCCGTCAGAATTCCCGGAGCACTAATCCCAAGAACCTTACCTTTGGTAGCTTGTGAAGCAGCATAGTGGGAGTGGTTGAGATCCCAAATGCAAACACTACCATCGTTCAGAGGAGCAACAACCTTATTCTGTCTTGCGGAGCTCCAGTCCTTGAGTAGCCCCATGCCCTTGACTTCGTGAGCATTTCTCTTGCTGCTTTGGGGTCCTCTAGAGAAAGGCCGCTGTAACCAGTCAAATGATATTGGCCCATGCCGGGCTATGTACTCTGAATACCAATCAACTTCCTCGCCCTCGTATGACGGATCCCACGCGGCGGCCCCTCGCGACCTTTCACCCAGCGACGATACTGGGAGCTGATCCTCATCATACTCATCCTCATCTTGATGTGTATGACTCGGTTGGATCAGAGAGATCAACGATGCTTGGCCCAATGAGCTGAGAGATGTTGTGGCTGCGGAATTCAGTCCAATTTGACTGCCCAAAGCCTTCGCAATGGGACGGTGGGCTTCGGAGGCGATCCATGTTTCTTCATAGCAATGAAGCCTCCAAAGGATATTATCACGAGCGAGAGCAAATAACCGTTTTGAGACGGATTGAAGCTGCACCTGCTCACGCGGGGTGAGATCTAATCAAATCATATGGTGGACCGTCAGCTCTGGTGTTGGGCAGTAACAGTTAGATAAGAGTGTGGGGTAATTTGATCTCTGCAAAACACGAATGAACTTCAGACACACGGGGATGACAGTCACGGCGGCTTACAGTCGATGATCTTGGAGAATATTTCTACGGGGAGCTGTTCCATGACTGCGCCCCGTTAAAAAACGGCATCGAGGGCACCAGAGAGTAATAATCTAGAGAATGGCAGAGGGGCAGCGATTGTTCCATCTTTGTTGTCGCCCGCGATCCAAGCAGAGATCTGACGTCACGTGGATCCCCGGGATTCTGCAGATCTTCTCGCTTCTCCAACATTCGACCTGTAACTATTCAGCAATCCATCGATTGTGTCTGATCTGCACTGACGAAGTGCTAGTTTATGGCCTTTGAAATGATTCTCTATATAAGATGGCCATCACAGATCACTGCCCCGGTCATCCTACTCGCAGTGTGGCTATGCACTCTACCTTAGATCACCAGCTATCCAGATCACACAATGGCAATGCTGCACTAATACGCCTAATGAACTCCTATCAGTGAAGTCGAATTCATCTGCACACTTATAAAATCAACAAAATTTCACTGCCAGTCTATTTCTGATAAAGAAGAACTTTTTTGTAGCCAGCTGTTCTCGATATATATCTATGCCCGACTGACTAACTGCACGAATAATAGCTTCAAAAGCATGCATTTACCAATGCTACTCTGTCATCTCGCTGAAACTTCCTCTAAAGGCACAAAGTGGAGAATGGCTTTGAGGCTTTACCTTTAGAGTTGAGAATAACCGAGCCTTCGATAGGAGTCAACCGCACGAATCGTCTATCCTTCCTCCAAAGGTGAAATCGGAAAAGAGTTACAGATAAGCGTTGCCTTTAGAGGAGATTGTCCGTCGATCCCGTGCTTCAACCCTTCATTGCTTCCGTATTCCCGCTTGCGTTCTATCTTGGCAATCGCTACATGTGCCGCTAAAGGAATTTGCTTCCTGATCGTGTTGGGTGGTGATGTCAGGCATCATGGAATTCGAGTTATCCCTGCAATTGGGAGATCCTTGGGGAGATTCTAAAGGGTATTTAAAGGCGCCATCCAGACATCAACTTTTGAGATTTCCAATCATTTACACTTCTGTTTCTGAACAACCTTCTCAATTAAAACAACATCTTATATCAATCCATCCAGGATATCCACGCAATCATGCATCCCTTTGACCCTCTGACACCCAGGGAAATCACCAAGGTAAAGTCCTTGCCTTGTGACAAACGACTATTACTGATAAAATGATGGTAAACAGGTCGCGGCCATCACCCGCCCTCTATTCCCGGGAAAGAATCCAAATTTTCGTGTCATTACCCTGAAGGAGCCTCTGAAAGAGGAGATGGTCCACTTCTTGGATCAGGAACATCGCGGGCTGCCTGTTACCACACGTCCTGCTCGCATCGCTCGAGTCCAGGTTGTCATCCGTGATGATTTCGGATCAAACCAGTTAATCGAGTTGTTCATTGATCTTGACAAAGCGGAAGTGACCAAGCAGCAACACCTCGTGGGAAAACATTCCTTTATCGATTCCGAGTATATGAAGGCTGTTGAGAAAGCTTGCATGGCAGATGAGCGAGTTCAGAAAGAAATACAGACGCTCAATTTACCTCCCAATGCTTCTGTCGTTGTCGAAGCTTGGGCATATGCTACGGATGGGATGAATGACATGTCACAGCGCACATCAATGGTAAATATGCGTTTTCTACAGCAGTAGACTGTTGCTAAAGATATTACTAGTGCTGGTTTTATATGCGTCTCCTCGACAACCCGGATGCCAATTACTACGCTTACCCATTGGATCTATGTGCTGAAGTGTCGGAGCAGCTTCAGGTTACCAAAATTTACCGGCTGCCATCGTCTGAGAATGAGCGTGTCCACAATAACTCGCAACCCTTTGATCACAACAAAATCCATTCAACCATGGCTAGCGAATATCATCCCAGTTTGCGGCCACCACCGCGCGCAACCACAAAGCCTTACCAAGTGGTGCAGCCGGAAGGTCCGTCGTTCAAAACGCACGGCAATCTACTCACATGGGAGAAGTGGCAGATGAGAGTTGGATTCAATTACAGAGAAGGCCTCACTCTCCATGACATTCGTTACGACGACCGTAGCCTCTTCTACCGTCTCTCTCTTGCTGAAATGTTTGTACCTTACGGCGACCCCCGTTCCCCGTATCCTCGCAAAGGTGCCTTCGACCTGGGCAACGACGGCGCGGGAATCAATGCGAATAATCTGCGCCTTGGATGTGATTGCCTAGGCGTGATTAATTATTTTGACGGCTGGCACAATACCAGCTCTGGGGAACCCATGAAACTACCCAACGTTGTCTGCTGTCATGAGCAGGACGACGGGATTTTATGGAAACACACCAATTTCCGGACCCAGAATGCGGTAGTCACACGTTCCCGTATCTTGGTCCTACAAACTATCATCACCGTCAGTAACTATGAGTACATATTTGCATTCCATTTCGGCCAGGATGCATCGATCCACTACGAGGTTCGCGCAACAGGGATTCTATCAACCTGCCCTATTAACATTGGCGACAAAGTACCCTATGGCACTATTGTAGCACCAGGTGTGCTAGCCCCATATCACCAACATCTATTCAGCCTCCGCATTGATCCCTCCATTGACGGCCACGCCAACTCTCTGCAAGTCGAAGAGTCCAACCCCATGCCTCTTAACGACCCAACCACCCACAATCCTTTTGGGGTGGGCTATACAACAAGCTCAACCATAGTCCAGAACGAAGGCGGACATGATCTCGACTTCACCAAAAGCCGACGCTTCAAGATCATCAACGAGCAGAAAATAAACCCCATCACTGGCACGCCGGTAGGGTTTATGCTTAATCCGTGCTATAGCCAGATGCTCCTGGCCCATCCAGAGTCTTTCCACTCGAAGCGATCCGAATTCAGTAATCACGCTGTTTGGGTTACTCGTTATGATGACGAGGAGATTTTCCCTGCGGGTAGACATACGATGCAGTCTACAGGTGGCGAGGGGATCGCTTCGGGGATTGAGCAGCGTCGTAATGATGACACTGCCAAAACCTCGGTCCGTAATGAGGATATTGTAATCTGGCATACCTTTGGATCAACGCATAACCCGCGCATTGAGGACTGGCCCGTTATGCCGTCTGAAAAGATGGTCGTTGGTCTAAAGCCTGTTAACTTCTTCGCTGCCAACCCTGGTCTGGATGTTGCGGTTTCGACACAAGAGGAGAATCAAAGTGTTCTGGTCGAAGGTGGAAAGGATGAAACATGCTGCAAATTGTAGTAATCTTTCTGTTGCAATTTGAGTACAAGATATCATTGAGCTAGATGTCCAATACAAACAAAATGACCTTCCCAAGTTTTTGATTTCCTTTCCCAAGTCTTCCCATCATAAAAGTGCATTAATCATACATTAAGAATGAAGTAAAAAAGCGATCTAGAGTGTGTAAAAGCAAATTAAGAATGTTAGTCCGAAACCCTCAGTTGTCAGGTTTGTAAACGGCGTCCTTGCATAGAACGGCGACTTTCTTGAAGAAACGTCGCCATTCGAGGGGATCGCCCTTGGTTTTCATGAATTCAATTTCGAATAAGCCCTCGGCGACACATTCGATTAAGGCTTTGCCTTGTAGTGTGCACCCTCTGCCATCTTGAGTGAGGACTCGGATCATGGCCGATGTGTCTCCTGCCGAAACAGCTGGGACAGCTGGCACGGGCACCCCGAGTCGGTGCAAAGCTTCAGATATGAGAGGAACCAGTATCTTAAGCTCCCAGGTAGAAAAGAAACGTGTCATGGGGCGGGATGGTACGATATCGTGGAATCGCTGGGCCTTCTGTGTCCGACTCAATGGCACGGCAGGTGTATGGGAGAATTGAGACATGGAAGGTTCGTCTTCTAGTTGGTCTGCCAGCAGCAAGGGATCTTGGGAAAAGTAAGGCTTGGTTGCCGGTTGAGTTGATGAATAAACGTCAGTCAGGTGAGGCGTGTCCCAGTCGACCAACAAGTCAGCCCTTGGCATCTCAGGTTGTGTAGACGAAAGTCTACAATCAAAGCAGTCGTCGTCGACATCCATATCCATTCGGGTTGGGCCCATGCTGCCGCGCCTTACACGCCGGGCGAGAGGGTCCTGCGTAAAATCAATATGAAGAGACTCAAACATGGTCGTTGCCAAATTGATGGGGTCTCTCAGGTTGCCGTCTGGAGATAGGTATTTGTTCTGTCGGGTATACCATGGGTGCCTTCGGACATCTTCCAAGGAAAATCGATTGCTGGGGTCAACGTTCAACATGCCTCTTAGTAGTGATAGAGTTGCTGTCGGTAGCGTCTTCCATAATTCATCGCTGGTTCGCCCTTTTGTAGTTAAATATTCGTTAAACTCGCAACTGTTCTCCGTCGGGCTATCCCACGGCGTATTGCCAGCGAGCAAGACAAAGAGAACGATTCCGCAAGACCAGATGTCCACCAGATCTGGTCGATAGCCCATACCCTTGATCTGGCCTCGGGTACTGCACGAGATGACCTCTGGTGCGATATATGGAGGACTACCACAGAACGTGGTGGAAAGTTTCGTGACCCCCTTGTACTCGAACAAGGTCGCCAGACCAAAATCGGCAATCTTCAAATTCCCGTCGGCTGTCAAGAGGATGTTCTCGGGCTTGATATCACGATGTCCCACGCCTTTCGAATGCATGTACCCAACGGCACTCACAAGCTGTGAGAAGTATACATGCGCGATATCCTCACCCACACCCTCGTCGGATTCGATTTTGTCGAAGAGATCGCCACCCTCGGCCAGCTCCATTGCGACCCATCGCCAAGTAGCATCCTCCCCTGTTTGGAAGAAACCGATTATATTATTATGATCCCCAATGTGCTTATGGACCGTGACTTCCATCTGTAATTGGCGAGTGCTGATCTTGCCTTGTCGACTGGCATACTCTTTATGGATGAATTTGACGGCGAAGACGGGATTATTCGTGTGCAACGGGCAGGCCTTTTTGATGCTGTTTGGGAAATGCCAGTCAGAATCATCCTTGAAATTCATCATACACCATGGGAAATCCAATGCGACAAACATACCACGCATAGGCACCCTGTCCGATCGTCTTTGACACGATGCGGAAGGGTAGGTCATTGGGAAGCGGGGCGAGCTGAGAGTGCTGCATCGTGGGAGGGAAGTGATTGTGGATGAATTCGGAGAAAACTGGTCAAGCCTCAAATAGACCGAACGTGTGTCTGTAGTCAATAAAGTCTGCTGTCCATGATGATTCTGATTCTGCTGAGGTTGTTGGACGACAAAGCAAGGGTCGACGACTCAAAGAAAGCGAGAGGCGAAGGAACGCGCATCGCCGGCACGCGAGCCACTTTATCCTCTTTGGGTAATGTGTTGATGCTGCCTGGAGGCAAAACATCGCCATGAAGTGGATTTATAAGAGATCTTCATCGTGAATTATCAATCAAGCACCTAGGTGTATATTGTATACTTTGTATAAAATATAAGGACACTGGATGACCGGCTATTTAAAGAGTGCGTACATAGTACATGTACGGACCTAATGCCAGTCATCCCAAGACCCGCAACCACACTGCAACAAAGCTCTTTATTGGACATTCAGCATCTCGATAGACTGACAATAATAGTGCCAATCGGACATTTAATTCCAAAATAAGAGTATCTTGGAGATGATCTATCAGAAGGCCCGTTTAGACTCCAGAGTGTCCTCAACCACGTCCCAACACGAGCACTGAAGCATCTCTGAGTACTGCACACCAAACACCAACACCAAAAACCCATCCAACATCATCCATACCCAGGATATTCCAACATCCAACAAGTTTCCAAGTCAGGCAGTGCCGGATCAGGCGGGGTTGTTGTGATCGTTGCCGGGGGCCGTCGCTGGTGGAGTAAACAAAAAGAAACAAATCCATCTGTAAACCCACGTTTCGACCTTTTTTTTCTCTCTCTCTCTCTCTCTCTCTCTCTCTCTCTCTCTGTTCCTCCCTCCTATAACCATCTCACCCCTTTCTGCCCTTCTAACAGACCAAGAATCTGCATCTCACCTTCAGCTTCACCTTCTCATCCCTCGTTCTTCTGGTTCCGATTCTCCGGGGTTCCCTTTTTTGTGGGTCAGTCCGCCATTCCAGCCAACAGCTTGCTCTGCTTCCGTCGTCATTCCAGACAGCAACCCTTCTGCTGGCATTCCTCACGGCCGGGAAAGATCATTTCCTTTTTGGTAATTTGTGGCTTCTCATAAGAAATTCGATTCCTGGATTCTTCAAGAATAGCCAGTATGGATTTCAGCATGGAAGATACTCAGAACGCTGCGCCCGATGCGCACGAGACGTCCAAGCTGGGCTCATCTGCCCAGCGAAATGACACCCAGAGCGTGACCAAACGGTTGGTGCCCCCTACAACACAAAGGAGCCAAAGGCTTCCTTCTAATAATTTCAATCGAGTCTTGTTGCTGACACTTCTTTGTTACAGTCTCCAAGCGGAGCTGATGCAGCTTATGCTTTCCCCCTCGCCCGGTATCTCGGCCTTCCCCAACGCAGACGGCAACCTTCTTTCTTGGACAGCAACGATCACCGGCCCTACCGAGACGCCTTACGAAGGCCTCACTTTTAAGCTCTCGTTCGCCTTCCCTAACAACTACCCTTACACGGCCCCTACCGTTCTATTCAAGACGCCCATCTACCACCCCAACGTTGACTTCTCCGGTCGTATTTGCCTGGACATTCTGAAGGACAAGTGGAGTGCGGTTTACAACGTGCAGAGCGTCCTGCTCAGTCTGCAGAGCTTGCTGGGAGAGCCTAACAAGTAAGGAGTCCTCGGTTTTTTTTTTTTTTTTTTTTTTGGTAGAGTCTCCATGATGCTAACAATCGGATAGTGCAAGCCCTCTCAACGCCCAGGCCGCCGAACTCTGGGACACCGACCAGGAAGAATATAAGCGTCTTGTTCTGGCAAGACACTGTGACGTCGAGGACATTGAATAAAGCTATAATGATTTGAGGACTGTTGCATGGCGTTGAAGAGAACAAAGCCAAACTCTCTTGGACATCGTCATCCCGGGCGTTTGTCCTGCATTCTGGTTCCGGACATGGGTACAAATGCATATCGGATACATTGGTTCTGGAGTTTGCGCGTTGGGTCTTTCTTTTGTTATTATTTTGGGCCACGAAATCAAGTACAGAAGTCGTGGCCCGGGGAATACCCAGCTTCTTTTTGTTGATTTTTCTATCTTTAATTCAAGTCTTATCCATAAGTATTTAATGATCATCTCTGGGCCACCAAGACTTAATTAGGTTATCTTACGACGCATGCACGGCTTGTTTCGCTTCACACAATTCCAAGCTGAATAGCTTGGATTATGTCTGGATAATATCCAGATAGTTTTGCTTGTAATTGAAAGAGTATGTGTCAACTCATAATAAAAACACAAAATTGCCATATCATATCACGACAAAAAAAAAAAAAAAACGCTCAAACACCATTGAACCCATGCACAATACACAACCCAAGACCATGCCGACCAAGGGTTAAATTTGAATTGTTGCCAAGTCATCTCGACCAGACAAATCATGAACTCGAGATATACTGTTTTTCATCGGTAATCAGGAGTCCCGCAATAGTAGCACTGGTGAACGTGCTAAGAGCTCCCGTAAGCATAGCACTCACAGCGACGCGAGAAACGTCACCGCCACGACCCGGTGACAGCTGTGTCAAGACACCGATTTGGGTACCTAGGGAGCCAATGTTGGCGAAACCGCACAGGGCGTAGGTGACGATAAGTCTTGAGCGGTCTGAGAGGTCGGCGTAGTCTGCCCCATTTTGGAGATCGTTGTAGGCCACGAATTCATTCTGGAGGGGTTATGTTAGCTGTTTGCTGATGGGTATTCTTGGTTTAGGGCAAACTTACAGAGACAAGTTTTAAGCCGATAAGTTGGGCAACCTTCAAGATATCGCCGTCTCGGGATACGCCCAGAAGGAAAGCAATCGGGTAGCAGATGTATCCCACGACCAATTGAATGGTCAGGGGCGGGTCGTTGATGTTCAGGAAATGACCCCACCAGGTAAGCAAACCGTTGACGAGACCAATGAGGGAGATGATACAGAAGATTGCACCGCTGATCATGCCCGCGATCTTGATACCGAGCCATGTCCCATTGGCGAAAGCGTGCAAGGCATTGGCAGCCTTGTGTTCCTCATCATCAGGAATAACGACACGACCCGCTGTCAAGGTCTCTTCTTCCTCGGGCCATCTGAGTTTAGACGCTGCCAGAGAGGCCGGGATACTCATCACGCAGGCCGAAACCATGGCTTGTGGGTTGACGCCCATGCCAAGGTATGCGATAAGTACACTTCCTGAGATGGTGGCAAAACCGGAGCACATAATCTGGTGAATCTCAGCCAGGGTTAGATGGGCGACAAATGGTTTGATGAGCATTGCGGATTCTCCTTGTCCGATGAACGGAGAGGCGGCAGCCACGACAGCCTCGGCGCCAGAGACACGCATACTCCAGAAGAAAAAGGTGGCGAACTTGACAGTCGCCCATTGAAGGATACCGAAGTAATAGAGAAGCTGAACCAGGGAGACGAAGAAGATGATTGCGGGAATCACACTGATGAGGAACCACGAGCTATGACTCGAAGCAAACCCATCTTCTGTCAAGAAGTCAACACCGTCGGTTGCGAAGCCCAGGAGATCTTCAGCTAAGCCGGAAATGAAATTGAAGATGTCGTAACCAGTTGTAGTTCGCAGAACGAATAATGCGATGATGAACTGTGCCAGCATTCCGGTAATGACAGTGTGCCAATTAATCTTCTTGCGGTTCCTCGAGGTAGCCCATAGTGCAAACATAATGACGAACAGACCAAAGACGCTTACGGCACGGTTCTCCCGGCTATTGTCTCCAGACTCTGGGGATGCAAATGACCCGATAATGATCACAGAGACGGCCAACAAGCCAGCACTGGGAACCCTCAATTTTTCTGGTATAACGCGGACGAAAGGCCGGGCTGTGTGATCCCAAACCCAGTACAGGGGCTTAGTGACGATCGAAACCGGGACATAGAAGAAGAGGATTCGCAGTGTGATCGCGAGGTAAACCAGAAATGGGATGAGCCAACCCAAATCATACCGATGATAGATGAGACCCGTAATCCACCAGCTAAGGATTGAGAAGACCATATGAGCATCCGACCAGGAAAAGTAATCTCACCACCAAGACCATGGACACACAGGGTGCGAGAACGCTATCAACTCACCCGGTGAATAGGATCCAAATTGCCGCATGAACCACATGCCTCCAGTGCCTGGTATAACGACGACAGCGAGATTTCCAGGATGACTGAGGATAGTTTTCACCCGTTCCCTCCACGTCTTTATCACTCTGGCTATTTCCACTGTGATCCAGAGGGCTGGGTTCTGGGATGCCGTTCTTCTCGAACGTCACATCTTTGGCGTAGACCACATCGTCCTCGTGGCCTTGTTCCGCAAAGGCTGTATGATGGTGATGGGCGTGGTGATGTTGGTTTTCCGGCAACAAAGCAGGATCTGCGCTGTGTGGTGTTTCATCATGAGTTGAGGGTGTGGTCGTGGTCACCTTGACCTCGCTATCAGGGACAGTCTTCCCTATCTCCATTGATTTATCGCCTGCCATTTTTGACCTCTTCGTGCAAGAGCTTCAATGAAAAAGCTCCGATCTTCCCAATTGTTTGAAAAACAGTCCCCTTATCTCTTGAAATTCGATTTTTGGATTTCTGGACCTATCACACTGGCACCAATTTGAAATTGGAGAAGGTTCAATATGATGGCAAGCCTTGCAGAAAGAGGATAGCCACAACTTATAATAAATCGGAGATATCCGTAAGATCGAAAATTGAAAGTCACCTGTTCAGCTCAGGCCGTCTAGGATCATTGCTGCGCATTCCTCGGGCTATTGGAGTTTGGTTAAAAGAGAAAAAAAAAAGTCGAGGACGGTGCGGGGAGAAAGAAGAGAGTGAAGATAACAGGCTAAATTTTTATCTAGATAGCTACGATAGTAGGGGAGCAAAGCCCTACTCGTCCTTTCATGCGTTAATTAATTATCAGCCACTCAGATACACCATCTGTCACCATAGGTTCTTTTCTTCTGAGGCTTTTTCTTTCATTTTTTAATTTTTTAATTTTTTATTCTTTTTTGCCTCTGCGGATTTTGCAGCAGCGATAAGACTACCTAGGTAGTACCACTATCGCAGCACTAGACATTAAGCACCGTTTCTGCCTGCCAATCACCATCGCCGGTTCCTCATCCAACTCCATCGCAGACCCTCAATGTGGATCTCGGCGAGTGTTCTGAATGGGAAGGTCTCCGCATCTAAAGGCCAGGCATTGCGGTGTTGCCGTCTGGTGTCGTGTGCTCCGTGAGGGGTTGTGCTGTTGATAGTTACTTGATATAGGCAGTATCCGGTAAGATATGTAGATACCGACATATTATTAAAATATACTCAAGATACGCATTGATAGAATCCATCAGGACACCGGGAAAGTTTTGTCCACGTTGTGTGCCGATAAGCTAATTCGTTATGGGTTGAGTCTCGATCTCATGCCTGAGTTATAGCAGTCTGTACCCTCTTCATCTATTTGATTGGAATATCCGCATTCCTGTCTAAACCCCATGAAATCGTCAAGAATGTGGCAGATGTCATGCCATGCAGTGCGACATTAGTTTTGTCTAGTCTCTCTGTTAATTCTTTTTCTGTTTCTCTTCTTTGCCTATCTCTTCCTCAATCAGATATTCCTTCAAATTCTCTCGAGTGGATTCGAAGTGTTAGTGACCCGCACACCAAGCCCGTGGTATACGCACCGGAAACACGTTTTTCGGCCAAAAGCCGAGTTTCATGGTGAAAAAAGACCAGAGAAAAAAAATTTAATGAAACAAAGAAGCAAATGAAGAAAAATACACGGAGGACAAAGGGCTTGGATTTTCTTGTGGCAAAAGTCGGTGTTCCCGTCCAATTGCTGTGCTGTCAGCAGTTCATGCAGATGGGCATTTGGACGAGTGACCCTGTTTGCGGGCGTTAGGGTCACATTCGGATTCTCGACTGATGTCTTGGATATTTTGTGAATGACCTTGACTTATTCTTGGTAGTAGAACTTGGCGAGTTGTTATCCAGAAAATACCATTAGTAAATATAGGCTGAGAGTAGGATAATTGAAGCCGTGAATATGACCTTAATGCTGATAAAGTTCGGGGTCTGCGATGGTTGGCGACCACGGGAAAAGTGGACTGCCTGAGCTTCTGAACGCAAGCGGGGAACTGGAACTGCCCCTCTCCCGTCGTAATGTCCGCCGTTGCTGATCTTTATAACAGCAACAACAGTTTCACCAACTAGTTGTCAGCGCTATCATCTTTGGTTATTTGATCTCCATCATGGGAACCGACGACCTTGATTGGGAGCTGGAAGAAGGCGTTCCTCAGGTCGAGGATCCCTTCATCCAGCAGTACCTGAAGGGACGGAATTCCCTGATTCTGGAAGAACAGAAACAACGTCATGGTCAGATACTCATGATGTGGATTATGTGCCAGACTAATGCTTACCCCAGATTTTAATCTTCGAAAATCCTTGTCCCCGACAGCTGCCAAAGCATGTGAAATTGTATCCAAGATCCGCGCCCGCGAGCTAAAGGAAGTATGGACCAAAGGCATGAACGAGTCGGCGGCCCATCAATCCGATGAGATCCTCTATCCGGGTGTCATGTTCAATCTCGCCAAAGGTCGGATGGAGCATACCGATCTTTGGAAGATAGTGCAAAAGATGCCAAAGGGTTCTCTGCTGCATGCTCATATGGATGCCATGTTCGAAATCGACTTTTTAATAGAGCAGGCGTTCTCCACGCCTGGAATTCATATGCTGGCATCAAGGCCATTAATTACCCCAAAGGACTATGACGAGGCACCGATCATGTTTCAATATTCGTCTCGTCCACGGGAGGAGCCAGACAACGAGACTACCATGTGGACGGCTACCTATGTGCCCTCCACATTGATCAATATTCACAAAGCAGCTTCCTCATTCCCGGGTAAAGGAGAAGCTGGTTTCCGTGACTGGCTAAAAAGCCGATGTATTCTCACACCAGACCATTCATACAATCATCATCATGGTGTTGATGCGATCTGGGGTATCTTCCAGCGCACCTTTCCCATAATAAATTCACTTCTTAACTACGAGCCCATCCTGCGCTCGTGCTTGCAACACATGTTTAAACAACTTGCCGCAGATGGCGTGAGATATGTGGATTTCAGAATCGCCTTTGTCTTCCAGTACAGGCGTGAGGGGCATGAAACCCCCGAGGAAGGCTACGTTGAGTGGTGTCGAGTATTTAAGGATGAACTCAAGCGTTTCAAAGCCACGGAGGAAGGAAAGGATTTCTACGGGGCACGAATCATCTGGACGACAATTCGCAGACTGTCAAACAGGGATATTACTGAAAGCATGAAGCAATGTATCGCGGTTAAGCAAGCCCTCCCCGATGTGATCTGCGGGTTTGATGTGGTCGGGCAGGAGGACCAGGGGAGATCACTCTCCGACCTCGTCCCTGTTCTGTTTTGGTTCCGGAAACGCTGTGTTGAGGAAGAAGTTGAGATACCCTTCTTTTTCCACGCTGGAGAGTGCCTTGGCGACGGCGACGAGACAGATCACAACCTATTCGACGCGATCCTAATGGGAACTCGGAGAATAGGACATGGGTTTTCACTCTACAAACACCCCCTGCTCATTGAGCTAGTCAAACAAAAAAGAATCCTCGTCGAGTGCTGTCCCATCTCGAATGAGATTCTCAGACTCGCGAGCTCCATCAAGGCTCATCCCCTTCCTGCTCTTTTATCCCGCGGTGTATCCGTGTCACTCTGCAACGACGACCCAGCCATTCTTGGCCATGGCCAAAACGGATTGACGCACGATTTCTGGCAATCCGTCCAGGGATTGGAAAATATGGGTCTATCGGGCCTCGCCATGATGGTCGAGAATTCGATCCGATGGAGTTGTTACGAAGATCAATCGACCGCAGAATGGCAAGCCGACATTTCGGATGGAATCCTGGGCGATGGGCTGAAAGCTGCACGGTTGCGAGAGTGGTATGCGGACTTTGAAAAATTCTGCGAGTGGGTTGTTCAGGAGTTTGCAGAGGCGGAATTCGATGACTGAGCTGTTGTTATTTTGCATAGCGGTTGCATCATCGACAATGGGTGATAGGCGAATGGATACCCAGAACATAATGATGCTGAGACGCTGAGCAGTAGAAGATAAATCAAACTATATAAAAAAGATAAAAGGGAGGCATAAAAAAGGACCCAGAGAGCGGATCACTTCCCTTTATCTTGGGAGACATTATAGCTTCATTATGCTTCATTATTGAGAATTACCAACATAGCTCGTGGCCGCCAATATAAACCCTGCCGTTTTTGCTGGACCGCTTTCTGACTGGTGACACTTGTTGTGTAGCTTTTTTAGCCCCATGAGCAGCTCTAGAACCATTATTTTGTTACCGCACTGTACACTTCAACGACTCTAACGAGAAGCAGCCTTGCATCGTGTGAGTTGTCGTGGTGTGATTTGGGTATTCCGTTGCTCCGCCTGACTATTGCGGTTGATCGCCGCTATCTAGCGCTCTCCGATTCCGAACGTCATCCATAACTGGGAGTTGATCAACCCTCCGCAATCCTGCCTGTCCCTTGAGGGACCAGTCCCAGCGCAGCAAGGCATATCACCCATCCCAGCAGGCATCAAAATCCATTTCTCTTCTTATTATTATGTTCCTATTCCGATGACATTGCGGATTTAGTTGAGCCCCCGGTCGGCTCTTATCGCCCCTCCAAGATGGCTTACTTCTTGCCTTCGTTCTTTCAGAAGCGGCTGCTCCGATATGCCTTGTCCCGCCTGGAGCTCGTCGACACTGAGGCTCTGGACCTCGACAGTTTGGGAATCCGTTGGGGACAGCGGAGTACCGTTGAACTAAGGGATATTGGTTTGAGAATAGAGGTGAGTGTGTGAAGCCTGCTGGTCCTGTTGGCAATCCACCACTTTAGCACCCGCCCCCAAATCATCGGAATCGCCTGCTAACACGATTATCATCAATAGAAACTAGCCACACTTCTCCATCTTCCTCCGTCAAGCCAGTTGCTCAGTGCCAGGGTTCGGTTCTTGAAAATCACCGTTCCGGCCGATATCTACAGTAGCGGCATTATTTGCGAGGCCAGCGGCATCGACGTACACTTGAGACTTCCTTCGGAGGACACAAACCAGGATGGAAAGCCAGCAGGCCTGGGAATTCACCCGTCAGGGGCTCATGGTTCCAGTGGTGATCAAATCCTCCCTACGCCGAACGATCTGGCCCAGTCGTTCCTCCAAGCCGAGCCGAAAGAAGAAAAGGACGAACTGCAGGCTGCTATATCATCACGGTCGCAAGTCCTACACCGCAGCGGTACATCATCCAGTGATGATGAAGAGGAATACGGACTTGGAGACGAAAGCATGTCGTTACCCAGTTTCGTCGCTGGGTTTTTGAAGGGCATTGCGGAGCGCCTCCAAGTAAAGGTCAACAACATCTCCATACGGGTAGATATGGAAGTGAAGCAAGATGGAACATCAAAGCGACAACCAGAGGACAAGCCAGATCTAATCTCAGGGTTGTTGACTGTTCGGGAAGTGAGTGTGGACGCTGTGTCCAACTCTACTCGTCCTGGTGAAGTTCCACCCCATAGAGAAGGGAAGCGACTGATTTCGCTCTCTGATATCAATCTGGCTTTGGTTTCTGACCCAGTAGTGTTTTCGAACTATTCTCGTTTCGTTACCCCTCAATCTCCGTCGACTACCATGCAGTCAAAGGGGAGTCAACCTCCCAGCAGAGCGTCATCACCCCCACCTTTGGATTCTCCCCAGTCGAACTCCGTCCTAGCTATGACGCGGTCAACTATTTTCGGACCACCTCGAGACACTGCGGGCTCGCAAGATCCTGAAGATGCCGAATATCCCAAAGAGTCTGAATATCCGGAATACCCTGAACGTCCTGAAGACCCCGAAGAGCTTGAAGAATCACGGCATGAGCTACAACATCATGAAGTTCCAGAGATGGAAGCGTCCAACTATACCGGTCGGTTCTCAGACGCAGACACGGATGCGGAGAATAGAAGTGAAGGGTATCTTGAAGATTCGCGAGCCTTTTTCGATGATGATAAAATATTAGACAATCCAGAATATCTCGATTCTGTCATTGAGTCACATATCGATGATGTTGAGCATTCTGGAATGCTTCCGCCCCAAGAATACCCTCATACGAGTCATCACAACTCTCCACATCAGAGTCCAAACTTTCATGCGGCTAGAAATGCAACCAATGATCGTGATACCGGAGACTCGGGAATTCTCCGGAGTGGTGACGGGAGTGGTCAAGAATCAGACACTCGGACTTCCCAGCATAGTAGCCAGGCCACACTTGAAGCAGACCACCACACACTTTTCACTCGGACAGAGTCACCTAAGCCATTTCCCGAAGCAGCTGACTCCCCTCTTGCTAAGAGTGCAGAAATCCGGCCTCTGTCTCGTACCTCCAGTCCTCCATCCGAAGCCGGTAGTACAAGCTCGCACTCCGAATCTTCTAACGAAGACCTCTCCGAATCCAAAATGTTCTCCAACGAGGAGGCGCAAAGCATGTATATGAGTGCTATCAGCCAGGGCTCGTCTAGAGGTTTCATGCCTAACATCCCAGGGGCCTGGGATTCACCAGAGTCTACGCATGTTTTTAGAAATGACAGCTTCCAAGATAATTATGCAAGTGCGACATACCATAGCCAAGCTGGACACACGGACGATGACAATGATGAGACGACAATATCTACACCAAAACTTACAGCTCAAACAGGGCCTCATATTACACAGGAACACAATCTCGACGAATCACCGTCGACTGGTAGGGACCGCAGTCAAACTCCACCGCCGCTGAATAAAATCATAGAGGTTTCAAAGAAGTTTTTCAGCGTTGACAAAATTCAGATATGGCTTCCTCCCATCGATAGCGGTGGGTCCAGGGATACAGCTCAATCAGCAAGCAGTGGCATGAAAGAGTCAACAGCGAATTTACAAGAGTCAATGATTGGGGAAGATCTCCTTGCTTCCAAAACCTCTGCTTCTACGCGGTTTCGCGGTGATTCAATTGATTCGTCGGTTTACCCTGAAAACCTTGGGCAGAGGCACCCACGCCACCCAGAGAAGGACAATCATCACGACTTCAAGAACGAGCATCGTGACATCGGTATCGAGATCCACTCGGCGGAACTCCATCTTGATATTGCTACTGGCTGGCTTCTCACTAAGATAGGTCAGAGACTGCTTGATGCTTTCGGCGATAGTGGCGAAGAGCCTCTCAAGAAAAGCCATCCGTTGAAAGAAACACAGGGCCGACAGGCCTTCAGTCTTGCTCTGGACAAGTTTTCTATAAAATTTGTCGAGCATATCCCAGGACACGCTTATCCTGCCGAAAACTCTCAAATCCACCCATCGCCCTCCTTCCGTTCGTTCCTCGAAGATGTTCTCCTGCATATCACACTGTCTGGCTTGAATAGCAATTTCGCGGCAGAGAATGGCATTACAAAACTCCGCCTCGATGTTTCCAAATTTGTGCTAGGCTTTGCCTCGGAAGACCTGCTCTCATTTGATGAGGGCTTGAAGATGCGAGAATCAACTCGAGATATCTTGTCGCCTACACATGGGGATATTTCTGTTTCCTTGACCAAGTCAACGGACTCTGCCAGGGTCAACTTTACAACACTCCCTCTCCAAATCAATTTTAATATCCAACGCCTCGAGGAAGTTGTTGGTTGGATCGGTGGTTTGAGCACTATCCTGGAACTTGGAAGCTCTATTTCATCCGTTTCAACCGCGAAAGGGGCAAAGAAAGATCCACCCAAACGACCCCGTGGCGTGCATTTCGAGGCTGCACCTCCGCCCGCGGCCGCAACCCAAAATGACTCAGTGATGTGGAAAGTCAACGCTCGGCTTGGTGGCATTGTGTTGGATGTTCTTGGGGAAACCCATTGTCTGAAATTGAGAACAACAGCTGTCAAAGTCGTCAGCAGATTCGAAGGTGTTGGTGTCCAGATTGACAAAGCGAAATTAAGCGGTCCTTTCCCCCTCGACGATGACCAAGACACGCCTGCCAAGATTACTTTGAGCAATATCAGAGTTGAGTTTCTTTTTACGCCCAAGGAGGTTGATCTAGACCGTTTATTATCACTCATCACGCCATCCAAGGACAAATATGATGAAGATGATGACATCATGCTGGACACACTTTTCCGACAGCGGAGACAAGGCTCGGTCCTTCGCGTCACTGTCGCGGGAATGAAGACTGTCGTATCACATATCGGTGGTTTGGAGCCTCTTTCGCAGCTCGGGAATGAACTGGGCAGGTTATCAAATGTCACCAAGTACTTACCTGAAGATGACCGTCCAGGGATTTTGACCTTGACCTTGATCAGAGAATTTGACTGTCACGTTCATGTTGGAGGGAAGATCGGGGACATCTCAACACACATTACAAACGCTGAAGCGGCTTATATCCCCATTCCTTCTCTTATTGCTGCTCAAATTGGAACAGTGTCGGCTACCAGAAACGACGATGAGGAGCTTCTTGGTGAAGTTTTACCTGCGAGCAGGATGCAAAGCCCAGGTCAAGTACACCTTCCAATGTTGATGACTCGCTTCATTGCCGATGAGATGGATCCTACTATTAAAATCAAGCTTTATAATCTTCGCGTGGAGTACTCAATCCCTTCGGTAATTGCATTCCTTGGATTGAGCGAGGACATGTCACGCGGAGATATGGCATCAAACATGGCCAAGTCCCTGGCCAATCTCGCCGATCTGCAGGATTCCGAACATGAAGAACCTCAGATGTCTGAGCGGTCATCCGAGCACCCTGAGAGCCCTAAAGCGCCTGTGAAGCCTACAAAACTGGCATTGATCATGCGAGACTGCGTCATCGGACTTAATCCCCGCAATACACCGGCAAAGGGTCTGGTGGTTCTCACCAGTGCCAAATTCTCCGGTGCTATCCATAGCCATGAGTCCTCCGAGGCGACATTAGACCTTAGGAAAGCATCGATTATGATCATTGATGACGTGCAAAATGTGGGACTTGCGGATAATGTACACCCGCTTAAATCTTCCGTGGCCCAGAGCAACCAAGTGCAGACCCTTATCGACTTGGGATATGTTCCTGTCTCGTCGATATCATCAGCGACAGCGATAGTCAAACTAATGCAGCTGAATGATGATGGAACAAAATCGGTTGATGTGGAACTGAGAGATGATCTGCTGATTCTCGAGACGTGCGCGGACTCAACGCAAACTCTCATCAATATTCTGAATGGGCTTCAGCCTCCCACTCCTCCAAGCCCAACACTCAAGTATCGAACTGAAGTCATGCCACTACAAGACATGCTAGCATCATTCTCTGGCGATGCATTTTCTGCCGATCAGACGCCTCATCCAGAAAGCTCCCCCGAATCACCATCTGCATCCGGACAAACTTATTCTGGAGAAGGGCCTATAGATGACGAGCTAGAATATGTAAGCGATTTTTATACGCCGAGACAGGTTTCTGGTCACGAGGCCCCAACCGGGAATATGGACAGTCCGTCTTCAGATTCGAACGACCTTCTTGACAGTTTCCATTCACAATATCACGTTTCCTCCAGTTTCTCCGAGTTTGACTTCCGTGATGATCATTTTGCGAAACAGTCAGCAGTCGGTGGCACGGCACACAGGTGGGATTCTACTCAAAACACATATGGACTCTCAAACGACCATAAGTTGCAGAGAAGCCCTTTGCGGATAAGGGTTCGAGATGCCCATGTAATATGGAACTTGTTTGATGGCTACGACTGGCAACGAACCAGGGACACAATTTCTAAGGCCGTCAAGGAGGTTGAGAAGAAGGCTACAGAACGGCGTGCCAGGACTGGCAGTCGAGCATCTCCAGGTGTTGAAGATGAGGAGGAATCCGTCATTGGAGACTGCCTCTTCAACTCGATCTACATTGGCATTCCCGCTCATAAGGATCCACGAGAACTCCGCAACGATATAAATCGCAACATTGATGATCTTGTCAGCGAAACGGGAAGCTATGCAACCACAACCACGGTGACCGGGGCCACGCCACGCCAGGGTCAATCGCCATCTTATAGAGGAAAGAGGCTGCGCCTGTCCCGTAGCAAGTATCATAAAATGACCTTTGAACTGAAAGGCATTTGTGCGGACTTTGTTGTTTTCCCACCTGACTCGGGGGAAACGCAAAGCTCACTGGATGTACGAGTGAACGACTTGGAAATATTCGACCACGTGCCGACTTCAACGTGGAAGAAGTTTGCTACGTATATGCATGAAATGGGCGAAAAGGAAAGCGGAACTAGCATGGTCCATTTGGAAGTGCTCACCGTGAGGCCTGTGCCTGACCTAGCTGCGTCTGAGATTGTTCTGAAGGTATGCTATCTAGATTTCCAGCGAGTACTATACTGACATTTTGTAAGGCAACTCTTCTTCCTCTCAGATTGCATGTCGACCAAGATGCCCTTGACTTTATATGCCGTTTCTTTGAGTTCCGAGATGAATCTGCTCCTGCCGCTGCCCCAAGCGCTCCAGGCGAGGCACCATTCCTGCAGAGAGTGGAAATCAACGCCGTGCCGGTCAAGCTTGACTTCAAGCCCAAACGAGTAGACTACGCAGGCCTTCAGTCCGGTCGCACGACGGAGTTTATGAACTTTTTTGTGCTAGACGGGGCGGACATGGTCATGCGACATGTCATAATTTATGGAGTTTCTGGATTCGATAAGCTTGGCAACACACTCAACGATATCTGGATGCCTGACATCAAGAGGAACCAGCTGCCTGGGGTCCTGGCAGGCCTAGCCCCCATACGGTCTTTGGTAAACGTTGGTGGGGGAGTGAAAGACCTCGTGGTTGTCCCGATGCGAGAATACCAAAAGGATGGCCGAATTGTCCGAAGTATTCAAAAGGGCGCGCTCGCATTTGCCAAAACAACCTCGAACGAGCTTGTCAAACTGGGTGCCAAACTCGCTATTGGCACTCAGACGGTGCTGCAAGGCGCCGAGGACCTGCTTACGACGCCGAGTGCACAGCTGGTGGGTCCCGAGGAAGACTCGATAGATGAAGAGGAGGCGAAAAAGATATCCTTGTACGCCGACCAGCCAGTGGGTGTGGTGCAAGGGCTTCGGGGTGCATTCACTGGACTGGAGCGCGACTTGCTCCTGGCTCGGGATGCCATCGTGGCAGTCCCTGGAGAGGTAGTCGAGAGTGGGAGTGCAAAGGCTGCGGCCAGGGCTGTGTGGAAACGCGCGCCGACAGTTGTACTTCGCCCCGCGATTGGAGTATCCAAGGCCGTGGGCAAGACGCTGTTGGGAGCGGGCAATACATTGGATCCGAGCAATCGACGAAAGATGGAAGATGTAAGTTCCGGCTTTCTATCTTTGGTTCTTCCTTACTGACTTAGCTGTTTCAGAAATATAAACGTCATTAGATATCGATTGATGATGTTGCTTGGAATCTACCAGTGGCTTTCCCGGGCAGCCAGGGTTGTTTTTATACTTTGCGAGCGAGTTATTTAGGTATTGCTGGTGGTCTATCTTGTTTTTTTTTTCTCTTTTCCCCCTTTTCTCTTTTTCTTGTTCATTTCTATATCAAGTGGGTTACAGAATGCCACGAGGTACATACATAACCTACCGCAAGAACATTGGCTTGGATTGGCTTATGATGACGATGATGACGAATGATATGTGAACACTTTATTCTCCCTTTTCCGTGCATAAATTGGTGTTTGGACTTGAGGAGTTTTTTGTTTTGGTATTTAGTATATTGAGGATTGTTATACGTTTGCAGCAAACAGAATGAGATGACGGACAGTGCTGTGTGGACGATAGGGATGCTTTACATAGCCTTAATGAACATGTTGAGTGATCTCAGTCGTACTACTTGATAACTCGTTTGGATACAGCCTCAAGTCACGCTGGCAGGCAGTGCACTGGAATTTGCCACCAGCGAGCGTGTGACAACAAAGGCGTTTGAATGAAACAAAAGCATCAAGGCCGCACCTGAGTAAGGTAAGGCTGATCTGATCCGACCGGGGCCGTCGGAATGAAAAGAGTGAAATCATCATGAGATCCTAAGGAATGCATGTCTCTGCCCCCTTTTTTTGAATCTATTTTTTGGCATGTCAAAGATGGTGTACCGAGAGAAGGGCGTAAAAAAAGCATCCCGCCACAGTCAGCCTCACGTCGTTCAAGACTGGGATTAAACCAGCGATCTTCGTTAGTCTTCCTAGTCTTCCATCAGCGTCATCGAATCACTTGCATGTTTCAGAAATGTCGATGGAGGATCGGGAACAAGGAGGCGAGCGAATGAGACTGGAATGCCGCCGTGTCAGGGCCTTGGATTGCGTAGAAGGCGAGATTTGAAACGGGATGAAGAAGATGAAGATGGAGGGGGGTTCCTTGCAGAGTCCTCGATCACCTGGGATGGTGGATGACCTTTTCCGGCTTTTTTTTTTAAACATTTTTCCCCCGTCCAGCTGCTTCTGGGCTGGTATTGGGCCACGTTGGATGTGACTCCCAGGCTGTTTTGGGCGTTGAGATGTGATGAGATGCTGGAGTCAGCCGAGGGGCGGAAGAAAGGATGCTGATTGGCTGTGGAGGGAGAAAAGATGAGAAAGTGACAGCGAAACGACTGCAGACAGACTGAACTGGCAGATGGGAAAAAATGGAAGCTGTATTTATCTCGATGGGCTGGCGATGCTCAAGTCCAGCCCTTTTTTTTTTTTTTTTTTTACTTTGCTGTTTGCCTTCTTTTCTTTCTCTCTTTTTCTTCTCTCTTCCTGGTCACTCTCTTCTGCAAGAAGATGGGTTCTGTCTTCACACACAACTCTCGTTGAATAATTATCTCTCTACATTAATTAATCCATCTATCTTCTTTTTCTTTTGATCTTCTCTTCCCTCTAGACCAGTCTGCATTTCATCCTTTACCTGTCTCTATTCAAGGGACGTTAATATGTCGGATCTGTTGATCCATCACATTTGACCGCAACGCGCATTGCTCTAATGCTATTTCTCTCCACCATTCCCACTTTTCCCTCATTACTGCTGCTGTTCTGCGATCTACTGCACGGAATACGGAGGCCTCTGTAATTCCAGTATATCTTCATTGTGTTTGTGTTGGTTTGATTGTTCTGAATTCATGAGCTCAGGATAGCTCAATGCGATCACGACAAAGAAAAAAGACACCCTTTTGACATCGAGCAACGAGACCTGTCTTTCGTTTCATTCTACTTGGTTTACTCCCTCATTGACTTCTTTATCTTGACGTGCTGGAAACAAGCAAGAAACTGCGATGGATTCCAAAACTCACTCCTGCACCGAAACCCCGATCAATATCTGGCCAAATGCCTACCACTTGGAACACTCTCCTCTGGACTATCCAGAACCTCTTCAGCTTCATGGCGACAAGATCATGACACCGACATCCCAGCAACCTCTATCCCTAGCTGCAGATGCAGCTTCAGGCAGACCATTTCATGCAGGGTCCCTCTCTCTGCACGACTACCGCAAGTGTCTGTCCCAAGACGACGAGTCCATCTTTTATCACGGCGGAAAGACTCTGAAACGAAAGAATGGCGCTGTGAATCTCCAACAGGACCAGACGTCATCGTGTCTGTATCCGGTTTCCGTGTCCTCTTCTATATCAAATCCCCCGCCTCTCTCACCATCGTACTCGCTCAGCGTCATGTCGCAGCGGAGTGAGCAGGAGCTGGAAGGGCTGGATGGTTTTCTTCGTAAGTACAACTTGCCAGTCAGAATGAATAGGGTTCGCAGTATTGTGTCTAACGGTGATGTCTCTTTCAGTCTCGTCATCGGGTCCGACTGATATACGTACCCCGATTGCTACCCTAGTAAGCTAATTGATGAATTGGATCATCTTCTGCGACTAACAGACCACAGAATACTTTCCGCGATAGACTTGGAACCCCCCCATTTGAACCCTCATTCCCTAGCCACAACAAAACCCGGTCCGATTCGGTCCTCTTCGACCTGAAGCAGTCCAAAACAACCATGTGCCATCAAGGGGCACTGTTCGAAATCCTGAATCCCCGAGAATCATTGAAACTCGCCCGAATTGTCTCTTATATCGAAGACGTAGACTGTGCATCCTTTGATTCTACCGACAACCATCGAAACTCGCGCTTCTCAGCTACCACCGCCACTACGGTGCTATTTGATGACCCAGACTCACCAATTATCCAATTGGATGGGCTGGCAGATATCCCTGCCCAGGACGTATACCTCGATGAACTTGACGAAACCAACCCATTAGAATCCACCAAAACCAACGAAGTTCAACAAAAAGCCCATCTAGACCTAGTCGGTGATCTACCATACAACCCCATCCCGTCCATCTCCGAACGACTACAACCAACCACCACCACCCAAAACCCAAACCCACACACTACATCCCCCATCTACGCAAACTTCCACCCCACCCCACCGTTACGATTCGAACACGAAGATGACGACGAAAACATTGATGACAACAACGACGATGAAATAGGCGAACCAGGCCATCCTATCCACGAAGAGAACGACATCACCAGACAGTGGGAGCACGATCTAGCGTGTCTCGGACTAACCGAGCTCTGGCATGAATATGGACAGACGATGACAACCACGCCAGATGCCCAAACACCCGTTAAACATATTTCTCTCTCTGCTCAGAAAAAGATACAGAGAGGGGGTAGTGGTTCTTCTTCTCAGCCGTTGAGACGGTTACGAGGGTTGGCGAGTTCTTTGCGAAAGGGACGGTTTTGTTTTCAGCGAAAGGGGTGATGGAGTAGATTGATTTGATGATTTATGTTGGTTTCTGGTTTTGGTTTGCGTGTTGCACATGCTGCATTTTGATTTTGATTTTTATTTCTGGGTTTTGGCTATTTTGAGTTTGCATTTTCATTTTCATTTCAATTCTTAGGGCTTGATGTCCTTGTACCTGTTTATATAGAATTTTCTCTCTTGGGTACTTGTTATTGATTATCATGGATATAGGAATCGCCTCTGACGGAGTTTGGAATCAGGGATCAAAATGAGAATGAGTGAAAGCCGAAATCATACAATACAAATTGGGTATCTATCTAACTTTACATACATGCAATGGTTACAACGAAACTAGTTACCAGGCCAAGCCGGTAATAACAAAGAAAGAAAAAAGAATAAAGAATAAAAAACACATGCTTATGCTAAATCCCTCAACAATTCTTCTCCACCATCGACGCCAAAGCCGCACTCACAAGACTCTTCCGCCTCAATCCCTGCTCACTCTTCTTGCGCAGATCACGGCCAGAGGTCGGATAATAGTTCTTCTCGATCCTATGCGAAGAAGACGAATGAGACGACGGCAAGGCACCCGAGCTACTCTTCCTGCGCGCCATTCTCGACTCGGACGCCCCGATGACGCCACCGCCCTTGGCCCGGCTGCGGTTGAGCGTGACGGCCCGTCTCCGCGGGGATAGTTGCGGAGGCAGAGAGCTGGGGTGGCAGTCGTCTTCGCGGAAGGGGTCGGAGGGGTCAGAGGCTTCTTCGCTGGAGAGGAGGGCTCGACGGATGGCTTCGATGTCTGTGGGGCTGCATTGGAGGCGGGACATGCGTTGGCGCTGGGTGCGGATGTCCTGGTCTCGGTCTGCTGCTGTTGGAGCGGGGGAATCGAGGGAAGCAAAGTCCGCGGGGACAGAGGTTGGGCTTAGGAAGGGCGATTGAGGGAGAGACGAGAGAGAGGGCGAAGTGAGGGACGACGAATCACAACCTTCGTCGTCGTGGTCTGTGTCGGGGGGAGTGAGGAAGTAGCCCGGGAAGCGAGCGGAGGCGGTAGGCGAAGGCGACGAGGCATCGTCTGGGATGTTTTGATTGATATTTGTGTTGATATTTTCTGGATTGCGAAGGGTGTGTTCATGCAATTTCTTGGTGAGGGTGGCAATTGAGAGACGTTTCTGGTCGTATGGAAACGGGACGGAGGTGGGGGGTTGCGGCGAACGAAAGTACAAAGATCGCGGACGAGACAGAGTCCGAGGCAATCGGGGATGATGGTGAGAAGATGGAGGAGACGGACAGCGCGAGGACATGGGCGAGATCATGGAACTATCACCGTCGACCATGAGGCGATCATCTCCATCGAAGGCCAGGCGGGGTGGTCTGGTCGACGACGGAGAGGAGAAGGAGAAGTCCTCGAACATGGTGATGGATTGATTCTTTTTCAGATAGATGGATCGACAGGTCTCCTGGTTAGGAAGAGTGCCGTTGACAATTGAAGAATCTGTGAGTCTATTTCCTTTAGACTGATCTGGAGTTCTCGAACTGGAGATGGAGGGCTGATTTAATAGACGCAGACCACCAGAACTTGAAGACGCGAGAAAGAAAGAGTGAAGAAAAAAAGAACGCGTCTAACAAAGTTTTTTTTATAAAAGAGCGGAACACAGTGGCTAAAAAGAAATTAATGAAAGAAAAAAAAAAATCCACAAAGTCTGGGGCGATGAAGAGAAGTGAACCCTGGGGCAGATCGAAATGGTTGTATTGAATTCGCCGGTGGAGTCGAAAATTGACAGATGCCGGAGTGGAAGACCAAAGAAGAAGAACTCCTGGAGACGCAAACGCTTCTTTGTTCTCCTTTTTCTTCCTTTTTTTTTTGCTTTGTTTATTTCGTTCGTTTAATTACTGAATGACCCCCTTTTCATTTCTTTTCTTCGTATATTATTTCTTCTTTTTCTTCCCCAGGGAGGAGCCAGTGTGATAACCGTGCACTCTTGAGGATTTCCATCAGGGGAACCGAGGATGGGCCGAACTGAGTCAGCGTTACGCCACGGAGACTACAAATGAGGATGGAATGAGTTGGGATATATTTAATCTGAATCTGAGATGGAGATGAGGATATTATGAAGTATCGAAATGTCTAGGATTCGTGTATCTCGATGTCTGTGGTGTAGTAGTGTAGACCAAGACCGCAAATGAAGGACGGCACAACGGAGCCAGAAAAATCTTCAAAATCGCCACATCAGATCGAATCGGCTCGGATGCCGTTTGGGGAATTCAATTCCAGCTCGATAGGATTCGATTATTAGGCACAATTAGACGAACAGAGTGGATGAGGCTATTCCAGTTTGTCCGGAAAAGCCGTTGACAAAGTCCTTGTGATAGATCCACCCCGGTTGATTAATATTGCCCATCCGTTGTGCCTAGAACTGTCGATGCATAATTTGGGCGATCTGTATTTGGCTACTTCCATCTTATTATTTTCTTACGCGTTGTCCATCATTATTTTATTTCATATTGATTCATATTATTTCATATGGGATCCATCATCTAAGAAGCAAAGCTGTATCCAGCGTTATCCCCCTACAACTAACTTCGAGTACATACAAAACTACACCACAACTACTATCCTCATACCCTCATTACTCTATCTAGTCCATCTCTCCATCATTTCTTTCATCAAAGTCCTTCGTACTCTGTACTTCGTAAAGTAATTTCTGTAGAAATAATAATACTCCATAACCCCAAGAATTGGAGAAGTTGTAGATAACTGGTGTCACGTCGGAGTCATCGGCCCTACTCCGATTTCCCCCGCATCAAATGCCAGAATGCCTTCACCTTCGCTCTTCTTTATCTCCCTTCATCTTCCGGCCATCTCTCTCTCGGCCATCACGTTTCATCCTCAACAGCCATGGCATCTATCCTGAAAAAGCCCTTGAAGCTGGCCTTGGTGCAGCTTGCATCAGGTACGTCCGTTCTATCCATCGCTCTTATCGTCATCGACTGACTCTTCCCCTCAGGTGCCGACAAGGCTGCCAACCTCACTCACGCCCGGGGCAAGGTCCTCGAGGCTGCAAAGGCGGGCGCAAAGCTCATTGTCCTTCCTGAATGCTTCAACTCTCCCTACGGCACCCAATACTTCCCCAAATACGCCGAGACCCTTCTCCCTTCGCCCCCAACCAAAGACCAGTCCCCCTCATTCCACGCCCTGTCTGCCATTGCTGCAGAGGCCAAGGCATACCTGGTGGGAGGAAGTATTCCCGAGCTGGAGCCCGCGACAAACAAATACTACAATACCTCGCTGGTTTTTTCGCCGACAGGCTCGCTCATCGGCACCCACCGCAAAACCCACCTGTTCGATATCGACATCCCCGGCAAGATCACCTTCAAGGAAAGCGAGGTCCTCTCCCCCGGTAACCAGTTGACCATTATCGATCTTCCGGAATACGGCAAGATCGGTGTGTCCATCTGCTACGATGTTCGATTCCCCGAGTCGGCCATGATCGCTGCCCGCAAAGGCGCTTTCCTGCTGGTCTACCCCGGTGCCTTCAACTTGACCACCGGCCCCCTGCATTGGGGCTTGCTGGGTCGTGCCCGCGCTGTGGATAACCAGGTGTATGTGGCCCTGTGCAGCCCAGCGCGCGATGTGGATGCATCCTACCAAGCCTATGGTCACAGTCAGGTCGCCGATCCCATGGCCAATGTCCTCACCGAGGCTGCTGAAAAGGAGGAGATTGTCTATGCCGATTTGGACAACGAGACGATCGAGAACACGCGGAAAGGAATTCCGATCTACACTCAGCGACGGTTCGACTTGTACACTGATGTGAGCGCCGACCAGAGCCAGACATGATAAAATTTACAGTAGACTTCATAGCGATAGACATGATTAATGTGAAATGTCTTTATTGACTTAATCGTTTTTTCTCATTTTTCCCCTTGCTTAAATAGCATGGCAGCAACCATCTAAATGACGGAGTAGTAAATGGGGTAACTCACGTGACCATCCAGCCAATCAGAACCCCCGCCCGATAAGCGAGCCACACTGGGAATTTCGACCACCAAAAAAACGAACACCAAAAACTTCTCGACGTTCGACCACTTCAGCAGCCAACGACAACCGTCAACCCCATTCAGTCAGTTACCAGCTCTATTATTGTCTTCTTTGTTGGTATCATCATCTTTTGCTAACAGCAGTTTTTTTTTTTTCTGCAGAGATGTCCACCACCGTCAACACCGGCAAGAAGACCCGCTCGGCCATCGCCGATGTGGTGTCGCGCGAGTACACCATCAACCTGCACAAGAGAGTACGTTGAAAAAAGATGGACCCCTGAAAATATATACACATATCCTACGATCCTGCGGAAAACTCTTGCGGAAAGGAAAGAAATTTTCGACATGGAGGCAATGGACGGAGAACACACAATACACAAGGCAAATTTGTGGGAAAATCAGGGCAAATGCAAGAAATTTGCCAGGAAAGATGATGGAAGCATATACATGGGCAATGGCGTATATTGAAAAATATATATAACATTGCTCAATGGCATGCAGACACCACTACCACATACAACCTCCAAGAAAAAGAAGAATTAGTTTTATGAAGTCCACCTCTATGGCCGCAATCGCAGATTCACACTCTCTCAATCATGGCATTTGGGCGGAAGACTAATTTCTACTTTTTTTCTCCCTCTCAATAGATGCACGGTGTTACCTTCAAGAAGCGCGCTCCCCGTGCTATCAAGGAGATCCGTGCCTTCACTGAGCAGGCTATGGTAAGTTCTTCTTCTCTCCTCTTTTACCCTCTGGGGTATATCCTCGATCTCTAACCGTTTCATGAAAAGGGCACCAAGGACGTCCGCGTCGACCCCCAGCTCAACAAGAAGGTCTGGGAAGCCGGTATCAAGGGTGTCCCCTTCCGCCTCCGTGTCCGCATCTCGCGTAAGCGTAACGACGAGGAGGGCGCTAAGGAGAGACTCTACTCTCTCGTCCAGGCCGTCAACGTCAAGGACGCCAAGGGTCTCCACACCGCCGTTGTTGAGGAATAAATGGGTTCATCCATCCGTTTGAAAAATTGAATGGTGGGGGTTTCTCGTCGGGGTCATCTTAAAAACAAATTTAAAAATTTTTCATGAAATTTTTTTTCCCTTGCAGTCCAATATGGATTGTCGATGAAGACTCGCCCAAGAGAGTACACTTGAAGCAAAAAGCCAAAAAGTTCTAAAATCAATTATACCCTGCCCTGGTTCTTTGGGGGATGGCGTTGCCCGGATTTTTTCAAGTCTTGTCCTTGTCCACATCGTGTAGGAATTCGAGTAGCGAGAATCTGAACTGAAAGAATTTGCTTCTACACCATATCCAACTACCATTTTACATAAAACTTTATCTCTACCGCCAGCACTCCGCAGTTAACAAAAGAAACTCGTTGATTGAAATGGTACTGCAAAAGTGATAGAATGATACTTGTAACAAAATAGAAGATATAATAAGTAGTTCCATTAAGGCTCAAAAGAAATCCCACAACGCTATGCTAATTTGCGCCTTTCTTGTTTCTGCAGACACTTATTGAATGAATGCCCTTTTGATCACATCATGCCGCAATCGACTCGAATCGCAAAATGCAGGATACTTACTTACAATGTGTCTGAGGTGTAAAACAACGGAATATGATGAAAAAAGGAGAAAGAAAAAATCGAACGAGAAAACCACTTTGAACTCACCAAAATCGGGATGTCAATCTCGAGCGTGGGTAGGCAGAGAGAAGTCACTAAGACACGGCCCAAAAAATAAAAATAAAGATAAATAAAACAAGGAAAATGCACCAGCAGATCATGAAAATAATGTTTGAACAGTCAGAAATACAAGGAAGGAAGAGAACAATGCTTGGGGCCGGTCGAAAGTGGCAAAATTGCGTCAAAAGTGTATAAATGAAACAAGTCAAAGCAGATGCTTTTAGGTCTGTCTTCGTTAGAAAGAAACAGAAGAAACATAATACATCACCAGATGGTAAGTCGAAAAAAAGAAGCCCATGTGAGAAAAAAAATATATCAAGTGCACAACGCCTATTCGTAAAAGAGGCATCCTCGTGTCTAAGCCTTGGTTTCTTCCATCTTCGAGGCCAAGGTTTCAGTCTCCTCCTTCTTGACCCTAATGGCCCACGATTCCGGAGGTCCCTCGGGTTGAGGCACGAGGAATTGAACACTGTTTCCAGAAGCCTTGTACGTGATCGCCTTCATCAAAGCTGCGTTCAGAACAATGTTTCCACTGGGATCGGCTCGAAGAAGAATACGAGCACGAGAAGTCTCGCGGTTCTTCAGAATCTTGAGGAATCCAACACCCTTGCTCTCCCAACCGGCGCCGGCCTTGAGCTGAAGACCACGGGCACGAGACTCAAACACAACGTCTTCGTCCTCTTCGCCTGCTCCACCCCGGGCAAGGTCGACCTGGGGTAGGGCTTCGACAGCATCACCGTCCGAAGACCCGTTTGCTCCCGTATCAGAAGCTCCTGGGGTCGATGTGCCGCTAGGAGTAGCAGAAGTGAGGGTCGAAGGAGCCAAAACAGATGGTGCTTGCTGGCTTGGTCCACCAAAAGAAAATCCCAAAGGCTTCTGGGAACTAGAATCAGAAAGCTTTGACCCTGCAGGCGCTCCAAACAAGGTGGAGAACGGCTTCGATGAATCAGACGCTGGGGTCGTCGACCCAGAGTTTTCCTTCGATGCAGACGCAGAGTCCGCTGCAAATTTGATGGGGGAGTTCATCTTCCAAGTGTTGTCACTGCCCGGCTTGGCACCAAAGATAGACCCAGTACTAGAGCCCGAGGTTGCTGGAGCAGGAGTAGCAAAGAGGCCACCGGTATTCAGAGAGGATCCAAAGACATTGGAGCCACTGCCTTGGTCCGACGAGGGTTTGCTAGGAGAAGCAAATAGGGTCGGCGTCGCGGGTCCTGGTAGTTTCGAGGCGCCAAGAAGGCCACCGAATGGGTTCTTCTTTTCCTCCGTTGGAGTAGCTACACGATCAAACAGACTACGTCCCTCTGACGCCGGTGCAGGGGTGGCTGAGTCCTCGCTCGTAGTCTTATCCGAAGTGGTCTGCTTGGACTTTGCCAGAGCCTTGTTGAGATCACCGTCATCGTTGCTCTCGCTGGCCGAAACACCCTTCGACTCTGATTCACTTGCCTCGTCGCCAGCGTCATCCGTTTCATCCGCGTCGTTTTCTTCAACTTCAGACGGAGTAGCTGACAAGTGACCGAAAATGTTGCTGGACTTGGCAGATGATTTGCTCTTTGTATCGAAGACCGAGGCGCCAGCAGCGGAGGCTGAAGGACCGTTGGGAACAACGGCATCCTCTGCCTTCTTAGGCTCAGGGGTCTTCTCACTGTCTTCATCCTCAAAGACAAAGCCTTTTCCGGGAACAAACTTGGGAGGCTTCTTGGAACGAGACTCCATTTCTTCCCGCTTCTTCCGCTGTTCCTCTGCATCCCTGCGCTCCCATTCAGCCTCGTCTTCCTCTTCGGAATCAAAGTCCTCTGCCTTTCGCTTCTCCTTCTCCTTCTCAGCGTTCTTATCAGCTTGCGATTTGAATTGCGCAAGGAAGTCGACTGGACCTCCAGAGGCACCACCAAACTTCGGTATTTGGAATGCTGAAGCAGATGTAGAATCCGAGGTCGTAGTCGCCGCAGGCTTCGGGGCAAATGGATTTGCCGGAGCAGCAGCAGTAGTCGGTTTCGAAACGGAAGAGGAAAAGAGTGATGTGGATGTGGATGTGCTTTCCTTGGTCACAGATGCAGTAGGGAACAATGGTTTTGCCGGTGAGGTGGTTGGAGTGGTAGAAAACATGGAAGGTTTGCTAGATTCGGGCGTTGAAGGCCTGGGAGCCTCAGCTTTAGCCGTCTCAGATTCGGAAGATTTGGAATTCGAAAATGACTTGGCGAAAATGTTTGCAGTGCTTGAGTTTCCATCATTCTCTTCAGCGGGCTTGGATGGAGTGGTTTGGCTCGATCCAAAAAGTTTTGAAGGTGTGCTTGTGATGGAGCTTGGCGCGATGTTCATCTCAGGAGCATTTACTTTGCTAGATGGGGTCTCGACACTGCTAGCACCAAATGGCTTAACCTTCTTCTGGGTATGAGTGTCGGCAGCCGTCTCTTCGTCATCCCGAGTCTTTCGTTTTGTGCCAGCAGTTGGTGCCCCAATAGTTTCGCGAACTCGCATGTAAAATTGAACAATGAGATCAAAGTCGTCCTTGCCGGGATCCAGACCAGTTATCTCACGCTTGAAGCATTCATTCAGCATGCGAATCCGATGCAACAGCTCCGCATCATCCTTGAGCTCCGTGCTCAAATCAGTAGGAAGTTTGCGAGGCTGGAGGGTCTCAAAACGTTGGGTTTCAGCGGGCTTGGTCGACAGTGCCTTCTCGGTACCATTGACCTTGAAGGAGCTGGAAACGGGTGCGGGTACGGCTGGTGTGAAGCCAGGTGTTTGAGTCTTGGGCTCAGTAGTGGAGCTTGGGAAAGATGGCGGTTTTGGTGCAAACAGGTTTGGAGCACCTCCAGCAGGAGTCGAAGCCGAGAACAAGGGGGCGGCCGGAGCTGCCTTGGGAGGTTCAGCTTTCTTTTCTGCCTCCGCCGGGGTGCTAGGCTTGGGAGCAAAGAGGCTGCCGAAAGGACCGCCGGCGGGGGCGGGGGCGGGGGTAGGCTCTGGCTTCTCCTGTGTGGTAGCGGGCTTGGGTGCAAACAAACTGCCGAAAGGGTTCCCTTCGGGTGCCTTCGGCGTGCTTTGTTCCGTAGTCGCAGCAGGCTTGGGGGCAAATAGGTTGCCCGCCCCAGCAGGCTGAGAAGCACCAAATGCCGGTTTTACACCAAACAATCCACCAGATGCGGGAGCAGGGGCAGCGCTCGCGCTCTTTGAGAAGAGCGAAGCTCCACCAGTATTGGTGGCACCAAATTGGAACGGAGTGGTGGAGGCAGGCTCGCTCGCTTTCTTCTCTTCCTGCTCCTTCTCTTGGGGAGTATTCGATGCTGCAGGTGCACCTGAGAAAAGGTTTGTGGACTGGAAGGGGTTTTGGAAGGGCGTAGCAGGCTTGTCCGCGGGTTTAGCCCCGAAAAGGTTCGGAGTGGAAGCGGAAGGAGCCGGTGCAGGGGTAGATGCAGCGGGAGTCGCAGAGGTAGACTGCGTGGTGGCACCAAAGAGTGGCGTTGCAGGAGTAGCTTGTTCGGCAGGCTTCGCTCCAAAGAGAGGCTTGGAAGGTGTCTGCTCAGTTGAGGCTGCGGGCTTCGCCTCTGAGCTCAGACCACCGAACACAGGGGGTGCAGCTGCGGGAGTTCCATTGCCAAAGATGGAGGGCTTCGATGCAGCAGCAGCGCCCTTTGCATCGGGGGATGTCTGCATCGAGTCGTCCCCGAAAGCTGTAGATTGCCCGAATGCAGAAGGCTTACTCGTACTAGACTGGCCGAAAATACTAGGTGAAGGAGCAGCGCTGGAGGCAGCAGGCTGTCCGAATATCCCAGCTGTGGCGGTAGGTGTTGCCGCAGCAGGCTGTGAAGATGCAGGGGTAGAGGAACTGCCAAACATTCCTCCGGTGGTGTTGTTCTGGCCGAAAAGTCCCGTAGAGGGCAAAGCCTGCTGGGCCGGCGCTTGGCTCCCAGTAGGAGGGAGGCTGAACATATTTCCTTTGAAGCCAGAGAAGCCGTTGGTTTCTTCCTGCTGGCTTGGTGCACCGGTACTCATGCTGGCAAAAGGATTGCTCGGCGCTGGACCAGAGCCAAATGAAGGTGAGGCAAAATTAAATGAAGACGAGCCACCGCCTCCACCACTTCCGCCACCGAATGAAAATGGTGATGATGTTCCGTTTTGTGTAGGTTGGCTTGGTGCTGAACTTGCTCCTGGGAAGCTCTGAGATTGACCAAATGAGAAACCGTTTGTCGGTTGCGAAGCAGATGTGTCGAAGGGATTTGACGATGCTCCAGCGGAGCTTGGAGTAGCGGTGTTGGGACGGCGCCTTCGAACATCCTTTATTCTGTCGGGGTTGTTAGTATGTTAATAAGCTGGAAAGTGTGTTTGGCAGGGACAAAGAAAGTTGAGATCAAAGAAGAGGCGTAGGGAGGCGACAGAACACTGAACAGATAGTAATAGACGGCTGGTATTAAAGCGCGTGTATTTCTCTATTGAATGCATAGACAAGTGGCGGGCACAATACATGATGATGGATGGGGCTGTATTCACTCACTTTCTGTTCGCCAGCTGAGCAGCAGTCGCCCGTTGGGGCTTCTCTTCTGGTGTGCTCGCCATATTGAACTCGAACATGTTGTCTTTGTCCCCATGGGGGCCCACGGCGTTTCGTTTAGACATCTACCGCGTCGGTTTGCGCTTCTGCGTCTTGATTTTTTGAAAACTCTCGAAATCTCGAAGACCACAGCTGGCTTCAACCCCCTTTGTGAGTTCGCCAGCTATTCCTCCTGATCAGGCTTTTCTCATCCACGGGGCGCGTCTAACAATCGCAGGATTCGATTTATTTCTGACCTTCACCGTCTTCTTGACCACCTTTGCTAACCAAATTCTCGTTGGCACGACAACTATCGATGGAGTGCGCGAGCGAGTCCGGGGAACGGAGGCAAGATACGTGCGCAGGTTCTGTTGATGGCGGATCAAGCTGTATCAGGATTGTCGTCCTCTTAAGCAGTTGTCCGACAATAAGCTGAGATAAGTTGTGTCCAGGCCGTGAACGATATGATATTCACGCGCACCACGGATAGGTTGATCGCGAATGGCGAGGCAACCGGGACAACAGGTAAACGGGGCAAAAAAGGTGAGAAGGAAAAGGCAGAGCAGCACAAGTCGAGCGCTTTTCGAGGGCAATAAAGTATAGGCGCCTCCGTTAGATATGTGCTCTGCCTTGAGGAAGGATGGAGGTGCTGCTGGTGGACAGGATTTCTATCTCTTCGTCTTTTTTTCCGCTCGCGACTTTTTTTCTGCGGCGACAGCAGGAGAGCCAAAAATACAATCACGTGACAGATGCAAGGTGCCGCTCTTGGCAGAATGACATAAAGGAGAAATCTGCATTCCAGGTCAGGGGAAATTCGCTTTGTCTATACGAAGATTTACTGGTACGGTGACTATTGTTGCTGACGATGGTGAAAGAGCTTTTTGTCTTCTTTGGCAGATGCGAAGAGGCGCTTTTGTTGATGGCAGAGAGAGGGATGTACTGATACGGTGTGTATCGTACGCATGTTGTGTTTCCATGGCAGACGCTGCCAAATATGACGTCTCCGTGGCGGTAGAGAAATATTCAGTCAAACCATATTGTTTAACTAAAGATTATCATGGTGATGATTGCAAATCATTATTATTATTCTTCTTCTTCTTCTTCTTCTTCTTCTTGACTAGAAAGATGGCTATGAGATGGTTGTGGCTGTATTGAAATTGTAATGCTGTGGATGCTTTGTGGAAATATATCTGCCATCACCAACACTTCAGCGTCAACTTCATCATCTAGCATTCCATCAAAAACTAAGGAGATCAAAGAGACCACTAATTCTCCTATGAAGATGGCGTCTTTTATGAATTATTGCTCTTGCCCCAGATCCACCGGTTAGGTTATACCTCGAAGTAGAGACTCAAGTATGGAGGGCTGAGTCGAGAGAAAGAAGAAAAGAACACCACAAAACTTTCAATATAGCCAATAGGGGAAACATGCCCAGAATTAGCCTTGCTAGGATAAAACCACATCCCAAAGGTCATTTGCCCTCGAGCAGGTCAACTGCACATCTGAAGCGCCATGTGATTACCTGCAGCAGAATATCAATCCGGGCTGAATAGTTTGTTGGAATGGCTGCGAATCCATAGGGATCTGCATTTCCCAACCGCTTGACTGTGATATTGAATCGAATCAAAATGATCCGAATATGATGGCAGTCGAAAAAAGCGATGTCTTCCCGTCACATTCCTGAGAAATGAATATTCACAAGCCATCATAAATGAAGCCTGTAAAACGAGGCTGCAGTCCTGGTATGTACAACCCCGGCTTCACTGCCCTGGTTACTTCCAAAACTCACCTCTTTACAGATCCATGCAGAGGTTGTTGTCCACTGACAGAGAAGAGTCTCTTAAACCTCTCCTGAGAGGGTCTACCCTGGCAACTGCGTTGTTCTTCTCAAAATTGGTGCCGAAGATGTTTGCTCCCGAGGGTCAAATTCCCCCGGCAGATGATACACCACTTGACTTGATGCAGATGTTGTTGATGGCGTCTATTATTCATTGAATGCAATGATTCGTGCCGTTCAAGGTGGTAGGCCAGGCAGGGTAGGACATTCATTGGAACTATTGGTGTGGTTGGATAGGAAACAGCCAGAAAATGCGCCTCCATGTCTATCTAGCGGGATTTTTCATCACTGCTGAAGTGGTGGACATAAAATGCTGAGATTTCCGGGTGTTGTTCCTGGAAACATATCTTCAAAGCATTGAAGTGTCTTCATCCTCTCAATGGAAAGATTTAAAATGCGTTGCCTTTGGATCACTGTTTTTCTTTCGCTGCTTGCTGGTGCAGATGCCCATCCCTTGGATACTCCTGTTGTTGACCAAGTAGTGAGCTCGTCCTTGAGCTCTCCTGCTGACCATACAACGAGGGTATCTACACCACCCTCAAGATCAGCCAGAACTTCATCAGTGTCATCTGAAGAAGTAGCTGTTGACGATACATCGTACTGGCTTGCAGACATTACCCACCAAGGAGTAGCAGCGTTCAACCCAAACCCCTCTGGATACAAAGTATTTCGGAATGTGAAGGACTACGGAGCTAAAGGTCTCTATTCGCTATCTTACTCTAAAAGCACTCTTTCTAAATGTGTGCCTAGGTGATGGTGTGACGGATGATACCGCTGCAATCAATGCAGCCATCAGTGACGGTGATCGCTTTTCTCCAGCAAGCCGTAAAACCTCCACGACAACTCCTGCTATTGTCTACTTTCCAGCTGGAACATATCTCATCTCCACCTCCATTGTGGATTACTACTTCACTCAGCTTATTGGTAACCCGAACTCGCGGCCGATTATCAAAGCCACCTCGGGATTCAAGGGACTTGGGCTAATTGACGGCGACGAATATCAAAGCGACGGAAACCAAGGTTGGACCTCGACAAATGTGTTCTTCCGGCAAATTCGAAACTTTGTCCTTGACTTGACTGCTATCCCTGCGACTACCGCCGCAACTGGTATCCATTGGCCAACTGGGCAAGCGTCGAGTATCCAAAATGTGCAAATTGAGATGAGTTCCGGCTCAGGAACGAAGCAACAAGGACTTTTCATCGAGAACGGTAGGTATTGCTTCCTAGAATAACAAATGAGCTGTGTTGACCTTTCAAAGGCTCCGGAAGTTTTATAGAGGGAGTAACGATCATTGGCGGCGAGTATGGCGCAAACATTGGAAACCAACAGTTTACAATGCGCAACCTCAAGATCTCCAATGCAGTGGTGGGAATATCACAAATTTGGAATTGGGGCTGGACATATCAGGGAATCACTCTGACAAACTGCACAACGGCGTTTTCTATGAACGGCGGTGGCCCTGATGCGCAGACAGTGGGTTCAGTGATAATTATCGACAGTGATATCCAGAACTGTCCAGTCTTCGTCGACACTGCATGGCACAGCTCTACCTGGAGCAATGGTAGCTTGATCTTGGAGAACGTGTCTCTTAAAAACGTCCCAGTTGCTGTTCATGGCACGAGTGGATCCGTCTTACAAGGCTCAACAGGAGAGATGACTATCAGCGCTTGGGGTCAGGGTCACAAGTATACGCCATCGGGACCAACTAATTTCCAAGAAACCTTTACACCACCTACACGGCCTACCTCACTACTTGCCAGTGGTTCCTCTAGGTACTACACGAAGACGAAGCCTCAATATGAAGCATCACCGACTTCTTCGTTCCTAAGCATCAGAAATGCCGGTGCAAAGGGAGATGGCTCAACTGATGATACATCAGCTATCCAGTCCGCCATAAACACCGCAGCTCAGTCTAAAAAGATTCTATTTTTCGACCAGGGCGTCTACAAAATAACCAGCACACTCCACATACCCCCTGGTTCACGCATTGTAGGAGAGGCATATCCCGCAATCATGGCCAGCGGAGATCTTTGGTCTAAAATCGACCAGCCCATACCTGTCATCCAAGTCGGAAAACCAGGCGAGTCTGGTTCTGTTGAATGGTCTGATATGCTTGTCAGCACCCAGGGCTCTACGCCTGGCGCAGTTCTCATCGAGTGGAATCTGGCCGCAGAACTAGGATCTGGCATGTGGGATGTGCACACGCGGATTGGAGGCTTTGCCGGCTCCAAGCTCCAAGCTGAGCAGTGTCCAACTTCGGCAGCTGTTTCTACTGCTTGTGAAGCGGCATATATGTCGATGCATATTACAAGTGCTGCTAGTGGTGTCTATCTTGAGAATGTTTGGCTCTGGACGGCGGATCATGATCTTGATGATGGGCATGATACCCGTATCTCTGTCTATACCGGTCGTGGACTCCTAGTTGAAGGGAAGAACATATGGCTGTGAGTGCTAGATTCTTCTATGGAAGCAGGTTCAACTAATGAAACAACCACAGGTACGCAACAGCTGTCGAACACCACTCGCTGTATCAATACCAATTCTTGAACTCCGAGTCTGTCGTAACTAGTTTCATCCAAACAGAATCACCGTAAGTGAAAGAGAATCAATCCTATACACACCCATCAACTAACAACCCCAGATATTACCAACCAAACCCCGACGCAGCCCACGGTCCCTACCCCAGAAACTCCACCATCCAAGATCCCGACTACACCACCTGTCTCCCAGGGAACTGCGACTCCCTCAACCTCCGCATCCTAGACAGTCGAAACACCATCATCTACGGTGCTGGCCTCTACAGCTTCTTCAACAACTACAGCACGACCTGCTCAGAAGCGACCAGCACGGATAAATGCCAAAGCGAGATCTTTAGTATCGAGGGAACCACGAGTGATCTGGTTGTTTATGTACTTAGTACCGTCGGGACGACGAATATGATTGTCAAGGACGGTAAGTCGCTGGCGACGTATGGTGATAATTTGGCCACTTTTGCGGATACGATTTCGTACTTTACCTTGTAGTATGGTTACTGTATGCCGTAAGAGAGCTGTGTCTTGTCTTGTTGTCTTCGATGAGGTCATAGCAACTTGGCATTGCTGATCTGCAAGGGGGGAGGATTTGATACCATCTTAGGAAAATGAATCTATACCCCCTCATATCTACAGAATGAGATAAAACACTCCGTAAAAAAAGAACGAACGAAAGGAAAAGAAATGCAACCTGATGTCATAAAATGGAAAAAAACTGGCTGTTAAGCCATCACTCAGTATTTGTTTATTCCCAACCTGAAAACATATAGGTAGTCATATAGTCGATAAATACATTGTAAAACACACGCACGCCCAAAACAAAAATTGACTGGGTATCTATAGCTTGGCCTTGCCCTGGGCCTTCTTGAGGACAGGCTCCATCTTGGTCGCCTTCATGATGTTACCCTTGATCTTGAGCTTGCCGCCCATGAAAAGACGCTGGGCATTGGCCTTGCCGGAGACGAGGGAAGCGAAGTCTGCGTCAGAGAGGTTGAGAGTGACTATTTGATGGATTTATTAGCGACCTTCTCCTTTTCATTTTTGTCTTTCGATATAGTCGAATAAGGAGATGGGGGGTAGGGCGATAACTCACCATCAGCCTTTCCACCAGCAGGAGCAGCGCCCTTGGCGACAACACCGTCCTTCTTGAGATCGAGGTGCCAGGCCTCCTCCTTTCCGTCTGCGTTCTTGAGATTGAAAGCGACGACAGCGTTGGCCTTCTTGATGGCGTCCTTGCGCTCGGCCTCGTCGGCCTGGAGGGTGGCGTTGATCACGTCAAACGCGGCAGAAGAGGGGAAAGCGTCTGCATAGTCGATAAGAGATATTGTTAGAATTCCAGGGTCTGCAATGTAACAGTAATCAGCCGGTTGTGCATACCGTTCTTGAGAGTCATGGTGAAAGGGGTAGGTGGGTGGATGGATAAATTGTTAAGATTGGTTAGATGGATATATAGATGGGATGAAAGGAGGGATTAGAATCTTGAAGAAGAAAGGTGCGAACAGGAATGAATATATAACCGTGGCCCAAGATGGGGATGAAATGAGCTTCCCCGGAGAGTTCGGCGGGCGCATGTGATGCACGCGAAAAAGCGAGGCGGTGGCCGTACCGAGGCTGAATTGGTTCCTGTGATTAGGATGATATCAACGTTCTACGCATACGATTTATGATCTAAGGATATTCTGGCATTGTTGTCAAACAGATATGTAAAAGTATCTGTCTGGATATATACGCCATAGCTGAATTATCGTTAGTAGTGCATTTAACGCCATAGAATTACTCAAAGCAACTCTATCTGACCAGGCTGAAAGACCGAATCTGCTGGGGAAGGCTCTTCCCCAACGCCATGAGATCTGCATTTTTGCATCTCCCCGCCCCTAAATTTCGCACAGTAGTCTCTTTTGATTCCAGTTGAAAATAATGATCCGACTCCACATGAAGTTCGTGAACCGAGCCATGTTCTGTCCGGTGCTGACTGTTGCTACGTTGTGTCCTGGGCCCCTTGTGCGACGGCCCTGGAGATGAGAGCCCGGTCGCGTGCTCACTGCTCTGTCATGGAGTACAGGGATGAGATACCTCAAAGACTGAGATAATGCTCTCTATATGAGTATAGGAGTATGGCCAGGATTCCTCGGGCGGTTCGCCTCAATTTCTCGATCGCATCGTGATGTCTTGAAGGCAAGAAACATCGTCACTAATTGTCAGCTTAAACCAGAATGGATGGATAGGAATAACACAGGACTGATTCTGCTATCCTTTTGAATCGCTGTTCTTGCCTATGTCAAAATAGGGAGGATATCGGATTTCCGTGCTGGTGGTCTAAAGATGAAGTTGTTTGCTTTGCTTGGTTCAATAGCAGAGGCCAGGCGGAAACGAGGATGAGGACGAAAAGCGAGCGAGGTTAGAACTCGATGAAGCGTCAAGATGGTTCCATTTTGACCAGAGGATAGAACTGAGTTCTCCCTGTGTCTCTCCTTGTGGACTTGTCCATCGTGAGGTTCAGTCGCTTTGCAGAGGTCAAGGTGAAGAAAGGCAATCCAGTGACAGACTTGTCGGCCTCGTCAGCCGTCAGTCCAATTTTTGTCTGTTGAGTCTTCTGCTCTTGAAAATGCCACCAGCCATCTCTCAGTGTCCTATCTGACCGGCTTGGTGAGGTTTCTTTAGGGAGACGGGCGATATTTGTTAGACATGCGTCCGGCCCACGATCTTTCTGACCTGGAAAACTCAAGTTGAAACAATCGGCTAATCCAGAGAAGCGAGAATGTGTCTGCCTGTGTAAGTTGAGTCCATAGTGTATTTAACCAGTCACTGACCAACGCTTAGTCTGAACAAGCAATTTTCGTGGGATCAACTGGTCTTGTTACTAAAATGACAACTCCAGTCTAGGCCAGATGCTACCCAGGTGGCGTCTACATTCTACATCTCGCATTGCCACAATTCATCTAAAAAGGGGATCTTTTTGTATTCTTTGACGACTCTTTGAATCCTGGGGCTGCAGGTATGTTTCACCAAATTTCCCTCCACTGCGTCGGCAATACACATAACAATGGGCTTGAAATTGGGGAGTGGGTGGGAGTGGGGGGTAATCTGGCCAGATGACCAATAGGTGTGACCCCCAGGGCAATGCTGGGCCATATCTCATCTTATCCTCTGCACTATTGGCTCGTTTAGTGTGTCTTTGATGCTATTTTTCTGCGCTGCGCAAAGCCGACGCTTCCGGGCTAAGAGATATACCCGCCCAACCAAGCTTTTCACTAGCGGTGCGTCGTCAAATCCGATCCTAAGTGGAGTCGTTTTCGCGAGAGCATACGCAAGGCATGACAAGTCACCGCTAGAACTCATTTCCTTAGTACTATTTTATTTTATCCTTCGTTGTGATCGCAAACAAGCTAGCATGATGGTTGTGTACTACTGTGTACTGAAAACCACTCCGCTGGTGTTTAAAAATGGTTGTGGAGGGACCCATGGCTTTTCTCCTTAACTGTGTCTTTCTAGGGGCACACTAATCAGAAAGCCTATGTAAATGGCAATGTTCTTCTTAGCTTTGCATTAATTATTGTTCTATTGCATTTCTCTCCCAGTGGTTTATCTCAATATCCCCTCGTTTGAATTCTTCCGCCGCCATGTTTAATCTGGGGGACTGGTCGAGTTGGAGAAACTGGCTGCTTCTGCTGCTGGTTTCACCATTAGTGCAAGCCATCGATCTAGACATTAATGATGACCGTACGTGCTGAGATTTCTGCCTCTCTCCTATCTCCTATCTTTCTGCCTTGCTTCCCTCTACCTGTCTTATTCCCCCACATCCTGCATGTCTTCACATGGCTGAGCTAATGCATCGATGCCATAGAATCTTTAAAAGATGCCGCAAGTACAGCGGCCTTCGGGATGATGTCCCATTACCACGGTAATGAATCAGGCCAGACTCCCGGAAAGCTGCCAAACACATGGTGGGAAGGTGGTGTGATGTTTATGACTCTGATCGAATACTGGTATGCTACCGGGGACACGACGTACAACGATGAAGTCTCCGTGGGTATGGAGTGGCAGGCTGGAGACGGTGATTACATGCCTGCCAACGACAGTAGCTATCTGGTAAGTGCTACAAGTTACATGTGTTAGAGATCTCCACTGACAAGGCAAAGGGAAACGATGACCAAGTCTTTTGGGGTCTCGCCGCCATGACTGCTGCCGAGCTTGCGTATCCCGATGTCGATGGTCAATATTCCTGGCTGTCTCTAGCACAAGGCGTCTTCAACACCCAGATCCGTCGCTGGGATGCAGATACTTGTAATGGTGGATTGCGTTGGCAGATCTGGGTTTACGAAGCTGGATACACGATGAAAAACTCGGTCTCCAACGGAGGTCTCTTTCAATTATCTGCTCGCCTCGCTCGATACACGAACAACCAGACGTATTATGACTGGGCGAACAAGGTCTGGAATTGGGTTGAATCGTCACCTTTACTGAGCAACTCGACTTGGAATGTCGCCGATTCTACCACGGTCGACGACAATTGCGTGAGCCAGGGAAATGAGCAGTGGTCATATAACTATGGCATGTTCCTCGGTGGTGCAGCGTACATGTACGATCACGTAAGTCAAACTTTTCCCCTGCTACCTGCTGTGTATACTAATGGAAACGATGACAGAGCAACGGCACTACCAAGACAAAGTGGCTCAACGCCGTGAATGGCCTTCTCAACGTCACTTTGGACAAGTTCTTCCCATCCAGCTACGGTGGCAACATCATGTCCGAGATTACTTGCGAGCCGAATGAGGTTTGCAACAACAACGAAATCCTGTTCAAGGGTCTCGTTTCGAACTGGCTGGCGCTTACATCCCTCTTGGTCCCATCAACATCCGACACCATCCTCCCCAAATTACAGGGCTCTGCAGAAGCCGCCGCTGAAGCCTGCACGGGAAACAGCAACAACACTTGTGGTGTGAGATGGTATACTAAGAAATGGGATGGATGGTCTGGATTGGAGGAGCAGTGCAGCACCACGAGCGTCTTCGCGGCAAATCTCATGGCCAAAAATGGCACAGGCCCGGTGACGTCCACTACCGGAGGAAACAGCTCCAGCGATCCATCTGCTGGTACAGGAAGTAAAGATGACGGTGGTACTACCGCACAGAAGACGATCACTACAGCCGACAAAGCTGGCGCGGGGATCTTAACTGCTGTCTTTGCGGGAGCATGGATTGGCATGATGGCCTGGATGCTGTGTTGATCTCTGCCCCTTTTTTTTCTTTTTACGATTATTCAGTTTAATGTACATTTTTAGCGATTACAAAATATCACTCCGTATACATATGCATACACCGTCTCTTGTCTTGATCTCGATCGATGGCCAGATCTCAACAGAGATCGACGCAATGTAAATCCAATCCCCATGTGCCATGTAGATAATGATCGTCACACACCCACCTACATAAGACAGAAGTCGTAAGTATCTGCAATGTCCCCTCAGACACCGTATCTATCTCCGAGACATCATTGCTCATTCGGCCACCTTTTCCCAATCGGGGCCTTTCTTAGGGTCTAACCTAATATTTCTTGGCGTGCGCCGTCCACGGATCGCGTATGCCGAAAGGGGCAATACAGTTTTGTGACCTATCCGATTTAGTCCTACGCGACGTGACGCGGAGTCGAGTTGTTTCAAGTGCAAAAATGTATATATAGAAATTGTGATAAGTTGACTGTGACTGGATGGTGATGGGTTAAACAGTATGCAGTGAGATGGAAAAAGATCCTAGCCTCGAAAATTACTCCGTAGAAGGGATGGCTGGCATTCATGGTGTTGTCCCTCGAACCTGTGAATGATATCAGATGCACTGCACTGCGGGCCATATCATACTTGATGGAAGATTCTGCAACGCTTCTAGTTATTTGATGACTTTGGCTGCCTCATCTCCATCTCTATCCTATCCCTTGCCAGGCAGACACAGACTTCCTGGATGAATTGGGGTGGGACATAGCGAACATCACCATTCCTCGAGCAATCACATAATCGCATTCTAATGAAGCTGGGGTGCCTCGACGATCAAAGAAAAGTGAGCTAAAGGAGAGGTCTTTGGTGATAGCCAGACTGGCTCTTTTCTCGTCTTTCTTTCTATCTTGCCTTTTGCCCCTCTCTTTTCCTCGTCGCATAAAAACACAACGAAGAGAAGAAAAAAAAAAAAGAAAAAGAAAAGAAAATCCCTATCCGCCACCGTTGCTGCCTTCTTCCCCCTTCATTATAACACCCCCCACTCCCTTTACGATTCACCAGCAAATTAGAAAAAATTTCACCTCTATTCACCACGCCACTATTCCCAGACTGAAACAACAGCCATCGTTCCCTGGTGGTGTGCCTGAGGCTCTCCCTGACAGATAACATTCGTTTCTCCCCGTCGCCAAGCGGGAAAACCGTTCCGACTAATTAATCAATCCCCCAGCACCCTTTGTTGCAAAGACCTTTCGGTCCACCGAGGACAACATCAAGTCCGGTTCTTTTTTTCTTTTGCTATTGGTGCTTTTTCTTTTGATGTAACACGGCCTCCAGGATCTGCTCGTTGATCCGCGCCCCATAATTGGCGGCCCCGTGGTGGCATCAGCTTGCCCTTGGGTCGTTGGCCGGCCAGCCTTGCCAGCAGTAGTTTTTTTTTTTTATCTCTGTCAGGCTGAAGGCCTCTTCATTATTTAAACAATGTCCACCCTCCCTCCTGATCCGTCCACGGACGAAATCATGGACGATCTTCAGCTGCATCATGTTATTCTCCAGAGTCTAGACGAACAACGACCTGGATCGATCGCTGAAAGGGAAGAGATCCTGGATGTCATCAAAGACTTGGAGGCCCGACTGGCGGAACGTCGAGTCGAACAGCCTAGAATAAATAGCCAAACCAGCCCATCTCCTCATCCGTCTCTGCCAGGCTCAGACATGTCTCATGCTCAGCTGGATGGCGGCATTGATTCCAGCCCATTTGATTCCCCCGCACCACCCCGGTGGGGAGGGCAATCCGCTGCCATGCCTGCTCCATCGCGGATGCCGCAGCTTCGCTATCGTGCAGATTGGAATAACCACGCCCAGACCCAGGGGCCTTTGTCTATCCGCAAGCGTACGCGTGACGACGTCGATTTTTCAGACGGTCCAGAGCAACCATCTAAGCGTGTTACAAGCCATTTACGCTCTTTATCTTCTAGTCCATTATCTACTCCCAGAAGTAGCCAGATGGAGAGACTTGGACAGGATTTTGGCGATAGCGCCGATGATGAGTTGCATAGAATTTTGGGCTTGGATAGCCGTGATACCTTACTCGAACTCCAGGAAGAACAGAGAAAAGCAGAGGAATACCTCGCAGAGCGAAAGGAACAGGAGCGCCGCGATGAAGAATATGCTCGGAGACTGACGGAAGGCTTGTACGAACAGTCACGACCAGAATCGGCTCGAAGCTCCTCGACAGCCTATTCGGGGTCGTCTCTTCCATTCCCTACAGTTACTTCTCCGACAAACGGACTAAATCAGAGAGAAGCTCTACGACTTCCTAGCTTACACCAAACTGGTCTTTCGAGTATGCGCAGTAATGATCTTCCCCGTCCAACTTTTGGGCAGCCCTCGCTTCCTGGTATGAACCAGGCAAGACATCGACAGCCTCCGTCAACCCCATTTCGCGATAGTGATGATAGCGATGTTGCAGAGATCACACCGCATGATTTCCGTCGCCACCACGCTCCACCCGCATTCCGCCCCAGAGAAATTTATCCCAAGCCTGGAAGCCCTCCGGCTATGTATGTGCCCTCTCAACCTTTCGGGGGCGAGGCATCGGGCTTTCGTGGTCCAGGGCAATTCCCTCCCTCGTATCCTTCTCTGGGACCCGTACCGGGCCCAAGTTCAATTCGAGATCCAGGTCCCATGTACGGTCCAAATGTTTTGCAAAATACAATGGCCAGGCTTAATGCTGGAAGAAATCTACTCGAAAATGCGGGGAGATCTCTCTATGGGGGATTCCCTGGTCCTCTCCCATCCTCCTCTCCCTTTGACAATTTTGTCGCTGGGAGACTTCCGGATCTCGAATTCGATCAATCCATTATGCATTTGAAGTAAGCTTTTTCCCAACCCCCTTTTCTTGATATTGCTAAGACTTGACTGTTTCTAGCGACCTGTACGAATCTGGAGGAGATCCAAAGAAAATTAACGAAGAGATCAAACAATTACTCGAAAATATCAGACCTGACTCGGAGCTGACCAAGGAGAATCGCGAAGGCACACCGGAAGCTCTTAGGTATCCTCTATTAGAGCACCAGAAACTGGGTTTGACCTGGATGAAATCGATGGAAGAAAGCGAACAGAAAGGTGGCATTCTTGCCGATGATATGGGTCTAGGAAAGACAGTACAAGCTATCGCTCTTATGGTGTCCAACCCGTCTACTGATCCCGAGCGGAGACCTACTCTGATTATCGCCCCCGTCTCTCTGATGCAGCAGTGGAAGCGGGAGGTTCAGAGGATGCTCAAGTCCGGGAGACACCAGCTTTCCGTGTACGTTTTACACGGTGACAAACGGTCTGCGGGTTATAAAGATGTCAAGAATTACGATGTTGTCCTCACCACATTTGGAACTCTGTCTTCTGAGTTGAAACGAAAGGAAAAGTATGATGAGCTGCAGAAATCTGGTGCCAACGAACAAGCCTTGTCTCGAGAGATGCTGCATACCTTGCCTGTTCTTGGACCCCATAGCAAATGGCATCGTGTCATCATAGACGAGGCTCAATGCATCAAGAACCGGAATACAAAATCAGCCCTGGCCTGCTGCCGTATCAATACCACGTACCGGTGGTGTATGAGTGGTACCCCTATGATGAACAACGTCGAAGAACTGCACTCCTTGTTGAAATTCCTTCGCATCCGGCCATACAACAACCTCGAGAGATTCAATACTGTAAGTTAAACTTATTTCTCCTTCTATAATCAAATCGAATGCTGACCCTTGCTTGAATAGGAATTTACGCGACCGTTGAAGAGCGGCAGTGCTGCCAACCAGGAAAAAGCGATGAAACAGCTCCAAGTTCTACTCAAGGCAGTTCTTCTGCGGCGAACTAAGTACTCGAAGATCGACGGTAAACCAATTTTGCAATTGCCGGAGAGGATTTCAGAAAAGGTTCACGCTGTGTTCAGTGAGGATGAACAGGCGTTATACACAGCGCTGGAGACTCGAACACAGCTTCAATTCAACAGATATCTCCAAGCTGGTACCGTGGGCCGAAACTATTCCAATGTTCTCGTTCTGCTTCTCCGACTTCGACAGGCATGCTGCCACCCGCATTTGATAACGGACTTTAGTGTTGAAACCAACGCCAACACAGATGAGCTTGATCTCGTTGCGAATGCTAAAGCATTTGGGGAGGATGTTATTGTCCGTCTGAGGGATAATGAGGACATGGAATGTCCCATCTGTATCGACGCCGTCGACAACCCAATCATTTTCTTCCCTTGCGGACATAGCACCTGTGCTGAATGTTTCTCGAGAATTTCCGACCCTAGTTTGTCGGTACAGCAAGGCCACGATGGTTCGGTGGAAGTGAAATGCCCGAATTGTCGTGGTAAGGTCGACCCAAAGAAGATCACAGATCATGTTTCCTTCAAAAAGGTCCACTTTCCCGACCCCTCTGAGGAGGAAGACCCGATTGTGCCTCTGAAGCCAGCACCTGAGGCCGAAGACGACAGCGATGACGATGATAGCGACGATGAAGGCCTAACCCGTTTCATTGTGAATGACGACGAAGAAAGCGGTTCTAGCAAATCCAAGGGCAAAATGGCCAAGAAGCCCAAGAGAACTCTGGCAGATCTCAAGAAGGAGGCCTCGAAGAACCAGAAGTCGAAGCGCAAGTATCTGCGTCGTCTTGAGAAAACTTGGATACCTAGCGCAAAGATTGAGAAGACTCTCGAGCTTCTTCAGGCGGCTTACGATCGTGGCGAGGGCGAGAAAACCATCATTTTCAGCCAGTTCACCTCTCTCCTCGACTTTCTTGAAGTCCCAATTGTCCGACGAGGATGGGGATACCGGCGCTATGATGGAAGTATGAAGCCTGCGGACCGTAACTCGGCTGTCTTAGATTTTACCGACAACCCTGATTGCCGGATCATGCTTGTCTCTCTGAAAGCTGGGAACTCGGGTCTGAACCTCGTCGCTGCTTCGCAAGTGATCATCTTCGATCCATTCTGGAACCCATACATCGAGGAACAGGCCATCGACCGTGCTCACCGCATCGGGCAGCTGCGAGAAGTCCACGTCCACCGAATCTTGGTTCAGAATACGGTAGAAGATCGAATTCTTGAACTCCAAGACAAGAAGCGAGAACTTATCGAGGGAGCTCTTGACGAGAAGGCAGGGAAGAATGTGTCCAGACTGGGAACAAGAGAATTGGCCTACTTATTCGTATGCTTTGCTCCCCTCCATCTTTTACATCTCATAATTGCTAACTTCTCTTTCCAGGGCGTCAACTAGGGGTTTTCACGCGGCTTGCTTTACTAATGTTCATCAACTACGGCGTTTGGGCGGGCGGATTTCTGATCTTGACGATGTTTTAGCACTTTTAATATCGTCCCCATTGAAGATACCCTAGATACACCTCTTCTATTCCCTTTCTTCCTTTCTTTTTTATTCCCCCTTTTACCCATTTTATCTTATTTTCTTTGCTTTCCCGGGCATTACCCATTTTATCACCTATTCCAGTTTCTACATCGAGAGCAACATTGCAGGCGATTTCATCAAAGACTCCCCATGTATGCATAATATTTATTCCCTCTTCGTGTTAGTCTTCTTTTCTGCTGTTTCATTTTTTTTTAACCTAGTGACGTCACTTGGATGTTTGTTTCTTCAATAGTCATCATCGTGATAAATCCCTAGGAGACATGAATCATTTACATATTTACATTTGATCATGATTTCTGAATTCGCAGTACAGGTTATTCTGATATCAGATGCTCAGAGGCTTAGGTGCATTTTATGTTGCCTGGTTGGACCTCGTGGACCTCGTGTAAAAGATGTAGTTTTTTTATTTCCCTTGTTTAGAGCGGTGCTCCGTGCACTGTAACAGATAAACAGAGGGATGTTTTTAGTATTGTAGGTTGTTAAGGATGTTTCAATGGCAGCCATGTGCTGACAGTTTTGCTTTTGTGCCGTTAACAGATAATCGTTTTAGAAAACAAAAAAAATTGAGATAAAGAGTCTAGACTACTAGTGGTAAAATCGAAAATGCGTAATCATGCCGCCGTCCCCGGGCCAGTCCACCGACAGGTTTCGTTGTATCGTAATTCGAGGCTTTGTAAAACGAAGCCAGCAGGTTGGGGTGGCCCGTCAGCCAGAAGGACTGACCGCAGTCCAGCCCCAAAGACTTCATTGAGAATACGCTTAGAGGTCTGCGTCGTCCTCGTCGGGGAGAGGCATTTGTGCGGCAGCGTTCATCTCTTGCTGGTACTGCTCCATGAGCTCGGGGTTGACCTGCACCTCGGGGGGAGCGAGAGCAGGGGCAGCAACGAATTCCTAAGATCTTGTCAGTTGATGGTATCATCATCAAGATACAAAGAGCACTTACCAGGTTGGTGTTGCCAACCAATTTGCGGGCGAGCCAGAGGAAGGGCTTCTCGAAGTTGTAGTTGGACTTGGCGGAGATGTCGTAGTACTGCAGGTTCTTCTTGCGGTGGAAGGTGATGGTCTTGGCCTTCACCTTACGCTCCTTAACATCGACCTTGTTACCACAGAGCACGATGGGGATGTTCTCGCAGACACGGACGAGGTCACCTTGAGCCGAGCAATCAGCGATGTGATCATATAACACCTGCAGGGGTAAACTTACGGTGCCAGTTGGGAACGTTCTTGTAGGTGATACGGGAGGTAACATCGAACATGATGACACCGCACTGGCCGTTGATATAGTATCCATCTCTGAGACCACCGAACTTCTCCTGACCAGCGGTATCCCACACGTCAAACTGGATTTGACCCAAGTTCTGTTGCTCACGTTAGTCGACACGAACATTAAAGCGGGGCTGATTGGCGGGGCATACGGTGGTGAAAGTAAGGGGGTGCACTTCGACACCGAGAGTTGCGATGTACTTCTTCTCGAACTCACCAGTAAGGTGACGCTTGACGAAGGTGGTCTGTATAGAATTTGGTGTTAGCGATAGTTACAGCAAGGAAGGCTGGTTGAATGATTTTTTTTTTGTTGACGGCGGAGGGGAAGGTGAGGGGGGGAAAACAACACCCAATGTAGGTCAACAACGACACCACAAGGCATTCAAGCCAAAAAAGGATCAACAGAAAACTTCAAGGGAGCGCATTCTACTTGCCTTACCAGTACCACCGTCACCGACGAGGACGAGCTTGAAGGTGGGAGTGGGTGCAGCCATGATGTTTATGTGACGTTCGTTAAAGGGTAATGAGTCGAAAAAATTTCACACAGAAGGAAAAGAGTCAAAAGTCGACTGGCGGATGCGACAGACGATGAGCGATGGGGATGGGGGTGTTCAGAGGAACGGGGGGAGGACAGGGAGAGGCAGAATGAGAAATGCTCGCAATATTAATTGTTCTGGTGATGGAATTTTTGCCCCGAGTCGGTCACCACCAGTCAGCGTCACGTGATTCTGCCTCAGGGCCGCCGTGCCCCGCGGGATTGGAGCCTTGCAGCCACTGTCTTTGTTTGTTGCCATCGACTGTCGATCGCAGGTCTACATCACGGTCAAGAAGAGTAAATCTCACATCAGTACAAGGGCTTACTGGGACAATCTGTTGATTCAACTGCAATCTCATCGAAAAACGAGCCTAAATAACGCCAGAATCCATGTCTCTTCTCTCCTAAGTAAACAATAAAGCGAAACCATCATGAGAAACCGTGTCGCATTCCTCGTAAAATAAACTCATAAATTCTACATTCCTTGCATGGATATAACGATGTTTTCCTTCTGGGGGTTTCTTCTTCGAGTAATAAGCCTCCCACGCTGACACCCTATCACAATGGAACAAGATGGCAGCCCAACATGCCACGACCGCCCCAATTAAGGCGCGGAACAAGTTGCAGGTCCAGCTCTGTGGTTTGGCCTGAGCCATCTTTCCTTGCAATTTTGACTACAAGGGTACGCTGTATAGCGTGTTAGCCTTGCTGTGATATCGAATGCCAGAAAACGCAACTCACCCCTTCGTTCCGTTGAACAGTCTCTGCGACCTTGGAAAGACGTTCGTGGTTCATCCAGTTCACTCCTCCAAAGTTTCGAACAGTATCACCAGCCTTCAAACCAGCCTGATCCGCTGGGCTCCCGGGCACAACGCTGTTGACCTTTGCGAACGGTGTTCCTAACAAGCCAGCATCCGACAAACTGTTATCACCCGTCGCTGTACGTAGTGCCATAGGTGTTCCCGCATTGTTGGTAGTTGTAGAAGCATCCTGTGCGCGCTGGAGGTTTGCGAAATGATCATGGAGACCCTTTTCGAGATGTGCCATGACATCTTTGTGATCGTTTCGGAGGCGAATTATTCGTGTTCGCGTCGTTCGTACTGGATCGGATCTCAGTAAATACGCCGCTGAATATACAACAAATCAGTCTTACTCTGGGCGATATCGACATCATCGCGAGGGTAGCCATCGAAGGTTGTCAACGTGGTGTTCATGTGGACTCCATGCTGAAAACGCTCATCATTAGTCTATGCCACGCAGGAAAATATAGAGAGAAAAAGAAGCCAGCTAGGATAAGTATACTCACAGAGCTCAGAACACTGCTCAGTGCTGACAGTTCCTCTTCGATCCGCTCTTTCTCTTGCGTCAGTTCGATAATGGTGAGCTTCGACAGATCGCGGGGAGCCCCTCCGGACGTAGTAGGCCCGGAGGGTAAAGTGGGGGTATGAATGTTATCGTCCATGGGGATGCCCATAATAGAGAAGAACAAGAATGTTTTAAAACATGACGGAGTTGATATAAACTGGAGCCGATGGTGGTTGTGATTTGTATCCGACAACTTTATGTTGCCTGGCTTTGGTGGGTCTCGCGAATCTGGGGGAATTCCATGTGCTTGGCGTGTTTTCTACGGCATCCCCAAGACCGTCACTACACAGACGAAGATATCCTCTTTTGATAGCTCTACTTCTGTGTTCTCCTTTGCTTTGAAGGGCGGCTTTCAGGTTTAGTGAGTATAGCAGTCGAATGACGAACGAGATGGATCGAGTTCGATCGCTTTTTGCCTCCCCCAGAGCTTTCTGTTAATGGGCAACTTTACGATACTAATTGGCGTCACTAATTTGAATCATTCCTTCTGAGGGGCCTACCATTCTGAGAATATGATTCTATTCACAGTACCAGATTTCCGTCTGTGCGCTGGTTTCTCTCCTTCCTGTTGTGCTGCTCTGTTTTTCTAACGGTTGTGACTTCCAACTGACCATGCAATCCGTCGCTTCCCAACTTTCTCGTCTTGTCTGCCACCTAAATATTCTCGATACTTTGACATTGTCTCCATCAATTACTCAGTCTCTCAAGTTGCTCTCGCTACCATGGAGTCCAAAGAGAATATTACTTCCGACCCCCCAGCTATACTCTTGCATAGCCCCGAATCAGAAGTGAAGCGGATAGACCTGCTCCCAGAAGAGAACACCGATGAATCAGTTACAGATGATACCATAGAGCCGGTGGTCAAATCCTCTACTCCTGATGTAGCTGAAAGGGTGGGTGAACCTCATGCTTTTCGTGATGCCCCAGAACAAGTGGGCGGGCCTCTTAGCCCCCAGGACAGTCCAGACCAAGTGGACAAGTTTTCTACTCCTCGTGATCCCTCTGAACAGTTGGATGGGCCTCCTACTCTTCTTGGTATCCCAAAACCGGTGGACGAGCTTTCCAGTCTTTGTGTTACCTCAAAACAACAAAAAGGGCCTAGTTTCCTATTCTGGATGAACAAGTTACGACCAAATAGGTCTCCACCTCATCCACCACAAAAGGTTGTTGAGGGTTGGCCTGATTTAGACCCTCTGTCGGCCGAATTTTACAACAACAACGGGCCGTCTTCCTATGGAACGCAAGAACAGCATTGGGAACATGATTCGGAGCACTCATCTCACCTTGGAACTGTCAAGACAGCAACAATGAGCATTGCTAGTCTAGTGAGGTCGAGAAGAACCACACGGAGCACCACAAAAAGCACCGGTTCAGATATTCGTGGGTCAATGGAGAGTTCAAGGCAGGTGATCAGTCCTTCTATCGACGAGGCAGCTCACAATCGGGCCATCAAGAGATGGCAAGTACTCCGAGAGATAATTACAACCGAGTCTGATTATGTTTGTGGTTTAACGGCTCTCAGTGAGGTCGGTCAAAGTATAACCCCTCGGATTTACATTGGCTAACCGGCTTTATAACCACTAGGTGCTCTATTTATTTCCAACAAGACCAAATGTATACCGCAACATTGAGCGGATTTGTGAAATCCATGAGAAATTTCTAGCAGAGCTTCAAAAGGCAATGCCACAATCCGATTCTATGCGCACCAGCAGTGCTAATTTGGCAACCCGTGGAAGCATAATGGATTTCAGAGGTCCCAGAAACGAGCAGAACAGATCTCTAAGATCTCGAACTCTCAGGGGCCTGTTCAATGCTCAGCTCAAGGCAGAAACTGCAAGCCCTTACAAAGCTCTTGATGTGGCTAATAAAATTGGGAAACTGGTAGGAATAAATGACTCATTTGATATACTCAGTCACTGATAATTCTCTTTATATTGCAGTCAGCTTCTTTTGCGGCGTATGAGGAGTTCTGCGGTAATTATGAACTGCTTGCACAAGATGTCGCGTTCCTGCGTCAGTCAGTACCCGACTGGCAGTTCTACGACCAAGGTATTGAGGCCTTGTCGAAGTCTGCGGCGTCTATCAATAATAGAATCCTGGATGACAATAAGTCGATGACACTGAGTGATCTTCTCATCAAGGTTCGTACCGCGGCTCCGCGAGATACAATTTAGGGATCTGACCTAGACATAGCCAATTCAGCGTGTGTGTAAATATCCGCTTCTACTCCAGGATTTGTTGAAACACACCCCAATCAGTGATTGCCCAACTTCCCATTATGGGATTGGAGAAGCTTTAGAAAATATCAAAGGTCCAGTAAACTGCATTAACTCTGCAGCTGGCAATCCCATTGTCAAGGACCGAATTCAGAAGACGATCTTACTACAAGAGCGCCTGGGCTTCCCAGAATCTGTAAGAGCTCATACTATCTCTTGTGACACTCTAGTTGCTCATGCAAGATGCTGTCTTAGGAAACTCTCAACGACGTCTACAAACAATTGGGACCAATGATAATTTGCGGTGTTCTTCATGTTACTTACCAAGAGCCGGAGCTGGTCATGGGAGAATACATGGTCTGCGTTCTGTTCAAAGGATACTTTTTTCTTGCCAAAGTGGGCGACGATAATCGAAGGCTGCAAGCCGTAGCATGCTTGTATATTTCCGATATAATGGTCGAGGCACTGAGAAATGGGAGAGGTAAGATGAAGCTTCCACGCTTGTCCGCGGGCCACATACTGATAGTAAAAATAGGTCTTCACTGCTATGGGTTGTTTTCATGGAAATTGACGTTCTCGGATCAGGATGATAAGTTTGAACTTATCCTAAGCGCGTCATCGGCAGCAGAGGAACGGCAATGGAATACTGAGATGCTCAAAGCTGCTGCTGCACTGACCGACATACCAAAACTATTGTCGTTGGAAGCCAGAAGATATTCTTTCGTGGCGCTGGATTTGGCTCCTTTGAATCGCGCGCCTCATCCGGGGCGCCCCCTGGCCCGAAGGTCTTCTACGCACTCGCTAGCCGCCTCGCGTATGAAATTCAACCTGCAGCAACATGTAGTCATCAAAAAAACACATTGCCCGTATAGATTTGATGAGGCCGCATATCAAGCCAACAATGGTGAAATGGAGCGACCGAAAATCTCTCCTTCCCCACAGTCAGCCTGGGTAGTAGCAACCAAAAGGCAGGATCGGGTTCGCTTGGAGAAGTTGATTTCGGAAATATACACACGGGATGTACTTCCATTTCCTGGCTTGGTTATGAAGAAAGGCGATATTCTCTTCCGATCTGGTGAGATTATGAGGCGATTGACCACTCGCCCGGGTTTCACCAGGCGTTCCAGCTCTTTGACCCTGCCCAATACCACTCCTGCCCCTGATGCCCCCCTTTTGGAAAGCTCTGGCAACATTAAGGAAGACATTATTGACAGTAGAAGGCACGATGTTCCACCAGAAGGGCTTGAAACCGATGAGAAATATGTTGTTATGCTAGAAGCTTCTCCAGCATCGACCATACGGACCAAGCGATCTAGACAGAAGGGTGTGCCAAAGGAAGCTCCCAATCCAGACATTCCCTCAACGAACGAAGTTGACAGATTTCATGGAGCTTTCACCGAGAATACTTTCTGGAGAAGCCCACGTCTGACGGGCATTTTCAATTCCCTGTCCAGGAAACCAAAGAAATCTCGCCCAAGCTTGGGCTTGGGAAGTGGAGCATGACGATGTTGATGATGCAACTGGGGGTGGGGAGAACCCGCAGTCATTGCATGATTGCATCAAGAGAGGAGTCAGGCACAGCAATTTGTTTTTTGCTTCTGGGCGATTCGATAGCGGTGGGGATGAGGTGGATGAGGTGGCATACATAGTATGGCGGGCGCTTGGCAGGACGTAATATGACTTATTGATACATAACATCATTAGCAAGACCCAGAAATGGCGAGAATATCGTTGAGACAGCTCCCCACACAACAGCAGCAGTAAGCAGCCAACCGCAGTTCCCATGATTCCGGTGGCAGGGAAGCAATCATTTGGATTCCTGGACAGAAGTGGAACCTGGATATGTAGATCGAAACAAGGGAAAGAAAGCGATGACGTCGCGGTCACTGACAAGTTGGCTCCAGACGGCCATATTTAAAGGGCGATGCTTTCAGCGTCAACGAAGAGACATCAATTACAGAAACCATTCTCTGCTCAGAGTTCACTCGATTGCATTTGTCTTAACTTTGCCTTTGGCTGAATCTTTTCCGCAACCAAAACCTCCTCATCCCACCGTTTCCCCACCAAACAGCTGGTGACGTCATCCACCATCATCTCACGCGACCTTTACTTTCGACTCTGAACCTCCCAGAAGTTATTTCTTGAGAGAATTCCATCTTCTGGAGCATTATCAAGTCAAGGAAAAGACACCAGAACCTCACAAGCCTCGAAAACAACAGCAATATGACTCGTGGAAACGCTACCAACTCCAAGGTCTTCTACAAGGGTAACTCCGAGGACTTCATTGTCTTCGTCGATGACCCTCAAATCCTGGAGAGCTGGCGCAAAGACCGCTCTATTGCTCTGGCTCACGTTGTGAACGGCTGGAAGATCTTTGTTACTCACAAGTAAGTCAATTACATCGAGTTTCAAGCAGACTAGATGCTGATCATTGTCCCCTACAGACACGGCACTCAGGGTATCCTCGATGGAGCCAGCAAGGGCCTTCTCGAGACTGAGTTTGGAACCTCGGACGAGGACGAAATCATGAAGCAGATACTCGAGAAGGGCGAATACCAGGCATCTACTGTTCGTCTTCCTTCTCACCAACCTCAATAGCTGGATACTGACGCTTTTCCTCAACAGGCTCGGGAGCACAACGGTGATCGGGACACCAGAAAAGGTCCCACCGGCGTCACCCGGTAAAATACCAACTTGCAACCTATGGCATTGGCATTTTTCTTCTTTCCTCTCAGCCTTTCTGAGATTATGAATCTCTTATGAAACTATTTGCTTTTATGTTCACAATGAGCGGGCTCTGTTCATTTCGCACAGCGGGGATGTGTTATCATGGATGGAGCTTATGGACATGGATATGCTAGGGAGTTTAAACTATGATGAAGCATAATAGGTGATGATGGGCTGTGCTCGTCATTGATAAATGTGACTCTTAATGAATTGCATACCAAAGCTTTCCTCTCGTATTTAATTGTCTTGTTGGTAAAATTGTCGAGTAGTTGAATTGAGTGGGGTTGGAAATATGTTCATCATTCACGTCCTATATAGTAATTAACCGAAACTGTACAACTCCAGCACTATTATGTTACCCAATTGGTAGTATCATGAAGCTATCCCACATACGATCCCCCGTTCTCTTCGCCTTGCAACCACCCAACTCCCTAATTCCTTCCATACTGCCTCCTTCTCTGCGGGCTTCATACCAGCAGCCAGCCCACTCGTTGTCGTAGCCACAAAAACAGGAGCCCCATTCCACCCTTCAATCTCCCCCTCCCCCTCCACCTTGCCCATATTCTCCGACTCATCCTGCCACCCATACCGAAACTCCTCCTTCCGAATCGCTCTCCCCTTTCGAGCCCTCCACACAGCCTCCCAGATACTTTTCCCAACCAGACAGACCGCCTCAGGACGCTGAGCGGCTATCTTTGCTTCAAGAATAGGCACACCGGCGTCCATCTCGGCCTTGCTGAGCATGCTGGCGTCACGGGTGGGACGTTCGACGATGTTCGTGTTTCCGATGTTATATAGCTCTGGCAGTCGGTATGTATCTGAGGGAGGGTGGCGGATTGTGGTGAGGCCGGAGGAGTGGAGGAGTTTCCAGAAGAGGTTCGAGGGGTGGGCGTAGGCGTATCCTGTGGTGCCGGTTAGGATGCCTGGGTTGACGCCGACTAGGAGGAGGGTTAGATTGGGAGGGATGGTATCGCGGAGGAGGGAGGTGGATGAGGAGGTGGTCTGGGTTTGGGTTTGGAACTCGGGTGATTTGTTGGTCTTTCGGCGTGATTGAGGTGTAGACTTTGATCGTGGAGAGGATAGGGCGGTGGTAGATCGAGAGCGGGTTATGCGTGGGATTGTTGGTGTGGGTGCTTTTCTCCGTTTTGAAGGTGATAAGACATCGGGCGCTGAAGTGGTGGTGTCTTCTGATTCAAGTCGTGATTTTCGCTTTGGGCGATCTGAAGTGGTTGACTCGGATGTGCTGTCGGGAGTTGTCTCTGTAGTTGCGGCATTATTATCTGACAAGTGCAAGTATTTGCTTAGTTTCCCGTTAAAGCTTGTCTTTTTATTAACAGGAACATCGTCAGAGTCATTGTCGTGTGCATTCCAGTATTGAGAATGGCTGTCTCGCACCGAGACCGAAGGCGACATTTTCTTGACGAGCTGGCGATGGCTTGAAGTATCTGCAGTTAGTTCATAAAGCAGATAATGCCAATTACGTATTGAGAAAAGTTTGCTCGATTGATGAATCACTTGTTTCATGGGATATTCTGGGCTTTTATCTCGTATTTCCCGTCATTTTGGGGGGTTGTTGAATACAAGTTTGGATGATTCGAGGAATTTCGACGACTGCTGCCTTGGATAATATAAGGCATCAAGGCAGAAGGGACGTATTGCCTGATATGGAATAGCGTTACTTTATACAATATCGATTTCACCTTCGATTTTGAATTGAATGGAGATATTCCAAGATATATTTGATTTAATTTAACTTGAAATACTGCTCAAATCAAGTATATTCACCTGCTTGGCAAATATAAAAACCAGTAGAGTGGCCTACCAACTCTTCCCTCAACTCATCCCTATATAAATGCCCTTCTCATCCGATCAATTAAGAACATTGAACTGTCCCTGCATAGGCTGACACTAGAAGAAAATGCCATCAAAACAGTCCCGGATCTCTCAGAGTTCCTCCCGATTGTACATACATAAGTCCCTGCTTGAATTGGATTGAAAACACTTCGAGACCACAAAAGCCTACCTTGGTATATGACCTCGATGCAGTTTTAGAACTGGCCTTTCGTTATTGAATATAATCGCGTACTGACAGGCTGCTCTTCTCTCGAACCGGTAAGTATGAAAAATTGATGTATATGTTCAGATGCAGATGAGCTAACGAATTTATAGCTTCAACGTTGTCGATGGCGCCAGCGTTGCTGTTCAAACGACTAATGCCACAGCCAGCCTAAAATAAGACTGGAACATCAACAACATCTACTTGAGCCCTGTCGCTCATATCTCAATTAGGGCTGGTCCCCAATCCGTCGGCCGTGAGCCACGGCCAGTTTGTGTCGCGAAAAAAAAAAAAAAAAAAAAAAAAAACGCGGTCAACCAATGCCGATACCTCATCGCTGGTGTCATTCTTGCTATACTCATAGTCGAAGAGTCGGAATTGCCCGTATTCAACATGACTGGCAGAAACAGCAGATTGATGGAGGGCGCGTTTCAGCTAGATTAATGGATCATTCCATCTTCTCTTGGTCAAAATGACCACAAAAGCCCACGAGGCGCATGTTACGTTGCATAAGATGATTATCAACACACATACTCCGGTGGAGAATGTGTACATGAAACTCCATCACTGGGACAAGCCGAGAAGCATGGGTTGACTATTCTGGAAGCACTCCGTGGTAACTAGTGAATTGCACTTTCATGTATTTGAATTCTAGTACGGGACTATAATACATAAATTTGTCTTGGATGAATATATCCCCAGCGCCAAACATCTCTTGAGCCAGTCAATATAGAGAGTTATTTATCCAAGGACAAGTGTTCATCGTAAGCGATGAACCGGGAAAGATCCAGTGATATCGAGTCAGTCATTATATTAAGTGTGCGTTGGTATCGTAGTCGTCGTTTCGTAAGTCGTTATTTTGTACAGTGTAGATTTTGATAGCAGGATAGCATGAGCTGCATGCTATGCTCTGATGATTTTTGTTCGCTTGGGGAGGGTCCATGGTTCAGGACATACAACCTAGTTGACTGTTAGATGCTTTGGTCTTTTTCTCGTGTAACTTGAAACCAGAACATACCTCGCCCTCACTATAAGCCCAAAAGTACACCGCAACCCCGACAAGGTAGTAGATAGCCGGATCGGTTCCTTGGTAAAGCAGCGCAGCAAGCAAAGCGCTGAGTGGGTATAATATCAGACGAAACTCGATGCTGCGATGGGGACCTGATCCCGCGAATGGCTTGAGCGGCCATTCCCATGCCAGACCGAGAAGGCCCATAATCAGGTTGAGGATCTGGAGGACGGGGACTGGTGCGACGGCGCCATTTAGGTTCTTGGACATAAAGTCCCAGAAGACTTTTGGCCAGATGAAGCCTTCGATTGCGCTTCCGATTTGGTCTGTAAGTGTGTTGTTAGTTTTTGGTCTGGGTTGTTTAAAGGGTTCCTAGAGGGGATAGATGGATGGACGTACAGGCTGCAGCAGTGAGAATGATTAAACGTCCCCAGTGATTCTTGATTAGTCTTCCCATTGCGATCGAGATGGATGCAGATGGGGAGTGATGGTGGGAGTCTTTCGACCAGCGAAAGAAGCGATGGTGACGAAAATTTGGAAGAAATGAACTGATCGGCCGCCTGCAGATAGCGAAAGCTTTAGATATATAAGAGGAGTCGAGGTCGCAGGGGAAACGGCATGGCAAGTGGAGAAGAAGAGCTAAGAGCAGTGGACCATTCTGAACCGGGATCGACCAAAATATCACAGCCGATCGATGCGAGGTAAAGGTAGAAAAGCAAGTCGAGGATAGAAGAAGGCGACGGATTCAGGGCGTCCGAGGGAGGGGAAGAAGAAGAAGGATGACCACAGGATGGTCAGTGACATGAATTTCCAGACCTCCAGCCAATCAAGACCAAGTAAGACGGACAAACCCCTCGAAACCCCTCTTGGCTTCTTCACGGACACTCCGAGTATGACTGTTAATTGGATGGAAGGGGCATGCTGAAAGTTGTGACAGAACAGGGAATCCCTGCACCTTTGGCCCTGGTTGGTGGAGAGCTAGGCGCGATGGTGGAGGAGCAGCGAATGAGAGGGCAGGGAGAGGGCCGGCGCGTGATTCTAAAGTTAAAAATGCAGGAGATTGACGGGAACGACATTTTAGCGGCCGATGCAAACTGGGCCACTTCCTGTTTGGGCTAGGCTGGATGTGAAGATTGAGGGGATTCAGTCGGAGGTAGAATATGGCGGTAAGTGAGACAGTAATAAAAGGAGAGATGGGATTAGGTAGGTAGGTACCATGTATGGTGTATAAGAGATGAGAGGTAGATAGAAGAGCCATAAAATTCATATTCATCAAGTACAGATAAAATGTATTGTTATCAGATCATCAGTCACACCGTCTTTTGTCTCTTGTCTTGATCGATCAACATCGTCACTCATAAAAATAGGTGGATGTGATGAGCTGCATATCATGCAGGCCAAGTGACAAGGTCCTCGTATCTCGCCTCGTGTCTTGAATGTCTTTCTTTCTCGGACTTGTCTTCTATCTTCGGCCACAACGTGACCCAGACGGACCCAGCAAGTGCTGTACCTTAATATAATGCCCACAGAATGACAAGCATTGCAGCTATATTTAACAGCGGGATAAAGCTATCTGCACCAGAATAGGCGCCAAGAGCAGAAGGGCAGTTGCTCATCCGCGACAATCGGCTCTGATTGGCCGCTGCGATGTGATGGGAAGCGCTTGCAGAACGCATCTGATAGGCCTGTGGTGTTTCTCCATCGCAACGACGGATTTGAACCGGACGGAATCCCCCAGTTCATCCTGGATCTTCAGTCTTTTGCTCGCTTCTCTCTGCTGGTGGAAGCAAATCATCTTGGATTACGCCGGCACGCGAATGGGCGATATCATGATTCCTTGGCTTACTTCTATAGGTGGGGAATGATAGCGTTGGAAATCAACCATCCCAGAACAGAACCACATGGTTTACTAGGGAGTTTCCAGGATATGAGAAGGAGGAAAGAACCGAGAAGAAGGAGGGATGAAATTATACCCACAGAGTCATGAAAACGAGGGAGTTGAGGAACTATTGATGTGATAGTAGTGGATGTCGCAAGCGTATTGCGTGTTGACTCTGAGATAGAGCACTGAGCACAAGCCTCGCGATGACTCTCGGCATCATAATACGAGGTATGAGATACAGGAGACTGACTCTAAATAATCTATCTCCTCCATAGGAATGGCATCATATGATCTAATAATACTCGACATAAGCACATGGGGCGATGGTTGGCAATTAACGACGTCAAGACGACCAAAATAAACCACAGATGAAGGCCGTTTTTAGGGCAGAGCAGACAGCCTGCGGTGATTGGTCAATATTCACCGTCTTTCCTTTCTTTTTCGCCCACTAGCTCTGGAGACTAACTCAGCAACACTTTGTGGTGCTCCAGTGGACGGACGGTGGACTCTGTCTTTTCCCACTTTCCTCTCTCCGCCCCTGCAGGCAAACCAGCCAAAACCACATCGCTGGATCTGCTTTCTCACCTCGTCTTCCCTTTCTCACTTCCATACCCCACGTCTGCATCGTTGCTTCATCTTCATCTTCTCAACGGCCGGAATGCTCGGGAATTATGAATGAGTCGACTCTCATTCTCGCCCATCCTCCTCCAGCATCGTCCGTTGATCTGGTCCGTCTCCACAATCTGGACTTCCCCAGCCACAATTTCTCAACACCAACACGCTTTGTACAGACACATGAAATCATCCAGAAAAAAGAAATCAGAAATCAGAAATCCTGCATTTGAATTAATCGCAGAAACATTACGATCGAAGGAAACTGAATTACATCATATAATTTTGCGACAACACATCTCACTCAACTTGACGAACTGTTCTGAGCAAACTGCTCTCTCAGCAACGTTAAGAACGTGAAAAACCAAGTTGATGGAGTTGAAGCATCGATTATCTGCGTTTGAGATCATTCTTTCGACTCACGATTCGAGTGTCCTGCTTCGGAGGTCTGGTCTTAAACGAATACATTCCTTTGTTCTGTTTTTCTATTTCAACATCGCTGGTCGATGATCAACATTTCGTTTTCTTCAGGATACCCATATCGCATTTCCTTTCTCCCAGACTTGTCAGAATGACACACGCCTGGGGCTCTTATTTTACGGGTTCGAAGATTTGGTTCTACATAATCTTCTGGGGTATTCATATCGGCTTCTTCGCCGCTGGGTGGTATGTGACGGGTTTATAACTGGTATAGGTACTTGCTGACTCTTGGCTAGGTATATACAAGCGTCGAATGACAAACTGTACGCTCTTAATGTCTTGAAATATTCGGTATGGTTTTCGAGAGGAGCCGGTCTAACCCTCTCCCTCGACTGTACTTTGATCCTCCTGCCAATGTGCAGGAATCTTCTGAAATGGATAAGACCTAGGGTTCGATGGTTACCACTTGATGAATCCATATGGTTTCATCGCCAAGTGGCATACGCCCTGCTTATATTCACCATAATCCATACCGCTTCCCATTATGTGAAGTAAGTCAACTGGCCCGAAGGTGTTTCAATTTCTAATTCATATCAGCTTTTACAACGTGGAGAAAGACAATATCCGACCCGTTACGGCGGTTCAGATCCATTTCACTGAAGCAGGCGGAATCACCGGCCATGTCATGTTGCTCTGCATGATGCTGATGTACACAACCGCCCACCATAGAATACGGCAACAGTCATTCGAGACCTTCTGGTACACACATCATTTGTTCGTCCCCTTCATGCTGGCTCTTTACACTCACGCCACCGGTTGTTTTGTCCGAGACACCACCCACCCAATATCGCCACTCGCAGGTAAAAAGTTCTGGAATCATTGTCTTGGGTACGAAGGTTGGCGGTGGGAGCTGGTAGGAGGCGCTTTCTACCTGTTCGAACGACTCTACCGAGAGATTCGATCCAGACGCGAAACAGTGATCACCAAAGTGATCCGTCATCCATACGGTGCGTGGAACCACTTCATAAAAACCCACAGACATCTCTAACAATGCATTAGATGCGATGGAAATCCAGTTTCGCAAGGCCAGCATGAACTACAAAGCCGGCCAGTGGCTTTTCCTCCAAGTGCCGGAAGTGTCTAGCAACCAGTGGCACCCCTTCACCATTACTTCCTGCCCTTTCGATCCCTATGTCAGTGTCCACGTACGCCAAGTTGGAGATTTCACTCGAGCCCTTGGTGATGCCCTAGGATGTGGTCCAGCGCAAGCGAAGGACCTAGAAGGGCTAGACCCTATGGGAATGTACGAAGTTGCCCTCGAAAATGGACAGAAGATGCCTAGGCTCCGCATCGACGGCCCCTACGGAGCTCCCGCAGAGGATGTATTTGAAAACGAAGTTGCAGTTCTCATCGGAACAGGCATAGGCGTTACGCCGTGGGCCTCTATTCTCAAAAATATCTGGCATCTGCGATCTGGCCCCAATCCACCCCGTCGTCTACGTCGTGTCGAATTCATCTGGGTTTGCAAGGATACCTCATCCTTCGAATGGTTCCAAGCGCTCCTCTCCTCCCTGGAACACCAATCCGCCTCCGCCGCCGCAAGCCAGGGAAGCGCCGAGTTCTTGCGCATCCACACGTACCTCACCCAGCGGCTAGACCATGACACGGCGGCTAACATCTACCTCAACTCCGTCGGCCAAGATCTAGACCCGCTCACTGAGTTGCGCAGTCGAACCAACTTCGGTCGTCCCGACTTCAACCGTCTTTTCACTGCTATGCGCGACGGACTGTACGACCAGACTTACATTCCCGGCCTCCAGAATACAGTAACTACCGAGATAGGAGTGTATTTCTGTGGACCGAACGCGGCAGCTCGACAAATTCAGGAGGCATCGAAGAGTTCATCGACAAAGGATGTCAAATTCAAGTTCTGGAAAGAACACTTTTGATTCGTTTTAGTACATAGGATATAAGAAAAAGAAAGATAAAAATTAACCTGAAAGTAAGTAACGGCCTTTGTAATGCTTATGATTGATGAAAATTTTTTTTTCTCTTTTTTCAGTTTTCCTTTTTGGATTCGTTCTACTTGGTGTATGTATGTATCCTCTAGCCATGTCTCTTGCAATGTACTGTACTATACCTGGTAAATATTTGAGTTTTTCCCCCGCAGAAGTATTCAATAAGACTTACAAAGCGAAGTAACAGTAATGTTTGCTTTCACACATAAATAAATCTAACCCATCAGATTAAGAAACCTAGAAAGCTAACAGTAACAACACACATTATCAACGCATCTTTTCATCCTCACTCTCCGCATCATCAGGCATATGAATCGGTATCCCCGACGAAGTAGTAGTAACTTGCATATTAGCCACCATTTCATCCAACTCATTCTCAATATCCACATGGACTCTCAACTCCTTCTCCACCAAAACATTATACACACGACGCAGTTCATCAAAGCCCATTCCGTCGCCCTTCCTTGGAACGTCGCCGCCGTATCGATCGCGCACGATGTCAGCACGGAGATGGGTAAATGCGAGCATGATGAGTTCCTTGGACCAGGGACAGGCGCGCATGCCGCGGTAGAAAACGTCCTTGGCGCGTTGGATGTCGTTTCGGGAGAGCTCGAAGAGGATGTAGAGTTTCCAGAGGGAGAGGTTGGAGTGGGCTGTTGAGTTGTCGTTGGTTGTGCGGCTGGCTTGGGTGGATGAGGAGGATGAGGGAGTCGGTGAGCCGATTGCTTTTTCGAAGGCGGCGCGGACGGAGTGGAGGGTTGAGCCGGCGTAGACGGGGCGGGTCAGTTCGGTGTAGATTGAAAAAAGGTGTGAGGTGACTGGGACCTTTTGGTGATCGTTTCGGGAAGGAGTTTGAGTGGTTATGTCTCTGATGACGTCCCTGACGCGTTCTTCGATGCGGAATCGAGATTCGTTCCAGGCGAATAAGGAGAGAAATATGGTGTTATGGGGAAATAGGGATATGCTTTCTGCCAGGAGAGTGCGAATGTGATATGGCTTGTACACACCACTTGTTTGGATGTGGTAGTAGATTAGTTTTGATCGGGCTTGGTGTAAAAGCTCCAAAGTAAAGGGCTTGAAAGATTGAGCGTTCACAGGTAGTGAGGATAATCTGCTGATTGCTGTAGCATACGTGTCGAGAGCCTTGTTCAAATCCAGGGAGTTTGAAAGATACGAGACTAGAGCTAGACAGTCTGTGTATGCCACGAACACTTTCGGTTTTCTAGTAGCTAGCGTGTTCTCTTGGGCTTCTGTCAAAAACTAAAGCAAAGTTAGCCTGGCACTTCGGGAGACATAAGCCATTGCTACTCACACTGCGTATCTTGAGCAAGTTAGTTGGACTGAAAGCTGTTTGAGTTGAGGCTTCGGGGAAAGACTTGAGGTCAACACTGTGCTGAGGTATAGAGATCAGGAGGCGGCACGCCCGAGCCATGTCTCGAGTTTCCAATGCTTCCCAGATCCATGTACGCCAGAGAAGACCACTGCCCGTCCTGTCGCGGTCTGCAAAGGTCTGGCTCATGGAAAGAGAAGTCGCCCAGACATGATCAGCGGCCGTATGATTTCCAGAGCGGCGTTCTATCAATGCGTAAGAATTGTAAAGTCGCAAACTCGTTGATCTTTTCTTAAGCAATGACTTGGCATATTTCCTGGCCTCCTTGCCATTGCACGCAAATTCCACGGCAAGTGTGTACTCGGCGAGGTCTTCGTTCGCCGGGTTTGCCTCGACTAATAACCGGAGCGTTCTCCGAACCCAGTCGTTGTCGATTTCAGATCGACCATGCAAGGTGGCTTTAATCCACGGTTTGAAAGATGAGAACCATGATTGGGAATCCGCGAAATAGGTATCCAACGTATGAATGTAATTCTGAAGAGGGAAAGAGGTTGGAGAGAGCGCAGAAGTTTCCTCTGATCTTGAATCCATATTTGGAAGCCAGTCATCGAGTGCAGCGTCTGGATTGCCCATCAAGTCATTGCTCAAGAAGGCATCCCCGGCCCAGCGACTTGTCGTCTCCGCATTTTCGGGAGAAGTCAAAGGAGGAAGGTGGCAGAAATACAAGAAGCTGTCGATCAGCACATCGCCAGAGTCGAATCCCCAGAAAAGGGATAGGTAGTCTTGAAGATCAGATGAAATTACCACACGATAAGGGTCGTTGTCGTCTGATTCATCCAAGCTACGGGCAGGTACTCGAGCATTGAGGACTCGTTCTCTTTCGCATGTTACCCACGATGCAAATATAGATTTCAGGTTAATGCGGTTTACTGCGGTAAACTCCCTGGGCTCTATAGAGCTACTGCTCCCACTTTTCCAGCCCTTTGCACCAACCTCTCCAATGCGAGCGACTTCTGACTCCCAAAATTCAATGAAGGCCGACAGTGCTTTGTTTTGGTCGTTGCTCAGATCAAATTCCGGCTGAAAGAAAGTCCATTCCAGGATAGCTTGCCAGAGACCAACAGCATGTTCTGAAAACCCTGATTCTCGAATGAACAGTGTTAAGCGTAGAAAGAGGTAGTTGTGAACTTGAACCTTCTCAGCGCCCTCGGGACTAGACCTGTTCAATCTCAGACAATCAATGAAAGTAGCCATACATCTTTCATAGGTGAAATCAAGAAATTCGGTTTGTCGAAAATCGAGATACCTAACCCAGAGACTGACAAATTGGGAATTCGACTTCAATACGGCCTGCCATTGGGCTGAAAGCTTCTTGGTATCCCACAGCTTTGCGCCTTCTTCCAGCAAACCTATTAAGAGGCGATCTTTAGCTGGACTCTGCCCTGCTCTCTTCAATGTCTTTTCGTATAGGGAGACTTTGATATCCGCCAAGCTCTTCCTTTCTGCGTAGGTCAAAGAGCGAGATTCTTTCCCAGCGCCCCTGAGAAGCGAATCCTGGTGATCGATGAGCCGGAGCCATGCGTCGATATCGGAGGGATTTCGTTCAGCATTTCGAGACAATTCTGCGTTAAGTTTCCTGATTTCCTCATCAGGGTCAACGCGATGGGCTTCATCCTCCGAGTCCGTATCTGACACTACCTCCAAATCGCTAGGAAGGTCATCCTCAGGCTTGGCTTTCCCATGAATCGAACGGTAACCATGTTTCTCGTTATCTGAGTCGTACTCTCCTAAGTTTGCTCTGAACTTTTGCCTTGCAGACGTGGGGAACGGCAGGAAGTCTCTTGAGGCTTCGACTGCCGCATCCGAAGTAGACTGTTGTCGCACGCGCAGAAGCTTGGTTTTCTGTTTACCCAATCCTGACAGTACACTCTTCGCTTTGGACCTCGTTGCATCTGTACGCCAAGCGTCCTTCCTCAGGACAAGAGCGTCCCCTTCTGCTGTATCTCGGTCGATTTTGTAGCTTCGAGGAAGCCCAAGCACGTTCCCTCGACCCACCCGGTGGTACTTGGGAACACTGTATCGATGTAGTGTGCCATAGAATAGGTTATGCCTGTCACCTTTGAGGTCCACGACATATAAATCCGATGCTGCATCCTTCAACTCCCTCACGGCAGCCTTCGGCACCGGCAATGGTTCGGGGGTAATTTCCCTGCTGAGACGGACATCCCTCCTATGCGAATGACGATATTCCCGACGTCCTTTCCGTCGCTCCCTGGATCGAGAGCGATCGCGATGGCTTCTGTGCCTTGAACGTTGGCTGGACCTTTCATCGCGGTGGGCGATCTCGCGACTGCGGCGTTCGGGAGGCCGATCAGCTTGCGGCGGAGGAGCTGGAGGAGGTTTGAAGCTGGCAAACCGCGGGATTGACTTTTTTTCCTTTGGAATATCATCAGCAATAGGTCTAGACATAGGGTTTGTAGAGCTGAAAACGCACCTGCGAGCCAGAAGAATCCATGCTCCCAGACGTGAGGCATCGTGAGTCTCAAGTTCGGGGGCAGTTGCTTTGGCTGGAAAAACTCCGCTCCCGTTCCCGCATTTTTTTTGCATCAGAAAAAAAAGTTGCTCCGAACACCAAAAACCACCCAGATCGCGACGGGGACCACTTGCGAATTTGGCCTAATTTCCCTTGGGATACAGAGAATTGATTGCTGAGGGATGGGTGTCGTTTATTTCATTCGATAAAAAATTTCCTCCAAGATGGCCTCGTCCCTCTCCGCGCAGTTGTCGCAGATTGCGGCAAAGTCGACCAACCAACTGAATCTGAAAGCGCAGAGAATCTCGCATTCGCAATCCCTGATTTTCGACCGGAAAGTTGCTGGATCTCAGGATTTTGAAACGATCTACCAAATATGCTACGAAGGCTTCCAGGAGCTATGCACTCTCGAACCACGATTTGCGGAGTTCGACCGCACGATTTTCAGCGAGCAAAGCAAGGCCGAAGATCGAACAGAGATGAACGTTGCTCAGAATAAGGAACTTGACGCAGCTATAGAGGCTTTTCTTGCCCTTGTTGGAGGGAGATTATTACTGAGCCCTGCCATCAAAGCTGTTGACTGGCTTGTGAGACGATTCCGGTGCGACAACGACTCTCTGGACCCATGCTTGAAATCCTTGTAGTCTGGCTAACATATTGTGCAGAGCTCACGAATATAATACCGCTTTTATCCTTCTTACATTTCTTCCGTATCATACCACTCCTCTGTTTTTGAATCTACTTTCAATTCTTCCCGACGATCTGACTCCGACTTTCAAAGTGCTGAACCCGTACAAGAGGGGCTCGATGAACCCGCCTCGCCATCCCCTTGTGCATAGTGCAACTACCAACAAGCCTTTCTTCGCCGCTTTGAACAACTATGTCCTTCAGGTTAGTCGGCAAAAGGCACACCACCATGCGCTTTTGTCCTTCTGGGCCGGAATCGTGACGGAATCTGTGGCAGGAATGCTGGACTCAACACGCTCAGGCCGACGAAGTGTCGAGAAAGAAAAGCACGAAGACATTTTGCTCCGGGTGCTTCCGGTTTTGAACGATGGTTTCGCGATGAAGAAGGTTTCGGAACTGGTCATTGGCTGCTACATGGTTGCCGTCGTCCTGGCACAGAAAGCTTCCCTTCAGGACAATGTTCTTGATGGTTTGATGGAGGCTGTTGTAGGATCTTGGACAGAGGAGACAGCAAGCTCTGGTCTGATATGCCTGTCAGTTCTGGCACAACAGAAGCCGGAGACGACAATCCCAAAGAAGGTTTTCAAGGCCATCCTTCGATTGGAAGACCTAGTTCAGCAATTGTCTGAAATTTCTACACAGTACCCGACGTCCCATTTATTACTTGGCCTTGTGGCTGGGTGCCTCGATGATCTCCACAGGCAAAAGGACAACGCACATCTTGATTTGCTATCCCTCGTGTTCGAAAACCAGCTTCTGGCGGAACCTGATATGAGCAAAGGAATGGCTATGGTCATTCATGCTGCCAGCAATGCCAATAAGAATGGCGCAATGCCTTTGGACGTTCAGACACATATTGCGGACTTGGTCCAGGAGTTTAGCCGATCAGACTCTCTGCAACCCATTTTCCAGAAGACCCTTGCCGAGTCATCTGTCGACGTTTCCGCCTTGGAGCACAACTTGCAAACGGTAATCGAGTCTCTTCCTGCGCCTCCTGCTATCGAGGACGTGGAAATGGAAGATGCGGAGAAGGAAGATGAGCTGGACAACTTTACACCTGCTCTGGAATCTTTGGCCGGAAAAGGCCTGTTCGAAAAGTCATTCCTTAGCAAACAGTCTATCGGTGTTTTCGATAACCTTGTTCAAACTTTTGCTCTGGCTACTGGATCACAGGATAAAGTTGATTCTTTCATCAACCTGCCAATCCTGGGTAAGGACAACGCGACAAAGAGCCCGCAATTTCTATCGTTCTTTACCAGAGTTCTTTCTGGTCCATACCCCCCTGCCACAAGGGTTGCCGCGCTTAGCACAATCTACTCTGTGCTCAGTTCAAACTCTGATGTCGATATTGATTTCCAAGCAATTTTGCCATTCTTGATCGTTGCCCTCTCCGATCCGTCAGAGCGGATTCGTCGGGAGACTGCAGGTGTTTTGGCGGTTATTGGCAAGCTTTACAAAAAGAGCAAGAAAGACGACAGCCCATCAGAGAAGCTTTGGGCTTCTGAGGCGCTCTATGGCCAGGAAAAGCAATCGAAGAACATCAACTGGCTCTCCGGTCGTGACGCGCAGAAGATCTTCGAACGGGCGTTGCTTCCAGGACTGGAAGAATATATCCTCGACCCTGGCCACATCGGTCGAGTATTGGAAAACACACTTCGAGGAACCTCGGCCACTGAGGGTTCGACTGAACTGAAGAAGTCTGTCCGCCTGAACCTCTTTACCTTCCTCTGCTCTCATGTTGTTCACATGCCTCTTTTTGCTCCTAAAGTTGGCCTATTGAAGATCCTCAACCGTATCGACAAGAGCGGTGGAACCACACGCACCAAGGAGCTCCAACCTCTCTTGGCCTTGTGGCGCCAGGTGGGCGAAAAGGAGGCCAAGGAAACTTGTGAAAGTGAACGCCTCTCCGTCTCCGACGTGGAACAGCAAATCGTTTCGATTGTCACTCCCAAGGAGAAAGAAGCTATTACTTTGCTCTTGTCTAATGTCAGCCCTGCTTCTGAGTCGTTGCGACCTTCGTTTGTGGCAGCGATTTTCGGTCGTATGAGAGAAGTTTGGGCCGCTGTTCCCGAAGAGCGACAGGTCGCTGCTTCAGAGAAACTACTGGACATTTCCCTTGGACTTTCGGCCGCTGATATGCCATTGGCCAGCAGCTGCAGAGATCTTCTCCGTGTTGTCGAGCTCCCAGGACCTGTTCTGTTCCATTTCCTTCAGAAGATCCCCGTCTCTCTTACTGACATGGAAGCCCTCGGACCCGCACCAAAGCGGAGACGTACGAGTCAGAACAACATGGTTGCGATGACTGTCAAGGACGAAGCAGGTCTCAGCAAACTCATGGAGAAGATGACCTTTATCCTCGAACTTGTCGATAGCTCAACACCAGAGGCCCATCCGGAGCTGGCTGATGGGCTGTTCCAGACCCTCGCTGCCCTTCAGCACTTCAAGTCTCAGATCCAGTCCGGAATGAGCTATCTGCTCAGCTTGACCCTAGGCAGTCTCCTCGCCATTATCAACCGGTCGAAACAGAGTGCCAAGCCTCAGTTTGACACCTCTGTTATCCGGGCTGACTTGGTGGTTGATTGCGTTCGGACCACGGAGAGCCCTCAAGTGCAAAACGCAGCCCTTCTGCTGGTGGCAGGACTTTCTATCATCGCACCTGAATTGGTTCTTCACAGTGTGATGCCGATTTTTACCTTCATGGGTTCCAGTGTCCTCAGAAAGGATGACGACTACTCTGTGTCGGTGATTGACCAGACAATTGACCAGGTGGTCCCAGCCCTTATCCAATCGTTGCGCAACCAAAAGCGTGATATTGTTTCTGGAACATCAGAGTTGCTTCTCAGCTTCACTGCTGCCTTCGAACACATTCCTTCTCATCGTCGCCTGCGTCTGTTCCATGCTTTGATCACAAAGCTTGGAGCACAGGATTTCTTGTTTGCTGTTCTTGCCATGCTCGCAAACAGGTATTCTATGGAAAAGGATGTTTTGGCCTTGATGACTGGCTTGGTTTCCGACACCAGCTCGATAGTCGAACTTATTGTATGTGTTTTCTCATCGTTCTATTCCCTCGTCCTTGTTTACTGATAATTACGTACAGACATACAGCAAATATTTGGATCTTGTGAGCGACTCGCTCAAAGCTAAGCCCGGCATGTCACAAGTTCTGCTTGGGATCGGAAGCGATGATGGACGTGAGCCCCAGAAGGTTGCGATTGACCTGCTGCGAGCATTGGCCCATTTGTTCAAGCACTCATCCATCAAGTCGAAAATGGCCGATGACTTTGCTTCAGAGGATGAGGAAGTACCTACACAAATCCGTACTCTTTTCTCTCGGATTTTGGAGCAAGTTTTGGCCATTGGTGAAGCTACGCAAAACATCAAACCTGTCAACCAGGCCAGTGGTGATGTTCTCAGCTCATTGTTCGGCACTCTCTCGCTCATCGATTTCCTGGATACCATTGAGGTATTGCTCCAGCGACCGAATGATGAATTACGGCGCAAGGTTCTTCGACTATTGGAAGGCCGTCTGCGCCAGAATCCTGAACGTGATGGTGCGTCGCAGGTTAGGATGCTGGATTTCTTGCCTACGCTGGTTCGCATTGTCGAGTCATCGCCAGACACTCTTCTCAAGCATGCCGCCGTGTCCTGCATCGACCGCATCGCCGACAAGTATGGCAGAAAGGACCCCTCCAAGGTTATTCCTGCCGCCATTGTTGTTGCTAGTGAATCCTGCATTGGCCAGGAAGATGACCGCATTCGCATCATGGGTGTGTTGTGTCTTGCATCCATGGCGGAGGTGCTCGGACAGTCGATGATTCCCGCGCTTCCCCCCACTCTGAATCGGTCGCTGAACTTGCTCGAATTGAGTCTTGAGGATGGCAAGGAGAACACCAGACTTCACGATGCTGTTTATTCCCTGTTCTCTGCCCTCTTCACCCACCTTCCCTTCATGATTTCCGCATCTCATTTGGACAAGGTTCTCCGTCTTTCTTTCAAGTCCGCTACATCTGAGATTGATGAGAGTGGTGATGAGAACAGACAAGACACGCTGAAACTTATGGCCAGAAAGATTGACATTAGCTCGACTTTCGGTGCAGTTGATCGCAACTGGCAGCATGTTGTTGAGGCAGGACCGGAAGCTACCAAGGAGATAATTGAAGTTGTCAGCGTCGCCGTTGAAAAGCACCCCAAGTCTGCTGTCATGAAGAGCATCACTCTCCTGACAAACATCCTTTTCAAGGCATTCGATCTGCGCCGGCAACAAGTTTCACTTGGAGCACAGGCCATTTTCGACTACTCCGATCTCGATGAGATTGAAGCGGCCGTTAATGACGTAGCCATTAAGATGATTTACAAGCTTAATGACACCACCTTCCGTCCCATCTTCACTAAAATGCTCGAATGGGCCACTAATGGCTTACCAAAGAAGGATACCCAAGGCAACTTGTCGCGTCTGACGACGTTTTACAAGTTCTTGGAAGTGTTCTTTGGTACCCTTCAGGTATGTATTTTCCATAATTACCAACACCCTCTTAGAATCAATTATCTAACCGAATGTAGTCAATTGTCACTGGCTATGCAAGCTACATCACCGATAATGTTGTTTCCGTCCTTGGAAAGGCCAGTCCCTCTAACAAGGACTCCAAGCATCTTTGGTTGGCGACCCTGCGCATGCTTCGCAATACATTTGAGCACGACCAAGATGGTACGTACCAGCCCTTATTACGAATACTGGGATAGACAACTAACTTTAATAGAATTCTGGCAATCACCCTCCCACCTGACCCTGATTTCCAAACCCCTTATCTCTCAGCTTGCCCACGCCACCAACACCCCGTCGGCCACTCTTGTTATCACCGAAGCTATCCCTGCTATTACAGAGCTTGCTGTCGCAGCGGACTCAACAGACAACCACAAGGAACTGAACACCGCCCTGATGAAGTTCCTTCGTCCATCCACCGGGCCCAACGCCAAGTCCGCAGGAGGCGACAACCCGCACACTCGACTTGCCGCATTAAAGACCGAGCAAGCCCTCACCGAAGCCCTTGGCGAGGAATGGCTTGCCCTTCTTCCTGAAATGCTTCCTTACATCAGCGAGTTGATGGAGGATGAAGACGAGAATGTTGAAAGGGAGGTCAGGAAATGGGTTAAGCAGATCGAAAACGTCCTGGGAGAGAAACTGGATGACATGTTAACTTAGAGGTCGAATGGGGGGCTTGATTATATATGATTGATTTCCTTATGTCTTTTCCGGACGAAGAAGTTACGTGAATCAGGAGGTTGACTGGTAAACAGCATTTTTGTGGCGTTGCAAGATTTTTTTGAAAAGGGTTATTTTTTACTATTTTCGTGCAAAAAAGTTTGGTCGTTAAATAATGTCTTGTAGGTATAAGATATCTGTTTTCTGTATCTATGTTTTTTTATATTCCATAGATCACCAGCGAGAAAGCTTCTGAATAAATTCTCTTTCAAGTACAGGGTATTCCAAGAATGTCGACACATGTCACATATCATTCCTTCGGACTCTTAGTTGGGGATTGTATGGTCTTTTGCTTCTACGCCAGCGTTCCATCTGTACCGTGAGGCAGGGTGATCGGACGGAGGTCCAGATTGGCCTGCCTTTCCGTACAGATTCTCACGGTATGTGCCCTTGTTGACAGCATAATCATCATGGAACAGTCCCCGGCGACGAAGCTCGGGGAGGAGGAGGTTGATAATGTCCTTGAACGAACCGGGCTTGACAGCATACGCCTAAAGCAGGTGTCAGATTTCTATAGCCCTCAGTGTTGGCAGTCGCACTTACCAGATTGAATCCATCCACGTCGGCCTCCTGCACCCAGCGTTCCATGTAATCTGCGACTTGCGCCGGTGTGCCCACTGGAGTTGCGCCTAAGCCACCAACGGTGATATGTTGTCCGACGGTGGATTTGGTCCATTTAGCAACCTCGGGTGTAGCTTTAGACCAGCCTTCAACAGCCGAGCTATAGGAATTCATTCAGAATAAGATTCAGTCGGCAAGGACACGGAATCACATACCGAATAGCATTGCTTTCAACATGGCGGAGTTCTTCATCATCACCATACTTGTCCAAATCAATACCAGTCCAGCCACCGAAAAGCGCAAGGGCACCGTCTATCGAGCCCAGGCTTCGGTAGTACTTGAACTTCTCCTGGGCCTCTTCTTCGGTGTTGCCGATAACAGGACACAAGAGGGCCAGGAATTTAATGCTCTGGGGGTCACGCCCAAATTCTGTCTGAGCTAGTTGGCGAATCTCAGCGACATTCTTTGCCACGACTGAGGGGCTGTGTCCTCCAACAAAGATGGCTTCGGCGTGTTGGGCTGCAAATGTCTTTCCGGCCTTTGATGTTCCAGCTTGAAGGATAACAGGGGTACGTTGGCGACTGGGCTGGCAGATGTGAGGTCCAGGGACGTCGAAATATTTGCCAGCATGGTTGATTTCTCGAATACGGGATGGGTCAGTATAAATTCCTCGCTCTTTGTCCAAGACTACGGCATCTGAGCGCCAGGATGACTCCCACAATTTGTAGGCAACTTTAATGTATTCTTCGGCGACAGCATATCGGTCATCGTGCTAGGCATGTCAATATTTTGATAGATTTCCTCATTAAACATATGGCTTACCTGGGGCTGTTGAGCGTGGCCCAGGTTTCGAGCTGCGGAGTCAAGGTAACCTGTAACAACCTGAGGATTGATCAGTTAAAATTCATATTTAGTCCTCGACTTGACATTCTACTCACGTTCCATCCGACACTGGAGAGGAATCATTAGTCTATAATTATGCATAGGATATTATGGTCGAGCTTACCGTCCTTTAGTTAAGTGGTCAATTGTTGATAGTCGCCTGGCAAGGTGGAATGGCTGTTCATATGTGGTCGTAACTGTGACACCAAACCCGATATTCTGTGTTGCTGCAGCCATGGCTGGGATTACTGCTAAAGGCTCGTTGACCGGCCATTGAGCACCTGAGATAATGGCTGGATCAAGGTTTCTGGGTCCTTTGTAGACATCATAGCCCCCTAAAACATCTGCAATGAAAATTCCATGAAACTTGGCAGACTCGAGGAGCTTCGCAAGTTCGATCCAATGGTCAATGTCGTTGAATAAATGCGATTCATCCTCGGGGTGTCGCCAGAGTCCAGGGGACTGGTGACCACTACCTGTTGAATAATTAGCAAGGAGTGCTGGATAGCTTCTTAAATTCATGGCATACACATCTCAACAAAGGCATTGAGGATGAAAGACTTCCGCGGCTTAGCGGCAGACGAATCACCGGCGGTAGACATGATTAACGATGAATGTGAATATTGACGTGATAGACTTGTAGGGCAAGATCTAGACTATGAAAGCTAGAAATTGGTGTTTCCTGGGGAAAGACGGAGGGAATATCTGAGGCGATCCTTGTCGAATTCAAATCATTGAAGAAAAGCACGAGTGGAATTCATCCTGATATGTATTTATCGCATCCAGAGAAATCCTGGATGGCTGTTCCCCTCTATTGCCTGATGTAATTCCCGTCAACCGACGGTGTTTCTGGTCCTCCATAGCATCAAAGTGGACCACGATGACGCGATAAGAGACTGAGATGAGGGGCTCGAAAAGGAACGGCGATCATCCTTAGGATTCGCAAGGACCAAACAAAGCTTAAGGCGAACGGCCAAGCAGCTGGTCTGGTTTATCGATCGGGGTTTTGCGTGTCTCGGGGTTCTCTGGGGTCGGTGAGTGGTTGTCGGAGGAGCGAAAGTCGAGGGCTGTGGATGGTTTTCTGGACGACTGACTTTCCCTTCCCAACTCGGTGCTTCTCCCAGACAACGACATCAGCAACCACCATCACGCCATCCCCCCCATGCATCTCTTTTCACACGCGCACATCGATAGTTCTGGGTCGGATCATAAGCACGAGACAGAAAATGATCCTTTTCGAGGCCATTCTCCAGATGGTCACTGCGTCGGTGTCTGGATCAGGACCAACATGTCCGATCCTCAACCAAACCCTGCAACTTTAAATTAATTATCCAGGTTGCTGGGAAGGCAGTGAGCACCTCATATCCATCTTCCATCGTATCACTGTGGGGCGCAGGACACTTATTGCCTACAGATATGCCGAACAGAGACTTCATACCGTTCGACCGGGCAGACCCCCCTGTCTGTCCAATACGCCTACCGAAGCATGGGGCAGGAAGACTTAAGTCTGCAGGGACCCCTCTAACCAAGTGAATTCAATCTCTTGAGATTTGATGTGGACGCTTGCATTGCACACTAGATCGAAGGATCCATTGCATTGGTTTCAAATCTGACATCCTTGTTTATTGCCCAACATGGCAGAGCTTCATGCTCGCGGTGGCGATACAGCCGTGCAGCCTCCCCTCTCACAGGCTGTCGGATATGTCATTGTGGTGGTGGTAGGGCTGGTAGTTGCTTTTGGTATGTTTGTCTATGCAGCGTCGTTTCCAGGCTAACATGGTCAGTGATGATGCTTATCACAAAGCTTCTAAAAAAGACGACAGGAGAGGACAACAAGAAGACAGAGATGTATGTTTATACATAATGTTCTTTTGACTTTGCTAATTTTCATAGGTTCATGACTGCCAATCGAACTGTACGAACGGGGTTGACAGCGTCTGCTGTGATATCGGTGTGTACAAAATCAAATTAAAAAGATAAAATACTGATGTATACAGTCGTGGCTTTGGACGACGGCCTTGTTGGGTTCATCATTTGTTGGCTATGACTACGGAGTATCAGGTCCGTTTTGGTTTGCTGCGGGTTGCAGTCCGATGATTGTCTTCTTTGCCTTGCTGGGAATATCCTGCAAGAGAAAGATCCCCGAAGCGCATACCTCTTTAGAATTGGTTAGAATTCGCTATGGTGGGTGCAACGTACCGAAGGTGGTATCGTGTGCTAACCTTCATAGGACGAGTGGCCCATGTCGTTTTTATGGTCTTGTGTCTGGTCAACAACATCTTTGCCTGCGCAAATATGCTACTTGGGGCTGCGGCTGTAATTTCAGCCATGTTAGTCATTCTTCTGTCTTGAGTATACACAGTACGCTAACAGCACCAGGACTGGCATGCATGTTATTGCCGCGACATTTCTACTACCCGTCGGAGTGACTGTCTACACTTTTGTGGGTGGAATCAAGGCTACGTCAGTACTATGATCTATCTATGTGACGATGTCTAACTGGATAATAGATTCCTCACTGACTACTTCCATACGACCATTATACTGATCATCGCCTGCTACTTTTCGGTCAAGGCTTTTACCTTTGATGGAGTCGGCTCAGTGGGAAAACTTTATGAACTGCTTCAAGCTGCAGCTTTGCGCCATCCAGTATCTGGGAATCATGACGGAACATACTTGACTATGACTTCTAAATCGGTAGGTGTCGACAGTATTTAGTCAATATGTGTCTCGCTAACGCGAATTAGGGAATTCTGTTTGGGATTTTGCACATTTGTTCCAACTTTGGTCTGGTCATCGTAAGTAGTCTTTTTGTGATTGAAAAAAATCAGACTAACACCCCCAGATGGATACAAGTTATTTCATCAAAGCCTTTTCAGCCTCTCCCTCGGCAGTTGTTCCAGGATATACAATTGGAGGTATCATGTATTTTGCAGTTCCATGGGCACTGGGAACCGTGATGAGCTCGGTGGCAATTGGACTGGAGAATACACCTCAATTTCCTACATACCCACGAGTAAGTGCTATAATTTTTCTGCTGAACACAACTGACCACAACTGACCTTTGCCAGAGAATGACAACTTCTGAAGTTAGCGGTGGTCTCGTTCTACCATATGCAGCGATTACCATAGCCGGTAAAGGAGGAGCAGCGGCCGTCACTCTGATGACATTCATGGCCGTGACCTCCACACTGTCTGCCCAGGTTATCGCCGTCAGCTCAATTCTCAGTTTTGACGTTTACCGAGAATACTTCAAACGCAATGCTTCTGACAAGGACATAATCCGATCCAGCCATTTTGGAGTTATTTTTTTTGCTGCCTTCTCCGCCGGGTTCTGCACGATGCTGCATTATGTCGGTATTGACCTGGGTTGGACGCTCTACATGCTTGGTAAGTACATCTGCATGATGCATCTGCATATCTAACTTTCTTAGGCGTCGTTACCTGCCCTGGTATCTTCCCCATGGTTTTCACCGTCCTCTGGCGTCGTCAGAGCAAGGCTGCTGCTATCCTAGCGCCGGTCCTCGGGATGGCAACAGGAATTGCTGTCTGGCTGGGTACTGCGCACAGATTTTACGGAACCGTCTCTGTCGCTGCGACGGGTCAAATCCTTCCTTGTGTTTATGGCACCGTTGCCTCGGCATTCTCACCAATCCTGTATTCAGTCATCATCACCCTTGTCAGACCACAGAACTACGACTGGTCCGAGTTCAAGAAGGAAAAGCTTGCACTGGAAAAGTTAGAAAGCGACCTGACGACTGTCCACGGTGATGCTGGTGAGAATCCCGGCGAAGGACACCTCGAAGACGGACAGACCCGGTCTTCTGCGTTTGACGCCCAGGAATTAAAAAGATGGGGTCGCATCGCGGCGTTTTGGTCCGCTGCTACATTCCTGGGTCACTGGGTTATCTGGCCATTGCCGATGTATGGATCGAATTATGTGTTTGGAAAGAAGGTAAGCGCTCAGTCTTCCCATCAGGTATTGTAGCCAATTCTCACTATTATACAGTTCTACTCCGCCTGGGTGATCGTCGCCATAATTTGGATGTGGGGAACGATGCTTGTCGCGACGTTTTATCCGATCATCGATGGCGGTATCCAGCAAATCGCACAGATCTACCGGGGACTCGGAAAAGACAAGAATAAGACTATTGAGAGCGCGACACCATCCGGATCATCAGTTGACGAGAGCGCACGGGTTGAGCAAACAAAAGGGGAGAGCGAGAAATAGATCCATGACATCGGCGTACTATCATACCATACGATGTTTATATACCGGGAAGACTGGAGGAGGTTATGTTTAATGTTTAGTTACTAGTATTAAACCGTGGTTCTAATAAAATCACATCATTCATTCATTACAAAGTCTATCGGACATTGACTTCAAGTCAACTTAAACCAAAACAAAACGCCAATGCTAATCCAATGCCGGTGCCAGCTCCAGTCAAAGCCCATAAACCACCCAATATCCAGTACAGCCCTAACAATGATAAGCCTCCTTCGAGTGAGGCTCCGAAGAGAGAATAAAGTTGAATAAGTATGATGATATTTTTACGCTGACTGGGGCTGTATATTTTGCGATGTTTCAAGATGATGAAATCTCGGATCTTATAGATCTGAGGGCTAAAGATGGGGTCTGATGTCTGCGATATAATTAAATGTGATGATACTGGGCTGAGATCACGTCAGATGGACTACGATAAATTAAAAGTAAGCTTAAAGTATAAGTAGTATAATTTAACATATTTCAAAAATTAATTATGCTCAGCCAAATCAAATCTGGGTATATAACAAAATATATCAAACAGACGCTTAATCCCAACTCCATCCAAAGGCAACCTTTTTTTTCTCTCTCAAAGATGTGAAGAAAATCAAGCACAAGCCGTGCGCCCCCCAGGAGCAGAATAAGGCGTCGTGGCACTCATCGTCGACAAAATCCCCCTCGAATGAGCACTCACAACAGGCCTAGTGGCCGAGTACTCAGGCGGGGCGATCTCCACGGCCGCAGCGGCGGCAGCAGTAGCCGTATAATCCACATACCCCGGGGCCGGGGTGGAAGGAGGGGCGACGCTGCGGGGATTGAAGAATTCCTGGTCGACTTCTTCCTGGGTGATGATGTGGACTGGGGAGGAGGGTTTCGTGGCCTTGTCAGCGGGCGGGAGGGAGGTGAATTGGATGGGGACGCTGAGGGAGGCGGTGGGGGTGAGGATGTGGGCGTTGGGGGTGTGGTAGGAGATGCTGAGGTCGAGTTGGTAGACGCGGGAGGTGAGACAGGAGTGGAAGGTGGGGACGAAGGATTTCTCCTTGGGGAGGGAAATGGGGACGACGACGGACGCGGTGTAGTAGGTTGAGCCGGCGAAGGAGGCAGAGGGGCCGGTGAGGGATTCTGCGGAGGAGTTGGATTGGAGGGAGTCGCGACGGATGAGGGCGTTGGTGTCGTCAGCGGTGGAATGCTTTGTCCACTGTGCGGATGCGACGCAGAGGGTCGACAGCGGGATGGTCTCGTTGTACAGACCGCGTCCGACCTGCGTCCAGAGCATGGTGCCGGATTGGTTGGGATAGTCGCTCCACGGGATGGCGCTGTAGTACGTGGTGGCCTTGAGTTTGCTCCAGACACTGCCCAGACGGGGAGGCTGTTCGTTCCCGACGGGATCGAAGCGCAGATGGACGGTGGTGACGGTGTTGACCGAGTCGGGGGAGGCAGTGGTGGGAGCAGGCAGTTGGATGGGTTTGGGCTGGGAGGTGGCGACGACGAGACGGCCCAGTTTGCCTCGCATGAGGCCGCGCTTGACGTCTTTTTCCTTGCGCAGGCAGTATGTGCGATCGTCGTCGGCGATGTTCAACGGGGGCTCTTCTTCGACGACAGGGACGACGCGGACTTTTTTGCCCACGGAGACGACGGTGCGGATGTGTTCGCCCTGGACCGCAGGTCGTCTGAGGACAGTCGCACGAACGAGATAGGAGATCTGGCACATTTCAGGCGTCAAGTCGTCGAGGAGGGATTTGCCGTTGCTGGCGAGCATGGGGTCGCCCATGGTCGGGGGCAGCAGGGTGTGGGACGATTCGACATGGGCGTTTGTCTTCTGGTGCTTGCAGACTTGAGGCAAAAGACGATCGGGCACGACAAACTCAAAGGGGAAGCGATAGGAGCGGCCACTCTCAAAGACCCGCGGAGTGGGATAGGCCGAGCGGTCGATGGGCTGGCGCAGTTTGAGAAAGGTCTGGTAGGCGCCTGTTCGCCCAGGCATGGAGACGCGTTCGACGGTGGTTCGCGAGGTTCCTGATCGAATTAGTTTGATTCGATTCAGAGGAAGCGTGAAGATCTACAAACCTTCCAAGGTGATGTCGATCTCATCGAAGCGGACGTCATGATCGACGGTGATGTTGACTGTTCCAACAATGCGATCTCCAGTGGTGTAGGAGTTGACGAGGCCTTGTTTCTGGCCAGCAAGATCAATCTGGACTTGAGGACGAGAGCGTTTGGTGAGAGACTCGAGGGTGCTGGAGCCCCGAGTGAGGATTGAAGCTGCCATTGTGTATACAGTATACAGTATAGTATACAGCAATATAGTATACGACAACAGAGCGAACAATATACAATATACAGTGATAATATGATATGAAACAAAGAAGAAAAAGGAGAAAGAAAACGAGAAAGACAGAATATAAAATAATAGAATCCAGGGATGGCCAGAAGCCGATGGGTAATGGATAGACACGGCGTGTGGGCCCGTGACACGATGGAGAATTTTATATACACTAGGAAGAGCATGGAGTATGAGGATCAGAACAGAGGATTAAATAGCTCATCTTCGTGATGAACATGATGATAAATATGATGCTATCTGAATACGAATCCTCGACCGTGACTCATTTTCTCGACAGCACGTGGTGGTATAAAAATGCGATATGGAATCAGACTGGCGAACCAAAGCAGAGCCGACCAGAGAAGCAGAAAAGACAAAAGAGAAGCCAAAAACAGAGCGACGATCGCCATTGGCGGGAATGGAGGAGTTGTTCCTACGCCCTTGGATTGACATGCGCCTTTTGATCGACAAGGCGTGACTGTTCATTGTATTCGTCAGCAGCATTCGGGATAGTATTCGGATGATGTTTGGGATATTTGATGATGTCCAGAAGAATATGCATGTTCTATTATGTCGATGGAGGATGTGCATCAATAGTCCATCCCACCATTGCGGCGAATCTCAATGGTCAGAAGATCAGGGATAATCAGGAGATCAGAGATCAACAGGAGACGTTTGACTTTATTCAAATCCAATATCGATTCTATTCTTATTTCTGGTCTTCTTCTATCCTATTCTCCTTCTCTTGAATGATGAAATATGATGAATCCCCTGGGCCGAAGACTTTCCCGATCCTTTCCTTGTTTCCGTTCGGAAGAACATTCTCTTTCCTCTTTCTTTCTTTCTATATTTCTATCTTCTTTTTTGCCCATCTCTTTTTTATTCTTTTGATCATCTTAATTGTTAATCATATTGCTTTTGACGTTTCATAATAATAATCTCCCGATATGTTACGTTGACTAACCATTTGCATCCCACAGACAAACCCCGTTACACCACATGCACTCTATACACCTACCCAGTCCACACGGCATACCGAATCCACTAACTAAACAAAAGAAAAAAAAAACCCCCCATCGTTCCTGATGAACTGATTTTAATCTCCGAGACAATCCAGCCAGAAATCAACCAAGAAATAACGAGAATAACCGCTGCCAAACGCTTCTCTTCTACACTAACAGAGAGGGTCCTCGTCGAAACTCCAGATTTTTCCGCCCGTAACCGAGCATCCAAGCTACAAAATATCCTGTTTCGACATGATGCGATGAGGTGATTAACATGCCATGAAAAGAAAAGAAGAGAAGGAAAATTCTGCAATACTCGTCACTGGGTTACGTTTCTTACTAGCGGTCTAGATATATCATATGTACTCTGTATATTCATATAATATATTCATATTCACCAGAATGCCTGGTCAAATCCCTCCATTAGACCTTGGTATTCCTCACCACCCTTCACCCACCCTTTAATGCCGCCCTCGAGTATCAGACTCTGCATTGTGCTGTCATTCTTGGATTCCAGATAATCGGTGAACCAGTTTGCTGCTCGAGGGCCGCGGCCGTTGCAGGATCCTACATTATCATTAGCATCCATAGTCCATGTGTATCTGCACTTGCGCTGTAGACGGGAAAAGCACACCGCAATACCAAATAACAGCCTTGATGCCTCCACCAGACAGAACCTGATATAACGTCGGGATAGATGGGTAGAGAGTCTGCGCGGGGAGATTGAGAGTGCCGCGGATTGTTCCGCCCTTTCTTTATTAGTTTCTTTATCTATATTATATTGTATAGTCTATGGTGAATACCTCAAAGTCCGTCCGGCGGAGGTCAATCACCACATAGTCTTTTCTTCCCTCGTGCATCCACTGCAGCAGTTGTTCCTTGCGGATGGTCTGTGATGTGCTGCGTGGTGCTGGGAAGGCTGCATGCCACGGTTGTTCGGATTGCATTTTGTATTTATATTAAATATAGGATTTGATATGACTTGAAGTGGTGAATGAAGTTGATTATGAATAAATTTCAAGTTCAAGAAGTGGGGTAATCACAGCCAACCATCGTATCCCAGTGACATTCCCTACAACACATCTATAAGATATCTCATAATATCTCAAAATATCTACAAGATAGATGTCCCGACTATAAATTACGGTTCAGTCCGTGGCATGCGGATAGAACCGTACTCAAAGATCGTCGCGTTTCTTCTCGTCTCATACAGATTGCACTTATAGTACAACTGCATCCAGCTCAAGATCATCCGATGAAAACAGAAAACCGAGCGAGGCAAGAGACACCTCTACATATCTACCAGATCTACTAGGATGAAATGCATTAAACCTGTACATGGTTATCTAGTAGAAATTATCGGGTATCTAAAACCCTTATACAGAATGCCGATGACGCCGAATCTCTTCAAAATCAATACGCCACTCTTGTCCGCATATCCTAATTTTCGTTAGCTCAGGTCCTGTAAATAAAACAGAAAACAAACTTACCGAGATCTTCCGTTCAATCTCTCTGACTGAACGGTCAAGTTCCGCGGCAATCATCATCTTCGTATCGTTAGACAGCAGGAAATACATCTCACATAAATCCCCGTCAATGACTCCCTTGACGGGTGCATAGTAGCTGCGGTAAATCAAGTGGTCCCGTCCAGCGAGAGGAGGGTGCTGCGCCGCCAGCTGCATCTCAAGATTCTGGAAAAAGTCCACATCCTCTCGTCCGATGAACGGCACGAGCATTCCAATCGTACCCTGGAACCCTGTCCAGACCAGAATGTCGCGTCCTCCCGCCACAAGTTGCGACTTGTGCAGCCGGGTCGGGATGTCTTGAGTGTAGTTATGGATCATCAGCTCCAACCGATTCGGCGTTCCGTGCAAGTAGCCACGCTCATGAATCAGATGGGCTCCCGATCCGTCCTCGTCTGCCTCTTCCGAGATCTTCTTAGGACAACGAACCATCCAAATGTTTCCAAACTTGTCACCTCCGGCAACAGTCTCATAGTCCACCATCGTGGTCGACGTTGTCCAGCGAGGAACCGAGTCATCCACAAAGGGAATCAGAATGTTTTCTTGGTACTTGTACACAACATACGTGACACTCTCACGAACATCACTCACAACAATTCTGCTTCCCTGTGTCTGAAGATCGACAATCATCTTCGGAACAACTGGGGCCTGGCACTTTCGGAGCAGTTGCTTCATTCCCAGGTCGTAGATGCGGAGAACCGGTCCAACACCGGCAACCAGACGACCTTGGAACCCGAGAAGAGCCAAAGGAGGTTCCTCAACCTTGGTCTTGTGAATGAACTCCAGTTCTCTTCCATCTTCCTGGAATCGGTAGATATGGATGAATCCGCCAGAGGAAGACGGTGGGTTGACTGTCATATCCTTGCCAGTTCCCACAACGAGGAAGGTTTCGTCATCTTGGCTGGTGAAAGGAACAGCAGCAACGCTCACGGCCGCCTCATTTTCCTCAAGCTCAATTGTTGCGACCACTGCCTTCTCGCTAACGGGATCGACAATTTGAATGCATGAAGCCCAGTGACCGGTGGCTCGGGGATGACCAAATTCCTCAGCTGGAGGCACCTCAGTTTCGCCATTCCGCGCTTGAGAATCTTCAATCAATCTCGCCCTTGTCGAGGACGACAGGACATTGTTGTCCGATTCAATGACATAGAACAGCGGCTGTTCAGGATGTTTGATAAAGCGACGCGGTGTGTAAGTGAGCGGAATGGACTCTTGCAGCATGTTGTTGTCCAGTTTCTCAATTGAGAAGATCCTAGAAATCACAAGTGATTAGCAGATGTCACCGCTGCGAGACGAGTTTGAAAAGCATTGTGGTAATGGGTTGATCTCAGTAGGAACAATTGGAGATATAAAACTTAAAAAAATTTGATCCTCAAGGGTATTCGGATTTAAGTTCTCATCATACGATCGGGGGATTGGAAAAAGATACGAAACAAAGGAGGAATATACGTACCGAAGATTTTGGCCCTGGATACCAACCATGCCCTCCAAGCATTGCTCGCTGCAAAAGTTCCATCCCCATTCCAGTCCAACATAGTCCAATGGTGTCAACATGAATCCCTTGGTCTGAATGTCGGAATATCCGAGCCAGGGACGGGAGCTGAGAGCGAGAACAGCAGTCTGGCCCTTGACCGAGACACGGAACAGCTTGACAGGCTTGGCTCCCAGGAACCGCGTACGGGTATCGGAAAGCTCTCCAGTCACTTCGTCCAAAACGGTGCGAAGGTACACACCGGAGTAGAGACCGATATGCAAGTAAGGAGTGGATCCACCGGAGCTCGAATCAGCCATCGACATGATGTTCAAAGCTGATGGAGCTGACGTGAGTGCCTGGACAGACTTGTTCTCCAAGGTAGAGTCGGGATCCAAACTCAAGATGCGAACTGTCGAGTCATCACACCCAACAGCCAGGAACGAGCTTCGAATACGGCCCTCCGGAACTTCTCCTAGACTGAGACACGTCACAGTACCACTCATCTGACGTCTTTCATCGTACTCAGCGAGTGACCCGTCGGCATCCATTTCGAAATACACGATTTCTCCGGAACTCAAAGCAACCGCAACTTGGCGCTCATTTGTTGCAGCAGCCACGATGGATCGATGCTGAGGAGCAGGCCACTCGTTGACCCGTCGGTCTGCGAGGATGTGACGAATACCTCTGGGGTGAACTTGGATCAATGTGTCCTCCCCGAGCTGTTGAACTGCCAAAGTGGGTGCAGTGGAAAGGAAGCCGGTATCGGTAACTTCCTCCACGGTCTCGCCAATGCTTAACACAAGCGTGCCGTTGGCAAAGGAGAGAATGATATAGGCATCGAACTCATCCTGCCGAGTGAGCTTGGTAGTCCAAACGGCCGAAGGCACACTGGGAAGTTCAGACTCGACAATTTCTGAGACCTCCAAACCATGCTTCAATGTTCGGAAGCTACTGCGGGCACCAGCACCACAGACGCTGTAAATTTGGGGGGCATCATCCTCCAAAAGATTCACGACCTTGCTGTCAATCAACGGATTTAATGAGTTGATGCTATCTACAAGGTTCAGGTTCTCGGAGCCTCTGGTGCGGAAGAATACAGGTTCGCATGGGACCGACGGGTCCGGCGAGAATGAATCGCTGCTGAACTCAATCTCTTCATCGTCGTCACCAAGTTTCTCAAACTGGTAGAAATGGTGGTTGCCCGCCTCGCTAGCGACATAGAGGAAACCGCTCTTGAGAATCAAGAGGTTCGATGCAATAGGGACGGTATCAAAGTATTTGATTTTCAACCCTTTGACTTCACCGGTCAGCTGACCATTATCATCTTCCACCATGTCGAGCGTGAGCTTAAAGAGATCGCCGTCTTCGCTTTGGAGAAGGAAGAAGAAGGCGCCCCTCATTTTGTGCATGACACCAGCAATGATAGAGCGCTTGCGTTCAGGGTTCTCAGTGGCACCACTGCGACGAGGGATCGGCACTCTGAAAGCATCTTGGTTGGAGTGTCGGTAAGTGATATTATCCTCCGCACAAACCAAGACACCACTAGGACCATCCGCACCACCAGGAACCTGGAAGAGCATGGAGGCAGTGCGATCAACAGGGTCCAACCACTTGCGAACAACGTGGTTAAGACCAAGGTCCAGTTCATAGTAAACCAGCAGCTTTTCAGCCTCTTCAAATGCCTGGCCCGTAGGATCTTGGTCCGACTCCGAGTAGTCTACTTCAAGAGCCGCGAATATAGGGTTGTCATACCCAACATCCAAAGCGGTCATTGCAAAGACTAGAGTCTGTGGTTTGTGGGCTTCCAGTGGCGAAGAAATCGTCAACTCGGCCTGCGAGTTACGATTCAAGACATAGACAAGCTTGTTCTTCTCCACGGACGCAATCATACACGCTCTGCCCTTCGGGTCGACCAGTAGGTATTGACCCGGGACTACACGACGGACACCGGACTTGCCAAAGGTCTCGAGGTGAATCCGGCTGAACCGATTCTGCGAGGGCACATATTCAATGATCGTAATACGACCCGAATCAGAGCCAATGATTATATAATCTATACGCATTGTTCAGCACAGTTCATCGATAACCACCCAGCGTCAACGTCGCCGACCGGGGCACGTCCCAACTCCGCGAGGGCCGGTTCGGTAGGCAAGGACCGTGCTGCCCGGGGAGCTTGAAGAATCACTAAGTTGATCTTGAAACACCATGAAGGGGAAATTAAAACATACCTTTGGTACTCCCAGCTAGTCTAAAGGCAGCCAGGGTGCGAATGATACCAAAGACATCTTGGGAGTAAATCGGAGTGATCTTTCCTTGTGTCGGATCGGGACGATGGATCGTAAGCTTCGAACCCGACGCCGTGACAATCTGCTGTTCCTTGGTCCCTGCAAATTGACCCAGAATGGCTTGATTGATCGCAGTAGGGGGCTGGATCGTCAAGGAGTACATGAACATGTGCGAAGTGGTCGCCATGATGGGCGGTTAGACGGGCTTTCCCAGCCCTGAACAGGACAGACAGATCTGGATTGTTGCGACGCAATTACAGCCAAGTCGACTTTTAGTGTGAAGTCAATCCCATCGCTGCAAATAGAGGATTAAAGAAAGAGGACTCTCAGGGCCGAGTGTCCTCACGGCTAGAGTAGTGATGGTGGTGGGGGGTATGGAAGACAAGAAGTCTGTGGCCTGAAGAAGACGCGAGGTGGAAAAATTCAGGTGAAAAGAAGCTCAACGCGTGTTTGCCCTGTTTGTTTGATCCTGTGTCACGTGGGCCCAATACCCGCCCGATACGGTAACAAACATCCGGGAAGGCGGGCGACGATGGGTTTCTGCCACCTTCTGTTGGTTGCATAGCAGCAGCCGGACTACTTACGATCAAACTCCCTCACTATTGCTCACCCTCCAATCCTCTTCTCTCTCTCCCATCTTTGTCGATCTCCTCTTTTATTCCCTGTTCCACCTGGTGCAGGTCCTTTATCTCAATCCTTTTGCTTTCCCTCCTCGTGTGACGTATTCCCTCTCATAAGCCCCTCATCTACCTTCCGTTCCTTTTCCCCGCCTAATTACGTATCATGGCTGATGATACTACTGCCGGGGCGGACGAGGCGCCCATCACCTTCACCGTTAAGGCATCGAATGATGCCAAATACACACTCACTCTTCCTCCTTCTACCCCAGTCTCAGAGTTGAAAGAAAAACTTTCGAGTTCAGAACATGCGGATACACCTGCTGAACGCCAGCGTCTCATCTACTCCGGTAGAGTGCTGAAGGACAACGAGACCCTTGCCGCCTACAAGATCAAGGATGGCCACACTATTCACTTGGTGAAGAGCGCTGCTAGCAACCAGCGTCAGGCTGCACCTACACAAAGCGCTTCCACATCTGCGCCCGCGGGTGCGTCTGCCAACCCCCCAGCTGGTGGTGTGCCAACAAATCTTGCGGCCGGCACCGGCAACAATCCCCTTGCTGGATTGACAGGTGCAAGATATGCCGGGTTTGCTCAGCTCCCAGGCGCTGGCATGTTTGGTCCGGATGGCGGAGTAAGTTTCGATCATTCGATAAATCTATCTATATACCTGGCTAATATTCGCAATCAATCTTTAGATGGGACCTCCTCCTGACAGCGACACAATGCTTGACATGCTCGAGAACCCTCAATTCCAGTCCACAATCAACGAAGCCTTGCAGAATCCCGCGATGATCGATATGATGATCCAACAAAACCCCATGCTGCGCGACATGGGCCCAGGAGTGCGACAGATGATGCAAAGTCCGGAGTTCCGCCGGATGTTGACCGATCCTGCTTCGATCCGCCAGATGATGCAGATGCAAAGGGCAATGGGGGGTGGTGGTCTTGGTGGCGGCGCTAGCGCGTTCCCAGCTCCAGGAGTCACCAACACGACACCTGAGGAGAACAGAGATTCACAGAACAACGCTGGCACCACATCGACTCCCGCATTCAACCCATTCATGCCTCCTACACTTGGATCTGGCAATCCTTTTGCAGCTCTTTTCGGTGGAAACCCAAGCCTAGGTGCCAATCCTTCCATTGCCGCCACTACGGCAGGTGGAGATCAACCGGACTCCACACAGAGAGCGACTGGCAGTACCACCCCCGGTGATACCACCACTGGCGAAGGACAGAACCAGCAGAACGCTCAGAATCCCTTCAGCTTCTTGATGAATCCTGGCATGTTTGGAGGCCCTCAGGGTCAGGCCGACATGAACCCGTTCAACCCACAGCAAAACCCCTTTCTCCGGGACCCGGCGCTGCTTTCCCAAATGATGCAGTCGATGGGGGCCCAGCCAGGTGAAGCTGGAGCAAACCCCCTGGCAGCCCTTCTTGGAGGTGGTGGTCTCGGCGGCGCTGCCCCTCCCGATAACCGACCACCCGAGGAAAGATACGCAACACAACTTGGCCAGCTTAATGATATGGGCTTCTTTGAGTTTGAAAGAAACGTCGAGGCTCTGCGTCGATCTGGTGGTAGCGTCCAGGGTGCTGTTGAGTATTTGCTCAGCAACCCTTAAAACAAGACTGATGCCCTAGTGACTAGGTTTTCTATGGCTTTGTGATGCATTTGTAGGCTTTCTTTGTCTACAAAAAAAGCCTGTTCTTTCAATTACCCTATCTGCGTGCTGGTTTCTAAGGATCGCGTTGCCGGAGATGGCGTTTTCATAGCAGATGTCTTTTCTTGCACTGACTCTTATGACAGGATATGATCATGGATTTTTACTGTATTCATTGTTTTTTATTTCTTCCTTTTTTAGCTCATGAACTCTACTACCATACACCAAGCCCATTGCTGAACGGGAAATACTTGGTACAGAACTACAAATATTTCTGGAACGGCTCTAATAGCCATAAATGATATTTTCATCTATCATGGGATTCTATTCTTGAACGTAGCTAAATATAAGTATCCGATGCTGAAATCGGTAATAGAAATGGCTAGAACAATGGGACGAATCATGGTTTGACTCCGGTATGCGGACTAACCCCTTGGTGGATCTTCAGCAGTCGACCTGATAGTCGACAAGTTTCATAGTCGCCATTGCAATCATTCCTTGAACTCACCATCTAGACTACGTTTCATTTTGACGAGGCACTCGGTGCCGATTACATTCGTTACTCTCGCTCTAGTCCTCTGCGAAAAGACGGATTTTCCCCTTACCCGTCGCACATTAGACCGCTCTACGATTATAACTGCATCATCAGTGGCATTGTGGTGTGAACTGTGAAATATTCTGTCAGCCCATTATCTTTTTTTCGTCTTTTATCTCAAGCATTTGCACCCTTTTCTTTTTATACAATTTTTATAATTTTTATCGGGTTCCAGGCAAACTCCAATTTTGTGGGAGACAGAAGTGGCGATCGATCTACAGTCAATCTACGTGATCTCCGAACCCGCCACGTAGGAAACGAACAATTCCGTCCCATACCGTCCCATACCGTGTACATGCTTGCGTGATAGCTTCTTCTATCCTAGGTGGAGCGGGCAACATCCCCCTTCCGCTACTCTACAATGATGTCCACGTGGTTATTGCGTCCCAGTCAATGGACGTTATGGTTGTTGTTTGTGTCCTGCTCCTGCGCGTTCTACATCCCCGGTAGGCTTCCTTGCGCCGGCGACGCTTCTGACCCCAAGCTCACACGTTCGCTTTTGATCTGACAGGTTACTCGGTTAAACGCTATAATGACGGCGAATCCATTCCGCTTCTCGTGAACAAGATCTTCTCCGATCATACGCAGCTCCAATATGCCTACTTTGACCTCCCCTTCGTCTGCCCCCCGAGCGGTAAAACGCATGGCGGCTCGCCCTTTGGATCTGGACAAAGCATTTCTTTGAACTTGGGAGAGATTTTGCGTGGTGATCGTATTATGACCTCCGATTTCGAGCTCTCGATGGGAAAGAACGTGGAATGTCAAGCGCTTTGCACACAGGAAGTTGGGCGAAAGGACGTCAAATGGGGTCGTCAACTCATCAAGCAAGGATATGTGGCCGAGTGGATTGCGGACAATTTGCCTGGAGCAACGAGATTCGTTACAGTTGACCGTAGTCGCACATACTACGCCTCTGGGTTCAAGCTTGGATATCAGGAGTTCTCCCCCGCCGACGGAAAGTCTCGTTTCTTTATCAACAATCATTTCACCATCGTGATCCGCTGGCGCCCTGTGCCTGAAGGAGGGAAGGTCGTTGTTGGTTTTGAGGTATATCCTAAGAGTATCAAGGCTAGCGACCACGAGGCGAACGGCTGTCCTAAGCAAGTACACGAGGCCCATGATGGATTGGAACTGTACATTGCCCCCAACACATCCAGACTACGACAAAAGTATCCGGGCTCATCATATATCCCCGAGGACGATGACGAAATTGATGATGGGGCGACTTTGCAAATTCCTTACACATACTCGATCTACTTCCGAGAAGAAAACAATGTCGACTGGTCGAACCGATGGAGTCTGTATTTCAGCAACCAAGACGAGGGCTCTACGGCGCATTGGCTGGCAATTCTCAATTCGCTGACGATTTCTGGTGCCCTTGGTGTGGCGGTATACGTTATTTGGAGTAGAACGGTACAGGGAGATATTAAGGGTCGTGGAGACGGAGCGATGGACGAAGGTCAAATTAAACTTCGCGCCAAGTCGAAGAGCCGAGACAGAAAGACCAGCAAGGGTGATGATAAGAAGGGTGAAGGGGTTTTGGATCAAGGTTCAGATGTCGAGCGGGATGCAGATCTGTCTGAGGAGGAGGAAACCGGCGAAGATGTCAGCGGATGGAAGCTTCTGCATGGTGATGTGTTCCGCGTGCCAGAGTATAGTGGCCTTCTTGCACCGCTCGTTGGCTCGGGTATGCAGCTGTTATTCATGGTCTCGGGACTTCTCCTGCTCAGCTGCTTGGGTGTGTTGAACCCTAGTTTCCGTGGCGGGTTTGTCAGTGTTGGAATGGGCCTGTTTGTATTCGCTGGTCTCTTTTCCGGCTACTTCTCTGGGAGATTATATCGCACATTTGGTGGAGCCAACTGGCGGAAGAATACTTTGATTGTATGTTGTGCACTCTGCTTTTCGAATTGTTGATACTAACCATTTTAGACTGCCCTGTTCTTCCCTGGGTTGACTTTTTGTCTGATCTTCATTTTGAACCTGTTCGTCTGGGCCCAGGCTTCTAGCACGGCTATTCCCTTTGGTACATTGATTGGACTTCTTGCCCTGTGGCTGCTTATTCAAGTGCCGCTGGTGTATGTTGGCAGCTGGGTCGGATATGTGCGCGCAGCGCCGTGGGAGCATCCAACAAAGACAAATTCGATCCCGCGTCAAATTCCGCTACAGCCCTGGTACTTGCGCAGTGTTCATGGAACACTTTTGACTGGGCTGCTTCCCTTTGCCGTCCTGTTTATCGAGCTGCTCTTCTTGTTTAAGAATCTGTGGCAGGATAAGAGTGGCTACTACTACGTATTTGGCTTCTTGAGTTCTGTCTGCACGATTTTGATCGTTACAGTTAGCGAGGTAACCATCATTGCGACATACAATCAACTCTGCGCCGAGGTGAGTCTATCCACGAGTAGACTGATCCACAGATCCACAGAGCTAATGATAATAGAACTACCACTGGTGGTGGCAGAGTTTCCTTACCGGCAGCAGCAGTGCTTTCTGGGTGTTTGCATACTGCATCTGGTACTACTTGTTCAAGCTGCATATCACTGGATTTGTGTCGAGTCTTCTTTTCTTCAGCTACAGTTTATTGGCATGCGCTGTATATGGTCTTTTGACTGGGACTGTTGGCTTCTTGACAGCATATGCTTTCATCCGACGTATTTATAGGTGAGTAATAGCTTATAGGATACTAGATCCAAGGCTAACTTTGGTTTCCGACAGTTCTACCAAGGTCGATTGAAAAGTTGATACTTGACAACCCAGGGGTAAGGCGAAAGAAAGTGGAATATTTTCCCGCTACGATGAACTGGTTTATATTTCTCTCATTATCACTTCACCTGCAATTACAATTCTTGTCTCTTGATGAGACAAAGGCTGGTCTTGCTTGACTTTGTCTTTGGTCTTGAAAATCCTCTTGGTTGTAGTCAACACCTGTACCTTAAATATATTTGTTTTAGTTAGCGAAAACCCATGCAAGCATTACATTTCTGATAAGGTGTTGTGTTAAATATTGCTTACATCCACTGTCATGACATGCATGCATTTCATACTGATTGTCGGCATTGACTGCACTGCCTAATCGTGGCAGCTACTGCCTACTTAGTAGTGACTTCAACCCCATCTCCCTCCCTCACTTATCATCCATCAGAACCTTTCAACATCACTTCTCTCAATCATAATCTACAATTTATCCCAACTACTTGATTTCATTGCCGACCTTGATTCGTTCACCTCACAGTCCAGACAGCCAATCCAACCAACACACCGCAACTCAGCTCAACCCCTCATTACCTGTCACATCCACCATGCCTCCCAAACAAACAACGCCGCAGACTCATCAAACACAGCCAAAACAGATGGATCCCAGCATCGCCTTTTCAAAAGCGTACTGGAAGAAGCTCCAGGAGATGGTGCATCAGGTAGATGAGTTGAAAATGGGCGGGTATAAGATGGGGGTGTTGGGGGAGGACGAGCTCAAGAAGCTGAGACGGTGTAGGGACTGTCATGGTGAGTTGTTTTCTACTTTCTGATTTTTCGTCCATTCTCTTTATTGATATATCACATGTTTTATATTTGTGGGTCTGTTTTTTACTTGTTACTGATTGGGTAGTCCGGATTCGAGTTAGGAAGAACAAGGAGAAAAAGGAGGGAGAGAAAGACCGAAACAAGGATGGAGAGAAATGTGAAGATCAAGGAGACGAAAACAAGGACGACGCAGAAAGCGAATCAGGAGATGTTGATCAGATCGACCAGCTTGCCAAGCTGGATATTCAAGACGAGACTTTGGGGGTTTCTGCAAAAGGTGATGATAAGCATATTCAGGAGGGAGTCCAAGTTACCGTTAGCGAAGTCAAGACACCAATAGAGACGAATGGTAAGGACACTACGGATGAAACGAAAGACGGCAAGAAAGATGGACAGAAAAAGAAAAAGAAGAAAAAGACCGCGGTGTGTCAGTTTCACACGGGAAGAGTCGTGGACAAGGTATTCGTCATCCTGGAGTTGTATATCCCTGTCTGCTGATATCAATGCTTGATAGCACTTCACCTGTTGTCGGAAACACGTGTCGGAGTTAGGCTGCGTCGAGCTCGCTAAACACACTGCAATTGAGTACGCGCCAGGGGAACTAGAGCAAGAATGGGCGCTATATGAAACCCCCACCAAGGCAAAATCTCCCCGAAAGGCCGTTGCACTGGACTGCGAGATGGGCGTGAACGAGGCCGGTGAGTCTGAGCTGATACGGGTCAGTGCGGTGGACTACTTTACTGGGGAAGTGCTGCTGGACTCGCTGGTGTCGCCGTCGGTGCCGATGCTACACTACAATACGCGATACTCCGGGGTAACTCGTGCGATGATGTTCAGGGCGGAACGACGGAAACAATGCATCGCAGGGCGAGACAGAGCTCGCGAGCAGTTGTGGCGGTATGTTGGACGGGAGACGATCGTGGTGATGCACGGAGGCCAGAACGACATGCTGTCGTTGCGATGGATCCATGGGCGAGTGATCGACACGTATCTGGTGGAGGGATCGCGGGAACAGCCTCAGCCGGGGCGATCGCTGAAGCATCTGACGGAGGTTCATCTGGGGGAGAAGATACAGCAGGGGAAGGGGGGACATGACAGTATCGAAGATGCGATGGCGTGTCGGGGGTTGTGCCATTGGTACATGAGGTCTACATAGTACTTTTACCGATAAGGAGGTACTAGATACTACTAGGTAAGTATCCTCCAACCTGGAACAGCCAAGAGCCAAGAAGACGGGGAATGCAATTACTAGGAGCATTGGGAAGATGTTACATCCAATATGAACATCCTTACTTGGAGTCCAAAGGCAAAATGTCCAATAATTGGGGTGGTGGAAGTGAATGCGTCATGCCCCTTGATGGCGTGCTCGCCTATCGGAATTGCTCATCCCACGGACTCCATCAATAATCCCCAAACGCAAAACATGGAGATGAAACTAAGCAGACTAAAGCTGCCGGGTTACGTATTCTGTAGATCTTCTAGAATTCTCGTGGGGTATGCATATGGTCTTCACAGAGTATTGTATACAAGTATTCACCGACAGGAGCAGTACCCCTGTCTGCATATATAGTATATTCGTAGATGCGGAGGGAATCGGAGGATATGCATGACACCATTTCTCCTAGAATGGTGAATTCATAATACTCTATATTATTCCCTCATATCATCTTCATCTTCTCTTCTCCATCTGTATTCGATGTTTTGTGTTGTACATATGAAAGTCAGGTGATTAGTAATGTAATTTTGCTCGTGATAAGCAAGTGGGGCTATCCGGATCCGGAAGTCAGACTTGCCACGAGCCTTACCGGATTGGGACATGGAGACCCCATAGTTTTGTCGTCTAGTTGGGATTATGGATACAGCGTTATGGAGAACGACTCCGTGCGAGGTCATTATGACGCTGTAAGCGAGGTAGACTGAAAAGAGAAGACAGAGGGGAGATAGGATCAAAAAAGACAGCGTGATTGATAAGTGACAATGCAGCAGGAAAAAGTGACAGACAGACCGTGGCAAAAGCAAAAAAAATGTGATTCGTCAGTTTTGCTCGGCTGCTTTATCTGCCGGAAAATCCTCAGATCTACAGAGCACGAGAAAAAGAAAGGAGATGGATTAGATTCCGCAGAGATAGTGATTCAGGTAGATGAAGATGAAGAATGCCAGAATCAGTGACTAAGAGCATAAATGATAAGCAGACAAATATACAATCCGGGGAATTCGCAACGGATGGAGACAATCACACCATCGGATCCAGAGTGTAGCGGTGACATCCCAAGGTCAGTGATATACGCAGAGAATGCCCACGCCTACGGAGGCTTCATCGCGCATTAATACGAGTCGCTTTCCCCTCTTCTTGTTTTTGACGAGATTCCAGTGGATATTTCATGCGAGATAGTCAATAGTCGGGGCACATTTGCTGCCCTTCCGTTGCATTAATCCCCATCACACGCTTTTTCTCTTTGTTTCTTCCCCGGTTTTTTCTTTTCCGCCTCCCTTTTTTTAATAATCTTTTTTTTTTTTTTTTTTTTTTTCCTTCTCCACCGCAACGTTTGGTTCTCTCGATATAACTTCGCCTCCCTCCCTCTTCCTTTCCTCTTTTTCCTCCTCATCCTTCCATCCTCATCCTCATACCCATCCTGATACAGGAAGAGTCAGCAACCATGGCGACCAAGAAGCCCAACATCCTCTACATCATGGCAGACCAGATGGCTGCCCCTCTTCTGGCCTTCCATGACAAAAACTCCCCCATCAAGACCCCCAATCTTGACCGTCTGGCCGAAGAAGGTGTCGTCTTTGATTCGGCCTACTGCAACTCGCCACTTTGTGCTCCTTCGCGCTTCGTCATGGTGACTGGCCAACTGCCTTCCAAGATTGGCGCCTACGACAATGCCGCCGATCTGCCGGCTGACACTCCCACCTACGCCCATTACTTGCGTCGCGAGGGTTACCACACGGCCTTGGCTGGAAAGATGCACTTCTGCGGGCCGGATCAGCTGCATGGGTACGAGCAGCGTTTGACCAGTGACATTTACCCCGGTGACTATGGCTGGTCGGTGAACTGGGATGAACCGGTAAGATTCAGGGAAACAAACAAACGGAATGAATAGAGGCTAATTCCGACAGGACATTCGCGCCGATTGGTATCACAACATGTCGTCGGTCATGGAGGCCGGTCCGGTCGTTCGTACCAACCAGCTGGACTTTGACGAGGAGGTCATCTACAAATCCACTCAGTACCTCTACGACCATGTTCGCCAGCGCACCGAGCAGCCTTTCTGCTTGACCGTCTCCATGACTCACCCTCACGACCCGTATGCCATGACAAAGGAGTTCTGGGATCTCTACGAGAATGTCGACATTCCTCTGCCCAAGAACCCCGCCATCCCCCACGACCAGCAGGATCCTCACTCACAGCGCATCCTGAAGTGCATTGACTTGTGGGGCAAGGATATGCCTGATGAGCGCATCAAGGCTGCCCGCCGTGCATACTATGCCGCCTGCACCTATGTCGACACCAATGTCGGCAAGCTGCTACGTGTGCTCGACAACTGCGGTCTGCGCGATGACACCATTGTTGTCTTCACCGGCGACCACGGTGACATGCTGGGTGAGCGTGGTCTCTGGTACAAGATGGCTTGGTACGAAAACTCTTCGCGTGTGCCCATGATTGTCCACGCTCCCAACCGGTTTGCCCCCAAGCGTGTGTCGGAGAATGTTTCCACCATGGACCTCCTGCCCACATTTGCTGGTATGGTCGGAGCTCCTTTGATCCGCGAGCTGCCTCTCGATGGTGTGTCGCTGATGCCGCATTTGACTGGCGAGGAGGGTCTCAAGACCGATACCGTTCTCGGCGAGTACATGGGTGAGGGTACGCAGTCGCCGGTGGTGATGATTCGTCGTGGACGTTGGAAGTTCGTATACTCGCTGATCGACCCTCCGATGCTGTACGACCTGGTCAACGACCCCGAGGAGAAGGTGAACCTGGTGGCTGGCCTTGTGGAACCATCCAGAGTACCTGCTGTCAAGTCCGCTGTTCCTGCACAGTTGAACCCAGCCGGCCTACCCACACCTGCCGAAACCCCACGTGTGTCTCCCGTTCCCCAGCGCGGCGCTGCTGGATCCTACCCTTTCCCGACCCCGCCGCGGACCCCAAGCCCTGACAAGCTGTCAACTTCGCTGCCCAACACGACGGAACCCGCCAAGCTGTTGGCCTTCTTCTCGGAGGAGGTACACGCACGCTGGGACCTCGAACGCATCAGAGAGGACGTGTTGCGATCTCAGCGACGCCGACGCCTCGTGTACTCGGCCTTGCTCAAGGGCGTTCCATCCATCTGGGATTACGAACCTCGGGTTGATCCCAGCACCCAATACGTGCGCAACCAGGGCAAGGGAGCGTTGGACGATGTTGAGCTGATCTCGCGCTGGCCGCGTGTTCTGCAGCAGGCAGCCAACGCCATCGGCACTCAGGAGTTGCAAAACTAAAATTTCTGACGTGGTGTCAATAAGAATGACGCTTATGCAAGATTGACGATCGTCAGAGTGGACGAGTGTTTCATCGTGTTTAAAAAAAAAGCCGCCATCGTTTCCTTTTCGTTTGCATCCGGTTTATCCCGATTATTATTTTGTTACATTTTGAACCTTGGCCTCGCGATTTCAACATCAGCATCTGATTTCTACGATTTATGGTTTCAGCGAGGCGCTATACCCGGTATTGCATTCACATGTTTTTCTTTTGCTAGCGTGAATGCATTTGAGGATGTCACTGGTCTGTACATAGAGTGGCACCGGGTTGTATAAAGTTAGCATACAAATCATGATGTCACTTAGTTGCAGTTAGTATTTATCTACAGTTTTATCTACTCCACAGTCTTCCCCGTAAATAAATATCCTCGAGACTCAACAGACCAAGGCAATAATACTTTTGATCTGATCCAGTGACTGGCACGGGTTCGCTCATACAGACAGCACATATCATTTCCCCGCTTCTTCCCCTCCCCCACCTACTCTACTACTGACGCCTCTAACACAACCACCCCTACACACCACTACACAATACACACTCCTTCATATCTAACTTATCCCATCCCATCCGAAAACCCAAGGAAAAGAAAAAAAGAAAATGCCCAAAATAACAATCGCAGCCGCCCAATCCCGCACCCTCCCAACCCTCCCTGCCACCCTCTCCGCCCTCCGCCAAACAACCGCCCACGCCGCAACCCGCTCCATCCACCTCCTCCTCTTCCCCGAAGCCTATCTCGGCGGCTACCCACGCACCTGCTCATTTGGGACAGCAGTCGGCACGCGCCACCCCGTCGGCCGCGACCAATTCCTGGCGTATTTCCAGTCCGCAGTGGATTTGGGGGATACGCCGGCCGGGGCGGGGGAGGACTGGGTTCATCGGCGGTTGGCGGTTGCGGAGGGGAAGCAATTTCGGGGGGATGGGACGAGGGAGGAACTCGAGGGGATTGCGAGGGAGACAGGGGTGTTTATTGTTACGGGAGTGATTGAGCGTGCCGGGGGGAGTTTGTATTGTGCTGTTGTTTATGTTGATCCGGTGAGGGGGGTTTTGGGGAAGAGGAGGAAGGTTATGCCTGTATGTCTTACTCACAAAGAACATTTTTTGATGAAGATACTGATGATGACGCAGACCGGCTCCGAACGCCTGATCTGGGCGCAAGGCTCCCCATCCACCCTCAAAGCCGTAACAACCCACCTAAACGGTATCCCGGTAACCATCGCCTCCGCAATCTGCTGGGAGAACTACATGCCGCTCCTGCGGCAATCGCTGTACGCCCAAAACGTCAATATCTATCTCGCGCCCACCGCCGACGCACGGGATACATGGCTGGCGCTGATGAGGACGGTAGCGTGTGAGGGGCGCACGTTCGTGGTATCGTCGAACCAGTGCGTGCGGTATTCGGAGCTGCCGGCGTGGATTTCGTCGGTGGCGGGGGATGCAGATCATGGGGTGCATATACCCGGAGCGAGTACTAGTACTGGGGTGAAGCACAGGAAGAAGTCTGTTACGGCTGAGGGGCCGCATGAGATTGTTTGGCCCGGGGAGGTGAGTCAGACTCAGACTCAGGGGGAGGCGCAGGTTAGGGCTCAGGCTCAGCGTGAGTGTTTCTATTTCTATTTCTAAATCTGCTTTGCGATATATCTGACTGACTGGCTGACTGGTAGATGATTATGTTTGTCGTGGAGGTTCCTGCATTATCGATCCGCAAGGCAAGGTTCTTGCCGGCCCTATCTGGGAAGTCTGTACGGATGATGTCCCTGACTCTGCAGTCAGCACGGCTACGAATAGCATCGGAGGCACTGCGATTGGAGACGGTCTGGTCGTCTCTGAGATTGATATCGATGATTGTGATCGTGGTCGACTTGACCTCGATGTCGCGGGCAGTTACTCGAGAAATGACGCTTTCAAACTGACCGTCGAGGGTTTGGACTTGAACCCCCCTCCTGTATAGTATGTAGTTTTAGGTACAAATCATATACATTGTCATAACTCATCATATAAACAATGATTACTCCATTACATACACCGGCGCCTTGATCAACACATTCATCGGTCCCTTGCCTCGTACCTCGGCGCTCAGGAACGACGAAAATCGAATGACTCGCTCCTCGTCCTTGCTCGGTTTGCTGGCCACGGTTGGAGATCGGGGCGGTTCTGTCGGTGCACCGCCGCCCTGTTTCTTACTCATAAACGAACTGAGCATGGACTTCTTCTTATACTGCTCCCGGTTTGGTGATGGACCCGAGCTGCCTTCCATGGGCGAGGTGTTCGTCGATCCCGGAGGCGACTCGCGTTCCCCATTCTCGGCTTCATCGTGTCCTTGTCCGTCTTTGTCCACTGACACCCGTGCAGGGGGAGGAGCGGCAGCATTGGTCACTGGTGGCAGCCCGACTTCAATCTTCATGTTGGTCTCATTGACCATCGTTCCCGGCAAGTAGTATTCTATACACACATCTCGCGACTCCAGCGGGATCTTGTCTGCGATTCCAACGGCGTTCTCCACGATCATCCGCGCTCCGGCATCCAGGCCTGGTGGCGGGGGTTCTTTCAGGTTCAACTCCAGGTTTGCGACGAGCTTAGAGACCAGGTGGTCAATGAGTTGCACCCGGTTCTCGTCTGCCTTTGGTCCCTGCAGCAAGTCTGTCAACCCATCAAAGGTTGTCCGGCGCCAGTTGGAGATCCGGGCGATCGCATTCTCTTTGTCTTCTTCGCTGTAGGTTTTGGTCTGCTGCCTTCGAAGATTCATCTCGATGGCCTTCAGCTGGATGCTGAAATTGGGCTCCAGGGCAGGATGGAAGTGGCGATGGAAGATTTCGTCCACCACCCAGCGACTCATCACCGCCCGTCCGATGGCCAGCATCTCTTTGGTGCCTACGGTGTGCGCATCTTCGTTGACGTATCCAGCCATCCAGGGGGGCAAGCACTTCCAGTCTTTGCGAACCGAGAACGCCAGGTCTTTAATGGCTCCATCCACGCGGTTGAATCGATTGGCATATTCGTTGTCATCGAGGACTGTACGGGAGACTGCCATACGCTGGTGGGCCACAGTATTCTGTAGATGCTGGACCTGGGCCTCCTTTTCAAAGTAGTACCGTTTCACTTTGGAATATTTGGCCTCTAAATAGAATAAGTATCCATCCATCACTAATAGTAGGGAATAACTTACGTAGTTCATCATGCTTCTGCAACAAAGTTCGAACATCGATATCTCCATCATCCCGATCCCGTCTTTCTCTAGTCGACGGAGTCGGTGTACTCCGTCCCTGCTGCTCCTGGATACTCTGCTGCGACGCATTTCCCTTGAAGCTCGACTCCTGGGAAATAGACGGATAAGGTGAATGACCACTAGGCTGAGAATTCTGGGATTGGCCCTGACCCTGTGGAGGGGGTCCAGTCTGACGTTCGGGACCTGCCATGTCACTGGAATTCCGGTACGGAATAGAACCCTGAGGGGGAGATTCAGGACGGATGGACTGGGAGGTACTGGAAGACAAAGGGGAAGGAGGTCCTATAGACTGCTGGTAAGGGGTTCGAGCACTCAATGAAGGATCCAAACGTGGAGCGCCGGAAGGAAGATCGACGGCGGATGGATTCTGGAGTTGGTCGATAGTGGAAGTGGTGTTGGAGCGCTGGAGAGATGGGGGCTGTTGTGGTGAGCGGGGCGGACGTTGTGGTTGTTGCTGTTGTTGGATGCTGGGGCGCGAAGAATCATGTGAGAGAACGTTCTGTGGCATCTGCTTTAGATTGCTGTGTGTGTCTGGCGCATCTAAAATGCTGGATTTCTTGACAGACGAGGGCACCGGTGATGACGGTGGAGGTGGGGTTTTTTGTGGTTGTTGTTGTTGTTGTTGTTGTTGTTTGTGTTGCTGCCGATGATGATAAGACGGCCTCTTCACCGATAACCCACGTTCCAGAAAAGACGGGGTACTTCCAGATGACGAAGAGTGCAGATTAAAAATATTCTTCTTCAGCTTGCGCGGCGTCTCCTTGTTGCTAATATTATTGTCGATGGCAGGTGGTGCGTGGTGGTGTTCGTGATTGGGGGCCAAAGCCAGCTGTTCTTCGGAAGTGGGCTCTGGCCACGACTGGTCGGAAGAGTCAGCATCGTCAGACGGGCAAGCAGCTGCAGACTAAGACTAAGTACCGCAGGGACCGACGATCGGTCGGGATAGTGATTAGAATGACGATGAGTCTGGGACCGATGGACTGAGCGGGCGGGATTCGACGAGGAGGGCGGCTGTTGGTCTCGTTGAGGCGGCGGGAGCGGGGGCTGAGGGTCGTTATTGTAAACAGGAAGACGAGCGTCGGAGAACCGACGATGGTAGACGAGAGTGTCAGACGGAGGAGGGTTGGAGAGATTGTCGACGGACTTGATGGCAGAGGCAGAAAAACGAGACCGAGATTTGCTCTTCCTGCTGAAGAATGGCATGGAGAAGGGTGGGGGAGAAGGAGAGAGGGGGGAGAAAAAAAGCGCGAGGGAAGAGGGGAAAAGAGAGAGACAGAGAGAGAGAGAAAGAGAGAAAGATGAGAGAGCAAAGGAAGATCAGGATGGCCCTGCTAATTATAACCGCCCAACACGAGCTACGCCACGATGGATCGTCATGAGAAAAAAAAAAACTACTATTGATTTGATTTTGGTTGCTTTTTTGATTTCCATCATCGCCTCCCTCCAATCGCCCTATATTAACGACTCTTCTCGCACGCGAAAGCGATACTGATCCTTCTGCTCCAAATACACCACCGCCGCCCCCAATCCCGCCCGGTCGACCTGCGCGCGGAAATCGCCCAGCGAACTCGCAAAGGCCTCATAATCTCCGTAGTGGATAGGGATCACCACGTCCGGTTTGATTAACTGCATCAATTCCACCCCCTGCTTGGCGTCCATCGTGGTCATCCGGGTCATTGGCGACAGGGCCGGCGTTGGTAGCGTCGTACCACCCAGATGAGCCAGCATCAGGTCGATTTTCTTGCCTGCGTAGCGTTCGGGGATTTCCTTGAGCGTTTCCGACATGAGGGTATCGCCCGTGATGTAGATGCGATAGCCAACGGTGAAGCTGGTCTTCATCGTCCCGATGTTGCCGTATCCGAGTTCGAGCATCCAGCCGGTCGTAGGAGGGATCTATCAATCAACACCATACATTCATGGACATCATCGAATTATAAGGGGCACCAACAGCAGCCGCAAAATTATTCAACTTCTCCGTGAATCTCCTCCCCGGAACATGTCTAGCAGGCATGGCCGTGATTCGAATCCGAGGCTGCTTGGCGTCGTCCCATTTCACATCGACCATCATCCCCTGGAGCGGTTCGAGATGGTAGACCCGCGTAAACGACTCATTGCCCTTGGAGGTGAGTTCTGATTTGGCCTGGGGGGTTGTGATGATAGGGAGATCGCGACGGAGGGCATCCTCGACTTTCTTGTCGAAGTGGTCACTTGATGCATTAGTCTTTATTCAGTAGATGTGAGGGAAGAGGGAAAGAGCAAATACCCGTGATAGTGAGACAAAAGGACGAGATCGATCCGGGGTAATTCGTGCAGGTCAACGGCAGGGTTTGTCTTGCGCGAGGAGGAAATGAGAGGAGCGAATTTGGCGCAGTCGCGTTTATGGAGGAAGTTGGGCTGTTCTTCTTAGCATGTAGCATATAATAGTGAGAGTAGAGAGAACAACGTCTGTCATGATTCGGATTCCCTCCCATTCTCTACGCTATTAGCACTATCTAGCTATCTGCATTATATACCAACATGATAGTCGTGGCCGTTCCAACAAAATAAATCGATGCATTCTCGCCTCCCACCTGGAACGGACTCAGTTTGGTTGTCTTCGCATCGGGCAGTGTACTCGGAACTCGTCTAGTCACGGGGAAATCGCGAGTAGGATGCCGATTCTGGCCGAGTGCGACAGTAAAGTGTTGCATATTTATATAATTCAATCTCTTGTTCAATGTAACATAGTTCTCAGTCATTCGTTATAGATATAGACATTTTAGATAGTTCGTATACATGACGCAATAACGGCAAACAGATGATGACATATCTATCTAACAGATTCCGTGCGTCTTGCCAGTCTTTCCCTGCAGAGAGTGCTTCTCGTTCTTGTAGTGGTGGTGGTTGTGCTTGGCCTTGGCCGAGTTGGTTGCGTTGGCCTTCATGTGCACAGTGTACTTGTGCAGCATGGCCTGGTCCATCTCTTCCAGGGTCTTGAGCGCCAGCTTGATGTCAGTGATCAGAGTGTCGCAGCGGTTCATGGTGAAGTCCTCACGGACAACGACGCGCATCAGCTTCAGCTCGTTGCTGTGAGGGGCCATGGTGTAGGCGGGCACGATCCAGCCACGCTCACGCAGCTGGTGGGCGATGGCGAATTCGTCAAAGTGGCCTTGCCGGCTGTCGGGGAGACGGAAGGCGACGAGGGGCAGGCCGTGGCCACCACGCTGGCTCAGGATGATGAAGCCCAGCTTCTCCAGCTCTGAGGCGAGGTAGTCGGCGATCTTGGTAATGTTGACCATGATGGCGCGGTAGCCACGCTTACCTAGACGGATCATCTGGTAGTACTGGCCGATGACCTGCGAGGCACCCTTGGAGAAGTTGAGGGTGAAACTGGCCTGTTCCGCACCCAGGTAGTTGATGTTGAAGATGAGCTCCTTGGGCAGGAAGTCGTGGGATCTCCAAACAACCCATCCGACACCGGGGTAGACCTATAGACGTTAGATTTTCTCTACACTCACTAGGAGAGAGGTACATACCAAACCATACTTGTGTCCCGACACGTTAATAGAGACGACCTTCTCCAGACGGAAATCCCACAGCAAGTTGGGGTTAATGAAAGGAGCAACAAAGCCACCACTAGCAGCATCAACGTGGATAGGGCAGTCAATGTTTCTCTCCACCAAGATGTCATTCATAGCCTTGACATCCTCATATTCACCCGTGTACGTAGTTCCCAGAATAGCACAGATACCGATGGTGTTCTCATCCACCAGATCCACCGCCTCCTTGGGGTCAATGACGAACCGCTGATCGGTACAGTAGACATAACGCTCCTCGACGTCAAAGTACCGGGCCGCCTTCTCCCAGCAGACCTGGACGGCACTGTTCATGACGATGTTGGGACGAGAGAAGTCCTTGCCCTCGGCCTTGCGCTTGTTCTGCCATCTCTTTTTCATGGCCAACGTGCCCAGCATGATGGCCTCGGAGGATCCAATGGTCGAGGTACCCATGGGGTGCTCATCGTCGCCGGTAGTGGGGGCGTTGAAGAGACGAGCGATCATGTTAATGCAGCGGTTCTGGATCTCCGCTGATTGGGGGTATTCTTCATAGTCGATGAAGTTCTTGCTGAAAGATTCGGCCATGAGTTTCTCGACTTCCTCTTCCTGCAATCTGTTAGCATGGAGTTCAGATTTATCACAATTCACACAAGACGAACCATGTAAGTGGTGACGAAACTCGCCAAGCTGGAAACCGTTAGCATTAGCATCTAAGCAATTGACAAGACAAGTCAAGAAAGAGACATACTTGAGCATGGGGTTTCCATCCAAGCTCAGCTCATCCTTAATCATACGGTAAGCCACCTCCTTGGGCATCTCTCTGTCTGGCATCTCATGAGCAGGCAGATGCTCGCCCGCAAAGCGGGAGCCATAAACGGTGGAACAAAAGTCATCACCATCATCAGGCATGTCAAGCTTGATGTCGTCGATACGCTTGGGGAGAGAGGTGTTAACCTCCTCATCCCGCTTAACTCTGGCAAGGTGAACCATTGCGATGATATATAGGATGAAAATGAAAGAGAACCAAAAAAGATACAGAGAAATGTAAATCAGAGAAAGTCAGGGGAATGAGAGACAAAACAATCCGGCCACAAAACCGGAAATAAAAGGAGATTTTTAAAATGTCCGAGGGGGATCAACACGACCTCAGCTGAGAGAAAGAGGGGAAGCCGTAAGCCCACGCGGGCATTGCGGATGATGGGCCATCTTCCAATCGCAGGACAGAAGAGACGATAGTATGAGAAGAGGGGAACAAGGAATAAATCCAGGACCATTGAATCAGCTGGATGGTTTCAACGTGGCTCCATCTGGATGGTGAGCTGAGGTGTGGATGGAAACAAAAGGTCCGAGGGGATCTCAACTCGGCTATTTCGCGTCCATTATCGTCCCAGACCGCGAGGATCCAGTTATTCCGGCCAGATCAGGGAAGCTTAGGAAAGCTTAGCAGGTTTAGCATGAGATGCAAGTTGCAGCTCAGTGTGGCTGAGCAGGAATCGTGTCTGAGACTGGGCGACATTATTGCACGAGAAGGCCCATCGCGGGGCTCGCAGTGGAGTCGATGACGGCAGAGCGTGTCGGCAATACGCATTAATCAGAAACACCTGGCGGTGAAGTTATTCAGGTCTAGACTATAGGAGATATAAGTACGGTTGGGACTACACAGTAGTGGATGGCTCCATAATCGTGCTCTCCATTAACATTAACTAATAATCAATCAATCAATAATCAATCAATCTCAAGAACAGCCTGGTTGCTCGACACGAGAGGGGGCCTCGTATAACACAAAAACCAGGGGTATCCCATCATAGTATTGTACATCAAATAATATTATCCCGTCCTGATGCGTGATCCCAACTCATCACATCGTTCATTACCTGTTTTTTGCTTTTTCTTTCCTTTTTTTTTTCTCATGTCATGTATATAAGCGGAGCCCTCAGTTCTTGTCGCCCTTGACCTTGCGTTTCAGCCAGGACAAGAGACCACCACTCTTCCTCTTCTCCGCTTTTTCGGTTTCTTGCTTGATCATCTCTTGGGCTTTGTCCGCCTCTTTCTTGGCGAAGTCTTGGACATCTTTGGCTTCGTTCTTGGCTGTATCTTCAGCTTGTCCGGCTTTGTCCTTTGCCGCATCTTGGGCCTTGTCCACAATGTTCTTGTCTTCAGGCTTCTTAGCAGCAGCAGTCTCAGCAGTCTCCTTGCCAGTGTCGGCTTGAGCGGGTTGCGTCTTGGTCTTGTCCTCTACAGCCTCAGTCTTCTTCGATGCGGGTTCAGCTTTATCGGTTGCGGTTTGGGAAGCATCCTTGCCGGTTGATGCAGCTGCGGACTCCGTCGGCTTCGGCGCATCGGTTTTCTGGGAATCACCCTTGCCTGCGGCTGCAGCTGCAGCGCCCGCCCCAGCAACGCCTGCAGTAGCGACACCCGCGGTGGCAGGGGCGGCTGCAGTCGAAGTTTTATCTTCGGTCGGCTCCTTTTTGGCCTCGGTCGCAGTCTCCTTTGGTGCTTGAGAAGCACCAGTCTCGACAGGCTTGGTTTCTGTGACATCGGCCGTTTTAGCAGCAGGGGCTTCAGCGACAGCAGGCTTAACCTCGGTGGTGTCAGCCTTCTCAGCTACAGGAGCCACAGGAGCCTCAACAGGAGCAGCCTTGGTCTCTGTGTCTGCCTTTTGAGATACGGCAGCAGGAGTTTCGACTGGAGCGGCGGTCTTGGAAGCCTGGGGCTCCTCAACGGTCTTTGCGGCATCAGCAGCGGCAACTGCGGATGAGGGTTGCACAGGAGCAGCTGTAGTCGGGACCTCCTTTGTCAGCTCTTCCTTGGCCGGTTCTGCTTTTGCGGTCTCTGCCTCAGCAGGCTCTTCGGCCTTCTTGTCCGCAGACGATGACTTGAAATCCTTGCTGTTCAAGCCCGGGACTGTGAGAGGGTCAACTGCTGCACCGGCCTTTGCAGGAGCAGCTGTGTCCTTGGAAGACTCTCCTGTGGTCGCAGGCTCCGAAGCCTTAGCGGCCGCATCGTCCTCCACCTTGGGCATCTTGGGGGGCTTGTGGTCTTCCTCCTTGGTGAAAATGCCGGTTTCGTAAGGACGCTTCACGTGGATTGCGGTGGACTCGGCCTCTTCCGCAGTCTCCTTGGGCCGTTCGGGCAGCGATGTTTCGGTCTTTGTCTCCTTGGTCTCGGGGGCGTCGGTGGCAGGCGAAAGGATCTCCTTGGCGGTAGTATCGGGCAAGACGGCTGGAAAGAATGGTCAGTGTCTGGCGGATGCATGCATGACGGGTATTATGCTTACAAACTCCATTGGGCTCTGCAGAACCAGTCTGGCCGAGCTCGGTTTGCGCCTTATCCGCGGTCTCCTCCACGGTCTCCTTTGTGCCAGCCGCAGGAGTCTCATCGATGGCCTTGGCTACTTCTTCCTTGGCCTCGGTGGCTTGTGGCGGGGCAGTAGAGGGGGTCTTGGAGGTAAGATCGGGGGCGGCAGTTGCGGCAGGCGCATCGACAGCTTCAGTTGCAGAGGGCTTTTCGACTTCGCCTTCGTTCTTGTCGACGTTTTCCTCAACCTCGTGGCCTGGGGTTCTGAGGATTATTAGCGCGACTGGCATTGAATTGTAACTGATCGCGCAACTCACAGAGTGTTCTTAATATCCTCGACCTTCTTGTCTGCAGCAGCGGCGGCGGCGGCAGCACCACCCTTGGCCTTGCCCTTTCCTTTGCCTTTTCCTCCTTTCTTAGGCATTATGATGGTATAACCTATGAGTTGCGAAATCCAGTAAGTTGCTGTTCAGAGTTGCCACGTAGATGGGTAAAGTCGAAATGACGAAAGCGGGTCGCCGCGGGAACTTGGAGTAGGTATGGGTTGGGAGGGGGGAAGAAGTGGACGAAGAAAAAGCGAGCTTACCGTCGAATATAGATGATGGGGGAAGGACGCGCGATGAATACGAGGGATGCGAGGTTCGCGATACAGTGATTCACGAGGTGCGATGAAAGTAAGGGGCCGCGATTTTGGTATGTTGGTTAGTGAGTTAGATTAAACGGTTTCTGACCGGCCGCCCAAGATTGGGGGAACGTTAATCCGTGGTTCGGACAATGATGACCTCAGAGGCTGCGATGAGCTCCTAGACAGACCTTGGATAGGGCTTGTGGCGGATCAATTGAGGAGGAGAAGATGGGATGAAGGAAGAGGGATGGAGGGAGGGATGAGAGGGGGAGAAAGAGGGATGAACCCGTCGCAAGCAGAATCAACAGAATCACATGAGCGACAACAATAATAATAATAACAGCCAATGATTCATGCGTTTCTTTGTGTTTCTTTGTGTTTTTGTGCTTTTTACTTTCGTTTATAATTTCTAATTCTGCCTGTGATTGATTGGTTTATTTCTGAAACAGCCCTGGCCTACTGTAATTGACTTTATTTATTGTCTGCATAGACAGGAAAGATGAGAGAGAATAGACCAGATATACTGAGTATACTCTGTATCTGCAGTAAATATCCGACTCAATGCATCTCATCCAGCACCTCATAGTAGATGCAGCATATGCAGACCATCAATGCATGCATTATGCCGCGTGCCTGCATTCAGTGTGGATGCGTTCAGCCCTAAGGAGAAACACTGTTCCGGTGCCCTATTTCCGGTTTGGGCATGATGTCACGTACACTACATAGTAGACATGAATAACCTCATTTAATTTAATTTGATAAATATATCATATATACCATCTTACACATATACCATCCTATATCTTATATCCTCCGTTATCATATCCTAACTGAAACCATCAACTATGCAACATTCACCACTAAGCCAGCCTCCCTCTGGAATGCCACAGGGATAGCCTCACTATTTCACCCCTAGTAGTGACAGGGACTCTAACCCAACTTCGACTCCAAAAACTTCGCCGCATCACCGGTGTTGGCAATGTAGGTAAAGTGCGCCGCCGTGACAATCAACGTGCCATCACACACCAAGTCCCCAGCCGCACAGTAGATCTTGATCTTGTCCTTGGGGAAATTGGGGATCTGCCCGTGGTCTTGCGTCTTGCGGGTGTCGCCGAAGAGAACGACGCCTTTGATCTTCTCCTTGACGTTCTCGGGGAGGCCGGAAATGGCGCCGTGCATGACTGCTGTTCCTTGACTGTACGTATATAATATTAGCACCCTCACCATTCATATAAAAAGACAAGGGAATGTACCTGTATCCACCCGCCACAATCTTCGTATCGGGACACTTGGACGCAGCCTGCTTGAACAAATCCTGCGCCTCGGAGATGGCAGCAGGCGAGGTATTCTGCGGCAGAGCATTCTCGAACAATCCAGCCGTGTATTTGGGTCCGACACCCTGGCAGGCGACCTGGCCTGCTTTGGCGAGTTTGAGGTCATTGCAGACTGTAGGGCCGGTGGAGATACCCTGTATACAACATTAGCACGATTATCATGAACTGAGTGTATGAGGGGGCGTATGGAATGTACCATCAAACCCGGCTCAGTAGAAGCACGGGCAAAGATAAACGTGATGGGCTTGCAGGATCCATCGCGGAGTTCATTACCACCTCCAAAGAGGCCTATCAATTGTTAGCTATCATATACCATACCATATATAAACCAGTAAAGGAAGCCATACTCTGACGAGCACCAAGTTCAACCGGCTTTCCAGCCACAAGGCCAGCCAGAGCAAGGACCAACAAACGGAGGTTCATAATGACTCTCTACACGGTGACTCAAACTGAACGAGAACACTGCCCTGAATGTTCAGAACGGCAACTAGAACAAGGCCACCATCAAGATCTTATAAACCCCATACCAAGACCACCAAGAAACGGCCAAGTCAACCGTGCAGGACTGCTGCACCTGATTGGCGATGTCCTGTTTCGGATTGTCCGGGAAAACACTGAACAAACATATTTTGGGTATTCGAGAACGGGAAAAAGCCTCGGCTGGTCTAGGATAAGGATCAAGAGGGGAAGAACGGGTGATTGTCGGGTTGGTGTTGTTAGAGAGGATTTCAGGGTCTTAGTGAAGATTTTGCTGATTTTTGATCCTTTTTCTGGACTATTCCGGATGAGACAACAGGTCCGTTATCCACTGCAGTTGTGCATATTGGGTGTGTTGGATGGATATGAGGATTGATTGTGATGGTATGTTTAATGAATCTACCATCCTGATCCACAGCATCGATATTATTGCCGTCCACGTGGATATCATGTTTACATCTATCCATGATTCTATCCATACACAAAATGTCACTCAAAAATGGTTCTTATGGAACCAATTTTGGGATCAACAGGGACCAACTTTGATTGTCCGAACTGACCCGTACTAATACTAGCTTATGATCTATCTTTCCTTGGCTAAGTTACTCGGGAGAATCACGGTAGAATATCTGAAACCATGAATCTTAAAAGTTTGTATATGCATATGTATTAAAACAGTAGTATAGTAGTGTACATCAACCCAAATTCTGCAGATTGACCAATTCATAATACCTCCCCCTCAATCTCAGCAGTTCCCCATGCGTCCCATACTCCACAATCACGCCCTGGTCAAGCACGTAAATCACATCGGCCCGCTGGATCGTGCTCAGCCGGTGGGCAACGGCTATCGTGGTGCGGCCACGTGCGGCCGAGTCTAGCGCCGCCTGCACCACTTTCTCGGACTCCGAGTCCAGTGCGGAGGTGGCTTCGTCGAGGAGGAGGATCTTGGGATCGCGGAGGAGGGCCCGCGCGATGGCGATGCGCTGTTTCTGGCCGCCCGATAACATCCCGCCTTTGCTGCCGACTACGGTGTCGAAGCTTTGTCTGGGCATTGTTAGCTAGTCATATATGAATGGTGTGGGTACACTTACGGGAGCGAAATGATAAAGTCGTAGATATTGGCGTCTTTGCATGCCCTGACTAGAGTCGCCTCAGGGACGTGCGACGCATTACTCCCCAGAAGAATATTCTCGCGAATCGTCCCCTGAAACAGCGCGGGTTCCTGTCCCACCAGCGCCAGAAAGTTGCGATACGAGCTCAGCTCCGTCTTGCTGATATCCACACCATCAACGTAAATCTCACCAGCGGCTGTATCATAGAACCGCTCCAGCAGGGCAATGGCCGTGCTCTTTCCGCTTCCACTCGCTCCCACCAACGCCACGTACTGGCCGGGCTTCACGGTGAGGTTGAGATGGCGCAGGATAGGCTGTTCCGGACGGGTGGGATAGCGGAAGTAGACGTTGCGGAACTCGATATCGCCTTTCATGGAAGTGACTGGTTGGCCGGGGTTTGTGATGAGGGCGGGTTTGCTGTCGAAGAGGCGTTTGAATTCCGCCGCGGCGTGTTTGGCTTTGCCCATGTCTGGGGCGTGTGAGAAGACGGTTCCGGCGGCCTGAGCACCGAAGATGACTTCGCTGAAGCACACGTAGAAGGTGAAGAGGGAGTACTCGTGTCGTCCGAGCAGGCTGCCTCCGTACCAGAAGCCAAGAGCCATACAGAAGAATGGAAGGGCCTGGGAGGCAGCGTAGAGGAGGGAGGATTTGACGATGGGAATGACATCGTCTCGCAGCTGCTGCTTCAGCTGCAGTTTATAAGAATGCAACACCTGGCTTTCCATCGTGAGAGAGGCCACGGTATGAATCGCCGAGGCAGCCTCACAGGCCGAACTGGCAGATTTCTGGTATGCCTTTTTAGCTCTGGACTGGAATCGATCCAGCATCCAGATACGCAGGAATCCACAGAGAAGCAGAACCGGCACGGCCGAGATGCAAACCAGGGCAAGTTTCCAGCCCATGATCAACGCCACGGTCAACGAGGCGACCAGGTTGACTGAGACGATCAGCAGCGTGCCGAGAGTGACACCGCTGATTCCGGAGAGGTGTTTGATTTCCGCAGATAGAGACGACGTCAAAGCGCCCGTGTTGTTCTCTTCGCGGTCGAAAAAGGAGATATCTTGATTCAGCATCGTTTCGAATGCCTTGCTTCTGGCACGGTATATCAACTTCTCCGAACTATACGCAAAAGACGTCCCCTGTATGCCATACAGAAGGAACGTCGCCAACCCCACCGCCAGAAACATAAGACACCAGAAATTGGCATCATGGCGCAGCTTATGGTACTCAAACGCAGGAAGGGTCAACGTGCTGACTACCTTTGCGAACAGCACCGCCTGCGATGGCTGAATCCCCCCAGCAAGGATAGACACGATCAACCCCAGGGTCATGTGAAACCGTTCCGGCCGGTTAAACGTCGCAATGAACTTGATCAGCGTCCATAATGGATAGTGAGGCGTAGGCTTCACTTGATCTTCCACGAAGAGCGGCTGCTGTGAAATGAGTGACGAGTTTCGCTTCTCGATCTCTTGTCCTCCTTTCGGGTCCAGCCAGATGTCGGACGAGTCGGGGAAACCGTCAAAGTGGAATTCGGTAAAGTCGTCATCAAACCAGACTGTTCGGTTTGGATCTTTCTCTTTCTCGCCGTATGATGCTGATAGATTTTCTTTTTCTAATTCGGGGACGGTCAGCGCGCCTTTCTCTTCGTTGATGCGCTGCGCTTCCACTAGTTCTAGGTAGGTTCCTCCGAGCTCCATGAGCTCGTTGTGGGTGCCCTGTTCGGCGATATGTCCATTCACTAGAAGGACGATGTTATGTGCGTTCTTAATAGTGGACAACCGATGGGCGATGATAATGGTCGTCCGACCCTCGGCCGCCTTGTCCAACGCCGCCTGAACAAGACCTTCCGACTTGGTATCCAATGCCGAAGTAGCCTCGTCCAAGAGCAGAATCTTCGGATCTTTAACAATAGCCCGCGCAATAGCAATCCGCTGCTTCTGACCACCAGACAGCGAAAACCCGCCCACATTTGTCTCATAGCCGTTGGGGAGTGCCATGATGAAATCATGCGCGTTGGCCATGCGAGCTGCATCCTCGATACGCAGTCGCAGTTTATCTTCGGGCTCATTCTCGAATTCAGAGCCAATCAGGCCAAATTTGATATTCTCCATGATAGTCGTGGCGAACAGTCTGGGTTCTTGCGACACCAGCGAAATCTGCTGACGAAGCCATTGGAGATTGAGTGTTTTGATATCGTGTCCATCCAGGGACACCGTTCCTCCGATTGGGTTATAAAATCGCTCAATCAAACCGATGACGGTACTTTTTCCGGACCCTGACGGTCCAACAAAGGCTGTGGATTTACCAGCTGGGATGTAAATGCTCATGTCCTTCATGACCATGACCTCAGGTCGGGAGGGGTAGACATGGCGAATATTTTGCAGGGTGATGTTACCCCTCACAAAGTCCAGTTTCTGTCCAACCTCAGACGAGGCATCCAGAGGAGACGCCCGGTCAATGGTACTGAAGATCTTGGACGCAGCGGCGATGGCGTTTGAAAACGCCTGTCCGTTCGGGGCGACATTGCCCAGGTTGTACGAACCCAGAATGATAGCCATGAGAATGGTGAGAATGTCGCCGACATTAATATGCTCGCGTCGGTCAACCAGGAAACGAGATCCCATCCAGAATCCCAGTCCATAGTTGAGATACATCACACAGAAAAGCGCCCCAACCATAAACGCAAAGGTAATCTGCACCTTCATGCCATGTCTCTCGGCTTCTTTCAAATGCCCCTCATACTTCCTGGCTAGCCGATCCTGCGCTCCAAAAGCGACCACCGTCCGAATTGAGCCCAGGATATCCTCAGCCAGACTACCACCCCGCCCATAACTCTCCAGCGCATTCTTGCTAAACAGCAACGTAAACGTCGACCCACCACCCATGATCAGCACCAGCGCAATGAGCGTCGAACTGCAAATCAGCGCCAACTTCCAGTACTTGATATACGCGATCAAAAAGGCCGTCACGAAAGTCGACAACCCCGTCAGTGCGAGTCCGACCTTCTCGGAAATCCCATCCTGGATCAGATTTGTGTCCGCCGTGATCCGGGTGGTGATCTCGCCTGCGCCGAGGGTGTCGAAGAAGGCGATGTTCTGGCGCAAGATGGCGCGGAGGTACTCGACGCGGATCTTCTGGACGACATGGTCGCCGGTGTAGATGAAGCCGACGGTTGCGAGGTAGAGGGTGACGAACTCGCCGACGCCTAGGTAGACGAAGTAGACGACGTTTTCGTTGAGTTGGTGGTGGAAGTTGTCGTAGGTGATTTGGTCAGTGACGATGTTTTGAAAGGTGGAAGTGAGTCGACCGAAGAGGACCTATCTTATTAGCACGAGGATGATAAGTAGGATAGAGGAGACATACAGTAAAGACAGGCAAAGCAGCCCCTCCAGCGATCGCACAAAGTGCACTGAGGGCGATGATGATACAATCCCATCTCGTGGCATAGCGATAGATACCAAAGAAGCCAATCTGTGCAACCGGCGCATGCAGCTGCAAGTCCAGAGTCCTCTGTTCGTCCTCTGTGAGAGCGACGTCGGATTGCTATTCTGTCAGTGAAGCCATCCAGTGAATGCAAGTGAGGGGAAGTGAGGGCACACCTTGGGGAGGGGCACCAGGTCGATTTCCTCCATGGCTGTGGATGTGCTTAATCTGCTGGCTTCATTTACATTTGGACTCGATCAAGTCAGTTACGGTCGCATGGTCAGGAGACTAGAAGATGGAATCCGTTTCACAGTGAGTGAAGATGAAGAAGACTTGGAGGTGCTAGTGATGGACAGAGACAATCTGACCGGTGTTTGAAGACAGGCACGAGACAGCCAGACTAGGACAGGCCGGAATGAGTGACAGATGCCCGGACGGAATCATAAAATCAGATCCAGAAGAGGAATGGATGTTCAAGAGGAGGAACTGAGAGAATCCCATAAAATTTCCCGACGTGGATTGTCGATCCTCCCAACCTCGGTAGTGATGCTGAAAAATGGGATCATGAGTTCAGTTCAGGTCCAGGAACAGAGTTACGATTTACATTCATTTGCCATCTGCCAACAGGTATTCAATAAACCAGATAAACCAGATAAACCAGATAAACCAGATATCGCTTATAATTGCAGAATTCAATAATCAGATCGGAGATAAATCGCTCGAAATAATAACATCACCGAACCTCTTTTTTGAGATACTCACAGAGTTCAATCCTATGGAGACGAAGCACCACACCATGTGGCATCCTGCACTCCATCGACCGTGATTTTTATTTCCCCGACGAGGTTCGATCCGCTGCAATTAGTCGACCTTAGGCTGTTTGGAGAAACGAAGCCGTTTGTGTTCCCAAAATTGAGGCGATATCGATGAATCACAATTTTAGGGCTGTGATGGAACGGGGCTCCACCATAACTTCGACTCTGGATTGAAGGCGATCAACCAGCAGGAATTGGGTTGTGTGAGCCATGGTTGAGGCTGATTAAACTATTATTTCTATCTGATCTAGTAATATTATTATACTGATCTGAATTATCGTGATACTGCTACTGCTACTAGTAGTAGGAGTAGTGGTCGGAGGAATTGCCCCTTATCGCAGGTCATCAACCTCAAACACAGACCAAAGTCTATCATTCCTGACATGTTCGATATCAGCATCAAGAGTATCAAAATTCTCTCAGACCTCGTTAATCTCAACTAAATCGGGGCAAGTTTCGTTGCAATTTCTGGAATTCAGAAATCCAGAGGATCCGAAAGCGTGTTTTGGCTTTGATCCTGGCTTTTTCTCGGTAGAAATCAGTTGACTCAATTTTGGTTCATGTGAAGATACTGGGATGATCTCTAACTGGCTGTCTGTCAGGCTAAAGATGCTGATCGTATGCTGAATGATGTCGTCTACAAGGATGACAGGATCTATTTTTCACTACATCTGATGCTCTGGTCTCTTCGATGTGGTCTTAGCGGTTTCATGAATTCTTGAAGCAATACATTTCAACTAGTTCGTCAGATATCACAAGCCAAAACATAACAAAACAAAACACAAAGACTATGTACAAATAATAATAGTAATAATAGATTCACATGTTCAAATTAAGGAAATCTTCGAGTGCGCATCTGCACCTTTAGGTCTGGCACTTCCCAGAAAGCATAGCATTTGCTGTCTTTCTGCCAGTCCTTGATTCGGCCAATGTAGTCGCCGTCAAATTCGATAAAGAAGGCTGCCAGTGTCAAGTAGAGCATGTGTTGAGCGAAACTAGAGAATAGATTGTTAGCTTCATTCAGATCTAGTAGATGTGAGACTTACTGCTTGGCAATGCAGGATCGACTGCCCACGAGGAAAGGCTGCACGGCTTCTTTCTTGTCGGTGCAGCCAGGCTCTGTCCAGCGCTCGGGGTGGAAAGTGAAGGGATCGTTGAAGTATTCGGGGTTGTGGTGGAGGGCGAAGAGAGAAGTGCAGATTTCCACCTATACTCATTAGCAGGATTCATCAATAGAGTAAGAGAGACATACACCAGCAGGAACATAAGTGCCATCAACATAAGCACCAGGCGAGACACGCGGGCCACCCAGAGGAACTGGCGGATAGAGACGCAGCGATTCAGTAATGACAGCGTTCAAGTAGGGCAGCTTCTGGGCGACTTCGATCGTCATGTCATCGACAGACGAAAAGTGCGCCTGCAACTCCGCGACCAGTTTAGAGTGCGCTTCAGGATGCGTCAGGACAAAGTAGATGACGGCGCAGAGGGTGTTGGCAGTCGTGTGGAAGCCAGCCAGCATGATGGCAGAGAAGTTCTCTGCGATTTCGGCTTCAGGGAGAGTGCTGCCAGCAGCGCGCTCGAGGACTTCGACCATGATGTCGCGACGGGAGTGGGGGGCGTGCATTTGCCTGGTGGACCATGGGTTAGAGATGAAGCTATACAGAAAGACAGGAAACTCACTCGTTAATCAGCTGCATACGGGCACTCTCATTGCGCGCACGAACACCCTTCAGCACAACACGACGCAACAACCACTTGATCATCGTGGGCACACCCGAGCCCTGGAACTGATCACGGATGGTCGCCCAGTAGAAGATACGAGGCAGCTGCTCCGTCCAGAAAAGAGGCCGGCCTCTCTTGAGGCAATCCAAGGGCTTGCCCACCAGCACCTCCGAGACGGTGTCGACCGCGTGGCAGTAGAGCAGATCATTCAGGTCCAACGTGTTGTCGTGCTGCATCTTCTCGCGCAGCACATTGTGTAACCGACCAATGCAGTTCTTCATGACGCTCTCATGGGCCATCATGCAGCCGGGACTCAGCGAGGGGCTGAACAACTTGCGGACGGTGGCATGGTAGGACGGATCGGATGCAGTGAAGATGTTGCGGCGCGAGATGCCCTTGTAGAAGTTGCTCTTGAGGAATGTGTTACCCTTTCCCACGCCCGAGCCGTAGATGTTACGCAGGGCTTTGATGGTGTTGGTGGTTGCTTGGCCGGGGGCGAATTTGACGACATTGCCTGTTTGGTTAGAAGGAAGATATATGAGGGTTGAGATAGGATGAGGCTTACCATAGTTCTTGTGCAAGGAGTGGAATTTGTGGGCACTTTTGCCAGACAAAAAGGCGAATTTAGTATCAAACTAGAGTCAGTCAGTATAGATAGACAGACAGATGTTGTATAGGATCAGTGCATACACCGCAGAACAACTGCCCTATCCAAGGCCCATTGACGTCCATCTTGGGCCCCCTGGGCTGCAATAACATCAAGATCATCACCAGGCAGGGAACCAGGAGGAACCCAGCAATAGGAAAAGAGAGAAAGATGGAATGCATCTCGGGCAGTCCAGATGGGAATCCTGCTTGTACAGCCATGGTGAAGAAGTATACCGAACAGAAACCGTGGATGTTTGCCTCTCTGAGATGAGGTGCAACCGTCTATTTATCTTGTTGATTTCGACATCTCACTAGAAAAGAAAGAAATCATAAATAATATTTTCCCAAACAATTATAAAACTGTTAATTTACAGTCTCCTCCTTCGCCATCGTCGCTCTTCGACTGGCCCTGTCGATCCCTCCTAGTACATCGACTCAACCAACCACCAAAAAAACCCCTCTCAAACCATTGTCGTTCCTCGGTTTATTTTCCCGTCTCTTGCTCGAGAGTATCCTGATCTTCATCCTGACCCGAAACAAGCAGTCCTCCGAGAAAGTTTGTTCTGATACTCACCCCCGGTCCAGCACAGATTTTGGGCCTCGGGATGCTCAATTTTGGGTGTTGACCCACGCACGACCCCCAACACTCCACTGGATGCAGAGAGACAGAAAAAGCAGATGCCGAATTGTTGCTGGTGGAGTTGGAGGGGAATTGCGAGCAATCAGATTTAATATTGATTGAGTTTAATGAAGTCTTGTATCATTGTAGACATTTTGGGTGTTTTTCCCCCTGCGGTGGTGGTAGTAGTTGTAGTTCCCCTCGCATGTGAAACTATAAAACGTTCATCTTATCTTCGGTTTATTCTGCTTCTTCTTTTCTTTCTTTTCTCAAGAATAAACCGAAGGGAGGGTGTCTTTCTTCTTTCTTGTTCTTCTTCTCACTCTCTCTTCCCCAGAAGAATGGCTCCCAAAACCCCCCGTGTCCTGTTCCTCGCGAATAGTGAACACGGCCAGACAAACATCATCCTCGCTCTCATCCATGAACTGCTCGTTCGAGGCGACATTGACGTTCATCTGGGTTCTTTCCCCGTCCTCGAGCGTCGTCTGGAGAAGCTCCTCAAAGACAATGCCCACGCCTACGATGCCTCCTTCAGATCGCGGATTCATTTCCATCCTGTCCGCGGGCCCTCCAACACGGATGTCTTCATTCGCACGGGCAAGCGAGGCGCATTCCACCCGCCTGGCTATTCAGGCTCCATTCTAGGCTTCCAGTCCCTCATTGAGGATATCTGGGGGTGGAATGAAGAGGAGTATGTGGATGTGTATGAGAGCTGTGTCGAGATCGTCCACAAGGCCGATCCGTCCATTATGGTCGTCGATTTCTTCTTCCTGCAGGGTAGAGATGCGGCGTTTAACACTGGCCATACGGCTATTTTGCAGAACACCACGGCGCTCAGTCACATTGTGCTGGGGTTGCAGAAGAACAATGCCTGGGCGTGGAAGTACCCATTGTAAGTTCTACATCGAGATGCAATGAGTGCAATACTGACGAATCAGACCCGGAACTGGTTTCCCATACCCCCTCCCCTGGCATCTGATTCCCTCCAACACCATGGCCTGCATCAAGACAGCCAAGATGTACCATGGCAGTGGAAGACGGCGCGATATCCGCGATTGGCGCATCAAACACAAGATCCATGGGCGATTCCCCTTTGCCGACGCATGGAGACCGGATAGATTGCATCTGTCGCCCGCTCTCAAGGAGCTGGACTGGCCATTCGACGTGCCTGATAACGTCGTCGCGTGTGGGCCGATTCTGCTACCTTGTGCGTCGGTCAAGACGCAGGATCCCGAGATGGATACGTGGCTGGCAAAGGCGCCTACGATCCTCGTTAATTTGGGAACGCTGTATGCTCCGGACCCGGACGTTGCGCTGCATATCGCATCCGGTCTGAAGGGGTTCTTGGATTCGTGGCCGGATAAGAACGTGCAGGTGTTGTGGAAGCTGCCCAAGCACCCGCATGACGATGATGATGTCTATAACCGGTCTGTTGGGGCGTTGGAGGAGGAAAGAAAGACGGATCGTGTCCGTATCCAGCCGTGGTTTGAAGTCGAGCCATTGGCGATGCTGGAGACTGGGCGCATCGTTTGCTCTGTCCACCATGGTGGTGCCAACTCGTGGTACGAGGCGATTCAGTAAGTCTTCACCTGCTTGTTTTATTTCACCCCACTAACGACGTCAGAAACGGTGTCCCTCATGTTATCCTCCCCGCCTGGCAAGACTGCTATGAGAACGCTGCTCGTGCAGAATGGCTGGGCATTGGTGTGTACGGCAACAAGAGTCGCGCTCCCAACATCGACTCGAAAGAGCTCAGCAAGGCCTTGCGCAAGGTCATGAGCAGCGATTCATACCAGAAGAAGGCGACGGAACTGTCCAGGCTGTGCCATAAGAAAGAAGGTCGTGTCGCTGGATGCGAAAAGATCGTCGAGCTGGCCTACAACCCAGACAAGATGAAGATCCAACTGCCCGACATCAAGGAGGAAGACCACCGAGGCGAGCTCTCCACCGTGAAGAGCAAGTCTGGCAAGACTCTTGAGACCGTCAAGCCTCGATATGAGGGCAAGCCAACCTCCAAGTACGCATCACACCTCCATCTACTCCATGAAAAAATAGCTAACCACGCTCTCAATAGATCCCTCCCTCGCGGCATCCTGGAAACCCTCATTGTGCTCCTCACCAGCAACGCCTGGTTCCTCCTCCCTACGATCGGATACTCCCTCCTCCTCATCCCCCGTCTGCGATACTTTGTCCTACTCTACATCCTCTACATCAAATACCTCGCCTCCGCCCACAAAACCGGCACCTCCCCCCTCCGCAACGACACCTTCCGCTCCAGCTGGTTCTGGAAACTCTATGCCTCCTACTTCCCCCTCACCCTGTACCGCTCCGCCCCGCTCAGCCCCAAGAAACGCTACATCTTCGGCTACCATCCGCACGGCATCGCGATTCGGGGCGCAGTCGGCGCATTCGCAGCAGACGGGGCCGGCTTCTCCGACCTCTTCCCGGGAATCGACAACACGCTCCTCATGAAAGATAGCTCGTTCCACGCACCCCTTCTCCGCGAGTACCTCCTCTCCCTCGGCCTCAGCGGCGTCTCGCGATCATCCTGCATCAAGAACCTCACGCGCGGCGGCCACGACGGGCGCGGCATGGGCCGCTCCATCACCATCGCCGTCGGCGGAAGCAGAGAATACGCCATCGCGCAGCCGGGCAAGATGGGCGTTGTCGTGAAGATCCGCAAGGGCTTCGTGCGGGTCGCGGTTGAAACAGGCGCCGACCTCGTTCCGGTCCTGTCGTTTGGCGAGAACGAGCTCTTCGACCAGGTGGACATGAACTCGTCTTCGGTTGGTGGGCTCGTCGCGCGTATCTGGGAAACATACGTCGGACACAAGGTTACGTTTGCGCTGGGGCGGTTTGGAATCTTCCTTCCGTACCGACGGCCGATGAATGTGGTTGTTGGTGCGCCTATCGAGGTCAAGCAGCAGCGGTGGGACCCTGATCAGAAGTATATTGATGAATTGCATGAGCGATATGTGGAGGAGTTGGGCAAGTTGTTTGGAGAGTGGAAGGATGTGTTTGGGGTTGACAAGTCGGTCAAGTTTGAGGTTGTGGGGTAATTTCTTGTAGTATATTATTGTATTTTGTATCTTAATGTATCGATAACATTGCATATTCATATCAATTCATCAACCTAATCTGAGTCAGTATCATCAGTAGGTATCAGTTAAGCCCATCCCGAAAATAAGCCAAACCGAGGCCTAACACGGGGTAACACTAGAATCTCAATTTTGAGACTTTGAACATATATATTCCCCGTTTCCCCTGTTTGAAATGTCGAAATGTAAAACTCTCAAATGGTTTCAATCCCAAACATGCATCCCTACACTGTAGGGCAATGGCTGTACGCCAACCTCAGCGTGCAGAATATTCTCGCCACAATTGGGGTTCTTTTTTTACTGGGCAATCTTAAGGCGTTACCAGGTGCATGGCATGTACGTTTCTAACTACTTCATCTTACAGATTATCTGAATACTGAATATATGATACTAACGACAATAGATCCGCGTCATAAAAGGCATCCTCACCCAACTCCACCTCACCCCCTGCCCCTCCAAATCAACCCCCCACATCACCATCTCCAACGTCTCCAAACGCCCCTACCTCTTCGCCTACCTAAAAACAACAACCACCACCATCCCCCTCGAATGCGACTACAACCTGCACAAATCTAACAGCACCTTCTTCACCGACCTCGACGTGCACCGCACCCAGCTGCTCGCGAATGTATTCCGGCGCGTCCTCTCCGCATCTTTCATCGATAAGAGCCGTAGGAAGACGCAGTTGTATAGCGCGCTGGGCGGGTCGTGCTGTATGTATAAGCGTGAGATTGCGCCGTTTCAGAAATACGGCATGTGGTCGCGCGTGCTGGGGTGGGATGGGAAGTGGATTTATTTGGTTAGTTTTTTTGTAAGGGAGTCTGCTGATGAGGGGGGTGGTGGGTTTCCGAAAGAGGAGGATATATATGCGTCGTGTATTGCGCGGTATGTGTTCAAGGATGGACGGAAGACAGTTTCGCCGATTGATGTGCTTCATGAGACGGGGTTGATTCCGTCTGATGAGGAGAAGGATGATAAGAAAGAAGATGGAAAATGGAGCTGGAAACAGTTTCAAGAAGAGAGAGATCGGGGAATGGAGATGGCTGGTTTGCTGGCTGGGTTGGAGCGTTTGCCGAGTCGATTTGATCCGGCTGAAGCGGGGGTTTTGTGATTTTATCTAGTATCATCATATCAGTTAGTAGACAGATGATACTCATATCGAGAAGTCCATGTTCATCCAGTCAATTCCGGCATCTATACCCTGGCCAGACCAGAATGAATCCTGCTCATGATTCTCCCAGGGACCATTGTATGAAAAGAACATATCGTCTGATAAAGTGGGTAATAAAATGAGGTTATCATCAGACTGGGGCTGATCAGGAACACGGCTGTCAGATGCAGGATTCACATCTCTGCTATGTTCTTGAGCGCCATCATTCCTACGACTAATCTGCACCAGACCAAAATACGGCACGGAAATCTGTCTCCTCGCCCCTCGGTCTAGGCTTTGGCTGCACGAGACCAAGGCCTCCAGGGCTGTATGACACTGTCCGCAAAGAGACCGTGGTTGGCCTTCCGAGCACGCCAGGAACACGGCGACAGTTCTACTGATGAGGGCTTTGTCGAGCTCGTCAGACGTAGCCTGGCTATCGGCGAGAAGGTTCAAGAACAGGACGACGGCAGCAGAGAGAGCTGAGAAGCTAGTTAGCTTCATGCTGTTGTCCACGCTCGCAGTGGAGGGGTCGATGTCGTAGAGAGCTAGAAATGCCTCGAGAAGGGTTCTAGCACTGCTTGTGCAGGCGGTTCGAGCGTAGTGTGTACTATGACTCTGTCCTGACTTCCGACACCCGCCTTCGCAGTGTTGTAGGAATAAGGGTAGATATAAGAATGTTTTGAGCTGGTGGATTTGGGTAATACGGTAGAGTCGGGCACTTTTCTCCTTTGCCTCCGGGTATATCGATATCTGTGCCATGTCCAAAAAGTCTGGTGGAAGCTGAGCAGTGATCTTGTCAATCTGTTCATCCACGCCAACTACCGCAGCCAGGGATACACCAGTGTTGGACTGCAGACTGTCAATCACACGACCTGTCAACACCGTCATATGCTGGTAATGAAAGCTGACAGGCGATGCTTGGTCTATTGGCGGGATATACAAGTCGCAAAGATGATCTGGAACAGAATACGGCAATCCGATCAACAGACTCACCCAACGGTCCTCGCCAAACAACTGCCAGAAAATTGTATCCAGAGACTCTGATTTCCGATGCAATCTATGTATCCCAGCTAGTTGCAAGAGTGTGTTGGCCTTGCGATAGACAATCCATGCGCGGCGCGGTTGGAGGGCACTCAGAAAACAAAGACCAAGGGCCATTAGGCATTGGAAATCATACTCATGATCAGTGATGCGGTTATCCGCCATGATCCAGCGCTCTACTGGTGCGAGATATCGACCATGGTCACCGGTGCTTAAGGCAAAGCACAAAAGTAGACTTCCAAGTAGAGATGGATTTTCACTGCGAACGGCGCGAGTCGCGAACTTTTCAAGGGTGTTGTCTTCTTCATCGCCCCAGGCCAGGCCAAAGGTCTCGCGCCATATTTTCCACCACTGGCTTCGAGTATTGAAGATGGCTGTGATGTCGTTATCAGAGGGGAGTGCGGTGCACATTTAGTGGAGGACATGGCAATCTCGAGATATCGATGACGACCCAGGACCAGTATCATCTCCCTGCGACTTTTTCCCTCGACCAATCTGCATCCCATCAGCAACCACTTACAAGTCCAATATACCCAACCGTACTAGTTGATGGTTTAGCAACTTCATAACCGGTGCATAATCACTCTGCACCACCTCAGGACCAAGTGCAACCGTTAGACTGGCCATCCCTCGACGAGGACCGAGGGCTCCCCAACGACACAGCAACCCGCCGTCGCAGTCCATCAAGGGCATCAAAGAACGAAACGCCGTCATCAGACAGCACCCCAACAGGTCGAACCTCAGGATCCTGGGAGTCCTTATACTCGCATTCAACCTGAACATCGCCCTGTGGAACACATACGGATTTTCGCCTAGCACAATGCACACACACGCTAGCCTCGGACGAAGCATACGAGCAGCGGACTTTGCGACGTCGACCTATGCAGACGTCATGTTAGTGTGAGAGTTAATGTTCATGTCAGGTAAACCCACAAGCCACGCAGCTGCGCGTCCCTTTTCTCATCTGCTTCTTTGCCCTCGCCATCGTGCGTTGTGGCTGGTTACGACGAAGACCGAGCGAGGTTCGGACAAAAGCAGCGAATGCGCTTAGTCATTGCTGTTCGTCCGAGGGTTCGTCCGAGCTTTCTTTGTTTCAATTTTGTTTTTATTTTCTTGGTTTCGTTTAGAAGAGAATCAAAACATACTTGAAACACTCGATGACTGCATCAGATATTCGATGAAACAGATAGATCATATTAATCACTCTGCACTGATACATTCAGAATGTCAATTGTTGTGTGGGAATAATTCATCCAGTTGAAATGGGGTTTTGCGATGATGAATTGGACTGGAGGGACACGATGGGCTGCCATTGAATCAAAGTCTTTCCACAGTCTGCAGCGGTCCTATGTAGAGATTGGCGTGATAAGGCTGAGCTGAACTTACTGGCAATGCATATTTATTCTCCAATTACTCCCATAGCCGAATGCCATTTGATGTTGGTTGAATTTGAGAGAGCTGAATGGGGATTTCCCGTCCTGGATGGTAATAGGCTGGAGAGATTAATTGGCTCTCAGCTGAACATGTCATCAGTGGGGGAGCTGAAGATGCCCCTCATTTCCTACATATAAAGACTTGCTTGGGCCAGTTTATTCTCTTCTCTTCTTCGTCTCCTTCTATCACAACATTACTGCTCTTCTATCAGTAAACTAAAACACTCCCAAAATGCCTGTAAGTATAGCCCAAATATGACCGTGTTTATGACTCCAGCTAATTTTATCCAAAACAGACCAAATTCGTACGTCACTCATTGCTATAAAATAGAGTAATACCAGACTAACTGTTTATGTCTATCTAGATTGTCAGCGTCCGCACCAAAGATGCTCATGAAAATTCGCTCGGTGACTTTGGAGCCACGTGAGTATTCTACAAAAAACAAAAAAAAAAAAAAAGCCGAGATGTTCCAATCCCAGAGGTAGCATTGTCTAATAACAACCCGGATATAGTGAAAGTCCCATCATCGATGCTATTAAGAATGCATTGACTCGATTCAACATCTCTTTGGAGACTGCTAGACACGGTCCAGCACCACGGGTTTTCCCTCCATGGTATATGGTGATGTATGTCATGAATTGGCTACCAAAAAGACGAGTCTTTGACTAACCTGATTACTTTGTTTAGTGCGGAAACCTCTGGCGATATCAGTACAGATGATTTTAAGGGGGCACTGGACGATGTTTGGTCTGGAACAAAAGATCAAGAGGGAAATCCTGTCCCTGAGGCTGATATCAATGTCCAAGATCAAGATGAGTGAATAACATAGATTCATGAGTATTGATTGACTATCAATTTGATATAATTGATATGTTTTATGAGTAGTATCCTACCTGAGAACTCGAGGAATAGACAATAATATGACAACATCATTGAAAGGAGTGTTTGCATAAGACAGCTTCTATTCAGACAAGATAGCCAGCTGGAAATAAAGTATCTACTGAACAAAGCAAGAAAAATAACCGAAAAATATACAAAGTCGAATCTCACACAGCAGTGCCACATGACAAGTAATTCAGGATCCTCAAGAGTACGATGTAAAGAAAAGCAAACATGACCAGTGAGATAATTTACCTATATCCCTACTGAAGAAGTGATTAACATTACCCTAAAGTGCAAGAACACCATGAAGCATCTAACAAGTAGGTCATTGTCCATGGCATCCCTCGAGGAATCCCCAGAAGGAAAGTACATGGGCATCTTAGAATACGATCCAATATAAGGATCTGCGACTTTAGCTTCAATAGTCCGCAGCTTTCTAGTCCAATAAGGCTTTAGTACTGGACCCCAAGCGATGAATGCCTGGGGTGAAGAGATCTGATCGAGATCTGATCATTCATTACCCACTCATGGTAAGTGAAAATGTGATATTGATGCAGCAGACTATCAATAGTCCAATCTACGAAAGGCTACTTATTGACTATTGTTGTTGATGAATGAAGATTTACTTCGAATCTCTTGAATTACTAGCCATGCGATGGCAATCTTTACAGTATTTAAACAGTCTTCTTTCCTCGAAACCAAACCCATTGATTATAATTCTACCACCATACAAGCCCTCCTCCGCTGCCACTATCTTACTGTGTGCACCTCAGCTTCTCTTAATTCCTTATTACATTTTTCTGCTGCTCTCATTTCAACTTTAAAGGTGTGAGCATGAGGTTCTTCTTTTTTTTTCGCCTTGGCTACCATGGTCTTCGGCACTTCAAATGCTGAAGAGAGGAATACATGCAAAATGGACAAAGACTGTGGAGTAGATGAATGCTGTGCCGTTACACGTGTTCAGATTTTTAAAGAATCAGAAAAGAGCTGTGTAAGTATCATGACAGATTAGTATCTAGTACCAAACTACATACTAACCAGAACTGAAAAAAGAAACCCCGTCCAAAAGAGGGTGAAGACTGTGTAAGACAAAGCTGGCCCTTTTAATATAATCATGATGTTTATATGATGACTAGCTTCCCATACAAATGGTGAAGATGTTTTGCCCTTGTGTAGAGGGTACGAAATGCGGGAAGGAAGAGGTAGGATTCCTCCTATTAATACTCATACTCTGTTGATCATGACTAATAAACATACAGGGCGCAGGCATGTTTGATAAGGTGAGTTTGTCACAACTAGATTACGCACAATTATTATGCATAGTCATCGAGACTGACCAGGTTCTTAATAGTTCATGTGCCTCAAGGAGGAAAAGAAGGAAGATTAAGAGTCTGAGAGTTCCAGGAAAAAGACACAGTCAACAGCGAGGCTATGTTGATCAGAGTCGATTACCAATTCCGGCAATGCCAAAGTTATAGGAATTTCTCTACCATATAATCTGCCTGTTGCCCGAGTATTCTATTCAAGGTTTTCAATGTGTGTGGTCATGCGTATTGACAATGACGGGATGGAATGTCACTTTATTGATATTTAAAACGATCGAGGGCTACCAGTAGAAGAAATACTATGAATATTGCAATGAGAATGATAGATAATTATTAAATTTATATAACATCGCAGTGTCTTAATGTTATTAACTACTAGCTGTATCCATGGTAAACTATATGATAGTAGCGGCTACCTAAGATAATTTAGACGGCACAAGAGGGGTAGACAGAAGATTATAGTCAAATATCTTACTTAAACCAGGGAACAAAGCAAAGCCAAGATAAAGTTGAAGCACGCACAGCGCCAAGCAGCAACATGACACTTAACTCGAGTAATTCGGGTAATTCAGGAGTGCAGACTACACAGTACACGTTGCGTGATGATATCCATTCTATTCTAGTCATGGCAGTGCTGGGCCTACTAAGTAAGGAGTGATGACATCTTGCATGGATTGTGGGGAATATGGAGTCGTTGGCTGGAGTCGATTGAACAGAACGCATGGTAACTGTCACTGATGTTAATATGGTTATTATTATGACTGTACATACATGGATGGTCGTACGTCCAACACACCGCATATTGGTGGTTGGCATGGCATGGATGCATTGGTGTCTGAGACATCTTCAAGACAATAGTTTGCTGCAGGCGAGACTTCCAGAAGGAATGCTAAGACTGGCATTCTCGAATGACATCATCGTGGTCTTGGTTTCGGAATGTGTCGTCGATAAGGTTGGCATACCACGGGGTGTCCGTATTAGTTCTTATTAGTAGTCTGCTATGATAGTTGAGCTGGCAAAAAAGCAGCCTATGCTATTCATAAACAAAAAGTAGCATCCATACACCTATGGATGGATGCTGTGCAGAAAAATATTGACCGACGCAGGGATCGAACCTGCAATCTTTTGATTCGTAGTCAAACGCCTTGCCATTGGGCCAGCCGGCCTGATCTTGTTGAGACAGACAGACCCTGAGTGCCTCATTAACCAATCTCAGCCGGAAGCATCGTGCCGAGTGGGGCAACGCTTGGCGGGTCACAGCGCCAACCATTACCCCGTGGGCTCCAATTGGCTGCATGAGCTGGAACCACCGTTACGATACAATACAGTACGGTGTTTCATTCGCGATTCGGTGAGTCTGACGTCGTGTTATCCCGGCGACAATCCATGAGAGCCAGCCTGTTCCTTGCCTTGAGCCGATCGGTCCGTTTTGCCCGTCTTTTCTGGAATTCTTCGCTGCAGGACCACGACAGCAAATGCGCCATTTTCCTTGCCACCGAGTCTCTGAGCGACTGTACACGAAGTCCTTTGCCTCTTAGGTTCTTGCCTCTTGCCATCGTGCCTAATGGGACGGGTATTATCATGCCTAACAGGGTATATTATATCATAGAATAATCATACAACATAGTGCGACATAGTAGATGCAACGTGAATGTACTTTTGTTGCGATACCAAGGAACTCTGCTCCATCGCTGCCGGAACAGGAATCACCGGTGTTGGGGTGCATGAAACCATTTGCTTTCTCCGTGGGGGATCGTGAGGCCATTGGCATAAAACCACAGCATAAGAAAGACGCACAGACTGGACGAGAATCTCCACGTTCCCCTCCCTTGTTGAATCCCTTCCGTCCAGGCCGTCTTATCTCTCGCCATTATTATTACATTTCCAAGTTATTACCACTCTTAACCGCAGTTGACGACCGACGCCCCCATAATAATTCCTACGCCATTCAATCATCAGGTACGCTACCACTGGTATTATTTCCTATTACTACTCGCTTAATCCCTCTTCTGTCTTACTTCTTCCTCTCTCTTTCCTCTTTTCATCTTTACCCTTTCTATCATTCATTCCACCGTCTTCCTCCTCCCTAACCTCTCTAGGTAAATGATGATAGAAAGGTTATCGTGTCAACCCGTCCACCGCTTGTGCTTGCACGCCCCTCTTCGCGTCTCCCTCGCTGGGATTTGTCTGCTGCCGTAAGGCACGGGCTTGACGCCCCGACTGTCGACCTCAACAACGTCTCATCCCTTCTTCGTTCCTCACAAACTCAATATGGCTTTTCGAGAAAAGGTCAAACGGGCCTTCCATCGCTCAACCAACAGTACCTCGTCTAAATCAAAAGGCAATGGCACCCCAATTAAGATTGAGTACTATAAGCGCCATGAGATCCCTCGCTCCAAGTTCCGTGGACCTTTCGACCCTGAACATCAAAAGAGATTGGCTGCTTGGTCGTTCGATGCTGCTTCTGCTGAACGACCTCGTTCGATGGATCTGTCTCTCTCCCCATGTGCGACTGTGCCGGATTACTTGAGACCCCACGAGGAGGACGAGGATGTCGCTCCGGATCATGTTCCCGATCACCGGCCCCAAGCGGATTTCTTAGACTGTATGTGCACCTTATATAGATTCTATATAATGTTCCCTTATCTTATGAACATCAAGTATATTCATGACGACATTCTAACCAACGCCTCAGCTACTGTTACCGTCACACATGCCGAATACGCTCCTGATCGCCAAAACGATGCGGGATCCGAGTCTTCTACGGCCGTCGATCCCGAGAGCCTTACTGGTTCGATGATGACGCTACTCCCCGACAACAGTCCGGAGGATCACATCAGCCATCTCAAGGAAACTGTTCGCTACACCTCGCCGGCTGTAAGGGCTACTCCTTTGCCCATGTCGCCCAAGGGGCCCATGTCTCCCAAGGGAACCTTCATGCCCTTCTCTCCCGATGATCTGGCACGGGCGTTGAACGCCGTGCAGATCTGCTCATAAATATGAGCCATCTGTCTTCAGGCAAGATCACCTTCCTTTTATTCTATCTGTCCAAGCGACTCGTCGACCTGGTCGACTATTATCTGCGTCCCTGGCGTACGCTTTTCAGCTATTCACCCGACGGGGATTAGACAATCTGGCATTAAGCCACTGAACCGATTTTAATCATCAGACGAGTCAAGACGATGACGCTCGAATATGAGTCAGTCATCCGATGACTCGTCCCTTCTTGCATGCTTCGGATTGGCCGACTCAACACAACTGGGCTTTCACTTTTCTTATTCCCAGAGTCGAACATCCATCCAAGCACAATTATTGCATTGCGATTGAGCGTATACCCGTTCTGGCGGTTTTGCTTTTTCCAGCGGGGGACTTCTGTTCTCCCCTGCTATCGATAATCTAGTGATAGACGAATGAATCTATTGTACGATTTCAATATTCTTTTCCATTAATCCACTTATCATACTCCAACAGCGTAGATCTAGAAACTACGCTCCGTAATTGGAGTAAGTAAGACGTCGCCTCGATAAGAAGAGAAAACAACCTACCCCGCCAAGAAAATAGCGCTTCGCACATGGCAGAAAAAGACGAAAATCACCACCGCTGCACCTCCATATATTGCAATGATAATCGCAGCCCAAACGACTAGTCTTCAACTCTAGTGACACTCTGAGTCAATAAATTCCCAGTCCAGCCCTCCCCGATCGCCAGTCACATCTACCAGCCGACAGCTCGTCCAGTGAGGAAATGGATGACTCTTCATTCTACTTATCTAGACTCTGGCAAGTCTGGTTAGTGCTGCGTTGGTCCAATCTTTAGTGTACTACTGCCCACTTCTGGCCGTTCCGAAGTTTACGCCGGAGCTCTGGGAATTGGTCCGTACTCCATTGTGAATTTGGTTGATTTTAGAGTTAAGTTATGATTTGAAGATTTAACCTACCTAGTCAGGGGAGGCGGAAAAGCTTGTCCTAGTTTACCTAGTCAGTTAGTAACTGGATTTACTTAGTCTATGCCCTGGTAGTGTACTTTTGTTTTCTTCGCTTTTGCTTTTTCGATTGGTAATTGGTTTTGGGGCGTTTATGCATTATCGACTTGGGGATTGGATGGGTATTCGTGGATGGTGAGTTGGTGGTTGGTGGTGTGTTGGCCTTGAGTGTGCGTCTGCATGCATTGCATATATAGGGATGAACTGACGTACTCGTAGATAATGGATGTTCAAGGTTTTCGGGTTGGTTCTTTTGTCTGGGGATGATAGGCCATGGTTTTTTATTAATTGTTGGATAATGGGCTTGTGTTTTGTAAACTCTGTTGTAGTTGTTGGGATCGTGAATATATTTTGTGTCACCCATCTTCCATATTGATCATCTCAATGTGTGAGGGTTTGTAGAAGGTTGGTAGTGATTTTGTTGAGTTTATTTATGCAGTACCTCTAGGTATTATTCTAACATGTACAACATAGGTAGGCAATACAGACGGTGTACTCGCATAAGTTGGCAATATGTGCAGTACGTACAAAATCATAATCTATTGAACTTTTCATACCCAATCATAGCATCTCGTTATAAACACAAAAAACATTTACTCTTCATGCGTCACAGTCATATCCAACACTTCAACTCGTCCCCGTCCTCGTGTCTCGTTACCCACGAACTCGTTCAGTCCCTTGTATGCGCCGGGCTCGGCGAATCCAACCACCTCCCATTCATCGCCACCGATGACTTCCTGTGACTCGATCGACTCGATGTAGCCCAGAATCTTGTCCTTGACGTTACTCGGTGTCTTGGGGGCAGCCTCTGCATCAGATTTGCCATCTTCGGCGTCGGAATCTTGCTGTCGGGCGGCTCTCGATTTCGGGCCCTTTTTGCCCTTGTTGGATTTGGAGTTACCGGACGGTGCCTCCTTTTCTTTACTTGCTCCCCCTCCCGACGGGGCCTTGACTGAATGTTTGAGAATCGAGACTGGACAAGTAACACGGAGACGCATGCGAGCCCGCATGACAGGAATAGGCTGCCACGCAATAAGCGCCTTCATGGCATCCAGAGCCTGACTCTTCGCGGACTTATTCGGTGCCACGCCCGTCCACATAGGCTTTCGCGGCTGCGCAGCACCCTTCTCATCTGTCGCTCCACTCCCCTCGCCCTGCGTCTGCTGCATCTGTCCACTCGCCGAACTGAGCTGATCCAGCGCCTTGGAAATCATGCCGGGCGTGTAGACACGCTTCGTGGTCGGATCGACTAACCGCCCCGATACGATATCCAGCAGTTCCTTCTCGACACGCTCTGATATTTCCTTGCGCTCGCGTTCGCCAACCTGCACTTCGCCCTTGCGCAGGATCTCTTGTCGGATTTCATCGGCGGGGATGTTTGCGCCGAAGGCTTTGGTTAGTTCGGCTGAGGGGGCGGTTTGAGCCTTGGAGACGGAGAGGAAGATTGTGGGGACTTGGAGGACATTGTCGAGGTCTTTTTCGGCTCCGGAGCGGTATTCGAGGAGTTTGTTCTTGTAGCAGGCGAGTTCGAAGCGCTTTTTGCCTAGACAAGGGAAAAATGTTAGCGGGGGTGGCGGGGTAACTTGAATATATGGTTCTGGGGGATGAAAAATGGGCAAGGTATTTCTGCATGATAAAAAAAAAATGATGAACATACCCTTCTTTAGTCGGACGACTGATACATTTGTGAATTTGATCTGATTTGATGGTTGGTTGATAGGCATTTTGATGAGTGTGTTTTGTGAAGCCGCAGGGGCGGTTTGATATGAAAGAGTTGGAACCAATATATCCCTCTGCCTTAGGACAACGGCTTATATGTATCGAATCTCAGGTAATGGCAAATGAATCCGGTTTGATGCTGGTCTTAAATTTTTGTTGATTATCGGTGATATCAGATTCAAATCTGCGATGACGCCTGGTCTCGTGACTCACGATGACTCAGCCCAGCCGTTGACTTGGCTGGCGGACAACTCGCCCTCTGATTGGCTGCCCTCCCTATCGTCCCAATGTAAGGTCACCGCTGGGCTGCTGTAGGTACTATCGGCCCGGAGGCGTCATCGGCTGCCATTCCCCATTCCCCCATCCGTCTCCTCACCTCTCACCTCTCTTCTCTCTCCTCTTTCCATCCTTCATCTTCTGTTTATCATTCCATCTCTTGTTTTTCATCAACTTTTATTAATACTGTTTTCTGGTTCTCCTAGTGTAAGCTTTTCACTCACTATCCCTTCCTGATAGCGTGATACTGATAACATAGCTGTTTGCCATATAGACCGCCAAGGTCCTCCAGTCCTTCCTATTGCCATTTCATCACTCTCTGGCAGCTGTCTCGTTCGAGGATATATCTAAATCATAATGAGAGTCATCCCAGCTACTATGCTGGTCGGAGCGGCCACCGCGGCCGTTCCTCCCTTCCAGCAGATCCTCGGCTACACTGAGCAGGGTGCGGAGAGCCTGTCTAAGGGAGCCGAAAGCCTGTCCAAGCCGCTCCATCACTTCCAGGAACAGCTCAAGACCCTCTCGGACGATGCTCGTCAGCTCTGGGATGAAATGTCCAGTGCATTCCCGGAGAGCTTCGACCGCAACCCTCTCTTCTCGTTGCCCAAGAAGCACAACCGTCGTCCTGACTCGCATTGGGATCACATTGTCCGTGGTTCTGATGTCCAGGGCGTCTGGGTGACCAACTCCAAGGGTGAAAAGGAGCGTGACATCGATGGCAAGCTCGAGAACTACGATCTCAGAACTAAGAAGATCAACCCTGCTTCTCTTGGCATTGACCCAGGTGTGACCCAATACACCGGTTATCTGGATGACAACGAGAATGACAAGCACTTGTTCTACTGTAAGTGATTCCCTTTGGATAATTCCTGGCTCATGTTTTGATGCTAACTGTTGGTTGAAAAGGGTTCTTCGAGTCTCGTAACGACCCCAAGAATGACCCCGTTGTCCTTTGGTTGAACGGTGGCCCTGGCTGCTCTTCTCTCACTGGTCTGTTCCTGGAGCTTGGACCTAGCTCAATTGGCAAGAACATCAAGCCAATCTACAATGATTTCTCATGGAACAACAACGCTTCCGTTATTTTCCTTGACCAGCCTGTCAATGTTGGCTACTCCTACAGTGGTTCTTCCGTCAGTGACACCACTGCGGCTGGCAAGGACGTCTATGCTCTGATGTCCTTGTTCTTCAAGCAGTTCCCCCAGTATGCCACGCAGGACTTCCACATTGCCGGAGAGTCTTACGGTGGTCACTACATTCCTGCTTTTGCCTCGGAGATTCTGTCTCACAAGAAGCGTAACATCAACCTCAAGTCCGTTCTCATCGGTAACGGTCTTACCGACCCTTACACCCAGTATGAGCACTACCGCCCCATGGCTTGTGGTGAGGGTGGATACCCTGCTGTCTTGGACAAGGGCACTTGCCAGTCCATGGACAACTCCCTGTCTACTTGCCAGAGAATGATCAGCGCGTGCTATAGCTCCGAGAGCCTTTGGTCTTGCCTTCCCGCTTCGATTTACTGCAACAATGCCATGATTGGTCCTTACCAGAGCACTGGTATGAACCCCTACGATATCCGCGGCCCATGTGAGGACAGCAGCAGCCTCTGCTACAAGGGCATGGGTTACGTGAGTGACTACCTCAACCAGCGCGATGTCCAGGAAGCTGTGGGTGCCGAAGTCAGTGACTACGAGTCTTGCAACATGAACATCAACCAGAACTTCCAGATGCACGGTGACTGGATGAAGCCTTTCCACCGTCTTGTTCCCGGTCTTCTCGAGCAGATCCCCGTCTTGATCTATGCTGGTGACGCCGACTTCATCTGCAACTGGTTGGGCAACAAGGCCTGGACCGACGCTCTGGAATGGCCCGAGCATGAGCAGTACGCCGCCACTCCTCTTGAGGACCTCAAGATTGTCGACAACGAGCACAAGGGCAAGAAGATTGGTGAGATAAAGTCCCACGGCAACCTCACCTTTGTGCGTATCTTCCAGGCCGGCCACATGGTTCCCATGGACCAGCCCGAGGGCGGTCTTGAATTCTACAACCGCTGGCTCAAGGGTGAGTTGGTCTAAACCAATAGATGTTCTGGACTAGCTTGCAATGATTTTTCGTGTTTTTTGGCTTCAAGTTTTGCTCGCATGTAATGTGTCCACGACATATGTCTTCCGACACGCTTGCTACAGAATGTATGACTCTTTCTGGTAACGGTGCAACGTATATAGGGTTCAACAGTTTTAGTTAGAATTGACATATTGAGAATAATACACGGTGCCTGTAGAGTTAGATCTGATTACAATAAGAGAAAAAGGTCTACGAAGTCGGAGTACGGTGCCCTAGACCTAAGGCTAGGTTGGACCCTATACTTGACAATAGAGTAGAAGCAGTAAGGTGTCTCAGCCCTACATGTGACGGCAGGATAAAGAAGCAGTAGTGTAAAGCGTAAAAACCAATGTTGGGAATTTGGAACATTAATCACATCAATTCAAAACGCCTTGGGGCAGTTTCATGGTCGTAACATCCTTGTCGCCAGTACGAGGACCAGTAGTATGAATCCTGGAGAACGTCGAGGAAGAAAAAGGAAATTGTATGTTTCATTTCATATTGGTATGATTCTTTCACTTTTTTGGGCCCGGTTTTTTTATATTCGAGTCCCATGAATTCCTTTAAAAACACACCAACATACAAAAAGGAACCCCCTCCCCAGATCGACTCCGGCAAGCAAGAAGGAACGGAAGCAGATATCCCTCGCGAGTTGTTTAGCCCTTCTTCTTGCTGACACCGACGGTGCGTCCACGGCGACCGGTGGTCTTGGTGTGCTGTCCACGGACACGGAGACCCCAGTAGTGACGGAGACCACGGTGGGAGCGGATCTTCTTGAGACGCTCGAGGTCCTCACGGAGCTTGCTGTCGAGACCGTTGGAGAGAACCTGGGAGTCCTTGCCATCGGTGATGTCGCGCTGTCTGTTGAGGAACCAGGTGGGGATCTTGTACTGGGTGGGGTTCTGGAGGATGGTGACCACACGCTCGAGCTCTTCGGTGGTCAGCTCACCAGCACTGTATTTGAAATTCGAGTCAGCTTTCTGTTGTAGATTCTCGTAGTTTATCTTCCTCCAAAGTCGAATCCTCCACATTTTGCTCCGTAGCTTCCGAAAATTTTCATCTCATAGGAATTGGATTTCCAACGTACCGCTTGGTGAGGTCAACATCGGCCTTCTTGCAGACCAAGTTGGAGTAGCGGCGACCAACACCCTTGATCTTGGTCAAGGCGTACATGATCTTCTGCTTGCCGTCAACATTAGTGTTGAGCAGACGCAAGATGTACTGGAAGTTCGTCTTCTCGCCGGACACGAGCGCTGTAGTCACAAAAAAATCGCAGTCAGCCTTCCAGGTTCCTTTCTTCTTCTTTGCTCTTTTTTGCCATATCGTCTTCTGCCTTTCACCAACGGCACCTCCCCAAAAACCGTGTCATCTCCTCATTTCTTCCACCCAACGGGAAAAGCAGCAGCTGGCAAACAATGATGCATCTCGGGAACAGGTATTGCACGTACACATGATGGGCGATGGCGCGACGGTATCGCGATGGGTTGTCGACAGCGAGAGGGGTGACAAGGAGATGAAATCGAGGGCCTCGCAGTGCTTCCAACTTTGCTCCGTTGTGGGATCGGGTAAGTCACGGGCTAGCTTGATGGGGAATGGTGCGCTTGAGGGCTCGCTTGTTGCGGCGCTAAACCGGAAGAAGATAAATTGCCTCCAGAACGCACTAGCCTATTTTTGATTTCTGTGCACGTGATGTTGGTGGTAATATGACAGTAATATAACCGTACCAATACAAAGGTAGTAATCTATTGGACGTCAACATCTTCACTTCTTCTTTGTTGTTTTTCTTTCATCTGCTCTCATTATTGCAAAGATGAAACTCGAGCTCGTTGTCTTCGTATCGAGAAATCATGGTAGATCTGATTTGATTCCGAAAATATCTTTCTATCCTTTGGGCCACGCGCTGTGGCTGACGTATCTTCGCAACTTCGTCGATAGCGCTTTGTCTCCAGTTCTTCTTGACTTTTCGTGTCTATGGAAATATTTGAGGGCTGGGAATAGCCCAAAATCTGCTCTTGAATCGATATCATGCCACAATATTTGGGTTAGCCAAAAGACGGGCATCGGACGACAAGATGTTGCTCAACCAATCTATCCTCGACTAACATAGCACGGAAGACAAATCTATGATTATTTTTAACTGACGGTCATTCATAGGAGAATGAGCTGTTGTCTTTTCCATTAGGCTGATGCTAAATCTGCCAGATTCTCTGCGATGGCAAACCTATGAAGTGCTCTTAAAATAGCTTCATACAAGCTCTTTATCTGAAAATCAACGAGTTAGTCCTGATGAATCAAAACTCGAAATGATTTCTTTGACTCAACCTGGAATCTAAGGCTTATATTGACAAGAGCTTTCACCGTCTGGGTTTGGACAATCGGCCCTTTTGTGTACTGACAGTGCAAATTTAGAAACGAATTATATAGCACAAAGCATCGAGCAAAAGAACTCTTTCGAAGCAGAATGAGTACCATAGCTGCCATAGCGAAGCCTTTGATCACAATGGCCGAGAGATGCTCACATCCCAGGATCCGTTGTCTTTCACAGTGTGCAAGAATTATGTTGAATGATTTCTTTGTCCTCGAAGACCACTTGGATGGCACGGCTCCTCGACCCCAATGCCTTCGTCTTGTACATTAGTTGATTCCGTTTCGCTCGACCAGTTTTCCTGCTTTCCACTCCTGCATACTTTTTACCAGCAAATTGTGAATAAACATAATATCCGAACATATCGTTTAATTGCTATTTGAAAACCCGTTTGTGCATTGGCCCAAAATGAGCCACTATCTTTTTTCTTCGAAGCCGTTAGCGACAGACTATCCAGACCCTCCTCTTCAGTACCCCGTGTTCCCGCTGTATGAGCTTTCCGACCCGCCTCCACATTGGCGTTTCGCCGGTCACAGGCCAGATGAAACTGTTCGTGCTCGCAGATTCAGACGACCGCAACTAGAGGCGATGTTAAAATATCACTCATATGGAATCGAAATGGGAATGAACTCACGCTCTACAAACGAGAGAGTTGTCAGGGCCATTATGAAACTCATGTATTACATAGCGGATGAGCACCGACCTTCATCATGGGCCGAGCTAGCTGATTTCACCCGGGATGCTGGCCCTCGTCTTTTACGGCTCAAGATCGATTACCCGTCGTGTCCTTTGCCTATTAGCCGACACCACCCTGAGCTCCCAGCCCCAGACGCTGTAACGCATCCAGAATACGTTAGGCCCCCCGAGGCACCCGCGAGTTTACCCGACTCCTATGTTGAACGGAAATTACTTACAGCGAATACAAACAGTCCCGACGCTGAAGAAGAGGAAGCCACGGGTGTTGCTGGTGGAGATGGGGAGGAGGGTAATGGGAATGATGACCGTGATAATCGGCGCAAGAAGAAAAAGACCAGGAAGACACAGGCAAAGGCGAGAGCGACGAAGGTAAAGAAGACAAAAAAGAAGAATACAACAAATGCACCTCCAACCTACAACGAACAAGCCGTCGTCGAAGCCGTCGAAAGGGCTGTTATGCAGTTTGCATATGGTGACCTCAAGCGACATCCTAGTGCTGCACCCCAATTCCCGCGGCCCTCCATCACTGCAACAACGGAGGGGGATCTGCTGAAGTCAGTCATTGGTTCCTTCTCAGCGATATCCGATGTGACACTCAGCGAAGATGCTAGTAATCGCTTCATACTGTCCCTCGACCCGAACGGAGCTGTTTATCGTTATCGGGGTCGAGGCCCTGTATGGAACGCTCTTTCTTGTGCAGTTGATAGCGTCATTGTTGCGGGGAAGCTGCTTGATGCTGGCTCCACTATGATTGATCGCAAAGAAGATGGATGGCAGAACCGTTTCACAGAGGTCGAACGGGCATTCATCGAAGCCACGGACATCAATTGGGACGTTTGCTCCTGGCAACGGAGTATGGAACTTCGAGATCAATTTTGGTGCTTGCTGGCAGCTGCCTCGCCGAATATTCAGCTCGCAAAACCTAACCCACCAGTTACTGTCTGGGCTGAATGCACCAAGAATTTCGCACAGTTTCAATTCGCCTACGGTGAAGCAGGGACAACCTGTGCATGTCAAGGAGCCAACCAGATGAGCCAACAAGAGTGTTACCCGTCCCTTGTGAAGCCTCCAGTGGAAGAGGGTGATCAGGATGGTGTGTCGATGCAAGAGGTTATAGCTCGCTACTTTGCTCCCTATCATGTAATGGATTGTGCATCTTGCGGTGCGAAGGAGGCAACTATCCGCGCCAAGTCCTTTGACAGTCTCCCCTTGCGTATGGCTGTGGCACTGGATGAATCCATCTGGGTCCGGAATCACACAGAAGATATACACTTTACCTACGATGATGGCTCTGACGAAGAAAATACAGCACATTACCGCTGGCTGGGGGGTGTTTACTTTCTGCATACTAATTTCCGCGTTTTCTGGACGGACAGTGAAAGGGGAGAAGCGAATACGGGCGAGATACGTACATACGACCCCATAAACGCGATGGGCACGATCGTGGGCGGGATTCCACCAGAGAAGCCGGATGACAGAGTGCCTGCAGCATGGTGGCATAAGAGGCCTATCCCACTGCTGTTCTACGAGCGTGTCATGGACCCCGAACCCGGTCTTCTTGAGGTGGCCCAAAAATCAATTCATGATATGATACTTGCTCAGAACCAGGAAAAACCGATCTTTCACCACCATACACCTTGGGCTCAGTCTGATATTCTTCTTGGTCAACCATCCGAACCACTTTGGATCCCTCTTCTCCCAACTGATGGCAATCGTTACCACACATCTTCAGTCGCCTACCAGCCTGCTCCATCGAATGGCCAAGCTGATACTCAGGCTCTACAGACTACGAACCAGCAGGCCTATCCATGGATGCCCATTTCACCACAGGCTGGATTTCAACCTCAAGTTTACCCATGGATGCCAACTACACCAGGTACAATAAAGCCCTCGCCTACCCAGGCGAGCACAACTCCAGCAGTCAACAGTGTGTACCAAACGGTGAGCCCGCCGATGGATCCAATTTTCAGCAATGTGCCATCATCTTTCAATACCCCAATGCAAGCCCTGAATGCTGGCCTCCCGATGTTCGGGTTTCCAGTACCGAATTACGCCTCCACCTCGCCTCCCGGAATGATAATTTCTCCCCAGGCGATGAATACCTCTCCGACGAACGCCCTTGTCTTGCAGAACACCAATGATACGAATGCGCCTGCCTCAAATAGCCCTGGCAATTCGGCTGCAAACACGCAGACATCGCTGCCAGCGACCGATTCTAATGCAATGCAGATCAGCCCCCCGCAGCAGACCATACAGCCTGGCGCTTATTTCTGGGCCCAACCGCAACTAGTAAGCCCTCCAAACCAGCAAACTACGAGTCAATGGATCAACTCGGCAATGAGAATATCGAGGGCATTCCAGCCGAGGGTAATCCGGATCTTTCGGAAGCGCAAAGTAGAAGAGGTGGAGGAGGAGGAGGAAGATGATAATGACAATAAGGGCGGGAAGTCTGAACCACCCAAGAAGAAGCAGATGACTTCCACGCCAGCTTCTCAGAAGAAAATAGAGTGATGAGGAACGTACATGGTTAATGTGTGAGGGCATATAGCGTTTCTATTGTCTTTTTAGTTATACATTCATGGCATGTTGATATTATGGGGTTATTTGGTGTTTGAGTAATGATTACTTTTTGGCTTCGGTGATTGGTCGTTTGTGAACAGGGGTTTTGGTGACGATGCATCGCTTTACAAGCGGTTTTTCTGTGCTTTGCTCGTTTTCCCTACGGGTTTCCTTTAAAATATTTATCTATATAGTGATGAAATGGAAATGGCTTCAATTTCTTAAAGATATGCCATCTGCAAATGACCGTCGACCTGATTACTCTGAAAATCCGGGGTACGGAAAGTCAAGAATCCACATCAATACCTACCGACACTGTTAGCAGTACAACAATGCACACCAATTCTTCTGGTTATTTCCAAGGGGAAAATAACCAATAAAGATTTCCAAAAGTACCAAATTAATAATAAAAACAATAAGATTGACCAGCGATGTTGCAGCCGAAAGTGGCCGCGTATGTGCAGGGACCTGTTTCCCCGCAATATGGAATTGCCCCATCTTTCGCTGTCCTCGTCTCCTCGTCTCCTCTTCTTGTCTTCATCTCCTTCATCCTTCGCTTCCTTTTCATCTATCATCACTATGATCTTGCTACTTGCTTTGAGATGTGAATCTAAACAGTATATTCTTGATGGTATATGAAGCCTCTTTAATCTATTTACACATGAAACCGTCCTTTGACCTGTCTTCCCAATTACCCTGAAGACATTCTAACCATAACCTTGAAAAACAAAACAAGAAAGAAATTTACAGTCTAGCACGGAAAGGACAGCCACCACCCTGGCCCGATGAGGCACCAGGGGTGTTGCTCTTCTTCGGCGCAGAGATATATCCTCCCTTGACGTTGTCGGTGTTGATGATCGCCTCCTTCTCGTTTCGTTGGATTCCGAGCTCGATCAGCTTGGCAAATACCTTGGAGAAATGGTCGAAGAATAGGTCCTTGTCCTCGGCATAACGCTTGACCCAGACTGAGAAGGCAGGGTCGGTGAGGAGAGCGACGTCGGTGGGTAGCATCATCAGCTGCTCATCGCCCTCTTCCGCATCGGGGTCCTCATATACGAATTGGCTGACACCGTTTTCCAGTGTCTTGGGCTTCCATTCGAGCTTGAGGAGCAGCTTGAAGAACTGGTTCGAGAACCGGGTTGGGTTGTTCACCCATGGGCCGTTGAATCCACTACGGTCAGCGTGGCAACGGCCCAGGTTGTGTCCTCCAGCCAAGGCGACGATTTCCTGGTCGTTGAATCCCATACGGTAGAAGATGAAGCGGAGGTGGTCGGCGCCTTGGGCACCGTCAGGAAGGCGGCCTCGGGGTGGCACCTTGGAGTCATCGACGAGATCGGTCCGACCGGGTTTCCATGCGATATCGGGTCCGCCCATCTCTTTGATTGCGACTACTCCTGCTAATGTCCACAGGTCCGAGTATGTGATCCACGGGTGCTTCTCCTTTACGGGCTCTAGGAAAGCTCGTCCGTGCTGCAGACCAGCGTTGGCCGGGTCGCCACCCTCCGCTTCATATCGCATGCCTGCGCCATTGGAACCGCCTGTGTCGGTCTCGAGATCGTATGTGCCGGAGGCGTGCCTGCAGAAAACACGGTCGCGGTCAGTGGCGACGATACAACCGACGGGGAAACAAGGGGCGTTGAAAATACTCACCATGCCAGACGCACAAACACGGGGCCAGTGCTGCCATCGTCATAATCAGGCTTCTTCAGTTGGGCCACGATGTCCCTTTTCACGGCGTTATAGTCTCCGGCGCTGCTCATCTCGGCCGATAACAGATTCGTCTGGGGTAAAGAAGAGAAGATTCGGGTGGGTCAGGAGAGAGAGAAAGATTTTTGTGCTATCTTGGACAGTTTATCACAACAACTCAAGATGGGCAAAATGAAGAATAGTCCAGGGGGTATAGTGATTAAAGAAGAGAAGGAGAATTGAAAGACTTCAAGTCTGGGAGGCGTTTGCCATATTATTTCTCCCACATGAAGAGAGAATCGTGAAGTGGACCCGCGGCCCGAATCAATAATGTCGCCGATAGCAGTCAAAAGCCGAGGTCCATTGCTCGCCTGCCTTGCTGCGATTCACGCTGGTATAATTGCATTTCCATCCGGGGTTCGAAAGAGTGGGTTCGATTACTTTGCTGGATCTGTTATTTGCTACCTCATTTTTACGGTCTGAATCTATCCTGAACGCTGGGGCTGGACGGTTTAGGATGCCTCAGTCAACGAACCGACTATGGAATCATCGACTATGATTCTCCTTTCCATTTCAAATCGGCCAATCAGATAATTGCTTTTGGTGAAGTCACAACCCTCTTGAATCCCTCCCGCCCGACCAAATCAAATGCATCAAATGATCAAATGCCGCCGATGGCAACCGGACGCCAACCAGATTCAACCTCGGAATTGTGATTCCCGCCTTGGATCTTCTGCTTATCGTCCAGCTCTCCGTTTTATTTTCTTCTAGAACACTTGCATCACTTAATAATGCCAGACCGCAACTGTTCGAGATGTGTTCGGATTCAACTACTCTACTTTAGGTGTCCGAGAATGCGAATCAGGGGCTTTGCCAGTGTCGAACATATGCTTCTTGCCACGATATCAGGAGTCGCATTACTAATATTACATCACTCCAGAATATCGGACCTCGAGCATATGAATGCGATGATATCTTCGATGAGCCCTGGATAAAATTCTGGATAAAGAACTTTTATCATTCAAATGGAGATGATAAGAGAAAAGACTCTTCCATCATGAATGTTGCTCAATTCAAAGCCAAGGAATGTCACGCCATCATTCCTCATCCTCAGCTGCAACTTCAGCCTGACTTTCACATGCTTCATCTCCATTCTTTTTGCCCTCCCCTCGATCCACCTCCACCTCCGCCTTTGCTTTTTCCTTGAGCAATTCATATTCTCGCCTGGCCAAAGAAAGATCTCTTCTCGTCCCATCCAAATCCCCACTCAATTTTCCCACCTTCTCTCTCCACCTCTCCGAAACAGCCTCTGCGCGCTTGACCACCTTCATAAACTCACCCCGAATCCATCTTCTCTCTGCTCTCAACCGGCTCGCCTGTCGCTCATACCGCAGTACTCTGCGCTCCAGCATCCGTCGCTGCGAGACCTCCGTGCCCTTGATGAGTCTGATCACATTGTCGATCGGGGCCGTGTGCTTGGTGCTGAGATTCCCTGCTTCGGACTGCTTGGAAATGTAGATGAAGACAGCGGAGATATCGTTGGCGATGGATTTGAGGAGAGCAGTTTTGGAGGATGAAGAGAGGGTTTCTATATTGCGGAGGCGCATTGTGCAGAAACCGGGTTTGTAGCGATCGAGTGAAGGCATTTTGTCTGATAGTCTCCGTAGTAGAGGATTGATAGAGTGTAAGTGTAGATAGAAGTAGGGTTATATAGATGATAGTGTACAATATGAACATGATAGATCGATCTAGCCAGTCTTGACCCCTTTGTCTATGTTTCTTTGTTCGAATGCAGTATATTCTTTCTGCTTTGCCTTGTGTTAAAATAGACCTGGTTTTTCATGTTCTGTTCTTTGTCTGAGGCAAACTGCATCAATGTGAAGCTGTCAACAGATGGAAGCATCTGTTTGTGTATTCCCGATGCTTCATATATGATTATCAGGGTACATTCTTAGAGGTTAATTGGAATGTAGATCAGATTGATAGTCCGGACCAGCAATACAATCAATCGTCTATTTACATGCGATTCATCTTTCAATCGATGGCACTCCATACTGTCTAACAGGAAAAGAGGTTGCCTCTATAGCTTCATGTACAAATATTTCTCTCGTATGGATAAACCACGTCATATAACATAGTATCATTCCAAGTAGTATACAGCATGACCTGTGAAACATTCAAGGGATGACAGACGTCAAGCCATATATCTTCAACATGAACCATCAATAAATTTGCAATCATCAAGATCCGGCATCAACCAAGAATATGACACAAACTGAAGAGAACGAACCCTTTCTTCCATCCCCAGCGATAGAAGAAGAAAGAAGATCCTCTACTCCTCACAATGAATTCGAAATTGAAGATGAAGAATTACAACAACAACAAAAGCCCAACTTGGTGATTATTTATGCCACATTTCTGGGTTTGTTCTCATGGACATTCTTATACCGCCTGTACTGATGATAGCCAGGCGTCTTTCTCTCTGCTGCAGATGAAACCCTCGTCACAGCCACATATGGGACCATCTCATCACAATTCCACAGTCTCGCGCTGGGATCGTTGTTGTTGACTGGGTATGATTTTGGATATTGTGTTGGATTGCCTGTTGTATGTCTTTTTCTCTCTCGAAAAACTTGATGATATGAAATAACAGAGTTAGTATGGAATGTTGAGTGATATTTATGGCTGCAAAGCCCCTCTGATATGGGCGTATGGTCTTTTTGGCATTGGATCCGTGATATGGTCTGTCTTTCTTTCTCATCTCGAGATAATTCTGACTGTCTCAGTGGCGTCAGTACTTCTCTCTCGCAACTCATCGTGGGAAGAGTCGTTGCGGGACTGGGCGGTGCGGGCACAAGTTCTCTTGTCTCTGTTATCATCGCTGGTATAGACATATCCATTCGAATTCATATTTGAGACATAAAGCTAAGAGACTAGATATCATGCCGCCGTCTGAAGTCGCTGTTATGCGGGCGTGGATGATGAATATCAGCATTGCTGCCCGAAGCTTTGGAGCGCCGATTGGAAGTTTTCTCACTGAGACTGTGGGATGGAGATGGTTTGTCTCCTTAGTATTTCCGTGATAGTTAAATATGGTGTCTCTGACTGAGATAGGTCGTTTATAGGTCAACTACCTCTGCTGGGTTTCTGTATTCTGGTCGCTGCGTTTGGATTGCCGTCATCTCTGAACGAGAGAAAAGCAGACGAGAAAGAAGATGAATCTATCCTATCCAAGATCGATATTGCCGGCATCATCACCTTTGCAGCGACTGTGATGAGCTTTCTCGCTCTAGTCTATCAAACCGGCACAGACACCAACCAAGGACTATTCATACTCTCCATCGGAGCCTTCATCATCTCCCTGATCGCATTCCTCCTGGTCGAATTTTTCTGGGCCAAGAAGCCCTTGATTCCATTGAATTTGATCAAAGGCGAGTTTGGGGGTTTCTGTCTCGTGCAGGTTCTGCTTTATTCGGGTCGATTTGCGGTGCGTTCTTCATCATTCCATTAGAGGTGATATAGGTTGATACTGATAAATCGATCAGCTAATTCCTCAACTCGTTCCGTATTTCGTGCGAGTTGAAAACATGAGCGATGTCCTGGCTTCGTCTTTTCTCGTCGCTTCGTCGGTGGGCATCGCAGCTGGCGCCATGATGGCTGGTTATATCATCAGACGGTACCATCCTCCCTCTCTTCTCTCGCATTAAACACACCCTAATCTGAATAGAACAAAAAACTACAAAAAATTGGTTATCATCGGCCTCCTAGGCAGTATAGCCTCCTACCTCCTCATCTTCCTCCGCTGGCGTCACGGATCCAACATTCTCGAAGGTCTCTACGCCTTCCCCACCGGCCTCACAAAGGGTATGATATTCTCAGCCCAATTCATCTGCATGTCAGCCAGTGTCTCCAAGCCTCGTCTCGCGACGTGCGTCACGGTGTATTATCTGAGTAGTCAGCTCGGGACGGTAATTGGGACGGCGTCGGGGTCGGCGATGATGCAGGGATTGTTTCGGGGGGAGTTGAGACGGAGATTGGGTGGTTTTCCCGATAGCTTGAAGGTATAGTGTTTATTCTTTGTTTATATCTATCTATCTGCTTGTGTTATGCTGATTTGGTATCGCTTTAGATGGTTCATGATGTGCTGAATGAAGCCCGATATGCGATGAGTCTTCCAGGGGGGATTCAGCAGATTGTTCGGGCTTGCTATTTATACAGTTTTCAGTTTATTCCTTGTGAGTTTCTCTTTTTATTTTTACTATCTTCAGTATGTTGACTGTCGCAGTATATAGTCTGCTTTGTACGAGTATTGCTCTGCCGTTGATTATATTTCCCAAGGAGAGGAGGATTGATTAATATGGTAGAGAATGAGGTGAGGGTGCAAGGGTGTATGCAACTACAGATGCATCATGTATTTTGGATGCAATGAAGATCAACTAACCCTGTCCTGCATCTTGGTCGGTTCCTGCATCAAGTACTAGAGACAATGGTAGTCATCCTACTCTTTCTACTTCATTATCTACTATAGCTTTTAGGATATGGAAGTTGTTCAGTAAATTGAATCGTCCGACCGTCTCTAGGACAGATCTAGACTACTTCATTTATAATATAATATAAACACGGAAAGAAACCGTTCATCATATCTTCATTCAAATAATCAGACCCTCATTCCGGATGAATGATCTACCAGCCCTCGTTGGCAAGGTGCTCCTCGTAGTGCTCCTTGGCCTGGTGCTTGGCCTTCTCACGGTCAATGAAGTCAAGACCCTTGGTTTCGACCTCACGGTCGACGAAGGCACCAGCGAAACCGGCAAGGAGCTCCTTGGCGGTAGCGTGGCTGTCAGGCTTGCCTGTTGGAGAGGATGATTAGATTCAACTCATGTTGGGTGTAGGTCTGATTCATGCTTACCGTTCTCGGCAACGTGGTTCTCGTAGGCCTTGGCAGCCTCGAAGGAAGCAGCACCGGCGATGAGCTCGTGGGAGAGCGAAGCCTCATGGGGCTCGGCAGACTGGTATTGGTTGTAGGCCTGAGCCTGCTCGGAGTCGTCTGGGGTGTGTTAGCAGGACACAGAAGGAAGAAGTTCAAGTGATAAGACTTACCGCTGAACCAACCCATTGTGATAGATGTAGAGATGTGGTAGTGATTTGGAGAAAAGAGAAGTTTTGTGATTGATGAAGAAGAGAATCAAGAGCCGGGCGAGAGGGGGTTCAAATAGTAGCTGGAGGGGGGGCAGGAGGGAGAGCAATGCGGGCCTCAGGCACTACTTTTTGCAACCCCAGCAACAACCAAAACAGCATCATCATCGTCCATCCGCGTTATCTTTGCCCCTCAGGTGAATGGATCTGCTATGGAGTCGCTAATGGAGGGGCTACCAGGTAGCGGTGAGACGTGGTTGCTCCAATGATGGCAGCGGATGTGGATGTCTCCATAAGGCTTGATGAGGCTTGGTGAGGCTTGTTCGAGATTGAAAGGCAGATCTTAATATCAATATTGCGTTGACTTGTTGCAGAATCACCGCATATGACGCCCATACAAGCCATTTTTGATGTCAATGGCGTGCCACATCAGCCCCTTGAGGCTGTGCGCGTAGATCTATCTCGCCATCCTCTGTCATCGTGTGTGTATGTTGTGCAACTTTGATGATGGAATCGCTGGCATAATGGCCACAGTGCCACACCGTGATCCACTGAGCTCCCTGAGACATGCAATTAGCGGCACGGCGATTCCGTATAATTCCCTGGGATATTATCGTCGTGATGCCCACCGTGTCCAGTGTTGTTGAGTGTTGACACTGCCCCGTCGGGTTTAGCGCCGTCACGGCCCCATCTCAGCTTCTCCAACTCGACTTCCCCTCTTCCATCCCACCTTCTCGCGCATCAACGCATCTCCGCCAATGATCCTGCATCATGTGAGTCCATTATTGCTGTATCTTTGCCGATTAGGAAGTGCGCTTGCCGTCATATCGCCAAGGAATGTGCATTATTATTATGTATCATTATCATTTCCCGAATCCACCTTCGGCTATACCGAAACGCCAAATCAACTAGGTGGCATGATCCGACGGTCCCCTAGACTCTGACTACCCCTCAGAGAACTAAGTTGACCCGTTCTTTTAGCAACTTATCGGTACCAAAGACACCGCTGGTGGGAGAACATGGAACCGGATTAGCTCTCATGAGACCATACTAAGACCCCGTACATGGAACCCCTGAAGTCAGCCAAAAAAGAGCTCTTCAAATATTTGGGTTTGGATTTCCATCCCCAAGGTTATCACTTCTGCTGTCAATGCGTTTATCGTGTTGATATTCTGTTCGATTAACATTGTTCTGTCGATGCATCTCACAATACCAAGCATTGAAGGTCTGAAATCCCAGTGTTCAAAGGGGTTACACAAATACAACACATCGTAAGCTGGACAATGACCGAGGTGTGATCGCAGCTTCTCAAACCCAAAAAAGGATCAGCGAGGATACCGCGGCAATTGAAGTCGTGGGGTATGGGACAAGTCGATGTGATTCTCTCGTCCATGCCATTGAGGCATTAGCTGAGTAGCTGCGTATAATGTGCCTTCACACCCGTGTTTTGGACCTTTGAGTGGTGATTGGATCAACAAACGTCCCATCGAGGCAGGGATATGATCGAAGGAGGCAACGATTGCCTACAGAGATAGAGTCCAAGGGAGTATTGCTCAGCTCGTCTCAAAATGAGAAAGAGAGCCAAACTGGCCATATTATGAATTCAATGCTGCTCAATGAGTGCTGAAAACTAAATCATTTGACATAAATTACAGATACCGCGAGCTCAACCCCGCAAAGCAGCAACAATAGCGTCACCCACCTCGTCCGTACCTGCCTTTCCTCCCAGATCCGGCGTGCGGATTCCCGAGTCCAAAACCGTTCGTACTGCGTTTTCCACCCGTTGAGCTTCTGCCTCCATGTTTAGCGAGTACCGGAACATCATGGCCACGCAGAGGATCATGGCAACGGGATTGGCGATGTTCTTGCCGGCAATGCTGCAATTGTTAGTTTTGCTGGGCGCATCACAAAGAGCAACTTACGTTGGTGCAGATCCATGAGTCGGTTCATACAACCCGTACGGACGAGCAACGGATGAATCTCCTGGCAATCCATTCAAACTGGCGCTAGGCAACACACCCAATGTACCCACTATTGAGCCGGCTTGGTCAGAAATCAAGTCTCCGAAAGTATTGTCACTCAATATAACACCGTTGAGGGCGCGAGGGTTGGTCGCAAGGATCAAGGATGCCGAATCAGCCAGCTGGTGCACGAGTTTCACTTGGGGATATTCGGTTGTCATGGTCTTTTCGACGACTCGACGCCATAGACGGGAGTTGGCTAGAACGTTTGCTTTGTCGAGGGAGATAACAGGCCATGGCGGATCGTGACGAAGAGCGATCTCTGCTGAAAGACGAGTGATGCGCTGGATTTCGGCTTCGGAGTATCCCCATTCGTCCATTGCTATCCAAACTAGTCAGCTGCTTTTCCCGTGCAGTATAGGTGTAAAAGCATACCGTAGTCTTCATTCTCAATCTTCTTCCCAAAATAGGCTCCTCCACAATTCTCTCGTACGACAACAAAGTCCACTCCTTCAATGACATCCTGTCTGAACGGGCTAAACTCCTGCGCAATAGACCTACTGGGCGAGCTAGCCGAGCAAGGTCTCAAATTGGCATAGATATCCATCGCCTTTCTCAGTTGCAAAAGACCGCCTTCCGGTCCATCAAGTCCTCGACGAGCATTATCCCATTTCGGTCCACCCACCGCAGCGAACAGAACTGCATCCGAGGCTAGAGCTGCTTCTTTCACTGCCTCCGTGACAGTCGTGCCGTGCGCATCGATACTGCATCCCCCGATGAGCTCATTACGAAGGTTAAACTGGCATTGAGGAGTCTCGAAGGCTTTGAGCACCTTGACTGCTTCGGTCATAACTTCTGGGCCTATGCCATCTCCAGCTAGAATGAGGATATTGAATGTTTGAGCCATGTTGATATTGTAGCAGATTTTGGTATATGGTTATCAGATAGATCAATCAGCAATGAGAGAGCACTGGACTCGAGTCGGCTTATATATTCAACCGGCAAAATATAGCCTACTAGGTAAACCATGAGGAGTTATTCTCGCCCAGATGTCCTATATCGGCTGGATCGGCCATCAGACCGATTGCTGCGGGGTTACAGGAGCGGGTGGACTCCATCACGGTGTTTCCCCGGTCTCCCAAGAGTCCAACTGTAGGAATTGATATTGCTGATCGCCACATCAGTGGTTATTTTAGTAGCCTGACAGGCTTTGAATGGAGGGATCTGCTAATTTGGCTGGGAAGGTTGTCAGTCCGGTGTCGCAGTTGTGGGGGGTTTGAATGCGGGGATTTGAGATTCCCTCGAGTCGAGGGATGTTCTTATTCTTTTTTAGATAAATATTTCAGAGAAAGAGACTCGTGAGTACCTTAGATTATTTTATCATAAGGTGTGTTTTCACCAGACCATGGATGGCGAGACTTTGGTTTAAATAGATTTATTGACGTTAACGGCATCATGGCTGAGATTTTGGATTGACGAAACCTTTCCTATGAGGGCTTCGAGCTCTCTTGGCTTTCAATTGACAGCCATATGTGCTATAACTGCCATTGTTTAATCGCATCGCCATCATTTGATGGGGCATGGAGATCTGAATGTTGCATCTGAGCGACAAACTTGTTTCGATTGGGCATTTATACACGATTAATAAATATAAATGGCAGGTACAGTATATCTCTGTAGTATTATTTTGCATAAAAATCCAGAAAGGCGATTTTCAACTCCAGTCTAAATTGGGTCATTGCTTGGGTCATTGCAACTGATCGGAATAGAAATCTGATCGGTATGAAAGGAGCTGTACCCCGTAGAAAATCAAAGAAATTAAACCAAACTACCTCATATCAGCTATTATCAATACGACAGCTTTTCAAATGGAATCATGTCGATATATGTTGTCGACATATGACATCGACTCTCTAGGGCAAAGGGCCCAGCCCTATCCTGCCTTCCCCACGTTTGCACTGTTTGTCTTGGTGGGACATTTGTCATGAGGTGCAAGATATGATCATGATTTCAGCGCCTTTCAACAACCCACCAATCCAACGAAACCTTCAATATGGCGCGAATCGAAGAGCTTCCCGATGACTTCGATGAGTCGATCAATCTTAATGAAACGGCCCCGGCCAAGCCGGCTCCCAGCAACGACAGTGTACCGGCTCCCATGCCTGATGCGCCAAATTTCCCGATCAACGAGGAAAGGTTGAAGGAGATGCAAAAAGATCCCAACGCACCCCTATTGCCTCCTGCAATGGCAGCGGTACAGTCGCATACCGCGGAGGAGATTCTAGCAATGATGAACAAGACGCCTTTGTTCATGACTGATATAGACAACGCTGGTGACGAAGGTATGCTTCTTCTCGCTTCTTCCCCGCACCCCAGAAAGTCTGATAAGCTGACATTTTCTTTGATCTATAGATGGCGAAAACGTGGTGCTCGATGCGCTCCAGGCTATGCAGAACGAGGGCACCCGTGCCGAAGTCGCTCAGAGTTACCGGGAACAAGGCAACGAAGCAGCCAAAGAGAAGAGATGGATCGATGCCAAAGAATTCTACACAAAGGCAATTGCCGTCATACTTGCAAAGGTTGACAAGTGGGAAAAGCCTGAGGATCCCAACGAGGAGGCGAAGTTGTTGCGCCAGGTGGAGGAGGCTTCATATATCAATCGCGCCCTGTGCAACCTGGAGCTGCGTATGTTTCTTCCTGGTGTTTCGCGGAAGCCCTGGCTAATGTCTTTTAGAAAACTACCGTTCTACAACCCTTGACTGTGCTTCTGTTCTTAAGCTCAACCCCAGGAACGTCAAAGCCTACTATCGTTCCTCTATGGCATTGTACTCCTTGGACAAGGTTGACGAGGCCGAGGATGCCACTCAACGTGGTCTCACTCTCGACCCGACCAACAAGTCTCTTGAAATTGTCGCCTCGAAGATCACCGCTCGCAAGGAAGCTAAAGCACGTATCGCTGCTAAGAAAAAGGCCGAAGAGGAGAGGAATCGCAAAGAGAAGCTACTCCTAAGCACTGCTTTGCGTGCTAGACAGATCAGGACCCGCAAGACAGACCAGCCTCCAGATGTTGAGGACGCCGGGATCCGGTTGTCCCCCGATCCCCTCTCCCCGGAGAGCATGCTCGAGTTCCCTACTGTGCTCCTGTATCCCATGGAAGCCCAGTCTGATTTTATCAAATCATTCTCTGAAATGAACTCCATTGTCGACCATCTCGATTACATATTTCCACTGCCCTGGGACACGAAGCATGAGTACTCTATCAACAACGTTGAGTGCTTTATGGAGACCGTGACCGGGGGTCTGATCAAGGCCGGCAAGAAGTTGCCGCTCTTGCAGATTCTTTCCGGAGGCAAAGTCGAAGTCGTTGATGAGATGGTCAGGATCTTTGTCGTTCCTATCTCCAAGACTGGAAAGTTCATCGCAGAAATGAAGGCACGAAAGACTACCTGAGGAGTCTCGCGCATAGCTCTAGCCTTTGAGCAATTGATCGTTGAGACTTGAGACTGGTGGCTACTTGACACACGCCAAAGGCGCGACCTGTCAACGTCGTGGAAGCATGGCAATCAAGTTGCTTCTGGCTATTTGCTGCAGATGCAACATTGATATGCTGAATACCATTCCCTTCCGCTCTCTAATTAGAAGGTGATTAGTCCTGGGATTAATCATACCCATAACAGGATCTCGGTTGACTATCCCAGCACGGTTAAACAGAATCTCTGGTCCTCTTTCCGGGCGAGGATTCATACCGAAGTTTTCTTCAGGCTATTTGCATATTTGTATATACCCTTGCAATGATGGACCGAATGCTCTACGAGTTAGAGCTATAGATTATGGTTCTAAAAAATTACACATGATCGATAATATCTCTTTTTAATCTAGAGATCGAACAAGATTAGTTACTCTATTTATCCGGCATGTAATTATGATGGGTCTAATGCGACAGTTAATATTCTTTACCAAAATGTTTTCTTTCCTACATAAAATCTGAACATGAATGTTGCAGTTAAAGTGGCCTTAATCTCCAGACCTAAATATTCACTTGACCCACTACTAAATGTGGAAGTCTCCGGTGACAACCTGAAGAGTCTGAAACACTCGAAACACCGGTGGATCTTTTCCCACCCTCACCAGGCCGTTGTTTTTGAACTTCTTAGCCTAATGACCGTCAGCCTTGGCAGACAAGAGATTCAATATGTGAATATTCATCACGAAGCGCTTAACATACTAGATCTCCGTTTTTGGCACCAGCCAGTGTTTGGGGTTTGCTTCTCCTCCACCAGAACCGATCTGACACGGACCAACGGTCCAACAGAACGCTCCCAGTGCCTGGCAATGATTCAATAGGACAGCCAGCTCCGAGGATACTAGGCCTGATAGGCTGATGGGTTTCTGAATAAATTAAAAGGTATCCTGTTGTGGTATGGGCAATGGGACTGAATATCTTTATCCAGGTTTGTCTCCGTCTCCTGTCTTGGATCAATTTATCTCTTGGAAGTGGCTATTGTTTAAGATTGCTTATATCCAGTCCTTCTCTCTGTTAGGGATTCTCTTGCTAGGAGACACCGGTCACCTACGTACTTGCCATTCTCATACCATTTGGATCTCTGAAAATGGTTCATATTCCTTCGATCACCACAGCTCTTGCTGTTGGTGTTTTGCCACAACTGTATGACCCGCATATGCCAATTTATCTCCGATTTCATTCGGAAACTGATGTCAAATCTAGTGTTTTGGCAGCTGGCCTGCATACAGCAGCTGTCGCAAAGGGGCTGACTTATTTCGGCACGGCTACCGATAACCCGGAGCTCACTGACACGGCATATGTGACGCAGTTGAACAATACCGGTGACTTCGGACAGGTCACCCCAGGAAACTCAATGAAGGTTCGACTACATCATATATTTGTGTTCTGTTTTGGTACTGAACGTGTCTTGTGGAAATAGTGGGATGCAACCGAACCGTCTCAGAACAGCTTCAGCTTCGAGAAAGGCGATGTCATTGCGAACTTGGCCGAGGCCAACGGACAGAAGCTCCGATGTCACAACTTACTTTGGTACCAGCAGCTTCCTAACTGGGGTAGGTAATTAAATGGATCATTTTCAGAATTGGGGACTGACTGTTTGATCAAGTCACCAGTGGATCCTGGACAAATGAGACCCTTCTTGCCGTGATGAAGAACCACATAACCACGGTGGCTAAGCATTACAAGGGCAAGTGCTACGCTTGGGATGTTGTCAATGAAGGTGCGTCGCGTCTAAGAATCAATTCCCTGATGCCAAGTGTCTAATCGGGGCTAATTTTCATCCAGCTCTCAATGATGATGGATCATACCGGGATAACGTCTTCTATAAGCATATCGGCGAAGCATACATTCCCATTGCCTTTGCCACTGCAGCCGCTGCAGACCCGGATGCAAAGCTCTACTACAACGACTATAGCATTGAATGGGCAGGAAATAAGGCAACTGGTGCGCAGAACATTGTCAAATTGATCAAATCATACGGGGCAAAGATCGACGGTATTGGTCTGCAGGCTCACTTCACTGTTGGTGACACACCGGGAAAAAATGACCTTGCCAGCACTCTGAAGACTTTCACGGCTCTTGATGTCGAAGTCGCATATACCGAAATGGACGTCCGCATGGAGCTGCCCTCTACCGATGATAAGCTGGAACAGCAGTCCACGGATTATGCCAATCTTGTAGCTGCCTGTGTTGAGACATCTGGCTGCGTTGGTGTGACTATCTGGGATTGGACCGACAAATACTCCTGGGTCCCTGACACTTTCTCGGGCTACGGCGCTGCCTGTCCATGGGATGAGGACTTGAAAAAGAAGCCTGCCTACGATTCCATCTTGAAGGCGCTTGGAGGGTCGTCTTCTAGTTCCTCTAGAAAAAGTACGGTTGCAGCTAGCTCTTCTGTCTCCCTCCCCTCTTGTTCTCGCACCCCCTCTCGTACCCCCTCTCGTACCCCCTCTCGCATCTCGTCTCCGATTTCTTTTACCACTTCTTATACTGTCTCCTCCCATCCCTCTTCCACTCCCATTCAGTCCACAGCTCCAACTAACGTGGCTCAACGTTGGGAACAGTGCGGCGGCAATGGCTGGACCGGGCCAACAACCTGCGCCAACGGGGGCACTTGCACTAAGCAGAATGACTGGTACTCGCAGTGTCTGTGAACGATTTATCTGTCGGTCCAGAACCTGCATGTGGCGACCTGGCTGTATTGGAATTGCGTGGATTGCTCATTGTTTGAGCTACGTAGGACCTTGCATAATGTTTGAATTTATGTCCAATTCCAAGTATCAATGATATTATTTGTATATATAACTCATATATTTGTCACATGTTGGATTATTTACAGTTTCCAGTGTTTTTTTCCCCTTGTGATATATGGCCAAAAATTGCACTTGTACATAGTTGCGTCGATTTCCTAGTTTGGAATCATGCGTGAATCATGTGCTGAACTTCCAGGGCGACTTTCGCCTCACCCTCCTTCTCACCCCCAACGTCCACAGCATCCATCAACAACTATTGACAGAGCCAATCACCAGTGATGGCAATCACTTCCGTCTCCTTGCATTATAAGTTACTTGCTGTTGAACAGTATGTATCTCATCTATCCTTGGATATGCCCTGCAACTTGACGTACCCAACCTGTGTATCAGGAAGTACCGTACTTCGATTCATCAAGTGAGTTCACCGCATTATGATAGAAAGTTCAACTCAAAAATTAATATATTATATTCTAGTTCCTTTATTAATCGGTTTAGATCACACTGCAGACCGAAAATACAAAAAATCAACGATTGTATGCACACCCTGGCCGACAAAAAAAAAAAAACAACGCTTCCCACACGCCTTCCATGCTGCCAAAAATGACCCCAAAACCGATAATGATAATCCTCATGCTCCTTAGTATGAGATGATGCAAAAATCGAAAGAAAGAGATGGGAAATTAGTATGCGTAATAATATGGATGGGCGGAAGTTCCAAGGCTTGCGCCTGGTAGTCCCATATTAGGGACCGTTTGCGGCTGACTGTAGTGCGGCTCGCTATAATATTTCATCGGAAAGGGCTGAGAATCGACAGGGACAGGAGCGGTATGGTGTTGTGGAAAGGAAAAGCTGAATTGGTACGTGTTGTCGTTCTCGCGACTTCTCTTTGTGTCACCCGAGGATGATGTTAGGGGTGGAAGGCTAGTAGCCCAATTCTGTTGTGTACTCTGCTTGAACGTGCCGTGTTCGCTAACATTATTTTGAGGAACTTCGTATGGGCTCGATGTGTTACTCGTGGGAGAAGTCCCTGTCGACGGGAACACAGATGTGTGCGCTTCCAAATCAGGGACCTCGTTTCTGTAGACCGGGTTCATCTCCCCCGATTTTCTGGCAGAAACACCATAGCTTCGGCTGTCGCTTTCTAGCGCTTGTGCTTTCATATGATCAGGCAGATGCACACGCGAGACACAGACCTTCGTCTGTTCATCTGCGTTTCACGGGTAAGTCTCTGGAAGATCGAGATTTCGCCGACTGAACTTATAACGTACCCACTCTGCCGTCAAGGTAAAGCTCTTCCTCTTGTCGAACTTGGTATATTTCGTCTAATACTTGCAGTCGCTCAGGGGGCGATATTTGCCGGCGAATTGACTGGTCGGCTTCTTTCAGTTTCCCGACGGAAACTGCGTGACTATTGCGAAGTTCACAGAGGATGTGTACGAGAAGCCGAACGCGCTCTATGTATTGTCAGCTTGTCCTGGATTCTTCAAACAACAGCATCTCTTACCAGCCTTGAGAAGATGGTCGGGCTCCCTGTGGGTGACGCCAGATGGCCACCAGGCGGGCTTCGTCGTTTCCGGATCAAGCTGATGAGAGGTGCCCGAAATTATCTTGCGTCCATTATAAGGAAAGTTCACCTGTTTGCGAGGCTCCACCAGCTTGATATAGGCTTTGGCGAGGATTCGACAATTGATCTGTTGTAGACTCTCAAACGCCTTCTCGTAATATTGCCGCAGCAGCTTTTCGTTTCGAACAGGCAACATCGTTCTCTGGCTGCAATTTATACTCATGGGCACAACACTATCGTGAGAGATCTTCTTCTTCTTGATTTGATAGCCATCTGCGTGCCACTGGAACCGACGGTCTTTGTCAGTCAACCATTCTTTATTCTGGGTTTCGGCTTCTGGTACAATAGGCCTTAATGTCGAGCTTTCTTGGCCCAGCAAGCTCGCATCACGCAGTCCGGGCAATTTATTTGTCTGGGAAGCTGATTCTAATCCTGAGGTTTCTGTTTTGCTCCTGTTATTCCCGGGTTTTTGGCATCACGAAAGACGGGCTTACCTGGAAGTGTTGGTGGGTCTCCTTTGTCGGAAATTGCCACTGCTCTCATAAATGTCTCCGTGACATTTGGGGATAATATGGTCTGGTAGCTATTTGCTACAGATGGCGATGCTTCAAACCGGAGTTTTCCGTCTAGGTCAATGTAGATCAGGGCGAAATGCGGGCATGTCGCTTCATCGATCTGTGCATCCATCGACATTTCGGCTGGGAACTGACATATTATCAGCTTGGTTCCGCATATTCATGGCTTTCTGGTTGCAGTACCATTGAATGTGAATTCTCTGACCTGTCACTCTAGAAAGATGCTGGTTGGGAACGCCTTGAATCAAGAAAGATTTTAATTCTCCTGGTACCAATCAAAGTTTGAGGCGGAAGAGCACCTACGCTCAGATCGTATGTCTAATGGAAGGGCACGAGAGACATAATATTGCCTAGGTGCAGGAGAAATGAGTGAACAGTGTTTGGGATGGATCCACAGATAATAAGCTTACAGGATCTCTCTGGGCTTGCTACCCTATTTAGTGAATTTCCAATATGCCTTATATATGCCTTGAACAGCTTATTTTAGGGGTTTTAATCGACGCGGATGACAACGCTTCAAGGAAAAAGCAACTCTATTGAGAGGGTCGAAGCCTTTCACCGCAATGGAGTACGTTGAAAGCTGTGTCACTGATTTACGTGCATCTATGTGGGACATGGTCCTAGGGGTCTTCATCCACTTGGGTGCATTGGAGAGACGGGCTAATGCCATGCAGCATGGTTTGCCCTTTCCAATAACCAACCCTGCTAGCATAATGGAGGGTCGTCGCTCTGGGGCCGTTTCTTTGTTTCATTTTATGATTCCTTTTGGCACAGCCTACAGTACACTCTCCATAACATGAGTCGTGACTCGTGTTCGCCTTCCTACCGTATGATCCAAGGCTGATACTGTCAAACAAGCCAGTCCTACGTGGGGCAAAGCTACAGTTCTTGATTACGGATTACACAGAAGATACGCCGCATAGCGATGGAAAAAGACAGGACTCCCACAGGTATTCCCACTCGTTCATGGCAAATGGCCACAAGGAAACAAAACCCGGGCACGATCATCTTCGGGTGACGATCAAAAAGACTACTCTGGGAGTTCCACTGGGCTGGCTGCCTTATACCAATGGTTTGGGTGATTTCTTTTTGTCTGCTTGGCTGTAATGCCTCCTTGCGTGGTTTTCCCTCGGAAATGCAATTTATGCCAGGTGTGTATCAAACAGGAAGCTCCAAACAACCATGGTGGCTCGGATTATGCACGATGATTGCGGGCATATGCTGGCAAGAGACAGGTAAATGACAATATGCGCTAAATACCTCGATGGACCCAGGAGCCGAAAGGACAATGACCCATACTTGCTCCATCCGAAGTCAAAGCGTCAGCAGATCCATCCAGTCATGGGCAGTGCTGCTGCGGAAATGCAGCTACTAAGACGCAACAGCCAGGCCAGGGAGACGCTACTGACGTAGGCAGGTGGTTCGGCCCTTGTCCCAATGCGTGTCATGCGAGCAGAAGCAAAGGCTGCAATCCGGCCTTCAGTATATGGGAGTACGGGATTTGATCCAACGAATATTCTTATGGAACACTTGGAAATGGGTGACTCTAGTGATTTCTGGCTTTGGACTATCTCGGGTTGCCTGCGGAGTGGCTGCATCTTGGCTATGGAATATGGACAAGTATTGCAGCTCCGGTTACTCCAAATGCTCCACTGCATTTGTTTTGATAAGTCAACTGCCAGTCTAAATTTGGACAGCCAAATCGCCACTGTGTGTCCACATGATGCTGCCTGTGGGTGGAAAATCCCACGGAGGACAAGCGAAGGGTGTGAGAGCACATACTTACTTCAGAATACAGGTTTTTGGCTGGCTGTGGAGGAACAGAAGATCGACCATCCCGGCTTCCATTCATTTCTGGAAATTGTGGAGAACCCGGTCTCCTCTAATGATAAGCCTTGTTAACGACATCTGTCATCTTGATTTATTTGTCATTTTTACAACTGGATCATGGATGCTCGACACTCTCCACCTTCAATCGGGTCTGAACTGTGTCTATCGGCTATCTCCTCTTGATGGCAAAAATCGTTTGATGCTCATTGGCTCTGCTACGACAATAACTCGGGTACACTATACATATAGATACATATGGGGTGTTGTACTCCGTAGTTCTGACTCCATAATGATGACCATGGTCCGATGAATACGTCCAAATACTGACCCTCAATGTATAGATATACGAAAGAAACCTGTTCTCAGCATAAGCTTTGCTTTCGTTCCTGCTACTTGCAATCTCTTTTTTCTGTTCGGCTGACATATGGTCTGACAGCAAAATTACGGAGTACCCCATAAAATGAAAGGATGTTCCTTCCGATTAGGATGAGCATCCGATCATCAAGCTCTTTCTGTGAGAAATGAAGATGGGATGTGTCACAGGTGATATAGGAGGCTGTATCAATGTGATGTGTCTCAAAGGCTATATAGGTGCGGCCGGAACATGGCTCGCTCCGACTAGTGCCAACGTCTGCAGAGGATCTTCAATTGCATGAGAACATACTGAGACTCATGGGAAATCACGATCAATCTCATGCTCTGTAACACACCATTGGCAATCCTGTCTGGCAGAAAGTGGCTGGGTGTCGATCATTTAGTAGATTCTGTGTGGGGAGGCCAATGTCAGTGGTTGATGAAAAGTGATACATCACTTCTGCAAGTGTTTTGATGCATTTTCGAAATCGATCCATGTGTCATTTGGATGTTTTAGATTTTATTGGTAACGGCCGAGGAAATGCCATGATCTTGCAGCAACTCCAGATGTTGATACATCAATGGATCATGGTGTTCAATAACTTTTCACCTGTTTATCTGGCCATCCCGGAGCTCTCCGTCTATCATATTTCAATACAAATATCTCAGTGTACGTATCATATCGTAGCTTATTATGAGCAGCAGAGAGTATGGAGGTAGAAATCAAACTATCGAAATCTCATTATGGAGCAGATTGGATAAACACTCACATCAAAGTCTCGATTGCCTCACTTTCAATTATTCTCCGTAATTTCCACATGATTATTTGGATTATGGGCTATATTCTCTGAATAATCCAAAAAAAAAAAAAAAAGCCACGGGAAGTCAGTGTCGATATTCCGTGTTCGCAGAGGGTCTGTGTTTCGGCTGGTCTGCTCGACTGATCTGGTGGAAGATGGGTGACATGGTGATCTATACAATAATGGATAGGCAACAACTAATTTGTATTTGTTTTATGCAGAGTTACTGCTCTGGGTTCTATTGTTGCTTTTTTTTTTTTTTTTCTTGCGAATATTGAGTCCGCATAGAGGTGTATTTGCCGTGGTGGTTTTTGTGAACCTAGTGTTTAATCCAGGCACAGCAGTTTATAGTATGTCTTGGATACATTATAGTCTTGTATAGTCTGTGATAATCTTATAATCATAATATCCGTTAATTCTTCTGATTGAACTGTACAGAGTATTTGGTGTGAAGATGTACGGGGCAGCCTGAGGCATTAAGGAATCAACGTTTACTAACCATATTAGGATGTAATAAACGGCTTGCTTCATACTGTATATTACACTGTACGTAATATATCTCCTCCTAGAATACCCCTGTATCCAGTATCATACCGTATCATACATACATACACTACCATCTCTCCCTTCAACCTCTTCTTTCATCTCGAAGAATCCAACAAAGCCATCATTCTCTGCTCAAGTCCTTCATCATCCGAATCTCCATCCTCTCCTTCACCATCTCCATATCTCACCACCACACTAACTCGCCATATCCATCTCCACCGTCCACCGGCGTGACTCCGCTGCAGCAGCCCGTCCGCCCCTAAGCGGTGATCGCTCCGCATCCGGCCAACAATTTCTCTCTTCCCTCCGAGTCCAACTTACCAGCCAGGAGTCGATCGTGTTCAGATATCCAGTTTATCCATCGATTCCATCTCTCTTGCGACCAGTTCTGTTTCCCCATTCTCTCGGCCAATCATCGTCTCTCGTTTTTCTTTTCTTTTCTTTTTCTCCCCCCCTTTTTCCCGTCGCCCGCTAGGAACCTTTTGTTCCAGAAACCTGCCAGAAGCTGTCCGTCTCCATCCCTGGATTCCCGCGAGTCAGAAAGCGCTTCCTTTCGTTCATTCGGCCGCCCTGTCCGTGCGGTGTGTAATTGCAGATTTTAATATTCTGGATCGATCCAGAAAATAAAAAGAAAACTGAGAGTGATAAGGAAATTAAAAAGGAAAAAAAGGGAAAAGGAACCGGCCTAAGAATCGCTGCCAACCAGAAATCAATTTTTTTTCATTAAAACAGGAAATTAAGCATAATGGATCCCAACGCTACCGGCTATCCTGCTCTGCAGCAACAGCAGCACCACACGGGCTATCCTGTCACCACCCAGAGTCCACACGGCCAGCTCCCTTTCTATCCGAACCCTATGCCCCCGTTCCCCCAGTCCAAGACGCCATCCCAGCAACAGCAACAACAGCATTCTTTCGGTGCAGTGCCAATGCAGCAGCCAGGCGGCCCCGGTGGAGCTATGATGCCTTCAGGTTTCCCCCAGCATCCTTCGGGTACGTCGTGATCTTCCCTTCCCTTTTCCTGTTCTCTTCTTTTTGATTCGCTTGGGTCGTGCTCTTCCCGCACCGCGAGATCGGGGTTTCTGGGTGTTCTTATACAGCCTGTTGTTCAGAATGGGATCTGGTCACCAGTTGTGCCGCCCCGTCCCTGCAGGTCTGGCAAGATCTGCGACATCTGGGTTAGGTTAATAATGGCTTGGTGTGTGCATCGGCTATGTTTCTGACTTGGGGGTGTTGCCGTGCTGGCCCTACGCCTGCTGCACTACTCCTACAGATATTGGATAGTTCGAGTCTTGGACAAACACGCTAACGTTGATGTGCGATCCTCCGCCAACAGGACCCCACGCCAACTTCTCTGCTCCTCCCTTTGCCCAGCCACCTGTCCCGACGACCATGAGCCAATTTTTACCACCGCAAGGTACCTCGACCTCGAGTATTCCCACGACCGCAGCGCACGCCTTCCCTCAAAACATGGCCTCGGTCTCAGCGAACAACATGCTCCCCGCGCAGCAACGGCCAGTCCAACTACAACAGCCTCCCCAGCCCCAGCCACAAGCGCAACCGCAGCCGAATCCTGCGCAGGCGGAGCCCCAGGGTCCGGCGGCAGCGCGCGAAAAGGCTCGCGTCGCGACCCTGCTCGATATCAACTCGATGTTGCTGGAAGAAGTCGTGAATCTGCGGGCGGCTGGTAAAGCTGGTGGTCCTCCTGTACCTCAGGATGGATCGCCCGCAGCCGACCCCGAGGCGGCCAAGGGACCAGTGCAGAAGCCGAGCCCGGAATACATCGAATGTATGCGCCGGTTGCAGGCCAACCTGGCTTATCTCGCGACTATTGCCGACCGGGCCAAGAAATCGGGAGGCGTGCCTCCTCCGGGCCCTGCTATCATGACGCCGCCCCCGAACATGTCATCGATGAATGAGATCTACAGCAAGCTCAACGAGCTCTTCCCGCGAACAGCCAAGAGCGCCGCCGGGACGCCACAGCCGAGTCCACAAGGTATGCAGGGAAACGGCAACCCGAGCCCTTCCCCAGCAGCAGAGTCTGTCGTATGAGGGAAACGTAATCGGGCTTATAACGAGCCATGGAATAACAACACTCATGATTACGTCTTGGTCACTGGAGAAAAAAGCACGAGGAGAGAACACGGCATACCGCAGACTGCAGCGCGCTGTCATCGCCGTTTCATAGAGGTGTCTAGACTGAAGCCCATTCGGATTTTCCTCTGCCGCGCCCTACGGCCTACTGCCTAATGTCGGTATTGCATTTCAAGGATGTCGATGACTACCCTATAACATGGCCTGGAATGAATTTCATCCCCAGAGATGGTCGACCTTGTAAACTGCCATGAGTTGTTATGAATGAGAGTCACAACGAACTATCCGTCAATAGGAAGGGGTGAGCCGACAATGGATCCGAAGGTCCAATGTCGGCATTGGTCTAATCATCAAAATGCCTATGATGCAGAGAAGCTGAAAAGAAAGAACAAATGAACGATGGAGAGTTCCATGTATAGTTATGTTAGTGGTCCTTTTGTTCTTGCGGAGGGCCGTTTCGAAGAACATCAAGGCCTTGTGATTGATGTAAGAGATGAGAGAACTGTGAATTTTGTTTCTATATTTGTGATGTAGAATAATATATATTTATATACCCAACTTGAAGTCTTTGTTGTCCAGAAGGTTGCTTTCATGATCTGCGGGGCGCGATGACGCCGATGCCCATCTGTAAGGAGACAACGAAATGACGATGTCTTTTGATTCCTTTCACTTTTGAGATATATTTATTTCTCTATTCATCCGAAATGCAATCATCTTAATCATCTCGACTCCTTGTTCGAGTCCCAGCCCCTTTGGTGACACGGCGAGGCCCGATCAACCATCGTCATCGATGCCAAGCAGCAACCTTGAAAGAAGCTCTCCTTCGCCTGACTTCTTCTCACTTCGCCCTCACATCATTGTTCACGCGATCGTCCCCTCTTCTCTCTTTTTTCTCTCTCTTGCTCTGTATTCCTTGTTCATCTCCTCCTCTTGGACCGCTCGAGGTCTTGTGAATGCCTTGCGCCCTTCTCCCTCTGTGCAGAAGGAGCCTATCGGTCGCTACAACTTTTACACCCTCTTCCTCGTCCGCGTCGCCGCCTCACCACCACCACCATCAGCCTCTCACCAAACCTGTTTCCTCCACGTCTCCTGACACGTCCCCCACTTCTCTCTGGTCGCATGCTCAATTTACTTCCACATCGTCGACCTTTATTTCTCCTCCCAATCGCCGAGTGACCCATTGGCGTCAGAATCTTCTCCAGCGGTCCTTCACCTATCCCGCCGCGACATTTGCAATCAGCAGCACCCAGATACCTCTTCGGACATTTTCTTCTCTCGTGTCGTCTGCTCGTCCAGTATCCCGTGCCTCCTCACCTGCCTACAAAATGGATCTGAATGGTGACGCCAGCGCAAAGCGCAAGCGCAGCTCCGTCGCCACAAACGCAGATCATCCCGCCAAACACCTCAAGCCAGAAAGCTCCGTCCTGACACCGGGGGATACAACACCGGCAAATGGGACCGTGTATGATATCGAAGATGACGAGGATGCCAGCCGTATGTTAGCAATTGGGCCCGCCCAGGCCGATTCGCCGGAATGGCAAGCAACCATTGAGACGGTCGTAAAGAGTGTAGTTTCCATTCACTTCTGTCAAACTTGCTCTTTTGATACAGATTTGTCTATGAGCAGTCAGGCTACGGGATTCGTCGTCGATGCGGAGCGTGGATACATTTTGACTAACCGGCATGTTGTCTGTGCGGGACCGTTCTGGGGTTACTGTATCTTTGATAACCATGAGGAAGTAAGTTGTGAGGACGATGGATTGGCTGTGTTATAGTGCTGACTTCTGCTTTTCTTGTGCTTTCTAGTGCGACGTTCGTCCTGTATACCGAGATCCCGTGCACGACTTTGGTCTGCTTAAGTTCGACCCCAAGGCTATTCGATACATGAAACTCACAGAACTCAAGCTCGCACCCTCCGCCGCTCGAGTAGGATCTGAAATTCGAGTTGTCGGTAATGATGCGGGAGAGAAACTTAGTATCTTGTCCGGTGTTATTAGTCGGTTGGATAGGAATGCGCCCGAGTATGGCGAGGGTTACAGTGATTTCAATACAAACTACATTCAGGCCGCCGCTGCTGCTAGCGGTGGTAGTTCGGGCAGTCCCGTAGTCAACATCGATGGTCATGCCATTGCATTGCAGGCCGGTGGTCGAGCGGACGGCGCAGCGACAGATTATTTCCTGCCGCTGGACCGTCCCCTCCGTGCCTTGGAGTGTGTTCGTCGGAACGAGCCAGTTACCCGTGGTACGATTCAAACACAGTGGATTCTCAAGCCTTTCGACGAATGTCGTCGTCTGGGCTTGACTCCGGAGTGGGAAGCGGCCGTCCGTCACGCAGCTCCCACCGAAACTAGTATGCTGGTGGCAGAAATCATTCTCCCTGAAGGTCCTGGAGATGGGAAACTTCTGGAAGGAGACGTCCTGCTACAGGTCAATGGGGAGCTCCTTACTCAATTCATTCGATTGGACGATATCCTCGACTCAAGCGTCGGGAAGTCAGTGAAGCTGCTGGTCCAGAGAGGCGGCGAGAACGTGGAGCTTGAATGCCAGGTTGGCGATCTCCATGCCATCACTCCCGATCGCTTTGTGACTGTGGCCGGTGGCACCTTCCATGACCTTTCCTACCAACAGGCTCGACTGTACGCCATTCCCGTTCGCGGAGTCTACGTCTGCGAAGCGGCCGGATCGTTCAAGTTGGAGAACACCCTGTCTGGGTGGATTATCGATTCGGTCGATAAGCGACCGACTCGGAACCTTGATGAATTCGTCGAGGTGATGAAGACCATTCCTGATCGCTCCCGTGTGGTCATTTCGTATCGACACATTCGCGACCTCCACACTCGGGGTACGAGCATCGTCTATATCGACCGTCACTGGCACCCCAAGATGCGTCTGGCTGTCCGCAATGATGAGACTGGTCTTTGGGACTTTTCCGACCTCGCAGGTCCTATCCCAGCAGCTCCCCCAGTTCCGAGAAAGGCCGACTTTATTCAATTGGACGGTGTGAGCCAGCCTGCTGCTGCTGAGATTGTGCGCAGTTTTGTGCGCGTATCGTGCACTATGCCTTTGAAGCTTGATGGATACCCTCAGGCCAAGAAGACCGGCTTTGGTTTGGTGATTGATGCCGATAAGGGTCTGGTTGTCGTTTCGCGGGCTATTGTGCCATATGACCTCTGCGACATCAACATCACCGTGGCCGACTCTGTCATCGTCAGTGCTAAGGTTGTCTTCCTGCACCCGCTGCAGAACTACACCATCATTCAGTACGACCCCAGCCTCGTTGAGGCGCCAATTCAAAGTGCTAGACTCAGCAGAGAGTTCATCAAGCAGGGACAGGATACGATCTTTGTTGGGTTCAACCAGAACTTCCGCATTGTGGTGGCCAAGACAGCCGTCACGGATATCACAACCGTGTCGATTCCCGCCAACGCCTCCGCGCCGCGCTATAGGGCGATTAACTTGGACGCCATCACCGTCGACACCGGTCTTAGTGGACAGTGCACAAATGGTGTATTGATCGGTGAAGACGGTGTTGTTCAAGCACTGTGGCTGAACTATCTTGGTGAACGCACCCCGAGCACACACAAGGATGTTGAGTACCATCTTGGATTCGCCACTCCTTCGCTGCTCCCTGTCACCTCCATGATCCAGCAAGGGGTCATCCCTAAGTTGCGTATTCTGAACATGGAGAGCTATGTGGTTCAGATGAGCCAGGCTCGTATCATGGGCGTGTCAGAGGAATGGATCCAGAAGGTTACCAAGGCCAACCCGTCGCGACACCAGCTCTTCATGGTGCGCAAGGTAGACTCGTCGCCATTCTCCTCCAATGTCGACGCGTTGCAGGAGGGTGATATCATCCTGACTCTCGATGGTCAACTTATTACTCGCGTCTCCGAATTGGATATCATGTACGATAAGGAGGTTTTGGATGCACTTATCGTGCGAAACGGCCAGGAAATGCAGATCCAGGTGCCGACGGTGTCAACAGAGGATCTGGAGACTGATCGAGCTGTTGTTTTCTGTGGTGCCGTGTTGCAGAAGCCGCATCATGCTGTCTGTCAGCAGATTTCCAAGCTGCACAGTGAAATCTACGTCAGCGCAAGGGTATGTTCTTCTCCAACCATTTGCACCTGAAGATTGACACTAATTACCGATGATGAAACAGAGTCGCGGTTCCCCTTCTTACCAATACGGACTCTCCCCAACCAACTTTGTCACAGCCGTCAACGGCATTCCGACACCGAACCTCGATCGCTTCGTGAAAGAAGTTAGCAAGATTCCAGACAATACATACTTCCGACTGCGTGCAGTCACTTTTGACAACGTCCCATGGGTCGTCACCATGAAGAAAAATGACCACTACGTAAGAAAACCCTTCCCCGTCATTCTACCAAAACAATACTGACTAAATTCCAGTTCCCCATGTCCGAATACATCAAGGACCCATCCAAACCCTCTGGCTGGCGAACCATTTCCCACGACAAGGGCAAGCACAAGGACGGCATCGCCGCAGATGCAGCCAACCTTAACCCAGACGCGATGGAACAGGGTTTCGAAGACGTAAGCGATATCGAGCCCGATGCGGAAACGGATTAAAAGTCGGCGGGGTGATGTTTTGTATAATATAATACATAAGATAGATAGGCTCTTGATGCGCCATTTAAAAATTGCGCTGTATGTATACGTATTTAGAATGCTGGTTACTGGGCTGTACATGATATATACAGTGTGTTTGGATTTGAAAAGGAAAAATTAATATGATTCTTATTTATTGGTTGGATTACTTGTGGTATATTGACACGAACCCTAGGAGACACACCATGCAGGAAATATATAACTAGACGACAACGTGGATTTCAGCAACTAGCTTGCACTAGCACTGAGTAAAGGCCACGAACACCGAAACGCCAAAGTAAAACCTCCCTATCAAGTACCAGATGGATTTCAAAGAAAAAAAATACTCAAACCAAAACATTTTATCGATCAAATGGATCGTACATCTGACAGTGTCAATTACCAATATCAGTTGGGATATATAACATTAATATGAAAACCACTATATCAACTAGCATCATTGGTCTAGTGGTAGAATTCATCGTTGCCATCGATGAGGCCCGTGTTCGATTCACGGATGATGCAACTTCTTTTTTGTCGTTTTTTTTTTTTTTGTCTTCAAGCCAGAATTTTATGTTGATGCCTTACCCGGTTCGGATGAACCGTTGATCGGATCACCCCTTAGCGCTATTTTGTGTTTGCCTTCAGGTTTCTTACTGGCTACTCAATAGCATGACAACTGATATGGTTGATTGACATTCTCGCCTTTATCTTTATCGAGACATCATATACTATGTAGCACTAAGAGTAAAAGTGATGCCGACTAATATGCACCTTAAATCCAACATAATCCCAAAGTTATTCGGGTGAATCACAGTAAAAACGCCTAACCGGTCATGCCCATCACCCAATTGAACCAGTTTGCCGCTACTAAAACAAATATCAAGAAATCAATATGCTCCCTAGGAAAAGAGAATAAAAGAATGTTAGTTTCCGAAGGTCCATCCGCCATTGAGTCTCATTCGTTGTCGGTCGGCCAGATCCTTCCGGATCTCATCTTGTGTCAGTCCGTCGGCACCGGACCAGTTCGCGCTGCTGGTTCGGTCTCGGAACTTCTTGATCTTTTTGTCTGTCTTGAAGGTATCCTCCAGTGAGAATGGCGCAATCGGTCCAAAGATAGAGTCAACCTCCATTCCCTCCTGCTGCCTCAAGAGAGACTCAAGTTCCTTGGCCTGAGCCCACTTGGGAACAGGAAGCATCTCTGCCTCTGAGTCTTCATCCTCGCTATCAGTTGCGATTTCAGGAAGCTGAATGTTTTCTCCACTGGGATACTTCGGCGATGGTTTGGCCTGGGCCTTTTGTGAGGAGCTCGCAGCAGGCGTTTTGTGCACGGGTGGCTGCGATGCGGGGTTGGGCTCAGCGAAGGGAATCTTGCCACTTGCGTATTTTGACATGTCCATCGGGTGAGCTGGTCTCTGTGGTTGAGTAGTCTTGAAGATCGAAGATCCAGACTGGTGTGACATAGATGGCTGGCCATGACCGAAGATAGAAGGCTTGCTAAAGGTTAGCATGGGTTTGAAAGAAGGCAGCGTGTATATTACCTTGCGAATGTTCGACTGTCGAATTGGTGGTGCCATTGTGGGACGTACGGAAGGCGCAGGATTGTGTTCATCCTCCGTCCGCCTCCGCTTAGAATCACCGGATGGCATCACAGTACTAGGTTTTGAAGTGACAGGACGGTGGCTAGTTTCGTCATCCAGTCCTCTCTTAGGTGGTTTGGCAGGGTTGGGCTGCGGTTGGTTAATTGATCTACTGAATGCAGGCTGCACAGAGCCCAATCTGGAACCTGGCCTGACCTGCTGAGCTGGTTTGTCCTGATGAAGCATTGAGCCCTAGGAAAAGTCAGTTGCTGATGATATAACAGCTAGGAAACAGTTTACTTACCCGCTCACTTGCAGGTTGCTGACTGCCTTGTCTTTCGAGTCTTCGGGCATTTTCCAATCTCCGCTTCTCAATTGCCTGCATCTGTGCAGCCTTCTTGGGATCCTCCGAAGTGGCGCGTTCACGGCGCTCAGCTTCTGCGCGGCTCCGCATCTCCTGACGACGAGTCTCTTCTTGTTGCTGGGCGGCTCGCTTACGCTCCAGCTCACGTTTTTGCTCCTCCCTCCGGCGAGCATCACGTTCTTCCTGTTCCTTCTTCCTATCGTTTGCCAGTTGGGCCTTTCGCTGCGACTGAGCAGACACTGCGCTCTTCATACTGCCGTTTGAAGAGGCAGTATGCAAGGATGTGTTACTTGCTTTCTTCTTGAGTGTTGGTGGCTTTGAAGCGGAGGCTGGAGTTGGAACTGGTGCATTTGAATCATTGGCATTTGAAGATACCGAGCCACTTGCCAGCGGAATCTGTCGGGAAAGAGCACTGCCAACGCGGATTGACACCGGCTGAGGTTTTGGCTTCTGCAGGGCCTCACGGTTAGGCTTGACTGGACGACGGTCGGCCTGTTTTGACTGTTGCGAAACGGACGAGACAGAGGCTTTGGAGCCGACTTCATGGCTGGGCTCTGTTTCCTTGGATGAGTATTTTTGCGGCTGTGACATTTTCTTTGGACTTGCCGCAGCACGACCTTCGAGATCCGCTGATGTCTTCTCTTGGGTAGCCTTGAGCTGGAGGGCCTTTTGCTTTTCCTGCTCTCGAGCCTTCTCTGCCTGCTCCTCGTCCCGCTGGCGCTCTTCTTCTCGGTGGCGGTCCTCTTCTCGCTGGCGGTCTTCGAGCTCTCTTTGCTTTCGTGATTCCTTTTCTGTGGAGCTCCTGGTGCGACGGCCTTCTTGTCTTGGGGGGCTAAGTAACTGGGCTGGCTGGGGTTCACGTTTGCTTCGAATATTATTTGTATCGGGACTGTCGTCATTTTGAAATTGCAACGCATCGGGCGAGGATGGTTGGAATTTCGGTACTGCGGAAACGCCGCCCGTACTTGTGAAAAGGCCCTTTGCAGATCTCATGATGGATTGCAACTTGAACTTGGATGCGCTCAATGGACCATCCGAGCGCTCCGGAGATCCTACGGGAGTGGTAGACTCCTCGGGAGGTATCTGGGGAACAGATACGCTCTTCTGATGACCAAAACGTTGGGGAGATGAGGAATTCGGGGTGGAAGACTTTCCACGGGCCGACTCGGCGGCATTGTTTGCACTTGACCGGCCAATATGGTCATGAATGGCCTGTTTCCGGATCATGGAGGCACTATCTTTCTCTGAAGCTCGTTTAGCCTCAGTGGTGGAAGGCTTCTCCATGATGTCGATAGTCTGGCTCTTGGCAGGGGAGTTCAAGGGTTTGATCCAGTCATCGCCGGTTTCCATGGGCTCCATAGACGAAATTTCGTGGGACTTTTGATTAGACGGCTCTGGTTTTGAGTCTTCCTTGGTGGATGGAAGTTCAGGATAGGTCACTTGGGTAGAGGACAGGCCTGACACCGACGGGATTGATTTGGTAGGTCGCGATGGCTGAAGCTTGCCAAGCATGCTAATTTTCTCATGCAGTCTTTGGGTGGAAGATTTGTTGTGTAGCTTGCTTGCTCTGGTGTCTGCATCCCTTTCCTCATGAGAGGCGTGCTTGTCCTCATCGACAACCATTTTATCATCATGTGTTGCATCATCGTCTAGGGCAGCTTGAGTTGTCCGATGCCCTCCGGTCTGTCTGCCGAAGTAGTTGGAGCCCCCGGTGCTATTCAGCTTCGCAAGGTCGACATGACTTGTCCTAGAAATCCTCGAGCCACCCAAGCTCTTCTTCATCAATGGCTCTCGTGCAGGAAGCGATGCGAATGTCAGACTACTCTTGCGGACTGGGGGCCGTTCTGGGGTGAAGTCATCTGAAGGTGAGTCGATATCATCCAATATATCGAGAGCCGTATCTTCCTTCTCAGCATCTTTTTCTTGCTGAGCCTGGGAGGGCTGGATTGTGGGTGTCTTGGCCGGAGAAGATTTCGGGTTTGCCGCTGGCTCCTCCTGTTCTGGCTCGGACTCTTCCTCTTCCTCTTGTTGCTTTTCAGGCTCCCTTTTGAGTTCTGGCTCTTTCTCGGGTTCCTTTTCGGGCTCTGGTTCTGATTCTTGCTCAGACTCGAGCTCGGCAACGGGTTCTGGTTCTGGTTCTGGTTCGGCAACAGGCTCAGGCTCTGGCGCTGGTTCTTGTTTCTTCTCGGGCTTGGGCTCAGCAACGGTTTCTGGCTCTGGTTCTGGTTCCGCAACTGGCTCGGGCTCTGGTGTTGGCACTGATTCTTTCTCTTCCTTATTTTGTTTCAATGCTGGCTTCGGGGGCTGTACTTGTGTATCCTTGGGTGCTGAGTCAATATTCATAGGCTCCGCAATATCTTCTCGCTGATGCATATCTTCATGTGCCGAATGGAAGGAGCTTCCAGTCGTACGCCGTTCGATAGATGAGCGATTTTGCTGTGATACTTTTGGCACGGTATCATTTTCCAGAGGCTGAGTGGATGTTTGAGAGTTAGGTTGTGTTTGCGTCAGAACCACATCGTCATCTTCCTCCTCCTCCTCGTCGTCTTGCATTCCGTGGTATCCTGAATCAGTATTGTATTGCGGGAAAGAGTTGAGGTTTTGAGTCAGATCCGGATACTGGGGATGCGACTCATTTTCAGTCGCATTCTTGGCACCTGTAATTTTGGCGGCTGATGTAGTTGTAAGAGCGGTGGGTTTAGCGGGTGAAAGATGGACAGCCGGGCTAGCATTGGCTTTGTTTTCAAGTTGTTTGTGAGCGGACGAGAAGATCTCGCTGAGAGGCTGCTCGAAGGGTCAATTAGCGTGCCTCTCAAGAGGCAATGAAGGGAGACGTACCACGCGATTCTCGTCCACGTTTCGTTTCCGAATTGTTCGTGGAGTTTTGCCTCGCATTTTTCCGGGCGTCTTAAATACCTCCGCGAAGTTGCTTGGATTATGGTCAGCACGAGAGCGCTTCGAAAAGGGTGGTCTCAACGCACAATTGGTTGCTGGAGAAGACTTCTGCCATGTGCTCGTTCAACCAATCCATCTCATGGCGAACAGGATATTCCACTTCTTCCATTTCCTGATCCACCAACTGCATAACATTTTCCTTTTCTGTCGAAATCCATCCTGCAGAGCCCACGGGCTTCTGCGCCCTCGCGCCAGAAGAGGCCATAACGATGTAAACAACGCGATATCAAAGGAGGTTGTGCGGTCGAATACGCAAACAAATTAGTCGCAGAAAACAAAGGGCAAGCGAGCCCGTGCTAACAGGTCCACGAGGGGGGACAGGAACATCGAAATAAGGCGAGTTGATGGGCGTTTGGTCGGCGAGATTGTGGGTTGAATGTCCGTCCGTCGCTGGGCGGCGGTCGAATCATCAAAACATCGGAACGCGTGAGTCCCGCTTGGTCACGTGCTGATTTACATCACCACTGCCTCAGGCAGTGAACACCTAAACACCCGCCAACTATCTACGGGATACTACCCAACTTTTGACCTCTGTCAAAAGAAGACCGAGGGATTACTCTTGCGCCCATGAATCATCACTTTTCCAATGCAATCAAAATGATACATGGGGAAGAGATACTCTGTCCCTCCTGTCCTTAGCATTGTCCAAGAGAGATCAAAGCATGCATGCAGTACTGCTGACATTTGATCCAAGTTGCGTTTCTCTTGTCATTTCGGACTTTTGAAATCGGGGAATTTATACCCATTACCAACAGAAGCTGCTCGATCAAGTGAACGATGATTTAGTTAATACGCTCGACCTGCCGAATGCTCAAGACCGACTGTTCTCGCCAGAGCAGCTGATGCATCTGGCTACCTTTGAGATCTTAGGTCAGAGATCAGAACCTCTGACTCCTTGACGACGAAGACGCGGAAATTCAGAGGATGACACATTTTCGCTATCGAATAGAAAGATACTGAATCAGCGGGAGTTACCAGTTCGGAGAATATCCCCACGAGCTGCCCTGGCAGAAGACGCCATATATTCCCGAGAAACTTGAGACAGCGAATTTACGCTGTATTATCTTACAAGTGACTATGGGATCATTGGCATGCACCTATGGAAATGCGCTCTTTTGGTAGAATTGGCTTTTCAGAATGGTATGGTTCTGTTCTAAAGAAGTGTGGGAGGTCTGGCAGCACTTCTGTCAATAAATGCCATATCTGTGCTATGCAGGTAATGCTGTGGGATATTGCATTTCAAATGAGACTGTTAAGCCTGTTCAAAACTTGCCCCCCCACAAAGGAGACAGATACTGATTTCCCCCTTCACTTCTGTCTACAATCCATCACGATTCAATTTACCACGACAGGAGCAACAAAAATCTATAAGTTCAATTTATTATGGTCGCTTACTGCTACAGACAAATGTTTAATGGCACAGGGCGAATCTTTCGGCATCGGATACGTCACCATGCAAGTACGCAATAGAGCATACATGTACATATGTCGATGCCTAAGTGGCCAGAAAGAGACGATCTCCACCCCTGGCTGGAATATTTTTAGGAATAAGAGCAATGGGATCAGCTATCACGCGACCATATTTGACATTGCTAGCGACTCGAGAGACCTACCTTTTATGCAATATACAACAGTACATTCTATGCCCGAATATGGGAACAACTTAGTGGGGGAATGTCGATTGCCTTCTTTTTCCCTTTCTACTTCGTATCTTCTATTGGAATATGAGCTCCAAAGGTCTTGTCCTAGGACATACTCCGCGTGTACAGGGTCCATCGGACATCCAGTAGCTGTTCCCATGCAGGAGCAACCAATTGGTTCATTTCATCGACTCCCTCGGCGATGAGCTGGATGGTATCGGTGAGAAGTCCTTAAGATACTCATGGAGACATTTGAAACTTGTCCTATTACATTGATATCGCCTTGCTATGAGCTGAAGCAAGGCTTGTGTACAGGTGGCTATGCTGTCTCTGCGGTGAAACATCATAGATATTGCGCACAGCGTGTTCCGAGAAGCTCTTTGGAAATTTAGGTGAAAACTCATTCGAAAGAGGGTTTCTTTCTCACCCGGCTATGAAGATTAGGACTTGTAGATCTATCCGAATTGAAGAGCCGGATTGTCACATGTCACTTGCCGAGAATCGTTGCTTTTGATGACAACCTAGTGTTAAATTTTTCTTATTTTAAAGGATCAGCTCGACAATAGAAAGAACTCGAGCAAATAATAAACTCGAACATAAGCATCATCATAGTGCTCATCATTGTGTAAGATTCTAGACAACCGCGGAACCTGCCGTTGAACAGGCAAGACAGAAGCACACGACCCTCTTTTTCGCTTGCCGGGGATTGCATCACTTCCCAAACAAGAGCCCCGGCCCTCGTCTCCTATCTTTTTTCTTACGGACTTCCCCATCCCTCACCTCGTCCATCTCACGCTCTTTTCTTTTTTCATTTCGCTTCTTCCTTCTTCTTTCCCTTTTCCGGTTTCAATAAATCGACCTTTTTTAACCATTGCCTCCCCCGAATCTCCGCGACACGCCTTTCTTCCCTTCCCCGCCCGTCCCCTATCTTACACAGCCAGCTCCAGAGCTACCGCACAACACACCTCCGACATGGCCGACGTGAGCTATCCCGACACCAATGGAGCCAGTAAGGTACGGCTAAAACTAATATCGTACCTGTCGATAACGCTTTGATGCTGACAGAGCTCTCCACCGACAGTTAAATCAATCTTTTCGAATGTCTTCGACATGTTACACGGGCTGACTTGTCTTTTTTAGACATCAAGGACATCGTGACCAACGGTAATAAAGATACAATTGTTCTGGTTGATCATCAGAGAAAAGAGATAATCTGACAATCGCTTCACAGGTCCTGTTGTTGATAACCTCAAGTCCGAGGCATCTCGTACTGGTGCGGAGATACGCGACTTAAAAAACTCGAGGGCCTCACCTTCAAAGACCACCGCGACCGGCCAACCCCTGACTTGTATGCGATGATACGATCCGTTGTTTCCAAGCAAGAAAAAAAAACAGCACACTAACCTATTTGTAGACTACCACTCTTTGCTGTACAGTCTTCTGAGCGTGAGTAACCGGAATCCTTTTATTTGAAAGACCAAAACTAACAAGCCACTCGTTTATTTAGTGGGAGCAACCTCGAGCTACCGCCGCCTCTTTTGCGAGTGTCGTTTTCTTCATCTTTGCCGCCCGTTACCTTCCTCTCCTTCGCTGGGCTTTCAAGCTCGTGTACGTCCTTTTGGGATGTGAGTTCAGTTTCATTTCCGATATCACCTGAGCATCTTGCTGACTAGGAGGGTTAGTCACTGCTGCTGCTGAAATTGGGGGTAGACTTATTCTCTCTCAAAGCATCGCAAGCTCTTTCCGCCCCCGCAAATACTACACAGTCCCCAAGGAAACCACTGAGGCGATCGTGGAAGATCTTGAGCAGCTCCTTGACTTCGTTCTTCTCGAGTTCCAGCGAGTTCTGTTCGCAGAGAATGTCGTTCACACTGTCGCGGTATGGACTCGAAATTCGTTTTGTGCGGTCGTGAATGAAGAAAATGGCGAACTAATTGGATACACAGGCCTTCTTCTCTGCTTTCACTGCCTACTGGCTGATCAAGTTCCTTCCTCTCTGGGGATTGTCTTTGATCACCGTCACTATTGCCTACATCGGTCCCCTCGTCTACATTAACAACCGGGAGGTCATTGATGCTCAGATCGAAGAGGCTCAGGGTATCATCAACTCTCAGGCTAACCAGTTGAAGGATCTGGCCGAGGAACGCACCAACCATGCGACTGGCGTGGTTAAGCAGTACGTGAGCGACTACAGCGCTAAGGCTCAGGGATACGTAGTCCAGCGCCGCTCTGCGTCGCCAGAAATGACCAAGGTCGCAACACCGGTTAAGAAGGAGCCCAGCGCCGAGCCCGAGATCAAGATTTCTGACTTCCCTGAAGCACCAAAGGAACCTTTGGCAGAGCCAAAGGAGGAGCCTCTGGTGGAATCAATTGAGCCAAAGCAGGAGCCCTTGGAACAGGAGCCTCTCGTGGCAGCTTAAATGGTGCCTTTCGAGCCGACACGACTCACCATGGGTCTTTTGTTCGATACACCAGCTGCCTATGATGAGCGAAACTAGCATTATGGCAGCCGAATTGATGTTGGAGGTCAAAAATCTTTCAGCGACGCGCTTCTTTTCCAGTACATTCTATTGTGGGCAAGGCATGAGGGATTGGTGGGTTTGGCGTGTACGATTTCAAGATGGCATGATTCTTTCAGGGTTTTATTTCCCACCTTTTCCTTGCCTGCCCCGCCCCCAAACCTTTCCTACCCTCCTCAATCGATACTAAGTTATATTTACTATTTATTATTTGATCTTATTTTTTTTTTTTTAACTCATGCAAAAATATCTGATTGAATATTCCAAGTGATCTGCATACGCGAGTGACCCAAATTGAGAGTGAAAAGACAACCCAGCAACAACCTCGAACGGGCAGATGCCGCGGGCTGGCGTCAATCCCCCGAACTCAACAAGGACTTGTTTAGCTAGCACGACTTGTACGAGCTTCTGGCCAATGCGCTTCTTAATTCTGCTCTGGAACATGGTTGAACATGAAAGCCGCGCAATCCTTCGATACAACCCCCCACCAAGATCCTCGTAGGCGTCGAGTTTCATTCGGATGTTTCCGTACACGATGTGGCCGCAACTGCCAATCTGCATACCATCCTGCATTTGTATTCGGGCCAATCTAGGATCTCGAGCCTGCAGCAAGACAACCAGAGAACATGGCGTCTACTTGGGGATCTGAACACAGCGTCGTCGGAACGGCTTCCTCTTACCCCAGATTGCGAGACGTTGTACAGGTGTTTTCATGTTGTTTTATGATGCCGCGGTCTACAGGGGTCACCCCAGTAGGAGTCTAATGAGAAAGCCGCTCTGGTAGAGGATCTGCGTGCAATGGGTATTGTTTCATTGGGAAGTATTGTGTAGATGATGATATTCTCCATACAGAAAACTAAATGGATCTACTGCGCAGTATTCAATGGGTAGAGCTAGCTCAGTTGTAGTTCATATTCATTGGTTGGTCTATGTATAGGTGACTAATCAGAGTTATGCACTCGATCTAAGTCGAGGCTTTCGACACACACGACAGGCAGTGAGGAACGACGACTCAACAATTCACCTTGGACATCGATTCTATCCTTAAGTTTCATCAAAGCAGGAGTCTACCCATTATCAACGCTGCATTCCAAATATAAAAGACCAAGTCTTCGTCTGCGAGACCAAGAAACCCCTGGAGTTCATTGACAAAGAGGAGGTGGCTCTTTTTCGACGACAAGCAGTTGTCTCGCTGACATGGGAGGACGGAGCTACTAGCAGCTGCCTGTTCGGGATTTCCATCTTCCTCGTTATTCTGTGAGTCTAACTCTATCTCGTTTCTAGAAATAAAAAAGGTGGTTCCATGAAGGATGATTCCTTGGAAAAGGAATATCGCTTCGTCTTTGTCTCCAGGCCACGATATCCAGGAGCACACAAAGTAGAGGATGTCTCGGGTGATAGGACTCTACTACTTCTTCTAGATCTTTGAATTTGTCTCACGCATTCCTTTTCGTGTCAATATTCGAACGAGAAAAAGAAAATATTTCCATGGATTCCTTCGATTGGGACAGTGTTTCATTTTTCATCTGCATGGACAGAACGTCATGAAATGGAGGAAATGACTGCTACCTGCCGGTGGAGCTTCCTCTCACCTCTTTTCAGGGTGGACTGCATGATTTAATCAGAAATAGGAAGGAGAAAATTGGCATTCCATAACAGGACAAGACAAAACAACAGACCAAATCAAAAGGCCGAAGGATGAGACGCCACAAACGTGTCGGAAGACTGCAGAGAAGGCTGCGTGGAAGATTTTTTGATGCCCACATCCATTCTAAGACTTCTGCACAATATCAATCCCTCCACTCGTTGATTTTATTTGCTTTTTGCCTTCGCGCAGCCCAAAGACTCGTTCAAGCGGCGCTTCAGCAGAACTGGATAACTTGACTCTTGACGAACGGGTGCCACGCCTATGGAAAGTGAGGCAGAATCTAAGCTGGGTCTACGTTTCTATGAGATTGCAATCTTGCCCGATGAGGCGATTATAGGGAAAGAAAAACAATAATTTGCCTCTGGGAAAGCCTTTACAAATGTTACATTCAGTTCATGGGCTCTTTCTGTATAGTCAATTGTGTGTGTTTCCAGGCTTTGTTCCTGGAGGGCGTTTATTGTGAACGGGGGTTGAACATAATGGGGATACGGAGTCGATATCATTGCTCCTCTCATTCTCCAAGGATCTATCTGACCTCCTGTCTTGCTTCAATCGACCTGGTGCCTGTCTCTCACTGCTACTGGCCACTGACTCAGTGGGACTCGTTGATTGGTTGGCGGCGAAGCAGCTTCCCGTCATACAAGAAGCAAAAGTCTCATGCAACCTTCCGTGGGTCTCAGACCTCCCTGACGCCCGCCTCGCTGAACCAGCGCCGTTGAACTGCTTGCCTATTGGCCCATCCGGCCAGGGTGTCTAATCTTCCGGTTGCTCTAGTGGCAGCTTTCAATTTCCTGAAGTCGAGTTCACTGACATGGGTTGATTGATATCATCCCAAGGGTATTCTAACAGACGGGAACCTAACGGGAAAAATGGACAGTGCCATAACGATTTTCTAAAATAAGGGGCAACGCGATACAAGCCTGTCGATACCCTCCCCAGGTTCCATGGTTCTCTATCCCCTTTTAGGCTTACGCTTGTCAGACCGCCGTCGCAATCTGTTTGCATGGGGTGGAGGATCTGGATCAAGGAAAACGATAGACAAGGCTTCATCTCAGAAAACCCATGCAAGACCTCCACATGGTGCCGGAAGTCCCTGAAACGTGATCTACCATGTCTCTTCTCAGAGTATACGTCGTCCTTTGGTTTTGGGTAGTTGCAGATGAGGGAGTGGAACAAGTGAAGCCCTCGAAAATCGGGGGAGGTATTGGTTACTTCCTATATTTGGACAGGGGAGCAGATGATGTCGTCGACGATAAGCCTGCCTATCCGTTGTGAACCCCCCTGGCTGGTATTGATCTTAGTAAAAATGGCTTCTGGTTATACATGGCGAGGGGGCGAGTTTCTTGCTATACTCAAAACGGGCTTAAGGTATGGCAAGTCTTGACTCGCCAGAGGTGCCTGGTCCAAGCTTGGGTGTGTACCTCGTGATGCGCTCCCGTTGACTAAGTACCGGTGAGGTTATTCCCATGCCGAAGACTTCGTTGATCTAAGACATTTCGCCTACTTTGGATGTCTAGATCCGGGACCCAGTCATGGTTTGGGGTTCACCGCTGCCCTGCCATGGCACGTTGCCTCGAAGAGAGATTGCAAGCTGAGTGGTTGTTCACAGATTGGGCAGTAGGCAAACAGCGTGAATCTGTCCAAGCTTCTTTCGTCAGATGCCGTCACTGTATCCACTCATGGAAGACCTTGTGCAGAACAAACCTCCTGACAAAGGGAAGAGGGTTGCTCATGGGAGTGCTTCCACACGGCTTTGAAACCTTTTCAGCCAGTCTGGTGATTTGCCCAACAGGCTGCTAGCTACCCCCATAGATATCCTGTCCCTGATATCCGCTTCTAGATTTTCTTTCTTGTCTCTTGTTCTTTCCGTTGTCACCCATCACCTCTTTGTCACTTTGTTGGAGTTTCTGGAATCCTACCTCCTCTCAGTTTCTTTCTCACTGTGCTATATCATTTGGAAAGACGAAGATTAATTTGGCTTCCATTGCTCCTATTCTGCAAATTCAAACTTGACTATCCCTTTTCATCTCTTTTATCTTCTCTGGGTGTCTCGCGCTGCCATTCCACCCCGCAAAAGAACTCTCCTCGGTTAAAAGTTATCCCAAGAGAAAGACTGATCTTGTTTCTGCTGCCCAAGACCTATTTATGGCTTCGATAGAGTCTTTGCTAAACCCACTCCCCGAGTTTCATCGGTTTTCCATCCCAAGCCCGTCGCTGTCAAGCTCGACGAGCACCGCGGCGTCATCTCGGGGACCCCGCCACAAGAAACCAAAGCTTGCTAAAGATGCCCCTATCTTCACCAAAGGCAATATCAGAGGAGAACTGCGCTATCCTCCATGCGAGGAGAGAGATGAAGAGCTGGCCAGATTGCATCGCGAATTCCAGCTGCACCCCATAGGCCATATCGCGGATTTCCCGAGACACATTCCGTATAACAGTGACAAGAAATCGTTTCAGGAGCGAACTGGACGAGAGAGTTTTGAAGGTATGTCATCTTCATACTATTGCTTTTTATAAGAAGATAACACATCGCTAAAATGCCTCTAGTTTTCCAGTATACGTTCAAGATCCCCGGCCAAGATCGGGAATGGACAGTGATGTGGGATTACAACATCGGACTTGTCCGAACGACGCATCTATTCAAATGCAACAACTACTCCAAGGTAGGATATACTACTTGACATCAGGGATCTATAGCTAACGGGCCTCAGACTACACCAGCGAAGATGCTGAATCTAAATCCCGGTCTCCGGGAAATCTGCCATAGCATAACAGGTGGAGCACTCGCGGCACAAGGTATGCTTTGCTGATTCTTGTCATCCAAAGGCACGTGCTAACTAAAGTATTAAGGATACTGGATGCCATTCGAAGCTGCTAAAGCCGTAGCAGCAACCTTCTGCTGGAACATCCGGCACGCACTCACTCCTCTCTTCGGAAACGACTTCCCATCGCTGTGCATCCACCCCCAAGACCGACGCCACTACGAGCGCTGGACCATCGATCCAGAAATCGTGAAAAAAGCGACCGAAACATCCAAATACTACCGGATGCTTGAGCTGCAGTCCACATCCGTGCCTTCTCTGGACTCCACCAGTCGTCGCCCAAGCCCGCCCGAGGAAAAAAGATTCAGAAGGCAAATTCCTCCCAAGTCTCACTACGAATACGCAGATAGTGTCAGTAGCAGTGGATACGGGTCTTCTTACTCCTCCCTTGACTTCGGGCCAGACACATACTGCGTGTCGCCCGTGAGTCCGTACCGCAATACCTTCACGACCGTCAACACTCCACGAAGCACAGAGGTAGTGTGCACCCGTATCCCATCACCACAGCACGTGCTGGCAACCATATCCGACATGTCGGAGAAGGTAGTCAGCGACGAGGACTGTGGATCCGACGTGACTGAATCGACCATGTACTCAGACTTCACCAGCACAGCAACAGACAGTCCATCCATGGACCTGGACGATACTGATGGGCGGGACAACGACAACAAATCCGACGAGGATTACCGCGAACACAACAGTAGAAGACAACAAGAGCCTCCTGTGAGCCATTCAGGTTCAAATCGGAACATCGAAACCCGGTCTCGTCTTAAACCGAGATCGGTGATGTTCGCGCGCGAAGTCAGGGCCGCGCATGCACTGCTCAGCTTGCACATGCAGGATGCCACGGCGAGTGATGTGGAAGATTGTCAGACTTTGTGCGAGACGAGTGGACGAAAGAGACGGAGGGCTTCTGCGTAGAACTTTGCATTATCATACATTGTTTGGGCTTGGGTTTGGGTTTGGCCTTTGGGGGGACTTTAATGAATTCATGATGATGATTTAGAGGATGGTGTTGGTGTTTGGTTTGGCTGCATGGTTAGAATGATCGTTATTTGTTGCACTTTGTTTATTTGTTTCTTGTCTATTATCTATTTATCTATTATCATCTAGTATCTATCTATTTTATTTTATCCAATACCTCCCTTATTATCGATTACCTCTCCACCAAATATAATATGCCATGACTGACCATAGCCATGATTAAGTAGCAACAGCAAACCGACTCCATCCCCGAATCGTCTTACCATACCGATAAAACACATACGGCACCAGCGTCATGACCGAACTGATACATGCCAAAATCGTCAACGTGTAGTGCACCCCCATATTCTTGTAAAACGGGATCCCGACAACGGTCATCCCACCGGCGGCGCAGTACCGTGACACAGTCATGAAGCCTAATGCAGAGGCGGCGTAGATGTCGTACGAGTCGATAACGTACATGTAACTGGAGATGAAGACGGTGATGGTTCCGAAACCAAAAACGGCAGACGCGACGATAGGGGACCAGATGGAGATGGAGCTCTGTTTTTTTTTTTGGTTAGCTGTGCAATTATAAATCGATAGAGAAAACAACAAGACTTACATAATCCGTCCAACCCATCCAGAACAACCCGATAGGAATCAACGGTGCACCAGACATGGCGAACCAGAGCCGATTCTCCGGACGAGAGTGGATATTCTTCTTGCCCAGATCCTTCTCTTGCTCTTCGGCCGGTTGGTCAGCTTTCTGGGCAGCGGCTAATTCCTGGAACTCGCGCTTCGTGTAGTGGTAGATGACGGGGACGAGGAAGCTAGCGCATAGAATGCCCACGTACATAGCCACCCAGACGATGTTTGTGAGACCCTGCGAGATACCATAGACGTCGGTGAAGATGTACGGGTAGCCGTCGAAGAAGGTGAAAAGCACGATGTAGATGACGGTCATGTAGAGGGAGATGAGGAGGATGATGGGTTCGTGGAAGGTGAGTTCGAATTGGCGACGGCAGGCGGTAAACATGCGGGAGAAGAGGGCTGTCTGTTGGAGGTCCATTGGGGCGTGGTAGCGGTTATCGCCCGTTGCTGTCCGGAGATGGTGGGCCTTCCATTTAAGGAGAAGCGGACCGTAGGTCTCTGGTTGGAAGAGGATGACTAGTCCGAGGATGAGACCGGAGCCGATGAGGATAATCCAGTTGGTCCAACGCCAGGAGAGCGTGCCCTGGCCCATGTATGAGGCGATGGTTGGGCCCATGATGGGTCCGCCAAAGGACAGGATCGCGTATAGAGGGAAGGTGAGAGTTTTCTCTAGAGGATCCCACAGATCGGCCACGGTGCCGCCGGCGCAAGTCAGCGGGGGACAGCCAAAGACACCAGCCAGGAAACGGAAGGCGAGCTGCGCGCCGATGTTGGGAGCTAAACCGGTGGCCATGACGAAGATCATGAATAAGGTCAGCGATCCGGCGTAGACGACGTTACGACCTAGGATTTCGGACAAGGGACCAGAGACGAGGGACCCCGCAGCGAAACCGAGCAGGTAGAGACCCGTGGCTAGCGATGCGACGACCTCGCTGACTCCAAAGGCGGCGCTGTTCTGCGGCAGTACACCCGATTCAATAGACGAGGCCGCTCCGACGATGAAAGCCATGGCGGACACTACCAAGGTGGCAGAGAGACGCCAGGCCAGGCTGTAGTTGCGCGGATTGAGGGGATCATGGTCGTGTTCCCATCCGACGAGGAGAATCTGAGAATGCGATCCATTGTTATCGTGTTGCTGGACTTGGATACCTGCCAACACGGGCTCACTCAGGTTAATGTCATTAGCGTCTAGCGAAGCATTTTGCTCTTTCCCCTGGAGGCCAGATCCCGAGCGGACCCGCTCTGGGAGACCATCGTCGAGCTGCCTGCGAACTGCGTGACCAATGCGACGGTACTGGAGATAGGCCTGCATGGTGGTGAGTTTGGGGCGCTTGAAGGGAGCTAGCTGACTAGGGAAAGGGAAGGAGGGAGACCAACGCGATATGTATACCCATCGAGTTTTCTCACCAATTTTTAACGGGCTGATTAATGGGTCCGGCGCAGTCTCGGTCGAGTGACGACTGGAGTCTGGAAGCCTGGATAAGTGACGATAGTGGATGAGTCTATCAAAAAGTCGACGTGCAGTGGGTCACGCCATATGGAAACAGTCGGAAACAAGAAATGAGATTGTGAGCTTGTCTGCTTGCCACTCGGATAAGGCTCTCGTATTGCTCGGAGACAGACAGCTTGAAAGGACTGGCTTCATAAGCATCTCCGTGGGAAACAGCGACAAAGAAGAGGAAAAAAGAAAAAACTATCTCCGACTCCGAGGGTTCGCCACAAAGGCCGATGCTGCTATCTCCGAGCCGGAGTTCTGCCGATCCGAACATGAGAAATAGTTACAAAATCACAAGATTTGGGAATAATCAATAAGGACATTCAATTCAAGATCGGTAGTACAACTGGTGGTCAAAATACATAAAAAAGAAAATAAAAACACAAAAGAAGTATTGCGACTACGCGACGCTCAGCGCCGGGTCAACAATCCCGAAATCACTCGCTCTCATCGTCAAAGTCATCCGCCGAATCGCCTCCATTGTCCTCGCTCTCATCATCGTCAATCACATACGTCTTCTTCGCCGCTGCTGTCCGACGAGCAGGTCGACCGGCCGGCTTGCGCTTCGGTGCCTCCTCTTCATCCGAGTCTAGGAGTTTGTCGGCCATGGCGTCGATATCGTCCTCTGACTCATCTGCGACCTTCTTCTTGCCGCCAGCCTTAGCTTGCTTGGATGCGTACGCTTTAGCCGCTGGAGACATGGCACTGGAGGCAGCAGCCTTGGCGGGAGCAGCAGCATCCTTCTTAGGGCGACCCCGCGGCTTCGCAGCCGGCTTGGAGGCTGCAGCCGTGGCTGCTTTGCCCTTTGCAGCGGGCTTTGCCCTGGAGGCGACAGGTTTCACAGGCTCGTCGTCTTCTTCTTCTTCTTCATTTTCGGGAGCCTTGGTATCCTTCGGCTTGACTAGCAATGACCGACGAGGCGATTTAGATGGCAGCAGTTTACTGTAGTCCGTTTCGTCCGCATCAAAATCACTCGAAAGATTCGAGGGTTTGCTGCTGCTAGCCTTCAGACCAGAAGCACCTTCGGACCGCATCGGCTCAGAAAAGAGTTGGCGGGAGTCATCACCAGATTTGCTACCAATGCCTTTGACCATATTGCTGACATCGCCAAGCAGATCATCCCCGTTATCACTGTCCGAGTCGCTCAATGCCGTGTATTTCACTGGTTTGCGGCTCGCACGGCTGGGCTGTTTGGCTGCTTCGGCCTTGGCGATCTCCATGAAATCATCATCGGAGAGGTCATCGTCATCGTCCTTGGGCTTGGGCTTAGCTTTGGCTGCTGCACGGCCCTTCTTAGGTGGGGCTTCTTCGACTTCAAAATCATCGTCGTCCTCGTCCTTGACCTTAGCTTTGGTCTTGGGAGCAGCTTTGGGAGCAGCCTTTGCTCCAGCGCGGCCCTTCTTGGGCGGAGCTTCTTCGACTTCGAAGTCATCATCATCCTCGTCTTCGTCCTCGTCCTTGGGCGACTTGCTCTTGGCGGCAGGTTTGGATGCAGCACGGCCCTTCTTAGGTGCCGGCTCATCTACCACGTCGTCCATTACCACATCGTCATCCTCTTCCTTGGGTTCAGGCTTGGCTGCGGGTTTCGATGCTCCTCGACTCTTCTTCGGCAGTACTTCAAGGTCAAAGTCATCGTCCGAATCACCACCGTCACCAGCAGGCGATGCCGGTTTAGCTGCCGGTTTGCTCAAATAGCTCAATAAGGCGTTCTTGGGCTCGGTTTTCTTTGCAGCGGCTGACTTCTTAGATTTGGGAGCGGCAAAGTCTTCATCATCAGGGTCGTCACCTAGCGCGGCCTTGCGCTTCTTAGCCGGAGCACGGCCACCTGTCATAAGCTTGGTTGACTGGCGACGACCCAGGCTGGCCACCTTGCGTTGACGGCGATCTTCATCGATAAGCTGGAATCTCCATTCTTCAATGAAATCCTCCAGATCCTTTCTCCAGATGTCCTCCTTGGACAACTTGATCAGAGTGTCGATCTCCATCTCCTTGTCACCAATCTGGCGGCGGAGCTTTTCGACACGTTCCTGTGTCAAAGACCAGATGGCCATTCCCAAAAGGTAGTCGTAGGCGTTGGAGAGGACATTCTCGCTATCATCTCCCTCTTCATCCTCGGCGGCAGGCTCATCCTCTCCCGCCTTAACAGCCTCCTGCACCTTGGGGAATGGCTTGAACCCCTTCTCCTTCAACTCATTGACAAGCACGGCCTTCTTCTTCTTGGAGATGACCAATTCGCCGTCGATGATCATTTGAACGAAGCGAGCCTGGTTACTGAATTTTTCCAACTCTTTCTGGAGTTGAGACAGTTGGTATTGCTGCAAATCGTGTTAGCTCATTCTATAAACACGCTATCTGGCCTCATGCCAGTCAGAAAAAGCATACCTTGCGTCGCTCATAGTACTTGAGCCGGATCGTAAAGAACTCCTTGAGAATATCTTCAACGGTGGCATACTTTGTGATTCGACCCTCAGGGTCAAACGCAACAAGGTTGGTAGTCGCAAGGGTTTTCGATAGCTTGAACTTTTCCTCCAGGCCCTCGCTCAACGCTCCCTTCATGTTCTTCTCGTCCAACTGAATGACGAAGTGAACCTTGGTGTGCGTGTTGTAATCCTTGTAGTCCTTGATGAACGAAGGCGTCTTGTCAGCCTTGATGATATCCTCAAGCTTATCTTTGAAATCTTGTGTCCAGCTCCTAATGGGAAGCTCGGTGATTTCCACCTCCTTCTCTCCCGACTCTTTGATGGTACCGCTGAACTTGTAACGATCACCGCCAATAGCAGTGACTTCACCAGTGAAGCCGCGGAACCATGGCTGCATGGGCTTGAGCTCTTCTCCATCCATCATCCGTTTGAGGTTCTCCACGATGTCTTCGGGGTTGTAGTTGGGAATTGAAGAACTCCATCCCGTACCAATACCATCGGCACCATTGATCAAGATCATAGGAACAACGGGCATGTACATCTCGGGCTCAATCTTTGCGCCATCGTCTTCATTGTACGTGAGCAGAGGCTCATCGGCCTGGTTGAATACGCGTCGTGCAAAAGGTGACAGTCGGGTGTAAATGTAACGTGCGCTGGCGCAGTCAGCTCCACCTTGAAGACGACTACCAAAGTTTCCACTAGGTTCCAAACAGTTGACGTTGTTCGATCCGACAAAGTTCTGTGCAAGACCAACAATGGTTTGCTGCAAAGAAGCCTCACCGTGCTGGTACGCCGTCATACCGGAAACGTGACCGGCCAACTCGACCACCTTCATATCCTTCTTCAGGTTGCGGCGGAAACAAGCGTACAAGACTTTACGCTGACCAGGTTTCAGACCATCAACAACCGACGGGATAGATCGCATGTTATCAGCCATACTGAACAGGATGAGCTCCTTGTTGATGAAGTCGGTGTAGGTAATTTTCGATACAGAGTGGTCCAGGTACGTTCCAGGCTTGAACTGGCGCAGCCATTCCTTTCGCTCATCAGCCTTCTTCTTCGAGAAGGCAAGTTCAATCAATTCGGCCTCATTATCCTGCATCGTGTGGAATTCCTTGAGGTGGCGGTCCAGATCACGGAAGTAGACTTGGGCATCTTCAGTAGTGCTAGTACCCAAACCCTTGTAGTACTTGTGATCCCAACCACGTTCGTGTTGGTGCTCCTCCCTCCATGCATCGTACTCAGGCATAGTGAAGAAGGAGCGCTGCTTGGTTGGATTCTTGGGGTCACCCTTCCAGACCTTGACAATGGGAGTGATGAACTCGATGAGGAACTCGGGGATCTTCAGTAAACTCGGGAATTGAGCTTGAAGAAAGTTGATGAGCAATCCCTTGATGTGACTACCGTCGTGATCCTGATCAGTCATGATCATCAAGTGACCGTAACGCAGACCCCGTGTTTCAGTGTATTCCTTCTTATGTTGCAAACCGATGAAATTCTTGATGTTTTGAATTTCCGCGTTCTTTGCGATCTGATCGAAAGAAGCATCACGGACGTTGAGAAGCTTTCCTCGCAAGGGGAACACACCGAAAAGATCCGGACCGACGACCGCTCGTCCAGCCATGGCCAAACCCTTGGCCGAGTCACCCTCAGTCAGGATGAGAGTGCAGTGATGGCCATCCTTCGTTCCAGCTTTGTTAGCGTCAGTCAATTTCGGATTGTTCATGCGAGAGCGGCGGCCACCGTCAGACTTCTTCAGCATCTGGTCGGCCTTTTGCTGAGCGAAATGCAAGATGTTCGACATGACCTCAGTCTTGAGGATCTTCTTGTAGAAATCTTCCTCGAGCACACATTTGCTACCGAATTGGCTGGTCTTCGTCGTAAGCTGCTCCTTGGTCTGGGAGGTGAAGGCCGGGTTAACGACGAGGGCGTTCACGAAGATGAAGATGTGGTTCTTAATCTGGGCGGTCTTGAGAGTTGCTCCATTCTTGTTCTTCTTTTTGACCGTCTCCGCCAACTTGTTGCAGATCTGATCGGCGATGTAGTTCACGTGGGTACCACCAGAGGTCGTGGCGATGGAGTTGACGAACGACACCTGTTGGAAGGCGCCATCCGATACGGCGAAACCAACTTCCCATCTAGGGTCCGGGCTACAGGTGATGATTTCATCCTTGGCCGCGGGACCGTCGTCGCCACGCTCTCTTCGGATTGCTTTAGTGTACATTTCCATGTACTTCTTAAAGTTGCGAACGGGAATGCGAGAGCCGTTCAACTTGACAGCAACCTTGGCAGTACCTGCCAAATCATAGACACGACGCTTGACAAGAGCCTCGAAGTCATCGTCCATGTTTTCCATGCCGAATTTGGCGTAATCAGGCTTGAAGGTGACCTTGGTGTAGTCCTCCCCTTTGGCTTCGGTGATCTTTGCCTTGCCAATCTTGGTCATGTTCTCGGTCCAAGTCTGCTTATACTTCTTTTTCACACGCGAGTCCTGGGTTTCAATGCTGAACTCGGTGGAGAAGACGTTACACAGCTTAGCACCGAAACCGTTACGACCACCAGTCACTTTCTGTTGGGTATCATCGTAGTTGGACGATGTCAGAAGTTGACCGAAGATCAGTTCGGGGACATAGCACTTCTCCTTTGAGTGCATCTCAATTGGAATACCCCGACCGTTGTTCCAGACGCTGATCTCACCCGATTCGCGACTGATGGTTACACGAATCTCGTCCATGTTCTTGTCATTCTGCTTGTTGTCTGCCGCGTTCACAACGATTTCGTCGAAGATCTTGTAGAGACCAGGGACGTAGGAGACTTCACGGTATTCCATTCCTTCCGACACCGAGCTGTATACCCACATATGTTGGGTAGTGCGCTCTGTGGAACCAATATATGTATCCGGACGTTTAATAATATGTTCTAATTGTGTGAGCTATAGGGTGAACGTGTTAGTCGACACGCTTTGGGATCATGGCCACGGAGCTTGGGTGACTTGCCTTCTGGTACTTCTCTGATGCATTGGTTTCCTTCTTGGGCGCTTCATCAGCATCGTCATTTCCAAACGATTCATTTTCATTATCGGCCAGAGGCTTAGAGCCACCCTTTTTGCCAGCGGGGGCCTTCTTTGCCTTCGTCGGCGGGGTATGCGAAAGAGCTGAGTCGTCGCCATCGTCGGACATGGGGTCGTCGTCCATTTCATCATCGCTGTCAGGCTTTGCCCGCTTCTTGGCCGCTGCGCCCTTTGCAGCAGGCTTCTTGGCTGTGAGAGTGGTCTGTGTCATTTTCTTGGGCGCCGCTTTCTTGGGAGCCGCCTTCGCCTTGGGTTTCTAGAAAGCGCGAAGTCGCCGACGGTTAGCAAAGAAATCTTCAAATGCAATCAAGAAGCAAGTCAAACGCGTACGGGAGCAGGCTCAGGGACAAAGTCGGAGCTACCGCCGTCGTCAAAGACGGAGTCTTCGGCCATTGAATCGTCCATCTTGAGAAGTGGTGGTCGCGAACACGCTCACGGAGATAAGGAGAGGGCGAGGAGTGACTGTAATGTTAGTACAAGGGTTGAGAAATGAAGAAAAATTAAACCTCCAGCATGCTAGAGAGGTTGGTGGGAAGAGATAAAAAAGAGAGAGGGAGAGACGTGGTTGTGTTAGAGAAACACAAGTGAATTTCTTCCCCGTCTCTTTGTCTATCTGTTTTGCTGTCGACGCTTTTTGCCGGCCAAAAAAAGAAAAACACGCGGCGGCGACTCGCTGTTGCTGCTCGGAGCAGGGATCAGCCACGCGGAGAGACGTTGTTCCGCGGTTAGTGTGGCGCAAAAGTGGCCGGAAGAGGCAATCCCTAAACAAAGTAGCCGAAAAGGGAAGGCACGACCAAAACATACACAAGGCGGGGGAGGGGAAAGGGCGATAGTAACCTCACTTTTGCCCTTCTTTTGGCAGTAAAAGTGACAGTTTAACAAGAAGCTTATCTTAATTCAGTGATTCTTCATAAAGGGTCTGGATTACTCTGCATCTTGTTTTTCTCCCTAAGCAACGCAGTGGATGGCATTATTGGTTTTTTGGATGCAACAATCAATGCTCATTTGATTTGTATTTACTACCTATGGCCATAATTTTGAGTACAATATGCTTTGGATAGTATCAAATATTTATTCCAATGCCCAAGGATGAAAAAAGATAAAGCAGTATCTTTGCACTCAATGATTCAGCATGACTTTATATCTAGCGGCAAAGCACACCATTCACCCCACAGCACCATTGTCGCTTTTTCATGCTATTCTCTAAATCATTCAAGTTTCTCGAATAGCCCACTTTATCCCTCATAATATTTCTAGAATGTCTCCATAACCTCCATCCTACTGTCAAATAGACCTCACTGGTAAAGTAAAATGAGCCAATGATATTCCGATATTGGAAACACCAGCCAATCACAGCCAGCAAATTCTGTCCCCGCAATATCATTGAAACTTGTTACTAAACAGCAATAAATTACATCCAGGGGAATCACATTGCGAAATCAAATTACCAAAATATAATATCGACATGTTGATTTTGCTATATATAGTCGATTTTCCCTAACAGTCACATACAGACCTGCAGAGCTCGATTCACCCTACACCTAGAACTTCAAAGCGGCCGCCGTCAGACGGGAGCCATCTAAACGGTGTGGAGACTGAAAGGTTGACGATGGATCGACCGGTCCATCGGAGAGAAATGCTGGCTTTTCCATGGTTGGAACACAGGAAAAGGAGAGATGGGATTCCATGGATACAATATCAATACAACCCCAGGGCCAGAGCAACCCCAGACAGTGATAAATAATACTGTAAATTGTAATTGTTGCTGCTTGTAGAATATCCCCTGAGTCTGCGACAAGAAACGAAAGTCGATGGAAGCTGGAATTATTGAAAGCGATCGACGGGGCCAACGCGGGCGAGACCCGAGGGGAAAAATTACTGTACTGAGGAGAGAAAAGGGCGGCCCCTAAAAGTAATCTATCGCCGTCAGACTAGTAGGGAGACCTGACACACCGTCCTCTTTCTCCTCCTCCCACCATCTTTAGCTTTTGATCCTCAATTCATTTTTACTCCTCGACCGTTTCTATTGTCTCATCGATTCTAGAAATGCTGTCGTGGTTGGTCGCCCCTCGTTCGACTTTTGTGCTTTAATCCTCTTATCGTGCTGGTTTAGCCCCTCCGCCCTCGAATCTCATCCCACAATTCCTCACTCAGCCTGCCCCCAATTGTCATTCGACGAGGAGTTTTCCTCGAGGAAGGCTGCATTGATCGATCGACCATCTCGCATCCCTTCGCATATCGACCATGGACAGCTCCGAACAGCTCCCAGCTCGCGCCTTCAATGCGGACGCCCCAAACAATCATGTGCATACCGATTCGATGGTGACCGTTCCTTTGTCTGACATTCAATCCAATTCCGAACATACTCAGCCGGACTGGAGGAACCTCGACATCCCACAAACCCCTGTTGATTCTACCTCCCCTGAGGTGCTCGAGGATGAGAGTGAGGAGGAAATAAAGACTACACCAACGCGAGACGGGGCAAAACCAGAGGTCGAACAAGACTCCAGCGCCAATCCTACCAGATCTCGAAGCCACGATGGAAAGGGTCAGCGGAAATCTGGGGATCGTGATGTGGTTGACTGGGAAGAGTTGGATAAGACGGAGGAAAATGAACCACGTGGTGAGGGATCAGATGAGGTGCGTAACGAATAAATAGGGAGAAGCGGAAGGATTGATGAGAAAGGGCGATATTGACATTATTTAGTCGATGGCTCTCCTACTCGCTCGCCTGGAGCAGGAGAACAATGCGCTGGCCACGAATCCTAAGTCGGGATTATCGAACGTGACGGCTGCCCAGGTTCACCAGAGACAGTCCCGATCGCAGTCTCTGCACCACATCAGGCGATTGATCCACGATGACCCTCGATCATCCTTGCGATATTCACAACTGCCTACCCCACCGATGACCGAATTGGAATTCTGGGCAGCGCTGGTGGCCGATTACCCCCAAACAGCCCAGCGACTCCCGACCCTGACCTCGAACAAGATCCGTGGGGGTGTTCCACCTCCACTGCGAGGAGTAGTCTGGCCCAGCTTGTCTGGTGCCCGGGATGCGTCGCTCCTTGTCGAGTACCAGAGACTCTGTGGTGAGACTAGCCCGTATGAAGGTCTGATCGGGAAAGACATTGGTCGGAGTTTTCCCAATGTGGAGATGTTCCGAGACCCTCATGGTGAAGGGCAGCAGATGCTTGCCCGAGTCCTGAAGTGCTTCAGTCTTTACGATACCAAAATTGGCTACTGCCAAGGTCTAGGCTTTGTCGTTGGGCCCCTGTTGATGCACATGACGGATGCAGAAGCATTCTGCGTGCTTGTGCGGTAAGTTTTGCATTGTCTTGCTTATGCATAAGTGTGGCTGACATATTCTCCGCAGCCTGATGGAGCACTATGATCTACGAACTTGTTACCTGCCTGACCTTTCCGGTCTTCATCTTCGAGTTTATCAATTCCAGAACCTTCTTGCTCGTCACCGTCCTGCCCTATTTGCGCATTTGGAGGCACTGCACGTCGAGCCTGTATACGTGTCGCAATGGTTCCTTTCTTTCTTCGCCGTTGCGTGCCCTCTCCCGATTCTTCTTCGGATTTACGATGTCATCTTCTTGGAAGGCGCCTGCGAAACGTTGATGCGGGTTGCGCTCTCTCTCATGCAGCGAAATGAGAAGAGGCTCATGGCATGCGCGGAATTCGAGGATGTCATGCAGCTCTTGTTGTCAAGAAGCTTGTGGGATTCGTGAGTAAATCCCAACGTATATTGGAAAACCATAAACTGACCTGTTTAGGTATGCTTTGCATCCTGATGAAATGGTTAGAGAATTCGTCTCTTTGACTTCACTCGTGACTAAAGAGAGTCTTCAAACCCTGGAAGCCAGTTACAACCAGTCACAAGGCGTTCCGACAGGCATCACCTTCCCCCAGATGCAAGCCGCGACCGCTCGGTTTCTGGGCCGATTGTGGGCAGGCTCAAGCGCTCACAATTCCGTCAAGTCGCTTTCTCCCAATCCTAACCATGGCAGCATTCGCCGATCAGCATCCAAGCAGAGTATGACTTCCACGCTCAACTCGGTAGAGTCCACATCCGATGCCAGCACAGCCCCGACGGAACTTTCCACCGCGGACCCATCAAAACCACGCGCGAAGTCAGCTATGACCCATAACAAAGACCGGGATTTACACACGCAAATTGAAGATCTTTTGATGGCCCTGAGCGATTTGCAACGACAACATGCCGACCTCACTCGAGAGCTGCAACAAGAACGTGAAGAGCGCGAGGAAGATCAGGAGCTGGCAAAGTTATTGTTGAATCGTATCAAAGAAACCGAAGCAGATGATCCCCCGATGGAACTTATTAACAAAGCGGACGAGAGATTTACCGCTGTCGATTCTTCCAAGCGGGTGTCGATCAGTCAGACCAAATATCAACTTCGCGACGATCTAAACCGATGGAAGGAAATGCATGAAATAGAGTCTGGACGGTGCTTCGATCTGACTCGACGCATCGACGAGCATGAACAGGAAAACTCATCGTTGAGAGAACAAATCCGGGAGGCAAGAAGTCGGATTCAAGACGGATACCGGGACCGACAGCGACTGGAACGGACGATTCGAGAACTGCGCATGACAAGGTCGCCTAGCTCAGAGACCCCGCCGGAGACATTTGGATCCCCTACCAGCGAACCAGGCGAGGGCTACAGTCCGGGCGGCTTGCGGGAGCTGAAACTCGTGCGAAGCAATTCGACAAAGAGCACAAAGAGTACGAAGAGCACATTCAACAAACGTTCAAGCAGTCTTGGCCTCCAGACAGTATTGGCCACCGATGACCATAAGCCAGCAGCCGAAGAGACGTTACTTCTGGAACTGGTGAATGCGAAAACAGGCGAGGCTGTGGCCAAGCAAGAACTAGAAGAGGTCAAGGCGAAGCTAGATTCACTACGCAAACTGATCAGTGGTCAGCAATCACCACCTCGAACTGGGACGAGGACCGAAGCCCGCAACTCTTTCCTCGGTCCCTCTCCCTCAAGAACCGAATCCGTCAGTTCAGGAACAGGCGGATTCTTCAGTGGATGGGGCCGGCGTGCCCCATCAGCTAGCACTGAATACGTTGAGATCAAGTGAGCCTCATTGCACCTGTTTTTATATTACCTGCATCAAGATTTGTATAAACTGTTTTATCTAAGCCATTGCATTGGGGAAGGTATGGTGTTTTGACTTTGTATAACTGGCGATTGGTTTGGTTCATTACTAGTTGGATATATTGGGGATTCCAGTACATGATATCTGTTTGTTTATATAAGATGTACATATATTCCTGCCTGGGTATATTTCCAGGATGTTTGTCGGAAGCCGTTTTGCTGTATATTCTGGGAATGGGTCTAAATTGACAGATTATCCACATTCCACATGGCAAGTCTCTGGCTGGTTCTAGAACGAAAAACAAATTATTTCTGCCTTGTATATGTGGCAGACTTTGTCAGGCACCAAGGCTGGCATTCTGCTCTCAACCTCAACTTCACTCTTTTTCTCATAACTTCCTTCCACACAAACAGCGTACTAGAAATTTCTTGTCGTTAAGCTACCGTCTGTTACAGCAGCCACACTCCAGAGAAGAAGAGAGATGAACATGTCAAGTCCTATATTTTACGACATTTGAACTCACTAACAACTTCATCCGTAGGAATCTAACGAACCAGAATCACCGTGAAGATGGACCAAACCTAGCGTCGGAGAATGGAAACAACAATGCAATACTTGATAACCAGCTTTCCTGGACATGAACTCTCTTCCATGACTTCACCTGCGTTGAAAGATGCCCCAGATCGTATTTTACAGATAACCCAGACCCAGAACCAGCCGTGGTGGAATATATTCAAATTGCGCATCAAGCGTTGAATTATAATTCATATCTAATACTCGCAGGGGTATTCATCCCGAAGAACCCGACCCCTTCACGTTGACAATAACAATACAATACAATGCAATGCGTCTAATTCAAAACAGCCCACGCCTGGATCGCACCAGCCAGGGCCGTCGCGAACCCATTCGCCTTGACACCATTCTTAAAATACCAGCCTGAGCTAACCCAGACAATAGCCGTGATCAAGCCCGCAATGGCCTTGTTTACCGGCTCTTCCAGGAGTGCCGGATTCTGAGACCAGTTGTAGTTGATGAGGGCTATCCGTATTAGTAGGTGCATTTAATTTGAAATTGACTTGTATGGACTCACCCGTCATGATGAAGAATGCACTACCCTGGTACCAGCCTGCTCTGCTGCATGTCGAGGCAAGAGTAGGGAGTTTTTGGAATTGGGGGGTTGATTGCCATTCTTTGGCGGAGATCTGTGAATTGTTAGTTGGGGATGATGGATGGAGGTGGGGGACGTACGGTGTGGCCCAGGGAGACGAGGAGCCAGCTTGCTGCTGATATTTTAAGAGACATGATGGTATTAATTTACTAATGATGATGATGGAAACGTCAAGGTGGTTGATATGGAATGAAACGAAGAGAAGAGATGAAGTGCAGAAATGCCAAGACAAAGATACCTCGGCAGATAAAGTCATCACAAGGCATCAGTAAAATTGTTAAAAAGCAAGGGCCTTTACTCAACAGACGACATCAATCAAGTCTAAGAAGCATGAAAATTGAACAGGAATATCTGCCACAGCTAGTGTGACCTTCAGCTGCGGTTCAACCATCTTTTCCATCCGAACCAAACATTCATAGCATAACTTCGAGTTGTGAGGCAGCATGACATGAAACATAACCGACAGATGGGCAGCAGTCTTGACAGATGACTGGGATTCGATACTGGATACAGCCCGCAGTAAACGGCTATGGTTGGGCGTTTACCGAGTTAATGTGATGAGTTCACTATCTGATCATTTCCATATGAGCAGACTATTTGCATCCCTCAATGATGACCTTAATGACGCTCTCCTTGCCTTGCCTCACCAATTCAAACGCCTCTTCTGCTCTTTCGAACGTGTATCGATCCGTGATGAGTCGCTTAACGTCGATCTTTCCACTGGCGATCAAATCCACTGCAGTGGGATAGCAGCCGGTTGTATACCGGATTGATCCTCTGATGGTAAGGTCGCGAATACACGCTGTCGTGATGGGGAAGACGACATTCTACAGAGTCAGCTCATATCCTCAACGGGTATATAGATGGATGGGATGTACCTCCTTCCCCATGCCCGCCTGCACATAAACCCCTCCCTTCCTGGTCAAATGCACTCCAGTCTGGATACAAGCCTGCGCACCGGTAGCTTCAATAACCACATCCGGCCCTTCACCAAGTTCAAAAAACTCCTTGATCATCCTTGCCACCTTCTCACTCCACGCACTCTCCTCCACCCCCTCCTCTCTCGCCGGCGGATAGAAAACCCCATCCGCCCCGAAGGAGCTGGCAAACTCCAACCTCGACCTCGATATATCAACGCCCACCACCTTCTTCGCTGCATATGCCTTACTCACAGCCTGGCAGAGGAGCCCGATCGGCCCGCACCCGAAGACAACCACCGTTTGGTTGGGACGGACGTTGCCGACTTTGGTTATCTGCACGGCGACGGCGACGGGTTCCACCATGGCGCCTTCTTCGAGGTCGACGTGAGCTGGTAGCGGGTAGCAGTAGTCGGCCTGGGTGGTGTAGTATTTTGATAGAGTGCCATCGTGGGGAGGGGTCGCGGCGAAGACGGTGTCTGGGCAGAGGTTGTAGGAGCCTTGCCGGCAGTAGGTGCAGCTATCGATTATCAGCTATGTTCATATAGACAGACGAAGAGAGAGGGAGGAGTACTGTCGACATGGAACCCCGGGCTCAACAGCAACACGATCGCCCACGGTGAGATTCTTCACAGCCGATCCGACTTCAACGACTGTACCGGAACTTTCATGGCCGAGGACGATGGGCGATTCCAGCACGAAGTCTACCAATCAGTACACAAAAACAACCATAAAAAAGAATGTATAAAAGGGAGATACCCCCGATTCTCCCCCGCTGCCAGTAGTGCACATCACTACCGCAAATACCCGTTTGGGCGATGTGGATGCGTACATCCCAGGGGTCGGATAGAGGGGGGATGGGACGGTCTTCGAAGGAGACGTTCTTGATGGAGTGGAGGACGAAGGAGGGGTTTGATTTTGTCATTTTCTTTTTATCTTTTGCTTGAATGAATGAAGATGAGATGGTATTGAGAAGAAGAGGGACGATGTATAAATAAGAACCCCGCACGGACACAGTCGTCCGTCCATATACTACCTGTACTATAACCTCATATACTATAATACTCGCTCCGCTCGTATTATCTATCTATCTAGCAGTATACCCCCCATCAACCACAAAGTCAGCACCAGTCGTATACGAGCTTGCCTCACTCGCCAAATAAAGATACACACCCTTCAATTCTCTCGGATCCCCATCCCGCTTCAACGGAGTCAGCGAAAACCACTCCTCTTTCATCGCAGCGGGACAGTCCCCGCTGATCGCCGTGTCGATGTAGCCTGGACTGACACTGTTGACGCGTGCAAAGGACGCCCATTCCACGGCGAGGGACTTGGAGAGCTGGATTATGCCCGCTTTGCAGGCGTTGTAGCAGGCCTGTCGTTACTTAGTACACTGTATATAAGGTCGATGGATGGGAAAGGAGATACCTGCTGCTGGGGAACGTTGACAGCATGCCCCGACATGGACGCCGTGAAGATGAGATTCCCCTTTCCCTGTTTCCGGAAGATATCCCCCGCAACACGGGCACAGTAGTAAGCACCGGAAAAGTCGATGTCCACGACGCGATTCCAGTCCTCGAGACGATCGTCAAGACCCCCCGCTTTGGAGGGGACGCCCGCATTGGCGATCATGACGTCTACGTGTCCGAAATCAGCCACGACGGTGTTGATGGTGGACTGGACGGAGTTGAAGTCTTGCACGAAGCATTGGTATGCTTTGGCTTTGATGTTGAAGTCACTGGCTAGTGTTGCTGCTTGTTCGTGGGCGCTGGTGGAGCGATTGTACCAGAGGGCAATGTCGGCGCCGGCTTCTGCGAGGCCACGGGCGATCTGGTAGCCAATGCCTCCGGAGCCGCCGGTGATGATGACGGTCTTGCCGTGCATGTCGAGCATTTTGAAGATGCTGTCGGAGGGTGCCATTGTGTCTGATGATTCGGTAGTGAGTATTCTGATGATGATTTTATTCTGTTTAATTCAACTATTGTTATACAATTTATAGACAGGAACGGACGGGGAATCCGGGGCGGACAGAGTCTCCGCTGCGGACGGCATGTCCGATGCTGCAGAGTATATCATCTCCACTTCCCCATGGGGTAGACCCACCACTCTATTCTACCATCGACATTCTATACTCTACGCAGAATGAAAGACCAAGATATCGTCGGACAAGCATTGGCTTCAGTCCTCCCCCAGCACTGTCAATTCTGGTTTCGCATTCCTCATCTCCTCCAGCTGAATCTCATCCTCTTCATTCCCCTCCTTTCTTCCGCCGTAGCAGGATACGATGGTACCCATCTTACCCAGATAACCTCACCTCATCTAACGAGATGACAGGCTCCCTAATGAACGCCCTCCAATCCATCCCAGAATGGAAATCCTACTTCAACAATCCCACCGGCCAAGTCCTCGGCGTCGTCAACGCAGCCCAGTCCATCGGCAGCGTCATCTCTCTCCCTGCCATCGGTCTTCTCTCCGACCGAATCGGGCGACGATGGACGCTCTTTTCCGGCGCTGTAACTATCATCATTGCGTCGATTATCCAAGCTGCGGCGGTCAATTATGGGATGTTTGTCTTTTCGCGGGTCCTGGTTGGTATAGGCTCGATGCTGGTCGTGCAGCCTTCGCCTATGTTGATTACCGAATTGGCGTTTCCCACGCATAGGGGGAAGTATACCAGGTATGAAATCACTATTTTATCATCTATTTTTATACTGTATGTTGATGGAAAAGCGCCTTCTGGACAATGTACTATCTAGGCGCCATCGTCGCCTCATGGACAACATACGGGACGCAGAAACAACTCTCCTCGGACTGGACCTGGCGCGTTCCATCCATCGTGCAGGCCGGATTCCCAATCGTCCAAATTCTCTTCTTTTGGGCTGTTCCTGAATCTCCGCGGTACTAACCCATATGCCTACACCTATATTGACATAGTGCTAATAGTGTAGCTGGCTAATCGCAAACAACCGCCCAACCGAAGCAAAACACCTACTCGCAAAATACCACACGGCAGGCGATGAATCACATCCGTTGATCAGGTTTGAAATGGACGAGATCACACGCACAATCAGCATAGAGCAGTATGCAGCGCAGGAAACGAAATGGTCGAGTTTGGTTTCTACGCCGGGGAATCGAAAACGCACGTTTATTGCGGTTTGTGTGGGTTGTTTTGCGCAGTGGAATGTAAGCTACCTATCTATCTATTTACATGTTATATTTATGCTAATGGTGAAGGGCGTTGCTGTTGTATCCTACTATCTCACTCTCGTCCTCGACACAGTCGGCATACGCGATGCAGACACACAAACCCTCATCAACGGCCTCTTGCAAATTTTCAACCTCATCGCAGCAGGCAGTGCCGCAATGCTGGTCGACCGACTCGGCAGACGCACTCTCTTCCTCTGGTCCGCAATCGGCATGCTCATCTCCTTTATCATCTGGACAACCTGTTCTGCCCTCTTCGACAGCACCCAGGCATCCCCACTAGGAAGAACAGTCATCGCCTTTGTCTTTGTCTTCTACTTCCACTACGACATTGCATACTGTCCACTCCTTCTAGCCTATCCGACTGAGATCTTTCCCTATAGTATCCGCAGTAAAGGGCTAACGGTTGAATTAATGGGCGTGTACGGTTCGTTGATTGTGCTGGCGTTTGTGAATCCGATTGCGCTGGGGCGGATTGGATGGAAGTATTATATTTTCTTTTGCTGTTTTGATGTGCTTGTTTTGGGGGTGACGTGGTTCATGTTTCCCGAGACGAAGGGGTATTCATTGGAAGATATTAAGGTGGTTTTTGATGGCAAGCGACATGAAGAGGAAGACGGAAAAGATGGAGTTAGTGCTGAACATGTCGAGTAGATTGTATATGCAGTTGAAGATGGCTATTCATACAATTTGAAACCGGCTGCTGCCACAGAATTTCATGTACGCCTTGGTGACATTCTCCAAGTTCAACCCTGATTCACCCCATCCTTGGAACCAATCACGATTCTGCACGTCGCAAACGGTCCCAGAGATGTGTGGTTCGTCTTATCAACCCTCTCTAATGTAGTCATGGTTCCTGCGCCGCAAATCAATCTGCAAACCAAGGCGTTGGATTACTTCCTGGCTACCAATCTGCTGTTTCCGGGACGTCATATTTTTAAGCGCATGATCCGGTTGCGGGGGCAGACAAGAAGACTGGACTGGCTGTTCCGCGTGATTTTATTCTGACTGACAACATTCAAACCTGAGTCACTCTGCTATCTATCATCTGACAGCCAGATAGGAATAAACCACGTTCATTGATCGAGTGTTAGGATAGATGTAGACAATGATGTCATTCTATACTTCGGACATTCCCGTCCGAGCGGACAGAGGGGTCCGTCCGGAGATCATCCGATGCGGGGGCGGGGTTGCATACAAAAGGCAGACCAGACAGACAGACAAGACAATCAAGTATCTACAAATATCAAAATGGTCCTCTCTCAGCCAGAGAATAAACACGTCACCAAGGCTTTTGACCTTACGGGCAAGGTTGCTGCTGTTACGGGTATACACTACATCCTCATATACATTATTTTATATTAATGTGAACTAGGAGGCGCCCGTGGAATCGGACTAGAAGTTTCCAAGGCCTTTGCCGAAGCCGGTGCCAACGTATGCCCCATCATATACCTGCAGTACAGTATACAGTATGCTAAATGCAGAAAGGTCGCCCTAATCTATAACACCTCCTCCACAGCCAGCGCAACAGCCACCGAAATCGCCAGCGCAAACAACATCAAAGCAGCCGCGTACCAAGCCGACGTCGCCAACCAAGAAGCCATCGAAAAGACCATCCAGCAAATCGCGTCCGACTTTGGGCGGCTCGACATTGTCGTCGTCAACTCTGGTATCGTGTCCGCGATCGCCGCGGAGGATTACACAGCACAGCAATGGAGTGAGATTATGAAGGTGAATCTGGACGGGGCGTTTTATACGGCTCAGGCAGGGGCGCGGATATTCAAGGAACAAGGGTTTGGGAATGTGATTTTTACGGCGTCGGTTAGTGCGACGTTGGTTAATGTTCCTCAGAAGCAGGCTGCTGTATGTTTTCCTCCCTCTCACTGGATAGGTGGATGCTAAATCTGGCAGTATAACGCCTCCAAAGCCGGCGTCGTCCAGCTCGCAAAATGCCTCTCCGTCGAATGGGTCGACTTCTGCCGGGTGAACTGCATTTCCCCCGGTTTCATCGCGACGGATATCCTCGATATCCACCCGGCGGAGTGGAAAGAGAAGTGGTTTGATATGATTCCGGCTAAGCGGATGGCTCAGGCGTATGAGCTTAAGGGGGTACGTTATCCTTATTGCTTGAATAGATATATGTATGCTAACTTCTCAGGCTTATGTTTTCTGTGCGTCTGATGCGTCGAGCTATATGACCGGTGCGAATCTGGTTATTGATGGTGGGTATACACTTCCGTAGATATAGACTGGTAGATAGACTGTATAAATGCTATTCGAAACCTGGTAACTGGTTCATAAAGTCTAATATTGTTGATTCTTGTCTGTAATCGTGAGCAATGCATGTCCAGTCTATCAGAAACAGAGACAGCAACTTACAAAATCGAATCAACACCATCCAACTGCGCCATCTCTAGCGTCGGCCACATCAACGGATACAAATTCGCCAGTTGCGTCTGCGGCGACTCTTCCGTCGGATATCCCAATCCAGCATTTGGATCGAGATACGTTCCGCATAGTGATCGAATAACACCGAGACATCGCAGAGCCGTTGGATTCAGCGGCGCCATCGACTCGAGCACCTGCATAGCTTGGTATATCTGCTCACGCCATTGAACAGCAAGTACGCATCGTGGATCGTTTCGTAGACAGATAACCGGTATAAGAATAGCCTGGAAGAGAAAGTAGAGCCCGTACCAGCAGGCCATCATACTCTGACCTTTTTGTGTCCAGAATGCAGATATCAACTCCACGGATTCCCGTGCTGCGTCTAGACACCGCTGCACGGCTACTTCGACGTGGGGATCCTCTGTGACCAATTCCTGGCGGACCATGAGTCGGCCTACTAAGAAGGGGCGGTACATTAGGATTCGGAAATTGCGGTATCTCCAGCGCATTATCGCGTGGCAGAGTGTGAATTTGGGTGTTTGTGGAATGTTCTCTTTGAAGAAGGATGGTAGTTCGGTCAGCCAGTTCCCGATTAGGTGGTCGTCTAGCCCGATTAGCTCTGCAGCGGATGGGAATGGGGAGGAGATGATTCGGGAGTATATCTGGCTGGTGGCTTTGTGGAAGCTGGCTTGTGCTAGTAGGTGGGTGTAAACTGTTGTCTCGGCTGCTGGGGGTGGTTTTCGTTTTGTCCCTGCTGTGATGTCCTACACGAGTCAGTCAGAAGTCAATCACCACCATACGAAGGAAACTCACACTATCATGCACATTCATAGGCAACTCCACATCAACACCATCGTTCGGAAAATCCAGCGGCCGGGAGAACGTGATAATCCCCCCAATATCAAAAATATAAAGGCAGTAAAACACACGTCTCCTCATCTCAACATTCAACAAACCGCTCTCCCACGTGGGAAACTCTTTATGAAGCCCAGTCCCCATCGCAATCCGTCTCGCCAGCCCCATATAATTGTATCCCGAGTTCGGCTTATTTCTTTTCTGGAGGTAGTTTGAGATGAGACTTAGGGCTTGCACTAGGAGGATGTTGCCGGTTTCGAGGACGTCGATGGAGAGTCTGGATTTAGCAGCTTGGAAAAGGCCTAGATCCACGTCTGTGGGGTGTGTGGCTGTTGTGAATGCGCCTAACGCTGCGACTACGAAGAGTAGGACTTGCCATGCATTGTTTGAGGGTCTGGGGATTACCTCCATGAACTGGGCTCGGAATGTCGCCTCATGGATGAGAGGATAAGAGCAGTGGTAGAGACGGAAATATGCATCGATAAAGGGTTCGAGTTGTGATAGCGTCGTCAATGCGAACGACATACTATGTCCGGAATCCGTCCTCTCATCTTGCTCTGGGCCGTACGTGTCGACTCCATCAGTAGATCTTGCATGTGTCATTCGAAGTAACGCAGCACCAGACGCAACGCCTACACAGTTTAGCAATTATACCAAACTGTCTGTCCGACATACCGAGATATCCTCCTTCGTTAGACCGACTAGTCAAGCTAGCCATTCCATCCACGAATTTATCCCCGCTGGCCTTGCCTGTTCGCTCATCCCATTCGAAGCCACCAGAGGCTGGAGGTGTTTCCATGGAGAGACCCGAGGCATTGATCGACTGCATGTCTGGCTCTGATTGTCGGTTTTGCGGTGTATCGTAGGATGGCCTGGGCGAGGCCCGTGGAAGAGTACTTTGAACATCCTGTCTCGAAGCATTGGCCGGGCTAAACGTCATGGGCATCGTCTGTCCATGTGTTGGCTGCACCCCAGGTGACTGACCAGAAGCCAGCCCAACATCTGAAGTCCCAACATGTCCTGCCGGGCTCTCATGACTTACCCTCGACCCAGATAAAACAGTCCGAGGTCCTGACGGCATCCCCTGCAAATCCTGATTCAACGACACCGATTCTTCATTCCTCAATCCTCGCGCGCCAGACAAAACCTGCTCTAGCTGCGCCTTTGTCCGTGCAAGCTCCTCCTCCACCTCCGTCAAATATCTCCGCGTGAGCGGTGTCTTGGAATGTTTTTCGTAGATACATCTGCGATCATACTTGAGGCAAAGCAGACAAGCCGGTATGATGCGATTGCACTAGAAAACATTCAGCAATGCAATTAAAATCTGAAGCAAATGTGTGGCATCCACCTTTGACTTCCTCCTCCGACATTCCCTGCATGCTTGTTCTGCCGTCGGACGATTGGTGTCCGCCGAGGAGCGGAGATTATCCCGAGAATCAGACATGAGGCCGGATCCTGCTTAGGTGGATACGGTGAGATGCAGACAGCATTGCCGATTGAGCTGTCTATTTAGAAACAGTACGATCAGACAGAATTGATGGCTAAACGATGGATAAACGAAGTGTTTTGGACTGGAAACGAGAGATGCGGAGAACAGCCAGCCGATGACTAGCCTGAATGGGGTAATTCTGCCTGAGGTGTCAACAGCACCAATTCAATTCAGTTTTAAACTGGTGACGCGCGCTGATGCTCTGAAACAATGTAACCAAACAAGAAGGACGCGCATTTTGAAGTGGCATATTTGAGGATGCCTGATGTCCGGTGGTACAGATGGTTATAAGGGTAGGTGATGTTTGAATCTAGAGGATGAAGTCAGTATATGGTGACGGAATAGGGCTTGCGGTCCAAACAGTTTGTATAGAATTCCAAGAATAGTCAAAAATGGCTGAGAGAAAGGAGACTAAGGAGTAAAGTGTGTGCACTCAGTTGGGGGCATAGCCTGAGAGTTCCAATAGTTTTTGATGATAATTATCACCGGCTTCGGGCTTATACGATACTATCAACAATCAGGCAAAACCCTGACTATAAAGTATTGTGAACAGCCCTAGGAGTGAAGTGTGCACACTCAGACTCAGTTAGGCGCATGGCCAGAGAGTTTAAGAAAGGGTCAGAGGGTGAGAAGTGAAAAGGCTGTCCTGGTAGTGATCAAATTCAATGGGAAAATGGCCTATGTAAAAGAAAAGCACGGAGACAATTCATGTGCTGTCAACAGACAACCAGCACCACAGTTGATTGTAGTAATTTACTGTCCATGATCATAGAGGGCTATACCCTGTTATCTATTGCTAGATACATATAAGAAGGAAACGATGGTGAAGTGAAGAACATGCAGCGCGCCATATGAGTCTCTAAAGGTCACGTGACAACAAAGAGAGATGACGGCATCGCCGAATAGAATACGGGCGTAGCCCGCGACAATGATAATGAGTCGCCGGTGAATTACAATTCTGTTATATTGCGGCGAGAGGACGAGAGCGCAAAAAAGGCTTTTGCAAATTTGGGGATATGGCTTGCCGTACTACAGCCCACCTTCGCCACCCTGAGAGACACCACCATCATGAGCTCCCCGCTCATCGTCGTATTGTGGGTTAAGCATAGCCATGGTTGTGCATGAGAATCTCGAAGTCTAAGCCGCCAAGTTGCTATCTAGCAAAACCATCAAAATTGCTGTGAAAGTGCCAAAGTGTGAGGCGATCTTGACACGAAGCTCAATTTGCAGCGCTGGGACACGTATGGGTCGTCAACGCAAATAATCATAAATCAACTAGGAAGCATTTCCTCTCTCCCGGCGCATCAAAGGCGAAGAGTTGATCAACTCTTATTGACACTTACACCAGGGGAAAAAAAAAATGGAAGAGGGTGGTGAATCATTAGTTTTATTCAATCTTCTTATGTCGATGGGTAGTCGCTTTATACCACTTTCTCAACTCAATGACTGGCTTGCCGGTAAGCTAGATGCTCCTAGACAGGATCATGCACCTTCTCATGAAAGACCGTGAAGTATTCTGACTCTCTGAGCGTACCCCAGTACCTTTTTTCGTGCTCTCTTTTTGTATGGAGGTCTTGACTTACTCTACGGCTGGTGTAGCTGCGGTCGCGGCTGGGGCGCATATGAGTCGCACAACGCCTTCTTCAAAGTCCCTGAAGATTGGTCTGTTAGCCGCAACCATCCGCGGCTTTGTTAGTGTTGCCTTGAGAACAGTTCTGGTACTTTTCCAACCCAACCAGGCGAACAGGCAAGTGAAAGATCGTCGACTACAGATCGGGAAGTATTTAGTATCAGCTCCGATATGGGGATCCGACACCTTGATGTCAATGTGTATAGTTTGCCTTGAGTTCGCCGCCTTCATTGGGCTATATATGTTGGCCGGGATGGGGTTCGCTGCTGGTATTGCAGCGCTGGTCGCAGTCTTGGTGTTTGGGTTAGGTGAGTAGAGAGATGGCAAAAGAGGGTACTACTGCTGACAACGGTTGGGTCGGCACAACAGTCCCTAAAGCAATAATTCTCGCAGCGTTGCCGGCGGGGTTCTTTTTAACATTCATACAGTTGACGAAAACAGGTTGGCCATGCTTTACAGCCTAGTAAATTGTACTAACAATGATAATAAAGTTATAGCCATTCCGTTTATATCAATACCAAGCCATGCTATCGCTGCGATATTGTTTGCTCAAGTGGCGGAGAATCAAGGTAGGTGATTCCACAATATTGAAGTAAAATATGGATGGTAACCATACAGCAGGGTTGCATATATGTTCACTTGGAATCGCGGCAGGCGCTGGAGCCGTGTTTGCAGCAGCTCGAATCGCCTGTCTCCTGCCTCCAAGTATTCTATCGTTGCTCCTTATTGCGAAACCGGCAAAGGACATTTTCTTGCAGATAATGAAAGATGGGAGCTTTCCAAGTACAGTACCCCCTCAAAAAAACTTGGCATCGAGACTATATGGGAAAATCCCCAAACGGATGGAGAACATCATCTTTGGGCCAGCGTACAACGTGGAGCCGGAAGATATAGAATTAGCCCTTCAACATGAAATGGACGAGCTCAGCATGCACCTGGACATGGAACCAGTTTGGTTTTCTCGACCTCTAGGCCTCGACCAAGGAAAGCATTACGTCTTGGTAGTAAATAACCAAAAATATGAGCTCCGAAATCGACAACACGTTCGATATAATACAGATCCCATCAATTTTGAGGATTGCTCTGAAGAGGAATTGCCAGTTGGCCAGTCCTATGGACATACGTGGCGGCTTCGGAATACCAGAACTGATGCAGATACTGGTCTGTTCGATGTTCTGCTGATAGGATGGACGAACGCCACACACGAAGAGATTGATCGATTTTGCAAAGAGCTAATTGAAGGATGGAAATATCGCTTGGTCCTGAGAACAAAGAAAGGAGGCAATTGCCAGCACTTTATCCAAGCCATTGCTAATTCCATAATTCCGACAGAGTGTCGAGCTCTAGCTTGGTCATGGTTTCAGCATGGCTCCTACGGCCCATTGCAGAAGGCTCAATATGATAAAATGCGAGAAGATATCCTGGAATCTGGCAAGCGATTCATTCAGCTGCGATCGATTCTAGCCGTCAACCCGTTGCCGCTGGTTGGAGCTATGTAATGGTACTCGGTGGGATAATGTTCCTATTGTGATGGGATGAATTCAGATTATGAGCAATCTCGCGGAAAAGCAGTAAATTTGTGAATTCCGGTCTTCAATTCACCGTTTAATTTAACGCCTTGTGTAGATCACAGAGAGACAGAAGGCAAGACTACGTGACGTCAAGATCTATCTAATTAGACCTTACGACTTGTCCAAGTTTGCACCGAGATCTGGGACGAATTTAATCTACTGGAGGAGTGAGTGTTTGCAGTAAGAGGTATCCGCATTGCAGTAACGTAAACGATGAACGTTGAAAGCCAAGCCCCATGTAGAGAAATTAATCGAGAACTTCCTTAAAAATGAAATTATCAGAAACTCAAGCTGTTTTCCAATACTGACGTTTACTATAATTCCAAAGTCCCTTCCAGGAAAGCATTGACGGAACCTAGCCGCCATCCATCAGCTCCAACTGCCGGAATCTTTTCTTCTTGAATTTCCACGTGACATAGATATTACTGACAAGTTCAAGGAACCATATAAAAGCAACCAAACTAAGGAGGATGAGGGGTGCAAGAATAGAGAAAACCGTAAAACCATATGAGGCGTTCTGGAAGGACTTATTTCTACTAAGATTTTCTGTAGCAAGCCCAACTTGCATTGCTGTTAAGACTACCGCAATATAGACGGTGGCTGCGGCAATCGGGGCGAGGTAGTCCTGGAACAGCTCCGTATAGGTCTGATATGGGAATCTGTAGCCCCGCAGAATATACCCTAGACGAATGGCGTAGATTTTATTGAGACGAGACAACCTCAGTTCACCGAACCGGTATCGTCGGTTGATGTTTTTAAAGTCCTTTCGGGCCAGTACTTGCTCAATAAACTTGACCCATATCTCCCAGCTAATCTCCGTGGGAAGTAAATGACGGTGCTGGGCAATCTGGAAATCACTCTCGTACTGAATCAGTGCAGCGTACGAGAGTAAGAAGCCCATGGCACATTTATAAAGCTCCCTCCGTGGGCAAACATTCTGCTCCCTGCTAAGTCCCTCCGAGCAGCAAAGGTGGTCTTTCCAGAAGTTGTAGTTGAGCAAGTATCGAGGAATGGGTTTGAAATGCATTATGCGGGTCTTCTCCCACACAAGGTGCATATCCATCCTCTCGTCAACAACAATATTGCGGCAGATGGCTATCTGGTAATTCAAAGGCCTTGGTGGCATTGGTCTTCCTGCAAACCAAAGACAACTGTCGATTCTGTTGAGCCTTTCAACACCAAGGTCTCCCTGTAAGTAACCTGAAAGATCTCCAGTGGGGACTTTTACAATTTCATATCCTTCGCGATATGAGGCTGGGAGAAGTAGCTCAAAAGGCTGTTTGGTAATTGCTGCCTTATTTGCTGATGGCGCATCATTTGTCTTGGTGTTAAGGGTTTGGAAGACATCTTCATCAAATGGAGGATCAAGAGGAAGCTATGTAGACAAAGGGGGTTCAGGTACGATCCCTTTAAATGTAAATAGAGGACCTACTATGTGAAAATTGCTCGCCATAATTCGAACATCAGACTCCCGGACACCCGATAGTTTGTATTCAATAAGCAAGTGGCCGCAGTAAGGGTTGGTGTATCATGACGAGCTTCATTACAATGCCAGTTCTCCCGCTAATACTGAGGACAGAAAGCCCCAAAAGACGATAGAGAATTACATTTACAGTTATGTGAATCAGATCAAATCCCCAAGGGCCCGCTGTGGCTGACGCAATATCTCGTAACCCAGTATGAACAGCCTAGCACCACTCGCCGCGTGTTCCCCCCAGAGTTACAATCCTACCCTACCAGGGAGTCGGACCACTTAAACTTAATTCCCTGTCCAGTACTGATCTTGAGTAATGACATCAGTGGATATTGGAACATATTGAAAAGTAGTTGAACCGGCCAGAGGTCATTTATTTGTGTGTTAAAGATGGTTCAAAGGCGCTCGGTCTCTATTGATGCCATACCACAGGATTTCCTCCTTGTTCTTGGCTTTCAGTAGTTGCTGCTTTTATAAAGATTCTATTTTCTAGGTATTGTAATTCAGAGGAAGATTGGTTGTTATTATTCTGATCAGGAAACTCGAGGTTTTATATACACAAGAGGCAATAATAAACCTGAATCAATCTGGTTCCATACGGAACTTATTCCGATATTGAAGCTCTGTCGTGAACTCATCGAGCCTCAATCCACAACACTCGGAAATAAATTCGGCTTTAGTCCTTATTCTACTACTTTCATAGTCCATGGCGAAATCTCTTTATCCTCTGAAGGGGAAATATTGCCTTTTGATAAAGAACCTGAAGGCCTCAATTGGCTTACATATTTGCTAGGAAATTCTTACTAAAGCAGAGAAGGCATCGTCTTGCCCATCAGGTGGCTGGGATTCAATGTAAAATTCACAGTTCCCGTTGGCTTAAGTCTAATACGAAATGTGATCTCCAACCATGGAATTATTTACTATCATCACACCGCCACCCCTGGTTTGTTGGTAGAGGTGTCTCAACACAATTTCATACCAAACACGACCAAATCGCTAAGACTAAATCGCTAAAAGCTAGGGTGCTACACTGAGCTACAAGCATAGAACTAGAGCAGTATACAATGCTAGACAGGGTCTAGCGGGGAAGGTGTGTGGTCACCAAATGATATGCCTCACACTGCAAGACAGTCTCATGATGAAAGAATAATCTAGACATGCATCCTTCCAGTGTGCATTTATTCTAGAATGCTCTCCATTTGGCCTGGACTGTTCCTCAATCTTCTGCAAGATCAAGTCCTTTTGGTTCATGGAATCCATGACGTAGGATTATCTCATGTTTGAACTAGATTGTTCCATGTTTATCTTTATTGGTTATCAGTCTGTCTTCCCAATTCATGTGTCACGTATCCGAGCGATAACGACTCTGGGATGTCGTGGTCATCATGATCTGTGGGTGGCCTGATGTGTGTTTATCATTTGCAGAGTTTGTAAAACAAAAATCTTCTTGACATTTAACAGTCTTGTACATTGATCATGTGATGGGATCACATGATAGCCGTATTAAACTAAGCTTAATACGGTAACCGTTGGCTGTCGTCATAGGGTGATGACTAGTGTCAGCTACTATTACCATACGAGCTACTTATCATGTGATCAGGAAAATAAGGTCTGTATTTATATGAGAACGAGGGCGTATATATAGCTAATCTGAAGCCCTAAAACTAGTCTCAATGCATTAAATAAAGCAGTACTTTTATGAGCGATATTCATATCCCTGGTAGAGAGAGAATTCGCTGAATATTGAAGCTATTTGGAGATGAAAACCGCTGTATACCATGGATCGGTCGAATACTGGCAGAATAGCGGATAATCGCTATTCCAACGGAATCGGCGATAGCGGTAATTTCGTCAACATATGTTCGTTTCAGGGCACAAGGCAAATCATATTCTCATATCTATAAATATACAGAAGAAAAACCAAAGGAAAGAAAACCAAAAATCAATCAATCAAGAACGAGGCGCATACGACATCCCCCCAACGGACTTATACTGCTGCGTCACCTGGGGCGTATTCCTCACAAGACTCTCCCTCTCGGCCTGCATCAACACATTAGTGTGGCAGCACATTGAGCCCCAAAAGTCGCCGCAACAGCCTCCTTTGATGTTGTATTGTTTTCGGATACTCCTTCGTTCCAGACAGAGGCAGAGGGAGTGGAGACCGATTGAGCAGCAGAAGGCGAAGCCCATGCACTGTCATTGTCAGTTTCAATTTGGTAAAGCTGGGTTAAAGAGAGGATTACCTGTCCATTGCAGCTGCTGGGATCTTGCACGCCGTTGTTTCGCTCGTGGGTTCGGCCAAAGACCATACAGGGGCAGCAGCATGACTCGCAGCCTATGATTGTTAGAGGATTTCATTCAGAATCAGCTGTTCAATAGGTAGTAACATACAGAGACCGCAAGATGAGCATGACCAGAATCCATTGTGCCACTCTTCAGACATTTTGATAAGGAAGCTTATATAGTAGAATATGGTAGAATATCGGTAGAAATAGAGGTAAAGCAGAGGCAGACAGATAGAATGTTAATGAAATCAAAGGAAGTTTCCTCGCGGAGTTGGCCACAATTTAATAGCTCACTCACACTCTTAAATATCAGACCAGCTCATCTATTATATCATCCCAGGTGTTTCAGAAATAACGGCGCAGTGAGAATCTCATTTTTGGGCTGAGTTTCATGTGATTATAGCCCGATGGGGAAATAATCGGACCCCAATTTCAGGGTCTATGCAACTAGGTACATGTACAGCCTGATATTATTTGATGTATTTATTATACTGCTAATATTAACTTTTATTTAGATTTATGGTTGTAACTCAATGCTTAAAACTTCCAGTCAATCAGAGGCAGATACAATTATCCCACACTACGAGGGTCAGACAGTACTAATACAGCCCTGTAAGCTGACTTGGCCCCAACAATATACAAACAAGGCCAATCATTCTCGGCCCGATTTAAGCCCCAATCCCACTTAATCTACACTAATGTTGAAACCAGATCTAAAATCTGTTAAGCGAGCCTTGGGCCATTATTAGAAACAAGACCCCTGCCTTACGCGCTGATCGGCGCTGCGGCAACGCTGCGGCAGCAAAACAACAACAATGAACGGAACAGCGTACAACAAACATGATCTGGCGCTAATATGGATGTCATGGTTGGTATCTAATATTAAGCATACTGATTGTCAATGTCGTTTATTCTCTTGTTTGTTTCGGAATCAGACGGCGGCTATTCAGCTACTTTATAAAAGACAACATAGACAACATAGACGGATAAACAGATAACTAAATCGAAATGAACAAACTCAACCTCCTCAGTCTCGATGGCGGGGGCATTCGCGGAATCTCAACACTCCACATTCTCAAGCAGATCCTAGAAAGTGTCGATCGCGATAAGCCACCCAAACCATGCGAGTATTTTGATATGATTGGGGGGAGTGGATCGGGAGGGTATGCTATGCACTGCCATTTAATATAATAGTACTAATATTGCTACTTGCTAGGGTAATTGCACTCCTCCTAGGGCGGCTTAGACTAGGCATTGATGAGTGTATTGGTGTATATCGCAGACTGATGGAGGTGTTCAGACGGAGGGAAAGCTTGTTTGGTCTTCGAAGACCAAAATATAGCAGTAAGAAGCTTGAGCAGGATCTCAAGGTTATACTGCTTGAGATTGGGTATCATGAGGATATGCTGCTTCATGATCTTGATACTTCGTGCAGGGTGTATGTCTATCAACCCTCTATCTGATCTATACTGACTGTATAGACTCACCTGCATCACCGATAAAACCACCAGAAAAGCAATGCTTCTAACTACCTATACTAATCAACGCAACCCTGTCCGACTCCTCGACGCCCTCCAAGCAAACATATCCCATCCATCTCTCTTCCCCAGCTCACATAATGCCCTTCCCCTCATTCCCAGCGAAGAAACCACCAATCCCACCCACCTCCTCTACACAGAAGCCGCCAATATCTTTCCCTCCTTAAAAACCAACCTAAACTGCCTCATCTCCATCGGAACCGGCGTCCCATCCACAACAACGAAACCAAATTCAAAATCCTCCAAACAAAATGCAAACCATGCAATGTCAATAAACGCAGAAGCAACCGCCGAAGGCTTTATCCGCCAATACACCGAACTAGATGACGAAAACCGATATTTCAGATTCAGCGTACCGAATGGCATTGCAGAGATTGGTCTAGACAAGGTCGATGAGATGGGCTGTGTTGTACACGCGACAAGGGACTACATGGGGCGGGAACTCGTGCATAAGTATTTCTTACGATGTGCTGATGCATTAAGGAAGAGGGAAGATACTGGCGACGGCGATGCTATATTGCCCAGTGAGACATTCTCACCTGCTACAGTGTATCCGGTATTTTCGCAGTGGATAAACCATGAGAGTAAGTTGATATACCTATCCACGTATGGAAGTAGTAATTAACAGATTAGATACAAAACTCGACACGATTGTAGAAGATCAAAGCGATTCGCCTGCAGATGCTCAGGCCGAGCCTCCATCTGAAAACAGGCATAGATCAATTATCCGGAGATATTTCTGGCGCTTCTGATACAAACTGTTTCATATTATTAAGCTGTCTCAGGTACAGCTGGTCTGTTCATTCAAGCTTTTATAATGCTGCCTATAGGCTGTGGTCAGCTTGGTCAGCCCTATAGCCTAGTGCTTATATTGTATGACTGTGGCTGAGCTGCAGGAATCTGATATCAGACGGGACATTGGGTTTAATCTGCATTACTTTATTCAGAGACATTACATGCATAATGCCGATTAGGGTAGTTATTAGAGCATTTTATATACTAGCATATTAATCCATTATATAACAAGAAATAGAAGAGGTCATGGGGATATCAAGATAGTTTTAACACAAAGCAACAAAAACAAAGGTTTAAAATCATAATCAGCGGTGATTGCCGAGTTCCTGTGCCTGGGGCACATATCCCTGAGGATAACCCTGCGGAGCATAGCCCTGCGGAACAGGAGCCTGGGGCGCCAATTCCTGCGCATTACTGCCGAGAGTAGCGTACTTGGCTGCCGGGCCCATGTCGTACTGCTGGCCCGGGATTGCGGCCATGCCCTGCGGCGAGTTGAGGAGGAGGTATCGCTTCCTGCGTTCCCAGAGGGCCCATGTAATGGCCGTGATGGCGAGGACGCCGAGAGGAACGCCGACACCGGCACCGATGGCGACGTTGTTGTTGCTGCTGCTTCTGGATGAGCCGGAGTCGGCGCCGGAGCTGCTGTTGGCGGAGGAGGACGAGGTGCTTAGGGGAGATTGGTATGCGGAGCTGGCGAGGACGGCCTTGTTGGGGACGACGGTGGCCGATGGGACTGTGAAGGGGTCGTGGTTTTCGACGCAGCCCACGCCATCTGAGTTTTCGACGATCGCGCTGGCGCAGTATAGAGCGACGGAACCGTTATTGCTAATCATGGGCAGCGAGCATCCTCCGCCCAACAGACTCGGCACTGTACACGTTAGAATCAATTGAAGTAGTCAATGGTGATGTGATTTGGGCACTTACAGAACGAGCATGGATCTTTACACGTCGAATCCGCCCCCCAGTTCTTATCACTGCAGCTAGCCCGCGCCATCACGAATGGCTGGGCAATACCCATGCAGTAACCATTGCTGAGGCAGATGTCGGTCTTGCCGCAGCAGTGAGAGCCGCCGCTGCTATCGTAACACGGCACGTCGCCCTTCGCTTCGGTCACTTTATCGGGGAACCAGCATTTCGTGTCTGCGGCGATGGTGAGCGATGCCGAGAGGACGAGCGAGAAGAGGTGAGTCGTTCGCATGGTGAGATGGATATGATATGCTGGACGATGTTGATGGAGAGGAGACGGAGAAAAGGCTGCGCGAGACGTTGGCTTTGACTGCTGGCGACTGGGCTAGCCCAGCACAGTCAGGCCTCCCGTTAGGCTCACTGGCCTCAGCCTCTGCATTTGACAAATTCGCCAGAATCCATCTTAATCGGCTGTGTTTCCGCTATTGGGATGGCAGGCCAATCAGCAGGCCAGGGCTCATCTGAAGGATTGGCCCCACTGGCATAGGCTAATCACAGTGTTTGGCCCCCACCGCGTGGTGTTGTTGCCAGCCTTGTTTGCAAGAGGAGCAGAAGCGGCAGCTGGGAGCCTGAGACAGTTGCGGTGGTTAAGCATTTACATGGGCGATATAAGTGGATAGAGTAGACAGAGTGTATATACTATATGACAGTTTGTTGGCTTCAGGAACAAACTCAGATCGACCTGATAGCCACCCCTTTTGGTGATCACCTCGAGCCCATTTCCACCCTCATTCTGATTGGCTGCTCGGGCGTGGCTTTTCAGGGTCCGTCCGCCAAGTCACGTGGATTTTCTTCCAATTTAGCCAATTGCACTCGCCCATGAATTGTGATTGACATCCTATCAACTAATTAAGCGATCATTTCTGTACATGTCTGGCGTCCTTAAATTCTTAAATTTAGAAACGAGGCTCAACGGTCGCGTCTGGTCCAGGTTGATCTAGCCAGGATCGGACTTATGGGTTCAAAAATTGGATATCCGATATCCACCATTATGCCCGACTGCTGTACCTCGATTTTATGCACCCCTGATTACAGCATACAGGATACATGTACAATAGTTGTTTCTTATCAGCGAATGCTGATGATATTCTGCTCGCTGTGGCTACCAACTTGGTCTTCAATCGCTAAGCTATATATTTAGTGTTTCCAAGCTCATCGCTATAGCATGTTTAATAGAAATGCCATCTTACTTCACTTCATGCACTGAGATAGAATCTCAGCAGCCCTATGGATGGTAAATGTAAGGTTGCCCTTCCACACTATATCGCGGAAGCAATTACTATTATTTACTTCAGACATAGAACTTATAGCACTTAATCAAACCTTAACAACTGTACTATTACCGTACGAGCTACTAATCATGTGATCAAGAGAATAAGGTCTGATTCTATATCTATGAGAACGAGGGCGTATATATATATCCAATACGAAGCCCCGAAACTAGTCTAAATGCAGTAACTAAAGCAGTACTTTTATAAGCGATATTCATCGTCAGGGTTGTTTACATCTCTGGTACTATGGATTCTTTTGTGGAAGCTCAGACACTCTATTTACTGATTATAACTATCATGTTATAGGATATAATATCTGAGAAAATAGACCTCCACATATTTCAATAACGGATCTGTTCGCACCCTCATAGACTGCTTGAACGTGAATAAAAAAAAAAAAAATGAATAGCTTCATTGTCACACCTGCTCCTGACTAAGATGGCTCACGTACTGTCGTAGATAGGGGCAAGACTCATTAGATATCTGTTGCGAGTTTGGCACGGTTGGCTGTCACAACAATATCGTAAAGTGTCATTACCTGGTCCGCAGGGAGTTCGTCGCCTGTTTTGCGTGCTGCAATGGCATGTCTGACAATGTCTGGACAGCCCTGTTGTTGTATGGCCCATCTGGCCCCGTCCAATTTAGAAGAGAATTCGCCCGTGACGATGAATCGCCAGCCTCTACAAGCGTTGAGAACGCTGTTGGCCGAGTTTACTTCGTTTGCTTGATGCCAATCGAGCGAATTCGCGATTGCTTCCAAAACCCAGCGTCGAGGGATAGCGCCGAAAGCGTCGGTTGTATCAGGACCGTACAGGTTACGGCCAAGTTCACGTCCCATAGCAATATCGAGCAAAAACCAGTGGCTTGACTCGTTAGCGGGATCAAGGCTGATATGATCCGGCTGGTGAAGTCCTGTGTTCAAATTAAGTTCGAAACGAGGGTGACGGCTGGCCGGATACACAGCGCTTTGAGTATAGACCACAAACTCGAGTTTTGTGGCCGGGCAAGGCAAGGCAGCCTGGTTCAAGCGGCGTATGACGGCCTGCTTCTCAGCGGTGTCAAGCTGATCCTTCACTATAGCCTGTACGTCAAGGTCGCTGAGGCCAGGCTCGTAGGCGTCATAACTCGCAGAACCAAGTAGATATACCCCGACAAGCTGGTCTTTCAGGTAAACCGTGAGTCGCTTGACCAGTTCCGCAAGGTAAGCTTCCACCTCTTCTGGCAGGGTATTGTCCATTGCTGTCTTTATTCTGGGTTATCGTTGCCAGACCTTTTGAATATGGCAGGGCAGGGCAATGTGGAGGTGTAGCGGGTAATATGATTTGGCCGGCGGGTGTGAAATTGAGTGAGTTGCATTTGATAAAAGCTCATACCGGAATCCCTATATAATTTGACAGTCATCGTACTTTTTTGCCGTACGTTTTATGTTCCGCCTTTTTTTTCTGCCTACTTGATTACAATTGCGCCTCCAACGGGTGGCCGTCAGCAAGATACATATGCGGGGTATTAACTTCAATTGCTGTCTCACCGAAATCCCCACAAAACTCCTTTGCATATTGATGACGACAATTTGGCTAGAACCAGTCTGAACTTGGGAAATTGTACTGCGAAGAGATTGCTGATGCATAGTTTTGGTTGGCACAACCTTCGTAATTGAGTACTAGTAGTATCTTCACTTGTGAATTGTCCCCACATTCCCGTATCTTATAGCCACTTATGGAGTCTCCGCATCTTAGCAAGCATCAATTATTTGATACCACCGTTTTCACTCCCTAAAACCTGAATTATCCTTGCACGCCTTTGCTGATGCCCCACCATCACTATGCAGCGCCTGGCTCGACATTCAAGCGTGTCGTCCTGTAATCCGCCACTTTAGCACTTTATAATCTTTGTTTGAAAAAGGTCATCGAATCAAACAATATAACTTGTACCACTTCAAGGCAAAATTAAATACGTGGATTGGGAGTGACGGTGCTCGAATATGCAGGCTAGAGGATCTATTTAATTTTAAAAAACACCCAGGGCATTTCATATCACCGGGATGGGGGTAAGACGTTGCTGACTGCTGACCCCCACCGAGTAGGTGGGAGCGACCAGAAAAGACGTCAACTATTTACCACGCCCATTTTGAAGAACCCCCAGTCCCCTTGACAGACACTCGATGCTCAAGAGCCATGGCCATGAATCTCGATCTTACCCGCCCACTCTCGATCTCATCTAGCAGTGCAAGACACCGTGCATCTGTTCCAGCGAGCCCCGCTTCCGAGAATGACACTCCGCCCTCCCACGCGGTCACTGTCGCCCTGCGATGGAACGAGTCAAAGACTATGATATGGAGAGTACTGGCTACTTTCTGGGGTGCACTGGTCATGGGCGCCAATGATGCAGCATATGGGGCGATAATCCCTTACGTTTGTACCACCTTTTCAACGCCCAGCGAACACGTACAGTGCTAATCCAGGCTGCTTGCATCATTCAGCTCCAGCTTGACTACAACAAGAGCTATACTATCATTTCCCTAGTATTCCTGTCCCCATTTCTGGGCTACACCATCTCCGCTGTCGTTATTAATCTGATCCACCAGCGCCTTGGTCGTCGTGGCGTGGCGTCCATCGGCCCAGCATGTCACTTGCTTGCCTTTGCCGTCATCTCAGCAAATCCCCCCTTCTCGGTGCTGGTGATAATGTACATCTTTGTCGGACTTGGCAGCGGGATCCAGAATTCCGGGTGGAATGTGTGGATCAGCAGTATGGCCAATTCTCACGAAGTCCTCGGATGTTTTCACGGATTCTATGGCATCGGGGCTACAGTTAGTCCTCTTGTTGCGACTAGCGTGATCACGAAAGCTGGCTGGGAATGGAATTCATACTATTACCTTCTGGTAGGTAAACTAGACCTTTCCGACGACCATGTGTCTTCTGCCATCTCTAATGCGAATCCAAGACGGGGGCTGCGGTTTTAGAACTCGTCAACGCCACTAGCGCCTTCTGGTCGGAGACTGCATCCAAGTATCAACAGGATCATCCGTCTTCTGCTGATAGAGATGGCGGTGGGTCTCTCAACCAGACCCGATTATCACTCACGTACAGAGTCACCTGGATCTGTTCAATCTTTCTCTTCCTGTATGGCGGCATCGAGGTCGCTATCGGAGGTTGGATCGTCGTATTCATGGCCAGTGTCCGCCATGGCAGCCCCTTTGCATCTGGTATGGCTGGAACAGGCTTCTGGCTCGGCGTCACAATGGGCCGCTTTGTACTGGGGTTCGTCACACCTCGCATTGGAGAGAAAATATCGATTATCGTCTACATTTTGCTTGCTATTGCGCTTGAATTGGTCTTCTGGCTCGTTCCGGAGTTTATCGTCTCGGCCGTAGCGGTTGCACTGGTTGGGTTCTTCTTGGGAACCATTTTCCCCGGCGTTGTGGTGGTTGCTACTCGGTTGTTGCCAAAGCACTTGCATGTCGCAGCCATTGGGTTTGCAGCTGCGTTCTCTATGGGCGGGGGAGCCGTCTTCCCTTTTATGATCGGTGCTATTGCGCAGGCCAAGGGAGTGACAGTACTGCAGCCCATCTTAGTGGCGATGTTGGCTGTTGCGCTGTTGATTTGGGGGACGGTACTGCGGGCTCCGGTCTCGCAGTCACAGCATGAAGTTTGATAGAGACTGGCCTATCAATAATGGAGCCAGTGTTCGATCTTGCCAATCATTCTGCAATCCGGTTGGACGTGTCTAGACCAGGATAGAGTTGAGGAGCTGATATAAAGCCCTAAAACTAGTCTAAATACAGTAAATAAAGCAGTACTTTTATGAGTAATATTTATATTACTAATAGTAAGAGAATTCTCTAGATATTAAAGCTATTTAGGATTAAAAACTGCTGTATACTATAGATCAGTTGAATACCGGCGGAATAGTGGAAATCGCTATTTCAATGAGATTGGCGATAACGGTAATTTCGTCAACAACACTACGGGAGATACAGAAACGCCGGCACAGCCACCAAGTAGGTGCTTTCCATTCGCCGCCAACGAGGCTCAGCCCACCCGAGTAGTAGCCAGTGGTGTCCGCCATAGCTAGCTCTGGAGCATCTTTCATGCACATGCTCGACTCTTACCTCTTCCATTTCAAGAGTTAATTCGGGATTCGAAGACCATAAGAATGGGATGCTTGTACACGGCTCATTTGCATCACCATTGGCAAAAACAGCTCATATCGGTCTATCCCATATAAGTAGCAGATTATTCCGTCTCCTGTCAAGACAACATACCAACAAAACAGTAAACTTATCTACCAGTCCAAGTCCTTCAAATGTTTGGGACAGATGAACCTCCCTTGCATCGACCGCAACGGGCCGCACCGGCGATCGGTGGAGAACAAAGAAATAATGGACAAGAACGATTGGCCAGAGGGGGATGTTCATGTGATATCACCAGCCCTAGCTACCTCGGCTAGGGCACGGGTGCCTGATGGGATAGATTCTAGAAGTTATTCACATACACGATCCTATAGGGGTAGAGGTCCTCTAGAACTATATTAATAAGTAGGTTAAGGTATTTAGTACTAGTATATATATCTAGGTACCTACCTAGGGGTTATTTACCTATAGTGTCCTAATCTAGGATATAAATCTTACTATAGGAAATATAACTGATATTTCTATAAATTTAGTAGCTATGTATTATGACTGATGGCCGCATGGCGGCGTTCCCAGCTAGTGTGTCACATGAGTCGAGTCTACTTGTAAGTAATGAATAGAGTTTGAGTAATGAGGCAAGTTCAAGTTGAGATTTAGGACTCGTCTTGGCATATGAGTAAGACTCATGAGTTTTGAGTAATGAGTTTGAGACTTACCTTCTAACTTGACTCGTGTGGCACGCTACTTATATTGGTGGCTTACTGTATCTACAATTGTGTCACTGGAGTGATCTGGCCCTATACAAGCACCCATACAATTGCAGCATAGAAAAGGGTCCGGTGGAGGTTATAGTCTTTTGTATAATTATAGTCACCTGTAATTTGGGTTTGTATTCTCCCTTAATTCATAACACATGCGTATAATTTCCCGTATAGAGTAATGCTTATTTACAGAGACAAATATCAGGCTGGTTTCAACCATCAGTTTTGACGTGGTTCAGTACTGAGTATCTAGGTGATACTAACTTGAAATTAATTCTATGAGAATTGGGTCTCACTACTGACCATATACACACCCAGGAGGTCTATTTCCTTTAAATGATGAACTATGACATATACACTAATTAGATTGTGGCTGGCTATTGTATTGAACGCCACAAAATGTCAGTCATTTAGAAACACCGAATCTTTGACGAGGACATCCATAAATTTGTCGGCCCCGGAAAGCTGTTCTGAAGCTTGGCCCATGGCAAACTCAAGCTTTAGTTTGTTTGTAGACCAAGCCGCAGGCCTAGATCTAAATGTGCATATATGAGAGAGCGCATGTCAATATGACATCATGCACATTGAGCCACAAGTCAGGTGTTATTTACTATCTTGACGCGTGTGGCTTGGAAGAGAAATATGAGTTTGACCTAGCTACATTGCTTCCCTGCTCTGATCGTCCTAGGATTTATATTTGAACAGATTTGTCAAAACGGAACATTTATATCACCAAAACCCCGCCTCTATAAAGCGACGAAATGGCTGAGGCGACCACAGCAGTCGAGGCTATATCTTGCACTTGAATCCTCAATTCCATCTATGCTGCACCATTTTCAACTCCTGGATGCCTTGTCATCATAACTTATGGATTGTTTAGCTCGTTTAGCACGACATCAATGTGAGGAAGCTTCGGCATTTCTTCAAGGTGAGAAGCTCTAGTTAGACAAATCTATGGAGGCTCAGGCGCCTTTACTTGACTGCTGATCAGGATGGATGATAGAATCTCACCAATCATTGAATTTGTCGACCCGCAACATGGCACCAGCCGACTCTTTGAACGTTCCAAAGCCTCCCTTTCCTACCATGAGTCCAAATCTAAGCCAGCAGCACGGGGACCATTTGAAGCTGCAAAGCGACGATGTGAATGCGGCTCGGGAGTCTTTATGGCAGAGCGCATATCAGCAATTTGTCAAAGAAGAGCCGGAATTAGCCAAGGCATACGAAATGCTTTTGAAAAACGATTCTGGTCTCAGTCCAAGTACCAGTCTCATAACGTCTGAAGGTATGTTTGCCGTCGCGGATCATCAAAAATCGAGGATGGAGAACAAACAATGGATGTATTCATGGTTTGGAAAACCGAAGAAAGTCCGGGATACAGCAGAGAGTATTCTCACCGTGGTTCAGCAGGCCTCTGGCTTAATATCTGCTGGCATGACCATGGCTCCAATTTACGTCTCCCTTCCATGGAGTATGGTTTCAGCCTTGATACCATTTATCATGAGTGACATAAATGCTGTTCATGATGCTGTCAACGGGCTCAAAGAAGTGACAAGCATACTGAACAGTTACAGTTATGCAGAGACTATATTCCTGAGCCACGCCATCACAGGGAGTGATTTCAAAAATGCTGTTATCAGCCTATATGGTGCTATCTTCAAGTACCAAGCATCAGCTGCCTGTTATTTTGCCAAGAAGACCTTAAAGCGAATGGGTTGCAATGTGTTATCAAGCTCATCATGGACAAATTCAATCGCTGATATCGAGAGGCTTGAGAGGCGAGCCGCCGTCCAAATCCAAGCCTTGGGTGTACGCCTAAGTCAAGCTGGTTTTGCAGATATCCGGGCTGACTTGAAAAACGGGTTGGCGATTATGGAAAGAATCCAGCTCCAATTTTCAACGGAAAGAAGACAAAGAGAACGTATACAGGAGTGGTTATCGCCAATAAACCATCATCGGGTTCATGCAGGCATTCAAAGTCTCCTTGGAGATGAATATGTCGCATCTGGACAGTGGTTGTGGCAAGATAGCACATCTTTCGAACCCTGGATAAGGAGCTCCAAAGACACACTTCTACTTCAGGGTGTTGTGGGGTCAGGTAAAACCTCGTTAAGCTCAATCCTTATTCATCACCTTCTCGCTCACCCCGAGATGGGCCAGGTTGCATTCTTTTACTTCTCGGACAATGTAGCCTCGCCGGATGGTTCGAGGGCTATTCGCAATGATTTATCCACCATTTTCCTTAGTATCCTAGCGCAATGTTGTCTTCTTCCTGATGGAACAATCTCAAAGGCTGTGCATTGTGCCTTCGATGACAGCGAAAAACAGGCTCCTGGGGGCTGCGACCTGAGCCTTGGAGCTATACTAAATCTGCTAGAAACAGTGTTTCTAGAAAGGCCAGAGGACCAGTTCACATTTATCTTTGATGCCTTGGATGAATGTGGCGACCGACAGGGCTTCCTCTCCTCTCTCACTCAAATATTACGTTCCCGCCCAAAAGTGAGACTGTTCATATCATCGCGGTTCGGCATTGACATATCAGACCACCTGAAGTCCTACCATACCTTGTCTATCTCATCCCATAGCTCGACTGACATCCGTTCCTATGTTGAGAATGAAGTCAAAAGTCGATACGCAAGTAGCGGGATGAATGAAAAGCAGGCTACTCGACTCAAGGATGCACTAAATCTTTACTCGGACGGAGTGTGAGTAGCCCAAAGCGCAGGTTCAGCTGTCTCTAATAAAAATACAGGTTCCGATGGGTTGTTTTGGAATTGGACATTTTCCTTCCCCGATCGCCTCGTCAAGGAAGCAGGCAAATGCCCAGAGACATTGAGAATCGACTGGAGAGATTGGAGCATTCCCATGCACCCGCAGTTGAAAGACTATTCGGGGCATACCAAGAACTCTACGAATACGCACTTGGAGCAGAGGATGAACATTCTCGAAGGCATGTTGTGAAGACCGCCATAACCAGGGTCCTATGTTCGTTTACTCGTGTTACGCAATACGATCTATTGCATGCGGTATCGGTTCAGCCAGATGGCTCGATAGACATGACCATTCAGCTCGAGGTTATACTAGACTATTGCAGCAATTTCCTGGTCAAAGAACCAAGTGGCATCATCAAGCTTGCTCACCTGTCTGTGAGGCAATTCTTTGAGAGAATGCCAGAGTTTGCACCACCGCAACAACACCTACGAGTGGCCTCTTACTGCTTACAGGTTGTGCAGTCTTTATCAGTGGAGGGCGATATTCAATTACATAGGTCACAACGACCAGGAACCCGGGATTTCTCACGGCTGAGAAGCTCACTTGTCATCCCTAAAGCGCTTGTCGACCTCAAAGCAGTTGATACTGCTACGATTTACTCCTACCTCTATTGGTCCGCTCATTGTAGAGCCACATTGGGCTCAGTCAAGCTTTCAGAGTCACATTGGGCTGGAGGCGTCCGGGACGTCCTGGTGGAAGACCTGACGCCACTGCATTCAATGATCGCAGCGGGAAGGGACTTTTCCACCCGAGACGTTTTAGGCAATACAAAACTGCATGAAGTTGTCCAGCAGAACCAGCTAGCGGAGTTGGATCTCCTCCTACGCCTCGACTCTCTCCAGGGGCAGTCGCAACTGAATGTTGAAAATAAGGCCGGAAATCTGCCCATACACCTCGCTGCAATGCGGGGCTTCCGAGACGCTTTCCATGACTTGGCGCTGGCAGGGTCTAGGCTTGACGCAACCAATTCTTATGGCCTGACACCACTTCAGCTTGCAATTATTTTCGGCAGAGTTGAAATTTTACAGCTAGCCTGCCGCATCGGCATTGATATCTACCAGCCTGACCGATTTGGAAACTGCCTACTCCATTGCGCTTCCTTTATTAGCCGGACAGATATCGTCCACGTCCTCCTCAAGGCTGGCGCCTGCCCAGACGTTCCGAACCAAGCCGGAGATACTCCCTTCTTTGAGCCTCTGAAGTGGGCCAATGTGACCACCAACATACGCAATAAGATTGGTGGGGTGGCTGCTGACGAATTCCTCAAACATTCGCGGGAGCCAGCGACCGACGATAGGCGAAAGGCCAGAGGGTATAGTCTCAAGTTTAGGCACCAAGCCGACCAGCCAAAGGTGTGCATTGATGACGCTGAAATTTCCTCATGTCGATTTTGTAACCTTCAGACCTGGTTGGAGGGTTCCCAAGAAGGCCTGCAGTACGACCTAAGCTCCTCTGATGAAGAACTTGCGGATATGGATGCGAATGGTTGTAAACTTTGCCAACTCCTGATAAAGGAACTCTCGAGTGCCCGCTTAAGCAAGACATCAGAAGTCAAAGTGAGGGTTGCCTTGGAGTCCGGAAGAGACATTTTGGCTCTTTCCTACGCAGGGTCTGAGATCGAGCTGGAGTTTTGCATTAATTCTGAAGGTTAGTTTCCCAAAGCCTCTGCTACTCTCCTAGCCCCCCCAAATCAAAGGATGGGATTTGCCGTATTGGCTTCAATTATTGAAATCACGGTAGCCCGTGATTCCACACTATTATTTAGGACAACTAATAGGTCACAACGGAGAACTCCTTCTGACCATTCTGTATATGGGCTCACTGATGAATTAGATACACATGGGCCTGTGGGTGAGATATTTCACGGTATAAATATCGACGTTGCGGACTCCAGGGAAAATATGTCCAGTCAGTTGCAGCACTGGATAAGAAATTGCTGCGAACACCATGTCAGCTGCAACCATAACCCAGTCCGCACATTTCCGACTCGTATTCTTGACATTGGCTCAGGGTCCGAAAAGCCTACACCTCGAATCTTGGAGTACGATGAATTGGGGAAATGTGTCAAAAAGTTTGTCTTCTTTTCTTTTACATGGGGCGGCGAATTGCCTTTCAAAACCACGCAGGACAATTTGAAGTCTTACAAAAAGGGGATTGCTTTGGATAGCCTTCCCCGCTTATTTCAAGACGCCATCGAGCTTTGCCGGAGTATTGGGTATCGTTTTATTTGGATCGATGCGTTGTGCATAATCTCTGATCAGCCGGAGGATAGTGATCGCGAGATCGCGCGCGTGAATGAGTACATTCAATCCGCAGACCTTGTCATGGCTACGACAGGATTCGGGGTTTATGGAAGTCTGGCACCTGCACGAGAGCCTAGTGTCGCCCTGTCCATTGATGCACACCTTGAAAGATGTGCAGAATCCAATCACCAACCGTTTACCCTTCATCTACGCAGGCCAGTCCAGACTGCCAGACACGCCATGGAGAAAGGAATTCTGCACCGCAGCTGGAGAGTGCAAGAGGTTCTATTGGCTCGCCGAATTGCGATATTTGGCCCAACCCAGCTATACTGGAGCTGCCTTGAAGCCCTCAAATCGGAAGCTAATACTTTTGAAATCGAGCCGTGGTTTCAAGCCGTACCTGCTTTCCGTTACTGGCTCGACGATCCCGGTATGCGTGCGCTCACCATCTCGTCTCGAACAAGGATTCTCCACTATTGGTATTCGGTCGTTGAAATGTTTAGCCGCGGGAATGTCACTTTCCAGCCTCATAGGCTCAGTGCCGTAGATGCGGTGGCTCGCAACGTCAGAGGGTTAATGGTGGAGTTTCTAGGCCACGAAGATGAATACAATGCGGGTATATGGCAGAGTGATATGTGCCACGGCCTTTTATGGGTGGATTCCTCCAACGGGCCATCTTTGCGTTATTTGTTCCCCTCATGGAGCTGGGTATCTGCCCAAGACGAAATATCTTACTGCCTGGCAAGTGGACTAAAGGCCACGCTAGTTTCACCACCCGCACTATTCTCTGTCGAACAATGCAAAGCATTGTCCAGCCCTTCTTTGAGTCAGGTGGAAAACACAATTCATATTTCATCCCTTTCAAGAATAGTAGAAGAACCTACTGTGGAGAGCACCCAGAAATACGAGTTCTTCTTTGACTTTGTAGAGGATGAAGCGCGAAGTGATTGCGTGCGGCTTCGTGGTATTGTTCTTGTCATTGTGGCACCTTGGGCTTTCAGGCCTGGATCTGAGTATTATCATTCAAGATGGGCGGGGTTGATGCTAAAGCGAATGGAGAACGATTCAACAGACAAGTACGTGAGAGACGGTGTTTTCCTTGGAGAGTGTTGCGATGAGAGCCTGGAAGGCTGGGAGAGAAAGAGCTTTTCAATTATATAGTTGCAAGTTAAGCCTGGCCTGTTAGGCAACGCACTCTATAAATAAAAAACCAGGTCAAAGTCAACCATGTATTTTCCCCCTAGCTTTTAAGACCAATATTATATAGAGTAAGATTTCAGACATTGAAGTCTATTGTTCTTATCTTTCTAATGACAGGTATACAAGGTGCTCCAGTCATTGAAGATTCAAGTCGCGTGGTCTAATGGTTATGATATCTCGTTCACAGCTAAAGTGAGCCTCTTCTACTGGAAGATCCGAGATGGTTCCCGGTTCGATCCCGGGCGCGACTACTTTTTTCTTTTTTCTCTTTTTCACCGTCAAGGTGGAATAGTGGTAGTACACCATCTGGCAACCCTCTAAAGTAACAGTAGGGGGCCGTTCCGTTTTCTGAATCTCTAGAGGGCGTGGGTTTGAATCCACGTAGCGGCTTGAAATATCCACCATGCTAATTCCTAGTCTACTATTATTCTGTGCCAACTTTCCCCTCTTACCTCATGGGCATTTGTTGCTTTCTTCTGGTTGGAAACACTCCTTAGCAAATGCATCAAATTCCAATCTGCCAATAACTCAATGCCCTGTCTCCAACTTCATGACTGGCCTAGACACCATCCAGATCCACAGAACAACCCTCGATCCAAGGAATACTCCACGGCTCACTCCCCCAGGCTCTCTTCACCCCCTCAACAGGCCCAACTACATCTCTAGCTGCATCACACAACAGGTTTGGCGTGATGCACTTTCCAACAAACCCGCAGCAAGTTTCCAAGCACACACTACCTACTTCCAATCTAGACTACAGTCTGCCAGCTGGTCACATTGACCTCCCCTATTGCAAAATGCGCCTTCGGCTCTTCCAGCATGGGGCTGGCAGATACATCCATTTGCGCACTGGGTATCTGAATTGCAGACATCAGTTGTCATGCAGTTGGGGGTGGGCTGGCAGATTCCGTTCATGCATGTAGTGCATTTGGGGCACTGCAGACTGTTAGATGTAGATATTATCTTGGCGTTTGGTATGAGATGGACATGTTTTCTTGACGTTGCCGCATGGATGCTAGTCTGGCTCTCCTTCGATGGCGCTGAGGCTGGTGTTGGATATTTTATTGTTAAGGGCCGCCACGCCTGGATACGTTAGTTAAACCCAGGTAATGGGATGGGATTCTCACAGGCAGCAAAGAAAACAAGACTGAGGATCTTCATTGCGATTGAATCATTTTGGAACTTTGATGGTCGGTTAAATTGAGCTGGAGGGGAAACATCATTATAACGCCATCTATATAGAGAACCATGCCCTTCCTTTATTATAATACGTAACACAACTCCATCTCACATGGAAGAAAGGGCTGGAATACAACATCCTATGCTGCCATCTATGTCTACTCGAGTAGCGCAAGAATGGAATGGGCTGTGTTTGTCACATGAATATCTATCCATCTTTTTAGTCATGGGTAACAAGAAACATCCCAGTTGAACCAATTGAATTGCTGTCTCCGGGGTTATCTCAAGGCTATTATCGGTTATTTAAATCGATTAGCATTTAGATCAGATCTAGAGATATGTCGTAATATCCATCAGGCCAAACAAGCTACGCGTGTACCCAGTTGACCTTTCTTGGAATTATATTCAACAAGATCTTAGGTCGAGACAAGAGCAAGCATCACGTTGTAAGAGTATAGGGGTATATACCACAGATATGGTAATCACTACGTAGACAGACAATTGAGAACACTAATTTAATACCCATATGGATATTATAGAGACATAAAGTTCAATTCAAGATTTCCAGAGAACATTTCAATCAAATGCAACTGTTGACCATTATCCCATTGACTTTAGAATAGCTCTGTCCATAACGAAAGGGCCAGACTAGGTTAACTGTTAAAGTCTTAGAGGTCAAAAGAATCTCTTTTTTCCAATACAGTGCAGTTGAGTTTGTGTCATCACTATGTCCAGCAATGTACATCTGGCATAGTAGCATAATGCAGTCACCAACAAGAGGCTGCCAGCTGGGGTCCAGCACTAGAAACCAATCATGCACTCCTAATGCATCATTCAAACAGCGAACTATTTCACGTGCATTACCCTTGGTAAGTTCTAGACTAGGACAAGAAGAGCTTCCTGGCCTTGTGAAAAGAGACTTAAGGAGGTATATCATATTCGAATCGTTTAGTAACGTAGATGATGATTCTGGATATAGCAAGTTACCAGCCATTGGGCCTCTTAGGGCGCAATAGGAGGCATCACGGAATTACCTAAAAATTCCATTGGATTATAAGCTGTCTTGGATACAGCTACTCGGCTGTTATCTCGGAATGTAGACTAGGTGGAAGTCACATTTCGGGTTTTCAAGTCAGAATTAAGACCTCTTGATGCCGACATTTGGTGCCGCAAGTGCATTTGACAGTATAGCGGAATCAAAGGTGAAAAGAAGCACTCGTCCTGAAGCACAACAGATACACATGGTCGATTCTGTGACAACAGCCGAGGACAAACTATCTGGTCGGTACTCTGGTGGCAACCATAGCAAGCATTTTGAGTTCCACGTGATGCATTCATAATCCCAAGTTATGCCAAAGCCTTGAGAATAGGGGCTAGCCTTATGCGTTTGACTATTCGGCCCATCAACAGAGAATGATGATAGGCCAACGGTGCCATCAAATAGTTTAAGGTCAGGATTATTCAAGAAAACATCCCTCACATTTAAAACACGATCTCTTTCTCTTCGGTAAGCGTTAAATGTTTGCAGGCATTTCCCGCTGCCGACATCCAACACCCGCACAGTACTACCCCATGATTGTGATACAAGAAGTTTGAGATTATGTGAGAACATCAAGGAGTGGATTCCGTGGTCCCAGCCGTTGAAACTCTGAAGGCATTGCCCATTGCGAGCGTCCCAGACCTTAATATCAAACGGTTCACCCTTTGCACCCGTGGCAAGGAGCCTGGAATCGTGGGAAAAGAAAGGTTCCGCGCTACCAGAATGGCTGGCGAAATCACGTGGATGCTGTCTGCTAGTGGCATTCCATATCCTGACTGTGTGGTCACTCGAAGCTGAAACGAGGAGTTTAGAATCAGGTGAGAACGCGACCGAACGAACATGGTATCCATGACCCTTGAAGGTCTGAAGGTGCTTTCCGCTGTTAGTGTCCCATAACGTGATAGTGTGGTCATCTAAGCCAGAGGCAAGAAGCTTGGAATCATGAGAAAATCTGACTGAATTCATCCAAGAGTCTGAGGTATCGCCACTAAGAGTGCGGAGGCATTTCCAGCTGCTAGTTTCCCACAGCTTGATACTGTTATCAAAAGAGCCCGAGGCAAGAAGCTGGGAGTCATGAGAGAAGGCAACCGATAAGGCTGCTCTGTTATGCTCATTTAGAGTTTGGATACATGCTCCACTATTGATATCCCAGATCTTGATAGTCTCGTCCAATGAAGCTGACGCGAGGAGCTGAAGCTCACGAGCCTTTGCGAGTGCCAATATATGTTCGTCATGTCCTTTGAGAGTCTTGAGGCATTTTCCGTTCCTGGTATCCCAGAGCTTGATAGTGCCATCAGTTGAGCCGGATGCAAGATATTTGGAATCGTGGAGGAACGTGACGGAAACAAAATCGCTATCAAGATTATTGATCGCCATAACGCGTTTCCTGTTACCGGTGTCCCACACCTTGATAGAATTGTGAGACACCGAGGCGAGGAGCTTTGAATCGTGGGAGAAACCGACGAACCATACCCTGTCGCTATGGTCATCAAGGGTAGTTAGGCATTGTCCACTGCTGGCATCCCATATCTTGACGGTGTGATCCCAGGAGGCCGAAGCAAGCAACCTGGAATCATGAGAGAAAGAGACCGACCAAACCTGATCTATGTGTCCCTCCAGGGTTTGTAGACATGGGCTCCATTGATATTCCATATCTGGCTTCTGAATTATCCACAATGGTTGTTGTGCTTGATATTGGATTCTCGTCACGCTATTCACCGGGCTGAATACCAGCGCAGACGCATACACTTGAAGCGGCCAATTCCTAATTGCCGTTTGAAAATATCGGACGAATCGACTGGCATCTTTTACTCTATCAACCAATGTCGCATTTTGTATCCCTGACTGTGTAGGAAGGTATTATGTCTTAGCGAGTCCGAATATCCAATGCTTATATTCATGTTGATGGGTGCATGTCACATACCTCGATCAGATTTTCGAGCTTCAAAATTGATACTATTCCGCCTGATACGCTTCTTAACAGGCCGATGGCTTCAAGCCAATGAAGGTAGTTCTTGCAGAAGACCACGTCGACTGGGCCGCCTTCTGCAAAATCATTGAGAACACTTGTGCAGACTTGACGATAGCATATTTCGAGATGGTCGACCCAGTAAAGACACGCGTAGCGTACTGCCGCCAGTGGATCAGGCTCTGGCTGCACGACTCGGTCGATGGGATATCCAGGATGCACGAGATTATAAATGTCACGTCGAAGCGTTCTGGCCATGGTGTCCAATGACTTGGCGAAGATGTCATGATGTAAGATTTCCTGTCCGCGGGGGAAGATCTCGCAGACTGCTTCCCGATGCAGGAAATCTTTGGCAGATTGATGTACCAGAAAAATTGTCGATCCTCGAATCGTGAGGAAAGAGCCACAGAGACCTATAACCTCCTCTAGGTCTGATAATGCGAGGTCTTCAGGGAAGTCGACATAGGAACTTATCTCATCCAACGTAAGAGGATGATACACTGTCGTGCTGATACCAAGTATGGACCTGCAGAGCTCGGCATCCTCAGTGTCGCCTATCTGATCCAACATCCGCCGATAGAGCTTATCAAGACCAGGAGGAAATTGTTCCAATTTCCTACGAACAGCCCATTTTGGAACACTGAATTTGGCAAGTTCCTCGCAGACCAGTGCTACCCACAGGAAGGTGCCATGTGCATTCGCTAACAGATGCTGGTACACTGCATCTTGGATATCAGCGGGGTAATTCTTTTTCCTCGTCAAGGTCTGGACTTTGTAGCAGATAAAGGTGGCAACCGCCTTGGAAACGGAAGCCTCGTTGAGCTCCAGCCAGAGCCTTTCTTTCTTCGATGCGGACTCAAGCGTCTGTTCGATTGAAGGCCAATTACGGCTTGAAACAAGCCATTTGACATGTGGATACACGGATGATTTTTCAACGATGAGATGAAGAAGACGGTCCAATCCGGTAGTGCACTCATCTAGGGCGTCAATAATCAAATACGTTGTCTGCAACAATGGGTCCTGGAGGATACTTGTTAAGATCCCTACCAGTGTCTCCCAGGCATTTGCATCCTCAAAGACTTTTTCCCCGCCCTTGTCATACTCTCGCCGCACATGGGAGATGAGAGATGGATGCCGATCGACTAACATGAAGATAAAGCCGCGAAGAACACCAGTAGCATGGTTTATCCGAGCATCTGCTGCCTGGCAGAAGAAAAAGACAACAGTGGTCTCTGAAGCAAGGGTGGTCTTGGTTAGTTCGTTTATAATCCCACACAAGAGCATGGTTTTTCCCTTCCCAGGATCACCTCTAACCCAAAGAAGTTGACTTTCTTGCTCATAGCGCCATCGTTTGAATTCCTCATTTTCAAGGGCCCAGATATATGCGTCCTCTAGCAATCCACCCTTGACTGTCTCGATCCGTGTTTTATCATAGTGAGGATTAGTTGCATGCAAAGCTCGAAGGCAGTTTCGGTTTTCTGATGCTTCCAAATAATCTGGGAATATTGTTAGTACATAGTCGGGCTTGTGGCCTACCCAGCTTACCAGATTGGGATTGGAAATTTGCAGTAATATTGCCGTTATTCTGTACTAGCTGAAGACCTGAGTTGTCGGCACCAAAAGATGAGTTATGTCCTGCTACCGAATTGTCCTCTGATAGCCCAGCTTTGTGACGACTCCTTTTTAGCGGTCGGTTGATTCTATCCATCTGATTATGTGTCGATGGCAGTGAGGTAATGGATTCCTTGCTCTTCTGTTTCAGATGGATTCCATGCCGTCAAATTGCGTTCACAACAATGACTCTATCCAAGAATGGCAGCCTTATCCTTGAGCCGCCCCACATCATGTGACTGTTGATTATATCTCCTTATAGAGCGGTGAAAACATACAGGGATGACAAAATCGGAATAGTGCCTAGTTTCGTTCACTATTTATTACACGGTTATATGCGTGGCAGTGAGCTTCGTTTCTAAAATCTTCCTAACATGTTGAGAATGCTCCTGTATCTAGCTGCCTTGACGTCTTAACAAGAGCTTTTTGAGCTGACCTTTACAACGGGATTACTACTGGACCCTTAGCAGCTTTAGCGATTGAGCTTTTGTTATAAACATAAGAAACGAAGCCAGAGCAAAGGAATATGCTGAGAATTGAACAGGCACGATGGGAGCGGATTGTACGAGTGCGACTCGAGTTCTTATTGACAGCCTCTGATTTGCTGAGTGACGGGTGGATCTATGGGGCGGGACGGGCCTAAGATTACCCCACCTACAGATAAACAACAAGTTGAATCTAATGCTTTTCGATATGTATTATGAGTTTTTAATTTAGAGGCTCTGGGCAGGCTGCTGATGGCTCTCTGACGGAGTGGTTATTAGTCAAATTGGCTGCGACCCATTCGAGGATTCGAGGGCTGTGACACTAACCAATAATTGTGGGTTGTTGACAGCCTTGTTGATCCCAAAAGAGAGTAAAGATGAACTGGCCACATAGCCAAATGAAGAGCAGCTCAGCCTCGCCATCAGGTGACTGACAGTGCTACGCGCTGCACACTGCCAGAAGCGACCAAAAGTACTGAGAGACCATATCCCCACTCCTCCAGTTGTCAACCACGTCAAGAATTTCCGCATATGTTGGCTACCCAATAAGTGTCCCGTTCTACAATGCCAAACCTGGAGGACTACACTGTGGGTTGGATTTGCGCCATAACCTCTGAATATGTCGCCGCCCAGGCATTTCTCGACGAAAAGCATGACCGCCCCGTTTCTTTGCCGCCTCATAACAAAAATGACTACACATTAGGCAGAATTGGAAATCATAACGTCGTCATCTCTGTTCTGCCTATGGGGGAGTATGGCACTTCGTCAGCAGCACGTGTGGCAGAAGATATGGTCCATAGTTTCCCTAATATCCGTATCGGCCTGATGGTTGGCATCGGGGGCGGTGCCCCCAGCCCAAAACATGATATCCGCCTGGGAGATATTGTCGTCAGTATTCCTGGAAATGGTCTAGGTGGTGTTGTTCAGTATGACTTTGGCAAGATGATTCAGGGCCAAGGATTTCAGCCTACGGGTTTTCTCGACCAACCACCTATTGTCCTACGTGCGGCAGTAAATGGACTTAAGGCTCATTATGAGAGTGAAGGCCATCAGATCGAAATGATGGTTAGCCAGATTTTACAGACGAAACCACGGCTGCGAAAAAGATATGGGCGCCCAGATCCTGCGAGTGATCGGCTATACCACAGTCACATCATCCATCCTGCAGACGGTGAAATACCTTGCACTACGGATTGTGGAAATGATCTAGCTTACCTAATTTCCCGTGCTCCACGCACTGAGGAGGATGACAATCCCACGATTCATTACGGGCTAATAGCATCCGCTAACCAACTCATGAAAGATGCCTTGATTCGAGACAAATTGGCGGCACAAAAGGATATTATATGCTTTGAAATGGAAGCGGCTGGGCTGATAAACCATTTTCCTTGCCTTGTAATCCGGGGCATCTGCGACTACGCCGATTCGCACAAGAATAAAAACTGGCAGGGATATGCGGCAATGGTCGCAGCAGCATATGCCAAGGATCTTTTATATCGAATTGTCCCGCAGCAGGTAGAGCAGGAGGCGAAGATCAGCACTGTTCTGAAGGAAGGATATCACCATACGAATATCAAATTTGGAGCCCACAACTCTGGCTTCCAAGTTGCTGTGAATAATGGTATGATCAGTGCCAGATCGGGGGCCAGCGATAGCAACCAAGTCTAGTGACCTTTGTTACAAGTTAGCAAAGCAGAGCGACAAAAACAGATGGCATTCTTGTTCTGCTGGTCAAACTAAGGCGGCGATTTAAATGTTTTATAATCACCCCTGCTTCATCACAGCCACCTATATATATATCTTAGTTAGGGACTATTGAAATAGGTAGTCACTATGTAATTATAAATTATAGGGAAAGCGATCTGTCTCATGACAAGATCTAAACTCTTATAATTGCGTAATCACAAATAATAGGTTACATATCTACTTTATGAAAGTATAGGGCTTTAAATTTACGCAACGTGCATATGCATGCAATATAACTGGGTGGCGTTGTGTAACACTAAATCCTCCCGGTATTCAACAATTGGTCCTGTAGCTCAGTCGGTTAGAGCGTGGTGCTAATAACGCCAAGGTCGCGAGTTCGACCCTCGTCGGGACCATTTTTTTGTCGATTCCTCGTCTGCTCTTTAGCAATTGTGTGTGGTTATTCTTTTCATTTTAGATTTATTTATTTTTGCTGCTGCATTCCAATTGTTGTTTATTTTACACTGGTTTGGTAGTGTTACCTATTTACATAAGACTGAATTAGGGTTTTATATCGTTCGAGCCTGCAGGCGACACGAGGATTATCTGCAAAAAAGTGAATAAGCAGAGCCGCGTTACCGCATGTTTTATAGGTCTTTGATGAGCTCACTTAGTACGGACGAGGATGGGGGATGTTGCATTTAATTTTTAATCTAGATCAAGTATATTTCTATGATGACTTCATTTCCAAACAGTATGTCAGACAGACTTACTGACTGTGTTTATACCCCAATGAAAGCGATCTTGCATAACTTTATTATCATCTAGCAAAAACGGACTAGGAGTTTTTACCCCAACCATGGACCTAATTGTATACAGACCTGAAACTCAATGCAACCCTTCCCAACATGCCCCCACCAGCCAATAATCAAACGCCTTGACAACCTCATCCCTCTCAAACCTGAAACTCTTCTCAACAGGAACATCCAACTCCCTCACCCCAATAAACCGCACCACATTCTTCAGCATCTGCTTCGACCTGATCATAATCCCCCGCACAACAGCCCCCGTACTCAGCGCCAGACCCGCCACATCGGGCATTTTCTTCTGAGTCGCAGACGAGAGGAAGCCGATGACGGAAATGACACCGCCGTACGCAATCGCAGACAGGGACTGCTTGATGGTTCCTGAGCCGCCGTTTTCGAGGATGTAGTCTACGCCGAGCCCGGATGTGAGGCGGTTTGCTTCGGCGGCCCAGTCAGGGGTGCGTTTGTAGTTGATGATGTGGTCGACGCCGTATTTGGACTTGACGTATTCGAGCTTGCTGTCGGAGGATGTGACGATTGTTCGGGCGCCGGCTGCTTTGGCGAGGACGAGGCTGTTGATGGAGACGCCGCCGGTTCCTATTCAGTTAGTATGGATTATTTAAATAGATGTGGGTTTCTGCTCACCCTGGAAAAGAATAGTCTGACCCGGCTTCAGAGCAACTGCGTCGGAGCCGGGAACGACCTGTCCTTCACGGGAAAGGGATACTGGCTGGTGGAGATGCGATGTCGCGGAAGTTGAGGGCGACGCTTTTGATTTTGATGAGGACTTCGTGTGGGGATGGGTTCTTGGAAGGAGGCCAGCTTCTGCCATTAGTCGCGGGCAGTGAGGCAGAGGACGGTTTGGGTGGATATTTTGAAAGATTAAGAGATCAACTGAGTGATGTAGTCATGTGTTGAGGAATAAACAGTGGCAGCTGGATGGAATTTAAATAGCAGAATATCGTCTCCAACGGGATGGGGTAAAAACCCCAAGTGGCGATTCTCACTATTAATTGATTATTAAAGTCGACTACAGTGAATAAGTGAATAAGCGTCATAGAAACAACTTATAAATCAAGGGTTATAGGAACCCCACTGTTGGGGTTTTACCCATGATGATATCACCAGGAGTATAAGGACGGATGTCTTCACTCCAACATGAGACATAATGTCAGCTTGATAATCTTTTGGATAATAATATCCAGTCAGCACAAGGAATAATAGGATCGACTGATATATCTGCCACAGGAAGGACTGTGGATGGGTAATCGACAAGGTTGAACATCGATGAGTAACCCCAGGACACGGTGACATCGTGGGGGAAAGCGAAGGCACCGAGGACTGGTGGATGAGGCATCACCACACAGTCCCACTTGATAATACCCACCTTGTGCTCGGGCTGATGATACGAACAGAGAAATTGCAAGGACCGGTCAGATAGGCGTGAACCCTTGTGCCGTATTGGTCAAACCAAAGCTCTCGGCACTATCCAGAGATGATGCTTGAAAGCCAGTAGCAAGGCCGAGCGCACTACTATCCGCACTGGGACTGAACTTCATGTTCAAGCTTTTTGACAGGTTCTGCGCCACCAGGAAAGCCATATCCGACTTTCGTCCCAGGTATTGCAGCGCACAGATGCAGAACTCACAATTCTGCCGGAAGCAATCGGCCAACAGTTTGCGGTCGCCAAACGAATCCAAGCTGTCCAGACAGATATAAGCTGCCTTGGCAAAGGAATGGATGAGAACGACTGTCCACGGCTCGACCAAGAAGGCGACTTCATTCAGGGAATCGTGGAAATGGCGGTGCAAGGTTGGCTCTTGGCCCTGGAGGGATGAGCGCGCCAGGGCGCCAACGGCCAGAGCATTGTCTATCCTCAGAGCAGCGACGAGGTCTGTAGCCTGTCGGGCTTCGCGCTTTACATCAGAGCCGCGGTTTTCGTCGTCGATACTTTCTATCACGTCTGCCAACAGCATCGTGGCAAGATGCCAATGACCGTCGAGTATGACGTACCACGACTGGATACGAGGAGGAAGCATCTCATGGTTGGCGACACAGTCGAGCATGAACCATCGGTACGTGCAGTTCCAGTGCTGGTAGACCTGAATGGTACTCTGAATGGCTTCTTCCAGGCAATCGCGGCTTGCGCCTCGATAGATCAGAGTCTGGAGCTGTGTAATCCGGCGATAGAGTAAAACCTTGACCGGGGTCGCTTCTGAAAGCACAGAAGCAGCCTGTTCATAGGAGCATGGCCATCGTGGTGGAGCATGACCAGAGCCCATCTTCTCGCCTGGACGGAGAAAGAACTGGCCCCATATATCCCATTGGTTCGTCTCATTGTGTGAGATGGGTTGGATTCCAGAACTGACATGCTCTTTGGGGGCAGACGGAGTCGGGACCAATGAAACCTGGCTATCCTCATCCGAAACCATGAGTGGGCGTTGGTACATCGCAGAACTCAGCGTGTCAAACATGACTCCTAGCCAGTGCAACAGATTCAGGGTGCCGCGGTGCTCATGACTCGTCATAATAGGATCAATCTGTGACGATGATGGCGGATCGGGCGGGCCCATACTGTGAGTCGGCGTGGTTCCCGCTGATGCTTTCCGTAGTTTTGTCAATGATTCTCGTTGGATCCTTGTGAATTTATGCCGAAAGGTGAAGAGCTGCCGATTAGCATTGTCGAGAAATATGGGTGCCCGGTCATTCTCCAATAACTGATCAAGGCGCTTGTCCTGTCTGTCATCCAACGGCCTTTGCGTCAAAGAAAAGATGATGTTCGCAAAGGCAATGCGAAACGAGGGAATGCCGGAGGATTGCTCCAAGGCATGTCGGGCTTCATTCCAAACTCTCTCTCGGATTAATCTCTCATCGGATGCAAACTCGGCTGGGACGGAGAGCCCCGTCCCCTTTTGCGCGTGCTGAGTCCACTGGGAGGCAAAGGCGATAATGGCCAGATGGAGTGCTCGCGCCGCCGTCTTGTCCTCGTCCGGGGTTAAGGACATGCCGCATTTGGAGGATACGCGATCCAACCGACACACTCGAATGCACATCCGGTTGGACCAGTTTGGCCCCCATTCGTCTCTCTCTTTGTAAGGACGCAGGTCGCCAATCGAGTCGCTATAGGGACAGTTGTGTTCCGTCAGCCAGCAGGATAACGCGTTCTCCATACTGTCGTGATATATGCGGATCAGGTTCTTTGTCATCATCGACCGGGCATATTGCCTGGCTGTGTTTTCGGAATCCATGCGCAGACTCCCTGGAGAGTGTCGTTTTGATGCTCTCTCGGAATCCTCATCACGAGGATTGGATCCTAGATCTGGGACACTGAACGAGGAAGGGGTGAATGTGTCCTGCAGCTGGGGAATGGGAATGGCACCAAAAGCTTCCGCAGAGTAATTGGTGAGCGGCGCGTGAAAGACTGGTGGAGGTTCAGGCTGGCTGAAGGCATTTTTGGAAACTTCCCAATCGCAGGGCGCGGTCATGTTCCAAGCAGACAAAGCAAACTGGCCCTCATTCGGCCACTCTGCCTGAAAGCCGTCGACAATTGCATCGCTCGGCGGAAGAAGGGGTGCAAAAGGCAGGTTGACCATGCCAGTGGGATCCGCAGAATGCCAGTATACAGAGTCTGGCACCTCCGGCAGGGCCACGCCGGAGGAGGCTGAGCTCGCCGTGGAAGGGGAGCTGGCAGACGGCGCAGACGGGGCAGTAGGTCTGGCTCTTTTCCGGCTTCCTTTCGACTCTGCGTGTTTCGAGAGCCAGTTGAATGTGCACTCTTTCTTCCATCGTTTGCAGTTGGAGCAGGCATTGAAGACACGGTCTACCTGGCTCTTTTCAGATCAGATATTAGCATGTCTTCGTCCTGGCGAGGCCTCGTGACAAACCGTTGCATCGCAGCCCCTTCGACCTTTGCGACATGGATCGCAGCTGTGAAATTGTTTTCGACGGGTGTCTCCCATGGTGCCAAGTACAGGAAAAAGGTGTCTAGATTTACATCACAGAAGACAGAAGTCACACAAGGTCCCAGAAATAAGCACGATCATCTGGGGAAGAATGGGGGATGTTTGCGGGGTTAAAGTGGAGAAGATAAGCGTCGGGCCAGCGGAAGCTCACCGGTGTGTGTATCTGTCATGGCCGCATTGCCTGGGAGAGGAAAGTGGAGATGAAATCTACCAGTGTTGGGCCGGGTTCAGTTCCTATTGGGACGAAGAGAAAAGAAGATACCAGGATCGTGCATGCTTATAGCTAGTTTCTATGCAAGGTAATTGTGATCCTTGTAGGGAGGTACGTCGATCTGCTATACGAGATCAGGTGCTCAGCTCGCAGGGATTGTTTATTGCTAGACTAAAAGACACGGGAAGCCGACAGAGCCGACATTCCGCTTACGAGAGATGCACACGGACCGTTTTCACTTCGGTGTAGTTGTCGAGAGCGTATGATCCCAGCTCTCGGCCCATTCCGGATTCTTTGAAGCCCCCAAACGGCATTTGATAATGGAGAGTGTTGTAGTTGTTGACCCACACCGTCCTAGGAATTGTCAACAATTTCGTCAAACCATAGTGATAGGAGTAAACTCACCCTGCCTTGATCGCATTCGACACTCGGATGGCGCTGTTGATATTTGTGGTATGCACAGCCGCTGCCAGGCCTGTTGATCGTCCAGGTTAGATTGGGGGCGAAGAAAAAGGAGAAAGCGTGTCCAACCCACCATAGTTGGTCCTATTGGCCACTCGAATGGCCTCCTCTTCACTGCGAATCTTCTGCACCGTGCATACTGGCCCGAAGATCTCCTCTCTCACAATTGTCATGTCCTCAGAAACATCTGCAAAGATGGTGGGCTGGATGTAATATCCTTCATTTCCTTTCCGCTCTCCACCGGTGATGACCTTGGCCCCTGCCTGTTTCCCATCTGCAATATAGCTCATAATCCGGTCATATTGCAGCTGGGATACCTGGGGGCCTTGAAAGGTGTCCGCATCAAAAGGGTTGCCCACCTTGTTCTCTTCGGCTCGTTTCTTGAACAGCTCCAGAAACTGATCATATATGTCCTCGTGGACCAGGATTCGAGAGCCCGCACAGCAGCACTGCCCGTGGTTGAAAAAGATGCCCAGATTCACCCATCCAATGGCTTCCTCGAGGTTTGCGTCGGGCAGAATGATGTTCGGCGACTTTCCGCCCAGTTCTAGCGTCACCTTCTTCAGGTTGCTCTTCGCGGCGGCCTGGAGGATGCCACGCCCAACCAAAGTGGACCCGGTAAAGGCAACCTTGTCAATATCCATGTGAGATGCAATGGCTGCGCCTGCTGTTCTTCCAAATCCCGAGATAACATTGACCACTCCCGGAGGGAAGCCGGCTTCCTTGATCAATTTAGCTACATACAGTCCCGATAACGGCGTTTGTTCTGCAGTTTTGATAACGATCGTATTCCCCGTCGCCAGTGCAGGACCAATCTTCCAGGCAAACATCAGGAGAGGAAAGTTCCATGGGATGATCTGGCCACAGACTCCAACCGGCTCGTGGCGTGTGTAGGTCAAGCTGCCACTGTCGGTGTCGATGGTCTGGCCGTAGATCTTATCGGCCCACCCGCCGTAGTAGCGCAGACAGCCGGCCGAAGCAGCCACATCGCCTTTGGCCATTGTCACGCCTTTCCCATTGTCCAGTGCTTCAATGGCAGCCACCGTATCGGCATCACGCTCTAGGAAATCAGCGAGGCGAGTGAGGAGGCGACCGCGCTCAGAAGGTGTGACCTGCTTCCACTCGCCTTCTAGAGCGTTGCGGGCAGCTTGAACAGCGATATCAACGTCGATTTCTGTGCCTTCATGCACGGCCACAATGGCCTTTTCATCATGAGGGTTGATCGTCTCGAAGGTCTTGCCTTCCGCTCCCTTGATAAACTCGTTGTTGATAAACCTGATATATTTAGCAGGGCACGGACCACTTTTGGTTAGACAGGAGAGCAAACATACAATCCCAAAGGTTGTTCGTATGTGACCACAGGGGTCGTGATAGTCTGAAAAAGAGACATGTTGGATGGAGTATTGGTTTGGATAACTGAAATGTGGTGTTTGGAATGAAGTTGACCTGAAGCATGGAGGATATGGACTTAATATATACAACCCTGGGAAGAAATCGATCCATACTTTCGGGAATATGGAGTAATGGGGAAGGGTTCGAGATCTCATAGTTCAACACTGGAGTTTGGGGAACACCTGCATCTTTCCCCTCAATCCTTTCTTCCGGGGTTTCCTTTGGCCCGCAAATCCATTGCTGTGCGGCTCCGAAAGCAGTGCCAAGGCAGGAATCTTTAGTGGAGTTGGAGGATCTGTATCCGCAAATGATACCAGCGATATATCCTTGTGGATTTCTCGCATGAACATTCGGGTTTGTGCGGGAATGCAGGTAATCCATCTCAGCCGCATCGTCTAAGATCAAATCGCCTTATGTAGATACCCGAGTCACACGTTTTCCAAATCCCTACCCCGTAAACTGGATTGCATCATACATTTTGAAGACGGGCTTGGATTTCCTCATTAGCTCTGGTGTTATTCAATCTCTAGAACAACATATCGGGAATGTGCGGGACTCTATATCACAACGTTTACGTCGCTGGAAATGGGAAGCCTACTCTTCGAAGCCTTGTACATTGAGATAGTCAGGAAAGTAAAGATTGAATTTGTACTAAACAACGCGCTACAACCAAACAATTACATGATAAAATTCCATCGTCCTATGTAATGCTCTGCTTGACCCACTGATTATTCTGGTATCTCAAGCACATAGCGACCAGCGATTTTTCCTTGCTCTGTGATCTGTCAGTTACCGAGTTAACAAGGATAGCAGGGAGAACGAACCCATGAGCTCGAAGATTTCCGGGAGGTCCTTCAGCGGAGCCAATTTGAATGGAGCCTTGATCAAGCCTCGAGCAAAGAAATCGAGAGCCTCGACGCCGTCCTGGCGGTTCCCAACGTAGCTGCCCTTGATACTGATCATGCGGACCACCGTGTTGAACACTGGGGCCTTGAGCTGCGCATCGGGAGGCAACCCAATGGCAATGATTGTTCCCCGGGAGCGAACGTATTCAGTCGCCTGTTGGAAGGGCTTCTCGGCGGCAGCGAGCAGAATCACCGCGTGGGCTCCAAGCCCATCCGGCGTGGCGGCCTTTACATCGGCCACCAAGTCGCTTGTCTTGGTGAAGTCCACAAAGGTCTAAAGTCTGGTTAGCTTTGGATTTCAGAATCTGGGTGTTCAAACATACTTCAGTGCCCAGCTTCTCACACATGGCCTTTTTCTCATCGCCTCCATCCACGGCAACGACTCTGATCCCCATCGCCTTTGCGTATTGCTGAGCAAGAGATCCAAGGCCCCCGCCCGCCCCAACAATAGCCAACGTCTGGCCGGGACGAACACCAGCTTCCTTCAGACCCTTGTAGACCGTAATACCGGCACAAAGGACCGGCGCGGCCGCGTCAAGAGGAACCCCCTTGGGAATCTTGGAGGCATGGGTAGCCTTGCCAACCGCATACTGCTGGAAAGTGCCATCGACAGTATACCCGGAGAGCTGCGCATTCGCGCACAAGGGGTCATCGGACTGCCTGCAGAACTCGCATTCAGAGCACGACCCATTGAGCCACTTGATGCCGGCGTGGTCACCGATTTCAAACTCGTTGACCAGCTCGCCCTTGGCCACGACAATGCCGGCACCCTCGTGGCCGCCAACCAAGGGCATTTTCACCGGGAGTGGCCAGTGTCCCTTCATCGCGTGCAGGTCCGTATGGCAGACGCCACTGTAGCGCATCTTCACCAGAATCTGATCCGGGCCTGGCTTGGGGGTCGGGATCTGTTTGTACACAAGCGGTCCGCCGACCTGTTCGGCCACTTGCGCCCATTGCATCTCGGGGATAGACATATTGGCAGAGTAAAAAGAATGGTAGATTGAAGAAGTTTAGAAAAGAGTATTCTCAGTGTTTGATCGATGAAGTTCCAAGTGAGCGCGGTGGGGATGCTTTATAGATGCTTTGTGCCCCGGTACGGGTTGAGAAATCCGGGGTACGAGCAAATGGCGGGGACCCCTCATTTCGAGATCCACATCGCAGCTTCATCCGTTCGAGTTGAGTCGGACAGCCGGAATATAGCAGGAAAGAGAAATGGCTAGATCTATACTCCAGATCCCCAGAATGTTCAACTATCTGTGGAGTGAGCGGGAATCGCGGGACGGTTCTGGCGGAGATGCAGATCAGCCCCCATGCGGATCCGCATGGGCGACCAATGAATGTCTGCCTTTGTTGATCTGACGGCCCACAATCAAGCTCTATTTCGCTTTGCCAAGCAGTGACGTCTCAAGATTCCAAGTTTGATGTGGTGGCTTTCCTGGAAACACTGCTGACGAAGATAGATGCCTAGAAAACAGCGTGATACTACGTTTACTACTACAGGATGGTTCCATACATACGTAACCATACAATAATCCATCATGTCCTTAAAAGGTTACTGAAATTAAAAGTTATAAATTCGATAAAGAGAGCAGTAAATAGCTCAGATACTGTATCCCGCAATGCCAATCCTGCACTCGTTGCTAGACTCGTCATTCACGCGGTGGGAAAGAAAGTGCTCGACCAGCCACTGCTAATTGCAAATCCACAGCTGCCGCGGTTATCCTGGATGACCTTGATATTATGTTCCTCGTCATTTTTAAACGGCTGCTTACTCAGAGCCTCACTTCCCCAACCGCCTGGGGAAGACTCTCTTGAACAATCCTTGGGCGGTCTTTTTTCTTGCTCGGATGGACTAGGCTGTTTGTCATTCCCTGGTGAGTCCTGCGAATGATTGACGGAAGCAGGATCGTCATGCGTCTGCGCCTGAAGTTCTCTCGTGCTCGCATCAGGCTCAATCCCGTAATCCGGGCTTTTAAAATGGAGGAGTTTCGGGTCGATGCACCCTGACCCTCCAGTCTCCCCATGGGCCTGCACATGTGTTTCCGAACTCAGTTGAATATTCGTCTTTGGATTTCTATCAGGAATTCAGTAAGAGGACTTGCATCGGTTGGGAGCCAGTGGTAGGTTACCTGTACTGCGGCACGTCGACATTTGAACTTTTCTGGGGCTGTATAGCTCGCCGAGAAGGGACGACACCGCGGGAGCCAGCTGTCGTAGATTTGATTGTGAGAACATTGAGATGTTCTGGTTTTTTGTCGTTGCTGTTGACACATTCCAGTAGGTTTTCGCGCTTGATACATTGCGCACACATTCGTTTCTTTCCTGCCCCCCTTATCGCTTAATCACTGCACATAGGAAGTAGCGGGGAAGTCAACGTAGGTAATGGGTCAAGCATACTGTATCGCATTTGAGACCGTCGACAATCCAAGCAGGACCTGGTGGCCTTCTTCCGACGTCGCAGTCTCTCGCATGGACTTCTTGTGCTGGTCAGACCATTCATGCTCCAAGTGAAAAAAGCAAGTGGTTCATCAGCAGTTGATGAACATGGAACGATAGCAGATGAAGTCGGTTGGCTAGCCATTATACCTTTATCATGCGTGGCTCCTATAGAATGGAAGTTAATATGCAAGTCATTCTAGCTAAGGATGCGGTATTTAATTTTATAATTATGAACCACTGTCAGGGGCATCACACGGGTTGTTCCCATCAAAGGAGGGATCACCCCGGCCGTGTAGTTCACAGTCGCCTTTTACTTTATTGCCACTTGATCATACATGCTGGCTGCCATAATAAGGACAAACAGGCCTTAAGGATGTTCAGCCCCTTAGAACTCCGCCCCATACCCCAGACTCCATATTCCCCAGCCTGCAGGTTCCCCAGAAATGCGGTTCCGCATGAGCATCGGAACCGCACAGCTTACCCCGTATATATGCAATGCGTCGATCACCTCGATCGACCAAATATCATTGGCCTTTGTCCAAGTTTGCTCGTTATTTTGATCTACGATCCGGGGGCTTTCTCCATTGACCCGCACTGTATGGGGTTAGGGTTGTCCTTGGAGAACTGTCCCCTTCTGTCGTATGGGGAAATACCCCTATTGGCAAGTTGTCAAACCTTAAATGGACCTTACCTGGAACTATAAGACTGTCCTTATCCGGGTCTGTTTTATCATCTTCTAACTTTACAAATTCACACCCTAAGATACAATTCCTCATACCAGAAAATGGCCAGCGACGACACTCAAAACGGTGGAATCAAAACCTCCCACCAGCAAATGGAGAACTCGCAAGGACTTTCTACCATTCCGACGACGCTCACACTGTCTCCCGAGCAGTTTGAGAGATTATATTTGACCCCGATGACGCACCGTCAGCCTGCAATGGCAAAGAAAATGGGAAACCCAACACCATTGTGAGAATTCCCGCTCGAGGTTTTCTAACCTGACGATAAAGACTAATGATAACATGCAATCTCCAGGGCACTCGGCGGATTCGTCATAACGACAACTCCGCTCTCGTGTTGCTTGATGGCCTGGAGGGGAGCCAGTGGAAATGGTGTTGCATTCATGTAAGATGCAATTCGATCATATGCCGAACATATACTGACCAGAATAGTGGTCCTACTATCTTTCTCGGTGGTCTTTTACTTCTCATTACGAGCATCCTTGAATTCATATTAGGAAATACTTTCCCTTGCGTTGTGTTTGGTACCATCGGTAAGTCTCCAACTGGACCTCGCTATGTCCTGTTCTCTTCTCACATACCTTGCTATAGGCGGATTTTGGTTTGCATTTGCGACGACCATGATTCCATCTTTCAATGCGGCCGGTGAGCTCTACTTTCAAGACAGCTTATCCATCGAGTATATGAATTTCTGACACATTTTAAGCTCCATATTCGTCTTCAACCACCGATACAGCTGCCGGTCTGACTAGTGCAAGCTTCATGAACACATACGGTAAGCGTCTCATCCTTACAGAAGCTCTAGTAAGAACTGCGGCTAACAACGCCAGCGTTCCTGTTTATTACAATGGCTGTCCTCATGTTGATCTTCATGGTCTGCGCCACACGCACAAATGTCGTATACACGCTCATATTTCTGTCGCTGCTCTTGGTTTTCCTTCTCCTATCATCAGCCTACTGGAGACTAGGAGAAGGGAATACAACCTCTGGCGAACGATGTGTGAAGGTAAATATTGCGCCCCGTCTTTACGTCTCGTAAATGTATAAAGTGGATGCTAATTACACTTTTCTGGCTTTCAGGGAGCAGGAGCTGCGCTTTTCGTTGCTAGTCTCTTGGGTTTCTACTTGCTGATCGTGCAACTCTTTGAAGCGTTGGGATTCCCTTTCCATTTGCCTGTCGGAGATTTGGGGATACTTTGGACTCGCTCTCAAGGCCGGTAGGTGATTGTATCTGAAGCTCACACTTTCCAATTGCTAATATACAATAGGGACGAGAAACATGACATTGAGAATCTTGCTAGTGTGGGCGATGTTTAATTCTTTTCATTTGGTATAATTCTATCGTGTCGTTGGTACTAACACCTTTGCCACTCGAGAAAAGCTCCTGATCACTGGTTTAGCTAATCGCCGAAATGATCTCCTTTTCGGGTTGTTTTTAATATAAATAGCAATGAACGCATTGGTTGTTTGATTCTAGAATGGGATATAAACATGGTTATTTTGTCTCACATAAATAAAGTCATTTAGCTGTTGAATAAACATGGTTACGATAGCATCATCCTCCTTACCTACCTTTTTCATCCTAATACACCTACTCGCCTTTCCTGTAATAGCCTCATCTGAATGACTTTGGATGAATAGTTTGATAGAGCAGAATTATCACAGAACTATCAACCCCCGGATTATTACCACAATTGGTTAGCAACTTAGCGGGTCGGAGCAGGTATCTGATAGAGATGCAGCAGGTACTGAGCCTTGTCATCCAGAAAAGCGAGTTCGTTTGGAGGATGCTGACTTGGAGCGTCTATTGGAGCCGCCGGACTGCGTGGCCAAGCTTCCTGACGAGATCATGGCCGAGCTGGTGGATTTCTACTTTGTCAATATCCATCCGTGGAACATGATCATCTCCTTAATCACCCGCAACACAGCCGGCCAAACCAAGAAGAGCTTAACAATGACTCTCCTCTTCATCGGATGGGCTGCAGGGAATCTCACTGCGCCGCAGACTTTCAGCATCCAGACGCACCCAGATACGTGCATGGGCTCATTGCGCATCTTGTCATTTATGCTGTTTTTATTGCTCTGACGGTGTTGACTCGTGTTCTTCTAGTCCGGCGGAATAGGTTCAAGGAGAGGGATGTCTCGCATGACTTGGCTTTTGAGGATCTTACGGATCGCGAGAATCCCAATTTTCGTTATGTATATTAGCATCAGACACTTTTCCATTGACACCAATATTATTATCTATGAGTGCATGAGGTCTTCGAAGAACGCAGAAACCTGTTATTAGCTGATCTTAGTTGAGATCACGAATGGCGCAAAGTTGACTCAGCTTGATCAGTAGCTGTTCATCTAGCCTCGTTTACTGGTGGCTCGATCATCTAGGTAAATAATTGATACATGTCGCCGTCTAATCCGGCCAATGGTCCATATAAAGCGTGTTATGTACTATGAATCTGCGATACCAATACATTGAGAAGACAAGATTAGACCTGATCCTCTCCAGAGCGCTCCACAGTTCCCTCCATATGTTCATCCCGAGACGCCGGGCTATTACGACGAAAATGAAAGCAAGAAACATGGGGAAAGACTGCTCTGGATAGTTGGCGAATTCCATGTAAAGCGGAAGAGTAAAGTCTCTGAATGGGGTAAAGGAAGAGCACAATACTCTTGACCACAAAATCAAAAACAACTCCGAATTTTTCATCCGGAACCAGCTTCATCAGAGCAGCCCAGGGAAGGCAGAAGACTGAACATCCAATGCAGATGGCCCATTGTACGCCATCCAGCGGTGTCACTCCAAATGCGGCACCGCCAACGAATATTATGGTGATCTGGCCGGCGACCATGATGATATTGATCACCATGAACCAGCGGTTCCTGTGGATTCCCTCGAGGATGTTGAATTTGTTATCCAGTCGTCGACAGTTGAGTTCGTTTAATATCTGCATCCATACGAATGTATTGAAGATGATGGTGTCGAGTTCCAGTTGTTTATGGTGATTCGATATGTCATAATTGAGGATACGGGGCCCAGCGAAATAGAGGGTCAAGCAGACTGTCAGTTTGTATACAGATTGACCAATGATCATCTTCCACATTGTTCTCGTAGACAAGGGGCTGCTTTTTGGAGCTGGCTTTCGGTTTAGAATCTGGGCTGTTGGCGCATCAGTAGCTCTTTGTTCAGTCAGCAAATTTCGATGACCTCGATACAAGGTAAAGGATAACGCACAAGGCCAAGGCTGCAAAGGTATCCATGATCAGGTTCACCCATAGGAGTTGAACGGCATTCAACACACTCTCATTCGAGTTGCTGTAGATGGCTGTTATTACTGTCAGAGCAACTGCGGTGATGTTGACTGTTATTTGAAACTGTTTGCGTTTAGAAGAGACCCGTGAATACTGTTGTATTTGACACACCTGTAGAAACCTGGAGACGGCATCATTCACAGCCCTACCCCATGCAATGGCGGTGACGATGGATTTGAAATTATCATCTAAAAGGATAATCGAACTGGCCTCCTTGGCGACTTCAGTGCCACTGATTCCCATTGAAAAACCTACATCAGCAGACTTCAACGCAGGGCCATCATTGGTGCCATCCCCCGTTACTGCAACCGTCTCACCAAGATGTTTGAGATGGTCGACAAGGATTCGCTTATCATCCGGTGACGAACGCGCCAGAACCTGAAGTTTTGGAAGGATAGTATCGATTGCCTCGGGTGGGAGTTTCCGAAACGCAGGACCTTCCATGATGATACCATCTGGTGTTTTGATCCCGCACGATGAAGCAATAGCAGATGCAGTCTTGATGTTATCACCTTTGTACTTGTTAACAGGTTGATGGCAAGAAAATTGACAGGAAGCCACTAACCAGTGACCATTTTGATCTGGACCCCTGCAGTACGGCATATTTTGATGGCAGCAGATGCTTCTGGCCGTAGTGGATCATGGATGCCTACTGCACCAATCCATACCATATCGGCCATCAGGCTGTCCAACCGCAGTTCACTATCCTCGTTTTTCTCCAACGCCTGGGGTGGCCAGTCGGGAAAGTCTCTATAGACCATCGCAATTGCTCTTAGAGACAACCCTGCGTATTGGTCAATTTTCCCAGTCAAAGCCTCTCGAGTGTCAGAATCAAGGTGTTTTCTGGTCAGCATTTGGTTGGCTTGTTGAGCGATGATCTCAGTCGATGACCTCAGCATAATTTCAGCAGCCCCCTTGACAAGCAATCGATATCCAATCGAGTGGTCATAGTACACAGTCCCCATGCACTTCTGATTCGAGTCAAATGGAAACACATGGACGACCCGAGAATGAGGCCGCTCCTCCGCAAAATTCATCTGGAGATGGTCGTTGGCGAACTCAAGCAGAGCAACTTCAGTCTTGTCCCCCACGAATTGCCTGGCACCATCTTTGAATTCTTCAAAGGCCGTGGAGTTCAGCGCGATAGCCTTGACAGCCAGGGCTTTGAGCGCTGCTGGGAAGTATGTCAGAGTATCAGTGATTGTTTGGTAACATTGCTTATCCTCAACCGCCATCTCCATGTTGTTAAACTGGATGTTATCACCAAATACACCAGCAACAACAGTCATTTGATTCTGGGTGAGTGTTCCTGTCTTATCCGAACAGATTACAGTGGCATTGCCCATGGTTTCGCAAGCGCGTAATACCCTCACCAGGTTGTTTTCCTTCACCATTCGCGTTGTGGCAAAGGCCAGGGCGAGAGTCACTGCCAGTGGAAGTCCCTCTTCCCATTATTAGCCACCAGCCTGATACTTCAGCTCCGAGGACACCTTACCAGGGATGGCAACTACAATAACGGTGACAGCGACAATGAGAATATCCATGAACTCCTGTCCTTTGATAGCAGACGACTCGTTGTTGCCCGACAGCTGAACGAGAAACCGAATGAAAAGAACGAGGAACAGAATGACAGCAGCTCTACTCATCATCAGTGGATAAAACAACTCACTGGAAAGCAGTTTACTGACGCCGTCCCTAATCCACCAATCCAATTGGCCAATCTCCCCAGCTTGACTTGCAGCGGTGTTGGGTCGTTTTCTGTCTGCAATGAACTCATGATCCTTCCATGCGTGGAGAACCGCCCAACACTGGTGACGAGATATGTCCCCACGCCTTCCAGCACCTTGCTCCCGGACAGGATGAACGGGTCCAGATCTTTGGTTGCCGTGCCGTCAACGATTCTACGCCAGACCTCCTCGCTGCTGATTTTCCTTATCTGGTCGGACTCACCCGTGGCAGTGGATTCATCGCACTTGACGCCATGGCCAGTGATGAGAATCCCATCCGCAGGAGGTGAATCCCCAGGCTCAATACAAAGCACATCGCCAACAGTGATATCAGTGATATGAACCATGGCCGGTTGCCCAGAACGAACAGCTTTGACATCCCGGTCGGCCTTCTACACATCCATGCAACCAGATTAGACGGGTGGCCATTGGATGATGACGATATGGCATGGGTGGAGAAGACTTACTCTCTTGTTCAACTTTCCAAACTGCCTCTCCTTTTGCCAGTCATTTCCTGCCGTCACAGTGACAACAATCAGAACCGCGACACAGATAGAAACCCCCTCAATCCAATCAACTTTGGACTGCCCGACGGCGGCTTCATATATCCCCAAGGATAAAGAAATCACCGCAGCAATGGTGAGAAGAATGATGATTTTATCATTACACGCATCCCAGAGAAGCCTCCAAAATCCTTTCCGTCTCGGCTCAGGCAGCCTGTTTCGTCCGAAGACCCGAATCCGATCGCAGAACTGCGTAGAGGATTGCCCGTGACTAATGAATACCGGGCCAGAACCAGCGAAGGAAATGGGTTGCCAGCTTGCCGATTTCGACAGTGCCATTTCCTGCGCTGCATGCAGCGAGACATAGTCCTGGATTTCGCCTTCGTCAACCGACAAACCCACTGTCAGGTCTGTTCGGAGACCATATGCTAGCCCGTGAGGTCCACCAAGCGCTTGAAATGCAGCAAGGGATTTTGGATTGAGTAGTTTGTTGAGCTGGCCTGGCGTGAAGGCGAAATTGTTGTTTTCAACTTCAAAATCATGTTCATGTTGGGGGTCTGGTGAGAGCGCTTCAGAAAGAGGGACATCATCGTATGGGAGATTTGATAATGAGGTATCCATCTCTGCGTTCACTTGAAAGACTCAACTTTGATTACATGCCATTGCCTGGAAGGTAAATGTACACAAATATATTGTAGGTGTGATTGAGGACTACATCAACCTTGGAATCTATCATGGCTGTGCTTCTTGGACGTGGGGTAGGTGTTCAGATACCATGGACAGAAATATACGATGGAAACCTCATAAAACGTATCTGATATGCGTACCATACAGGGTCGGTTTCTACCAGTTGAGAATGATCTCGGCCCATTTTCCTTGTAGGAGCATTGAATATTCTTGCAAATCCACTAGTGGGTATTGTTCCATCCACAGAAATCATTAATATAAACTACGACTGAGCTTGACATAATGTGTATGGAAAAATTGAATCGTAGGCTCATCATATTAGAAATATAGTTGGAAGGCGTAACTAAGTTTGGGTATTTTGTGGAACATCGAGCACTGCCTCGCTTGGCTCTAAATAATCATTCCGTCATGATGTAAACTTGATTTCAACCTACTACCCTTTCTCATCTTGAATGTGCATGGCACATATATCTATCTTGATTAATACATGTAGAGCTCCTCAGTTTATGTAACAAGTGGTAAGATCATGACCGACTATGTCATAGGTTATTTTACTAATTAGAAAGGAACCACTAATAATTTCCGGTACTGTCCAGGCATTGAAACCATTCCTTGAGGATCCCAGTATCACTCGAGTCAGCATCCAGAATCACTGTACGTTGCATTCCCCATCCAACCTCGGCGATATAACTGGCTTGTTGCGGGTTGTTGATGTCGCGATACCCCCACCAGTAGATTGGCGACGACGGAGACTGGTGACGCTGCACGCTGTGGACGGGCTTCAAAAGCATGGCATTCTCCGTCAAGGTCAACGCGATGCTTTTCCCAAAGCACGATTCGGGGATCCCAGAAGAAACCGCGACGCCAGGTAACAAGGATACAGCCCACAGTTTAGGTAACCATGATGAACGCTTGAATGAGTCTGGGTAAATGCGTTGGAATTGGTAGGCTTCATTTTCTATATGCGTATTCTTTTGGTCAATCTACCAGACAATTAAAAATATTGTTTTCCAGACTGTCTAATAGGGGCAAGTCGATCTCTCGAGTCTCTTGTAAATTGGTGGCGAATCTCGTATTCCAAGATGAATCAGCTATTTAGAGTTCGCCATCACGATCAGTATTATTATGGTCAATTCAAACACCGGCAAATAGATAAAATTCCTATTGGACGGCTTCATTGTGATTGCCTCATATGGGTTAAACCTTTAGGAAGTCAGGTTTGTATCATGGCGGATTAGAGTTCTGCTATCATGACCGTAATGATCTGCTAGTCAAGAAACAAGATACCTTAGCTGGTGATATTTAGTCTGACTCGGAAGTTGATGACGACAAGTTTATGTATGTATACCCTTAAGCACACTGGCTGCTGGGTCGAAAGAATGTCCTTGATGGAAGGACCGATGATTGACACAGGGCTAACAAGTAGATAGAGTAATATACTCAATCGGAGAAGAGTAACTGACAAGTCGACTCCTAGTATGAATTTATACTCAAGTAACTGGTTGAATCGAACCCGACGAACTGAAACAAAAACTATCTAACAGGTGATTAACGAGTGTTTTTATTTAGTCCTTCTTGTATACCATCTCCTACCGTCCTAATGGTATCTACTCCACCAGGCAACCTTCTTCATCCAAGCGCGAATACACCCATCTTTCAAACTCGGTGAGCAGCTCAATAGCACTCTGGTCTCCGGTCGGTAGCAGCTGAGAGAGGTATACGCCTGCGACTCCTTTGTTGATGTTGATCCACTAGAATGAGTGAGTCAGCTACCATGTAACTCCCCGTAGGAATCGGATGACCAACCCAGTAACAATTCGATTTTCCGGACCAGGTGAGCGAATATGCCTCGCGTCGCTCTGGGACTCTAGATGTATTGAGCAGACCACCGATGCCAAAATCAACTGGCACTTCGTTTGGGATTGCATTCCAAATGGCGTTGCGGGACGCCAAAGAATAATCGTGCGGCTGGTCGAGACCGTGAACACTTTCCAGATGAGGTTGAAACATTTCCTTCACAGTCTCCGGACGGAGTAATGTTCCCGTCAGTATGCCATGATAGATCTTGAGCATATCGTTAACGGTTGCGTATAGGCCACCTCCTCCGACATCTTGCGCAATTGGGTCTGGGAAGACAGGATTCTTCTCTTCTTCCAGACCCTGATCCGTTCGAACCCAGGCTTTAACCCTGCGGGCTCGAAGGTCTTCTCTCTGATCGAGATGGAATGTGGCATCCTTGACGGAGACAAGATCAAAAACATGACGCTGCAGGTATTCGCCCAGCTTCATGGAAGTGACTCGCTCAACCTTTTCAAGTCAGGCATTGCCATTGCATCGTGCTTACGGATGACCGGGAACGTACCGCTTCTCCCGCCCATTCAATAGCAGGAGAGTACATCCATCGTTCGCCTGGTTCGAAAACGAGGAATTGGAATTGGTACAGCGTTTGGACTACCGGCGAGTTTCCTTGCAATTCATGATAGCGTGTCATTAGAGGATCCATGAAGTAGTACGCCATGCCACTCGAGTGGGTCAACATGCGCCTTGTGCCGTTAGTACCTCTGACAGTTTTGGAGAAAGTGGGTCACATATATACCGTAGGGTAATAGGCTTGGTGGCTGGCCGGAAAATAGGATTATCATTCTCATCGAAGCCCGTCAAGATCCGAGGGCTTTCCCACTCCGGTAGCACATTGGCGATGTCTGCATCCAAGTCTAACAGACCACGCTCGACACACTGCATTACTGCAACGGTAGTCACAGACTTGGTACAAGAGGCCACCCAATGCACGGCGTCGGTATCGGTAGAGTCGACAGATTCCCCTCCAAATGCCTTGGCGTAGTGTAAGGAACCTAGATTGATTGGTGTGAGCAACAGCACGTATTGAGAAAACGATATGGGCTCTCTATTTCCATACCATCTCTATTGACAGCCCCTAGTGTAATCCGTGGTAAGGGCTTCCTTCCATTCTCAGATGACTGACGGAGCAAGTTTACTTTCTCTTCAAAGGAGGCCATCGTGGCCGATGAACGTCGACGCTGACAAAACTGATCTCCTGCTATTCAGTAATCCCGATGACGATATTTTGAGTTCCGTGAGAGGATATCATGACATCAAAGCTACCAACACCGTACCCCAGCCGGTCTTTATAAATGGCCTGTTGGGGGGCGACGGAAAGATTGCGAAACCAGTTGGAGTAATCCTCGTCTCTGAAGAAGATCAACAAGTGGGTTCGCGATCTGGCCCAAAGAGGGAATTGACCTTTCCCTAAGGGGAAAGGCCCGGCCTGAGCCCCACAGAGCGAATTCTAGGGTGAATTTATGAATGCAAGGTCTCAGTATGACGGATTATTCCCCAGTTCATCCTTAAACCGTACTTTGCAAAGCGCCATATGTCTCAATCTTTGTTATTAATAATTGGTGAGACGGGAGCTGAGTAACTCCGCCCATCTCACAATTTCCTATTTCGGCCCGTTCGCGATGGTCATGGTTCCATGTAAAGTGTGATTGGCTGATTAGATGAAGCACATTTTGAGGGATGACCACAACAACCAATGAGATGCATACGGTGAACCCAAAGTCTCTATACCTGATTTGATAGAGACATGACTAGCGTACATTGCGATCCTTGAACCATGTCTTGTGCCGACGGACTATTCGGGGAATAATAACGTGAGTAAAATTTCATCACTCATTCCTAAATCGTACGTTTGGTGATCTAAGCATGTACAACAGGGTATCGCTGGGGGAATCGGAAGGAAATATATTATTTCATTCAAGGTACAAAAGGTGAGCATCCCAACCTTGCATGTGATAGTGCGAACTTATCCTGAGCGAAGCACGTACAGCCCTACGGCCCAGTAGTGATATTCAGGCTGAACTGCAATGCCGTGCCGCAAGCGCCGCGCAGCGTCGCCAGTTGGGAAGAAAACTGCAAAGATCCACAGAAATGACAGTGCCGGAGCTGTCAATGGCCGTGGGAATTACGAAGACGGATTCGAAGACAGCGATGATAACGACGACGACGATTACCAGCCCGACGCGGATCAAGATGAAAGCGAAAGAAACGACTCTACTCCCGAGGAAGACTCGGAAGAGGCGGATGATCCTCCAAGAAAAATCACCGTTATCCCTTACAAGGAGTTGCGCCCGCTTGACGGTGTTGAGTACTCTGACACCAGAGTACACCGAAACACTCTCCTATATCTGAACGATCTCCGGACCAACAACAATCGCGCTTGGTTCAAGAGTGAGCATGCCACGGTACCTAAGCACAACCTCATATTCTAACGCCTGTAGGCCACGACAGGGAATTCAAACGAGCCATGAAAGACTGGGAGTCATTTGTGGCAACGCTGACGCCGAAGATCATTGCCTTTGACTCCACAGTCCCTGAGCTGCCACCTCGCGACATCATCTTCCGCATATATCGAGACGTTCGCTTCAGCAGGGACCAAAGACCATACAAAGTTGAGTGATCACTCTTTTTGTCCTTTGCAACGGCAGCTAATTCGGCCTCGCTACTTCCCAGTCTCACTTTTCCGCTGCGTTTTCCCGCACCGGGAGAAGGAGACCATTTGCCTGCTATTATCTCCACCTTGATCCTGGGTCATCGTATGTTGGTGGTGGCCTCTGGGCCCCTGAGCCACCGACCATCCAGCTTCTGCGCCAGAGCATTGACGAGAGACCGGAGGAATGGCGTCGAGTGTTGAGCTCGGAACCATTCACGAGCATGTTTCTGCCGACTGCGCAGGAGGGAACGGAAGCCGCCGTGAAAGCATTTGCTGATGTCAATCAGGAGGGGGCGCTGAAGACACAGCCAAAGGTTCCAGAACCAAATTCAGAGACAATGCAGTTGGAAACTGACAGAGTCAGGGTTATAACGCAGACCATCGGGATGTCCAGCTGTTGAGGTTACGAAATTACCATGTTTCCAAACCAGTGGATGATGAGATCTTTACGGCTGAAGACGGTCAAGAGAAGATAATTCATCTCATCAGCATTCTTCAACCATTTGTAAGGTCACCTCATGTCTACTAAGAACGGAGCTTACGACGTATAGGTCACCTTCCTCAATGCCATCATAATGCCAGATGAGGACGGATTCTAAAACAATATACTTTTTCGCGGAGACCCCAAAATTTGGAATTTTGTAGATTTACAACTTCAAATATCAACACAAACAAGACATTCATCGGTAGATAACTTTATGAGAAGATCGAGAGGGGCATCAATATCGGTGGACGCAAACACGCCAAATGAAGACGGTAATTGGAAGGGTGGGACCTCGCAATCTGTCCAAGAACGGAAAGAAGTGAGGTCACCTCAGGGTCTCCATAGACCCACTATGAATCGAACATACACTTATATACTCCGTAACTTGTGCTAGTATTGCTATTGCCGTCATTCCCGAGCCTAGGCTGGCAAAGCTGAAATTGTAACTTGATTGAATATATTAACCTGCCATTCACTTCCAAAGAGGCAGCCCCTGATAATCGATAAAAAGCCACCCTGATTATGATCCACAGTGAGTCTGCTGTCGAGGACCGCTTGCAGCGTCTCATGCCGGGCCTCTCGCTACACACTGAAGGGAGGCATTATCAGAACTGCCTCGAGATATACAACCATGCACTAAACAAGAAACCTCTGGTCTGCGCCCGGCCGCGGACAGAAGAAGAGGTCTCACACCTGGTTTAATTCTGTACTGAAGAAGCCATTCCCTTTGCCGTTCGCTCAGGCGGTCATGACTTCTTTGGCCGCTCCTTAGTCCATGAGGGCATTCTCATCGACATGCGTGATATAGACAGCGTCCGCGTCGAGCCGGACCGAGCCAGCGCACGCGTTGGTGGCGGAGTGATTGCCGGCCACCTACAGGAAACCCTCGATTCCCACGGCCTATTCACCCCTACCGGACAGGCAAAATCCGTGGGGTATGTCTCATGGGCCTGTGGTGGAGGGTACGGCTTCTATGTTGGAACATACGGGTTTGGGGTCGATCAGATCCTTGGGGCTCGGTTGGTGTTGGCCGGGGGGGCGCGTTGTTGATACCAACGAAGATCCAGAATTACTGTGGGCACTCCGCGGCGCTGGAGCTGGCACATGCGGCATCGTTACGGAGCTTCGCGTGAGGGTATACCCAGTGCCTAAACTATACGCTGGCTTCCTGGCCTTTCCCCTGGCCGAGGCTGCCACTGTCATGGACAGGATTGGGAAGCTACTAGAGGATGGCTTTCCCGATGAATTCAGCGGAGATGCTATCGCCGTAAATCCTGAAATGGCTCCGACGCCGGTAGCCGAGCCCTGTTTTGTTTTGTTTTGGTGTTGGACTTCAGTCAGCGAAGACCTCGCGCCTGCGAAGAGCTTTCTTGAGCAGACAGTGCAGGCCGGCAGGGTTCTAGGGAACACGGTCACAGAGAGTGGGTTCCAAGATTCTCTATCATGCAGTACATGGACGCAAGTTAACCGGTATCCAGCTACACCAGCCGCCTACGGCTTGGGTGACTCGTCGTCAGGAACCTTCTTCCGCAGTCGAAACGTTGATCGGATACATGAAAATGTTGATGCCATCCTCGCACGGCACCCTCTACCACATCCGCTATCCGCTGTCATATTTCACAATAACCATGGTAAGGGGGTTCGGCACGAAGTCGCAGATACTGTCGGGGCGGCCTTTCCGAATCGATATCAACATGTCATTCTCGGACTCCATGGTGGCACCAGGCCAGGCCAGGCAGATGAACAGGAGGTTGAGGATGCAGCCAGATGGGTCACAGGATTGGAGGAAGCGCTTGATCAGAATGGTCTTTCCCTGCCAGGAGGGTTCCCTGCATTTTGGCCCCCGGACCAGGTGGATGTAGAACGATTCTTCGGGAAAGAGAGGGTCTCAAGACTGCGGCAATTAAAGGCGCGACTGGATCCGAATGATCTATTTCATCATGCCCTGCCCGGTTTGAGTCCAGGCTGAATGGGATTGCATATCATACTCTCTTGTAAAAAGTCTGCCTTGATGCGGTTAGTGTCTGTCCAAGATGTAGTGGATATATGCTTCAACCAATGGAATCGTGCCTGAATTGGCAATTTGTGGGGTCAAGCTGACTAACACAATCGGCAATCTAGATATTCCGTCTCCGAACCATCTATCTTGCGGATGATTAGTAGGCAATCCAAGAGCAAATCTCAGATTCGAAGCAATTTCTAGTCTGCAATGTCACTATTGAATGGAAAGGAAAACGCGGGAAGCCAACAGTCTACCTGACCAGACATGTACTTCCCCAGTTTACGTTTCAAACAAGCGATGGTCAGCTCTTCTGTACACCCGAGCCCGAGCACGCAGCAGGAGCACGAGTCTCGACCAGGTCGACCGCGAAACAAAAGCAAATTGGGCTGTCGAGAATGCAAGACAAAGCGGGTCAAATGCGACGAGGCCTATCCGACGTGCAAGCGGTGCCAGCGTCAAGGACTTGTCTGTTCGTCAGTCCCGCGGTTGACACAGTGGCAAGTTGAGACGCCGTGGCTCTCACTGCAGCCCAAAACGCATGTCAATCGACGACTACTACAGTTTTGGCTGGAGAAAGCCAGCCAAGCGCTTGTTATAGATCCTGAAAACAATCCATTCTCGTTCTCTATTTTGAAACACGTTGCCCAATCACCTGCACTTCTTCATGCCATCCAGTCCGTCAGTGCCAGCCATGAGCAGTACTTCCCGGCCAAGACCCCCATTCTGGCCCTTGAGGAACGTGGCAAAGCCATAGTTTGCCTTCGAAGAGAGATTAATCAGATCCAACGCGCTCCTTACACCCAATTTCTGACCATCATGCTGCTGGCACTGATGCAAATTGCTGATCATGACCCGAAAGATTATGGCAAACAGCATTTATTTGGTGCCCGCACCTTGATCAACAATATGCTCCAAGACACATCCATGTTGACGACTAATGACCCTGTGTTTCGACTTTGCCTGGGAAGCTATCTTTACTGGGACATGTGCAGTTCATTCTTGGTAGAGCCATGCGAACCACAGGGTCTCGACCTATCTACCCTATCCCTCGCGGTGCACAGGATGGGGGACTGGCACCATCCAATGTACGGAACATGTAGCCGACTACTTCTTATCATAGCGAATATCGGACGATATTGCCGACAGATTCATGATATGCCACAGAACCGCAACCCCATGCAAGAAGCCATACTGGAGGCCCAGCTTCGTGCCTGGACGACGAGTCCCCCAAATCCAGACCTGGGCCACTTATATGAAGCGTTCCGCAACCACGGGCTGGTTTTCATTTATCGATCTCGTGCGCATGCACAGAGAGCTTGTCCCACGGATCCGGATGTGGCTGAATCACAAGAGCCTTTGATCCTACAATACGCCGAACAGACAATCCGCCATCTGATATCAATTCCTGAGTCGTCGAACTATCTTAACTTCCAATCTCTCCCTCTTCTCACAGCCGGATCCGAACTGAACGAGTCGAATGGCTTCTTGCGCGATCAAGTGCGTGGCAGGCTTCGAGCCATCTACTCTTTGAATCGCCTGCCGGCAAATCTAATGGCCCTTCAACTCGTCGAAGATCTCTGGGACACCCGAGACAGTGGGAACCCCTCTTTCTGGCTATCGCACACGCTGCAGAAGGATTGGCGGTTGCTTCTTGGATGAGGCTTTATTTTGTCAAATCTATGCTATCAGTCCTTTGGATGTGCGCCCTCTATTCTCCGAGTGCTCGAAATACTCTTCCAACCAGGCGCAGAGTACCACTCCGTATATATTTTCTTCTTTGCACTACCCAAAGGATATGTCGGTCCGCCGTTGAGAAACTGCCTGGCTGCCAATTGTTTGTGCATAATAGAATTACTGGGTGACACATGGCCATAAATCAGCGAAGAATCCAGAGTTGGCCGCTTATCAAAGCAAAAGTGGCAAATCGAAGGAAGAAGATCAATGACTCGGACTATTGGTATCATCTCTTCTAGGGTATTAGATGCCCCAAAATGTGCCGGTCACTTGTTTTGTCATCATCATGGCACCGGGTCTATAAGGCTGGGGTTGGCGCCTCAATCACGTCTCCGATGCTACCTCTGATCAATAACCAGCAAATAAATGCTGTGCTTTGTCCACGTCCGAAGAGATTGAACAACTCCCAACGAGGGAATCAACACAACCTGGGAGATGTGTATCTCAGTCATTATAAGCTGGCCGGGAAACCAACGTGGTCGCATGAGGGAGAATCACACCCAGTATGTAAGCCAGGTGCGAGACTAGTATGACTTTCCGACCCCTTGCAAGGGGAAAATACTCTTGGGGCTTATCAAAGGAATAGAGTCCAACTCTATTCCGGTTTCTACTAAATTTGGGGCGTGAATGGTATTTAATATTAAAGCATTGTAAAGACATGTGGTTTCAGAGGATAGCAATGTTATGGAAGTTCATGCTTGGAGTCACTCAAGCCGCGGCGGTTTTAGCGGTCATGGATAACGTAGATCGGGATCTCGCTTAAATCGAAAATCAGTATCTTCCAGAAATTGTCGTCCTTGAAGAGGCTCTGGAAGAAAGGCCTGGGTGGATTGTTTGCCGTTGGTCACGACCCGGGCAGCCTCTCTCAGAAGCTCAGGCCTACGATCCAAGAGGTGGAAGGGAACTGGTTCGTCGCTCATCCCAGGCTCTTTCAATGCAGCAAAAGCATTATTCAGGCCACGATGGGATCGAGTGCTCTTCTTTGACAAACTCATTGTGACCACGAGTTGGGTCAGCGCACTCTGTGTGTCTTTGATCCCTAGTTTCTCAATCATCAAGTAGACCGAGGTTGCATATGTTTGCAAGGCATTATTGGCAAGTCCAATGTCCTCGGACGTCGCCACAACAAGACGGCGAGCGATGAATAAGGGGTTTTCGCCGGACTGGAGCATTCGGACAAGGTAGTATAGCGCAGCATCGGGATCGCTGCCTCGGATTGACTTGTGGAATGCTGAAATGGTGTCGTAGTGCTGGTCGCCCGAACGGTCGTAGAGGAAACTCTTGTTCAAGGAGTGCTTCAGCTTATCCTTGGTCATGTTCGGTCGCTCGCATAGATCCGCAGCTATCTCCAGAACGTTCAGTGCGATTCGACTGTCACCATCCGCAAAGCTGGCTATATATTGGAGGAATTCATCATCCAGAAGCGGTGATGACTTCAGGTTCTGTGATTCTACCGAACGACGAAGGATAGCCACGATATCATTGGTGGTTGGCTTCGGGACAGTGAAAATCCTGCATTTGTAGACCAGAGTATGGTGGATATTCAACGACGGATTCTCTGTCGTCGCACCGATGAGAGTGATGCTATTTCTCCGAATCGCATCGAGAAATATATCCTGTTGTGGACGCGTGATTCGGTGGATCTCGTCACAAAACACAATGGATGGCTTCCGACCCTCGAGCACATCCTGTGCAGCCTTGGTGACGATACTTTTGTACTCTGTCGTCGTCGTAGTCAAGCTACTGATCTCGTAGAACTTTCTCTTCATTATCGGCGCGATGATCCTGGCAATGGTAGTTTTACCGCTTCCCGGGTGCCCCCACAGAATCAGATTCGGAAGATCATCCTGTTCAATCAACCGCCTGAGTGTACCATTTGGCCCGATCAAGGATTCCTGGTGATATCATCAAAGCACTGCGGCCGGACATGCTCCGTCAAAGGTGCAACACGACCTTTTCGTCGCTTTGCTGCAAGCTCCGTCGATGGTGATTTGGTATCTGGCTTCTTTCGCGTGGTGTTGGACTCCTGTTGAACGACCGCTCTTTTTAACGTTCTGTTCACAGTGAGCGGGACTGTTGAATTGTCGCCATCTTTCAGCTGATGTTGTTCCGTTGTTTCTTCAGGGCTGGTGCAGCTCTCCTGCTGCTTGCAGACATCTTCGATGCATGCTCGACAGCCAGAATCGAGATGTTCGTTGATGTTGGACAGAACAACATGTTGTTGGCATATGGGACATCGGATCATGGTTGAGATGTGCTGGCAGATTCGGTCAGGGTTCGATCGTATCAAACGTCAAACCTTTCATCGCTGCAGATTGAATCTTCCGTTTTTATTCTTCCTCCTGAAAGCCCATAGTAAATGTCCACCACCAAGCACGGCTGGCTGCATGTACAGAAAGTCAAAATCTCGCGTTCTGGTCGAAAAAGGAAACTCGCCGGCCCGATGTGGGGCACCTGAATTGGTCGAATCCGCGGGTGGAGCGAGTGGGTCGTTTTCTCAAGGCAGTTCGATATCTATATAGTATTCCCGTTCCTGTCTGTCTACCTTTTTGTAGTTTCCGATTGGATAAGATAGAAGATTCAGACGCAGTATAGAAATATCGAAATCATCAATTCAGTCATAAATAGTATCTACCAAAACAAGCTGGCAAGTTCTAAATCATTATCATAAAACAAAAGGCTAAAAACAAAGTACAATGAGCATCCTTCCCTTCGTCCACCAAAGGTAGTCTAGACAACAATTGGCGTAGCAGTAACAAGACCACCTCCCTTTAGCGAGTCCTGGAAATCATCCTCTGCTCTGCTGTATGTTCCCATCTCTGCCGTCAAAGTGGCCATGTTCAATTGGTCGACAGTCTCGGGACTTTGATGCTGAGCGGGCCAGATCTCCTGGCCGATGGCCTCCTCCTTCTCGCGGTGTTCTGTGACGACATCGCGCACTGTTCGCTGGAAGTGGATGGGTCCTGCCTCCATCTCGGGGTGAAGCTCGCCGTTGACGAAGACACCTTTGTTGAGGTTCTGCTGGGTGTTGATGCACAGGTACTTGTCCTCGGACATGATTCGCTTATACATGTCGCTGATGAGGGTGAAGTCTGCGTCAGTGGCGAACTTGTTCCGGTAGACCTCGTAGCGCATCACACACTTGGTCGGGCTGGTGGGGGTGAAGCGCTGCATGAAGAAGAAGTTGGGACTGAATAAGACTGTTAGTAAATTCCCACTGTGTCTGTGTGTTCAGGGGATATACTCACGAGATGTTGAAAGAGGCGTTCGGCCAGAAGTAGGTGGTGGCGATGCGGAAGCCCTTCTCGATCTGGTCTTGTCGCGGGGCACCATAGTGTTGGATGTGGCCGTCCTTGGTCTTGACATAGTAGGAGTTGAGATCGGCAATGGTAGGGATATCAGGGTGCGCCACCTGGCAGTGATAGCACTCGTTGTAGTTATCGGCCAGGATCTTCCAGTTGAACTCGCCCTCCATATCCCAGGTGTGGTCAAAGACATAGTCTTCAAAGTTGTAGTGCACGAATCGTTCCTGCTCGTCAACACCCTCGAAATCGTCTTTCCAGGCAACTTCCGGTGTTTCGCCAGCATCAAGGTTGACCCAGACGAAGCCATTTCGGTCAAGGTGCACGTGGATAGGGAAGAAGTCGTTGTTGTGGAAGGCCTTGATGTTGCCTTGCTGGTCCTTGGCGATGATGAACTCGAAGCCAGCGGCGTCGTATCGAACCCAGTCCCCGGCGTTGGGGACACGGTGCTTGTGTGTGGTGAGAAGCCATTTTCTGGAGAAGATCGATCGTTGTTCCAGCTCGTACATGGCCTGCGAGGTGTACCACGAGGCGGGAAGAGCACGAACAGGCTTCTTCTCGTCCTTCTTCTCCACGACGGGAGCAGCGGAGGTTCCAAAAAAGTTCTTTAGGAATGACATTGTGAATGAAAAGATAAAGAGATTTGAGACTTTGAAGTCTGAGGTTTGGTGATTGAACTGCTTTGGACGTTGCTGTTGATACACTTGAACTGAAGGCTTCTGCTCTTCTATATATCTATCATGGCTATCTTGCCAAGAGGTATGTAGATATCAGCGGGGTGCATGTTCACTATCACGAGGCATCATATCGAGGTGCTTATCGCCTAACCAGCACAAGCCGTGCTATCAGGACGAAATCACCTAAAAGGGCCATTGAGTGCACCATAGGAGTTTAGCCCAGGCGTTATCTAGATGATCACCGAATTTGCAGAAGTCATGCCATTAGGACCGTATCATCAAAAAAGGTTATTCAGTACACTATCAGAGCCCAACCTTGGAATCCTGGATACTGATTACCTAATTAGTAGAAGGTGCAGTACTTCAGGACAGGATTACCTAAACGGGTTATCGAGTGCAACACGGGTCTAGACCGGGCATCCACACAGTTCCACGCAGATGGATCTGTTTCTACTTTATTATTAGCTCATTCCACCAGGAGACTTAACCTTGCTTTAGGTGACCCAGTTTATCAGGTTCCCAAAGCTGGTGGCCAAACTCAAATCTGCGTGTGGCGATGGAGATGTGGGAGGCGGGAATCTATGAGGATTTCCCATTTGGGTTAAAACTTCCATAATACCCAAGATGCATCAAGTACATCCATGAACGCATGCAATTACAACCATATTTCTTAATCTTCTGTTGCGGGGTTCCGTTGTCAGATGGAGCTATTAGACTATAACGCTCTATACTTATGAATATCTCCTGCTATTAATCGTTTACAGATAGTAAAAATGAATATCAATGTCAATGTTTCTCCAAGGGAATATCGCTCTGGCCGCAATAAATGCAACATGCGATAAGAAAATATCCCTATCTCACACCCCTAGGTCAACGAGGCCCTCGTACGGGTTTTGTGCCGCTCAAACCCGACTGATAGTAAGTAACTTGATGATGGAAACCAATTACCTAAATTAATTGTCAGTCCTGTCATTTGATGCCCAACCCTGGCGTCTGGCTGTCTACGGATGTGAATTCACGGGTAGTCATCACCAGGGGATAATACATTCAGGGATAACTTGTTCCAGAATCTTCCTATATAGCTGGAAACTGGCAAAATCAAGCGAAGTACCGTGCTTGAATGTAAGGGAGTAGAGAGTGTGGTAAACGGTTTCGAGCTGCATAGATAAGACAGGCTTTCTACTAGACTCCTTTGGGCTTCTCATACGGCAGTTCAAAGGCAGATAGTGGGAGATACGGCCCAGCCAGCCAGGGCTTGTCTCAAATCTTGTCTCTCTGGCAGATATCATTGTCTACTCCACACTTTTGCCAGTGTGACCCTGCGTCTTGATACGTAAAAACGCACACAGCGGCACTCCCAACGCCGCAACCCCCGCACAGTACAACAGCGTCGCAGCATACGGCTCAATCGGATCATCCTTGAAATATCCACTATCCGCAACCCCCCTCGCCTGCACCGCGTCAAAAATAGCCGTGCTAATCCCCATCCCAATCGTCACACATAACTTGGTAACCGTCTGGAATATGCCCCCGGCAACACTCTGCTGCTCGGCCGGCAGCGAACTCATCACGTACATGTTCGCGACGCAGAACTCAAAATCCGCGCCCACGACCGCGAGAATCAGGCCCGGGAAGATGAACGCCCAGTAACTAATATCTGAATGCTGGAGGCCCATGAGCAGGAAGGAAGCGACGTATGCGGTTGCGCCGACGGTCATGAGGAGCGTGTTCGAGACGCGGTGCATGATTAGCCCTGCGATGATGTTGACGATTATCCCGCCTATGGCCATGGGGAGGAGGTGGACGGCTACCAGCAGGGCGGAGTAGTGTCTGATCTGCTGCATGTAGAGGGCAATCCAGAAGGTCATGATGGGAAAGGCAAGGAAGCCCATGAGGAGGATGGCGATGACGAGAGAAAAGTCGCGGTCTCGCCAGATGGTCATGGGGACGAGGGGGTGGTCGTACCAGTGTTCCCAGACGACAAAGGCGATCAGGCATAATACGCCGAGGATGAGGAGGACGAGGACATACGGTGTTTTCCACCCTGAGGGGGCATCTGATCCCAGACTGCTCTTGTTAATATCTGGCTGTATACAGGGTAGGTGACTTACCTCAAAGCCCCCGAGAACATGGCAATCCCCGCCACAGTAAGCACCGTGCCCACGACGTCAAACTTCTTCAACGACTCCAGCGACAGCGTCTGTTTCTGGCTTTGCTCAGCCGGCATCGTGCACATGGCGATGACCACCACGACGACGTAGATGATGGCAAGCAAGAAAAAGCTCGCTCGCCAATTGAATATCTGCGTCGCAACGCCGGAAAAAATCGTCCCAAACACAAAGCCCATCGGGTTCCCCGCACTGAAGCACGCAAACACTCGATTCTTCCGCTGCGAGGGGCGCTGGTAGATGTTTCCCAGCATGCCCTGGGCAGGTGGCACAGAGGCCGCAGACATGAGGCCCATGACGCCGTTCAGAATGTCGAGTTGAAGGGGCGTCCGGGCGAAGCCAGCTGCAAGGGCAAAGACCGCGAAGAGCACCATGCTGCCGATGAAGAGAATCTTGCGACCGAATTGATCTGCCAGGCGACCGAAGAAGAGCAGAAATGAGCCGCATGCCAGCCTGCCAATTAGCGTCGTACAATAGCGGGGTGAGGAGCAACGTACGAAGATGAGCCCGTCAACCAGGTGAGTTCGGCCGTGGTCATGTCCAAGTCATCTTGAACCTGGGCGGTGATGACGATGATGGCGCCTTGGAGTAGAGACGACATGGCAATGGCCATTGTTGCGACAGCGATGAAGAAGATCTCCTGAGTGGTGGAGGAAAAGACATCCGGGCGGGCTTCATCGTCTACAATCGTAGAGACTGTCGCTGTCTTTTCACTGGGTTGGCCCTCTATGTCACTCATGTTGATCGTGTCGTCAAAGCATTCAGGCTGAAGATAAGCTTTTATATCCTAGTGAGAGATTGTTTTGAGGTTATCTTGATTACTAGAGCAACTGGAATAATTCCGCTCATGTGACTGGACAAGCGCATCTAATCTAATCTAACCAAATCAAGCAAATCTCGGCGATAAATGTTGATCCTATGGCGCAATCGCTCTAGTCCGGACCAATTTCGAACACTTGGCATTTCACCGTATACTATCAAACCTCTATCTAACATTATATATAGAATTATATAGGTTTAGAGAACAGGGCTTCCCGGTCAGCCGACTGAAGATATAGATAAGTTAATAATCCTTAAATCTACCTTAGAGGTGGTTACCGTGAAGCAGCTCCTTGAACCAACTCTGTGTTTGGAGAAGCTCCCCCGGGGATCCACTCTCCACGATGACACCCTGATCGATAACCACGACTCGGTCAAAGAATACCGGGACGATATCCAAACTGTGGACCACTGAGATAATGGTGTAGTCTGCGAATTGGTTGGCGATGATTCTGTGCATTGTCTTCTCTGTTGCCGTGTCGACGCCACTGCTGATCTCATCGAGTAATAAGATACCCCCGTGCTTCTCAGTGTGTAGTGTGCTTCTATCCCTGACCGCACGACGAAGAATTGCTCTTCCCAAGTTGAATAACTTCTTCTGTCCACTACTAAGTTGATTGGCTGTTAAAACTGCGCCCAGGCCTTCTTTTTGCATAGCCAACGTTGTCAGTTGGACTGTGTCTAGGACAGCAAGGCATTCGTCGTCAGTAGCCAAATTGGATGGGTCGAGATTCGCCTTGATGGTGTTCCCTTCTGGGAGAAAGACCGGGTCTTGTGGGACGGCAATAATGCGATCGCGCAAGATGGAACGGTCGATCTGCGCGACTGGAAGATCGTCGATTGTAAATTCGGTCGATGAGCTGGGTATTGGATCCAGGAGACGGAGGAGGAGAAGGATTAAGGAGGATTTGCCACTGCTTTGGTCAGTTTCATCTTTCATTGGTATCGAGGGGCTTGATATCACGTACCTTCCAGTGCGTCCGCAGATGGCAACCTTCTGACCAGGCGGTACTGATAGGTTGATATTTTTCAAGATGAGATTGAGGGGCTTTTCATGGAAGTCACTGGAGATATTAGCCCCGGTACAGACAGGAAAGGTAGAAACCCTACTCATATGAGGCCGACAATGCTTTAATCTCAACACTGCCCTTGGTGGGCCACTCCTCTCCCGGAACAAGACCTTCCCCATCCTGGTCCTCCGGTTTGACCTTCTCGCTGAAAGCTTTCAGACGACTTACAGCCCCAATCGACGTCTCAAACGCCGTGTAATCCTTGACGAGAATGGCAATGAGTTCGCCAAACGACATCAGCGTGACCAGTGAAGCACCCGTAAAACCGGGGTTTGTTCGCAGTTGCGTCGCCATCGTCGTCAGCAAGGTTGCCAAACCAAATACAATCATATTCATCAACAGGAGGAGCCACAGCTGGATCATGGCAAGGAGATAGGCAGGTCGCTGGGAGCGATCGACCAGCTGGTAATTATGGTGCAGTTTCTGGGCAGCCCATCCAAAGGCCCGGATAGTCGTGATACCCTGGATTGTCTCGAGGAAGTCGGTGCTTTGTCGTTTTGTTAGTGATTTCTTAATTACATGAAAGAAGCGCTTACTATAACGGGCTTTTTGCCTCTAGATCTAGAAATCTCAGCTGCCTTGACGTCCGCAGGTAGACTCGCTGGACAACCCACAAAATAGCTGCTAATACCGGATACGCCAATGCAAGCCACGGTGAAGCAACGACAATCACACACGCCATCCCGATTACCGCGCACAATCCGGCAGCAAGGTTAAACAGGTTCTGGGGAAGCTCCGTGTCGATGATGGTTGTATCCTGAGAAAAGAGATTGGTGATGACTCCATTGCTGGTCGTACTGAAGAAGCGTAACGAGGCCCGAATCACCGTCGTCAGGGCATTCTTGTGAAGCCCTGCGCCAGCATCGGCGACCATCGGGCCCAAGGAGACGAAGGCTGCCAGGGAAAAGCCGACCATTTGGAGAACGCGAAGAGCGCTGAAGATCCCAATGTAAAACGCATTGGATTTGCCGTAGGAGTCCGAGGACCAGAAACTGATCCAGATGGTCGGGAAGCTATTGCCAAAGCCAAACATGATACAGGCGAGGAAAAACAGACCAAGGATAGCGGCGCGGATGGTGCCAAAGTAGTGGGTGTATATGCGTATGTCGCCGGTCTGGCGCGCCTGGTCGTGATCCGGTTCGGCTTTCTCTTTGGCCAGATTACTCTCTTTCTCCAGCGAGATGTCGGCACCCGTACTGGTTGAAGACGCCTCATTATTTGTGCCAAAACCAGCAGAATACTCTTTATTCTCTGTCAAGTCAGTCAATTGGCTGTTTTCCAACACGGTACCGTCCTCTCCAAGGGCAATGATGTGGTTAGCGGACGGCAGATGTCGCCCGGAATGAGTAAATAGAATAGCCGTCGTACCTCGTCGACGAACCAGTCCATCCGGGCCGAGGACTCGACGGAAAACCTCAGATTCAGTGGCGTGGTCGAGGCCAGTCAGCACGTCGTCCAAGATGAGGAGAGGGGAATCGTGGTACAATGCCCGAGCCAGCGAGAGCCGCTGTTTCTGTCCGCCACTCAACATGCTCCCACCACCACCAAGCATAGTGTCGTGCCCAGACGAGAAGGCTGCTATATCAAGGTCAAGGGCAGTCGCGGTAATCACGTCTCTGTACTTCTCTAGGTCGAATGGCGCAGAGCCCGTGATATTTTCCCGGATGCTGACGCTGGATAGAAACGGCGTCTGATCGCAGAATCCAATATGGGGAATTGGATGGGCGAACCTCACCTCACCCCGGGAAAAAGGAATTTCTCCAAGAATTGTCTTGCACAAGGTAGACTTTCCACATGCCACCGGACCAACCACGATGGTGAGTTGGCCTGCAGGGATGGATGCATTGATGTTTCGGAGAACAGGCTTCTCTTCGGCCCAACCAAAATATCCATTTGTAATTGATATAAGAGCATGAGCTGGGAAACAAGGCTGGGATTTTTCCTTATCTTGCACCTCGAATCCAATTCTCATCTCACGCCGTGGGTCAGTCTCCAGATATGCCTGGATGCGCGCAAGACAAGCAAAGCCAGCGAGCATGTTGGGAATCTGCTGGAAGAATGAACCGAGAGGGGTAGTGAGCAGCACCAAAAATGACAGCGAGGCGAAAAAGCCCGAGACATCCAGATTCTGACCCGTAAAGGCGAAGGCGAAGACCGGCGATAAACACATCGGGGCAGAGGCAATCGTGGCCGCGACGACCTGGATGAAGCGAAATCGATTTCCGACCTGGATCTCGTCCTCTCGGATCCATTGAACCATATGTGCCAGTCCTGGGGCAATTCCGGATATCTTCAAGGCTTTTATATTCGCAATCACCGCAGTCGTGATCGAAACCCGGTGTTGGATCTTGTCCATCCATGCCGCTTGAGTCTTGCCTGCAGTGCTACCCACCCACGCCATCATTCCAGTACAGACCGCGATGACAATAACTGGCGAAATGAAGGCTTCCCCGAGGTGCAAGTGTAGAAGCCAACATCCCAAGGCGATTTCGATCATGCTCGCCCAGACGGCGTGGATATCAACCCATCCGGTCATGATGCGTTCGACATCGGTACTCATCAGAGTCACGGCAGCGGCATCTGGTGTCTTTTTCGTTCCAGAGTCCAAGGTCTTTTGATAAATGGCAGAGACAAGAGCGGCGCGGATCATGTACATTGCTCGATGCGAGTAGTATTGGTAGAAAGTCGTCGACAGAGCAATGCCGCCGTAGATGAAAATGCAAGCCCCAATCAATCCATAGCCATTATTGATCGTAGAGGGGGTGATAGTATTCTCAGTATTTGATATCAAGGCAGTGATGAAGAAGGGCTGACAGAAAGTAAAACCAATCATCGCCAACCGGGGGAGTACAGGAAGAAGAAAAGGCCAGGCCAACGTTCGGGCAAGACTAGTTGCGAGACTTAATCTTCGTCCTGGTCTTCCATTATTGAGGCTTTGAGAAAGTGAAGATAGCATAGACTCTGCTCCTATTCTCTGATCAATTGCATAGAGCTTGTCAACAGTAAGGTGTTCACGATATCCTCGGACAAAGAGTGGATTAAGCCAGGCCAAGAAGCCCAGTGAAATAATGCCAGTGGTTTCCTCTGGACCATGATCCTCTGTGGACCAGTTGATGATCCGTTTCTCTTTCGTTTTAGACTCGGCCATGAGTATGACTACTTTGAGTGCCACTGCAGCAGTCTGAATTCGGGCATCGATTGTCTGCCATGGTTGCAGACTGCCTAACCAGGATGTCCGAGTCAAGACGACGTCGAATAGAACCGTGAGCAAAAGAAAGGCTGCCAGCAACGTGGATGGTCGGGGAGATCTCGTATGCTCTAACAATGATAGAGCGATCATGGCAGCAGCGCCAACGACCGTGAGGGCCGTTGCCCAAACAGTGAGGCGTGAAGCGTCATGGAGGGCAAGGACAATGGCCCGTGAGAGTTGCAGGGCAAAATATGCGACGAGAAGGATCTTCAAGATTAATACTCCGATTCAAATTCAAATGAAGACGAATCACTCACCAGCTTAAGAATCTGATAGGATATCCCTTGGACGATTCGAGGCTGCCGTCTCAGATACTCGATTCTAAGACAGGCAGCAAGCAAGAAGAGAACCGCAGGAACAATTGCAAAGAAAATATCCTCGAATGTCTTGGTGAAGTCGAAATTCCCTCGACAATCAGAAACAGTCGGTCCAAAAGAGTTGTTTTCGCATTGCTGGGAGTTCATAATAGTGTCATATAGATGCTACATGCATATGTATGTCAAAAGCATGCATGCGTTTCAAGAATTAAAGTGATTGGTTTACAGCACTGAGAACTCATAGATTGATAAATATGGAGAATGATTAATGATGAACCGTTCCATAGCATGGCTTGATTCAGTGGAGATGGGTACATTCCGGACAATCAAGGGGAATGTGCTATGTTACCATGACAATCATCAGTATAGCATTGTTGTATTCGGGTAGAGAGGTAATAAGATCGTTCTTCCCAGAAAAGAATAGAGCACAGATCGATGTTGAATTGAAATGTAGACCACGTTACCAAAGGACGATCCAAGATGCCGAATTAACCCCAACCACAATAGACCTACAAGGATGTGTTACGACTATATACCATAGCCCAGGTGCAGAAATATAGAAAGAACAAGAATCACACCAGGAATTTATATCGATCGATCGGTTGGGGATGATCAAAGCTTGAATAAATACTAGCATAACAGGCCATCAGAATATGGTATTTCACGCTTTTGGCCGTCGCCACGGCCATACGCTGGACGCCTTCTTTTCCGATTCACGCCTCGCTGTTTCCCTTTCCATCGTCGCTACTTTTTTGGGTATTATCATAGTATCGCTCTGCCCTACACCAGTCTGCACTGTATTGCACTCGATTGACTCCACCTCTGCATCAATGAGGTAGTACTTGGCACCTGCTTCAACATGAGGCTGGGAATGGACACGAACGCGATGATGTTGCAGCGTGACCCAAAGACCGGGCTTTTTGGGCTGATATCGTTTACTGAGTGCTCCCAGGTCGTCCTTGGTAAAATCGCGTGCGTGACGCGTTTCAAGCGCATCAAAGCCTGCATCGATGCCCTCATTCGATCCAAGCAGAATCAGCACACCCACATCATCTAACCGTCGCGTGACGAGGAAGCCGGAGAGAGAACGGCTGTTCTTGTCGACGGCAAACTTCATATCTGCTGGATACAGTCGACCGGATTTGTCTGACTGAGCTAAGGTGCCGATTGTCCGATCGGCAAAGATCGCATAGGAGAACATAAAAGGGCTTGATTTTCGAAATTGACGCAGCCAGAGAAAGTGTTTGGGAAACAGACCCTCGTCGCTAGGGATGATTTCGGACTGACGGACAAATATCGTCCTAGTTGTACCTCGGCTTTGTACTTGGGCCAATGATCCCACTTTGATTCGGGCATATTGGTGATTCACCGTCGACGTCCTCTTCAGATATATCGCCAGGAAGGTTTCATTCTTGTAATCGGGTGGGCAAGGGCAGTCCAGCGCCGCGAGATAGATCCCGTCATCAAGCCCGGAAATCGGAAGGTCGATTTGAAGACCACGGTTGGTCATGGCATATGGGGCCCGGGGCTCCCAGTCTTGATAGGAAATGACGGAACCGCATCTCGCGAAATCTGATGGAGAGGATGCAAGGAGCCCACGGAGAGCAGTCGGCGATGCGTTCGTGTCTGTCCATGCGAAGATGGACTGATCATCCGACGATTTCATGATCTCCTCTTGCAAGCGGACAAAAGCCTTTTCGCCTTCCCCGTATATCATGGGCATATTCACAGAAAATATACCCATCAAGCAGTACGCAATGTCTTCCAGACGAGTGGTCTCTCGATCCGCAGCCCAGGACATACGCCTCGCGACACTGGCCGAGGAAAGCGGCCGTTGATGCATGAGAATGTCTTCCGGGACTCCTGTTATCTGGGACAGAATGTCGCTCAAGGTGCTTTTCCGGCCTAATTCGATCCAATCGCTGGAGTAGAAAATCACCTCGGATGGAGCAAGCAACTCTTGAAGTGTCCATCCTCTGGAAAACCAGCGACTTTTCTCAAATGCCGACCCATCGACATTCAGGTCGACATTTCCTGGAACATCTGCTAAATACGCGTAGCAAATCTCTGCTTTCTCATACCATCGGTACATGGAGTTGATGGACTCGGATAGCTCCGCGCTGCTATCTTTGTTGATGCAGCAATTGTCGATCCAGACATATTCGAACTCGTCTTTCCTAGCTTGCTGGCAGGTGCCAAGTACTTTACTCCATGATGTCTTCGATTCGGCGATTTTCTGTTGAAAATCGGGAAATATCACTTCATCAGGGCCCCAGGTGTGGGAAAGAATCGCATGGCGAGGTATTTTGTTGGCAGGGAATTCCTCCAGTTTCAAAGTGGAGGTGTTGAGGAGACGCATTGGAAGGAATGGAGTTGAAGAGATAAAGCACGGAGGCGCACCTGGGAATATATTCTGTCGCAGGGTGATTGATCTTCAAAACAAGGCTGCCTCCACAGAGCCATGAGTGGTGGGTTTGTGGCGCGAGGCTGCGGGGACCGCATGATGATTCGACATCCACATTGCAAAGCAAACTGGCCCCCGCTTTACGTGCATTTGTTTGCGTAATCGAATTGCAAGGCTGACTCGGTCCTTGATATAAATACTGGGCTGTTCAAGCCTTTCCGCAGTCACATATTATGCTCAATCAATAGTAAATAGGCCTCCCTGCTCTCTAAACCATCGGCCCAGATGGTAGGGCTAGTGCTGCTGAGACGGGTGAGAGCTCTATATACATCAAATCACCTGGGGTGATATAGGCTCTCTTGCATGCCGAGACATCCAAGCCTTTACCAAATAAGAAACGAAGATTTGCTGTAATGTAGTTAATATTTCTGCGATTATGGTTACATAGACCTAGATTAAATACGACCGCATCTGTGAGACGACTTCTAGCATCAAAGGCCAAGTTGCAAGTACCGGGTCCAATACCACTTTACATGGCCTAATAGAACTCTAGCAGACGACAAATCCTCCCTAGTCTCCCCTCAACAGACAGACTTCTGATTCATATGGTGTCGGCGATGAGAATTCCCGAAATGCTCATGTGGTACTGGATCAACCTGTCTCTTGGCCGCAGGTACCAAGTTGAGATACAAAGGAAAGATGGCACCAGCACTAAAGGTCGCGACCAGGACTGCGTAGGAGTAAGATGTGCCGTGGGACAAGGAGACTGCGTATTGTGCAAAGGGGAGGAATGCACCTCCACCAACAGCAGTAGCCTGCAGAGAGGCTGCTGTTTTTGTGTGTCGCCCCATTCCACGAAGTGATATCGCGAAGATGATGCTGAATGCGCCGCTCTCGAAGAGATATATCATAAGAGCCATAGCAATAGCTGTCACAGAAGATGTCTTCATGCAGATGATAGTGAAGACGATCATTCCAATGTATGCTATCATGAGAACGTATCGTGGTTTTAGGAAACATAATGTCAGAGCGGTTAGAAAGCGGCCAACGGCAAAGAGAGCGTGGCCAATAGTCATGTAGTCGAAGGAGCTTATCCTGGACCTGTTGGGCAGGGCTTTTATTTAGTAGAGGTCTGTATAAAAAGTATGGAGAAGAGACGCAGGTTTTTCTTACCTAGGATAAGTGGTCTGCACAAGAGAGTCAAAACTCGTTGAGAATATCTCTTGACTGGCGACATACAGATATTGAGAGCTAAAACCCAAGGCTAGAGTTACCCAGATTATAGGCAGCCCTAATACCTGTTTCGAAGTACCATCTTGATGACGATTCCGTGCTTCTAGGCTCTCGTCTGGGGCTTCGGGAATAGGCAGATAGTAGAGTATGAGAGCGAGAATCGCATCGAAAAGAGCAATGCTGAGATATGTCCATTGGACATTAATTATCGACGAGATACTAACCGTTGTGAAGAAGACCTTCTTTGCAAGCAGCGTCGAGAAAACAGTTGCAATAGCCTGGACGCCTTGTGTGATACTCAAGCGGATTTCGGCATTCTCCAGTGGACCACAGAGAACAACGAAAGAATTAGCTGCAGTCTCCAAGACGCTCAATCCGGAGCCCACAATAAAGTTAGAGATGGTGAACGCTGGGTAGGAGGTTAAAACAGCAGAGGGCCAAAATATTAAAGCCCCACAGGCGTAAATGAAAAGGCCCGTGATAAAGGTCGGTTTGTAGCCCCCTTTCTTCAAGACTGTCCGACCAATGAGGAGCGGGCTAACAGTATACCCACCAAAGTAAGCGGCGTGGATTCCCAAGGATTTCCATCCATCGAGTTTGAGAGTGGTTTGAAGCTGGCCTGTTAATGTCCCGAGAAGGCCATAGGAAAATCCCCAGAGGAAAAAAATGATCGTAACTATCGCCACTGGAACAATCGATTCTTTGTTGCTGAGATTCAGCATATTCACTGGCTGTCTTGTGTTCACAAAGTCGAAAAACTGAACTCTTGATGGACTGGAGACAGGTGAGATAGTTCTATTTGCTTCGATTTCTGTTAAAGAAAGACCGTATTAGAACAGTTTTGAAGCACGTGTCTGGTGGGGGTTGAGCAATTCCCCGAAGACATATCAGGAGAAAGTCATACCCGTGAGATTTTCCGGACTGCCTCTAATAGCTCCACGTGCACTGTAATCACAACTAATGCAGGTCTGGATGTCAATGCTGCCGGACGGCGGATGCTCTGGTCGTATTCTGACAGGCGACGGCTTAGGTTGGGGACATTCAATGGCCGGACTTTCGAGGGATTCAGATTGAGCATCCGAAGTTCGTTTGGAGTCCTTATCGGAGACTCCAATCACTTTTGGAACGATACGGGCGACAAGGGGCTTCAGACTTGGAACGCAGCCACAGATGACCGATGTATTGACCTCGACGATAGACCACATGAATGACAATGCAGCATGCGCTGTTTTCAGATTCGACAACTTCAGCTAAGGATCGACAGACTGGAAAACGAGAGGAGGATCATACGTGAGATTTTGATATTATTCGCATTCCGCATGTCCATCGATTGACGATCCATCTGGGTGTTTGTCGCAGCATATTGGAGATAAACAATCCGGACCACATCTACCACCGTCACAAAGAAACCAAAGCTGAATGTGATGATCAAGATAATTTTTTGTCTTCGTGGTAATCGCAATTTTGTTAAAATGGGCAATGGAATAAGGAGCATCACAATGTCCGTTATTATGTTGACTGGCGCACTGCACAAGGATAATGTGATGATATCTATGCAGGAAGCTGTAGGTGAGAGTAGAGGGTTATATGCTGCCTCCACTGGATGGCACCGAAAGGCGGTAATCAGGGTCAATGCTAGTCCGGCTACATTAACCACTAGAAGTGTAGAATAGTTGATTATTCGCAAAAGCTTTTCGCTTTTGACTAGGGTCATGTAAAAGACGAGAATTGACGTCTTGACCGCCATGAGTGCTGGGTTCTAGATAAATGGGAAGGGAAACGGGTCACTATTCTGTACACCGGAAAGATAAATGCAGCATGACTATGACGGAATACTCACATAAAGCACAGTAAAAGCATAAATTGCTCGGGTTACACTGGTCGAATTCTCCAGGCTGATATTGGCGATTGGAAGTCCGAAGCCTTTCTTTACCGCATAAAACAACGAGAAAGAGAAGGCAAAGTCGATTACCTGCAGAGAGATCAGTTCTAAGTCCACAGAAGTATTGTTTGTTTGATTCTTTTCACTCCTACCCAGGCCAGAAGCATCCATAAATCATGTTGTTCGACTCTTCTGACTACGAAAACCCTGCATACAAAGCGAAGGGCAACGAAAATACTGGCCAGGACAAAGATGGTAATGGACACGACCAGAACGGCCAGCCTTGAATTGTCCTGCGATCTGCCGACTGACCCCATAATCGAACCCGAGGACTAAGCGATGACGCTCGAGGGGTAGGAGAGAAGATCACGGGATCAGATCATCTCCTGCCAAGGCGATGGGCCATCAGTTGACTGTGTGAGCAAAGTTTTGGCCTGCAAGAAGATAATGACATCAATAAGCCTGGACAGACCTGAGCTGTTTATTCTTGAACAGCACACGGCGGAGTTTGCAAACACAAGCCATCCAGATGGATTGAGAAGCAAGTAAATAGTTATAAAAGCGCAAAGTCTTTGAGAGCTCGAGAGAAATGGTTGAGTGATGGAGAAAAGGTGTCTGAACTGCATATTTCAACTGGTATTTCATCATAATACCCCTCTTAACACGTGCATTTATTGTCAGGAATATTAACCTTAACACAGATCACTCAGCCATGGATTTCAGCAGAGCACAGGCCCCCGTTTCTTGTTTCGGCGGCCTGTGTCGTGAGTGGCTGAGTAGTAGCCCTGGTTGGCAGCATTAGGACCAGTGGGATAGTTACTGCAATCCCATAACTTTCCTGCCTGGACGGACCTTTTCATATACCTCCTCTTTTGGCTAGCTTCTACTCAATGATTGTATGCAGAGTTAGTTACCTTAGCAAGAAGACTATCTTAATCTACTTTATCTCCATGCACCAAAGAACGGGCAATATATAGCCGTTTAACGGTTGGAACAAAACATTTGTTCTAGACTAAATGACTGACCAAAAGCAAATCAGACTCCGCGTAGACTTATTATTGAAAGTTACAGTTTTGATTCGGGATAAATTAAACACTATTTGGTAATTCTCGCAAATCTAGTATTTGAATTAGTTCTTTATCCTACTACCCCGCATAGGTTGGCGGAGGGCTGAAGGTCCGGAGCACTTGCTATAGGATTGCGCCTATGCGATAAGTTATCTATTTATTTACTTATAACCATGGATATATTTGTAGTGAACATTAATGAACGCTTGACAGCTTGTCTATGTATATAATTCATCAATTTTAGGGAATAATAAATCTGATTAACTTGAACAATCTAGAAAGTATAATTTATCAGCTTATTCATTGTCCCTAACATGTACTGTCAAAGTATCTTACATTAAATACGGCCTGTAAGACACTCCACAAAGTGAAATGACGCCACATTTCTCTGCGTGAAGGACAACATTTGAGGGTGTATGACCTCGTCTTGGCATTAATTTTGACAACCAGCGCCCAGATCTTAAGGGCGAGCCGTAGCCAGGGTAGGGGAGGTTAAAGTTGATGATATCCCCACCGTCGTGATGGCCCGACGCCGCGTGCATGGCTGATGATGCTGGAGGAGATGGGAACAGAGGACTCCGCGGAAAAGTAAAATAGATAGATATATGGATAAATTCAATCCGAGGAAACCCAGTATCACTTTATATCTTCTATTCCTGCCGTCTACTCCGCTTAGGCCTCAGCCCCAACTGATTTTCCCTATTTTTCCTCCGGCCGCCATATATTTGAATATTGAATTGTTGACTAGAAGTGGAGATTCCCCGATTCGGTGGGTACGACGGACAGAAAGCGAGTTGCGGTCCCTAATGCTGCCAACCAGGTGACATAGGGGGATGGACTACTGATGATCTGGGGGTTGAATAGCTTCAAGAAGTATTTGAACAACATAGAGCCATGAAAGTCATGTAACAGCCTGATTTGATAGATTCTATACAAACAGAATGATTAATTTATTTAACATGCCTCCTCATTCATCCCATCTGCTTCAGCCGCTTGACTCCAGCTGCTTTGGCCAGTTGAAGAAGCTTGCAGCCAGAAAATGAAGCTATTCGGAATGGCCTCCTCCTTTAAAGCTCTCGGCTTCTTCCCTTCGCTGCAATAAGCTGTATAGATTTCCTTCGTTTTCCTCAAGTGGCTGGAGTGACTGGAGATACTCAAGCGTTTCTCGATTCCACAATTAGTATGAAAGGAACAGGGAAAAACCAAAAGCCAGGAGAGAAATGGAGAATGTTACTCATTAGTTTACATGTATGCTTGCTTCAATTATTAGCAATAATGAAGGGGCTAATCACCCTGCTCACACGCATTATAGTTTCAGGCACTGAGTAAATAAGGAACGTGGTGGGGATGTCAACCCTGGTTTTCTCATTCGGTTTGGGGAGGGAGTGGAATTCAGAAACAGAAAAGAGAATGATAAATGATAGGGGCAACTGCTCAATTAAGAATGGCAAGCTTACAGTAAAATGGATCGCTCTCAATAGTAAACTTTCACAGGTCAAAGGCTTATCACCAGGAGTTCAGGCAGTTGTACTCTATGTAATCCAGAGGCCTCCACATACGAGATTGGTAGTGGCTTATTAGTTTTCAGCCAATGAAAGTGAAACAGGAACACAGGCGGTTTATACGCAATTTCGACTCTTTTCTGAGGGGCTAGATCTTTCCAGCATGGAAGGACAAGAAGTGAGTTTTGTAATTATGCAGCCGATGGCGTTGAAGCCTACTTTTCATGCGTTTGTTCCTTCTTCCCCAAGTAGTCTTCTTCGTGACATTGCTGCTACTATGAAGAATAAACTGCGTTATATTAAATTTTCTTTCTTTAATCAAATGCAGGTAGGAAGAAAAGACCGCTATAAGTATAGTTTAAGATAGCTAGTATCTTATATAGCCACCTTTATTCTTAACAACCTTAATACACTGATTGCATTAAATGTAAAAGGACTAAAGTTTTGTTAATTTACCACAAGTCTCTACAGTTCTTATAATGTAATGAGCGGTCTTTCTAGTAATTACTAGTTATCAAATTTGATAGGAAGTATAGACCCTGAATCCCTGATGTATATTAATCTAATATCCAGTATACCATACCCAGCCCCTAAATTATAAAACAATTAAAGACCAGCTTATTCTTTCTACTAGTAATCTCTTCTCTTCATCTCACAGTTGGCCACTGCCGGCAGTCAACTAGGAGCCTGGTCCTGGGCATCCCTTCCGTGCACGCTACACTGTACCTTACAGCCAGACCCACAGGGGCAACTTGGATCTCTCTCATAGCGACAGTTTCAGGCATGACAATATGACAATGGTGATGACTCACGTCCTAAACAATAACACAAGCTCTACTATTATTAATTATAAATATAGGATAAGTATAAGAGCATTCAGTATCTCTAGGATCATGATCAAACCAAGGAAGCTACACAACACATGAATATTATTATTAAGGCCTCGATAATACAAAGCTCCAATGGCGAAACCGAAATTGATACTAGAAAGGTATTTTCTCCACATGAAGATCAAAATATTCGTTAGATAGCAGATGGTTCTATGAGTTCTTAGGCTCTGTCAGCTCTGGCTGTCGAATTGAACTGGCCTATCATGGGGTTGAAGTTCTAAGAAAAATTAAGAATTTCGCTTTCCGGCTCCAGGAGAGGCCCGATGACGATGTCAGGAAAAGGAGTCCCGAAAGCGAGAACAGGCGCTGGGACTTTCAGGTTTCTAGAGGCTTTTTTTGGGAGAACGCGCTGAAGCTTTGAAAAAGGGCTAGAGAAGGTTTGCTGGAACTGGTATTCCGAAGGAATAAATCTATCTTTCTTGCCAGGAAGCTTGATGTCGGGAGCAAAACCTAGGCAGGTAGGAGAAGATACTCCGGCATAACAAGCCCGGGATCATCATACAAGACCGTGCATGAACTTCCGTGTTTGGCGTATATTCGGTCTACCCCGGATTGCGGGGATCATCCGGGTGGAGGTCCGTCTATAAGTAAAGGAACAATCTCCACAGATCACTGTCACTTACCAGTTTCCATATTATATTCAATATGGGCTTCAACTTTATTTCTCTGGGGATTGTGCTTACCACCTCTTGTGGGTTCCTCCTCTTTGGTTACGATCAAGGGGTCTTTGGTGGTCTTATTGAGAATGAAAATTTCCAAGCCACCTTCAATCGACCGAGTCAAATGGTAATCGGACAGATAACTGCAACCTACGACCTTGGATGTTTTTTTGGAGCAATACTTTGCATGTTTCATGGAGATCGAATCGGCCGTCGACTTTCTATCGCCTCGGGATGCATCCTGCTCACGGCGGGGGCGGTCATACAAACTGCGTCGTTTAGCGTAGCGCAGATGATAGTCGGCCGATTCGTTGCTGGATTGGGGAATGGCATCAATACGACCACGATTCCGGTCTGGCAGTCCGAAATGTCGAAGCCTCGGCACCGTGGTCCTTTGGCTGTTCTCCATCTCGCCCTCAATCAGCTGGGCAATGTGACGGCGCAGTGGCTCAATTTTGGACTTGGATACATTGGCCAAAAGCCAGTGTCTTGGAGATTCCCAATTGCTTTTCAGATATTCTATGCGCTCGCGACGATTGTCATGCTCCCATGGCTGCCCGATTCGCCACGCTGGCTCATTCAAAAAGGACGATTCGAGCAAGCCAAGGCTGTGACAGCCCAACTTCATGCCAAAGATATCAGCGATCCCGAGTTGGTAGCCTTGCACGAAGAGTCTATCCAATACATTCAACACGAGGTCGAAGTTTCCAAAGTTAGCTGGAGCTCGCTCTTGCGGAGTGACGCTCTCAAGACCAGAAGGAGAGTCATTCTAGGAATGGGCACTCAGTTCATGCAACAGTGGGGCGGCATCAACGCAATAAACTACTACATGCCCGTTGTATTCGCTTCGCTGCGTGTCTCCCGACAAACATCACTGATTCTGTCTGCCTGTAATGCGATTAATGTGATGGTGTTCACTACCGCCGCCATCACCGTCATTGAGAAGATCGGCAGAAAGCGACTCATGCTCTGGGGCGCTCTGGGGCAGGGAACGTGCTTCGTTCTTCTCACAGTGGGCCTGGCTGTGGGGGGAACCAAGTGGTCCGCAGTGGCGATTGCCTTTGTGTTTGCCTTCTATACCGTGTTTGGTCTTTCCTGGATTGCCATTCCTTGGATGTATTCAGCCGAAGTGAACACACAGCCCTGGCGGAACCGAGGCGCTGGCCTCGCGACCGCTACCAATTGGATCTGCAACTACGCCGTCGTGCTGGTTACTCCTATCGGAATTGAGAAGATTAGTTGGCGGTACTATATCATTTATGCTGTTCTGAACTTTTGCTTTGTCCCTGTGGTTTCCTTATGGTATGTCGAAACTGCTGGCTTGTCTTTGGAGGAGATCGACGCAATCTTCGAGGGACAGAACACCCGCATTCCCTTGGACATGCGGAAAAGTGGTGTAAACGAGGATAAGGGCAAGGTTGGATGGGATAAAGGCCAGAGTGAGTGGCTTGAATCCGTCGATTCCAGCACGCAAGACCAGAAGACAGTGGAGGACAATCGTTCTTCTTAGACCGTGAGATAGGAAGTTTAGGTCTCTATTATCCCCCGGTCTTAGAGACTAAATGTCACGCTACACCAACCAAATATTCTCGAGTGAATGGATATGTCCCTTGGACAGTTGTCCCTGAAGGCCTATGTATCTTCCATGGGATTAAATGATTACCTTTTCACCGAAAGCCAGGCTGCTATCCGGGCAGCGTAAAACCCGCGCCGCCCGGCCGGTCAATACATCCTGTCCGCAATATATAAGAATAGATACACTGGATCCCTACCCATGGGAGTGTAGTGGAAAGGAGCCAGGTCGACGTGGTGGCTAATGCAGGCTCCAAACCAGTGGAATATATGCCTGTATATGTATATGCACACGTCAACATCATCCAGGGCGCACCATGCGTATTGGCCTGCGATATTTCCTTCACAAGATTAAGACCTCTGAAACGGACCGATGAAACTGCGTGGAGTCGCAGACTTTAGACCACATTCTCCTGTGGTGTTACTTGTACGCGGAGGCCCGCGGAAGAATGATTGACAAGTTACACAATGTGGAGGAGCTCAGCCAGAACATCTGAGACTACGGCGTGCCCGCTGACCCACAGGCAATTCGCTACGTTGAAGCAAACTGCGAAGCTCTGGGATAGATGCGGAAGATGATGGTTAGATGGCACGGACAATTTCCTGGAAGGGAGTGTGGCAACGCGTCAGGAGGAACGATTACATGGAATGGAGTGGGATAGGTAATTGGCGTATAGGATGACGCAGGGGACACATGCAGCTGTGAAATATACGGATCCCCTTGATGGGGAAATCGGTTTTCGGGACTCATATCCCGTCAGAAATCATCATGTCTGGTCTCCTTCCTGCGCAAAGCTCCGGTCTCATTTATTATTTGGCTATTATTCATTCATACAAACTATATCATGAAGATGGCTCGGGGATGAACTTTGCTCTCACCATCCTGTCAAAGGTAGTCCAGTAACCCTGAACAGTATCGATATGTGCAAGGAACCCAACGGATCTTGCAGCCTCAAGGGAGTATTCCCGGGAAAAGTCGAAATCAACCAGCATGAAATTAGCATGGCCCCAATTCTGTGCCTCAACGAGTCCCTGCTTCAGACGATTTTCTTCGACCAAGCGATCCCAAGCCGCCTTATGCTTGGAAACAAACTCCTCCATACTCTTTGGCTTCTCCTCTGGCTCGACACCGCGTAGACCAAAGTAAGAGCAGATCCCCGGCCAAACGCGAGCCCAGGTGACAGGCTCCCCATCGCCACAGTTGAAGCTCGATCCGTTAGGACATTTGTCGCGGTTGAGAGCGGCAAAAATCTCCATCTGAGCAAGAATATCTTGAAACGTGTCTGTATGGCGAGCATGATAGCCATGCGCCCGCCCGGGGAATGGCACCTGAGCTTCCTTTCCGTGGATCTCTCGGTACAGCGTCAGATAAAAGGCAATTCCGTATGCCATATTCATGGCATTGGACCCAGGAGCAAAGCCGACAATGCCATCTGGTCGGATCTCAGAAAAGGTCCACCTTTGGCCCTGGGACAGTCTCTGCAAAAGATCGTACTGGTCATAGTAGAAGATGTTCTCTCTCCAAGGGGACGGAATGCGGGGCATTTTCTCATGCAGCGGAGGCCGGATATCGACCTCCTTCGGGAATTCCAGTCCATATCCCTTGCCACCGGTCTGCAGGATGACCGCCTTGAGCTCCGGTGCAAGAGCAGAGATGGCCTCGATGGAGGTTTGGAGGAGGTCCGTATTGACCTTACGCAACGACTGGAAATCGTCCGTTTGGATATAAGCTAAATAGATATCAGTGTCGTAAGCCTCGAGAAAATATATCACTAAACGAAGACATACCACAAAAGAAAACTATATCGACGGACTCCACATCGTGGACCTTCTCCTTGAGCAGGGTCTTCACCGCTTCCACAGGTTGTGTCAAGTCAATGCCCGATACGATGTTGAGGCGGTTATCATCCGGGAGAAGAGCATCTTCTGTGCGGAATGGACGGTTGCATAGACCAGACACACGTTGAAATGTCGTCGCTGTGGGATATTGGAGGGTTTGATTCAGGAGTGACCAGCCGGAGATCCCGGACGCTCCAAAAATGAGTGCGTGTTTTGCCGTTGCAGCCATGGGAAGAAGCAACGTGACAGTAGCAAGCAAGTCAAAATAAATGGTAGAGGAATAGAGATGGGTAACTAGATAACGAGGCTGCCAAGGTCTTCTTATAACACTACGTGGTTGGAGCCTTATTGCCGGGTTTCATGTTCCGAAATTGTGGAACTTGAGCAACTTTTGGAAACACTCTAATTCATGTGACCTGGTCGCAATGTCTGATTTTGATGTAATACCTTTCAGTTTATCTGGTGTTCGTTACACGCGATCTATTCTCGTTTAATACGCTAAGGGATAGGTTAGGATAGGGACCACGAGAGAGGCCGAACCAAAATCCAACATTTGATAGCTAATGATCAGTCAAGTATACTCATGTCTGCTAGGAGTCCGCCTCCATAATTCCTAGTATTTGCCATGGCACCAGGTCAAATGTATCACATCCAGCCTGCTTTTCCCTTCCCACGTAAGAACATGCATCCTGGAGTGGGGTTCACTCATATAAAAGTGTCAGGAATACCCTCACTAAATAGAACGCTGCACAGATTATGATCCATAGAATGGATATTGGAAGACGCATCAAATGGTGAGCACGCAGCCATGAGACCATCCACGCCTAGATCTAAACTAGGCCCATATTCATCCATGACCGATGGAAGATCGTCCGAGGCGGAAAGGGGTGGGCCTGCATTAACATCCAGGGAGCGAGAGGTGTCTGTCTCATGGCACGGACGTCCAAATTTTCGTTTCTTTCCTCGAGTCTTCCAGCTCTGACGTTGGGTATGCCACTGTTCCTGTATTGCCCTCAAGAAGGTGCTTGTCCGTTTGGCATTCTCAAAGCAGGTGCTCATATCCTCCAGCGCGCGGAAGCACGTGCCCAAATAGTTTGTGAGCAATTGCTCATGGGACACATATCGACTAGGAACAGTGGTGAAAGTTAAGATGAGAGTGGCGGAAAAGACATAGTAAATGATGGATACACTAGCACGTCCGAAGCCATATGCCCTTTCGTACAATCCCAGGATCTCAACAATGGCAATGGCGGATTCCACGCACATCCTTCGGGCATGGTTCGACCCAGGGCCCCGAGGGGGGTGAGGCTGGATATATCGTTTTGAGATATATGGGCGATGGCAATGAATCATAAACTGATGGTATTGCATACTGCTAGAGTTAGTCTCTTCCTTACTACCGCCCGGCGGCCAGCTTACTGTAGTACCAGAATATGGGGTAAAGGCGGTTGAAAGCCGTAAGCTTTGTCGATGCCCAGTTCCAGAGGCAGATCAACCTTCCATGATCGCAACCTGTCTACTGTTGTCGCGGTCAGCTCCTGTAAGGCATGCTTGGATATTTCAGAACAGCCGTATCTAGACCCAGCCATTAGCGTCTTTGGCTCACTGATTTCAATCGTCAGGGAAATACTGACAGAATATCAGTAAGAGGAATCATGATCTCATAGAGTTTTATCCATTGTCGACACAGCAAACTGGATGGAACCGAGGATTGTGTGACTGAGGAGATATTTGGATACGGTTTCCATTTGATAGGGGGCAGAGGGTCTGGCCAAGGTGGGGGTTGGACGGTCACAGCATCCATCCGACTTTGAGGAGATCGTCCCAAGTAGAATCCCCAGAACCTAGGAAATAAGCAAGTGGGCATTTCCGCCGGTTTGTGTACTTACTGTTCATTCAAGTACACACCCCAGAATATCATCCGCCGGACCTCAGCATCCTGGTGGGAAATTGTCCCCTTTTCTATGTAAGGGCCCATCTCAAGATGTAGCCCGAGGTCTAGACTTAGCCGCATAGCCATTCCTTTTGTGAGTTAGCACGAGATCCTCACGTTGGTAGTACTAAACACGACCTTACCACTATAAAGCCAGCCACGGGTATCCTCCGTGCAAGCTGCCTCGTGATGACTGAGGAGGACCAGCGTTTGAACTGTTGTAATGGAAGGACAGTCAAGCTCTAGCTCCAGCAACAATCTCGCTCGATCACCGAAATACTGGGCCAGGGAGCGTGGAAACACCACAAACTGAGGATGGTACTTGGACTCATATGCAGCACCCAAAGCACACATGGCATCTGAGAGAGGCTGGGAATAGTATTGGTTGGCCTGCCCTTCGTGTTTGCTCTGTGCTCGAGACCTCCAGAAAGTATCAGGGTGAATGACATGCATAGAGGGATCTTGCCAGGAAAAGAATAATTCCAGCAGGTGTTCTTCAAAAGCCTCATCTGGCTCTCTATTGAGATTGGCGTTTTCTAAGAGCATTGGTGTGTCCTTGTGGACGCTTAACCGTGGCGCGGCGCCCACGAGCGCATCCAACAGTGTTAGATTCGACAATGACCCGAAATAGCGTAGCTGACCATCATTGGTCAGCTGTAGCCGTCCTAGTCGACAGGAAAACTGATCCGTGACTTCATCATCGCTTTCAGGGTCCGATCCAACCTGCTCGTTCTGGCCTGCTCCACCGCTTGTCACCGCAGTTGCGGACGGCTGACCCTCGACAAGCCGGGATATTATCTCGTGGGATGTAGTTCCGACTGTCTCACTGCCTGGAGTCAAGAACGCAGACGCCTCAGCGGTACGCCGCGATGCCGCAGTACCATTTCCATCACGCAGGGCAGTCGAATCGGCATGCGGACGCGTGCACAGCTCGTTTTCCACAGGGTTGGCCAACGAAGCCGGTTCGACCCCGCTCAAAGCCTGTATATTTTCAACAGCCAAGTCATCGCATTTGAGCTCTAGAGCCTCCAAGACACCCTTTAGAACTCGGTGGCTGTGTTCATCCTGCTTCGGAACCGGCAGGCCAGCGTTTCTGATGTATTGGGCCAGACTGTCGACTCTCTGTGCGAGCAGCCCAACAGCCACGCGGACCGGAACTTTCCGTTTGTCCTCTCTCTGTTTGTAATGACACGGCCTCCCTTTACTGTGACAATTACTACATGTCGGAGTCGCCCCGTCGCACTGCCGGAGTCAGCGGGCTTGGAATCAATACTTTGGGTAGATATGTGTCGTACCTTTACCTTATTGTTCCGACAATGTGTGCAGGCCGTAGTCACATGCTTTCGCAATGCTCTAAGACTTTTCTGCTTCGGTGGCATTTTGGATAGTACACCTTTACGTGATGTAGGGGACCAGAAAAGTCCCCACCAAGTCGATCGACCGGAATTTATTTATGCAAATCGGAAGTTGAATCCCGATGACTAATGGTTCTGCCCTACAGAGTTCAGGTTTCAAACTCTTCGGGAATCCTGCAGGACGCCACACCCGGCTCGATCGATTGGTATAGCGAAATATTTGTCACCGAGTTAGAGCAGATTACAGCCGCCATCCTGATGGAGATGAGCTCCCTCTTCGGTTGCAGTCTGCTTATCAAGGATGAGGGATAGCTCTTTCCTTGCAGGAGAGCCTGCGTAGCGGATGCAAGATTGACTTTGATGAAGATGGAAGACGCAAGATATAGTGGATAGCGGAGCTAGTCAGTGGCTTCATGAATATCCAGCAGAATGCCATATTTTGGACTCCATCATTAACCGGGAAATTGAGTGTTTGCATATGGAAATTTAATCCCGAGGGTGCCTACAAATAGGAACATCGTAGTACACAGAAACTGGACCCGCGGAGCTATGTGACAGACTCTCCGAAAGATCGAAAAGCACGCGATTCAACCTGTTCACAAGCTGGACTGGCTTACGCTGACGCTGTATTTAGGTCATGGCACCAGATGCATACCGCACGACTGATTTTAACCTGTCTTTGGACGAACGCATTCGCTCCTACCAGGCCAGTGTTGTTGCGGATCCTAAGTATAGCGGATTTGACACACAAATGCTCCGGGGGGTGGAATACATTGGAGCTCACGCAGAGTCCAAAACAACCGTGTTCCAATTTGAGGTAGCAGACTTCATGTGCAACAAGGATGGTGTGCTACATGGTGGTGCAGCGTCAATCATGTTTGACAATATTAGCTCAACCTCACTGTTCACAATCGGGCAGCCTGGCTACTGGGATAATTTAGGGGTCAGTCGGTCGCTGTCTATCTGGTTCCATCATCCCATCCCTGCAGGAGCCAGGATACGGCTGGTCAATACTGTGGTCGATGCAGGGCGGAGGATGGCGACAGTGCGTTCAATCATGAAGTCGCCCGACGGGAAGACCTGCGCTAGCTGCGTGCATGAGAAGTACTTTATTCGCCGTACGAGTCTGTAGATCTATCAATGCCAATACTATCGGGGAGATAGAATCGCAAGACTCAAGGTGGTCAGTCCAGCTGAGGGATTATTGTTCAATCATGCCAGCGAGTGACATTCAAGTAGATTCAATGCATCTGAGCTCGACCGCATTATATCCAGGGGCTGACAGCTCCACCCAGTAGCCTGGAGTCTCCTAATAACCGGGCTCTCCTAAGAAGGGAGTAGGACGGCGAGCTGGCTCACAGCAGAAGGTGGGAGAATACCTTATCTACCTCGACGAGGATGGAGGGGCTGTCGACTACTATATCTACTATATTATCTATATATAATATTAAACCTACATGTCTATATAACTATAAATTTTTATAGTTCTGATTGCTTTACCCTTTTGAAAAAGCCTACTAAGTATAATTTCAAATAATAGTACCGTATAAAGACCGAGGATCAATGCCACTGAGCCATATATAATGTTTAAGCTGAACTTAGGAGGAACCAAATAACAAATTTCAGTTCTCTCTGTGGCTACTTATATTCCGCTTGTTCAGCCATATTAATTCAGAACTAGCAGATCATGCCTCTTCTTAGCAGGCAACAGTTTGTGATTTACATGACGTGGGTAGCATACATATAACATATTCAAGGAATATTAGACCTGATATAAGCAACACCATTAACAGAAAGTCTCCGCCTCAGGGTTATTGTGGGCTTTTGGCATAGCTACCCAACACTGAATGCTTACACTGAGCGTTTCATTACAGATGAAAATGTTCCAAGAATCGATGTTTGCAAATTGTTCCCCATAATCCTGTGCGTATCTTCTGCAAATCACCAGTTTAGCCCTCCAGTGCTATGATATTCATATCTACCGTACGGCCCATATATCCAATACCCCGGTGTCATGGCATTCATGGTAGCAAAATGTACCTGCTGCTGCATGCCTTGCAATTGTGCCATGTACTCTCGAAATTCAGCGTTGAATCTTGAATTTGCGTTCCGTTGGTCGAGCAGCTTTTGCTGATCCGCCCCCATTGGAAATGAGGCCCTCGGAATGGACGCCAACGGAAACGGCATGTTCGTCTCGGGGTCCAAGATGCCCGCGTGGCGGCGGGAGAGGATGTGGTTGAATCGACTGAGCTGCCCGGTGGGGTCGACGAGGGTGTCAAGGAGCATGGCGGAATGAAACCCTTGGCGACTCAGCACTGGTATCTCACCTTGGCCTATGGAGAAGCGGAAGCCGAAAGTTCTGTAAAGAATTGTCAGGGCTTCATTACGGGTCGCTTCGGGCGTTGGGAAGTGATTTTCGGTCGCTAGCTGGAGGTATAACTTGGAAGGGTTTCCTTGGAGAGGATATCCCATTTCTTCATGAAGAAAGGCGTACTTGGATGGCTCGAGGCCTTCGGTATTTTGCGGCCAGTGATTCCGGTCGGCGAAATTGAAAATTGCGTCAAGGAGGCGCGCAAATAACGGTGAAGGCCTTTTGTCTGTGGTGACAAGGTTGCCCCAAGTGAAACTGCTAGACGGCCGCTGAGTGGGTCGATCTGGTGGGAATGACTGAGGGCCTTGAGCAGTCTGTCCGGAGCCATTATTGTTGCTATATACGGTGTTATGGGATGGAGCAAATGTGGGACCAGTTGATGGTACGATTATGGGATTCTGCTGGTGATAGTTCACATAATGTTGTTGCGGGTGCTGTTGGACTCCGGGCTCCGGCCTTGGAGGATTAGGCCGACCAACACGTTGGGTAATATCTCTTAAAATGTCATTCAAACACATCTTTCCTTTTGAGAAAAATCACATTGTGGCAAGTGATAGTTCAGATACACGATGAGTGGGACCAAAGCAGAGACAAGTTGAGATGAATCACGTCTTGCCAAGACATGGTGCGAGGGTTCCATAGATAGGGTCAAGATTACGTAGAGGACTTTTCCAAAGTAAAATGTATACAGGTTTAAAACCTTGTCTGCCAGAAAGATTTGGTCTGGGCATAATTCAAAGAGGCAAGAAAGCAAACCATCTTAGTGCATCCTTATTCTTCTTAACTTGGGCGGCGCGACAAACGACTGTCAGTATCGTGGTCGCCACCCGCAGCGAGCTGCAGCATCCGCCGTGGTAGAAGCTTTATGTTGGGAATTTTATGTGATGCGGTGTACGAGTATCATATCTATCTCATTTAATAATTGATTATCCTCTGCCATTTCCAGTTGGATATCTGATACACTCCATTAAAACATACATGGCCCAGAGGGCAAGTATTTGATACTCCACCAATGTGAGTATATACAGAATGAGATAGCACATATGACCACAGGGTGTAGAGAACAGGGTTTCCCGTTTCAGCCGTACGTAAGCCTGTATAAAGGATTTGGGTGTCCACCAGCGAATCCCTGCTATTGCATGCTTTTTATGTTTATCTCTTTATTTACTCACTCAGTATATATAGACACTCCGTGTGAAGAAGATATAAGGCTCTCTGGAATCTTCTATGTAAATTGGACAGACAGATACTTTTAGGCAATTGGTTTGGCAAACTGTCAATACTACATATCTCGATATGAATCAAGGGAACAAGTGAATTGTGCCATCTATTTCAAAAGGAATTTCTGGCCTACATAACGGCCCCGGCCTTCCTCGGATTCATCTTTGGGAATGTCCTGGACTCCTTCTCCATCCATCATCCCGTGTGTGTATGCATCGCTATAGACGTTAGATGTGTCTTCAGAGAGGGTAATTCATGTGTCACATACCCGATAAACTCGAACCCATCGTCATGATTGTCTGTTTTTGGCCGTAGAACGCACGGCCACTTGAGGCCAACGATCACAGCAATCAGGTCCCCTTCCAACACCTCGTGGTGAGCCAATCCCATGTAACCAGTGTCAGTCAGGAAGAATCTTCGCTCGCAATACGCGTCCAGAACTGCCAGTATCCAGCCCTTGTCGAATCCTAGTCCTTCACCGAACGCTCTGAGCAGTGTTTCCCGGGTAGCCCTTTCTGCCGGTATCGCCTGTGATATTTGGGTCACGTCGAAGAAGTCCATGTAATTTTCGGCATATGTCTCCACCGAGGTGCCTGTCTCCACTAATGCTTCGGTCAAGTGACCGCCTACAATGGTGAGGCCAAAGGCTTGTCTAACCTCTTCGCCAGTTGGATAGGTCCGAAGTCTATCCATGCAATCCTGGTACACTTCACGGAGCCGACTGTGTTCGAAGAGCTCCCCGAAATGCGAGTACTGGCTTCTGTACGTCACCCGCCCGAGGGTCGTTCCCTGTACAGCCAGAGCAAAGGGATCGTCGGTAGGAATGAATCGGTGTTCGCCATTCACGCGTGGCGCCGTGTTGAAGGGCTTGCCAATGCCCCAGGCGCAGCCATACCCCGTCGACTGTCTCCAATCAGGAACCCAACTCGGCCAGCCTGGTTCATCGCACCGCTGCCTTGCCGACCATATCACATTCAGATCGTTTGTAGGATCTGACTTGATGATTTCCCTCGTCGCTTGAGTGAAAATCTCCTTGACGGATAGGGAATAGTCCACGGTCAGCCCCTCTTCTCCGAAACTGCCATCCTGCACACTAATGCCGAGCACACCATACACCTTGTCTCGGGGATCGGTAGCCAGACGAGGCCGTAGTCCTTCGAGAAGATCTCGCAAGCCCCACCTGCACGTAGGGCGCATCTTCTGCCCCAGCAGCTCGGGGCGGTATTCGCTGCCTATCTTGGCGCGCCACGGGATAGACACCATCTGGGTGATCAGACACATGCCGTCCACATTGCGACTGTTCCGATCGTGTATGGCTTCGGCCTTGTAGCAGAACCATCGGGCTGCGGCACTGACATGCTCCCATGACACGCTGTGGGGACCACAGACGACGATGGCTTTGCGGGCTTGGATGATCTCCTGCACGATCCACATTCGTTGGTACCATGGCTTGTCAAAAAACTCTGAAAAGGCGTCCCAGGAAGCCAGGTCATCAAAAGGGATGCCCAGCTCGTGAGACTTCTCCTGGGTATACTCTTCCTTCCGTTCGAGCCTGGTAGCGCTGTGCTCCTCATTGTCGACGTAATCATCCCATCGGAACATGTCTGTGGCGGTGGTAAGAGCAATGTCGCCAACCTTCTTTACGAAATTCACCCCCAGCGCGGTGGATTTACTTGCCGGTCCTAACCATGCAAGAACTGTCTCGGCCTCTGCCCATCATTAGCGTATAGGGCTTAGATCAGGTTCGCGATGAACATACTGTCGTAGATCAAATTCATCTTTTTCACCTGCGCGGACTTATCTGCGTTATCCTCTTGATTAATGCATATCTGATCAATCCACAAGGTCTTGTTCGGGCTGAAATGGATGATTTCGCACAGCGCCTCGTGGAGTGATGCCGTGATGCTCAGCAGCTTCCCATCGCAGGGCACGTCAATTCGGCTGGTAGGGTTGCCCCAACAGTAAGACAGTGCTGTGTATTTCAGAGGATCTTCAGGGTCCAGGTCGACATGTTGGATGGTTGCTTCGAGTTTCCCTTGTTCGGCCTCTGTAATGGTCACCAGGCGGATTTCGGATTCGGCCACCGGCGCGTAGCGATAGGAGTCCATGACTCTCTATTCAGTAGGTGAAATGAAACATGATGATATGGAGGTTGCTGAGATGCGATGTGATCAACCCCTCACCTGTGGCAGTGCACAACAGCAAGGATTAGGGGAAAGTAAGGCTGTCGGAGTGGCCGATCGGAGGATCAGCGAAGCCGCCATTCGGATGGCCAGATTTCTGAATAGTTACTATATTCCCTTTTTAGTACAAGAATGTTTTTTTTCCTTTTTAGAATTTAAATCTCAATTTTCATATTGCCAAAAAATAGTGTGACACTCCTAGGGGAAATTGATGTTATTCAAGGGGAAGAGAGTAATGGAAGAAAATGAATATCAGTGCTTTTTAAATGAGATAACTATCCTAAAATACTTTCATACACAGCAATTTTTTTTATCGTATAATGTAGATACATTCGATAATTCTTAGAATAGCAAGGTGTCATATTCTGACCCCGCACATAACTACTCCATACTGAGCTTAGCATTAACTCTAACCATTTGTCGAATAGAAATGAGTCATCAAAATATTATAAAAGCACTACCATCCTCTCCCAGCTAATCCTTCCTCATAACCTTCAAAATGACTCAAAACAGCCTATCGAATATACTCAGAGCTGCCACTCTAGACCTATCTCCCTACGAGGAACTCTACAAGCATTTCCACGCACATCCAGAGCTCTCACGACAGGAAAAAGCCACCTCGGAAACAATCACCGCCCATCTATCCCAGCTAGGCGCTTATGAAATCCACACACACATCGGTGGATACGGGCTCGCCGGCGTTCTCAGAAATGGCCCTGGAAAGACGATTCTGCTACGGGCCGACATGGACGCGCTGCCAGTCAAGGAATTGACCGGGCTACCCTACGCGAGTTCAGTCACGATGGCTGATGCCGAGGGCGTTGAGAAGCCAGTCATGCACGCGTGCGGACATGACATGCACATCACCTGTCTCCTTGCGGCGGCGGAATTGCTCGCAAAGACACAGGATGCGTGGAGCGGGACGTTGATTGTGCTTTTCCAGCCTGACGAAGAACGCGGGGGCGGCGCGCAGGCGATGGTCGATGATGGGCTTTATACGAAGATCCCCATGCCGGATTATGCCTTTGGACAGCACGTTATGCGGTTGCGTGCGGGGAGTGTTGGGTCCCGGACTGGGACGATCATGGCTGCTGCAGATAGCTTGAAGATTACACTGTACGGGCGTGGTGGACATGGATCACAGCCACAGCAGACAATTGATCCGGTGATTCTCGCTGCGCATGTTGTTCTGCGACTGCAGAATATCGTCAGCAGGGAGGTTGACCCGACTGATCTTGCCGTCGTGACGGTGGGCAGTCTGCAGGCTGGACAGACGGAGAATATCATCGCCGACAGGGCGGAGATAGGCGTCGACTTTCGCAGTGTCAAGCTGGCTACTCGCGAGAAAATCCTCGCTGCTATCAAACGCATCGTCGAGGCCGAGTGTATCGCCAGTGGCTCGCCGAAACCGCCCTTGTTCACGCCCACCCGACGGTTCCCACCTACTGACAACAACGACCGTCTCGCCGCCCAGCTGGCCGAGTCTTTTGGAGACCACTTTGGGGGGCAGTTTGATGGTGATACGCCACGGACGAATGTGAGCGAGGATTTCTCCACGCTGGCGACTTCCCACGGCATTCCGTGCTCGTTTTGGTTCATCGGGGGAGTTGACCCGGGGCTGTGGGATAGGGCTCAGGCAGATGAGGCTCTCATGCAGGAGATTCCGGGGAATCACTCTGCGCTGTTTGCGCCGGTGATTCAGCCGACCATGAAGACGGGCGTGGACGCATTGTGCATCGCTGCGTTGACTTATCTGAAGTAGCCAGTATATAACATTATTTGATAGGCTATTTCTCCCACTTCTTTAGCGCACCCTGGTTATATGTAAATTCTAGAGGATTAATCATACAGACGTTGCTGCAGCACTCTTAAACAGCTCAGATCACAACCCAGCAATGGGAAACGGAAGACAGCGTGTCCAGCTTTAGATATCATGCCTTGCAGATTTACTACGGAATTCAAGAATACACGGAATCGGCACGCATATTATGGTAAGGCAACCTAGGAGAGCGCATGTCCACAATTTAGGTAGACGGAGAATGAGACATGGAAATTACCAGTATTTTATTATTAATTTATATCCAGTGACATTTATGATTGGTGGACAGACTGTTTGGGGAAATGAGGGGTGATGGGAAAATGAGGAGAATAAACCAAACATTTATGGAATCACTAGATGCGTCTGGTATGGGCATATTGAGCTCGAATTGAAAATATAATGAGAATAGGTTTTGAAGAACAGACCTGAAGAAAAGGGAGCTGATTAGAAGATTAGGTAGGTGTGGAATCCACAAAAAGCTTGACAATTAAGTTTACTCAGCCGATTGGGAAAATTGGGGCAATGCATTCTGTACTGGGTAACTTCTTTCTATACGAGAATGTCCCTCGTCTTCATTATCTGTTCTTCGATATTGATTTGAACTATACCTCCCACTGGCTCGATGGCGGTCTTGTCGAATTTGATATCTTCAGCCGTCTTTAATATACGCCATGGATTACCACACCGGGTCTAGGAGAACACACGTATGCAGATGATGACTGGGCAATCCAGCAAGATTTTGATTATCGTCTCGTTCTTCCAGTCTTGAACAAGCTAAAGTAACTTTCCCCAGCTCAAAAAATGCATTCGCGACACAAAACAAAAATCTGGCAGTTTCGGAACAGGATAGTCTTCCAATACTAGGACAACTTTGATTTGGCAAAGCTGATTGCCTTTGACCCGTACTCTTTTACATAGCCCTGGTGGGCTGTCTCGTCATTGCCGTTGCAGCAGTAGGGATCACCAGCATCGCAGTAGGACTGGATTTTACCAGCCGACGGGCACGAGAAGCCAGCAGGTCGTGCATCGAACTAGATGTAATCATAAGCTTCAGACTCAGCAGTCAGGCATGGAGGCAGCACTTACACCTCCTGCAGCGCAAGTTCCAACATCATACGGCAAGCCAGCCTTGAACAGCGGATCACCAAACAAAATAGATGCCTTGACCATTTCCACAGCAGACGACGACAGCGGGACGGAAGTATCAGTATAACCCTGGTTAGGGACACCCCCGCCGCACAAAGCAGCGTCCATGATTTCACCACCCTAGTCAAGATTAGAAGATTCAAATGATAGAGTGAGTGTCACCAACCTGCGAATATCCAACAAGAACAAGCTTCGTCTGAGGACACTTTTTGTTGTAGGCATTCACAGCCGAGGCAACGGCTTTAATGCCCTGCGCAACTGAGCTAGAATAGCTCGCCCCTCCGCACGAGGACTGTCCACCACATGCAGGGTAATCGATAGCTTCAGAGGTGCCACCAGGATAGGCACTCAGGATGTCATCGATGACTGTTTTGGTTAAACCGTAGCCTGGCGGAACGGTGGTCCCGCGAGCGCCGAAGGCATGAACGTCTGGGCAGCTTTGGCGTTTCTCAATGTCGGCTTCGAGTGGAACAGCGAGACTGCTGCCGATAAGAAGGGAGAGGGCGAGATTGAATAGCATTTTGTTATATCAAAGTCAGAGACAGTCGCTTATTCTGATACTGGGTTATGAAGAGGAACTCAGGGTCTTTAAAGAAACGCAGAGGCTAGGAAGTAAAACTTTTTCCATTGACCCGAGAAGTCCTGCCTAATATCTAAATTAATTCTGCAGTAAGTATACAGGAGATGTGTCAATTTAGCCGCTTTTCTTAGCCTGAAACGTTTGATGTTTTGGCCATTCAGGCTATTCTATAGCTAGACTTGAGGTTTCCCCACGTTATATACTACTTCTTACAGGGGACGGTTTCAGGCTGAAACAGGAAAGTCTTTTAAAGTATAGAATATATTATTAGGAAATTCGAAATTTGTCAAGCATCATACCATAAATTATTAACTTCATCAGTGAATTGTATAATCAAATAAGCATATATAAACATTTTGAATCAAGATCTGTTGTATGTATTACTCCAACACAGTATGTGAATCTAAGCTCATCAAATTAATAGCAGTATAAGTCATCAAGTATAATAAGTCTTCTGCCACTAGCCATAGCTCTAAAACCCTTATGCTCGGCCAGTTTCATCAAGGTCTAGCCGGACTCCGCCACTCTCCCCGATGCTTCAACCCACGGTCCAGGCAATGTGGACAAACCTCGTGCCATTGCTTCTTAATGCCAGAACCAAGAGGGCCGTTTTTGTACTTTCGCTTGAAACACATCCTACACCTGTAGCAAGTGGTGCAGTACCGTCCAGACCCGCTTATCTTCCAAAGACAAAGACACACCGCGGTTATTCTCACAGTGGCATTTGCCACGCTTGCCTGTTACTTGGTTGTCGGCAAATTTGCTGTGATGCTGGATCTGAAGGCAGCGGCTGCAGATGAAGTAGTTTTCATATCTTGTAGAGTCAACTGCTACGTACAGCCTGTAAGAAGAGGATATAGTTACCCTGTCGAGGTCTCTGCAGCGCATAGATGTGATAGCCTCTGCTGTGCGGTCGGGTGTTTTGGAACGTCAACTACATATCCCAAATACCGATTTGTTTGCGAGAGCCATACAAGAAGCATATTCGAGGTAGTCAAGCACCTGGAGTTGTAGTTCGGGTGGTAAGTAACAAAATATGAAAATATGATGCTCTAGTAGAGTATAGTGTTTGGGATATCTACGTGGGGCATTGGGGTAAACTGTTTTGACGGTGTACTAAACCTAATCTTCACATCTGATCTATGGTTCATGTGTTAGCGGCCATCGGGTAAAGATACAGCCAGCCTTAGTTTTCCTCCTATAAATAAACAATACTGCCTCTGAATACAATAAGGAATCTGGAGAGGTCGCCACCCTTCTCGTAGACTCAATTGCCAGCCTAGCTTCGCAGTGGGTACGCTTCAAAGATTCGAGATATTATTTTTTGGAAAACAGACAAAGACCTCGGCTTGACCCATTCAATCCACAAAAACACCATTCGAGATGAAGCGGAGCGAAAACCAAATAAACCAGTTGAGGGCTCCTCGCAATGTATGAGAACTGGGAAACCAGAACCCTCTTCCTCTGTATTAGATGGCCGAGTGAAATAATCAAGTCTGACAACCGTAGCAGCAGCCTTCACATTGAATCATTTGATACTACGTAGTACTAATTTACCATTGTAAAAGGGGAATCTGGGAGTATACTGGAACATTGACGGCCCATTTGTAAGAGCCCTTTCGAGGACACGCTCGCGGCATGAGGTAGACAACCTTCTAGCAACCATCTCAGCTCAAGACTATTGACTCATTTCTACATACTGCATGACCTCATGATACATAGATCCCGCTCCCCCCCTCAGGGCCAGAACCTTCCCGCGGCACGCTTTCCTTGACCCGTCCGACCCCTACGCTCCCTCATTACACAATAATTCTCAAATCAATGACGCTGGAACCTGTAAATGCAGAAAGATGGACACTCTTGCGCACTATTTGTCGCATAGCCATAGTCAAAAGAGGGGAATATACTTGGCCTTCAGGCATTACCGAAAGTCTGCGTAATCCAGAGCCTTTACAAATAGGGGATCGACACTATATCCACCTAAAGTCGAAGTTTGCAGATACGATGGACACCTCATATCGGGTTCCCGAGGTGCTTCCGCTTTGTTGCTGTGCAATGCATTATGCATTCTAGGATTACACGGAAATAGGCGCATCAAAGCAGGCTCCCCGAGGTGCTTGTGCTTCGCTGCTGTCTAATGCTTGGTGCATCTACGATTACACGAAGATAAACGCCTCAAATCAGGCTCTTGGGGCTGCTTCCGTTTGCCCGCTGTCCAGTGAATTATGCATTCTGGGATTGAACGGGACAGAAAACAATTTTCAAGAAAGGACATTGTCAAATTTGAATCAAGTACCATCCATGTTCTCCAGGTGCTATTTGACTCATGCCTTTATGTAATTGCACTCAACCTCATAGTTTCCATAGTCTTAGTGATAGATATCTACAGCCTTTATAGAGCTCATTAATGCTAGAGGTATGATATTGCTATGGTTTTTTTCTTAATCTAGCCAAATATTCTCTATTAGGTGTCTAATATCATGCCTAGGACCTTGTAGTAATAAATATTGTCCTTTAACAGGAGCTTTCTTCAAGCATTAGGGATTCCTTGACGATCATCGTATTGAATGTAGCTAGATAAAAAGCAATCATCATCTAATACGGCACACCTACTAGAGGGCTGTGTTTCTGTACTAAGTCTACCTGCGAGGCTATGATTGGTCTAGATTACAGTCTCAGCTACACATTGAGATGCAGCCGAAAACTCTAGTTGTCACGTATTAGCTTCTTGTGAGGGGAAATAGTCTATGAGTGATGGGTATTATGCATAGGTGACTAACTTAGTGTGGGTCAGCGACTAGCGACAAGTAGTCATAAGGATGGTATATGTACATGGATAATAATTAAAGCACACATTATATGTTGATTAAAAAGAGTGGGGACAGCTATATTCTGTCAGACTGTGGTCAAAGGTCTAGATTTCTCCTTGAGAACTAGGATGGTCGGTTGAATAGACCACGCAGCAGAGCCGAAATAAGGATCAACGATGGTCAGGCAAACGTGCATAGAGGCAGAAAGAGCTGTAGCTGCATGTCTCTCTTAGTCAAAGCATAAATAATATTCAGCTCAGATGGTGTTGTGCCTTAGGCGATAGAGTGGATCATGTTCCTTGTCATGCTTCATGAAAGGCGGAGAAATTTAGCTAACTGCAACTTTCGGGACGGTCCGCAAGTATGCCACTCAACCCAACTGTCGAAAATATTGTCTTCTATGGGTAGATTTTTTTGGTCCAATCATCTCTATAGCTTGCGATATTGATCAGGGAACTGGGTGGTATTTTATTATAATAACAGACGGTGAAATACTCGCTGGACTCATATTAACATAAATCTACCAAAAGTACTGTACACATGTAGGTATGTGACGTTGGCGACGTTGGCCTGCATATAGATGACGATCACTTAGCCAGCCACACGAACCCCCGCAGGACAGCGAGAGAAAAGGCAAAAACCAAAACCAAAAGAAGAAAAAGAAAAAGAAAGAAAGAAAGAATTATAATAGTAATACGAGAGTTCAAAGCTAAAATTGATACTAATGACGTTGTGGGTGTATACACGTTAACCTAAATCCAAATACCTTAGCCACAGCATTGTAAGACTTGGAATATGCTGATTATGGAGACGAATCTTGATACCCTCTATAAAAGGTTGACAGAATGTAATATTTACTATTCACCCTCAACTGTATTGAATAGTGTCTATGATCTGGCATGTAACGAAATATTGGGGACAAATGGCAAAGAAAATTTCAAAAGAATGGTCTTACCTGCATTGAGTCATCTTTATCTCTGTAAATAGGCTTTTGAAGTCAAGGAAAGACAATGCTGATCTCGAAAGTGATGAACGGGACTCGAAACATATAGAGAAAATTGCCAGACTGCTCTATGTACGACAGCCTTGGTCATGAAGTGCCTTGTCACTTGTTTGCTTTTTCTTTTTTTGAAAACCTTCCATCGCCATTGACAGGCCCGGGCCGCTCCTAATGTGGTCCCAAGTGGGGGAAGCTGGCAGGGGTCAATGTATTGAGTAATGAGTAGACCAGCGCAGCTCACCACACAACTTCACCAATCTATGTTAGTCTTCTTTCTTTTTCCTTTTTTCAGCTTGGTACTTTTGTATAATTAGACAATGTCTATGATAATTCTATGACAAATCGTTTAGATGAAGGGTTTGTCTGGGAGTCTTCAAAGGTATAAAAAGGTCTGTTGACACCTCGCTTTTGAACAGTATCACCATCACCATTTAAGTGACAACATCTGATCTATTGCTTCTTACTTTACCAAATCTCAAACTTTTCGATCTCTACGATCTCATCAATCATCATGCCCGAGTACTCGCTCGAGATTGCCAATGACACCACGAAAGCCCTGCGCTTTGTGCTCTATCAGGAAAATCCTTTTGAAAGTACTGATGGGTTTGCGAACATCTGGATGGCCGCAAATGTGTTTGATGGTGCTTCTCGGACTTGGGTCCTTGATACCAATTATTACGCATGTCAGTGTTTTCCAAGTTTTCTGCATTGTATCGGTCTTGGACTAATCTGGCTGAAATGCAGGGGCTGGCACGAATGATCAGCCCGTTTCGGACAACGTGACTATCCGCGGAGGCAAGACTTTGCCAGCCACTTTGGGTACAGGCGCGGAAAAAGGCAGTAGGTACCTCCTTGTATTAAGAGTCTCCATTCTAATGTTAACCTATGAAGGCACGTTTGAAACCACGGTGGAGCCCGATAAGGGAAGAAAACCACAACAAGTGCGAGCACCTGGTACAGTTAATGTGAACATTTCGGACACTGGTAAACCTGATGCTGGTCCCGGTGATTTCCAAATCTTGACCAAGGACGACTTCAACGTTGGTTCGGACGTGGTTATCATTGGTTTGGGCAAACGGGATGAAAACAATACTCCAGTCCCTGTTGCTACGGTAAGCTCGGTCTACCAGAAGCATGTCCCTTTATCTCTGCTGGCTTATAAATTTGGTTTATTAGATCAACGCGGACCCTTCAAAGCAATACAATCTCAAACCCATCCTCAAGGGAAGTATTGTCCAATCTGACTCAGGCCAGGTAGGCCAGGCCCTCAAGTACAGCTCTATCAGTAGAGATGCGGGACTCGTCGATTTTACGAGCCCCGAAGCCGAGGGAAAATTCCACGCCCAGGTCAGGTTCAACGAAAAGGGAAAATTCGAGAAAGCTACCTACTGGTAAACGCCCTATCATACTGATGAACGATCTATGGATCAACAGTCTACCAAGACCATCGAACATCGAGAATAAGTCTTTTGACGTATCTTCTTGTCCTTGCTTTTGATCTACCTTCCTATCTTTGCTTTTGGTATACCACTTCCTGTCCTTACTGAGAAATATTATGGCTTTTATAACTGCGTCAACTGATGCTATATCAAAAATATTCACTCCATATATCTGCCCTGTAGTTCTGCCGAAGATTAGGTCTTTGACAAAAATCGAACGCTAGAGCCCTGAAGTTATTTGCAGTCGTACTAGATGGACCATTTTTCACCACTGAGCCCAGTGTGCTTTGTAAGGATTAACCCTGACTACCCGCCCATGGCTACGACGACGAGGTGTGGATGGAAGTCCGACGCCAGCGCAGACATGGCCGAGGTAGCAAGAAGGTTAGCAATACTGGTCGTGGAAGAGACAAGCTGGAGTTTTTGATACGCACAGATTCCTGTCGTAGGAAGAGCACGACGCGGTATGGCCTGTTCTTCCATAGTCGTATAAGAGACGAGATGCCAACCAATCCGGTCTGTTTGGCTGACCGGGTAGTATTTGGGCCTGAATCAAATGCTTATTCTTGTTGCACAGCTTATTATTAGACATTACCAGCACTGCTGTCTGGCTATACGAAGCTGACATGACCGACATATTCACCACATGACAGTACGAACTGTCTCACCTCACCACTATATAATCACCAATCCCCCTTCTCTCCATCCATCCATGAATCAAGAAAAATGGACTCACTCAAGGAAATCATCTATACCCTCCCTTCTCCCCCACCCCGAACCCGCACAAAACCACTCACACTCATCTGCGTCGGACCACCCCGCTCAGTAACCGAATCGCTCAGCGTTGCACTCACACAACTCAGCCTGAAAACCTACCACGGCTGGGATCTCGTCTTCGAAGAAGACGCGGGACACATCCAGTCCTGGGCGAATCTCGCACAACGCAAGTTCAGCAACCAGGGTGTACCAGATGGAGACGTGAGAATCAGTCGCGCTGAATTCGACGCCATACTCGGCGACGTTGACGCGGTCATCGATCTACCCGCATCTATCTTCGCTGCTGAATTGATAGCCGCATACCCCGAGGCCAAGGTCATCATCAACACGCGCCGCGACCTGGATGCGTGGCGGACGAGCGTCCTCAAGACGATTGTCGGCGCTATCGAGGATAAATGGAGTATATGGTTGTTGAGCATATTCAGTACCGAGTTGTACTGGACGTGGGAGGCGACGATGCACTACGGCATTCCCGGTTTATTTCGAAGCACATCCATCAGGAAGGGCGTGGTTGATAATGGGAAGTGGATATATCGGGAACATTGTAATATGGTGAGGGGGTTGGTGAGTGACAAGGAGAGGTTGTTGGAGTGGAGTGTTGAGGATGGATGGGTGCCGTTATGCAAGGTGAGTACCTACCTTTCTATCTAGTATAAGAAGATACTAATCAGATGAAGTTTCTGAATAAAACTCCACCCACTTCAGCATTCCCCAAAACCAACGATCCCGCGTCTTTCGCCCAAGGCGTCGACCGAATCATGAAACCGCGCGTGAACAAAGCTCTCCGCAATCTAGTCATCTCAACAAGCTTACTTCTGGTCTTCGTCGCAAGTATATTCAAATATTCAAAATAGTATAGCATTCAATCTATTCTTTACGAACCGCTCCATTCAAAAGCAATAATTCAACCGCATCAACATGTCCCTCAGAAGCAGCTAGATTCAGCGCTGGACCTAGATCACCTCCGGGCGAGTTGACATCCGCACCGTGCGATATGAGAAGCGCCATGACATCGCAGTGCCCAGATAGAGCAGCAACACCCAGGGCGGTCGTCGGACCACCTGTCTCGTTCTCATTGACAGACGCACCATCATCAAGAAGTCGCTTCACCTCTTTAATCAACCCAAACGAAGAAGCATAATAAATCGGCTTCGGCGTCTTCCTCTCCCCATCACCAGTAAATGGAGTATAGCCATCCAAAAACGCCGTCCAATTCAAATACTCCGTTTCTGAAGAAAACAGCCTCATAACCAGCTCATGTAACTCCTCAGTCTGGTTCCCCAATTTCACATGCACAGGCCAGTAATTCGTCGCATAGCGAAGCAGCGCCGCGCTCTCCACTGTCTCAGGCGTGGATACATACGGCGCCGTAAAATCAAGCAGATAGAGAAGACAATCTGTTGCGATGGTCGTGTGAGCTTGTTTCTCCTCTAATCCCGATGCAGAAAGATAGTTTCTGAGGGCCGGGGAAGACGATGATTCAAGCTGGACTAGTTGGTGTTGTTCATCGGGGGAAGTGGTGCTTTGTGTGATTTTCACTGCTGAGCTGGGCAGAAGAGATAGAATATCCAGTTCGCCAGTTTGATAATGTTGGTTTTGGTCTTTTTTTCTTGTTGTCGTGGCTAGGTCTTTGATTTCGGCGATGGACAGAGGGCGGGTGGAGTAGGATAGCCAGCAGAGGATTTTGTGGACGAGAGGGAGTTGGTCTTTGGTGATGGTTGAGAGGGCAATTGATATTTCTGACATTTTGTTTTTGGTATTGATATTAATTGAATTGATTGAGAGAATGAATTAATTCAGGGTATTTATATGATAAACTAGTGCAGCCCAGCCTCGTGGGTGAAGATTGGGCGATCATGAGGGGTAAGTCTAGAATGGCCGATTGGTGCCTGATCTATAAGGAATTTTTTATACTTGAATAATTGATTCAATAAGTAAAATGCTAATGCTAAACAATGCTCTATAAAACAAACCAAACTCCATCCATCCAGGTATCAAATAATCAAACAAACAAAGGTAAATCAATCAGTTCTCAGCGTAACACGAGTCGGCAACCCCTGCGATGGTTTGGCAGTCACATCCAACACTTGGTACATATGCGTTCCATTCTCATACACCGTCTCGAAATCAAACGTCCTCAGCGTCATGACAAGGACAATCTTAAGCTGAGCCAGGGCAAGCGTCTGACCGAGACAAGTGCGGGGTCCCTTCTCGAACGGTCTCCATGCGTCCTTAGGGACGAAGTACGGGTCAGCAGGGTCAGTGACGAGGTGGCGGTCAGGGTAGAACTGTTCTGCGTCCTTGAAGAGGTCTTCGCGGCGGTGGGTTGCGCAGTTGTTGACGAGCACGGCGAAAGGGTAGGTGGGCCATTCCTGGCCGTCTTGGGTGATCGTTTGGCCTGGGCGACCGCTGCGGAGACTGATGCCGGTGGGGGGCCAGAGGCGCAGGGCTTCCTTGATGACAGCGAGGGTGTAGGGGAGGTTGTTGACGAGGTTGGGATCGTTCTGGAGCATGGGTGCTGCGTTGGAGGGGTCTTTGCCGAAGAGGGCGTCGTGTTCTTCACGGACACGCTGGAGCATAGAAGGGTTTTTGATCAGAGCAGCGTAGGTGTAGCAGAGTGTACTGGCAGAGGTATCATGACCAGCGAAGATGAGCGTCTTGACCGAGTCAATGTACATGCTGCGGGTTTCTGCGTTCTGATTCTTGCCGTTGTACGAGATGGCCTCGTCGATGGCATACGGTCTCTGCTTGTTGGCGGGTCCGTTCATGATGCGCTCGTCCACGATGCGGCCGACGTAGCGGTCGAGGTTGCGGCCGTTGGACCATTTGGCGTAGTGGCGACGGGGGCTGATGTCGTAGAGATATCGAGACCAGAAGTCTTGAGGAGCGAGGTTGGCTTGAGCGCGGAAGAGGTCGAGGAACTCGTCGTTGTCGCGTTGAGCGTTGCAGTTGATGCCCAGAATGACTCTGGCGGAAATGTTAAAGATCATACGCGCACCGAGATCCTCCATACGGAAGACATCCTGTTTGCTGGCATGTTCCTTGAGGATATTCGCAAAGTCCACCGCATCGTCGACGATACTGGGTACATGCTGCAGCACCTTTCGCGGCTGGAACCCAGAAGTAAACGACTTTCTCGCCAACAGCCAGTCATGCCCGTTCGCAGTGACCATCGACTGCTTGCCCAGAATATGGCCGGTCCATTTCTGCATGACAGCGGTTTCCTTGGGCAGGTTCATCTTCTGCACGACCTGGTTGGCGATGTCGGGCTGGGTGACGACCAGCTGAGGAGGGGCGAGAGGCCACAGGTCGAGGTAGAAAAAGTCACCCAGGCCGTATCTCTTGCGCATGAGGTGAGCAAAGAGTTGAGGAGTCGCATCAGCTGGAAGAGAGCCGGCGATGTCTCGCATGATCAAAAAGTGACCCCAGATAGCGTGATGCGGAGGACCGGGGAGGCCTTTGAACATGTTCCGCTGTTGACGAAGTCTTACTAGACAGTAGACTAGAAGAGCGGCTGCTGCGACGAGAGGAACGAGCATCTTGAGAGGATGAAGATGAAGATGAAGATGAAGATGAAGATGAAGATGAAGATGAAGAAGATGAAGAGGAGTTGGAGAAAGAGAAAACGTCGTCGAGAGAGGAAAAGATGCAAAGCTGGAGAGGAGCAGAGTGAAGAATAGAAGAGTAGTATTGGGCTTCGAGCATAGTGTTGTTGTTGATGATGAGAGTATTCAACAGAGGATATTGTATCCTTTTATAACTTTCTATCTGTTAATTGCAATATTGTAGAATCTATTCTTGTATCTTGACGAGGCATTGTCAAGGCTGATGCATGAAGCCATTTGGGGGCCATCTGGATAGGATTGAGCATCCACAACCATGTGTTCTTTGGGAATAACCTAGTTCGTATTAATTAATTAAAAATAAAATAATAATAAATAAAAAAGTAAAAAATAAATATAATCATCTGTTTTCTGCACGGTTCCTCATTCCTGGATCGACTGCGGCAGTGCAGGCTTAGCACGAGTCCACCTTCTGGCCCCATCTATACTTCAGATACTATACTTCAGACACATCTATACATCTGTATACCTTCACTTCAGCTACTCTACACCAAAACTCAGGTTTGGCCCCCAAAATCAGCCTCGAATGGTTTCAGTATTTTCTCGTCTCTTCTGGCCCACTGCTACACGAGACCACCAGTATACGAGATTATTTTGGGAGAGTTGGGGGCGGTTTGATAGAGCAATATCAATTACTTGAATGGTAGTATCCCAATTCCCTCAACTTCCAAGTCTATCTTTCATTCATTCTTTCATCCAGTCTGTCTCTTTTCAAAATTCATTAAGTCAAAATGTTCTCTCTACAAGACGCCATCTATCTGATTGAACTGGCATTATACTGCCCAATCATCCCCGCCATCATCTTCATTCTCATCATCCACGGCGGCAAGAAACCATACTCATGGCGTCCCATCGTCATTCCTCTCTTCATCATCGCTGGTCTCCGTATCGCCGGTGCTTCCATGGGCCTGACTGCCATTAATCCTGACAAGTCTAGTCTTCTCTCGACTGCTACTCTGCTGGAGACAATTGGACTTGCTCCTGTTCTCTGTTTACTTATCGGTCTTCTCATTCGAGCGTGAGTCCATCCATATAAACATCATATAGATACTAATAGGCTAGAAACGCTCCCATCTACCGCGGCCTCCCCATATTCGCCTTCCTCCCTCTCCAACTCCTCACCATCGCCGCCACAGCCATGACAGCCTACGGCGGTCGCGACCTGTACTCCAACCGCGACCACCAAACCAAAGACCTGCAGCTCATGCGCGCCGGCATCGTTCTCTTCATCTCCGCCTTCATCATCACCGTCACCCTGGGCGGGGTGACTCTCATGAAAGTGCGGGAAAAGTGCTACCGCACCGAACGCACCTCTACCGTCTGCGCCATCCTCTGTGTGCCCTTCATGGCTGTCCGCCTGGCCTACTCTGCCGGCTCGCTGTTCTCGGGTGAGGGCTCTGTGTTGAGTATGCTTGGCACGAGCGATACGGATATCTGGGTGAACTTTTTGATGGTGATTGTGATGGAGTATGTGGTGACGCTTTCGGCGACGGCGGTGGCATTGACGGCGAGGAGGGTGGTTGTTATGGAGGTTAAGAAAGATCCGTTGGAGGATGAGGCTTGATTTACTGTTATTGGGTTGTTTCTCTCTTGAATGTTTTATTATTGGAGTTGTTTATGGGATATAGTTATGTATTAGATATTATTATGATTGGATATATTTCTTCTTCTACATCTCTTGCCAGCCTAACAATTACACTAGATATTGATATACTTCCTCTAACATCAATCTTATTCTCTCAACAACACAACAAGAACTACAATAGATGATCTCAAAGTCACACTATCTCGTAACACTACATAATAGCTCTATATATATATTCATCGTTCAGTCAGATCCGTATTTCCTGCAGGATGGATAGAAACAAGGAATCGCCCCCAGTCTGTACTACATGCCTTATGCCATGTGCTCTATGCAGCCTTATGGATACATATTTGTGCGACACTTGAGTAACAACTAATTATTCTGTTTCAAGGACTTGTATATTAATTCTATACTGTCCAGTATAGAATTAGATAGATAAGGTTATGAATAGATATGCATACTGATTACTAATCGTATAGATGCACCACGCTAACTCAAAACAGAATCTGGTCTTTTCAAATCCGCCCCCAACCCAGAATGCAAGAATGCCACTGCAGGGTTTGTTTCAAGATGCAAGTTTCAAAAACACGAGACTCCTTCTATTTTAAGCAACTGGGCTGCAGCACTGCATGATGCAAACGTGCAGAAGCCAAAACCACATGGGGGCTGAATATCCCAACAGGAGATCAATCGATCCACATCAAGGCTCACATACCACATTCTACGGCAGTTACACACTATCTACAGAAATTGGGGGCTGAATGCAAAGGATCCGTCTGGGTCGTGTTTATTCTTCCTGTGGGAATAACCTCACTATCCCGCTGTTGAAGGCGCAGCCTGGGGCCATTTTTTCTGTTTCCTCAGAGATTTGCCGCGAAACGTGGTTTTCGGCCCCAGGACGACTACCAGCTTCTACCAAGACGGTCAAGAGTACTTGGCGAGGCTTGTCACGGGACTCTCCGTCAGCGCAGTTTCTCGTTTTGGTGGGCAAAAATAGCTTCACCAGGTGCGCTGTGATGGAGATGCTCGTATACTGGATCGGTTGGGGGCTGCTGCTGTGCCTCTTTGCGTGATTGTCTTTCTGTGATGGCGAGATTAGCAAGACTTCATCGGTCGAGATGGACGAGGTGGAGGAGTATATAGAGAGGGAGTCGCTGATCAGTTGAGCTCCATCTCCAGCAACAATTCCATCTCATTCTCTCTTTACTTCTTCTCTCTTTCTATCTCTTTCTGTCTCTCTTTGTATGCACCTTCAAAATGCAGAGCCCAAGAATACAGATGAACATGCACAAGCCCAACTCGTGGCTCACCAATGAACTCAGCAGTCTCAAGACTCTGGCTCTGGTGTTGCGAGCTGGTATCAGCATCGCCAGTCCCAATCCCAAAGTCGATGAGAAGCTGCATGTTTCTTCCGATGGTGTGCACCACGGCGGTACTATCAAAGTCATTGTTGTAAGTCTTACACATTCTCTATACACCCATCTATACTAATCAGATAGGCCGGCCTCCCCCGCACTGGCACAATGAGCATCAAGAAATCCCTCGAAGAACTGGGCTACAAGAACTGCTTCCACCTCGCCGAGCCCCTCTGCCAATTCAGCAACCTCCGCCTCAGCGCCGACATCGTCCACACCGAGAACACCACCCTCCGCCGCCGCAAACTCGCCACCCTCCTCCAAGGCCATGAAGCCACCCTCGAAGTCCCCGGCAGCGCCTGCCTCCCCGACCTACTGGAGATGTACCCCGACGCCAAAGTCATCCTCTCCGAACGCACCTCCGCCGCCCTCTGGCTGCAATCCTGGCGCGGCTTCGGCATCGATCTCCGCTCCGACTGCTTCCGCTGGGTCGGCTACTGGGTGCCCGGCGTCGTCTCCGCCAACGACCTCTACCGCGGCTGGATGCGTCTCGCAGCCCAGCGCTACGGCCTCGCCCCCGAACCCTCGGAAGCCCTCTACCACGCACACAGCGAATGGGTCAAGTCCATCGTCCCCAAGAACCGGCTGCTTGTCTTCAAGTGCCAGGATGGGTGGGCGCCACTACAGGAGTTCCTGGGGAGACAGCGACCCAACCCTTTCCCGCATGGCAATGAGGCGGGGCATCTCCGGTACTATAAGCGGGTTGCTATGGCGTTGGGTGTGATGCTGTGGCTGATTGTGTTGGCTATGCTGTTTGTTTTGTCGATTGTGCTGCAAATGTAGCTGTCTGTCTGCCTGTCTTTTTCACTTTTCTTTGTCTTTTTGTCTTTTTGAGCTGGTGTTGGACGGTGTTGGGTGTTACCATACGGATACCATTTGATTTCCTTGATTTATTCTGGTTTATTTTCGATTTCAGCATTGATCGGCAAAATGGGTGTATTATATTTCTTAGATTCTTTGATTAATTTGCATTATTTTCCAACTCAAACTATTACCAGTAGCATACAATTAAATAAATTGTATAAAAATACACATCAATATCCATCATAATAATATCAAGGTATGTTGTCCATAAACTCCTTCATTCAAAATCCATGAAGAAGGACGTTGCACGAATCGAGCAGAAAACACTGCCAAAATCCTGTAGGATTTTGGCATGATTAATTACGGGCCCTCATCCCTGTATGGTAATCACAGCACTAGATTTGCACACTACCGTTAGTTACGTGGGTACATCGTATCGCAGAAACTAGCAAATATCCACCTTCCAAAATTGGCAAGTCCTCTAGGATTCTACCCCCTGAATGGCCTGAAGATACTCATCTTTCCATAATCCTTACTAGCCTACTACTTAGCGCCTACACTAATAGCTGTTAGCGATTTGGCCCCAAATACGTAACGTTGTGTGGATCCCTTAGGCTTGACTCTTCGGGTTTTTGCTTGTTTTTCTTGTTTTTCTTGGTTTTTTGCTTATCTTTACACAGCCTCAGGCTAATCATCTGCAAGTATGCCCACATTTCGTATCTGAGATTATTTTAAGGATCATCAGAAGTCTAGTCTGCTGCAGATACGGGGTTGTTTTTAGATATTGCTTACTTGGTTACCCTGCTTATTGGGGTTTTTAGGTGATTGACTGGGATGTTTATTATTATGCTGATTTAGGGCTATTTACACACAAGCCTTTCATGAATGAATTTATGACTGGAATGAAAGGAGAAAAGCGGGGATTGAACCATGGTTGGCAGTCCCGCTTTTACTGGACTTCGGCCAATTACCGTCCCCACATTATAGCAGAGCTAACCGGATATGAACAATAGATACCTCCACTAGACAAAAGTCACCATGTAAACAAAACATGCGGTGTACGGAACACGGTATTGACAAAGCGGTCAATGCTATGGCCAACCTGCTTAGCCTGTCTTTCACCGTATCTGTTCACGTGGGAGGCGTCTAATTTGGTGTTGAGTGTCGCGAGGCGTTTCCTGTTTGGATGAGGTCTTCAGAGAATACGAGGACCGTGCTGTGTGTTGTTTTTGGGTATTTTTCAGTGTATGTTTTTGGCAGTCTGGTCATACCTACTGGTATCTACTTTGGTGCAGATTAATTTTCTGCTGTCTGGATGTCTGTGGGAGTTCTATGGGATAGACAATATTATCTGTGCTACGTAGCTACAGAGTGTCTGTAGTGGACTTGTAAACGTGGATAATGAGGCGAAGCGGTGGAAATTTCAGAATGGCAGTGATAAGGAAAGCAGCAGTAAATTACATAGTACATTACTCCCCCACTGCACCATACCATAACGGTATCACTCTGGGCTATTGTGTTTTTAACATGAGTCGTGCCGGTTGATACACTCAGTACTGATTGGCAGTGTCCAGTGTCAGTGAGTCAATGTGTCGGTATTAATAGTAACATTGGCGATAAGGGCGAGGCTAATAGGGCCAAAAGGTACAAAGTGCTGTGCTTTCTACCACTTCCCCTTTTAATCAAAGGCAGTGCATTCTGTAGTCTGCCATCTGTGTCTGGTACTCTGTTGATGCAGAATTGTGGTCGACTCCGCACACACAAGCTACCATAACACTGCCATTTGATGATCATTAATCTAGCATGTTGTAGCTGTAATGTAGGATCTTATGTGCACTCTTTAGTATCAGCGCCCTTATCATAGCAAATGGAAGAGTGGCGGACTCGACAGAAACAGGCTTTGCCCCTTGACATCAGCGGTAGGTCTATGTCTGTGCTGTGGCTGTAGTTTTTCTCGGTCGTAACATCGCCATTTGATGTTATTCAATCTAGGATGCTGTCGCTGTAGGACTTTTATGATTTTATTATACGTGATCTTTGATATCAAAATCCATATAACAGTAAAAAAGTAATGGTCACAGAGAACCATGAATATTGAATAGCTGAAATCATGGGATACATGATTCCTGCCATGGCGGTACTTGGTCAGAGAAGATATAGTGAGGTCGTCACTTTGTCTTCGGTGTACTCTATGTAGTCTGGAATATAGGAATTTGTATGCTGAGGGAAGAAATAAAGACGGGTTCGAAAATGAAAAATGAAAAAAGAAAAAGAAAGAAGAGAAGACAAGAGGAGAGAGAGGAGAGGGAGGATCCACTGTCGTTGTTTATGAGTATTATACTTTACAGACAATTTAAAGTTACCAGTAAAAAGTGGAAAGATATTGAAATAAATAGTGATATGCATTCGCTTATATAACAGGACAGATAAAACAAGATTATAACAAGACATCAAAACTTTCTAACTTTGCCAAACTCCAAAACATTACCCAGAAATGCTGAAAACTCTAAACAGAAACTCCAACTAGTATCAGAACGGAAATATCAATCTAATCAGAGTTGACGGTGCACTTGGTGAAAGAACCACCAGTCTTCTCAATCATAACTCCAACAAAGTTGTTGTTGTAGTCAGCGACAACGCGGTAGGAACCAGGGCTGGTTCCCTCAGCCCAGACAGAGCCGTCCTCCATGATGGGGAACTCGCGGAGGTCATTGGTAGCGCCAAAGACAGCCTGGTTGTTGCCGGTCTTGTTGCCGAAGTAGTGGGGGTAGCTCCTGGTGTTGCTGTTGTCGTCGGTGTGCTTGAGCTGCTTGAAGGCAGCACCGACGGCGTCCTTGGAGAGAGTGGTGCCGTCGCAGGTAGCGCTGCCAACCTTCTTCTTCTTGTTGCCGCGCTCGACGAGGGTGGAGGAGCTGGTGTCGTCTTCGATGTCTTCGTCGAATTCCTCATCGAACTCCTCGATTTCCTCGTCGCGCTTGGAAGGAGTGTTGTCCTCGGTGACTTCGAGGTCGTCTTCAGCGTCGTAGTAGATATCTTCGTCATCGTCAAACTCCTCGACGTCTCTCTTGGCAGAAGTAACAGGAGTGCAAGCCTCATAGGCGCCTGCGACAGTAGCACCAGTGTGCTGGATAACACCTCTAAAGTCACCCCTGTTGTCCTTGTAGTCGGTAACAATGCGGTATGCGCCAGGAGAGCCTATTTCAGAAATGTTAGCCACTGAAACCGTCAAGAGGAGATTGCTGCTGTGACTTACCACCCTCGTACACTCCACCAGCCACGATGGGGAACTCTCTCAGAGCGGTGCCCTCAGGGACATTGGTCAAGACGCGGACAGTCTGGCCGTTGACTGACTTCTTGTTGCCAAAGGGGAAGGGGTATTTGCCAATTGCCTTGTCGTCGTGTCTGCGGCACTCGTGGAAGGCCTGGCGGATGTCGTGCTCAGCGATGGTAGTGCCATCAGGACAGCTGAAGTCGTTGAACTTGACTCTCTTGGCGAGCTTGTTCTCGAGGGAGGAGAAGGGGACAGGAGAGGCATAGGCAACTGCCATGAGGCCGTACAGGGCAACCGATTTCATGTCGAAGAACATTTTGAATGAGGATGAAGATTGTCAAAGACAAGTATTATTTAGAAATGGAAGATTGTTTGAGAGAGAAGAAGCTGAGATGCTTGAGAGAGAAGATTGTTGATGCTGATGAGAATGTGAATTGGACAGGACATTGACACCCTTTTATACACAATGAAGCATCACCAAAGCACCTCAAATCCAGTACATTTCTGTATAGATTCTATTTTGGACATCATTTTGGGGGCGCAGTCTCGTCTGCGCCTAGAAAACAGCCCCCAAGATGAATCGTATACAGAATCTCTGCATGATTCGAGTGCAGAAGAGCTTAAGTCCTGGGGGCTATGCATGGCCTGTCAGTTACGAGGGGCCAGAAAGTGGAGGTCTGGGGGCCGAAAAGCTACATTCCTGATGGGAAAATCAGGAGAATAATCTTCACAGCCTTACAGATTGCAGAGGGAATTAAGCAGTCACAGCCCTGATGGAGATGGGGCCAAACAGAAGCCGGCATTTGGGGCGGAAAAGTGGGGATGTTTGGGGATCAATAAAATCATTTAGTGCGCACTAGTTATGCACACAGCCTGGATATCCACGCTAGCCTGTTTGGGTTATTCGTCTTGGCCTTATTCCTTATCGATAGGGCTGCAGACATACAGCCGATGTTGACAAGTAGACTGGCAGTGCAGGGAACACACCACTTTCCTAATTGATCATTTTATTTTTATATACTGTACCATGATATACACTGTCTACTGTTTCTACTGACATAATAATAATACCAAATTATAATGGTGTTGGTAATTGTCCTGAAAATGCCATGTTTCACCACACTCTGCAGCAAAATATATATCGATGTTGACTGTCTACAAAGCACAGCAGTCGAGTAATTCCAGAGTTCTGATTGGTTAGTTGCGGTGGGTCTGATGAAATGGGACAATATTATTGGTTCGGTAACAGGCCGAGAAAGATGGTAAACCCCAAGACTTGTTAGTATTTTGCATTTCTACAGTATCTATGGGTAAACCGTGCATTATACTTCATTTGATGGATGTTTCTTTGATCATTCATATAGAAGGAGTCTTATTCTCACTGTATATACACCCCCCGTTACCCCATTAGAAAGTTGGTGTTGCAGCTGGAATACAGTCACGGGTCACGAGTACAGCATCTGAACTTTAGACGTCTATATTCCATTTTCTAATAATAATCAAAAGTCAAACAACAAAGAAAAGTTGGCCCCAATCAATACGAGAAGCGAAGCCATTCAAGCCCACTGCCAAGGCACATTCCCTCTCCACACGACAAGCTCATGGGGCCGTATGCCCAGCCTCTTGTCGTGTCTTGAGTATGCTTAGCACGAGTCAAGTTATCTTGCCTCAGACTTGATCTGCTGCTTTTTCTGATGCTGAATTAGGGTGGCTGAGCAGCGGCAGTTGATGTTGGGCTCAATCATGCAGATTCTCGTGTTTTTTGTTCCTTTTTTTCCTCGCTTAGCAGCGATCGGCGTTTTATTCTATGGATGTTTGGGTGGCTTTTGGGGGCGGGGTTTATTATTATCATTGAGATATTACTCTTTCTTTGTTCTGGTGTTAAATACGAAGAATATCCTATTTTTCTCAATCGTCAATCACATCCATCTACCTATTGCATCCACAATCCTGAGACATCTCTACCCCTCATTATTACATCTCATTTCTATCTTTATCAACTTCACCTATTTCATCACAATGACCAACACCCTCGCAGCGGCCGAGTGCGCAATCTATGCCATCCTCGCCCTCCCCGTCCTCTACACCCTCATCAAACATGGCCGCAACGGCTTCATGGGCTGGCTCTTCCTGTTCCTCTTCTGCGGCATCCGCGTTGTAGGTGGTGGCCTCGCCGTGAAGAGCTCTTCCGGTGCCGCTAGCATCATCTCTAGCGTGGGCTTGTCGCCCATTCTCCTCGCCACGAGTGGGATTCTCCATGAAGCGTGAGTTCTCCTACACACATACGATATAACGTGACATGGCTGATGCAATATAGACGCATTCTGCGCATCCCCAACCTCAACAAGAAATTCGAATGGGTGCTCGCTCTCTTCTACCACATTCTCGTTGTCGGTGGCGTGGCTCTGACTGCTGCTGGATCTGCGAAACTCCAGAAAACAGACCAGACGGCGGATGACATGCACAAGGCCGAGCGGATTGTCAAGGTCGGCATGGCTGTTTTGACTCTCTCGTGGATTGCGTTGGTCGGGTGGACTGGTATTTCGTTTACCGGGCCTCGTCCTAGGAGTGACCGTGTTGGTAATGCGGGATCTACTGTAAGTCCCTTTCACATCTTATACTATATACCTGGGTGGTGCTAATGGTGTATAGCTGCTCAAAACTATCGTCTTCTCGCTCTTCTTCATCGGTGTCCGCGTCTTCTACAGCCTCGTCGCTCTCTGCTCTGAGAAGGCATCGCTGAACCCTACCACCGGCTCTCTTGCTATCCGTGTTGTCCTCAGCTTTCTGCCCGAGTTGATCGCTACACTTGCTTATATCGCTGCGGGAATCAAGACACGCGATGTGGCTGAGTTGGCTGCCAATGCGGAGACTGCCCACTGGGAGACTCAGAAGCCTGCTCCTTGGGTTTAGTTTTACTTCTGGGATGGAGTTCTGGATGGTTTAAATTTCATTTGTTTTTTGGGCTGGTGTTTGGGTGTATTAGATACCATAATGTTATAACTATATCTTATATCTGATACTCAGACTAGACGGTAAATCTCCTTATATTCTGAAGCATATCCCCATATGTAAATATTTCATGCAAAATCTGGAACTTTACAAATCCTGAACATGTAGCTAGCTTAATCCTTATTCAATGGGCCTTTCTAGTGACTTAACTGCCTCATTTCAATGCTGCCTATCGGGCTGGCGGGCCCGCGGAGGCCGTATGCCCGCCGACTTGATATTTAAGGCAGTAACAGACCGTAATTTGTCTCGTCTTCCATTGCATCCAACAAGCTCATCATGGCCGAATATCCATCTGTTGAGCGTCTCACCCCGCTGGACTCGCTGATGCCAAACACATATATCAGAGCCCTGTTCACCTTCGCCACCACCGAGTCCCCTGCAAGGGTCTCTGCGAGGCTGCAACACGGCCTTGATCATCTTGTTCAGCAGCTCCCATGGATATCCGGTCGTATTGTCCCCAGAGACCCAACAAAAGGCAACGTCTCCGAAATCCACTTTGATTCAAACATCGTTCCGCAATTAGTCGACAAAGGGTTGATAACCCTAGAGTACAAAGAATTGTGTCAGCTTGGAATGCCACCCGATGCCATTCCAGAGTATGTCTGACCGGTCCCTGCGATGGGAGCTGTCTTTGGTGCCGGTGTCTTTCAGTTTGCGGACTGCGAGGGGATGGGACTGTGTGTTGCTGTCCATCACAGCGCGGTCGATGCGGATGGGTTTGCTGCTCTGGTCCGTCGCTGGGTTCAGTCCTGCAAGCCTTCTGATACACACCCAATGGCCCTTCAAGGCAGAAATGCGCAGCTTCTCAATGCACTCTCTGGTGATCTGGCTGCGATATTGCCTGTCTCGCGCGATGACCTACTAGCCCGACACCCGGAATACTCCAGTATCCCTTCATCCTTCCCAACCGAGTTTCCATCGTGCACGTCCAAAGTGTTCACAATCCCCATGGTCAACGTCAATGCCATCAAAGCGCATCTGCCCGCTTCCCCCTCCACTAACACCGTCCTCTGCGCCCTTCTGTGGACGGCAATCACTCGAGCCCGGCACTCACGCAATCCTCTCATCCAAACATCCAGCCGGCTAGCCATGGCCGTGAACGGCCGACGACGCATCAGCACATCCTTCTCCACCCCCGAAGATCCATACATGGGAAATGTCATTCTATACTCACTGGCCAACCTCCCCGTCCACACCCTCGTCCATCAATCCCAATCCCCGGAAATATACAATGCCATCGCGCAGTTCGCCGCGTCGTCTCGGATCAACGCCCGCCATATCGCCGAGGTGTACCGTCTAGCCGACTGCTCTGATCATCTCCATGTTGGCTGGGACTTGTTCAGCTCGTGTAATCTTACCATTACCAGTTGGGCGGATCTGGGTCTGTACGAGATGGACTTTGGTGGCTCTCTTGGGCGACCGACTTGCATCAGAGTGCCATATACCGAGGCAGATGGTGTTGGGCTTATCCTGCCTGCGAAGAATTCGGATGACACGGTGGAGGTGATGGTTATGTTGCGCCGGGATGATATGAATTTACTGGAGAAGGACAGACTGTGGAAGTCTGTTGTGGCTGTTTCCTGAATAATATTGTTTATTGTACCTATTCTTCTGTACTTCTGTATATGGTCTGGTCTATAGGGCTCATATCACATCAGCCATAGCCCTAACCCATCGCTCTCAGTTCTTCTTGATTTCTTTTTATCCCTTACAATAGTATCCTCAGAACTGCCGTTTCCTGGGAATGACCTTTGGCCAGTATATCACTGCGCATATCGTCCGCCTGCTGGACCGCCTCCGGGAGTCTGGTTGGCAGGTATGCATCTAGTAGATCCCTGGATATACAGGTGTATATAGAAATAAGAGAGTTAACAGCTACTAAAGATACTACTAGCACCCTAGACACCCTTCTAGGTCAGCACTTATAACAGCTAAGTACTAGCTTGTGGTAAGCAAGCTAAGTTTCCACTGCTTGTATGGCATTGGAAGAATCCTCTCCCTGGATTGTATTCGTGGATTATTCTATATCCCATAAACTAATCGTATATGACGATCCCATTCTCAGTTCCTGACATATGCCCGACTAGTCCCTCTGAACTCCAAATACGCCTCCGTAACACCACTCATATCAAGCCCCTTATTAGTCCGATCAGTACTAACCGACAACCTCCACGTGGTAAACGGACCCAGCGCCGCAATGCTATTCTTTCCCGCCATATCGCCAATATAGTGGTCATCCTGGATATTCTGCTTGCTGAAGACGTTGGCTGTACAGGCCTCGTTTAGGCTCTTCACCTTAGTGACGTCGTAATCGAACCCGATTATGACCTGTTCATGGGAGAATCGGAAAGCACTTTGATGGATATCCTGGATGGTGTCCTCGCCGGTGTGGATCAGCTCAATGGAGAGGAGTTTCTGACAGGTGACTGCGGCGTCTAGGTCCATGCCTAGTAGCCAGAGACGGACTTCGCTGAGTTAAATGTCTGTTCGGTCCCCGAAGATGGTATCGGTGTTGGGGTTTAGGCGGAGATATGTGGTATAGGCTGAGTTTGAGGTTTTTATTTTTAAAATTTTAAGTTTAGCTAGAGTGAGCTGTCGCATGAAGCCGTGCTCTTGGGTATCCTGAGGCCATGTGTTGTGCACGCTCGCTGTGTACTGTTCCAGTGATTCTCCAAATGCCCTGCGCAGCTTGAGCTGGGCATTAGCTAAAAAAGCAAAGTTCTGCAGTGGCATGGGGCTAAACGCACTGGGGTTTGGCTGGAGGCCCTAGTATTAAATGGCGCGGCTTTAGTAGTTGAGGGTTTGCATGACTTGCAGGCGAAGATTATCACGGACTTTGTGGAGCCAGAAGACCACAGATGGAAGAGATAGGTTGATATAGAGACCTTCCTGGCCTAGGTTCTCAATCTGCTTGGTGAAGTATTCTTCTGCTGTGAGTGACTTGGTGAGTAGCTGGATACAGCAGTTATTCTTCACTATGGCTTCGTTTCTGGTTTGTATGGTGACCATGTACTCATCTAAATCTTTGTTAATCCTATTAAGAGTGCTTTTTGGAATGACACCCTTGAACTTATCAAGAATCTTTTGGATATTTTCTGCCGTGGTGAGCACTTTCATTGAACCGGGATCATCCACCGCGATGGTGTTGTCCTTGTGGGTTTTGAATCCATCTATCAAGGACTTGAGCGTGTCGCTGCACGTGGTGGGCTGGTTAATGACTAAGTCCTTCTTTACAAAGTCTCCATTCTTGTTTTTCGCCCGCACCGGCCAGATTCAGGAGTGATGTGGGGTTTAATGAGACACCGACCAGGGCAGTCAATGAATCGAGGACCAGCTGTGGATCGAGCGAATATTGAAGCTCGACACGAGCAAGGTCCTTCTGTATATTTTCTTGTTGAGGCTTGAGGAGAGTGGTTAGACTAGCAATCCTGAAGATGGCTGTCTTGATTGGGCCGTTTTCTCCTATCAGCTGCTTGATCTTCTGTGTGGCGGTGTCTTTATTGGACTTCATGGTCTTAATACCTTCTTTAACATGTGTGGAAGTGTCCAGTTCATCCTAATAGGTAGCTTTATAGTCAGCTGTGATCTCCTCCTCCTTTTTAAGTGTCTCTAGGTATGCTTTCAGATTATCTTTATAGTATTGTGCCGACAGACGAGGCGCCCAGTCTGCAGTATGCCCCCCTATATCCTGGCCCAGTGTCAGTCTATTTAAATGGCATTTGGCCTGGCTGTAGATTAACTGCAGCTATGTAGACACTTCCATTGTGACCTTCCAGTCATCCTGGATCTGGCTGTAAGCAGCAGACAGTTTACTTAAATTATTCTTATTGAGATTAATCTTGGCTATAAAGCTCAGCTGTGTGATCAGCTGTTGATATAAAACTGCTGCCTTTTCCCGGTCCTTAGTGCGATTGGTGAAAAATGCCCTGTCTGCCTTGTTGAGCAGCATCTGGAATTGATTGGGGAATGTGAACACTTGGCTCATTTCTAGGTTGTGGACATTGCCATTTAAGCGTGCATTAGTCACTGCCATCGTGCCTTTGTCACTGTCTGTGCCTCTTGGCCCAGGCTTGTGAGCACCGGCACTGCTGCCTCCTTAACCACTGACTCCTATATCAATTAGTATGCATTGATACTGAATCAATAAAGGAAGAATTACCTGGGTCGCACTTGCACCGATAGCTGACTTCTTGTTGGAGATTGTTGACTTGGCCAGCCCATTCCATGGCCACATTGTCCACGACAGCCACCAAGTCCGAGTTTTCATCGACAGCGAGAGAAGCGGCTAGATTGGAAAGTTCCTGAATTATTGAATTGACGGAAGAGCTATCATCGCTCCTCGCCAGCTTCTTGAGAGTGGTGGCTGCCTTGTTCAATGAGTCCACCACACCGGTAAAACCATCATTGGGCAGACGTGGAGATGCAGCAGCCTTTAAGTTGTCCACCATCTGCTGCTGGACTCTTCGATCCTCGGCGGAGTTAAAAAGACCCAGGACCGTGGGAAGGCTTTGAAGACAGTTCTTCAAATTTGAATAAGAGTCGACTCTCTTCTCCCGCTCTGGATCCCGACCGTCAGGAACGCCAGCAGACACGACGTCCGTGGTAAGTGCGAGTATTTGCTCTGGCCAGGTTTCCTTCTCGGAATTGTATGTTAATCCAGTAAAAGATCGTCTGTCTTGTCAAAGCTAATCATAATCACCCCTGACTTATTGTATATAGCAAGAATGCCATCCTGAGAAGGGTCCCATATTTGTTTTGCTCTGTATTCAGGAGGAATTAGAATAATCTCCCGGTCTCCATATTTCACCCAATCCACATTGTGGCTGGTCACTGGGTTCACCTTTTGCCCAGAATCATGAACAGAATAGGTGATTATGCCATCCTTTCTTCTAGCATGAAGATATTTGCCATCCTCGGAGATTGCTATATCTTCTATTTTTTTGTCATGTCCAACCTTGTGCCCAGGCTCCCATACTTTGGTACCAGACCCTGTCTCCCACAGAGTAATTGATTCTCCTGCTGCTGCAATATGGCTGGCATCTTGGGAAAATGCAAGACAATTAGGAATGAAGTCACATGTTAGACGATGGATTAGCTTTACTGTTTGGGTATCGTAGATATTAATAGACACAAAAGATGCGACAGCTACAAGGCTTTCAACTGGTGAGAAAACTAGAGATCTTACTGGTGAACCAATTGACTGGATTGTCCATGAGCCGCCAGCTTGTAAGTCCCAGACTTGGACTCCATAGTCAGCCGCAGCTACCACGGTCATTCCATTCGGAGATATTGCCGCATGTTCAATACGATACAGTGTGCAGTTCAGTTGCTGTAAAGGCTCCCAAGTGCTCACATCCCAGACTGTCATTGGCCCGTTTTGATCTCTGAATAATAACCTTTTTGCATCAGTAGAAAATGCTAAACGCGGGTAGGATGCAGATGGATCAAATGGAAGCTTTAAGATTCGTAAAAGTGCCCCTGAACTTGCTTCCCACACCCGCAGTACATGGTCGTTTTGAGTGGCAGAAACAAAAGATTTACCATCTGAGCAAATGGCGATGCAATTAACTTTTGTTTGATGCAAAACATTCGCTTCTTTTGGGACTTCAATTGCCAAGTCCCAAACATTACATTCTTCGCCACGCATGCGGCCACAGCTAATCATGGATTTACCATCATTGGAGAAGGTAACGCTGGAAAAGAGATATCCAGTGCTTAATTCTTTGACCAAGGTTTTGGTGGCAACATCCCAGATGTAAATACTTCCCTCATCTCCAATAACGGCCACCTGATCACCTTTGGAAAGCCACTCCACATTCCAGTACCGGGAAGCAGTGAAATAAATGCCTTCCAGAGTTGCCATTTTCTTGCCCGTTGGTATTTCCCAAATATGGACTTGACCTTCGCTTTCTGATATTATAGCGACAGAGCTTCTGTCTGGAGAAAAGGCACACGGGAAGCCATCTTCCTCATAATCATCACGGCCAGAAACGAAGGTCTTATAGATTCCTCTGTCCCAGTTCCACAATTTAAGACTCCCACTGCGAGACTCAAACATGACAGTTTCTCCATCAGTGGTGAACATAAAGTTTTTTGGCTGAGGGCAATTGACAGTATGCGAAAAGTTCCCCTCAATTGTATCCCAGAGATAAACATGTTCATCGTCACCACATGCCAAGAACTTGCTATCAGGTGAGAACGCCATGACATCATAGCAATTGACGTCATAAGTCTTAGTTAACGTCCATGGATCTGCTGTATCTAGAGTCCAGAGATAGACCTCATAATAATCGGATATCGCCGCCAATTTCTTGTCATCAGGGGAAAATATAACTTTTTCCATCTCCGAAAAGCCTTGATAGATGTTTGACTCCCCAGTGGCTAGATCCCATAATCGAACTGTTGTGTCTCTAGAAGCAGATGCCAATGTCCTACCATCTGATGAGAATGACACATCGTTAACCTCATCTTGATGTCCTCTGAGCACTTGCAAACATCTCCAAGTAGATACATCCCACAGCCTGATTGTCTCGTCGTGAGATGCCGATGCAACCGATTTATTATCTGGGGAGAACTTGACACTGCTCACAATGTCTGTATGCCCCTGGAGGGTCTGCGATAGTGAATCCCAATTTTCTGTCACTCCTAGACATGTTTGAATCCATCTCGGGATTTCCTCTTCAAAATAATGTCGCACAATACTCCTTCGCGGTGTAAATAAGAGAGCAGATGTGTATAATTGCAATGGGAATTCTTCAATGGTTGACCGGAAAGTGGTGATGAAACGCTTCCCATCTTCCACAAATGCGTGCAGATCTGTACTTTTTTCTTCCTGTAACTTCTTGTAAGTATATATCCAGCTTTATACGATCAGATTGACTTACCAGAAGAGTAGAAATATAGGCGAGAAGGTCATTAAGTATAAGAATACCAGCAGGCGCTTTCCCCATTAGACACATGGCCTCTACCCAGTGAGTAAAATGCGCTTTGAGAAATGTATGGATAGTACCTCCATCACAAGCCACAATATAACTCTCCTGAAGATGACTGACCCAATAGCAACACGCATATTTTACATGATCCGGGAGATATTCATCCAGTCGATCAGCCCCCACTTGACTATACCGAGTGTTGACCTTCCTAAGATGGCACAAATCTCGTTTCAAGGTGCTGTCCATGATGTGCAAACACCACTTGAAAACATTTCCGTGGGCTTTCTTTTCATCAATCCAGAAATCATCACCAGATCTCTCTTGATCGACAAGGAAATCACGGAATGAGAGATGGAGCAGTTCGACTGAATGGTCACTGTTTTCAGGCACTGCCAATACCGGCCCAAGACAGTCCAACAATTTTCGGATCGCATACAGCATATCCTCTTCTTTATGCTCCTCGAGCAGTATGAGTCTAGCCAACACGGAGATAGGCACTGAATCGAACATGATCATAATTGACCCGACAACATCATGAAACAATGAAAGCTGCTTCTTCTTCTCTGCTTCAGTCATTCCTTCAGTAACTTCGGCCTCGAGGATTTCAATATACAATTTATCAAGTGTCTCCTGAGGCCCAACGATGTCGTTCTCCAGGATCGTCTGCATGCGATCACTCACATTAATCTTGGGATTATAAAACCACCTGCAGATAGTAGCTGCAAAGATGAAAAGTCCATCCGCTTTCAACACGAGTTTCTCGATAGCTTGATTCCCAGGCCAGGTATCCTCCCGTTCATGATAGTCTCTGATACTCCCCATCTCGTGCTGGAAGTAGAGATGAAGGTCTGTTGGTGAGTTGTCGCTATTCGAGAGAGAAATCTTCTGAAGCGTCTCATTTTCCTTTTCGTCACTTGTTAATTTTCCAAATCGGGATTGTATCTCATTTGTCGAGCGACTTGTGATCAAGACTCGCATCCTGAGTGATTTAATGTTTTTCAGCTGGCCAAATAGATTCAGTATGATCTTTACGTTGAGATTTCCAAATTCATCTATAGCCTCGCATTCATCCAGAGCATCAACAACGATGACGATAGTCGGATGCGAAAAGAATCTTTCTTCCAGATCTCGTAGAGGTTGGCGGATTAATTCACCCCATTGGTTTCTCAGATGCTCACTGGCTATATCGTTGTTTCTCCTAATGGCATTGCAGATAGGTTCAACAAGATCTGGCAGGGACTCGGCCAGATTACTCGCGAGCGTGGGGAAAAACGCTTTCGGGTTATTGCGCTGATTATCAGTCCTTTTAAAGAAGAAGTTAGCCCCAAGGTAGGCATCATTGGGCGATTCCTTGTCCACCAAGTGCTCCATCTTGTGGAGCTTTGATGCCACAGTCCGAGCAATGGTGGACTTTCCTGTCCCTGCCATGCCATGCATCCAGAAGATAGGCGGTGCATAAGGGTTATCGATCCAGTCTTGGATTCGGCTGAGCATGTCCACTTGTGTGCCTGGTAAACATTCAATATTGCCTTGGTCTCCGGAATCGAATGCAGAATTTTGTACAGCATGTAGTTTTTCCAGAAGCTCTGAATTCTTGATAAACTGAGGAAGATGTTAGTAAATGTATACAGCGTCGCCTCGAGTACGGGACATGTTACCTTTGTGTCCTCTTTGATGTTATCAACCTGGGAATGGATCTCATCAACTGTTTCCTTCACTTGTAAAGTGGCACTCTGCGACAGACATTCCAGCTGTTTGAATATGGTTCCATCCAGATCTTGTATCTTTCCAACCATGTCTTTCCAATCATCGACGGGAGCAAGGTCTCTCAGGAATTGAACAAACTTGGAACGAGAAAAGCTTTTAGCGAGACTCATTTGATACTCTAGTATGTGAGTGTACATCTTCACAACATTTCCCTCTAACGAGTTTCTGTATATTGTATCGCGTGTAGATTTCCTACCACTTGTTAGTATATTATTTCTGCCTTAGGTCTATCTTGACATTACTTTTCAGAGTCCCGAGAGTGACTGGGAAGCTGATGCTCTTCTATGGATTGGTACTTTATCATGATTTCTGATATGGTACTCAATCCCTTGACAGCCTCTTCCGCTTGAGTTATGGGGTTCAAGAAGACCTAGATATTCATCAGTTAGAGTCTAAAAAATCAAGTATAGAGACACCCACTGGTAAAATGACCAACACGCCAGCCCAAGCCAATGCCGCATGGGGCTCACTGGCAATCGCTGCAGAGATGACATCCTTCACCTTTACAATCCCATGGACAATATGGCGGATTTCATCCTTGACAACAATCTTCTTATCTCGTATGGTCACAACCAATTTTCTCGCCTCTATTTCGTCCAACTTTTGATTGACAAAGTCTTGTAGCTGCTTCTTTCGCGCCTCTGGATCTGTCCCGTCATCATGTCTGTCTGCGAGTCCAGATCTCAACAGGCCTTTTTCGTAAGATGCAATAAGCGCTGGTTCTTTTTGCTCGAACTGCTCATAAGCCCTTTTCCAAAGGTCTGTCCGTGTTTTCAACTCCTTGTAATCAATTACGATTTCGTCGGCTTTTTCAGTATTGTTTTCCTTATCGTTCGTTTCATCCATTGAATCCAGTCCTTTTGTATCATCTGTTACATCTATGTCATTTGTTTCATTTGTTTCGCTCGTTTCGTTCAGCCGGCTATCTGGACGTGGCTCTTCTGGTTGTTGAGGCGGCACATTCTCTTGAGGAAGGGCAAATTGTTCCCCAACAAGATTTTCCACTTCAACTTCCTCTTCTTTTTCCTTTTCCTTTCTTTTGTATTTTTGTTTCGATCGTTTAAGACAAGGCAGCCCGATTTTCTCACGGAAACGGTATCTTGTCATTGTAAATTTGTAATCTTGTACCGCAAGATCAAAAGGTTGACCAAACAGAGCGTGTAGTAATTATGTGTATCCTGTGTAGCAAGTAGCCAGGTTGATTAACAGGAGAAACGGCCACAGATAGGAAAAATTCCCACGGCGGCAAGCGAGCGATCGAACGAGGCTGACTGACGTGTTCATTCAAATCAGACGTGCAGCTTTAGTCTCCATTTGAGTCTAGTGATTACCGGATTTGTCGTTGTACATATAGCAGGGGGGTCTTTTCCCCACTTCTGGTCGAATCTACCTGGTTTTACTGGCACAGCTAGGACATAGAACCTTATATTTATAGAGGACCAACTAGATCTACAATTAAGCTCTATTTTTATAAAATTGAGGAACCATCGATTGTTTTTTCAATGCAATGGTACCATAGAAGATCTTCGGTTCCAAGGCCCGACCCGCTTCTGTATGCAAGTTCATCACATTATCACACATCCCCTCTTAATCTGAGTCATAGATTAGTATGGACAGGCTTGTTATTATCAACAAAATGGAAGTTATTCGATGTATAAGAATGGCTTTACAAGCGTGGGATCACAATAGACATGTTACATACATTTCTATACAGCAATAGGTCGACAGATCGACCTGAAGTAGCACGTTAACACTATCATTCATTATTTGTGGACTGGGGTGGAGTGTACCAGCCTCCAGCAAGCGCCGACTGAAGCATTCTTCGGCTTTCTCAATTGTTTCGCGGGACGTACCCGTATTTATCCTAGACCACTTAATACGGAAGTAAGCCATCATAAATTTAATAATCTTGATTTGCTGTTGCTCAAAAGGTTACTACCATGTGAAGGTTGACCAGACCCTATTACACCAATTAGTGAGGTCACCATGAAGTACTCGTGTCTAAGCTGCCTGAACTACCAACTGCCAAGAAACCAGGCTCTCTGAAACTCTTGGATTTAAGGCTTGGTTCATGGAACTGGTTATTGCTCTCCGGGGTACTGGTAGTAGCAACCTTCGGGTGTCTGTGCATGCTCGCCGTAATCTGAAAACAAGCTCCCTTAACCACGAGTACTACAAATCATATGTCGCGAAATTTGCCCAATTGGATATAATACGGATGGGCTTATAATATCACAAGTGTATAGTTGCTTTCATGTATGAGTAACCCCGGGCTTTTGCTCAACCTGGCCCCATGACGTCACGTCATTCAATCCTGAAAACGCAAGCATTCCGTGTACACAGGTCACGCGACCGCAGTCCACATGCCAACCACATAATTACATGGAGCTTTCACTCTAGATTTCAAGAGTGCTACATTAAATAAGTACAGGCAGATTGTAGTCTCTTGGATCATTTTGTCTTCGCTGATCATCACTTTTGATCATCCCTCTCAATTTTTCAACCTATCATCATGCCCGAACCAACGTCCACACATGCAAGAGAAACCCGCGAGAGAAAGCCATACACCAAGGCTGCGGAAGAGAACAATGAGACTGTTGTGGTTGCCGAGAAGAGCTACATCACCAGCAAGCGGCTCCCAGCAATCTCCCTCGCCGACACCGTAGGAAACCCTGGTGTTGCGCGAGCTAACGCAGCGTTGTCTGTAGAAAAACCCGAGGGCGACCTAGAATGGGCCAGAAAATGTGACGGTTATGTATGGATCGGAACTATGATTTTGTTGATATCTATTGCCATTGTGCTGAAGCTGATGATATATAGTCGCCTCTTCAGCAGCACATCCTTTTCTGGGATCGCGATGGGGATGGGATGATTTACCCTTGGGATACCTACATTGGGTTTCGGGAGCTCGGCTTCAACATTTTATTCTCGATACTTGCGACCTTCATAATCAACGTCAACTTCTCCTACCCCACACGCCTAGCATACTCGTGGTTGCCTGACCCATGGTTCCGAGTTTATATAACAAGCATTCATAAAGCTAAGGTGAATAATTCAGAAACTGCGGTAAATTAGAGTCAACGGTAAAGCTAACGGCTAGATCAGCATGGTTCAGACAGTGGCGTCTACGATCCAGAGGGTCGTTTCGTACCGCAACTCTTCGAGAATTTGTTCTCAAAATGGGATACAGATGACGATGGAGCTTTGACACTTCGAGAGCTTTTCCAGCTAATGCACGGCCATAGATGCGCCGCTGATCCCTTCGGGGTAGGTTTTCAATCTGGGCAGTCATTTTTGACAAACGCTAACGATTTTGCAGTGGTTTGCAGCGGTTTTTGAATGGGGTACAACCTGGCTTTTGATTCAAAAGGATAACAAAGTACAGAGAGAGGATCTACGGGCGGTATATGATGTATGGCAACTTGTTCGAATTGTTGAGGGATATGGCTTGACTAACAATTGCTAGGGCTCGCTGTTCTGGAAAATAAGGGAAACAAGGAAGACTCCAACTGGCTGGACACAGGGTTGGGGCTTAGGAGGAGATGGATTTATCGGAGGAAAGAAGTTGCTCGCATAACGGGATGCGCCTGTTTCACTGAAGCCGTTGATGTAATGAACTAGATGCTCAAAATGATACTTGAATCTGAATTTTTGAACTTATCCACTCATTCTCATGAACCAGAGCCTAGTCTTGGTTTTCCGTAGCAATTCTATTCAGTAAATCTATTCCAAGCTCAATGGAAATGGTGTCAGGGCGCTATATCTTACAGAATTGCTACTGCTCGGGCTCTGGAGTACTATCTGCCTTTTTAGTTTGGGTACTGAATATGTGAGTCTAGGGCCTTCCGAATTCATCATGCCCCAACATGAGCTACTCATGTGGTAAGATATATCGCTGACTGTTAATGCAGCTGTTGCTGGCATCATAGTTATATCATGAAGTTAAAAAAACTGCCGGATATAGTGAAGGCGAGATGATGTGTGACGACCCGCTCTTTATTGCAACGCATATAAAGACAAGAATTATCCGTCCAAGCAATAAGTGCAAGTTATTCTATTATTACCGTTTGTCTGAACAGACTCACTCACCTGACAACATGTCTACGGAAGAAAGGCTCAACCAGATGCGTGGGTACAAAGCGTAAGTGTCGACTTGAAACAACATATCATATGTCCAAGGTAACCTTTTGCAGCACTCTGAGCAACCCCAACGTCTCCGAAGAAGCGAAGCAAAATGCACAAGCTATGCTCAATGAAATCGGTGGTGACCGCCCGCGCGACGAGCTATATGAAGCCAGGGGCGATCAAAACAAAGATCCAATGAGGGTTTCAGCTGGGCTTAAGGCGTGAGTGAAATACGGAAGTTATTGGAGGAGTATCGTACGTATACTGATGGCCCTCTATTTAGTGCGCAGCACAATCCTGGTGTGACGGAGGGCGGGAAGCAGAGAGCTGCTGAGGAAATGCAGGAAAGGCATGTTCCGGAGGAGTAATATCGTCTTTGGTCATCCAATATGTAATACAGGCACGAGGGTATAAGTGGGAAGGAGAGAATGCGATATGCATTGAGGGTAGCAGTTATTATTCAAAAGTGTACCATGAAAATAACAAATCATATACATTTCCTCGAACCCTTGCTTTGTGGCTATTTGCAGTTTTGGACCACCTACTTGGTGTTGGGGACAAATAATCAAGAATGGAATATTCGTTGAACTAAACTACTTTACTATTGGTTGTCTTCAATTTTATACATACCGTGGTTTAATTATACATACTGATGGTTCTGGACTGGACTCCCGAAGTGTCTTTGAATTTAGCTTGTATTTTGAATTGCGAAACCACGCATGATTAGGCTCCAAAAGATAAGTAGAACTTCGGTCGCTAGACCAAAAAAACAGGAAAATAACATGTTTCTAGCATTTCTGGAGTCTGGGGATATTTGGTCTGCTCTTCCTACAAGGATACGTCAATGTCTCGTCATTATGGCTCTCTGACTAATAAGTTACGAAGAACTTACCTCACACTGTCGTACTCGATCGTTTTGCTCTCGCTTCATCTAAGGGCCTGTAATAGAGCCTCCTTCCATGCATTCTAGGTATTGACGTAAGGCTAGCAAGTTGGAAAACATATAACAGCCCGTATGCGACAAAAGGATATGCAAGAATTCCTCCATCAACATATTTTTGTTTTATTTTAATTTATTCTTATTGAACCTTCGAGTAAATACCATGTCTGCTCAAGAAAGTAACCAGAGCTTTAAGCTCGAACACCTTTTCAATCTGAAGGGCAGAGGTGAGTTGCAAAGGTTAAACTGGCTTTCTCTAACTGTGGTGTCACTGACACAGTGGATAGTCGCTCTTGTCACCGGTGGAGGGTCAGGCATTGGCTTGATGGCCACTCAATCTCTCGCCGTCAATGGTGCTAAGGTCTATATCACTGGTCGCACAAAGGAAAAACTAGACCGTGTTGCAGAGATATACTCGAAGGATATTCCAGGCCAAATCATCCCGATTGCTGCCGACGTCACCTCGAAGGAGTCGATTCAGAAGCTTGTCGACGAGATATCCGCCAAGGAGTCGAAACTGCACATTTTGATCAACAATGCCGGTATTAGCTCTCCAACTCAGGACACAGACCAAAAGGACCCCAAAAAATTACAGGAAGCGCTGTTCAAAAACCAGAGTAAATTCCAGGAGTGGGAAGAAGTTATGCGCACCAATGTCGCTCAGCTTTTCTTCGTGACCACTGCTTTCCTCCCCTTACTGAACAAGGGTACAGAGGAGAAGCGCGGCTGGTCTAGTACTGTTATCAACATCTCGTCGATCTCAGGCCTCGTCAAAACATCCCAGCATCACTTCGCCTACAACGCTAGTAAGGCAGCTGCTGTTCATCTAACTAAGATGTTGGCTCATGAGATTGTTTCCTCGGAACTCAAAATTCGCGTGAACAACATCGCTCCCGGGGTCTTCCCGTCCGAAATGACGACTGAAGGCAGTGATGAGAAACAAAAGAGCACAATCCCAAAAGAAAAGTTCGAAGGCAAAGTCCCCGCTGCGCGACCAGGGAAAGATGAAGACATAGGAAGTACTGTTCTATTCACTGTCTCAAATCAATATCTCAATGGTCAAACAATTGTTGTGGACGGTGGATATTTGCTGGCAACTGGCACACTCTAATATACTATTTCAAGAACATATGTATCACGCCTAAAATATCATGGCAGATTAATTATTCCAATCCAATCATTTCATGTTTCGCGATGTTTATAAACATGCCATACCCCATCGGCTTATTGGTCGGTAGCTATGAAGTTATACTCTTTCGTCACTGTCGTAGTACTTTTCCAGTAATCTTATATTGAATGGAATTACTTTCCTCTAGGCTAACAAGTTCAGGCGTACTTTCAAATTATTGGTCAAGGACAAGTATTGAAAGACTGTCTTTAGAAAGATATTATAATTGAATCCTTCTAATCTATTAAATCGAATACAATAAGAACCCCAACACTAGAACAAACCAAAAACTTTATAAAAAGGGTGAAGATAGGGACCTAAGCCGCGTGGACCTGGCATCTTCTTGCCATGAGGAGCAGCCCATTGCCAAACATAGACAACATGTGGCGCATGGCCTGACTCCTCAAGAGCAAGGTTTACGAATACGTATCATTATAATTCAAACATCCACGCTGTCTGGTTTCTATTGAGTAAAAGCAATGTTGAGAGCAAAGTTTCGACTAGTAGCTGCAGTATGTACCTGCTTCCCACAACAGTTTGATATTGATTGGTTTGAAGTAGTGAAAAGCAATACTTCTGCCATATCCTTTTCTTTACTCGGATATTCAGCCGGAACATCGCTCAGTTCTGCCATTTTGCTTCCTTTTGGCTTCCGTACCCCAAATGAAATGATCTTATATACTTGCGCTCCAGTCAGCAATTGCGTCGTCTCCAAACTTCTCCTTAATAAGTCGTTCACTCAAATCCCAAAGAGCGGCTCCTAGAGTAGAATCAGAAGCTTGAGCAGATTCCTTGCCCTGTTTGCCAGGGTCTGTAAAATAGTATCCATTCAATCTTTTATTTTCAATCTCTGGACTCGTTGCGGCCCACAAAGCGCTGAATGAGCCTTGTTCAACATCACGCCCCACTGCAAGCATAGCTGCCGTGATAAGCTTTCCCGTCAGATCCGGGTAAGCGTCCTTCCATTGATGCTGCATGGCGGTATTGACCTATACTAGGTTAATCATGACGCAGGGTTATTTCCATATCTTGATGAACTTACAGCACCTGGATGCACCGAGAGCGCGTAGATATTGTCCTTGTTCGGTTTGATAACGCGATCTACAAGACCGTACTTGACCCCTAGGATGATTGCAAGTTTGGATCTGCCGTACAGTTGAGTAGGATCAATTTTGTCGTTATTAATTTCATCAATTGAGGCAAAGTGAACTTCTTTTGGTGCGGCACAATGCTGCTCGGATGATTCGAATACAATCCGGGGGGCAGGTGTGTCAGGGAACTTGGATGTTTTATGAATCAGTGGGCAAAGCAGGTTGCAGACATAAAACTGGCCCAGCCAGTTTACTTGGAAATGACGGTCGATTCGGTCATTCGTCTCACCATCCTGGTTTGCATTGATACCAGCGGATAGCACCAGCTGAGTACATAAGTTAATGGGAGACATTGAGGCGCAGGGTGCATTTTCCTACCAAATCAAGTCGCTTTTCTTCGGACGTAGCTTTGTGAAAATTTCCTTGGTCTGCTTCAAGTCTCCCATGTCGCATGGGATCCATTCAATATCCGCATCATTGCCCGCTTCTTTTTTAATGGCCTTAATTGCTTCATCACCTTGGTCCCCTTTTCGATTGACCATGATCACACGGGCGCCATTCAATACAAACGCCCGAGATATTTCATAGCTACCTTCCTGTTAATAAAAACCGAAGCCACATCGGTGTATTCCAGAATACCTAGTGCTCCGCCTAATACAATAGCGACCCGGCCCGTAAAGTCACTGTTCTCTTTTTTAGGGCCAATGACTGGCTTAAGTGCTGATTGCATGATGATACGCGTCCCTAAGGTGAATTAAGTGGATTAGATAGTGAAATGTCAAGAAGATAACAACTTGACAGTATGGATTTATTGTGTTGTTTATATTATGGATGTTTGGATAGTGAATCTACGTCATATGCTTGTAAATGACGGTCAGGGGGGCGATAAAGTAAGTGGAACCTATAAGTCACATAACGTTATCGACTTGCTTCGAGAAGGGCTGATATATCTTAAAACTTGGAAACGAGCTCAATGTATCAAGTTCATAAAGATTACGCAGAAAATAATGGCCATCATAATGACTTCAATGTGCTCTTGACGAATGCAGATAGGGTTTGGCGTCGCATATAAATATGCAGTCAATCTTCTGTACAACACACTGATTATCCTACTCAACCGCACAATACTTCATACTCCTTCAACCTCATCAATATCTTATACATATCAAAATGACTGATAATCGCAACCCCGGTAATTTCGCCAACCGGCCTCACGAAGAAGTCGAGAATATTGCTCGGCAGGGTGGACAGTCTAGCCACCAGGGAGGGTTTGCTTCGATGGATCCCGGCAAGCAGGTTAGTAAAAGCATTCATAACCGTCATACCACTATTGCTAAGGCCCGTCTTAAGAAGGACATTGCTTCGAAGGGCGGTCACGCTTCAGGCGGAAGCTTCCAGCCCGGTGACGAGAGAGCCAAGGAAGCAGGACGAAAGGGAGGCCAATCATATGACCAGCCAGATGAATAGGGCGGTTCATTGTCATTATGCTTGAATTTTGATCACGACTCAAACTACAAGCCGCGTTTGTTGTAACAAAAAGTATAATAAATCTAATCTATGTCAGCAGTCAATAGTTAAATATTATATGTACACGGAAAAGTTTTTGAAAATCACACATTTCTTTTGTGTATGAAAATTGATTCGTGAATCACTATTTAGTATAAATATATATTTGCTAATCAGGCAGTTTTGTGATACACATGCCTGCTCAAGTCTTCATTGCGTCTGCGGACATATACAGCCATCGATGTCTTTCAGCAGACCTATTACAGAAACACTGATATCTTTAGTGTTCACAGCCTGTACTGGAGAACATACAGTAGGCCTTACTTACCACTTAAGAAAAGCCTTCAAAAGCTTTCTGAAGTTGCCTTTGTTCGAAAGTAGCAGATAATGTGAAGTTGGCTTCATGCTATTGACGTCATGAAAGTGGGTCTGCCATCTATTTTAAGTGTCAACCTAACAATACATTCTTTTTGTGATTGGTTATAATGAATTAAACACCAAAACTGAGCAATCTTACGCTTCTCAATAAATTTAGCCTGAAGGACATGACATGTAGCACAAGGCAGGTTTTGCTGATCCATGATAACTTTCACATTGTGGTAATTGTTCTGTTTACATTGGTTGGAGACGGGAGGGGCAAATGGTCATTACTTGGAATTGAGATGAATCATCCTGACGCCTCACCACGCTGCACTTCAGCTAGGTCGTATGTTTTTGAGCTGTACCTGAGAAAGAATTAGCAGGTTTCTGGCACAGCTTGTACCTTGCGCACCATCTCCCGACCAAATTTAGTATTAAAGGGAGGTGTGATCCAATTTTGAGCTTTTGTGGGTCCATCATGACCTCACCATCAGTGCATCATGAATTCATCATCCGGGGGCAAATTTTAGCAGCCAATCTACCATCAAGCTACATCTGCTTGATTGATAAACTTTAGACCTGTTTTGAAAGGCTCTCCGCCACCTATCTTCTGCTACACTGGATAAAACTTCCATGTACACTCGAGATGTGTTCTACGCCCTCTTCTGTTGATGTATTAATAGTCGGAGCCGGTCCAGCAGGGCTCGCGGCTGCATGCTCGGCAGCCCAATACAAGATGTCTACCCGGATAATTGACAAAAAAGAAGGTCGGACCGAAACTGGCCACGCTGATGGAATTCAAAGTCGGACGTTAGAGATACTGGAAAGCTTCGGGATACTCGACCCGATCTTGAAGCAGGGGATACACGACGTCGACATGTCCCATTGGGTAAGGAAGAGGAAGTCTCAGGTGATCGACGCAGAACTGACTGTTTAGGTAACAAACGAAAAGACAGGCAATATTGAGCGACGCAGCAGATACGGGGCAGAGATCTGGGAAAGACTCAAGATTTGGGCAAGTTCTGCTTAACCAAGGGGCCGTTGAACAGGCATTCATTGAACATCTGGACAAGAAGGACATTCACGTGGAGTGGCATAGAGAGGCTGAATCATTACATTTCTCTCCTGACGCCGGTGGCGATACACAACACTTCCCAGTCAATGTGGGAGTCAAAGCTGATGGGAGTAACGGTATGTAGTCGCCGCAGGGGACTTTCCTGTGGAAATGGCCCGTAAAATGAAAGTCTAAGGCTAAGCATATGGTTTGGAGGAGGTAGAAACTATTCATGCGCGATATCTGATTGCATGCGATGGCGCGCACGGTTGGGTCGGGAGCCAGCTCGATGTGCAGTCAGATGTCGCTTCAGAAGAGTCAACTTGGGGTGTGCTAGACATCATTCCCATAACCAACTTCCGTTCGTGCATATCCCCTGTGCAGAACTCATTGACTAACCAGGTGCTTTAGCCGACATTCGTCATTCATGTTCCATAAACTCTCAGCCTCACGGAAGCGTTATGACACTGCCTCGGGAGAATAGACTAGTTCGGCTTTACATTCAGCTTCGAGAAGACTTGGATGAGAAAGCTCTGCAACACCACACTAGTTCTCCTCGGGCCATGGTAGAAACAGCCGAGCAGCTAATGAAACCATACAATTTGACGTATAAGTACTGTGACTGGTGGTCTAATTATTCAGTAGGTCTGATAAAATCATTATGAGCACTTGCATGTTCTATATGTTGACGCAGGATCCAAGATAGGCCGACGCCTTGTCAAAAATTTCAGACCTCATGAACGGTAAGTAACGGGTCACAAGATACAAGCAACTTACTTATTTTCTTGGAGTGTATTTCTCACTGGGGATGCTGCGCATACCCATTCGCCAAAGGGAGGACAGGGCATGAATGTATCCATCCAAGACTCATACAACCTTCTATGGAAAATTAGAGCAGTAATTGCCAATGGAGCGGATCCCATTATACTGGAAACGTATGAAACTGAACGGCGCCCAGTCGCTGAGCAACTGATGGAGCTGGATTCCCAGCTTGTACACGCATACGAGAAAGAGCAAAAAGATACCTCGAGCGGCATTTACGAAGTTCGCGACCAGCATGCAGGTTTTATGGCTGGTGTCGGCGTGGTGTATGCCCATAGTGTCTTGATCGCCCAGGAAAGGAATTCCAAACCTGCAAGAAATCTTCAACTGGGCATGCGCTTACCATCTGTCCTTGTTGTCAATCAATGCGATGGGATAGCTCTACAAATGGGAGAAAGGCTTATGAGTGACGGATCTTGGAGACTCCTGGTGTTTCCGGGTGACTTACGCCAACCGGAAAGAATGGAATCTCTGGCTTATTTTACTGACAGCCTAAGCAAATGTTTACGTCCGGTCTCCTTGCAACGGAAACAGGATCCGGAATGGCGCTGCCCTCTTGTTGAGTTGCTCCTCATACAGTCAAGCCCTCGGAGTGCAGTCAATATGCTAGATCTTCCGGAGCTTTTCCATCCTTTTGATGATATCAAGGGGTGGGACTACTGGAAAGTGTTTACTGACGACAGAGAACAGGCTTACACCGGATACGGTATTGATGAGGGCGGTCCAGGATGCCTGGTACTATGTCGGCCGGACCAGCACATCGCATGGATAGGCAGTATGGGGGATACGGCTGGCTTACGGAAATATTTCTCTGCCATTTTTGAAATGCCTACTTAGAGCAAGATATTCATATATAGATAGTCTTGCGTACTGTTGGGCAGCGAACCCCGATACCAAGCACAGATATCCAGTTTTGTTCATCTTTACGCAGCACCTGAGAGAGAATCCAGCACCCCGTAACTGTGCGCAACCTAATAATAAATCAAAGAACTTTTTGTACTCGTAGAGCCTATTTAGTCGACATAAGTACGGAAGTCAATTTGCTAAGACTGTTGGTATTAAAGCGACACCCGGGTTTTAAGAACGTGGAATACTCTCCCATTACTAGGTAAGGAATTGTACATTGCGCCATCTGAGCAAGCATCCTATCTAACGAGACTTCCTGCTAGATAATTCTAAATTTATTGATACAAGCGATAGTTAAGGGGTCTCAGAGTTCCCTGCACGAGCTCGCGGTTACTTCATGGAGCTTTGTCCTCGGCATAAATTGACGTATAGATTCTGTTTAAAGGGCCACAAATGATTGGGTTTGCCTATCTTATTCAGGTCAGAACTCAGCTAGCTTTTTTTCTTGTGAGAACACGTATGCTCTAGGAAAACTTCAACGTCTATTATCTTTAAATATCGATTCTAGGAACATGCTATCGGCTTCTAGGAGCTCAAAGTCCTCCAGGAACTATACCTGGCCTGCCATATATGATGAAAGGGAGCAAATAATGGGGAGCCATTTTATTATATATGAATATCCAACAGTGTAGTACAATACAGAAAATGCAGACTTTTATAAAAGGATCATACACTCAGCATGGCAGACCCGTAATAGGGGTATCTCATGACACATTATTGGTAGTAAATAGCTGGCATCTGAAGACATGAACCGCATTGTTGGAGAATCCATGGTTCTCAACCCCGGTTCTTCATCAAATTATCACGCTAAATAGGATTAAGAAAGTGATCGACTACCAGCGGGTTAGGGCCGAACGGATAGACCAATGGTTGATCCGCTTTTCTGAGTTAATTTCCACCTTTTACGGCATCAGTGTGGCCCTTTAAACTAGCCTATGATAAGAGGTTCCAACACAATTCGGACTCTTTTTCCTGGCTTGATGTGCTAGCCTATATAGACGCGGATCGGCGATATCTACGCCGATCACAAATAATACGAGATCCGGCCCCGCCGAAGGCTTCAGATCAGCATGAAATATCGTCAAGGTCTGTTTGTGGAAGCTTTCCCGTCCTCTCATTATATAAAGGAAAATAGGGCGTGCAATAGCAGATTCGATCTTGATAGTGTCGGTTATTGCACCCTTTGCTTGAATACATTCTTTTTTCCCCTTCAACCTCGTCACTCTTTGATTTGTTTTGTTCCCAGTCGCTCTTTTTGGACTCTTTGAGTCCGGCCATTCATTTTCTTTTCCAACATGGCCCCTCTTCGCCTATGGCTGGGCGCTTTGCTAGCAGCCCTGCCGGTGGCTTTGGCAGGACACGGCGACCCTATCGCTCAGAAATACATTGTCGAGTTTTCTGATTCCAAGACTGTCCGTCCATGCGTCAATTCTGTCCTTTCAAGAGGCACCAGTTATACTAATTTTCTAGTTTGTATAGTCATCTACCAGCTTCGTCTCTACTCTTAATGACCACGGCATCCCCGCCAGTCTTAACCACGACCTGTCCTTTGCTCTTTTCCACGGTGGTTCCTTCACACTATTAGACGACAACCAGAACGAGGAGACCATTGTCAAACAGATCTCCTCATGGTCTATGGTGAAGAAGGTCTCCCCTGTGCGGGAACTGCACCAGCCTCAGCGAGACGTTTCGAGTGTTGCCCATGGCCCGCTGGCCCATCTTAGTGCGGCCTCTCATGGTCTTCGACGACGTGCCACTGGGGGCGACGAAGACAACGACTACCCTCAAGTTATGACCGGAGTTGACAAGCTGCGCCAGGAAGGCTACCTGGGATCTGGTATCCGCGTGGCGGTCGTGGACTCAGGCATCGACTATAAGCATCCCGCACTCGGAGGCTGCTTTGGTAAGGGCTGCCTGGTGGAATTTGGTTTCAATTTCCTGGACAACACTACCGACCCGTGGGAAGGCCACGATGGACACGGTATGTCCTCATCCTAGCCATCGGTGTAAATCTTTTCGTTAACTGGCTAAGGAACTCATGTCTCTGGACTGATTGCCGCTCAGCCCAACCCATATAACTTCACTGGTGTGGCCCCTAATGTGACTCTGGGTCACTACAAGGTTCTTGGAAAGCAGGTCGTGAAAACTGGTACTGATATCGTCACCGCCGCTTTCAAGAAGGCCTACGAAGATAAAGCCGACATCATCTCCGCCTCCTTCGGCTCCTACAAGGGCTGGAGCGATGAGCCGTGGGGGCAATTGATCCAGAAGCTGGCTGAGGACGGCCTTCCCACTTTTATTGCTACTGGCAATGATGGAAGCTACGGTCTGTTCCTGGCCTCGAATGGTGTCGACAATTCTGCCGGCATTGGCATCGGATCTGTCAACAACTTGTATAGCCCTCTGCTGCTGACCGGAGCTACTTACTCAACCCGAAACACCACCAAAGAATTTGGCTGGCAGCTGGCGGGTACCTCCGACTTCAAGAATGGCAGCTACATCCTATATCCTAGCAGCCTCAATGCATCGGTCGTCGGCGATTCCTGTGAGCCGTGGACGGGTAACCACCCGAACATCTCCAACAAGATTGTTCTGATCCGTTACGGTGGCTGCCGTGGCAGTGTGCAGCAGGCTAACGCGGTCAAGGCCGGTGCTAAGAATATCCTGTTCTACAACAATGAGCCTGAAACCTATGAGCTCCCGGTCCAGGACCCTGCTCTCACGGGCTTGGGAATGGTTTCCGCCCAGACCGGAGAGAACTGGGTGAAGCTTGCTGCATCTGGGGCCAATATCACCCTACACATGATCAGTGAAAAGTCCGCCAAAACCATCTTCATCAATGAGACCAACCATCAATCGGGCGGGCAAATCAGTCGATACAGCCAGTGGGGTCCCAGCAATGAGATCCTCCCTGTGACCGCGGCTTCGGGAGTCGGTGGATCTATGCTGTCAACATGGCCGGTCCTCGAAGGCGGCTACGCCGTGGAGAGCGGTACTTCGATGGCGACCCCCTTCGTTGCGGGTTGCATTGCTCTCCTGATGGAGGCTCGCGGCAAGGGCAAGGTGACCCCGGCTGAGATCAAGTCTCTGCTGTCGACTACGGCCAACCCTGGTTTGTTCCATGACGGCGTCACCGCATCACCCATCCTGGGATCGGTGGCGCAGCAGGGCGGTGGTCTTATTGATGCCCACAAGCTTGTACACACCACCACACAGTTCAATGTGAGCACCATCTCGTTCAATGACACCGAGCACATCACCCCAGCCTATATACGCATCAACAACACCGGCATCTTGCCACGCCTTTACACTATCGGTCACGTCGGCGCTGCTACCGTCTACACACTCCCCGACAATAGCTCCATTCCCCAGAAGAACAACCTCGGCGATTTCGTGGACCACGTCAGCAATGGAGTCTCCCTTAATTTCAGCTCATCCAGTGTACTCGTCGCCGCTGGTGGGTCCACCGTCTTGAAGGTCACTGCCACTCCCCCCAAGGGTCTCGTCTCCCGGCGCATCCCTGTGTATAGCGGATACATCACCTTCAACGGAACGACCTCGGATGACTCCTTCTCCGTTCCTTACCTGGGCGTTGCCACCGCGATGCGCAACGTGACCATCTTAGACACCACGGAAGGCAGCAACCACATCATCGACAGCACCACCAAGGAGCGTGCTCAGGCCAACCAGCAGTTCGTTCTGCCAGGCGAGAATAACCCCATCGACACAGCAAACACCAGCTACCCCATCTTCCAGACCAAGCTGTCCATGGGCACGGATTTGTTCTTGGTCGGTGTCAAGGCGGCCAACAGCCACACTATCCTCCCCGTGTCTGCCCCCAAGACGGCCCTTCCCCGGACTGTTGAGGGTCTTACTGGTCCCAAAGCAACTTCCTTCACCGGCATGCTCGCAAATGGCTCGTACGTTCCAGCAGGCAACTACTCTCTAGTTGTGCGTGCGCTGAAGATCTTCGGCAACCGCGCTAACCCGAGGGATTATGATACCGTGCAAACGGTCAACTTCGGAGTCACATACGCTTCCCCTGTTGTCAATCAATGAACTGTCTGAGTATATGCCTCGAAGATGCCTTTCATCTTCGTGTTTATTGTAGCCTACACATACATGCTGTCATGTGGCTTCCACCTGTATTAAGACCATCCACCCAGCCTGTTCTTGCATATGTTTAAACAGTCTTTTGGAGGAAAACTAATATTCTTTCTAAATAAATACTTTGCCATCTATATCGAGCTGTAATTCAATTTGTCGAATGCAAATCAACCTTTCCTCATGCAATAATATACTAATGAATTGGTTATCATGATCTCCTTGAAGAAATCCCATGAATCAAATTAAAAATGAAACCCCGAGCCCGATCGGACATTTCGCTCGGCAGGCCCAATCTGGTAATCGTCGGATATATCGGACTTGCCCATTTCGATGACCTTGCAGTACCATGAGGTGTAGATATAAATACCCGTCAGCTAGAATATTGAGAGCCAACAAAACAAAAAGCACTTCCTTCGAAAAATATCGTCCGCACTTCAACGTACAACATAATGACCGAATTCAAGACCAACGACTCCAAGGCCCCGTCCTATGCCTCCGTCGATTCTGTCGAGTTGGGCAATGCCGACAAACAAGAGCAAAAACAGTAAGTCTTTCTGAACTCACGGCCGCACACTTTTATTTCGATTTGGAACGGGGCAGCTGCTAATTAAAGCCCAATTAGTGCCAGCCCAAAGGTGGACTGCTTAACCCACGGGCCTAGCCAAGTCCCGCTTCTCGATTCCGAATTGCAGAACCCGCAGGCAAAAGAGATCATATGCACACTGGTGACAGCATTAAATGATATTACTGATGAGAATAAGTGCACCAAGTGCACAGTGGAGAATATCTCTACTCTGCTCACAGGCCACGTGCGTGACCTCAGAGGTGCCAAGCGGAGTGGAATGTGGTCTAAAGAAGAGAAGAAGGCTCTCAAAGCGGAGATTAAAGCTCTTCTCAAGCCAGTCAAGAAGGATGTAAAGAACCTATGGAAAGCGAATTAATGTCCCTATTTGCTGCTTTGGGACCATGGTGGAGTGTGCAGCCATACACTGCCTGCACACTAGGAGGCGTTCTAGAATATAATCTCATTTCTAGTGTTTCGTTTACAACAATTATCAGACAGAGAGAGAAACCAGTGGAAGTTTCATACCTGGGAACAATATGTCTTATATTGTAAGCTATTGAAATGCGTCGGGAAGGGCGAACAGGGTGATACCCTCCCATAAAGCAGAAAGGATGGGTCTCTTCCCCAGGAGTAGCTCAGAGCCACACACGCACCCGATATGGCTTCTTCGTCTTTCAGCACCAGGCGGATAATAGATTCCTCGATCTTGAACAGTCGGGTGGGATAAGGATAAAATATCCGCTCGACATTCTTCTGGCAGGCTGAATGATGCCTAAGACAATCGTCCATCCATGTCTGCGTTGACTCCACGGCTTCCTCAAATAGAATTTCTGACTGTCTCATCGACCCCTTAATCCGTGTCATCAATACTCCGTCCCCCACGAGCAAAACGTTTCGGCACAGAGGAGAATAGCCCTTTACACTATTGGCGAAACCCATGAATAGGAGCCTTCTGTAGGTTGGTAACGCTGTGAAAGTGGCCGTTTTGGGCAAAGCCTGCCCCATATAAATGATATAACGCAAATTCTTTCCGAAAGCAGAGTTATCTCCATTGTATGATCTCTGTAAAACATGGAAGCCAATTCCGAATATTGCTGTCGTGGCGGGAAAATAAGGCAGTGAGGATTTCGAGGGCATTTGAGTGCGTTGAACTACATTCAATTGCCAATCATGGAGTGCGGAACTTGGCCTGTTTGCCACCGTATGAAATAAAATACAATAAATATGCACATGCAGGCGCTAGCGACGCGAACAAATTAAGATCAACAAGAGATCGATAGATCTCGTATGTGTCCCAGTATACTTTTCGATGGGACTCATGAACCCCGCTGATCAGCCGAGCTGAAAAAAATCAATTGAGAAATGATATATTAGACTAACTAGCTAGAAACTGCAATTGTTTACCTACCCAGGCACCCATTCTCTACTTCTACCCGTAGGTAAGCTGCGAGTCTTGTGCATAAGTTATACCCTTCTTTTGATATACGTTTCATTTTTCCCGAATTAAATGTAGAGTGGCGGAACCAAGATGGTTTCTGACTTTTTCTGCTGGGATTAGCTGAACTTGCGATGGCGACAGGCTCTTCAGCTGAGCTGAGCTACCCCACAATGAGCCGTCCATAATACTATACTCGTGCTGGGCAGGCGTGGGTCGGCCGGAGTAGCGCGGAGAATTATGGAGCAATGTCCACAATTTTATTGCCGAGCCTAAAGGACGGAAAGATCTACAGACTAGTTATTTGAATAGGAAAGGGATGTACGACCACGCGCATCTTAGGTTCAAACTATTGCGTGTCGATCGAGTAAAGATCTGGGAAGGGTTCAGCCCATGGTGAACACATCGGATCGATCAGCCGCAAGTCTCATGTATAAATATTCGTAACTCCCACCTGCCATTCTGAAGAAACAAACTATCCACGTTCCAATATCAACCGAATTTTCAAAATGAAGGCTTCTATTCTTCTTCTTGCCGCCGCCGCTGGCGTTGCCCTGGCTCAGCCCACTTCCCTCAACGAACGCGCCGATTCTGTCTGCCAATCCGGCAACGGCAACCCTCTTGAACCTACTCCTGCATGCTGCTATACCGTGCCGTGGACTGCAGAGCATTATCCTCACAGCGTCTGCATGGCCCGTAAGTTCATCCCAGTTACTCAAAGATACTTAGTAGGGGACCAACCGTTGCTGACTTGCATTGAACAAACAGCTTCGAGCTCGAAGACTACCGAGGAATTCAAGGAAAGCTGCCACAAAATCAACGCTAAGGCCCAACCTCGGTGCTGCCCCAAAGCTTTGATCGCCAAAAATGAGAACGAGAACATTGGTGATGATCTTCTGTGTTCAGACCCGAAGACTGTTGAGTAGAGCATTTGATTCAGGTGGCTCTAAGGGGAGTGGCGATATATGGAATGGATATAATTACATGTTGTCATAATAAATAAACTGCATTTTCCTCCACCCTCTCTCAGCTATGTAAAACTTGACACAGAGTTAGGCAGTGTTCCGATCCTTCTAAGAGGCTGCGGCTAGTCAGTTAACAATGAGGTTGTCCGGCCCCTGTTTTACCCGGAGGCACATGAAATTCTATGTGAATCAACCCCGGCTTATTTCCAAACCGGAGGCAATGATTTTTCCTGCGGGATTGATGCCGTGATCAAATAGATGTATGTCATGTAAATTTTATTGGAAGGGATGGGCTTCGAGTGTATGAGGTTATGCGACCCTCTCAGAGTGCATAAGTGACCCTTTTTCGTGCCTCATCTGTTTAATTTGTCGCCTTTGCAGTGGTCGTCAGTACTTAGGCTATCTAGAATATTCTTAGGTTTTCTATTTCTATACGGAACTCGAAATGGGCTTATTTTGTGGAAATCCATAGGAACCTTTCAATATATATCAGTACTCTATTTCAAAAAAGTGCGGAACCGCCTATAATTATCGCCTGAGGAATACCAATTAGTCGAGGCTTCCATTCATGAACAAACTTTGCAGTCGACCTGAGGTATTCGAGCTACAGGTAGCGGTAACTTGCTGGTAAGAATGACATAGGCATATGAAGTAACCCAGGCAGCAACAGGAATAGCCTCACTTTCCGCATAGGATAGCGGGAGCAGTGGAATGATAAGTTGGACATGATGATTTTCAATATCTTTAAAACAAAGCTAGATATCTATGATAGTAATGATTTATTTAGTTCTTTTACAGGTCTTGTTTCTTACTGTAGCTATTGGTTGGATGAAAAAACTTAGATTGATGGACATTCAGATACAATAATTCTCTTGACATGATAGAAACACACACACACACACACATATATATATATAAAATAATAAATACACACGAATGTTGATATAATTCTTGTCGGAATAATCACTTTCGTTTCAGTTCTCGAGTATATCCAACTGGCTCACTGGCCAGGTGTCGAATGAAAAGGTCGAATGGTGCATTTTCGTCTTCGAAGGCGTAGAGACGTGTCTTTCGAATAACCAATCTTTTTCCGTTGTAGAAGGCGTGGAGGATTCGGCCGTAGTTCTGCATGAATGAGAACATTTGAATCTGTAGGAATTAGTAAAGAGTTTGAACATGGTTAGAAAGAACAAAGAACATACTGGAATGATTTGATTGTTATTGTCAATAAATTCGGACGAGATGCGGGTTTTTATAGCGGCCATGATTTGCAGCGCCTCTTCTTTGAGGAGCCTCTCAGTGGGCTCGACGTCGAGGGTCATGGTAAACATGAAGTGAGGCTTACTGGAGTCCAGTCTCTCCCACGTGTGAGCAGCTGGGAAGCTTCTATAGAAAAGAGATCCGAGGCTCACTGAATCTCCAACACAGAGGCGCTTGGAGAAAAGTGGGGGACTACTAACCGTTAGCGACTAGAAAAGACAGATTAGAGAGAGACCTACGCTGATCCTATCCAGCCAGTGATGAGTGCCAGGCTCTGCTCATATCCATATTGATTCTGAGGGAATCCCTCTCTTTTGGCCTTCCAGAAACCCCAAGCGATCGTGGCATTAGGGCGTTTTATGGCTTTGGGACACGGCGTGTCTTTATCCATCGGGTACTGATCTAGGGTATCCTCCGGCAAAGGTTTGAAAAAGGTTCTGTAATCATCGTCCGGTTCGTCGAAAGAATCGCATGTTTTCACTTTGATGCCAAGTTCGGCTAGGTCGTCTCGGTCCAGGGTGGTCGTGTCCATTTTCTCGATAGGGGCGTAGAACTTGTCGAGGGTTTTCCGAATATGTCCAAGTTTTTTCAACTGCGCTTTCTGCGCAATTTCTTTGACTTGCTTTCTTGGAGGGACGCTGTATATATCGAGAGGATCGATGCGTGATCGGGTTCTTTTCGAAGGGGTTCGCTGTAAGGATTTTACGTAGTCTGCCATGTTGTTTTGTGGTAAAGTGGACTGGATGGGAGATAGACGATAGAGGTAGATGATAGAGGAAGAATGGGAAATAGGAGGAAATTCGTTGGGAGGAGATTAAATAGCCTGCCTATAGTTGCCTGTAGATAAAGCTTGCAGTCTTCTTGCCACAGAACAGGGAGACGCAGGCAGCGTATATGGGGGATACTTCAGGTCGTTATCGACAAAGTTAACTTATTAATTACAGGCTGCCTTGTAAGGTTGTTCTTAGATGAGCCACGTATCTTAATCAAACCTAAGAAACCTCAGTGCACACAACAGCATATGCTTCTCTCAAGCCAATCCCCGATCTGGATTCCACTGTCTTGGAAGCGTATATAATAAACTCTCCAGACAATCATTGATCAGATCCGCTACTTAGCTGAATCATTAGTCTCACCACAATCGCTTTCAACAATAACCATAAAGTGGTTCTCACAGAGGACAAGGCCGACGTCTGCCTTAACTATACATGAGTTGTTGCATCCGCGGCAGTGACGGAGGCAGTCGATGGCTAGGCTTAGGTAGTCAAGGTCATTTGGCATGGGTGCATCGTAGGGGCCAATGAAGACGTAATATCTTGCTAGGAGGGACATTGTAGTTTGAGTTGGGCATTTGTGATGGTGGACGTGATGCAATTGATATTGATGTGGACGGATAGATACTCATAGTCAAGATTGGATATGATATTTATAAAAAGTGCTTTGTAGGCGAAGCAGTGTCAGTTCTTTGTCTTTGCCCTCCTCCTTTGTATTCTTGTTTCGGCTGGACAAAGAGGATGTTTCGACGCTCTTTCATGATCAAAGATGTCCTCGAAAATGGATATTCAATGTTTTTACTGTATATCAGCTTTGAGTGTCTGAAATAGAGAAAGAGTCAGTTCTACTTATACATATTGATGGCTAGACAGCTGTATCAAAATTATGAACGACAAGAACATTTCAGTTGAAGAACCATAGGACTCGACTGAGTTTTTCTATCAGCAATCCTGCGCATGCTGATATGATTACTGACAAGCTAGATGAAATAAACTGTAGGAAGGAAGGCCATTGGGAGTTTTAGCTACCCCGCAGATCGGCCATAGGGCTGAACTTGGCCCACAGAAAGTATCCCGCCTGCCATGTGTCATCGAACAAACAACCATTCAGTTTCAGCTCTCTGCGTCTATCTGCCATACATCGTGTAAGATTATTTATCGGGAAATAAGTTCGTCCATATCACGTTAAATGTTGCTGGGACCTCGGTGACTTCTCCAAACCCTTTACCTGCCGGAAGTTTACGCACTGAGGTGCATCCAGCCCCGACTTCCAGAGGCACGCTTTCTGGCTTTGCCACCGAAGAAGCCGAAGTCGATTCGCCCCTCTCTAAGTCAAATATATGTTGTTATTGCCTCCCCCAATGTATCACAGACATCGGCAACCTGTTGGCTGGCCTGACTGTATGCATCCTGATGATCGCGACGGACCTGCATACCCCACCAGAGCTACAGCTCTGGCCGACTGCTACCTTTGCTCTTGCTTGTGGCTGTACGCTGCTTACCTGCGGTGTCGCTGCTGATGTGCTGGGCTGCCGACGGGTATATCGGCTCGGTGGGCTGTTTCAAATCGCCAGTGCCTTGGGTGCTGGACTTGTCGTCACGTCAACGCAGCTAATTGTGCTGCGGGTTATGGTAGGCCTCGCTGTTACCGAGCTCTGTTGGTTTCGCTGCGCATTTTTCCCTGCCAACAGCAGCCCGCGTCGCCGCAGTATCGCCTTTGCAGCCACGGGTTGGGACATCGTTTAAAAGCATCTGCCTCGCGGTTCTCTCATATGACCTGACTGTGGCTACTGAATCAGATGCTGAACACAACATGCACGAACCCCTTAACCTTGTTTGGTCTGTATAGCATTCGCTCTTATACCGGCATTCGCCCTGTGGATACGGCGCCAGACTCGCCTCAACCGCCCAGCCCTGATTCCAAATTCGTGATCGGCAAAAATCCCCTTTACAGCCATCTGTATTACCATATTTTCAGTTTAGGAAACTCTCAACGCCAGCGAGCAGCTCATGGCCTTATACCTACAAGACGTTAGGGGTAAGTCAACCCTTAGATCATCACTTTATTTCGTGCCTGCCCCAGTCTGGCGTTCTAATGAATGTCGCCATCAGGCCTTACTCCCGTATTCACGGCCTTCAGTCGCTGTACCCGCAAGCTGCCTCGTGGTCGGTGTCGCCCCATTACTTCTTGCAATATTGTGCTGTGTCGACGGGCCAGGGTATTGCCGAGGTGTTTTTTCCAGACCATGGCACTCGACCCACTGGGCGCTAACTTGATCTATACTATCTTTAATCTGGTCATGACAAGTGCATTCCTTGCTCGAACGTAGGCGCTGGCCGGTGATGTTTTTAACATGCTTGCTCAGGTTAGGAAGAGTTTTGGTATTGTCACTTCAACGCTCATTGCACGGAATGTCACGGGATAAATGCATGAGGCTGGTACTAAAGAGGTGTTGTTGCTTGGTTATAAGCCTGGCTGGTGGTATAACTGTGCATTGGCTTTTGTTTCGGTAGTAGTGAGTCTGTGGGGGCTGAGAAGTGTTAAAGAGGTCGAGGTTAAGTGAGACTGAGTCACTTCTTACTACCTTAGAGATCAAATCCAGTCCATTATGTTGGAAATAAGATATCTCTCAAGGTGGGAGTGACTATAGTTTTCTATTTTCTGGTACTGGGTTAATATGTTTAGGGACCAGCTAGATAAAATAGAGAATATCATAAAGCATGGTAAAAAATGAAACAAGTTCTTTATTATTACCACACTGATATTAAGAGCCGCGATGTATAAGACCATCTGCCAGATGGGACAGAGCTGATTGATTGTGCCTCATATGAGTTATCACGCAGCCTTGAGGATGGCTGAGCCATGTAAAAACAGCCTACTATATTCTGATGGATACGATTTATGTATACTTATAAATAGGAGAGCAAATGCTATATCTAGGGGAATAGTAGTCACCAGTGGTGTTAAGATCATTTCATTCATTTGGTTAATAACTAGTGTAACGACTCCTCCACCAAACATAGTACCATGATTCAATATGGTCATTTCGGGTAGTTTAATGGGGGTAGAAATGTCGTGTTTGCAATTTCACCTGCGTGGAAGACGAAATGTCAAAGGATGAGATACAGCAACGCGATCAATGGGCTTATCTTTGCTTATATGTCGTGGGCCTTTGAATTTATCCTTCTGTGATGAGCAATTTTCGAAGTCCACATCTAAATCCACCATGTAGTACTTGACACCATTGTAGATCCATGGCTCACGTGAACTGTGACGTGACTCTGTTCCAGAAAAAATTCGGTTCCCACTTGTTTTGGGTGGAAATGTTGCTGGAGGAGGGCCAACACATGGCTCGGCGGTTTTTGCAAATTAAAGTCACGTGGAGGTTTTATCGCGTCAAATCCAATATCAAACCCATCCATGGACCCGAGCATCACACAGACCTGCTTTTTGTTGATGCCTCCTTCAAATAGGACTGCTCCTGCTATTTTTCTCGCTCCTTTGGGCAAGAAGATTTCATACGGAAAATTGTCCGGCAGCCAATCTTTGCGTGCCTTCTCAGATTCATAAATGAAATCTGGTGTTGGCCCTGGCCTCCCAAGTGTAGACTTGAAGTGGTGGATCTGCCTTGATGGCCTAGGGAGAATAACCCGCACCGCTTCAGACAAATCTTTTCTTTTGGCGACAGCCAAGGGCCGTGGACCTTTTCGAAGATGGGCTACATGGTATGGAAAGACACCGTGACCAACAGCCGAGGCATTATGGATGGTTTGCCTCACGAAAATCGTCTTGAGGGATCCGCGTTGGTTTTGAACAGAACTGAATTCATGTATCTTCACACGTGCATACTGCTCATCGCCAGTGGAGAGCTTTTTCAGGAATAAGCCTAGAAAGCTCCCACCCTTATACAGCGGTGGCATGGGACAGTTGAGAGCTGCAATGTATATATCTTCTTCATTGGGGCATTTCTTCAGATGGAAATCAATCTGAAGTCCGCGATTAGTCATGGAATAGGGAGGAAGGACTTCCCAGTTCGCATACGGGATCATATCCCCGCACAAGGCAAATTTTTTGGGTGATGTCGCCAATAGGCCATGAAGGGTATTGGAGTCTGCATCTGGATCCCGCCAGGCGAAGATTGACTGGTCATCAGATTGGCGCATAATTTCTTCTTGCAGGCGAAGGAATGCCCGGTCACGTTCACCATACAATAAGGGCATATTGATGTTGAAAATCCCCAGTAGACAATATGCGACATCCTCCAATCTAGATGTCCGTCGATTTGCAGCCCAGGACATTCGATTGGCGACTGAAGCCGAGGAAAGAGGTAATTTATGACGGAGATACTGGATACCGATACCCGTGATCGCACATAATATTTCATACAGCTCCGTCTTCTTCCCGATCACTTTCCACTCAGCAGAGAAGAAGATGACTTCTTTCGGTGCCAATAGTTCCTGGAGGGTGAATCCGCGAGTAAACCACCTACTGCGCGCAAATCCAGAGTTTGGGTCTTTGATATCGACATCCGATGGTACGTCAGAAAGATATGCGTAGCATATAGTCGCATCCTGATACCAGGCATACATGGAGTTCAAGGCCTCGGAGAGCTCAGCACTGCTGCTTTTATCAATGCAGCAGTTGTCAATCCACACATACTCCAAATTGTCGCTGGCAGCTTGGTCCGCCGCCCCTTCGACCTTGGAATAGGAAGCTTTGCTCTTTGCTGTGCCATTGACGATGTCTTCGTAGATAACTTCATTCTTGTTCCATGTGTGTGACAGGATAGCATAGGGGGGTATGCTGTCTGATAAAAAGTCAACAAGCTCCCTATCGGACACTTTTAACAGACGCATTGTACCGAGGATGTAGTGGAAGAGAAAGAGCTGAGTTAAAATAAAAACAGATAAGCTGAGATATGAACGTGCGGGGCAATGCTGACTTGTCTTTGGACAAGGATCAGCCAGTATTAGTAACAGGACTGGATCTCAGCCTTATCGAGTGCTTTGCCTTAGAACAGCAGAAATTCCCTGGTGGTCACGCAGCTACTAAATGCGCATATCAATATCTAGCTTCTAGGGGGTAAGTTGGTAATGGCATTATATCTCATTTCTCATATTATGAACGAGGGGGAATAACCATTTTAAATAAACCACAAAAGCCAGAAAGTAAATCACCACCCTCTATCCTTGATCGTGGCAGTAAATCTAGATCTTTGAAATCCACAAGGCTCAAGAACCTCCTTCAGAACAGGCAACCACCAGCTTTCATGGCCATCGTGAATCACTGTTGCAAGAGCATACTCCATGTACTCGGGAAAGAATGCAGAGTACTCCCAGTCCACGATTCCAGTGATCTTCCCATCCTTGACCATGATATTCCGCGCAGCGAGATCTCCATGAGTCAATACAAATTTCGATGGTCTATCTCCACGCATCCTGGGAAGTAACTTTTTCCACATCGCAGCAGCCATTGGGGATTTAACACGTGCAAGACACCAATTGTCGAACTCCTCTTCTGTATCGAATGGTCCCATAAACCTAAAATGAAGTCGATCATAGAAATTAAAAGTTTCCTGGTGGTTGATTCGTCCGATATATGGCTGCGTACAGGTTTGAAAGAGACGTATTTGCTCCTTGAGTTGTGCTTTGATTGAATTCCGCTGCTCTTTGTTCATTGCATGCCAGACTTTATCGAGTGACTCGCCCGGAACCAGATCTGTTACGGTGGCAATGACTTCCGGTTCGACATCATATGAGCCAAGGACACGCGGGGCGAGGATTCCTTGCTGTGAGGCGTAGTGCATCATTTGTGCTTCTGATCGCACGAAGCCTCCAGCGGGTTTGTGTTTGACGGCCACGACATTTCCTTGTGAAGTTGTCGATGCCACAACTCGGTTGCCGAAGTAGTTGTAGAGCTCTTTTCCCTGAACGGCGTCTGTGTATTTGGGTGTCATTTTGACAAGTGTTTTGATAGAGAAGAGAGTTGGCTAAGAATTGCGCCAGAGCCTCGCGTCTTGCAGCCTGTTGTGATAAGTCACGTGAGTGTGATCAACAGTAGGACCTATGCTTTGTCTCGACTCTCAAGCCCATATTCTGGGGTAAGTTTAGGTCAAATGAACTGGTATTTGTTTTTCTATTTATTTCGCATGTGGAAAATATATTGTGACGCAATCACTTGTTGGTCGCATCGACTATGGAGATTAGGTACATTGCAAGGTGATGTTAGATCTGAGGTTAGTCCATTTTAATCTACATCATATACATCATGCATGCATACAAGGAGGCTACTGGAATTCCAGTATGAGTATGCATGCTGATGGTGTAACCTGATACGGACAGATTAGATCGGATAATCAAGATTAGATTAGATTGACTTCAGCCCAGATTTTCCCTTTACTTTGTAGGAAGTATGGCCAGTCAGAGAACCAGATATATTACTAAAGTCCAAGACTAGCACAGCTAAACGCCGGCGTAACACTCCCTGAATAATCCGCAATAATCGCCTCAACAGCTGCATACAACCCGGGACCAAGCAAGAACAGCCCAACCAGCATGACAGCACCATGGATCACCGTCATAAGCGTCCGCCAGGGCCCATCGAACAACTTCCCCCGACACAGATGCCAATACGCAACGGCGAAGAAAATAAACCCGAAAAATGAATCAAATGCGGCCCCGAGCAACGAGAGGAAATCGCCCATGCTGGGGACTACTTCGGAGAAGATGAATCCAATCACCCAGATTCCGACCATAACAATTCCCCACACGCTCCATCCGATAAGGGTGTTGCTGTGTGCGTGCTTCGAAGTACCCAGGATATGGCCATAGATGACCTTCGCCGTGACGTTGGCGTAGATAGCCCCGATGATCAGCGTAGGCACGATGACGAACCCAAACGACGCCTTCCTATACACGGCTGTCCCCAGACTCCCGAATGCAGGTGCCGTTGCGTACTGGCCCAGATACCTAAATCCGATAGCAGGCGGCACGATGAACAACACGATGGAGATAGCGAAGAGCACGGCGAGGGATTTGGGAAAGTCTTGCGGCCGTTCCATTTCGGCGATGAAGGTCGGGAAGAGGATTTGCGGGACCCAGAGGAAAGTGATGTTTAGCACGGCGTTGAGGCAGTCGACCCATGTTGTGCCGGGGAGGGGGAATGCGTATGTCCGCACAGGTCCGGCGGCTGTGGACTCGAGGGGGGCTTTTTCGATGCCTGCGAAGACGAGAAAAAGGAGGATGGCGATTCCCATGCAGGCGGCTATTAGAAGTCAATATGAGTTACTTATTTGTTAGAAAAGAAGATTGACATACCAGAAAACATGGATATGAATGAAACATGGTGCAGCGTTCGAGGTGCAGACAAGACAATCCCCATGAGCATGGCAATCACAGAGAACACCACGGTACACTGGGAATGATCTGACAGAGTATCCAGCACCTTGGCTCCCGTCAGGATATGGAATCCAATCAGGATGATGTTATTCGCGAGCAACATGAACGCAGAAAATCCATACGCCAATCGACTCTTTCCGAATGCGTAATACCCGAATTTACAGATGTCTGTGATTTGCGGGTGTTTCATGATAAATTTATGCATGGTGAGCGATGTGATCCAGAAAAACATGGCAGCCAAGACCATCGTGATTATACCGGGCACCCATCCTAGCACTCTAAAGAGCCAAGTCAGCCATTTTATTATTTGAAACATTTTATAGGACGCACGAGAGTGACCAGGATTGTGCCATGATGGCCAAACAGACTTGGTCGCCAGCCAGTAACCAAGCTGCTTTTTGCCAGGACATCGTTCGCAGTTTGATGTCATGTTTGTGGTCTAAATTAAATTTCGTTAGCATAGGCACAGGTACGGAGAAATCGATTCGACATACCCTCTGTCACGAGCGCATTCAATACCTCGGTAGAGCTAGACTCGTCGGTATACGCTGTCGTTGGTTCCTTTTTCTCGTGGACAGCCATGTTGGAGATACGCAATTCGCAGACAGATTTTGGTGCGAGCTAGGAGACATCAAGGATACTTAAGAAGAAAAAATTAATATAAAAAAATGGAGATAAGGTCTTATCACGATGGCGTGATAAGCACGCAAATGGCAATATCGAAGCTTAATTCTGACACGAGGCACCGCGCAACGCGATTGGCCCTTTGCACAACCAAGGTTAGATGAAACGCCTATCAGCGAATGGCGCAATCAGGAGCCACTCAATGCTATTTATTTTTAAATAATGATAAACCAGAAAGATGCAAAAATAAAAAACATACAACAGCAGGGATTCGCTGGTGGTCACCCACCCAACTACTAACCAGCCGGCGTGTGGCTTAAGTACGGCTGAGCGGACGGGAAGCCCTGTTCTCCACACCCTGTGGTCGTATGTACTTAACATGATATGAGAAAGCTTTATATCCTACCAATTAAACATGAATCCCTGCGAATAAGGGAAATGTTGCAGTCAGGCGTGGTCAGAATAAGCTATTCAAGAGACTTGGTGCAAAGCCAATTAAGCTCTGTGGATTGGACCACGGATTCTCGCCCACTCCCTTTCTTGGTCTAAACTTTTCTGCCTGACATGCAAATGACCGGGATAAACTAATGAGCGTATAGATTCGTTATACCACATTTGGTATACCCCTTTGCGTCCGTAAATCCTCCTAGTCTTCCTCAAATATCATCAAAGAATCTCTATGCCAAAAGATGTGGTTCCGGAGGCGACCTGAACGCCGTGATAATCATGAAAGTCGCACTTTCGACGACTGGAGAGCAGTAATGAGATGCACCACGAGTGTCAGGTCTCCGGGCTTTCTGAATCCATTCCTATCCGGATTTACCCTTATAGAGAAGGTGATGTTAATCGGCTCTGCTCAAAGTGCTTGTCTCCAAAATGACGATGATTCGCGTTGGCTAGAGGCCCAGTTTGAGCAGGCTGGCCAATCCAGGCTCACCCAGGTTGTGCGATATTATGCATATAGGATACGCGAGAACCGGGGAGAGGCAAAATGGAGTCAATCTCGGATCGAATTGGAAACGTGCCTTCATTGGGCAGCGCAGCGGGAGATATATATTCAAGAGGAGGTGTCTGCGCTGCGCAAATCCTGCGAGTTGAACACCGATAACTGTGAGACTGAGGCTTCTCGATTAAAGACACTTGAGGATGAACTGACATCTTTGAATGAGACATACTATAAAAGCACCCGACAGTTATGGAGAGTGGAAGCTGGCATACCAACGGGGCCATTGAAAAACGGGTTTCCTTGTCTGGAGAGCCGACCCCAACTGGTATCTCTGTGAATGGTTACGCAAAGAGTGTTCAGGGGAAGGGTGGCTGCTGTGGAAGAAAGTGCGGATGCTGCGAGAGCCCTAGAAAGACTCATCGCCATATGCGCCTGGGACATTGTATGACTGGATGCGGTTGCTGTATTCGACACCATGGCCTGGATCTTGGGCCCGAGTTTACCGAGATAATGGAATTCAACTTAGATATACCGGCTTGGGTGGGTGCTTATAGTGCGCGAGTAGAGCGTGCTTACATATGGGGTGGTGTTGATACCGCTTTATGAAATTAATTATTTTTCAAGAAATCACCAATCCCAGCATGTTAGCTCAGGGGAAGAGCGTCGGGCTCATAACCCGAAGGTCCCTCGATCGAAACGAGGACATGCTATTTCTTTCTTTTATCGGTTCTGTAGTGTAATGGTCATCACAGTGGATTCTGATTCCACTAATCCCGGTTCGATCCCGGGCAGGACCTGATCTTTTTTTATATCGTTGGAACACATCTGCAATCGTCTGGAAGGAACCGTAATAGCTTAAAATATCTTATTACAGTCCTTCTCCTTTTACTTTTTAGTAACTAACCGTTTATTCAATTTAACCATTAGAAATAACCCTAATTGGTTTTGGGATAGCTTCTGCATGCACTTCGGCGCTATCTGTAGTTATGAATATAAATAAAACCAAAGCTTGCAGCTTATATATACATCCAGCTATCACTTATATATTAATGCGCGTGGTTGCTCGTTGGCACCCGCCTCATCCCAATCAATAGCCCGAACGTTCGAATTGTTCAACAATGGCATGCTGTCGACACCAGCAGTCCTTCTTGCCCAATTACGATTCCTCTACTAGGGAATGGCTGTCAAAAAATTGCCGATGACGATGGTAGTATTGTCTGTATTGCGCTTAACCAGCCCAAGTCGTGGAATGCATGTCTTCACCCTACGTATTAATATCTCATACTGGCAATGAAAGCTTGCCCTTGATTTTAACTGTAAAATCCAAAAGTTCGCGTTATCTATATATAGTAAGCACACCATCAACTGCCCCGGGTTATCTATAGATACAGGCGTCCGCACAAAAGTAGCCATTCACATGCCCAACCACACAGTCATAGTAAATAAGCAGGTGACTGTCTACTGCGTCACAGCAATTATAGGAAAAAGGTGCTGTGGTCTAGTGGTATGACGTCACGTTGTGGCCGTGCCAGCCCCGGTTCGATTCCGGGCAGCGCCAGTCTGTTATCTTTTTTTGCCCGGATGAGAGATATATTAGGGTGATTTCTGTAGCCCTACTTTTTACATTATGCCACCGTCTAGTGCGTCCTTATATCCCATGAAGGTTATCAGGGTAAGATATACAGAGTCACAAGGCTCTATCTTCTCCCCCCGAATATTTGATAGGCTAGTTCACGGTGTATGGAGAACTCTAATCTGAGTATGGTTGTTTTTTAATTGTACATCATGAAAACATTTAAGTTTGGAATGACACAAAACTTGTCCTCGATATGAGATTCGATTGAATGTATATGTCATCAGCCCGCCGCCTATTCGGTCAAATTAGTCAATTCGAGATCCGCGGTAAGCAGATGAGCTACTTATGTGTCTTCAGAGTATGTATTTCACTTGCTGATCATGCTCTTTCGAAATGTCGTTACATGTCATGCTGATGGACTTGGATATTCGGTGGCTGACCGACTCCCACTTCATCCCTTACAGATGTAAGGAGCAAAATTCAATAAGACACTCTGGCATGTAACACTTGCTAGGTAAGGTCTAGCCGTTGGAAAGAATGTATAAAACCCCTCTTTCCTCTCATTTGGATGTTCAGCAAGCCCAGTTGCGGCAGTGGAATGTGGCCTCCAACTGAACTCGCGCGAACACAATCAATTTGATTAAGTCTTTCGGATGTTCTGAATGTTCGAATGCTACATTCGCTTCCGCTGTCTGCTTGGGTTGGAAGTCATATAAAAAGCGCACACCATTCTCTGTCGGAAAGTAATCACCAAGTTACCATTTCAACTCTCTCGCTTGTTTTGGCCGCACAAATCTGAAAACTTCATATCCACCATGAAAGGTCCCCCTGACACAGGAGGAACCTCCCTCAATCTGGATGGTGCTGGAGACCAGCTTGGCCTTCAAACATCCAGGACATTCGAAAGACTTAATCAAATTGACGCCGTTCGCGCGAACGGGGTTGGCGACCACATCCCACTGCCGCAGCTGGTCGTCTCCGGGGATCAATCCGCAGGGAAAAGCTCCGTTCTCGAAGGCATCACCGGGATACCTTTTCCACGCCAGGATGGTCTGTGCACGAGGTTTGCGACGGAGATTATCCTCCGCCATCAGCCTGGCGAGAAACGTGCCCGGGTGACAATCATACCTCATGTTTCGAGGGCAGAGGAGGTCTCAAGGAGACTGGGTGCATTCCAGCGCAATATTGGAGACTTTGCGGAGCTTCCAGACATTATCAATGAAGCTGCGCAGGTAATGGGGCTTCGTGGCAGTGATGGCTCCCATGATGCGCCTGCCTTCTCTGGTGACGTTCTGCGCCTGGAAGTGTCTGGACACACTGGGCTTCATTTGACCATCGTCGATCTGCCAGGATTGATCTCTGTGTCCGAGAATGAAGAAGATGTGCGCATTGTCCGAGACCTCGTTGATTCATACCTGAAGAATTCCCGAACAATCATCATGGCCGTCGTCCCTGCCAGCAGCGATATCGACACTCAAGGAATCATCCAACGAGCTCGCCATTTCGACAAAGACGGCCTCCGCACCGTGGGAATTATCACCAAGCCAGATCTCATCAACACCGGTACGGAGGGGCGAGTCGTGCGCCTGGCGAAGAACCTCGACAACACAAAACTGAAGCTGGGATTCTTTCTGCTCAAGAACCCAACACCGGTCGAGTTGGATAGCGGAATAAGCCTTCAGGCACGCCGGAAGGCAGAGATGAACTTCTTCTCGACTGGCGCATGGTATCATCAAGGTCTTGATCTCTCGCGCGTCGGTATCGATAATCTCCGCTCGTTCCTGCAAGACCTTCTCGAAAGCCACATTGAGCGCGAACTGCCTAAGGTGCGTCAGGATGTACGCCGATTGCTGAACGAACTCAACGAGGAGCTGGCTGAGTTGGGAACTGAACGATCAACTCCAAGCCAGATTCGAGTGTACCTGTCGCGGATCAGTAGCGAATTTTACAACCTCGTCAAAGCTGGCGTGGACGGTGCTTACGAGGGCCGCGATGCAGGTTTCTTTCGTATGGGCACTGATGATCTTTCTTGTCGTCTTCGTGCTGCTGTTCATATCGAAAACGAAAGATTTGCAAGGTACATGAGAACTGATGGAGAGAAACGAAAAGTGGTTGAAGACGGAGATCTCGCAGAAGCTGAAACTGCAGATGGCCAACTCCTCGTGTCAGAGGCTGAGATGACCGCATGGGTTCGACAGATCTATCATCAAACCCGGGGGCGCGAACTTCCAGGCAATGACAATCACGCTCTCCAAGCAGAACTGTTCCATGCCCAGTCAGAGAGATGGGCAGACATCGGGCGTCGCCACCTCGAAGCAGTTGTCGATCTAATATCTCGCTTCATTCGCTCGGCGCTCGAATTCGTCATCAAAGATGGCAGTGCCCGTCATAACATCTCGCAAACTGTCCTTGACTCGCTGCACAATAACATTCGAGCCGCACATGAAGAGCTGACCCAGCTCCTCCGAGACGAAGCACAGCATCCGATCACATATAACCACTACTACACGGACAACATCCAAAAAGCCCGCAAAAGCCAAAGCAAAGAGCAGCTGAAAGAGTTGATCAACAACGCCCGTCAACAAGACTGGGGCGGGCAATGCCATTTTACCAACTCCATCGGCGAGATGGAGAGATTGATCTCCTCTCTCCAGAAACATATCACTGTCGATATGACCGAGCAGGCTTGCTCCGAAGCCAGAACGGACTTGTCAGCTTACTACAAGGCAAGACCGAATTCTCATACACTATTTTTTTTTTTTTTTTTCATTCTAATCATCAGCAGGTCGCAATGAAGACATTCGTTGACAATGTGTGCCGCCAAGTCATCGAACGCCATGTTCTTGCCAAGCTCCCCGATGTCTTCAATCCAGTCATGGTCAGCACTTACGATGATGACTATCTGGTCAGATTGGCTGCTGAATCGAGCCAAGTATGCCACCGACGTGCGGAGGCACACCAACTACAGCAAGCTTTGGAACGAAGCCTTCGTGATCTGGGAAATTAATACCTTGTATGCATCCACTTTAGGCGTGGTTTTTTCCCATTGCGGTTTTCCCACGTCTCAAGCGCAAATGCGGAAGTGAATTAGATGTTTTGTTTCAGGATTCTTTGTTGACTTGATGTGATATGGATATATACCTAGATTAATACAGTGAATTTTACGGACTCTAGGTGCCTCCAGGATAGATTTTTTTTGAAATAAAACGGGGGTTGTAATCTTGATTCATTCAACTGAGACTCGTAAAGAATGTACCTACGAAGACACTTTCATGTATTCATATAATTCAGTAGCTACGTTCAAACTATGCTGTTTCTCAAGCAAAGCAAAGACTCCCATCTGTAGGAAATTACAACTCATAGCCATGCTCCCGTGCAGCCTCGCCATCACTCAGGATCCTCTGGGCCCCAAAATTAGACCATTCGATTGAGTCTTCCTCAGTGTCATCCATGAGAAAATCCTCATCATGGTCTTCCAGGATGGTATCGAACAGAGCCTGTTTCTCAGCCTTATCGAATGTCTCGCCAATCCACTTCCAGGCCGGTCCCAACCCCCGAATCAAGGCAGGAATATGACCTAGACCCCACCGCGGAACGAATTTGACGCGGGTACCTGCCCTTCTGAACGTTTTGACCAGAGCCCACGCATCTTTGAATGGGTTCACAACGGGATCGTTTGTGCCCTGCCAGATGTACAGCGGGAAACTCGGGTGGTGGTCTTTGTCGACATGCTGGCCCATCACGCCAACTTTTTCTAAGAGTTTTTCGAAGTGTTCCAGGATACCGTCTCCATTGTCGAATAGGGTTGTAATATTGTACTTGCTTAATGCTGGTTGTTCCTCGATGCCCTCGTGTGGACCGCAGCGTACGCGGGGGTAGAAAAAGACGTCTCTATACTCAGGCAGGAGATGCTCATTGACATAGTCCTCCACCTGGGGAAAAGCATTCATCAAGCCCAAGGTAGCCAACACGTCGAGCTCAGAGAATGTGCCATTATTAACGCCCTGATAGGTCTTGGCAATATGGGTAGGAAGACCACCCATGGCAGCTCCAACAACGTTCAGCTCCGGTGCGTAGTGGGCATGGTACTCGGTTGCCCATTCAGTGGCGAGACCACCACCGGAGTAACCGAACAGAATTACGTTGGCGTCTTCGCTGAGGCCAGTGAGATCTGTGGCATTAAATGCGGCACGGATTGAGTCCAGGGTCTGGTAGGCAGCCTGTGGGCCGACAGTGAAGGCCGCATCCGAGCCCTCATAGTCTGGGATATTGAGGATAGGGCCTTCGATCAGGAAATCCGCAATAACAAACATCTGAGCCCAGTTCCAGGTCACAGCAGAACCCTTGGCTTGGTTTTGAAATCCGTATGACGGAGAACAATCAATATCAGGGGAATCATATGCGTTCTGGAAAGAGAGGAGGCGGTTGAAATCTGGTTTTTGAGGGACAACGATCGTGGTGACGGTGGTGGCTTTTTCACCATGTACATCCTGCGTGACGTACAGCAATTGATATGCCTTGGCCTGGCTGGGGACATTGGGGAACATTGAGGCAAAGAGCACATTGCGGGATTTTAGGATAGTTCCAGGGGGGTAATCATCGCTTTTCCAGAAGTCATCGTCAGGTTTATAGAAGTCATCCTTACTTGGGTATTCAGGAAGGACAGGAAGAAAGGGAGGCTTCCGATCCTCCCCAAGAACTGGGTGGAAGAGCGAGAGCAGGGGGAGGAGACAGAATAAGAAACGCATTGTGATTATGGACTGTTATATCCAGGTGAATAGCTGATGAGAGGCAATGGGTGCCATATTTATAGCTGAGCTGGATAGACATTACATGATTAGGATACAAATAACCCCGCCTCACGCTGCTATTGTGTAACATTAGCATCGGCTATTCTCCAATTCGTGTGTCATTGATTCAGCTGAATGGCGTTTTCAACCCAGCTGAGCTGAGCTGCTAAGGTTACATATATCTTCCGCAGATCGATTCGTCATCCATCGGAATACCTCCACTATTCATGCACGATGAGCAGAACTACTGGCTTGATGCATAGATCCTGCATAATAGTCCAAAAAACACCATCTCACTACGTAATGAAATGCCTCACCAGGAATTTCTCACGAGTATTTGCGTTTTCAAAAGAATCGCCATGGCCGTAGTCCAGCAACTCCCTTGAACTATAATGTGGGGCTTTGCAAAGTACATACCGTCACATTTCAGCAGAGTTAAATTCGATCCAGACTATGGATGAGAAAGCTAAGATAGTGCCTGCCTTGACATCATGAGGTTGTATCATGCAGTCTTAGTGAAGTCATCGATGACCGATTAACAGAAGATGAAGAAATGCTGAAACCTCTTAGCAATGTCGGCTCAGTGTAAATGTGCAATGCTGCATAATTCTGCAGAGTTGTCACATATCACATATATATCACATGTGATGAGATTCAGCTTCAGATTACACAGACTCTTTCCCCTCTTTTATATACATGTATCCCACCATGGCGTCCCATACAGTTAGGATGAAGCTTATATACAACGCCCCAAGCTCAACAATGACAAGAGGAATATGGCTCGTCATCACCTCTCCTTCAATTTTTAAGGTTCTATGGTCTGTGCTTACCTGCATTCCATGTGAACCTTATTTTCAGTTAAACCATAATTTCAAATCATGCTGGCAGGAATGAAGCTGGGCTGAGTATTACTAGAAGATTATAGTTACCTAGTCCCTTTTACTGTAGTAGTACCATCAGTGGTAAAGCCTTTCTATCATTAGAGTCACCACCACTCCCCTATTAGCATTAGAGTAGAGGTACATAGGTATCTATTATTACCACGGGATGCTTAGTAAAGATAGACTATTATACAGTAGCCATCTCTATAACTAAATGGGCTTTTATCATTTAAAGCTTTTATATATATGATAATCTTTTCATATATTCTGAATAACTTCATAGGCATTCCGGAGCTATACAACTGCTGGAGATACGGTGGGTCCTTTCAACGGGGCCCCGGTCTCAGTGGAGCTGCAGACAACGATGACGATTACTGTCAAGATGAAGAAGAGTCTTATCTACGCAGAGGGTCGATACAGTGATAAATTCCAACAAATCTAAAGTACACTGCTTGATGGGAAGAAATAATATGAATAAACTAAGCTAGAGAAGGTATGCATCTAACCTGCTGGTACTTTGAGAGTATCCGCATTCTGACATAGATAAGCCTTCCCAGAGAATGTGACATATGCATTTATTGGATTAATGGTAACTATATAATGGCAGTGGCATTCGATGCGTCTCTCTGCATCGCCGAAGGATACCCTGAGCGAACACATTGGACTACAGAAGACTGTTTTCCAAAATCCAGGCTTCGTAGGCTGCAGTGCTAGTATATACACCTTCAAACCCTGGTCTCCCACATCCAAAGCCCCAAGACACAACACCAACCTGCTTCTTCGAGCTGACGTCGACGAGCGGACCACCACTATCCCCTGAACAGCTATCCCTTCCTCCAGCGACTTCCCCAGCACAGATCATCAAGTCCGTGACATGATCATGCCCGCTCGCCGCTAAATTCTCCGCGCATTCCTTGTGGTCCGTGATGGGCACAAAAGCGGCCCGCAGATGGGGGACAACATCGCCATCTGCAGTGGTAGCTCCCCAACCCGAGACAGAGCATTTAGTCCCAGTCGCAGGATCCCCATCACAAGAGCATGGAAGCTCGACAGGCAAAACCTTGGGTCCGAACTCGAGGTTTTTGGCAAGCCGGAGAATGGCAATGTCGTTCTGTAAGGTGCTGGTGTCGAACTCTAGATGCGGCGTGGCTTTGGCAACGTCTATCAACTCGCCGCCTGATTCGTACTCCGAGGAGCCTACTCGGACGCTCAAGGGTCGGCCGAGATAGGGGGTAACACAGTGAGCAGCTGTTAAGATATGCTCTGTGCTAATGATTGAACCACCGCAAAGAAAGGTGTCGTTGTTGTGAAGGGATACTTGGTAGGGGTAGTCTTCAATACGGGCTTGGCTTCCCCCAACAATCTCTTCTGCTGCGAGGACAAGCCTCAAGGTAAATAGGATCGTGGAGAGATGGATCTTCATTGTGGGGGATGAATGAGAAATGAGAGGACCGTTTGATTGTCAGGATCTACAGGGACAGGGAATAGGCACTAAATAGTAGCTGGGGTGAAACTGGCGCGGGTCTAGCGTCACTAGCATCTAATTATTGTCGAAGGAGCCAGGAATTTCAATAATCCCATAACTATTAAAGAGAGGTTGCCTGTAACTTGATAAAAATCTCCGCAATAGTGAGATAGATCCGATCCAGCAACATATATTGCGAATGATCGGCAGTACTATCGCTACCGGCCGTTTTGAGTTGCAGGAATAGATAATTATCAATATTCGGTCTTCCAGCTGGTGGAGAGAAACACAACTTATGCTTTAGAAGGTTATCTTGATATTGAATATGTCACTCACAATAAAGGTTTTTTTTTTTTTCAAAACTGGGTCAGTAAAGGTATCTATGTCCTGGGCAATGACTATGGGGGCAGGGATTCTGGTCTGCAAGGGAGTAAGAAGCAGTATATAGACTGTCGGTGCCTCTAATATGTATATACGCTACTTTATAGTGATACTTTCGTATAATTCCATGGCTAAGCGTGTCCGTATACCCCATCTAACAGTTACAGGCATAGCCATGTATTGTATTGTCGATCGGGCAGGTGCGAACGGAATCTCCGTTCACTAGTCCGATGACTGGAATTTGGCGGTTGGTAGTGACTGGTGCTTATTGGCCTCTATATAGTTATTAAGCTGGGGCCAGTTCGTAGCATATCTCTTGCGAAGTTGAAATAGGTGGTTGATATACTACCGGGTATCCTATGCGATATCTTTGATAACATGATAAATCCATATTTCGTTTGCCAGGGATGACACTTAATAAAAATATATCCAATTTTTTGGAACATCGCCGGCATCAATAGGGGATAAGAATTACCACTCTGATTGGCTATAAATTCAAGATATTCTTTTTGGAAATCACATGATTCTTGGCCTTTTGGGAAGGTGTCGAACTTCGCCCACCAGCAGCAGTGTTATCTCAGCTCTGCACAACGTGCTGCTGTCTCATAGACGCCATGGAGTCTTTTAGGAACAGTTAAAACCGAAATGCGGGCCATGGGCTAATGAGAAAGCCATATTTGCCGCCTCCAAGGCCGTACACACGTTCGCTAGAGCGTCACGTTGGCGGGGGCTGACTGTCAGCCTCATTTCTCTCAACTCAAAGAACTTCTCAAGACGAAGGAAAATAGCAAGCCGTCGAAAGTGTATTTCAATATGTTTCTGAGATTATGTGCTAAACTCAACTTCACAAAATCCGATCGACGTGACGGTGAGAAGCACGATGAACAACCCCCGCGTCCGAACACGCAAGTGCAGAATCGAGTCATGAAAAAGGCCGATGTTGACGTGTCATCCACCCAAGATACAAAGGCCAGCAAACACCCGAGGGAAAACCTCTGGGAAATCGCTGGAGAAAGATTAGATGACAAATACCGAAAATTCTTGGACTTGGATAGTCCACTCCCAATCACCAAGGCTATCGAAGATGTGATCGAGTCGACTGAAAAGAAATACCGCGAGTATAAAGAAGGTGGGCTCAAAATTCGGAAGCGGCATGGGGGACATATCAATGTTCGCGATTCCGCCAAAAACATCATTCGCTATGCATTGCAAGCCCAGGACCTTGTCAAGACAATAGTGTCATTTGATCCGACTGGCCATGGTGGGTGATCAACTATCTCTTGGCTCCGATAGACCACTAACTTCTGGCTCAGCATCAAGTGCATGGTCAATCGTTTCCATTGGGCTAACCATGATAAATAACGCTATTGAACGTCGGGACGATATTTTCGAGGCATCCGAATATCTTGCTAGTACTCTTTTCTATTATGCGATAGTTGACAGTCATTACCTGGACAGAAAAGTGGAAAGCGATCAAGGACTGGAAGATTCTCTGGTTGAAGTCTACACCGCGGTTCTTCAGTACACAGCCGAAGTCAAAAAGGCCGAAAAGGAAAGCGCAGCTGGTAGGTGATTCAAGCTTGGCTCTTTTCTTCCTTTGATTGGGGATATAAACTGATTGTTGAAAGCCCGCGTGGGAAAAAGCATCGCAGCCCTTGTGCAGCAGCCGTTGAAAGACCTCAAGGCAGCTATCGAAACAAAAGGGGAAGCTGTTCAAAAGTGGACGGATCTTACAGCAACCTTAGGTAAAATAGCCATTCCTTCGTCAAGGACAAAGAAGCCTTGCTCATTATTACAGATCACAGACAACAAGCTGAAAGTACACTGGATCGGATTGACGAGGCGGTTGAAAGATTGAAGATTATCCAATCACACCAAAGGAGTAAGAAATCTGCCGACTCAACTTCATGAACAGGATTTACACTAATATAAACAGGCTTGCAAGACCGAGAGATCCTCGATTGGCTGTCCACGACATCTTACTCAGACCCCCAAAATAACACGCAAGACCGCCGAGCATCAGACACGGGGAACTGGCTTCTTGAGTTAGCCGAGTATAAAGAGTGGAAGACTACGGCTGGACAGATTCTTTGGCTACATGGAGCAGGTGCGTAATTTTCTCATTATCATGAAAACAAACCTAACCTTTGATAAAAGTCGGATGCGGAAAATCGGTTCTCTGTTCTACAGTAATCAAAGATGTCGAGGAATTCTGCTATGCCGATCCATCAAGAAATTTTGCCTACTGGTACTTTCAGTTCAGCAATGAGGAAACACAAAAAGTGTACAACATGATCAGGTCCATATTACGGCAGTTCATGCCGCGAACGCTCCCTGCATCCATGATCAAACTCTGGGAGGGACATAGTAATCGAGGTAGCAAGCCACAGCAGCAAAAGCTTGTGGATATCCTGGACATTATCATCGAGAATTTTCAGGGCGAATTTTTCCTTGTCTTTGATGCTCTAGACGAGTGCCCTGCAACAGGACATGCCGAGCGGAGCTTCTTGCTTGAATCTCTTCAAGGACTGATGGCAAAACATCCTTCTAAGATGCATATTCTCGCCACAAGTCGACCAGAGCCGGACATACGTTCAAAGCTGGAAAAATATCAAAACGTGAACCTGGAGATCGGATTGGTAGAAGATGTGGAAACTTTTGTCCGTGCTCAAGTTTCCCATGGAAGGTTGTGTGAATGGGGCGCGTCAATCCAGAAGCAAATCTTGGAGAAATTGCTTGATATTCCTGAACGGTATGCTTCCCTGGTCCATGAGTAGGTGCAAAAATTGCTGACATGTGTCATTGAGCAGGCGCTTTCGCTGGGCTGATCTACAAATTAAGCGGCTTGAAGAGTCTAGAACTGAGGCTGAAATCCATAACGCCCTTGGTTCTATTCCACAGACACTGGAAGATACCTATAAAGATACCCTTGAAAGGCTATCATCATATCATCGAGAAGCAGCTCGCACAATATTGATCTGGCTCAGTTTCTCTGCCGTTCCGCTCGATTTAAAAACGGTCGCAGCTGTTGTGTCTTTCCGGTTTCCGGAAGATGTTGTGACAACCTGCACCACCTCCCTGGTCACTGTGAGCACCTCTGATGATACTGTAAGACTGGCTCATTTCTCCGTGAAAGAATTTGTGGATCGCAAAGACACCGAGGGTCAGTGGTATCAATTCTCGGCAATATCCGGTCATGATGCTATGGCAAACAAAACACTCGACTGTCTTCTTGATACTACCGAGATTCTGACAAAGACCACTGCTATGCAACAACCACTACTGATATACGCTGCGACGTATTGGGACTGGCATCTGGAAGAGCTAGGAGATCTATACGCCAAGCGTACCGGTCTCCAGGAAAAGGTTGACCGTCTGTTTACCGAGCGCGATATTTATTTCAACTGGGTGCGCTTGCTTCATTATTATTCCGACTACTCATGGGGTCAAACGTTCGAGGAACTCGATCCGCCTCTGTATTATGCATCAGACAAAGGATTGAAAACAACGGTAGAGACTTTGCTTGCAAAAGGCGCCTACCCATCAAAGCTACGTTCAGATGGATCCAAGAATCCCATAAGTGCAGCCGCGGAACAAGGCCACCTTGAGGTTTTGAAGTTGTTGCTAGAGAAAGTAGATGAGATTCCTCGAAGAGTGACTGAAGGCATTCTGGAGTCCACAAACACCCCTGAGGCTGATAAAGAGAAACTGGCGGTCATTTTAGATATGCTTTGGGACAAGGGTGCTTTGCATGATCAATCAAGAGCATCGCGTAAGATCATTGATGAGAGGCTGGTTGGAACAGCAGCTGGAAGCCGCAGAAAATCGGGCCCCTTACTAATGAGCCTGCTTCTGGATCGAAAAGAGAAAATGACCGTTAAGATAACCGAGAAGGTATTACGGGCTGCATCGCTCAATTTAATCTGCGGCACAGAAATCATGAAGTTAGTTTTGAATCGGTGTGATGGGGATATTAAGATTACCTCATCATTTATGCAGGAGCTGATATCGTCGTCGTCATCGAGTCCTGATTTCATGACTGTCGTTCTGAATAGACGGATAGACGAGATCATGTTGGACGAAAAATATGTTGAGAGTTTCGCACGTGGAAAGAAGGAAGCGATGGAACTACTTCTACAAAAGCGTGGCGAGGAAATCCAAGTCACGGAGAAAGTCTTGATTGCAGCCGCCAGAAATACGCATGATGCACAGACAGTGAGGTTACTTTTGATCAGACGAGAGCCTGGAACGAATATCAACAAAGAAATCCTCATAAGCGCCGCGAGAAACCGCAGAAAAGGCAGTGAAATCATGAATATGCTGCTAGATGAATTTGGGCAGGACACTGCCATTGATGATGAGATCATTCAGGCAATTGCGGAGAACCCAGATGAAGGCTTGGACATGATGAAAACGCTTCTATGCAGACAGCAGGCATGGGTTGGGGTCAGTGAACAGATTTTGGACAAAGCTGCCACATGGAATAATCGAGAAATGCTGGAGTTGCTGGTGAATAATGCCAGAGGGTCAGATATTGCCATCACTGAGAAGATTGTCTGCTCCGCAGCTCAAAACAATGACCATGCAGTAGAGCTGATGGAATATCTATTTGATCTTCGAGGTCACAGTCTTCCAATTACGGAGGATGTATTGGTATCAGCCGCAACTGCACAGTACTACCAGAGTAGAAGCGATGATTTGCTCACATTGATCTTGGAGAGACGCCCGGAAATGCCAGTAACCGATCGACTGTTGGAAGCGGTATCTCCTTTCCCTAATGCCATCAAGCTACTATTGGATCGACGACAAGACCGGCTTCCAATCGGAAAAATGATCAAAAATATATCAACAGGATATAATAAACAACCAAGGGTACAAGAGTTGCTTCTCGATCGGCAGCTTGTGCAAGTGGATGAGTGGCTGGTGGAAACGGTTGCCGGTAATAGTTTGGCTATGAAGGTCATTTATATCAGAAAGCCGGAGTTTCCAGTGACCCCAAAGGCGGTATTAAATGCTGCAGTGGACCCTAATTCGCTCCACACGCTGCTAATCAGACAGAAGAACCAAATCTTGATCACAGAACAAGTGATCAAGGCTTCATTACAGGATACGATGCCAGAATGTGCAATCGACTTACTGTTGACTCGGTTAGGACCAGCGGCAGTGCCGATTACAGAGGATATACTGATATATGCTATCCGGAATGGAAGGATCATGGCTCTAGAACTGCTGCTGGAACAACGCCGTGATTTAAATCTTGAAGCAGTTTGGGAAGCTATATGGCAGGTTACTGAGCTTAACCCATATTATCTCACAGAGGCAACAGGGGTTTTATTTCGATACGCCCATTTCGATATCTCGGAAATGATGTTAGAGAAGATTCCATCTGTGTCCATGGATGAAGGTTTTTGGGTTTATCCTTTCGACGGCCTCATCCGCTCGTGTTTGCAGCACAGGATACCGTTACCCACGACAGAGACAGCATTCGAGTTGATCGTGGAAAGAGCAAGTGTGAATACTATCGATATATTTTTGGAAGACCACCCGGACATGGAGACTACCGAAAAGCACATCCAGGCTGTTGGGAGGAATCCAAGAGAAAACGTGGACAAGGATGATTTGGTATCGCTTCTACTTTCCAAGAAGCCCAATGTGTTTTGAAAGTATAGGAAATTGTCATTTATTTTGATAGAAACGATTGGATTAGATTATGATTTCTCAGCAGTTCTTGTATATATTAATGAGGTGGGATGAAAGAGATCTCCATTCTGGCCATCCCACATGTTCTTTACATATGTCTACTGTGACAATAAAACTATACTAATATATCAAAGAAGGGATACGAATCTTACTCATTGAATCCCTGAAATCATCTCATAATTGTCTAGTGATACGGCTGTATTTCTTATCTCGTGCGGGGAAGATGTTGTTAGAAAGCATAAGATGGCATAATGTCCGACAGCCTTGCACCATTGCCGTGCCAAATAACGAATTGTATCCCTATATATCTATATTTATCAGAGTCCTTCTGCTCGCTTCATTGTAATAACCACTTACATATTAAAATAAAGATAACCGCAGAAATGTCCACCACAGTAACCGAGCAGGAAGCGCCTCGCGTCGCCCTTAGCCGGGCGTTTGATGATAGCGTTCACGAGGGGGTATGTACCATATCGCCTTCTATATAATTAGTTGGCTAATATATAGAAGTACAAATATACCAACTACCTTCCCGTCTACGACAACGTCACCAGACTACCCCCGACAGAGCCATTCCCCTTCGAAGATCGTGGCCATCTAGCCGAAAAGTCCAAACCTCATATTCTCAACACAGGCAACCCGGATGTCCAAATCACAAAGCTGACTCCTCGTGTCGGGACTGAGATTCGGGGTCTCCAGCTCGCGCAGTTGACAGATACCCAGAAGAATGAACTAGCTCTTTTGATCGCTGAAAGAGGGGTTGTTGTGTTTCGGGGCCAGGATTTCAAGGATATTGGGCCTGAGCGACAGAAAGAGTTTGCGGCTTATTTTGGAAAGCTGCATATTCACGTATGTATATCTATCTACCATTTAGGTAGTCTTGGTGCTAACAAGACTAGCCCGTTGGTGCCCACGTCGAAGGCCACCTGGAATTCCACAATATCTACCTTGGTCCAGACAACTTGTATCGTGCACAACAGCGCTCGACCAAGTTGACAACAACAGGATACCACTCAGACGTCTCATACGAGCATCAGCCACCCGGAATCACCATCTTGACTTTACTCAGTGTGCCATCTTCCGGTGGTGACACTGGCTGGGTGTCTCAGGTTGCTGCCTATGAACGTCTATCAGACCCGATCAAGACTCTACTCGAGGGTCTTCGAGCTGAGCATAGCGGCTTTCCACAGGCGGAGAATGCGCAGCGCGATGGAAAGTTTGTCCGAAGAGATCCTGTCAAGTCGGAGCATCCTATCGTTCGGGTTCATCCTGTAGGTTGTTTTAATCATCAATATTAAACGTAACAACTGACAGTATCCAGGTAACCGGCCAAAAAGCCCTCTATGTCAATCCCGGCTTCACCAAGCGCATTATCGGTCTCAAGGATGAAGAGTCGGATGCTATACTCCAGCTTTTATTCAAGGTGAGAGAAATACATGTTTCCAGTGTCAAGTCCAATCATGTCTAATCTTGAACAGCATATTTCACTCTCGCAGGACGTGCAGGTCCGCGTGAAATGGGACGATCGGACCGTCTCCCTTTGGGACAACAGAGTCACGGCCCACACAGCCATTTCCGACTATGATGTTCACAACATCGAAGAAGGCGGAGTGCGACATGGGATTCGTCTGACGACACTTGCTGAGAAACCTGTTGGGGTGAATGGTTTGGAAAGTGTGTGGCAATGATATAGTCGGGTGTTTTCGAATTGAACTTTGCGCAGTAGTGGTAAATTGTATGGAAATGCAAATGTCCAAATTGTCATATACAAATATAGTCATTTATCATCACGATATTACCACCTATTATTTATTAAACATTTACATCGCAGCATCATCAATATATACAGAGCATATCATCGACCCCCCACGAGAGACAGCACAGATACGCGCCGGACTACAACGCCACGTCCCGATACCAAGATACCGTCCATTGACGACATGATACGTCCCAACCATCTGCATCTGCTTCTTTTCGTGGTCATTCTTCATGCAAACATCATACACGCCCTGGGGAATATGTCGCTGCACGACGTAGCTCATCTGACCGGGGGCAAGAGTTGCCTGCTGACAGGTTTGTAGTTTTGTCTGCCAGTCTTGCCACGATAGCTCGTCGCCAAAGAGGATGCCCGCGCCTTTCCCGCTGCGGATTGGCTTGAGGATATACCCATCTTTCAGAGTTGGGTTTACCTGGGAGTCTTGTGTGAATTGGGCCATTTCAGGAGATCCTGGGATGAACGTTGTTGAGATGCCCTCGCGGAGGAGATCTGCTTGAGATGGAGTCAGGACGTGACGATTGATGAGGACGTCGAGCTCTTGGAGGATAATCCCCAGCATGCGTTTATCATGCACGAGGAAGATGGTGCGCATGTCATTGAAGCAGTGCAGCGATACATGGCGGAGAATCTTGGTAGGCATTGCCCGCAGCTCTCGTTGATGCAGTTCCAGGTTGACCTGGTAGATTTCCTCGAGCCACTCGCCGTTGAATTCGAAGATGGTCGATTGCGGTGACGTTTCTGCATCTGGAGAAACGACACAGCACAGCTTTTGTCCTAGAGGTGCCTTGATGGATGGAACAAGACGGAGATCCTCGGGGGTGATGAATCTAGGACGGATGCCAGTTCGCTCTTCGACCGCATGAGCGAACATATGAATATCAATTCCTTTTTCCTCTCCTTTGAGGAAATGCAAGGGTTTGGACGTGTCAAACAGACTCAATAGCTCGTTCAGAGTCTATCATTGTCAGCTACTCTTCTCGTCACTTATGATACAACTCACCTCTTCGCAATCCGCCGCACCCCGGAACCCTCTTTCCTCTGCCCCCATCTCATCCAAGGCCTGCTGCCCATACGCTCCATGCAGATAGCCATTCCAGCAGAAGCGAGCATTGATTTCACACACCCGGAACTGTTCACGGGTGCCATCGCTGCTGGAAGGATCAGCGACATGCTCGATGAGGAAGTCTGGTCGCCATGATCCCAGACATTTCTCAAACGGAGCAACTGTGCCAGCTGGTAGAGTGTTCATCCACTGTAGAGCCAGTCAGTATGTTATATTGATAATGATCAAAGAGAAAGGAGATTATCTACCCTTAACAGACTCTCCTCATAAGGCTCGATTGGCATTCTCGCTGGAAAATCAGCTGCGGTGTCGGTCCACCACCGATTGACAATATCCACAATTGCTGCGACGAGAGCATCGTGGAAAGCGCGAAGAGGGTTGATATGATCTTCAGCCGTCACCAGCATGGGCAGCGAATGGGCAGTAGGAGAGCCCTGGGGCCATATTGATTCCGGACAGGAGCGGAGGAGACTGGCTGTGTATGATTCCCAGTCGTGTTGATGGATAGAAGGGTCCACGTCTGCTGGAAAGCGGAACTGGCCGCAGTTGCTGGCGGTCAGGCATATTTGTTGAATCTTCATTTTGTCTGGATACAAATGGGGTGGGGTTGAAGTTTGACTATATTTTCATTCTCCGGAGAAGTCATTAGCTTAATTTATGGGGGCAAATTGTGGTACAAATAGGTGTTTGTGTTTGTTTTTGTTGGAAAGCTGAACGGTGGGTCCATCTATATCTGCACTAGTGAAGAAGTGTAGCAGAGACCAGGCAATCACAGTGTTCATATCACACGGTGGAGTCCACTGAGTTCAGCTCAACAGGCACAGGACCCACATGGACCGATCTATTGGTTTTGTATTACCAGCTCAAGCAGCTGCACACGTCGATCTCAGGCCACGTAGCCGACTCAGAGTTTTCATTATGCAATTGAATCAGGTCTGATTGACCCATTCCTTGAAATTGACAGAACCCGGATGTGGCTGATTGGCTGCCTCAAGGAGATCAGTTCAGCTCATGCAGATCAGTGGGAATGGCTACGGCTAAACGACAATACGCAGCCGTATGGATGGTATCATCCCACATTTATTGTGTGATCTGCTCCCATCTTCCGTCCAACTGAACCAACCATCCCTCATACAATGGACTTCTTCTCCGTCCCAAAGTATCCCCTGCAGGATATCCTGGCAGTCGCTGCCATCCATCCATTCTACCTTTCGACAGCTCAATACCCACCAACCGATGCCCAGATCAAAGAGGCCATTCGCAATGCCCGCGAGGCAGGATGCCCCGACCTGAAAAGTTTGCCTCTAACTTATAAAGACAATCTGTAAGTGGCATGTTGATATAGAGATAGATTCATACTGAGCCAAGTAGATACAAGGCTATTCAGCGATTAGTGGCAGACCATACCCCCGCCAATGTATACCGCCACGCTTGCTATACCAGCATGACCGGCGGCGGCTCTGGGGGACAGCCCATGTTCTTCCTAACAGATGCATGGGAGAATCGCCTGCAGAGAATGGCTATGGGAAAGTTGCTTCGACAATGCGGTCTGATCGTCCCCGGTGATCTCGTCATCTCGATGCATACCTCTGGCAGCTTTTACCGGTATGTCCTGATCCATCTAACCTACGATAGACTGCTGATAGTATCTAGATCTCTCGACCTGACTGCAGAAACAGTAGAGAATGCCGGCGGAACCATCTTCTGTGCTGGCCACGCCATGCCTCATGCTGAAGTGGCACGCGTGGTCTCTAACATCGGCATCAATGTCATCAGCGGCGATTCGAGTCAAATTCTCCAGTTCGCGCTGCATGTGTCCTCACTGCCAGACGCAGAACGTCAAGCGATCCGCATCACCAAAGCTTTCTACACCTCCGAGCCACTTGTCCGATCACAGCGGGCGTATCTCACCTCCGTATTTGGTGATGAGCTCTTGATCTGTTCTGCGTTTGGAAGCGCCGAGGCTGGGCCTTGGGCTGTCATGAACCCGGCCATCACGGGCTACGCAGAGAACGATGACTCGGCCGATTTCATCTTTGATACTCGCGATATGACCGTCGAGGTGTTGCCGCCTGCGGTGCTTGAGGAATCCGCTGACAACAAGCATGGCAAGCCTCTTCCAGATGGTGAGGTAGGCGTGTTTGCCTTGACTTCACTTCAACGTCTCCGCAACCCCCTCATCCGATATCTCACCGGTGACGTGGGCTCCGTCCACCCCCTCCCCGAAACCAAACTCATCGACCCGGAAGAAGCCCAGCATTTGAAGGTATTCCGCATGCAAGGGCGCGATCAGCGATTCAGCTTCGAATGGCAGGGCGAATATATCGAATTCGCCGCTCTCCGCGGCTTGATCCAGTCCGAGGGATTATCCGTCCTGCAGTGGCAAATCATCCGCAGTGTAGGAGAGACCCTAACACATCATGTAGAGATCCGTCTTCTGCGAGGACAAACTCGTGATAAGATTCTGTCGGATGAGGATGTGGTTCAGAGACTGAAGTCCTTCTGTCATGTTGGGCCAGACAGCGAACCGTATTTTCAGGTTACTTTTGTTTCGGGCTTGCAGGGGTTTGAGCGCAGTAAGACTGGCAATAAAGTGATGCGGTTTGTAGATATTCCAAAGAGTTGATTATCAATGAATTGATTTGCACAATCATAGATCGGCAGTATTTTTAGCTGAAGCGGGGTTTATATATAATCTGCTACTTGTAGAGGCACCACGTCAGATTCAACTGAAAAACCCCACCCGAGGGATTTGAGCAGTTTTGGCTGTATTTCTTGAGTAACGGTGGACTGGCCATTGAGAAGGAGGGGTTAAGCCTAATGTGAAGGGACTGGGTATAATCTTGGCTTTAGATATCTTGCTATGTAGATTAATGAGGGTATAATTGAGGGTATTAAAGGGGGGTTTGCTAAGATGAGGGGCTAGATGATTAATATGAATGAAACCTAATCTATACAGCATTGGATATATGAAGACTTACTTCCACATGGTCCCATCTATAAGTTGATACCTTAATGCCTTAATGCCTCACCGCCTTACTGCCTTACTCTGTGCCTGTTGCTAACCGCCTTTCCCACCGCCTGACCGAGCGGCAGAAATTCTATCCAAGTGGGGTGAGTCAGAATCTCACATCCCACCTTGTGCGCTTATCTCTGTTTTTTCCACCCTCAATCGCCCACCATCTTCCGTCATGGACGCAGCCGCAAAAGCGAGATTCGATCTCATCAGCGACAATCTCGCTGAGATTCTCAACCCCGAGCTCATCGAGAGCATTCTCGTCGAGGGCCGCAATCCGCGTGTCTACTGGGGAACTGCGACAACCGGACGCCCTCACACTGGATACTTTGTCGCTGCGCTGAAGATCGCCCAGCTGCTCGCTTCAGGATGCGAGGTCGTCGTGCTTTTGGCGGATATCCATGCCTTCTTGGATAACCTGAAAGCGCCGCTCGAGCTGGTTGAGAACCGCGCCAAGTACTACCGCAAGATCATCACGGCCATTCTCGAGTCTGTCGGTGTGCCGACTGAGAAGCTGGAGTTTGTTCTCGGTAGCTCGTACCAGAAGAGTCCTGATTATGTGATGGACGTCTACCGGCTGTCCTCCTTGGTTAGCGAACATGACGCGAAGAAGGCGGGCGCGGAAATCGTCAAGCAGACGTCGAATGCGCCATTGAGTGGTCTTCTCTACCCTATTCTTCAGGTTCTGGATGAGGAGTACCTGAAGTGTGATGCTGAATTGGGAGGTAAAACTGCGCTTAGGATTGCTCTTGTTTCGTAACATACTAAATATAAATAGGCATGGACCAGAGAAAGCTTTTCGCGGCTGCAACAGAGTGGTTGCCCAAGATCGGATACCGAAAGGTAGAATACCAAGGCTAGCCTCGTCGTATTCCCAGCTAACTCTTTCAGCGCGCCCATTTGGTCACACCAATGGTTGCAGGTCTCAGCGGAGGCAAGATGAGCTCTAGTGAACAGGGTATGTTTACCGTATGCCTTTCCCAGGGTAGCTAGTTAATATCAATATCTGAATAGATAGCAAGATCGACCTCCTTGACCCCCCAGAGACCATTTCCAAGAAAATCCGCAAAGCAGAGGCAGCCCCCAAAGTTGTCGAAGAGAACGGTGTTATCGCATTAGTCGAATTCATTCTCCTCCCGGCGGCCGAGCTCAAGGGCACGAAGGAATTCCGCGTCGAGCGGAGAGAGGGCGAGCCCTTGGTCTACACCAACATCCAGCAGCTGAGAGAGGATTACGCAAACGATGTTGTACGTATATATCATTTATTCAAGAGATATATTGACACTAACCCTATCTAGTTGACACCACAACTCCTCAAGGCTGCTGTCACAGCCGCCCTGACCAGCCTGATGGCACCTATCCAGGAGGCCTACCAAGCCTCGCCTGAGTGGCAGGAGATTACCTTGAAGGCCTACCCTCCTCCGGTCGTGGAGAAGAAGCAGAAGAAGGTCAAGGACAAGGGTACTCGTTTCCCGGGCGCTAACAAGCAGCAAGAGCTTCCCGAACGCCCGAAGCAATAGATCGCCGCAACTGTCAATCTCATGCATGACTGTCAATTTTGAATGGTTTCAAATGGAGTGACTGGTTTACTCTATTTCAGCGACTACGAATACACGCCAATGCAAGTCTAAATAGAGCATAGCGATAGAGTAACGAATTTTCTTAATAAAAGGAAAAAGTCATCATTTACTACGAGTTGAACATTCATTGATGAATGGCATCCTGAGGATGGCCATTTCCCTGGCCCTAAAGCAGCGGCGCGGGTGATTTGGGATACCATGGCAGGGCTGATCCAGACCCGCCAGGGAGTTGTCAGCTAGCAGGGCTACGCATGGAGGCCATTAAAACAGAAGCCATTCAGTCACCCTTCCTAGAGGGATGCTTTAAGGAGGATTAGAGAGAGTTAATTCTTTTATTCTAACTAAGCTATCCTGGGTCTACCTTATATTAATATAATTAAGGACCATATTAGGGGAGAAGAGCTGTTATAAATATATCACTTTATACCTATTAGAGACTTAATAACCCTATACTACTGCCTACAGTTAATCCTAAGGCTTTAGTACAGAGCCTAGCGGTTACCCTAGCTTATAGATAACTAAGACGAAGGATACATACTCATAGAACACATTCAAGTACAATATAAAAGAAAAAAAGAAAATAAACACACAGACACCATAATAGCAACAGCCTAGCCAAATTGACCAGTACATCCCCTAAAAATATCATCCTATGGACATGTACCTCCATTTTGGAAATCAAAACATTTCCCAACAGGCTGACCCAACAAGCAACAAGCCCGTCCACAGCAGTTTGCAGTAGTGCCAACAGTGCAAGGATCACCATCAGGCACACAAGTTGGTGGCGGGATAGGGTCACATGTAACACCAGCCGTGACCGATCTCTGGAGTACCGGTAGTTTCAACGTTGTAGGATTCGAGGACGAAGAAGTACCCGTCCAGACTGGCGGTTTGTGGCCCGGCAACGGAGACGCATCTAGAGAGATGGTGGTGCCGGTGACAGCGTAGAAGGTGGACTGTGAAGCGGTGAAGACAAAATTGTCACTAGGCGGAGGAAGGGAGTATTTGACTGAGACGGAGCAGCCAGCGTTGTTGATGGTGACTTTGACGCAGATTGATTTGGAGAAGAAGCCGCTTGGGTCGAGGTTTTTGCAGATGTCTCTTTTAGAGATGGATTCGATGTTGTTATTTGCAGAGGCCACTGGATTGGCGGCTGCAAAAGAGGTTATTGTTGACCAAAGCAATAACTTGGATAAATAGTAGAATATCTGCATTGTGAGAGAGGCAAAGGATATATGAATTTTTTATAAGCTATGCCGACTATCTCAGGGTATAAAGAGTGAAGAAATCCGTATCTAACGTACTGTAACAGGTTTATATACCCTTGGCAATAGCTCTGAAAAATCAAAATGCCTTAGATGATTATGCATGTCACGATGAAAACATCCATGAACAGTGGTTCACTAAACTGCCAATCTAACTTAACCAGCTAGTTTTCCTCCCTGCATTCGGATTTGATTTTCCTGGCCTGACTTCATCATACTCTGCTGTATAAATTCCACCAAACATATTCAAGGCATATATTCCAGTCTAGAACAATACACTGGGCTGGCCAGATCTAGCCGATCATTCTTAAAGTTTAAATCAACACAAACGCATATTTTGCTGTAGATAAATTTTAATTGGTACAAGGGTTGTGGTTCGTTAATACGAAACCTTAATGATTGATTAATGGTAATAAGCTGCCTCCTCCTCCGCCTCACCAGGTAGCATAACCGCATGGTCAATAGCAACAGGAAGGCCGCGATGCCATCCTACGATGACAACCCCCATCAAAACCAGTTTACTAACAGGATGCCAGCCGTAGCAGACGGAGGTGTCCTTATTGGGGAACCCAGTACTGATATGGATGTGCAGTAGAACAGAATATACCACCACATATCAGCGGAATGGCTATAAAACAAATGTGATGGAGGATTCTAAAGTTTATTGGCAAACACCCGACCAAATAGACGATCATGACCAACAAAAAGGTCCCGACTAAACGATGGATCCAGAGCAAGAAAAAGATCAGCCAGCGCACGAACCGCGAGGGAAGACAAATCCAGGCGCTATCATGTTGGGAAAGGGGCGTCCTGGCGTATTATGTCCTGGCCACCACCTACGCAAGCTTGGCCATTGCTTTGGGACGTAAAAGGGTTCACCAAAGGCTTGACTAAAGATTGGTGCGATTATAGAGAGCGAGAATCAGATCGAAATACAGGACTTAGTCGAGTTGCAAGACCAAGTAAATTTTCGCAGGAAAGTGCGAAGGGAATCCCAACGACAGTCGGCGGTGATATGCAGCCTATATTTCTAGGAAATCCGAGGTCGCTAGTCGAAGATAGCAGATGCTGATTGGTCGACGGACGACTGGTTGTTTGCGAGAAAAAAGACTACATTTCTCGAATGGCTAGAATCTGGAGAAGGGATTTACTGAATCAGTGGCAGGGTGGGAGCCTATCTTCAACGACCAGACAAGATATCGGGTTGACAACGATAAGGTGGAGGCAAGTCAACCTTGAAGTTTGCTTCGGAGCGCTCTGGAAATATGGGCCGGTGGAAGCAAGCTGCATATTGCAAGAAGATGCTTGTCTTTATCTCCCAGTCCCGTCATGCTATCTTACAACATATTAGCACCTTCTTCAAGTGACAAAGCACGATAAATAAAATCTCAACTTACCATGATAAATGTCCTACGATAGGTACTAGCATAATATGTCCAAGAAGCGGTAGCCCCTCTCCAAATCTTCCCATTTCCTCCCTTGGGTACATCCCCATAATCGGAATGATTCAGGATCAGCAGAAAGACGGGATAGAACTGATATTTGAAGTGGATATGATAGGTTAGATAGGAGTTGATGTTAATGTTCTATTGAACTGGGAAGCATACTTTCATCTTTCTTGCTCCTTAAATAATCACATGTCTGACAATCTTCGAACTCCACCTGAATGGTCAAAACATACTTGAAAAATCCATGCATGCATATAACTGTTCACAGTACATACATAAAACCGGATTGTTGTCACAAGGAAAAAATTTCATGGACCACAACATGTCATGTCACTCAATCCAAGTGGATACTAATGGTTCTACCTCTTGAAGGATGTGAGGGGGGGGGGCTGGAAAAATAAGATGGAATATGCGCTATTACCAATGTAGTTGCACGAGGCTTCGTGAATAGTTTGACAGCATGGGAATTTTCTGCAAGGAGTATTCGTCGAAGGATCCTAGATCCACGACGCAATAGGTGTTGTTACATCATTAGGGCAACTTGACCATAGATTACTGCACAAGATATATGATACGACTGGTTATGTATGATTATATTCATATAGTCTTGAAAATGCGAGGATTCACCTGCTGCTGGATATATTATGGTGTTTGTAGATAACGCGGTCGCTAACAAAAGGTACATTAAACATGGATGACACACTGACAATATGGTGCTACCGTGAGAGCGAGGACTCCTAGTTTTTCTGCATAATGAATGTGCCACACACCTGGGCCCTGTAACCTGTAACTGCATGAATGCCTTCTATGAGGAGTATAATAGAGAACGGATATACTATAGCTCTCCCTGACGTAATGTGCGCTTTACTTTTCCCTTGCATAGGAGAGGTATTCTGAAGACTTCACACCTTGTGCATCAATATGCATACTACTGCTTACCCCACATCCTATAGGTGTAAGAAGCAAGGGAAAATGTTCGAGTCTGCAGTGTAATTGTTGGAAGGAAAATGTCACCTCTCAAGATCAATAAGAAGTTTGAGATTTTATGTGGCAGTAGATACTTTTCTAGCCGAGAATGTGGAATGTATTTGACTAGACCATTGAGAAAAATGTATTATTAATTGAGTCCTTCGCCACATATCTGTTCTGTAACCCAACTACTTCACGTATTTAGACACTGGTAATGCGTCGAGCGAGTCCATCTCAACACGGAGGATACAGGTTCCGAGTAGATGGTGGTTGGAGGTACTCTCCATAAGCCTCAGCAACGGCTTCACCCTCCTCAGGCTGACCATCCTCCAATGTGTGAATGCTCCCCTCCACCGACACAGTTTTCCCCTCCAATTTGACTGTTCTTGCTTTAAGTACATAGAACGAATCAGTAGGTGCCGGTTTCAAATACTCGATCTGCAGCTGTATCGTCACCCCAACCTGAGCTGGAAGGGCGGCGCTGGCACAACCTAACAGCCCCTCATCCATGATTGTCGCTAACAGACCGCCGTGAGCCATTCCCGGATATCCGCAGAGATCAGGCCCGATGTAGAGAATATTGAAGAATGATGTGCCACCTTTGCTGAAGAAGGCCAGTGGTGGGACAGGAACTTTGTCCCTGAACAGGAGGCTACCAGTAGTAAACATATGAGGACGCAGGGCAGCAGGGACGTGGATATAGTAGCGAGACTCCTGAAAGGACGGATTTGTGCGGAGCCTGCTGACCAGGGGATGGGTTTGAAGTTTTTTCTCGATTTCATTCTGGAAGTCCATCGTGATCGTCTGTACTCTTGGTGTGTATAACTTGATTGATCGTGTGAAAGAGTGGTTTCCAAAAAGACGCCAAATCCTGGATAGTACTTATAGGTGTTGGCCTTGATACAGGGATGGAATTCCTGCTGTGTTTTGCCTCCAATCTGTGGAACCATGAGGATATCTCTTGTTGTTGGAAACGTAATTGATAGCCTTGCTAAGAACATTCCATGTGCAACAAGGCTAAGGCTAGCTGTCCCTCACAGATAGTTCAGGTGCTGCTGGAAGTTCACAGTATAGACCTTGAAAGGAGCAACTTACATGGTCTGCTTTGTATGGCATACCTGCTGAGCAACAATCCACGGTCTACACCGTAAGGTCTGGACAGTCAGATGATGACAGCCTTCGGTGCGATATAAAAGGCTTCATAATGTGTCTGGTTGGACAGAGTCGACTTATCTACACCACGCTTTTATCCCATTCATATTAAAAGAACGCTCAGAAATACTCATCGGAGAATCACCAAAACCAGAAACAATGCAATCCCCACCGGACACGAAAGGGAGACAAGAAAGTATTGCAATCATAGGCATGGGCTGTCGCCTTCCTGGGAGTGCCACGAATCTTTCGAAATTCTGGGATCTCTTGTCCAGGGGCGAGAGTGCCTGGACCAAGGTTCCTGACTCGCGGTTCAACCAGGATGCCTTCTACAACCCAGACAGCAAGACCAGCGGAACGGTGCGGATATCCATACAGTCCACATATCGTATAAGACGAGCTGACTTGATATATAGTTTCATAGCCGAGGCGGCCATTTCCTGACCGGAGATATTTCCAGATACGATGCGAACTTTTTCAATGTCAATCCGGCCGAAGCACAGGTATCTTTATTTGTGTAGACCCCGTGGCATATCACCAGGGCTAATTGCAAAGGCAATGGATCCACAACTGCGATTACTTCTTGAAGTTGCTTATGAAGCCGTTGAAAATGGTAGCATCACCCCCCAAGGTCAAAAGCCTCATTCTAACTCTCCAAGCCGGTCTTAGTCTCGACAAGCTCCGCGGAACCAGCACATCCTCGTATGTCGCCCTTTACAATCGGGACTATGAGAAGATGTTGCTGCGGGATCCTGAAAATCTCCCCTTTTATCACCAAACAGGCAACGGAGAGGCCATGTTTGCCAACCGACTGGCCTACTTCTTTGACTTGAATGGTGCCTCCGTCACCCTCGATACAGGCTGTAGTGGAGGCATGGTTGCTCTCCATTTGGCCTGTGAAAGCATTCGGAACGGGGTATCTTCCCAATCCCTTGTAGGGGCTTCCAATTTGATTCTGGATCCGGCCACCATGATCGGGCCCAGTTTCCTCCGGTTCTATGCAGCCGATGGACGGACCAAGGCCTTTGACCAACGTGCAGATGGGTATGGCCGAGGCGAAGGCGTGTGCTGCGTCATGCTCAAGTCTCTTGCGGCTGCCCTGAAAGACGGCGACCCTATCCATGCGGTGATCCGAAGCTCCGCCATCAATCAAGATGGACGGACTCCCGGTATCACTGTCCCCAGTGGTGACGCCCAAGAGAGCTTGATTCGTGCAGCATACCATGCTGCTGCACTGAGCCCCGCCAAGACAGGATATATCGAAACGCACGGTTCTGGGACAGCATTGGGTGATCTCACAGAGACAAAAGCCATCGGATCTGTCTTGGGGGCAGCTCAAGGTAGACTAAGCCCCGTTTTGCTGGGCTCGGTCAAAACAAATATTGGCCACCTGGAGAACGCAAGCGGGCTTGCCGCCATCATCAAAGCTGCCTTGGTAATTGAAAAAGACTGCATTCCTCCTACCATCAACCTACAGAAAGCAAACGCGGATATATCTTGGAAAGAATGGAATATCGAAATTGCAAATAGGTGGCAAAGACTCTCAGAGCTAGGATCTGGATCTAGTCAGGTTTCTCTCAACAGCTTTGGGTTCGGTGGAACCAACGTACACATAGTTCTCGATCGATTGCAAGATTTTGATAGGCCGGAACAACATACCAACGGGAGGAATGGTTTCCAAAAACCAAACCCCAACATATACATTCTCTCGGCGAGATCAAGCGAGTCCGCTCGACTGATGGCAGTCCAATTCCAAGAGTACCTCCAGCAGAACAGCTGCAATGGCCAAGACCATGACTTTCTCGAAGATCTGGCCCATACTCTTTACACTCGTCGACCGCTCTTCCCCTGGAGGGCTGCGATTGTCGCGGACTCGGCTTCGGCTCTAGAACAGCATCGCCCCGAGACGTGGTCCTTTTATCATGCGGGGAAGAGGTCTCCCAAGTTGAGCTTTATATTCACTGGACAAGGCGCACAATGGGAAACTATGGGTAGAGATCTCCTAGAAACTAATTCGGCTTTCCGAGAATCGATATGGCGAGCAGACCAGTACCTCTCTGAGCTGGGAGTGGAATGGAAGCTCATTGATGAACTCATGAAGCCGCTGCCAGAGAGTCGGCTAGGCAGCGCGGTTATTGCACAGGCCGCCTCTACTGCTGTTCAACTAGCTCTTGTTGACATGCTGGCATCTTGGAATGTATATCCAACCGCTGTGACCGGTCATTCGAGTGGCGAGATTGCAGCCGCCTATGCTGGCAAAATCGTGTCATTTCGAGATGCTATGCTCATAGCATATGCTAGGGGGTGCGCGGTAGGGCAACTAGCCAGACAAAATAACAATCCGATCAAAGGTGCCATGATAGCTGTCGGTCTGGATGTGCTAACGGCGAAGCAATATTTCGGTCGACTGTCTGATTCAGCTGGATTGTTGACCGTGGCTTGTGTCAACAGTCCCCAGTCTGTGACAGTGTCTGGTGACGAAGCGGCTATTATCCAGTTGGAGAAGATCCTCGAACAAGAAAGCATTTTTGTTAGGCGACTCCCAGTTGATGTTGCGTATCATTCACACCACATGCTTCGTGTTGCTGAAGACTACCGAAGTGCGCTTTCGTCGCTGCAAAAGCCTTGCTCGAATCCAGACGTGGTGTTTCACTCCAGCGTCAAGGCCAAGGTGCTGGATGGGGCCGAACTGGATGCTCACTATTGGGTGAAGAATCTGGTCTCGCCTGTCCTCTTTTCTGCGGCCGTCGAAAGTCTGACTCAAGCTCCGAAAGACAGTCAATCTGCTGCTGTCAGCTTTCTCGTGGAAATTGGCCCCCATGCAGCGTTGAAAGGTCCCATCAAACAAATCCTTGGGACTCGGATGGGTGAGCAGGTCCGATACGCCCCGACGATTGTGCGTCACAAATCCTCGCGTCACACGATGTTGGATCTTGCTGCTGATCTATTCAAACACGGGTATGACATTGACATTAACCTGGTTAACTTCGGCAATGCTGAAGCTGCTCGACCTCGCCGATGTTTATCCGATCTCCCTCCCTATCCGTTTGATCATTCCACCTCCTTCTGGCATGGAAGCCGCTTGAGCAGAAACTACCGTCACCGTGTCGACCCACCCCATGAGCTCTTGGGGGTCCTCAGCGTGGAGTCCAGCGCACTGGAACCCAGGTGGAGGAACTACATCGGTGTTTCCACCGCTCCTTGGCTTTCTGGGCACAAGATTAATGATGAGGTTATTTTCCCGGCTGCGGGGTTCCTTTCCATGGCGTTTGAAGCTGGAATTTGGTATCACACGCATGCACGAGGGCAGTATGAGCAAAACGTTTGTTCAATTCAGCTGAGCAATGTTTCTATTGCCCGTTCACTGAGCATCCCGGAGTCAGGGCCGCCAATTGAAATAATGTTTGTGCTACGGCCAGGCACAGAACAAGCAGGCAGAGACTTAGCACGACGGCATGAGTTTGTTATATACTCATATCCAGATGGGGCGGAAGTTGTCGAGCATTGCCGTGGATTCATGTCAGTTGTGCCCACGGAGACAATCTCTGACCACGAATTCCATCCGAACAAAAGAATGAATGAGATTCGGGTGGATCATCTCTATCACCAATTGAAACACCATGGGATTGACTACACCGGACCATTTCAGAGGCTGGCTGCTGTGACGGCACAAGGTGGCTATTGCAGTGCAACCATCGATGACCCAGAAGACGTTGGAGAAGGGTACAGGAGCAGCATGCATCCGGCAACAATTGACACCTGTCTTCAAACTATATTCCCTGCGATACGTTCCTTGCGGGGGATCCAGCGCGCTGCGATGCCGACACATATCCAGGAAGCCTCCTTATGCGTACCCGGGCAGACCCTGGCGCATAGGAGCCTCAACATATCTTCACAAGTCCAGGAAGCTAGTGGAGATCGATTCAAGGCTGATATTGAAGCGCACCTGGAAGGTCTCGGTTGCATCTTGTCGGTGAAGCAAATGGAGGCGACCCCCGTCCGCGGCATCCCATCAAAGCGAGAACATGACTTTGATCAGGTCAAGACCTGCCAGAAAACAGCCTTGACAATTGACCCCGATTTCTTTACGGCCCACGATATCCAATTCCTCTGTAATGCAAATCTGACCAATGCTTCTGTAACTCACCGGCTTTCAAAGCTAGCCCACGCCTGTCGTTACTATGCCAAGGCTGCCACCGAAAGCATCGACAACAACGATATCCACAGAATGACTTCCTCCCAGCGCCAGTACTTCGCTTGGATACAAAACCAAGCGGCTTTATACACTGAAGTCGAGGAGTGTGCTTCTCGAAAGATTCTGGATGATGTCAAGGCATCTGGCAGCGAAGGAGAGATTGTCTGTCGAATTGGTCAGAATTTGGCATCCATTCTCAAAGGCGATGATGATCCACTGTCGCTGATGCTCAACGAGGATCTGCTGTCTCGACTGTACCGTGATGACGAGAGCATGCAGCGATGTGCCATCCAGGCTGCGGAATATGCCACAGTTCTCGGCCGCAAGTCGCCTTCGCTGAGGATCCTCGAGATTGGTGCTGGGACTGGAGGGACAACACTCCCTATCCTGCAGGCACTGAGTGTCCCGGGAGGCTCTCTTTTCGAGCACTATTGCTTTACTGATGTCTCTAGCGGCTTTTTTCCCAATGCGAAAGACAAATTTGCCTCTTGGATTGACCGAATGAGCTTCGACAAACTCAATATTGAGGATCACCCTCGCAATCAAGGGTTTGAGCCTGGCAGTTACGATCTGGTGATAGCAGCCAATGTGTTGCATGCCACGACCTATATCGACAGCACTGCAAAGCACGTCCGCAGCCTGCTCAAGCCGGGGGGCAAGTTGCTTCTCCTGGAGAGTACGAGGCCAACAGTTCACCGGTCTTTTTTTTTGGGGACTCTGCCCGGATGGTGGCTCGGGTCTATGGAGCGAAACAAGGATAACCCTCTTCTGACAGTGAATGAATGGCATGATGTCCTGCAAAGAACCGACTTTTCCGGTGTTGATGCTGCCATGCACTCATATGAGATACCGGAGGAGCAGACGGACAGCTTGATTGTATCGAGCGCTTCCTCGACCTCCACCAAACAGGCAAGTGACGATCGTCCGGTCCAGCTCGTCCTCTCCAAAGAGCAGCTTTGGGGACAAGCAGGGAACCAAGCCATTGGCTTTTACGTGGCGGAGGACCTGATGGCTCTCTTTGGCAGTGACCGAGAAAACATTGTTTTCCTGGGCAACGCCGATTTTGATGGTCGCGTCTGCGTTTTTCTGGGTGAGCTAGACGGGCCATCCATCCTGGCCAACCTGGACAATGACTCATTTGCGGCCCTTAAAAGTATGTGCAAGCGAGCCAGAGAGATTATCTGGGTTACCTGCGGTGCTACTGAGAGATGTGAGAATCCCAGGTCGGCCCTTGTTCTTGGACTGGCTCGGGTCCTGCGACGAGAGAATGCTCATGTGCAGCTCACGACGCTCGATCTGGACCCTTCCAGCAGATTCTGTGCCAACAGGCTGGCGACGTCTGTCTTTGATTTCCTTCAACGGCGACAGCCAGGCTCCGCGACAAGAGATCATGAATGGACCCAACGCGATGGGAAGTGGCTCGTCCCTCGGATTGTCACTGATGACGGCCCGACCCAGTACGTTCGCTCGCAGACCATCAGAGTGGACCAACTGGAGCATCGACTGGAAAATTTCTATCAAGCAAAAAGGCCCTTGTGTCTCGCCATCGGTGATGTTGGGACCCTCCAGGACTTGCACTTTACAGACAACATAATGTTAACGCAGCAACCGCTGGGCCTGGATGAAGTGGAGATTGAAGTCAGAGCCTCTGGGGTAAACTTCAGAGACATCATGGTCTCACTAGGTCAAATGCCAGATGAGCTGGTGGCTGAATGTAGCGGCATCGTTCTCGCGGTTGGTTCACAGCTTCAGAACGACTTCTCTCAAGGAGACCGAGTCTACACCTGGCATGTTCCACGGTATGCAAGCCGCGTCCGTGCCAAAGGGTCCTTGACGAGGTGCATTCCTCCTGGGTTCTCGTTTGAGGATGCAGCATCTATCCCGGTGGTATACAGCACGGCCTATCATGCCCTGGTGAATATTGCCCGACTGAATGCTGGTGAGACAGTCCTCATTCACTCCGGTGCTGGAGGTGTGGGCCAAGCAGCCGTCACACTGGCCTTGAATATCGGCGCAAAAGTATTCACAACGGTGGGATCAGAGCAAAAGAAGCAATTGCTTGTTGAAAAATATGGTCTTTCTCCCTCTCACATCTTCTCGAGCCGCTCGAACGGTTTCGTGAAGGGGATCGGGGATATGACGAGTGGGTTTGGTGTAGACGTGGTGTTGAACGCCCTCGCCGGGTCGTTCCTCCAGGATTCAATCAACCTGTTGGCCCCCTTTGGGCGGTTTGTCGAGATTGGAAAAAATGACATTTTAGCCAACTCTCGAATGGATCTTGGCATTTTCTCTCGATCCACGACGTTCACGGCCTTGGACCTCGTCCAGCTCGTGCGGGAGAAGCCTGACATCGCTGCCGATGTATTCTCTCGCGTGGACCATCTGTTCCGGACAGGAGTTGCCAGACCTCCCTCACCTCAAACGATATTTGACATATCTAAAATCGAAGATGCTTTCCGTATCATGCAAAAGGGTGAACACGTTGGCAAGTTGGTGGTGTCTCACTCTCCGGCTGCTCAGGTCAAGGTATGTTGATCTTTCCCTCCTCACACTCAGTCACGACGGCAGCTAATAATATATAATCCTAGGTCACTCCTCCCCATCCTCGACCAGCCAAGCTTCGTCCAGATGCTAGCTACCTGATTATCGGTGGCCAAGGCGGCCTGGGGCGCGCTCTCTGCACGTTTTTGGTTCATTGTGGCGCCAGGTCACTTGTGATTCTATCGCCTTCCGGTTCCCAGAAGCCAGCAACCCGAGCTTTGGTTGAAGAAATGGCAGAAATCGGAGTGTGCCTTCACGCCCTTCAATGTGACGTGGACGATCGCCGTCAAGTCGCGGCTGCTCTGGCCAAATGCAATATCGAACTGCCTCCTATTCGGGGCATCCTCCACGCTGGACTTGTTCTGAAGGTGAAGTGTTTCGGCACCTTGGAAAGGGAAACCCCACTGACAGCTGCTCCAGGATTCCAGCTTCGACAATATGTCCGTAGAGGACTTTTGTCATGCCCTTCGTCCCAAACTGGCCGGGACCTACAACATTCACGAAGCCTTCCAACAGCAACAAACGACCCTCGACTTTTTCGTCCTGCTCTCCTCCTACGTTGGCCTTCTTGGTAGTCCCGGTCAGGCCAATTATGCTGCGGCATCCACCTTCCAAGACGCCTTTGCTCGCTGGAGGACCAGCCAGGGACTACCCACTCGTTCCCTCGATCTGGGTACAGTACAAGGTGCGGGCTCGCTCCATGAGAAGCCGGAAGCAATGGCCCATTTCGAAAGAATGGGTCTCGGAGGCATTCCACTTGAAGCATTCTATGCCTTGATCGGCTATGCCATCTCGACGCCTTTGAATAGTATCGACGAGAGCCAAACGGCTATTGGATGGGCACCACCATCCAGCTGGACTGGGTCAGTATACAAGGCCTTAGATCCTCGCTACTCCCATCTTCGGCCACGGATCAACGATTCTTTGGGTGAATCCAGTGAGGATTCAAGCAGCACTTCGCCTCCTACAACAGGGGCCAAAAACCTTCCCCAGGCGCTTGCCAGTTGCCGATCGCAGGATGAGCTTGTCTCTGTCACTTCTGAGGCAATTTCAAAGCAGATAGTAAGCATCCTTGGTGTTGTCAGCGAGGATATTGATTTTGGGAACAATATCGCTGCTCATGGCGGTGACTCGCTCGTGGCAATTGAGTTCCGAAATTGGTTCCGCAAAGAATTGCGTTGCAGCTTCACAACAGATCAGATTTTGACCGGATGCTCTGTCCAAGATCTGGTATTGAAGGCTGTGAGGGAATTTCAGGTTTAAGTGGTAAGAGGGTGTAATCAGGACAGGGATGAATGAGCTGGTGATATCTTAGCAAGGCTCTTGTGAAGGGCTGTGACATGGTTTCATTGTCTTCCTTTGCCTAAAATATAGTTGAGTAAGATAAAAAACCCACACTGGCCATGATATTAATTATTCCACTGCATATATTAAATCCCATATAGTTGAAACACCTAGAGGACCCTTGCCAGAAAGATAAAGATCTATCTAATAGCACTAAAGGATCGCCCGCGGCCTAGATTCACTTCCATCAAGCCATCTACTACGAGTTGAACTTTGAGAAATGCCTCTTAATATGCTAAAAAAGCTCCTTCAAATCCTTACAAAGCAGATCCGGCACTTCCCAAGCAGCAAAATGCCCACCACTCTCCATCTCCGTCTGCCGAACAACATCCCCCCCAAGCCCGGTTCCAAGAATCCGGGATACTAATAATCTCTCTCGGAAAATGTGTAACGCCAATCTTAACCCGCGAATCGACGGGCATTGATAATGCGCCCAATAATGAAATCCCTCTCGGAAACGCCTTTTCAGACGTCCACACTGGATGCGTTGATTCGTAGTATATTCGCGTCGACGCAGCCAGGCCAGCGCGTGAGAAGAAATATATACATACCTAGGTTAGAATATCATCGTCTGTCCATACAGGGATGTTGTCGATTATATCGTGTAGTTTCTCAAATATCCAAGCGAGAAGGCCGACAGGGCTATCATGGAGACTATATCCGATTGTCTTAGGCCGCATTTCTTGCTGTTTGAAATAGCTTATGCTTTCGGTGAGAAAGTCGTACGTGGTTGCTAGTCTGCGGCGATCTTTGGCTGAGAATGGACTGGTGAAGAGCGATTTGAGGAGAGGAGGGCGCTTTTCCAGGGGAGGGGAGGTATTGTGGGCATGAAGTTGAGGTGGAGGGCTCCCTTCATGGTTGATATATAGATATATAGAGAGACGGAAAGAGAGAGAAATGTATGTGGACTGTAGAGGCATAGTAGGTTGTAGTTATGTTATTGCCTTTCATCTCTACTGCCTCCATGTATCCTATTCCGTGTCATGATTAATAAATTGTAGATAGCCAACCAGACATCTCATTTATCATGAACAGATTATGTTGCCCATCTAGGAATATGCAGTATGAGGAGCAGTCAGTGGTATAACTTGTAGCAAAACGGCTCATCAGCCTTTCACCTGCTTTTATCTCAGAGACTAAATATCGATTTATTTTCAGTGCAACGTCTGGCTATATAATATTCGGTATTACTGCATTACTGTGTGACAGTGACTAACTACTACCTTGCGTTCTCCTACGTCACCAGAAACATTCTTCTACGGAGAAATCTTCCAATCAACAATATATGCTCCTGCCATTTTCTGAGCCAATGGTAACCCCGAGTCCTCTTTTTTTGCCTCCCAAGGGATAGCTTCTATCCTCACTTGCGTCATCTAACACTTGGATGCTCTACTCTTATTGCACTTCCTCGAATCTAATTATGAGTGTCTTTCTAAATTAGGGTTGAATTGCCTATCATAACATACTGTCCAACTATAGCAGCAAGGGCACCACCACATACTATTTTGTCTCTTTAAGTGCCAACCAACCTTCGAGGTGAGGATCATAGAGGGGGGCCCGAGAAAAAGCCTGGTGTGATATGGGTAGTACAATAGCGTATGTGTAGGCCTGATGCTGTTGTGTCTGATGTTGGAGTGGCGATGATGGGGTACTTATTGGTCTGCAGCAGCTCTAAGATCGGGATAGGAAACGTCATGCTGTATTACCTCATGCCTTATATGTGGGTGAATCACTAGATTGGTATGTGTCATGTAATAGGAATGCGCACTGCCTGTCAGACGACTAACTGACATCTGTCATATCCAGTTGCAATCACCTATCTCCACCACACTCATCCTGTACTCCCCCACTACGGAGGCTCTGAATGGACATACATCAAATGCGCTCTCTCCACCGTTGACTGCATGACAGGCTTCATCGGCCGCCATTTCTTCCACGACTTGATTGACTTCCACGTCATTCATCATCTATTTCCGAAGATTCCATTTTCCAGGGCAGAAGAGGCTACTAGAGCTGTACTGCCGATCCCCGGGGGGCAATATCATCAGGAAAAGGAGCAGAGTTTCCTGTCGTCTTTTGTGGAGACTTTTCGGATTTGTATATTTGTCGAGAGGGATTTTCCTGGGGGAGAATTTGTCCAAAATGCTTCTGATATATAGTTTTGACTGCCAGGCTATCAGTTATGTCAGGTGTAACCGGGACTCCTTCAATTCTAAAAAACGATTTGCCCAACATATTTCTGCATTTATATACTTGAACTATAGTATCTACATACCTCTTAATCATACCATTTCCACTCACCTCATCGAAATATCAAGTTGTTCACCAGATGAACTATATATAAAGGGACAGAGACTACAAGCAGGATGCAAATTCCAGATTTCAGTTCGGGATCGAAAAGATCGATGTAAGGACTGCATTCCTGCCTGTATATGCTGTGCTTCGCCTGCCTCACATCGAGTGACACAAGGGAGGCTAGGATGGGCAAGATGGCGAATCCACACCTATATAGACACATAAATGAGACCCGAGAACAGAAATCTTTTTTCATTCTCACAGTACTTCCATCAATCAATTCAATTCTCTTAAAATGCGACCCTTCAAGTCCGCCCTGGAAGCTTCTTCCTACCAACACCCAGCTAGCAACGGGCCCTGGGCCCAGCGCCGCGATGAGACGATATCGAAAATGCTCGAACAAGGCCTGGAATACCCCACCCTGGCAGAGCACCCCATAGCCTGGGCAGAAGACCAAGATCCGTTTGGACACGTTATGACCCAGACATATCCGCACATCAATGCCAAATGCTTCCTTCGATTACTCGAGTCTTTCGAGGAACAGCTAAAGGATCGGTTTCCAGACTTTATGAAGGCGCGCGGAATCGGTATCATGTCCAACAGACTTGTGCTGAGTATGAAGCGGGTAGTGAAGTATCCTGATCTGGTGAGTTGGCCTCGTAATGCCACTTAGTCCTTGACCGATGCTGACCGACGTGTAGCTCATAACCGGGGTACGCCTTGTGGAGGTCCGCCCAGATCGGATATTCTTTGAAAATGAGCTTTGGTCTGCGCAGACCAAAGAGATGGTGGCCGGCTTCCAGATGGTGGCTGTTTTCTTTAACCACCACACGGGGAAGAAGGCGAATCTGCTAGAAGAAGGGGGTGTTTGGGCAGATTTGCATGCCTCTCTGTTGCGGCGCTCGGCGGAGTCAAATCGGACTCTGGGGATTTGGCAGGAGAAGCAGAAGAGGCAAAACAATGGCAAGCTCTAATCTGGAACGATTTATGTCTATCATTCATAATGGGCCATAAAATACACATATATAGTGGAATATGTGCCTGGCGCTTTATTGGCCGAGCAGTATTATCTACTGACAGTTACGAGCCTGGAGACACCGAGGGAACACACTATATGATCTATTCAGTCTTTAGGCCTATCTGCTTATGGGAATGCTAAGCTACCTAAATACATTAGGAGGCTCACAATGCCAGTATCAGTTTGGGAGTCTAAATGAGGCTTATAGTTGAGAAAACTTCCCAGTTAAATTCAGACAAAGTGATATCCCAAGTCAATGTGTTATCAGGACTTAGAGCAGCATCAATAACCATTGTCACCAGCCAGCCATTCCCAGATGGGATCGCCTTTTCGCACGTCAGTAACCACCTTTACTGGCCGAACATGGGCATACCGGGACTGGAAGACGGGAGCATCATGTTCTGTAAGCTGAACGGCAGTGATATACAAGTCATCGTGCCCCAGGGAGAGATACATATCCCAAAGCAAGTGCTCGTCGACGATACTGCTGGGAAGCTGTACATGGCCGGTCGAGAGGGTTTGCGGATTATGCGTAGCCGGTCAGTTTGCCTATGTGGCTGATCTAGGAGGGAGTATATATCGATGCAATCTGAACTCAAGGGGAAAGCACAGAGTGTTTCAGGGTGAGCTGTGCGTTTACTGGGATTGCTTTGGTTCCGCAGAAAGGCAAGAAATGTATGCTGTAGACTGGCCTATCAAATCCCATGTTGGCCACTATGGTAATGGTTAAGCTTATATATCTATGCTTGAATTCACACTTTGTTTGACATAAATTAAATACAACAATCATGTGTCTCATGCACTGTCATCCCAATTCCTCTATGCCCTTTCGATAAGCCCTTGAATCTCATCCGGATCGAGCGGAGCAGTATCCACCTCCTCGCCTCCGTTATAAAGGACCGTCAAGGGCATTTCATCCGGGCTATGCTGCGGGTGAACAAAACCAGAGTCGACAACCAAAAAGTTAATCTCTTCTCCACGGTCCTCATTTGCCTCCCAGAAAATGGGCATAAATGGCGATTCCGGTCCCATCCAAGGAGCCCAGTAGTGAACGATGGTTTTGTTGCCGGAGTCGATGGCTTCGAAGACCTGTCCGGGGCTGGAAGGGGGTATTAGTAAGTTTGGATAGAAAATATGGCGTTTCTAAGACGTACTCTTGGACTGTTTCGACAGGCATCTTGAAAATATGGGCTTGGTATTTCTGGAGGTTTGGTATATTTTTGTGGATGGAAAATGTGGATGGAGGGGGAGCAAGGGCAATTTATAGATGGGGGAGGAGTTCAGCTGAGATTTCAGCTGAGGTTTTCAGCTCTCTTCAGCCACGCCGAGATCAGGCTAAAATGATCTTTGTTGAGCGACTGAAGCTGAGGATCGTCAGTATTTGGGTGGGTCCTGCCTTGCTGTGTTGATACGATAGGACAATTCAGTTCAGCTGAAGGTAAAGTGGGTATAAGATACGTCATAGCTGATGGCGGGGTATAGCTGAACCCAACAGTTTGCAATCTGGCACTCGAATAACTTCATCTAGCTGATTAGATAACCAAGGTGAAGAAAAATTTGCCCGAAAATCCAAATAATAAAGGGACTGATAGAGCTATCTAGGTATGACACAGAGAGGCCCAAATAGGTAAGTTCAGGTGCAGTTTAGCGACCAGTTATTTTGGCATGACATGTTCATAATAATATTGGTGGGCAGCATCCATAATACCCTTGACTCTAGCAGCAGCCACCTTTTCCTGGCGATCATATGAGTACAGCCCATTCACCTCTTGCTCAATGTCACACCTAATACATCAGTATACACCTATCAGAAGGGAGTGGGACATACAGCTGAGTATACACCAGTCCACACGAATGTCCGCCCTTGACAACCGCCATTACAAGCCTTTCCAGCCGGCCCAGGAAGTCCTCCGGGTCGGTTGCAGTGGTATAGCCCCAGTCTCGTTCTCCTGCGGTGCCCTTGGTGGGAATGATGTTCACTCCACCCATTTCTGAGCAGATCACCGGAGCCCCGGGAGCGTGTTTCGTGCCTGGGTCTGACTTTGTCGGGCCTACAAACATGTCGTGGCCGCCTTTCTGACCGAGGATGCCAGTGTTAAAGTCGGAGCATGTGGCTGCCAGGGCTGGGGCATCGGTGTAGTCGTGATACGTGGTCAGGTCGGTTACGACGTGCTCCCAGCCGCAGTTATCGTTGATGGGACGGGTTGGATCGAGAGTTCTGTTCTGTTAGTTTAGCTTACATAGACTGAAAGAACATACTTGGTCAGATAATAGATAGCCCGGATGTGGTTGCGCTGCTCGACATTACTGCCCAGAGCAGGATACGCCCAGCTCTCGTTAAACGGTGTCCAAGTGACGATAGACGGATGGTTAATATCTCTCTTGACGGCCTCCACCCACTCGCTGTTAAACCGAGATATATAGTCGTCACTGAACTCGTACGCATTTGCCATCTCTCCCCAGACCAGAAACCCCAGTCGGTCGGCCCAGTAGTAAAACACAGGGTCTTCTACCTTTTGGTGTTTCCGACACCCATTGACGCCCATTTTCTGGCATAGCTCGATGTCCAGCCTCAGTGCTTCTTGTGAAGGGGGCGTCAGTCCTGTTTCTGGCCAGTAGCCTTGATCGAGGACGAGGGTTTGAAACCGAGGTTTGCCGTTGATGCGGAATGTGCTATCACCGACTGTCCAGGAGATATTGCGCATGCCTGTTGTTGTCTGCACCTCGTCCAGTAGCTGTCCTTCTTCATTATATAGGCGCAGTGTCAGATCATACAGAGTCGGATGCTCCGGTGCCCAAAGCGCGACTCCATTGTCCACAGGCAGTGAGCCATGGGCATCAGATACACGCATGTCCACATCCAAACACACCCAGTCCTTTTCCTGTGCCAGTTCCTGTCTGTTTCGACTGACAGTGACACCAGCAAGACTGGCTTCGATCTCAATTTCACCTTTACTCGCACCCGCAGGACGTCCCAGCACCGCGAAACGCGCATGAAGCTGTCCACTTTCAATATCATCAGAGCGCAGCACAGTCCCCTCACTCCCCCCTCCTATGCGCATCTTCGGCACACTCTCCACCCAAACAGACTGCCATATCCCACTCGTCGGCGTGTAGAAAATACTCTCCGGCACAGGCCCCCAATACTGTTTCCCGCGAGGCTGGCCTAGATCATATGGCGAGTCCCGCACTCGAAGTGTAAGACGCCCTGCCTTATTCCCAGAAAACGCATCCGTCACGTTCAGGTCGAAGGGAACGTGACCACCGCGATGGCCTCCCACCGCCTGTCCATCTAACCAAACTGTGCAGTCGTAGTCGACAGCTCCGAATCGCAGTAGCAGTTGGTGGCCGCGGGCGACTTCATCGGGGGTACGGATATCTTCAACCACTCGCTCATACCAGAGCACCTCGTGGGCTTCATGGATGCCAATTCCGGACGCAGGTGTTTGAAAGGCATACGGGACTTGAATCTGTTGTTTCTTCTGGGGAATCCCTTCGTGGTGCCAGCGTTGCGAGAGGCCTTGGTCGCTGTCATCGAAGATAAAGTCCCAGGCTCCGTTGAGGGACGTCCAGTTGAGGGCTGGACGCTGGAAATCTGGGCGGGGGTAGGCTGCCATTTTATCTTATATTGATAGGTAACTTTTCTTTTGCATTCGAGTGCTTGTTGTTGCTGTTGTTGTTGAATGGTCTCAAGCATTTATATTTCCCCGCAGCGATCGGCGTAACCCCGCTTATGACGTTACTCGGATGATTCCTTAGTTCTAGACCACCTAATAATAGATTTGTATCAAGTTAATACCCACTTAGGCATCTATCTATGGGAATGGCTCTTTCAATAATCGATCATAATTCCCGGCAACAGCTTCAGCGTCACTCCAGATCGCAGCTATTTTCGCATCACGCTGTCTGCATCTCTCTGTCTCCATCACCACCCGCTGCTCTCCAATCATCCGTGCTTCTTTCACCAACGTTGAGGTCCGTGGCTGTCGTTTCTCTGCAAATGCGCGGAATATATCTTGAAGCCCTTTGTCTTCATAGTCCTGGACCTCTGGTAGCAATTGGGACAGATGGTAGCAGTCCTCCCTGCGACAGTCAATATGAATCCTGGATAAATCCATGTGGTACAGCTTACAATGCCTGATTAGCCCCCTGTCCCAGATGAGGACTCGTGGGATGTGCCGCATCCCCAACAAGCACACACCGCGATGAATGCCAGTGCTCAGCAGCCAGTTCAGCCCGATCATAGAGACCAAACTGCATCAGCCTCTCTGCTGTCTGGATCAGATCCCGTACTGCCGGCTCAAACCCATCCAGTCGATCCTGCAGCATACCCCTTCGAGCCTCGAGTTCCTGCGTGCTGGATAGCCGCCACGTTTCTGGCTCTTCATGCGCTGCTGGTAAAGTGATAGCCCAGGACGTCTGTGTTGCTGAGACCGGGTATGCGATGACATGCATGCCTTCTCCATACCAGTTGCACGCATAGTGTCTGCGCTTGCCCAGGCTTGCAGGGGTTGCAGATATCCCCGCTGTCTGCGTCAATCCCGTAAAGTGTGGACGACCCTCATGCACTCCATATTTCTCGAGTAATACACATCGCGATGTTGCCTTTATCCCATCGCAGCCGATGAGGAATGAGCCCTCGATGGACTGTCCATTACTGAAGAATGCCTTCACGCCGGTATCATTCTCTTCAATATTAGTCAGCTCCCAGCCCTCGCATACCTTAATTCCCCTCTCAAGCAGCATCTCCTTTAATCTCAGATTCAGCTTGGTCCGTGGGACTCCCACCGCTGGCTGACCGTACTTCACGCCAAATGTTGATGCAACATCCGACTCTCCAAGACAGTTACCCGAGGCATCACCGTGCCAGAAACCAGTCAGCGTCGGAAGTTCTTGCTGCAGTTCCTCCGCGAGGCCGAGTAGATTGAGGACTTTCACACTAGTCTATTTAGTTTCATTTTATCGGTTTTTTTATGGAATGTTCGACTTACCCATTCGGCATGAGCAGGAGTGAAGCACCGGCATCACCTAGTGTCGGGACTTTATCGAATACGATGGGCTGGTAGCCTTTTTTATGGAGAAGAATGGCTAGGACTGGGCCGGCAATACCGCAGCCGACTATGAGGACAGGAGGAGACATGAATAGAATATTTGGGATGGAAATGTGATTGTTAGAACTTATCGGGTTGTGCGTTTATTTATACGAGAATTCCGTCGGAGCGTCCGCGGAGAGTCCGACGCCACTCGGAACCGTATTCTATAGAGCAATGTAAAATCTATCAAAACTCCCACTGTTGAATCCAATTTAGCATCAAGTCCACATCAATTGCCTTCAACCGTCTCATCGTACTACTGGCCTGCATAGTTCTGACCAATTCCAGCGGGGTAGAAAGTGACCCCTCTCCAGCCAACACGCCACGGTAGAAATCCAGTAGTTTAATCGCAGGCATGGCGATTACGTCTTCCTCAGTTGGATTGTTGATTCCCTCCAGCTTCTGAATCCACGATGATAGACTGCTTGGTTTGACTGTGTATGATTTCTCCACGGCGGGGATGAGGGACTCCCAGGATGTGATGGATGGATTGGCGAGGTGGAAGACAGTGCATGTATCGTTGGATGATGATGTGTGTCGCGATGTTATTAGTTCCGTGATGATATTTGCCAGTGTATCCTAATGATTGTATGGTTAGTAACTGCCGATCTATGCCAGGTGCATACAGGACGACTTACCACCGGAATCCAGTCAACACTAAACGGCCCCAATGTATCCGGAACAGCTCCTACTGCTTTGGACGTTTTAACCAACGTCGGCAACCATTCCTGGCGATTCCATGCCCCTTTCTGAGTAGTAGGACCGGCAATCTGCCCGACGCGATAGATGGTGGTCTGCACACCCGCCCGACGCGATGCCTCAAGACAGATTCGTTCCGCAACATGCTTCGACTCGCCATATCCCTGCGGAATAACGACATCGCAGTCTTCGAGTGGGACTTCTGGAATAGATGGGCCATGAGTGAATTTATTCCACCCGCCCACTGTTCCGATGGATGAGATGAAGTGGATATGTGCTTGCTGGGCACTTTGCAAGCTGAAATCGATAAACCGGCGCATGCCGTGGATATGCTGCTTCTCGAAAGAGGAGATACCATGATTGAAGTTGACCTGCCAGGCATTATGGATGATAGTGTCGACTGTCTGGGTCATCGCCTTGTATTTGTCTGCGTCCAAACCAAAGTTCTCATGGCCGAACGATGCATTCAGGAATTCGACTCGTTCGAAATCGGGGTTGAGTCCTTTTTCGATAAAACCTTGTTCTTGCCGCTTTGCTGCGTCGGATCGGTTCAGGCAGAATATCTTCTCAACGCTGTGGTTGGATAGTAGAGAGGAGAGGATGTAGCTGCCTAGTGAACCGGTGGAGCCGGTTAGGATGACTATGCGCATCTGGGATTGCTGCTGATGGTGATGCTGTTCCTGCGTAGGGATGCTGGCTGTATACTTGCGCACGAGTCCTTCGATCGTTTCTTTCCGTGACAGCATGCCATCTTGCTGGCCGTGGATGGTTCGATAGACCAGAGTCGATAGTTGCTGGATAGTCGGATTGGCGTATATCTGCTGCGACGTTACATTCTCAATGCTCCTCTCTGGAAACCGCAATCGAATGGCGCCTTGCAGGTCCTTGGCTAGTTGGATGGTCTGCAGAGAATCCAGCCCAGCAACAAAGATGTCATCTTCAGCATTGATGTCTGAGTCCAGCTTCTCCGATACCAGCCGTGAGACAAATTCACAAATCGAGTCGATATCAGTATTCTCAGGAAGTGACCATTGTTCACTTTCATCTCCAGCATACAAAGCATCGATCAACGACCCAAAGTCAGTTCCAACATGCAGTCTCTGCACCGTCCCCTTCGGCGTTGTCCGGAAATATTGACCTCTTGGAAGAACCGCAATTTTGCTCTTCATGATGCGTCCATGGGCAAGAGCGGCCTGATTCGCCTTTTGCACAGACGGCCATACCATCTCAACTATATCTCCACCTTCTTTCCAAACACTCCAATTCGGCTCAATCAATAATGCAGCCTGGAATCGCCCCTGTCCGACAACCGCTGCTCGTGCCACTACATCATGCCCCTCAATCACCTTCTCCATCGAGACAGGATTGAATTTTTCTCCATTGCTCAACACAATCACATCATCGTACCGCCCTGCGAACTTCCACAGACCTGGCTTGGTCGGGTGCGCAGTGAACAGATCTTTCGTCCGGTATTCGTGAAGCTCAGGATATGTATGGAAGATGCCGTGGATGTCGCGGTTCTCGCACCGTGGAATCACCAACTCATACATGCCTTCCCCAACAGGCTGCATGTCAGTCTTGTAAAATGGGTTCCATTCGTAGTATGCCCAGTCCTCCTTCACCAGCGGAGCCATGGTCATCAATACGCCTGCTTCGCTGCTTCCCATTCCCGTCTGGATGTTTGTCACCTGGCTCAGTTTATCACCCACTTCCGGGCTGAGAGGGGCGCCTCCATACGCGACACTGTCTAACGTTGACAACGCCTCGAGGCCAGCCGGTGAAGCGCACATCTCCTCCAGGATAGACGGCGGACACATAGCAGACTTGGGCTTTGTGTGCCGAATAGTCTGCACGAAGAGATCTGTCGATAACGGCCGATCCGGAAACAGCGCAACGGGTATGCCCTCAAACAGCGATCGAATGAGTGTATACAGCCCCATGAGATGGAAGAACGGGCCAGGGGTGAGGACGAGATCACCGGCTTCGAGACCGACTCCCATACTGCATTGACGACCTGGTGGGAAGGGGAAGTGCCCGGATCTGTCGATGGTGGACATGAAGCCGTGGGTTATGGGGACTGGCTTGGGGAGGCCTGTATATATTAGCAGTGAAGTGAAGATGAAGCTATAGTCTACATACCTGTAGTCCCAGAGCTGTGAATGATAAAAAGCACATCATCTTCGACCTTCTCATAGACAGCATCATATGGAAACACATCTGAACCAATCAACATGTCTGACAGAGAGGGTATCTCCAACATCTTCATATCAGGGCGAAGAGCCCCTAGCTCTGACATCTTCTGTCGTCGCTCTGCCCCGTACAGAAATGCATTCGTTTCCGTCACCTTGAACAGATGCAGAAACGACTCATCCGAGTTTCGAGGAGAGGGCAAAAAGGCCTACTCATTAGCCATATATTGAGTATGTATAGTATAGTGACTCACCTTATACCCCGTCTTGCTACACGCCAAAATAAACACAAAATAGCGAACATCATTAGCCCCGAGATACGCCAGTGACGCATGGTCTGAGCTACAGCCTAGATTCTTCTGAATCCACCCGGCCATGTAATTCACCGCATTGGCTAGATCTGCTATGCTGATATCAACGAAGCCATCATCAATGTTCGCTGTTTTGGGGATTGTCGCGAATCTTCTGGTCGGCTGCTTTCTTGCCAGCTCGTCCAGGAGGGTCGCGAGGAGGCGCTGGCCAATCTTGTTCTCGTCTGCCATTGTTGATCTGATGTTTGAATGAACTGTATGGGTGTAAATAGGAGTATTTATATCGCATACACCGACAGCATAAGCTTTGTGAGGGTTTTATTTATGCTATGCCGATCCTACATAGATGGAGTTATGCACACCATCCTCGCATTTGATCCCGGCATATCATGCATAAGCATAACTTGGCTCTGAACATAAAATCCAGGGCATCTTGCGCAATGATCTACATCTCCAAGAGAGCTATTCTTGCGTTTTTCATCACCTGGTTGTTGTAATCTGTACGACACCGTATGATAGGTTGGGTAATTCTTTTTTCGTGAAGAAATCCTGTAGAATACGCCATTCCAGAAATAGCTCATGATTTATAATCTACTAGGAATGCTGGCATATGGTATTTTATACAACTGGTTGAGTTGAAGGTGTTGGCTCGATGATGGGATAACTACCCCGCGGTAAATCATTACCTATTCGGGTAGTCCAGCCTTGCAACCATATTCGAGCAGAACCTGCCAAATTCAAGGCATATATACATATCGTATGACCATCTTGAAGCTATGCCATATGATACCCATCCTATTTATCATTTGCGATCATTTTATACAATAGAACGATGTAAAATAGACGCAGTCACGTGCAGGGCGTTGCAGATCTCGGGCAGATGCAATTCAACTTCAATCAAGTTTCCGAGGATTATAAAGCACCAGTTGGCCTATATTAACTTCCAACCACCCCTCCTCATTCGTATTCAATCATCACGCATTAATTCATCATGGCTGGACAGTATATATTGTACGATTTGGCCGGTCAAAAACCGGGCACATGGTCGATGAATCCATGGAAGGGTATGTCTGCCATGATATATAAAGACGTCACTAACAGCAATAGCCAAGCTGGTTCTTGCTTTCAAGGGCATTGATTATCGGACTGAGTGGGTATGTACAATGTATATCTTCAATATTGACATATGCTCATTATATATAGATCGAATACCCCGACATCAAACCAATCCTGGAGAAACAGTCAGTTCTACTATGCCACCATTAACTGATCTGTTATTCTAACTCTCCCAGCCTCCCCCCCAACACCGATGGCTTCGCATACTCCGTCCCAACCATCATCGCGCCTGACGGGACATACGTGATGGACTCGCGCAAAATCGCCGACTACATCGAGGCCCAACAACCCGAGCCTTCGCTCCATCTCGACTCTCCCTACCTGGAGAAAGTCGAAGCCCTGTGGACTCGCTACATGATGGGTCTTGTTCCCTTGTTACTCCCTCAAGTCCCGAAACGCCTCCTCAATGACGCAAGCCATGAGCACTGGTATACGACGCGGGAGAAGATGGTTGGGATGTCGCTCGATCAGCTGGAGCAGGTGGCTGATGCGAAGAAGGCGTGGGAGGAAGCTGGATCGGCTGTAGCTGAAATCACTGCGTTGCTCAAGGAGAATGAGGGGCCATTTTTCCTGGGCAGCACGGCTAGTTATGCGGACTTTGTCTGGGTTGGTATGTTGCTGTTTGCGCAGAAGTTGGGTGAGGAGTACATAAAGGAGACGTTGGAGAGAAGTGGCGATAGGCAGGTTCATCTGGATTTGCTTGCTGCTGTAAAGCCTTGGGTGGGAGAATAAGTATATCGAACCGAGGAAGTTCGTGAACAGAAAGAGGGTAGAAGTAGTATGTGCATCCGATTGTACAGGGATAATCCCAATTCATTATGCACTTTATGAACGCATAAATATTATGCACGACATCCCCGCATTCAGACAACCTATAAAAGCAGGGAGAATATATCCATCAAAGCTAAACTTCAACTTCCACTGCCAGCCTGCACATAAAATGACCTACTCAGTCCAAACAGAAGCCGCCGCCCTTCTGCGTAAGGGCATCCTGGAGAACCCGTCACTCGCATCCAACATCCCCGCAGACGCCTCTCTCGCCGATGTTGAATTCACGGGAAATCCCAACCCGAACATCCCCATCAACTGGCGGTTTGCCGAGAGTATCTCTGCCCTGTTAGGTCTTGAAGCTACTTGGATAAATGCGCTACTCAAGGCAAAATATAACAAAGATCCGGTCAAGGTCACTATTGACACGTGAGTCATCAGCATACACCCATGTATAGTTTGGCTTGGCTAATATGTACAGCGACCATGCAACCCTCTTCATCATGGCACCGCTTCTCGTTGATACAGTCGATAAAAACGGAAACCCCGACAGTCCGCATCTGTCACCATGGGAGCGCATGATGGCAGCATTTCCTAATCCAGGAAGAGATCTCGGACAGGGAAGTTTGCATCGAAAGGCTATCACTAATATTTACAAGACTAAGGATAGGCGGTGCTATCATGTTCATGGTATATCTCTTTCTGTATATTATACAAGTGACAAACTAATATGGAACAGGCAGTACGGATGCTGGCCCATCTTCAGCAGCACTGGGTCTTGACCCTGGTCGTAAAGCCGCCTCACCAGCTGAAGCAATGGATGTAGTCCAGGAACGCGTCCAGCAATTCACAGCCGAAGAGCTAGACCGCATTATGAACGAAAAATACCACCAAGCGGGAACGATCTGCCACTCTACGGACGAATTCAAAGCAACCGAACACGGCAAGGCAAATGCCCACGTTGGTCTCTACGAACTCAACCACGTCCCCAATGCAACTCAAAAACCTGGATGGTGGAAATCCAGCCCAGAAACAGGCCCGTCACGCCCTCTCTCCGGCCTCAAAGTCGTCGATCTATGCCGTGTCATCGCCGGCCCGAGTATCTCCAAGGGACTGGCTGAGCTGGGCGCAAGTGTAATGCGAGTCACTGGCCCCGGGGTGTTGGATATTTATGCCCTGCTTGCCGATCTAAACTGGGGGAAATGGAACTGCTCGATCGACCTGAAGACGGAGGAAGGAAAGGAAACTCTACGCGAGTTGATCAGGAATGCTGACGTCGTGTTGGATGGATACCGGCCTGGTGTGATGGAGCGTCTAGGCTTCGGTAGAGAGGCAGTACTAGACTTGGCCAAGGATCGTGACGTTGGGATAATCTACGCTCGAGAGAACTGCTACGGATGGCATGGGCCATGGAAGGGTCGCAGTGGATGGCAGCAGATCAGCGATGCCTGCTGCGGCGTTTCGCTGGAGTATGGCCGTGCCATGGGTGTTGATGAAGCTGTCACGCCTGTCTTTCCCAATTCGGATTTCTGGTAGGATACACTCATTAGGCCATGTCATACATGACTGACCATGGCAGCACCGGAGTCATCGGCGTCTGTGGGATCCTCGATGCCATCATCGCAAGAGGTGAAAAGGGCGGATCGTTCTTGATGGATGTAAGTTATCTCCACCTACATATCAATCTTATACTAACAAACAGACTGCACTAAACTACTACTCCCAATGGCTCGTCAACACCGCCGGTGTCTATCCCGAACCAGTCTGGAACGACCTCTGGCAACGGCACAATCAGCTAACCTTCCGCCATAACGACTCCATGCTCGTTACTCTCCCTGTGATGCTGAAGTCGCTTATGCAGAACTCAGGCGCACAACTTTTCCAACCGCGCTTCTTCGAGATCCGGTACTCGGGTGCGATGGATCGTTATTTTAAGGTGCTAAGACCAGTGCTTAGTTTTGCAGGTGAGCAGGTCAGTCTGAGATATAATGTCGGGACGAGGAGTAATGGGCATGATGCTGCGCGGTGGCCAGGGGATTTGCGGACTGAGGTTGTCAGTGCGTAGGCGATAGAGCTATCTAGCCTGATATCTTATACTGGACTATCAGCAGAGCAGTAATTAGTATCTAGTTTTGAAGAACACGATGTCTCATTACCAGTCTACACAGTCTACCAACTACCCCTTCGAAATCAACGGCGCAGCAACAAACAAATCATTAAACCTCTTATCCATCTGCTTCGGCAGCCCAGCCAGTTTCGACAACTTGGACTCGGAATTATCCCAGCCAAGCGCTTTAGCAAATCCAGAAACAAATCCAGTCTGTCCTTGGTCGCCCTTACCAAGAGATGGATTCTTCCACGCCTTGCGCACATCATTCCACTGCTCTTTACCCGATGAGGGCGAAGGCTCCCACTCAATAGCCGCCGGTTCTACGACAGGGAAATCGAGGGCTGATTTCAGCTCGACGATGTTCTTGTCTGCTGTTTCGGCGATGGGGAGTTTGTCCGGTGAGAGAGTTGGTTCAGGGACGTTGAAGACTACGCCCATCATTAAGCGGACAGTACTGTCTTTGGTGTCGAGGAGCGAGGGGATGTGGTTATTCCCACTGGATGGGTCCGTGGCTTCGCTGTCTGTATACCTTGTTAGCTGGATGCGTACAAGCAAGATCGATTAGTCGACTTACATTTATCCCACAAAGCGGTTGGGACCAATTTGGTCTGCTTCTCCATCCGCCACGACACTTCCGGATCTTCTCCCTGGACAATGGTAATGCTGAGAGTGGACAACATGGGGCCTTCCAATTGCATCGGCTTGGAGTAGATATCCCGTGCGTGGGTAATGCTATTCACCCCCTGCGATGCGGTCTTCACAGCCATCTTGCAGTTCACGCTGAAGGAGAATGTACCAGCACGCACAGTCCATTTTTCATTGGGCTTGCTCTCCGTCTTCTCTCCATCGTTCACGAGACCCGACAGAGCTAAGAAGATATGCCCCTCATTCGTGGGTCTGGTCAAGATATTCTCACTTGATGCAGATGGGGCCGGCAGACTAGCTAGATTCTGTGGCTTGTCACCGGCTTGCAGAACAAGCTCATAGAACTCCTCAAGACTAATTGCCTTGGGCTCGAGTGGACCAGCACCAAATTCGATATCGAACGAACTGACCCAGAAGTCGACATGGACTTTTCCGGCAACAGGGGGACCCCAGAGAGTCAAGGATGCACCAAGCTCAGCGGAGACGCTTGTGTGCACGAATAAGGCATCGATACTGTATTTCACGCCGACACTGATGGAGATGGTGGCAGTGAATGTGAATGGCCGGTAGTTGATCAGAAAGTCCGCCATTGCATCAAACCAGGCTTCAATCGGTCCAGCGGAGAAGGACGCGTGCAGCCGACCACCTCCCATGCAGGCTTTGGGCGTGATGGCAAAGTAGGCTTCACCGGTGATGCTGAGTGCTTTACTCAGACTCCAGCTGATCCCAAGACGGGGTGGACGGGGATATCCATCTGGAATGGCAAAGGACTGGTGATAGCCACCGAGAGTGAAGACAAACTCACCAACAACACTCTTATCCGCATGAGGACCGTCGAACCAGTAGTACAGCCCAAAGCCACCGGTGAGATGGCAATCCGGATGCAAAATGAATGAGTTGGGCGAGAGCTGGCCCTCTATCTTCATGGTGCCATAGTCAAAGTCGACCACGACGGCCAAACCGAGCTCGACGTGGGCGAATTTCATCGGTGACTTTGTAGAAGGAATATCTGCAATGGCAACGGCAAAGACGCCCAGCTTAATGGCCTGCCCGAATTGCACAATCACGACTGCATCGACGGAGAGCATCTGGAACGCGCTCACCTTCAGGCCAGCAGCAGCCCAGTATGTCTTGTCCTTGACATGGAACCATCCATCTTCACCCTGGCTCGTCAATGCCTCCAGCGTTTCCAGCGGACTGCCTGTTTTGTCCCCGAGCTGCTTTGTGGCGACGAACGGAAAGTTCACGACCTGATCTGGGGCAGGAGTTCGCACTTCGGAGTTGTATCCAAAGCCCCCAGTGACGCCGGAAATTTCAGCAAATCCAATCTCAAATAGCGGACCGTTGAGCTTCGCGAACAGGAACATGGACTTGAATGTGGTGCCATCTGCCAGCTTGGCATCGCCGTAGAACCCTGCTGCGATGAATTCCCATGGGACAAATCCAACGATAAGACCACCAGCAAAGTATTCTAGCTCGCCGGTGTTGCCGTGGCGGATGATACCGGCGATAGTCAACGGACGTTTCTCAAAGGCAATAGATAGTCCTTCGATGGTGGGCGGATGGACCTTGGGTGGTTCGGTGAACTTGAATATTTCCAGCCCGATGCTGAAGCCCAGCAAGGAGAACTCCAGTGGACCGAGGTCAAAGGTGGCGTCGAAGATGATATGAAGCTGTCCGTTGGCGTATTTCAGCCCAATGTTCTTTAGCGAGAGAGGGCCGGTCTTCTTCTTGAGTGGTGCTTGGGCTGTTGTTCCCTCTTCGCCTTCACCCTCGTTTCCTTCGTTGCCTGCTGTGGTTGCCCAAGCTCCCGGCTGAGATGGTTGTTTCTTCTTCGAGCCTGCCTTGAAGTCATACATCAACAGACTGCTCTTCTTCCCACTTGCATCCTTCATGTTAATCGAGAAGTGCGACCCAGCTGTAATGAGCACATCTCCCTCTTTCTTGTCTTTGAATTTATCCTTGAATATCAACGGATCATCGGCGAGAGAAGCGTTGAAGCTTTCGACTTCTTTTCTTGTTAAACCCTTGAGCCCCTTTGTCGTATATGGATCCTGAACCCAGATAAATGCCATCTCATCGAATGGCTGTTCCATCTTCCCAATCAGCTTAATTTCAGGAATCTGCAACCCTTGCAATGCAACCTTGAACAGTCGCTTGGACGGCGTCTTTGCAGGCCAGTCACCACCGTGATATTGAGCGAAGATGAGTTTAATATGTCCGATTTCGATCCGGGCGATGAACTGGAAAGATCCTTTAGACACATTGCTTCCACCTGTAACTGCACCTCCCGTCTTGCTTGGCTTCTCTTTCTTGATTTCAATTTCAAAGGTATTCCCCTTTGAAAACTGGGTATTGGCAACAAACTCAGGAAGATCAACTTGATCGTGTCCAATGATCCCCTCGATGACTTCCTTGATATTGGCATTGGAATTCTGAGGCTTCAGACTGGCCTTGAACATCCAGTCCCTCGCGTAGCTGAATTCGAGATCCAACTCTAAGTCGGCAATCAAAAGAGCCCCGTTGATGTCAAACTTGCTACCCGATGATTTGCCCTTGCCAGAGCCTCCCTCGTACTCGTATCTGACGGTGAGATCGCAGATTTGCATCGAGTCAATCAGCGGCATGACATGATCTGACGAGCCCTGGTCGAAGAACTCATATAGAGAGCTGGCATAGAGACCCTCCAGAGACGCCTCTAACAACCAGTGCTTCTTGGAAGAATCATATGCCAGCCTCCCCGCCAACATGGTTGGGTTTGGCTTTGTGGATGCTGGAATGAGGTTGGACATGATGTCCAATTCGACCGAGAAGCCGCGGTCATTCTTACCCCACGAGTATGAGGCTCTGAGCTGTACCATGCCCAAATGGGGATGAGGAGGATTGCTGTCTTTTGGCTTTTCGGTGGCGATGATGGCGTAGATTCCGAACCTGGTATCGGATAGGGACAGCGAAGCCGCGGTGAGTTGCGTAGGAATAAACTCGGGGATATTGTCGATGGAAGTACCGGGGATGATGGACGCGAGACTAATAGACTCGGCTGGGTGCATAACCTGAGTTGGTTGAAGTTCTTTCCACCATTCGTACGAGGGACTCACGGTAGGCAAGGCGGTTAGGTCAGACCCTGCTGTGATGAGAACGTGCAATGATATGCTCGGTGAGAGATGCATTCTTACCGCTCCAGAAGCTTCCTTCCAGCTCGCCCATCTTCCCAACGGCCTTTTCCCAGCGGTATCTTAGGAGGAAAAGAGGCGTCTTCTTCTGTTCTCCGGTGCCCATTTTGGTCGACACCTGAATCGAGGTTGAAAAGCTGTTGATGCCAGTTGGCTTTCCATGCTCATCAACTCCCAGAGTCACAGTCACCTCGCGTAGGTGCACACTCTCAAACAGATCGTCTTTCCCGAGTACGCTGTCCACATCATCCAGATCAATCTTTGCCAACTGGGCGAGCCACAGGAGAATCGTCTTCAGAATGTTTCCCTGAGCTACCGGGCGGAAGGTGAAAGACACCGAGTTATATCGAAAGTCCGCACTGGTCTGCAGGGCCAACTCATCGTGGTCCTTTACCTTTAGCTTGCACGAAAACGTAAATGCTATCCCTCCTTGGTCGACTGCTGCAGGACCTTCAACTGTTGTCGTGCGGATGAGGATCTTTTTGCAGATAACACTTGCCTCGTCAATAAACAGGCCGAGGTGTAACTCGAAGGGTTCTTTGAACGTTTCGAAAGCATCTATTTGGAAATGCAATCTCATGGTCGTCTGGTTATAAAATTTCGGGCTGAACCACAGGGCATTGCGCTTTCCGGTGCCCGTTGCAGTATCCAGTGTCAGAGCGAGCGATTTGAGAGGAGCCGGCAGGAAGTGGACGCCCACTGCGTCTCCCACAAAGTCGAGGACATCCCTCACGGTCGTCTTCAGGTTCGACGTTGCCGTCAGATCCAGCCCTGTGTAGAGCAACTCCCCCTTCGGTTCGATTCCAGGCTGTGGGATACTGTGTCGCCCAAATGACGAGGTAAGCACATCGGTGGACGAGCTGAAGACGACAGGCGACGATCCAAGAAGCGGCACATTGAACTCAAATGCAAAACTTTCGATTATCTTCTTCTCCGGCGGCCCTTGGACGGTGACGGAGAACTGGCCATTTGTATCGAGGTTTTGAAGCCACTTGGCCCATTTATCGGAGCTATCCAACTGGGCTGAGGGGCTGGGGCCGTCTTCGAGAATGAGGCATTTGGACTGGAGAAAGGAGAGGAAGTTGTCTGTGTTGGAATTTCGGTCGGGGGTGAGATCGCCTTGTTTTCCTGCTTTGCTGGAGTAGATGTAGTATTTCTTCTTCTCTTTACCAGGTTCTGAGTTCATCGTTATGAAGCTGCGGCAGTTGATATTGACAGTAGTTGAATCGCGGGGATGCGATTTGTTATACTGTATCAAAATGACACTCAATACAAAACGTGGAATTTTCAATACCACACTGTAAATTACGCCCTGCACCGCCAACACCTCCATCCAACATGCATTCTTCACTGCACACATCACACAAACCATCCCCACTACTTCGGCTTCGCTAATTCCTTCTCAAGATTGATGATCCCATCCGGTTCACCTATCATGCCGACGATCTTCTCCCGACTCCCCTTTTGCGTAATCTCCCACAGGCACTGATCAATCGGATTCCACAGATACAGCTTCGAACCGGCTTCAATGAGGATGAGCACATCCCCTCCCGTCCTGCACATGATGGGCACTGCCTTGCCCAGTCCGTACTCTTGCACCATGGCCTGCCCGTCGCCATTTGCGGACCAGTAGTCTTCTGTGTCGAGGTCGCGTTCATTGCAGGACCACCCGGGGGGTGCTGGGGTCTGGGTCATTAGTTTCGTTTTTCTCGTCAACGTGATGATTTGGCCTGGGTGACGCGTACCTCGGCCATGTTTACTAGATGTCCGTCGTTGAGGGGTTGGCTGAGTCTCGTTAGTTTTCTGTGGCTACGGGTGTTGACGGGTTTTTGTAGGCGTCAGAACAGCACTGGTTAGTCAGCCACTGTGCTATAGTCATACACTATATCAACGCCGCAGACCAGAGCTGCACAGCGGAGAAGCCGGTGCTGCTCAGAAAGACAATGACCGCTGCAAATCCCAATAACTATAAGATTCTTCCATGGCGGGGACTAAACCTAGAGGATGCGTACAAGTGGAATAGGGAACAGGTACATTGGGAGATTGGCTTCACCATCTGGACAGGCTGACAGCTGTGTAGATATACGATTATATCAATAGGGTGGCCGACAATCCAACGAATTATGCGGAACGGGACAATCAAGAGGATACGACGAGACTGCAATCAAGACAACAGACTCTGGACCAAGTCAGAAAACACATCTTCAATCTCAGGTGCGATCTATCTCTTGTTTACGTATAGGGCCATCTAACATGATCCAGCCGCGGTCCCTTTCCACCCCCATTCAACACACCACAAGACGGCCCGGACTATGCAGCCCCAGGGACACCGCAGCACATTCGCCGTCAAGAAAACCCAGCCTATGTCCCCCCTCCGGTTCCCCCCCAGAATGCTCCCAATGCTCCCAATGCAGACCCTCCTGTGGCAGTCTCCCGGTACTTTGTTAATTCTCATAAACTTCCCAGATTCCCTGACATCCGATCGGATGTGTTCCAGTTCAGTTTGTTTTACTGGAATCCTGCCGATCTCCTGGGGCTTTTCTTCGCTCTCCTGGGTCCAGCACCGGCTAGCGCCAATGCAGTACGGTTCTTCCTGCCCCTGACGGCTATGTATGGGCGGTGGTGTTTGAAAATAATGCGCATGGGGGAAAATCCAAAGTGTATTAAAAAGCCGTTTATGCTGAATTGCACCTGGACGCAACCCCGTGGCGACCACCAGCCGATCGAGCTTTTCTTGGGCGCGTCGCTGGGAGGATATACCGGAGGAGATGGAACCGCGTGGCATATGGAAATCATGCTACGTCGGTACGACCTGTTGTTGCTGTTCTTCAAGACAAGGAATATCAACAACACCGGAGCCATGTGGGAAGCGATAGTGCTGCGGGGAATGTTGTGGCAGCTGCTCGCTCTGATGGATAACTTGAAATTGCACGAAATAGGGGAGGTCTCGGACTCTGATGTGAATGTTCTGAGTATTCAAAGAAAGATAAGAGCGAACGCACAGAAATTGAAAGACCTGCCGTTCCATAGGGGAATAAAAAACCGGAAATCGACCGAAGCCAACGTCGGCAGTCTCTTGGAAGTCTGCAACAACAAAAGCGAACAGTCACCTCTCAATCGGCTGAAGGCAGCTCAAACTGCCATTCCACTGTTGATCAAGGAAGCAGAGCGGGTGGCCACGAACCCCGAAACCAGATTCGGCAACTGTGCTGAAACCTATCCCTTTATGAATATCTTACGGTACTATTAGCCTTGCCTTCTTTTCCTTTCTTTCTTTCTTTCTTTTTTTTTTTTTTTTTTTTTTTTTTTTTTTTTTTTTTTGGTCCTACAATGCTAATCGAAATAAAGTGATAAATTAGGCAAAATGGCATTTCAGGATCACTCGTGGGGATTGGCTGTCCAGACAAGCGCACTTGACGGTGCCACATATGACGACAAGAAAGGTAGCAAGATCTATAACATGCTGCGACCACCTTGTGCCAACTGTCGGCATATGCTTCAAAAGCTTGGTCATAGCGAGAAGTCAGTTACAGCCAACTTTAGAGAGGACAGTATCAAGTGTGATCTGGAAACCAAAGAGAAAGTAACAAACCCAAAAAAGGGTAATGAGGGCAGTGCATCAAGCGCTGCAGTAAATTGATGTTCTTATTTTATCTTCATTTAGGATTTACAAATAGCATATCTCATTATGTGACATGAATAGCAGTCCCTCCATGACTTCGCTGGTATTTGCACTATGACTTCCCTCTTTTCATCCTTGATAACCAAAATTCTGTCAAGCTGACGTGTCAACGATTCCTCGCTTAACGATTGTCAATCATCACGTCAAGATAACACCTCAGCTGAAGAGGAGCTGAAGTGTAGCTGAAGGTGAACTACCCCTCATCGGAAATATGTACAATGTCGTCATCTCAGCCAGCCACATCTACATTGCCATATCCCCGCTTCGTGATAGGCTGCCATGATGGACGATCGCAGATGGATGTTCCAGACCTACTTTAGTGTATGCGAGATAGTGTGACGGACATGCAGACAATGCATTGACACCGATTGGATAATTTTGCTGAAGTGTTCTGCGGGGTATCGGTTGCCGGGTTGCCTGATGTATGTATGAAAAATATGTACGTATAGAAATACGTGGTAATTTACCAGTAACTGGATACTGCCTGGATTTCAGTATCTGAAATATAGGCTTGGATTACTCTGCGTACAATCTTATGAGTCTTAAAAGATAAAAATTAAAATAAAAATAAAATAAAACATAAACCAAAGCGCAATGCAAATATGAGCTACCGACTGTCTTTTTCAAAGATAGTAGCAGGAAATCTCCCCTCCTGCGGTGGAATCGAATCAGAATTATAAGTGGCCTTCCATCTCAACTTCATCCGAGCAGTGTCCTCAAAGCGATTCACCTGCGCCAAAGCAAGCAAAAAGCTCATCTCCTTGACCAGCGTAATATCCACATATTGCTTTCTACTCCGTGGCAGCAGACTAATCCTCAATGTACGACTCTCGTCATCTTCATTAATAAACTTCAGCAGCACGTTGAAACGCAAGTTACTCAGCACCGTGGCCCCAGGTCCCGTGTAGTTCTCCATAAGCCGTTCGTTGTTGATGGTGGCTTTCCCGAGGGGGATCCAAATGTGGAATGCAGTCAGCTTGTAGCGGTTGTTTGTGTTGTTGGACACTCGGATTGAAAAGATCAGGTCCTGCGGGAGGTTGTCTTTGTCTGGAAGAATCCCTGTGACGCCAACGCCTGATACCCTGCATGAGTATTCCGGGGGTGAGGCGGGTGCAGAGCGTCCCCGGCTTGATACTGCGGTCAGCATGAAGGGTTGGATTCCAGGTCGAGATTCATCTCCGCCCCATTCGCTGTGGATAGGGTGTGTGTGGGGTACAAGGCTGAAATTGTAGTCATGTGGTGTCAATACAGACTCTTTGGGGCGTTCGAAGTTGGCACTGGCGGTAGGGGAATAGCTCTCAGGTTCTGGCTCTGGGATGGCCCGGACAGGATCTGATTGGGGCCTTGAGGCAACACGGTTGACCATTGATGGAGCCAGCAGATTCAAGGTTCTGATATCTGGCTCACGGCTTTCTGCACTTCTTGGCGTGTCGAGGCTAATCCGAAAACTGTATATGGGGTCACTGAGCTGTAGAGCCAACAAAGCCGAAGTGGCAGTATCGTCGTCAAAGTACTTGGTATCAACTTCAGCCTTCTTAAAGGTGCCCATCTTCTCCTGAAGTATCTTGAGTTGGCGATCTGCAAAGTGAGGCAGACGAAGGATATGAAGATCGGACTGACCAGGGCGAGATCCCCAGATAAACAACTTGTCGGCATCACTGCTCTTCAAGTTTAAAACCTCCAGTGGGTCTCGATCATGCTTGTCCGTTTTCCGGTCTTCCTCAGCCACTGTATACTGTTTTCGCATGACAACCCGAATACTGTCAGCCCTCAGTGTCGCGGCAGCAGCAAAGCGCTGCTGATGCGGAGGCTGTGTAAACACGAGTCCATCAAACTCATCCTTACGAGGAACACGATCAAGCAATCCCAGCATGAGTCCATCGGTGATAATCTCGTGTCGCAGCAGAGGGGCCTTATCGGGTACGTCTTTCTTTGGCTCCGGCAATGTCGTAACCTTCAGATCAGGAAACATTGAAACCAAATCAGATCGCAAATAGAACCCGTAAGTTGGGATCTGTGGTGGATGCACCAGCCGTTCTGGTTTCTCCCTGATATACCGATTCAACGCCCTCTTTATGGCGACCCGGTCTCTGTCCTCGCCCAGGTGGTTGCCAGGACTCAAGGCGCCGTCGATCAGCGCGTCGGTCCAGTTCGCGTCGACATGGAAGAATTTGAGCCGTTCGTGCTCGATATGACTAGGGTCTGTGATCAGGTAGTGAGCAGGGACGCCGTCGAGAAACATGCGGTTCATCACCCAGGCCAGCACGACCATCCAATCTACTGAGACGGGATTGTTGATTTCGTCGTAGACTTTGCCGTCAGTCCCCATGGCCAGATAGTAGGCTGCCTCGACTGCCTGCTGTGGGTATTCCTTCTCGATCAGCTCGGAAAGATAGTCGAGACTAGGATATTCGCATTTCTCCAGAGCGCGTCGGTTCCATCTCTTCGCCGCCGATCGTGGACCAAAGGCGTCATCTTCACCTTCACCCGCCACTGTAATCTTCCCTAAATTCTTGCACATTTCCGGTATTCCCTGAAGGATCGTTTCCCTGCCAAGGTGCTTCTTCCCGCATAGCCTTTCAAGTACAATCCTCTTCGACTCGTCCATCGCACGTTGATGAATTGCTGTGCGTAGCCGAATCAGTGCCGTGGTGAAAGGCTGATCAGCCAGAGCCAGCATGCGTCCAACCTGCCAGGCGACAGAGTACGAGATATCCATGATCCCAACCTGCTTATCAAGAATCTGCAGATCGAGTCCAGAATTCGAGCATCGATTCAGGTCGGTGTCACTGTTCTGTGTCGTCTTCCATCGACGCTCAACGTACGTTGGCGTGAAAGGACCCCGAAAGAGGGCGATGGTCATTTCACCAGTGGCAGTGCGATGTTTTACCAGCGAGTAGCCATCTTCAAGTCTTTTCGCCAGTCGATTTGATATTTCTGCATTGGCTGGGTTCGCGGTTGATCGAATGTCTTGGATCACTTTATCCGGTGGTCGAAGAGGGCCCAGCGTTTCACCCAATAACGTGAAGGCTTCAGGGACGTTGAGCGTATTAGGCGGGGTAACAGTATAGCTCCAACTATGAAGCGAGCAGAGCGCTGCATATTTACTGTCAGCGGGAAAAGGAAACGACATATCCTCCTCCACCCCCGCGATCGAAACGAGATGCGCGCACACAGTCGTGGGCGTGGGGTAGTCCAACGGGCCCGAACGATTCGAAACCACCACAGAAAAGATACCGATATCCTCTTTCCCTGCAACGGCCATACCTGCCGTATTAATCTTGCGGACGTGCGAGAGGAAGCGATACGGCGCGGTATCCGGCCTCGACACATGGTCAGGTTGGTTCACGTCTGCGAAAGGCGGGAAAAGACCCGCAAAAAGCTCCTTCTTGATGAAGATGAAATCGCCCATTATATTCCTGGCGGTGTCTGATTCCCCATCTTCTTCCTTGATTGGGGCGATGATTTTCTTTGTGCGATAGAGATCTCTCAGTGACATTCGAATCGCCTGTGTGGACGTCTGCTGGACGGGTTTGGGGAGAGACGGAAAGATGCAGCCAGCGCCATCTCGATCTTCGGCAGGAAGGCGCAATTCATCGTGAGTGAACAGGATCAGAGCAAGCCATGGGACCTTGTTGCGTTTAGCATCCGGTAAATCCTGCGTAGTTCCTTGTCTTTCCCACGGAAGGTGAGGATCACTCAACACCACATGAGGCAGGATACGGGCTTCCTCCATATACCCTGGAGGGGGATATACTGAATAAATCGATCCCTCAGGAAGAGAGTATCGCGGAGCATGGACATCAAAGTTCTGTTGAGCATCAAGCTGGAGGGGCTTTTGTCCGTTATTCGGATTGATCGTTTGCTGGACCTTGATTTGGTGGACCTTGCCCGCTGTTAGACTTGGGGCCCAAAAAGAGAACAGTTGCTCCTGTCCTGGTCTGATTTCTGGCAGCGAAGGCCCCTCTTCGTCCTCCTCCAGCTCGTCCTTGTTGTACTTGTCGAGCTTAACGGCCCGGATTGCATGGCGGAGAGTGAGATGGCGGGGGGAATTAATCGCAGTGCTTTTGCCGTCCGTGAAGATGGCCATTCTGTGTTGTGTTGAAGGAAATTGACTTGATGATCTGCCAGTCTTAAAGGGAAATGAAAAAGGTTTGATGAAAATAAAGTGTAATACACATGTTATACAAGCTGGTATTACCAATACGCAATATTTCAACTCGGTTTGGTTGCAGCGCCGATCCCTGTATACTTCCCGAACAGGAAATCGGCCAGAAGGCACATCCGGGCTGAAAAAAAACAGACAGCCGAGCTGAAAGAACAGACATTCAGGCTGACGTGGCCGTGATCAGCAGTGCCAAGGTGATGAACACATGAAACGACGGCATACCAGTTCATCACAACATCAACCCATGAAGATATATAGATCTGTAGAAACAGTCTATTCGATCCGCATACTCTTCCAAGATAGCACTCCCACTTATCCAGACTCATAATCTACACAATCAAGTCACCATGTCCGGTCTTGCCTCTGTCGCCAACCCGCTCGATCCCAACCCGACCGCCATCCAGGTCTACTATGCCACTCAAGATAAGAACCTCGCCATGCAATTCAAACCCAGTGGCGCGACGCGGATCAACCCTGGCGTATACCACCCCGCCGCCAACGACTACCCAGGCTACATTTCCAGTCCGTCCCATCTGGCCGTGGGATACTTTCAAGGCGCTCAGTTCGTAGTCGGCTACACGAAGCCTAAAACAACGGAGCTTAAACCAAAGGGAACGGGTGAAGCAGATTCGACGGATGGAAATTCCGACCGGGCAGAAACGGAAAATATCAGTATCATCAGTCCGGTTTACGAACCTATTATCTTTGGTGTAGGGCTGGGCAAGAGGGCTCTCACATTTACTGCGAACAACGACATCGCGTCCATCTGGTATCTGAAGTAAGCAAACATTACGCACAAATGCATTTCATCCAAAGGCTAATAAAAACGCAGCAAAGATGACAAAAATCGAATTGTTCTGCAAGAGTACAAACTCAACGAAAGAATCCCAGCCAACGACGCGAAAATGAGCAACATCGACCCCTCATCTTCTTTAGCGGGCTATATCGCAGGTGACGATGTGTTTGTGATCTATCAGACCCCGGCCAAAGACCTTTTCGAGTACAAGTCTGGCGAAGATTGTATGTTTCATGATCATGATCATCATGGAAAACACAGCTAATTATATATTCAGGGTCTCAAATTGGCACCGTAGCTGCCCCTGCGCCGCAAACCACCCTGGCTGTCAACTACGTTGAAGAAAAGAAAACAGCCTACCTTTACTACCGAACGGAAAAGGGAGAGCTCTACCGCATGGCCAGAAAGGTGGATGGAAAATGGAGCGATACGAAGAAGATCAACACCAAAAGCGTCGCGGTGGGTCCGACCAGCCAGTTGGCTGTCGTCTATTCGAACGGCATCAACCATATCTACTGGGTTCCCGAGAAAAGAAAGGACCCCATGGCGGCTACAGACGACCTGAAGTAATGGAATCAGCCGTGAACATACTTGATATTCCTCGTATAGACACAAGATCAGCAACCATCTGCCCTGAATCTTCAAAAACCAGAATTGTATGCTCTGTCTAAAATTATACAAACATCGTAGCCATAGCCTTCTACTTTTCTCTCTCCTCCATAATCGGTCTTCTCAACTGCAAAAACCCCTCGACAGCAGTATACGGCCCATTCTCAAAACCCGGCTTCTTCCAATTCACCAACTTGTCGATCCCATACGAGTTGAAGACGGGCGGATGCTCAGCTGAGGCCGGATCGACATACGCTTGTAGCCAGTTCCACTCGCCCGCATCCAACGCGGGCAGTGCGACATTGACCGGGGGTTCTTTGAGCGAGTTCTCCAATGTCAGTGGGCGACTGGCATCATAATCCTGCACGTCTTTTGTGAGTGTGACGGGCCCGGCATGGAAGAAGGCCGTCATGCGCTTCATGGCTTCCTGCCAGGTCCACGGAGCCAGCTGTAACGCCCGGGCGGGGAGGAAGGAGGAGTACGCGTGCACAGCCGTGAAGGGATCGACAAGGGCGCCTAATACTTGCAGATGGCTGTTGCGTTGGTCGTCATACTGGGCGGGGCTGATGGTCTCGTCGGTGGCCGACAACGGAGACTGCCAGAAGGGGGTGAAGGTGGGGTAGTCTTCGCTGGTGATCTCTTTGATGGGATTCTGAGAGTCGAGGCTGGTGAAGTAGGTGTGGATCGTGTCGAGGTTCAGCTCGCTGCCTTTCTCTGGCTTGCCTGTCTCTGGTTGGGGCTTCAGGTCAAAGTAGGCCACCAGGCCGTCGTATTCGCGCTCTTTGTCGCCCAGTTTGACTTGGAGTTGGTAGTGTAGTAGGTCCTTCAGTGGTTCCTTTCGCTTTGAATTCGTCGATTGATTGCTCAATGGCTGTTGGTCCAATTCCAGTGACCAGCCCATGTTTACCAGTGCCAGTGGCTTCCCAACAATTGCGGTCAGATACTGTGCGTATGAACTTGGGGGAGGAGGCAGCTTGTTCAGTGCCACCTCGACCATCTTCCAGAACTCTTTGATATAGTGTTTGTCGCTCAGTTTGTTAATCAGAGCGTCAAACTGCATCCGGTCTGGCGATTTGTCTTCTGCTTCATTTGCATCTGCTATGAAAGGCACCCACTTCGGCTCTTCTAGCACTCCGTTAGGCCCGCCTATCCTAACCTCACGATAGAACGTGCCATTCGGAAGGAAGAACTGTAGACTCTGGTCGGCGTAGTTGGTGACCACCCATCCCCAAATCGGATTCTCCCACTCACTCGCTGGTCGCCAGTGAGAGATGGCGTTCTCGTCCAGAGTACGTTTCACAAATTCCGCATTCAAACGACTGTTTTGGTTGATCTGTGGCGGCACTTGGATAAACTCACACAGCCCTTCGTTGTTCTTGATCACCGTGTTGGCGTGGCTGTCCACCGTCTGTGGTTCGAAAAAGTCACTGATGCTGGGATACATCGGTGGAGGGCCTTCCTTCCGAGGCTGTGGATCGATGCCCACCAGAGTCTGGCCGAACTTGTCGATGATGTTCAGCTTGCGGAATCGAAATTGGCCGTGGGTAACTGGTTTGAATGGACAGTGGTCGTCTGTGAATGCCACCATGCCAGCGTACGGAGTCAAGGCCGACTGACCGTAGATCATTTCAAGGTTTTCCTTGGTGAATCCAAGACGATTGAGAATTGCATCGCCAATTGCTGTGAATTTGTCGCTGCCACCTCCGATCTCCTTGTTCAGTGGCTTGATATGGGTTCCGTGGGCCATGGTGAGCAGACCGTCTGTAAACCCAGTCAGCGGCGCAGAGAGATACGGCAGCGTCTTGACGGCCCTGCTCAGTTCGTCTCGCTCTTTCTTCTTGAGAAATTTGTCAAGAACGCTGGGTGAAGTATCAGAGAACAACTGTTTGATCTTTGCATCAAGAGAAAAGCTCGGTTGAGGAAGCACCAGCACTCGACCAGATAGAATACGCGTATCGTGAGTACTCGGGGGTCCTAATTCCTCCCAGAGAGGCTTGCTGCTGTTGATTCCGTATCGAACCTGCTTGACGTCTGACACTCGCTTGGTGTATTCATCAAGAGACCAGTGTTCAAATGGGATGTGCGTGTATTCGGCTTCCCACTCCATGTACAGAGGGCGCCATGGCTGTCGTCCACTGGATCGATCTCTTGGATAGCCATCTACCTTGTCATGGAACTGTGGATGAATCTTTCCAGCTGGGGGCGCCGATAAGGCTGTGTCTCTTGTCAATTCAAAGAATTCTTTCAGCAAGACCTCACTCGCCGTCAACATCTCTCCCGTCATGGCTGTGTTCAATCTTTCCTTCATCAAATTAATTAAGGCTGACAGACCATCAGGAATGTCAGATGAATTGTCTATGGCTTGCTTTGGTAAACGTGCAGTGACCTTGTCAAGATAGTCCGACGGCCAGCCCTGATCAATGCCTCCGATGAGCAGAGTCGGGTCAGCAGCACGATAGTAGAAAGGCAACGTTCCCGACTTGGACTTTTTGAGCGTCGCTTTTTCACGCATGGACTCGATTTTACGCTGCAGAGCAGTCATCTGCTGATCGGCCCGTTTGATTCTCTTCAAAATATTGTCCGTAGCATCCTGAAAGTCGCGATCGTGGTCATGCGTGTCCTGATGCGTCGGATCTGAGAAATACTTCCACCACGTCGAGAACATATCCCACCGCAGCTGCAGACTCGCTCGCTGGCAGGCGTCAAACAGCCGTTGGGTCTGATTCAGCTCATTCAGGTCTTTCTGACTCGCCTCATCTGGTTGAATCGGTTGGCCATTTTTGTCCTTCGACTCATCGTCGGCCAGGAAATACTGAATACCACCGGGAGCTCGCACAAAGTTCCAGTTGTACACTGTATCCTTGGCCTCTCGCTGTCCTTCAACTCCATCATCTCGGGCGTGCATTAGAGATTGAATGGCGAGGATATACTCTTCCAACTTGGCTATCGCGTCGGTATTACTCCCCTTTTCCTTTCGCGCGGTGCAATAACTGATCAGCGCATCCAACGGGGTAGTGCCGACTGACGTTGCTGGAAGTTTCTGATTCTGAAGACGCTTAGAAAAGGTGTTGGCAGGAATTGCCTTGGGCTTCTCTTCATGGTTCCAGTTGACGTCGTACATGGCTCCGTGGCAGACCAGACGAACAGGATCTTTCGCTGCTAGCCAGTCCCCACCATTCTGCAACGACATAAACAACGCCTCCAGTCTTTCCGAATGAGGTCTTTCATCTCCTTCCATCCACAGCGGATCAACCTTTTCATCAGTATGCCAGCCAATCAGATAATAGTCGGCATTCGCAGCCTGAAGGTCCTTTGGATCAGACGAATTCCCATACTGAAAGTTATCCACCATACTGAACACATTCGAATTATGTAGTTGAAAGTCCGCAAAGAGCTGGTTACCACTGCGCAAAAGACTGATATTCGGCGGATTCTCCTGTGGCTCATTCTTCCACTCTTTCAGCGGCGTCTTGCGGCCGATAAACACCTCTGCCTGTTTCTTCACGTCGACCTCTTCACCAGCAGCTCCGACAATGAACGGCGACACATCAACCTGCAGGTCATAATCCGCAGGAATATTATCCAAATTCCACTCATAGTCACTCTCAATAACCCAAGCGTCATATTCTTGAAAGCTCCCCCTAGCCCCCGGCGGCTGTATACTCTCCAAATCCAACCGACGAACAACCATCCACCGCGTAGGCGGCTGGATATAATCCGGCGTAACAGAATCCGGGTCCTTTTCATCCTCCTTCTCATCCCCGGGTAACCCATGTCTCAACCGCTCATTGTTTCTCCGTTTCGGCGGCACAGAGCTCGTAGATGACACGCCTGCTCGATACGCCCTGGGCAGCGTCCAGTGCAGATAGACACCGTGGCGATTGCGACGGGGCTTTCCAGGATAGGTTCCCAAATCTGTCATGCGGGTGTTGATATCCGCAGGGGCGGTATTGTGCAGATCAGCGTGGCCCTGGACGTCGCTTTGGGCTACAAAGTCGTTGAAGCGGAGGAAGGTGTAGTTTGGCTGGGTGATGGGGCAGATGCGGGCATTGCCGTCGTTGGGTTCACCACAGACTTTGGGATTGAGGACAAATGCGTCCAACTGGACGGGAACGAGGAGGGGAGGGCTCATTTTGATGGGAATATGAATTGGATAGAATGTGCTAGCCTGGGAGAATGGGGGTGCTTATATAGAAGGTGGTGTACATAAATTACACGCTAATCATCATACAAAACAGGTGAAACTTTCAACAGTGTCTCGCCATATCTGATTTAAAATACACATAAGAGCGTAATTTACCCCACGAATTGGTAATCACGTTAAAATTATCACACCAATTTTAGATTTTCAGATCAGCTGGTGAATTTATCTGATTAACAGAAAAAAGCGCATCAGACAGCTTATGTGTCAAGAGGGGTCATCCCTGATGTAACAGACACTCCTCCTAAGAGTCCCTGGTCAGGTCACCATAAGTAATTATTGCACTAGGATTGCTCACGTGTTATAAGGTTTTTTTTTAAACTTTGCCAGGTGCAGTGCTACTTATTTTAAGGCCAGGGCATACGGGGTATTATTATAGAGAGAGAGAGTTATAGTAACAATGTGATGTAATGACCCAAGTTTGCCGATCACTACACATATATGTATATATATAGTCAACATTGATTTCAAAATTACTATATCAATCACGCTCCGCCTAATCGTATAATAATCCTCCAAAGCATCATTGTAAAAACACAGCCCAGGAAAATACCAAGTGAAAATTCCCCATGAAATGATTTTAAAACTGAGAGGACAGCAAGTACTGCTGTTATAAGAAATAAAAAAGCACTCCACGTTGTGTGCGTTGACGTTTGGGCCAGTAAGTTCCATAAAAACTTCAAAAGCAGCCAACATAGCAGCATGAATTGTGAAGGGATTCGTATCCAGGCATTGTCATGCTGACACAGAGGGACTCGCGAATCCATGTCGTGGCCCAATAGATTGGCTGTTAATTGGTTGTTTTCGATATCAAAATCGAGTATAGCTCGTTCAAGGCCACCACTTGCGAAGTTATCGAATGTATATTTCCTCATGAAATGATCTAGAATACCCATTGCGATGTTTTGAAAGCTTAGCTGGTATATTTCGGTGCTAGATTCGTCAGCTAAAATGATAGTGAATGGATTGAATATGATATACTGACTATTTAGGGCTTATTTCCACAAGATCGATAAACTTTGGTCCGTGGATGTTTCGATAGGTACCGAGGAAGTCCAAACTCTGTCGCCGTATATGAGAGGTCCCGGAACCGACTTCCAATATGTTGTTATAACTTCAAGAAAAAACGAATCGCTTCGGCCGCGCTTCGGAGAAACCCGAAGCAAACACGTCAATGCGGGGTTGATCGTGACAGCTCACACGCTTACAGGTGTAGCCACAGGGAAATGAGGCTACGAGCTGGAGCAAAATTTTCTAATAAGCTCCTCGATCTCCCGATCTCATCATAAATTCACTTGCAAAATTTCACAGGATGGTGGATCCGTTCACGATTATCGGTCTCGCCTCGAGCATTATAGCCTTTGTTGACGTTAGCATCAAGCTCGTGTCCCAGACAAAAGCAATTTATGACTCTTGCCATGGCACAACCACTGAAACACACGAGATTGAAGTCATTCTCAAAGATATCCGAATGAAAAATGCTGAATTCCGCCACCACACTGAAAGCAATTACAGGCCGCTCCCTTATGAGAAGCATATATTGGATATGGTGGCAGAATGTGAACGATTAGGCAGCGAGCTATCTGATAAACTGAGAAAGCTCAAGATGCGAGACGGGAGACGGTCGAAAACAGTAGAAAGTTCCCGTGTAGCCCTGCAGAGCTGGTGGAAAAGAAAAGATATTGTAGCCTTACAGGACCGCCTGATGGCTCTGGATGGTAGAATTAGGATGAGGGTCAAAGAAGCTCTTGACGGGTCAGTCGGTTTATTATTTCTGTATTTCCATATTTAAACCTAAATATGGATTGTGAGATGACAGCAAAAGGACTTTTGCTGACGAGACAACAGAGATATCTTATCCGAGATAAAGGCTCTTGGGAATGAGCACAAGAAGCTAAATGTCAACTATTGTTCAAAGCTCGACGATCTTCGAAACACGATTATTTCTCTGACAGAAGCCGACGACAACATTCCAGAACGATTGGAAAGCCTAAAAAATGATCTGATATATCTTGAGAAGGAGCGCAAGGACCGCCAAAGAGAAATAGAAGTTATTCGCAGCTTACATTTCCACATCATACGACGGCGATGGTCGGAAATCAAGGACGCCGGCCAATTCACGAACGATTGGTTGTTTGATCGATCAAAAACAACATTTCTCGACTGGTTAGAGTCCGGTGATGGCATATACTGGATCAGTGGCAAGGTAGGCAACGCATTTATTCTCTTACACATCCAGGGTGTTAATAAGTGAATTCTAAACAGGCAGGAAGTGGGAAGTCGACCCTCATGAAATTTGCATCCGATAGCAGGAATACGTTTCACGCTTTGAAGAAATGGTCTTCTCCAGCTCAGCTGCACATCGCAAGCTATTACTTCTGGTATCAAGGGTTTCCCAAGCAAAAGTCCCAGGAAGGACTGCTCCAATCTTTGCTCTATCAAATATTGAAGAGCGTCCCGGATTTGATACCGAAAGTGTGTCCAGACCACCTGGAATATGAAGATTGGCACTTCCAGGAGCTGAAAGCCACATTCAGCCGAATTTCAAATCTTGGTGCTCTGCCTGTGAAATTCTGCTTTTTCATTGATGCGCTCGACGAGTACAACGGGGACGAAAAGGATATTGTCAAGATGATCTCATTTTTGTGCCAATCTGCATACGTGAAGATATGTGTGTCGAGTCGACCTTGGAGAATTTTCGAGGATGCTTTTCAGGAAAGTGGGCGGACCTTAGCTGTCCAGGACTTCACCAAGGGGGACATGAAAAGGCACGCCTTTCAGGAGCTACAGGTTGAAAGATTCCGGCACCTGGACGACCGCGAGAAACTCTGTGAGGAGATTATTACGCACATTTCCGAAAAAGCTCAAGGAGTTTGGCTCTGGGCCTCTTTGGTCATTCGAGCGCTGGTACATGCCGTGGAACATGATGAAGGGCCCTCCAAATTAAGATCCATACTCGAGGAATTCCCGCCAGACTTGGAAACATACTTCCAGAGTATCATCTCACGGGTCAAACCCACTTACCGGGAGGAGATGGCGCGCATTTTCTTGATTACTATAGAAGAGGTCCAACCCTTGCCCTTGTTTGCATTCTCTCTGCTAGAGAAAGAGATGGAAGACGACCGCTACGCTATAAAAGCCCAAGTCTCGCCGGTGAAAACATGGGACTCTGACCAGGTTTGGAAATCCAGGATTCATAATCGATGCCTTGATCTTCTTGTAGTCGGTGATGGACTACATCCAACCTTTCATCAGCATCCAGTAGACTTCCTGCATCGTACCGTTCGGGACTTCCTGCAGGATTGTTACTATGGGGAGTTGACGAAAGAGCTCAAGTCACCTTTTAACCCTCTGGTTTCTCTCTGCAGAATGTCTCTTTTCCTACTCAAGGTGCTACCGAACACAGAATTGCGGAATAAGGAAGGCCTCAACAAAGTCTTCGCGGTTGTTGATGAGCTTCTTTACTACGCCCATGAAGCCGAGAAAAGAGTCCAGTCGGAAGAATTCTCTCTTGTAGAAGTCTTGGATGAAGTCGATCGAGTGAACTGTCATTACGCCCGTAATGCCTCCATAAAACGACACTGGACTAATGCAAGGGATACTCCAGCGGGTAGCGGTTGGAACCAGTATCACGATTATGGAAATTGCAATTTCCTGGCGCTCGCCGTACAGGCCCGCTTGGTCACATATGTGTCTACAAAACTACAACCGGACTCGCGACGCCTGCAGAAGGCTGGGAGACCCCTTCTGGATTACGCACTCCGCCCACGACGTGTCACGGCCTTCCAAATGCCGTATCATTCACAAAGAGACGAGCCTAGCGTTGATATTAATATGGTGCGTCTGTTGTTGGAGCATGGGGCAGATCCAAACCAAAAGGTTCATGTCTGTCACGGACTCACGGTTTGGGCTCTTTTCCTCCTGTCTTGCTCTTCTCAGATTAACAGACGGGAAGGGCTGTCCCCATCTTTGGGGGGGGCTTGGTATGTAGCGTGCGAAATGCTCATCCAGTATGGCGCAAAGCCGAATTGCTCGTTTGGGTTCGATGATATGACCGTGCATAGCACACTCTGTAAGATATTTGGTAATGACAAGGCTTATAAATTGTTGGCGGAAATGCAAGTCATACAGGCACAACGTTCGAGAAGTTCATGGCTGTCAGGCTGGTGGCTTCCCAAGATGCAATGGTTCGATTCAACATCTTAGAAGTATAAGCACCTCTTCATAGACACCCCGATTCAAGATAATCCGCTTTTTGTTTACATCCCATTAGAGGAATAGTTGTTCCCTGTCACCAAGTAATTAGCAATCTTTCTTCGAAGGGATCTCGAATCGAGATGCTCGAGCTGAACGACCAAAATGCCTTCGTTGTATATTGATACCACCATCTTCCCACGCCGCCAGAGACTGCTGGTGTATACCCGTCAGAAAGTTACAAAGAATACCCTGCGTGCGTATCAGATACTTTCCCAGCCCGGGATTCTACGTTCATCCCGAACAACGTGGGTTCAGATGAACCTTCGGTCTAGATGACGAGCCCGTGGTTGACTGCCAATACCCAATACAGTCCTGAAATCCGACTGCTTGGATAAAGGTCGATGATGTAGCCACACGGTATGGATAATTTCCCAGGGCCAGTGCAATTTCTATATGGTGCCCCACCACAAGCTGTAACTTGGCTTCGGTGATCTACAGGCATCGAAGCACGGCTATTTATGGATAAATTCAATTTCCCCGAGGCAGTCAATTTTAATATGGTGCCGACTCGCCACCTATGTCACAGCAAGAAATATGCTACTGTCCATTAGTCTGGATGGTTAGTTCTGTCACAATAGTCAGTGATATCTAAACCAATTACATTCAACAAATCTATTAGTAGTGAATGGTCACAACTGAGGGTTTCTAAAAAAGCATTGCTCGCATACAACGAGCCCTGGGGGATGGGGCAAATGTATTGATCAGACTCCCGGCCACGTTTCCAGAAAGTGAGGCTGAAAGTTGCTTTCCAATGGCGCATCGTATGCAGCAACAATCACACGGGGACTGGTTCTCGACCTTGAGAGGCTGTAGAAGTGGAGCCTAGGTCTCAGCCTCGTGATAAGGAAATACAGACTTGGTCATGGCGAGCAAACAAGCTTGCCTTCGGTTTACATCATTGAATAGATTACATCTCGCTCTCGATGTTGAAAAATCACCTAACCGCGCAGTATGTACCTCTCCTGCACTGTAACCGGGATGCTGCAGAGCTGAACTGCGCCTGCAGCGACTGTACGTAAGACTACCCGACGGTCCGACCATTGTTTTGCCCACGTTATGTTAGTTGAACACAGATGCAGGATATAAGAAACGGCAAACAATAAGATGTCAGTTAGAAAAAGGAGCTATCAGTTGGGTCGCCATTTTTCGATCAAGCCGCCCAGGCGGGGTCGGTCTTTTAAATCGCAGCCACTCATATACTCCGACCTTTGCTGCATATAAACAAAAGCTGATACAAACTTGGTCAAATGATAGTAATTCGTGTGGAAAATGAGCCACGACAGCGCCATTTGATTTTTGTCTGGCTGTTTTTGATGTCGGGGCGTGGCCGATGGCTGTTTTGTATGTATTTTCGGGATAACTCCGGGATTATTGCTCTTTCCCTTTTTATATATACGTGCATAATGAGTAGAAGGAACAATATTTAGTAAAAAAAAGCATTATTCTTAGGCTTGTCACGGCATAAATGGTCATCGTCCACCATGATAGGTACCTGCTCAGCAATAAGGAGGTGGCTGTAACTCTCATACTGGAAATGGTAGCTACAGTTCTGGCGATCCAGTAGAACTTGTCGAGAAACCGAGAAGCAAACCCGCCACTTTATCTGATCGCTCTCGGGAATGAAATAAATCGACAGCCGAAAACTGCATTTCCTCGTAAAATCCAGTTGCGATCGCAATTTAAAATTCAAGAACAACGGTGTCGGAGTATTGTTTCGAGGACAACATATGGAATAATTCCGAAGAAATCCGAAAAGATCTCGATGCCCGAGAGGCTCAGAAGCAGTCCATCCCCACTGCACTACAGTCCTTTTTGCCGGAATACGACCACGAATTAGGTTCCGATCACATCGGGGCGATCAAACAAGGCCCCCCACCATAGCCTTGAACGCGCCATGAGTGCCCCGCCGAGGCACCCTCAGCTGAGCAGGTCAACCTGGGATATTTTCCAAGGAAGGTGTTATCACAGCTACACTATCTGCCAAATCAGATATGCAGTAACCAGCGATTACCCACGATGGAAAACTTGGCTGTCCAATAAGTAAACTAAGCAATAGCCTTGCGTCTCGACTTTCCGCTCCTGAATTAGTTTACGCATATGGTCCCATAGAACATACCGGTCTATTCTAGGACACTGCTTTCAGCCCCGGAATGCAAAAAAAAAAAAAAAAAAATGATACAACAGAATATCAACGATTGATGCTGGCAGTCGGAGCCTCCGAGTCCCTGCTGGTTAGCGCATATCTGTTCGGACGATCTTTTTCTGAATGGCGGAAATGCTACCTAGTAATACAGTATGCAGGTTTTGAACAGTTCCCATAATTTAAGCCACTGGGAGGAAACTGGGAGCGTAATGGCGACTTTTATATTCCATACACGTATCTCAAATACTGCTACAACTTCTGGACTACTAAACTTGTTCAAGGTTAGATAATCGGCTTTTTATATAGGACGGGGCGGGGGGAACGTGAAAACTGTTAGTAGTGTTCGGTAAGTAATAGAAATCGAATAATTAGATATTACTTCCAGTAGATGCCAAAACTCCTTTAATTGTAGAAGATTTAGACCTCACAGTTGCTGAACTCAGGCTTCTATTAATTGCTGTAGTTTCATTTGACTTCTGTTCGCATCACATTGTGTGCGAAGAAGCATAAGGTTACTTGTACATACATAGCCGGGCTCGCGTTCAGGGCCTTTACTAAACCATACTCCAACAGGTGAACTACATAGGTAGTACTGGTAGTTGGGTGACCACCAGCAAATCATTGCTGCTGTTTTATGATTTTTGCCCCTCCCCTCCGACCCCCAGGCTTTCCCCGCCTTTGATGAGTAGGCAGAGAAATAGATGCATCTTATTACTGCTGACTGCTATCTGTACAATCTGTATTGAGTAATAATACCCAATGTCGGCCCAATGCCGGTGAGTGGGGACTTAATTGCTGGCTGGCAAATTAATGAGTCTTCTTGGTACAGGCATTAATGTTAATACAAATGAGCGGAAATTAGAGCAATAATATATGTGAATGTGTAGATATGCATGCGCATGTCCTGTCTGTTCCCTATAATTCTGGGTGTCAACGTCAGGCAAAAAGCAGACTAATGCTAGTCAAAGGAGTCACCACGTATATTTCTATATAATGGCTCTGTGGTCTGAAACGAGCATGTTATCTAGTACTATTACTTTGTCTATTCAGACTGTTTGAATCATCCAAGTTAGCGTATACTCAGCACACTCCACACATTAGTACTCCCCTTCCTCAAGCACCATGGCAAACGTGGAAACAGCTCTCAGTCTTTTCCAATTTTCTATCGAGACCCTGGGCCGCATCCAACTCGCGCGCGAGTTCCAAGACGACTTTGACACGCACCAGTTGAAGCTCGACATTATCCAGCTTCGACTTTCCCGCTGGGGCGAACTTGCCGGAATTAGCACGGTTGACAACGCTCAAAAGAACGCAAATGAATCTCAGCATCAGGCTACTCTGACCGCGGTAAAGACCATCCTCGGCGAAATTCAAGACTGCCTGGTGAAGGCTCGGCGGGAGGCGGAAAAGCTTCGTAAGAAGCTCGATCTCCACGGCGCTGAAGCGCTTGATCCAGAATCATGCCTGCCTATCGATTTGAAGAAGATTCGGACCCGGTTCATGGAGTCACTTCGAAAACGAAAAGTGCAGGCCGTCAAGGTCGGCGAAAGCATCAAATGGGTCTTTTACAAAAAGGAGCATTTTGACAAGTTTGTGGCGAACATTTCTGAGCTTCTCGACGGGCTTGAGAAGACTATCCCTGAGGAGGATCGCGAGAAGCTCCGTCAGCTTAGTGATGAAGAGTGCAAAGGGATCAGCAAGTCTAATATGGAGGAGCTCAAGGATATTGTTGAAGGATGCGATCCATGGCTGGAGAGCTCTGTTGATGAGAAGCTTGCCAGTGGCGCTGGGACTGTTATTAACCAGTCTCATAATACCGGCAGTACAGTTGGAATCCACCATGGCGATAACAAAGGTGTTAGCTATGGTGCTAATAGCACGCAGACAAACACATTCAGCTAATTAGGCCGTCGACGGTTAGCTATAGTGATGGTTCTATTATTATTGGTTATTTTGCACATCATTTATCAGCTATACTTCATTTATCTTATTTCCAAAGCAAATAATTATGTCTATGCCATAACTAATAATATTAACAGAACGAGTAGCAGATAAACTATGATGCTATTGTTGAAAAGCATGATTGTAATAATAATTTACTAGGATGGAGAGTGTAATGAATTTACAGCATAATTTTCAACGTACAAGTGCACCTAGCTATGCCCCACCCTTGAGCAATGGCTTTGAAGCATTTGATAAACTATGCGTCTATTAAATTGACTCATCTTAGTTTTCAGCTCGCACCTACGGGGAGGCAGCGGAATGCCCAAATGCTGCATAGCGTCGACCAATCAACCCGCTCCACATGCTAGAACTGTTGATCCCGGCGGGCATCAGCCGTACGGTCCGAACCGTCTTGGTTGGCAGGAATAGTGGAGATGGGTCATTTGTACCAGAGTAGGTACGAAATAGGAATTATATAACGCAATCGTGGGCTGGTCCATTAGATTTTCTGCTATCTGGATATCAGTGGGAATTATTAGAGGTGATTAAATATTATTTGTAGCCATATGCCTGTGGTATATTTGGATAGAGAAGCGGTAGAAATGTTAGTAACGGCGATATTATAGTTCTTAGGGAAAATCCGTGGCAAGTCCTCACCATAGCACAGCTAATGCGCTTAACACTAAGCAGATGATACAAACTATTCATGTACACTACGTACACACTGATCAATGAACAGGGATTCCTTGATTCCACCGTGTAAAACCCGGTTTATGACCCACTGACACGTTTCTGAGATAGATCTAGAGGCTAGGATCGCTGCCAGGATGATGGGCGCTCATGGCAAAACGAGTCATTAGTTAACTTGGCATCACTGGGCTGCGTAGTGGATACTGATGCGGACAAAATCACCTTTTGAGAATACTAACTCCCTGTCTATTCTAGGTTGCGTTTTGGTGCTGCTGTCACGTATGCCCTACCTGTCGTAAGCACTACAAAAGATAGTCCTGCGCATAGGATGAAATGGGGTGGGGTGTTTGGTTGTGTACAGCACGGAGGACGGGTCATCCACTACGCATTTACGTAGATCAAGCCACCTTGGATTAGAACCAAACGTATATCCACATACCACGAACTATCTTGGTACATGTGTCTCGTTATGACGAGCTGGCTACTAGGAGGATACAAAATTGGGTCTTGCCGGGCCACTTATCCTTTTTTTTTTTCTGTTTTTTTCTTTGTGTGTAGATCATGGTCTCGCCCTCAACCGTAGTCGATCATGAGCCGTCTCAGCTATCGAATCTGCATTATCGGCTTTTGACAATTTTACAATTTTACAATTTGATCTTGCTGTGTCTGATTAATCTAGTAAGCCCATTAGATAAATAATAACTCAAACTCCAACCTTTACCACAGGGCTTAGACAAAGGCTGAATATTGCAGCACAATGTCGACCGTCACCAACAGAATCGTCCAACGCAGCAATATCGGCTTCACACAGGGGGTCAACTATGGCGATAATGTTTTCTGTTAGTTATAAGATTCTTCCACACCCCAAGACCGAGCTCCAACTGACACCCTTAGACGACGGCAACAAACCAGAATTGACCCCAAAGCACATCGCACTTGAGACGCATAAAAAGATAAAAGCGGAATGGGAGATTGCTGGAACCTGCGACTGGCTATTGCAAGAGAATGATTTCCAGTCATGGAGAAGACTGGAGACGGGTTCCTCCTTCCTATGGCTCTATGGTCCTCGTATGTTCCTCGCAATCATGCAATACAAATCCTTGCACTAACTTGCTAACCAGCTGGATGCGGGAAGTCAACTCTGATGTAAGTTTCAAAGTTAATTGTTATATACGCTGATCAACTAAACACTAAGTTTTCTGTTGCCTAGGTCTCGTGTCATTGAAAGCATTTATGAGGATCAAACTGCGGCAGGAGTCCCTGGTGACCGTATCAATCTATTGTACTTTTATGTCGGTTTTGGTGATGATAACAACAGGGAGAAGCTCTATCGAAGCATGCTGGAAACATTCTGGGAGCAGGCGGTGAAGAAATCCGAAGCACGATCTATGAATGTATTCGGAAATCATTCCCCTCCCGAGTTGATGCAAGATGAGCTACATAAACTGCTGGCTTCATCTTCATTGCAAGGTGACATATACATGGTCATTGATGCATTGGATCAACTCCCCCAAGAATCCCAGTACTCGCTGATTGAGGGACTCAATACCTTGGTACACAAGCTCAATCTCGAAACGAGCCGCCGGTTTCGTGTAGCCATTAGCTCACGATATCTTGATGGAATAGATCAGCTGCGAGTGCATAGGCTGTTTCCCCTAGTCATTAAAGTCACACCAGGGAGCAATAAACTGGATATTCAAAGATATCTGGATCGGAATCTCAAATCGAAGCTTTTTGACAAGAATCCAGAGCTTCGGAAACGGGTCTTTGATGAATTAAACGAGAATGCCGATGGAAGGCGAGTATCACTTTCCATTTCCACGGTCACCAGCTAATAGAATCTAGGTTCTTGATGGTTCATCTGCAAACATTGAACATCTGCAACATGAGAATGAAAAAGCAAGTCCTGGATGCTCTGAATGGTCTCAGTCTACCGCAGAAAATGTCAGATGTGTACAGAGCCTACGCCGAAGGGTTCGAGTCCTTGGAGGAATTAATCGAGCGACAGATAGCCCAACGGACCATGGCGTTACTTACACACAACACGGGGTCAATGTCGAAAGAGGTCCTGCTCACAGCGCTTTCGTTGGACTCGAACGGCGAGGTGGATCAAACGACCTATCAAGACTTGACCGACGATCCTTCTCTGATTGTCCAGTTCTGCAACCACCTGGTGTATCTCAATGAGAGTCTTGGGGTCTTTCAATTCTACCACACTACTATCTTTGAGTTTTTCAGCAAATACAAGACAGCCACTTACAACTACAGAATAGCGGAACTGTGTCTATCTCATATTTGCTCGTCGGAATTCTCTCAAGGTCCACGGCGTGACGCTACGTGGTACAGCCCTGGTAGTCTGGGACCGATTTTGCAAAAGAGTCCTTTTCTCCTATTTGCCGCTCACAAATGGGCGACCAGTATCAAGAAGAGCTTCAACCCCGGGGCTACGACGACCCTCGAAACAAGCCACTCTACGGTTCTCGATCTCATCAAGGTACTCTGTGACGAGGAGAGGGCGGCTGGAAAGAAAGAAAACCTGCAACTGGCGTTTCAGGTACATTTACTCAGTTTGGGACGGACGATGCCGGCCGGAGTCTGTCCTGTACATGTCGTCAGCTACTTTGGCCTCGTCAGCCTCTTTGGTATTTTCAGAAAGCAGCCATGGTTTGACCTGACGAGGCCTGATCAGGATGGGTTGAGACCGATCCACTGGACTATACGAAACGAGACTGACCTTGACGACATTGCTCCCACCGTTGAAAGGTTGATCGAATATGGTGCCGAGGTCAATGTGGCAGACAACCAAGGTTGCACCCCGCTACACTACGCAGCTTATTTTGGAAATAAGCAGGTGGTACAGATGCTTGTGGACAATCAGGCCAGAATTGATCCCACAGATCGGAACAACGAGACTGCGCTCATCGCCGCTTGCAGAAAGCACCACGAAGATGTTGTCCTGTATCTTGTCAAGGCTGGGGCAGATGTAAAGATCCTAAGCTCCTTTGGGACTGCCCTCCAAGTCGTTTCTCTGGTTGGATGCTGTTCTTGCGCCCAGGAAATACTCAATCGTTACGGAAAGTCTAAAATGATCGAGAACGGTGGACCATTCGGCACTTCTCTTCATACTGCGGCATTCTATGGTCATTCGAATCTGGTTAAGCTTCTTTGTTCCAGAAAGCAGATAAATCCTCGGGCAACTCACGGCACATACGGCAGTCCTGTAACAGCCGCAGCTACAGGCTTCAACCCAGGAGTAGACTCGCGCCCTTTTCAGGAAACCATCGATGAACTGATAAGACATGGTGTCAAGGTTAACGATCAAAGTGGCGTGGTTGGACCAGCACTTCGTGCAGCAGCATATCACGGGAACCCAGATCTTGTCCGTCTACTTTTAAACAAGGGAGCCAAGGTTCGGAAGGCCAAGGGACCAATGGGCACAGCCTATGAAGCTGCAGACGACCGCGGGCATGAAGAGGTCAAGAAAATACTACTGGAGAGCGACCCGAAAGCTGCCAATTATGGCGGTGCCCATGCCTCCCAAACGAGTGATCGACAGCAAATCCAGCGAAAGGTGTTCAGGGCCACAGTCAAAACAAGTAGCATGGACACCATCAACAACCTCATCACTCAGTTCGAGAAGTTCTTTGAACGGGAAATCCCCAAGGGTGAGACTACCTTTCTCAAAGGGCTGGCCAAGCTGGACGAAAATGCTTTCCAGGACGTGATCCAGTTGGCCACAAACTCACGCGATAACGTCAGCTCACCGACGAGAGAGAGCAGTGGCATCATTGCTCGACTCCGACGCTTCATGTCGAATCTTTGGTGCAAGGCTTCGAAAAGCACAGATGAGCAGCCGGCCGGTCCTGTCGACGAGAAGCCTCACCATCTCCGCAAAGCGACAACAACATTTGTTCAAGGCGGTGTTGAGGAACACTTCCCAAAAGTCTTAGATAGAATGACTCAAGCTGCAGTGAAAATCCTGGAAAATGCTATTGCAAGCAAGGACAGGGCTGTGATCAGATTAATCGCCAATACATGGACCGAGGCGCTGAACAACCTCGTCTCATACCCTGGATTTGGCGAGTCGATGTTACAAATGGTAGTGCAAAAGCGCGCCAACGAGCTCAAGGGACACTTGACTAACGTCGATTTGAGCCCGGAAGAGCGATTGGCCAAAGCCGAGGCCCTGGCTCGTGTTGGAATCGAGCTACTGTTAATGGCCGTTGAGCGCGGGCAGAAATTCAAGCACTTGTCATTTGTCATTTGTAAGCTTTGGATCGAGGCACTTAGTAATGTGGAAGATCTCGGCAAAGAAGGAGAGGCACCAATACGGGAATTGATTCGCATTTTCTGTGGACGATTCTCAAATGCAGTCATGATTCAAGATCAGGTCAATGCTGAGATCTGTGCACAAGCCGGCATTGAACTAATGAGAGCGGCGGCGCTGAGCGCCAGGATCAAACTACTGGACAATTTCGGCAAGGAATGGGTGACGACGTGGGGACTGGCCGTTGATAACATGGGTTACATGACCAATTTGCTGATGAATCAGCGATTGAAAGAATACCAAGACTGCTTCATGGACAAGAAGCATGATGAAGCTCTTAGCCTCATCCTTGCAGGCATTGGTGTGCTTTGCACGGCTATCAAGCACAGAGCGAGTTCCGCGACATCTACACTTCAACCCTTGATAGAATTGGGCTTCCAGTCTACACTAGATGGTCATGTTGATCATGATATTGCTGGAGAATCTGTGGTCAACTGCGAAGTATTTCGCGCCCTAGACCTTAGAGCCATCTTTGACGCCCTCGTCCGTTTGTTCGCCACAGGAGCCGAAGATGTACAGCCCAATCGCTTCAACGCTTTAGCTTCAAAGATCATGGACCTCATCGGAATGACTTCGGAGGAACATCATCGAATGCTTAAAGAGGTTGCCGACCAGCACATTGAAGAGGCTAGCAAAACTGTCCACTTTCATGACCGAGAGACACAGTTGATTGAAGTATCTCGGACGATTCTTGTGCTCCTGGACGTTGAACTATGCGCCGAGGAGCCAAATGCCGCCATTGTCCGGTCTCTCAAAGAGTTGGCTTCGAGAAGTTTGTCAGAAATCTCACCGGATTCCGTGAAGAAGGATGAATTGTCTATATATCCGAGAGCGATTGGCTATTTGGAACAAGAGCAACCGTTTACAACAGACTGACTAGAGATGGTGACCGATGTTGATCATCCTGGTGAAATCAAAGGTGGTTGCTACATATGATCGGTCTACCTCTATCAGGCCTGTAGGTTATTTATGTTATTTATCGAAGGTAGCATCATAGCATCAGGTAGGCGACAAATGATGTAGTATTCTGCAATGTCATGATGGCCTCAACATGACAGAAGCCATTTCCTCCAACCCATCCATTTCCAAATAAATATGTGGCTCGATAGCCTCGATCTCCATCAATCTGAACGCAGATTCATCCGTTACCAGCCCATCGATTCGAACATACCCCATCTCTCCCGTTGATCCCGTTCCAAAGCGAGTCTTGAGGGTGTTGAAAATTGCATACACAATAGATAACGTCCGCTCCTCGATCGTGCTCATGTCAACCAGAGTTTCCTCTCCGCCGAATTCTGGCTGACATCGGAATTCGTTGTTTTTAGGCGCTTTCAGCACGGCATGGGTGAGTTTGTCACCGATAAACATGAATGAATATTCTCCTGTTGCGATGGATGGTTCGAATTTTTGTATGATTAATGAACTTTGCAGGGAGCCCCTGGTACAGGCTTCTAGGAATTCCACATCATCTGCACTCAAATTGGACGGGTTTTCAATCCATCGAGTTTTCTTCGAGGACGCAGACACAGTGGGCTTGAGAACAATCGGACTGAACGACTCGAAATCCCTCAGACGCTGTTGCAGTTCAGACACGGACAATTGCTCCGCATCGACGATTTCGGTCTTGGGAATGTCAAACCCCGCTTCCTGCATTTCAAGGAGGTATTTCTTGTCCATGTTCCAGTCCACCAAGTCGGCGTGGTTCATCATGCAAGGGCTGCTTCCGCTGCCTGCGAGGGATGTTTTGACCCTACCCAAAAAATCGCGAAAGGCGTCTGGGTGCTTGATGTAATCCTCGCACCAGAGAAAGCTCACATGGTCTGATTCATGGATTGTCTGGATGATGTCGCGGTCTGTCCATTGTTTGATTGTCACGGAGGCGCCTTGTTGCAGCAGATACTCGGGGAGCATCTCATTGGACCAATCAGGGCGCAGTTCCTGGATCCGCGGTGGGGGGATCGTGGTGAGGAAGAGAATGCGTGCCATTGTGATTGTTTAACGAATTGCTGAGAAAAATGGATTGATCATTGTAAATGCAGGAAGTGAGGCTGTTTTTATGACTAACTGGAACTAAGTGGAGCAATGGTTTGATCGGAAAGTCGCACAGAAAGACGGATTGAGCTTTTCAGCTCTGCAGGGCATACAAGATATCACGTGACTGTTAATGTAGATCACTGTTGGCGCAATCTGATTGGCCTGTGGACACCGGAAATGGAAATGCCTAGTTCGTGCCGGGAGACTCTTGCTGCAAACGGCAAACACCTCTCTCGTTTATAACAGAATCAGTCCTCATCAATGGTGACTTTCATCTTCGAAAATCTCCAAGGACGCTATCGACCATGGGGACTCTATCCAAGCCAGAGACTCCCCACGCACTGCCTTTGAACTCAAAGCAGCCAAACGACATTCATGTATGTCTAGTCTCATTCCTCTAGCTGCTAGCGCTAATTGCTCCTTTACAGGCTGTCAGTAGCTCACTGCCAACATGGAGAAGTGTCGTGGGAGCGGCAAACTACGAGGATTGGATCATGGATACCCTCGAGGTTGATTATCCAAGGTCAGCATGATCCAAATTGGATATCAAAGCGTGTGACTGAAGCTATTTAGATTTGTTGTCCATGCATTGATCCAGAGATTACTTGCCGATGTAAAAAGTCGACTTGGGATTTCAGACAGCCTAGATGGCATGGCATTCCCATCAGAACAGACTGCAAAGAGGTTTGTCTTTCATTTGAGCGCGAACAAAGTCGACCGCGAGTTGAAACCCATCCGGTTCTATCTCCCAGATGAAAAGAATGACCAGTCTTGGTCAAGCTTCTACGCCGTCTTTTTTCCCAAAAACCTGGGCGAAGATGCACTCCATCTCTGGACTATCCTCGGTGAGGGCCTGACAAGCCGTCATGCCGAGTTTCTTCAGGGACGAATCGACTACATGGCTTCTGAGTGTGAGGACACTTCGTTCTGCACTTCTGCTCCTGTCAAAGCTGGCATCTTGTCTGTTCCATGGAAGAACTCTGCCCAGTTGGAAAAGCAGCAGATCAGGGACCGAATTTCTCATTTTGCGACATCCGAAAGACTGGGCTCTATACCAGTCCCATCCAGCGATGTCTTTCTGTATGAAAAGGGCATGTCTGCAATTGCTGCCATTGCAAGATGCATGTCGACATCCGTCGATGATATCCCGTCCAATGCTGTTATTTATGGGTATGCAATTTGACATGGCAATCTCTTCATTCTTGCTAAATGCTCTAGATGGACATACACCGAAACACCCGGAGCAGCCCGACTCTCTGGATTCCAACAATGCACGCATTTCGCACTCGGAACAGCAAAAGAGCTGGACGAGCTCGAATTATTTCTTGCGTCAGGTCAGCAGGTAAAGGTGCTATTTACTGAGCTACCGTGCAATCCTACTGTGGAAAGTCCAGACCTTGCCCGCATTCGCGCACTCGCAGATCAATACAATTTCATTGTTGTCTGCGACGACACTCTGGCTTCATTTGCCAACGTCGATCTGTTCCCATATGTCGATGTGCTCGTCACAAGCTTGACCAAGATCTTCAGCGGTGCTGCGAACGTCATGGGTGGGAGGTACGTGTTTTTCATATATACCACGCAATTGACTGGATATTAACAATACCAGCGTGGTCATCAACCCCCAATCCCCCCATCACGATTTCATACATTCAGCCCTGACCACCAACTATGAAGACAACCTCTTCCCTCTCGACGCTATCGTCCTCGCCCACAACTCGATCGACTACGTCCAACGAACCCACCGCTGCAACAAAACCGCCTTCACCCTTGCAACCGCCCTCTCAGCACACAAATCCATCCGAAAAGTACACTACCCACCATTCGTCCAAACAGCACCATTGTATGAAAAGGTCCGTCGGCGAAATGGTGGGTATGGGTTTATCCTCAGCCTATTCTTTCATTCACTGGAAAGTGCGGTCTGTTTTTATAACGCGTTAGATGTGCGAAAGGGGGCTAGCTGTGGGACAAACTTTACCCTGGCCATTGCGTATACCGAGTTAACGCATAATAAGGATTTTGCGTGGGCGGCAGAAAGTGGTGTGACGAGGGACTGTGTGAGGATCAGTGTTGGGTTGGAGGATGAGGATGTGTTGTTAGACCGGATGGAGAGAGCTCTGGATGAGGTCCACAAGGTTGAGGGGTCAGCATGATATAGTATAGATCATAGATTATTAGTTCCGTTGAATTTAAGCTCATCTAATCCACTATAACTGAGATAACTTAAACTACTAGACCATGGATAGTAAATGTGGGGAAGTGGGGGCAACAGGGAGTCGCACTGGAGCCAACCACCCGGTATGTGTATGATATATCTATAGCCTTGACAGAGACTGACAGGTCAGCTTCGCAACTTGAATCTTCTCGCCTGCGCAAGGCATGCGATGAATGTCGGAAGCGCAAGCTCCCCTGCGACGGGCTGGACCCCTGCACGCGGTGCAGTGACCGGGGGTATTCACTTTGCCAGAGTGCGTCGAAGAGCAGACTTTCCTTCTGAGGGTACTCTTGCTTAACGATGACGTCTCTTTTAAAGCCCATCCATGTCACTCATCCTAGTCAGCCCTTGTGGATGAAAGCCTCTTACGGACCGTCTTCAAACTGCTCTGTCTTGATAAAGCTGTATGATCTATTAATGCGGACGGCATCACGCAGGACATCAGCAACCAAGTAGAAGAGGCAAGCTGCTTCATCGACAATCTTGGGTATTGCCTGTATCCGAAATAGTATTTGTCGGGGTCGGACTGGTACGGTTCTTTGTTCACAGAGGTCATGTCGATGAGATCAGAGTTGGGCTAGAAGCAGGAATTGAACTTGTAAGCTGCAGAGGCAGTAGCCAAGCCGGCCGTGAGAGAAAATGTATTCTTCATTGTGATGTGAACAGGAATGCGTGGGAATGAGTAGCTGTATTGAATAGCCTACCAACCGAGCCATCCGGCATTCTGAAGATTTCGATTACTGTGACATACGTGACGCGTATGCTTCAGCGCAAAGTGGGTTTCGGAGAGATGTGGGCTTCCATTTCCAAAATAATCATGAAGAAAGTCCTGCATTCTGCAAATACCGATGGATATCGGAGAGAAGTGGGGCTCTCCGCATGCCGATCACCTCGGATGCGGAGGAACGGGGGATATCACGTGCATCCGACAGGCCTTAAGTATCTATATCGTTGCTACCGTTGAGTAATAGACCAACAGCAGAATGCAGCTTTCATTTCTTGTTCTTGCTCTGCGGCTGGCAGTCACTCGGCAGATATTTGTCCCGGTCAATGGTTCCTTCAATATGAGTTATTCCTTCTCTTCTTTTTCCTCTTTTTTTCGTTTTTTTTTTTTTTTTAAAAAAAAAAAATCAGGGTTCCTTACGGGCATCGTATTAATTCTTTAGGTGCATACCCCGTATGGTACGTTCTGACTTCGGTAGTCTTGGTACCTTTTCAATTTAGTATATCTAATCTGATTGTGAGACTAGAGGACACCACTGAGTATTAACTGTACATAGGCCACACGCTGGCGGGTTACCACCAGCGAATCCCTACTTTTTCATTTTTATTACCGAGTCATAGGTAGATAGATAGATAGACATTATTGTTTATCTTAAAACATCTTGATCTGTTTAGCAATTCCATATCTTGCTTTATCTTTTGATCGACGTTGATAGCTTAACGATAGTATCGAAATATATCAAGATATAAAGTAGTAACAAATCAATAGTGCTGCTAATAGAGGCGAAGTATAGAATATATCAGACTCATAATCTAATGACCCTTAATGATCATGTCTGCAGCCCTCTTATATAGATCTGCAGCGTCCACTCCTGGTGCCCAATCCACTTCATGCTTGTTCTGCTTCCCCAGCCAGTCGACATAAAGCGTAAAGACCAGCGGCTTGTTCTCGATAAAGACATCAGTATTGGCCTGGACGTCAATCATGGTAACTCGAGGCACTCCCTTTTTCAACGCCCCGACAATCTCTTCGGATACATGAGTTGTTTTATCAACACCCTTATCGACATCGTCCAAGGTTCGCTGAAGGGTATTGATTTTCGCCTTGATGTTGGCAAACTCGACCTGTTTGGCACGCAAATCACTTTCAAATGGCTTGAGCTTGATCTCGGCCTGCAGCTGTGCAATAGACCTTTGGGCTGCTATCTGATCGGCGGTAATTCTACCTCGGTTCTTTTCAAGCTTGTTCCTTGCCTTGATAAGTTCATCCTCCAACTTTTGGCCCTCTGCTTCCAGGTCGTTAAGCAGCTGGATCTGGCGGTTCAATTCTGCTTTCTCATCCCGAGACATTGCTTGAATGAAGCCATAGACGCCTTGGCTTTTGAGCGCATCAATGCCTGCACCAATGTTCTTGATCTTTTCCACGGCTTCGGTGATGTCTTTTTCTACCCCTTCGAACTCTGGACTGCTCAGAATATCTTGCATAACGTTTATTAAACCGCTGTATATAGCCCGTTGGGCCTCATCTGACCCTAGTTTTCCAAGGGCTACGGACAAGCTAGCAAGCTGCAGTACATCATCGTTAGTCAATTGCAATCTACTTTCAAGAGGGAAATACAGATATACTCACCCCTCCAAGCTTGCCGAACGGTCCGGAATTGGCGATCACCGTCTTCCAATGTTTCACCTCACCCTGGGCCTCTTTCACCTGCGCTGTAAACTTGTTAATATCATGATACTTGAGAAAGCTACAAGACCACTTACCGTTCCAATATTCCAAGTTGGCCTGCGCTGCCGCACCTTTCCTGAGGTCATCACCCCATGTGGCATTCTTCTGGTTCTCCAGACTCTGCTTCTTGGCCTGCCACTTCTGTTGCTGGTCTTCTTGCTCCGTCAACTGGCGGTTGTATTCAGCAGTCATGTCTCGTATCTTTTTGTCCAGTTTCCGCTTAGCAGCATCTCTTTCAGCTTTTGTGCTGGCGACCTTTGCATCATTTTTATTTTTCTGGGCCTCAGCGCTTTTGACATCTCCTTCAAGATGATCAAGCTCGTTTCTCAATTCCGTCAACTGATCATCGTTCTGCTTGATTTTCTGCTCGCGTATTTTGACCTGCTTTGCGGACTCGATCTTCATCTGATTCAGTTCCTGCTCCATTTTCTTCAGCTCCTGGCCGTGCTCATCTATCTGTCTTTGGATATCCTTCTTGGCATTGTCAATTTCCTGCGTGACAAGCTTTCCAAGAGCGTCAATGCCATGGTGGATACCGTCGAAGATGGCGCCGTAAACGTCTGGCGTGAGCTGTGCGTCGAAATCTGCCTTCAGGTCATCCGTCGAGCTGCCTTGTGGGACTTGGACCTTTGCCTTGAGCAGGAACGATAGACTCTCAATGAATTGGATATCGATATTAGCATTCAACCGTCTTTCTTGTATGTCGGCATCAACCAGCATCTTCGCGTGGATGTCGTAGTACTGAATCATGCCGTCAACGGAGATCTTCTGCTTCTCCTTTGTCATTTCAACATCCAGCGTCGCTCGCTTTCCACCTGCCGAGGCAGATGTCACCTTAAGACCTCCAATGCTGAACTGATCCACACCAGCTTTGACCGTGACACCGTCATCGGTGAGGCTTCCTTTAAAGTCGCCGGTCTTCTTTAAGAATTCCATCTTCCCATTTACATGAATGCCTCGTTCGTAGGTAATACCAAAGACCTCTGCACCCGTGGACAGATACAGTTCGAGATCACGGAAAACAAGAATATCGTCACCGCCCTCAATATTCGCCAGTTCCTTAATATCAGCCAGCTCTCCAGCCAGACGGATGAGCTGGACGACATTGATCTCGCTGGCTTTGACTATGATGACCTGCTCCTCGCCAACGCCGAAGTGCAGGACCATCTTTCCATGGAATTTATCACCCAGATCGAGTTTTCCTGCGAACGAGAATTGACTGGTTTGATCTTAGTCAATGGCACATTTTCTCTTTCGGTTGATCGTTGGAACTTACTCGGGTCCTTCCTCTAAAACAGTTGCATATTTGAATCCGGCACCGACTCCCAGTTCGGATACAACGGCTTTCTTGTTCAACCCGAAAGGATCAACCCACTTATCCCCCTCTTTCATATAACTATTTTCTGTTAGCAATTCATTCTTTTCCAGAAAAAGATGGGTATGTGCATACAGCGCTCCATAGGCATCTGTCATGGAACCCCTGATGTCACCTATAACGTTAATCGGACTCTGGCCTTTGTACGACAGAGTCAAGGTTGTGTTCAACTGCAGGTAGGGCCCAGTATCATCAGCACCAATAGTGGCACCGAATTTGCATAGTTTCAAGCATTTGCTGATGGGAACCTAGGTTTGGATTAGAATGATCGATATACAATGGTGGTGTTCATACCTGGAATGACTCGGGCATATCGATACTGAATTTCAGCTTGCCCTGTGACGGGAAGGCCACAATCAAAACGAGGTCTTCCATCTTCTTCTTATCGTTCATTTCGTCCAGGACGTCAAACTTTCGAATACTTGCGCACAATTGAATGCCTGGTTTTATCAGTGAGATGGACGTTCGCTCTCCTAAGACAACACACCTTTGACAACAGGATAGCCATAAGCATCGACCTGAGCCAGGACATCCCAACTGTCAACTGCACTTGACTCCGTTGGGTCCTGCTTCTCCCTCTCCTCTGAGGATGCAATCAGCGCCACACGATCCAGTTCCAGATCCAAGAATCCACCCTTGAGGTCGGACCAGAGTTGGTCCAGCTTGATGCTAGCGACACTGCCGACCAGAATCCAGTCCCGAGTCGGTTTGTCTGGCTTTTGCTCGATGTGGAAACCAACAGTGACAGTGAAGCTTTCGATCTTGACAATGCCCATAATAGCAAACTCACTTGCTCGCTTGGTTCCGACAGGCTTTTCTTCTTCATCGTCTGTCTTCGTCAGGGTTTCGCCCTTGCTTTCCTTCTTATTAGACTTGGTCTCTTTACCATCAGTTACCGCCTTGAAGTTCTTATTCTCCTCCCCATCGACAGCCTTTTCACTCTTGGTGCCCTGCTTGAATCCAATATAGATATGCAGTCCGGCCTTCTCGATCTTGATGTGAGTGTCAGGAATATCAAAGTCTTTGATGTCTCCGCTGATGCTCAGCCCATCTTGATCAATCTTTACCAGAGCACTGGCACTGCTATGCTCGTTGAATCCGACGCAGCCATCCAATTGCAAAGATCGGTCTGTACTACCGCCCATCTTGGTGCTAGACAGATTGAGATGCAGGTTCTTGAATGTGATCTCGTTGCCTTTGGCTTCTTTCTTCACTTCGGCTTCTGTGGCTGCATTGTCTGCTGGAAGTGCGTAGCCGGCGATCTGGGCGTGGATCTTCTTAATTTCACTGAGTGTGAGGTCACCTATCTTAGCATCGAGCGAGTTTTCATCTGTACGGTTTGATAGGTCAGTTCTCGAATCTTCTCTCGATTCAAAGGCTCACTTACTCTTGGAGAATTTTCCAACAGCTGAAAAGGTTCCACTTCCCAACGTCAAATCCGCTGTCAGATTTAATTGCACAGTCTCTCTAAAGGTGCCTTGTTCAAAGGAGAACTTGAGCTCGGCTTTTGTCAACTGCGCAAAGATAGGTTAGCAGGTATGCTTAATCCAAGACCTCCTTATGTACACACCGAGACGTTCTTGATGCCGTAGATGTCCTCCCACTTGTCACACCAGATGACCATGTTCCAGATTCTCTTGTGCGCGCCATCCGAATACTCTTTTTTGGGCTTCTCCCCCTCCGGGAGCTTGGTCATCGTGCTCTTGGAGCCGTCCTTGATGCCCTCATTGTCTGGCTTGGTAAGGTTGGCCGCACTCTCCTCGGTCTTCTCCTTCGATTTGTCTTCGTCTTTTTTGTCCTCGCCTTTGTTGTCTTCGCCATCACTATTTCCTTCGACTTCAAAGTCCCTGGCAATGCGGTAGTTCAATTCCAGGGGAACATTGGCGTGAGGCACGTTAGTTAGCATGACAGTTCCGTAAAAGCCGAAGCCAAAGTTCCATGACTGTGGCTCTTTTGTCTTTTTACTTTCTTCTTCGCCGTTTGCGTTTTCCTCTTTATGTTTTTCTTTATCAGGCTTCTCAGAGTCGTCCTCAGGCTCGGCTATCGGCTTGGTCTCCTCATCTTTCGTGCTGTTCTTGGGCCTCTCCTTGTTTGGGTCATCAGAGGGTTTGCTACTATCTTCATCTTTGTCATTTTTCTCTTTCGTATCACCACTGTGTTTGCCTTTAGCGGCCTTTGTACCGGTGATCTCGATGCCCATTGTCTTGAATTGAAGCACATCCCAAGTCTTCAGACCCATGTCATGGAAGTAGCCCTGGAGAATAAACTCTTTAACCACTGGCATCTTAGACCAATCTCTCTCTTTTGAAAGGTGGGCACTAAGACGGATAGAGTCAGGGGTCTTTTGATCACCGAACATTTTCTTCAGCGTATCAGCTGCCCATTGAAGGCTATCCTTGAGCATCACGTCGGCTTCCAGGCAAAGGCCCGGTTTGATAAAGGGACTTTCGCTCTCCTCACAATAGGTGAACGCAAGATTTTTGATGGGCATTTTCTGGAGATCTTTGTCGTTGATGAAGGGGAAGAGCGTGCCCAACGGTTTTCCTTCCAGTGCTCCACTCTCTGGGTTCAATATGGCCATTTCATGTGCTGGCACTGAAGGGGGCTCTGAGCTGTCGTCTTTTTTCTTGTCGTCGGCATCACCATCCACTTTCTTCGTGCTGGCATCATCCTTCTTACTGTGGTCTCCCGCTTCAGACTCTGAAAGCTGGTCAGTATCCGCAATGGGAGACTCGGGCAGCGTACGTACCTTGAAACTTGTACAGCTTGGCCGTTAAACCTTTGATACCAAAGAATTTATCGATGGTTCCCGACAGGACATAGGTTTCCAGCTTCTGTTTCAATATTTTCTTCTCCTTAGTTAGGCTTCCTCCCTCTTTGATATCCGACGTGGTAGTGATCAGACTTGAAAGCATTGTCGCATCAGCAGGGGGCTCGCTGGCAAGAGGCTGAGCTACCGGTACCAGGTTCCCCTCATCGGGCAAGAGCAAAACAGCAAGCTGGTTCGACTTTCCAGGCGACTTGTCATCTGCGGCTGCCGCCAACAGCTGGGCATTCACGTTATTGCTTCCCTTGATAGGGACCACGGGAAGATCTGCGAATGATGCATCCCCAACAGGGACCACCAAAGAGACATTCCTAACAAGTGCGCCTCCAATCACTGTTTTGTTTAGCTTATTACCGCCAGACAGGATTAGCCCTTCACTCTCCGACTCGCTGTTGTCGTCGCCCTCGGGAGTGTTTGCCGGTGGTATCTCGTGAATCTCATTGCGGAGGGCAAGCGCAGACTCATCGACGATCTGGTCCAGGGATGTGATAGGCGTGGTCAAGTAAGCCTTGTCTACTGCCCTTTCGATCTGATCCGCCGTGATGAAATTTTGATTCACCATGCTGGCATACATATACTGATATGGGGGGAGAAAGAAAAGAAACACACACACAAGAAGGAAATGAAAAGTGGAAGAAAGGAAATGGCTGGAAACCCGCCTGATATTTGTGCAGCCCTCCCCTCCCACGAGCTGAAAAGCGATCTGCATTGTAAGCATAATGGCGGGGCTGTCAAACTCCACTCGGCCATTCAGATAGGCAGATGTGCGTTTCCGGACAGGGTTACATTCAGCTCGCCCCCATCAGGTGTTCACGGTGCCCCTCACTGACCCACTGCCAGCTGGCTGCTTTGATTCAAGATATCCAATGATATCCAACAGTATCAAGCATTGAAAATATGCCAAGACTTTTGACACAGCATGGACTATGCATTTTTCACACTATTTTTTGTGTATTCATTGAGTAACGACTCAAAATGATCCAAATATGTCCTATTTACTTTACAATCCATGCCAAATCTATTATATTAGCAGTATTTCATAATGAATACAAGACTGTTTCTTCTTATTTGATCCAGTAAGTAGAGCAAAATGTATAATAGCATTGTCATAGCAAATACAGTATAAACAGGGATATATCAGCTTCATAACTGTTACCTGGATCTGGAACAAGGTAAATAAGCGAATTTCATACTATTGCAGACATTTGTTGGATATCCTGTAAGGGACCCAAGTTGTCGGGGTAGGAAACCTGTCAACTAGGTAATAAAACAGCAATGCAATGGCAAAGAAGGTTGATATAGAAGAGGATGGCATACTATGTCCACTAGACTTTTTGAGTGCAGTGAGCTGTAACGAGTTCCCTCTATCCACCATCGGAAATCCATCTACCGTGGAAAGTCTATCCCAGCACATACAAAGAAGTCGTACCAACCTACATCCCCCTCAGCGAGACCGATCTCGCCTACAAAAACAACACAGAAGAGTTTCTTTGATCTAGTGGATTTTGTCAATAGCCGGTCTGTTAGTCAACTCCTGGATATAGTTATCTGTATAGTAGAGGATGGCATCATAGGGATTCCACAGTTAGATAGTAGTTAGAACAATACTGTGTATATTATTCCTTCACTTTGGTTGATCTATGCTTTCATCCTTCACAGGCCCAACACTCAGTTCCGGCGCAACCCATCCCATATCCACGGCCTTCATCTCAGCAAACAAAGACGCAAAGTAATCATCAACCTCCCTCCCATTTCTACTGGTAATCGCCCTCGTCAGCCTCACCTCCAACCGGCGTATCGACCCCGTCCCCAGCATCGTCTTCAGCCGTTCCGAAAACTCGGGAGAAAACTCAACCCCCAAAAGTTGCGGAGTAGCAACAACAACAAGCTCAGTGAGCATTTCCAGATCCTCCATGGGCAGGAGGGGAATCATTTCCTTTTCAATGCTTAGAATACTCGGATACGCAGCAAGAACTCCACCACCGCCATTCACGCCCCGGAAAGCACGCCGGTAGTGGCGAGATGCAAGAGCGTATGTCTCCTTATTCACCAGCATCAGCGCCGGCATGAACGCCGTGGTGGCGTATATCCGTGGTCGACCCCTGGAAACAGTCCCACACCATCCCGTCGACCGTCGGGCAGCCGTATACCCCGAACAGGTAATCGTGATCTCCGTCGGTTCTGCCATCACCATCTCCCACACCATATGTCGCAACTCTATCGGCAGACGCGGGAACGGATGGAAGGCAGGCTGATCATCACCCGCTTCTGTCTTTGCTGCATCGAAATCCCGTCTTTTTCTCTCATACTCTTCCACGCTCTCACAGCTCGCCCATAATGTCATGTCGGATTCAGCTGCCCTTTCTCCTGCTGTTCGCAGCCCGATGCTGGGTGTGCCTATACCAATAACTCGTGCTGGGCGTGTTGGACGAGTGATGCCATCTATTCTGCTTGTGGACATGTAGCGTGGTGGGTGGACGGTGTGGACTTTCCATTTTTCGTCGGTGTAGGTGTAGGGACTTGGTCGGGGTGGTTTGGACATTTTGATATTATGTTTTTTTTCGTTCTAAAGGATGGGAGAAGGGGACTTTATATGTAGGGCAGACTTGTTAACCCGATATATCGTGGTGAGTCATTCTTACTTAGTTTGGCTGTATGGTTCGCTAGTAGCCAATAGGAGTGCCAGTATGTGAGACATGCCTAGTATGAATCAGGCTATTCTCTACCTAGTCTTGAGCATCTTATGAACACCTCATGGGATCATAAATGAGTATTATATTCATAGTATTATAATGAATTCCATTTAGCACTAGGGGTGGTTTCAGAGGTGCCATGGACGTATAGTGCTAATATATGGAGGCATGCGTGGTAAATCAGCATGATACCATACTGCACGACTAATGGCCGGTCTGCTATCTAACATCCTGGGATATGATTCATCTTTATAGTAGCAGATGGCTAATCTTTCTAGAATACGGATTGTGTTTGGATTTCCCATCAACTAAAAGTTAAACACCATGGTAAATCTTCCGGAAATTATGCACTGGATCTTCACCTAGACTAACGAGCTGCTACCTAGTGATTTTTCATAGAAAGATAGAAAATAGCGTAGGGGAAATTCGGCAAGTTTTCTACTTGATACATGTATAAGCGTGGTGTATAATCGACATGACTCAGACAAAATTCTCAACCAAGCTAGTAGCATATTGTATATAGTATATATGAAACAAATATGAAGGCAATCCGCTGACCACATACTCATTGGTATTACCTCAGTTCGCACTAATCTATTGCTCATAATCTGTGTCTTTTATCTGAATAGCAAGGCATGTCAGCAAGTGCAAAGGCTGCGGAATTTTGAGTGCTATACCGGATTTCTCTGCTATATAGACGTTCCGGTCAATGGGTTAACTTGGAAGACGTCGAATACTCGCGTCTGTCGCCCTTTTTAATGGTGCCTGTACCGTCCGCATAAATGTGGTGAGTTCGAGCTCCACTACCGTCCGCAGGAGTAATTCGGGCACTTATAATCAGCTCCTTATCCTTGCGGTTGAAGTGAGACCGGTGAACAGGGCTAGAGCCGTCATTGCGATGCCTATATAGAATATTCATGAGCAAGGGAATATGATGGAAAGAAAACGTATCCAACTATTTACAGGATCTCAATGGAGTCAATTTTGCCAACTTTCTATAAAACATTGTTAGTCAACCCTTTTTTAGCGTTTCCAATGACATACCTTTACGGCACCATTCGATCCGTAACGGTCGACAGCTTGTCCGAAAGGCTGGGGCAGTAGCTCCTTGTTATATCCCAGCCACTTAGCAAGATTCTGACGAGCGGTAGAGAAAGCTCTAGACATGGCTGCTTCTTGCTCGGTATGTTGGTGATGATCGAAAACAGGAGGGAGATGATTTGGTAGGATGAATGATGATGGTGTAGAATTTTGTTCTTTTTCCAATGTATGATAATGGCAGAGGATTTGCACAGACTTATATGCTATTTGAGATTTCCTTTGGCATCCTTTGAAGCCCACTGCTATGCCATAATCCCTTCAGTTTGTCCCGCTATATGCATGACTCCGATTGCTAATTAAGGCGCAAGCGCCCATGAAAATCCACTCGAGGCGTATCACATATTCATCACTGACGCTAGATGATGATGATTCGTGATATGTGGAGTAAATTCTAGTAAAAAATAAACGCCAGGATTGAGCGGGCCAGGTGACCTCGATTTTTACATCGCATTATCCGGATGTATGTATGTTGTTGGTCACAAAGGTTCGGCGGCTAAGCTCCACATTGAAGCGTCGCGCCTTGGGTTCCATGTGGAGATCTGGCGTGGAAACCATTCCCACACGACTTACCTCATATGTATGGAGTACAACTGGCCATTGGCCCATTAATCGACCATTGGAACGCCCGATCGGGGCTCAATCACTAGCGTAACCAAGGCGCTAGGTACTCGACATGGAAGCCGGATTACCACGAGAACTGGGAAAGGAAGGTGCTATGGTGGCCAAGTGTAGTTATTCCAGCATTGTCGGTCGGTGTTCTGCTTTTCCTCTTTTTTCAAACTTCATTCGCTACCCCTCTTGTTGAAGCAGCGCTTCCACTGTTTGATGAAATTGCCGATCGGTTGATGACGCATTGTATCTGGGTGTACAGTTAGTCATGTGGCTTCGTGCCTCAGGCAACAGTACCTCCCATCGTCGTATCTGTCAGCCGGTCGGCTTCTGTTTTCTGCTTCCAACATCCACATCATGTTTACCAATACACAGTGTTAATTGGACTCATTGTGCTCCCTTTCTCTATTTTGCCTTATTATATACTCTGTATTCTCTTCTTTGTCGAAGCTTTGCATCATTGATCTTGTCTCTCTTTCTCAGAGAATGTTGTCGTCGCTTATACGGTCCTTGCCGCGCCTCAGGCGGTGGAAGCCACTCAACTTCTCCAATCCAAACTTCGTCCGGATACCTGAAAGTCACAAGATTGAAGAAGAAACTATCCCAGACTATGTGGCCTCACGATATTACCCTACTCGGATAGGAGAAGTACTTAAGGACCGGTATCAAGTCGTGGGAAAATTGGGGTTTGGAGCCAGCTCGACTGCGTGGCTTGCGCGGGATATGGAGTGAGGCCCCTTTAAAATGCTCTTGGGTTAAATTACTCATACAATACAGCTGCCGTCGCTATGTTACCCTCAAAATCTTTATCAAGTCCACATCTATGGGGCAGCAATTAGACGACGAGCTTGACATGTATAAACGCATGGAGAAAGGCTCAAAAAGCCACCCAGGTCACAATGCTGTTAGATCATTGCTGGACTCTTTTTATGTTACTGGGCCTGAAGACATGCATCGCTGCCTTGTGCACCCTCCGTTATGGGAGAGTGTTTTGACGTTTTTACACCGCAACCCAATAGGTAGACTGCCGGAACCAGTCCTGGCATTCATTCTCCAACGTGTGTTTTTGGCGCTGGATTACCTGCATACGGAATGCCAGATCATACATGCTGGTACGCTTTCTTCCTCTGCTTCCATTATCTGTTTTTTTGTTGATTTGCCTGGGAATTCCACCAGACATCAAAGCCGACAATATCATGCTCGGCATTGCCGACGATACCGTCTTCAGTGACTTTGAAGAAGAGGAGCTTCAAACCCCTTGTCCGAGAAAGGAGCTAGACGGACGAACAATATACATATCCCGGGATCTCAGAATGCCCAAGGCATATGGCGCCCCAGTCCTATGCGACTTTGGCTCGGCGATGCCTGGTGGTATAGAGCATCTGGAAGATATCCAACCTAATATCTATCGAGCACCAGAGGTGATCCTGGAAGTTCCATGGACGTATAGTGTTGATATATGGAATGTGGGATGCATGGTAAGTCCGCCTGAGACCCATTCTATCTAGAGATTCTTACAAACTCCCCCACAGATCTGGGACGTCTTCGAAGGCGAGTCTTTGCTCACCGGTCAAGACCCAGAATTGCACACTTATCGAAGTCGAGCACATCTCGCTGAGATGATACGTCTTCTTGGGCCCCCGCCTCCTGGTCTTCTTGCGCGGGGGAGACTAAGTCAGAAATTCTTTTCGGAACAAGGTATGTCGGCCTTCCTGTAAGTGAATTATCACTCATTGTTTTCTTCTAGGCGACTTCTCCGCGGGGATTCCATTACAGGACAGGGTTCCGCTGGAGGAGAGAGAAACGACTCTTGAAGGCGAGGATAGAGAAAGGTTTCTCCGCCTTATGCGGAGAATGCTGCAGTGGGAGCCAGAGAAGCGTAGCTCTGCTCGAGATTTGGCAGAGGACGAGTGGATGCGCAGGCATTTAGAAGTATAAATCGACCATGGCAGCAAGCCAAGACAGGCGGTTTGTTTAGGGCTTTTCAAGGTCAACAAAGCGCATGCTAGTCAACAGTGATAAACTTCTTCTTGAAAGCTAAATAAAATGACACTCAGCATATGCTGCAGCACAGACAGCAGCTAAAGCGTAGTGTCACCCCGAGAAACGGCGATCTCTCCGACCTCGTATCCCTGCATTGCAGGCGTATATAACCTCGGCAGTCTCTTTTCTTTTTCTTTTTCTTTTCAAGGAGTCATGGAAGGTCAAAAGGAGCCACTATCTTCCGCTTTGGAGAACGGCGATAAAAATGCACACGTACGATAGTCGGTGTATAGATAAACTACAACTGCTAAAACATCTCTAGCCAATCACATTAGACAAAGCAGAAACCGCCCGAATCCTCCGCAAGATCGACTGGCGACTCCTCCCCCTCTTGACGGTTCTCTACGTCCTCTCCTTCCTGGATCGGGGAAATATCGGAAATGCCAAAGTGGCTGGGATGAACGAAGAGCTCGGACTCACTGGAGCGCAGTACAATCTCGCCTTGACGGTTTTCTTTTTTCCGTACGCTGTTTTCGAAGTTCCCAGCAACGTTGTACTTAAGCTTATGCGGCCGTCTATATGGATGTGTATCATGATGGTTAGTTGGGGAGTGGTGATGACCATGCAGGGGATTGTGAAGAGCTATACAGGGCTGCTTATTACGAGGTTTTTCCTGGGTCTTGCGGAGAGTGGCTTTTTTCCTGCTTCGACTTATCTTTTGACGTGCTGGTGAGTTTCATATCAAAGACACAGAGAGAAGCTGATGAAATCAGGTATTGTCGGTTTGAGGTACAGACGCGCATGAGCATTTTCTTCTCTGCTGCTTCTCTGGCTGGTGCCTTTTCGGGACTTCTTGCATTTGCAATTGAAAAGATGGACGGCGTAGGCAATTTGAGTGGCTGGCGATGGATATTCCTGCTCGAGGGTGAGTCACTCTTCATCACTGTTGAATGATGCTGACTCTGTAGGAATGCTGACGGTTGTCATCGGCCTTATACTCCCCTGGACTCTGCCGGATCACCCTGAAACAGCTTCATTTCTCACTTCTGACGAGAGAAAATTCCTCCGGGCACGACTTGACCAGGACTCTGGAACAGCAGCAGGGACTGTTGGTACGCAGGAGAAATTCCAATGGCATTATCTGATCTCCGCCTTGACCGAGTGGAAGATCTATCTGGCCGTGACCATGTATTGGGGGATTTCCGTATGCACCTTCTAGTACCTCTCTATTATCTCTACTGACCAAGCAGATCTGCCTGTACGGCTTCACCTACTCCGCACCAACAATCATCAAACAACTCGGCTATTCCTCCGCCCAGGCCCAGCTCCTCACCATCCCAATCTACTTTCTCGGTGTGCTCTCCACCCTCCTCTTCGGCTTTCTCGCCGACAAGCACCAGTCCCGCTGGCCATACATTATTGGCCCATTTGGCATTGCCCTAGTCGGATTCATTGGTCTTCTGGCCATCCCCCACCCTCGACTCCCGGGCCTCACTTACGCTTTTCTCTTCTGTATCCCAGCCGGCATTTACCCGCCTGTCATGGGGACCCTGTCGTGGTTTGGAAATAACCTTGCTCCGTCGTGGAGGCGTGCTATCGGCATGGCCTTGTTGATTTCGATTGGTAATTTGGTGAGTGCTTTCATTCATTAGTTCAGTATGTCATACTAAATGTTCAGGGCGGCGCAATCGGCTCCAATATCTTCCTCGAACAGCAAAAACCACACTACTGGCTGGGTTATGGAATATGTACTGGCATCACTGTAGCAGCCATGATCAGCGTGCTGGTGCTGCGATTCAGCTATGCCAAAATCAACGCTGAACGAGACAAACTGAGTGAAGCAGAAGTGCTGGAGAAGTATAACGAGGCGGAGCTGATCCGGATGGGCGATAGAAGCCCGCTTTTTAGATACGTGGTGTAGCAGGTGGGATGTTCAATGGTATCTTTGTAGTTCCATGGAGGTCAAATAAGGTGTTTTCCTTTTTGATCGCGTGGTTATAGCATTTAACAATAAAAAGTGTCGTGTGATATGTCCGGAAATATATATCGCAGTGTTATGAAATAACAACAAATCAATACTCCTGACACATTATACCTCCTGCTATAATAGATCAAATGCGACCATTTCACTATCAGTCTAACATACTCTGCCTATTTACCATATTATGATATCGTGGAGAATAACACCCTCTTTCAGCCTAAGGCACCAAGAAAGAACCCCGTGACGAGGCATTCTGCCAGGCGGTGAGCCCGGCCCGAGACTTCTCCGGCCAACTTCCGACTCTCAAATCCCGTCAGTGCCAAGCACGTGAGTTAGCTTTTCCTAAACTCTACAACAAGGAATGTCACTTTCTGGCCGTCAAGGCCTTGTTACACATAGGGAGCTCAGATTACATGCATATTTTCAAGCGTGGGACGACGATCCCTAGGCCTTGAAGGAAGTTAGTTACACCGCCGTCCACATCAAGACCCACACCGACATGCCTGGGGTGCCCTCCAACAAAGCGTGCGAGAGATGTAAAAAGCGTCATATGAAGGTGTGTTACGCTTACCCTGTTTAGGGCAAGTTGCTGAGTGTTTAGTGTGATGAGACTCGCCCGAAATGTGAGCGTTGCACTGCTGCTGGCGTGGAGTGTCCGGGATACGTCCAGACTCGCAAATTCATAGACCAGGGTGCGACGGTCAGGAGGCGATATGCGCCGTATCCAGAGAATCATCCTTCATCAGTTAATGATGCAGACAAGGTCGGTTTTTTCTTTGGTTCTATGGGCATTTCTCATGCGGAATAGACAAGAAGCAGCCCATGTTCAGGGGAGAATGCCCAAATGGCATCTGTGGCTGAAGGTACACATGAGAGAAATGCCTTCGCTATGCCTTCACCATTACAAGGAATGACAAGCAATTCAAGGCCCAATCCTACGCAGATGGGCGCAGCAAACATCCAAAACTCAACAAACCAGGCACCTTACGATATCAATCCTCTTACTTTTGACCGCGAACAGAGCAGCTCAAGCAGAAGCAATGCTCAAAATTCAGTGTCTCCTAATAATGACCCCTTTAATGTTTTAAATGCACCATATCCGGGTTTGGGCCAGAGACCCCGTGACTCGAGAGTTTCGTCATCTGAAGAACCCTCCCAGCGGAGTGAGAAGGAAGAGTTCCAGGATATATTCTCAGAACTGATGACAGGAACTGAGCATGAGATTGCCTTCCTCATTAGACATTTCTCTGAAGTCTTAGGGCCGTGGTATGTTCTCACCAATCAGTAGTCACCGCATTTTCTCATTCAAACAGGTTGGATTTATCGGACTCGAGAAAATTCTTCACAGTCTATGTCCCAATTCACGCTATCAATAGTGACTTTTTAAAACACTCCATCGCCGCTCTCGTTGCAAAACACCTGGGCAGAGTGAAAGGCGCAAAGTGCACAACAGCCGGTGGAATGTCCACAAACCCAGCAACCATGGAGCTTTATCCGAACTCCTCAGACGTGGATTGGTTTCTGAAGGCTGCCAACTACTACTATCTCGCTGTGTCGCGGTTGAATGCATCCATCTCGGATTATTATTCGACTGTGTCTAGCTCAGTCATTTTGGAGTCGCCGATCGAGACTGTTGGGCGCTGGTTGCGTCTTCAAGCTGCACAGGCTGGTTCTGTGTCTTTTGATAGGTTCTCGCGAAAAGCGGAGGATTTATTAGCTGCTTCTGCTCTTTTGACCATGTACAAACTTATGGATGAACCGGGCGAGAATTGGCAATCGTAAGTTTCACCAATGCCGTCCTATATGAAGCTAATAATATCCGTCAGACATCTCACCGGTATCAAACCACTGTTTAATTCCCTGCTGCAAATACACACCAACCAGTCATCCACGTACCCGCTCTTCTCTCATGGCGCAAGTGCCGTGTTTTGGAATTTCGCCCGTCAAGACTACCTGGCATCTTACTTCAACCGGTTACCCACTCACCTCGACCAGGAAAACCTGCCATTATGGCGAGCAGCCGGTATATCAATCGACACGGTCGGAAACACCTCCTTTCACAACGACCCCCAAAACAGCAGAATAACCTCCCAGGAAGATCTAGTCGCAAACAGCCTCATCTGGATCATGAACAAGACCGTCAACTTCCTAGCCGATTTCAGAAAGTCGCAGCTCGCGCACTGGACGGTGATTGATCCGTCCGAAGTACCTACTTCCCCAGGCACAGCGCAGCACTCACATCCCGATACCTCTACCTGGCTGCGCCTCTGCATCGCATTCCAGGGGTGGTTTGACCATCTCCCCGAGGCGTTCCGTCCGTGCTTACGCCTCGACCATCCAAAGGATACGTCCAAACCACCGGAAATAATACACCTCCCATTCCCGGAAATCTTCTACTCCTTGACTACCTGCACCGCAGCCATGCAGCAATACCACTTTGGTCGGCTCGCGTTGCTGCTGAATCGACCGCCTGATGTCGTTAGCGCACCCAGTACCGCATTTGATCGTCTACAGGGGTATCGCGAGGTAACGAAAGAAGTCGACTACCGCTGTCGAGAAATCTCTGGTATCGCGCTGGGTCGACCGCAGGGCGGGGTGCGTATCTATATGGTCCCCGTGCTGCTTGCTGTGGGGCAGTGTCTTGAAAAGCCAGAAGAGCGCCAGATTGTTGTTGATTTGTTGCGTGGTGTTGAGGCGGATTTGGGCTGGTCGACGGATGGCACGATTCAGAGGCTGCAGAGCTATTGGGATCAGTCGCCGGGTAGCCTTGCAGCAACCTGAGGTTTATAAGCTTGTTATCGTGTGAGGATTGAATACGTCGTCAGGCTAGGGTTTTATGATTTCGGGCATTTGATAAGGTATGCAGTCGAACCCATCAACTGGATTAATCACTAATAAACTAAGGATTATAGTTTAATAAGGAAGACCAGACTTGTTCATTAATATATACAGAATCATAATAAATACTGAAATCTATCATAGTTTAATCATACCCCGTCCTTCTGGCGGAAATTGAGATAAGTGCGTAATTTCCTTCATCCAGTCCTTATACAGATAACGCAAATATTACCTTGCCTGGCTGCCAATCCCATCTATATACCCTCAGATCTGAGGTCAGCTTCACGATGCACACGTTCAATGGTAGCTCTGTGGGCCGGGCTCCTGCACAAAACGCGTATGGCGGATGTCGACGGCGTGCTGAACAGATTATACTTGTCAGCTTGGTACTCGAAGCCATCGGCAGCTGTAAAATCATATCCCCACGCGACGCATGCGATGGTTATGAAGATCATCCTTTCTGCGATGGGTTTCCCTGGGCATAAACGCTTGCCAAAGCCGAATGCATCCGGGCTGGAGAGAGTTGGGTTGTCTATCCACCGCTGGGGCTGGAAGAAGGTGGGATTCGGATGGATGGTTTCGTCCATGTTCATTCCCCACAGGAAAGGGAGAATAGTGGCGTCTGCGGGAATGCGATAGCCCATGTATTCGTCTTCCTGGCTGACAGCCCGGTGGAGCCCGAAAGGGGAGATGGGTGACAGGCGAGAACATTCACAGATGAAGGCCTGTGTATAGGGGAGTTGAGGGAGGTCTGCAAGGGTAGGGAGTCGCTCGCTGCCAATGTGCCTGTCAATCTCCGCTTGGACTTGTTGCATCTCGCGGGGATATACCACGGCCACCTTCTCTAGATAGGTAGAAGAGCGCCTATCTGGCGACCTTGACGCTATCCCTACCAGTCTAAGTGGCATTGAGCAAGCAGTTCTGCACGGAAATGTTATCCGCTCTTGGGCATGGTGCGATGGATAAGACGCATACGATGTTGCAGGAAATATATGAGGGTCTTGTTAAAATGCTGCGACAGATGGAGGCTTCGTTTCGTTTGAAGAATGCTGTTCTTGATGCTATTTTGAGTATATCGAGGTTTTGCTGATATTAGGGCACGGTGATGGATTCAAGATGATCATGTGAATGAAGCTTTGAATATATACCTTTTTTAGCCTTTAGTATTTAGTGATACATACTGATATAATGAAATGGAAATGATAAATAGATAAGGATATTAATTTGTTGATATGCAATTGATCCTTGGCATTGCGTGCTTTTCCTCCATCATGGCTAATGAGGAGAATTAATTTTATCTTCAACTCGCCGCATTTCTTTGCTTTTTCTTCTGACAACCACTTTTGTGTTTGAATAACTTCACTCTTTCCTATTAATGCAATCATGGCAGATGAAAAACACAATAGCGGCGATGAAGCCCTCCAAATCCTCGCGGACAGCAGCACAATCGACCCAATCCAGTCCACCAAACTGCTCCGCAAAATCGATCTCTACGTGATGCCACTCATCTGCATCGTGTATTTCTGCCAATATCTCGACAAAATCGCCGTCAGCTACGCCAGCGTCACCGGCATCAGCCAGTCCGCCCACCTCCACGGCAACCAATTCAACTGGATCTCGAGTATCTTCTTCTTCGGGCAGCTGGCGTTCCAGTTCCCCACGATCCGGCTGATTCAGGCGTTTCCGCTGGCTCGGTATGTGGCTGTGAATGTGACGGTGTGGGGTGCGTTGCTGGCGTGTATGGCGGCGTGCAAGTCGTTTGCCTCGCTGATGGTGTGTCGGGCGTTGCTGGGCTGTGCGGAGGCGGCGGTGGTGCCTGCTTGGGTCGTGTTTACGTCGCAGTGGTATCGGAAGGAGGAGCAGGCATTCAGGGTTGGACTGTGGTTTTCGATGTGTGGCTTTGCGCAGATGTTTGGTGGGTATATCGCGTATGGCGTGGCCATCCATATCGGCAGTGATCCCAACGCAGCACTCCGTGGATGGCAGGTCATCTTTCTCATTCTGGGGCTATTCACGGCTGTCGTGGGGATTGTCTTCTTCTTCATCCTGCCTGATTCCCCTGTTTCTGCGGGTTTTCTCTCACCGGCCGAAAAGGCCCTGCATGTCGAGCGTCTCCGAGAGAATGAACAAGGCATTGGGAGTAACGTCTTTAAAAAAGAACAATTCTACGAGGCTCTCAGAGACCCTAATACATGGCTGTACTCGTTCTGGGTGTTTGCAGCCAACATCCCCAACTCCACCGCCACCAGTTTCGGCAACATCCTCGTCACCGGCATGGGGTATTCATCCACGCAGAGTCTGCTGCTGGTTACTCCCCTCGGCGCCTACGAGGTCGTCATCCTCATTGCGCTGACCTACCTCAGCATGAAAACCAACCAGCGCCTCCTCTGCTGCATCGCCGGCCACATCCCCTCCATCGTCGGGGCCATCCTCATGGCCACCACTAACAAAGCCCCCGCGTTAGTCGGCTATTATCTCACCGGCGGCATCCCGATCGGTTGGACGACCATCCTCGGCCTGACCAGTACGAATGTGGCGGGGTCGACGAAGAAAATCACCGTCTCGTGCATCCAGACCATCGCGTATACAGTGGGGAATATCATTTCCCCGCAGACGTTCCAGGCCAAGGATGCGCCGGGGTATCTGCCGGCGAAGATCTCGATTGTCGTGCTCTATTTTATAATCACGGTTGATTTGGGAGTGATTCGGTGGCTGGCTGTGAGGGAGAATCGGAGGCGTGATGAGGAGAGGGAGGCGTTGGGGAGTGCGTATGCCGTCGAGCAGAATCATGAGTTTCTGGATTTGACGGATCGCGAGAATCGGGAGTTTAGATATGCTATCTAACATGAGGATGGTAGATATTCACAGAATATCAACCGTGTTCACTAATGGAATATCCAGATGGTGGCAATAGAGTAGTCCGGAATCTCCCTACAGGGCTGAAACACCCGCATTATCCACTATCAAATTCTTAATGCATAATCCCAACCATAATTCCGGTGCCTAACGGCAATGCCGATTTCATGACAATATTCAACCGGAATATCCGGACATATACACGCGTTCCGGAAGAACCGAGTGTAGGCCTGCGCTCCTGTGGCCTGAACGTATAGAGTCGTTCAACTATAGGATTACATAAAAAGTATGCTTATAGGAATAAATTCTAACTGGAAATATAGGTATTTAGCTAGTTATCTGGAAACCCCTCTAATATATAAGGTAGGTTTAATATCGACTCTGTCCTTGGGCCCATGGCTCGAGACAATATGATGGAAATGCAACCAGGTTACTTGTACTTAGAAGCTGCACATCAGAGTAACTTACCGGTTATTACCCCACATTCAAGAGATGATTCGCTGCGTATGTCTATCATGCGAGGTGATCGACTTGCCTATTCCGGTGTTGAACGGCCACAGTACGGATACCCCGGAAGGGCTGATCCACCTTAATTGCACTGCAGCTGTTTCAAACTGGCACTGGATAAATGGCTTATTTTGCCTAAAGACTGTCCAAGCCTGTATGACATCATTGCTATACATCATTCCCCTTCAACGTTAAAGAATCCCCATTGTCTTTGTATCTTCCAGCTGAGATAGACCTTTCTCCCACGTTACCTGCTATCATGTCGTCGGAATACACGTTTCAAGATGCGGTAGCTGCAGTACAATCCGGTCAGCCCTTGACCGAGGCCACCCACACCCTCCTGTCTCACCTCACAAAGGATGAACGTCTTTCGCTTCTCGACGGAGACGTCGACTTCTGGCCCGGGATGCGCTCCATGGTTTGCGATCGCTACAATCCAGCTCCGTATGTCCATGGTGCCATCCCACGATTGCAGATTCCCGGGATCCGGTTCACCGATGGCCCCCGGGGAGTCGTCGTGGGAAACTCCACCGCATTCCCCATCTCCATGGCGCGAGGCGCGACGTGGGACGTTGAGCTTGAGCGCCGCGTGGGCCATGCTATCGGACTAGAAGCAAAAGCGCAGGGCGCCAACTTCTTTGCTGGTGTCTGCGTGAACCTCCCGCGGCATCCGGCGTGGGGTCGCGTCCAGGAAACGTACGGCGAAGATCCCCTCCTCCTGGGGGAGTTTGGGCTGGCCTTGACAGAGAGCGTACAGAACCATGTGATGGCGTGTGTGAAGCACTATGCCTTGAACTCTATGGAGAACGCCCGGTTCCGGGTTGACGTGAGGGTAGACGAGGCGGTGCTGCATGAAGTATATCTCGCGCACTTTCGGCGGATTGTCCAAGGAGGCGTGGCAGCGGTGATGTCGGCGTATAACTCGGTCAACGGCGAATGGGCCGGACAGAATCAGCATCTTCTCAACGAGATCCTGCGCGGTCAATGGGGTTTCGATGGCCTGATCATGTCGGATTTCGTCTTCGGGCTGCGCGACGCGACAAAGTCCGTCCGCAATGGGTTGGATATCGAGGCACCGTTCCGACAGCAGCGAGCAATGCACTTGGCTGCGGCTGTGCAGGATGGCGAACTGGAATGGGATATAATCGACAGATCCAGCGAGCGGATCTTGCGAAAGCAAGTCGAATTCGCGATTCGCACCGAGAAAAGCAACCCAGACCCGGGGGTGGTGTTCTGCGACGAGCACCGGGCACTCGCTCGAGAGGTGGCATCACGATCTATCGTCCTGCTGAAAAACGAACCGATTGATGGAAAGCCACTCCTTCCTCTCCAGGCTGCATCTCTCAAGCGAGTGGCTGTTGTTGGACGGCTCGCCGCGATGCCCAACACGGGCGATAAAGGATCGTCCCAGGTGTTTCCGCCCAGCGTCGTGACTCCCCTGGAGGGCATTCGGGATGCCCTCCCTCACGTGGAAGTTCGACATGCCGAGTCCGTAAAGGATGCGACTCGTCTCGCGTCAGAAGTCGACGCGGTGATTTGCATTGTAGGATACACCTACAAAGATGAAGGCGAGTACATGGTTCCTGCTCTGCAGGAGGATCCAGTTCTGGGAGACGTTCTACCCCCCGATCGAACTGGTGAGGAGCGCGAAACCGTCGCCATCTCGCAGGGGAAAGGGAAGCACGATGGCGGAGGTGTGGCAGCAGGCGTTGGTGGCGATCGCACCTCTCTACGGCTTCGCGAGGATGACGAAAAGCTGGTTCAGGCCGTGCAAGCCCGGAACCCACACACGATTGTGTCCATTGTCACGGCTGGGGCGGTGGTGATGGAATCATGGAGGGCCAAGGTTCCGGCGATCCTGATGAGTTGGTATAGCGGATCGGAAGGAGGACATGCACTGGCAGATGTGCTCCTGGGGACGGTCGATGCCAGCGGACGACTTCCCTTTTCCATCCCAACAGATGAACGCCATCTCCCGTTCTTCGACATCCATGCCGCTCAAATCGACTACGATCGGTGGTTCGGACAGCATCTCCTTGATAAGCTGGGGGTGCCACCAGCCTTTCCCTTTGGATTCGGGCTCTCGTACACCACATTCCTTCTGCAAGAGATTGCAACCTGCCAGCAGGAGAAAGAGAAACTGCAAATAAAGGTTTCTGTGAAGAATACCGGCCTGCGAGGTGGATGGTTGATTGCGCAAGTATATGGCTTGCCAGGGGTCGATGACTTTCCTGCGCGTTTGCTTCTAGGGTTTCACCCGGTCTATCTGGAGCCTGAGCAGGAGAAATTAATTCCAGTCACTGCTTCTCTCCGACCAGTGCAGCGATGGAGGGAGGGCGAATTTGTGTTCCAATCTACCGACATGGTGGTGGAGGTGAGCCGGTTTGCAGGAGATCCAGATGCTATCAACATACGGACTTCCTTGATGGATGTCAGATGAGAGTAAATCATTCAGGATAGTCCAATGTATTTCGTAAAGCAGTAGGAGTTAATAGAGGGTTACCTGTTACCCCAGAGGTTACCACTTACGCTATCTCTGATCTGTCCCCGGATAGTCCCGCATAACATTCAACATATCTTAATCATAATGCAATTCAAGAAGAATCGGAATATCCGGACTGACACGCGTTTCGGAAGAACCGAGGCCAAGAGACGATCACTATCGCCGAATGCGCCCAAGATCGTCAGGGCGAACCACCTTGATTCCGTCACTTGCGGGGTTTCCAGAACATAATCTAATTCTTCAGTCTCGGGGGAAATGAGTCCGATTGATATATCTGCTCCCTATGCTCTGCCGTCTTTCTTCACACCATCAAATCCACCACCATGTGGCACACCTGGCTCTGGTTAGGTCTCCTCGCCATCACAACCTCAGCAAGCACAGACTTTGGCACATTCCAGAATACCTCGAATCATGTCCGTCCGAAATTCCGGTACTGGCTCCCCGATCCCAGCGTCGACACAGCCACCGTGCAAGACGACATTAAACGGGCCGCCACGATCGGGGCTGGCGGCATCGAGTTCCTCCCGCTGTACAACTACGGGGGCGATATGGTGAGCGAGCCGAAAGGCGCGGATTGGGCCACGTATGGATTCGGTACGAAGCCGTTCAACGACATGTTTCGGGCTGCGTTGGAGGCCGCTAAGGAGGCCGGGTTGTTGATGGATTTTGCGATCGGGGCGAGTCAGGGGCAGGGGGTTCCTGCTAATGTTACTGATGAGGGACTGCAGTGGGATTTGGTGAGTTTCCTTCATGATCCAGGGATGATATGCTGATGGTAAAGGCACCGTTTAATGTGACCGTCTCGAATGGATCGTTCAACGGCATCATCCCCGGCTGGGGAACAGGCGATCTTGTCGCGCTGGTTTCTGCTCAAGTGCTGGCCTCGTCGACCATCACCAACGCAGGGAATGCCATTCTCGGTGCAGAAGCAACGAATTCCACCTTGCTGACTTTGAAGGAATCCAGTCTGCGCGACTGGACGAGCCACGTTGCACCCGATGGTAAGGCATCACTGCAGTTCAACGCCACGTCGGAACACAAGCTCTTTGCGTTCTATCAGTGGCAGACGCTGGCGAAGAATGTCGATATCCAGAGTAACGCGACGGGCACGTTCTGGGATAATGGGTCGTATACGGTGGATCACTTTAGTGGGAGAGGAGCGAATGTGACGATTGACTTTTGGAGGAATTATATCCTCAACAGTGAGGGGATTGGGGAGTTGTTGGCCGAAGTTGGTAATCTGGGTATGTCCTCTTCTTAAGATAGATGGACAATGCTAATATGAGACAGCCTGGGAAGATAGCCTCGAGATCAAATCCAACGTCTCGTGGACGCCCTCGCTGCCCTCCATGTTCCGCGCCCTGCATGGATATAACATCCACAAGTACCTCCCCCTGATGATCTTCGGCAACAACAATCCCGGTCTGCAGCCCTCCACCCCCGGCACGATTAAATGCATCCTGGAAGACGCCGAAAAGACAATGGGTTACGTGAACGATTTCCGCGCGACGCTCGTCCAAGGATACCGCGAGTACCTGCAAACCCTGACCAACTGGGCAGAGAACGAACTCGGTCTGAAAATGTCTGCGCAAGTCTCGTACAACCTCCCCATCGACATGGAAGCTAACATCCCCTACGTCAGCGTCCCCGAGTGCGAAAGCCTCGCGTTTGAAGATAAAATCGATTCGTACCGCCAGTTCTCCGGGTCTGCGAACGTCGCTGGGAAACCCATCATCTCGAACGAAATGGGCGCCAACTATGGCAAGTCGTTCGCGTTGCCGGCGCGTGAACTGCTCGGCGAGATCAATCGCGCCATGGCCGGCGGCGTCAACCAGATCGTGCTGCATGGACAGACATATACGGGCAATTTCTACGAAACCACCTGGCCGGGCTACACGGCGTTCTTCTTCCTCTTCTCGGAATCGTACATGAACAAGCAGCCGGCGTGGGAGAATGGCTATGCGGATTGGATGACCTATGTCGGACGAAACCAGTTTATCCTGCGACATGGACAGCCAAGGACCGACGTGGCTGTGTATAATAAGCAGTCGGAGACGGATGCCAATCTGGAGGTTCTCTACCAGAGCAGTGATATGGTCGATGCTGGGTATACGTATACGTACTTGTCACCGGATAACTTTGACTTGGCCCAGATGACGGTGACGGATGGGATGCTGGCGGCGGGTAGTCCGGCGTACAGGGCGATGGTGGTCACCAGCGAGCAGAATGTGACGCTTGCTGCGGTGGATAAGCTGAAGAAATATGCGCAGGATGGACTGCCAGTCATTCTGAGTGGAGGAGATCCAGGATACTATGCGAGTGGGAATGGGAGCAGTGAAGCAGCTGTCAAGGCAGCCATTGCAGAGCTGAAACAGACGGCCAATGTGCATTCCACTGGAAAAGGAGAGATTGCATCCAAGCTGAACGCCCTCGGAATCAACCCCCGTGTCAGAGTGGCCACCAATGGCACCTGGTATCCTGTGCTGCGGACGGACAGCAGCACCGACTATGTCTTTCTGTTTGCCGATGGAAAGGCTTCATCTGGTTACATCGAGGTGGAGATCACCAAGTCGCCATACATCCTCAACGCATGGACCGGAGTGCAGCAGCCAGTGCTGGAATATCGGCGGCTAAACAGCAGCATCATCGTCCCTCTTCGCCTCGGTGCCAACCAGACCGTCATCCTGGCTTTCGACGATAGTCGGGATACCCCCTCCCTCCACGCAACTCACCTCCCCTCCAGCGCTGTCGGATATGAATATTCCTCCCACGGCCTGACCCTGCAGGTCGCTGCATCAGGCCATGGCAACCTCACCCTCTCCTCCGGCAAATCCATGACCATTTCCAAGAAAGCATCTCCATCCTTCGCCCTGCACAATTGGTCCCTCGTCGCAGAGCACTGGGAAGCCCCCTCCAACCTTTCCGATGCCTCCATCATCGCCTCCAAGCGCAACACCACCCACGCCCTCCCCGGCCTCGTCTCGTGGCTCGACATCCCAGCTCTGGCCAACGCATCCGGAATCGGCTACTACACCACCTCCTTCAACTGGACTGCCTCGGATGGAGATGGAGCGTACATCCACCTCCCACCCATTTCGCAGGGTCTCCGGCTCCACGTCAATTCGCACCTCCTGCCGCCTCTGGATTATAACCAGCCCAAGGCAGATCTACGGCCGTATCTAGTCACCGGCGTGAACCAGATTACGGCAGTCGTGCCCACCATGATGTGGAACTACATCCGCTCGATATACGACGAGTTGGAGGTATCGGGCTCCCCGCCGCTCCTGACTCCGTTACCTGGACGGGTGGATAACGGGTTGATTGGCGAGGTCAGAATCATCCCGTATAGCAATATCACCGTCTGATCGATAGAGGCTATGTAAATGATTCATGTATATACTACTCCAACACACAGACAGTGGGGAGCGGGGTAATGGGACTTTTGGGACAGCCCAGAACCCACAATCTCACTGTATCAACCCTTTCCGATATAGCTCGATATTAGCTTCACTAAGTTTAACCCTGTCGATCGGGGCTCCATCGCGGCAAATCGAAAATCCAGCTGATGTTGCGCAGCTGCAAAAGTACCTCGTAAAAAAGAAATTAATTCCTCTCAGTCGGGATATTAATCCTTGCCTACCGATAGGATATCCACTTTCACTCACTCGCTTTCAGCTATCGTCTAGTTCACTTTCAGCTGCTGCTAGCGAAGCTATTCGAGGCTCCAATCTTCTCCACAAAATGCAGGGTTCATTTATCGTCCGTTCTGATCATCGCGGATTGCGCCCGACGATTCCGACTGTGTCTGTTCGCCGTGTGGTTCGATTTCGCTTACTTGAATTTAATATCGCAACGTCATGGTCGTGTGTGTATATATTATCCGCCGTAAGCGCGTTAAAGATGGACATACGGTAGGAGTAAGGAGTATGTACAACTACCCAACGGGGTTGAGTTGTTAATAATGTCTGTATTATAGGTGCTGAGTATTCTGCAGGTATTAATGGCATAGATCGGAGATTACTGTTATGCATTTATTGATTCTCCATATACATAGTATGTATAAATGCATGGAAAGATTATTTCTTCCACCGACTGCTGATGCTGATATATGGTGGAATGCTCACCGTCTTTCTGACTCAACGATAACAGCGCCAACAAATCAATATAGCATTCCTCACCGATCAAACCAGGAAACCACAGAGCGACCTTCCCTTTCCTTCCGACCACTTCATCCAGTTATTATTAATGCCTGCGCGCTGTATAGATCAGTGGATCCACGTTGTGGAGTCCCAAACTGACAGGGCCCAGTATTAATATTGGGCATGCTGTGAAGAGGTCCGATCATGGTTTTGCAGGGTTTCTTTATTTTCGGTTCTTTATTTTAGGACGTTTTATTTTGCCTCTGATTTTATATCTACCGCTGTATGCGCCAGAATGAAGTGTTGTTTGGTTGTGAAGGACTCGGTATCTGGTTATAAAGGTGTTGGCCTGTACTAATACGACATTGCTCATTCATTGAGATACAATATCCTACTGTCAGATACTACCATCTATATTACATCATCTATATCAAACACTACTATATCATATCATAAAATGGACCCCCTCCTCGACTTCTTCACCCGCCACGTTATATCAGCCTACACAACCGGCGACAGAACCCGAACAGGCCCCAAGCCCAACAAAACCACCACCACAGCCGACGACTACGAAGAAAACGACTTCCACTTCGGCATCACCGACAACCTCCTCAGTCTCATCTCCCGCATCGCAACCCTCCACGCCCTCCCCCGCCCTGAATCCGGCCTCACGCCCGCAACAACCATCTCGGCGGCTCTGGCCATCTGGCATGACTTGCAGAACTGGAGACCGCCGACTATGATTCCGTCGCGCGAGTTTGATGCGATTTACGGGGCGTATAGCTCGGCGCTGTTTATCTGGTTGTATTTGCTGATTCACCCGGATAACGTTACCGATGAGAAGGTGCAGAAGATGGTGAGGGAGGGGATGGGCGATCTGGATGCCGTCCGCGGGGAGGGGTTGGGGTATTTGCTTATTCCGTTGTTTATTCATGGGTTGGCGGCTGTGGAGGAGGGGGATAGGGGGGTTGTTGAGGAGGGGTTTAAGAGGGTGGAGAGAGTGGCGGGGTTGGCGGAGGTGAGGAGGTATCGCGATGTGGTGAGGGCGAGTTGGAGGTCGTATGCGAGGGGTTTCAAGAGGAGTTGGGATGTGGGCTATGGGGCTGGATGACGATGGCCATTACCGGATTGGGGGTGTGATGGTATCCATATGAGGCTTTTGTATATATCGTCGGGGCGGGTGCCGACGTCGGATGTGCGTTCCGATGTAGATCAATGCTACAGTACATTGAATTCATTAACTAAACATAGAAAATATAATGCTAATGCTATGATGAGTATACTATCAAATTGTCTCATCCACAATAAGTCAGCACAGTAATAATCCATCCAGTGAGTATGACGAAAACATGACAGTATACCGCAGATCACCGACTGTACCGCGAACTCCTGCCACTCTCGAAATAATGCTCCTCGGGCCCGGCATCGCCAGAACCACACTGCGAAACCCTCCGCCCGGCTTTCTTCCTGTCGGCCGCCAGAATCTGCGCAAACTTGGACTTCTCCCGGATCTTCGGTCCGTTCCAGTAGAAGATATAAATCGGGGCGATGAAAACGACCGCCAGGAAGCCGAGCAACGATGAAGCCCATTCGAGAGGGTTCGATTTGCCCATGTTGGAGTACACTATCCCACGTCAGTTGGTTTTTTTTTTTTTTTTTTTTTTTTCTGGAATCAAGATGATGCTTACTAGGCACTGAATACATCGCGGCTACACCGGCCAAAAAGTCTCGGGCAAGAGCGTTGCCACCGGTGGCTGACGCGGAGTAAGGTCCGTAACTTGCCACCATGTAATCGATCGTGGCCATGTAAATGGCATACTGCACGATGAGCATATGTACTCGAAACAGTGGAAAGACTTACATTGGCTATTGCGATGCATGCCGAGAAGATCATCGGTGCGATCCAATGCACATGCGGCGGACCCAAACTGGTCCACCCAAAACCGAACAGTCCGATTGGCAAAAGCGGTGCAACTGGGGTTGTCAGTTAAAAACATGAAGTGGAATGAAAACTAACCGTATAACAGCCAGTACAGACGTGCCTCAGGCTGGAGGCCATCGGGATCTCGTTCGCGGACTCGGCAGTGTCGATGGATCCAGGGGATAAAACTAAACCAGGCGATCAAGTAGCCAACCAGGAGACTATCACATTAGCATGGAACAACAACAGAGTAAGGCACTCACGGTAAGAAAGCCAATCCGACACTAATATCAGAAAATCCCCACTGCTTATACACGGGTTCATACGACTGCAGAAAGGTGAAGATGAGCGAGTCACTGAATCCACTGAGAAGTGACAGCCACAAGACAATCGGCTCTCGGACGAACATGATGAATGGACGCGCCCACACCATCAGCAGATGCTTGATACTGATGCGCTTACCCTTCAGCTCATCCGCACTGTACACCTCCTCGCCCTTCTTTCGCCTTCTCCGCGCCTCCCTGGTCACCAGAATACTGCACCGTGTCTCTGGAATGAAAAAGTGTACTGCTTGCACGGCACCACCCAGGATAAGCTGAAGCCAGAAAGTCCATCGCCAGCCCAAGAAGGTCTGCGTGAAGCCACCCACAATAGGGGCCACCACGGATCCTGCCACGGAGGAGAGAACAATAAATGCAACCGCATATTGCTGCTCGTCCGCCTCCCACATGTCTGCCACCATACCGAGCGTCACTGAACCACCAGCAGATGATAGACCACCCAGGATACGGCAGACAACAATGGTACCAAAATTAGGGGCCAGCGCGCAAGGAAGCTGCCATATGTTGACAAGCAGCAAACTGAGTTGCATGATCGGCCATCTTCCATATTCTTCACTCCACGGAGCCCAGAACTCACTTCCAAATCCATAGGCAATCAAAAAGTCCATCTGCCCGACTCTGGCAGCTTGTTTCGAGATATTAAAGTGCTTAGACAAGAGACCAATCCCGCTGGCGTAGAAACCAGCGTTAAAGTTCATTGACACTTGCACTATGAAAATCACAGACAGAATGCCCCATTTCTTCCACCAAGGAAAGGTAAACCCTAGTTTGTCATAACAGTCGTTTTCCTTCAACTCGACTTTACCATCAGCCCGTCCATCCGCTCCATCTTTTTCAATCTCTCCATGGCAAGCTCGCTCTCCATGACAAGCCCTCGGCTGTGACTCGGGGGAATCATCTATGTCATTAGAGCTGTCTTGCTTCTCCAAGTCTTGCGCACCAGAAGAATCGCCATAACTAAACGGGGTATGTGGCATAGACATCATTCAACGCGTAAAGAATAGATAAGGTTATCGCAGACAGAGTAAACAATGAACGACAGGGTATTCATAACGAGCTGAGATGCAGCCAACGGGGCATGCAGCTCTATTTAATGCTGCAGCGTATACAACGCAGAACCCTGGCTTTCAGCTTCGTCACTGAACTGCTCATTGGTTTGACGTCACGCACGATCTGGCCACACAAGCCTTCCCAGTTCATGGCCCCCGGCGTCAACAACGCATCCGGGGATATCAACCCGACCAACAACCAACAGCATCTCCGCAATCGCCCCTGAAACACGGGGAAGCCGAAGATGGGACAGGTCGCAAATTAAACCCGGAAATCGAAAAACATGGTTTGGTTTGGTTCGATCCTTGGTCGAAGCGCAAGAGCAGTGTGACAAGCAAGCGCAGTATGGCGAGAAGACGATTCGGACATCGTATTCCGACGATAACCTATGATAACGATAACCTGGGGACGTAAACGTCTCCAGGCTTCTCCGGGTTCGTTGTACGGAGAAGATGCAGTGCGGAGTGCGGTTCGAGACATTACATCATCCGTGAATGTCGTCAGTCAGACTTGACAAAATGTAGTCTAACCACTGTCTTGTATGGTTTTGAGTGTTCATCTTGCACACAGAGAGGCTTAAATGAGATCTTCCAGAGTATAGTAAACAAAATATCCGTAGGTCGGTACTCGCAAAAACTAGCATAGAAGCGTATCTCGAATGCGGGGTGGATATACTCGCCACCAATGACAGACATATAGACGGCAATGATCTAATCACAGCGAGATGGAGATTCATTCAAGAGGCCACTGGTGGTGTTGGTCCAGATCTAGGTCCAGGGGCAAATTCCGGTGCCAAAGATATCATTCATTGATATGATGCGATTGCTAACAGACAGCCTCATCTCAGAAACCTGCTCGCATATTTCACCAGACCTTGCAGGCATGGTGATGTCAAGAAACCATGTGGCTTTCGATGCACCACAAATGGGCTCTAGCAACAGGGGCTGTCATTCCGAGCGAGGAAATCTAGCGAGGAATATTTCCGTTACTCGCCTTCCTCATTCGGCTATCTCTTATTTAGTATCATATCCTTGTCGAATTGCACTGCTGGAATCCCTGAAGGTGGCGTAGTCGGAGATTTCGGTAGCCCCTTTATCAGGTAGAAAGACACATGGAAAGACTGACAGCAGAAAGTTATTCATTTATTAAACTTTCTCGTGGTCAATCAGGAAGCTTTCTGTTCCTGCCTTCAAGACTCTGCACTATCGTATTGATATTGCTAGCTCGGGTGTCAGACTTCCCCACAGCGGTCAAATACCGTGGAAGCCACTGGGGTTGAGAGCAGCGATGATCAACAGTAAGCTAGCCTGAATGACGAAGAAGCCCCTCAACACTAATGGGTGATATTGTCGGGGATTCAATGTGGGGAGGTTGATCCGGGGAAAGTGGGGAAACGGGGATTATAACCCAATAACTCCAAAACCGTCTGTAATATGGCTGAACTCTGTGGAATGAAATCATCCCTAGTGGCCCTCTGGTCTGAGCATACGACTATCATTGGAGTTCTGGCCTTCTTATTTGGCCACACCACGAAGTTAGTCGGTTAACGGCCAGGTGTTGACCGGGGGAATTCCGCGGCAGGGGATGAGCAGAGAATAAAGTCGTCTCTCTTTCCAGGTTTAGCGAGTTTCCAGGTAAGAACTAAATTGTATCATACATGCCAGATTTTCCTGGCAATCGAGACATTCGCCCAGCATGGAGATGAACTATGATGAAGCGGCAAGTCACCTCTGTATTACACCCCAGAGCATCATCGCTAATGGTATACGACTATGCAGACTCTCCATCAGTACGTAGGAAGCCTCGTTCATGGGTTTGGCTGCTGACAATCAACAGGATCGAGCGAGAGCTCGACACCAAGATTTATCCAGGGACAGAGATCATGGCAGATGTAGGCACGCATCATTTTGTGAAGTCATCACCCAAATCAGATCGCGTTCTGGTGCCACAGCCGTCGCAAAGTCCCCATGATCCTCTTGTATGTGTTCAATAAATTCATTTTTGGTAGACAATCGTTAAACAAGTGTCTATCACAGAACTGGAACAGGTTCTGGAAGACCAGTGCCATGTTTATGGCTACGGCTGTGTCTTTCTGTCAGGGGTTCGGGCCTCTAGCACTGGCACCAATGTTTCCGCAGTTGATGGAGTCGTTCGATACAGACCTTGCCTCGGTTGTCAAATTCACTGGCGTCTGCATTCTTGTTCTTGGTTTCAGCAACTTTTTCTGGTGTGTCAGCCAAACCTCGAAAGCGAACTTTTAAAAGCACTGACACACTAAGGATCCCTATCCAAGCAGCATATGGTCGTAGGCCAGTTTTGATCTTCTCAACCTTGATTTGTCTTGTTAGCAATATATGGCGTGCGTTGGCAACGAGTTATGGAAGCTATATGGGAGCCTGCGTGCTCAACGGATTCGGAGCTGGACCTGCCGAGGTTGAATCTCCGAAACGAAGGCGAGATTGATCGTACTGACGATCTCTCAGACTTCCCAGCCGGAAATCATCGCGGACATCGTATTTCTACACGAGAGAGGTGCTTATAACACGCTCTATTTCACCTTTTATTTCGGTTCTCTCATGGTAAGTGTCGCTGTTTGATTGGACATTCGCTTGCTTATATTGACGCCTCTTCCACAGGTCGGTCCAATTATTGCCGGTGCCATGGCGCAACATGTTGGCTGGCGCAGCTTCTTCTGGTTAAACGTCGCACTCCTAGGGGTTGTGTTGGTTCTGCTGCTTTTCTTGTTCCCCGAAACCAAATGGCATCGAGCCCATCCCGCAGAGATAATCCATGGCCAAGAGCAGGCTGCAGACGATAACACTTCTGATTCCAAGAAGCCCATCGAGGTGACCCAACACGAGAATGTGCCGACGGAGACTGGTACAGAAACGGACACGTATCTGGGCAAAGGGTATCCCTCCAAGCAGCAATTCAAGCTCTGGCAGCTTGCCGACAATAACCTCAAAACAGTACTGGTCACCTTTTGGATCCCTTGGAAAATGCTCACCTTTCCAATCGTCGAGCTGGCAGCTTTTAATGTTTCCTGGGCAGCTAGCGTGTACTTGACTCTGAATCTCACTCAGAGCCAAGCCTTTGCCGCGCCTCCATATAACTTCTCTAGTCAAACAATTGGCTTCTTCAACTTTGCATCGTGGATTGGGATCTTCATTGGACTTGCAACCAATGGTCCTCTTTCGGACTGGATTTCAATGAGAGCCACCAAGAAGAATGGAGGAATCCGAGAGCCGGAAATGAGATTGCCAGCCATGATTCCCTACGTGATCATTGCTATCATTGGAAACTTTGTGGTGGCATTCGGATACGAGTATCAATGGGACTGGAGGGTCAGTCTATTTCTTTCATTGGTGTGCGATAATGGTATGCTAATCAGATGACTCCAGGCGATCGTTATTATCGGATACACTGCAGCTGGGATTCAGGTCGCCGCAATTCCAGCCATTACCAGTACCTACGCTGTCGATAGTTATAAGCCCGTCGCTGGATCCATCTTTGTTTCGATCACAGTCAACAAGAACTTGTGGGGCTATGGTTTCAGCGAATTCATCACGCCATGGGCGGAGAAGAGTGGTTTTGTGAAGCCAATCATGCTTAACATGTCCCTGGCTGTCCTTTGGTGTCTGTTTGCGATCCCTTTTTACTTCTATGGCAAACGATTTAGGAAGTGGACTGCCAACTCGTCGGTCCATAGTATGTAGATCTCCAGGACAATTAGACAAAGCCAGGAATTTTGAGAGGCAGTCATGTATCACTTCCAAGCCATGGTAGATATGATGTATAGCTGGCAATAGGTGTATTTGGGAGATTTGGTGGTTATCAAATTTATTTCGTCAGGATGTTCGTAGATGCGATCATAATCAGCAGAATCATATATCGTCATCGTCTGGGTCATAAAGGTCCAGGTCAAGTGTCGCTTGGGGTTTTGGTGGAGGTGCTGCCTTTGGCACTGCACTTGGTGCAACCGAACCTGCCTGTGCTGCAGCCATTGCGGCTTCATCCGCGTGACGTGTCTCATCGCCAGCTTGTGTCGGTGCTACCGCATCCGCAACCCCCAAGCCTTCTGCTTCACGGATCATGCGTTCCACTTCCTTGTCAGACTCGAACCCTGGCCTGCCTTCGGCGGCGGCGAGCTGTATTTGACCCATCAGGCCCATGCGAATTCGATCCTCCATAGGATATGGCAGCATGTAGACTTCGCGGGTCATGTTGGCCGACTCATCTAGCCACAAGGTAGCATCCTTTGTCACCGAAGAGACCGGTTCTGCGCCTTCTTCGGTCCCTGTGGCTCCATTCATACCCGTCATCGCGACATCTTTGTCCTTCTTCGATGGTGTATTGCCCGCCGCTGCATCCGCGGCAGCTTGGTGATTGTATTTGGAAATGCGCCGTGCGAAATCGAGCAGTAGTTTGTAATCCACATCCTTGTTCCTCCGAAAGCTGAGTTTCTTGGATTTGTTCTCTCCTTCTTCCGATTCTTCCTCGGAGCTGTCGTCCAAATCCGAGTCGCTGTCGCTTTCGTCACCACAAACCGTCCCAATCTGCTTTTCGTACCCTTCAATGTCCCTGACAACTCCCTTCACCCTCTCTTCCAAATTTTCGGCCTCTGCACGGAGTCGTAGGATTTTGGCATAGTTTTCCTGGTGCTGTCGAAGTGTTTGGACCGCTGACGTTAGCTGGTCATCTGCTTCCAAAAGCGCGACCGCCGCAGCAGGTGCTCCTGCAGCTGTCGGAGTGGTTGTGAGGCTGTTGATCAGGGAGTTTAGTTTGTTTTCGAGGTTCGATAGCGACGAACGGACATGGGCGTCCATGTTGATCAGCTGGTCGGTAGTCGCTCGAAGGACAAAGGAATAGGGTCAGCGCGTCGTGATGACCACGGCAGCGTGGAAGGAGAATCGAAGCTGTATAATATGTATGTCAAACCGTTCAATCACCTGTATGATCGATAGGGAAATTCCCAAGGAGAAGAGACGATTGAAGCCGGAAGTTGGAGATGTTTTAGGATCGCAGCGCCGATACAGAGCTCCACATCACGTGCTCGCAAGCAACTGACCAATCAGGAGGCAGAATTCGATATTTATTCAAAGCTCACGTTGAACAAGAGAAATTCCATACTCAAACAAACAGCAAAGTCTCTAATGAGATGGTGCAAATTATGTCGATTTTGTCGTCAAAATAATGTCCTTCTCTCGAGACTACCTCGCTCTTATCGTTCCGCACAGTTCCACCATGATTCTGCAAGTGGGGTGTTTCCCTGTTTACTCCTCGGTTCTGTCGTCATAACCCAATAGCTCCTGCTTTGTGTCAATCAAACTTCTTCTACCGACTCACTACTCGCTCTTATAAAATGTCTGGAGCTACGATTTCTCTCCCTCCTGCTCCATCCGTTCATCTGGGACGTGGTGTCGTCTTGCAATCCCCGCTTTCTCGCTGCGGTCAAGGACCCGGCCTGATCATCCTGCGGCCCAGCAAATATGCAGACTGCCAACGCCAAAATGAGAGTCTTGATCCAGAGCCGATCAAGAAATGGGCCGAAGAGAGCTATACGGTGGTCCAGATCAGTCTGGATGAGGAGTCAAGTGGTGACAAGATCTGTGTCCTTGAACTTGTGCGAACTGCAGTAGACGCTTTGGTCTCGTTGCCCAAATGCGACCCGAATGACAAGATTGGACTTTTAGGTAGGCCGTGACACTGCTGATTTTGACACTGAGCTGATGTCATGTTAGTGTATGGCTCCCAGGCAGACTATGCGGACTCCTTCGCGGGAACGCTCTATGACGTCGCGGCATCAAGTGAAAGCATCGTGGCCGCAGTGTACTTTGATATCTGGGGCTCATTCATCGGCAAGCCAGTTCTCTTACATGTTCCAGGAGGCCCTAATAATATGCAAAAGCATGAAGGCTTCACGGGTTATTCGTATCCTGAAGTGTCCTCTTCAGGCTTTGTTATTCCGGGCCACCCAGAGTTCAAGCTCTCTTCGGCCGGGATCGCGCACAGCCGAAACTTGGGTTTTTTCAAAAAGCATATGAATGCTCCTTACTTTGACCTAGAGAAGATCTGGGAAGAGCACACATTGTATGAGTTTGGGGAGCGATCTGTTGAAAAGACTATGGCAACTATGGTGCCGGAGCCATATGTGAATCATATTCCGACGGTAAATCAACCTTGATACATTATCTGCCATTTGACTGATTTTTTTCATAGCTGACTGGGGGAACCGGTCATGCACGGCTAAGCAATTTCTATCTCAACCATTTCATCTTCAACAACCCCGATGACACAGCACTTGAGCTGATCAGTCGGACGGTCGGCATTGACCGGGTTGTGGACGAGTTCATTTTCTGTTTTACGCATAATAAGCAAATGGACTGGATGTAAGCATCTTTTGCCCTGGAGCCTTGTTTAGCCGAGCTGTGCACTAACTCCGTACCCAGGATCCCTGGTATCCCGCCAACAGGGAAGGCACTCCGCGTACCATTCACATCCGTCGTCAACATTCGAGGAGATCGACTGTATCATGAGCATATAGCATGGGATCAGGCCACAGTGCTCGTGCAACTGGGACTGATGCCCGAATACCTGCCATATCCCTATGCTCTTCCCGGTGGACAGCAGCCGGCTCCAGGGAAGCGATTCGAGTATCGGGTGCCCGCTGCAGGAGTTGAGTCTGCAGAAAAGCTGGCAAACGAGCACATGGTGTCATCCAACCAGATGTTCGAATATAAAGTTCGAGAGGTTGACAACTAAGCAAAGGTTGTTCGCCTTAACTTATCCCTTGCATTTCGACCTCCTGCGGTAATACCTCTCAATACTCGTCTGGCTCAGGGCCTTGCTCTGCATATGCCATGCAGATGGCAGTAATAGCTCTCATTTGTCATATTTGGTGATAAAAGCTAATTTTTGTCCGTATGGAAATGGGGGCGCAGCTGGACGCCTGACTATTGAATTGCTTTGCTGAACTTGACATTTCTCGGTGAGCCTGCTCTCCATTCGGGTGAATATACTCTAGCTAACTAGCAAACTTAGGACTTGCTGACTTGGCTGCATCGGTATTTGTATCCTGTTATTGGTTTGCGAAGTTGCGGTGCCTCTCTGTAGATACCAAATCCGTTTAGTTTCAAAGATCGGCAAGCTTATCAATTAATGCATTTGAGCGTGACTAACATGGAATAGAATTTCCGGTTTGTTTCAAAAATAGAAAGTAATAATCCAGCACTCCTCATCCATGCAATCTACAGGGATGCGGTGTATAAATTCAGGGTACCATCTGCTGCAAATCTGACCATTCACACGGGTGAAACAGCCAGGATCACACCATCCTGGACGAATACAAATAAAGCAGCAATAAATTGCATAAAAATTCGTATACATACATCACATCTGGCTGCCTGCGGGGAAGAGATTCGTCGGGGTTACACGGATCTTATCGGGAATCATCCCACCATGGATCTGGGACTCAGCCAGTCATCAGAGCGATAAAAAAAGATTGTATCAAGCGCTTACTCTCAGATTACTTCTTCCATGCTTACTACGACTGCCTAGTGAATCATCGAGACCATTCTCCATTCAAGAGTCATGCGGAGTCTTCTATCCGGAGATGCCGAGATCAGTGTGTCCCGGCTGCGCCTTGACATCATGGTATCTGCCGCACTGTGGAGAAGACTCGAGCAATTCTCCGACGTCCTGGCAGATGAAGCAATCTGAATGGCCTGTTTGATGTCCTCGAAAAGTCTGGCCAAATGCTGAAGCCTAATGCTGAGAATCATGACGGCTTATACCGTATACTCGGAGGCCGCCCAGCGCTGGTGGGCTAGTATTTAAACCTGCGATGACCCAGACTGTCTGTACGTCAACCAGCTGCTCTAGACGCTATCCTGGGTCATTCCACGATGTATTTCGTAAAAGCAGTCGCGCCGGTTCTCCTGGCCCTTGTGCCTGTCTGCATCGCGTCGTCTCTCCCCGTAGTCGACTTGGGATATGAACTCCACCAGGCGATTTCACTAAACGTAAGATCCCCTCCCACCTCAACACCAATAATCTAAATCCCTAACCAGAAATAGGAAACCCAAGGCCTCTACAACTTCAGCAACATCCGGTACGCCGCACCACCCCTCGCCGACCTGCGCTTCCGCGCCCCCATCCCCCCGAAGCCAAACCGCACCACCATCCAAACCGGCGCAACCGGCCGCATCTGCCCCCAATCCAACCCGATCTGGGAATCTGAAATCCTGCCCGAATTCCTGGTCAGCGTCGTTACCGGGATCCCATTCAACCAATCCGCGAATATCTCAGAGTACGGGTATACGCCTGCGAAACCGGACCCGCGCACGACAGAGGATTGTCTGTTTTTGGATGTGATTGTTCCGAAAAAGGTTTTTGATAGTGCGAGGAATCGGACTGCTGCGTCGGTTCCGGGTGCTAAGAAGAGACTGGCGCCTGTGTTGGTGTGGATTTATGGGGGTGGATATGTGGCGGGGGATAAGTCGTTGTATGATTCTACGGGGCTTGTTCAGCGGAGTATGAAAGGGGGGAAAGATGGGATTGTATATGTTGCTTTGAACTACCGGGTGAGTTGTATAGCTTCATTTCGTGTGATATTCACCGGCTAACATAACCAGCTGGGCGCATTTGGCTGGCTAGCTGGCAGCGGCGTCACAGCAAATGGCACCGCAAACGCAGCCCTCTACGACCAACGATTCGCCCTAGACTGGGTATACAAGTACATCCACCTCTTCGGCGGCAACCCGGAAAACGTCACCGTGATGGGCGAGTCAGCCGGCGGCGGGTCGATTCTTCACCAGATCACTGCGTTCGGAGGCAACAGGGGCCCGGTTCCTTTCAAGCAGGCTATCTTGCAAAGTCCCGGGTGGTATCCGCTTCCTTCGCAGGCGCAGACTGAGTCGACGCTAAGGCAGTTTTTGAAACTTCTCAACGTGACTTCCGTTGAGGAAGCGAGGAAATTGCCTACTGAGTTGCTGGTTGCTGCTAATGCGTATCAGGTTGGTGTTACGCCGACGTATGGGACTTATACGTATGGGCCGGCGGTGGATGGGACTTTCGTGCCTGATATGCCTGGAAAGCTTCTTCTAAACGGTAGCTTTGATAAGAACCTAAACGTCATGGTCGGACATAATGGTAACGAGGGCCTGATATTCACCTCACCGGCCAGCATCAACGGTAACGCCTACACGACCCTCCTCACGGCGGATCTGCCGACTATGCCGCAGAATGTTACCAACTACGTCGCCAATGTCCTCTATCCACCCGTCTATAATGGATCGTACGGATATACTAACCCGTTCGAGCGATTGTCGTTGACCACCAGCGATGTAGTCTTCCAGTGTAACACTGACTACCTCAATCGCGCTTTCAAGGGCCAGACACACGCATATATGTTCAGTATTCCCCCCGCGATCCACGCACAGGATGTCCCCTACACATTCTTTTCAGGAAACCACTCCACTGTCGCCAATGCCACCGTCGCACTGGCCATGCAGGATTGGTTCACTAGCTTTGTGCAGACGGGCACTCCCAGGTCTACCCTGAGTCCAGTTTTTGAGAGATCGGGCAAGAATGGCACGCTTCTGAATGTGGGACTTTCCAATATCACGGTCATTCGTGACCCGACAGCGAATCCTCGATGTCGTTTCTGGCAGAATGCGCCGTATTATCGGTCTTGAGTGGTGTGGCAGTGATGATTTAGATGGTCATGATTACTAATGAATAACACATGTATCATATTATGTTAGATGCTGACGGAGTTATTTTTCTGAGTCTTGGCGAAACAATTATTGTATCGATCTCATCTTATCAGGGTCGCAGGTTGTTCGAGTAATCGAAGGTAGATCATGATTGACCGTCATGCTTAGTCAGAAGGCCAAGGCCAACAGTTGTACCTCGTGTTGGAGGCTGATTGGTGGAGGTATGGTCGATCGGAGGATCTATCTTATTGCCCGGGTACTGTTGGCTAGAGACTGATGGACGATGGATATGTATTGAGCATACTTGTAGCAAACATTGCACAGTGTTAGCCCTGTCTAGACTTGATTTACCCTCACCTGATTGTAGGAATATCTCAAGGGTAATCCTTGTCCTTCCAGGCTTCCCCTCTTTGCCCAGAAGCGGGGAAATCATATACCCATCCACGAATATATGACAGAGACACTTCTTCTGCCAGCCTCTTCTTGTAGAATTCGTCCGATTCAACAGGACTGAAAAGAGATGACTCGTCGAGTAGCAATTGTCACGGGATCGGCGCGGGGAATGTGAGTCAACGCTGCAGGGTCTGCATCAGTTGCTGACTATGATGACAGCGGAAAAGCGATTGCCTTTCGCCTGTTTCAGGATGGCTACTCGGTCTGCATCAATGATATTCCCAGTGCAGCGGCAGAGATCGATGTCGTGGTGAGAGAGTTCAACGCCACCGATATCGCCAAAGAAACCGCGTTGGATTCACGCCCATGTGTGATAGGCATTGCAGCAGACGTAACATCATCCTCGGCGGTCGAGGCCATGGTTCACGAAACCGTAGAAAGAATCGGACCGCTCACCCTGATGGTTGCCAACGCAGGCGTCACGCAAATCAAGCCGTTGCTCGCCGTGACCGAAGCGGATATAGATCAGGTTTTCTCGGTTAATTTCAAAGGCGTTTTCAACTGCTATACGCACGCAGCCCGGCAGATGATCGCCCAAGGTGACCCGCACAACGCAGCGGGAGTGGGGAGATACAAGATCGTCGGGGCGGCGTCAATTGTTGGTTTCAGAGCGCTTGAGACACTTGGGATCTACTCAGCCAGTAAGTGGGCAGTCCGAGGCCTGACTCAGGCGATGGCCATGGAAATGGCACCGCATAACATCACGGTGAACGCATATGCACCGGGGGTCGTTGACACCGCCATGTGGGAGAAGATCGATGAGCAGCTGGGAGAAATCCAGGGACGGGCCAAGGGAGAGAGCCTCCAGTTCTATTCCAACCGGGTCGCCCTGGGACGAGCCAGCGTGCCGGAGGATGTCGCCGGGCTGGTGGGAGGATTCCTGGCCAACAGCGACTCGGACTTTGTGACGGGCCAGACGATGCTGGTGGATGGCGGTGTTGTCTTCACGTAGGAAGGATGCCATCAGCGGCGGACAGCCAATCACCGCGGGTCACCTGAAACCCTTCCCGCGGCTGAGGCCAATGAGATGGGCCGAGTGGAGGCTTCCCTGCAGTAGCGCCAACAATCAGCACACTGTCACTGGACTAGCCACACAGCCTCAAAGGCTAAGCTTTGTCGTGCAATCCTAGCCGGCCAACTGCGCGTTGTGATTGGTCCGATTAATCCCTCAAGTTTCAGGAGCATCCGTGATTGCCCAAAGCGGCATGGCGGCAGGCCGTAAGACATGTGTCGCCGTATTCGACAGTGATCGGACACTGTTCTGTTCTCTGGCGTGGGGCCATCCTTTTTTTAGGCATCGAGATTCGTATTAACATCTGAGTTGGTCTGACTATGTAGTCATGTAGTCCGCGGAGCCCGATAGGCAGACAAATTGCAGATTGTGATTGCAGAACATGACTGCTGCTTATTGTAATGAAGCACAGACTGCCCCCTGAGAAAAAGCTTGACCTGGTGAGAGATCTACTGGGTAGGCGTCAGGATTTCTCGGCGTCTGTAGGCAATCTGGCGATGCTCGATCCAAAGGAGGCAGATTCACGACACAAAATGTCGAAAGATTTTTTTAGGAATGCATCCATCCATAGCCTGGATCATCTTCATCAAATCCATATACTAGATGGTAGTTAGAACGCCTATTCTTAAATAAATCCAAGACAAGTCCGCCTGTTGGACCCTGAATCAGCCTTACATAGCCACTCGTTCGTTCCTCGTCCATTCCCCTAATCAGTAAGAGATCGTCGGTGCCCGCGGACATGTCATTCTACTTAAAATGATGAGACCGAACCTTGTCCTCGACTCTCAGACTCTTTTTGCTTCACTGTAACGCGTCAGTTGCCTTTTGCTCGAATCACAGAATATCCCACTGCGTTCGACAGACTTTGTGGCTTCCCGCCTGTCATTTATCAACCTTCGTTTTGCCCGGCAGTTGGTCGGCTGTCTTGCTTTTGGCCCCCGACCGCTAGCATCCTTCATTACCCATCGTCTCGCCTGTCTCATCGGCTTCATTCTTTCTTTTGGTCTTGCTTCTCACACCTTCCATTCATTCTTTAACTATTGTGGATTATTCTCGCCATGTTGTTTCGCTTCCTGTCGATGGGCTTGATGGGCCTCTGCAGTACGTCTGCTCTGGCGATGCCCCATCCTCCACCTCCTCCACCTGGACATGGACCTGGACCACACCACCCTCACCATCGACCTCACTGGAACGTCTCTCAGCCTCAAATCTCCAACCCTCGTCAAGTGCTATTGCCCTACTCTTTCTGCTCCGTTGATGATGCCGACTGCTCGAAAAAGCCAGACTCGTATTTGGTAAGCTGACTGATTCCTGACTGTCGATGAACCCGTGCTGACTTGACATTTGATAGACGGTGAACTTTGCAGTAGAACATGGAGTCCTGCTTGCCAACACCGATCAGATCTTCCCTCCGGCTACTTCCATGGCACTGCATACAGTCGAGAGACGAAAGTCATCAGATGACCTGGAATACATCTCGCTCCCCTACGAGCTAGGCATCAGCCCTCTCCCACCTCGCAAGGGCGAAGAGTCATCGCCCGACGCTCTGCTTATCAAACTCAACCTTCTCAACCGACCTCCCAGCACGGATTCCGTCGCCATCCACCTCGCCAACGGTCCAGAGGGACAACTGCTCATCTCTGATATCACCATCGAGCCTACCCACGGGCCTCACCATCACCATCACCATGGCCCCCCCAAGGGCCCAGAGGCTAAGAGCTGGAGAACCCAAGTCAACGCCTACCTGATCGCCATGGAAAAGGCCGCCAAGGGCTACCTCTCATCTCCCGCTCCCGCGCCCAAGGGCAGCGGTGACTCCTCCTACCAAGTGGCTCATTACCACACCTCCCACCGCGGCGGCGACCACCGCGCCTTTCTCCGCTTGATGCGTCCTGTTGTCCTGCCTGCCATTCTAGGCATTGTGGCGGGTATCTTTGCCTGCATCTTCGGCTTCCTGGTGGGCAGGGTCGTCGTGTCGGTGTACCTCTGCACAAAGGGACGCAGCAGCAAACGGCCTGCCATTCCTGATATTATCGTCGAGGACGGTACTGTTTCCGAAAAGGATTCCCTGATGGAAAGAGACCGCCAGATGAATTTGGAGTAGTCACTCCGTCCAAAACTTTTCCTTTGTTTTTCTTTGTTTATAGCGAATAGCGAATACTCCCTACAAGTTGACAATGAATGATAATGCTTTCATTAACCTATTTCCCTCCTTGCATATTTCCTGCATGGAACATTCCGAGAATTTTCCGTCTTGTAACAGCCATCTGTCAAACTAAAACATGGGGGCCTAAGTAGTCTGCGTAGTGCATGCATAGGGTCATAGGCACACTAGGGCAACCCCTAATCTAATCACAAGAACAAAACTCCATCCACCCCATCTACACTCAACAATCAAGGCCGGCTGGCCCAATGGCAAGGCGTTTGACTACGAATCAAAAGATTGCAGGTTCGATCCCTGCGTCGGTCAATTTACTTTTTGCATTTGATTTTTTGTTGCGTGTGGATTGTGTTGTGTGGTCCACGGATGGTCATCTCCACAGTGCCGGAATCGGAACCGGAAACGGAACCGAAGCCCTAGGAAGACGGGGAGGTTTAACTTCTTTTTGGGTATATTTTTCTTTTTCGCGATTCATATAGGTATTCATTTGGGGTTGTTTATAAGATAGAATATAACGTTTTGATGGTGTTTTTTTTTTTTTTTCCTTTAAGATGCCGCATAACAGAATGTGTTGATCTAGCGCATGCGCAGATATATATCTATATCCCCTTCAACAAACATAAATGGCATCTGAAATAGTAACCAACTACAGAGTATCCTAATGTTTATAGGTACCATCCTAAACTCAACTAGGGGCCTCGCTATCAGATAAACACATTATGAACTTGACAGACATGACATGCAGATTCGTAGATTCGAATCTTATGCATGCAGCATGATGGATCCACATTATTGGCAAACTAACATGACATCTACAGCTACACTGAACTAGTGAATAGGTAATTGTAACTGTCTGCCATGTCTGACGGGCATTTATTCAATATATGTATGATCGTATTGTTGCTGCATCTCGATCGGGGATATTCTATTCTTGTCTGTCTGATCTGGACAAATGGAGTGCCAGTGCATTAGGCTATGGCATTTCAAAGACTGTCTTGCATTCAATTCAATCTCACTTATTATATAAACAGTATACACTACAATCCAAACATACTCTCAACCCTCTCCCTCTCCACCTCCCTCCCAAGCAACCACCCATACCCCACAATCATATCGACCTTACACTTAACCGACTGCTTCAACCCAGGGAAAAACAGATAATGACCATGCGGCACACCCGGGTAAACATCCAACCTCGTCCTCACCCCATTCTCCCTCAACGCCCGCTCATAAATCAGCCCATCGTCGCGTAACGGGTCCATACCCGCAACTTGTACATGTGCGGGCGGAAGATCCGCAAACGATGCACCGGAGTGGAAAGGCGAGTATAGCTCGGATGTATGGTCTGGAGAGTACCAGTTTCCGAGGTTGGAGATTTGCTGCGCGCCGAAGGAGGGGGCGTTGGCGTTTTGGTCGCGCGAGAGCCAGAGGTGTTTGTATTTCGAGGGCACGCTTTCGGGAGTGATGGTGAGGGGGATGCAGAGGGAGAGACCGGTGATGGGGGATGAGAGCTTCTGCGTTAAGGCTCGCTGGGCTGAGACGGCGGATAAGTTCGCTCCTGCGGATATACCACCAACCACCCACCCCTTGGACAGATCCGCACCGAGTGCTGAGGCGTTCTCCGCGAGCCAGTTCAGCCCATCCCAGACGTCGTCTGGGGCAGTAGGGAATTTATGCTCCGGAGATAATCTGTATGAAAGGGCGACAGCCGTCGCGCCGTACAGGGCGGCAACCATCCGCGCAACAGGGATCAGTTGCATATTCGACCCTGCAGAGAACGCACCGCCGAAGATGAGAGTCACCAGTGGGCTGCCCTCTGCTGGGGCAGTGGGTGGTTTGACGATGCGGAGTTCGTTCTCGTGGCCGTCGCGCATGCGGATGGTCAGCGTGGACTCTTTCGTTCCGTATGTAGGGCTGGCGTCGTAGTTGGCTTTGTCCAAGATTTGGAAGCCTTTTCGGAGGGCTTCTATGGAGTTGGAGCCGGCTGGAGGGGGGTTTTGTTTGAGGAACTGGTGTTGTTAGATGGTGGATTGGATGGTTTAGTATGGAGTATGTGCATACCTGTTCAAACTCTGGGTCAATGTTGGCCAGGTTGAGGACGGCTTCTGGTGTGTTGTATTCGCTCATTTTGTTGATGATTGATATTAGCGTGGAAGAATCAGATGTAAGTGTAAGATGAATGAATTGAACTTTTGTTCTCGAATATCACTCCCAAACCACGATTATATACATCAGAACAGACAGTCGGATATCCAATCCATCCGAATCAGATAACCCGTTCCCCAGAAGGATTCCAAGTGAGTCATTCTATATACAGCCGCCGTGATCCTTTGATAATCATTATCTAGAAATGCTGCTTAAACAGCCATTGTCCAATCACTGTTGATGTTCCAGCAAGTCGGGACGATTATCCCAGTCTTGAAAATAAGCACTAATGAAGGAGCCAGGCTACAATGGCGCTATTAACAGAGGAATAGGCAGCATAATGTATAATTATCAATGTCTCCGAGTATCTCATGTCGGATGAATATGTATCGGTCGGAAAGTTATGCGGGTTATGAAGCTGGATGCCGGGGATATATCAGTAATTTGCCCGTGAACATGGAGAGTAACTGATGGATTATTTGCCATCATTAGGATGTTGAATATTAATTCCATGAAGATTAATCATGGTGATCGCTTTTTGGTCGAACGGAATTATCTCAACATAATATGATGGAATATTCAGGATAATTCATAGTGTAAGCATATTTTGCACTATGAAACTAGGCATTGTCTCGTGATTGCATAGAAATGAGTGCATCCTTGGTAGCATTGAGTTTATAAGGACTCAAATATTGTCTCAGTCTCAGATTTAAGGGTTACTGTCGTTGATATTATGCACATGTTGAATGCTACTTAGATGAAAATGTTCTGTTCCAGTCTGAATCGACATTCGTCTGAGATCAGAACATTCTCGGTGCAGATAAGCAAGACAATTCCATGCATATCCAAGACAAGAAGTATTTATAATAACGTCAAGCACAGACGACGTTTATCAAATCTCGTCTTTCCCACTTCCCAGCCAAGATGCAACCATGCAAGGCACACCGCAGCGTGATACAAGGTCCTAGGCACCTAGTACTACTGGAGATAGTCCGAGTATCCATCCATCAACACAACCCAATGAAAACCCCATCACAGGTGAAATAATGTGTTGTTCGAAATAATTTGTGATCGTGTTCCCACCGAGATAAGAAAATGGATCGTCGGCTAGAGTCTATCCCCCTCAATTTCCTGATTCCTCCAAAGATGCGATCATGCGCCCGATTTAGCCGTTCAACAACTTCAAATAGTGCATCTAGATGCCATGGGACGGTCTGGCCCACCAAGGGCGGGTTTTAATTCCCTGGAATCGGACTATTTGGTTTAATTTCCCAATTGCTAGGTTACATACGGCGTAGTCCGATCGATCGGGAATTCGGTGTGCGGACTACATCCGTAGCATATGTAGAATCCACAGTCAATGTAGAAGAGAAGTCGAAGTCTAGAAGGGAAGAGAATCCGGAGAAGAATGTCTGAGATCTGGAGGCGAAGAGCGAGGGATACTCTCTTGTACTGTGCGACTGTGGCTGAAGGCAACTGAGACTGCTTTTTCACGCAAATTAGACGAGCCGGACAAGGTGCGAGACGCACCGCCACAGGGGACGATTGCAACCTGGATAGGAAAAAGAAATAAGGTTGTTGGGTCTATCTCGCGCTCAGAGTTTTCCTGGCGCGAGACGATCTTGGATGGATTCGGCTGCGTTCGCCTGGCTGCCCAGAGAGATCGGACCCCTTTTGCCGTGGAAAACTGGGCTGCCTGCTAGTGCTGCGCTGGCGAGCTTGCGACTCTTGCTTTCCCACCCAACCATCTCTCACGGTTGTAGTTATTCATAGCCTCGTACAGACAGCATACAGTCGACAGTTCAAACTGGATTATTCTCGCTGTCGCACGGCTCTCAACCGTCGTCATCCATGACTTCACCATGGCCAGTCCTCAAATCCTCCGTGGTCGCAAAACAATAGCTCGTATTTTAGGGGCCCACAATTAAGCGAGCAGCTAGCCTGTTAGGGCACCTCCGTTGGCCCATCTGTGGCTGGTGAGACAAATACAAGAGCCTCATTGGCTGTGACTCGGCAGGCCCAGCCACACTAGCGGTGGGCTGAAATCCGGATCTTGGCCCTAGATCCACCGCCGATCGCCCAGCGCCACTCGGGGTCGACCGATAGAGATTTCCAGGTTATTTTGTTCTTTGTTTGGTTTGTGCAAGACAATTCCGCAGCAAGGCACGGTTCCTATCCATGGGCAACTTTTGGAATCAAAGGAACCAGCGACCAGCCTTTGTTTCGTAGTGGTACAGGCACAGACACAGATTACAAGGATACATGCAAACACCCAGAAACTGCAGGAAATAAACAAGAATCCTGCTCATCTCCATCACATCCTAAACTCGACGGCGCTCGTGGGGGGACGCAGCCGGCAGCCAGTGAGCAATCATGCCACCCGCAGATCCATGCAGACTAGTCATAATAATGCACCACAGATGACTTCATCTGCCCCTTAGCTAGCCACGTTGGCTGGGCAGCAGCAAAAGCGAAATGAAAGGAAAAAAAGAAAAAAAAAAAAAAAAAAAAGACAGAGCACCGACAACCGCGTCTGCTGGCGATCGCAGTATCCATCGGGAAAAGCAAAGCTGCTGACCCGCTCTGGAGTCCCCGAAAGCTTCGCGGACGCGACGCCTGCTCGGTCTTTCTTTTTAAGTGCTGTCGTCCTCCCCTGCTCCACGTCTTCTTTTTTTTCTTTCTTCCTCTTCATAGCGCTTTTGTCTTCGCAGCCTCTGACTCTCGCATACTACTATACCATACCTATACCTCTTAATTAATCTCCATCACAATGAAGACCTTCTCTATCGCCCTGGCCTTCTTGGCCGCCACTGGTGCTACCGCCATCTCCAACTCCGAGTGCGCTAAGATGTGCATCAGCAACATGAACAACAAGGCCTCCGAGTTGGGTTGCAAGAGCGGCGACATGCAGTGCCTTTGCAACGCCCCCGACTACTCCAACGGTGTCCGTGACTGCACTGCTCAGGCTTGCCCTGAGGACGACTCCGCCGCTGTCGTCCAGTCTGCTCTCTCTTCCTGCCCTGGTATGTTGTGATTCCCCCTGAGATATCAAGAATTATAACTAATTGATATAGACGGCACCAAGGCTGCTTCCAGCGCCAGCGCTGGCTCCGACAGCACTGCTACCGCCTCTGGATCTGACAGCACCTCTACTGGCACTGGTGCTGCTGGCGGTGCTTCTGCCACCGACGCTACCTCCACCGGCGACAGCACCGCCTCTGCCACTGGCACTGATGCTTCCGCTACTGGCACTGCTACCGGCTCTGCCACCGGTACTGGTGCTTCTTCTGGCGCTTCTTCCTCTGGTGCTGCTTCTTCTGGTGCTGCTTCTTCCAGCGGCTCTGTCTCTGGCTCCGCCTCCGCCTCTGCTTCTATCACTACCTCTGTTGCCGTTACCGTAAGTTGACCTGCTCCAACATGCAAGCTCTCCTCTAACATTTCTTAGACCACCAACTCGCAGGGCGACTCTACCACCTTCACCACTGCCACCACCGAAGCCAGCTCCAGCTCCGAGACCGGCGGCTCTGACTCCGGCTCTGGCTCTGACTCTGGCTCTGCCACCACCACCAGCGATGCTGCAGGCTCCACCGACTCCGAGGGTGCTGCTCCCCGCCTGGCTATCAACGGTGCCGTCGGTGCCCTTGGTCTTGCTGCCTTCTTCTTGTAAATCCAGTAATCGCCACGCGATTGGATTGTTGAAGTTTGACAGGCTGTAAGATTCTTGGCCAGATTTCATCTTGTTTCATTAGTCATGGGTTACGATCTTGTTCTTCCCGGGTCCGACTTGTACATGGTATGCGACGAGTCATATGTTATGACAAGTAGATAATGCGTTAATTACCCTCTTTGTGATACCGCCAGATTGGCATAATTTAATGTGAATTGTTACGCTCTATGATCTACTAGTAAAAAGATAAATTTTGATAGACAATAAGGCTGAAGATAAACATGGTCGTCAATATAATCCAAGATAATCAGCTGCAAATAAACCTACGTCATTGTCATGAGATTCTTGAATGTGCAACACAACATGTGAATGTCTTGGCATTTGTGGAATCTGCTGTCATGCACGGGCTTCATAGATTGGGCCATGAGAATATGCTTATTGAGATGACACTTATTTAACCATCAACCAGTAGATCCAAATGAGATGAGATGCGATCAACTTCCCGTCGTCCGTAATCGACTGCTGATATCCCCTTTTCTCCTGTTGGTTCTGACTGGACGAGAAATCTGGAGTAGCATATCCGGGGCTCTCGGAGCTGGAGTTTAAAGTCAATTTGGAGCCCGGTGAATGTATTCCCGTTCACCCGGTGCGAATGACCTGGCTTGTAATGATATGATATATGAATTATCATTCTCCCCTAGATTCTCACTATTATCATCGCTATTATTACTTTTATCCCTATATTCTGCCTGACGACCGTCAGCGTCATCCGCGGAACAACACCTTGATCCGCCCCGAGCCGAGGTCCAGCGCACTCATCCGGGGCAAGTCACGCTCTCACTGTAACTTACGGCTTCTATCCACTTGATCGGCTTCGGTGTTGGAGCTACCTTTTTTTTTTTCCTCCTCCTGCTCTCCTATTTTCTGCTCTCTTCTTCTTCTTCTTCTCCTTTCTTCCATCTCATCCCCCCTCAATCCTCTTTGGCTTCCTCTCCTGCCTCTTCTATTTCACTTTCCTCCCTCCCTTCTTTCTCTCTCCCCCGCGTCCTGTTCCCCGCTTTCGGAACGAATACCTCACAATGTCCACCACTTCCACATCTACCCCTCAACAGGTCAAGGATGAGGTCAAGATCACAGACCCCAAGCCTGTAAACCAGACCATCGCCCAGATCCGCTCTCTCGCGGCTGGCGCGACTGGTGGTCTTTGCGCCGTTATTGTCGGTCACCCGTTCGACTTGGTTAAGGTGCGACTGCAGACGGCGGAGAAGGGTGTCTACTCGGGTGCAATTGATGTTGTGAAGCGCACAGTTGCCCGTGAGGGTCTTGCGAGGGTAGGATTTTATCTGGTGTCTCTGGGGAGATGGGTTTTGCTAACTGGTTTAAGGGTTTGTATGCTGGTGTTTCGGCGCCGTTGGTTGGAGTTACTCCTATGTGTAAGTTTTGCCTGTGTGTGGGTTAGATGATCTTGGCTAATTATTTGATAGTCGCTGTTAGCTTCTGGGTATGTGATCAGATTGTTACCCATGCGCTCGTATCTAACGTTTATAGGGTTATGATGTGGGCAAGCAACTTGTCAACAGCTTGTCGACTGTTCGCGTGGAAAACAACACCCCCCAGTACTCAATTGCCCAGATCTCCGCGGCTGGTTTCTTCTCCGCCATCCCCATGACCCTGATCACCGCTCCCTTTGAGCGTGTCAAGGTGCTCCTCCAGATCCAGGGCCAGAACCCTCCTCCCCCGGGCCAGAAGCCCAAGTACTCCGGCGGTTTGGATGTGGTCAAACAATTGTACAAGGAGGGTGGTGTTCGCAGTGTCTTTCGTGGTAGCGCAATGACTCTGGCCCGTGACGGTCCTGGTTCTGCCGCCTACTTCGCGGCCTACGAGTACATTAAGCGTTCTTTGACACCCAAGGATGAGCGGGGCAATGTCACCGGTCAGCTGTCGCTTCCTGCCGTTTTGGCTGCTGGTGGTGCGGCCGGTATTGCCATGTGGATCCCTGTTTTCCCTGTCGACACTATCAAGTCGAGATTGCAGAGTGCCCCCGGCAAGCCTACCATCGGAGGTACCATCCGTGCTGTCTACGGTAATGGTGGATTCAAGGCCTTCTTCCCTGGTTTCGGCCCTGCCCTGGCCAGAGCCGTCCCTGCCAACGCCGCTACTTTGTAAGTCCTTTCCTCATCTACACTGGACAATTACTAACCTCAATAGTGCCGGTGTCGAACTGGCCCACAACTTCATGAAGAAGCTCTTCGACGACGAATAGATGATAGATCCTGACTATCGGAATAACAAAAGAGGAGGACGACTCATAGAGGTATTGTAAATGTACCGTACCTTTTTTCTTTCTGTGTTTGCGGCGTTCTTGCCCATTTTGAGCATTTGTCTGGCAAGCTGGATGTCCTATTTTCCATTGTTTAGATTTATGGTTTTCCCGTTGTTCATCTATACCTTTTTTTAGGAACCTTCATACATACATACCCATGGTTTCTGTTGGGATTTATCTGCTTCTGTTTTTTGCGCTGGATATTAAGAGGTAGATCAACGTATCATATGTATTCATAGCATGCCAGTCAATTACAATGTCTTGTCATACTTCAATATAGTTTACTTCACTAGAACTATATTGAAGTTGTAGACGACTAAAGTCATTCACATTAGGCAACAGCAGTAAAATGGATATCTTCACCGTCGTCCATCACTCTTTCAGCAGCATAAATACCGCTTCTTTGTTTCTTTGTCTCTCTTACATCCCTCCGATTGAACCATGGATTTGTTTCCTTCTCAGGCTAGCTTAAAACCCCCTACTCCCCAGAGAAAATACTCCTTTCTTCATTTCTTTTCACTTTATATAAATCAAACTTATCTCTTTACACTATATTATATCCCCACATCAAAACCACCAGAAAACATAACCACCCACAACCCAATACACAGCGTCACCGAATACCACAGATGGTTCGATAACCGCGAAAACCGCGAAACAGATGCTAACCTACCGATGGCTGGCTGAAGGGGCCATGATGGTCCCGAAAATCCATAGTTCCAGGATCTTTCAGTGTGATGCGTGCTTGGGATGATACAGAGTTTATTGAAACGATGCTTGAAGGGTTTTGGGTGGAGGGTAAGCTTACCGTACATTCAATGTGGGTGTATGGATGACTGACGTCTTTTTTAGGTCTATACACTATATGCACCTGGATTGATTGAACCTGCCATTGTGGGGGTTGATGATGAGACGGAAGATATAGAAGACACAAGTACATTATGCTGCGTTGGTTTGATATTTTGGTATAACACTCGCCAGGATTTTATCCTGGAGTATAACGCGATGAACCCCGAAGGGGACAATGATGAAATCCGGTTGATCGTTCTCGAGCACTATTTCCCAAGGATTGACTTGTATGCCCACAAAGCTCAAGAATACGTCAAAGGGATTTCACAGACCGGTGGACAGCAATGACCGACGCGTTGAGCTACGAAGACGAGAATTTGCTAGAATGGTTTTCTGGAACGTGAGTTGTTTGATTTCTCGGATTTAAGTTCCTCGCTGTTCTGTTGGAAGCTTGTACGGGCGATAACTGATTATGATGGTTTTGTTGTCGTGATAGCATTCGATTCGTTTGACAGGGGTTATGTACGCTGGCTAAAAGAGCCAGACTTCTGCATCATTGGTCTTCAGCTCTCGACTATTCTCATGGAGTGTGAAGTTCCTGAGATCTGCGACTTATTCAGTCCCGCCTTGGAAGATGGCTGCATCGGTTTTATTTTCCAGGATGCATTTACATTGTTGGCTGAAGTGCTTGCATGCGATAAGCTTCTTCGGCCATCGCATTTTGACCTGGACAGGATTATAACTGCTATCATCACTTATTTCAACTACATCAAGATATGAACTTGTGGCTGCAGGCAGGGAGTGGATGCGTGCAATTCGCCACTGGATGCCATTGCCATACGCCATGAATCTACATAATCGAGCGCCCATTTCTCGACATGCGGAAAGTATGATCGATCCAGTTACTTTACCGCCAACCTGGCGTTCTGGAATGACTATCGATGATGTTCAACCCACGCCCTAGATTTTACTGTGGAATAAACAGGTAATCGACGATTGAGAGAAGGCTGGAACAATACCACTTTGGAGTACGCAGTGGGAGGCTGGGAGCAGACATGTTGGATCGGATCCGCCGGACTCATTGCAATCAGTGGAGACTTTTTGAATAAAAGCCAACAATGGCGATCGATGCTTGGTACTCGGAATCCAAGAGCAGATGCTTGGTGGTGGCTAGTGTGAAGGCCGTCGTTGAGAAGGGCGTACTGATTAAAACGCTCCCAGATGGAGACGCAGACCTTGAGTCCGGCTCGAACGCAAAGTGTACCCAGTTCCTCTACAGGGTCGTCGTGCAACGTCTGAATATCGACCAGTTTTCACACGGCATGATATCTGGTCTGACAGGGTCGTCACTAAATCCTCGCACTGATACCACAATTAGGAATTGCTTAGCAATGCGCTCCCGTCTCGATGTAATCATGTTGTCCACTTCGATTGCACCGCCCTCTTCCTGAACAAGCCCGCCTGGCGAGCCTGCAAATGATCTGCATTAAGATGCCATGGCACTGTCGCTAATATCACTGCATAATCCAACAGAGAATCCAAGAAAGATGTTGGTTCTGGATGAGGTCAAATGGACCCCTAACAGTTAGTGCAATGGAACGTCACAAGCAGGGATTCGAATCCTGCGAGAATTCAGTTTCGATGAAGCGTTGAGCCAACAGCGAGTCAACCAGGCCCAATCATGGGTAAGTATTCGCGCAGCACTAAAAGAAACGAAGTGAATCCTGGGCCATTCGGGTGGGGATAACTGCGGGTGAAGATGGTGCAACGATAGACCCTGCATAGCCTGAAAGGGCAATGGGGGCCAAGGGGCCGAATCTGCGGAAGAAGCTTGACCAAAACCAATAGACAGGTTGATTCGGCTGCGGTAGTGGATAGTCAGTTAGTGAAGAATGGAGGAAGGAGAATAATATCCACCAAGAGGATTTGGATGAATAGGATCAAAATAATTGAGTAACTACTCCGTAGCAAGTTAGAGACCCCAGGCAGTGACGCCGATCGCGAGTCAGCCCAGCGATTGTTGCCTGTCGCTGCGCCGCCTTATTAAGCCTGTCTTATTAGGACCGCCTCCCTCTTTGTCTCACTCGTATCCCATCCAGTTCATCTTCACTTTTCCATCAACTCTCATCTTAACTCCATCAAAACCATCTTCTTGCTGGTTTCACCATGGTTGTCGGTCCTCTCGTCCGTCGGGGCGTGGAGCTTGCCTCCGATCACTTCTCCAAAGATCCCGTTGAGCAGGACCCCGAAATGTCCGGCGCAGGATGGTTGGTTGGTCTTTTGGCCCTCATGACTCTGTTTATCGGGCTTGTTTTCTGGGCGGTGAGTTATCCTACTTCGATGGAGCTTTATGGTCGCAAAACTAATAGTGATAGGTTGAATACACCTATGGAATGGTCGTCGCAACCCTCGCCGCTGTCGAAGAAACAAACCCCGATATCTATGTCCGCATCGATGCCGACTTCCAGCCCAACAAGCCCATCGATCCCTCCGAGCCAGAGATGGCATCCGTCCCTCCCAAGCCGATTACAAGCAAGCTGCGCACTACCGTCAAGCACCTCTGCGCCCGTGGCGGTCGCTGGGCTCGATTCCGCGGTCTGAGCATGTTCATCGCCTATTTCCTGGCCCGGGGATTCTTGACTGCTATCGTCCCGGTTCGCATGGACAACTTCCTCGGACAGTTCGTTGCCCAGATGGTTTCTGGAGTTCTCTTGGCAAACATGCAGCTCGCGTGGGTGCACATCGTTATCTCCGAGCCATCTTCCAAGCGCTGGTACCAGCGTATTCCCGGCTTCAAGAGCTGGGTCAGGTTCGCTCCCGTCGTGGTGTTTGAGCATGCTGTCTCGGGCGCTGCTTTCTACTTTCCTCTGGCCCTCGCCGGGGCTTTTGGCGGTTTTGAAGTCTTCCGCAACTCGGATGTGCCCCCCGCCAAGGTTATCACTCATGGAATTGCTGCCTTTGTCATTCCCTCCATTCTCAGCTTCCTCATCTCCGTGCCGGGCCGTGCCATCTCCATCCGTGTGGCTGCCTCGATGCTCCCTGAGGAGGACGAGGCTATTGTTCCCTTTGACCGCTCTTTCGGCGGCAAGGTGAGCCCTGCCATCCTGGGTGGTAGCGGCAAGCTTGGTATCTTTGATGCATGGAAGACCTTTGACCGGGCTGGTCGGGTTCGCTTCATGGCCGTTATTCTCAAGGTCTTTGCCATCGAGTTTACCCTGATGATGGGCCTTTCTGTGATGATGGGTGCCCAGATCTACCTGCTTGGAGCTGATACCGTCCAGAAGCTTACTGGCGCCATGCCTGAGAACACTGCTTAAACAACCTTACCATATACTATACCCACTATCATTTACCCCACTTCTTTTGAATATTTCTTAACATGCCTGCCTCGCAATCTTGACTCTTGAACATATTATATAAGAAGAAGCCATTTGGATCATATAGCGTTAACAGTGAATAAATGATTTGATCTCCTGATACTCGGATGTAAATCAACGGCTACTCCGAACTGCCGAAGATCACCACAAGTGGCAACAATACAGACTTTGGCGTGGCGCTATGATTGCCAAATGCAGTTCTCCACTGACTCGGGTCTGAGTAAGAAATCATTAATCTTGCCTCCATCCGACAAAAGTCCCCGCGGCAGAAAATCGGTGCCCCTCATCCGAACGAGGAACTCCCGGCCAGGTTCCCCTCTTTGTGCCTTTTGCTGTTCCTGAAGGGTTTTCTCCTGCATACCCAGCCATCTTCCTTCTGCTCAGAACCCATGATCCCCTGATTAACCTCTCCTTCTGCGTCCGATTCTGCCCTTGTTTCTGCCTCGCCCACAAGGTGTCGATTTGACCAACCCCAAATAGCCCCACTCGCAGTGCATTTTGGCGCACACCGCCCTGGTCCACACCCTTCAAGATCAACTGACAGTCCCTCTTTCATTATTTCCTTCTCCTCTGTCAATACTTTTTGCATTTTGGTTATATTGCTAGGGAGTACTATCTTCCTCGGAGCGAACTCCGCCGTCACTTCACTCGCACTCGCACATCCGCTCTCCTCTCTTCTATACACACATCCTACGTCAAAATGGCCACCACCGCCGCAGGCCGTATGCTATCACGTCAGTTCTCGCAGATGCAGGCTGATAAGGATATCCCCGGAATCAGCTGTGGCCTCGTGGATAACAATATGTTCGAGTGGGAGGTTATGCTTATGATTTCGGATGATGTCAAGTTGTATGGCGGTGAGTGAACATTTGAAACAAATATCTACATATCATTATCGGGATGATATAGTAGATATGACATGGAGAAAAAAAAAATTCTAATGCTTTCTTTTTTTTATCTTGTAGGAGGATTCTTCCGTGCCAGACTCTCCTTCCCCTCTGAATACCCACACATGCCACCAAAGATGAAATTCGAAACGCCTCTCTTCCACCCAAACAGTATGCCTCCAACCCTCTACAAATGCACACTGTGCAATATCTAACAAAATCCACACACAGTCTACCCCAACGGCGACGTCTGCATCTCCATCCTCCACCCTCCCGAGGAAGACAAATACGGCTACGAATCCGCCGCCGAGCGCTGGTCCCCCGTCCAAACCCCCGAGAGTATCCTGTTATCTGTGATTTCGATGCTTTCGAGCCCGAATGATGAGAGCCCGGCTAATGTTGAGGCTGCCCGGTTATGGAGGGAGGACCCGAAGGAGTTTAAGAAGAAAGTGCGCAAGTGTGTGAGAGAGAGCTTGGGAGAGGAATGAGTTGATAGATAAGTTGGATTGGGCTGGGTTGGGTTGGTGGAATTTCACGCTTTTTTCTTTCCCATGAGAGACCGATTTATTCGGTGCAGTTGGGGGGTATCTAGTAGGTGCCTCGTTATGTCGGTATGATCTATACATCTATCTCCTTGAGCCTTTTGGATATTTACATGCTTTGATTTATGGTGCTTTGGTTGTGGAGTTGATGATATATATGCATTTATTCTATCATTTAGGAATACTATTTAACTTTCATATATTTACTTGGATTATCAAACCGCTAGATACAGGCTCCAGGCCGCATTCTATGTGTAAATATCTAATTACTATAAAGGATGCGTTCTATAATTGCTGAACGCGAAACATCACCCATGGTATCTTAAACATAACTCCGAGTATAAATTTATGCACTTCGCTTTGAACCCTTTCGTAGACCTCCAAGGAAGAACCCGGGGTGGCAGACTGTGAAGGAGACGACTGCAATGGCGATCATCCTGTTGATATCAGATTAGCAAGATGAATAAAGAAGAGGTCCGGCATAATACTCACATTCCATCGAGAACGAGGAACTCGTCCTCCTTCTGCATCAAAGGGTTACCCCATCCGCCTGCCATTTCAGGGATACTATGTCCTGTCAGCTTTCCTGTACTGGAAATGTATATAAAGAGGCTTCCTTACCGGTAGATACAACGGATAAGAACCGTAAAGTATGTGATGACCTCCGCGATGATAATGGTTTTGATACTTTTCGTCTGGTAACCGTTCTCCAACGACTTCTCGTCTGGCGTGCCAGGGCCCCGTCTGTAAACCCGAATAAAGAATTCCAGTCCCAAAAGACCACAGATCGTCATTGTCCCGACTTGAAATGCGATACCGGCGATGATGATGTCGTCTCCGATTTTGAGGAGTGTTTGTTGCGTGCTTCCCGCGGCCGCTGCGACGCCACCTCCCGCTGCCTGTAGTACCAACGATCCGATATCACAGCCGATGAAAATCCATGTAAAGAGCTTGGGCTTGAGTCGGGAGTGTTCGGGCCCCAGGTACAAGATGATGTGTTTCAGGGTAAGGTAGATGCTGGCCGCGATAAATGTGGGCGCCAGGATCAAGCAGACAATCTGAAGCTTGAAGGCGCCCTGGTTCCAAGGATTGCTGTGCATCAGGACTCGACCGATGTAGCCAGCCATTTCCAGTAATGCACCCACTACAAGGGCTATTGCCATTGTCCATGACCGAAAGTAAGCCCCCAACCCGAGCTGTGTCACACCGCATAAACCGAAGAAGACGGTGAAGAACACATTGCCGCCTAAATTTGGGTAATATCCATAGGTACTATTTTCGACCGGGCACTCTGGGGTGACATGTGTACACTCCATGTCGGTAGGATATAAGAGAAATGAAGGAAGTCGCAAGGGAAAGAGTAGAAGGAAAGTAAGAGAACGAAAGTACGCCGCAAGCGGGAGTAAAGAATGGAGAAAAAGTGAGAAGATGGGTGAACGAGATATCGAATCTCTTTTATCAGGATCGGACGGCAAGTAATATTTTAGTATCATTTCTATTTTGTCCCTGTTCGCTCGGGACCAGCATCTCCGATGATATTGCCCATGCTGGGTGGATCGGGAATAGCCGAATAGTGTATAAAATCGCTTCATCGATGCATTTGATTGGGCCTCGTTCTCGTTCTCGTCTTCGCTCTCGTTGTCGTTCTCGTTCTTGCTCAGCCCCACTCGGGGAATTTCTTGGACGGGAGCCTCGCCGTTAAGCTGTCATTCTCAACTCTTTGAGAACGGGCGAACTATTGGTCTTTCTAGTAGTCTAGAAGTTCCGTAGAGAGTAGAGGAAGCATCTGCATCAGATATGCAACCAACACCACAGAATAAGCAGAGATAGCAACTGCGCAGCATTCAGATTGGTAATCCAGACGTTCCTGATAGATGCGTATTGTTTCGTATATGGTGGAGACGCGGAGAGGCTCCACGGCGGCGCCCAGAATAGCCTCTCCTTGGCCTGAGACCCCAGGCACCAACAGAAATATTAGGAGATGAGGGGTTCATGATTATTGACGGTGGATGCATATTGCATGCAGCAGGCCAAGCCAACGCCATCACCAACAAGACCGGTCAGATCTGAAGGTTGTTGGTGGTGTTGTCAACGGTTGTCGTGATCCTTTCGCGTCGACGTCGGGGACTTCCAGAAAAGGAAAGAGGTCTACACGTGACACCACGTGTTCATCCTTGAGTCGACCCTCAGCGTTATCAATTTGGAGCAGCAACCATGCGATCTGCCACGGACCATCAATAGTCCCAAATGGGAGTGCTATTAGGGTACATCTTGGTTAGAAGCAAAGATGCCGCCCCGCAGAGCCCATACCAAGTCACGCAATGGCTGTGACCGGTGCAAGGAGAGACGAGTTAAGGTAGGCCGGATTTTCCCTCAGGTCCCGTCGGAGAATTTCATGCTTGCTTGCCATGGTTATCATCGAATGAAGTCCACCTGTTCTCATCCCAAGTCTAATGCTTCTTTAGTGCGATGAACAAGGCCCACCATGTGCGAACTGTATTTCTCGGGAGCTACAGTGCACATATTTGAAGACCCCAAAGGCACGTAGCTTGGGCAGCGCTTCATCGGAAAGCCACTCCCCTGTACAGCTTCCTGGCACACATTCCGAAACGGCCAATCACCATCTGACTGTTGCCCAACTCTCGAGCCCTTCCAAGGGCTTTGAGCTTCGCGACCTGGAGCTAATGCACAAGTTCTCCACGGAAACTTACCGGAGTCTTTGTAACGATTCTTCGGATTACCACGTTTGGCAAATCATGATGCCCCGGAAAGCCCTGGAGTATGATTTCCTTTTGAGTGGAATCCTGGCTCTAGCCGCACTGCACATGGCTTCGGCAATGGAGCCAGCTGCAGCATTATCGTACATTGATACAGCTCTCCAGTATCATAACCTGGCCTTTTCCCCATTCCGAAAAGCTATAGATAACCTCACTCCATTGAATTGCGATGCTGTCTTCGCCCATTCGCTTATCACCACAGTTATCGGCATAGCTCTTCCGCAACTGACTGCTGAGAGAGACGAGGGCTCGAGTATGACTGAAAATATCATCGTAGTCTTTGAACTTCTGCAGGGTGTGAGCAAAATCTTGCGGATCAGCCGGCCATGGCTCAAAACGAGGTTCTTCCCAACCAGAATTGACTTCTGGGACGAAGCTACTTTACAAGTGGACAGCGAGAGCGGGGCTGCTATGGATAGATTGGCTGTCTTGAACGATGATATATTCGCCAATGCTGATACAGAGCATCATCGGATTAATAAAGATGCCATATCCCTTCTTCGTCGTTGCTTTGGTCGGTTTTCAAGCCCCGCAGATGCAGCATCGGTTCTTGCATGGCTTGCTGCTGTCGACAAAGTGTTCGTTTATCGCATGAGATGCCGCGAGCCTTTTTCATTATTGATTTTGATGCACTGGGGTGTTCTTCTCGGTGAGCTTCACGGTCAATTCTGGTGGGCCAAAAATTCAGGCAAAGCGCTGGTCTCGGAGTTGCTGGTAGCACTTCATCCTGGGGATCCCCGATGGGATAGCTCATGGCGATGGCCACAGCAGAAATTGGGGTTTTGAAAGCAGAAACTGATGCCTTCCTCAATCTACCTCACCGGGTAACGCATTTTCAGGGACATGGGCATTTCAGCCATTGTTGATGAGGCTATCGATGTCTGAATATTTATTCCGACATTGTCTGTATCATGGGTTCTTATGATAAATACATTGGCAATATTGCTGTCACAGATTACTCTGGAGCCAGGATAACAGACAATTACATTAAAGCAAAAAAACTAGGGAGTGAAGGGTCCACGATGGCAAGGGATATCAAAAATTCTATATACTCAAGAGCAAACTTCATTCATGGGCGCACCAAAGCCGACAGACCTCTTAAGGTTGTTGCTGCACATCCCAATTGTCTAAAGCTTTGCCGCCTTGATGGCACTCCTGCGATATATGTCCGGGATTCGAGCGGCGTTCAAAGCTTCTGCCTCATGTTTAGATGCACTCAAGCTCAAAGGACCAGCCATCTGTTTCAACCAATATGACCGACCGCAATCGAACTGCCAGTTGCGCGTGCCCACTTTGACCAACTCAGCTAGGAGAGTTTGCGGGGCACTGTGGTCCTCTGTGAATATGATCTCGGGCAATTCTTTTTTCGCCGCTGGCGGGGCATTAGACTCGAAGATATGCAGAAATTCATCGAAAGTGAACGGCACATATAGTTGAGATCCGATTTGTACGATTCCCTGTGTTTTTGCGGCTGCATGCAGGAGACAAGCGTTGGCAACAAAGTCCACCGGGATTTCGTCCAGGATATTGGCACCGGTCTTGTATCCCTCCGCAGCATGCCAAACCTGTGTACCCCCCTGATCACCCAGGTAAAGCTTGGCGAATTTGGTCAGGGGAGTTGAATTCTCGGGCCCGTATACGGGGTACGGATGACGCAGGGCAGCCCCGAAAATTGTCGGCCGCACGAGCAACAAGGGCAGAAGAGGGTATCGTTTGAGCAGCAGCCTTTCCATGAGGTGCTTTGCGTAGGCGTATGGCGAACTAAATCGGGGAGCATGAGGGGAAATACCGGAGGACATGACAGAATCTAACTCATCATCCGGATTTTGGTCAGAAATGGCGTACAGCTTCTCTCCAACGTGGCCGTCCGGAAGAAAACTGTTTGCATACGCAGTCGACAATTGAACGAAGAGCTTGAGGCGCCTGAACTGTGAAGCAAGCCGTGCTAGTTCGAGGGAAGGAAGACAGTTATTCTCGATTGACTCCCGGATGCTCGCGTTCAGGACGATTGTGGCTGCTGTATGGATGACTAGAGTGACTTCTTCGCGTAACTTCTGGATATCACCAGCCCCCATACCGAAATCTGGTTTGGTGATATCGCCAACGAGGAAGTGTACCTTCTTGGAGTTGAGGATGGCCTGCGTCTGATCTGGCATCCCCCTTTCCCACTTCTTAATAGCCGTTTCGGGTGAGCCGCGGATTAAAATGAATATCTTGCGGGTTGGCAACTGCAATATCAGCTTGTAGAGGAGACATCCTCCCAGCGACCCCGTGCTGCCTGTGAGAAAGACGGTATGGGACTCGAAGGGCGTAGTATAACCCTTCCTTTTGACGATATCTTCACGAGAGGGGGGAGCTGCCACAGACATAACGTCGATTCAGTGGGACACGGTATTTACGATCTGATATCAATCCTATTTAAGAATAGACTTGCAGCACCCAACTGCAGTTAGATGATGCCGGGCACATTCTCTATATTTGACTTGACAAGACTGCACACGATTCATGCCGTCTACCCGTTCAAAGACAGCGTGTGCGGTAACACAATACTACAGTCTGGACAATTTCGATGTAGCATGTCCTCTATAAAAAAGCAAGCTGCTGATTATTATTGGATATCCCGCTTCATCATGTCTCGGTTTCGAATGAACCTCTCGGTATAATCGGTTGCTTGTGCGCCCACACAGATAATACATCGACCTTTATCCATGTGCAGTCGAGGCAGTGGTTGACTGTGTGACTTTATCTTATCTTGCATTGCCTATATTGAGCTCACTTGCGTGATTGTGCAGAAAGATGATCTCTGATACATACTCGTCAACGAACATTCCGTCTCATAACTGTCGATAGTTCTACCAAGTGGCGAAAGCAACAGGAAATAATCAGTGTCCCGAGAAAGGGATTGATAAAATAACCACATGGTATCATGAAAGATATAAATCACCGAGGCCGCCCTTTGGCACTGTTACATCCCTGATGTGGAACATGTACAACATATAAAGATGTGACCGAGGACTTGTTTCATTTTGTCATTTGAAAAAAGAAGGCTGCATATGCGTCTAAGTTTATATTTGGCATGATTGTATTTCCAAAGACTAATAAGCACCAAGTTCTAATTTATAAATGTCTATATGGTAGCGACAGAAGCACTACATCGGAATAAGCATCATCATATTTATAAGTATTTGCATAACTCTCCAACCACATATATTCATAAGAATTATTTATTTCCACATATATACCCAGGCGCTAAAAGACCACCCGTAATCCTATGTAAAAAGCGGAGGTTATCCATATACAACATGAAAACAACGGCCGTCTGCTAGCGGGCAATGGATCAAGAGCTCTTGTTTCCACCACCACCACCACACCAGCAACGACCATCGCCTTCTCGCTCAACCTGGACAAGAATATCCATATTCTTTCCCCGTAGATAGTCGATTGTCCGTTGTCGTACATCCTCTAAATCGGCCGCACGTGAGGCAATGACGTGGATGACTCCCAACACATTTTGCTTATGCTCGTGAGAATGGTCGTGATCGTGATCGTGATCGTGATCGTGACTGTGACTGTGATTATGGCCGTGGCCGTGATCGTGGCAGTGGCTATTACTGTGACTATGGCTATGGCTATGACCATGGTCGTGTCCATGGAAATGGCCATGCCCGTGGTCGTGGTCGTGCGCGTGCGCGTGGTCGTGATCATGATCATGATCGTGTCCGGAAGCAGCTCCCGTGTCGTCTAACCAAAATTTAGGGACGGTATAGCCCACGACACCTCGTAGAGTACTAACACCGGCTAAGGTATCACGAACATTGTACTCGATGTCAGCAGGTAGTGTGAGTAACAATGTTTTCGCGGTGCTGGTGACCAAGGGAACTGCCGAGGCAAAAATCAAGATTGCAATCAGACAAGAAGCAATCGGATCATATCCCGCCCAGCCAGAGAAATGAACAAGGATAGTGGATATCACAACGGCGACAGAGCCAAGCGTGTCGGCAAGAATATGAAGGAAGATACCATGCATATTCTCATTGCCATGAGAATGCGAATGACCGTGTCCATGGTCATGCCCGTGATGGGCATGGTCGAACGCCATGATGCCGACAAGGTTCACAACAAGACCAGCAGAGCTGACGGCCAAGAGCTCGCCAATACGGGACATCTGGCTCCCGGAGGACAGCCTTTCTACCGCCTCGTAGATGATTTCGATACTTATGATCCTGAAAGTTGTTAACTCCCGTTTCCTTGTCTAAGACTAGCAAAAACGTAACTCACATGAGAAAAATGCCGTTGGCAAATCCAGATAAGGTATCTACTTTCCCATAACCGTATGGAAATCTAGAGCTGGGCGGCCATTTACTCATAACAGCAGCACAAAGACCAACGACGAGCGCAAGGCAGTCAAAGAACATGTGGATACTGTCACTGAGGAGTCCTAGTGATCCCGTCATAAACCCATAGGACAGCTGCACTATCATGAAAGTGAAATTAAGAGCCATGAAATAGAAGATACGTCGAGAGTCGCTTTCCTTCAGAATGCTGTACAGGAGCGGATAGGGCTCGCTGAGACGAAGAATCAACTTTGTCACTCTTGATGGATTTGCCCCAGAGTGTGAATGATGATGGTGGTTGTGCGAAAGCGCTGCAAGACGCAGATGTTTGTCATCGAATCTAGCCGCAAAAAACGAGATTACAGCCAAAGTACTCCGAGCAAAATACGCAGCCAGAACCGTATCCCGCAAAGGTGGCGAGCATAGTAAAGCCGCAGACCCTGCACTGAACGCGAGGCCAAGTTTGTGTGGAGAACGTAAGGCCATGGAAGATGAATAGAGCAAAGATATCGCAAGGGAGCCGGATGTGACCACAAGGTACATCAAATCTGAACCTTGTAGCGGGGAATTTTCCGAGAAAATGAATGTAGCAACCGCTAGAAGCAGCCCAGAGAGAATACTTATCACGGGATTGTCCAGTGAATCAGCAGATAATGAGCCAGGTTTTGAATCTTTTTCACTGATTGAAATACCCAGGCCATGTTCAGGAGCTGACGCCACGCGGCCGACATTGGTGAATGGAGGACGGATGGCAAAAACTGACACAAGGAGGGCCACATAGCCCAGAAGCGGATCTCGATCTAAGGGTATATTATGTCCGAAGAGACTTAGAAGGGTCACCAATGCCAGGAGTGTGATAGATACTTTCTTCGAGCTGTATCGTTCTTGCGAACTGCTGCGGGGATCGCTGCCAAAAGTTGGAACTCCCACAGCCATTGCAAGAGACAGGGCAAATGCGACGAGAAACCCGCTCACTTTCAAAGCCGCATATACCGGCATACCAATAGAACACACTTTCACAAACGCTGTAGTGGCCGTGGCTGCACTCAACGGGCTGCTCGGAGCACCTGAGTTCCCACCACGTTGGTTCAGTCTGCTTATCTGCCCACAGCCCATGATAATCATCGTCATGGCCGTGATGATAGACGTCCTGAATGGGATTCGGTCCAAATTTCCAACAGGCAGTACTTCGGAATCAGGGTTGTCGGTGGCAGACTCTGACGGACTCCACTCCGAGTATTTCTTGCAGTACCACGACAAAACAATCCAAGGCAGAGAGACTATTATTCCCGCAATCAATTCATTGCTAGTTATGTTAGTCGCCGCTGTATTCAACCGATCGCTCGGAAGAACTTACTTTCTCGTTGATTCATGGTCTGCAGATGTGACGGGCGTGTCTGGCTCCAGCCCCAGTATATTTCCAGCCGTGCTGCCACTTCTCGCATGATTGTGAGCAGAGCCATCGAGTGAGGATGCTTTCCATGGATCGTAATGTCCCGAGGCGAGTGAGTATGAGTGTGAATGGGAATGCGAATGTGAGTGCGAATGGGAATGCGAGTGGGAATGGTGATGTCCATGGTGGGAATTGTCTGAAACGGTCCCATTGCTATATTCTGAGCCCATCAATGGCTGTGATGGTTGCTGCAAAACAGACGAGAGGTCGGATGAAGACAGTGATAGGGTGTTGGGAGCTTGTGCGAACCGGGTTGACCGCGAGTGCCCACGACGAGCATGTCCATGTCGATGCCCATTAGAAGCGGGGGGAATCGTACCCACATTGGATACGGGAGTCCCCGCCGACATTTTTCGTGATAATTTATGTTTCTTTTCTTTTTATGAGTTGCTGTTCGGTTCTGCGCTGGGGAGAAGAGCGGCGGCAAAACGGTCAAGGAGGTCAACGGGGGGGTAAGACGCGCAACCAGGGTCAGGACAAGAGCTTCAGGAGCTTAATGGAGACGATCGAGCGAGAGGTGGTGATGAGGGATGCAGCATAGCGTCAGAGTATGAAATACAAATTAGAGACAAAGGATGAGCCTCCAGGAGGGTGAAGCAGAAGGCAATGCCTGGGCGACGGACTCTATCCAAGGACCCCATGCGCCCAGAGGCGGAGACGATCGCTGCGTGATAACAAGGAAGATAGCTGTTTCGATGACTCAGCATCCACTCCTGAGCTTGCTTTTCTACATTTTTACTCTTTGAATACAAAAAAGGAATATATGATTCTGAAGATGCTATATATAACTTTCTATATGACAAGTAGAAAATGGGCAATCATTTTTTGATGGCCATATCCAGCAACTCTGGCCACTATTTTCCCCAAAGTTCAGCGATCAGCGGAAAATCCCATATCCCGGATCGGCGTGGGGTTTTACTCCGTGCAGATAGGTGGCCCGAAGCTATTCTCATCAACACAGGACGGACGAGCATTACTTATTCTCGCAATTGAGAAGGCTGGGGGCATTGGTTATGTCCCTAACAGTCCACTGACTTACAGACAGCTGAGATACAGCTTCACCATGATTGAAATTCGAACCCCTTTGTCGTGATCACCCCGTCAAGCAACGAACCATCATGATCGAGTCTCTCATCAGCATCGCCTTCTACATCTCCACGGCGATTACAGTTTTCATTCTCCTCCTACCATCGCAGTACGACCCAAAGCAGTCCCCATCCAGCGCAGAAGATGCCTCTTCCAAACCCAAGACAACAGTCCAGATTCTTGTTCTCGGAGATATTGGTCGCAGTCCGCGCATGCAGTATCATGCACTAAGTATAGCCAAAGGAGGCGGTCAAGTGGACATTGTTGGATACCATGGTCAGGACTTGCTTGAAGGAAATCATTGCCTACAGATTGCTAATTGATTTCCATTTAGAATCAGAAGTTCATCCCGATATCTCTGCCCACCCTAGAATATCCATCGTCCCGATTCCCCCGCATCCCGCCTTTCTGCAGACCAGCAACAAGCTTCTATTTCTCCTCTTCGCTCCGTTGAAGGTGCTATTTCAGGTTGCATTTCTCTGGAGGTGCCTGGCATACCAGACAAAACCATCCAAATGGCTCCTTGTTCAGAACCCTCCTTCCATTCCTACTCTTGCGATCGCCTCGCTCGTCTGCTTCCTGCGACAAACATTCTTGATAATTGACTGGCATAACTTTGGGTACTCAATTCTGGCGCTCAAGCTTGGAAATAACCATCCTGTGGTCAGGCTTTCCAAGTGGTATGAGAAAACCTTTTGCCAATACGCCACGGCGCATCTGTGCGTCACCAGAGCCATGGCATCTGTCCTGAAAAAGGAATTTTCTCTCCAGCCCCCCATCCTACCGCTACATGACCGACCGGCTAGCCATTTCCAGCCTATTCTGGATGACGATGAGCGACAGAAATTCTTGTCGTCTCTTCCAGAAACGGCGCCTGTGCGATCCTCCTTAGCGTCTGGGAATCTCCAGGTTCTTGTCAGTTCAACTTCATGGACGGCGGACGAGGACTTCTCTTTGTTCATTGATGCCCTCTGTCGTTACTCTGAAGTTGCAACTACAACCAAATCTCATTTACCGCCGGTGCTGGCTATCATCACTGGAAAAGGCCCCCAGCGAGAAATGTATCTGAAACAGATATCGGAGTTTGAAAAAGCAGGAAAGCTCCAGAAGGTTACCATCCGTACAGCATGGCTGAGTACGAACGACTATGCACGGCTTTTGGCCTCCGCTTCCTTGGGCGTCAGCTTGCATACCAGCAGCAGTGGGGTCGATCTACCAATGAAGGTTGTTGATATGTTCGGTGCGGGCTTGCCGGTGGTGGGCTGGGACCGCTTCGAGGCTTGGCCGGAACTAGTAACCGAAGGCGTCAATGGAAAGGGTTTTGGGAGCTCTCAGGAGCTTGTAGACCAGCTTGTAGACCTCTTTGGGGATCAGAGCAAGCTAGAGAACCTTCGCGCTGCTGCTCGAAAAGAAAGCACTAATCGCTGGGATGATCAGTGGGTTCCTGTCGCTGGAAAGCTTCTAGGACTTTGATGATTATATAAATAAGTTAAGCAATTAGCATTTTTTGTACAAAAGAAAATATACGGAAATAATTATTGATTTTCCTATCTTTTTCCGACACGGTGATTAATGGTATCCGCAATCATTATATGTACATGGCTTCGTTGAAAGATGCCGTGATATTCAGGTATTCCCTATTCAAGGATAAGACTCTAGGCACTAAACTTGCCGTTGCAGTATATGCAGGTATCAAACACATCAGAAAGCATTTGGTACGTGTGCTGGAGGTCTGTTCCCTGTGAAGGACCGATAAGGTCTTCATTGAGGTACTCTGTCTTGCAGTTCGAACAGAGTTTTGAGATCCCCGGCTCCTGAATAGATAGCATGGATAAATTGCACCGAACGAAAAGATGCCCTGATGCACACTGGGATTCCTGCGTTGAGTACCATGCAATTCCGGCATCACAGATGTCGCATTTTTCGAATATTTGAGCACCTGCTCCACTCAACTGTTCGGCGGATTTTGGATCGACTGTGTTTGAAGAAGTTGAGCATTTTGATATCTCATCACTCAGGTCAGCGCCGGTGACTGTAACCAGCCATTTCAATGCACTCCGTGACTCCAAGAGTAGCTCTTCATTTTGAGATTCCACGATGGCGCAACAAGCCGCTGCATAGACCACCCTCGGACACCATAGACGGGAATCACCTGAGATAGGTGCGGAGCGCAGTATGTACCCAAGTACTCCCTCACGCTTCGTACGTAAAAAATCCGGTGAGCGATCCGGGGTCTTTTGTTGGAAAGCTGATACTCCCCCCTCCCCTTCCTGCGACTCTGTCCCCAAGCTGGAGAAAACGATAAAAGTGCGTTCTTCTGCTGCAGTGCAATATTCAACCATATCTCGGGGGTGCATAGTCAGAGCAGCTGCAATCACGCCGCGATTATATGCAAGCCCCCAGACTCTTCCAACCACGAGGCCTCCAAGATCGCGATCAATATCAAATTGGTCGCGAATGCCATCGGACTGCTGTTTCCATGGTGGCGAAAATATCGGGCTATGATTGTCTTGGACGAAAGGAAATTCTTTATACCCTCCGTATCCCCCAGTTGTACCTAAATGCAGCTGAGGGACTGACTTTGATGGCTCTTCACAGAATGCCGCAGCCATGGCTAAGTTCATTAGCAAAGCTACTGGGTTGTGGGCGAAAGCCTTACCACTGATAGGTTCCCAATGATTTGTGCCTCCATCCTGTGAATCTCCGGTGGCACTATCATACATAGGATGCTCCTGTACTTCAATACGGGTACTTCCTGCATTACTCCCAGTATATGAAGCAATTGGAGCCGATGCTACTAGAAACCCAGCAAAGCTCCCCACAACAACATAAACTTGTTCGAATCCATCCTAGACAGAATGTAAGTAGACAGCAATATCCTAATTCCACCATGACATACTTGGTAAATCCATTGAGTAGGGCCTATGAGGTGATGTTTACCCGTATTTTCCAGAGGCATTGTAGGATGTTCTTTGGAAGTGGCCACTGACTTGTATTTCAGTCCAGTCTCTGGCTCGGAATTAGGTGTCAGAGTTATATCCAGCTTGACCATCTTTAGTTTGGAACCGTATACAGCAGCTGCAGTACCTGTCACATGACAAGCATTACCCTGGCCTTTTCTCTGCTGGAAAAGCCATGGGCCACATGAAACATGTAGGGTCCGAATCTGAGGTTTAAGGGCCGAAGCAAAAATGGAACCTGGTTGAACCACTGGATAGTTCCCTTCTAGATCATGCAGCGAAGTGAGGGTAAGTATATTAAATGCAAAAGGATTGAAGGATGGTTCCGCTTTTGGTCTTCGAGTGTGAAGGAAGATCACATCATTGTCATCATTAACGACTGTGAGCAATTGAATGCCCCAGCGAGCTTCAAGACCGAACGCTGGGTGCGAGCCCGTTTCTTCCACAGGAACCTTTAAAGGAGGACACCATGTGAACGAACGTATATTGGTTTTACGTAAACGATGACTTTTCTCGTGGACGAACGCCTGGAAATGAGTCTTCAAGGCCTCATTGACGATAGCAACCCGTGTCCATCTTCCCTGGGGACCAGCAGCTTCATAGAAAGATAAAAATTGATTGGAGGTCAACACAGCAAGAATTGATCTTCTGTGTTTGGCAAGCCCCGGTGGTGACCAGGCCAGGCCGACTACAGTACTCATGGACTGTTCTGCTCCAATTGAAAAGTCATCGCGTTTTTGCGGGTATATAGTGGACCATTCTCTGTGAGTAAAAACATTTGCCCGAAAGCGTGTTATATTCCAGTTCCCAGTCGCTGCTTGAGGGGTAGAGCCAATATCTCCCTCGTCAGATGTGTTCTTAGGGGTCTATACAGATGTGAGTGCGAATTCTGGAGGCTGATGATATAAAACTAGAAGCAAGAAGCAAGAAGGAAAAGGTAATACTGACTATGATATGAACATATTCTCCAGCAGCTACCGCGAGTTCGCCATCTGCGGACCACGATAGGCAGTCGGGACAAGAGGGAAAGAGCTGTAGCTCAATTGGACCCGGCATTTCTTGAAGCTGTTGCACCGATTCGATTCGTCATTGCAGAGCAGAGCAATAAAAGAGGGAGAAGAAAAAGGTCGACAGTTTGAATTCGCAAAGCAGCAAAAACAAATATCTGGGTTGTTGACCTGTGCCATGCATCAAGGGTTCAAGACCCCATTCGATGTCATTTTGCTGCTGCTGCTTTGGGTTAGTTCGAATACTATTCCTATTTGGGTTAGTGGAATACTCAATCACGTGTAATATATAGATGGACCATCATAGAGGATGAGGATAATTTTGTTCTGTTCTATATTCATTTATTTTGCTTCTGTTCAGACTGAAAATGGTTGAATAGCTACTAATGAGTATGGTGAAATACATGTATGACTCAAGACATAATCAAATGTTCATGGATTAAGTTGACCTAAATATACAAGCATGCTATGAAACGCAACCACTTGTTCATGTGAGGGTATAAATCATCGCGATATCGGTTTTAAAGTTGAAAAAGATATATAGTATTCGTCGGCATAATATAGAACCACGAAGGAAAATCAGCTCGAAATTCAATCGACCTGGTCCAATTTCTGGACAACCATTGCACTGGCGGCACCACCACCATTGCAGATAGCAGCTACACCGTACTCTCCAGGCTGCAGCTGGTGGAGAAGAGTAACAAGAATACGGGAACCAGAGCTTCCAAGAGCGTGTCCAAGGGAAATGGCTCCTCCCAGAGGATTAACTCGGGCATTTTGAAGACCGAGGATCTGGGAAATGGTCAGTAAATTTAACTTTTTGAAGACTTCGATAATAAACACTGACCTTTTCGTTGGCTTTAATGACAGCAGCAAAAGCCTCGTTGAATTCCCAAACAGAGACCTGGTCCTTTGTGATTCCAGCGCGTTCCAGGGCAATGGGAACCGCCTTGGCTGGTGCGACAGGGAAATCAACAGGGTCGATGGCTGCATCTGCAGAAGAAACGATGCGTGCCAATGCACGGTTGCCCTTGCCAAACTCACGAGCCAATTCCTTGCTAGTAAGTACCAGTGCGGATGCCCCGTCATTCATTGTGGACGCATTTCCAGCGGTCACGGTGCCACTACCATCTCTCAAGAAGGCAGGCTTCAATGTTTTCAACTTGTCAGCTCGCAGGTTTTCGAAACCTTCATCGCGCTCAACAACTGTGTCCCCCTTCTTTCCCTTGACTGTGACAGGGACTATCTCGTCGGCGAATTTATTCTCGCCCCAGGCTTGCTGTGCTCGTTGATACGATTGAATGGCATACTCGTCCTGATCCTCTCGTGAGATCTCGTACTTCTTTGCCGTCTGCTCTGCGCAGATTCCCATGTGGAACTTGTTGTAAACATCCCACAATCCATCTTTAATGAGGCCGTCTTCCAGTTTGATTTCACCAAACGGAGGCAACTGGCTTGACCGGGACATATAATAGGGGACACGAGACATGTTCTCCATTCCTCCAGCCACCTGGGCCTCTGCAAGACCCAACTGGATATTTTGTGCCGCAAGTGCCACCGCTTTGAGACCCGATGCACACACTTTGTTAACCGTCATGGATTCAACGGTCGGAGACAGACCGGCAAAAATAGAGGCTTGTCGTGCGGGAGCCTGACCGACCGACCCTTGGAGCACATTGCCCATGTAGACATCGGTGATTCTCTCGGCAGGAACATTGGACTTGCTCACGGCATTTTTGATGGCAACAGCACCCAGTTCGGGGGCAGACACTGAGACAAAAGATCCGTTAAACTAATGGTGGGAGAGTCAGAATATGTCCTAAGACATCATTTATAGGAGCTCTACCTTGGCTGTAGGGGTCCGCGCAGCACTGAGGATATAAGCATCCTGAATCTCCTTGAATGCCGGACGTGCGGAACTGAACGACCGTTGCCACTGACGGGATGAGGGGAAGGCTGCCCGCTTAGTGAATAGACGGGCTGTTGTCTGAATCGCCATTTTAAAAAATCGAGAGCTTCCAAGGCAAAAGGAAGAAGGGGAAGTCAAAAGAAGGATAGGTTGAATGAATAAGGTGGTGAGTAGAAAGAAAGGTTGTATGAAATACAGTTAACCCCCTCGATAATGTACGGAAAGGGCCCGTTGCTTGGGCTTCTCCGCAGAGGACCCGTCTGTAACCGCCATTCCGCTTGGACCGAGGCTGTTGGAACTCTTGGGCTTGCTAATCACATGATATCACATGACAGTCAGGTGATTATTGCTTATATCAGCTGTGGCGCAACGATTTAACTCAAAAAAGAGAGTTCCTCCATGCGGTTAGTTCTCCCGACTGAAACAACAACGGCTTGGAGCTCAACAACGGCGGCAGGCAACCCGAAAGAGCGGTCGTCGATCGGCGCTCCTCCCTCCCGCTCCTCTCGTTAATGGTATTATTGTCTCCCGACACTCTTTTTCCCTCCCCATTACATCTTCCATCTCGGATTATCCACCAGAACTACGTTGGGATCATCCACGCTCCAACAAGTTTTCTGGTGTTTGTTTCTTGCTCTCTCCCGTTCATTGTCCGATAGCTACATACTCGTCATCGCTAATACCCCGCCGCGATGTCTACCTCTGCCCGCCGCCGTCTTATGCGCGACTTCAAGGTATGTGACTTGAAAGAAATACAACCAACTTCCATGGGAGATTCTCTATTGTTTTTTGCGTGTTATATTGATTTTCCTTTTACATTTTTTACTCCGTTTACCCGCGGGGATGCTCGCCATCTCTTTTTTTGCCATAATCGTAGCTAACATTGCCAACAGCGTATGCAAACCGACCCCCCTGCCGGTGTCTCTGCATCACCTGTAGCAGACAATGTCATGACCTGGTGAGCCCATAGCTTTTGAATTTTCTTGAGAGATCCTCGAGACCAGTCCGCTGATGATTTTGATTGTTAGGAATGCCGTCATTATTGGCCCCGCCGATACTCCCTTCGAAGATGGAACATTCCGTCTTGTCATGCACTTTGAGGAGCAATATCCTAACAAACCCCCGGGTGTCAAGTTTATCAGCCAGATGTTCCACCCCAATGTCTATGGCACAGGGGAGCTTTGTCTCGATATCTTACAGAACCGCTGGAGCCCAACCTATGACGTGGCAGCCATCCTGACCAGCATTCAAAGGTAAGATTTTGTACATCTATTCCACCTACGTCATGAATCTAGCAACTAATCATGTTCTCTTTTTTCCATCTAGTTTACTTAATGATCCGAATACATCATCACCGGCAAATGTCGAAGCCTCGAACCTGTACAAAGATAACCGAAAGGAATATGTGAAACGCGTGCGTGAGACCGTGGAAAAGAGCTGGGAAGACTAGTGTGTTTGTCATATGTTCGACTCACAAATTTTTCATATTGTTTTTTGGGTTTCAATACGGTCCATCTCTTTATGACGACATAGGTTCTCTGCCCATCTGTCCAAGCCACCAAGTTATTTGTTGTCTCGTATCTTCAATCATTTGATACTTGACTGCATGACTTGTCATGTACTTGGGCCGATCTACACATCATTGCCTAATGATATGCACAGCGTGGGGTTTTGGCGCCTGGTGAAATTCTCTCTGTTTGATATTACATTGTCGATAGTTGCGTTATTATCTAGTTTCATGTTGCATAATGCATTAGCCTCATTCTCTGCTTTTGCCCTCTACTTTTCCCTAGCAGTTAGTTTCAAGTCTGCATTTTCAGACGGCGTTTTGTGTGTAATATTGCTATTGACCTTGTGAACCCCTCCACCGCTTGTCCTGGATGCGGGACGAGGGTTCTACGGGCGCCAAGAAATCGTCATCCGTCGTGTCGAAACATTGCCGACTCCTCCCCAAATAATCACACGCTTCTCTCCGCCCGCATTGTGCAACTCCCTCCAATCCTCCCTCACGACGCTCGCTGTGGTGCGCGGGCCTGCTTTCTTTTGGCCCGTTTGTTTCTCTATTCGTTCGGGCTGAGGATATCGCCTGCCCCTCCTTGCCCACGTTCTCTTCTCGCCCTATCGTGCACGTGAACCCCTGACCCAAACAGACACGCCCGCCGATCCTAAATTCCACCAAATTCGACACTTGCGCGTTCAAAACAGTCTGAAGAACTCCCTTATTCCCCGGGGCTTGTGCCTTCCCGTTATAGTCCTATCTGTACAAGACCGCCGAGTCTTGGGTCAGAGCGAACATGGCGTGAGTTCTATTGATTCACCGCTTCTATGCTGGGAGCGGATAAGACTGATAATGTCACGAAATGACAGGTCATCTGGCCCTAACACACCCAACACCATCAAGGGTACGCATGCTTTGATTAGTCTTTAGCTTTATGGCATAGGGAAAGACAAACTAATTGCCTGCTTACAGTCGTTGCGAGATTTCGACCGCAGAACAAAGTTGAGTTGTCATCTGGAGGAAAACCGATTGTGGACTTTGAGAATGAGCAGTCATGTGAGATCAACGTGAGTATCCCTCTATACCTTGGAGTGCTCCTCTTCACCTTTTATTTTCTGGATCGTTGGTCTTTGGACTTCCTAACCCAATTGGCTACAGTCTGGCGAAGGCAATGGAGCCTTCACGTTCGATCGGGTCTTTCCCATGGACTCGAAGCAGACGGATATCTTCGATTTCTCCATTCGTCCTACTGTCGATGATATCTTGAATGGATACAACGGTACGGTCTTTGCATACGGTCAAACAGGTGCAGGAAAGTCTTATACAATGATGGGATCCGATATCGACGATGATGAGGGAAAGGGTATCATTCCACGTATTATCGAGCAGATATTCGCCAGCATTCTCACGAGCCCGAGCAATATGGAATATACCGTTCGTGTCAGTTATATGGAAATTTACATGGAACGGATTCGTGATCTTTTGGTGCCCCAAAACGACAACCTACCAGTCCATGAAGAGAAATCCAGAGGTGTCTATGTCAAAGGCCTAATGGAGGTCTATGTTTCCAGTGTGCAGGAGGTTTACGAAGTCATGCGTCGTGGTGGCGCGGCCAGAGCAGTCTCCGCGACAAACATGAACCAGGAGTCTTCTCGATCTCATTCCATTTTCGTCGTCACTATCACGCAAAAGAATCTTGAAACAGGATCCGCCAAAAGTGGTCAGCTCTTCTTGGTCGATTTGGCAGGTAGTGAAAAGGTTGGCAAGACAGGTGCTAGTGGCCAAACGCTTGAAGAGGCAAAGAAGATCAACAAGAGTTTGAGTGCTCTTGGTATGGTCATCAACGCTCTGACCGATGGCAAATCAACGCATATTCCTTACCGTGACTCCAAGCTCACTCGTATCTTACAGGAGAGTTTGGGAGGTAACTCAAGGACAACTTTGATTATTAACTGTTCTCCTAGCAGCTATAACGATGCCGAGACAATCTCTACGCTTCGATTCGGTGTGCGAGCCAAGGCGATTAAGAACAAGGCGAAGGTTAATGCCGAACTTAGTCCCGGTGAAATGAAGCTATTACTGCGCAAGGCCCAGACGCAAGTAACAAGTTTCGAGAACTACCTTTCGGCTTTGGAGACAGAAATAAATGTGTGGCGAAGTGGTGAAGCTGTTCCAAAGGATCGATGGACTCCTGCTCGAGGTTCCGAAGGTGTTAACGCGGCGAAGGCTGAGGCTCGAGCTCCACGTCCTAGTACGCCCTCCCGACTGCAAGACACCCCTCGATCGGAGACCCCCCGACCAGATTCGCGAATGGGTGATCGCTCCAGTACACCTAGTCTTGTTCTCGAAAAGGACGAGAGGGAGGAGTTCCTTAGACGAGAGAACGAATTCCAAGACCAAATTTCGGAGAGGGAGTCGCATATAGTGAACGTGGAAAGAAGCCTACTCGAAGCTCGAGAGGAGTTGAAGAACATCAAGGAAAATTCGGCACGTTCAGGCAAGGACAACGACAGACTGAATACCGAGGTTAATGAACTCCGCATGCAACTCGAGAAAGTGTCGTACGAGAGCAAAGAAGCTGCCATCACCATGGACAGCCTTAGGGAGGCAAACTCGGAACTTACTGGCGAGTTGGATGAGGTAAAGCAGCAACTTCTCGATGTTCGAATGAGGGCCAACGAGACCAGCGCTGCTCTGGACGAGAAGGAGAAGAAGAAAGCAGAAAAGATGGCTAAGATGATGGCTGGCTTTGACCTTGGTAACGATGTGTTCTCGGATAACGAACGCAAGCTCCAGGAACTTATCGCGCAGGTCGACTCGCTGCACAAGGTCAGCGATGCGGGTGAGACCATCGCACCGGATGATATCCTCGAGCTGCGTGCCAGCCTTCTGGAGACTCAAGGCTTCATCCGTCAAGCAGAGCTAACCATGAACGATCGGGGCGAGCTGGGCGAGCTGCAGGACAGCCGTAGAGTTGAGATCGAAAAGAAGTTGACTGAACTCGAGCAAGAATATGAAGGACTTCTGAAACGTCACCTTGGCGAAGGTGATATCGATGAGATCCGAGAGCGATTGGAGAAGGTTTACATCAGCCGGAAGGAGACCGAGATGCAGGCGGCGGAGGATCTTCGCAGTGAAATCACTCGTAAGGACGAAGAGCTGAACAAACTACGACAATCGCTTGCGGATTCGCAGTCCCGGGTGTCCACCAACGGCGCGGCGGGCAAGAACTTGCAGCAGCAGATCGCCGAGTTTGACGCGATGAAGAAGTCTTTGATGCGTGACCTACAGAACCGCTGTGAGAGGGTCGTGGAACTCGAGATCTCGCTGGATGACGCCCGCGAGCAGTACAACAATGTGCTACGCTCGTCGAACAACCGGGCCCAGCAAAAGAAGATGGCATTCCTGGAGCGCAACCTGGAGCAACTTACTCACGTTCAACGCCAGCTGGTGGAACAGAACAGCAGCTTGAAGAAGGAGGTTGCAATTGCCGAACGGAAACTCATTGCGAGAAACGAACGGATTGCAAGCTTGGAGAGCCTGCTCCAGGAGAGCCAGGAGAAGCTTACTCAAGCCAACCATCGGTATGTACTATACCTCTGTTCTTCTATAGACATGACAAGAACATTCTCACTGACATCTCAACAGATTCGAAGCTCAATTGACTGCTGTCAAAGAACGACTGGAGGCTGCGAAGCAGGGCTCTACCAGGGGTCTTCCAACTATGGATGGGAGCGGCAGTTTCAGTTTTGGCGGCTCGAGAATTGCGAAGCCGCTCCGTGGCGGGGGCGGAGGACCAGAGCCAGGCAATGGTGCTCCCTCCAACTCGTCCATCGCGGGAGTCCAGTCGCAGGAGACCGGAAAGCGTACAAGCTGGTTCTTTGATCGACGATGATCCACGATTTCTCTTTTGCTTTTTGTTTTATCCCTTCTCCGAAAATATTTGACTCCCTTTCCTGCCCAGACGCTTGCGTCTGTTCTGGAAGCCAGATATCCTGCATATTCGTTTTGTTGGTTATTTTTTTTGACCTGGTCAATAATGCTGTCGAACGAAGAATTCTCTTTTTTTTCTTTTTCTTTTTTCTTTTTTCTCCCCTCTTTTTGAAACGCTGTGTGTACTTTGTTATTTTTACATCCCCTCGGTCCATTCCTAGCCCACATTACTGAGAGGCCCATGGCCCTCACTGATACCCTTGTATATCAAGATGATAGATGAGCATTGGCAGGAAAAGAGGAAGTCGATGGCCGGGTGAAGGAATGGCAAATGGTTTGAACGATAGATTAGGTTATTGAATCTCAGTACACGAGACGGCCTTTATGTACTGAATGTCAGATATGAGCGGAATGACTTGAGGATTTTTCATCATAAAACGATCTTATTTCACAAATGCGTAAAATGTTTTTTGCATATAAATTATGTAGACACTGGACTTTTTGCAGATTCCCAGGAGAAAAGTGACGTTTTATACAAATAGTCAATAACAAACCCATATATAGAAGCCTCATCACGGCATGTATACATACTTCCAAAATCCAAACCCAGCCCAAAAATAACCAACCAGCCAACCGATACGCAAATAGATGGGTATCACAAGAATAGAACCATAATAACTCCAATACCCCAAACCCATAGATAGCCCCCTTGACGGCAATCTAGTCAAATCAGCCCAGGAGACTTACCCGCACGCCATCCATGCCCATTGTGGTCACAATGCGATCCATCCAGTCTGTCGTTGGCGGTTGTTTGGTGTCCGGTCCAATCAAAGACTGGATTAACAGTTTTGGTTTTCCGGGGGTGCTGGGAGGAGAGAGGGGGGCCGTTGGTTCGGGCGTTGCGGGAAGGGAGTCTGAGCGTATACCATCTGACAGAATCTCGTTCTCGGCTTCGATTTCTGTTCGTTGTTTTGGATCGAGAAGAATTACAAGATAATTCAGTATCAGCATTCCCGACCGAATGCCACGAATGGAATGCCTCGAGAAGCCGTCAAAGAAGTACTGTGGGAGAGGGCCAATGAAGTCTTCTTTGTGGCCGTGCCCGGCGCGGACCATGGAGATAGAAACTCCAAATTCGGTGTGGATACCCCGCAAAGCCGCCCGAGTGCCCAAAATACTCAGCAACAGTGGTTTCCTGAGTTTGGATTGCTTCTTTTGTGGTAGGACGAGTAGGTCGCGTACTCGTTTCACGTAGCCGGGGATCTTGGTGACCTCGCGAAATCCGCGTTCTGCAACTTCCGTGTAGGCGAGAGAGTCAGGCTGCTTGGCATTGTCGGAGACAATCTGCTCATTGAGGGCTTGCCATTCGGGTTCTTCTAAGAAGCATGCTTCTCCCGAGATCATTGCGGCGGTGACTAGGAAGTTCCGGTAAACGATGTACATGGAACGGCCAAACCCGTGAATGTGGGCTCCCGGACCACGGAGCTGCATCAAGGTTTCGATGCCTTTTGCATGGCGCAGCCACGAGCTGGGTGTAGTGCAGTTATGCTTTTCGAAAACTGACAGGCAGATGGCTGTTGCAAGTGCCTCGTCCGACTTGGCCGTATTTATATCTGAGAGCAACCCTGCAAGCCCACGGAGAGATCGTATGTAGAACTCCCGTGCCCCATCCATATAGCGTCTATCATTTTGTAGAAATCCAGTGTAGGTAGTGGTGCAGGCGCGAACAGCCCAATCGAAACATGAGTTCTTGGAACCGCGCCGAGTATCGACATATGCCACCCAATTGACCGATACACGCTTTTCGGTGCATTTGAAGTAGCACGGGAAGGATGATAGTATGAAGTCGGTAAAAACTCTGGTCTGCTGGGAGGAAATGACCCTGGTAGACAATGAGGGTGATAAGGTTTCGTCAATGGTGAGGGGTTCGAGTTCATGCTGGGGACTTGGTCGACCGGATCTCTGTGGAATCAAGGCCTTACTGTGCGAATCGGAGGAGGACGATGACGAGGAGGACGGTGAAGGAGATGGTGAAAGTGAATATGAGTGCCCCGATCGGCACCTTAATTGTAGAGGGCGGCTTTCATTGTGGTGTTTGACGATGCGATTGTGGCCAGGGCACGATAATCCGAGATGCCTGCATCGCGAACAGGGCGGCTTACCGTCGCACTGGAACAGACAAACGGTTAGACAAATGACAGGTCAAATGGATTGACAAAGGAGAAAGTGGTTTAAGCGATGGCTGAAAAGGCCTGAAAGGCACTTCTTCTAAACGCCGGCTCCACCTTCGCACGATCTCCGGGACCTCCTGGCGAGGCGAGTTTCGATTCGCCTGGTGTCTCAGAGATCACGGTCGGGGATTGGAGGACATGGCTTATAGGTGCATAAAAGGTGGGCATGGAGGAGTAGAAAACCACAGCATTCTTGCACTAATGAAGTGCAGCCATGACGATAAGGATAAGAGTTAATACGAACCCTGGCATGCGCATCGAAACACCGTTGACAGCCGCGTGCCACTTGGACCATGCTGGTCACGGACGGGAGATGCAGAGAAATATCGTATCCGGAGACGTCGGCATCGAGGAAGAAATGGACGCTGCTGGTCCTGAGGCCTCCTGTGCCAGTGGAATCCGACGAGGGTCAAGGAGGATGAAAGAGGCGAAATAATAATCGAGGGTAAGATTTTGGGGAGAGTTGAAGATGGAGCGGTGGGGGTGGAAGGAGGACGACTAACTTAGTTTGCGGATTAGCAGTTGGATCGGAGATCTGGGGCAATTAATTTCTGGTGCATATGATTTAAAATCGAAGGCGGTTTGCGTCTATTTGTTCTTCCTTTTTTTGAGTTCGCTTGAACTATGGTATCTGGTGAATTATTACTGTGGATCACAGTCTTGCAGCGATCGAGGCTACTGCATGGGTCTCTGCAACGGAGGATAAAAGAAAGTCGCTTGAATATTCAGCACAAAGCACATTTGTGAAGACAATGGGATTATCACGATTACGATATCTCCTATCAGACCACCAAATGTAGCCTGTTTATGGTTTATATCCATTTTTTATCTTCTTTTGTTTTTTAGCAACAATACTGAACCAGTATTGAATACTAAGGACTATCCAAGTCGACAACCAGAAATAGATACCATGTCTTTCACCGAATACAACAAGCAAAATTTGTGGACACAATACACTGATGCCTCTCTAACCTGTACATTTCACTCAAAAGCCGGGCATAGCATGGATGACGGGATGATGGGAGTCCCTGGGACGAGAGAAGTGGCAAATAATCATAAGAGAAAAGAAGAGAACCACAGATTGCGCCGGATTCGCCAAAATAGAGGTCGAGTACACCCGGTCTGCAGGACTCGGGAAGAGAAATAGATGGAAACAGCACACGCAACTTATTATACTAACCCATCGTACAACGACAGCGCACTGACAATGGTCTCATCCCGTTTGCTGCCCTCCTTGAACTCCTCCATGTCGAGACTGCCATTCTCATCTTTATCCATCATACGGAAGATCTTCCGTACTCGCTTCTCTGGTGTATCCTCGTCCTCGGGCAATTTCACCATGGAACCCACCTAGGAATGGGACTGTCAGCACATGTTATCAACAAACACGAAGAAAAGGGCAAATATACCATCTTGTAGATCGCCTCGACGATGGCCAGCATCTCGTCGTAAGTGATTTTGCCATCGCCATCGATGTCATACAGTTGAAATGCCCAGTCCAGCTTGTCCTCCATCTTACCTCGCGAGGTGACCGAAAGCGCACAGATGAACTCCTTGAAATCGATCATACCGCTATTGTCCGAATCGAATACCCGAAACACATAATTCGCAAATGACGACGGATCACCAAAGGGGAAAAACTGTCGATAAATCTTTTGGAATTCCTCCTTGGTCAGGGTCCCCGAGGGGCAATCTTTCAAAAAACCTGCCCCGCCAGATTACCCTGGTCAGCCGTCATTCGAACGACACCGTCACCCCGACCTCCAGGATAAGACCGATCCCCACGCACCTTTATACCATTGCTGCAGTTCCTTCTTATCGAAATGAGTTGCCTTTTGGAGCTCATCGAGCTGGGAGGGGGAGAGCTTCGATTGTCTGAATAGTTTTCAGGTGTCAGTCCAATGCGGGGCGGAATACGAGACAGGCATTGCGAAGAAAGAAATAACAAAGAAAACCCCATAGCGAAAAAAATAAGCAAAGAATACTATCCCCATCCTCTGTTTGCTGGGATCGCTTTTGCTTGTTCCTCTCGTCGCATTGGGATAGCGACACGTGTGGTGCCCCTGGGTTTCTCTGTTTTTGTTTCCCCCCGAGAACTCGGTGAAATGCGGGTCGACCACTTACGACTTGCCCATTGTTAAACGCCGCCGACAATCACGCCAATTAATATAGAAAGGGTAGTTCGTTTCAATCCTTCACGCGCAGCTGCCCTAAGGATCGCAGATGCCCACTTCTGTCATGCGATGGTGGTGACGGAGACGGGAGACCGGAGGCGCGGGGTAGAGCGAAGGTTGTATTGATAATTGATAAGATCGGTGCGCTCCTTGGTCGAGAGAGGAGAAAGGTGGGAGAAAAGTGGGTTGGTAATTAGCAGAATGACGGAGAGAATAAGAGCGAAGTTTTGGAGAAGGAGAAAATGAATAGACGAAAAAAGAATCAAAAAAAAAAAAAGTAAAATGGACTGACTTGTTGGGATTTGCAGGCAATCATCGGCATTCGAGAAGCGGATGGACGGCGTAGTGGCAAAACGCGCAGTCGGAGGTCATACGGTCCAGAACACTCGGCGGGGGTGAGGCGCAGTCAGAAAGAGTCCCACGGCGGCATCATCGATGATGCGATAATCAGAATTGTTTTATGTAGTCAGAATCGATATATTAGGAGGCTTATGCTCTTTATTGTTATTATTGGCCGTGGGATGTTACCTTTCCTGCATGTAAATTCATTCGAGCGGGAAAAAAAATAAAAATAAAAAAAATAAAAAAAACATTCATCATATCTCTATTTACAGACCGTTTCAAACGCTTCTTTTGTACGAGAGCTGGAAAAATGGAGAGGGAAAAATAAGAAAATTGTTCATGCAAAAAAGCCAACTATACAGGGATATCCAAAACAAGCACGAAAATCGATCGATCGACTCCCTCCTTCTATGAACCTCAGCACCCCCCTGCGAGTGTGGAGGTGAAGAATGTCGCTGTGTGGCCTCGATTCAACATGGATCTAACGAACCAGCTGCATGGTGAACGGAGGGGCACTGACCCCGGTGTAGCCCGAACGGACATCGATCCACGAGACCCTAAGAACGGCTATTCTGGCGGTGAGAAGGTATGCTGAGCCTCCCTTTCATGGTCGGAGGGTATCAAAAGTCAAGAAAAGACCCAGAGACAATTTGGACAATTTAGTCGACCTTGATCGAGCCGTAAATGCGCTGCACAAACGCCCAGCTGGCAAAGAAACCAATGGATCCTATGCGGGAGATCAATCAGCGAGATGAAAAAACAATACCCAATAAGCCAACGGAGAGGTGCAAACATACCAGTCAAGATAAAAACTATGAATCCAATCAAAGCCGAGTATCCCACATAGAGAACTGCTCCCGTAAGTCCGCCAAAGCTCACTCTGGTCGCCCAGAAAACGAGCGCATTGACGAACACATATCCGCCCGTCATACCCGCACCAGCAAATGCTCTCCAGTGCCACCGGTAGTTCTCTGCACAGAGCAAGAAATACACCAGTAAAACAGTCGTGGCGGCAGAGGTCATGATCATTAGACCGTAGCAGAGGAACAAAAATCCAAACATATAATAGATCTTATTGGTCCAAAGCGAGGTCATGATAAAGTAGAGTTCGACAAAGATAGCTCCAAACGGTAAAATGCCCGTCAAGAGCAGGGAGGGAATGGTACGGAGACTTCCGCTCATCGGAGGGACCTGGCGAGGAATCTGGTTTGTCTTTGTTGGACCTTCGATGGGCTGTTCAAAGTGGTTAGTTGATGTATTTGAAGAAATTTGTCAACGGGTGCCATACATTTTGCTTGAATCCCAACCAGCTACCGGCCACACTCAACGGAACACTGATCACGAACCAGATCAGAACCAGGGCGAGCATCGTTGTGAACGGCACAGCACCACTGGATCCCTTGGCCCAAACGAACAAGTTTAGCAAGAAGAACGTGCCAAAGATGACACCTGGGATCAGAATGGGAGTCATGATAATGTTGCGCTTCCAAGCTTCTCCACCAAACGACTTGTAGACCCGAGCGGACACATATCCTCCAATAAAACCAAAGAGGGTGTAAATCAAGAGAATGACAGTAGCCAAGAAACCCCGATTAGAGGGGGACAAAAGGCCAAGAAGAGCAAACACTGTCCATCAATCAGCACTACTTTCTTTTGCAAAGGGTTATATGCCGAAACATACCAACTGTTACACCAGTCATCATAAAGAGCTGAGCGCCATTGCCCACAAGCACGCTAAGCAGCAAGGGCGACTGAGGGCACCGGAAAACATCACCGTGGACCAGCTTCCAGCCCGAGTCTTCTTGAATTCCATCCTCGACGGCGGCCGAGGTTCCATCCAGATCCTCCAGATTGATCACATCCAGTCGGTTATACCGAGCGATATCCTTTCTGAGAGCCCTGAGAAGAATCATGCTGACCATTCCAACCAGGAAGACAACAAAAACAGCAGAGTTGATGAGGGAGAACCAGTGGATTTTCGGGTCGTAGACATGCAGGTACTTGTCCCAGCGAGTGGCCCATGCCGTCTCTGACTCGCGCCAATACACGCTGTAGGTCCAAGTGACTCCAGTATCAGCCTCCTCACTCAAAGTCATGGGCGCGCCCTGAGCACCACACTCAACATTTCCATCCCCAAGAACTTTCGAATCCCGGCGTGATTCAGGCTGAACCAGAACCCCGACCACCCTGTACTTTTCCTTGTTGCCTTGGCTGACACGATGATAATCAATCAAAATATCAAAGTGGTTGTTGAGCAACGATTGGCCATTGTCATCCAATGTTCCCAAAGCAAACCCGGGGCTGTAGAACTCAGACTTGGTAACCGAGTCCAAATTCAGCTGGGCCGCAGGAAGTCCGTCAACCAGCCAATTGATGTTGTACCCCTGCGATATTCTCCGGTTCGTGAACTTGGCACCCCGCTCATCGAATACAGCCTGCTCTTTGCAGACAGCCTTGCAAGTCTCGTTTTTGCCCATGTGTATTTCGAACGGGGAGGTCTGGATGCGGTCTCCGAACAGGATGCTGCCTAGCGATTCTCGTACATCTTTCGGTCCGCCTTCTGGGGCACAGAAATGTAAGGCCGGATGATAGTAGTCATACGCAAAGACGGAATGAAGCTGGTCATCTTGTCGCGCTAAGCCCGGAGTAAGGTGATTGACATAGAGCGGCACAGTTTGGCCTTCATCGTACGACGTGGGAGCGACACCCGGAAGATAAAAGGCCGAAGATAGAGAAGGAACTGTGAGGAGAAGGGAGGATAGGAGGGAGGTTCGTTCGCTGAACCGCATTGTGGGGGTTCTGGAGGGAGAAGCTGGGAATTAGCCCAATCTGGATGCCATCTAATGACGCGTTGAGCTGCTCAATCGCAGAGGAGAGTAACGTACAATCTACAGCTGCCACCATACAAATGAAGCTTCACGGTGTCATGGGTTCCCTACTAAAGCAAATAAGCAAACTAGTGTAGGGAAAGAAATGGGAAATATGATGAGGAATGGAAGGGAAATTAGCCGGCAGACGTAATAACATGGCCGCCTTGGAAGATGCGATGAGGCCAGCTAAGGTAGGTAATGTCTTGGCACACGTGATGGGCATTCCTCCGGGTGGAACTCACCATTCCACGTTCCAATTGGCTGCTGCCCTTCATGGCCCCATTCCACCGCCACGACAGATAAAACATGGCAGAGATGTCACGTGCTGATAACACCAAAAATTTCCCATCAAATCTTCTGGTCAGCGCCAAACAGCAGCAAAAGCAGCACATCAATTCGCAATGGCGGCCACAGCGGTAAATCAAGAGCCTTCGGGCGCACAAAATATCTCAACCCTTCTCGAAACGCTTACTACCTGTCTCTCGAGTACCGGATCGTCCCTTCCCCTCGCCAAAAGGGAAAACCCTTCAGACGTATCGATCGAGCCTCCACAAGATGGCATTTCACTTCTGGACACCAAGAGCGACCTATTCCTCTCTTACTTACAGAATCTCGTTTTCCTTGTTATTTTTCAATTGAAGGAAATCTCCTCGAAGTCTCAGTCCGAGGATGAAGACGAAGATGCGAACAATTCAATTCGTGAAGACGTCGTTAAAAAGCTTGTCGAGTTGCGAGTCTTCCTAGACCGCGGTGTCAGACCATTGGAGAGCAGGCTTAAGTACCAGGTCGACAAGGTTGTCAAGGCTGCGGAGGACACTGAACGGGCCGAACGTGGAGCCCAAGCCTCTGGAAAAAGCAAGACACAGAAAGCGCGTCGATCGGACGGCGAGGAAGAGTCTGGGTCAGACGAAGACAGCAGCGATAGCGAAGATGACAGCGAGGAAGATGAGGATATCGATGAGATGGCATACCGACCCAACATCTCTGCATTCGGCAAGGCAGCTGAGCCTCAAGCCAAACCCGATAGGTCGGCCAAGAACGCCTCCAGTGATGGTATTTACCGGCCTCCTAGGATCATGCCGACCGCTTTGCCTACCACTGAGCGCCGGGAGCGTGAGGAACGTCGCCCGCGCAGGTCTAATGTCATCGACGAATTTGTTAGCGCAGAAATGTCGTCTGCGCCGATGGCAGAGGCCAGCATTGGAAGTACGATCAGACAGGGTGGAAGACATACCAAGTCCAAGAAAGAGAAAGAGTTGGAGGCAGAGCGGACAGCATATGAAGAAACCAACTTCATTCGAATGCCCAAGGAGTCCAAGAAGGATCGTGCCAAGCGAGGAGGCCGTGCCGAAAGCAGTTACGGAGGTGAAGACTGGAGAGGACTCACCGAGGGTGCAGATCGCATCTCCAAACTTACGCGAAGAGCCAAAGGAAGCGGCGGAGCCCTTGAAAAGAGTCGGAAGAGAAAGAATGAGGATGGACAGCGTGATGATGGTGTGGGAATGGGTCAAATCTTCGACAAGCGACGCAAGAAGGTTGATAGCTGGAAGCGGTAATCACTATGTAGTTTGTATGACGGAGTCTTGCATTGTATATTTTGGCTGGACGTTTCAATTGTTTGGTTTCAATGTCTGGCATCTTTTACTTGATACCTACGAAAAGTACTCAAAAATGATATTCCATTTTTCTACACATTTTTCTACATATTTTATGCCCACTAATTTATCCAGCGTTCTAGGTACCACTAGGTACCAACTGCCATGCATATATATCGTTGGACTCGGGATGCCGCAAAACACTGAATCTTCAGTATACATGGTGTGTCCATGAAGGACTATTGATCAAAGTACTCGTCGCGATATAGAACAAGACAACTCCATATATATTTATATAGTACATATGTCTGATATTGGCGTACTTATCATGCTGGGGTCATCCACTTGATCGGCCAAGTGCTTCTGGCTTCCACAGTGACACCACGGAATTTCACATGTTCATGACATCATCGTATCGTCGCCGCCCTGAACCTGGATCAGAAGCATTGATCGAAACCAGCTTTGATTCTTCTGATGTCCTTATTTCAACCGCTTAATTCCATCTGAAAGACATCAAAAGTCAGATTTAGAAAACAAGAAAATAGGCAAATCACCATGGACGATCCAGGTTCGTCAACCTCATTTCTCCCGTTACCTTGACATCCAGACTACCCTTTTGTCGAATTGATTCTAACTGGCTTTTCTACAGTACTGGAAGTTCCGACTGTTATCAGTCTGCTCACGCAGTCGCCACCTTCGTTACAACAGAAGACCATCGAGAAATTCTTTACACCATCAGCTAGCTTTGCGCATCCTTTCTGTCGTGTATGGAGCTTCCGTGGGAGCCGATGGGCACTCATCAAGATTTACCAATGGTACAAGATTATGTCGCCTAGGATTGAGCTTCAGGTGCACTCGGTTGGTAGGTTTTGAGGAAATTCTTCAGGGAGTTGACTAGAACAAGCCAGCTAACAGATTACCAGCATATGATGAAAAGAACCTCAAGCTCTACGTGAACCTATCCCAGATCTTCTCTATCTGGGTAGTTCCCTTCCACGTTGCTCCAGTAAATCTCACCACTGTCTTAACTCTCACCACCGACCCCGGTAATGACGACAAGCACTTGACAAACGGAGAGCAAAAGCTCTACTACATCTCTCACCAAGAGGACCTATATCAGACATCAGAGTTTATCAAGTTCCTCCTCCCACATGTGGGACACTTATTCGTGTTGATTTTCCATGTTTTTGCGACCTTCTTCTGCATCCTGGGCGTTGCCGCTCTCTGGCCCCTGATGTGGCTGGAGGAGAAGCGCTATGTGCCGGGTCAGTTGCTCAAGGGTGGAAATATTGCATCTAATATGGCAAAGAAGATTCCGGAAATTAAGGATGCATGATATAAACTTTCGTGGCTTCAGGAATTGCTGCACTGATTTAGATATGCTAAGATTGAAGGAACACATTAATGTGCATAATAGGAGTAGTTCAATAATCGATTCCAATCCTGGACCGTGAACACGATATCTATCGTAATTTGCATGCCCCTTCTTTCAGAATGTTGTCTTTGAGTGCAAAATGATTTCGCCATCTTGGTACCCAGGAGTAAGGCCACCAATAATGATCAGTGGTAGGTTTGTCTAGATGGGCTTTTCATATGACTGCCAATTACTATATTGATATCCGCAATTCTGACAGTAGCGAGTTGTCCTAGTTGGGAAAGATGATGCTATCCATGTGTTTTGGCAACTTGGGCATATGTATCTTTTGTAATCCGGCTGGGCTTTGGATGGGGCCTCGGCGAGAAGGCGGGTGAGATCAGCACCAAAGGAAGCAACTTCTTCGAGTACATTTTGGAAATCCTCTTTCTGGATGAGCTTTTGGATCTGCATTTTTGATATTTCCGTAACGATGCTGCGCAAGCCTTTGTCCGTTGACGGGCTGTTTGCGTAGACCTCGACGATAGCATGGGGGAAATCATCCATCTCCCAGCATTTCTGCACCGCATGTTCAAACTTTTCCTTGGAAATGTCTTTGAGTGCAGGGATTGAGTATTTGTCGGCAATCTGATACACCTTGGCGTTGAAAAGCATGGGGGAAACACGGCGAGCATTATTTCCACTGCTGTCATAGTCAAATCCGTACATGAAGTGGATCATAGCTTCGACGGCATGAGGGTCATCTTCTTTGAGAACAATCTTATTCTCGGCCGTTTCCTATGGAAGATAAACCGTCAGTCACTGTGTCTATTATATACGCTATCAAATAGGTGTGGATTGTACCTTCCACTCCTTGCTGTACATGAGACTGAAATATTCTGATTGACCACATATCACAAGCTTATGCACCTTGAAGTCCTGCTCAGTCGTTTGAACAACAAGGTCTGAGAACTGGGAAGTGTTGAAGAACCTGGATCACCGATCTGTCAGCTTTTGATTCAACATCAGGCTAGTACCAGAAATGAGTCTGGGATGACAACCCTTTCAAACTGGACTCCAAACTGCTGAATCCCTTGTCGTTCCTCGTTTCGTTGAAGATTTCAGTGTTGCCGGAGACCAACTCCTTCGATTTGTTTTTCGCCATGCCTGCAGATTCTCGTAGATTCAATTCAAGGCAAGCCGGTCAGAAGAAGGCTAGATAGAAGGAGTACGGAAAGAGATGTGCAGGTATTTTCACCTTGGTTGTTGAGCTGGCTTTTGCTGGTGTGGGAAATCAAGCGAGGCGTTTTCCATCTATGGCAATCCAACACGCTGCGGGGAGTTCTGCCTGATTGCCTGCAGGGGTCCTGGCGTCAGGCTCTGTTTCTTTGGTGAATGTGCATCGCTTGGAATTGTTTCAGTCACCTGCCTTAGTGAATGTATAAGGCTGGCTATCGATACTGACAGGAATATGTCAGACTATCAGCAGCAAATTCCTTCCTTGTTTTGGTTATTGTACATATAACTATAAATATACAGGGAGATGTTCCTTTAAGAAGCTTATGTAGACAGAACAATTAACATAAATTTATCAAGTACATATGCTTGTAGAAGTAGACCATTAATTCATCAAATTAGTCACAGAATTTGAAAAGGATAAAGAAAACCATTCCACCGAAACTATAATAACGTTTGGACATGCAGATAAGCATAATCTAGCGCTGCTTCCTCAACTCCTTGCGAATAGATTCCTCTTGTCTGACAATTTCCCAAGGCAAAGCACGTCCAACACCGAAGAAGACGAACGGTGCCCACTTCCACCGGAAGGGGTTGACCAAGATCACAAACACGTACCAGTAGATCAACTCTGCGTAAGTGAAGAAGTCAAAGGCCCCCGTTGGAGATAGACGTTTCATAAAACGTGTGAAGTCGATCCAGGTCTTCATCCGACCTTCCGTGGGCCGGGTCAGTGGGTCGACCAGGAACATAAGCAGGAAGCGAGTGTAAATGCCGATGTGCATGTTACCAACAGTTCCAATAGCATTGACGTAAGTGCTGTTGTTGGCGCAGAGACTCGTGTACTTGGGAGGGAAAACCTGCAGGTACCAGTTGGGTGGTCCGTAGGGGTCCTCAAAGACCTCCTCTGGAAGGAAGGACAACGATGGTCGCTTGAATCCAGTTGCCATGATGATAACATCACCGGGGACGACGGATTCGCGGCCAGGACCACCCTTGGGCACTCCCTTGGACCGGTGGTTGAACAGAACACCATTATTTTTAAGAGAGACAATATCACCACGAATCCAGCGGGCCTTACCCTCACGGATCTGGTCAAAAAGCTCAGAGTTGGCCATGGGTGTCTGAGTGAACAGACCCCCAGACGGGGCGATATCCTGTAGGTCGCGATAGAAGAACTTATGGAGTAGCCACTCAGGAATCCATGAAAGGAATGTCTCTTGCCCGAAGATGTTGAGCGCCAGCAGTGACTGCACGAAAACATTTCGAGGAATGATCCATTTGTCTGATCGCGACAGTACATCGATCTCACCGGCCCCAGACTTGACGGCAAACTCTAGGGCTTCAATGGCACTGGCACCACCACCAACAATAAGAACCTTCTTGCCTTTGACGTCCTTACCATCGAGTTGCGATGAGTGGTAGATATCGCCCTCGAAGTTGCTCTGATCGGGTAGAGTGGGTACCTTGGGGTCCCCGCAGACACCCACAGCAGCCACAATACCGTCAAAGCGGCCATATTTCGCTTCACTGTCGTTGATAATCCACTTGTCATCCTTGGTCTTCTTGACGGATGTCACTGGAGTTTCGAACACGGTGCGCTTTTGGAGCCCATAAAGCCTCCACACATCAATGATCTGATCGCGGATCTCCTGCTGAGTTGGATAGGCGGCATCGTACTTCACAGACGGGTGGAATCGATACATGATGCTATGTACCTGTAGAGAGGAGGTGGAGTTGACCCTCTGATAGGGGGATTAGCAACGATCTGATCTGACAGTCTTATGATTCATGATACTCACACTCCAGATTCCTCCCAGACCTTCATTCTTGGGTCGCGACTCGAAGATCTGCACATCGAAGCCATGGCCAATACAATGAGCGGCAGAAGATACACCAGTCAAACCAGCGCCAATGATAGCAACCCTCTTCTTAGGAAGGCCGTTGGCGATAGAGGATGGCGGGGGAGGGGAAGGAGCAAATATCCAATTGAGGATGCCCTGGAAGATCATGTAAAAGAAACTGATGATGTTCAAGAAAGGTGCCTTGACAAAGGTATCAGCCAGAGACGAGCCCTTCGAATCAGCCATTGTGACACTTTACTGAGAAATCACGGCTGATGTATGGATGTAAGGCACTGGATCAGTGCAGGAGCGTAGTAGAAAGCAAAACCTCCTCTTTCTGTATTTTGAAAAAGGAGAGGAAAATATGGAATGAGAGGAAACAAAGAAAAGTCAATTCATCATCTGAGAGGAGATGAGAGGCACTTTTTCAATGGAAACAGAGGTTCGCCAGTCCTTCGCATTCTGGTTTTCTGACTAGGTTCGCAATAACCATGACGTAGTGGTGGATCATATCTGAAGCTGACGGAAACATGTGAAAGAAAGAATCAGGGAGGACTTCTAGATTCTTATTCCTTGTCCACTACTCAGAGACAAGGATAGCGGCGGATTATAGTGTAGATCAGAAAAGAAAACTTGAGAATTGCCGCAATTGTTTCATCATCCTGGATGATTCATGGGTATCCCAATGTCGAAGAATGAGCCCATCATGCCACCACAAGTACCTGGAACGTATTCGAATCCACATGAATGTCTGATGCCATTGATCACTGATGCCTCTTCAATTCACTTGACATCATATCGGCTTTGATATTTTCAGGCAATCTCCCACTTGTGAAGGTGCTTTCTGTAGGGAAGGGGTATATATCCTCGAGTATCAGGAAACTCGCGTATGAACTCTCTGGTATTCAATTGACCTCGATGGATATAAAGAGATGAAATAAATCCAGAATAACAAATAATGGCCAAAGAAACATTAATGCAATATCGATGTTGTTGACTGACATTCTGCCTTTGGCTGCGGTCGGCGGTCGGCCTCCGTCTGGCGACAACTTCCATTACCAACTTTTGTCCGGCGCGTTTTCTCCGTGTTGCTCAGCGCGGTCTCAAAAATTGTCCTTTCAATCCAGCTGCAATTGACGGTCGATTTCTGAGATACGAATTCGCCCAGGGCAATATGCTCGGTCCTTGTTCTTCGAACCCTCCTACTTAAACGCCCGCGCGAACTCGGAACTCCATGACGGGCAACAGTCTTTGGCTGTCGACGACTTGACCCCCCAACATCAACGCTCGACCTCCCTCACTATCTTCCATACACCTCACAAACCATGGCGATCCAAACTCCGGTCCTGGACCGGTTCCTAGGTAGCATCGCAGACCTGGTCAAGAGTCGCGACGGCGCCAAACTGCAGGACTTTCTCCAGATCGAACCTCCGCTCTCCGAAGTCTACCAGCAGATGGTGGCAGAATTACAACAATTTTATCCCGGTGGAGCACAGAAAGAAGCAGATCTTCTGCGACGATGCGAAGGACTGGTTCCGCGTACTAAGGGGGGTAGCTCATGGATAGCATTTCCGACGTTCATGAAGCTCTATTTCATCTTCCTCCGCGATGTCAATGTTGAGAATCTGCTCGAAACATACAATTTGCTTAAAGGACTGCTCAAGTAAGTTTCGCAATATAATAAGGGTCTCGTGCTCGATTCTTTCAAGCATGATGAAAGCAACAATGGCCCGGCCTTCCCTCTGATTGAACTCGTGGAAACCTCCAAGTTCATCCGGACTAGTAGCTGATTTGTCTCTTCACTTCATAGTCAATGTGTCTTATCGCTTGGTGATAGCCAAATGGGTGTTATTGTCCTCCCCACCGTCCTTTACTTATCCAAGGTCCTATCAAAGCTGGCTATGGGCTTGGACCGCCGACCTGAGTTAATCGCACACCTGCTGAGGCTAGAAGGAGGCGCCGATCGGGAGGAAAACATCGAAAAGGTGACATTGGTGGAAAAGTCGGCCAACGTTGTTCGCGAGGCCTTTATCAAATGCCTCACTGATCGCAGTGGCACACCAGGCGTGCATGGCAAGCCTGAAGGAAAACGGATCGGAATCTACCTCATGGCGAATCTATGCTTGAAATTGCTATTTCAGGTAGGGCTGAGTACACAGCGAAGAAGTTTGTACAAAATGCTAACTAGCAATAGTGTGGCAAGCTTCGAAACGCAGAACAGATGTTTGCCAGTATCAGTGCCCAGTCTCCCCCGCTGAAGCATTTCCCAGCCTCGCAAAGAGTGACCTATCTTCACTACCTCGGACGTTACCTTTTTTCCAATAACCTCTTCCATCCCGCTCGGATTGCCTTGCAATCTGCTTACGATCAGTGCCATCGTCAAGCACTGAACCAGAAACGCCTTATTCTTACCTACCTCATTCCTTGCAACATTATCATGGGCCGTTTCCCTTCGATGCAATTACTACAACGTCCCGAATGCCAGGGTCTTGCCGACCAATTCATCCCTATCTGCCGTTTGATTGCTCGCGGAGATTACATTGCCTTCAGAGAGCATCTAGCAATCGATTCGCCAGCTACCGAGTGGTTTGCACGGAAAGGGATCTTGCTCGCCTTGCGCAATCGTTGTGAAATCCTTGTCTGGCGGTCACTCGCAAGAAAAGTGTTTATCCATGGCGGATTTCACGGAGACACGCAGAACCCAGCTCAGCGTGGTCCACCCCCATTTCTTTATTTGAACAAACTCGAGGCAGCTGTACGGTGGCTTCAATCCCAACATGCGCAGTCGCCACAGGGAGGTGTGGCCTTGAATCAATCAAATGATTCAAAGGCTGGAAACAATGTCTGCGGGTCACAAGTCGTTTATAAATCACCTGATAATGACTTTTCCGGTATCAATAGTCAGGAAGTGCATGAACCAGATCACACACTACAATCGAAATACTCAGATTACCTAGCTCCAGAGGGCTCCTTTGATGCACATGGTTATTGGCATGGAAACCCGACCGGTGCTCTTATCGACGGCAACCCAGATGCCGATTACAAGCAATACGAACTCGATCCATATGCCCATCGGGTCGAATCGAACTTTCACGAAAGTGAAGGGAAACCGACAGCTATGATGCGCGAGATTGAAGCCATTCTGGCTTCTCTTTTGACCCAGGGCTTTATGCGCGGTTACCTGACACACAAAAACCCGCGGTTTGCCATTCCAGGAGCTCGTCTTCGCGGGGCTTTACCCACTGGGTTTCCCAATGTATGGCAGACCATCTATGCGCGAGAAAGCGAGGATGACAGCGTCCCTGGATGGGTGCAACCACCACCTACAATGGCTAATAATACGTTTGCTGCCGCTGCTGCTGGTGGTCGCGTTGTGAATCTGTCTGGAGCACGACCGGCGGGTGCTCAATGATAATAAGATAGAGGATTGGAAGAGTCATTGTGTTGATGTTTAGACATTTTATCACTTCTTTTACATATTGATATACTACAGTTTTCTAAGCGAAATGATGAATGACAAGATACCTCAGCGATTAACCTCGATTGCAAACCACATTTTTCCTCCGGATTAATTTTTTCTTCTCCATTTCTTCCAACTGCGCCACTGAGCTGAAAAGTAGAGTGAAATGTGAATGGTTGCAGTATCGATCTGACCCCCACCTTTTTTCTCAGCTGCACTGCTAGGTAGAAGAGGAACACAAAGTCCTCAGCCGCTCAAGATGCCAGGCATAAATAGTTGAGGTTTCCCCTCGCTTTTCAACAATCTCTTCCGTCAATCCAGTATCCCTAGCTTCAGTCACAAAAACCATTCCTAGTATCATCACGGGTGGAATCGAACCAGGTCAATATGTGCTGGTGAACAAGGACTCACAGAAAGCTATTGATCTGAGTAGCAATGGCGTACTTGTCGTCTAGTATGCCCCCGTTGCCTTAATTAAACTTGCACCCTATTTACTTACGCCTTGAAGTGAGCAGAACGGCACCATACAATAATCTTGGGAGATTGGAAGAGATGAAGCAAGTGGCTCGTACTATATTAAATCTGCCAAAGAACCCGTATGCATTGGTTATGACAGTCTGGCAATTCACCCCTTAAACCTCGTGTACTTAGCTGATACTTGTTTTCTAGAGAAGGACCCTTGGCCGAAGACCTTTTCTGGTTTGAATGAATGCTGTTTATGGGATGCTAGACTTGTCGGGCCAAACACATATGTGTGTGTATAATTATCCTGTATCACTCTTAACAAACCACTTATATTAATTTGCTGCATAGATTCGAGCATAAATCTGAGGAGGGAGTACTCTATGCTCCATTTCCTGGTGGTTCAAATATCAGTCTCTCCCTTCTGCCAGAGTTGAGTGATGACAATTATTGGCGCGCCTTTGGCCCCTTTCATATAGATATAAGGAATACAGATGATCTAGGTACTATCCATATGTAAAAAATCTTCGATTGCTAAATGGGCCGTTGGCCTTGTCTCAATGATATGCTTAATAGTTGCAAACATTCGAGAAATATATATTTGTTAATGGAGTCAATTCACTACCAGGTAAAAGGCCACGAGACATGCCAATTATGAGAGCAATTGTCTATTCTTATATTTCAGTACCATCCTTGATTTGTTCTGTGCCTTTTATTTGGTTGCACTTAATCTCTGCTGACGATGACATCAAGGACCGTTGCGAAATGTGGAGACGGGCAGGCACCACCCAAACGGTTTATTGCTGGCATCTTCAACACCAACACTTCAACCTCACGGTCATATCACGACTCAAACCATGGAATCTCACAATATAACCGTCGCATCTATCGCTGCTAGGGTTCACCAATTTTGGAAATCTAAAGAACCATTTCGCATCTACCACGGTTCGACAAACAGCACGCGACAGTCTCAGCATGCTCACCACAACACTGTCAGCACCGCGTCTTTAACCAATGTCTTGCATATTGACCGCGACGCCAAAACGGCACTCGTCGAGCCTAACGTCCCCATGGACCAGCTCGTCCGGGCCACGACTCAATCTGGTCTTGTACCGCTGGTAGTCATGGAATTCCCCGGTATCACCGTCGGTGGTGGATTCTCCGGGACCTCGGGTGAGAGTAGCTCTTTTCGGCATGGGTTTTTCGATGCTACTGTTAATTGGGTTGAGATTGTCCTGCCGGATGGAGAGATTGTCACTGCGTCTAAGGATTCCCACCCTGATCTTTTCTGGGGTGCTGCGTCGGCTTTTGGAACTTTGGGCGTTGTCACCCTTGTTGAGGTGCAGCTCAGAGAAGCCAAGCCATATGTGGAATTGGCGTACCATTCCCTTTCGAACATGGAGGAGGCACTGCAGACTGTTCGGGATGCCACAAAGGACTCTTCTATCGAGTATCTAGATGGGATCGTGTATGCGAGAGATCACATCATCATATGCGCGGGACGGTTGACAGATACCCTGCCGGAGAACACGCAGCCACAGCAGTTCACCCGTTCATGGGACCAGTGGTTTTATCTGCATGCTCAAAGAACCACCAAATATAATACCAAGACTAAGATTGACTATATCCCCCTTGAAGACTATCTTTTCCGCTACGACCGAGGCGGTTTCTGGGTCGGAAGATACGCTTATCGATACTTCCTCACCCCCTTTAATCGTATTACGCGCTATCTTCTGGACACTTTCATGCATACGCGGGTGATGTATCACGCTCTGCATGAGAGTGGTCACTCAAAACAGTACATTATCCAGGATGTCGCAGTGCCGTACGCCGGTGCGACCGAGTTCATCGATTGGTTAGACGAAAAGGAGAATTTTGGCGCGTATCCAATTTGGCTGTGTCCATTGCGGCATTCTCCTGGGCTAATGGCTCGGGGAACTGCATCTTTCGACAAAACAGATGGGAAAGATGTTTCCAGTACAGGGACTGAAGATGATGAGTATCTCATGAACTTCGGCCTCTGGGCTCCTTCCTACGCGAACAATGTCACAGAGTTCATCGCCAAAAACCGGCAACTGGAAGGCAAAGTCCATAGCTTGCATGGCAAGAAGTGGCTATATGCCCACGCCTATTATACAGAGGATGAGTTCTGGTCCATCTACGATAAGAAGAAGTATGATGCTCTCCGCGAGAAATACCATGCGTCTCATCTGCCGAGTCTTTTCGAAAAGGTACGAGTTGACCTGCGACCGCAGGCACAGAATAACCAGGAGCTGGGATGGATTGGTTGGGCGAAGAACACAGTTTGGGACACGTGGCCAGTGAGTGGGTTGTATGGTGTTTACAAAGCGTGGCGCGGAGGGGAGTATCTCATCAAGAAATGATTCGTCAATATTGACGAGTCGAATGTTCTGTTAGCCTTGTTATGATATCCTAATGCTTTAGGCGCACCACTTATATTGTTTAATGATTGTGTATTGTCCAAATGATTCGTCTATAAGATATATTCATTTCATCTCTTATATCAAGTCCTATCTTATACTATCATAAGCCATATCAAAATCTATCATAAGATATCAATAATGCCAAGAAATATATGTAACTGTCCAATATCCCAAACTACTCATCCTCATTCACAATCCTTCCCTCCAATCGGGGCGAGATGCCTGGCGTCCACGTTGGAATGACGCCCTCCATAGCCTCATCCACCGTGCTGACTACCGATGGCTTCAAACCAGTCTTGCGCATCCATTTACGCACAACCATCCGTGCAAGGCGAAGGCGGCGTTCTTCTTCTGCTGATGACCTGGCTGGAAGTGTAACGTAGTTGGTCAATGGCTGTGGAGACGTTAAGATCTCCGGATCCGAGTCTGAGTCCGAATCCATTTGATCCGCGGAATTTTCTGCTCCGTTTTCTTCCACTGTATCGATTTCGTCTCGGAACCGACCGTAATGGTATTGCGTTGACCGGTTTAAGGCCGGTCGTTGAGGTCGAACGGGCACCTTCTCGGAAACTGGTGATGGATGAGCGGATGGAGGTTTCAAGTAACCATTGCAGTGTAGGTTCTTGTGCACAGTATCCCAGTGTCGGGTCATGCTCTGGGTAAATCCTTGCCATCTACCCACGACCCTCAAACTAAGGAAGTATTGTCGAATAATGGTGCTGATCAATACGCCGTTTTCCTCTGAGATGATTTCCTCTACTTCGCCACCCGCACTTTGTACTAACAATGACGAGAACCCATCCTTGCCGCGGGATGCGTACCCTCTCGTAGCTAAAACATAGCGCCGGTCCAGATCGATAGGCTTGCCGCCAACTTTGGCCCAGGTGATGCGGGACCCCGAGGGAGCGGATAGTTTAAACCCGTAGGAAATGTTGGATACCTGCGCGAACCGGCCCTCCATGGCAGGAAGCTGACTGACCCCGTTCTCCAATGCGTCAAGGAGTGCCTTACCTCGAATACGGAGCAAGACTACCGGATCTTCAAATGGAAAACAGTTCAACATATCCTTGAGCCGTAGTACTCCTGGTGGGTAGATCTGGTCGCCGCGCATAGTGCCTCCGGCCACGAGGGCACACTCTGCTTGATAATAATGCCGCATCAGATCGCATACAAAGTTTCCAAGGTTGGATTCTTTTTGACGGACTGTCGAAAATCGCCCATCTAACGGGAGAGTTGTATAACCGATTGGCTTCTCCAACTTTGCCATAAGAGATGACGTCAGTCGTGAAACAAGCGATACAGTAGCCGGGTCCTCGGGGATCGATCGGACCATATCTCGACGGGTTATATCGAAATTCCAGCCAGAGCCGTCATCCTTGCGCCACGCCTCGATGTAACTTAGCTGTTTGAAATCGGTACCGGATCGAAGGATGTGAATGTTGTTGATGACGGCGTGAGCGTAGAAATGATCGTGGCCTCCAAGGATGATATCAATCATGCCCGAGGGAAGATTCTCTGCCAATTTATGATCATTTGGTTCACGTTGATGTGTCACTCCTACAATTATCTCTGCACCTTGTTCACGGAGGCGTGGAACGAGTTCGAGCGCCGTCTTCGTTGCGGATTTGTATATTAAATCGGGAGGAAGGGCGTTTATTGTTCCTAGCCTGAATACTGTGTTAGCAAGCCATTAATCATATATCTCTGAACCAAAAGAACTCGCCATTCCCTCTCGCCTAGTCCGATCACACCAACTTTGATCCCATTTGACGAGGTCAACATACAGGTCCTCTCACAGTTGGCGATAGGAACATCCTTTCCCAAAGCTGGATCCAAGACATTCGCTAGTAGCCAAGGAAACTTGCACTGATTTCGTAAATGTCGGAGCTGCGCGACACCAAAATCAAGATCATGGTTCTACCAATCGCTTATCAGCTTCCGATTGTTTCCTGTCATAATGTCAGTGATGGTTTCCACTTACACCGACACAGGCCACATCCGTGCCAGCTTTATTCAGGAAAGGCACCATATGCCTTCCCTTAGTAACGCAGCTTTCAAGGCTCGGGTTGAAGGCATCGCCAGAAAAGAAGGTGAGGATATCAGGCAGTCCGGCAAAACGAGGGTGAGATCGGTAGTGATTAATTACGGATTGGAATCGAGGAACTCCACCGACTGGCTCTGCAGATCCAGCTCTAAAAAGTAAGAGGGGTTAGATCTTGGGGAACTGGAGATGGCTCAGGTGAGGGGTCGTACTCGACATGGTAGACATCATTATAATGAATCAAACGCAAATCAGGGGGTCCTGTCCCCTGGAAAGAATGAGTGACAGACAGACCGTCCGTTTCTACTGGAGACATGTCTGCCATTAAATATCCATATAAACAAGAAAAAAAGCGACTGATAGAAAAAGACGGAGAGTTGTAGAGAAAACGCAGGGACAGCAACAAGCGGAATCCGGGGAATAGCAGCCCACCTCGACACCTCAGGCATCTAGGGGGCACCAATCACATGGACAAGATTAGCACTAGTACATATTCTACACCGAATGTTGACCAGTTTCAAAGAGATTCAGAAGTGGTGATATATTCTGTCGAGCAATAATACATAATGCCTAGTTAAGCATTCTTCAGTTTAGTTGTTGACCATGTCGTCATGAGTATCGCTGCATCAGTGTAATGATTGTTTTGATCCTCCCGAAAACGCCTGGCTTCAAGAAATTGCACAACATTTGAGGTATCCTAAGTAAAAGCAAGCAAGGAAAAAAAAAAAAAAAAAATAACAAGAGGTGGCTTATTCATATATTCTCCATCATGCCCGTCGTTCAGTTACTGTCCATCGTCGTTTGACACCAGCCTCTCGTTCCTTATTCAGGGGCGCACTGCCCCAGAGTCCCCGCTGGGACATCGTCCGCTGCGGCAACTGCTTTTCCCATGCAGCCGGCTCATCCACTTTCGCCTCACTTTTAATGCTCGTTTCCTTCACCGATGGAGTAGATTTTACACCTCCAGAGTCTCCAAAGTTGGGAACAAGGTCGTCGATCGGGGACTCCGTCTCAGGGTCCGGCCCGGGAGAAGTCGTGCCCCAGAGCCCAGGGGAGATTCGGGAAGCTGTCGAGGGCCGCGACCAGCTCCACCCCTTCGAGCTTGAGCCCATCAAGGATGACGGTCCGATGATGAATGGGCCCGGCGACAGCGATGGATCACGGGATGTCAATCGGTGGCGTTGGGGTTGAATCGACGGGGCAATCACGGTGGTTGGCGAAGGAAGAGCACTGGGGATTTGCGCAGGGTTCGCACCGGCCCGCAGGTGGTCGGTTGATGCTACTAGCTTCAGACGGTACTCCTGCGCCATAGACAGTTCGCTGGGGGAGCGACGGCGCTGCTCACGTACCTCACCGGTTGAATCCGTGAGTGAAACTTTATCGTCTGCATCTTTTCGAACAGCCATGGTGAGAGAGGCTGTGCCAATGTCTAACAGCACTGGTTCGTTGGTAAGAGCCCCGATCAGCGCATTGCAGCCCGCACCGTGCGTGATCAAGACCAAAACTGTCTCAGTCAGAGCATCGCCATCTTCTGGAACAGGTTCGATTCCATTGGATCTACCATCCTGGTATGAAAGGGGGCGAATTGAATTGATAGGCTCGTCATCTTCTTGATACCACTCGAGCATGTTCTCCAGTCCGTTTCTGAATCGAGTGTGCATGGAGCTCCATTCTTCACCGTATTCGCCGCCATTTCCCCAATTCTGCGGCTTGCGCATGCTGTCCCACTGATAATCAATCTTCATGCAGGCATTGCGTGCGTGTGTAACGTATCCGGCGGGAATTGGATCAGATGGGGAGATGGCATAGCTGGGGGTAGGAGGCACGTAGCCTCCTGCCAGAGAGGACAGGTTAGTGTTGATTTTGCTTAGGAGCCCTTTGGCTCGCGGGGTGTTGGTTGAGTCCAACACATCGTAACTGTCAGCACGGTTCCTCTGGTTTTGGGCATAGTTGGCACTTGGTTTGGGACCAGGCTTGCCCTCTTCTCCTGATTCAGGAGAGGCAGGGGTGGAAAAACTACCCCAGCCGCCAGGGAAATAGCCGGTTGAAGGTCGACCATTTGTGTCTGCTTGGGGGACGATGCTATCACCACGACGCAGAAGTTCAGCCTTAGCCGCAGCGATCAACCGGTCCGAATTGGGCGGTGGAGTGATCACATCGAAATAGTCAGGACAGAGCCATTCCCCAAGGAACGCGTCGACCCGCAGGAGACATCGGTTGCCATCGGCATGAGAGTGGTTTGTCTTTGCAATTTTCTTGTTGTCGAGTCGCTGTTCAGGTTGAGTGGCCGATCCCACGTAAGATCCCTTTGCTTGCTGGACAGAGTTTGAGGATGATGAGTACTGGCTGATGCCGGAGCTGACTGCAATGGCTGTCTGAAGGCAACGCAGATAGGGGGAGGTATGGATAATAACCCTGCGCTTCTTTTTGGGTGGGAGTTCCTTCGACTCGGGTACTGCATCTAGTGAATCGACTGGGGATGTCGAGTTCGAGTGGGAGTCCAGCAGACTGATGATGCGAGCGCCGAGAGCACGAGATTGCAGCCAACCGCCATAGGAGAGAGGAGGATCGTAGGGGGTTGGGGAAGTGAGATGCCAGTTCTTATCGGCAGCATCCAGACGGGCGCCGTGCCTAGATGGGATTAGGGGGGGGGTTCGTTAAGAGGAAGTTCAGGATAACACCTACCGGGCGATAACAATCGTGGTCGGAGCTTTCCCCATGACTGCAAGGGTAGTTAGGATTTTTCGGGAGATGAAAAGGAGAAGGGATTGGCAAGGTAAGCGATTCTAATAACGGCGAAGAAGAGGGGAAACGCTGGTGTCTTGAGGCGGGGTAAAAGTACGAAGCCTCAGGAAGAATGGATCCCAAGAGTCCTCAGAATAGTCATCGACCAGCCATTCTGAAGAAGAAGCCAAATATCTCAGTGTATCGAGACAAAGAGGAGATGCAAAAAAAATATGATCTGCGCTATCACATTGTAAGAATAAAGCATGCGGATAATTCTCTGGTGTTGCTTTTTTTTTCTCTCCCGTGGTCGATGCTTTTTTTTTTCTTCCCTGCTAATTTTAGCATGTGATTCTGCTTAGGTAAATGTAAGATGAAGTCATCAGGACCGTGCGCTTTTCTGCCTTCTTTTTTTTTTTTTTTGGTATACAATCGACCAGAACTGGGTTTTTGTATAGATGGAATTGGGATATCAATAAATAGACATTTCAGGCTGTCAATAATGGCAATGTTTGATGTTGCATCGTCGCAATGTAACATCGTGGCACCAAGGACATTGCTGCCTCAGGTACTAACAATGTGCTAGGCACCAACTGTCAACTTGTCATTGGCAACTTTATCTTCAACTCCATCTCGAAGAAATCAAAACTGGAAAACCCAAGAATCAGAATCATCTTCTGTTTCATTGCAGATCATTTATAATCTATCGCTGACACATCTTTTGCTTTCCAAAATGCCTTTCCAAAGCTCCATCTCGTTCATCCCGACGGACCAGTGTCGACTCCGACGGACCAGATACAGACCCGTGGAACTGAAGCTTCAACTGACGCCATAACGGCCCAGATCTGAGTTTGATCTGAACATTTCCGGCTGCTATTTCCACTATCTGTGAGAGAGTCCCATCGGATGCGATGGTGGCAATGAATAACCAACCCTGCCGGAATATTGGGTCGGAACTTCTGATTTTGATAATTTTTGTCCGTGAGATAAATATGTGAAAAAATCACCTCTCTGGAGCGGCTCAGAGCCTTTCTGAGCGTTGTAATCTGGTTTTTAATCGAGCAATAAGCAATTGAGCTGTCAATAATAATGTCGAACCCGCAAAACGAAGTTGAAAAACGCCAGCCCTCACCTCGACTACCGTCTCCGTCTCCGCCTCTATCAGAATCAACATCAAACGATCTTCAAGATGAGCCATACAGTGAATATGAAGACCCCGAAGCTCTCACTCGATTTGACACATCACAATCGGTTGTCGCTCCCCCAAAGGAACTCTGGAAAGAAGTGATTTTTGTCATTGTGGTCTGCATGGCCCAATTCATGACACAAGCCGGCCTGGCCATATCCATCGCTCCTGTTTATATCATCGGGGGTAGCTTTGATACATCCAACGCCGGGGAATTGAGTTGGTTCGCTGCCGCCTATAGTTTGACCGTTGGTACATTCATCCTAGTGTCTGGTCGATTGGGTGACGTCTATGGTCACAGGTTGATGTTCATCACTGGATTTCTCTGGTTTGGACTATGGTCATTGCTTGCAGGGTTTAGTGTCTGGTCTAACCAGTTATTCTATGACTGCTGCCGCGCCTTCCAAGGCATGGGCCCGGCAATGGCGCTCCCTAATGCCCTTGCCATCCTGGGCCGCACTTATCCACCTGGCCTGCGAAAGGAAATGATATTTTGCTTCTTTGGGGCGACGGCTCCGAGTGGCTTTATTATCGGTGGTGTATTTTCCTCCATCTTTGCCCAGATGGTATGGTGGCCCTGGGGCTGCTGGGTCTTGGGCATGGTTTGCTTCCTTTTAGCTGCACTTGGTATCCTTTTCATCCCTCACACTCCACCGCCAAAATTCGACGACAATATCCGTGCCTGGGTGCGTTTGGATCTACCAGGAGCAGCAGCTGGTATCTCAGGCTTAGTCCTGATCAACTTTGCATGGAACCAGGCTGCCTTGGTAGGCTGGAAGACGCCATACACATACGCACTGCTCATTGTCGGATTCATCATGCTGGGTATCTTCGGCTACATCGAACGTATCGCGGAATGCCCTCTCCTCCCACGATCGGTCTTCACAGGCGATCTAGCCTGGGTCCTTGGATGTATCGCAGCGGGTTGGTCCAGCTTTGGCATCATCATCTACTATTTCTATCAATTCATGGAAGTAATCAAGGGTGATAGTCCTCTCCTGACCACTGCGAAATTCTCCGCCGCCGCGCCCTCGGGAGCTATCGCAGCCATCACGACCGGGTTCCTACTCAGCCGTGTCCCACCTAGCATTATCATGTTCTGTGCCATGGCAATGTTCACATCTGGACTAGCCATATTCGCCACGGTACCAGTCGACCAGACGTACTGGGCACAGGCATTCGTCGTCAGTATCATTACCTGTTGGGGAATGTAAGTACCTTTCTCCTCCACCAAGTCAATGGGGAATCTCAAGTCTAACAAAAATCCAGGGATATGTCATTTCCATCCGGTACCCTTATTCTTAGCAATTCAATGTCGCGGCATCATCAAGGCCTGGCCGGTTCATTAGTCAGTACTACCGTCAACTACTCCATCTCGCTGGGACTGGGGTTTGCGGGGACTGTTGAATCGCATGTTAATGATGGTGGGAACAACGTGTTGAGAGGATACCGCGGGGCGCTGTATATGGGAATCGGTCTAGCAGGACTAGGGTTGATGATTTCGGTGTGTTTTATGTTTGTTAGTTGGAGACGGTATCGAAGG